TAAACATTTCTTTTTTTTGTTTTGAAACGTACAAATTTCCGGAGCCGAGTTAGAAAAACTAAACAAAATTGAAGTTTGCAAAAAAAAAGTTTCGAGAGAAATTTGAATTTTGAAAAAAGTACAGAGGCTCAGGAGCCACGTGGATATTCAGGAAAATAATTTACAAATTTGAGATTTGTTTCCGGAAAATTTTTCGAGATCATCGAAAAATTGTGCCACTTGGATTTTGTGTGAAATTTTTTTGAAAATAAAACTTTTAAGATACCTTGAAGAATTATATAAATGGCATACCACGTGGAATTTCAATTCTAAAATTGGAATTAACAGAAAAATTTTGAAAAAAATTTCTGAGCTTTTCAGAATTGTGACAGAAAAAAGATCAAAAGTAGATATTTAGAAAATTTAAAGTTCTAAGAAATTGTTCCAACAAAATCCTAAGTGCCCAAATATTTTGGAACTTCTCCAAGAAAACTTGCAATTCAAATCAAAACAAAAAAGTTCAGAGAAAAGGTTAAAATGAACATCGTAGCGGGGGAGAAAAGGGGTGAAAGTAGTGCAGTTATCTACAAAATAGGCCATCTACAACATTTATCTTTTCCTATCCTTTTTCTTGCGCGCACTTTACTTAGACTATGTATGTATATCTTCTTCTTCTTCTTTAAATTCTTTTTGTTTTCCGATTTTCATCCCGAAAAGGTACCAAGTACCTGTTTTTGTTCACCTAATAATTTTGAAGAAGAAGAAGAAGGAGAATAATAATAATCGCCGCAGGCAATCGCCAGTCCGCTTTGTTTTCCGCGCGCGCAAAAACAAAGAGATAAAATAAAGTTTTGAAACAGTGAGAAGAGACGGGTTTTTACATATAACATATTATTTTATTTTTATATTTTTATGCATTTGATAATAACTGACTAAACATCGGGATTTTGTTGAAATGAGGTACTGTAGATGAAAAATTCTAGATTACTGTAGTTGACTAGAAACAAAAAGTGCAAAAGAAGTTCTTTTTTCCGAAACAAATAGATTAGAATTTTTCAGGGATACTGTAGTTATGAAAGTAAAGTTTGGAATTTTCTGAACAACTCAAAAATTCCAAGGTATACGGTAGAACTTATAGAGTACTGTGGTTATTTGCAACAAAAAATTGTAGACCACAAACTGCTCAGGGGTACTGTAGCTCTATTTAAAGTAGAAAAAATCCACTTTTGAATTATTATCGGATTACTGTAGCTCAATATTTCACAAAAATTAGAAAAAACTACTAAAATCTCGACTTTTGCACTTTTCTCAAAAAAAAAATCTGAATTTTGAGGAAAATTTTCTTCATCGAGGTGTGTAAAAAATAATAATACAAAATTTTGGAGGAGGGACGCGGCTACAATTTCTTCTTGATTTTTTCACTATACACTTTTTATTTTTCACCTCCTCGAAAATAATATGAAAGTACAGTAGTCCGAGATACTGTGCCACGTGGATTTTTTGGAATAGAGAAAAATGAAAAAGAAGAGAGAAAGAAAAGAGCATATTAATGTGGCTCATCAAAAAAAATATTTGAAAAAATAATAAAAACTACTTTTAGGTAACCATAGTTTCCCGAAATGAGATGAAAAGGATTACTGTAGTTTTTGATGAGCCGAGAAAAAATATTATTTTTAGGAGAAAGTAGATCAAAAATAACTGAAGGAGTACTGTAAAAGATTTTAAAAATAGGAGATCAAAGAATACGGTATGTTTTATACAAAAAAAGTAGATCATCCATATTTCAGAGGGTACTGTAGATGACATTTAGCGCCAAAAACAGCCGAGCTTTTTTGTTGTTGTGAAGTACACAGTAGAATAATAATTGTGTTAGCTTTTTAGTCGTGACTGAGCGCAAAAACTTTTTCTTGCTCTTTTTTTTCTGGGTGCTCAGCTATGGTCATTTTTATTTGCTCAAGACAACTTTTTGCGGTTTTTAGCGTAAAAATATGTTGTTTTCTGATTTTTGAATTGAAATGAGATATTTTGAATAAGAATTGTGATAACTTTCCTGGAAATTTTTTGACGTCGAAATTTTTTGAGCTGAATTTGAGGCGCAGGAACTTTTTGTTTCCGACGAGAGAGAAAAGTACATTTTTACCTGTCAGTACCAGTAAACATTGTTTTTTTGTTTGCTAATCATTTCAAACAGCTTATGAAAAGGGTTTTTGAGAAATTTGAAATTGAAAATGTTATGAAATTTTTGCAGAGTTTAGGATGAAAACATACGTGGCGAAACTGAAATACGGAATTTTCTGGCTGAAAATTGGAGTGGAATTTTTTTCTTGAAATTTTTCAGAATTATCAAGCTGAAAATCCACGTGGCAACCAAAATGGTTTGAAATTTCATTTCAAAAAATTCAAAAATCCCCTCCACGTCTAAACTCTAGTCTTTATCTCCAGACTTCTGGTAAGTTTGCCTCAAGTCTGCGCCCCAAAAGCAATACACTTTTTTGAAGCTAAAATCTAGGTAAAAATTTTGCTCGAAAATTCTGTTTTTTACACAGAATCCCTAATTTGTACAAACTTTTTTCCCAACTTTTTTGGCGCCAAAAATCCCCCGCCTACAGTACTCCTCTTCCATTTTTGCATTTTTCGTTTAGCCGCTTAATGAACTAAAACGGAATGATGTGAAAGAAGCAAAATGGTGAAAGATAAATTGTAAGATATCGGAAAAAAGAGAAGAAATTGACCTATTTGAACAACAACAAGAAAAGTTCATTTTTCGAAAAAAAAGGACAAAAATAAAGAGAAGATGTATATGGTGCGGTATTGTAACAGGTTACGGATACTATCTTAAGGAATAAAAAGTTTTTTTGCGGGAAGGAAGATTTTGGATCGAAAAATCTGGGGGTCGAGGAGTTCATCACAGAAATTTTGAGGTTCTGAAGTGGTAAAAATGGTGAAAATTTTTCACACATCAAAAGTGGCCTTTGAGCCAAAAAACTATATTTTAGGTTCAGAATTCCTAAGAATAAGAAAAATTATCAACATTGGAATATTTGCCTCAAAAATCAGAAAAAATTCAGACAAAAATCAGTGCAATTTTTTTGGTGCACAAAATTCGCTACGGGGATTCTGGAGTTTTATTTTGATTTTTTTATTTCAAAAAGTTATCGCTAAAAGTGGATTTTCCAAAATTTCGATTATTCTGATTTTTTAAGTGAAATTCAAGTTTCGCCAAAAAAAGAAAAAAACGTCACATGGGTTTTGAAAATGTCAAGTCAAAAATTGTACAAAAAACTCAGTTCCAAAAATGCGAAAAAAAGAAAAATAAAAAAATTGCCGAAACAAAATAAAGTAGCTATTTAGCTATTTAGCCCCTCTAACAGCAAAAAGCCCCAAATAAGTAAGTACAAGAAGATATCTTGGTGTCAAGTATTCCACTATTAAAAAGTAGGTCACAAAGTGAAATTACCTATCCCTTTTTGCCTTCGTTTTTCTTCTTCTTCCAAGAAAAGGACAACCAAAAAGTGAAAGGATTACTGTAGAAAAATGGCCAAAGGGGACGGGGGTTACTTTTGATTTCACTCTCTCTCGAAATCTCGAAATCTTCATTCTGTCGAGAAAAAAAACTTTCGATTTTCTTGTTTTGTCCTTTTGTAGGTTTTTCGGGAAAAGGAGGAGGAGGATGTTAATTAAATTGCGAAGAACGGAATTTTTATTGAACTTACACTTTTACAGGGTAAGGGGGTTTCCGGGAGAGTTTAGGTTTAGGCCTGAGAGTTAAGATGAGGTTAAGGTAAGTTTAAGTGAATTATGATTTCAGCTTTCACTTTAGGCTACAGGCTTTAACATGCGAATTAAGATTCAAGGGTTCACTTTTAGACTTCCGGCTTAGGCTTCTAGATTTGGGCTTTGATCTTAGATTCAAGAATCAGGCTCAGACTTTAGAAATTTTCCGGAATCTCACAAAAAAGCCCTACGCTTATTCAAGTCAAGTCTAATTTTTCCAACCCAGAAATTAATCAACCCACCTCAAAATCGCTTTCTTCACATTTGACTCTGACTTCTAAAATCCTGAGCATATTAAAAATTAGAAATTTACAAAAATGAAATTTTTTGGAATAGTCATTTTCCATGTTCACGTTCACGTTTTTTTAATAATTTTTTCGAAATCGTTTTATTTTTTCTAGGCTCAACTAGTACTCTAAAATTCTAGGCTCACTATTCAAAAAAATGAAATTCAGAAAAAAGCCACAATTTTTTCGCCAACAAAAAATGATTACCAAAACATTCGTACATTTTCGATTTCGCTTCTCAAAAAAATAAAATAAAATAAATATGCATCAAAATCAAAACAAAATCATTTTATTCAACAAAAAATTGAGGGGAACTTTTTTCTTCCTGTCGAAAAAATTTTTTAAATAGCACGAAAAAATTCGGGTCTCGATGGTTACTGAATTTGTAATTTTTCTAAAAAGTCCCCATTGTTTTCTAAAAGGTTTTGAATAGCGAAAAGAGGAGTTGGTAAAATTTTGAATTTTTAAATTAGTTGAACTTTTACGGAGGTTGGGAATATTGGAGAGAATTCATTGTTTCAAAATAAATTGAAAAAATTAAATAGTGATTGAAAAAGTAATTCGGTGAAAATTGGGTAGAGTAAGTTTGGCATAGATTTTCACTTGAAATATGCTCAAAATTTCAAAAAAAAAAAATCCACATACATATTTTGAATCATAAAGTCCATCGATTCAAATAAATGTTTTAATACTTTTTTAAAACGTTATTTTTTCAGGAAAAATTTCAGCGACTTTCAGCGCAGTTTTTTCAGCATCAACAACTTCAATATCACAAGTTTAATCAGTGACACGTTTCATAACAAAATACATTATAAAAAATACTCAAAAATAAAATAAAATACCGTGTTTTTGGTGGGGTCATTTGGGTAGATGAAGGGACTAGAAAAACCTATAAATCAATAAAAATCAATCGATAAATTAAAATTTTTGAAAAAAAAGAAAGAAGAAGGCGAAAAAGTGTTACACAGCAGTTCCAATTGTATTTGCCACGTTTCGCGCGTCAATTACACGTCGGACCAGTGACGTCAACAATTGTTGCGCTAATTTTTGATCAATTTTCGCCACATTCAATTCGTAGACGGGTGCTTTCATGGTTTTGGCGAAATTTTCGCAGACTGCTGAATTTTGAACTTTTTCCAATTTTCCGGCTGCGTCGACACGGCAATTTATTATCATATCGCATTCGATCTGTGAAAAAATGTAGATGTTAGATTTGGAAAGAAAAAGTGTGCGGGAAAATTGCAGAAACCGAAAAAGGGGGCTTGAATTTGATTTTTGGCGGGAAAAAACATGTCTGCAACTCTGACACAGTTTTTTTTGCAAATTTGTTGCTCTCACCATAATTTTGTGATGTTCATGGCGCATGTTGCGGAAAATCTGATAGGCGGTGAGTACGGTTCCGCAATTTTTGTGGTCGATGAGGAAAATGGCGGCGTCGCAGATTTTCATGTAGGATTCGGGTAGATGAGCCGGCTGGAAATTAGGGTTGGATTTTTCCGTTAAAAGTTCCAGATTTTCAGCCGAAAAAATCATATTTTGTCAAACTCACATCATATTCTGGATCAATAATATCGACAAGTGTTGATGTTCCATCTTCGAAACGAACCATCTGCAAAAAATTACATTTAAAAATATTGCAATACAAATTAGATGTGGAATTTTGTCGTTTCACTAAAAATTCAAAATTCTCAACAAATTTCAGATCAAAAATTGTAATGTTTATAAAATTTTCGATTTTCAGTTCATTGTTTAATTTGACTGGAAAATTTGAAATTTTAATCTGAAATCGCAATTCTAGCTCAAAATTCATCAAATCTCACAAATTTTCAATTATTTTTTAGTAGAACACAACTCACAAAGGATAAAACATGCGGTAATCGATTATCGCCTTCCGGAAACGGCAATTCTTTGACACCGCCCATCGCATACCGTTCTGCCACGTGGATAAATTCGACCCGCTCCTCACAATTCTCCTCGAGAACTTCGCGCAACTTTTTGACAAAAAACGTTTTTCCGACTTGTGCCGTGCCAAATACAACAATCGATATTTGATTGCGATTTTCGCGTTGCGCCGTGCATTTTTTCTCAAACTTTTTTCCAATTCCCACAAAAAAACTATAGGTTTCCTCAGGAATCATTTCTTTTTCGTTGTTACCAAATTCCTCAATTTTCTCTTTTGCGGGATCCTCTTTAATCTGAGCAATCGCTTTTTTGGCGATGAAAAGTCGCCGCCAAATTGATGATTTTTTGGGTGGTTTAGGTGCTGGTTCAATGAGAATTTCCGAATCTTCTTGTGGATTCATTTTTTTCGCGTGGATTTTCGTGCCACTAGTTCTAAGGGCGTTCAAAGATCGGCGTAATAAGGAGTTTCGTCTAGGAGGCTCAATTTTTTCGGGCTCTTTTTGAATTGTGCAACTTGTGAATCGTTCAGACCGCCTTCCATATCCATTTCGTTTAAAAATCGAAGATTTCTGGGCAAAATCGGGTTCCTCTTCTCCGTCTTCTTCCGCCACTAAAACACTCTCATTCTTTCCTCCTCCACTATAAAAATCACTTGGATATTTCAGCGCACTTTTGACAGGCAGTGCATCTTTCGAAAATTGTCGTTTTTCGGTGGTTGGTGAACTGCAAATTGTGGGTGGAGCGATAGTGAAGAAACAACGTTTTTTGTTGTTGGTCATTGTTGAGCGAGTGGAGAGAGTTCGCTCGATTCGGGAGGATTTGCGAGTAGCTTCGTCGTAGATGAAGAGATCCTCGAATGAGGTGACGATTTCGGATGATTTCAGCTTTTTGACAATCTGGAAAAATTGAATTTCACGTGGATTTCTAGTGATTTTGAGAGATGTGTTTCTTTTAAAATTGGATTTTTGAACCTCGACAAGACAAAATCAGTGTTAAAAATCCAATAAAACCTTGTTCATCAGACGTGGATTGGTGTACATTTTTGTGCATGCATAATCAGAAAAATAAGGCAAAACCATGTGGGATTTCAAAATGATCAGAAATTCATGAATTTCATCTAGTGCCACGTCATAGCTCTATTTCTTCACAAAAATCTCACGCACATTATCCAATGTAATACTCGGTATCATATTACAAAACTCTCCAACATCCTTCTCACAAATCACACAATTCCGCGACGTTCTACAGTGCACTTCGATACAAGATTCACAAAACGAATGACCGCACGAAACCATAACGGGACGATCGAACAGTTCGCCGCAAATTCCACAAATCAAATCGGCGCCGAAATCGCGACGCAGTTCGGTGCACTGCAAAAAAAATTGGCGGTTTTTGACAACAGATATGGGTGGATTTGTGATGGCAAAAATCCACGTGGAATTCTCAAAGGTAATGCATTTTTGGTATCAAAAAACGTGGAATTTTTGCCACCGAAATTCACACATATCTTCAAGCCAAACCTACCGCGGTCGAGGAAGAAGCGTTTGATTCCAAACGCGGCGACGAATTCGAAATCGAAAATTCGCTCTGACTCGCGTGAATCGACCCCAAATCCGAAAAAGAAGTTTTCTCGCCTTCGGCCATTTTCCCTAAGAATTCTGAAATTTTTCCTGGAAATAATTAGTGCGAAATAATTTGAAGAGCTGTCTGAGGACCGCCTAAAAAAGCTCGAAAAGAAGAGGAAAAGAGAGTATTTACAAATTCATTTGATGTTTGGATAAATAAATAAATAATAATAATAATAAATAATCAACTAATTCTGATTCTCCTTATCATCATCAGTTAGTGTTAAATTCTTGGTCAAATCTTGAGAAGATTCCTGTGTAATTTGAATTTGTTCCCGCTGAATTTTAATACATTTATCAGCTTCCGCATTCATCTCTCGAATTTCGGCGAATTGTCGCTTCAGCTCATCTCTCTCCCGATTCATCTCTTCTATGCAATTTCGAGTTATATTAATAGTTTCTTCTAATTTAGCATACCTAAAGAAAAATTTTTACATTTTGCGCTAAAACTTGCTCTAAAAACTCACAAATTTTCACGATGATTTTGCGATACAATAGGCTGGAAGTCCATGTTATCAATAACTTTCGTCGGATCTTCGAAATTGGACATTGTTCCGTTTTGGTAGACGTTTTAGAGGTGAAACTTTTGAAAGTGAGAAAAAAGAAAAGTAAATTTTTGAATGTGAGAAAAATGGCGGGACGGTCTCGTGTGGAAAAACCTGATTGGCTGTTTGCCAATGGAGCAAGTGCGCTCCACGGAGAAAGGAGCGTTTTTTCTTTTCGTTTTTCTCATTTTCTGTCTGTTTTTCACATTTCGTCACGTGAATTTCAACGTTTTTTTTTCGAAAAAAAATTGATTTTTAAAGAAAACACATCTAGAAATGGACGAGGGAAGTACGATTACCACGTTGAAAATTCTGATTATCGGCGAAAGCGGCGTCGGAAAATCGAGTTTGATGCTTCGATTTGTTGACGACGTTTTTGATCCCGAACAAGCGGCAACAATTGGCGTGGATTTTCGGGTGACTTCGATGACAATCGATGGAAATCGAGTAAAATTGGCGATTTGGGATACCGCAGGACAGGAGCGTTTTCGAACTTTGACACCGAGTTATTATCGAGGAGCACAAGGAGTGATTTGTGGTGAGTGTTTAGGGGAAATACTTATAGGGATTTTTATGGAAATATTCTCAAGAAAATCTTAATTTTCAGTTTATGACGTCACAAATCGAAGTTCGTTTGAAAAACTGGCACATTGGATGACAGAAGTCGATACCTATTGTACAAAAGAAGACGCGGTGAAAATGCTCGTCGCAAATAAAATCGATATGCCAAATCGTGAAGTGTCTCGAGAAGAAGGTCTCAAATTCGCCAAAAGACATCGCACACTTTTTATCGAAGCCAGTGCCAAAACCAAGGAAGGAGTTCAATGCACTTTTGAGGAACTCATCGAAAAAATCATACAAACTCCAAATTTATGGGATAATGAGAGACCGAGATTTGTATTGGGACAGACGGAAAATAATGGAGGAGGATCTTGTGGATGTTGAATATTGAATTTTAAATTTTTTATATAACCTAACTCTGGAATTATAATTGCCTTCGGTGAAATTTGCAAATTTTGTATATACTTTTTGCTACATAAGATTTCTATATGTATTTTTTTCGGTTTTATTGATTTTTCAAATCGTTTGAAACGATTTTCATATATTTATTGATTTTTGTGCAAAAATTTTGGATTTCTGGTGATTTTGAGATCCCACGAGCCTATATTTCTTTAAAATTTGGTCTCGACCGGAAACATCGAATTTTAAAGGAACATATCATTGAATTCCGAACTTTTCGGTAACCCACAATTATATGTTCCTTTAAAGCTAGTTTTCCCCGTGTCGAAACCCAAAAAATCCATTTTTAAAGGATCATAGACATGTTCGGTTTCAAAATGATTTGTATTTCATAAAGAAAACATTTTCAGCCAAATTAAACTGAAATTTCAGAAAAAATGACAAACGAAGACACTCTTGAAGATATGGAAAGACAATTTTTGGAGGCGGCGCGGAAAGAAGGCGGAATGGAAACCATTCAACAATCGGAAAATGATCCGCAAAATGGAGGAGGAGAAGATGATAGAAAGAAGAGAAAGAGAAGTAGAAGTCGAGATCGCGATAGAAAAAGATCCAGATCGTGAGTTTTTTCCTGAAACAAATTGTGATTTTTTACCTCGATAAAAATACGTTTCAACAATGTTTTTCTTGTTTGTTTTTTTGATGGCTATTATTGTTTGGACAATGGAATTGTTTAAATGAAAAAGTATCACAGTAAGAAACTTTTTGAATGGAAATCTAAAATATGAAAAAAGCTCTAAAATCGACAAAATAATAAAAAAAAATAACCGTAAGATGCTAACGACCCATTTTCCTGAGAAAAACCACTCCAAAAAATTTTTATATCCAAATTTCTTGTAGACCACGCGGAGATCGTCGCGACCGTTCGCCACGCCGCCGCGATCGTTCACCACGTGATTCCCGCCGCGATGCACCTCGCCGTGACGAAAAACCACGCGAACCCAAGAAATATCGCTTCTGGGATGTTCCACCAAATGGTTTCGAACACGTCACTCCAATGGAATACAAAACATTGCAAGCACAAGGACAAGTGCCAAAAGGAACACCACAAGCTGCGTTGCCAGCAATCGGACCATCTGTAACATGTCAATCTAGAAGACTTTATGTCGGAAATATTCCATTTGGTTGTAATGACGAGGCAATGTTGGATTTTTTCAATCAACAAATGCATTTATGTGGTTTGGCACAGGCGCCAGGAAATCCGATTCTTTTGTGTCAAATTAATTTGGACAAGAATTTTGCGTTCATCGAATTTCGATCGATCGATGAAACCACGGCTGGAATGGCATTTGATGGTATCAATTTCATGGGACAACAATTGAAAGTTCGAAGACCGAGAGATTATCAACCAAGTCAGGCACAATTTGATATGACTGCCAGAATGCCTGTCTCATCGATTGTTGTTGATTCACCCAATAAGATTTTCATTGGAGGATTGCCAAATTATTTGACAGAAGAACAGGTTGGTTGGGGTTTTGGGGAGCAAGAGGATAGGAGGCTTGGGATATGTGAGGGGAATGTTTGAAGATAGAGCAACATTTTACCTTGCAAAGGATACAGTTAGAGTTTGTGGCACAAGCATTAAATTTTAAAAAGTAGATTTTTTGCCTCTAGAAATTCCAAATGAAAAATTTTTAAATTCGCATTTTTGGCGCTAAGACACACCTCGGCCAAGCCGTGGCTGGCTAGAGTACAGTGTTTGGAAAAAATCTGAATTTCAGTTTCTAGAGATCAAAAATTGAACAATCAGAGTTTTTAGAGGACAAAAACTGAAAATGCACAATTTTTGTACTGTAAAAAGTTAGCGTACAATTTTTTATTTTGGAAACCACGATTTTGGCCGAGGCGTGCGCTAAGATTATAATTTTGGGCATAATTTTTGAATTCAATTTATTCAAAGTTTTTAGCCAAATCACACGTGGAAAAGAAATTATTAAAAATGAAAATTTTAAGTTCTCAGGGCCCCAAGTTATATATTTTTGTCGCAAATTTTTCTCTGTCCCCAACTGAAAAACAAACGTGTTGTTTTGCAGCAACACGTCGTGATTGTTCTCAACAATACTTGCTCTGTTGTCTCCCCAATCAAATTATTATTATTCAAATCGATTTTCTCTCGGGAATTTGTGTTCCAGAAAAGTTTCCAGACAATTTCCAGACATTTCAGACTGTTTTAGGTGCATTTTTAGGTCATTTTCAGATATTTGATTTTTCAGCCCACGCCGCTTCTCCCCCCAAATTCCTAAACCCTTTTTTTCAGGTCAAAGAATTGTTGTGCTCATTTGGACCACTCAAAGCATTCTCGCTGAATGTTGATTCGAATGGACAAAGTAAGGGATATGCATTTGCTGAATATTTGGATCCATTGTTGACTGATCAGGTTAGAATTTGGGGAATTTTTTAAAGAAAACTGCATTTTAAGGGTGGTTTGATAATTTTCACCTGAAAATTTTTGAAAAAATTCAATGTTTCAAAAAAAATCTTTTATAAATATTTGGGTAAAAATATTGATTACCATTTTTTGAAACCTTCTTATTAAACGAAAAAGTCCATAAAAATACGAAATTTCATTTTCAAACCTTTATCAGAAACAGGCCTGTGCCGGAAATTTTCCGAATTTTCCGAATTTCCGGATTTTCCGGTTTTTTTACGGAAAAATCAATTTTCCGATTTTCCGGAAAATGTGCTCGGAAAATCCGGAAAATGATCTTTAGTAGTAATACTTAAAATTTTGCCTAAATTTTGGGAAATTTTCTCAGTTTATGATAGAAAAAATGAAATTTTTTGGAATTTTTTTTTCAATTTTTCAAATTTTACGATTTTTTGAACGTAAAACGTCTCAAATAGTTACTAAATTACCTGTGAATAGAAGAAATGTAGATAAAATTACGTTTTTTTGCCAACTTGCGGCTGAAAATCGAAATTTCTGACTTTGAAAAATTTTCCGAATTTTCCGGATTTTCCGGTTCAAAAAATCCGGAAATTTTCCGACTTTCCGTTTTCCGGGTTTCGATTTTCCGGCACAGGCCTGATCAGAAACATAACGAAAAATTCACCATCAAAAAAATTACTGTTTCAAAAATCCCGTATCAAAAATTAAGAAAAAATCGTGTTAATCTAGCGTTCACTTCTTCAGTGACAATTTTGGAAAATTAGTCTTTATTTTTCGAAATTCATCTCCTCCTATCGGAAAAATCCACTGTTTCAGAAATTGTGTTTTTAAAGAATCTTCGAATAAGTTCTGATTCATTGTTAAGGGATATTCACCAAATTCTAGCTGGGAGCAAGTTTTTATTATAAAATGTTTGTTTCAAAAAATCACTGTTTCAAAATGTTTGTAGATTCATAGGTGATCCAAAATATTGCCTTTTCAAGTTCTCACTTTTCAAATCCCCATGTACTGTTTTGATTCTGTATTTTTCTTTTAAAATTCCGAAAATGTATTGTTTTTGGCGATGTTTGGATGATACTCAGATTATCGAATAATTCTTTAACAAGAAACAATTTTTGCCCTGAAAATTCTCAATTTAATTTTCAGGCAATTGCTGGTTTAAATGGAATGCAACTTGGCGACAAACAATTAGTTGTTCAATTAGCCTGCGCAAATCAAACTCGACACACAACACATTTGCCAAATTCGGCAACCGCAATTGCTGGAATCGATTTATCGCAAGGAGCCGGAAAACCGACAGAAATTTTGTGCTTAATGAATATGGTTGTTGAAGAGGAATTGAAGAATGATGATGAATATGAAGGTAGGGTTTTGAGGAGTTTTTGGTCGGAATTTTAAAGAAAAGTTCTCAAAAATAGATTTTTTCCTGGGCTATTTTGAAAGATATTTATTCACGAAATGAAATGAAAACATACTGTTTCAAATGGTTATTGTAAAAATAACCATTTTTCAAACTTAATTTAAATATCACAAAAAATTTCCCAAATTAAATTAATTTTTTTGCAGACATCCTGGAAGATATTCGCGAAGAATGTTCAAAATACGGAATAGTTCGATCCGTCGAAATTCCACGTCCCTACGAAGGATATCAAGTGGCTGGAGTCGGAAAAGTTTTCGTCGAATTCGCGTCGACTTCGGATTGTCAAAAAGCGCAAGCTGCGTTGACCGGAAGGAAATTCGCCGCAAGAACTGTGGTCACTTCCTATTATGACGTCGAAAAATATCATAATCGACAGTTTTAAATTTTCTCATTGTTTTCTTTTTTATTTTCTTCAAGAATCTCTGTTTTTTCTATTATTATTTTTATTATAACTTATTTATCCCACATAAATTACTCTTTTATAAAAGTGATTTTTGAACTTTTCGAAAAAAAAGGAAATGGAAGTTTTCATGAAACAGAAAACATTTATTTTCTAAAAATCTTTTGTTGTGAATTTAGGCCCAACAACAATTGAAATAAGTTTCGCCAATTTTCTAAAAATCACATTTCGATAATTTTTGATAATTAACATAACTGGTAATGGATCCAATGCTGGAAATAATGCAATAGTTATACTAATTACAGCAGTCGTATTTCCTAAATCCAAATCAATAATTGTAAAAAGAAAAATCAATATAGTTGGAAAATGCATAAGAATAACTGGAATTAATGTTTGAATAAGCAAAGCGTAGAAAAATTGAAATTGTAGATTTCTTGTTTTGGCAGACACGTTTTTTGAATACATATTAATTCGAAAAAAACATTTCGTTGCACATATTATTATGACCATTATTGAAAATGTTAGAATTATGGAGAATATTATTAGTCCTATGGAATTTGGAATATTAATATTTCCTGATCTGTATAAATATGGTCCGACGTATCCAATATTTTCAATTTTCCAATCAAATTTTTCTAATAGAATTGGTTGGAGTGCAATGGATGTTTGGGAATTTGGAGGCATCAGAAAATACATTGTTAGACCCCAGAGAACACCGAAAAATAGAGGAATTGACATCCAGAGGAACAGTTTCCAAGTTTCGAATTGTTTTAGGAGTTTTGATCTGGAGAAAAAATAGTTTCTGATCTGAAGTTGATTGGACACTTATTTCAAAATTTTTTTCAGTTGAAATGTGAAATTTTCTAGTTTTCTAGTTTTCTCACGTCAATACTCATTTTCAGAATCGTGATCAGCAAGTCTACTTAGTTTCCGGTCCTAATCATTGATTTTTTCCAAGGATATTTGCATTTTACGATAAGCAATGCTCTCTAAATATTTTTTTAAAAATTGGATCTGCTCATATAAACTTCGAGAAAGTTCACATAAGAATTCTAATAATTTTTATTTTTAAAACATAACTTCCAAATTTTTCCACTTCATCAGAAACTCAAAAATCACAAACCCAGAAGCCACAAAATATCGATAGCAAAACTGAATAACAAAAAATCCCATAAAACTTCCGAAAAATCCACTCCAAATCGCCAATCCAATTATCGATGTTTTCGGTGAGAAATGAATTTCCGAATATTCGAAATTCAAAAGAAGAATTAAAATGGAGCCATGAGAGAATGCGATGGGTTTGAGCAAAAAATCACAAATCGAAAAGGTCAGCTCGAAAATTGACATATAAATCATCAAATATTTGTAATTCCCGATTTGTTTGGGTGATTTTGTGAGAATAAGAAGAATTAGGAAAATGTTGGCTATAAGAGATGAAATTGCGGAATACTCTTGGAAAGTTTTAACAGTTTTCAGCCAAGTCATTTTAGTGTAAGTGACGTTTAGTTAGAATAATTGTTTTTGGTTTTTAAAAAATCGGTGGATTATCTCTTGGAAAGCTAAAGTGCAATAGGAAATTAATTATTTTTGATACTACTTCTGATAAATTGGAAAAATGAAAATTACTTCTGAACCGTTTTCATTTCCCTTAAAAACAAAAAAAATATTCAAATAAATAATCTTCAAAAACAAAAAAAAACAAACTCTATTTAGCATGCAGCTGTGGTGCCGAAACACGAACTTTTGTTGGCAAATTTCTGGATGCGGCATCATCGGAAAGCAAAGATTTGATAAGTGCAGATTGTCGATCAGATTTGGAACGTGTAAATAATTCGATGGCCGATTTTGTGGCTTTTCCACGTTTTCCGGTTCCTGGTGTAATTTTGACGCGATATTTGTAGGTTGAGAGAGCCTGAAAATTAAATTATTGAATTTTTTCTTGAAATTTTCTGGTGTAATTTTCACATGATATTTAAGAAAATGAATTATTGCTTTTTTGGAAGCTTTTTTGTAGGAAAACTGTTAAAATTCATGTTTTCATGCAAGATTTTCTAAATACACACGAGGACGAGTAATGCCTTTTTGTTGGGAAATACAGATTTATCAAAATTCTGGAACAGTGCATTTTTCTCGATTTTCTCGAATTTTCAGAGAAAAAGTTTCCAGTCATATGTGTCCTCAAAAATTCGCCAAATTTTGAAATTTTTGATAAAATTAATTTTTTGAGAACACAAAATTCTAAAGACGTTGCAATACTAGAGAATTTCCAGATTTATTTGAACATGAAAATTGAGAAACAGTGAAATTTTCAATAATTAAAATGTGGATCAATAGAAAATTAAAATATATTGTCAGTTATCAAAACCTTGAAACAGTGAACTTTTCTCATTTTTTTTGAAAAACTATTTTCAAGGCCCTTTAAAAAAATCTTTAATTTCTAAAAATTTTCATATTTTTAATTATCAAAATCTTGGAGCACTGATTCTTCGATTTTTTCCCAAAAATATTTTGCAGTCATATTTACCCTCAAAAATTCCCAACAAAAAACTCACCGTATACGGTGCCACCACAGGAACCGCAAATAAGAGCGTATCCTCATCGAGTGGTTGACTTGTCAAAGTTCCCAAAATATCCTCTTCTTCTTTTCCATTTCCCTCATTTTCATCGTTTTCCTCATTTTCTTCGCCCAAATTCTCCTCTTTTTCCACAACTTTTTCAGGTTTTTCATACACTTTCTTCTCAAAAATTTCGGGTTTTTTCTCGGCTTTTGGTTCGATTTTTGATTGCTCGATGATTTTTTGAGGTTTCAGCAATTTTTGATGAATTTCAATATCTTTTTCGGTTTGTTCTCCATATTTTTGCTTCGCCAATTTTTCTTTACGTTGTTTGCGTTTTTGAGTTTTGGCGCTTGGCTGAAAAATATTGGATTTCGGAAAAACTACTTTTTTTATTCAAAAAATTTAACTGTTTCAAATTATTTATATCAGAAGTTTCAAAAAAAATTTACTTGCTTGGACAATTTCGATTCTTCGTCTCAGAAATATTGGGAAACTTAATTTTTTGTTTGAAAATTGTTACTGTTTCAAAAATCTTAGATAAAAATTCTGAACTTTTTTACTTGGTTTTGAATTATCAGAATACAATTTTTTATTTGAAAACTTCTGAGAGACATTATTTATAATATCATGAATCTTGAAATGGGTTTCAGAACAAAAAATTCATAGGGTCAATTTTTTCTTGTTTGAAAGCCCTGCAGTATTTTCTCGCGAACATTCAAAATGGAACCCTCGAATGTTTTCAACAAAATTAAAAACGTGAAATTCTTGCATGATGATGTACGTGTCATTGTGTGATTGGCTGATGACGTATTTACTTCCACGTTTCAATAAAATCAATAAATTCAATCATTTCTTGGTGAATCGGAGCAGATAACTCAAAAATCATTTGCAATGATAGAAAATATGAGGAGAATGTGGATTATTTTGGCCTTGATGGTAACGATGATAAAAGGATTGGAAGAAAGTATGTTTTAGGAAACAATTGATTGAACATTTTAAAAAATATACAATTTCAGAATTTAACTATGTTGGATTATTGTGGAAGGGTATGTCTCCAGCAGATCCTCCTGCAGAATATCTTCCAATGGATTTTTACACTGTCAAAAACCTTACTGATCTCACAACATGTACCAAAAATTCTGAATGTCCTTTGAATGGTTTCTGCAGCGCGCCAAAATCAACAAATATCGTCAAAAAGTTCTGTTATAGCAGTGAGTTTGGGATTTGTTTTGCAATCGCATTTTTCTGAACCATTAATTTTCAGTTCCTACATTTTCTCCTGATAAATATATGGTATCGTTGTCAGAAAGCGCAATTGGTCTTGACTTATGTTCTCGTGGAGATCCAAATTGTTCAAAATGTCTTATATCGCAAGAGTTCAATGAGACTGATTACAATTTATTCTCGGGACGTGTTTCCAGTGATGGATATTGTTTTAAAGGTACATTTTTGTATGTTTTCAAACTTAAATGAACAGTTTACAGAGATAGGCAACGTAGGTTGCAAAAATGGCATAATTGGTTACAATACGACACAAATTGTTGAACTCTGTAAAGAAAAGAAAGGAATGCTATCCAAGTATATTCATTTCAACCAAAAACGAATTGTTTGCTGTCCATCACAGAAATGCAAACGAACAGGCACAAAAAGTAATTTTCGATCAAGTGAATTGGATGTCGAATTATTCGCTATGTGTTCACATATTCCTAATGGCGGGTTATCTGATAATTTGGCCAACAATATAAGTGAAAAATTTGTTTTTTGTGATAACCAAACAATCTGTCGTATGTTTTTTTGTATTGAATGGACCGGCAACGGAGATTATGAGCGATTTTTTTAAAAATGCGCATTATCTCCATTGCCGGACCATTTAATTCACAAATTTCTAAATATCAACATGTTTTCAGCTCTTCCATTTGCTTATCATTTGTTCAAAGATCATATGATGAATTATACAAAACCTCCATTGAATATATTACCAGATGGTTTCAATAATTTTAGCTACACACCAATCAAATGCAATAAAAATAAAGATTGTGGGAAAAATCGATTCTGTGGACCTTTTTTATCATTTCAAACCAATCCGAAAAACAAAAAAAGTTGCTATGTACGAAATCGGAAATATTATGATCAAATAGCTGGAGACGACTGTAATTTGGATGAGGATTGTTTAGATGAAACTGGCAAACCAAATTTGGAACTATTTATTTGTACTGAAAACTTGGAAACAATGCTTTTAGCTTCGGAAGTGAATTATTGCTGGAAAGGTAAATATATTTACTCTTCAAAAAAACACCCACATTTGTTTTTTTCAGCCCCAAAAATTCCAAGACCTCACAAATTGTCAGAAGCTATGAATGAAAAGGAAATTGGCTTGAATTTTTGTAACACACCTGATGATTGTCCATCGCGTTCCGTCGAAAGTTTTTTATGCAAACAATTTGAAAACAATGTGACATATATGGGAATAGTGAAAAATAACAGAACATTGTGTAATGGAATTTGTATTGAGAGTAAGTTACATACATCCGGATATTTATAAGTAATTCATTCACCCGGAAAAATTAGAGAATGAAAAACATTATCTAACAATTTTATTTTTAAGCTATTCCCGATGTTTTCTGTCCGGACTTCCAAACAATATTTTCAAATGAGCCAAAATGTGATTCAAATGGAATTTGCACAACTCAACGTGGAGCTATTTGTAAATTAGGACATTGTTGTCCATCTTCACAATTAAATACAACAACAATCGAAATGATAAAAGGAAAATATCATTATGTAACAGCAGAACCATGTGATTTTTTGAATCCATCATATCGTAAATTATGGTATGCTTATTGTGATCCAGAAACAAGAAATATTACGTATTTTGGGAACATGTCAGAATTCGATGAGCCACTTAAAATGCTCGAATTTAATAAATCATGTTTATCATGGAAATATTGCCCAACTGGATTCATTTGTTTATTTCAAAACCCGAAAGACAAACTTGGAAAATGTTATCATAATCCATTGAAACCAATTATTCCAATTGAAAAGTTTGATTTTGAAATTCCTGAAGCTGAAATTCCAGCAAGTATAATTGCAATATTAATTACATTAACATTAGGATTATTTATAATTGCATATGCAATTTATGAAACTGAAACAAATCGAAGAAAGAACGATGAAGAAAGAATTCAACAAGCAATTCGACATCAAATGGGTTTAGATGAAGCTGGTATTGTCGAAGTTAATGAGAATAATAGTGGATATATCACTATGTAAATTTATTTTGTATTTATTATTTTTCATTTCTGTATTTTCATTTTTCATTCACAATCAATATAATTACTTCAAAATGAGTGTTTCACATGATTTGATCCTTTTTTCGATTAATAAAAACTAGTGGTTCCTAGGCGTGTTGTTCAAACTTGTTCATTCACCACCCCGACATAACAATTTTCTCACTTGGCGCAAAACTAAAAAAATATTCATTCAAATCAATGTTCATACTGATTAGTAGATTTTGAAAACCCCTCTCTTTTATGAAAACCTCTTCGAAAATTCCGTTCAGAAGTTTTCATGCAATTTATGGCTTTTAGCGGACTCAAAAATGATGATTATACGGTAGTTTCCGAACTCGTTCCTGGCCTGAATTCAAATCCCTCACAGTTTACGTAAGCTGGTAAAACGTGAAAATGGATACATTCCAAGCACCAAATTATCAACGGTAGCGATTTCCCAATATTTATAGAAAATAAAACAACAAAAAAATAATAGCACAAATAAGTTGAAGTTCCCATTGTCGATGTCCTTGTTGATGTCGATACCTGAAAATTGTTGAATTATGATAATGTATGATAATTTGGAGTTTAGTTCAATAATAGTTTGAAACTGTGTCGAAAAATGTATATTATTGGAATGAATAAATTTGAAAAAACAGCGAGGGCAGAAAGAAATATCATACAATTTCGGATTTGGGGAGTTTTTCAATATTTAAACTGGATCATGAATTCATGCTTATACTTTGAAGTTTGAATATAAAACTTTCTTTAATACCAGTATTTTTATTAATATGATTTTTTAAAGCTTGGCCGTAAAATTTTCTATTTTTCTTGAAGTTGAAACTTGAATTTTTTTTTTGAAAAACCGCCATCTTCAATTTTTTTGAGTTCTAAAATAATTGGAAACTCACAATTTTTTAATTAATAAATTTAAAGATTTTTCAAAATTGACACTTCAAATGAAATGTGAATTCAGTTCTATTGGGTTAATCCTATTTTTATATTTTTTGGTTTTGTTTATTTTAAAACATTTTGAGCTTCAGAAATGAAGCTAGGATTTTTTAAAGAAAAAACCCAGGTACCTGGGAAATTTTTGAAATTAGAATTCAATCGATTATTTATCGTTTTAGATTTTTTGAAATTAGAATTCACTCGATTATTTATCGTTTTAGATTTCTATGCTGGAACGAATTGTGCGACGCGCTAAAAAACTTATCAGCGTTCGATGTTCAGCTTTTTATAAAATTATAAAATATGAACCCAAAACTTCTAGAAAATTACTTTTTAAAAATAAAACTGATAGAGGCGCATAATTCTCAAATATAGCGTATTTTGTCTTTTGAAAGCGAAGAACTCACTTCTTTTTCTTGTATTGTGCATATTCGTGTGGCTGCAAGTGCGGTGCCTGAAGAAGAACAGTTTATTATATCAAATAGAAAGTTTAGTTTGACTTACGTATCGAAACCTCCAAAGCCGCGACAAAAAAGGGAAGAAAACAACAAAAAATGAAAAAAAAACACACGCCACTTTAGTGTTACCGTAGTCTCATCGCGCCAAGAAAAAAACGAACAATTGGCTGTCCCTTTATCCGACCAAACCACCCGTTTTTGATTTTCTTTTTTTTATGTAAAGAAGATTACAATTCAAACTTTCAGATTTTTCTTCCAACAATATACTGTTTCACCTTTTTTGTTTTACAGAGAAATGGATTTACAGTTGTAAAAATAATACTGTTTCAAATGTTCTAGATGAGCATTCTGAATCTTTGAAAATATTATCCTGAGGTGAAAATAGCCTTGACAAAGCTAGAGTAATCAAAAATCCCATTCCCAAAAAACTTACCCCCAAATTGGCCAATTCCTCATTTGCCTTCTCTTCCAAATATTGAGCCGTCTCTTTTTTCGGATTCTTCTGCTGATTCTGTTGATTCTTGTTCTGACCAGCCACAACTTTCGGTCCAACTTCAATCATCGTCAATTCCTCTTCCTCTCCAATTTTGATTTCAACATCCGGAAATTCCTCTTCTTCTTCTTCTAGCTTCTCTGGACTCTCCTCAATTTTCACACTCTCTTCTTCGATTGTTTTTTCTGCCTCTCGATGTCTTTCGATACTCTCATCGTCCATTCGGAAAAGGACACCTGAAATTTTTGAAATTTCTACTAGTGAAATGTGAAACAGTGATATATTTTTTTTAATTTTCAAAAATTTCAGACTTATATTCATTTCTAGAACATTTTATCAGAAAAATTCAAATTTTCTGATATAAAAATATGAAACAGTTAAATATTTTCATAATAAAACTTGATGAAAATTTATTTCTTCTGAATTTTCGATTTGGAATTTAATTTTGGCCCCAAAATTCAGCAAAAATATGAATTCTTGGGATTTTCAGATTTCTCATTGTTTCGTAAAGACCCCAACAAAATTATTTCAACAACAAAAATTTCTGATACCAAAATTTTGAAACAGTTAACTTTTTGAAATTAATAACATTTTTTCTATATTGATTCAAAATTCCGGATTACCTATGAAATTTTAAGCCAAACTTTGCTATTTCAAAATTTTTTCAAAGATTTTCTTTCATGGAAAATATACGTTTCGAAATAATTTTTAATTTTGAAAATAATTATTGGAATTGCTGCTCGAGTAAAATATTTGTTTAATTTTCAAAATCAAAAAATGCTCAGTGTGCAATTTTGTACTCAAAATTTCCACCCTCAAAAGTGGTCCCAAAATCACTAACCCAAACCCATCACCAATTGACTAGGAGGCATAAAATTCTTCTTTCCACGAATCATAAAACTTCCAGCTGGCAAATATTCTCCTGTTGGTGCAGTTCGGCTAACTTGATGATGATGAACCCACCAGGCACTTGCCGAAATATTCGCTTCCCAAGCATTTGAATAACAAACTGCCATTTGAGCCGCTTCAGTTAGGGTTTTTGGCGGGATTTCGGAGGTGGATTTGTGATTTCGGATGATGACGGATGAGGCTCCGCGAACATCTGCATGCATGTAAATATCACCAGCACGGAGATATCTGGAAAAATGGAGAGGTTAGGAGAAATTGGGAGTTTTTTGGTATTTGTAGCCTTGGGATAAAAAATTTATTTATTTTGATTAAAAAATCGAAGTTAAAAAGTTTTGATGGGCTCAAAATTACTAGTAATAATTTAGATAAATATCGTTTTAGAATAGGACTTTTTATCTATCTATGGAAATAAACAGAAAGTCATTGCAAACAAAACCTTTCAAGCCATTTTACACGGATTTTTTAAACCGTGTAAAATGGCTTGAAAGTCCATATCTCCAACCGTTTGGAGCTGTGTTTCTCTAATGTTAGAGAAGCTTTCAGAAAAAATCCTTCGAGGATTGTACTAATTGCAACATGCTCTTTCAAATTAGCAAAACTTATTTTTTGCTCGGACTCCACCTTTAAAAATTTGAAACAGTAAATTTTTTTTAAATAAATAAATTTTAAAACCAACAAAACTAGCGTATTTTATAAATTCAAAATTTCTAACATAACAATTTTGGAACAGTTAATTTTTTATATAGAAAATTTGAGACCTACAGTACCCAAATTTTCAAAATTACCTCTCAGGACCCTCCCTCAAAAAACGGCTCACTTTTTGACAAGCAACTCATTTTGTTGTGCTTCTCTTCCAGCCACAACAATATATCCTTCAGATGAAATGAACCATCGGAATTTTTCGAACCACATAATTTTGCGAGTTTTTTTGACCTCTTGCACAATTTTCACATGATCCAGTGTGATTTTTGCTTTTTCTTGCGCATTTTTTATCGCTTTTCCGGATGAGGCGACGGTTTTCTTCACTTTTTCCGCAGCCGATTTTTTGTCGACAAAATATTTTTGAGCGTTTTTTGCCGCGTTGAGGGCGATGTCGATTGGAACTTTTAGACTGAAAAAATTAGCGGAATTGGGGGTTTTTAGGACCAAAAAGATGGAATTTTTGTAAATTTTCAGAAAAGTGAGAAAAAATCGATTTTAGTTAACTTTTCGGCGCTGAAAATTCAAGATTTCAAAGGCAAATAAATTTAAATTACAAAAAAAATCTCACATTTCTTCATCCTCATCATACGGATCACCCAATCCCATAATAAATTCATTATTTTCAAATTTTAGTTCCAAAATAGCACTGGCTGTTGGATCACCATTTGCAGCCGCTTTTTTTCGCATTTCTTCAATTGTCACCCATGAAAATTGATTGGCCAATGCTGTTCGAATAAGGAGAAGGGCACGCTCTACTAGATCCTGCAAATTAATTTCATGATTTAACTTATTAATGAGTTAAAGTAATTATTTGAAAAGTTGGTCAATAAATTAGTTAATTAGAGTGATGTTTCGAAACTTTTTGTCTTGAAAATCCCGATTTTTTTCCTGAAATTTATTTCAGATTTTTATATTGAAAATTAATTTATTAGGTATCAAACAAGTTTGGAAGTGCTTCCAAAAATGTTGTTCACCCAAAAATTTACTGTTTCAAAAAAACGCTAAAACTTCGGAGTTATATAGAAATTTGTTCTCGTTTTCATAAAATGTTCGTATGATTATATTTTTTATGGTTTTTGAAAGAAGTAATAGCTCTGGTATAACAAAAATAAAATGAAATCAAAGCATTCTGACTGGTCTCCGATAGTTTCCCAAAATCTTCACCCCAAAATCTCACACTTACATTATTCACAATAATCCTATCGGCCATTTTTTCCCTTTGTTCTTGCGCCAAAACAAGCGCATCAATTCGTTCTTTTTGATCTTTTTCCACATTTTCCAGTTTTTTCAGTGCCTGTTTTTCAATATTCAACGATTTTTGCTCCAATTTTTGCGTCTCAATTCGCACGAAAAATTCATCAACAGCTTCGCAAAATGTTGGAAATTCTTTGAATTTTTGAGCGTTCGGCAAATTATTGATCAGAATTGGATTGAAATCCTGATATACCTCACAGATTGTTCCATTTGCTATTGATTTTTCTTCGGTGTAGGTGATTTGACCCAATGGGCGATTTTCGACTTGATTCCAGATTTCGGTGGTGATTTTTTGGATTTCTGACAATTTTGAGCGGATTTCCTGAAAAAATAGGTTGAGAAATATTGATTCAGTTTAAAATTGTTGAGCCAAATCTGCATTTTCATCAAAAAGTTGAAATTTTTGTTAAACGTTTTTGTACTGTTTCAAAATTTTTTAAGCGGTGTGCGAAATCTCGAATTTTTCAACCCTCGACCAAATTTACACTCAAAAATCCTAACCTTCTCAGTCTCCGAATTTCGCTCAACTCTCAAATCGGCTTTCAATCCACACCTCGCTAAAATCTCTTTTGTCACCGGATTTCCGCATTTCGTCAATGGCGCAATAATCTTCACCAATTGCTCAGTTTTTCCTTCCGGAATTCGACCCAAAATCTCATCGAAATCCTGCTCATTTATACTATTCTCTTTCTGATTTTGAATATTTTCTTGTGACAAATTCGATGCAGAATATGTGTATTTTTCTTTGACAGCAAATTTGACTGATGTATCTTTGTCTGTTCGAACTCGAAGAATATTTAGAATTGTGTAATCGCCATCGGTTAGAATTACATTTCCACGATCGTATAATTCGATGATTAATTTGTTGATTCGATCTTCGGAGCCAAATGTGAGCTCGACCAAACGATCGAATCCAATCACTTTTATATCAGTCAACCTGGAAATATATGGGTTTTTTTTTGAGAGAAAATTATAATGAACCTATGCAAATTAATATTTTATTTTCAAATTTCAAATTACATTTGAGTTTTTTGGGATTTTGTGCAACAAAATAAATGCATATCAGAAAACACAAATGCAATTTTTTTATGAAACAATTTTGAAACAGTGAAATTTTTTGAACAAGAAATGTTTGTGTGAAAATCATGAACATCACGAAATTTAGGTAAAAAACCTTGGATTCCTGCTAAAAATAATTCATCATTATTCATTTCAGGTCAGAAATAATACTTTCTAGGTTGAACATGACGAATTTTATTTCGAAAACCATACAAATTGCACTCCCTCATTTCCAACAAAATCTCACCGTTTCTGATTGATATGTTTCCTCAATTTCATCGAAAATGACGAAGGTGTCTGCGATTTGGGTCGATCGTGAAAAGTTTGGTGTAATTTGACACCGGATTCAAATAAAATCACCGCTTTCTCATCAGTTCGACTCAATTTCAGGAGATAGGTTTTGTTGTCAATGTCATAAACATTATTCACACGCATTCCGATCAGATTTTTAAGTTCGCTGACCGCCGCAATGACGTCGACTAATGTGAAACGATTTTTCATCTGAAACTCGGAAATTTAGGCGATGTTGCAGATGAGTTTCTCCTCCGAGGAGAAATGGGGCGAAATTCGAAAAATACATTGTTTCGCCTCCACGTGCAACACGTTTCTCCTCTTTCTCCTCAATTAGCTCGGGGGAGAAACTAATCTGCATCATCGCCTTAGCTAAAAACTAGGATTTTTAAATATTTTTGATGGATTTCAACGTAACTTTCAACAAAAATCAATATTTTTTCATGAAATACACGATTTCTAGCAAATTTTCCCCGCTGATCACGATCTTCTAGTCAAAAACAGTTTAGCCGAACTCTGAATATGGGTTATGACGTGGCGAAGGTTTTCAAAGCTTTTATTTTAATTAATTTATTCAAGAATGGTTTTCATAGAAATTCACCGACATAGATTTGTAAGGATGGTCGATTACATCATCTCAGTCTAGACAAGCTTTCGGATATTATGTAATCAACCATTTTAAGAATTCTATGCTAGAAAAGTTACATGAAAATCATTTTTAAATATAGGTATAGCTTTGAAAACCTTTTCCAGGTCATAACTCATATTGATCACCGGGTGAAAATTTATCAGAAAAATATGTTTCCTAATTTAGGGAACATATTTTTCTTTTTTTTTATAAAACATTTAGATATTCCATGGATTTTAACCAAATTTCCCACAAAAATCAATATTTACAGGAAAATAAATTAATTTTTATTAAATTATTATTTACATTGCATGAGATCTTTTAAGAGTTTAAGCATCTTTTCGAAGTTTGGAGAACTCGTCTAAATCGCTGTACAATTTTTCCTTCTTAATTTCCAGCAGCAAATCTTGGCGATCGTCAACTGAATCCACGCCGATTTCAAGCAAATCGTCGTTCGAAATCTCAACAAGCACTCGACCTAGAATTAAATTCAAAAGGTTTGAAAAATGCTAAAGATTCTTGAAAGATAAACTACTCACCAGTTATATTATGTCGCACGAAGAAATGTGCATATTTTAGCGCAAATTTCGGTTTTTTCCTTCGCAGCCATTGATCGACATCTACGGCTGTCCAAAAATAGATGGGCCTATGGGATACGACGTGATAAACCTCTTGAATTCCAGACATTTCTGAAATTTTTCTGTTTATTGCGAAATTCTGCGTAATTTTGTGATTTCTTGAACCGAACAAAATAAAAAAACGGAAAAAAGGGGAATGTTGCAAACGCGCTCTATGGATGTTTTTTTTTCAAATTTTTATTTTTGGCCATCAAAAAAATATTTTGCAAATAGTTTTTTCTAGTTTTGACCTGCCCGCGAATATCCAAGACATTTTTTGTTTTGAAAAATCGATTTTTTCGGCAAATGGACGCTGCCTGCTCGGTTCATTTGTTTTTTTTTTGCTTTTTTAACGCGCGTTTTGGACTAGTTAGTCCAAATTTTGCGAGGATTTGAGCTATTCAAGCTCTCCAATCGCATATTGCTTGTGTGTGAAGGGATAAGCTGAAATTAGGAAAGTTTAGAGAAACCTTCTAAGTGGGATTGAGATTAGAGAAGGGAGAAAATCTTGATTTTGAATGAATTTTTCAGTAGTTAGAATTGACGGTTGGATTAGAGGGATTCGGGTGTGACTTAAATCTAATGATTTTCAATGTTTGATAGTTCGGGTTTTCTAGAAATTGGGAGTGAAAATTTTAGATTTCTGAATTAGGATTTTTAAGAAAGTTTTTGATGTGAGAAAAGGGTGAATATCTTGAAGAAATTGCATTTCTAGATTGAATTTGAGAGATTCGGGTGTGATATATAATTTTGACCTGATATTTAGAATTGATGAGAAAGTGAACTACTTCTCGGTCAGAAAACGGCGGGGTCGCTACCAATCGGGGCGGAGTCGCTACACGTTTCGGGGAACAAAAAACGTGTAGCGACTCCGCCCCGATCGGTAGCGACCCCGCCGTTTTTTGCCCGAGTTGTTCTGTAGTTTTGAGATATGTGTTGCTCCTGTTGGAGGATTTGGGCCACCAGATTATTTTAGATCTAACAATGTAAGTTATGGGTTTGAAAATAATAAGTTAAAATTCCCCTCAAATCGTGCTCGATTTCATTTATGAAATCTTGAGATGATTTGATTTAGGTTTTCGCAGCGGCGGTCGCGTTGATTTTTTTCTTTTTTTTTCTCACAACGCAACAAACAACAATAATAGAACACAATGAACGAGGATTGAGCACCCTCAATTAAAGAAACACAAAGATTCCGGTTCGACAAATAGATTTTGTCGGCCAGAATGTGCACATTGGAATGGGAAAGATGAAAAAAGAATGATTTTTGGTATGGTAATCTGAATGGCAATTCAGAGTCTTCTGTTACCATTTTTTTAGATGAAATGGGTCAGAATTGAAATCAGTTTGACTAAACTGAAAATTGGTATAACAACAATGCTCAAAAAATATTTAAAAATTTTGAACTTTGGTTAGACGCAGTCTGAAGTCTGCGCATATTCAAGCTTAGGTTGATTTTTAGAAAAATTATAAATTAAAGCCTGCGATTGAGAAATTATAGATATCTGAGGTGGTTGATATTCATCTCTAGATAAATCGATTTCATATTAGAAGTCGTGATACAATTTCTTTGAGATTTTGGGAGAAATGTTAAAATTTTGAATTGAGTGAGGCTGAGGGACTAGAAATAAAAAACCTTTTGCGAACAACCCATTTTGTCAACCTAATATCCACGGTATATTTTAGCTGGATTTTCCCTACTTTTTTTGAATTTATTTACGCTGAAGCCGTGGAAATTCTCGATTAGGAATAACTGGGTAAGCGAAAGAATTACCTTTATGCTTTGAAAGTAGTGTATCCAAACTTTGAGATAGTGCAACCAATCATTCTGATGATAAGTATTGGTTTCCGATTCGATAAAGTTTATGATTCCGAACTTGATAGAGCGATGGATTCTGAGCCGATACCGACCCCCTTAGAGGGTTTTCACGGACTTTGCGTTTTTAGTAAATTTGAGATTTTTTTCTCAAATAAAATGATTCCAGCTTAAATATACTGTGGATAGTTAGGCTATGCTGAACAATATGGGGGCAATTTTGAACAGTTCAAATTAGATTTCAAAAAAAATGATTTTAAATCTTGAACCCAGCCTAGCCCAAATTATTAACTTTTTTTCTCGGAGTCCAAAACTTGTGAATATTTTTTTGGCGTCATCTTTCACTTCAGATATTTATTATTTCTCAGTTGCTAGGCAATTTAAACAGTTTGAATTCGATTTCTAAAATGCTCAGTTTTTTTACCAAAAACTTTAGGATGAATCTGGGAGAATTTTGCAATCTGAAAGTAACGTTTTTGAAGTTTTCTCGTTCTTTTATTGTAGGATGTCTTCCCACCTTTGGCGCAAATGTTTTCTGAAATTTGAAATTTAATTTGAGACTTGAAAATCGTCGATAATTTTTATTGAATTGAACAGTTTGTCGATTTTTATAGACAAAAATGAACATGTCTTCATTTGTTAAAGATCTTCCATCTTTACAAATCCATCTTTTTCGATTCATGAGTTCAGCTTGAAATTGATATTATTTCATTTGTTTTTCTTTAGGAGTCTCAATTATTGATCTGATATAATGAATTCTATCCTTCTTTTTAGTTGACTTACATTCTTTGCTACATCAAAAAAAAATAGTTGCAAAAATGAACTTGTCAGTTCGATCGGTTTTTGGAATTAAGAAATGAGAAAAGTAATTCACGTTGAATTTTTAAATTCAAATCTAGGTCACAGAAGTAGGTCGAGAGGACAGACAGATATTTTGAAATGATCTAGAGATTTTGAAAAGAAAACTTGATTGTTCGTAAAATTTGAAATCAATCATAGATTCATAAATAAGAGTTTCGATTACACGAAAACGAATTGTTTTCAGTTTTTTTGCCAGCTTAATTTTTTTCTTAAAACAAAAATAAGCCATTTTGAATATATTGCCGTGAGGCAAGAATAATTGCAGTTTCTATTCGCCGTGAGGTGAGCTAAATGTAATTCTTTAAACGCCGTGAGGTACTTTAAAGAACCATTTTCTGCTGTGAAGCAATGAAACTGTAATTTTCAGCCGCCGTGAGGCGGGTATATTTCAATACCCTTGAAGCATATATTGCCGTGAGGCGGGAAGACTACAATTTTGGCCGCCGTGAGGTGGGTAAATTATTCAAACGCCGTGAGGTACTTTGAAGACATGATTTATTGCCGTGAGGCGAAAAATATGTAGTTTTCTGCCGCCGTGAGGCGGGTATACGTGGATAGACTTATTTTTCAAATTTTCTTACTTACAATTAGGCTGGCAAAATACAATAACTTCAGGACTTTTGAGATGTTGTTTCTAAAAAGTTAATATTGTTGTTTTGCTCTAACTTTCATTTTCCTAAATTTCTTTATTTGCAAATATATGATTGATTTTAAATTTTACAAACTATAAGGTTTTTGTGGATCCCGCTGTGAGATTGTTATCTACAAAATATCAAAACATTTATTGATTAAAAGCGTTTTGACCAACAGAAAAAGATACAAAATTATCAAAAATATGTGGGATTTTTCAAAATCCAATGATCAATGTATCAATAAAACTTTCAATGTTTTAGTTTAATTTATTTTAATAGACATTTCTAGAATCTAGAATTCAAATCTAGAACTTTGAAAGAAATCTTAGAGATCAGAAAAATTATATTTAATTTAGAATAGGAATTTCGAAATTATGAATGTTCTTTTAAAATCTAAAAATTGTTCATTGATTTTAGAATGTTGTATCGTTTTTTGTTCATTTTAAGTTTTTTTTTCTCGAGGCATACTTCTACAAGAACATTTTGAGATTTGAAAATTGCCGATATTTTTTTGAATTGAACAACTTGCCAATTTTAATAGAATTTTTAAAGAAATACTTTAGGTTTTGTAAAATTAGATTGAACTAGTAAATCACTTCCTGCTATAAATACTTCCGTTCAGAGGTCCTGTTCTAATTTTTGTGTTTCGCGGCCCTTAATACAGAAAGATCAAGTAATAGAACAGAAACTCACGATAGGCTCACGAAATCAGATAAATAATCGGAACATCTGAAATTTTAAACAACGTTTCATAATATCTACAGTAATCATACTCAATTTCTTAATAAATTTTAGGGTTGCATTAGATGTGGATAAAAATGATAAATCGTGGTTTAGAAATTAGACTCGCCGATCGGAAAAACCTTTGTGATTCTCTATGGGAAAAAGGATGTTGGAGAGGAGATTCTCAGCGTCGCAATATGTTACACTTTCAACGCGTACTCAGAAATTGTTGTGTACGATACGAGAAATACGGAATTGCCACGTGGCATTTTGAGCCAAAATGTTTCAACTCGCAATTCAGTGGAAAAATCACTGAATTTAAGTACACGTGGCATTTTCAACTGTTCTCATAGAGGATTTTTTGACTAAACAATTCAAAACAAACTCCAGTTTCTCGGCTTTTCTGCAAGAATCTGGGGTTTAAAAAACAACGGTTTCCAAGTGGATTTTTCGATTCCACACAAATATGATAAACATCCACGTGGAGTTTAGAACAAAACTAAAGTATAAACCAGCTTCTTGGCTTTTCCGCAAGAAGTTGGCAAGAAAAAATAATTGAAAAATTAGAAATCCTCGGCATTTTTGTGATGTTCGATGACGGCTTCCAATTTTTCTCTGAAACAAATCGATCGATTCGAATTGTTCTGTGGCTAAGAAAAAAAAATGCAATTTTGAGCATAGCTTCCGCATTCCATCTGAAATTCCATTTGAAAATTGATAAAATTTGAATTCCATTAATTTTCAATTAAAATTCCAGAACTTCTTCTTGTTTGGTTGGAAAAGCTCACCGAAAACTTCAAAGGCTTTGATTTTTGTTGTTTTGTGCAAGCGGGTTTGCCATGGGAAACGTTTTCGAATTGCATGGTTTTCAAATTTGTTTCTGAAAAAGTTATGATGCCGGCTACGCCGCCGTTTTGCCGTTTCAAAAACGGCGACAGCAGCCGCTGCCGTTTTGAAAAGAATCAACAAAACAGCATGCCGCAGCTGCCGTGCCGAAACGCCGGCATTGCCGCTCCCATTTTGAAGAAATGTCTCGAAATCATCAAAAAATTTCTCCAAAAACACTATGAAATAATGAAAAAGAGAGCTAGATTTACGCGCACGCGAGACTACTTAAATAAATTGTGTGTGCGACGGTTTTCGGGTTGCGCGCTGTTGTGTGTGTTGTGTGCAGGGGGCGGAGCGACGACCTTCTCCTTCCCATTTTGAAAAACGGCAGCCGGCCGGCATGCCGCGGCTGCTGTTTTTCTGCTGTTTCTTCTTTGCTGCTCGGCCAGCGAAACGGCGAAGCCACGCCCACACGGCTGCCGTGCCGTCCGGCCGGCGGATGAGATGCACATGCCTGTTGGAAATAACGTATTTTCCCTGATAATAGTCCAAATTTCTCTCCTCCTTGAATAATTCCACGTTTTCTTTTCAATTTTTCTTTCAAAAAACTTGAAAAGCGAACCTCGATCTCTCCCATCACAGTTTTTCCAACCAAATCAAGTCGACAAAGTCGAGAGTATAACCAAAAAGTTAAGGTAACTCATGTCGAGGTTCCTGACAATAGCAATGGCTAATGCTCAACTTAAGAAGCTTTACTATCCAGAGTTAGGCTAAGTTGAGCTGTACTTTACTCCAGGAGAGACATGTGAGATTATTCGCGAAGGACCGTAGATTAGAAATTCGGGCACCCCAGAGAAAAAAACTCATCTTTATTTGCTGCCGTTTTGTTGCTCGCCGAAAATTTGAAAGAACTGAAAAATTATCGTTGAAATAGCATTTGCCACGAAAATTTCACGTTCACGCAAAAATATATAATTTTTTTCTCTCTGCTTTTTTGTGTTTTTTTTGGTGACAGAAAAAAAAGATTGGTAAATAGGAGAAAGAAAATGAACGTGATACGCTAAAGGTTTTTTGTGGCATATCAAAATTATATTTCTTTAACACACTCTTATTTTTTCCGTTCTTTCTTTAGGTTTGGGATTTAAAAAAAATGGAAATAAAAATGATGAATCGTGGTTTCGGAGTGACTCCGAGTTCTCGATTTTCAAATCTAGCTCAATTTTATTTTTAAATTTTGATCTTAATTTTATTCAAAACTGTCCGTGTACCCCCTAGAAATACCAGTCTCTAAGGTCTAAATGCAGCTTTTTTCAACTTCTTGTTTTTGTGTAAAACCTGTGAGTTTTTGGTATTTCTTAATAGTATAGAAATGTTGCCTATGACGTTGCAATTCTAGGAAAACACCAAGATCACTATTCAAAGCTTTATTGTTTCTCACAAATGAAAAATAAATAAAAATCAAATCCATTTGGGCTTTGATGGTTGTCGGAGACCGGATTTTTGTGGTGTTGGGGATGGTGTTGTCGCTCCGCAGCCAGTCAGTTTATGAGTTGGTGTAGTTCGCAATGGTTTCGGTTTTTCGAGGACACTCAATTTGGGGAGAGATGATCGACTTGTTGGCGATGAACAAGTGTTGATCAGAGATGGGCGGGCTGATGTGGATACTGTAGGTTTGACAGTAATCTGCAAATATTTTGTGATGATTTTGATCCCAGAATAGATTTTGATGATCCCAAAACTCTAGTTACCTCTTTTTTCTTAATATCAACAACTGGTTTTCGGACCACAGGAGCACTGGCTCTCCGACTCGCCAGCGGTTTTTGTTGTTGTGGCGGAATAAGTCGACTTGGCGCAGCCACTTTCACTACCGGAACTTTTTGAACCGCTGGAGGAGGTGGTGGTGTGATTTTCCGTTCTGTCAGAATTTTTGGCCTTCGGAGTTCGGCCATCTTCGAAGTCGGCTCTTTTTGCGGAGTTACACTAACTATCCGAACTGTTGGCTGCGGTTTTTTGATTAGGGTTTTTGTCGTTGTTGTTGGTGGGATTTTGGTGGGCGTAGGTTTTTCCTTCGATGTTGTAGAAGGCGTGGGAACGGCAACTTCAGGGATTTTTTCTGGAATTAGAGCAGCAGGAGGAAAAGCAGACGATTTTTGAGCCGTAGTCGTCTGCTGCAGAAAACTTGTTCGTTTTTTGTGCAAATTTGTAATGTAGGACTCTAGATCGTTGCATGATTCATAGATCGGTGAGATTTTCGATGGTGAATTTTCAGCTGTAGTCGATTTTTCAGCCGCGACAACTGGTTCGCGAATTTCGGCAGTGCTTGCGACTTGCGGGCAAATGTCGCGAATTTTTCGCACACGGATGTTGCCCAGTTTTTGGCGAATGTCGTGGATGTCACTGGCGCGTTTTCGAGTTCTGAAAACTTGGTGATTCGTGACCTAGAAGCCCTATTTTCATAGCCTAGAAAATCAAAAACTCACATTTCACTATTCGAACAACTTGAATTTGCCAAAGTATCAAATAAGTTCACATTTTCCTTCTTCTGACTCATAATATTCTCCAATTCCTCATCATTATTATTGTTAATAGTTTCAGCTCGATTTTTCTCAATTTTTCTTGATTTTCTTAATTCCCTCAAAACATGTTCTTTATGCGTCTGATGTAATCGAATTAATAAAAACGAGAAGATTTTTATGCATTCATCAAGTTGAAAACTTTGCGGATTCTCGCAAAAATACCCCGCCAATTTTTTCTGCACTTCTACCAGTGTTTCGTATCGCTCTTCGAATTGTTTCAACTCGAAATTGCAGTCGATTTTGATAATTTCGATGAATTGCGCGAAGTTCGCATCGGATTCGCGTTTTTCGAGTTGTAATTCGAGTTTTGACCGGTTTTGTTTGAGAGAACGAAGGGAGTTTTTGATCTCCTCGAAGCTTATTTGAGCCGCCTCTTTTACACTGGATAACTCGTTTTCCAGCTCGCCGACTAGATTTGAATCGTGCTGGAAATTTTATTTTGGTTTTGAAAAATCTCGGAGAATTTTGAAATTAAAGGTGCACACTTTTCTAAAAGGTTGTGGTCTCGCAACGACCGAATGTTGAGACTCAGGAACCCTATTTTTGTAGAAATCTAGGGCAAGCATTTTTCTCGCGACCTAGAAAACCCAAACCACTCCCCATTTCAACCTACTGTGACTAATAAATGCAAAAGTGAGAATTCCTGTCGATTTCCCTTCAAATCAATCAATTTCCACATGGAATTTAGAGTAAATCCCGAAGCATTTCCTTGCGAATTGTTAAAATTCAAATAATTTCCCATATTCACCAAAATCAGCAGCATTTTTGGAAGTGTTCGACTTTTTAGAATTTGCTCGGCTGCGATTATTAGAGTTTCGATATTTGGACCGAATTCTTGCATGAGACGGGAGAAATCCGAAAGAAACATTAGGGTTTCGAGGCTGCAAAATTGGAAGTTTTTGAAGGGAAAATAGGGGAGAAAAACTGCGCGACTGAATTGCAAAAAAATAGACGAAACCTAGGAAAACATCATTTTTGTCAATAATTTGAAAATATTGAACTTCGGCAAAAATTTCACATTTAAACTTTCCCCAAACTCTTCGGTTACTGTAGCTGAAATTTTAGAAAGGACTTCAATTTGAATATTTTCTGAAAAAATTGTTACCATTCAGTAACTGAAATTTTGCCCCCACGTTTCATAGTGTATTTAGCATCTAGAGAATCTTTATCTTCCCGCCGGAAAATTCCAACCGTAATCTATAAAAATCAATCTGAACCAATCGATAGAAAAATGCACTAGGTGCCGACAGCAAATTAATATCTCCCGGATATCTCCTTAGTGCATCCTCTTCATCTTCCGCCGGTAGAATCGAGAACAGATTCGAAATCGCGTCGGCTTCCACGAGCGGTTTATTCGCTCGCAAATCCGCCAAAAATCCATCAACATTTTTGAACTGTTTTAACATAATCGCCAAATTCTGCGATCTTTTTGCTGTCAATAATTCCACGGAAAGCTTCTCCGATTTCCGCGATTTTTGATGCGCCAAAAAATTAGTTTCGCTCTCCTCGTTTCCACCAATTCCGAAAAAATTGTCCAACATTTCGAAATTGAGTTCGAGTCGATTTTCAGATTTTGCTAGATTCGCCCACACACTATTTTCTTCGACCCGTTTGATTTTTGACCATTGAACTGATTTTGTTTTGATTTTTTTCTCTTTTTTTGGCGCCATTGAATTAGGGCATTCTGAAAGTAGATATTAATGACAGTAGGGACAATGGAAACATTTGCAGTTCGGATTACTGTAACTGATTTGGCCATATTACAATTACAGTAACTTCGATATTTTTTCAGCACTGAATCACAGTACTTCTCTACGATAACCCAAAAAAAAACTGACCATCCTTCAAAACTTTTCCAACATTTTTCTGAATCTCATTCAAATTTTGAATTTTCAAATTTGGAGCCGGAATTTTCATCATCATTGGTGGTGGCGGGGGTGGCCCAGGAACCTGCGCAGGAATCTTTGGTGCCAAAAATATTGGTGGTGGAGGGGGAGGAGGAGGAGGTGCAGGAGGTGCAGCAACTGCTGGAAGGATATTCGAATTTGTGTCTATTTTCAAAATCTCCTGTGCATCACTAATTGTTCGAACATTTTTGGCAGATTCGAGAATTTGTGTCAAAAAATATAGTCGTGCCTCATTTTTTTGTGCTAAAATTTCGTCGATTGTTTGGCGGAGAGTTGTGTGAGATGTCGTCATTTTGGCATAGTTTTAAGGCTGGAAATCAGAAAATTGAAGTAGAATGTTGAAATTAAAAAAAACTGAAATTAGTTTTGGTGCTGAAAATTGAGATTTTCAAATTCAACTTCAAAATTTGAAAAAATTCAGTTTTCAGATTTTTTTCCCTGAAATACTGAAATCTCGGATAGCTAAAAAATCAGGAAAATCCAAAACAAATAGAAGAAGTGGCAAAAATTTGCATATAACAAGCGCAAATGACATGACAACACACCCAAAAATAAATACAAAAATATCGAAATAAATATTTAACACACAAATAATATCATATATTATTATGAAAATGAGATGATAAATGGGAATGGGTGAAGTGGGCGAAAAATACGGACAGAAAATACGGTGTGAGGAGAAAAGCAAGATGAGCTATCTGTTCAAGTGGCGTTTTTTTATTTGATTTGATAGTTTGTTTGATCAGATCACATCAGGAAATTGCGATTTCCGGATGAAAAAGGTTTTGGTAAAATAGAGGGTATTGATCCGCTCACAGTAATCCAGGATTTTAAGCGTGGAAAAATCAGATTTTTGGAGAGTTTAATACAAAAATTAATCTCAGAAAGATTGTTTCAAAATTTTCAAAAATTGAATAATAATATTTGCGCCAACATTTATCTCCCTACAGTAATTTAGGATTTTCAACACAAACTATTTTCATGACTCATAGAAAAAAACGTTCAAATGTTTCAGAAAAAAATGAGAGTTCAAAATCTAATAAAAAATAGTATAGATAAGAAAAAACTCAAAAAATGTTCAAAAAATAGAATTTCTCTGACCCACACTCACCAATAAAAAACACGTGTTTTGCCCACCTGTTTTGTTACGCACAGATTTTTTTGCATAAAAATTTTCAAATAAAAAATTTGTACATTTTTTTTCATTTTTCTCTAGAAGAAGAAGATGAGAAAAAAGACAATAATAAAATGGTATTGATAGACAGAAAGGAAAAAAAAGAAATATGCATCATTTTTGGGCCCCATAAACCATGAGTACACATAAATTTATTGTTGTATAAATATGTGTAAAAAAATAGAAAAGAATTTGGTTTTGTCAGTTTTGCGCGAAAAAATGGGATTTGAAAATTTTTCCACGAAAAAATTGAAATCAGTTCTTTAGCGCTAAAACTAAAACTGCAAGGGTTACTGTAACTGAAACTACTAATTAGCCTACTCCAAGATGTAAGAAATACTGTTGCCTGAGTGTTGATGTATCTCGAACTGCAAGGTATACTTCTAACTTCACTTTACTCGCATTTCAGTTACAGTTAGCTAATTTTAAGACGCGAAAAATTTCAGTTTGAATTTACCATCAAAATATCTCAACTACCTTATGAAAAATGGCGAAAAATCTAAAATCTCGCGCCACTTCACAGTAACAAAGTTGAAAACTAAAGTTTTCAGCTGATTCCCAGAGTTTTTTCAGTGCGAAAATCAAACAAAACACAATCCGGATATCTCACCTGATAAAACTAGAACAATGCACAAAAAAATGATTTTTTGTGTCAAAAAAGAGGAAGCTTGGCTGGTGAGAAATGTAAATAAAGTGAATCATCATTGAAAAAAAATATACAAAAATCATCAATTTTTTATTTTTGGAACAAAATTCCACAAGGATAAAAATCTCATGATTTATGTTTTTATTCACAAAAAAGTGGATCAGTATGATGTAACCAGTTAGATAATGATTTGTAGAAAATCAGATAAAGTTTTGATTTTTCTGGAAGATTACAGCTTTATAAAGCTTACAGTTAGAACAAGTTGAATTTTTCCCAAAAAAAAATTGAAAAGCTTTTCAAACTTCAATAAATAAATAAATACAAACCGTGTTCGCTGGCCAGCCGAGATCTAAATCTGTTCCCGCGCGCGATTTTTCAACATTTCGCCTAGATTTTGTTGTGTGCAAGATGGTATCTTTCAATAATTCAACACTTTCACCTTCAAGTTTCACTTTATTTATTTCGAGAGACAAAAAAATTGAGGAGAATTTATTCGTGCTTTTTGTGTGGCTTTTTCCATTTGTAGGTGATTGGAGCAAATCTGGAAAAAAGTGGTTTTCGAAGTTAAAATTCAAATTTAAATTCCCGCGTGAGACGTGAGTGTACGTTGGAGCGCACTTCCATTTTTACTTTAATTTTTTGCAAATGTTTTTTTTTCGAAAAGTTCTTTTTTTTGGGTTTTCAAAGGTTTTTGTGTGTTTTTCAGAGGTAGAAAGGATGAGAACTGCTAGGAAATCATACAATTAGATGGTTAGGTTGAAAAAATCACGAGATTTTAGGTTTTTTTCGTAGAAAACTTGAACATTTAGGTTTTTTCGAGTTTTTGCTGAAATATTTCCAATCTTTGATTTTTTACCGAAAGATTTTGCAAATTGCTAGAAAATCATGAAAATAAGTGGTTAGGGTGTGAAATTAGGGATATGTCAAATTTTTCAGGCAAAAATTGAGTTCTCGCAGAGAATCTCTAATTTTCCCCCAAAGTTTTCTCCCCGAAACTCACGTCCATTTATCCGGTTGTCCAAAATGCGGTACTTTCTCCTTCAACAAACTAGTTCTCCAATCAAAAACTGGCACAGCTCCATAAGGTGGTCCAGCTACAGCTGTGAATTGCAAAGTTTGAATCAATTTCGAATCAGTCGCTTTGACATCAATAGCTCCATGATCTCTAAAACCGAGTGATTTGAATGGATAAGTTCCATTTTGTGGGTTCAAATCCGATCGGCAAGCAATCGCATTTTCAGCCGAATATGGTGGATTACAGTCGCATTTTGAGAGTGGGTCTTTGGTGTAGTTGTTTGATCTCATAAGACGAAGAAGGGATGGCATATCGACTACACTATCATGATCTCTTTTGAAAATTAGGGCTCGTGGTGTCTTTTCGTAACTGTACCAATCTCCATATTTTTCGACCATTTTATCAGTGTCCGAAGCCTGAAATAAAGGTTTTTCAGTATTAAAATTGGTCTAGTCTGATTGGTTTTAGTTTAAAAAAACAGTATTTTCCTACTAACCTTGATAATCTGCTTAAAGTATGGTTGATTATATCCTGGCCAATAAGTTGTTTCATACAAATGCTCAGTCATATCACTGTGCACAATCTTGCCAGGCATCTGCTCGATAACATGAATCAAACCAGTTTCCGGTTGCCACGATCTTCCACGATAAAACTTTTTATAATCTACAACAACCCATTCATTATTATATGTTCCACTGTTATGTCTTCCAAATGCTTCAGCCCATTGAAGTCCGGAAGAAGCGGTACGATGCGCAACTTCTGCGCGGATCCATGTTAAAACTGTGTTCGGTGTAATTTTATCCATGCTAGGCTCATTGAAGTTGGCAATTGTTGTCTCAAGAATTGCTAACTTAGCCGAAGTCAAAATAAAGTCATCAGTAGAAGTGATACTTGCTGGATAACTTGAAAATGAATAAACTTGTCCAGGATCTCCAGTCTTGAATGAGTATTTCTTATTGATTCTTAACATTGTTGAATAACTTGACCACGTGACATGTGAGAATAAAAGATCGGCATTATTAGGAAGTAATTTGACCAATGCTGAACAATGTCCTGGTCCAGAATAAACCTTATGCGGGTTTTCAGGTTTCTTAAACTTTTGGGCCAAGTCCTCAAGATCTCCGGCAATTTGAATCATGAAAATCGGATGAATCGCCAATTTTGAATAATTAATCTCTGCACCAAGAGTATTCTCATAACCATGAATAAGTCCGAAAAGTTGATTAAGTGTCAAATTGACTTGTTGCCAATATTCATCTTCGGGGAATTGTTTGATTTCAGCTTCCATCCATTTCAAATTGTCAATCATGAATTCGCCCAATTCGTCGCAGAAATGTTTGGCACCGTCACAATATCCATTTACTGTGTTGATTATGTGTAAATCGATCAAATCGCGAGTGACTTTGCCTGAAATTTTTGAGACTCTGATGTGGGGGGAAATCATTTGTAGATATTTATGATTTCTAGATTTTACCGATAATTTCTGATAATGAACTGAAAATTCTAGTTCAGATTCTGTGCTACGAGACATCTTCATCCTTAAATTTCAAGACCCCCTTTAGAATTTGGATTCCGTGTTATGTTTTCTATGAATAAGCTAGAATTATGTTTCACTTTTTGTCGAAATACAGAAATTAGGTTTTTTGTTCTAAATCTAAATGTTTTCCAAGTTTTTTGCCTAATCATAGCTTCTGATGAATTCTAGGCCAAATATCAGAAGTTAGAGTTTAAAAATTGCTACTCATAAAATGTTGCGGCGTATTACTGCGAGGTTTTTGCAATGTCGCAGCGAGGTTATTCCGTCTTATGGCGCGCTATCCGTCAGGCAGTGCTTTTTTCCGTCGCTAACCTAGCAGCGACCTGGCAAATGTGTGGCTGCCACCCGTCTTTTTTTTTTGTTCGCTAGAAACGGCAGCTTGCATACTAGCGCTTTGTATAGCATAAATTCGAGATTTGTATTGTGAGAAGCGTTTATTTAATTAATAAATAATGAACAACAAGAAAAATTAAAATTAATCTCCGCGGTGAAGAAATTGGTGATGTCGAGACTTCTGGAGCAGGGGATTTTGTTGAAGATGAAGGCATGATTGTGGAGATAGGCTCCGACTGGAGACGACGAGGGTGATTTCTTCGATGCCAGTTGGAAGTTGATTTGATTTCCGGACTTTTGCCAGTGTCCTATATAGTCTCCAAAACCAAGGTGTTTGCCAAAATCATCATTTTTGAAGATTTTGTTGTAGTTTCTGTAATATTTCAAGTTTAAATTCACGGGATGAATATGAAATTTGCGAAGTACTCACGTGATATTTTGGATGTTTTTTAGCCACGCGAACCATGTTGACATCGTCATAAAATGTTGTCGATGTTCCAGACATGGATTCTGAAACAGATGGTCATATTGGGATGATTTTTCTGAATTCAACATACCTACACAGGCTCCATCATGATTGCCAAAAGCTCATCTCCAATACCAGGATGATTGCCAAAATCATTGAATGTTGAAGATTGTGTTGTAGTTTCTGCAATATTTCGAATTGATTGTCACGGTAAATTGGAATTCCACGAATTAAAAACAAACTTACTCGATTAAAACAGTGATTTTCGGCTTCTTCGGAATTCGATCGTTCAACCAGCTCGAATATGCTGAAAATGATTTTTATTTAGCAAAATGGGATTTGTAGCACGAAACATCGTCACGAAAAACAATATAAATCGGAAAACCCAAAAAGAAGAAGCTGTTTTACAGATAAACTGCCCTTCTTTTTGGAATTTTGGGAACTTTGAAAAATGAAAATAAAAATTTTGGCAGAGGAAATGCGCTCCATTGCGAAAAAATGGGAATAGGCGACTAGCAGGCAGGTTGCTGCGACGTCGCAAACTTGAGCGTCCGCAATTTTTTGTGTGACGGGTCGCTGCCATATTGCGGCAGTCGCAAAAACCCGCCAAACCTCGCTGCGATATGCCATTTTGCTTCTAACCTCGCAGTAATATGCCGCAACATTTTATGAGTAAATTTCAAAAATTGTCTATTTTCTCCAAACGACACTCCGTTCCATCCCACTGCGACGGATTAAAAAAGCGAAATAATTGTTTGTCTTCTTCCCTCTGACTAATCGCCATTTTTCTCTTTATTTTGCCTTTTTTTGCATAGAATTTTCTTCAAAAATATTTTCCGCTAACCTTCCGCAAATCCGGCAGCATATCCTTGTAACCAATGCGGAATTTTGTTGCTGTGAACTTCGACTTCCAAAAATGCCCATCTATAAATTGAAACATTTAATTAAATAGAACCTTAAATCCCCTAAACTTTAAGAGCCCTCTAAACCTACCCAGTTGAATTAATCGCATTGTTGAGTTGAGCAGTGGCCAGGCGTTTTTCACAATAGTTTTCGGCAAACTTACGACCCTCTTTGTGGTAACTTAGAGAGCCTTTGTAGTCCTCGCATACGGTGTACTAAAAATACAAATTATTGATTGATTACCATTTGAAATTCATGAGAATCCCAAATTTCGGCTGAAAAATCACCTGATTCCCTTGTTTTTCAAATCGGAAATGAAAATGGAAAATAGAATTATTGATTGTGAGAATGAAAAAAAAGAGTTCACGGTTTTGTTGGAAATATTATTTTTTTCACGTTATTTTATTTGATTTCATTTTCAAATTTGAAAAACGGAAAATTGCAGATGAAGTTCAAGAAATGATTTTTGAAACGCAAATCTTTGTTTTCCAGGTATTTCTCATCCAAAAATAATAAATTTTTTGAAAAAAAGTTTCTTTTCCGAAAATCTGTAGGTCTAGGCCAAAATTTTATGGAAAATCAGGATTCTCTGTGGATTTCGACTGAAAAAAATTATGAGATTTCCCGTAAATACGCTTTTTAGACCTAAATTTATAGCGTATGGGGTAGTCTCTGATTTCCAGTGTAAAGTTAAACTCTGCCATTTTTTTCTGTCTCAAAACACCCATTTTCTCCAGTAACCCACGGCTCTATGATGCGCCGCTTCCGCACCAATCGCCACCAAAAAAATCGCCCAAATAATCCTCATCTTCCACATTTCAGATGCTCGCCAACGCCAATTCACTGTTCAAATTGGGTCAAGATCCGACGTTCGAGCGAAGATTCAGTGGACCGCTGCAACTTCAACAGGTTGGTATTTTGAGCACAAAAAGCAGATAAAAATTATGGGGTTAGGCTTCTGGCCAGATGCAAAAAATTGTTAAACAAACTAAAAAACAACACTTGTTGACTGAATGAATGACCCGGTGCAAGATTAATTGATATTTCTTCGACATTTTTTGGTGCCGGTCAGGTGTCTTCTGGAAAGAAGGTAATTAATTGGAAAATCAAAATAGAAGCAAGACGATCGAATGATTTTTGAACAAGAACTCAATGAAAACTTGATTGTTTGATCAAATATATGTTTTCTAGTCATTTTCGATCAGCTGATCACGACCTACTTGTCAAAAACTGTAAAACTCACTTCCAAAAATGAGTTATAACGTGGTAATTTTCGAAAAATCGTGACTTTACGATTACAACTAGAATATAAAATGAAAGCTGAAATCTGCGCCAACCTCCTATTTCCCTCCTCAAAAATCCCCATTTTTTACAGGATTTCAATTGGCGAAATGGTTGGGGAGTCCTAAAAGCAAACCTACTTTTTGTATATAACAAACCCGAAGATGAAACAACTTCACAACCATTTTTATTATTAATTATCGAGGATTGTTATATTGAATTATGTGATGAAAATAAGATTGGCAAGGATTTCACTTTTGAAATCAAATTTAAATCGTGAGTTTTTTTTTCGGAAGCTACTGAAAATCTGAATTTCGCTCTGGAAATAGCAAGTTTCTCGGCAAAAATTCAGTCTGAAAGGATTTTTAAAAGAGAATTTTAATTCCCTTTTTTGCAGAACTGGCCGAAGTTTCATATTTGCGGCCGAAGATTTCAAATCACTCGGCCGTTGGGTTTCTCTTCTCACAATCTCACCAATCGATTATATTCAACTATCAAAACAATCATTTATCGAGCAAATTGAGCAAAAAACCAGTTGATGTAACAACTTTTTATTGAAATACCGTGTAAATAATGTATATAAAATTGATTTTCCTCTTTTTTTCTTGTATTTTTTCATTTTGTCTGAAAATCGGTTGAAGATCCCGAATTTTACCTTTTGAAAGACATTACAGCGAATTTTCCAGCAATTAAATTTCAGAGGAAAATGCCGGCTTATCACTCGAAATTCGATCTGGAGACTCAAGTTTTGCCGCTGGGAAATACGAATATGGGAAAATTGCCGTTGAGAACAACGGTTAAAGGACCAGCGCCACGTGGGTTTTTTTGGAGGGAAAATTTCAATTTTTTATCTGAAACTGCGAATTTTACTGGAAACACAGACTTTTCAAAGAATTTCTGGAACTTCGATAGAAACCTTGAGTTTAGTTCAAAACTTGTTTTTTTTTCCTCAAATTCCTCACCAAAAATCCTTTTTCAGAAACCAGCGATTTCGACATAATCGACGAGGCTCTTCAATATTTCAAACCCAATATCTTTTTCCGCGAATTTGAGATTAAAGGCGCAGCTGACAGAACGATGATTTATTTGATTTTTTATATTACCGAATGTTTGAGAAAATTGCAAAGAGTGGGTTTTTGAAAGTTAAATTTAGAAATTGTGAAATGAAAATGCAAAAAATTGCTAGTTTCGAACGAAAATTCAAGAAAAACACAAATCTTCAGTAATCCTGGTTTACCCCTGAAGAAGAACATTTCAAAATTCATTTTTCAAAAGGCTTGAAATTTCAAATTTTAAAAAATTGAGTTTAAAAAAATCCTCTTTTTTAGACCCAAAACTATAATTTTTCTATTTTTTCTCATTTTCCAGAGTCCCAACAAAATTGCGGCTCAAAAAGACTTAGCTGCTCTCGCATTATCGCATCAACTTCCAATTCCTGGCGAAAATGGATTTCCATTGAATAGTATGTATCGAGCACCACAAAATAAACAAGACGAAGATGAAATGCGAGCATATTTGCAACAAGCAAGACAAGAACTCGGATTGCGATTGGTTGAATTGGCATTTCCTCAACCACAGGAACGAGCATCGAAGGTTAGTTGGATATTTGATTGGGAAAAATTGAGACATTTGCGGGGTTTCAAAAATTCCTCATTTTTGGTCCAAAATTTGATAAATTTACGTATTATTGAGAGCAATTGGATTACTGTAGTTTACTGGGTCTCAAAACGATTGCAAATCCTCAATATTCCTTGTTTTTTCTTTGAAAAAAAACCCGAATTTTTCACGTTTCAAAATTTTGATAAGGATATGTTTTTTTCAAATAATTTTCGATACTCTCATTTTTTTTAAAACAAAATAGTATTCTCTCCGTGAAGTGTAATTGTAGAGAATCTCAGGGTTCCAAACTGTTATATTTTTGGTGTAATCAGTTCTAAAAGTCAGAGAGGGGGCGCTTCCCATTTTGAAAAAAATCCCCTGAAGTCACAACAAGCGTGTTAGATGTTCCAAAAATTGCATTATTTAATAATTACATTGTCATTCATTCCGCTCTGCACTGTTTTTTATTTTTTACGGCTGCCACATTTTTCAACTTTGACAATACTTCTACCGTACTCCTCATCAAAAGCGCACACAATTTTTGTCCCGTGTCTCGCAACGCGCGTTGATTTTTCAAAAAAAAAAAACGAAGTGGTGTTTGCACTTATAGAAACATTTGATGTGACGCCGAATTTTCAGTGATTTCGTTTTTTATAAGGGAGTGATTCCAAGTTTTCTGATATTTCAATTCCAATTCAAGAATACTGTAGATCATCATTTTCTCGCCAAAATATGTCAATTCAAATTTTCCGTTTTCTAGTGGTGGCTGTGTTTTGCTCGTCGTCGTTTCATGGACAAAGGATTGGTCAGCCAAGGAGTTGTTTTGTAAAATAAAAATTTGAATTTTCAAATTTTGCTCCAAATCGTTTCGGCGTCAAAAATGTATCTAAAAATTTCACTTTATTTATTTATATGTGTTCTTGCTTGCTTTATATAAAACTTCATGAATTTTCATTTGGAGAAAAATGAAAAAAAAAACAAAAGTTTCTAGACTGGAATTGGCGAATTCCGATGCTCACGATGATATTTTTGCACGAAATTTGTCACCGAATTTTTGGGAAATTTCATTTTTCCACCGCCTTTCTGCAAAAAATTTTCTAAATTTTAATTTGGAGAAAATGATCCCAAGAGTATTTGGTGTCAAAATATTCCCGCAATTTTTCGACTCCAACTTCTTCTTCACTCACCTCATACGGCCAAATAAATCCATCATTTCTCCATTTTCCAACAATATTCATCAAGAGTGTTCCATAAGAATAATGTGCACACAGATTCCAGATTCGACAGAAAATATTGCTGCTCGGCTTGACTTTTTCGAAGTGCAAATTGTTTTTCCAGTTTACGATGCGGTTATCGGATGTGATTTCGGGTGCTTCAGTGGTGGTTTTTGATCTGATCGCGAAATTTTAGTTCTAAACGGGGAAAGCGGGATTTATGGCCACAGAAATGCTTTAAAATGATAGCAAATCATATAGGTTACTGTAGGTAAAAATTGATACTTGGGTTACTGTAGTTTCGTAGCAGAAGTATTGTTTATCAAAATGGCAAACTGAGTTACTGTAGTTAATCTAAATGTTAGCACCAAAACTCACCGAAATTGCGGCAAATCCGACTTACGCCAATTTATTTTCGTCTCAATTTTTGTCACCAAAAAAATATTGAGAAAAATCAGAAAAATTTGAATTTTCATGACCTTTTCCACGAATCAAACTAGTAGAATTCCAGCCCTATTTTAACCCCCTTTTTCAATCCAAAACAAAACAAAAACACTTATCATAAGTACCTTCCTTCCTTTATTTTTTGACACTAACTTATTCAAGGTCATTTTTGGCATGGTTTAGATAAAGGAAAAAATAAATAAATTAATAGTTTGGATGATGACCTGATTTTTTTGGCAGCGGGCGAATATTTTTGAGAAAAAAATATGAAAAATGGGGAGAAATGAAGGTTTTTGGTCTTTTTGATCTATAGAAATCGGAAAATTGGAAAAAAATGATATAGACTCATTCAAAACTTCGTCAGACTAATTCCAGGATCACTTAGGCTAACTCACAATTAAAGACAGTTCACCAGACTTTATTTAATTCTCATCAGCCGTAGGCTTTTCCAAAATGAACCTTGGGCTCAGATTCAAGCCCAGATCTTTTTAAGTTTAGCATAGGTTTAGCTTAGGTTTGTCTTTTCTCAAGTCCATATTTGTATTAGCTTTTCATATTTTCAATCAATCCAATTTATTCTCTTCTCAATTTCCTGCAATTTTAATTAACTTTCATTATTGACGTCAACAAAAATTAATTAATTCCAGCTAGAAATTAATTTAATTATTTATTTTATTCAAAAGAATGACGTACCAATATTCTTCTCGAAAAATTCTTCCAAATGTTCACAATCAGATCAAAATTTGATCGATTGGGTCAAGAATCGGTTATCAAATCAACCAAAAAATGAACTTTCTAATAAAAATCATAATTTTTTTTTCATTTCATTTCCTCAATACATTTTCGAGGTTCCGGGTCGAATTGGTTGGTCGGTCAGAGAATTTTTCGTTGACAAAAAATATTTTTTTTTTGTTCTTTTTGTACAAATCTGGTTTTCATGAAACCTCAATTGATAAATTTAATATAAAATTAGATGATTAATCAAAATAGACTGTAGCAGCAGCTTTTGTGTGTCATCGACACAAAAAAGAGAGATTTTTGTAACATTTATTTATATTTAACATAATTAATCATTGAATTAAAATGTTGCAATGCGTTGAAATTGGGTCGAATGATATCATTTTTCTGATGATCATCATCAGGTTTGAAAATTAATTGTTAGAAACTGATATGATGAAATTTGGTTTGATGTTTGAAAGTGATCATTAAAGCCTTGTGTTTTGAAAATCAGAAAAATATTAAAGTGGTTGAGAAGCTAAGAAATTTATTTAGTCTAACTCAGGCTTTTGAAAAATAGGTAGCCTTGAAAATTTGGACAAACCTTGTTAGAAATTAGTTGAGCCTGAGCTTAAAAGTCTACCTCATGTCAGGTTTAGGCAAATTTTTAAAGCCTGAAAAATGTTCTGTTTGAAATTTTATGCTATTGCTCAGGTTATTGAGTTTGAGCTGAAATTTCCAGAAAAAAATGCTATTCAGCCAGTGTTATAATTTTAAAAAAAGTCTTGGTCATGTTAGTAAAATAGTCAAAAAATGCACAAAAAAATAAAATAAAATAATTTTATTATTAGAATTTTTCTAACAAAACTATCAAAAATATGTGAGATTTTTGGAAAGTCTACCCGTAGTAATTCCAAAAAACTATTTAAATATTAAAAATTAAGCTCTTGATCTTCTAATAATTTTCGAAACTCCTTCAGTCAACTTCGATTGTAGAATATATCCTTTATGATTACAGTAGTAATCAGTGAGTTCCACCAAGTTGCTGCAAAAAAAAATTATTTGAAGAAAAAATAAAAATATATGGGGCATCGAACTTGGGTTGCTCGGCCAAAATGTTAACGCACTACCACTGAGCTACGCATACACATCTAGTCTTGAATTAAAATTACAGTTGAAAAAACACACCTGAATTTTCGATCAATATCCAATTGAAACTGAATTTCTCCGGTTTTCTTCGAAAAACTGGTTCGAATAAATAAATGTTGTGCAAACTCTCCTCGCCAAATTGTCAAAATATATTGATTTTTGAAAAATGACACCAAAAATGAGCCCTCGATAAATCCATTTTGCATCAAAATTCGTTCTGCTTTTTTCGGCTCCAAATCCATAAAAAACCATGTTTGTGCAACGTGGATTTCGCGCAATTTCGCGATTCCAAAATTCTCAACACTTCCGTGACGTGTCATTTCGCGTGCTTTTTCCGAATGTTGTGATAAAAGTCGAGATTTCTTGGCTTCTTTGAAAATCATTGGAACTCGATCCAAATCATCAAAATGTGCTGGAAGTGAACTTGTGGTTGGCGTGTTTTTGAATTGAATTTCAGCAAAGTCTTCATCGTTTGCAACCAAATCACCAGTTGACAGACTACGGTAATGCGGTTCGCAAGGACTGCAAAAAATTCAAAGGTACATACAGTAATTTTTTCATATATAAAACTATTTTCTGTAGATAAAATTATGTTCGAAAATTACAGTACCCCAAATAGTATTTTTGTAGATCAAAAAATATTGCAAAAAACTCACGCTTTCATAAAGTTCGAGATTTTTTGCAGCGATTCAATGAGCGCTGAAAATCGTCGTCGACTATTATTGATTGTCATAATCTGAATTCTGAAAAAAAATTAATTTTTTGAATTCAAATATTTTGGCTTCGAAGAAAACAAAAAAGAAAATTTGAATTTTGGGCGGACATCCGAGAAGATGAAAAAAATACATAATAAATTTTCGAATATACTTCTTCGTTTTTCTTGGGGGAGGAGAGGGAAAATGGGCGGAGTTTGCAGAGAGACACGTGTTCGAGAGACGCAGAGAAAAGATAAGGGTTTGTTTCTCTGCATCTCTCGTTTTCCTATACTATTTTACTCTTATCTGATCTGCTCGTCCTTTGAACTGATGACGTTGCTATCCTATAAATTTCGTGAGGTTTCGAAATTCTTTTTGGAAACGAAATTGCGGGCTACAGTAGCCCGAAAAGATTGAATGTTTTTTTGCGGGAAAGTTCAAAACATTTTAGGCCAAATTCCCTAACTACAGTAATCTTGAAAATTTCTTAATATTTCGAAATTCCAAATTTTCGAATTTAAGTTTTTCAGAAAAAAACACTTTTGGCGTTAAATGTTCAACTAATAAGTACAGTAACCTTTGAAGTTCCTGTTTTTCTGAAAAAAATTATCCTTGAAACCATTAGGAACATCTTCATTTTATGTGTATTTTATTGAGGTTTTGAATTGAAAACCGGTTTTAAAAATTACAAAGGGAATTTTCAGAGTCAATAAATCAAAAATCAAAGTTTTCCGGAAAGTAAAATTCTGACCGGAAAAATTGATCTGCAGTGATAATTTTAAAGGCGCTAACAAGATACAAAATCGAGATTGATGGCTCAAAGTTTTGAATTAAAATCTTTGGAGCGATTTTTTTAGCTAGAGTAAATCTGAGAGTTTTAGGGCTATTGTTTTTTATTCAAAAGTTTTGAGCCGGAGAATTTTGAATTAACAAATCCTTTAAAAAGTACGATTGTTTCTTTAAAAATTAGTTGAAATTTTTAGCTACAGTAATCCTGTGCAAAAAATTCAAACTTCAAATCTTTGGCGCCATTTTTTACCCCCGAAAATCTACTATAGTTCACGTCATTTTGGCGCCAAAAATAGGGAAAAATTAATTCTCGATCTTTTTTCTTGTGTCCTGTAAAAGTACAAAACTAGTCTGAAAAAAGAAGAAAATTATTAGAATTCTAAAAAGTACACAAAGATTTTTGATATTTTTTCTATATGAGCGCGAGATTTTTTCAGATTTTTTAGATTAGATTATTTTCAGAAGCTAATCCCATTCGACGCAATAAACATAATATACTTTTTTGGAGAATTGGATTAGAATTGAACTAATCTGATTTTTTTGAATTTGCGGGAAACCTTTGAACTTTTTGGGGGAATTTTTTAGATTCAAAAGTCCAGATTCCCCCAATAAAAAATCAAACATCAGAATCAATCATTTTTATTCACAAAACCCTTGTTGAACCGGTTTCGAATTCGAATTTTCGCGAAAATTTCAAAGATCATCAAAAAATTTCTAGAAAAAGTTTCTAGAAAATTCCCGTCTAAAAATAACTCGCAAAACAAAGTGAAATGAAAGAATTTTTCCGGAAGAGGCACAGAATAAGTTCATATGTCCTTTTTGTGAACAGAAAAACAAAACAGGAAAACATTTCGAAAAATATTGGAAAAGATGATGAAAAAAACGAACATTTTCGAAAATTGCCAGAAAATTACGTCAGAATTCGAAATTTTTGAGAGAAAAAAAAGATAGGAAAACATGTATAGCTTTTGGGTGTCTACAGTAAGACTTATTCACACGAACAATAGGCAAAGTTATATTTAAAAGTACAATTTATGAAAAAAAGTGTGGGTGTCCTGAACTTTTCTGAAATGATTTTTTATTCAAATTTAGTGTCAAACTTTGATATCCAACACAGATTCAGCCCAAAAATGTTTACTTACAGTAAGATTTCTCAAATCAAAAATGTTTTATTTACAACAAAGTTCCAGTTCAATCTCAAAAATATTTTCATACTCTTCTCGCCGCCATTTTTCGATGCATCATTTGACCAACACATTGAGATAATGATGGGAAATCGCAAGCAAATCTGGAAAAAATGATTTGAAGTAGGAAATTCTGCCACGTGGCATTTTTGGGCCGCAAAAATTAAATTATAGAAATTTTGAAACAGTGATTTTTGTTGGAAAAAAATGGAAATTTTTCAGAAGAAGTAATACTGCATTTTTAATTGGCTGTACTTACTTATGATAAAAAGTTGTTGTGCCAACTTTATAACATCTATGAGCCATTCCATTCATCAACAAATCTCGTCCCAATTCCAAATACAAACCATCATCGATGCAACCTCAAACACCAAAAGTACTGTAATTTTGGTGTCAAAAACTCACCCAAAACCATCAGACTTCCATCATTTTTACATTGATATCTGACGTGTTGATGAGTCCACATTTGACCGATCGAATATTGATTTCCGTCGTGAGAACATCCCAACACTGAAAAAATAACGGGAAAATTTCATCTACAATTTTTGAAACCAAACAATTTCAAGATGTTATTTTTCACGAATATTTGATCTACTTTAAATCACACCTTTTGGCTCTAAAAATTTTGATCTGTACAAAAAACTCTACAAAATTTTTTTTTGTTCCGGTCAAAGAGCACACCTTTTTGCTCCACAAAATCGTTTTTTTTTTCTGATAAAAATTTTCGTTGCTGAAGATAAGAAATCTTATGATTCGGTCATTTTTCGAGGCCATGTGATGATGCCCTCGAAAAAAAAACGGAATTTTTTTTCCTTGAAAAATTGCCAAAATTTTTTTATCAGTCAGTTTGTAGTTGATTTTTTACGAACACACCAAAAAAATTATACACATGGCAAGCAAGAAATGTTAAAGAAATTATGCCAAAAACTACAGTAATTCGTGGGTTTTAGTGAGAAATTGAATATGAAATTTCAGGATGCATAGAATAAAATATCACACTTTCTCACAAAAAATATCACGAATTTTTGAAACAGTAAAGATTTCATGGGAGATTTTTTGTGAGGAAAATTTAAATTTTTTCGAGTTATTTTATCTGGATTACTGTGAATAGAGTAATTTACAGTATCTAGGATTTTTTCAAGAACTGAACAAAAAAATGTCTCCCCAAAATAAATCATGAATTTTTGAAACGTAAAAAATCTTGAAATTATTTTTCTCTGAAAAATAAGAAAAATGTTGTGGCAAAAATCTGGGAATACTGTAGATCATAATTTGGCCGCCGAAATCTACAGTAATCCCATTCAAAATAGCGCTAAAATCATTTCGATTGCTGTATTTGTGATGAAAAATCAAATTTTCTAGCGCGAAATAATACAGTAATATTTGGTGTCAAAAACTCACTCTTCACCACATATCTGACACGTCCCGGCGCAATAATTTCGCATTCATGTCGTTTGCCATTTTCAATGCGATTCTCACCAGCCGCCAAAATATCTCCGCTCACACCATTTTGCATATAACACCCTTCCACGTGGATTCCCTGTTCACGGCATGTCAATTTGAAAGAACCATTTCGGAATGAGTCACCAATATTATAGTGCATACCGTTCTCGTAACACATGGCTTCTGAAACCAGAATTCAAGTCAAGATTTTGGCACCAAATTTTGAAAATTATCCTATCTTTGAAGTAGAATTAGTGATTTTTGATAAATTTCCCCTCAAAAACCGTCACAAAAAATCTCACCTTGCTTGTAAGTCACATTATCGCCTTGCACATTACAATAGTGCTTCATTCCGGTTTTCACAAAAGTTCGGCCAAGTTGAATAACACTTCCATCATCGGCAATGCAAGCTGAAATGAAATAGAACTTTGAGATTTTTATGTAAATCTAACCTGAAAGAGGAAGAAAATAAGAAAAATAATGATATTGTGAAAACGGAATGAATCTTTCAACTAGAAAATATTTTTGAACGACAGAAAAAATAAAAAATGGAGGGAAAAGGTAGATCAAAAAAGCAAAAAATGGATTTTCCTTCAAAATGTTCCCCAAAGAGAATATACAATTCATATGGGCGTTCATTATCGTTCAAAAATATTTTCTAGTTGCGAGATTCATTCCGTTTTCACAATATATTCAAAATAATATACTTTGTAAAAGGAAATTATTGATTGAGTAAGGAAACACAAAATTTGGTATTAGGGCCTACATATTCGAAAAAATTTGCCAAATTTTTGAAACGTAAGAAATCTTGGAAAATTTACTAAAAATATTGGTGTCGAAAATTGAATATACTGTGGATTAATCTAGAGTTATTGTAATTCCAGCTTGTTTGACACAAAAAAACTCACCAACAACCTCCGCAGTTCCATTATTACAACTATAATGGAAATTGTTTTTGGTGAAAGTTGCACCATGTTCATGAGTTCCAGCATTTGAAGTGACACAGGGAAGTGGAGGGATTCGACCGTTGTGAACTGGAAAATTGAAAAATTGAGCTTTCAAACATTGCTCATGTTACCTAGGCTTGTTTGGTTTCAAAATTAGGCTAGACTTCCAGATTCCTAGACCTTACCTGGAATTTCTATTCGATTCACATCATTCAATCCCATTCCGTGAGCTGTGAGCACCAATTTATCACCGATCGAATTCTCATTCTCATTTCCAAATCTCGCCAAACAAATACCAATAAGCGCGCCGAAAATTGCCACGTTTCTCAACATTTTTCTCCGTTATCTCTACCTTGTTTCGGTGATAAATTAGTCAGAGAATGAAACCAGTTACCAAAAAATAATCGCGAGCGCGGGAAATAAAAGTTTTCAAGATTTTTTGTAGGGCGGATTCGATTCTCAAGGACTTTTCAATCATCATCATCAAAATGAAAACATCAACACAGAGTAGAGAAGTACTAGCAAAAGAAAGTAGGTCAGAAAAAAGAGTGGTTGAAAATATCCAAGTTTTTTGACACGAAAATTGAGAGGATTGGAACAGTGGAATTTTTGTTGAACTCATTGTAAGGGGTAAAAATTTCATAATCTTCATCAAAATTATGAAATATCATTGCTCATCTTATAAAATTTCTAGCTCCAGTTCAATATAAAATGGGAAATTTTCATTAAAAGAATGAACAACAACTCTAAAAGAATACCGCAGATTTTTCAACGTTTTTTGGTGGCTAAAAGTGTTTCACAATTTGGACAAAAGTGTCGGGAGTCTTTCACAAAATTACAGCAAGACAAGAGAGCAATTGGAGCAAATATGATGAGTCCGAAAAGCAAAGTTAGAATTGAGCAACATCCGAATTTATGCTTCACTCGTGTTTGAACAACTTGCTAGAAGAACATTGAATTTTATTTGGAAAAATTTGTGCAATAATTAAAAATGTACCTGACATTTGAAGCAAAATTCTTGATATGATTCAAATTTTGGAGCAGTTTTGTTTGGTTGAACTACAATTATTTGACATGGAAGTGGTTGTTGCTGAAAGTCAATCTTTAATCTAAATAATTGTTGCCACGTGGCATACCACAATTGGATAATATTCTGGTGGAGCTGAAGCGATTGGCTGTTTTTCCATTTTTGTGGAAAATGTTTATGTAAGTGAGAATAGAAATCAAAATGAAAAGAAAGACACATTTTTCTGGAAGTTGACATAAAGAAAATCAGAAAAAAATTTGATCAATCACATTTTTTTGTTGAAAAAACTTGACAAAGAAAAATATATTTTCAGTTTTTGTTGAACTGAAAAATTGACGGGGTTTTGGGCAAGTTCACATTTTTCAAAACCGGATATTCCTCATGTTATAGAACACACAATCTTTCAGGTATCGCTCATATCATCTCCGAATCTTAAAAATGAGCGTAGACAATTATTTTTCAGCTGACCTTCACATCCCTAACCAAGTCTCCAATATCAAATCAAATCAAATGTTGTTTTTGATTTTTCGCTCTTTTCCGAAATCACCTAAAATGTGTAGTTTGATAAATTCTCCATGGAAACGATTTCAAGCGCACATGTTTAGGGCGTTTCGAAAAAAGCAGCTGCCAAAAACGTTTTTTTGTTTCTCAAACAAAGTTAGTCTAACTTGCAAATTTGTGAAATCAAATGGAGCCGGGAAAAATTGAGCCAAGTGCTCCTCCTGTCGAATATCAAGGCACTGGAAATAATGCTGTTCATCCCGTGGTAAGTTTGAAAAATTTAAGGTCCTTAATGTTTTTCCTGAGGTTTCTAATGTTCTTAAGGTTTTTATTTTCCGGAGACTCACCTTAAGGACCTTAACTTTACCGTTCTCCCTAAGCCTAATCATACTCTTTAAGGTAGTTCCAATTCAAACTACAACAGTGATGATTGTTGGAACAAAAGATGCACCATCTTTCGAATCTTATCAAGAAGCGTGTCATGTTTGTAAGGTAATAATTCACATAATTATTTAATTACTCATCTAATTATTTAATTTCAGCTAACAGTTGCAACACGTGTCGAATATGTGATGGGAACCCGTTCGTGGGTAATGATTATCTTGGGAATCTTTCTTTTCTGCCCACTTTTGTGCTGTTTTTGCTGTGAATGTTCCAAAGATGCCAAACATTATTGCCCCAAATGCAATTTGCTTCTTTCAGTCAAAAAACGCTGAAAATGTGGTTGATACAGTCGATTAATGTTTTGATTTGCAAATGGTTTGATTCCCATTGCCTGCGTTATTGTTTTTCTTTTGTACTTTGAACATTAAATAAAGTGTTAAATGAATGTTGTTTTTTGCCACGTGGCGGTTTCTTTTTTGAGAATTTGAATCAAGTTTTGAGCTTAAAAAGAGCTCAAATTTCAAGCCAAAAAATGAATATCGTATTTCTTCAACATTCTGTATGAACAAGTACATTTTTGGGTTATACAATCTCAAAAAAAATTAATTGGAAAAAAAAGTGTCCAAAACGATTTGCAGGTGTTGGAACATCTGCAACACGTGTTCATTTTTTTGGACCAAAAAAATTCCATCGAAAATGACCTCGTCTTCATTTTCATTCTCATTCTCACTTTCTATACATTTTCTATAAAAATTTCAAAATGAAAAAAAAATAAATTAAAGAATTCCCTGGGGAATTTTTGAGTAATTTCAAAATTTCTCCTCTTTATGACATCACGACCTTCAAATTTTCCCACGCGTTAGTAAAACTTACATTTTTCGTCGGTCAATATTTTATTTTCTCGTGCTTCCTTCCTTTCTTCTATTTTTCTCTGCGTCTCTCAATTTTTAACACATAAACAGATTGTTTTTTGCTTTTTTTGGATGTATTTTGTTTTGTTTTGTTTTATACTAGTTATTTTTTTTCACAGCTTTCTTATTTTAAATATCCACGTGGCAAAAAAACAATATTAAAATTGATTTTAGGAATTAATTTGCAATTTAAATACAATCCACCCTCCAGTAGTAATCTAGAAATCTAGTTTTTAAAATGATTTTTTGAAACAGTGAATTTTTGAAAATAAACAGACCCAAAAAAAACAGAATTTTTCATTTTTCTCATAACCAAAATTTAGTTCAATTTCCCCCAATTTTTATTTTTTTTCTGACTAATAATTTCTACCCAATTTGTATTTTCACATTTTCAGAGAAGCCTGCTCTGAAAATAAAAAAAAGTCTCAGCTGACCAAACAGAAAAAAATCATATCACTATAGAAACCGCTGAACGCCGTTATTATCACCCCCAAAAGTTTTTGTATAATATGTTGACACAATTTCTCATTTTTCTGCGATTTCGAAACTTTAGGCAACTTTACTTGTATTGATTATTTTGAAAAAATAGAAAAATCCACGTGGCGTCAAAGAATGGGTTTAAAATTTTTCATTTCCTCGTTTTTTTCATTTCTCAAGACTTCACTTTTTCAAAAAAGTTTTGAACTAGTTTTTGAACCAAAATTCTACCACTTCGAAACTTTTTGATATTCGATTGATTTGTTTCCCAGAAAATCTATTTTTTCAGAAATGGATCCGGACAAACCGCTTCCCTCAGCACCGCCTCCAACATATTCAGAGAGTGTTGGAAACAATATGGTGCACCCATTGGTTGCACACGAGCTTCAAGATAATGTCATTGTTTTGGTGAGGAAATGTTGACGGCAAGACAAAAAATTGATTGATTTTTTCAGCAACAACCAATTCAAACTACAACTGTGATTATTGTCCAGGAAAAATATGCACGAAGTTTTGAGAGCTATCAAGAAGAGTGTCCAAGATGTCAGGTAACACATTTTCAGAAAAAAATATATCACAAATAATAGTGAAAAATTAACTTTCTCAAATTTCAAAAGTTCCTTTTTAAAAAAAAAAAATACCAATATTCCTACAAAAAAGCACTCGGTTAAAGATCAAGAAATCTGAATATCCCTCTCAAAATCTAAACCCTCAATGTTTTTCTGTTCAGACGATGGTTCAAACTCGTGTCGACTATCAAATGGGTTTCTGCTCATGGCTCATGTTTTTCCTCGGAATCTTCTTGTTTTGTCCACTTTTGTGCTGTTTCTGTTGTCAATGTTGTAAAGATGCCAAACATTATTGTCCTAAATGTAACATGTTGATTGCCACCAAAAAACGCTGATTTTCTTGTTTTTCTTTCGATTTTTTTTACAATGAATTGTTTATTTTCTGGAATTGTTTTAAAAAAATCACTGTTTCAAAAATTGCCTGTCAAAATTTCTCAAAAAAAATCCGATATTTTCGTTATAGCAGATTAAGATCCGACTAATCATCTTCGATTCAGGAAAGCAAGTGCGCTCCAGCGAAATAAAAAACAAAGATGAGTTAAGTTTTCTATAACATGAGCATTATTCTTGTAATTAATTTGGAGGAAAATCGATTGCAATAATTTGTTTTCAGAAAAAATAAAATTTAAGCTCAGATGGATATTTTAATCGTATTGCCACAAAAGTTTTGACAAAAAACTTCTCAAATTGCAACCCGGAAATTTTTAATTGTACGATCAAAAACATCACGGTAATTTGATAATTTGATACGGCAACTGCAAAAAACACTCGAAAAAATAGCGAAAAACTAACAAAAGATCATGTCAAACCTCTTGAAAAAACCTGATTCTTCAAAAAAAAATTTCCAAAAAACACCGTGTTTTCATCTTGTATGTATATTATGAATTCAATTTAATTTGTTATCTTTGAAAAAGATCACACAAAAAGTTTTTTTTTGATGGCAAACATCACACAGAAAAAAATGTGTATATGGAAATTTTGTCACATTTTTGGGGAATTTTTTTTTGGAATTTTTAATTTATTATTTTTGGAATTTTTGTTTTGTTGGAATTTTGGTGCAGAATGTGTCATTTGTAGATCAAAAATTAGGGAATGTTGTTGAAATTACTGAACATCAGAGATACTGTGGCTTAGTCAAAAATCTTTTTTTTAACCCTAGGGTTACTGTATATGAAATTTTATATAATAATTTGCCATAATCTTTCAATTTTGTACTGAAAATCCTAATTTTCCAGCTCTCCTATTCCTCAAAAATGTCAAAACTGACACCATTTCTCAAAAAATGCCTGCTCCTTTTCACACCAATTCTTCTCGCCATTCCTCTTCTATTTTTTGGCCCCGAATTTCGTTGTCTTTTTGTGATTATAATTCTATCGACCTATTGGATTGGTGAAGTTATGCCAATTGGAATCACTTCACTTTTGCCGTTGGCACTTTTTCCGATTTTGCAAATTGTGTCATCGAAAAATATTGCACCGGTTTATTTTAAGGTTGGTTGGCTTAGATTTTTCACCTCGGAAAAATACGTTTCAAAAAATGTATGAAATTGATTTAAAAATTTTTGAAACATTGTAAATTGTTTCACAAATTTATCTATAAATTCACAAAGACCTTCGGTTACTGTAAAATAGCTACAGTAATCATTGTTGAAACCGCTTAGCTCTGATCTTTTCAAGTTTTCCCGGAAGTTTTTATGATCTACTTCCTCTCTCTTTTTCCCAGGATTCGATAGTGTTATTTATGACAACTTTAATAATGGCAATGGGTGTTCAATCAACTGGTTTACATCGTCGAATTGCGCTCAAACTTTTGACAAAAGTTGGAGCAAAACAGCCAATTATGCTCTTCGGATTCATGTTGATCACATGTTTCATCTCATTTTTTGTCTCTGATACAGCGTGTACTGCACTAATGTGTCCTACGGCTGTTGCGCTGCTCACAACTATCAAGGATGCTCAAAAAGTTAGTGGATAACAACGCACAAACTTCCAAAACATTGACTTTCAGAAAGTCGATGAAACCCCCACGAAAAAAAATCGATAATGCTGATCAAAGTGTGGCTGAAAAACTGGAAATTGATTCGATGAGCGCTGAAGATCGAGGATTTTGTAAGGCTTTGATTTTATGCTGTGCACACGCTTCGCTGATTGGCGGAACTGCGATTATTACGTCGACTGGACCAAATTTGGTTTTTAGGGAGAATATTCAGAATCGATATCCGGATGGACAGATTACGATGACGTATTTGGGTGAGGAGAGATGCCACGTGGAATTATTCAGTTTGAAATTTTTTACAGAATGGATGGTATTCGCATTTCCTCCAATGATTCTCTATCTTTCCTCTTCATATCTAATTCTAACATGCTATTTCATGGGTCCAAAAACCTTGATTAGATGGTTCAAAAAAGAAAATGCGGAAAAATTGCAAATCAACAGAAATGTCGAGAAAAATATTCGACAAATGTATGAGGATTTGGGTGAAATTAGTTTTGGAGAAATGTCTGTCGGATGCTTTTTTGTGATTTTGATTGGATCGTGGATTTCGAGAGATCCTGGATTCACGAGTGGTTGGGCTGATTTGTTGGAACATCGCAAGTAAGGGTACATTGAAAAATCTCAATTTTTTCCACAATTAAATTTTTTTTCAACCAATTTTGAAACAGTAAAAAAACGTGGGGATTTTTTTTTTAATTATAAGATTCACGTGGCATTTTGGATCATAATTAATTTATCTAATCACCCAATTAGAGCTCAATTATTTTCAGTTACCTAACAGACAGTGCAATCGGAATTCTAATCGCCGCAATTCTATTTGTGTGGCCGAAAAATCTCGAAAACCTATCGCAACCAATTTTGGAATGGTCCGACATGAAATCCAAATATTCGTGGTCGTGCACACTTTTAATCGGAGCCGGTTATGCGATTTCTGAAGGTGTTTTCAAATCCGGATTGGCGCGTATGATTTCATGCGGAATGAAGAGCATATTTTTGAATTTGTCGCCTTTGCCACTACAAGGTTTGCTAGGGGTGATTTTTTGAGCTAAAATTCGACAATTTTTTTAGGTAGCTTATTTTTTTATTTAAAAAAAACATACTGTTTCAAAAAAATCTGAAGACACTTACTTGGTTGATAATTTCTAATAATTCATTTTGATTAAACAAAAAAATTGCCACGTGGATCTCTGATCTTTGAAAATTCAAAATTATTTTTCCCAGTCTGCGTCACCGTAACAATTGTAATAATGACGGAATTTGCAAGCAACGTTTCAACCGGAAGTATTTTTATACCGATTTCTCTAGGAGTTGTAAGTTGTTTGTTAAAACATCTAGGATTTACAACTGGAATCAGTGTCCCGAAAATACCACATTTGCAGGCCGAATCAATGGGTGTTCATCCACTTTATCTAAGTCTTCCAACTACAGTAGCCTGTAGTTTTGCATTTATGCTTCCGATTTCGACGCCACCAAATGCTATTGTTTATGATACACGGGTTATTTCAATGATTGATATGGTAGGATTGATTTATGCCACGTGGCACTAAATTTCAAATTTTTCAGATAGCTTGCGGTTTCCTTCTTAATATTGCTTGTATTTTGATAACTACACTGAATATGAATTCTTGGACATATTTAGTATTTGGATTGACCAATTTTCCAGAAAACTTGGAACTTGGATCTTCGAATTCGACTTTATTGTCATGCTAATTAATGTTATTTTGTATAAATTCACGAATCAAAAAAGAAATATTGTTCAAACTCGGGGCTCATCTCTAGTTCTCATGAAATTAACAATCTGGAACTTGGATTCAACTTTACTGCCACACTAATTATATATGTTTTGTTCTGCATGAACTTGTTGTAGGTAGATAAGTTTATTCAAAAATAATCACACAGAATTTTCAATTTTTTTCAACACTTCTCTAACATTTTGCACAACTTTATCACATTTTCCGTCAATTTTCCGCATTAAATCGGTTTCTGACAGGCAAGTGTGAAGCTGATGGATACAGGATTTTTGATTTCGGGTGTTTTCCATACAGTTGTCAAAGTTAATTGCGCAAGTGTTGAAAGTCACTGGAACCTTTCTAATTTTATGCTTGTAAAAATATATTTAGATAAAATTTGGAAACCCCAAGGCTGCATACTTTCCCGATGTTTCATAATCCCTTTTTCACTTACATCGCTGAACCACACAATTCTCATAGAGTTTCGCAAACTCTTTCGCAATTTTCGAATTATTCTTGATTTTATAAATCACTCCTCCCGAATTTCCAACATTTGATAAATCATAAGCTTTTCCTCCATGATTTCTAACTGCATAACACGCGGCTTCTTCAAAAACAAAACATTTCAATCCATTTCCACGGCTTGCATCTTCTAAACAATCACAAAATTTGGTATCACAAAATTGTTGGCCATTTTTTTGATTATAGCAATCATCGTGAATTGCGCAGCACAGATTGAAGTCATCTGAAAAAATATAGATTTTTTTATTTTTGGAAAGTGAGAATGAATGAATTAAAAGAACTGAATTTAAATTATGAACATTCTGAACCAGTGAATTTTTCAAATTTTTCCAAATTTTTTTCGAAAGTTATAAAAAATATATTCAGTTGATTTTCTGAGTTCTCTTAATCTCGAGTTCTCCGAATTATTTAATCCCAGTGAATAATATGTAAGATTGCCCCAATAACTTTAAAAATTCCATCAAAACTCTCACAGTAAGGCTTCGCACAAGCCAATCTTGAATAGGTTTCCGAAGCTGTTATTGAAATTGGATTAGTTTGCGATCCACAGTTCCAATAAGTTAAGTTAAGTCTCTCAGCCAAAACTAGAGTTGGAAACAATATTCCTAGAAATATCATTTTTTCGAATACTTGATTTATTTTTCAGTCAAGCTCTTTTTTATATGATATTTTCAGTTTTCCCGTCAAATTTGCATAAATTTTAAGAATTCTTCGAATTTTTCAGGCGTCTAGAATTTCCCCCCAAATTTTCCGCAAATCACAAAATTATTACAACATTTTTAGCTTTCTACAATTTAATAGATATAAAATGTAAATGTAAATGTAAAGTAATATTATTCTTATTATATTTACATTCTCGACCTTTTTTCTTGACACAAGACAAAAACCGGTTAATTTTTTCACATTACATAAGTAGCTTATTTATTGTGGTTGTGTAATAGGAAAAAAATAATACATAGAGATTATGAATGAACAAGCGAGAAGGTCAATCAGACAACAACATTTTTGGATTCGGAAAAAGCGAAAAAAAGAAGAGAGAATTAAGTGTGTCTTGTGGTTGTTGTTTGATCTTGAAACAGTGAGATTTTGGAGCGAAAAATATGGTGGAAAATTAGGAAAATATAGCATTTTTTTGAAAATCCACGAATATTCAACACCTGAATTCTGAATTGCTCATATCAATTCTGAGCAATCGTGAATTTTTCAAGCTAAAAAGCTTGGAAACTTCGGCTACAGAACATCCACACATAAAATTTTGAATTTTCGAAAAAAATCACTGTTTCAAAATCATCCCAAATATTTTCAGCTTTTGATTGATTAGACTGCCTAATTCCACATGAAACATTTTCACATAAGTTCAAGCTGAAAAATTTGTTTCAATATATCAGTTCTGAACATTCCGGCTCCAAAAAAATTTTCCCCAGCAATTTTTCTCGTTTTTTTTCATTCAAAAATTGAATGTTTCAAAATTTTCTTTTGATTTTTTCAAAATTCCTATAGGTTCGAGCAAATTGTGTCTTATTTATAAAATTTGACATCAAATCTCGCGCCATCAAAACTTTTCCCACAAAATCTCAAAAAACAATATTTCTCGTTTTGTTCATTCTTCCTTCCTATTCTTCATTCTTCATTCAAAAAATCCTCTCGAAACTAAGTATGCAGTTTAGTTTAGTTTACAATTACAATAAAATGAAGCACTCATCATCTTCTTCGTTTTTTTTTTGTTGAAAAAAAAAGAATGAAAAAATGTGTACAGAAAAGGAGATTTGCAGAGAAATATACGAAAATCAAGAAACCAGTTGTATATATAAATATATATCTGAAAAAATTAGATTTTTCATTATTAATAATAATAATCATCATATTTTTCTTTTGTTCTCCTCTTTTTTGTGAAAATTGTAAAAAATGGTGTAACTGGTTAGAGTTAGAATGCGTTCAACTTCTGATGCTCGGAATTTTTGCCTAATCACGTTTCGTGGAAAAAGTAGCAAGTTCTGCTTTTAAAAATTAAAAAAAAAATGTTGAAAAACTCACTTTTCCTCCAGTTTTCCTCATTTCTGAAAATCATTCAACAAAAATCCGCCTCATCAATTGTTTCGATATTTCCAATTTTTCGTTGACGTTTTTCCTGTAAAATAAAATTGAGTGAAATCTAAATAAGAACTCCAAACTGAAGAAAAATTTAAGAATGTACATTTTTTATAAAACTACTTGGTGAGGACCAGTTCTAGTATAAAACTAAAGAAAATCAACTAAAATTGTGTTACTTTTACTAGGAAAAAAGATAAATATGAATTTTACAACAAGTTTATACTAACTTTTCGATGAAAAAACTCTTCTAAACTTTTAGAGGAAAAAATATTTTTCTGTGGAAAATTGAAAAAAACTCAAAATCAAATTTACGCTAAACACAAGGCAAGCGGAATGTCGTTGTTTCCTTTTTTTTCAAAAAATAATTTTTCGCGTTTTTCCGTTTTTCTCTTTGTTTCTCATATGGGCCTATGCAGAATAATATTTTGTAATAAAAAAACATAAAAAAACATTTTTTTCCTATGCAGAAAAACGTCGAAAAAACTAAATATACAGTTTATTATTTTGAGTAGAGACAACGTGAAGTTGAGAGAGTGCAGAGAAAAAACCATTTTATGTCTGCGCTCTCTCAATTTCACGTTGTCTTTATTTAGTTTTTTCGACGTTTTTCTGCATAGGAAAAAAATGTTTTTTTATGTTTTTTTATTACAAAATATTATTCTGCATAGGCCCAATAGTAAATTAATATTTTAAACCGTTGTTTTTTTTGCCATTTTTTTTATTTCGGGGCAAACTTCATCATTTGAAAAAATATATATTATTCTGAACTTTTTGCCACGTGGATTTCTGAAAAAGTTCTGAATATGTTACCACCTAGATTTTTCAACCCGGAAAAAATTCCAAATCTTTTACCACGTGAATTTTGAAATACAAAAATCCCCGTAGGCATCAGGAATCGATCCAGCACTTTTTACTCTATAATTTAAGCGCTAACCAGTTGCACCATATGACACTTCAATTCACAAGTAAAATATCCTGGTTCGATTTCTCATCCCTTCTGTGAACATTTTTTGTTATTACTTCGTTTTTTCACAAAAAATTCTTGATCATTTTTGATGTGTCATCATTCTATTGTTTTTCTGTTAAAAACCCCAAGGACAAATTTTCGATTTGAAAAAATGATGTCCCCAACGAAAACTTCATCTAAATACTATAAATAGTATTGTATTTAGAAGTAATATTGGCAAATGCGAAATGCGAAAAAAAACCAGAATTTTTTTGTGGCCGCCGCGGTGGTGAAACGGTTTTAATTGTGGTTGGTGTGTTTGGATTATTTATTTTGTTATTAGTATTATTATGCAAGTTTTCGTTTTGGTTTTTTTTTGAAAGTTTGAAGTTGCGCGAGATTTTTTTCGAAATTTTAATTATAAAAAATGTTTTTCGAAAGACTCTGCCATTCAAAAATTATTATATTGCTCATTTTTTAGACCGTTGACAGATCCTTTTTTAAATTTAATATGAGCAATGGGAAAATTTCACTTTTTAAAAGTGGACTCTGAGCAAAAAATAAGTTGATGTTCTAAGGCGATGATGCAGATTAGTTTCTCCCCCGAGCTAATTGAGGAGAAAGAGGAGAAACGTGTTGCACGTGGAGGCGAAACAATGTATTTTTCGAATTTCGCCCCATTTCTCCTCATTTCTCCTCGGAGGAGAAACTCATCTGCAACATCGCCTAAGTACAATCCTCGAAGGATTTTTTACTGAAAGCTTCTCAAACATTAATTTTAAAATTTCAAAGTTCGAAAAAACAGTCCTAGATTTTTAATAATATTTTTTTGAAACAGTGAAAAATTTAGAAATTTTTTACTGACAGTTTCAATAGATGGATCATCGAAGTTCAAAAAATTGAGAAATAAGTGAATTTTATGAAACAGTAGATTTTTGGGGAATAATAAAAAATGTTAATTTAGAAAAATAAATTATTTATTCAAATTTACCTCATTAAAAATGATTTTTTGAAACAGTACATTTTTTTCGTTTCAAAAAAGTGTCAAAAAATATTGCCACGTGGAATTTTTAGCTGAATAATATCCCAATAAAATTGTTTCCCTCAACAAAAACCCCATATTTCTTTTAAAATCTGAAAATATCGACCTTAATCACATGTCTTCCTCAATTTCCATCATCTTCTTCTTTTTTGTGATGGCCACAGAAACCGGCTTACTTTTCATTTTTTGTATCTCTTTTTATTTTTGGTTTTTTCTCGACCGAACGTATTACACAATACAAAAAAATCAAACAATGCCAAATTAAAAGTCACAAAAAAAAATAATTTTCAGCACGCTCCGCCTTTGAAAACCAATCTCCCGCCCTTTTGTCCCCTCCAAAAATTTTCACTTTTTCTTTTTTTGACTGCCACAATTTTATCCCTCTTTCTTTTCTGCCATTGGCATAGAAGTAATAATATAATATACAACACTTTCGATTTTTACGATATCTCTCTGTGTTTTTTTTTTGCAATGTTCATCGCGGTTAGAGGAGGAAGAGGAAGAATAGTTTTTTGTTGTTTTGTTACTTTGTTTTTTTTTGTTGTTGTATCAGAGATTGATTTTTTCGGGAAAGTTCTAGTCGCAAAATTTTGGGAGAAAAAAATTGTTCCAAGTCTGATTAATTGGACCTGACTTTTAGCATGCTCCGATCGGACCATTTTCAATAGGAAGTCAATTTTTTTTTTTGAAAAAATCTGTTCAGAATTTTTCTCACAGGTCCATTGAGAGACTAAAATTTTTAAATTTTCTGGAATATTTTTCAAAAAGATTTTTGAGCATCTAATTTTTCAGGTCCCAAACTTCCACGTGGATTACTCTTTACTTTTTGATTTTTTTTAAATCTGAAACAGTCAAATTTTTCAGCCCGAAAAAATTATTATTGTTGAATTCCACGTGGTAAAGTTCAAATTTTGGAGCAAAACATTTTCTGAACTACTCGATTTTTGAGGTGAAAAATCCATGTGGCAAAATTCAGATATGCTTCCTTTTCGAGTTTTTCTTGAAATTATGCCCATAGAAATCTTTTGAAATACTTTTTTCATCAAATTTTTATATCTCGATTTTTCTATATTATTTCTCTCTCTCTCTCTCCCCAATTTTTCTAAACCCAAATATTTTTTGCAGCGATCTTTTTCGCCCAAACGAATCAACAGCCCCAATGCGAAAAACATTGGTGGCGTTGATCGGATTGGCTTTGGCATTTTTGGCGCCGAAAACAAGCGCCAAATTCACGCCAAACGCTACAATTTTATTCAACAAAGATGAGATTTTCGAAATTCCCGGACTCGAAGTTATGGCTTCGGATAAATATCCACATTTTACGACAATTGAAACAGTTAGCCGAACTAAAGTTCATCGACATAGAAGAGAAGTTATTGCTGGACCAATTTATGATTGGAATTCATATGAGATTCCATTTCAGATTTGGGGAGGAGATTGTGAGTTATTTTTGGATGGGAATTTGGGGAAAGACTGTGGAAAATAACATGAAAATTGGTTAAAACTTCCTTGTTTACCAAATTTTTAAAAAATTATTTTCGAAACTTTGAAAAATTGAGAATTTGACTTCAAGAGTCAAATTATTTGTACAAAGTCGATGAAATAAGTTTGGTTGGAAAAATATCGATTTTTCGAAACAGTGAATTTTTCAAAAAAAAAAATTAATTTTTATGCAAAAATTCCTGTTTCAGAAAATTATACTATCCAATAAAACTCGACTCTTGAAAAAAAAAGAAACATTTTTTGTTGTGAAGTTTTCTAAAAACAATTTTTTGAAACAGTGAAAAAATTTTCAAAAATAAAAATATTTTGAAACAGTAAAATTTGAAAAAAAAATTGTAATTTTTTAATTTCAATAATTTTTTACTGTTTCAAAAAAATAATTTCTAAAAATCTGCATTTTCTGAAGTTTGAAAAAATTCACCGTTTCAAAATTTGTGCAAACAATTTCGATCTGTATTGAAATTTTGGAGATATTGTTGTTCACCTAAAATTATTTTTAAAATTAACCTTAAGAACCTTAAGCATCTAATTTTTTGCCAAATTATCTATAAATATTGATTTTCGATCATTTTTTCAAACAAAAGCAGAAACAGAGTAATTTTTGTTGGTTAGCCTTGATTTTTTTAAGCAGCTTATGAAATTGAGAGTTTTTTGCAACAAAAAAAAGAGAAAGTGACACCACTTGAAAAAATGGGGGATTTTTGACAAAACCCATGATTTTTAATGATTTTCGGGTCAAAAATCGATAATTTCCCTGAAAATTTGTTGAAAATTCAAAATTTCAAATTTTCAGACAATTTCCAAGGTTTAATTCGACGTGGAATTCGAATGTGGGAAGAATCGACGTGTTTGAGATTTCGAGAAAATATGCAAAGTCGAGATGCGATTCGATATGTTTTGGAGAAAGGCGATAGTTGTTTCACGGAATATATTGGGAAAAATGGCGGACATCAGGATATTATTATTGGAAGCGAGTGTGCTGAGGTTAGAACTTTTGAGAAGATAGATTTTAGCGAAATTATGAAATAGCCCTTTTTTGAATGAAAGCTAGAATTTTTAATATTCAAGATTTACTTCAAAGTCTTTCACTGATTATTTGTTACACGTTAAACAATTTGTAAAAATTTTGAAACATTTTAATTTTCCTAAGTTTTTAAGTCAACCTATAGGTTGACTTATAAGCTGGATTTTATGAATCAAAATTTCCGGTACAGGATCGAGGTTTCATAGACCTCGAAAAAATTTCGGAAAATTTTGAAACAGTGAGGTTTCGAAAAAAAAATGAAAATCAAGATTTCAACTTATTTCAAAATTTAAAAAAAACCACGCAACTTCAAAATCCACAAAAATCTATGATTTTCACTTTTTTTTCCAAATTCTCACTCCAACTCCCCAATTTTTCCAGGAATACGTAGTTGCTCACGAAACAGGCCACGCTCTCGGATTCTGGCACACACATCAACGACCAGATCGAGATCGTCATATCTCAATAAATTGGAAAAATGTGATGGAAGAAGCGACTGCCTCATTTATGCCATTTCGCTCAATGCTTCAAGCTTTTGGTATTCGACAGGTTTCGCCGCGAAGAGTTCCATATGATTACGGTAGTTTGATGCATTATCATGCTGTTGCACATGCTGTTAAAGTTTCGGATTTTACAATTGTTCCAAAGGAATTGAAATATGTTACAACTATGGGAACTGAGAAAATGGCTTTTTTGGATGCAAAAGTTATTAATGATATTTATTGTCCAAGTTAGTTTCTTTTAAATATTGGAAGCTAGGAATTCTTCACAAAAATTAGAAATTGACAAAACTAAAAAATATTCTGAAAAATATTACTGTTTCAAAATTGCAATGAAATAATAATCAAATATTGATCTAATTGAAAAAATCTTGAAATTCTTCCAGATGCTTGCCAAGGTCGTTCAAACATCAATTGCCTAGCTGGTGGTTATCCAGACCCCAATAATTGTCAAATATGTCGCTGTCCAGAAGGCCTTGGTGGTGCTGATTGTTCTCGCCTTCAACCATCTTCCTGTGGCGGGGAAATTCATGCAAATGATCAATGGCAAACTCTAAGTAGTCCAGCTGGCAAAGATATTCATTGTTATTGGCGGATTTCCGTTCCAGAAGGATCTCGCGTTCGTTTCCGATTATCTGATGGCGAATTTCCGTGTTCCTACGGTTGTCAATCTTATGTGGAAATCAAACATAAATTGGATGTTAGACTAACTGGTTTTCGAAGTTGTTGTTATCGACCGAAAGAGGATACGGTGTCGGAAAATAATCAGATTTTTGTGATTTATCATCCGAATGGACGAACGGCCAGGTTTTCGTTGAGATTTAGACGACAAGTTTAAATTCTAGTTTGAGTTTTGTTTTTTTGTATGTTTTGTGCCTTTGTGATCTCATTTAAGGGTGGGTTTTTTGGTTGAGAAATGGGTTAAATTTGGCAAATGCACTATAATGAGAAATTAAGATTTATTGGCTCCATAAATGCGCTCTATTCCTAATTTCGCCCATTTCCCACTCCCAAAAACCTCACCCATCCCCCAAATTTCCCTCATTTCTCCAAAATTCCCGGTGAAGCAAATTTGCTCGATGTGTTTCTTGTATATTTTGTATGTTTTTTGCGCATTTATGTAATAATTTTATTGATTTTTTGGACCTCCTCAGGTTGTTCCGATGTTTTCTTTTTCGCTACGGGACCTTTTTTTGATGAAAAATAAAAATTGAAGAAAATTTTGATTTTTTTTTTAATTTGGAGAAATGATATATTGAGAATTTTCGCACGAAATGCTACTTTGAAAAAAGTGCGCTCTATTGTTGAATTCAAATAATTTGAACTTCAAAGGACTTTATATACAGTTAATTAGGAAATTAATAATAACTACCTTCAATTTTTACGATATCCAAAAACTCGGACATCCAGCCCCTCCCCAAGCAGGCATTTCTTTCACAAAATATAATCCGTGATCATTATAAGTCAAATTGAAATCCAGTGTAGCACTACAGTAATATCCATCAGAACTTGTGCATTTATGAAATTCGGCACCGATTTCCATATCATTCGGATACCAGATTTCAGTTCGATGATGATGTAGATTGTATCCGGGACCAATTTGTGGAGGAACATGAGCAATTATATCTCGATTGTGAACGATTCGGTAAGAGTAGGGAAACTGGAAAAAAGGAGCATTTACAGAAGTTTGACACAAAAAATCCACGTTATAACTACTAATTTGCGCTTACTTAGAATACTACTAGAACATTTGAATTTTACTTCTCAATTTTGAAAGCGAGTTCTAGAATTAAAAATCCTCCTTACCGTATTATCATGCCAAAGTGCATAATCATAATCTCCAGTCCTCGGTTGTCCCATTGTAATCAATTTCACATTATCCGGTTTCATCAATTTCTCATGAACCATATAAGAAGCGGCGACTGATGCCAATGCTCCGCCCATCGAATGTCCATTCACCCAAATTTCGAATTTCGGATATTTTCGCAAAATCTCCTGAATATCCTGCTCCAATCCACCTTGCCAAATGAACAAAAATGCGTCGAAAAAATAGGAAAATATGTTGCCAATGTCGAAAAAACGACGTTCAGCACTGCAGAAAAATCAGAAGTTAGATATCTTATTTTAGATCTGAAGTCAGGGAAACTAACTTGTAAAAATAGGTCACCAATTCTTCGGCCAACTGCAAATTATTTTGAGTCCCACGAAAACCAATTGCTATCACTTTTTGCTCTTCATCTATTGCTGTATAAGCGAAACATGAAGTTTGTGGAGGTAAAGTGCTACAATTTACATCATATGTGTTGAATAGTTTCATTGTTGGCATTTGATTGCTGGAATATTGGTTGATTAAATTTGAAATTCGTCAATTTATTAGATGTTTTGAATGGAGGAACTAAAGCTTCAAAAATACTAATGTAAGATTTAATAAAATTTAAAAATAACAATTTCTGAGTTCAACAAAACCAAATGCTATAAAAAGTACTTCAGAAAAAAAATACGTTTCAAAAGTTTCAGTTACAATTATTTTCAGAAACATTTTTTGATTCTTGTTCAAAAAAATTTTTTTCACAAAAAATTTCACTGTTTCAGAAATTCAATGAAATAATTTTTATCGAATGATTGTTGCTTCTTTTTTTTCTTCCAACTCACTCAAAACAAATTTGTGGATTGTCTGAAGAAACAGCAGCAGTGGTAATCAGAATTTTTTTCCTTATAAATTCGTCATCATACGCAAATCTGGCCTCAACTTCAGCTTTTGGACAATTTATAATATTCATAATGGAATGCTCACTGGGACAGAATATTTCATCGCAAGAATCTTTCGAATTACACCATTCTTTGCCATTTTGCACACATTCCACGCAAAGATCTTTCGGTTCAATTTCTTTTTTCGGCGGCCGACTTTCAACCAAAATTAGTGATATTAATAGTAGTAGTATAATTTTCATAGTGTTTTTTGCTTCGATTAAACATCTGTGGAATGTTTTTATACACTTTCAAAACATGGCGATAAAAGTGCATCATCTCACGTGGTTTTGAAATTCCTTTGCTCGCCGCGTGGCCTGAATCGAGTTCAAAAACTCAAAAATTAATAAAAGTGGTACTGTAGCCTCGATTATTTTTGTGTGCATTTGTGCGTCGCGGTGTTTGCAACTGCCGCTTGGGCATTTTCGAAATTTTCATTTTTTGTGTTTTCTCTCGTGTTTCTTGGGGGTTCCTGGGGTTTTTTGGTTGAACTTTTTTGCATTATCAATTTCAGAACATCCTGTGTAGTTAGGCTAACTAGAAATTTCCCAAGAAAATCGATTTTTCCAGTTTTAATGAGGGAAAAATCAGTTTTTTCCAACTCTTCCCAAAACTAGTGTTTCCTTGTTTTTTGAAAGTTTTTCCTCGTCACCTTTTTTTGTCTTATCAACGCCCTTTTATGCAAATAAACAAATCTATTCTATTTTCAGCAATCCGTCAATAACAAAACACAAAAATGGCGTCAGCGCAACGAAAACTGCAAAAAGTGATGGTTCAACCGGTCAACCTCATCTTCAGATATCTTCAACAACGCACACGTGTTCAAATTTGGTTGTACGAGGATGTGACACACCGAATCGAGGGTTATATTATTGGTATGCGAGGGTTTTGAGAAATATGGGAAAAATCGAATGAAAAACTGGACTTTCTCGATTTTCACGTGACCTAAGTGATGTGGCAATTGAAAAGCCATTTTTCACAAGAAAATCATGGGTTTATTCTCCAAAAAGACAGGATTCGAATAAAAATTATTAGTTTTATCAGAATTTTTGAGAAAAGTTGAAAAAAGACTCAAAAAATCTCATGTTTTTTTCAGAAGATTAATTTTCCTTGAATAATTAATAATTCTAAGCAATCATTATTCCATTAAAAACTAAATTTATTGCAGGTTTCGACGAATTCATGAACATCGTGTTCGACGAAGCCGAAGAGGTCAACATGAAATCCAAAGCTCGCAACAAAATCGGCCGAATCCTGCTGAAAGGCGAAAATGTCACATTGATTCACGCGGTTCAACAAGAAGCCTAAAATGCTTCAGATTTTCCCTGTTTTTCTTTTCATTTTGTAAGCGAGTTTGGATCTCCTTTTTTACTTTTTCAAAAACCTTGTTTCAATTCCATAAATTATACATTTCATTCACAAAAAGCTTCAAATTCAATTTCAAAATTTCTCTCTATAGTTTACATATTTCGAAAATCCCATGTAATCCGGTTTTTCGTAGGCAACTGTATTGTTCAAATCCTGACGTTTATCATAATCATAAGAAGACACAGAATATTGATGAAGATTTCGACATCTGAAACAAACATCTCAAACTTTGAGAAAAGGGGGAGCTGGAGATTCAACTCTGAATATGAGTTATGACGTGGCAATGTGAAGGGGCTTCAGAATACTGAAACTAAATTTCAAATTTTGCCACGTCTTCATAATTCATGTTCAAAGTTTATTTCATCAAAAATTCTCACCGATTTCCAAAAAAGCACGTCCCTTTGAGAAAAAATCGGCAAATTTGGGAGTTTAAAGGTGCAGTTGCTGCTGGTTTTGGAGTTGGCGGATGGAAGAAGAAACATTTGGAGCCAAACTGACAGTTTCCTTTTTTGAAACTCAAGCACTCGATTTTTTGGCGATGTTTCTGGAAATTTGTGGGGATGAGATTTGAATTTTCCAAAAAAAAACTGACCTGAATACTGCTGGGACGAGCTGGACATGTTTGATTCAATAAATCGCGTGACATCGGTTTTTTGGGAAAATCGAATGAAAAATCGATTTTTTCAAACTCAGAGAAATGGGCTGGAGAACCGCCGGATAGACGACACAGCGGAGAATATTCGGGAAACCGATGGAGAAAAATGTTCTCCGCCAGTTCGCCGACAGTTCTCCGAATTATCAACAATGTTTCTCCTGCGCGAAAGAATGTTCTCGAAGCAGAGAATGGAAAACCAGCGGACAACTGGCGGAGAAAATTTTCTAGTTTGGAGAGCGAAAAATGCAAAAAAGCGCCTAGCGGAGAACCAATGGAGAACTGTCGGAGAAACTATGGAAAACTTTCGGAGAACCGGCGGAGAACTCTCGGCAAACCGCCAGCCGTAGGCTGGATCTCCGAAAGTTTTCCGCCGGTTCCCCAGCCCATTTCTCTGAGAAAAATTCCGATCGGTTTTGTCGGAAAGTTGGGTTTTCGCGGAGTAGATCAAAAAATGTTGCTTGGAAAAATGTGGAATTTTTTTGACAAATGTAATTTTTCGACACGTGGAATTTTCTCCAAATTAAAGTTTTTAATTTGAATCTCAGCCACGTGGAATGTTTTAGCGTCAAATTGAAATCTTGAAATTGTACGCCACGTGGAATTAAAAAATTCAAATTTTAAATTCAGAAAATTATTTATTCATGCAAAAAAATCAATAAAAACATGTTGCCGAATGTGGGAAAAATAAAGCAATTCTGTATACTGTAAGCAATTCCAGCTCACTTTTTTCAAAGCTGAAAATCTGAAAATTCCAGATTTTCAGCCACAAAAAGTAACTCGAAAGCTAACAATATCACAAATCATTTCAGGTCAACAAAAAATCAAATAAAAAATATGGCAAAAATCTGAAAAAGAGCTCAAAAAAATTCCACGAATTCTCGAATTCAGATGGGCTCTTTTTCAGAATTTTTTAAAGACACAAAAAAAATCGATAATTAATTAAAGGCAAGTTTTAAATCATGGCTTTTTGGGGGTAAAATTTGGATTTGTAGGGGAAATGTTAAAGTTTCTGATTTTAATGGCAAATTTTAGAGTTAGTAATGAAATTAAAGAAAAAGTGTTAGTAACTTTGGATTTTTGGAGAATTTTGGAAAGTTTCAGATTACTGTAGAATCAAGAATACTGTAGAAATCTTAACGTTTTTTGATATATTTTAACTAGAAAACCAATAATTTCAGCTTTGAATAATGAGCTCTAAAATCCAGATTTGAAAATTTTCCAAAATTCCCCTTCTCTCAAAAAATCTAGAGTTTCAACCATTTGACATCTCTAAAAATCCATTGTTGTTTCTCGAATTCGTCGCCAAATCTAGCGCATTTCTCAACAATCGGTGGATTCAATTCATCTTTCGAATTATCGAAAATCGTTGGTAGAGTTAGACAAAGTCCACTTTCTCGATTTCGCAATTTTCCCGATTCATAATCCCAATATTCATTCGGATTCCCAGCACATTCTTTCAGCTGAATTTGCCAAGTTCTTGATTGATATTGAAGTTGGACATTTGAGAGACAAAGATGTTCGTCGGTTCGAAGGCGAAAATCAGTGGTGTAGAGCCAGAGCTGGAAAATCAGTGGATTAGAGGGGTTTTGGGGGAAGGGGGACTCAAAATTTTTACAAAATTTGGGCTGAAGCTTGCAGTTTAAAAAGCACTCAGATCAATTTTGTCTAGTTTTTTCGTGAAAACTGATCCAAAGTTTTACTTAAAATTAAAAATATAAATTTTCAGATCTCCTGATATTTTTCTAGAAGTTGTAGTACCAAATTTTCGTACTATTTTTTCAGTCTCGAAATATTTGTGCTAAAATTGTTCAGACAAGCTTTGGATTGTTGGAATTTTGCCAAAAGCTTTGGGATTTTTCTGACACCTAATCTGAATCCACGTGGCAAAATATAACATTTACAAACAAAAAATCAATAATTTCACACAGCTGCTCATAAATTTCATAACCGATTCCTGTTTTCCTACTCTACTTCTCCCGATTTTTCCTCCAATTAAGTCCAACTCAACAAGTCCCTCCATCTGCTTTATGCCGGAAAACAAGAGCGAGAGATTGAGGGAAAATAAGAGAGTGCGCAGAGAGTGTATTCTTTTTCTCGGACCTTTTTGTGCGCTTACATGTTTCTTCACCATGGTGACATATTTATTTTTTGATTTATTGTTTATTTTTTGGTGGGAATTGTTTATTTTTGAATTTTGCTAGGACTACAAACATTAATAATGTCCATTAATTTTGAAGATAGGCTAAGTCACCGCAATTTTGAATGATTTTTGCATTTTTTTGCTATTCAAAGTTTGAAATTTAACAAAATTTTATTACCGAAGAGCGCTAATTAGTTCTCTTGAATAAATAAATGCAAGTTACCTGCTGAACACCAACTTTTTTCCTATTATTTTGGTTTTTAATTATTTTTTGTTTTTTAAAAGTACGAAATGAAAGAAGTGAATTCAAAAAAAAGTCGACGCAAGAAGTCAAGATCTGGGAGAAATGTCTATCTATATCATATGAAAGGTTCAACCGGGAGACAACCTGCGATGACCAAGTTCAATGATTCTCGAGAAAACATAAAGCTAAGAGTACTGGGATACGGTACCACACACACACACATATACAACATACAGCAACGAATACAATACAAGGAATAAAAACACATAAAATAAGTAACAACACGGTACCTAATTAGGACAATACAGTACAATTTAATAGGAAACAATATTACATAATAAAAGATCGATCACAACAATTGAATGAGTATAAAATAATCACTATCTATAGAAGAAATATATTGAATGAAATGAAATGGCGAGCTATGATTGTGCCGTAGGGTCAAAGCCTTAATCCACACACTATTTTAGGATTAGAATTCTAAAATGGGTATAAGTTTCCCAAAACACATACACAAATAAATATTAAATATGAATAATGATTAATGAAGAATAAAGATAAATGAATAGTTATATTAATATACTAGTTAGATAATATTAATATAATAAGAAGGCTACTGTTCGGAGAGACACACCGACCCTGTGTATTTAGGCTCCGAACATGTGTGGATATAAAAAGTAGATCTATGAAGATAAACCATTTTCATAGACCTACAAAAGATAGTGATAGAAACCTCTACACCAAAAACAGCTTCGTAAATACATAAATTAGGAAAGTAGGATAACATAAAACATTAAATCTTAAAAATTTAATCACTTGTTATAAAAATAATTATACCTTCGTAAATATGATATATGGTCTTGTTAATATTACCTTACCCTCTTGTTGAACATTTTCCTTTCTGAAGAAACTTTTCTACAGAAGAAATGTGCAACACTACATTCCGAGGAAATTCCCCATGGGGAAACCGATCCCGCGACAACTCGCAAAGACGGAGGGATGGATCAGTGAGCCGCAAAAAAAATACGCAAAAAGCGCGCATGCCGTAAACGGACAACGCCGAAGACAGCAGAAGAAGTGAGAGAAGACAACAGACGGAACGAGAGAAACCACACAAAACGCAATTTTACCGATCAAACACAAAAAGAGACAAAGCCAAATTCGAAGTCAAACAACAAGAGATTCTAAAACTAAAGGGACCGAAAACAACATACCAAGTGAACGACACATTAAGATCAGCGGAAACAATCATGCAGAAGATATTGGAGGATGATAAAAAGCGATTCGATTGTGAAGCACTTGACGGAATATTAGGAGAATACGAAAAGGAAAAAGAGAAGGTGAACCAGATCACCGAAGAGCCCCACGACGAGCTCTCGGATAGACATTTTCCGCTTTTAATCAAGTACGATAACTTAATGAGGGAAAAAGACAATTTCATCAAGGAGAAAGGAAGAATCAACTTCGCATCGACTAAATGCCGTCTCAACAAGCGCATAGAAGGCGCCAAATTGAAACGTGAGTATCAATTTGCGCGGCGCGCTGTCGAAACGACGGAGAAAAGAATCGAATACCTGAACCAATGCATCACTAACATGAAAATCGCAATTTGGAACCATTTTATGGCCCCAATAGACGAACACTTCAGGACCACTACAACTTTCAACACATCCAGTCAGGACATCGAAAAATGGAAAAGAATCCGCGAATATTACGAAACGCCAATAAAGATAATAACATTGGCGGACGTCATCGAACAATATCTAATGGAGAAAAAACTGTACCAAGAATCTAATCGCAAACTATAATCATAACCAATCGTAGCCGTAATCATTACAAATCAGAGCGTACAAGTCGGGGATGTGGAGCCGTCATCATTTCGTCAGATACCGGGACGGTATCTCGTGCTGGTCGGGGATGTGGAGCCGTTATCCTTAGACTTATTAATATTATGTTATCCTTAGACTTATTATTGTATGCTTTGATTTATCATAAATTAGTAGTTTATCTAACCTATCTTTAGTATTATGGAACCACGAGGACCCATTTCCTCACATTGGCAAACAGAAGCGAATGGAACGACAGAGGACGCTCAATGGAAAGAAGACCGAGATCTAGACCAGTTAGTCCATGGGGACGCCCGGCGAGTCGTCCAGTCAGCCCAAGAAATCAACAAGGAAAGCGGTCATCACATGGAGGTTCCACCGACATTGGAAATCCTCCGAAGAGGGTAAAGTCTCTGGTTTTAATTAACTATTACGCAACGGAAAAGCTACGCAAAAATCTAATTTCATTTCAAAGCTAGGAATTTTTTTGAAATTTTTAATTGTAAATATACTTATGTTAATGTCAATAATAAATAATTCGATACGATTAAACTTTAACTTGATAATTCGTCAAAAAAAACGTCTGAAAATTTCGCTGCTTGAAAAATCTCGACAGGTAAGATACCCCCTCAATATCCCTGGAAAATGAAAAAAGTTTTTTAATTTTAAGATTCTACGAAAGCGTTCACAATTGATAAGAATCGGAAGCAGAATCCGAAGCCAACAAGGAAAATTTGCAGAAATTTCAAATTCGGTTAGTTTTGCTAACTTCACTTTTTTGAAATTACCTAACCTACGAATATTGAATTTTTCAGACTCTACAACTTCAACTTCACATCATATCAAAACTATCAGCAGCCGTTTTTTTTTTAATTTTTTCACATTTTTTTTGTACTTTTTTGTATTTTCTTGCATTTTTTGTATTTTTATGTAATTTTTCTTCCCAAACCCCAATTTTTCTCGAAACACCAGAACTTTTGTGTAGGGTTCAGTGAATGCGTGTTAGGTTAGAAATTCCGAAATCCAACTTTTTTCACAATCAATGCAACTGCGCTCCACTGATAATCGGACAAATGCGCTCTACTGACAATATCGATATAAATATTTTTCAAGTTCACTCTACATTAATCAAAAATCAGCTGCGCTCTACTGAGAATATCGATCAACAAGTCAAATGCGCTCTACTGAACAAGGACTCAACATTACTCCAATGCAAATTCAAGTGCGCTCCATTGGACAACACACATTCTGGAGGATTTCATCAAATGCGCCCCACTGCACAGAAAAAGTTTGGACTAGGTTTTTTATCTGGCGTGTTGCAACTGCGCTCTATTGCAAAAATTTGAAGTGTTCCCTTTTTTTTAATTTTTTTTTTGAAAATTTGAAATGTTTTCTTTGAATAAACATAAAAGAGAAGTGCAATTTTTGAATCTCAAAATTTCAGAAAAAAATCGCCAACCTGCCACAAATCAAAACCCATCGTACACTTGGCGCCCAAAAATCGCTGATTTTTCGGTCCCGAATCACCGGGCCGAAAAGCCAGACAAAATTCCGTGGATTTTGAGGAAATCTGGAAAATCATACCTGTTGTTTTCGAAAGTCTTCCAAAATTTCCGAAATCGTCGCCGCTTTGATTCCTGATTGTTTCAGCGCCCAACTCAAACATTTTTTGGCCGAAAATTTTGAAACGATCTGGAGAGAAAAACGACGCGATTTCGGGAAATTTTACGATTTTTGGTCCCAAATTCAATTTTTTGAAGAATCTTGAATGTTCAGGTATACAATTGATAATTTTCATCCAATTTTTTTCTAGAAATTAATGAACCCGTCCCAAAAATCCCACTTACCCTCCCAAAAAAATCTCCGGGCATCGGCAAAAAATGATCAGTGAACACAGTCTTCAGATACCAGGAAAATGGTTTGCAGCGCAATTTTTTGCGAAGTTCCACACGATCTGACACATCGATTGAATTTCGCATTCGAGAAGCTTGAGGAGCTATCTGGAAGTTTGAATTTTCGTGGTTTCAATTTTCGGAGAAAATTTTCACTGTTTCAAAATTTCTATAAAACTTTTTGGGGTTTCTGAGATTTCGATGATCTCGAAATTTTGTTTCCCAAAAATACCATGATTTTTTTTTGATGAAACATATACAGTTCATTATTTTTGAGTAGAGACAACGTGAAAGTGAGAGAGCGCAGACAAAATAATTAGTTTTTTGTATTTTTTGTTCGAAAAATTAATTATTTTTTCTGCGCTTTCTCAATTGCATGTTGTCTCTACTTGAAAATAATAAACTGTGTATTTTGTCTTTCATTTCAAAAATTATGATGTTTTGTGTTTTTTATTACAAAATATTAATCTGCATGGGCCCATAAGTTTATTGAAAAATATTTTTGAAAAAATTTCACTCTTTCAAAATTTCTATGATATTGTTTTGAATTCTTGAAATTTCAATAAGTCTTCAGTCGACTTTTTTCGAGAAAAATAACTGTTTCGAAATTTCTATAATATTTTTTTGGATTTTTGAAACTTTGATACATATATTCGTTTTATTCCACTTCCATAACAGCCTACCTTATAAAACATTTCTTTCCAATCATCCATCCAAACTTCGGCAACTCTCATCAAATTCTCATTCAAAACTTTTCCACTCGATTTTCCCGGAAAATCATGCGGCGAGCTTTTTCGAAAAACATGTCCAACATGAGAACACGGCAATATCTCGACTCTTCCTCCACATTGCCAAATTCTAAATGACATTTCCAGATTCTCTCCTCCCCAAATATCCATTCCGGGGTCATATTCACCAATTTCTTCGAAATAATTACGATTTATTGAAAATAAGCCGCCAGCCATTGTTGGACTTAGAATTGGAGCTGTTGGTGTTTTTGCGTGCTCTTTTGCTAGATTTGCGGGCATCGAATACCAACGGAATTGGAGATTCCAATTGAATCCACCGCGAAACATTTCGATTCCTTTTTGATACTGAAAATTGAGAAATATAGTGAAAAAGTGCCTGGAGAAATCCAATGGTCCGTTTTTATTCAAAACCCTGCCTTCCCTAAATATTTACCTGAAAATTATCATCATTTATAATATCAATAATTGGACATGGCACAGCTTTTCGATTTTTTCGAATTCGATCCAATAATGGTTCCAACCAGCCCTGCGTAGCTTCACAATGCGAATCCAAAAATGTCAAAACTTCTCCATGTGCTTCTTGTGCTCCCATCATTCTTGCTCGAATTAGCCCAACTCTTGTTTTCGAGCGTATAATTTTGACGTGAGTTGGCAGGTTTTTCAGCGATGAGTCTAGGATTTTTGGCGCTAGGAATGTACGATTCGAAAAGTCGTCTACCAGAATTATTTCGGCTAGAAGGGAGCGAGGAGATCTGGAAATTTTCAAAATTTTATGAAATCTTATTCGATAAAATTTCCAACTATTTTGTCAAACAGAAAATTTCGTGTCCCAAATCCACTCTCTTACCGATTAATAACACTCCAAACAGTTCTCATCAACGTCGAATAAGCCTCATTATGATAAACAATAATAACAGAGGTATTTGGCAATTTGTCAATTTCATATGTCAAATTTCGACAAGTCGGTTTTCGAACATCCGGAATTGTGCGATTCACTGAAATTCGATCCGAAACATATAAATTGAATTGATTTATTGGGAATATTTCATCGGCTTCTTTTTGTTGAGCTGGTTCTAGACGAACTGCTCGACCTGATTCACCCCAATTTTCGATTGGTGAATAATTGTTGGCATTTAGTTGAGCTGCAAAATTAAAAATAAGGTGGAAATGAGAAAAGGTAAGGAAGTTTGTAGGGAAAAAGAATTCTTTTTTCTAGAGAAATTTAAAAATAAGCAACGACACTCCGCGTGCCTGTTGTTTATCGTATTTCAAAAGAGCGGGATTTACAAATCGATTTATTGTTGTTTTTTGTTTTTTTTAATTTTAAATTTTTAAATTTAATTTTTAATTTTAATTTTTTAATTTAATTTTTAACTCCGTCTCAAAACTTAAAGGATTCTCCTTGGGGTTATAGTTTGTGGGGGAAATCTCACGGTTCTCAATTTTGCCGCCGATATTCAAAAAAAGCTCTTACCACTCGTCAAATTCCTTCTCTTCTCATCCGGCAAATTTCCATTATAATGTCCAACTACCACATGAAAATTGGGCCTAGCTTGACCAGTTTCAGCAGAATTGTTCTCAGATGTTTCAGGTGTGAAGAAAATCTGAAATATTTTTGAATTCAGAAATTTTTGAGCCTTCTCTAAAAACAGCTCACCGCGTCTTGTAAAAAGAGAATAAATAGTGTCAGTGTGCACCAAGTTGCCATAAATCCGATGAAAACCAGAAAAAACAGAAGGAGTTTCCGGCGAGGCCGGAAAACCCACATGTTTTTGGTGGCGGACTGGTAAAATTGGCCCAAGTTTGATCTAGGTCATCTGAAATGTGAGAAAATTAGAGGAGAATGGGATTTTTTGGAAAATTGAGCAAAAATTCTTGAAAAACACAATTTCAAAGCTCATTTTTTCTTTTTTTATTCAAATTAGTTTTGAATTTAATTTTCAGCAGAATTTTCTAAATTTTCCAAAACTCACTGTTTCAACTGAGAAATTAAATAAAAAATGATTTTTTCATTTTCAAACAGAATCCAGGCTGTCAAAAAATTCACGTAAAAAGTTCACGTTTTAATTTTTTAATTAGAGCAAAACTAGATTTTTGGCTGAAAATTCGATATTTTCATTGAATTTTCAACCAAAAATTCCCAATTGTTCCCAATTTGTCAACCCAAAATCAATAAAATTTAGCAGAAAATTGATATGGGAAGAAGATTTTTCATCTTCTTTTTCTCCTTTTTCATTTTTCATTATTATTTTATTATTATCTTATCACCAAAAACAACATACGGAGAAACAAAAAAAGAAGATTTTGAACTGGTTTTCGTGTTTTCTGCGCGATGAAAAAATAGATTTGGGCCGGATTTTTGATGGATCAGAATAGAACAGAAGAACCAGAACATTCGGGAAGAAGTTTGGGGATTTTTGAGAGGGAATCTGGATTTTTAAGAGAATCGATTAATAAAACTCAAACTGCCCTCAAAAAATATATGAAAATTTTGAAACAGTGAAAAATTTAGGAAAAATTGCTTTCTTCAATCCCTCTTACGTGGAATTCCAGCAGGTTAGAATTTCCAGATTTTTTCCACCATGTTGACTTTAATTCAAATAGATTCCCAATATGAATAAATATTGAAGTACCCTTACAAATTATGCAGAATTTTTGAAACAGAGAAACATTTTCAAATTTTTTTTCCAACAAAAAATATTTTTGGCATAATTGGGAAAATCAGGGTTTCAGAATTTTTAAGCTGAAATTTTAGGATTTTTTTGTGCCACGTGGATTTTTTTCTCATTTTCATTCGAAAAGTTCCAAAAATTTTCACCCAAAAACCACCTAACCTTGAACTTTTTTTGCCTAATAATTTCCACTTCAAAAATTCGCCACTCCAAAATTACAAGTATGTTCGCAAAAAAATGAACTGTATTAATTTCACACAGAGAAAATTGGATTTTCATCTGAGAATCTCAAAATAGTTTTAAAAAATCGAAATTTGAAAAATTCAAAAAAAAAAATTATGGGTTTTTTTTCTGGAAGAGGGAATTTTCTGATTTTCAAAAAAGAAAAACTATTAATTTTCAACCAAAAAATTGTACAGAAACCAGGAAATCAAACCAAAAAACATTTTGTCGAAAAAAATTGAAAATGAAAATGAAAAAGTTGTTTTCACCCCCAAATAAACCAGTTTTTTTCAGTTTCCAAAAAAATCACAAAAACTTTTTCAAGGAAAAACTCACCCAAAAATTGTACACTTTCCAAAAACTTTCAGAAAATTTTCTCCAAAATAAAAAAAACTTATTTTTTGGAATATTCGTTCTTCAACTTCTAAATACTCGAAAATCGGCGAGAGAAAAGAGACTGTAGAAAAAGTGAGAAGAGAGTGTGGGAAATGGAGAGAGTGCAGAGAAAAACGGGTGGCCTCGAATCGGGTCACATCGAATTCGCTTTTTTTCACCCACAGCCACAAGTAATTTTCGTAAAAACAAGAAAAACAAGGATTTTTTGGGATGAAATTTGGATTTTCAAAGAAAAATTTAGAAAAAATCGGAATTTTTTTCACTGTTTCAAAAATTTTGTATAAAATTTTGTAGGCGTTCAAAGTTCTAATCCCCCCAATATTTCGAGACAGAAATCCATGTGGAAGAATTCGTTTTTAACTTGAAAAAATGACGAGAAAAGTTAAGAAAAAAAATGTTCACTGTTTCAAAAATTGTACATGATTTTCCAAGTTTTCTTCAAATTCGAGATTTGGCTTGAAAAACTACATCTGAAATTCCACGTGACGGCATAAAATTACTGAAATTCTAAACCAAGTGAAAAACGTCTGCAAATTTTGAAAAAAAAAATGCATAAAAAATTTTCGCTGTTTCAAAAATTGCACTGTTGTTAAACTAATCGATAAATCATACCTATATTTCTATTCTTCGAAAATTAATTTTAATAAATCCACGTGTAAAAATTCAGCAATTTTAGTATCAAAAACCCGGAAATCTCACGTGGCGAAGTTGGTAAATTTTCATGAAAAATAATTTTGAACATTTTTTCACTGTTTCAAAAATTCCGTGAAGTTTTGAATGATTTAGAAATCGTTATTAGCACTTTTTTTTTATTTATTTTTTATTTATTCAATACGTTGTGGGACAACGTGACGACAAGTACGATAATAATGATAATAATACATGAAAAAGAAATAAAAGAAAGACAGGGCTTACGAGTTATAACCCGGGGGTTGAGAATGCGCTTGTATTTATACTGAATCCGGTTAATTATTTGGTGAATCTGAAATTTGTGAAGAGCAAGTGCGATTAGTGAAGAAGTTTTTGCGAATATTTGTTTTTGGGACTTTGTAATGATATCTGATTTTACTACGAGTTTTAGAATCCGCTTCTACGGTGAAGAGTTTACCATAAGCCAGATCAATTTTATTTGTATTAAGTTTATGTAAAAATATCTTGTCAATTTTCATTCTACGATTTTCAAGACTCATAAGACCAAACTCAGTATTTCTAGTTTCATTAAATTTGTAATCCTTCTCATCTGATCTAATAAATCTCCCTTTAATTCTAAAAAATAATTTTCTAGTGAAGTTGTTTTGGGCACTTTCTATAATTTGTTTCAATTTTTTCGTAGACGGCGATGTTACTACTGTTCCATATTCTAATAAAGGTCTTACGAAAGTTTTATACAAATTAATCATAAACTTGATATTATTGCTTTCAAAAGTCTTAAAAATTTGATACGTCATATAATTGGCCTTAGAAACAGATTTTTTCCAATGTTCCTCAAAATCTAACTTTTTTGATATTATAAATCCTAGATCCCTAATATTATTTTCGAACTTTATGGTTTTTGATTCAATTGTATAGTTAAAGATTACCCTTCTAGAACCTAAAGATGTAAATTGAGTTTTAGAAGAATTCAGAACTAGCATGTTATTTTTACTCCAATTGTTAATATTATCTATGACTTCTTGAAGATGGGAACAAGATGTATTATTACTTATTGTGGAATAAATTTTTAGCACTTCTAAGGTTTTTTTACGTCATAGTTTTTTCCCCTATTTCATTCCAAATTTTTTTGTTCCCAAAATTTCCCTCTCGATCAATCAAAATCAAAAATCATTCATGCATATTTCTGCGAGAATCCAATCCGGAATCCCGTCAAAAATGCAATTTTTTCTGTGAAAAAAAAAGTTTTTCATAGAAAATAGATCCAGTTATGCTATATCTACTATTATTTTTTATAAATTTGACTTTTCCGAATTTTATCAGAGCTCAAGATGATTATGCACTGCCTTCTGGATTCTCAAGTGCTGAATATGGACATAATGAGGTGAAAAATAGGCGGGATTTCAGAAAATTGAAATCAAACAATTTTTTCTCCCAAATCATTCAAATTCAATTTTTCCAGGCTCCCGGTCCAATTGCCTCTTCTTGTTTAGCTCGAATTAGACTTGCAGCCTCATTTGATCCAAATATTCCAACTCAAATCAATCGATATTTAGATTCGATGCGATTCGATAAATTGAGATCTTTTGTGTGTGAAAAAGTGAGTTCTCGAAAAAAAATGTCTCTGGAAATTCTGTATTTTTTCGTGCAGACTGCCTATTTTTGCGATGAACAACAACAACATGAAGTTGGGGAAATCTTTAGAAATCATCAAAAATCGATGGATATTGTGGAAAATGTAAGATCACAATTCAGTTCGACAGAGAAGGATCAATTAAATATGATGGAGAATTTGAATGATTCGCTAGCGGAACAGGCTTTTTATGTTTATAAGTTCCATGTGAGTTGGGAAGGTCAAAGGAAAAATTGAAACTCAAATTTGAATTCGAATTTCTGGCGTCAGAATCTTGTCTAGGGTTATAAGGTCTGAAGAAAAACGTAAAACTACGCCACCAAGATTATTAAAATTTGAAATTTCTAGAATATTTTTATTTCCCCTCTCCCAATCTTTCTATCCCCAAATATTGTTCCAGCAACTTCCTCCACTTACTCTCGCCATTCTAACTGCCACCAAATCTACTCTAACCACCGCTTTATCCCAAAACCAACCGGATCCGAATCTTTCGCGTGCAATGGGCACATTTTCCCCCGCCGATTTACTGACTCTACAAAATATGTCACCTGCCGATTTTCCCGAAGAAATTCGAGCGCATTTGGCGAAATGCCAAATTACATCACATGACGTGCTTCAGGACACAATCTCGTTTTTGTTGGCGCTCAGAAATTCGAAAATGGGAAGTTATTCGAACTCGAAATAAATTTTTTTTTGACATCATGAAATGATTGAGGTTGAAATAGTTTTTTGAAAAAAAACTTTGGAGCATCAAAATCGCCACGTGGAACAATTTTTAAGAGTAAAACAACGAAGATTCGAGTTTACACTTGAATTCTTTGAATTTGAACTTTTGGCGGGGAACATTTGACTTCAACGTGGTTATATTTTTTGAAAACATAAAACTACGACGCGCCTAGTTTACACAAGGAAATTTTTTGAATTTCGAACCCTTTTCCAAATTAAAAACTAATAAAACTTGCTTTAAAAAATTTTCACTATTTCAAAAGTTCTAGATAATTTTTCAAAAAAGGTTTTAAGGTCACATAAAATACAAAAAATAAAAAAATCCAACAAAACTTGCTTTAACAAAAGTATTTATTTGTCACATTTTCACTCCAAAAAAAGCTCAGCAAAACCCGAAAAATAAGCAAAAAAAAAATCGAAAAATCCACGTTGTTTTAGGAATATGTCAAGCACCAAATATGAAAAGCCAATAGAAATATGAGAATAATTCCTTCTGGAGTAATATTTATCATTTCTTGACTTTGAGTTAGGTTAAATCGATAAATGCTCGAGACCCAGTGGCTGACGAAAAATTAAAGAAAAAAACAAATATTGGAGGAAGAGCTCGAAAAAAATGAGAGAGTACGGTGAAATAAGAGAGTAGTAGAGAAAAAATGAGCGAAAAAAAGGGAAAAGTTTTCGCTTGAGGAGAAAAAAAGAGAAAAAACATAATAAATAAAATATGTGGAAATTTATGGGCCGAGAAAATCCAGGTGGCAAAATTCAGAATTGTGAAATTTTTGCCACGTGGAACATAGAAAATTTTTCAAAAAGGTTTCAAGGTAACTCTCACATATAATACAAAAAAAGTCCAACAAAACTTGCTTTAACAAAAATATTTATTTGTCACATTTTCACTCCAAAAAAAGCTCAGCAAAACCCGAAATCTGAGTTTCCGAATAATTTTCAGAAAATATTCTGGCACGAAAAATCTCTATAAAAGTCCATGAAAATTCAAAAAATTTTATTACATCGGAAAAAATTGCGTACATATTTTCAAAAAAAAAGTCAAAATTTTCCAGACAAAAGTTTCAGACCGGCCTATAATGCATGAATATTTGTAAAAAAAATTAGCATATATGAAAAATATGTGAAGTTGAGATCTTTTGAGAATCATCAGAAAGTCGACTGGATTTGCATCTGAAAAAAAACAATTTGGTTTTGGGGTTTTTTTTCAAAAACGTACCGGTCTTCTCCGACTATAGGGTTCCTGCTGTGTTGATTGTTGAATGGGTCGTCCATTCTGATCATAATTTATAGTAATTTCAGAATTGATATGATATTTTTGCGGAATGAGTTGTCCATCTGGTCCGCGTTCTCCGGTTGATGGAGGGATTACAATATGTTGGGGAATGGTTATACCGCCTTGGAATGGGAGTTCGGGTTCTTGAGATTCTCGAGAATCTCGAGGGCGAGTTCTATCGATATTCCGATCCTCTCTCCCTCGGTCTAGGTTTCTGTCACTTCTGTCATCTCGATCCCGTCTTCCATCTCGCTCGAAATTTCTCTCGCTTCTATCATCTCGATCCCGATCTCGTCTTGTATCTCTCTCTAAATTTCGATCACTTCTCCTATCTTCATCATCTCTTCTTCTTCTTTTCGAACTTCTAGTGCTTCCATGTCTTTTCTCCCCTTTCCTTCTATCTCGTTCCCTTTCTCTTTCTCGGTCAGCTTCACTATCATACACAGATTCATCATACCTCGATCGACTCTTTCGTCGTCGATGACTGCTGGATCGATGTCGATGCGATCTTGCCCGCGTGAATTCTGTGTCACTCTCAGAACCATCAAATTCTAAGCGACTTCGCGAAGATTTCCGGCGACGAGATGAACTGCGATGATGTTTACAGTCTCGATGCGATACCAGTGTACCATCGTGAAGTGAAGGAACAGATCGAGAATGCTGAAGAGTTGTAGTGGGATGAACCTGTTTGCTCATAGTAATCGGTTCCGAATGTTGTGAGCGATCTATAGAATTTTGCTCGCGAACCCAACTTCCCACCGGATCCTGATCTTCATCTTGATTGTTATATCCTCTCTTCACAATAGGTTCTACACGATATTCCATCGGATCAATTGGATATGGTGTGTTAACCTGTGTTGGTGGTAGAGGAATTGGTGTTTGAGGAACTCCGGCTCTCGAATACGGGCGAGTTGGAAAAACTGGATATGGCTGTGCTAGTGGTTTATATTGTTTTGGGGATGGGCTTCGATGTATTCCCTCATAAGAATCTAGAAGATCCCGACGAGAATTGAAGTTCCTATTGATCTTATATCTAACACCTCGTCGATCTTTTCCCTCATATTCATCAGTTGTTGCGTTGATTCGACGATAATACATCATAACCACTACAACGCAATAAATCTGGAAAAATTAGAGATATTGAAAGCTTGGGTAGATTGCCTAACTCACATTAATGAATACGACAATAATTTCAATAATAGTGATTGCTAACCAATAATCTCGAACATCTCCAGCCCACCACATAATACAATATGCGAGCGAGGCTAGAATTGATGAGATCATTACAGGAAACCAGGGCCAAACTAGATATTTTGACCAAGTGTGGATTCCATAAATCATTGCAGCGGAGGCAAAAAGTAAGAAAAATGCGGCGATGAGGCACAGAACTTGAATCACAAATAGACCTGGAAAATGAAGGTTTGCTGTTTTTTGGGAAAATGTTTGATTCATAACGCTGCAATATTACACTTCAAAATACTGTGATACCTGTATAATATCGTTCTTCTGGACTTTGCCAATAACTTTCATAATAAGAAGGTATATCAAACCTTCCATATGTGTTATAATTAGGTAGAAGTGTATTCGCAGCGCGATCTCTTTCATATTTTATTGCTGCCATTTGCCACCCCATTATACCGAGTTGAGCAACAGAAGATACCTACAAAAAATCACCTCTTTTTGAATTGGAAGAGAATCTCTTCAGGTATATCTTCTGGCTCAACACATTCTTTTCATAGGGTGGCAAACAAGCGGATTTGGTGTCTTCTACAAAACTTGCCTTCAATAATACTGGCAGTTCGCCGAGTCGATGCACCGACGCACGGACAATCCCATTCACATTGTAAATTGGATTGTGCCATGGTGACGGCGCGACAATGATTGAGCACACCGGTTTGCCACCCGAAAAGTAGAAGTGAGGCCAGAGAATATACCTGAATTGCGGGAGGGTAAACATCTTTGAATTGAAATAAGACAGTGAGACAGTTTTTTGAATTTTCGAAGAAAAACTTCTGAAACTCACCAATGACCAAATACCAATCGTAATAGCCGCATCTTTACTGCTACAACAACATAACGTATTTACACCCATTTTGTTTTCAGCCGAATGAAAACATGAAGTTCTATGAAAGATGTGTTGAGCTGAAAATTATACATATGGATAGATATATGTATATGATATAAGTGTGTATTATAAGACGAATATTATTGCGCAAGGAAAAATAATAAGTTATGTTTGTTTTGTCCGAAAACTAGATCTTGCGAATTTTGGGGAAACATCACATGTTTTGTTTTAGAAGAGAAACATAGAGAGCATGAGTTTGAGACGAGAGAAAGAGCAAAAAAACAATTCCGGAGCTTGAGAATCACCGGTCAAATTTTCATCTTCATAAGTTTCCAAAAAAATTATATGTACGTAATGTAATTCTTGAAGACGCAAATCGAAAAATCTCTTGGACAAGAAACTGGTTTTTGAAAAAATTCGAAGTTCGGATGAGCTCTGAAAAAATTAAAGAGATATAGAATCGCAACAAAATTCTGAAATTGGTTGTTTTGAAACAGTAGTCAAATCAAGCAATACCGAACTTTTGTGCCAATATTGAACGTGGAATTTTCAATAATTCCAACTCAACAGATGCAAAAATACTACGGAAAAACACAAATATGAATCATGCATCCTTTGCAACCTTCATATTTCGCCCCAAAATTCGTAATATTTACCTTCACCAAATTTCATAACTGCGTCTCTCATTTCACTATACTATTTCTCTTGTCTACCACGTTTTTGTTTATTTTTCGGACATTGAAAAATAAGAAGAGGGAGGAATAAATGAAATGAAATGAAAGGAGAAACAATATTCTTGGTAGGTGGACAAACTAACAAGAGAAGAAGAAGAAGAAGCTTGTGAGGAGCAGAATATTTTAAAATTGAAACAATAGATCTGAATTTTAGGAATAGAAAACTATATAAATTTTGAATTAAAAAAATAGAATATTCAAACCCAAGCAATGAAATACAAAACTAAAAAATGATAAAATATCACCGCGTGAATTTTACTACCCAAAAAGTTTCACGCTTTTTTTGAAAGCTGACACGACTCAAAAGTGAGAGATTCAGAGAAGAATATTTTTGATCTACCAGAAAATTATTGAAAAAAATTTGGAGGTCTAGCGATTTGAGGTAGTAAAATAAACACTGTAAAATCTGTGCATGCGAATATCGATTTGTTAGAATGGAACAAAATTCAGATGTTTCAGAAAATATTCATTTTTTCCGTGTCAAAATATTCTGCACCGGAACAAGAGAAACTATTAAAACAATATTTTCGGACTCAAAAACTATACAACTCTTCATTTTTTGTGCGAAAAAACCATATGACAAAATTTCGCGCCAAAATCAATACAACAGAAAAAATCAATTGAATCAGACCGGAAAAAGTGTGAATAAGAAAGAAAAGCGGAGAAAAAATTCCCAAAACCATCTATTTGCATAGTGTTAGAAAAATGATGATTCATCCATCATATAGATTTTTCAATTTTTTTTCTCCAACAAAAAATGAGTCATAATAAATATAGTAGTATACTATTTTTTTGATTCTATGATCAGAATTACAAGTGGAAATATAAAATCGAATCAAAAATAAAATCAACATCGAAAATGATAAGTTTTGGGGTGGTGATAAGGAAATAATTGTATGAAATGAAATGATATGGGCTCTAAAAATATCAAAAATTTAATTTTTGGAAAACCATAAAATGTTGAGTTCATATTCATTTTAGTGCGCGGCGGGACATGTCAAAATAAACAAATAAGTTGGATACTACCAAATTTGGTGAAATACATCATCACAAAATAACTAATGAAGGTTGGGCGGAGAGAGGAAAAGCAAATATCAATATTTTATTACGATTTTTGGTGTGTTTGCGGGAATGTGGGCGGGGTTTTGATAAGAGACAGATGGAATGTAGTTCCAGCAGAAAAATTACCGGAGCTTTGCTTTTTTCGAATAATAATCTGATAAAAATACGTTTCAAAATTTTCAGTGGTTCAAAAATTCCAGTCGCACTTTCAGAGCACAGAAAGAAGTTGAACTCATTGGAAAATATATCTGTAACTTTTCCTGTTCTTCAAAAAATTTCAAAATGTGTTAATCTCAATTTCATAGCATGTCATGGCAAATGTTAAATTGTGGGTTAAAAATATCAAAGGGACTGGGCTCAACATGTTTTTCTCTGTCACCAAATCTGGTTCTTCTCCTACACAAAACTTGTGCCACGTCGTGTCAGTTCCTTTAAAGGCACATTCTCTGACGTCATCATTGATTGCGACGAATTTGTGCGATGTTGTTGTGACGTGGCCGGAATTCGCGTCAAAAGTTGCGAACTCGAATTGGTTCGACGATTTGTGTTGGGTCTCGTCTGGATCTGTTCCATAACTACGGTAGACGCGGTGACCATTGATACAGAGCGGCTGGAATTTTTCGAATCGTGTTCAACGATGCTCCGCAATTACATGTAAATAGATCAAAAGCCGTGCTTATATAGGGATACAAAAGCGTTTATAAAACGAAATACAAAAGCATATGGCAAAGTGGATAACCGCTTTGTTCATGAAGAAATGGACAAAAGTTCAATGCCGCATAGTGGCAAGATTTTTTCACAAAGAAACTCAAAAAATCAATACAATACACGTATAATCAGCCAGCCCGTAAAGAAACAAATTAAAGGAACAGAACATGCGTATTTTGTCACAAGTGTACTGTAGGTACTGTAGTGTACCTCGTCGTCTTTTTTCGCAAAATTCCTTGTTTTGTTTGATGAATGAGACGTTGACGGAAATTTGCGGATGAAAGACAGAAAAGCACGAAATTGAGCGATTTGCCCAGGATAACGAGAACTGTACAAATTGGACTCTGGAATTTTCGAGAATGTTTTTTGTGGCGCCCAAATTTTGACCTACAATATACAAAAATGATTGTTGAATAATGGAGTAATGACTGAAATAGTTGACCAATGCTGATGGTGATTGAGTTATTGTAAAACAGGTGACAATTGCTGTTACAGTAATTGTGACCTTAATGTATTTAAAATTTAACGTTTTTTTTTCTATTTGGATAAGTTACCTTATGCTCGGTTTTTGATTGCATTCCAGCGTATTGTGAATCAGTCGAACCCACGGCATTTGGTGTGAACAATTTTTTTCTGAAAAAAAAGTAATTCGAAATTTTATGAGTTTTTAGCATTGTTCATGTTAATTTTCGGAATAATTAGATTGCTCATTTTAGAAAGAACATCCTAATGTTAATTTAAAAAGTTTTGTTCATTTAAAACTTCAACAAGAATTGCTCATTTTAACATTTGGAAGATTAGTGTTGTTTCAAAAATTTAAAAAAAAAACAAAAAAAATTAATTCGAAAAATCCCCGCTTCTTTAAAAATCAAGAAGTTCAATTTGAATTGTCATCATATTTATAAATAAAGTATTTTCAAGAAAAATCAGTGATGCAGAATTTCTGACGTTTGTTCATAATTGGAATCAGAGCTCAAAAAAACGAGCAAAAACTTGTTTTCAATTTTTCCGCCAAACTTTAAGAATCCCAATGCATTATTTGAGAAGTACTGTAGTTTCAGAGTTTGTAAATAATTTCAAGGAATATAAAATTTCATGAAAATTATTGGTTTCAAAATAACCGAATTCTGAGGATCTCGCAGCGATTTCGGGAGATTACTGTATTTTTGGAATATTGTAGTGAAAATTGAGAGCTCTAAATTTTTAGAGGCTGCTAGTGTATTTTCTGGTTTTTTTTGGGTCTCGAAGCGATTTTTCGAATTCAAGACAATCTTAAATAACATAATTCACCCTGAAAAAAACTTTTCGATAAAACGAACCTATCTCTGAGTGTTAAAATCAGCATAACATTGGACAAAATAACCAAACAACATGGTAACATAACCATAAAAACCGCACTAATTTTCGGCGAAATTCTCACAAAATCCTTATAAATTTCCGAATATTCATTTTTTCCTTTTCCAAACCAACTTATTCCATCAATTGGTAAACATCTTGCATGATATTGAGTATTTTGACAGAAAAAACTGCCACGACATTCATGAGTGAATAAATTATAAGAGGTTACGAGACCAGTTATTGTGATAATAATTGGGATAACACAACGAGGTTGCATTATTTTGACTTGTTTTCGAACTGACAGCGGATATTTTATACCAATTAGACGCTCGAGACAAATTACAAAGACTAGCCTGAAATTAAATTTTGGATGGGATAATATTTGGAAACTTTGTTGGATATTCAAAACATATGAATATCTTGCTGAAAAATTGAAACATCGAAAAACTTGTCCAGAAACGAATATCAGATTTTGTAGTAAAATTAGCCCCAAAAATGTTTCCACAAGAAAATTCCAACTCACCAAGAAGCAGCAGCCATTGTCCAATTATTGATCCACATAATCGATATTTTGTGATGTCCATAAGTTCGATGAAACCACCAAGATCTCCAAAAAAATTCATAATGTGCCAAGCAATGTGGCATCATTGCAAGAAGACAAATTATATCAGCCAGAGCGAGACAACATAATAATTTGTTGGATCTGGAAACAAAAATATTTGAAATTTTATTTTTTGCGCGAAAATTTTGTATTTAATTTTTATATTTGACGTACACAAATGCTACGTGAAAATGAAGTTTTGCACCAAAAATTTGGAAAGTTGGATTTTTTTCAAAAAAAAAATCACTGTTTCAAAAAAGTGTTAACATTTTTTTGTGAAATTTTGAAATTCAATATTATGATATGTTCACAAAAATGCCACGTGGCAAATGAAAACAAAAATTCAAATATGAATAATATTTACCTCGTTCTCATATTGGGTGTCGTCAAAACGGTCAAATTCAAAATATTCCCCGAAATCCCGAATAAAATGAGCAATGGCAGCAAAAATTTCATGATAAACCACTCCAAATCATTGTTCGTATAATGAAATGATTTTTCGCTTAAACAATGATTGTAAGCCGGTGGCAAAGGTGTTGAAAATGTGGAAATATTCATTCTGAAAATATATTCATGAAAATTTTAGGCGCTTTAAATCAGGTCACGGGAAAAATGGGAAAAAACAAAGGAGCGATAAAATTTGGAACTTTTTCAGAGTTAGCCTAAATCGCAACTTGGTAGCTCTTGAAATTCTCTACAAGTCTCAAGAATACAATTTAACGTATCTATCTCTTGAAACTTTCTGATACGTGAAATTTTTTGACGCCGAAAAATTATTGAATTTTTTTGAAAATCACCTGATTTTATATCATGAAAAAATCAGTGAAGCGCATCAAAAACTTCACACTTTTTTCTCTTTTCAAATTATTTTCTGAGAAAAATAAGACGTCATTTTTTTCTCGAAAAATTTAATTTTAACTTTTTTTTTCGAAAACGTGGTTTGTGGCTAGAAATTTCGAGATTAATTAAATGCTGGAAAAATGGCGAGAAAACAGCTGGATAAAATAGAAAATATTTTTCATTTTTTCGAGAGAAAATAAAAAAAAATTAAATTGAAAATGAATATATAATCGGATTTTCGAGAAGGAAATAAGAAATCAAAAAAAATTGTCACTAAGTTTCTGGGTGCCGCAGCGATGAGAAGCACTGTATTTGATAAATTTGAAAAGAATTTCAAGAGCTACAAAATCAATAAACCAAAAAGTATCAATTTCTCAAAAATTGATATCAAAAAATACATTTTTCAAAGCGAAATTTGAGATTTTTTTCTGACCAGCCAAGGGCCGAAAAAAAAACATTTTTGGAGCGAAAAATAAACACGAAATGAAAATCATGGCCACAAAATCAACACAGAATTTCAATTTCGCGAAGATTTTTTTTCGCTAACAAATGAAAAAATGACCTTTTTTATAAAGGATCTTATAGAAAAAGCTAGACAAAAAATGAGTGGGGAAAAATCGTAAAAAATGGGAATTTTTAAGCGTGTGTGGGAATTGGTCAGTTTTTGTTGCAAAAAATAAGTTTTGATGAGGATTTTTGACAGAAAGTGCAAAAAATTACACTTTTTCTGATGTGAGGTGAAAAGGTGAGAAAATATTGTTCGCTCCGGTTTTTGCCACGTTGATTTTCTTGCAATTTTTTTGATAATTTTAAATTTCAAAAAAATTCGGAAAAATCATTTGTTGAGCAAATGTGATTTATTTAATGATCATTAATTGGATCAATGATTCATTGAAAACAGATGTTGAACATTTTATTGGTTTTTTGAAAATTCCGAAAATTTTATCATTTTTGAAACTTTTTTTCAAACTCACTGGCATAAATTCTTGACTTTTTTAATTCAGAAATGCCTGTCGCAGAAAAAAACAAATTCAAAAAAACAATTTTCTCACAAATTATTAAAAAAACGTGAAAAGTATAATCGTGGCAGGGGCCGGAGCCAACAGGAAAAAAAGTCAGAAATTAATGCCTGTGAAACTGAAATTAAGCCTGTATTTAAAACATTTAATTTTTCGTTGGTTTTTATTAGAGACGAAGAATCAAACTTTTTGAAACCCCCAAAACTACTATAATAATTTTGAAACAGTGAATTTTTTTCGAATATCATTTATATACTTTTAAAAATCTCTACAATTACCCTAAACAGCAAAACATATTTTCAAGAATAAAAAATATATATAACAAAAAGTGAAAAAAAAGATTGTCTCTTTTTTTGCTCAAAGAGCACAAAATATGTGAAAAATTGTCCTAATTATCTCCTATTATAGGCGCGACAAAAAATGAAAGGAATCGATTTTCAACTGCGGAAATTTGATATTTGATAGTTTTACGTCATAAAGTCATCATAAAAATATGAGAATGTTCGCGCCAAAATAACTTTTGAGGAAAACTATACTTTTCACCCAAAGTTCATCAAAAACCACAAATTAATCGAAAAATACAGTAGCTGGATAATTTTTTTCAATCAAGTGTTTTTTTTTTGAAAAAAAGCTAATGTAAAGTTCAACGCGAACTCTTAAAACGATAAAACTTTCAGAATTTTAAGGCTAATTTTAGGCTAATTTCAGAATTAGTAGGCTCTTGAAATTCTCTACAAAATACAGTACCTCTCAAGGATCACCCACAGACCCAAAAACAATTCATTTCAAAAAAAAAAACACGAAAAATGAGAAATATTCTTGAGGCGAGAAAAGAAGACTAGGAAAAAACAAGAATTTTATTTTTTTTCTTCTTCTTCCTCAGAAGAAAAAACTACAATAGAAAAGAGAATAAATACACAACTGGGCAAATATTTGCGCCGTCCATTTTTGGGCGCTAAAATTTACAAATTTGAATTTTTGTGCCTTTTTTTTGCTATGTTTTTTCAGAAAATCAAAATTATTTCCAAAAAACAAATTTACATTTTCTCATTTCATTTTCATAAATATTCATTTTACCTTGGAAAAATAGAAAAAACGGTATGACGTGGCAAATAATTTTCAGAAAAAGAATTTCAGAAAACTGAAAAATTGCCTCAAATTTTTGAAAGAGAGAAAATTGAAAAATAAGATGTTTTCTACTTGACTGATCTTGAAAAAATTGATGAAAAAACAAGATTGTGTTTTGGCGCGAGAAAAAATGACACGTGGCTAATTTTCTGGGTCTCGACGCAGTTTTTGAGGGGTACTGTAATTTTCAACATTGTAGAGAAATTAAAGAGCTACAAAATTGCAATTTAGGCTAACTCTGGAAAGTATTTCAGAAGATTAGGGTTAAAAATTGGTACTCCAAAATTTTGAAATTATTTCTGTGTCTCTACGCAAATTTCGAAGGTTACTGTATTCTCAGAACTTGCAAAAAGTTTCAATAGCTAGAACATTGAATATTAGCCTACCACTCAAAATTTTGAGGTTTTTGAGAAAATAAGTAAATCTGAAATTAAGACAACGCTTTGGGTCTTGTAGCGATTTTCTAAGGGTACTGTATTCTAAAAACTTGTGCAGAACTTCAAAACAAAAAAATAAATCATGCAGGTTCGCCCAAAAAATGATCAGGTGAAAAGAGAAACAAAATCATAAAATAAAATATAAAGAAAATAACGTCTGATTGGGTTATCAAAATTGTCGACGAAATAGTATGAGACATAAAAGAGACACAGAGAAAGTCATAAAAAAAGAGTACGCGGGGCGGAAAAAGCCAACTGCTACCTGGTATTTTTTATTTTGGAGGGAAGGAGGAGGAACCCGACAAAAAACAATTGAAATATGTTTTTGCATTCTCTAGGTCAACTTGTGTGGGTTTGAAAATATTTTGAAATTTTCTAGTCTTGAGAATTCAGTTCAAGTTTCAAATATACAACACTTCCAGCTATGATTTTCCAGAGTTAGCCTAAATTGTAACTTTGTAGCTCAAGAAATTCTCAACACGATTGACAATTACAGTACATAGTTTTTGAAACAGTAAATTTTCTTCCAAACAAAAAAACTTCCATTGAAAATACTTCGAGAAATGTACTAATTGCAACTTTCTATCTCAAATGTTCCTAACTTACTTTTATCTAGGACTCCGCTTTTAAACACTTAATCGACTCCAAAAAATTCAGAAAATCTTCAATTTTATTTGAAACAGTAGAAAAATTATTAAACAAAGTTTTTGGTAACTTAAATTATTCAAAAAAAATATTTTTTAAATACAGTACTCCTTGCAAACAGCAACGAGACCATGAAAACATATTATTAAAAAAATACAGTACTCTCTCGAAAAAAAAACCCTACAAGACCGGGAATAAAAATCCTGACATCATCCTTCCTCATCACATCACATCATCATCGAAAAACTACCAAATTTTTTTGCGCTTTTGCCTTCCAAAAAAAATGGTGTCTCAAATTACTCGCGCAGCGAATTTTGAGGACTTTGTAGTCAGCAGAAAAAAAATTGAAAAAAAAACTTGAAGAACCTGGATCGAATTTCGCACAAATTTTTGGAGGGGGAATATTAAAAATCAACGGAAATTAGTGCGGTTTCGGGGGAATTCGGCGTCGAATTTCATGGATTTTTGAACTTTGGAGCCATAAGAAAAACTGGGGGTTTTTTGACGCCAAAGAATTTTTTGAAACATCAAAATCACAAAATGTTTTTTTCTGCAAACATTTTGAAGCCAAAAATCAGAGAGGCAATTATTTTCGTTTGACGCATTTCTTTGATTTTCCAAACTTTTTTCGCGCCAATTTTTTTTTGAAAACAAAAACAAAAATAAAAAACATCTGTTTTATATCCGAAATAATTCATGAGAAATTGAGAAAAACAGATATTTTGCAGATTTTTTTTTGAATTCAAAAATTTCGCCGCCAAAAATCAATTTTTGCAGCACCTCATTTCCGAAAAACTAACTTAAATTAAATTAATTCTTCCGCCGCCGCCAAAATGAAAAACTAAATGAAAAAAAAAGTTTTTTTCATTTTCAATTTTCAAAATGAGAAAAAAGATCCGTTTTTCCGCCGAAAAGTCATCAGAAAACCCAAAAACGAGGAAAAAATGGGCGGAGTCTCATCTTTTGTCCTTGGAGGGAAACGACAAAAAGTTAGGCGAAATCGATCACATAAAATTCGATTTATGTGAAAAATCTTGTCTTGAAAGAATGAAAGAGAACAGAAAAAGGAACAAAACAAAACGAAAAAAGTTTGCTGAACAGAGTGGGATTCGAACCCACGCCCGCGAACGGACTGGTGCCTTAAACCAGCGCCTTAGACCACTCGGCCATCTGTCCCACATTTTCCCGAGGCGTTTTTTGCCAATAAAAACTTTGCCACTACTGATTTTTGTGTAGTTTGATCTTCCTCGAGCAAAAATTGCACTGCTAAACCCGGATAATGTTCGACACTTCAAAAATTGACGCTCAAATTTCGGTTGGGAAAAATTCAATGTAATTTAATACATATTAGAAAACTAGAGAATGGGGAAATTGAGGAAAAAGGGCGAAAATCAAAACTTTTGTGAAACTTTGGAAAAACAATGGGAGAAATGCAAAAATTGCTTCTCGTCAAATTCGTGGCCTAAAATACCAAAATCAAAATTTCAACAATCCTTCCATTAAAAAAATAAAATTTATATTGAAACATAAAAAATCAATAACTTATTGAACAGTTCTAGAATATCCACTCGGAAAATCATTCCAAACAACATATAAAAATCACTGAACAGATCCAGGATATCCTTGTCCTCCTGGTTGTCCAGATCCACCAGAATATCCAGCCGATGGTGGTCCAACACTTCCAGGTCCACCAAGTCCAACAGACGGAGGATTCATCATCATTTGGTGGGATTTTGGTTGTGATGGATTTGTTGGTGGATAACCTTGTGAAACACTTTGAACACTTTGAGATTGTTGTTGAATTATTGAATTTGTTGATCGATCTGATGTATTTGGATATCTTTCGACAATTGTTCGAATTAGAACCCAAATTGCACATTCTCCTGATTGTTGAGCTTCCGAACTTGCTTGATTTGAATATGAGCCGAGATCTTCGTCTGTTCCAGTTCCAGCTTTCACAACGTTTCTGGATGGGAAAAATTTGAAAATCAGGTTTTAAAGAAACTTTTGAATTCTTTAGATCGAAAATCTCAACTCTCATTGAAAAAAAAACATTTTTTTTGTTAATTAGAAATAAGCACTACGATATTTTTCTCCTAAAATTTTACACTCATCGGATTTTTAAGGAACCAAAAAATCTCTGAAAAACTCACGTTTGCAGATTATAAACGAATCGAATGAAATTTTGTGATGTAGAAGCTCGTGAACGTTTGAAAGACACCTGAAAACTCAAAAATTCAAAAACTTGGCTAAAAATGCATGATCAAATAGTTTTAAACTAGAAAACCAACAAAAAAAGAAAAAAAATTACAATTTTTAGGATTTTCAGATGGAAAATCACGAGATCTCAGCATTTCCAGCCGGAAAAATGGCTTTTTTCCAATTTTTCTCCAGAAAAAAACGGCTGAAAATCTGGAAATTCTTGATTTTTCAGTGAAAACTTGATGTTTTTCATGATTAAAAAATCCCAAATTTTCAGTCTAAAAAAATGCCAACTCACCACAAGCATAATATTAACATGTTGTAAATCAATCATACTTGCTGCTGAATATTTTCTTCCCGAAGCTGGCATCGAATTTCCCTGCATATATGTCATGTGCAATTGAATGTGACAATTTTGAAGTGGTGATGTGTCCTGAAACAAAGAAATTTTTGATATTTTTCTTCTATTTACTAAATTTGCCACGTGGATTTCCTGGGTATTTGAAAATTATATTAATTTTTGTTGTTGTTGTTCCAAAAAAATTTTATTCGATTTTTATGAGCGTACTAATTTTTGAGTTATTATTTTCTTATTTTGGAGCCACATTTTCGAAAAAAAAACAATTCTAGTAAATTCTGAATTTTTCCACGTGGCTAATTTAATTGATTTTTTCGAGGACCAAAAAAGTAATATTTTTGGTATCGAAATCTGCAAAATTTCGGGACGCCAAAAATCACCTAATCCCCTTCTTCCATACCAAATTTCGTCCCAAAAAAATATGAAATTACTATTTTTTCATTTTCTTTTCCCAGAAAAAACCGGATGAATGAATCCTAATTTTCTCTGAAATTTTTCCAAGAAAATGAATTCCATCAATGAACAAATTGGGTTTTAATTCAAAAAAAAATGTATAGTGTGAGATAAAAATGAATAATTTATTAATGTTTTATATTTTTCGAGAAAAAAAAACTATTCCAAATTCATTTGTGAAATTGCAAAATTCTCAAATTTCGCGGCCATAAAATAGTTGAAAGTGCATTATTTCAGTCTGATTAATTTTGTAATATTAAAAATAGGATTTTTGAATTTTTTTAAATGATAATTTCACGTGTAAGCCTGGAGCATCGTAATTTTTCCCCCAAAAAAACATTGCCACGTGGCAAATTTCTGGCTTCAGAACACAAAATTCTTCCATATTTTTCGTAGAAAACGACATAGTTTCGCTGTCAAAAATCACGTCATTTTGTGTTTCCCCGTGTTTCCTCAATTATTTTTCCCCTTGTTTTCCGGCTCCAATTTTTCCACCACCAAAACATAAATTATTCTTTCTGAGCTCAGACAATTTTCTGCCAACCTTTTTTTTCGATTTTTAATAATTTTGCAGCCAAAAATTCTCGAGTATAGACGCGGAGTATCGTAGTTTTTGAATACCTTTTTATATCAATTTTCAGCCGAAAATTCCGTCTTTCTAGAGCTTAAACTTTATTCTAGGATTAGCTATGAAAATGTCACATTTTAAGGCTTTATGTTATTTTCGGATTTTATATATTTTCCAAGAAAAATACACGAAAATCAAATTTTTTCGAACAGAACGAAAGAAGCTTTCAAAAAAATATCCACTCGAAAAATTTGATTGTTTTTTTCGCAGAAATAAAAACATCGAAAAACATTTGATTTTTCTGTGATTTTTAAAGTAGAAAAAATACACGTCATTTTGAGTGGCGCCATAAATTCAAGTTGAAAAACAGGACGCAAAACTTTGAGATCAGATTACTGTGGACCAGAAAATATTCTTACAGTAATACTCATCCTTTAGAATCCCTTTTCTCATCTACAGTATCTCGTTTTTTTTCCATAATGTCCCTTTGGAACGTTCTACAGTAATATTTCAAATTTCTAGCATGTGTCATTAAAAATCTCTGTTCTTTACAGTACTTTAAATTTCTACAGTAATCCTCAAACTTAGAAAATATTGTAAAATTTGATGCAAGAAACCATTTATGTTCCTTTAAAATTCCCATGTACTCTAGAGTACCCAAACTTCTATAATGTTACTTAAAAAAAGTGAACTTACAGTAAGCTTTTGAAAAGTTCAAACACAAAATGTTTTCCTCGTCGTGTCCCTTTAAAATCCCGCGCCTCTACAGTACTCCTCCTTCTCTACACCTCTTCCTCCCACAAACTTCAAAAACCAAATCATATATTATTTTTCCGCCAAAAACACACGCGTTTTCCAAAAATAGTCATATTTCGGAAAAAAAAGTGGGCGTGTCTCCAATGAACCGCGCATAAATTTTTCATATAAAAAATCTCGTGTTTTCGCGATGTTTTGGCGTTTGCAAAAAAAGTTTCGAATTTTTTTTGAAATCAAAAGAAAACTCCCACATTTTTCATTTTCTATAAAAATTAATAAACTTTCAATTTCTAGATTTCTTAATTCAAAATGTTCTGAATTTTTTCAAAAACTTTGGACATGTTCAATTTGATTTTAATTTAAATTTTGAAATGTTTCAGGTAAAAAATGAAATTTCTGACAACATTTTTGATTTTCGCAACAATTTTCGTCATTTTTCTGGTGGATGCCTATGTAGTTTCGGTAAGTCTATTCGAAAAATAAGTTAGAGTATTGAATATTCATGAGATGATTTTTGACGTCAAAAATAAAATGAAATAGGGGAGATATGACGTGGAAAAAATTTTAGACATCGAGAATTTCTTTTAATGTTCAAATTTTAGCGCAAAATGTACGTACAAAAATTAAAAGAGTCAATTCATATTTTAAGTTTCGCTTCAAAAAATATGAGCTCGATTTTCCGCTTCAAAGATTCTTGAAACAATTCCAAAATCTCTAATTTTTGATTTTTTTTTTGCAGAACAATCGCGGCTACGCCGACGTTCAATCAATGTTTTTCTCACCATTTCGAGTCATCGGAAAACGAAGTCAATTTTATGGTTTATTCAAGTGAGTACTGTAACTAGGGGTACTGTAGACATTTCTGGATTACTGTAGCTAGTAATTAATAAGGTGTAATGTACCTTTAAAATTACAGTAACCCAACAAGCTAAAAATCATTAATTATTTTGGAAAGTCAAAATAATGAGTACTGTACTGTTCTGAAGCTACAGTAAACCAAAACCAAAGTTTAAAAAATGATTTTTTTTACAGAAAAATGAGAAGCAGCGAAGTTCACGATTATTAAAGAAGGAGAACAAGAAAAAATCGATAATTTTTCCCCAATTTTTTTTTGCAACAAAAATTAATTTCAAATAAAGTTTTTTCAACTGTTTGTAAAAACAATTCGTGCTTAATTTTTGGCGTCAATTTTAGATTGAAAAACCAATTTACCACCCAGAAAAGATGTCTTACCATTTGTGCACTCATCACATTTGCAATACTACTTGTTGCTCCGTGAGCCGTCAATCTGGTCAACAAAATAAATGTTTGGATGGCTGTCTCATTTCTCGATAATAATACGACTTTTTCGAAATATTGTGAGAAGATTTGCAAATTTTCAGGCGTTGCTGCTGGATTCGAACCTTCGTCTGAAAAATCGGAATAAATGGTTTGGGGTGAGGGAACTGACTTGCTACTGCGGCACAATTTTCAGTAAAAAAATACAAAAAATAAAAAATGTTCAGAACAAAAATTCTCAGATTTTTACTGTTTCAAAATTAGCACATCAACATTGTTCTACTTTTCAGAACAGTCGATGATTTGATTCCAAACACAAAAAAAGGTAATTTTTGAAACGTGAAAAAAATATAAAAACTGTCTAGAATTTCCAAAATTTTCTACGTTTCAAAAAAGATATTGAATTATTTAAAAAATTTTAAATGCTTCTCCTATTGTTTGGATTCTAGGAAAACCTTTTTTTCTAAAAAAAATATTTTTAAAAATTTGTTTTTTGTAGCTTCCTACAAAATATTTCCAATATTCCAAGATTTTCTACGTTTCAATGAATGGATATGAAATTATCCCCTAGCAAAAAATGATTCAATTAACATTTTGAATAATTTCCAACTTCGTTTTCTTGTGGTTTCCCACTAAAAATTGCCCGCCTCCCTTCCCAAAGAACTCACCAAACTCCACAGCACATTTACAACTTCCATTAATTGGACTAATATACAATGTATAATACACCATATTTGTTGTATTCGGTCCTTGTCCATCCAATTGTGTGGCTCGAAATTTGATAACATTCGCCTGAATGTCCAAATATGTGATACTTCCCGAATAGGTTGCTGTTGGTGTCAAATTTGGAGCTGGTGGATGAGTTAGGAGATCTAATGAGACACGAATATCCAATAAATATGTGATGGCTGATAGATAATCATCTAATGGACATGTCATACGACCATCTGCAAAAAATGAAGAAAAATTGAGAATTTCGGGAGGAAAATCAAAGAAATTAGGCCCTCGATATTATTTTGAAATCCCATTGAAAAAAAAGATGAAACAGTGAATTTTGGTAAGACTCCAGAGACCGAATTCTTAAAAATGGCATACCAAAAAAAGGTGTGTCAGATCATTTTTAATAAAATTTAGCTAGTTTCCAAATTTGTAACATTCTAAAAACACAACCTATGTATTCTTACATAAAAATTTTGAAACAGTGAAAATTTTGAAGAGAAAAAAACATTATTTTTCATTTTTTTAAATATTTTATTTTTGTGTCCTTCTAATTTCACTCACCATAATCCTTGAAATCAGTTGCCAACATGAGCACATCATGTGGAATCACAACCGGTTTCGTACTCGTCCTCATATTCTCCTGTTGTAAATCAACACAACTCGGCGGTAAAACCAAATAGGGATCCGGTAAAAACGGCGGAGTTCCGGCGAAATGCGGGTTATCCGACGCTGGCACCTCTTTTTCATCCTCTAAAGTTGTCGATTGACCATTTGAGAGAATTTTGAAAATCTGATGAATTCCGGCGCATTTCGGTCGATATCTTGAACAATCTCGAATTGCGACTTTTGCCTCGGCCAACATTTTGAATTCGAGAACAATATTTGCGTATTGGAGGCGAATTGTGGTTTCGTCGATGGCGCTCAGATGATATTTGAGGCGATATGGGAAGAAAATGTCTTGGTTGAGAAGTTGCGCGGCGACCTGCCAATTAAATTCGGTTGAAAATTAATATATTTTTGATTTTTCAGATCAAAATCCATAGAACTATGTAATTTTGATTGAATTTTCAAAAAATATGTTTTTATTTAGAAAAATTTTTCAGATAAAAATTTATAATTTTCAAAAAATTAGGAAATGTGTAATTTTTCAAAAATGAGCTTTTGAAATAAATTTCCGAGCGAGAAAAATTCCTTGAATCAAAAAATTCTATTGATTATAAAAATTTCGAAACGTGAATAATTTAAAACAATCCTCAAAATTTTTGGAATTTTTTGAAGAAAATTCCTTTAAAGGATTTTTCTACAATTTTCATCCATATTCCCTCTTCCAAAAATATCCCACCTTATGACTCAAAAATCGAATTCGACTAAACATTCCAAGTGATTGCATTGGTTTCATTGTCTCAATCACATAATTCACCACCCAAACCAAATCATCCGTGGCTTTTAGTCGTTCTTTCAGCGAATTTGCAATCATTGAATGCGGATTCCAGCGCGGTTTTTTGTGCCAATCAATTTCGGCCGAATTGAATTCGCGGTGTGGCATTGTCTGCAAAAAAAATGAACAATGATGAACTTTTAGAGTAGGTAATTCGGGAAGAAACAATGGTTTCCAAACATAGAACAGTAATTTTGAAACAATGAAAAAATTAATATTAAAAATCCACTGTTTCAAAATTATCATATTTTTTCTGGTTATTTTTATAACTGATGAAACAAGATTTTTTTCAAAAAAAAACAATCAATTTTCTGTCAAAACATCACTGTTTCAAATATTTACTAATTTTTCGAGTTCAATCCTTATTTTCATTAGTTTTGCAACCTCCATTATCAATATGAATTTTTTAAAACAGTGGATTTTTCTGATCGAAAAACTGAAAAACAAATCTTTTATAAAATATAAGACAATAGTGCTTCGGTAAATGAAAAAATTGAAACAGTATTTTTTTTTTGAAAACGACAAGTCGTACTTCATACTAATGATTTCCCTTATTGTCAAATATTCATGAAATTCTTGAAACAGCAGAATTTTTCCCCTCAAAAAAATGGCTCACCTGTCCAAAATTGATTCTAAAACCCTCTGTCGGGTCAAAAGCCAAAATCAACAATTGATCTCTTTGTTCACCATATGAAATGACTAATTTGTGGAAAGTATACGCTTCAATCTGAAAAACAGAGAATTAGATAATTTTTTAAAAAATCAAAATTATTTCAAGGATTTCAGCTCAAAATCTTTCAAATAACTCACACTACACAATTTATGATAATGTGCATGATATGCCACCGAAAAAGCATGTGTCACTTTATACATTTTCAAATATCTCGCCAATCGATGAATTATATTATCGACAACTTTGTCGGGAGTTAAAGTTGCACTTGATCCTTGAACCAAACTGATTTCTTGAATCCAAGTTGTATTCTAAAAAAAATATAGGGAATATCGAGGGGAAATTTGAATTTTTATTGAAAAGTTGGCGGTGAAAACCGTTAGGATTAGATACAAAAAAAGCTGTTATTGAATTTTGTGTAAAAAATTAGTTGATTCGAAAATCTCATAAGTTGAAATCATAATTTTAAAATTATGAAAATGTTCTGCTATAAAAAAGTTGAAACGTAAATTTGTTCGGCAAATTTCCGGCTTTGTTTTGATGCAAAAATACATTCAAATCTTCGATTTTCAGCAATTTCCAGCTTCAATGAAAGCGTAGATATTTTTGGAGCGAAAAACAAAGCGAAATTTTCCCCCAAAGTTTCCCCAAGCAAATGTTATATTCAGCCAAAGCAAAAACAGAACAAATTTCCAGACAAAAAAAGCAACAAAAATTAAAAAGCGGGGGTTTTATTTCATGCAAAGCTTTAGGGTTAGCACATTTCTTACCTTTTCTCTCTCAATTTGTGTCTGAAAAAACCGAAAAATATCAATTTTCACATCAAAAAGTTAGCGAAAAATCTCTGAATTATGGTGAAAAATTAAATCTAAAAAGCTCGAATTTTTGGATCAAAAATCCCAAATAAAATTATCCCAAAAATCTCACCTTCTCTCCAATTCTTCGATGCGGTAATCCATAAGGAACATCTCGAACCAGCGGAATATTCTCAAAACACATTTCAAATTGAAACGAGTTTCGCATTCGATTGTCCATTCGAATACAAGTTCGAACACAACATTTGAAAAATTCGACAACATCGGTTGGAACAACTTTTGAGCAACTGCAAAAAAATTAGAATAAAATTATCTGGCAAAAACATTTAGTTAATTTACCGATTCGAAAAATCGAAAATTTCGAATCAGTGAAAAAATAATAAGATTTTTTCTCGTAAATTGAACACTGATACATAAATTTTTGGGCGACTTCGGATAAATTTGCCACGTGGAGATTTTCTGGGTCAAAAATAATGTTGAAATTTCGAAACACCAGGTTGAGGATGCACTAAAATTTCAAAGAGTCAAAAAAAATGAATAAAATTTTTGAAACAGTGAAAAATTATCAGAATTAAATTATAACTTGTCCTGATCTAAAAAATTAACCACATGAATCTTCAATGAATTTTAGGTTGAATTTTAGTGCAAAAAATGTTTTTTTTTCTTTTTCGCGATTTCTCTCTTTTTATAGATCAACCTAAATCATTTCTAGCTAAGTTTTTAAAATAAAATTTCGAAACAGTAAATTTTGCAAAGTTAACATTGAAACCCTCTATTTTTCGCATTTTCCCACCCAAAAAACCACTAACTCCGTAATATGCAAAGTCAATCCACCCGGAACATGATTTTCATCCGATTTCATATCAACTTCCATTCCACGTTTCACCAATTCATCCGCAATAAACATGTAAGTTAGGCGATCTTCGATGGCCGAAATCGCAAATGCCAATCGCTGTTCTCTTCCGGCTTTCGAATTCTTCTCTCGTGTGCTCAATGAACCAACACAAAGAGCTTCGCGAATTGGTTTAGAGAACAAGTGAACTTGCTGAAACAATAAAAAAAATAGAAAATGACGAGATTCTGCATTATTCTTCAAATTTTTTGAGAATTTCAAATTCCTTTAAAAATAAGGGGTTTCTTGTCAAAAAAATGAAAATGTGCAGTAAAACTCAAAATTTCAGTGAAATTTGAATATTGTGATGATTTTGGCGCTAGAAACGTCAAAAGTTAACGGAAAATATTAATTTTTCACTTAAAGATACCCAATTTTCTCTCCAAAACACTCACATTATCAATTCTCAACATTTGTGTCCGATTTTCCTCATTTTGCAATAAATACAATTCAATTGTGACAATTTCAGTTGGATGCGGAACGAAAGTGACCAATAAATAATGTGTTGAACTTCGCATAAATTGTAAATACATTCGATGTTCGGGCAAAGATTCGGGCATCTGAAAAGCATGATTTTGGGTTAAAAATTGCAACGATTGCCTCAAAAACCCTCACCTTTTTCAAAAAACTCGTCATTTCCTTCTCAGTTTTTTCTCGAACTGGTTGCGATTTGATAGATCTTCGATATCTTTCGATAATAATTGCGATTCTCAATTTCTTCAAAAATTTTCGTATTGTTTCCAGTGAGCAATTACTGTAGAGAGCTCGACCGAATTCAGTTACATCTTCTGTATTTTCTGGAAAACAATTTGATATTCAAATGAGGAATATATGAAGAAGTATCGTTGTGAAATAAAAATTCAGAAATTTTCATAAATTTTTGAAACAGTGAGATTTTTTATTTTATTTTTCCGAAAAAAAATATGAAAAATGAAAAAAAAAATCACTGTTTCAAAAATCACAGAATATTTTTGATAATCAGAATAAAAATGTTGAACGTACTCCAATTGTTTTTGATTTTCAGCATTTTCAGTAAAATAAATTAATAAATCATGCCTCAAAATCTACAATTTCCCACCCAAAAAAAATAATCGACTCACCAATAATTCTATGAATCGAACAAATAACTTTTCCACAAAACGAATTCACCGAAACCACCAAAAATTCATCAGGTGTCGAATCATTCAAAAGTGCCATAGATAAAGAGGGCATCGCACATCCAGTCAACGAGATTTTCAATTTCGGATCTGCAGTTTCGATAATTCGACGAAGTCTAAGCAATCTTTCTCGACATCGAACAACATATGTTTCGGATAAAAGGCGATCCATTGAAAGTCGCCTGAAAATCACGATTTTTCGGATATAAAAATACCGGCCATAAATTGTAAGTAGAAAATTCATGAAATTTCTTTTGGTATATTTTAACTTCACAACCTTACACTTTTTTCCTTCCATAAAAAATGTTACAGCAAAAAAAATTTCATTGAGATTCGATATGTACATTTCTTGAAACAGTGGATTTTTCGCAATTTTTTACTCGATTTATTTCTGAAAACTCTTAGTTTTTTGAAACTGTACTTTGAACATGAGTTGTGACGTGGCATATTTGGAAAATCTCTTTACAAAGTTATAACAATCCAAATTTTTCGATTTCAAAAAAAATCCACTGTTTCAAAAATTACATATAAAAAATCAGTGTTTTTGAGATTTGACCATTTCGTTGATCTGTTAATCGATTCAAAAGATTAAGAGATCAACAAATGGTTCCAAAAAAACGGGAAAAATATGGGGGAAATAGGATCCGCCCACAAAATCGTGCCGCAGCTGTTTTTATAAGAAAATGATGGAATTCTTGAACTAGAAATGTGCATTTTTGAAAAAAAACATAAGTTTCGGATTATTTTTTCAGAGCTTAAATTTCAGATTTGCAAGATAAATATGATATATTCGGAGACAATTGATATTTTAGCATAGAAATCTCAATTTTCAGATCAAAATAGGATACTTTTTAATACTTTCTAGGTAAAACAAAAAACTCACCCTGTTCTACAATCCAATTTTCCCAAATGCGGTGCATGTGGAAAATGTCGAACTTTAAGTCCCGAAATCTTATCCTCTTTATCCTCAAATATTTGCAATCGATATTGTGCTTCAGATTTCGGTGCTCCTAACGTAACTTTTCGACTTTTCGACCGTTTCACCCAATATCCAACAATTAAACAACGCTCTTTTGGATCATATTTTTCGATTGTTATATTATCTCGAAGTCGACCAGCTGCTAATCGAGAAGTTTGACAAAATAATACGTCTAATTGAAGGGAAACGCAGAAATTGTGCAGAAATATGAAGATCTCGTTGATTGGCTGGAAAAAATAGGATTTTGAGGGTGAAAATCGAGTGAAAATTAAGAAATTTCGGGTCTTTTTGAGATGAAAATTATTTTTATAATTTTTCTAGCTCAAAACTAGGACTTTTAGTGAGAAATTGATAATTTTCAACTCAAAAAACTTTGAAATGCAAAAATGTCCAAAAAGATTACTTCTTTTGATTTTTACCTGAAATTGTGATAATTTCGTTGATTGGCTTCAAAAATAACACTAGAAATGTTGGAATTTCATTTTTCGGTCCATTTTTCTTTCGAAAAAAATGTGAGATAAAAACTGGGTCACGTTTTTTACGTGGAAAATTGAGAACAAAATATTTTATTTTAATTTTCCCAGTCTGTCCCTCGCTTCCCTCAAAATCACTCACATTTTTCGAGGCATCCATCCTTGTCTGCAGCACCGCATGTAATTGATTAACCTGAATCGGATGCACCAATGGCATTCCCAAACCCAATTCATAATCCTCCACCAATATTTTAATATTCAAAAGTGTCCATTTTGTCTTTTCCGTCTCTCCCAATAATGTCATTTTGACTTCGAATTCTCCCGGAACTGTTAAAATTGCCATACCATTCATCACAACAATATGCTCAAATCTTGGAGATAATCCAGTAGAAGCACGTGATAATCTAGTCTCAATTAATTGATTTAATCGAGCCAGCACTACATTTTGCTCTCTTGCTGTGATTTTTGAAGGAGGAATAAATGCATCTTTGATTTTTGTTGGCATTCGATGATAAGTTCCCAAGGTTAAAACATCGATTGCGGGAAGAATTTGATATTCAGGAAGTCTTGCGAGCACTAAATCTCCTCTTGTCATTGCAACTAATCGATCTGCAGCATCGATATAATAATGAGACTGTAGTTCTAACAAATAATTGATCGAATTGCAGACATCTAACTTTTTCGACATTTTTATCCATTTTACTAAAGCTAGAAGTTTTACGAATTGATTTCGAGTTGAGTGCGCGAATTTTACGAGTTCGATTTTCTTCTCCTGATCAGATTCTGATTTTCGCTGCAAAACTTCGGCAGAGACTGTGATTTCGTGGTAGACATGTTGAATTGCAAAATCGAGAAGAACGCTTAGTGGAATTGTTTGAGGACCACAACGATCCGGAACTTCTGGTAACTGTGGACGGTCTGGAATTTTTCAATTTCTGAATGTGATGGGGTCTTATGAAACATATAGTTGCTAGTAGATATCTAATTTCGTTGTACTGATAAGATTACCTTGTTTAGCAAGTCAAATTCATTCATATTTAGTCATGAGCTAACTAGTTTTTGATAACGGTATAGTGATTAGCTAGTCTAAAACGACAAATTCAAAACGACTTACCATCTTCACTGCCTTCTTCAAGTCCTCCTGTAGTATTTTCAGCATCTGGAGGTTTCAGAGGCGCTGGGGAGTCGGCAGCGGCAAGCGCCGCGCGTAATTGAGAAGACATCTAAAAATTGTGTTATTTTTTATTAAAAAATCGCTTTTTCTAAAAGAGAAACACGCTATTTTCTCAAAAAAAATATTGGCTTCCTAGGCCAGCTGTTTTTCTCTGCGTCTCTCTACAAACAAACAATCTCGCACATTGAGAAAACATGAAAAAACGGCCGAGAAAAAAAGAAAAAAGAAACGAACATTTTTAAAATATCTACCGTAATTCAAAGGCACAACCAACTTCTAGCCAAAACTCTTGAGGCGATTTGTGTGTCCCGAAACGAAATATACAATAATTTGAAATGGTGAAAAACACGTTTTTCTGCCTGGCCTAAATTTTTTTCTTTTTTCACGTGGAAAGCGCGTAATTTACGGGCAGTTTCTAGAATTTTGATGGCGGATTTCGGTGTAGAATATGTGTATGTGGAGGAGGACGGCGATCCAAACGATAAAAGCCAAAAAATGCAACAATTGATGGAAATCGTGAAGATGGATTTCGAAGGTTTTGAGGAAGACAAGCATTTTCGTGAGTTCTTTCAAATTTTCAGACTGATATTTAAACAAATTTGTTTTCTTTTTCAGAAAAAACCTTGATTTTCACAAAGGACGACACCACTGCCACTCAACTTGCTCGTCAATATTACATCCAATTCAAATCGAAAGCTTTGTTGTTTTCGTTGAACCAATTTGAATCTCCAACAAAAGAAGAAGAAACGCAGAATGAACAATTGTTGACTCGCTTTAACACTTCTTCAAAACTTATTGGTATCACCAACTTCTTGGTATCAAAGAAAATCAATTTTCATTATGCAAAGCATTTCATCTTCTATGATTTTCCTGAAAAACCTGACGAATTTCTTATTGCTTCGGAGAAAATTGGAACAGGTGCGAAAAAATGCGAATTGGATGGAAAAATCAGCGTTTTCGAACGAGGAATGACATCTGTTCAAAAAATAGCATATGTTCATGCTCTCCAAAATGCTGGAAAATCGATTCCGAATTCGCTTCAGCAATTTGTGATGTAAGTTTACCCTTCTCTTCCCCCTGTTTGTCTCTGAGGGACCATGGTTGAATTTCTACAGAAATGATCGAAATTTAAGTGAAAATGCAACAACTTCCTTGAGAGAATTGAAAAAGCAGGATGAGGTGGAAAATGGAAGATCAGATACTGCACCAGTTCCTCAATCATATGCACAACAACAACAACCACCACATGCTGAAACTCCGATTCTCGAGCAACCTAACACCAACAATCGAAATGGATCTTATGTGACTGTTCAAGGAGTTGAATACAAAGTGGTGAGTGTGTTTTAGCCAGACTAAAACTAGAAGCTCCCAAGATACTTTTTTTTTTAGTTTTTTATGTTTTTTCTTTGTTTTTCCCATTTATTTTTTGTTTTTCAGAATCGAAATGAACACCGAAAGCCAGAACTGGGTATGAAACGTGAGTTTACAATTTCACTATAATTAAATCGGATTTTTTTCAGAATATAACAATAACTGCAATCCGGAAAAGTTGATCATGATCGCTAAAGATTTGAGTTTTGGCGACTTCAATTCAAAATTATCAAAAGAAGATTTTAACTTTTTTCACGATTTATCCCCCAAAGAAAAAAACGCTTTCAATAATAGTGTTAGCGAAGAAGCCTGGCATGAAATTTTAAAAACTGATGAAAAAATCAATCAATTTCGACACCAATCGAAGCAGTCTTTAGCGAATGTTGGAATCCGCGAACTTATCGAAGATGTTAAAAAACAAGTTGATTGTCAGAAAAAGTCGTGGGATAATCATCGACGAAATATAATCCTAATTCATTTCCGCGAATTCCATATTTTATCAATGAATAATGACGTTGTCGATAAAGCCTGCTTTTTCTGCAATTCCCATGAGCATTTCAGTCTACTGTGTGTATATTACCCGACTTTCGAAATGCGTCAGTTTCAATGCAAAGAACAGGGAATTTGTAATTATTGTGGAGGAATTTTAACTCGTGGATTCGATCATCGATGTCCACGAGATCTTGAATGTCATGTTTGTGGAAGAACCGGACATGTTAAAGCGGTTTGGCATGATCATCCCGATTGGTGAAAAATAACAATATTAATATGTCATGTACTATAATGTTTTTTTTTGTTTTATGTAATATGCACGAATGAATAAATTTTTATCTTTTAAAAGTATTTGATTTTGCTCTAAAAAATGTCGGTATTCGAAAGAGTAATTTTTCTAAATTTGCGAGTCAGTATGTTTTCTTGGGAGATCTCGCTTGCCGTGATTAGAGAAAACGTTTTCGATCTCTAGATTGTTTTCCCAACTGAATATATGTTTTCCAGGCCAGATACAGTGACGTGGAAAGTTCCGACGAAGAGGATGAAATCAACATCGAGAATAAAGTCTACGAAGAAGACTACTACTACGATTTTGATCGCCGCATCCACGAAGAAGACGATGATGTTGATTATCAATAATCAAACTTTGATAAGATGTGGATTTTTCGGCAAGCTTTTATGAATAATTTTGTTTTGTACAAAAATTTTACCTTTTTGTTTTATCTATCCCCATTAATTAACGTTTTCCATATTTACTTGATTCCATCTTTTTTTTTCTATTTTTAATAAATACTGAGTTCATGACTAGTTATCACATTTTTGCTTGAAAGTTCTTGGTTTTCTCCATTTTCAAATATTTTTGTTTTGGCCTAGAAAATTGTTGGTTTTCCAGGCCAGCGTTCGAAATTTTCGAAAAAAAAACATTGTTTGACGTTTCCTCTGTCTTTTTCAGTGTTTTTCGCACAGCTGATCATAATTATGCTTAAAAAAATGGGTAGCTCAACTCTGAAAATGAGTTTTGACGTGGCAAAAGCTGGATGTGTTATGAAGGTGCTTTGAAAAGCTATGACTTGCTTAAAAATCAGTTCTCTTCTGAATCTGATAGAATGACGTTTGTCATCTATTTCATATGAACAGATGAAAACCTTTTTTAAGCTAGCGATTAGTTTTTCCACGTCATAACTATGTTCAAAGTTGAGCTACGCAGTTTTTATGAAGTAATTTTGAACAGAGATTCGAAATATTCTGGAAAATATATTTCAAAAATCGATTTTCAGATATGTCATCGGCATTCTTGGATAAGAAATCACCACTCTGTAGATCGCGCTCACGAAACGATGAAAAACGCATCGAAGATCTGCGAATCGCCTCAATCGAAACCAAAATCAAATGGCACATCGGTTTTCTGCTCGCAAACACTCTTGATTTCATCATTTTCAACTCACAAATCCTCTCATTCTTCCTATTTTGTCACGCATTTCCACAGGATATAACATCGAAAATCAGCTCGATTTTATCAATCTATTTTGGAGTGATTATTATGTTTTTGCTGATTGATATGAAGTTTCCAGGAAAATTGGTTTTTGATTATTCCTGGAAGAATTTAATGGCAAATAATACAACAAATGGGAAGGTTTCTGCTGAAGTCAAAAAACCATCGATTCCTTCGCCAAATTTCGATGATAATTCTTGGTTAGATGCACATCAATTCGGAACACCAAATGAGAACTTGAGAGTGAAATCAAATACATCGATTCGAGGGAATTCGCCTAACTCTAACACGAGTTTGGATATCTCGGCAGATTGGAGAAGTCCAGCTAGAACTACAGAAAGTATACATACTAGAAAGCAATTGGATGTTCTTCTACGAAGTCATAGGTACAGAATACTAACTTTTTATAGAATATATGTTTTCTAGTTATTTTTGACCTCTCTGATTACGATGGCGTTGTCGAAAACTACTTAGATGAGATCTGAATATGAGTTATGACGTAGGAAAGTTTGACATTTTGTGAAGGAAATTTACAGTGTTTAAAAACTAATTTTCAACAAAAATCTTATATCTAGCATGATCTTGTTAAGTTGAGTCGATTATCTGAACAAGAAAATGCTTTTCCACGTCATAACTCATTTTCAAAGCTGTGATATGCAGTTTTAGACAACAGAAATGTAATTACCGAGAAATTTTTTAGAAAACATATTTTCATTTGAAAAATCTTGAAATAACTGTTTTATTTTCCAGAAATGACGCGCAAATTGATCTCAACTCAACAAACAATTCCACATATTTTTCGAATATTTGGCATAATAGTTTTGACGGCGGAAAATCACCGAATCAATTGAACAATTCCTATCAACTTTCCGAGGAATTGAAAGAGGATCAAGCAAATTCTCGTAAGATATTTTGGCGGGAAACAAAAGGGTGAAATGATACCCTCACTGAAGATTTGTAAAAAATCATGATTTTTAGGATTAATATCCATAATTTGGCTGAAACATTTGATTTTGAACTGAAAACTGACCTATTTACCACCAAAAACTCAAATTCCTTTAATTCCAGCCTACAAAATAAAAATCGGAAAAAATGGTCTGACCGAAGTGACAATGCGTCGCCGCCGCACCGAAAATGACGTCATTGAAGACGACGAAAACGACGATGAACTCACGAAATTGCACAAAATCATGAATGCGGCAAAAAATTCGCCGTCTGCAGCAGACGCCAAAAATTCGAGTATTTTGAAGCGGTCGAATTCGACGGAACGCGGGAGAAGTGGAAGTTTGCGGAGAAGATCACATTCATCGCCGGATAGATCTATGGATTATTATGGAGGTGATTCGGAGAGATATAGGTATGCATTCTGGGGAGTTTATAGACTTGAAAAGCTCTAGCACGCTGAAATTTCTGATTTTCTGAACAAAAGGTTTTTTTGAAATTTTTAGCAAAATTCTTTTTTATTTGAGAGTTTCGCGAAAAATATAAATCAAAATTTAGGTTTACCAGATTAAATTTTGTTTTTTTCACTGATAATCTCAGATTTGAAGCTTACAGCTTTGGAAGATAATTACCGGAAATTTTAAGAATTTTCAAGATGGCTGAAAACCCATTTTCTTCCTCAAACCTCACGTTTTCCAGAACCGGCGAACTTTTAACCGAAGAACAACAACGTCGAGCCGAATTCCGTGTTCGAGCATGGCTCAGAAATACCATAATTCTACCCCTCGCTGAACAAATTGAAGAAATCAATAAAGTTCTCGAAAAAGAACACCCAACAGTTCGAATTGGCCAATCCTCGATTGACGCTTTGAAATTGGCGATAATCGAAAAAGATATACTGAAATCCACAAATTTGCCATTTGTTTTGCCATTTTTATCGACTTGCACAGCCAATCAACAAGCCTATTTAGTTAGTCGAATTCGAGAATTGGCGAGTAATGAATTTATGGATGTTTATAAGTGGAATGGTGGTGGAATGGAACCAGCTGAGGATAAATGTGAGCGATTTTTTTGGGTTTACCTGATTTTTTCCAAGAGAAAGTTTGAAAATTATTCGAATTTTTGTACCCAAAAATCGGAAATTCAACGTTTTTTAATTTTTACGGGCAAAACCTTTTCAATTTTTGAAAATATTTTTAGTTCAACAATATTCAAATTGAAAAATTTGGAATTTAGCTGGAAATTTGTGAATTTAGTTGCTGAATTTTTTTTCAAAACTTTCAATTCCTAATCTTCTATTTTCAGTAAACACATCTCGATTGGTCCGCCGTGAATGGAATGACAGTCTTCCAACTGATTCAATTCTGATCTTTGATCTTTTCTGCATTTACATGGATGCTCAATTGAATTCGAATTGTTTGGTTGGAGATCATCGTTTGGATCAACCATTCACAAGTCGATTTGTTGTCAAATCTCCCAAAAAACCAGTTGCTGCACAAAGAGCACCGTATATGTTTTATCTGCATATGGTAAGGGTTTCGGGATTTTTGAGAAAACACGGCTGGGAAAATTTTATTATTATCAACGTCAAATTGTAATTTCTGACTCAAAATTCAACTGAAAAATCGGCAATCTTAAAATGAAATTGATTTGAAGCTGTAAAATTTGGCACATCCTCATTTTATCTACTTTTCAGCCAGTTTTCGTTTTAAAAAAAATCCCATGAAAAATGTTATTGAAAATCCCTCTGTCTTCAAAAAATCCTGAATTAAATTTCAGTCTTCCCAATCGCCACCAAACTTCGAACTCATCCATAATGATTCAACCGGTACTTCGATAAAATGTCAAATTTCCCGACAATCTTCCAATCTTTTCCGAGCCATCGCTCAATTTGTCCACTACGCCAAAGAGGAACACAATGGATATATTGATCGGACCAACATTGGACCAAGTGGAATTAATATTTTGTGTGTTTTATATTGAATTTTTGCTTTTTTGTTTTTGTTAAATAAATGTTTTCTTCTTTTGGAACGCGAAATTTGCAGCAATTTCAGAGGTTTTTTGACTGAAGGGGAAAATGTTCCAATTTCTAACTTTTTGTCACATAATTTTGAATTTGGGTCCTAGAACGAAAAGGACGTGACAGAAAAATGTTTTTTTTTCGAAAATTGAAGAAAAAGAAAAAATTTGGCAAAATTTTTTTTTGATCTACAAATTTTCCGCACCCGCGCGCTGTTTTTTTTTGTTTCTCTCGGAAAAAATCGATTTTTGGGGAAACCAGGATCATTCATTCACAACCAGAGTACATCGCTTGTGCATTTTTTGGGCGCTCGTACGCCCGCGCGTGTAACGCTATTTGCCCGGTTTTTTGTGGGAGCTTGCGAGCTTAGAATAAAGCTAACTCTTATAGTATCCTAACTTGGATGTTTTTCTAGAAAAAAGTTAGAAACTTGCAAAAATTTCTTCCACATCCATTCAAAATGTAGGGAAAAGGATAATTTTGCAAAAAGAAGTATGTAGAAAAGTTCGCCTGTTTTTGTTTCAACATGTAGTAAGTATCGTCCTTTCATTTTAAGATTTCATTTTTTTTGGCGTATGCCTCTAGAAAATGATTTTAAGACTTGAAAACCGCCGATAATTTTTGAAGTTTTGCCAGCCTAATGTTTTTTTCTTAAAATTGGAAATAAGTTATTTTGAATATATTGCCGTGAGGCAAGAATAATTGCAGTTTCTTTTCGCCGTGAGGTGAGCTAAATGTAATTCTTTAAACGCCGTGAAGAACCATTTTCTGCTGTGAAGCAATGAAACTGTAATTTTCAGCCGCCGTGAGGCGGGTATACTTCAATACCCTTGAAACATATATTGCCGTGAGGCGGGAAGACTACAATTTTGGCCGCCGTGAGGCGGGTAAATTATTCAAACGCCGTGAGGTACTTTGAAGCCATGATTTATTGCCGTGAGGCGAAAAATATGTAGTTTTCTGCCGCCGTGAGGCGGGTATGTGTGGATATACTTATTTTTCAAAATTTTCTTACTTAGGTTGGCAAAAACATTAACTAGTCACTCAACGGACCTTTTTTTAGTTCTATCTTTTTTAATTGGTTTTTTTGCGAAATATAAAAAGAAAACTACGTTGCTCCTCCCAATGGCACTGCCTGATGTTTAGTCGCACGTTCGTTTTTTTTCATTTCTTTTTTTTCTGTGTTTTTCAGAGTTTTGCCGGGGGATTTCTTTCCACGTGGGATTTTCAGCGCAAAAAATTACGGGAAGCTTGATCAATCATTGAATTTGCCACGTGGCACTATGTTTTTTTTTTTTTGAGTTTCCCGCCAAATTTTTCACCGCTCAGCTTTGCATGAAAAATTGACGGATAAAGTTGAATATAGTGCTGAAATCTTTTTTTTTTTCAAATTTTTTTGATTTTGGCACCAAAAATCGAATAAGATTTTTCTAGAAATGACTTTTGGCGAAAAAATTCTAAAAATGCGTGACCTTTTTTGAAACCATTTTTTCAATTTCATTTTTCGTTTCAATTCATTTTCAAATATGTCGCAATCCACAGAATGTTGCGGCAATTAGCTCAAACATTGGCACAACGCCAAACTTCTCTACACTTGCAACCAGCTCGAAATTTGCGAACTCGTTGGGAACGCGGATATTTGAAAGATCTATATCACCGTCGGCAATTATTGGGAGCCGATCCAGCGATTGCCAGATCTTCCCTTCCAAATTGGTAAGTTTTTTTTTCAGTAGTAGTTTTTGTGGGCGGGAAAAGTCACCCAGAAAGAAATGTAGCTCAACCACAACAACAAATCGATCGATATCAACAACATCTGCTGAATTGCATCATGAAACATCTGGCTCGTCTAAAAGCACTCATCAATGGCCACCAATTCAATCACAAATCGACACAAGTTCCGAAGATTTCGCTAAAAATATGGCCGACATGCAAAGTGTTGTTGAGGATTTGCGCGCGAAAATTGCGCATATTGAAAAAGCTGGTGGAGAAAAAGCGGTGAAATTGCATAGAAGTAGAGGGAAGATGTTGGCAAGAGAGAGAATTGATGCATTGATTGATGAAGGATCGCCGTTTTTGGAATTCAGTCAGTTGGCTGGATATAAGGTGAATTTTTGGAGCGGGGAGGGATTTCAAGTTCAAATTCTCTTGAATTTCTACAAAAATTGTCTGAAATTATTGATTTTTGATTTTATTATATTTTCAAAATTGTAAATTGTTAGTGTTTGAGCTAAAAATCGTTGGAAATCGAGAACCCTCCCTCTCAAAAATAACCCAAACTCTCCAAAACTCCTATTTTCTTCCAGATGTATGGTAAAGAAGAAGTTCCATCGGGCGGAATTCTTAGTGGTCTCGGCATCGTCTCTGGTCGTGTTTGTGTCATCGTCGCCAACGACGCCACAGTCAAAGGTGGAACCTATTATCCAATCACCGTCAAAAAGCATTTACGTGCTCAAGAAATCGCGCGCGAAAACCATCTTCCCTGCATTTATTTAGTCGATTCGGGCGGTGCCAATTTGCCACGTCAAGCCGATATTTTCGCCGATTCTCAACATTTCGGTCGCATTTTCTATAATCAAGCAACAATGTCATCACAAGGAATTCCACAATTAGCTGTAGTTATGGGAAGTTGTACAGCTGGTGGAGCATATGTTCCAGCAATGTCAGATCAAGCTATTATTGTCAAAGGCACAGGTACCGTATTCCTCGGTGGACCTCCATTAGTGAAAGCGGCGACTGGTGAAGAAATCTCGGCTGAAGAATTGGGTGGAGCGGATTTGCATTGTGGTGAAAGTGGTGTGACGGATTATTATGCGGTGAATGATAAACATGCGTTGTATTTGGCAAGAAGTTGTATTGCGGGTTTGGAGCCGAATCAAGAACATATGAGTTTTGATCCAAAAGCGGATGAGCCAATTTATTCGGCTGATGAGATTTATGGAATTGTTGGATCGAATTTGAAAAAGACGTATGACGTGAGTGAATTTTTCTGGGAATTGGGACTTGTTGTTTTTGCTCGGATTTTTAATCTGCGAACAACATTCGGGTGTGGCTTGAATCTCCCGCCAAAATTTATGTTCAAAAATCTAGGTTTGTCTGCAGCAATGCAACATTTTTCCTTTGAGAAATTCAATAACTTAATCCACGCTCACGATCTCTATCTTCTCTTCTCCACTTTCAAAAACCTTCTTTCTCCAGGTTCGCGAAGTGATTGCTCGAATCGTCGACGGCTCTCGATTCCACGAATTCAAAGAACGCTACGGTGAAACTCTCGTCACCGGATTCGCCACAATTTATGGTCAACGAGTCGGAATTTTGGCCAATAATGGTGTGCTTTTCGCTGAAAGCGCCATGAAAGGAGCACACTTTATTGAACTGTGTTGTCAACGAAAAATTCCGCTACTCTTTTTGCAAAATATCACTGGATTTATGGTGGGTTTTTGGGAAAAGTTTTGATGAAAATTGGATTTTCACTCAAAAAATCACGTTTTCAACCAAAAAATCATCACATTCTTTCCAGGTTGGCCGCGACGCGGAAGCTGGCGGAATTGCGAAACATGGTGCCAAATTGGTAACGGCTGTTGCGTGTGCCAATGTGCCCAAAATCACAGTACTCATTGGCGGATCTTATGGTGCTGGAAATTATGGAATGTGTGGACGAGGATATTCGCCGAGGTGAGAGAAGAGTTTTTGTGGGGATTCTAGGCCATTTCTGAGTCATCTGATGTTTTCAAGACCGTTTTCACGATTTTTTTCAGCTATCTAAAGAACCTAGGCTTTCCAAAATTTTTTATTTTTCTCAACTTCCATTTATTTTCCCCCAACATTTCAGACTCCATAATTCCAACCATTTTTCATTACAGATACGTATTCATGTGGCCAAATTCTCGAATTAGTGTAATGGGAGGTGAACAAGCAGCCAATGTATTATCAACAGTTCAAAAAGAGAAGAAAAAACGAGAAGGAGTCGAATGGACAGAAAAAGAGGATCAAGACCTCAGAAAACCGGTCGAAGAGAAATTCGAGCAAGAAGGACATCCGTATTTTGCATCTGCCAGATTGTGGGATGATGGAGTTATTGATCCAAAGGATACTAGAAAAGTGAGTGATTTTAAGACGGATTAGAATGTGGTGCGAAATGTAAAATTAGCCTAACTTTTGAAATTTTCATTGAAAATTGATCTGTAAATCTGAGTTTTCATAAAGTTTAGCTCAAATTTTGAGAATCTGATAAAAAATTCCCGAACTTGAAGAAATACGGTTTATTTTGAAAACTAGAGTACCGAGCGTCAAAATTTGAAATTTTGAAATTTTCCGGACTGCAAAAATTACTGTAGCTCCGAAGTTCGTTGAAATTTTCAATTTTCGAACAAAAATTTCCTTCTTCCCAAAAACTGAGATTTTCCCCAAAATTATCATAATTTTCAATGAAAACCAACTGAGAAGGAAAGTCTTTTGATGTTCCCCCCTGAAATAAAATGAGACTAGGTGGAATCAACTACATATTGATAGGTAAGAAAAAGCCCAACGGGATTAAGGAAATAAAAATCTATTTCAGGAGTTACGGTAACTCCTCAAATTTTGAGATAAAAAAGCCTATGATTTCAAAAAATCGTAGTTCGGCTCAAAGTAAACGAAAATGATCGGTCAAAAATGCATTTTGATGCTAAAGTGCTCAATTTTTTAGCTAAATGGCGCTCGTAATCTCAAAAAAATTTTCAAAATGAAAATTTTTCAAAAAATGACCCCTTTCTCAAAATGTTGAAATTTCACCTCTAAAACGCTACGAGGGAAGAACGACGTCCGACGCACCGTGTTCTACGTCAAAAATTACGTATATTGACATATTTAAATATAATACCTACCGACCTTTTAACCTGGGAAAAAAATGATTTCAAAAATTTTCACACAAAAAATCATGTTTTCTCAGAATAAAATCATTTTTTGAAACAGTAATCATTATTTCTTTGTTATTTTTTTCTCAAAACATATTTTCTAATTGTTTTTCATCTTTTTGTATGATTTCTGAAAAATTAAAAAATTTCAGATTTTATATCATCGATTTTGGACCACTTCGAAAATTAAAAATCAATTATAGCTCGATGATAGAAGTTAAGGACTTTTTTGTAAGCTTTAACTCATTCATTACGTTTTTGCAACTGGGAAAACACTTTCAATAATATATCTATCAACGGACAATTTTAGAGACCTTCGAAAAAATTTCCAATTCCCAGATGAAAATAATCGTCTTGAGAAAAAATGGCAAGAATTATTTAATGAAACAACTTTTATCGATAATTTTTTCGAAGGTCTCTAAAATTGTCCGTTGATAGATATATTATTGAAAGTGTTTTCCCAGTTGCAAAAAACGTAATGAATGAGTTAAAGCTTACAAAAAAGTCCTTAACTTCTATCATCGAGCTATAATTGATTTTTAATTTTCGAAGTGGTCCAAAATCGATGATATAAAATCTGAAATTTTTTAATTTTTCAGAAATCATACAAAAAGATGAAAAACAATTAGAAAATATGTTTTGAGAAAAAAATAACAAAGAAATAATGATTACTGTTTCAAAAAAATGATTTTATTCTGAGAAAACATGATTTTTTGTGTGAAAATTTTTGAAATCATTTTTTTCCCAGGTTAAAAGGTCGGTAGGTATTATATTTAAATATGTCAATATACGTAATTTTTGACGTAGAACACGGTGCGTCGGACGTCGTTCTTCCCTCGTAGCGTTTTAGAGGTGAAATTTCAACATTTTGAGAAAGGGGTCATTTTTTGAAAAATTTTCATTTTGAAAAATTTTTGAGATTACGAGCGCCATTTAGCTAAAAAATTGAGCACTTTAGCATCAAAATGCATTTTTGACCGATCATTTTCGTTTACTTTGAGCCGAACTACGATTTTTTGAAATCATAGGCTTTTTTTATCTCAAAATTTGAGGAGTTACCGTAACTCCTGAAATAGATTTTTATTTCCTTAATCCCGTTGGGCTTTTTCTTACCTATCAATATGTAGTTGATTCCACCTAGTCTCATTTTATTTCAGGGGGGAACATCAAAAGACTTTCCTTCTGAAATCCCAATTTTACCCTCAATTTTCATATTTTTTGCAGGTTCTTGGTTTGGCATTCCAATCAACATTGCAAAAACCGATCGATGACACCAAATTTGGTGTCTTTAGAATGTAGAAATAACATAGGATGACTCTTTTTTAATTTAATTTTTTCTCTAGATTTTCTCCAAAGATTTTCACTTATTTTACGGTTTTCATTTTTCTTTTTTATAATAAATTTGAAATTTTTAATTAATTTTTAACTTAAATTTTTTCAGCGTCTTCTTTCTGGGTGACTTGGGGAATTTTAATTAGCAAAAATTAATTAGGAATTAATTAATTAATAATTTTTTGCAGGGATTACAAAAGTGAAGTTTATGCGTTTGGACATAGAATTGGAGCACCGGAAATTGAGCAGAATTTGATTGTTAAGGTACGGTCGATTTTGGGGGGAAACTTGAAAAATTATTATTTTAAGCCTGAATGTTGTGAAAATCAACTTCAAAAAGTTCCGAAAATAAGATGATATACAGAACACTGAAAATTCAAGAAAATCTGGAAATTTTCAAGCTTTGAATCAATAACCTGAAAATTTCTCTGTAAATAATTTCTCACCTTAAAATTTTCAGCCAAAAATTCAAAGAAAATATTTATCTCTACAAAATGTTTTCCTACAAAAGTTCCCCTTTAAAATCAAATACCTGTAAATTTCTCTGAAAATTCAAACCTGTAAATTTTTAGCCCCTAAAAAAATTACCCAAATTTCAGGCTCTCACAAATGCCTCATTCTATCAGCGAGCAGATGTCGAGGAAAATGTCGAAAATGCGCATCCATCTGGAAATTCTACTGAAATTGGAAATGAGCACAATTTGGAGCTCGCCGAGCAAGGTACGATCTGTAATTAATTTTTGAGCGAAAATACGGCGAGAAATGATGGATGTTAAGCTGAAACATGAGAAAAATCTCCAGAAAATCAATTTCAAAAACAAAAAAAACTTTTCGTTGTTTGAACTTTTGACAAACACCACGTGCTATCTTTTTTCCTTCAATATTTTTTGCTGTTCTTCTGTTTGTCTACTTTTCTTATCAAGAAATAGACCTTTGAACATTGATATTGGAAAAATAGGGGACTTTCTATTTAGCTAAATGAAAATTTGAATGCGGCACAGATTTGGAGGCGGAGCTTTTTTTGAAAATCCAAGAATTCGATCTTAAAAAAAACACAAGTGCAATTGATTTTTTGCTCCCGAAAAAATACGTTTCAAAAATTTAATTTAGTTGAAGTATTCTGATATTTTCTGATATTTTGAATATTTGCAAACACATAAATTCCCAAGACAAATTGAACTGAGCTCCGCCCATAAGACCATGCCGCTCTAATTTCTCAAGTATTAAAAAAAGACCACGCCCAGAAAATCATGCGATACTCAAAAAATAAAAATCAAATACAATTCTTTGCAGGTGCTGAAAATTTGTCGGTTTGGTTGAAACGATATTTGCGTTTTCATTTGACAGCAGCTCCCGAAGAATTGATTGAAGCTGTCGATGCAAATTTGTTGAACGATGAAAGTTTGGCTGAAATTGCACAACATTTGGGTAAGCATCTGGGGGTTTTCAGACTGAAAATCCACGTGGCACAAGAATTTAGCCACATCCATTTTTGACGTCAAAATTTCACATTCTATTAAAATAGTTTGAATCTTTTAAAATTTTGGAACCAAAAACGAGCTAAAAATCCACGTGGAATTTATTTTCAAAAATAAATTTTCTGTCTTCCGAAAAAATTTTCTCATGCAAATTTTCAAAAAAAAGAAAGATATTTTTGATCCGAAATTTCAGAAAAAAATAATTTCAAGCTGAAAATCTGAAGTTTAGCTGAAACTTTCCATAATAATTTCAACTTTTTCAATTCCCCTGTTTTCTTTTAGGAATCGATAATCTGGTTCGAACCGCCGAATATCCTATTTCTTCAAAAACCTCAGCCAACGCTTTCCGATCTTTGGCTGCAATTTTCAGCCCCGAAAAATGCAAAAATCTCGTCATCGACTTCATTGTTCCACAAATAATCGATATCGATTTTGCGGATATTTATCCATTGGCTGAACCAATGGAAGTTTTGAGAAATTTGCGAAAAAATGTGGATATTGAGCCGCGAATTTTGAGATCGGCTGGAGAAATTAGTGCCGAACCACTTTATGTTGTTGGTATTTATGAGGAAAAGAAGAAATTGATTGGACAAAGTGAGCAGCTTGTTTTTTTGAAAAATTGAATTTTGAGATTATCGGAGTTTCGGTCTGAAAATCTGGAAATTTCAGAAAAATCTACGTGGCAATGTGTTTCCTCGTAAAATTCTGAAAATTTTGACACCAAATTTTCAGCTGAACATTGTGCCACGTGGAATATTTTTGATAACAAAAAAACCTAATTTTTCTTCCAGGCGCCGGTGAAACGTTGAGCATTGCTCAGGATATGGCGGCACGCGACGCATTGCTCAGATTATGGGAAATCACATCGGATCGAGTGCTGTTTTTCGGCGATCGAGCAGCAAAAGTTGAACTTGAGAAATATGATGAAGAACATTATCGATTGGCTGAAAAATGTGATGAGGGGTGAGATTTTGAAGGGTGCAACATTGGGAAAAGATTGAAAATTCAAATTAGAAATTAACGCTTATCTTTCAGTTAATTTCTCAGAAAATAGTTGTTTTTTCTAAATTTTGTAGCTAGAAAAATTCCTTCCAAAAAATTGCATAAAATGGCATTTTTTTCATTATATCAATGAAAGCTGACCACAAGAATTCAAATTTGTCATCCAAAATAAAATTCTCAAAATCTGATTATTTTCAGCACAAATCTATCATTATCATCTCCCGAATTGGAAACTGGCCAAAATCTGATCGAAACAGTATTGAGATATCGACAGGAAATTGATCAACAAATTGGAAAAAGCTATACAAAACGACTTCGACACAAATTCTCGAGAGGAAGTTTGGCAAAACGATCATTTAGATATTTGGTCAAACCAAAACCTTTCACTGTTTCATAAGAAGGAGGGTTTTTGGAGCGAAAATTTGCGGGTTTTCAGTAGGAAGTTTGAATTATTCAGATTTTCAGCTCCATTTTGAGTGTTATTTTCATGAAGCCGCCGAAGTTCTTCAAATTTTCGCGCCTTTTTGTCTTACTGTAGTTCGTTTTTTTCCTAGTTTTTTTTAGTTATTTTGTTGTTGTTATCTCATTTCTTCCCACTCAATTCTTCTTTTTTTTTGTATATTTTTCGAAAAATAAAAATAATTATTTTCAGAGAAATTAGGCGAAGTTCTCGAATCCCTTGGGGAATTGTTCAAATTGAGAATCTACCTCCAGATGATAATTTTTTTCCATTTTTTTTTTATTTCAGTTTTTTAATTGTTACCTTGGTTATTTTTTAGGAATTCGAAAATTAATTTTATTGTTGGGATAATAATTGGGCCTTTCTTCAAAAATTAAAATATTCTGAACAATTAAGCCATATTAACTATGGGCTAATGTTTTAATTGTAATCTAATGTTAGTCTCACTTTTCAAATTCAATTTTTTTAGGCTGAAAAAAAAATGAAAATTTTCACTCAAAATTTGATTGGAGAATGGCGTGTTTGGTTGCAGGGAGGTGAACCGATACGGTAGGCTTATTTGCCACGTGGCAATTTGAAAATTTGAATTTTTCAAAAAATTTGGAACTTTTTGATCGCGTGGCATTTTTTTAATCAAACATTTTCGAAATTGATTGAATTTCGAATCAATTGTTCAGCTAAAAATCCACGTGGATTTTGAAAATTTCAATTTTTACATAAAATATCTGACTTTTGGAAAATCTCAAAATTTCTTAAATTTTTTCCTCGAGAATCTGAAATTTCGGAATTTTGCAGATTCAAAATACTCGAAATTTTGCTGAAGTTCTTAGTTTTCCCTTTAAAATCTCTGAATATTTGCAGCTATCGTTGCTCTCAACGCTCTTATGATTCTTGGCTCAAAAGTGGCTCTGCGAACACCTCAAATTCCTATTATCTTTTCTCCGCGGGTTTCTTTTTTCTCATCCTAAATCTTCTAATTTTCATCATTTTCAACACCGACAATTTTCGAAAAAGTTCTTGTTTTCGAATATTTCGCTATCTTCAAATTGCTCATTTTTTTCAAATTTTGTGCAATTTTTCGTGGCCCGCTTTCATTCTCAAAAATGGTTGGGTTTTTTGCAATTTTCCCAGAACTTCGTGGATTTTCGGACGAATTTTGATGTGTTTTTGGAATTTTGGTTGCTTTTGCATGGTATTTCTGACGGCTAATCGATTTGTTGATATGACTAGGAAATGGAGATATATTCGATATTTTAGAGTGAGCAATGACACGTGACAAACGTGGCACAGATTTTTAGTGTGAATTGCGCAACAATTTCCACGTGGATTATCGAATTTCAAAATTTATTTTCTGTGATTTCCGCGCAAAAATTCAAATTTTAAATTTTTCCAGCGTTGGTATTTTGTCCATCTCATTTGTTGTCTCCTATTTGTCTACTCGACTTTCATCTCCATAATTTCCGATCCTCTTTTATTCAATTCAACTTTTAAAGCCTATCTTTTCGATCCAATAAATGGAATTGAGGTAAGTTCTCGTTTTTCGCGTCAAATTTTTTTAAAATCGATTTAAATCTTTAGAACACTTCATATACCGGAAGAATTGAATTCATGAACAATTTAATCACAATTTCGCTGCTATTTTTCTTCAATTTCCGAATTTTTCACGCACTTCATCATGATTATGATAATAATTGGAGAGCAGCGACGAAAATTCGAAAACAAGTATTTTTTCAAACCGTTACATTATCGATTTTCTATTCGATTCCAATTTTGGGTTGTTTTCTGACGGCACATCGAAAAGAAACCGAAATTGTCAAGTTTTATTTGTGGTGTTTGGAGATTTGCTTTCAATTTTGTGCTGGTCTGCCTTCTTTAACATTTCTGTTCTTTTGCTCGTATTTGAGACATGACTTGATGAAATTTCTTCGTTTTAAAAGATATCGTATTGTTCCTCCGAAATCAACTGCCCGTGTTACCTCCATACAAACCACTGAACTCTAATTAATTAATTTGAAAACTTTTTCAGAAAAAAAAAATAAAATATTTCTTACTGTGCTTTTTGAAGGAACACGCAATGTTTGCAAGGGGTCTCGTAGCGCTTCAACTTTTGTGTATTTCTCGCGAAATTTGAAAACATGTTTTCAAATTCTTCGAGAATATGAAAACGTGCTCCATTGACAAACAAACCGCGACGCGGCTATAGATGCAGAGGAAACAAAGAACGAGAGTTGAATATTTTTAAAGGGCGGTTCGCGTGACAAGACCCTTGATTTAGGTAAGGTTTTGCTCTTTTATTTGTTTTTTACTACTTAGATTTTTTGGCGGGAAATTTGAATTTCATGTTTTTCGCGCCAAGAAACCAAATTTTCCAAGAAATATGCCCTTCTCTCTTCTTTTCCTCGAAAATGCATTTCAAATAAAAAACGCGTCGCACACGCAACGCATCTTCCCTGCCCGTCTCAACTCTGTCCCAAAAATGTAGCCTACCAGGTTAGACACAGAGAAACAGGTCTTTTAGCGATATTTCTCTGCGTCTCTCCTCTTCCTTTGCATTGCCCACACACATTTTGGCGGTTTCATGTTTGTTAGGCCAGCAAAACTCTTCCCCATTATTTTTTGCATATTTTTTGAAAATTTTCAAGTATTGAGGCTGAAATTAAGGAAAAACTTGAATTTCTGAAAATTCGCTAATTTTACATCGTATTTGGACCCAAGACGCTCGAAATTCCCAGATTTTTGAATTTCAAACTTTCATGGTTGATTTTCAGCACAAAGTTCAAGACAAGTCCTATGAATTTCAAATTATTTCATAAATATGACAATCTCACAGATAAATCTTTGTGAAATCCTAAGAACTCATCAGAGAAAAAGTTTTTAAAAAATAACAAGATCATTAGTGATCTTCTCAAAATTATTCAGCTTCTCATTGAAAATCACCACTGATCTCCCAGTTTGATCGAATCAGAACATCAGTTTTGTCAAGCCATAATGTTTTCTCGGATGAGTTCTTAGGATTTCCAAAAGATTTATCTGTGAGATTGTCAAATTAATGGAATACTTTGAAATTTATTGGACTTGTCTTTTTTGATATTTGTGCTGAAAATCAACCATGAAAGTTTAGAATTCAAAAATCTGGAAACTTCGAGCATCTGACAACGGGAGGTCAAGGACTCACTGAATAAGTAGGAAAAAAACCCATGGGATAATTATTCCAAAACCCTACGGTGCACAACTCACCCATGAGTGTGGAAAAGTGATAGAAAAATATATTCCCAATAATTTCGCAGAAAAAATGAATTCCCGCGTGAAGCGGAGGTCGCCACGTTTTTCATTTGCAAAAAATAATTTCTCAAAAAAATGAATCTTAAAATTATTTTAATCGCGTGAACGTGTTCTTGTGGCAGAAGTCGGCGATCAGAAATCATTTTCGATATTCATTTTTTTTGTAACTATCTTGTTATGAACACTAGAATTTTTAAAATAATTATCCCATGGAGTGTTCTTTCAAATGCCAAAGTTACAGAAAAAAGTTGATTCTGTGAGTTTGCAACCTTCCTGTTGTTCAGAAAATTTCGGGGACGAGTTCCGCTGACCTAACAAATTTCCGCTCGAAAAGTTGCAATCCGCTTTCAAAATGTTTCGGTCTTGCAAATGTTCACTGTTTTTCTCTGCACTCTCCTATCTCCCCTCTTCATTTCTCATTTCAAAATAAACCGCGTCGCACACGCAACGCATCTTCCCCTGTTCGTCTCAACTCTGTCCTGTTAGGTTAGACACAGAGAGACAGGTCTTCTCGCGATATGTTTCTTTTTCTCCAACTTTTGCCCGAATTTGAACGATTTTCAAAAAAATATCGTGGAAGAATTTCGCTGGCCTAACAAATTTTCTTGTTCAAAGTTTCAATCCGCTTTCAAAATTCTTTGGTCTCGCCAAGATTTGTTTGTTTTCTCTGCACTCTCCTATCTCTCCTCTATTCATTTCTCATTTCAAAAAATGAGAAAACCGCGTCGCACACGCAACGCATCTCCCCTGCCCGTCTCAACTCTGTCCCAAAAATGTAGCCTACAAGGTTAGACACAGAGAAACAGGTCTTCTCGCGATATTTCTCTGCGTCTCTCTTCTCTCTTTGCATTGCGCACACACATTTTTGGCGGTTTTATATTATTATTTCTTAGGCCAGCAAAACTCTTCCCCTTTTCGTTTTCTTGCAGATTTTTTGAATTTATTTTCGATATTTTTCCAAGAAAAATTCAAAATTTTTGCAGTGTATGTTTTCTTGTGTTCAATTTTAAACTGAAAAATAGTTTCTAATAATGGAGGATGTTCTTTTTGCCGATGCATCCAAAGTTAAAATGGAAATTGATGATGGTGAAGGAGATGGAATGGGTGAAATGCCATCAGGATTTGAGGGAACTCCTGAAGATGAAGATATGAAAAAAGTGGAGGACGAAAATCGAATGGCTGATATGATGGAATTGAAAGAAGTCAGAAATCGAAGGAAAAATGGGCTGCATCGAAAAGATTCAGAAGATAGTTCAAATGGCTCAAGGTTTGTTGCACTTACGCTCTATTGATAAATTGATTTGGATTTGATTTTTTGAGGACATTTTTAGGTTTTCTAGGCCATATCGGTTCTCTTCAAAGAGTCACAAAATCTCGGATTAAATTTAAATCCACATAATTTTCTTTAGAAACGATGCGGAATATTTGAAAAAAGAAAAAGTCGAACTAAAAACCTTTGGACTTTCATCTCGACCTCGTCGATCAGTGAATTATGCAAGCATTGAAAGAGGCGATGAAGCAACAGCTCAATCACTTCTCACCGAATTCACATCAACCACCAAAAAACGGGGAAAACGAACGAGAGATGAGTTGGATGAGAATTATGAGGATGAACCCGAAAAATGTGTGAAGCCACCGAAAAAACAACCCGTTTCACATTTGAGATATCATGCGGCGGTTAATCGAGTGACAATTGCGAAGAATATTGGACAAAAGGTAACATGCGCTCTATTTGATAACCCGTTTTTGAAAATTTTTTTCATAGAAAAAAAACAATTGCGCTCTATTGATAATCATATTTTCTCTTAGAAATTTCGTAAAGATCCACTTTTTTCTTGGAAAATATTGCAAAAGCGCTCCATTGATAAATATATTGAGTATGTTTTTCGTGTGAATTTCAATTTTTAAATCATCTGGTTCTACAATTGTATTTGCGCCCTACTGATAATCTTTAATTTTCAATAAAAATTCAAATTTTTCAGTACGAAACCGAACTCGCCAAACTTCTACCAAAAGTCGACGCCGAAAGACCATCAATAGAATCGAGATCAACTTGGAGCACTCTAGATAATGAGCCAACAATCAGAAAATCATCAGGAGGATTCCGAAGATTTTTAGCATGGATGAGCGATGAATTAATTACCAAATTAGCTGTTTTCATCGAAGAGAACTTCAAATTGGAAGCCGAAACAGATGTGGAAAAAATGTGCAAAGTTGTGAGACATGCATGGAATTCGCAATCAAAAAAATTGCGAAAATCATGGGAAAAAACAGCAAAATTAGATGCTTATGAATCATTTAAACTTATTGGAGGAGCAACTTTACCATTGAGTGAAATTCCGGGAGAATCAAAATTGGAAAAAGAGCAGAGAAGATCTAAGAAACATCAGGGAGCTGATTGTTGTGAATTGAAACCAGTTTTCAATACAATTCAAGATGTTGTTTCACATTATTTATCATCTCATGATTCCGTTCACTTTTATGGTTGTCATTTTTGTTTTTCGATTTATACAAGTTTATCCGAATTTCGATCACATTCTTGCGAAGCATTTGCAACTTATGTTTTATCATTGACAATGAGCGGAGAAATGATGGAACCAAAAACGGCTTATTGTTTTTTGAGTTGTTCGGATTGTGGATTATGGTTGCCTTTGAGAATGAAAATGGGACAGAAATGTTGGCCATATTTTAGGTGAGGAGAAATTTAGAAATGGGATTGGAAAAAGTTTGATTTTTAAAGTTTTTTTCTGAAAATGCACACTTTTGAAAAAAAAAATTGTGAGTTTTTTGAGAAAGATTTTTCACCAAAAAAATTAGATTATAAAAAATTATGATTTGAATTACACTGACTTTTTTTAAAGCAAAAAATTCTCAAAAAATTTTCTTTAAGAAAAACTCCCGAAATGTTTTCTTTTCTTCAATAATTTCCCCAATTTTTGCAGTGCTGCAATTCTTGCTCATCCTTGCAAAACACTTGTTCCAATTTTGATTTATTTCCCCGACGAAGTCAAGGATCCAAATCAAGTTCGCCTATCTTTTAATGTTCTTCCAAGATTATCAATTCGAGTTCCACAATCATGCGAAACCTGTGAAATTCCTGAATTTTCTTCGATTTCAGCTTGTGAAGAACATTTTAAAACATCTGAAAATCACAAAGAAACGCTGAAAAGATGTGGAAGATGTGAAGAAACATTTGGAACTGATTGGGCATTTCGTCTTCACGTTGTTCAACATTTCAATCATTCATTATTATTTGCGAATTATTTGAAATATTCGGCAACATTTCATCCACCACAATTCTCAAAAAGACCACTTCATTTTGGAATTGATAAACGCGATATAATTGTTGGAGGATTTGATGCAAATTTTAGTGATGAAGTTGAATGCGTTGAAAAATATACATTTGACGAATTTGTCGAACCATATGAAAATATGATTAAATCGAAATTGAGAATTGTTATTGATGAGGGAAAAACTGGACATAGTCGAAGTGCAACTCCTTATTCAGAATCTGACAGTTCTTGTTCTTCTAGTAGCTCAAGATCTGAAATTATTAGAAAATCGGATAAAGTTATACGAAGTGATTTGGGATATGAACATATTGATTTTTCGGAGTATTTTGATGATTCGGACAAACAGAAAGAGGCAAAAAAGAAGTGTCGACATGTTATTGATACGGTATGTGAGGGAATGTTCTGGGTGGGAAAACACTAGAATTTTTGCTCAGATTAAGCTCATATTAGAAAAATAGCCAGAAATCATAGGATTGCTCATATTAGTCGAGTTTTTATTTCATAACAAAATAGAATTGCTCATGTTAGAAGAAATATCCGAAAAGAATAGCATTACTCATATTTCGATGAATCAATTTTTCCAGAAACTCGATAAAATGTTCTTGAATGGTGAAAGACTGGTTACACCACATTTGGTATTAGAAATGATGGGAACAAGCGATGAAAAAGAGGTTGGTTTAAAAAAAAATTTCTTCTAGAAAGTCGAAGATCCCCGAAAATTTATTGATTTTCATGATTTCTTCATGAGAAATCCTATTTTTAGAGGGTATATTATCGCGAAGCGAATTATTTAAAAGCAGTCGAGTAGTACTTTCCATAACTCGGCATTTTATAAAAGTTGTGGTCTTTTTTACTCGAACATGGAAAATATTTGAGAAAATAATATTTTGGCACTTATGAATTTTAATGATCTCAAAAATTGCCTATGTTTTTTTTCAAAATAAAAATCATTAATTTTCTTGTTTCAGACCCTCGATATGAATATTGCCGAAGATCCATTGGCTCTTGAATTCAGTCAACAATTTTTGAGACAAGTTGATCTTCCTCTCGCTTCGTGTATCGATCCATTAAAGGATTTTCTGTTGTTCAATAAGATGTGAGTTTTTTCTTGAGAAAAAACAGTGCGATTATTGCAGAAATGGGCGGGGATTATGGTGTAATTGTTTTTGAACAGAAACTTTGTTTTTTTTTTTGCTCATTGCTCATATTAAATCACATTTCAATCTTTCACCCTAAAGTTCTCGCATTGCTCATAATAAACTAACAGTCATATATATTATTTCCAGCTATTATTATTGCCCTGATTGCAAAGTTGTCTTCTCCGGTGATATTGAACTTCACGATAAATCATGCTCCGATAAAATCATCGAACTTTTCCATCCAACAAGTTCAGCATCGAGAGGAATCAAATGTATTGATCCGAATTGTGAAGAAAGATTATGTTCAGCAATCTCATTAAGATGTCATGTTGCTTTAAGACACGGGTTATTTATTAATTATGAAATGGCTCAAACAAGTGAAAAACGATATGATTATTCGATAACGGCAATATCGAAACATTATGAATTTTTGAAAAATGATGGAAGAAGTCGAATGGCACGATTTACTGATGCAGATATTGGAATGCCAATTGATGGATTATTAGTGAAACGAGATGATTCGAAGATTTTCAATGGAATTGTTGAAGAAGTTGATTTAGAAATAATAAAACCGGTTGTTGAAGGAGCACTGAATTTTGATTGTGTTTGGTGTACATATTCCACTCAACATTTGACACATTTTCAAATTCATTTGGGAAAATATCATTTATTTCCATGTGATCGATGTGGAAAATCATTTGCGAATAAACAACTTCATCGATTACATCCATGTGATCGAAGATTTGCAAAAGAAACTTGGTCGCCTGATATGACAATTTGTGGAAGTTGTCCATTTTGTGATTCGCGATTTTCTGTTACCATGTTGCAAGCGCATATTTTGAAATCACATTATCAAAATGTTCGATTTGTCAAAGGAACTGGACAATTTTATCCTGTTGGTGAGAATTTGCGATTTGAGAAACCGGAAAGAAGAAGTCCGGCACCAATGGTTAGAATAGAAGCAACGAATGGAGTTGGAAAAGAAATGAGAGCAACTGAAAGAATGAAAATTATCAAATGGTAAGATTTTTATTGTTTACTCAAAAATACAATTCACAATTATTTTTGAGAAAAAAACCTTTAAAATTTTGAGAAAAATTCATTTTTTGACACAAAAATCTTGAAAATTTGTTAAAATCCACGCTTTCTTCCAGTGACCAAAGACCAGCAAGTGATGGAATTCTAATGAATGGAACTCAATTGGTTGCTCCACCAGTTGGCTCATATTTATATTCTCCACCAAGTCGAAATTCAGCCGATCTTCGCCTAACTTGTTATTTGTGTGAAATGGCATTTTCGTCAACACAACAATTGGATGAACATTTGGATAAACATCCCGAAAAATGGTCGAAATGCCCCTTTTGTGAGTTTGAAAAAACATTTTGAGATTGCGAATTCTGAAGAAAATTTTCATTATTTTATAGACCTTTCCGAAATATTTAAATTAGAATCAGGCATTGCTCATGTTAGAAAATTTTCAAAAGTGTTCATTTTTTCGAGAACAAACTTGAAAATCATTGCTCATATTATGTGTCCTTTTTTTAGGTCGCCAAACCATTCGTGGTCACTACGATATGCAAAAACATCTTCTTCATTCTCACATGGTTCGAACAACCAACGCAATGGTCTGTGAATATTGTCAAATTGCCTCAATTCGATCTCCTTGTGCTCATCTCATTTATCAATGTCGTCGTCTTCCAAATTGTGGAATTTGTGGAATTCCAATAAGATCTTATGATGTTCAAGTCAATCATATGACAGCACATCATACAAATGAACTTCGACGAATTCAATGCTCATTTTGTGCTCAAGTTTTCATCACAATGACCGAATTCTATGATCATATTTGTCATATGTCTGCTAATTTGCAATCTTGTGCATGCAGTTCCTCCAAAATATTCCAAACTATCAATGATTTTTGTGATCATTTCGATGCAAATCATATTCAATCAAATCTTACCTGTGGAATCTGTCGAGTTTCTTGTCATTCACCTGCAAATCTGGCAAAACATCGAATGAGTCATATGCATGCGGTTAGTGCAACATTATTACGCAAAGTTTATTTGTTACCAAAATGGATGCATCCGCAAACACGGAGTGTTGTTGCAAATTGGGGAAGGATTCCTGCGGCATCTGTTGTGCCAAGACCTTCTGTTGTGTTATCGAAACCAAATCCAAATCCGATCAAAAAATTGGGTGAAATTACGGGAGGAAGAAGTGTTGCTCATGTTGTTCAACAAAATGGTGCAACTTTGAATGATAAACTTCAAGCACTTTTCGAACATAGTTCTCCACCAAAACCTGCTCAAGTCACTGAAATAATTGATGACGATGACGATGATGATATTGTATTTGAGGGAACTTCGAGTCCAGCGCCAGCTCCGATTTCAAAAACACCCCCAACTCAAGCAAATGCAGCTGTTCGAATTGAATTGGATGATCATGGTGCAAGTTCGGCTGGACAAGGACAACCTGGATATGTTGAAGATGATGATGAGATTGAGTTGGTCGAAGCATCAGCAGGAGGATCTAATGGAATAGAGAAAGAAAAAGGACCGGAGGAAGTAGTTAAGAAGATTCGTGAAGTTGAAGATCCGGATGCGGATGATGAATTGGCAGTGGTTGCGGAAGTTGAAAAGTTAGTTGAGGAAGGGGGAGTTTTAGGGAGCTCAGCAATTCTGGGAAGGTTTTGCTACTTCACCCTTGCTATAAAGCTACGCGGAAACACGGACTCGTTCAAACCTCGATTTTTTGCAGCATATCCGGCTTGACATCATCCACAATCGCCTCAACATCCCGTGAAAAACGCTTCAAATGTCCAAAATGTTCATCTGCTTTTATGACAAAAGCATCACTCAACAAACATTTCGAATCTCATCGATCTGATGCTGGATCATCTACATCAACTGACACTTTTGGATTACCATTAATCACGAATGCTTATATTTGTCGAAGTTGTTGTTTGGCTTTTGAATCGAGGAAAAAGTATACACAACATGTGGTTAGTTTTCGTGGTTTTTTGCAATCGAAAAAAATCCAATTCATTTCTTTTCCAGGCGGTTCACGGCGATACTCAATTACCTTGCAAACATTGTAGCGGAATCGCTTTCAATTCTTCAATTATTCATCAACATTTAAAGGGACATGAACAGAAAACAGTATATTATGCGTGCGGAACTTGTCGTCTTCGATTTTATTCCGATTCGCATTTATATGAACATCTATCGAGTTCACATGGTGTTGATTTGTTCTTTTTCTGCAAACTTTGTGGATTTGGACACACGAATTTGGATAAAGTGTTTTTGCATGTGAGAACGAATCATCCCAGCGATTATGTGAGTTTTTAGAGATTTTCTAGATTAACAAAATTGGAATTCTAGGTCATCTCTAGGATTTCTTTGAAAAAGGCTTGTCCTGAAATTCCAGGTCGAAATTTTTCATAAAGCAATTTACAGAGTGAAATTTTTTTTATTCTTAATTTTCTCGTAGAGTCAATAGAATTGAAAATTTAGCTTGAAACTTTAACTTTTGTAAACCACGATTTTGGTATAAAATAGATGTCCAAAAAAATCTCAATCTTTTTGCAGACAATATCTCAACGAATCGGTTGTTGTCCAACAACATTGCTCAATTTCGAGCCAATCGATCCAGTTGCCTTCAAAAAAGATGTGAACGCGGGAAAATTGAAATGCTACGAACCATCCGATTGTTCTCATCGCTCTCTTTTGCTCTCAAATGATGCTCTCGTTTCATGCACTCAATGTCATTGTACACAATCTCTTCATTCATATGTCGCTTATAATACCAAACCCGATGCGCCCAACAATTCCCTGTCATTCATTTATTCCGAACCGCGATCGTTGAAACATCAAGAATTTGCGTTGTTTAATTTTTTGAGTGATGAAAGTATGAAGACTATGATGATGTCAGGTAATTGTGTGCCAAGATTGGAGGGAACAAATGGAAGTGGAGGAGCACCTCATATCAGAATGCCTGTGTTAGTTTTGAGAGGACTGGTTATCTAGTTCCTCCCTTCTCTTCCCCCTAAATCATCTCATTTTTTTTTTTTCAGAAATCGTCAAACTCTTTCCCAACGAGCAAATGAGATTCGTGTTGGTTCTGGAACTCGAATTCTTCGACCCGTTGGAACAATTCCATCATCTTCTTCTCAACAATTAATGACACCAAGTGGCGCTAAAATAGTCGCAATTCAACGACCAATAAATCGAATTGGAATGCCGAATCGAGTTATCACAAATCGAACACCTGGAGTTGGTGTAACTCAAAGACCAGTAATTCGAACCGGCGAAGAAATCACATTTGGAGCTGATGGATTACCGAAATTAGGAGGCGGTGCAGTCAAGGATACTTGTACAATTTGTAGCCGAGTTTTGCATAATGAATATGATCGATCAAAACATAAAATGCACTTGGATTTGGCTAATAAATGGTACTGTAGTCGATGTGGATTTGTGGCACAAACTGAAAATCAAATGATGTTGCATTATTATAAACAACATATTGCCGAAATTGTAGCATCAGATTCGTCACTTCGCCCGCTTTCTTTTGATTTGATATGTCCAAATTGTAATATTGCACCATTTTCGAGTCTCAAATCGTTTGAAAGGCATTTGAAAACTCACGACGATGTATTGTGTCACGAGGCAGAAATGTGTGGAACACGATTTGCGACTGAAAGACGAAGAGATGAACATGATCGAATTCATCGAGAACATGAAGCAGAAAATGGAGGATGTGATGCGACTTGTTGTCCGATTTGTGGAACATTGGATAATTGGACTATGGCTAGAGATGTAGGATTTTTAAGGGCGCGGGAAAAATAGCAACTTTTGAGTCGAAATTTGGGGCTGGAAATAGATCAAACATTTTCTATTTATAACTCAAAAGTTATGAATTCTATGTTCATAAAATTTTTAAATTTCGAAATCCACGGGGCAGAGAAAGTTAAAAAAAAACCTTGAGCTCAAAAAATTATGAAATCAAAATTATAATTTTTCACTGTTTCAAATATTTTATAGAATTAGGAAGGTTTAGGAAATTTGATCTCAAACATCTTATGCTTGGAACATGTTATTAAAGCGCTCAGTTTAAAATAAATCAAAATCCACGTGGAGAATATTTTTTTAAAACTTCAATTCTATTTCAAAAAAAAATTTGGCACAGAAAAATTATCAAAAAAAATTTGAGCCCTCAAATCTTTTCAAAATTCTTCTAAAAATCTCCACATTTTCAGCCAACAATACCATTCATTTTATCACATGTTTCCCGCCACGGATTGGATTATTTCACGTGTTGTCGAATATGTTTCGAACAATTTCCAGATGACAATTCGGTTAGTTGTTTTTTTCGGCTGAAAGTTTTCCATTTTTCAACTTCTTTTTTTTCCAGGGTTCAAATTTGATAAGCCACTTCAAATTGCGACATTTGAAACATATTGGAGCGAATTCGATGACTTGCAATTGTGGAGAGACCAATTTGGGAATTGCACAATTGAGATCTCATGTGGTTGATAAACATTTGGTGAGTTTTTAATAATTAATCCTGCTCTGCAAACACTGTGGCGTAAATATGCACAGAATATTTGAATTTTCAAATTTCGCGCCTTCAAAAAATTGCCACGTAGCACCTGATTAGCAAATAATTAATTAATTTGCAGTTCCACATTGTCCGCCAAAATCCAAACCATAAAACGGGTTTAATTGTTCGCGCCGGTGATCAATTAAATAATTATATTGGAACTGGCAAACATATTACTGTTCGAGAAGCAATTGCCAGAGGACAAATTGATTAATTAATTAAATTCCCCTGTTAATTATCCCTATTTAATTATATTTATTCTTTATTTTGTCTCAAAATGTTCACTTTCTCTCCGGTTTTTCTTTCTTTTCTTTCTGCTATCATAATTTTTATGGGTTCTATTTTTTTTGTTTGAAATCTTGTTAAATGAATTTTTTTTCACAAATGAATGTATTTATTACTTCAAAAAGATTTTTATTTTATTTTGATAAATAAAAAAAGAAGAAAATCTAACAAAAATGGGGGCCGTTGTTAAATGTTGTCACGAAATAAGAAATAATGCCAAAGTTGGCCGCTGAGGTCGCAAAAATATTGATGGATTTGTTCGTTTTCGCATATAAGATGGGCCATGTTGAATTGATTGTTTGTGTTTTTTGTCTTTTATTGGCTCCGATTGACATCTGCAAACAAAAATTTGAATTATTGAAATTCCCGCCTGCTTAGAATATTAGAAAAATTTTAATTTCTAAATTGTCCCCGTCTTTAAAAGTTTAAGGTTAATTTGAATTTTTGAAATTCTCGCTTTTGATAGTCAATCAATTTTCGCACCGAAATTCGCCTACTCGTCAAAAATCACACTTGGCAAATCCTACTTTTCCTAACTTCTCTGCAAAATGTTTTTGAATTGACAGAAATCACATTTTTGCAACCCAATTGGCAAGTTCTCAAAAAATTCCAGCTGTTTTCCCACTCAAACAAAAACTTGGCGTCACTTTCAAAAACTTGTAACTTGGCACGTTTCCAGAATAATTTATTCATCATTTGGGAAAAATTCGTGATTTTTGAACTTGTTTTTTTTCTTGTTAAGCTTGAAAAAAGGGTGAAGCGTGGCAATTGTTTCGTTTTGAATTTTTGGTCGCGGGTTCAATTCCCGGTGGGACCTGTTTTGTATTTTTTCAAAACTTACTCAGAATTTGATACAAGTAGAAAACTGATAAGTAGAAAAATTGTATAGCGCCACATTGGCGCCATTTGTGTATTACCTACAAAAAATTGTGTTTTAAAAGTTTTTTTTTTGAGAAAATAAGAAAGAACAAAAAGTGTTTAGTTGAGAAAAGATGACAAAAAATGAATATTTCAAGTATTTTTCGAGGCTGGACAAACAAAAGACACATAAAATTGGACATGAGCAAATTGTAGCTTTTTTTCAGAATTAAAAATAAGAGAATTCAGGAAAAATTCGGAGATCCAGGTGAAAACCAAGGCTTCCTTCCGCTAATTCCGAATTCTTTTTTTAAAAATGGCTTCGCAATTTATATAGAATTTTTATTGAAAAGTGCAATTCCCCACTCATAGACGTTATAATTTTCTTTAATTATTGTTTTCAACGAAAAAAATACGATTACTGTAATTTTCCATATTTCGATGTAACTTTTTTTGTTCGAAAAAAATTGAAGAAGCAGATGGAAACTTGGTCAAAACACAGAAGGAGAAAATAAAAAACTTAAAAATAATATAAAATATTCAAGTAGGAGGAAGTTTTTGTGTTGGTTTTTGGGATGAAAATAGTTGGGCTCAGCTCAGGCTAAATGAAAAAAAGAAGAAGTTTCGAGTCCATAAAAAAATGCAATTTCAATGATCTGATATTGCTTATGTTACTGTAGTTCTTATTTTCATATTTTAGATCAACCAGATAAATTATAAGCTACTCTAGATATTTTTTCTGATCTCATACATAAGTTAATCATGTTTGATTCAAGGTTGAAGATTTCTGGGTTACAGTAGCTTTTTATCTACCTAGATTACTGTAGAAGCTGTGGGGGCTTAAAAGTCCTCTTTCGAAAAATTCATTAAAAAATGATTAACGAGCCAGGGTAACTGTAGAACTATAGTAGGAATATTCAAGTTACTGTAGTTCTCGATTCACAAAAAAAACAAAAACATTAAACTAAATGAGTTACTGTGAAAGCTCTGGAACTCGAAAATCCCGAAAATTTCTAGGTTACTGTAGTTTTTAGAAAAAAAATGAACCTAGCTTGCTGCCGAGCCTTAAACTTCTGGGTTACTGTAACTCTAGATCTGTCAGAAGCTTCTCGAAAAAATCTAGTTCAAACTCATCAAAAACCTCTGTATTTTTATAGTCCAATTTTGAAACATCAAAAAAATAAATATCAAATTGCAAAAATATTCTCAAATAAATGACGAATCTCTCAAAGATCTTCCGAAACCTTGCAATTAAATTCCGAAGAAATTCACATGATCAAATTTCTTTTTTTTTCGAAAAATGAATGAATTAATAAGAAATATGAAAAAAGCAAAAACAAAATAAAAACAAAACAGAATCTCAAGTGCAAATATTAAAAACGAAGTTTTCCGGATCTTTTTATATCCCCTTTTTGTGGCTCAAAAGCTCAAAAACTTCTTTAAAAATATGGAAAAAAGAATAGAAAAAAAAAGATGGCTATTTTTGTCAGAAGAAAAACAACACCCACGAGAAAGTTGAACTTCACACGAAAAAACTACGCAATTTTTGAGTTGAAAAGTCGAAAAACACTTGTCAGACAATTGAAACGAAGACAAAAAGAAAAGATCAAAATTCATGGGAAAAACTAGGATTTGAAAAAGATTTTGAAAAGGATTAGATAAGTAAAGCTAAAGTGAGACGGGTTCATTGAAATTAAATTTTAATTAGAATAAGGTTTTTTGTGAAAAAAAAAATTCTTTGGAAATTTAGAAATTCGCTGTGAGACCTGAAATGGTCCAAAAGTTTTAAAGACCAAACTATAGTCAAAGTCTAGCTTACTGTAGATCTCGAAAATTCAGGGATACTGTATTTTTTGATCTACCAAAAAGCACAGCAAATTTCGAACTGAAAATCTTGGATTACTGTAGCTTCTCGTGTCCTTGGGCTAGAAATAATTGATGACAAAACGGTGATAAAAATTGCAAAAAAAGGTCAAAATTCTTCAGGAGAACTGAGATTTCGAAATGGATTAGATAACGAGTTCAGTGAAATTAAAATTTAATTAAGTAGAGTTAATTCCAAAAAATATACATTTCCAAAATAATGAAATTTATAAAAATTATAATTTATTTTCTTTTTGACACGTGGGAAAAATGTGTTCCTTGGCAACACTTTTCTTCGAATGAACTTTTCAAGAAAAAAGTGAATTTTCAACAAAAATCTCACATGCACATATAAGATTTGCGGGGGATCACAAAATTTTTGGCACCTCTATTCATTTTTCCGTTTTTTTTTCAGAAAAGAAAACAATAAATTTTTTGCAGAAAAAAGGACAATTGGTAGTAAACAATCTTGAAATTGTCTCTTTTCTATTTTGGAATAAAAAAACACGGGAAAAAATGATGTCATTGATTTGATTAGAAAATTCTAGATGGATATTGTGCAAAATTGAATTTCGAAAGGAAAAGCAAAAAAAACTGGGGAAAATATTCTAGAAAAAATTTGCACTCATTTGCAACCCATTAAAAAGTACATTCTGCTGATTTTTAAAAATAGCTCAAAAGTTTTTCTAATAAAAAACATTTGAAAAAAAGTTCGCCGGAACAGGGAGTCGAACCACCATAGCTTGGGCAGATCGCGAGCTTAACCGGCTGAGCTACGCGCGCGCAGTTTTACGGCAAACAAAATTGCTTATACGTAAATAAAACTGATTTTTATGCATTTGAGAGCTCACTCTGGAAACATTTGATCTTTGAACATCAATAATCCTATTCCAACTAATTAAAAATACACTAGAAAACATTAATACCCCGGGAAAAGCGTCATTACTAGAACTACTAGAAAACAAGCGGAGAAAAATCAAAGCAATCGTATAGGCGCCTCGAAAACATCAAAATAGATAATTTGGTTAGAATTGAACCGCAACCGCCAACAAAAAAACACCATGAGCAACAATTTGTTAGTTATTCTGATGCGCTTCCATTTAAATACACATCACGCAAGCTGGAACCAAAAAAAAGAATGTGTGATTTGGCGACACGCCAAGTTTATATTATGACGTGGCGAAAAAATTAAGTATATTTTTTTGTTGGTCTGCGAAAAATGAAATGAAATGAAAAAAGGGGCGGAGTTTGAGATGCAGAGGAGAATGAAGTATTCAAATATTCATAAGGTTTTTTGGAAATTCTTGCTTTTTGAAAATCTTTTTTGAAATTTGTAGCCAAAGGCCAAAGTGGACACGTCACTTGATTTTTGAACAAAAATTGTGAGGCCAAACAGAGTGTAAAAATTGGCTGCGTATCTTGACTGAGTATCTAATGTGGATTTAAGCTTTAAAACGAGCCCAAACACAATGAACTTCGATTGGAAACAATTGACTGCGTACCTCAAACCTTGACTGAGTATCTAATGTGGGTCGAACTTAAAAATGAGTTCAAATTCTCCATTTTCGAAAATTAAAAAATTCCAAACGTGACGTGACCCAAAAAAAATCTGGAACAATCAGATAAGAAATGAGCATAAAAAGACGAATTCTTCTCCAAAACGCTTCAATTTTCATTGATTTTGAGCAATCAGAAAACAACTCGAACATATTTTGACACATCGCTCAACTTTTCGGACAAAAACTCGCGAGAAATAATGATGCTTTTGTCTGCGATTGTCGCTGCTGGAACAGCTGGAACTATTGTCTTTTGTGGACAAAACGATCGCGATGCTAAACGCAACAAATCATCGAAATCGAAGAAAGGCGGAAAATCTGGAAAATCTTCCGGAAAATCGAAGAAAAATGCATCGAAGCGCAAATCATCAAGATCAAGAAAAAGCTCGAAATCTTCAAAATCGAAGAGATCTTCTTCGAAATCCAAGAAATCTTCAAAAGCCGGAAAATCATCAAGATCTGGAAAATCTGGAAAATCGAAGAGATCGAAGTCTTCAAAATCCAAAAGATCATCAAAATCCAAGAAACCAACAGCCAAAAAGATCGGAGAATTGGACAAAACTCAAAAATCGTCGAAATCTAGCAGATCAAGCAAATGCGACAAAAAGAAAGGGTAAGTAAGAAGCGAAAAAGCTTTCGAGGTTTTCAATACCTTTTTTCTTTCCAGCTCTGATCGCGAAGCCCTCAAAAAGGTTCCAAATGATTCGAGCTATAAATTCAAGTCTTCTTCATGCTCACAATCAAATGGTCCTTCGGATTCAATCAAGGCTTCAAATATGAGAGCAACGCCAAACAAATTGCCATTTGATAAACATGGAGGACTTGAGACTGTTAAGATTGCCAATAACAGTGGAGCACGAAAGGCTTTCAAGGTTTGTTGGTTTGAAGAGTAATTGGGTCTCGCAGCGAACTGGTGCTTTGTGAGGGTTTGAAAAGTTTTCGAAGTGAATTTGGTATTCTGGGGGTTTAGCTAACCGAAAATCTAATTTGATTTTCTAGGCCATTTCATTCTAAAAATTGAAAAGCACTTACTAAGTTCTTGGGTCTCGCAGCTTCTTCTCAATTAATCAATAATTTCAGGTCAAATGCACTGATAACATGTTGTACAATGTCAATCCAGTTTATGGCTTTGCAGACGACGGCGAAACTTTCAATATTGATGTTTTGAGAAACAATGGTGAATTGAAGACGGATAATTTGGTGATTTTGGCGACGAACGTCACCAAAGATGATATTGATGCCAAGAAGGTTTTCGCAAATGCGCCACCAGAGAGAGAAATGGTTATTGTACCATTGATTGCAGCAAAATAAAGATTTCTTCTTTCCAATTGTTTTTTCAATTGAATTTATCGAAAACATGGAACAGGCAAAAGTTACAAATAAAAGTTATTAATTGAATGCAAAAAAAACTTATTTTCTTGAATTTTTGCGCGTCTTTTGTTGTTGTTGTTTTGGCGCGAAAAGTGATGAGGTGGTGGCGTCTTGAGTTTCGTTTGAATTGGCATCCAAAATTGGTTGAGCTTCAGCTGAGCTTGTCGATGCTTCTGATTCGATGGTGACTTTTTTGATGCATCTTTGTCCTTTTTCTGGAAATTTCCGATTTTTCAAGAAGTTTTTACATTTTCATGATTTTTTTCTGAAACTTCATGAAAAATCCGTAGTGAATTTAATTTTCATCTTTTATCTTAAAGTTTGAAATGAAATTTCTATTCGCCACGTGAAAGTTCACGTCCAAAATTAATTTTCACGTTTTCATTTTAATTTTTCCAAATCAAAATATTCACCTTTCTCGTTCTGATTTTCATCTTGTTCAGGATTTTCCAAAGTTTCAGCTTCCTTCTCTGTCGCTTTTCTCATCTCTAAAAATTACAATTATTCAAGACATTTTTTTCGCTGAAATAAAGGAAATAACCAACTTTTATTGATAATTGAGCTGTCATCAACAATCGCACGTTTTCCGGCTCTGAATGATAATTGACGAAGTCTTTCAGAAGGTTCAGGTGATTTTCCTGTAAATTTCAAAATTTGAATAACAAAGAACCAGAATTTGGAAACCAACCTTTGAGATTTTCTTGATAATATTTTTCAAAATATATCTTCATTTTATTGAATTTTTCCACGCTTGGCATGTTTCCAAAATCAAATTCTTCTTGAGTATCCTCGTCCTCTTCTTCCACCTTATCTTCTTCACCAGAAATTGCTTGGATCTTTGGCATTTCTGATATTTGCTTCTTCAATGTTTCTGGAAATATATATATTGTGAGCATAATTGTTTCGATTTAAAAATTACCAATAGTTGCTTTATTTTCAGCAAGCTCCTTTTTAATCTCAAGCAATCCTTCATCAAACAACTTTGTCTTCAGAACATCAACAAATTCAGTGAACTGAAAGATTTTATATATTTTCATGAAAATGAAACGAGAAATTGAACATACCACTTTCACAACCGGACCACAATAATCAGTATTTTCCGTTGAAGTTGCGCAATCTTTTTCGATTTTATCGGTTTGAACATCAGAGATTGCGATATTGATTGAGTCAGTTTGAACTTGTCTAGAAATCAAAATCGTTCCATCTGTTTGAGATGATATTTCATCTGTTGTGTTTGATTCGGTTTGAACTTCAATGGATCTTCCAAAAAACTCTGTTTCAACTTGACAATCTTGCATTATAGGATTCGAGGATTGCGAAGATGCATCATCGACTTCGAAACCATTTTGGGTTTCTGCCGAACTGATTCTTCGCCCGAAAATCTGTGGAACTGATGCACAGGAAATATTGTTGAAGAGGTTCGAAAAGGCGATATTCGATTCCGATGAAACAACCTGTAAGCAATCAAAAACGTGTAATTATACGTTTCAATCATCACAGAAAAATCTGACCGGTGTTGATTCACCAGCAATTCTGCTGAATGTGAATTTATCTTTATTTTGGTTAAATTCACAGAGAACCATAGCCAATGGCTCGGTTGTCGAAGCAGTTGGCATTCTATCATCATCCTCGTCCTCATCCTCATCCTCTTCGTCTTCGTCTTCCTCATCATCAAGTATTTGACTTTCATCGTATGATAAGTTTAACAATTCTTCTTCTGCTTTCGTAGAACATTGCTTCTCAATTATATTTTTGAATTGTACCTCTTCTTCATATTCTCCAACATCTTGCTGCAAATGCAATTGTGATTATATTGATAGTGTAAATGTTCAAGAAAACTTACCAGAAGTTTTTCAACTACATCTTGACATTCTTTATCAATATCTTCAACTTCAACATCTTCTTGTTCCTCTTGTTCATATTCTCCAACATCTTGCTGCAAATGCAATTATGATTATATTTATCGTGTAAATGTTCAAGAAAACTTACCAGAAGTTTTTCAACTACATCTTGACATTCTTTATCAATATCTTCAACTTCAACGTCTTCTTCTTCTTCTTCTTCGTCTTGTTCCTCTTCACTTTCATCATTTGTGTCCGGTTCATTTGATGGAAATTGTCGACACCAGAGTTGAAATACTTCTAATGTATGCGGATCTAACCTATTTCCGAATAGCGCAGGGTGGCGGCTCATTGTGAACCTAAAACAAAGAAAAACGTCAAAAAAGGAGAAAAACAAAACGAAACTCTGTTTGAAAACATGGGCGCCATACTGTAGTCAAAGGCGCACAATACTTTTATTCATCCGCCGCGAGACCAATGCACACACATTTTAACATGTACCTTCAGAACAGTAAGAAAACATGAATAATTCATCATTTTTCCAGCAAAATGTAGACATCGTATAGTTTCGCATCAAATAAAATATGGATCATCCAATTTGCAAAATATTCCACAAAAAACTTGGTTCGAATTTTAATTAACATCGAACTTCATATTAAAAGTGCATAGGGAATGGCAAAACCTGCAAAAAATGTTGTATTATAGTTTGATAAAGAGCAAAAAGTTTCGAAATCATTTTTCTTTCTTAATATATTTGTAAGTAAGTAAATACTTATTTTTATGGGAGTGTGTGTGTTTTTTTCTGATGATGAATAATTCAAAGTGTCAAGTTGACCTCGAATTTTGATTTTGTTTTCACTGGCTACTACTTGCTTTTTGCAGTAGGGGAGATGCAACTATAATTATCTTTCTCTCTATTTTGGAGAGAAAGAGTCTCCGGTCATTGACACACTCCAAAAAGAGGATTATTCCCATTATTATTATTATTTTTCATTTCGTGTGAAAACATAATAACCATCAACTTTTTCTACTTATTTTGTGTCGGTTTTTTGTTTGCAAAAACAAAACAAAACATAAAATATATTTAGTCTGTAAAGATTTTTTTGACCTCAATTTTTCAGATAAGTACTGTAGGTTTTGGCACCAAGTTTTACTAATTTCTTTTTATTTTTGGAACTTTTTTATTACATTTTTTGTGGTTTTCGAAAATTGCAATAGAAAAAGAAAATTGCAACAGCAACCATCGATTTCGGAACCAAAAACTACAGTAGTCTTAACTTTTAGAATTTTTTAAAAATTAAGTTAGGCTAAAACTTCAAGTAAACAACAAAATCCGGTCTGCCTAAATAACAATTTAATTTTAATTAGTTGATTTTCCAAAATTCTCAACTTTTTTTTCTAAATCCTCTCAAATTGGTCGTCTTTCTTCCATTTTCCCCCATCAATTTCGATTTTCTTACGGATTAGCGAAGAAACTTTTTTGTCCCTCCCTCTTCCTCTTCATTTTCTTTTTTTCTTGCGTACAGATTTTCATAATAATTTTTTACACACCGTGTTTCGTTAATTCGTTAATTACTCCGAGGTTTTTCACTATCAACTAGTTTTTTTCAAGGTTTTTATGTTAACAAAAATCAGTGAACATTGAACATTTTTTGAATAAAAAATTGGAAAAACTTTTGAAAATCAGCGGGAGAACAATATCATTTGAATATTCAAATTTCATTGGTATAAAAAATAATGTTGCATATAAATTTTCAGGAATACTGTAGCTTAGCCACGTGGCGAAAAATTGTGAATAGTAAACTTTTTCCACGTGGCTCTAAACTCCCCTAAAAAATGCTTATTTTTTTTGAATTATGAAATTGGAATACTTATTTCTCTCCCGCTGATTTTTTGGCGTCAAAATACTACAGTAATCCAAATCCCGCTCCGTATTTGTTACCAGTTATTTGTACACAGTATTCTATTATATTATATATTCTCCTTTATTTTTCCACTTGAAAACCATCCAAAAAGTATATTATTTGTGTTGTGTTTTGAATACAAATTCGTCTTTTATTATTCGCGCGCGCATATATTTGGTTTGCTGATTTTTTTTCTGTGTTGTGGCAAGCAGAATTTGCATACTTATTTTATTTTTCTTTTTTTGCTTAGTTTCTGATATTCATTTTTTACTTATTGTCAGAGCGATTTTTTGCGCGAAATTGAATTTGATTAATTTTGAGCATGTTCCTTTGAAATAAAAATATTCCACTTTTAAATTTTTCTTTTAATTTCTCTTTGCCCTAGAATTTTAATGTTTCATTCAAGATTTTATCTGACTTAAACAAAAAACAAATATTGCGGCGGCTAGTGAAAATAACACCATAAAACTAATGATGCATTTTTAAAAATAAGAATTTCTTGAAACAAATTGTGTATTTTTTTATCTCGGCGACCTTGAAACTTCCCTATCAGTTTTTTTTCTGACAAAGTTATATTTTTTGAAAATTTATTAGGAAATAAAAATTTTGCCACGTGAAAGTTTAGGATTTGAGAATTTCATTTTTGCGCGAAGATTCTGAATGGTATATTCGAAAAAAATTAAAATTCTAGTAAATTTATATTCAGAAAATCAATATTTTTCAATTAATTAATTAATTTTTGGTGTTTGCAAATTCTCACAAAGAAAAAATCCATATTTCCAGACAAAAATGTCTCAAGCGAGTTAGTTTTCTATTCTCCGAAGAACATATATTTTTTGTGTGGCAAAAATTTTTGTTTTGAGCTTTTTTTTCGTTGAGCCAAACACACACAAAACAACAAAAAGTACACCCACTTTTTCCCTTTCAGCTTTTCCTTTTCTCTCTCAAAAACAGCTTGGCAGAGAACTATTTTTTTCTCAATTCTCAATTATTTTTTGTTCGCCGCCGCCAAAGTTCATTCTCTCAAAGTGCAGCAAGCAAAAATATATAAGTAAGCCACTCGAGAAAAATTGAAAAATAATTCATTGTGAGCTGTGAGCTCGATATATTTTTCCCAAAATTTTTGAGTTTACTGGAATCTCAAACTAATTTAAATATTCAAATTTCATAAAAAAAATAAAATTGCATATTTTTGGTGGGTTATTTTAAGTGGTACTGTAGTATTGTCACGAGGGTTTCCCAAAAGTTTTGAATTTCATTTTTTAAAATCACTAGAAGCTCAAAAATTCATCATCTTCAAAATAATTCCTCATTTCTGATGCGAGTTTAGTTTTCAAAAAAAAAAAATTCATTTTTTCCCGGAAAGGAATTAATTATTTCCTCTCTTTTTTCCTTCGAAAATAGGCTCACAAATTGACGCTTTTTTTGTTTTTCTAGATATTTTTTCTTCTTTTTTTCGGTCTGATGGAAAACTAGAATAACAACTTTATCTATCTATAAGCTTACATAGATATATTAATTATAATAGAAAAATATATAGAAAAAAGAATAGAAAAGAACATGTTTTGAATCATTAATTATTTTAATTTGATTTATTTTAACTATAAATTGCGGTGATTCATATCAGGTTGTAACTATTTTTGAAGTGATTATTTCTGAATTCCAAAAATGTATATTTTTGACATTTCCCAAATTAAATTAAATATATTTTCAATTACAAAAAATTGTGTTTTGAATCAGTAAAACGGAAATTACAAGTACATTCTCAATTTTCTAAAAATATATAAATGCTTTTTTGTAACAGTGACATTTCCTGCATAAAATTTTTTGATAAAAAACGTTTTATTTCTGTAGCTAGTTGAATCACCCCAAAAATGTCGAAAAAGTTTTTTTTTATGTATTTGTTCCCACGAAAATTTTCTATTGAAAAAATATAGTTTTTTTTTAGCAAAACATATTTTTTATATTTGAAGCGATCGAGCACATTTTTCAAAATTCTAGGATCATTGTAGATCAATACAAATTTAAGATGCAAAGTAAATTATCTGGTTACGGTAGATGAAAAGGTTGAGTTAGGAGGTGCTTAAGAAGCACAGTGATCTTCTTTAAGAAAATATCTGGAAATAAGTTTAGACCGAAAGTTTGAGGCATGTTTAGCCTTCTAAGATTTTTTATTTTTTCAAATCGTTTTTTTTCGGAAATTTTTTATCTGAAATTCCAGTTATATACCGTCCGCCATAGATAATGTGAAACAAAACTTTTTCTGTTGGGAATAAAACCCCGTGCTCCTCGGAAAAAGTTGGATTTTTCTTTTTCTTCTTCTTCACATATGTATTTTGTATTCAGCACAAATATGACCCAATTTCTGTTCGTCTCGCGCGAGCGAACGAAAAATGCAATTATATCCATTTTTCGTATTCAAACAAATATGCGTTCTTTTTTTGCTGCCCCGCTTTTTTCGAAAAAAAAGCAAAAACTTCTTTTTCCCCCCAAGTAATCCAGAGTTTCTGTATTTCTCAAAAAACGTTTCCATTTTCGTTTTTTTTTCTTTTTTCGAACACCATTTCTTCTCAAATCATCTTCATCTCCCATTATATTTCCTCATTTTTTTCTCGACTCGAGTCAAATCGATTTTTCTTTTTTTTTTCCTCGAGCTCACACTGAGCCAGCTGCAAACTGACGTCTTCTGATTTTTTGTATGAGAGACACAGAGAAGCATAGGGGGAAACAGTGTGCGAGTCGAGGAGATTTAGACAACTAGAAATTGAGAAAGAGAAAGAAATCGAGTAGTTGTCATTTTTTTTCGTTTTTTCTTCGAGTCACTTGTTCTTTATTTTTTTCTGCTGGAAAAACAAAATTTAAAAATATTATATATTTCAGGTCGATTAAGTCGATCGGTCGGTTGATCGACTGTCGACTCTCAAACCGAAAACAAAATGTGGTCGGGTGGAAATGGAATCTTTGTTTTTCTATTCATAAATATTTATGTAAAAATAATATTTGCTGTAAGTTTTTTTTTGCATTTGGCAGTAATATTCAAGCTCAATTTCAGAAATTGCATAGAAAAGCTCGCTGTTTTTGTCCGAGCAACATTTTTTCGCTATTTAAAAATTTGTAGCAAGCTACATTTCCCCGGGATTTTCAATTTTGTAATTTCAACTTTTCAAAACCATTTTCCTTATTCCAGATCTATCTAAAATGCCCAACTGAAAATCTAAGACAATTAACTGGAAACTTGGTGGGAATAATGTCATCAGCTGCAACTTATTCCAGATATGATCAAGATTTTTGTAGTTATGCAGGTTTGTTTCGAATATCCTTTTGGTTACCATTAGAAACGGAGCATGTGAATTATGGGGGAAATGCGAACAAAAAAATAATTATGAAAACGGGATACGGTGGTTGAGATTCAGCTTCAGATTCAGGGGAGGGTTATAAATAAATTGAACTTTAGGGAGAACTTTGAAGGAAATTAATACTTCCTTAAAAAAAAGAAGGAATAAGGAAATGTTTATTTTCAGATCAGACCTATAATTCTTACTCCTACACAAGGGAACTTTGCAGGAAATTAACAAAAATTTCACGGTAGAAAATATTAGTCTGATCAGAAAATGAAGGTATTCAGTCGGAAAATAGATTTTTGTGTAGGTGTGAATTTCGTCAAAGATTTTTCATATTTTAATCAGAATAATTATTTCTGATTTAATTTTCTAACTCTGAAATATTCATCGACAATTTTATCAGAATTCAAGACTATTAATAAATAAATAAATTGCACTTTCTCTACATTCCAAGTATATCACATAAAATACATTTTTGGATGTTACAGTAGGAAAGGGTCTGGTCTAACAAGTCTGAAAAGTTTATTCAAAAGCCTGATATTTTCAGAATCTCCCGGCAAAGGTCATTTCTATTGTGTTGATTGTTTCAAAGAGTGTCCAGAAAAATCAATTGGTGGTTATTCGAATTTTCTGCTCGTTCTCACCAAACCTTTGGATAACATGAATCAAGAAAATCAATTGGGAAAATCTCTAACAATTTTCACTTTAGACAGCCGCTCAACTGATATTCAAGCATCGTGTAATATATCACAATCCACTGATGTGAGTTTTTGTTTCAGTATTGATAAAGCTGTGGAATCAGGTTGATTCTGGAAATGTTTGATTGGGATCAGTGAAATACCGAGTCAGAACGATTTCTATGAAAAATTCGGTCACCCTGGTTCGATTCAATCTTTCAAAATCGTGTCCAATTTCAAATTCCCATTATGGATGTCAATAAAATTACAATTTCGCTATAGTCTTTCTTGCAGATTGGAAAACAAAACGAAGGTGACTCAGGAGGAGATGCTCTTCGATCATTCTCAAAAACATCCGTTTTATTCGTCTCGATTTCATTTATCATTCTCATGGTCATTTCTTTAGCTTGGCTTGTCTTTTACTATGTGCAAAGATTTCGATACGCACATGCAAAAGATAGATTACAGAGAAGGTTTGTCGAGGAACTTGAGTAGTGAACTTTTTTCCAAACCCGGAAGCTTTTTCTTTTTTTTGTGCTTCAGCTTCATCTTATTTTTTCTTTTTTTTTCGTTCGTAGAAGCGCACAATTAAGTAGACTGACTCAGAGAAGAGAAAAAAAAAATGAAAAACAACATTTGTACTAGTAGGCTTATTCTGCTTCCTGCCTACTCACAAAATGATCGTTGATTTATTATGTGAAGTTCGAATTAATAAAACAATTCTGTTAGTTTTGGAAATTGGATTTTTCGAATTTCAGATTATTCAATGCTGCTCGCAAAGCTTTGGGAAGAATCGCACTTCGAACAATTCAGAAAAACGATGAAGAATTGCAAATCGATTGTGCTGTGTGTTTAGATCCGTATCAAGTCAATGATATTGTTAGGATATTGCCATGCAGGTGAATTTGCTTTTTTATTGAGAAATTGTTTTCGTGGTTACTTGGATTATAAGACAATTTTCTTGGAAAAAGAGAGGGGTCTGAAGATTTCCTGATAAGACATGGAATGAAAGTTATCTCAAAATTTAGGGCACATTTAGTATAGTGAATCCCCATTGGATTTTTTGAACTTGAAAACAAGCTTTTTGGACTAACACTTTTTGAATAAGAGTTCATACCTTCTCATCATTTCGGATAAGAGTAAAGTTGAGGCAAGGAAGAAAAATTTACCTCTAGAGAATCTTTAGTATAGTCCAAAAGCAAAGTATAAACCAATAACACTCCAAACTTGTATATCTACTTCTCCTTTTCAACTCTTTGTTTTCTAGGCACATTTATCATAAATCGTGCATTGATCCATGGCTTTTGGAACATCGAACGTGTCCAATGTGTAAATCAGATATACTCAAACATTTTGGATATCATTACACTGATAATCCAAATATGCGAAATCCAGAGGAAGGTGTTCAACAAACGGGTCAAACACAAGGAGAAACGGGTCAAGTAGTTACTGAAATTGGTAAGCTTCAGGTGAAACAAATTCAAAACTATCGTGATTTTTTTAGTATCACCAGAAGGAACATCAGAATCATCGGGTTCGGCTGGATTCTCATTCGATCATTCCGAACACATCGAAACATTTGCATTCACTCCGAGTGTTCCGCCACAACTCGTTTTGAACGCCTCAAATGCCAAATCATTTGTGATGCCAATGTCGGGTCGAATCGGTTCGGCTGGAAATGGAGCGAGTTCGAGAGAACATATTCAACCGACAAGTTATTCGGCACGAGGACATAATCGAAATGAAACACCAAGTCGGATAATTCGAACAGCTGTTGGAACAGCAACAACTAATGGATTACCAGTTATTACTGGACATAATACACCAAATATTCCAACTGGACCACAAATTGTAAATCTTGTACAGGTATGGTAATAGAACTTTAAAATCTCAATATCGTTGAAATTTGCCACCTCATAAGTCAGATTATGAAAATTAAAAGTTGACCACATGATCCTACCAATATTTTCAGGTAAAATCACGTGCGGCTTCAGTTACACGTGCGGCAACAATACGAAAAGAAAGTATACCTCAACCAACACCAATTGACGTGGTCATCGAAAGACCAACCACCTCAACCAACACTCAAACTGTATAATAATAATATGGATATTATGATATGATATAATACAACGTAACACCTTCATAACAATAACTAACCGGGTTGTATATTTCCAATTTCCCAAATTACCCTAACTAAACAGAAAACAAAATAATATTTACTTTTACTATACATTGCTTCCGGGTTATTTGGACACATTTATGAGATCTCATTGTGCTTTAGATTTATTTTTCAATTAATAAAATATTTTTCTGGTGGTTTTTTGGGTTTTGATGGGATACATAGAAAGAAAATTTTTTGAAAAGAAATGGTATCAAAATGGAACCCTTTTCTAGGGGTGATTGGAGCATTTCGAAAATTCAAGAAATTAAAGTGTATTTTTATATTTTTTTCATTTTCAAAACAGCCCAAAGAAAATAAAAAATTATGAAAATCGTATTTTTATTTGATTCAAAAATTTATGCTCAATGAAAACCTAACATATTACAGTAATCAATCTAGTTTGAAAAAAACTATTTTTAACCATCTCCTCATTCATTCCTTATTTTTATTACGTGGAATACGTTTCATATTATGAAATAAGTGATATTCCCACCTTTTACATGCAGTTTCAAGAAGCACAATTTGAAAATCAGTTCGAAGAGTCTTGAATTCATCCGATAACAACAGCTCTTTGTCACATAAAAAATTGACTCTTTCAACAATATGTCCAAGCGATCGATACAAATCATATTTCTCGATATATTTCAGAGTTTGAATTGTTGTTTTATAGCACATTTGAAACAAAACGGTGTCAATATAAACTTTTTCGCATTTCTTTTTTAACAGTGGACAATCGAATTTATCGGCCATTTTCATAAGTGGAATATAATTCGATTCGTTGACATCAATTGAATAACTATGCATTGATGCTAGAAATAGTGCAAAATGACCGCGTTTTACATCATTATCAATAATAACTTTTTCGATATATCTGCTCAAAAATTTTTCGGATAAAAGATTGTCGGCACATCGTTTGGAATTGCTGCAGAGTAACTGAAAATGTTGTGGAAATTTATAAAAGTTTTTCAGCACAAAGAAATAACTCACACCACGATTGCAATGATAATCTGTGTCTTTGAGACATAAAATTGTATCCGTATAATCCTCGATTCTTTTTGAAAAATCGAAATATTTGAAGGATAATTTGACATTAACTACAATCATATCCTTATCAGGAAAATAATAGCCATTTTTGATAATGTTTTCAAGATCCATTGAATAACACGGTGAGATACAATTCGATTTATAGGATCCATAAAAATAAGTTCCACTTCCATTCTCTTTCTCCATTCGAAGAGTTACACCAGCAAATTTTCGTTGCACCAATTTTACATCAGCGTTCACATCACAAACATAGTTTTTGATAGACGGTGGGCAAAATGTGAAGTATATTTCAATGATGTCACCGATTTTGCGAGAGATTCCAATTTTCCACGAGAGATTTTCAATTGTAAATATTTGACTGAATCGAATTTTATCGTCTAATTCTTTGATGTTTTCGAATTTCCATTGTAATAGTTTATCGTTCGCTAAAGTCGGATTCATTTGATCTGATATATCTTCCGACATCTCTGAAATTCCAAAGATTTTTAAAATATAAGTCATGAATACGAATGTTGGAATGGTGTAGGAAAACTATAAGAGGTTTTAAAGATCGACTAAAATCTTTAATTAATCTTTAATTAAAATAATTAATTTTTATAAATAAATAAATTCATTTTTTTTCTGCAAAAATATTTTTCATATGAGGTACTTTGCAAGTCGATAGCTCACTAATTTCAAAACAATATATATGGGAGGGAACATCTCAAAAAAAGTCGATTTTTGCAAGAATCCAGAAAATTTTCTGGATTTTGACATATCCATGAAAATTAGGGAAATAGGTCCATATTTAGCACCGGGAAAATTTTTGAAAAAAATGGAAGTTTTTTGAGCTAGGCGCAAAAAAAATTATTTTGAAAACTGACAGATTGTAAAATGAAAAATAGGGTTCAAAATTTTAAATTTTTCGAAATCTCGAAAATGTTGGAGAAAAGAAGCGAATTAATTGAAACGATCGAATTTGAGAAAAAAATTTATTGAATATAAAAAAGAGAAAAAGTTGAAATTTCGTCGAAGTATATTTTGGCAATCAATTGTAAAATCCTTCTTTTGACTTTTGTTGTTGTGTTGCGGAACGATGGTCAATCTCCAAATTTTGAACTCTGCTGTAAAAATTGTTTTGCTGCGATTTTAACTTTTTCAATAATTTTTCATTGTTTTTAAACTTTTTATTTTCAAGCATAATGTTTCTGTCGGTTCAAAAAAAGGTCAAAGGCAAAAAAAGGTTAAAATAAATTTCACGTTTCTTTCCCAATTAAATAAAAAATCTTGCGTGCAATTTACAGGATGTAAATTTTTGTTCAATTTTTGTGAGGCAAAAAAAAGAATGCACGTTTTATTCAGATTAAAAAAGAAATTCGCGTGCAATTTACAGGATGTAAATCGAATGCAGTTTTTTGTGAAAAAAATAGTGAATGAAGCTCTCAAAATTTAGCTGGGCGCGAATGTTCTCAGTCTCAAAAAAGCTGCATCAAGAAAACCTTGAAGTAGCTCCATTGATATTGTTGGTCCGTAGATACATTATTGCCGTTACTACTTTCTAGATTTTGAACACAGTGACTATTTATTCCTACATTATTTCCACATCTATGAACTATGTGGAAGTCTAGAAAACTAGCAGTGCTTTACATAAAATTATGTAACTCCACAAACTGTAATTCACCAAAATCTCTATTGTTCACAAAACTGTGTGGAAAAAATAGTCATGATTCCTAAAAAAAGGCAACAACAACAACCATGTAGCTAGGTCCTGATCTTCATTGATTTGAGAAAAAATCACTTTTGATACTTACTTTCAATTGTTGAATTGGTAATTGGGTTCTCGGATGGATCCAGATATTCAAAATAACAACGAGTTATAGATTTGGCTCATTGTTTTCAATGAAACCATTTTGTTCTTCGCCTGAAGTCGATTGTGGATCGATGAAATCACTGAAAAAATTCAAAAATTTGATTCACATTTGACATGCAAAAAACCAACCTCGGGACCAATACTACTTTCTGTTAGAATTCATTTGAATTAAAATTGAAAAATGAATAAGCCAGGTTGGCTTCACGTCACGCAATAAAAAATTCAGCAGTTTTGTCTTTTTTTTAATGATGAAAACAAAAAGAAATTATATTTTCATGAGTAAAAAACATTTTCAACGTGACCACTCTCGCGACACGTCATTTTTTTCATTTCTCAAATTGTCAAAAAGATGGAGTAGCCGTCTTGTTTTTTCTTCAAAAAGTGGAGGAATTCTTCATCTAAATATTTCATATTGTTCCGATTTGTAAAAGGTGAGAATATCTACATGTGGATTAGATGTTTCAGACTTTACATAAATTTTTAGTGCAGACTTTACATAAATATTTACATGTTTCCGGCGACATTTTTCGGGCGAGATACGATTTATAAAAAGTTCAATAGCTTCATGAAACACCGCTTTGAAATAATATGCTTAGAGGGCATTGCCTAGGTGTAGAAAAATATTAAGACCAATAGAAATCATGCGGTAGAGATTGGAATAAATAGTCACTGTGTTCAAAATCTAGAAAGTAGTAACGGCAATAATGTATCTACGGACCAACAATATCAATGGAGCTACTTCAAGGTTTTCTTGATGCAGTTTTTTTGAGACTGAGAACATTCGCGCCCAGCTAAATTTTGAGAGCTTCATTCACTATTTTTTTCACAAAAAACTGCATTCGATTTACATCCTGTAAATTGCACGCAAGATTTTTTATTTAATTGGGAAAGAAACGTGAATTTATTTTAACCTTTTTTGCCTATCACCTTTTTTTTGAACCGACAGAAACATTATGCTTGAAAATAAAAAGTTTAAAAACAATGAAAAATTATTGAAAAAGTTAAAATCGCAGCAAAACAATTTTTACAGCAGAGTTCAAAATTTGGAGATTGACCATCGTTCCGCAACACAACAACAAAAGTCAAAAGAAGGATTTTACAATTGATTGCCAAAATATACTTCGACGAAATTTCAACTTTTTCTCTTTTTTATATTCAATAAATTTTTTTCTCAAATTCGATCGTTTCAATTAATTCGTTCTTTTCTCCAACATTTTCGAGATTTCGAAAAATAGTCTTTTTACAATCTGTAATCAATTTTTCACAAAACAAGATGCTGAATTCTTGAAAAAAATGGGATAAAATCGCGTCATGTAAATTTTGTTTTTGGGCAAAACTTCTTGCAAAAATCGACTTTTTTTGAGATGTACCCTCCCATATATGTTAAATGATGCATCAAAATGTTCTCCATAATTGTTGCATCCGCAATAAATATTTATTATTGTACGTGACCTACACGTACCAACTCGTGGCATTGCTAAGCTGACGTTGCTTTAGCACTATAAAAGCCGTCAGCCTCGTCATTTCTCTCTCTTATTATTATTCTTTCAATAAACCTTTGTATTAGTAATTGTTACTTATCTTCGGCAGTCACCGTATCCTACCCAAGGATACAACATTTTGGCGATCAGGACTTTAAGGAAAATAATTCCGAACAAAAGGAAATCAATTCCAAACAAAAGGAAACTAATTCCGAAAATCGAACTTACTGCACTCTTTTGGAATCCCAGCTTACTGTAAGAACAAGAAGAACACAGTTCTCAGAGTTCCCTTGAATCACTCCAAAGAAGAGCACAGCTCTCTTGATTCACTTCAAAAAAAGAACACAGTTCTATTGATACGCAGAAGCTCATCCATCGAAGATAATAATCCATCATGGATCCAGAGCAAGTCGCCGAATTAATCGAAGCGCAACGTCTAAACACTGAGTTGTTACTCGAACAACAAGCCAAATCCACTGATTTGCTTGTGACCAAGTTGTTCGACGGTTTCAAGACCTATCTTACCTCAACAACTGGAACTTCTTCTGTTCCTCCAGCTGGTCCGATAACAACTTCCGCAACGACTACTGAGTACATCTTGAACTCATTATCCAGTCGAATCCCTGAATTCATATTCGATGAGGAAAGCGGTCAAACTTTTGATGTGTGGTACCAACGATACCAAGACACGCTCTCGAAAGACGCCAAAGCACTTGATGATGATGCTCGATCTCGCTTTATTCTTCAAAAGCTTGATCCGACGTCATATGCTCGGTTCATCAACCATATACTTCCAAAACGACCAGCGGACCTCGCTTTCGAGGAAACCGTTGGCACGCTCCGAACACTTTTCGGTCCGTCAGCGTCGTTGTTTTCGCGCCGCATGGCATACACTCATTCCAAATGGGATGGACAATCCATCCGTGATTACACTGGACTTATTAACAGTCGTCATGAACTGGCTGAAATGAATTCGATATCAAGTGAGCAACTCAAACTTTTAATATGGTTGAGTGGTCTCGACTCTCAGAAACATTCTGACTTGCGCAGTCGTGCACTTCGTCTAATCGAAGAAAAATCCACAATAACACTGAAGGAGTTGAGTGCTGACGTCCAACACATTCTTGACATTCGGAAAGATTCTCTCATCAGATCTACTGATATTACTCCAACTGGCATCAACGCCATCTCAAAGTTGAATAATACAAAACGAGACCCACCGTCACCTTGTTATCGTTGTGGAGGCCAACATTGGGCTAAAGATTGTTCCTTCATTACTCAAAAGTGTACCGAATGTTCTCGATTCGGACACAAGGCTGGTTTTTGTCAAAAGAATCCACCAAAGAAGAACAAATCTAAACGGCAAACTAACGCCGTAGACACCTCCACGTCGCCAAGAACTTCCGAAGATCGTACTTCTATCGGAAAATTCCAAAGAATCTTCAAAATCGTGAAGATCAATGGTAAATCCGTGAAAATGCGACTCGATACTGGAGCCGACATTTCCATCCTCAACAAGCAGGATTGGATAACTCTTGGTCGACCTGAACTTTCACCACCACTTTTCGACTTAAAGTCCGCAAACCAGCAACCAATCAATGTTTATGGCTTCTTCCGTTGTAAATTTGACTTGGATGGTCAGACTGGTGAAGGCACTTGTCACGTCGCGGATTCCCTCACACTCTTGGGAATGGACTGGATTGTCCAGAATGATGCGCTTTACCGTTCACTGAATGGAACTGCTCAGATCAACTCTGTTTCAGTAGCGTCACTCACTTCTATCCGTGAAAACGTGGTCGAAAGGCTCAGAACACTCTTCCCGGACACATTCACTGAAGGACTTGGATGTTGCTCCAAAACAAAAGCGGTTTTTCATCTAAAGCCGGATGTCACTCCGATATTCCGCAAAGCCCGACCCGTCTCGTATGCATCACTGCCGCTCTTAAGCGCAGAAATTGAACGTCTGGTTGCTACTTCCGTACTCCGCCCTGTTGAGCACTCTGATTGGGCATCACCGATTGTATGCGTCAAAAAGAAAAACGGCAAAATTCGACTTTGTGCCGATTATTCGACTGGCCTTAATGATCGACTTCAAGACAACCAGCACCCACTTCCACTACCTGAAGAAATTTTCAACACCCTCAATGGTGGTAGATACTTCTCTACAATAGACTTCTCCGAGGCCTACTTGCAGGTGGAAGTGGCTGATGAGTCGAAACATCTCACGACCATCAACACTCACTTGGGACTATTTGAATACGAACGTATGCCGTTCGGAATGAAAACAGCTCCTGGCATTTTCCAGAGTCTCGTCGATTCTATGACTTCTGGACTTACCGGTACTTCTTGTTAGCTCGATGACATCATCGTCACTGGACGAACGATTGAAGAGCACAATTCTCGACTCGAGAAACTTTTCGATCGAATCCATGCCTATGGATTACGCATCGGTCACGAAAAATGCTCATTTCTGACCACTGAAACTCGCTTCCTTGGTTTCATAATTGACAAAAGCGGACGCCGGCCGGATCCCGCCAAGATTGAAGCAATCTCAAAAATGCCAGCGCCAACTGATACTACCCAAGTTCGAGCACTTCTCGGAATGATCCAATTCTATGGACAATTCATACGGTCTCTCCATGACCTACGGGCGCCATTAGATGCACTCACCAAAAAAGACGTCATCTTCAAATGGACCCCGGAATGCCAATCTGCTTTAGATAAAATCAAAGCAAAACTTCTTTCTAACCAACTTCTGGTACACTTCGACCCTGAACTCCGCACAATCGTTGCCGGAGATGCTTCTCAATACGGCGTCGGAGCAGTCCTACTCCACGAAATGCCAGATGGTTCCTACAAGGCAGTCGCCCATGCCAGTCGAACACTGACTCCAGCGCAAAAGGGTTACTCCCAGACTGAGAAAGAAGCACTCGCATTGGTATTTGCTATGCAAAAGTTTCACCGCTACGTGCATGGTCGAAAATTCACGTTGAGGACTGATCACCGTCCACTTCTTTCCATCTTCGGATCGAAGACGGGTATCCCGGTTCACAGTGCCAACCGCCTCCAACGTTGGGCTCTGATTTTGTTGAACTACGATTTCGAAATCGAGTACATCAATACCCAGAACTTCGGTTATGCTGATGCTCTATCCAGACTCATCGCAGCACAGCAACTTGAAGAAGAAGATCGCGTCATTGCTTCCATCGAAGCTGATGTCACAGCCGATTTCGCAGCTAACTGCAATTCTCTTCCTGTCACTTCCGAAACTATCCAGAAAGCGACAATCGCTGATCCACTCCTCGTCCAAGTGTCTGATCACATCCAATCTGGACAATGGCCCAAAATCAAACCTGACTCTCCACTCTGGCACTACTACAATCGTCGAGAATCACTTACGATGGTTCAAAACTGTCTACTTTTCTCTGATCGAATAATCATACCGAAAACACTTCAAAACCGAGTACTTCAAAATCTTCACAAAGCTCACCCAGGGCAAACTCGTATGAAGATGTTGGCTCGAAGTTTTGTTTACTGGCCGAATATTGACTCGCAAATCGAACAACTCGTTCGAAACTGCCCAAGATGCGCATCAGCCGCTAAAAATCCAGTCAAAACTGAGCTGAAAACCTGGCCTACTCCAAATTCTGCTTGGACTCGAGTTCATGCTGATTTTGCTGGTCCCATGAACGGTACTTATTATCTCGTCATTGTCGACGCATTTTCTCGTTGGCCGGAAATTTTTGCTCTCAAGCAAATCACTACATCCGCCACGATCTCGGTACTCCGTCAAGTCTTTTCACGCTTCGGAAATCCGACAACTCTTGTCACTGACAACGGCACACAATTTACTTCTGCCGCATTCGAAAATTTTTGTACGTCAAATGGTATCGAACATCTTCGATCTCCTCCGTACCACCCACAATCAAACGGCCTAGCCGAAAGATTCGTGGACACTCTCAAAAGATCACTTCTGAAACTTCAAGGAGAAGAGAGGACGGCAGATACTCTTCAAACTTTCTTACAAGTTTACCGCTCCTCACCCTGTCCTTCGAACACTGAACATCGTTCTCCCGCTGAACTCTTTCTCCAGCGAACGATCAGAACTCCGCTGAGCCTCATGAAGCCAACGGTTGAACAACCAAGGTTGCCTGGAAACACCAGCGCTGAAAACCAGTTCAATCGACACCATGGTGCCAGACACCGCAAATTTGACATCAATGATGCTGTATTTGTCAGGGACTTCCGTGATACCAAATCAACTTGGATTCCTGGAATTGTTATCAATCGTCACGGAAATGTCAAATACACCGTACGAGCTGATGGTCATGATTGGATTCGCCACATCAATCACATGCGCCCCCGTGATAATATTACTGCTGTCAACTCATTGTTGGATGACTTCGACTTGCCGCTATTCCCCAAGGCCGAATCACCGCAACCTCAACCAGTCATTTTGCCACTCAATTCTCCGCCGCCGCTGCGCCGCAGTACTCGTATTCGGAAACCTGCTACACGCCTTGTTATCGAACCTCATCGTCTCAAATATCGGGTGGAGGAGATGTTGCATCCGCAATAAATATTTATTATTGTACGTGACCTACACGTACCAACTCGTGGCATTGCTAAGCTGACGTTGCTTTAGCACTATAAAAGCCGTCAGCCTCGTCATTTCTCTCTCTTATTATTATTCTTTCAATAAACCTTTGTATTAGTAATTGTTACTTATCTTCGGCAGTCACCGTATCCTACCCAAGGATACAACAATAATCATATCTTTCTAACAAAATCGTAAAATCGTGAAGAAATCCCCAGTAAACCTCGATCAACTTCATCAAAAACCAAAATAAAAACCCCGAAAAAACACATTCTTTGTAATTTTCCCTTTTGTGTATGTGGCCGTGGCCTAGAAAACCAACAAGCATCGCTGTGTATTTCTCCCGAAAGATATTTCGAAATCCCGGTTTTTACCGAATCTATTCTCTTTTCCGTCTTCGGGCGAAATTAAATTCATTTTCTCGTCCTCGGGCGAAAGTACATCCTTCTAAATATTGTTCAATTGTGAAAAATGCCGAAACGAAAGCAAGACGCGAGTTCAGATTATAAAGAAAGATGTGAGTTACTCGAGAATACTTTTTTACAATCCTCGAACCATTCAAATATTTTCAGTGAAGAAATCGAATGAAGAATTTCAAAACGTGAAAGATGTTTGTGTTTCAATAATGCATTCAATGGGCGATTCAGATTTTCCACTCAAAGAGAACGAAGACTTCGTAATCGATGTTTTGAAAAACGAATTAATTGTGATGCTCGAAGATATTTGCAAGTTGAAAAAATCGAAAAATATCAAAACTCGCATAAGTATTTGTGATTTGATTCGTTCGATGAAAAATGAATTCGGCCTTTTGTCCAGGTTTATTAACTATATGACTGTAAGTTTTGTTGTTTATCTATTTATCAATTAAAATTTTTTGCAGAAAAAAGTTGAGATGTCTCAATATCTAAAAGTCAGTAAACAAAAAACCAGCGGCTCTGAAAATATTTTTGGGCAAGAAATTGAAGGCGGAAGCGATGAAGAAGCTGAGAAAGAAGAAAGTATCAATGAAATTGGTGAATTAGAAGGCGAAGAAGGTGAATTGCTAGAAAAACGGAGAAAAAAACTAATGACAAAAGATGAGAGTTTGTTGGAAGAAGTTAAAGACGCTTTCAAAGAATTGGACCTGGATTTTGAGACTTTTGAGAATTTTCAATGTGAAAGATATGCTTCACGTCAAAATGCAATCCTCAAACATATTGAATTGATGTCTACTGATTCATACACTGCATTTACCGAATCTCGAAGGATTTCATTTCAAAAACCAGCAAATTATAGAAATACAGCATCAACAACTACAAGGTAATCTAAATTTAAAATTATTATGAGAAATGAATATTTTTTCAGAAAGAAGGCCACCTCAATTCAATCATTGATTGGATGGATCGGTAATCCACCATTGCAAAGTGAATCCGCCGAGATATTTCTCGCATTTTTTGCAAAAGAAGTAATTGGCGAAGTTGTTGGCTCAGCGCTTATTGAGAAATACAGTGTGAGTAAACTTTTTAAAAGTTTTTTTCTGTCAAAAATGTGTTCGAGATATTCTAATCCCCAAAAAAAAATTTCAGGAGCCAATAAAATGCGGTGCATTCGGAATGGTTGATGATTGTTTGGAAGTGAAGCACTATGAAGAGGCGATGAGGAAAAATGAGAAATTTCGAAAATTCTCAAGAATTTTCATGTAATAATATTCATGTAATTGCAATTACGATCTACTTCAAAACAATACAAAAAACACGTGTCTATCAGTTTTAAATATTACGGTTACTTTTGATTTTCCATTCTTATCATAATGAAATTTTGTAAATTTTAAAAGTGAATTTTCTCAATTTCAATTTCAAAAATATTCTTTGAATCTCGTTTCCTTATCACAAAAAAATGAAGACAACAGACATCAAACACATTTTTTCAAACAATCTCTTCTCTCCAAATTTCCCACAGTCTTTTATGTTTTTTTCCGAGCAATTTAACAAAATGATACGGTTGTCTCAATGATCTCTAAAAAGAAAGTCTATAAAAACCCAGAATATCGCATTTTTCATTTTTTTTTTCATCACAGTATCTAAAATTAAGTAAAAATGTCTCAAAAGAATACTGTTTCTGCAAACTTGCATATGCTATTCACAAGTGTCCCTTTTATGGATAGGTAAATTTGTTAAAAATACTTGTCAACCAAATATTTTGGGATTTTAGATATCGATTGGCTGCTGAAGCTGGATTTCGATATGTCGAAGTTCCATTTCCTTATCAATTTGATGTTTTGGAACTAAAAGCGCAAGCGGATAAATATCATTTGAAACATTCGTTGATTAATGGCCCAACAGGTAATATTGGTACTCGTGAACTAATTACGGTTTGCAAAAAAACTGTTATAAAATTTCTGATATTTCAAATATTAAAATTAAATTAACTGCTAAATGTGGTTTTTAGGAAAAAATTCAGAGGTTTCCTAGCTAAAATTTCAGAAAAAACAACGTTACTTACAGGAATTTTCCAGAAGCTCTACAGTAATCCGACTCATATTTTGAGCATCATTTTCGTAGACTAATTCTGGACTAGCTTCGAGAAATGATTCTTCTGTGAATAAAAATGATCGATTAGATAAGACACGTGAAACACGTGGACAATTAATTCGAAAATGTTTTTATTTTCACTTTTTTAGGAGATTGGGATGCTGGATTCCGTGGTGAATGCTGTTTGAAATCTCAAAAAGATCAATTCCGAAAATCAGTTGAACTCGCAATTTTGTATGCAAATACCCTCGAATGTCCTCGTGTTCATATTGTTGGAGGTCTTCCAGTTCTTCAAGATGACATTGAACACGCCGAAGAAACATATTTGGAAAACCTGAAATATGCTGCTGACGAGTTAGCTAAACACAATATTTTATGTTTGATTGAACCTGCAAGTCCTCTCAGATTTCCTGGAATATTTTTGAATAATTTTGATCAGGCAAAAAGATATGTTGAAATGCTCAATTGTTCGAATTTGAAAATTCTATTTGTGAGTTTTGGAAGGGATTGAGAGAGAAAAAAGGTTGCTGTTATTTCAGGATTATTTCCACGCTCAACAAATTTGTGGACAACTTACACATACATTGGCAACACTTGCTGGATTAGTTGGTAAATTTTTTGAGAATTTAGGATTTAGGCAGATTAGAGATATTGTGGCAGTTCTATTCATCAAACCCAATTTAAAAAACTTTTGAATCGGTTCATTCCTAGGTCGTTGAAATTCCTAATCTTTTAAAAATCTTTCAGGCTACGTTCAAGTTGGTCAAGTTCCACACCGAGGAGATTGTTCAACACCGGGGGAAATCGATTATACTTTTGTTTTTAGTGAATTACAAAAACATGATCCTGAATTAATTGTTGGATTGGAATATTTGGATGATTATCCAACTTTTGGCTGGCTTTCCAGAATGAACTTGCAGTTTTAAATTGATTTTTTCAAAAACACGATTTTAATTGTTCAAATTTTTCTAATGAACATTAGTCCTAAATTATATTCAAATCGTGAATATTTTTCCAAGAGGAAATCATTGTCAGACATTCACATAGTCATAAAAAATTAAACAGAATTTTTTTTTCAAAATTCCAAATGTTCAATTCAGTTCGATCAAATGTGTCGAATGAAATACATTATCCTGATATGTTTTATAAACATAGCAGAATCTCAATATAATCCGATTCCATGTTGTGAGTTGTTTTCGGCACTATTTCAATTGAGTTGCGAGCTCGCAGCTCTTGAAATTGATATTTATGTGTACGATTTTTTATCACTTTTAAAATCTACAGTTCTGAAATCTCTTCAATTCAGATCCTGGTCAATCTTGCAACCCGCTCAACCTACAACCGCCATATCCTCCTCCTCCTCCTCATCCACAAATTCAACTTTTCCTATCTCCCCAATATATTTCGGCATCTGTTCCAATTTCTCAATTTCCTTCGCCTGGTTATCCTTCACAACAACAATATTTCAGTTATCCCATTGATTATTCGTCTTCCTATCAACAACCCCAATCTCAAGAAGTATATCAACAAACAACAATTTATGATAACTCGGAAAATGAGAATAACAATCCTGTGGGCTCAATAAATTTGGAAGAAGGGAATTATGAATTTCAGCAAGATGATCAATCAACATCGGAACCCGATATGGATATTGAAGTAAAACATGATGTTCTTGAAAATAATCATGAGATGAATAAAAATGTTTCCGATTCATCGGAAAAAGAAATTTCATCCTCTACAAGAGGAGAATCTAACGATCAAACATCCAAACATCAACTTCCACCTAGAAAATCGAAATCTTCTGCAAAACCTCCACCCCTACAAATCGCACCTCTCCGATCTTCAAAATGTTCAGCCGGTTGGAGAATGATGAGTAGAAATAAAGGAAAATGGTGTATGAAAGTATTTGGGGGAACTTTGAATGTTTGGGACGCTCACAACGAATGTAATAAACAGGGAGCATCTTTGAGTGGAGTGGAAAATGAGCAAGAACGTGATTTTATTCATGGTGAGTACTTTCTGTTTCTCTCTGCGTCTCTCTATTTTCCCAAAGGCGTGAGTTCCAAAATTCTGAAAAATCAATTCTGACGATTGAATTTTTCTCACGGTTTATCTTGAATTCAAAAGATCATAAAACTTTTCTGTGTGGCAGTTGCATTTACTCCGTGTTATCAATAGAGCAAATTTGTGCCATTTCAGCACAAGGTGTTCACATTCTCCGTTCACTCAACAAAAACATTCAACAAGGATCTGTGTGGATCGGTGCAAAACGACGCAATCAATGTCTTGGAGACAATAAAAATGCGGCCGGTTGTGTTCCTTGGGCTCCGAACGCTTTTGAATGGACCGATGGTTTTACCAGTGGCAAAAATATGTTCAGATTTAGACCAGGCCAACCAGATTATCTACAGTAAGATTTTATTTTTCTCACACGTAAAATGTGTCGCGGAATTTAGGTTTTCATTTAATTTTTATTCCAAAATTTCAGAAACGCTCAAGAATTCATCTATATGCATATTGTTGATAAACCTTTCGGTATTGGATCAGCTGGTGCAACTCCAGGAAGTCTTGATGATATAAATGGATCAATCACATCAAGTTCTCAAAATCTACAATTTGTCAGAGGATATGTTTGTGGAAAACCAGCAAGTTTTGATTGAAACAAAAAATTCTCATTCAATAATAAAATATTTATTTTTATCAAACTATAAAGTGTGTGATTTGGAATCGTAAACTATAGGAAAATTTAGTAGTATAAAATTAATCTAGAAAATTGAACAGAATCAAAAAATAATATGAAACTGATAGTTTTCGGATTATTTTTATTATTTGCATTGGTGTCAGCTTGGAATTGTCCAACTCATTGGAAACTTTTCGATCGAGTGAAGGGAAAATGGTGTATTACGGTGATTCGAGGAACGCGGAATGTTTGGGACGCGGAAGCGGAATGTAAGAAACATGGGGGAGTTTTTGAGTGGAGTTGAGAATGAGCATGAGAAGAATTGGATTCATGGTGGGTTTGAGCCACATAGAAAAAATAAAAAATGGAAATTATTTCAGAAAAGGGAGTTCACCTTTTGCGACACCATCATAAACACATTCACCAAGGAGCACTTTGGATCGGAGGTCGCCGTCGACCAGGATGTCTTGGAGTCAACAAAAATAAAGCCGGATGTGTTCCTTGGGCTCCACATGCTTTTGAATGGACTGATGGTTTTACAACTGGTAGATCACAGTTCAGATTTCGACCGGGACAACCAGATTATCTACAGTAAGATTATCTACAAGGTTTTCTTCATCCCAAAATTATTTCAGTAACGCTCAAGAGTTTGTCTATATGCATATAATTGATAGACCTTATGGAAAAGGAGATCATGGAGCAACTCCGGGAAGTCTTGATGATGTAACTGGAGATACAGCTATGACTGGAAAAAATACACTGCAATTTGTTAGGGGAATTGTTTGTGGGAAAAGAGCTGCACGTTGATTTATCAATGTTTAATTGAAAGAGTTTTGGAAATAAAAAAATAAAGATTTTTGTAGAAAAATTGTGCACTGGTTCGAAATTGGAGCTCATCTTCCGATTGCAGAGTTCAGAATTCCTTATAGTAGTATATAAAAAGTTGTCACTGGTGCACCTTTTTGCCCAAACTCTATTTTTACACTTTATCACTATTTTAATGCACAAAATCATCAAAAATCATGTTTAACATATCAAAAATCCGTCATTTCTGAAAAATGAGCATTTTTGGGCTAGCTCACCTTCTGCCCATTCTGCCCACTTGCCGGGAGTCACGCTTTCAAATAATAAAACCGAAAATACAAAAAGAAGTCTAGCGTCAAAACGCGAAAATTAGTGCTCCTACGCCTCTCAGAAGGATTTGGTTATCTTCATGACTCGTGAAAATAAGTGATTGCATTGTTCCTTGTCGGGATGCCGACTTCTTGTGCCGAAATTTTTTCTCGGAATTTTGGGATGCCGACTTTTTTGCCGAAAAAAATTCGGCAATTCGGCACCCCGATTTTGTTCAAATTCGGTATTTTGGCAGTGATTCAGAAAATTTAAAAACTATAAAAAATGATAGGAAAATGAATAAAATTATATTTTAGTTTGATTTTAGTCATAACTCAATAGATATGAAGCTAAAACAAGACATTCTGCAGAAAATAGAGGTAAAAACACATTTTTTTATTTTACTGGAGAACATTTCGGTTGTGATTTCGGCACATTTTGAAATTGGTACGAAATTCGGCTTCTATCAAGTGCCGAAAAATTTTTCGGTCGGTAATTCCGACTCGAAAAACTTCCGAAAATATTTTCGGGCGGTAGTGCCGACTTCAAAAATTGCCGAAAAATCAGGAAAACTCGGCTTTTCGGCAAATCGGCGTGCCGATTCCGCCCAGCCCTGAGAGGAATAGACTCATGAAAAAAAAAGGCGAATAGACTCGTGTTTGGGAAGAGGTCAACAACACATCATTGCACACACTCTCTCTCTTCGCTCTCTCACGCCCCTCACTTCTGGCTGTCTCCTTTGCGTCTCTGCCAGGCCGCGCTGAGTACATAGAAGAGAACAACGCCAAGGCAAGGGGGGACCTCCATGGCTCAGTCGGTAGTGATTGCAACCGCAATGCGGTAGGATGTGGGTTCGACTCCCATGTGCTCCCTGATTTTTTTGCCTTTTTTGTTTTACTTATTACTTTGGTTTTTACAATCACACATAGCCAAGAAGTGGAAAATAGAAGCGTTTAACACAAGTTTTGAAGTTTTGTTTTTTATTAAATGACTACTTTTGGTCTCCGAAAAGACCTGAAGCCATTAACCAATCTAGATCTCCTTGAGCTTGTAAATGTACTCGAAATCAAAAATTTCCGTGGCGTCTTTATGAGAGACACTTTACCGAGTGAAGGAATTGGAGAAAAAGAAGTTGGAATTGTAAATTTAGATTCTTCTGAAGGTAAAGGTACTCATTGGGTTTGTTATTCTAAAAATAAAGGAAAGATTTACTACTTTTATTCCTTCGGACTTGATCCTCCTTTACAACTTCAACAGTATCTCAAGAGTAGAAATAAAAAAGATAAAATAGAGCTTTCAACATTCCAAATTCAAGAATTTGGAACACATCATTGTGGTTATTACTGTCTTTTACTTCTCAAGTTATTAGAATATTATTACTTCAGAACCAGTATTCTCAAGATTCTAAGAATCAAAGAACCTATGATTTAATATGACAGTTACCAAAAGCCATAGTTGAATGACTATCTCTGAGGATGTAACGTTTATGATCCCCAGATTCATTATTCAGAACAACTTTATTTTGACATTGTGTGAATAATTGATGTTTAACACTCCTGATACAATACTGCGTCTTTCTGACAATAGTTTTATCAAACAAACAAGTTTTAAAATCTTCTACTGTAAGTTCATTCTTGACAACATTCTAAATTTCAAAAACAAGTGACCTCTAAATAATGTTTTTTTTCAGGTGAAAAAAAAGTGACGTGTGCCGTTTTCTCGAAATCCTACTCATTTCTGATTTTGTATAAATAAGACACAATCCCAATTTTGTCTCTGTCTAATTATAAATTGATTTGTGTCAACTTGAAAAAATATTAAAAGAAGAGAGAAGAATGTCGCAAAATGATTCAAAAAATGTTGATGCAATTGATATGAGCAAGAAAACGTATAAAAAGGAGGTGGCAAAACAACGACAAATTAAAAGAATGAGAAAAATGAAGGTAGGTTACTGTAAAGGCTATAGTGTCTATAATAAAATGTAAATTTTGAAGCTTCGAGATCGTCAAGATGATGTTCGAATCAGTGATGTTTCGGATATGAGTGTAAATTTGGAAGAAGTTCAAAAAGAAGATAATCAAGCAGATTGGCTGAATGATTTGGTGAAAACTGAGCCAAAAAATGAGTCATCAGTTCCGCCAGCTAAAAGTTCGAGTCAGGATGATATACGCTGTACCGCTGAATTGCCAAGATCAAAATCTCCAGTTTTACCAAAAGAAGGCGGATTTTGTGCAGGTTTCTCTTGCATTTGGCAATTTATCAAGAATAATCGCGTAAGTTATCACATCTCGTTGACAATAAATCCGAAAATTCTGATTTTTCCTACAGAAAACCACAATTCTCTCCGTTTCTGCTATTGTTCTTGCAATTCTTTGGAAAATACGTAATTGAATGAATCATGTTTTAATCAAAATGTTTTTGAGAGGGAAAACAGGGGGAAAACAATGCTAGACTCTACTGAAAAAACGAAGAATAATTACAAAATCTCTAATTATTTACAAAAAAAGAAGAATTGAATACGAAATAGAAACCAAAAAGGGAGCAATATATTTTTGGCCGAGACACAAAAAAAGGGTTTGATTGGACCAAAAATTCGGTAAGAGTGTAAAAAGATTTAGAGATGTAGAGAAATTATTTTCGTTGCGAGAAGACTTCCTTCATTCGGTTAAGAGCTGATCCAGCCTTGAACCATTCGATTTGTTGCTCATTGAAGGTGTGGTTCAAAACAATTTCGACCTAAAATCAAAATTTTTTGAACTTGATTATGTGAAATATCCAGAATTTTAAAATTTTACTGAAGTTTGGGTTTGAGATGTGACATCAGGAAAAATAGAAGCTTGTTTTTCCACTTCCAAATCCGTTAGATTCACAAAGTAAAACATTTTTCAAGCATTTATTTTTTGAATTAAAACTCACTTGTGATCCGTTGGTCTTCTTGAAAACTCCCTTAAGTGGTTTTCCTGGGGCGAAACTCTTCAATCCAACGATCGAAACATTATCAGTTGGGTCGATTTTGTCGTAGTCAGCTGGATTGGCGAAAGTCAATGGGAGCATTCCTTGCTTTTTCAAGTTGGTTTCTAAAATGTTTCAGAATAACAATTATGGCACAATTTTCAATTTGAACCTTACCATGAATACGGGCGAATGATTTGACAATAATAGCGCGTCCTCCAAGATGACGTGGTTCAAGAGCAGCATGTTCGCGAGATGATCCTTCTCCGTAGTTTTCGTCTCCGATAGCAACCCATTTAACTCCCTAAAATAATAACTTTGTTTTTTTTCCACACTGAAATCCAAATAACTTACATCAGCTTTGTATTTTCTGGCAGTAGCTGGAACAGCTCCAAATTCACCAGTGACTTGATTTTTGACCTTGTTCATTTCTCCGTTATCAGCATTGACAGCGGTCAAGAACAAGTTGTTTGAAATGTTGTCTAAATGTCCACGGTATTTAAGCCATGGTCCAGCAGCAGAAATGTGATCGGTGGTACACTTTCCTTTGACTTTGATCAAGATCTTCATATCTTCCAAGTCTTTTCCGTTCCATTTGTCGAATGGAGACAAGAGTTGAAGACGTTCGGATGATGGAGAAACATCGACTTGTCCTGATCCGCTTGGGGCTTGGAAGGTGTCCTCTCCTGGATCGTATCCGCGGGCTGGCAAATCTTGTCCAGTTGGTGGTTGAAGTTTGAATTTGGATCCTGAAAAAGAGTTGATATTTCAAAAAAAAATTGAATATCTCAAAAGTTTTCTTTCAGTTTCAAAAAATCTAGAGATTCTTCATTCATTCCAATTTTAACTTCAAAATAAAAAATAAACAAACCGTCAGCGGCAGTAAGTTCGTCGGTGAGTGGATTGAAGTCAAGACGTCCAGAAATGGCCATAGCGGTTGTGATATCTGGAGATGTAACGAAACCATGAGTGGCTGGATTGGCATCATTTCTTCCGGTGAAGTTTCTGTTGTATGAGGTGACAATGGTGTTCTTGTCTCCCTTTTTAACATCTTGACGATCCCATTGTCCGATACATGGTCCACAAGCGTTGGCGAGAACGACTCCTCCGAAATCAGCGAAAATCTTGGACAAACCGTCACGTTCGATGGTGGCACGAACTTGTTCAGATCCTGGAGTGATGGTGAACAAAGTCTTGGCCTTCAATCCTTTGTCCAAAGCTTGTTTGGCGATTGAAGCAGCGCGAGTCATATCTTCGTATGATGAATTTGTGCATGATCCGATGAGCGAAACTTTAACATCAAGTGGCCATCCGTTCTTTTCAGCATTAGCTCCCAATTTATCGATTGGTGAGGCAAGATCTGGGGTGAATGGTCCATTGACATGTGGGACAAGAGTATCAAGATTGATCTCAATGACTTGATCGTAGTGAGCTCCATCATCAGCGGTCAACAAAGATTTGTATTTCTTGGCTTCTTCAGCAATATCTTTACGTCCAGTAGCTTCAAGATATTTGTACATGCTCTCATTGTATGGGAAGACAGATGTGGTGGCTCCAATTTCAGCTCCCATGTTACAGATAGTTCCCATTCCAGTGGCTGAAAGTGAGTCAACTCCTGGACCGAAGTATTCAACAATAGCTCCAGTTCCTCCTTTAACGGTAAGAATATCAGCAACCTTAAGGATAACATCCTTAGCTGAAGTCCATCCGCTCAATTTTCCGGTCAATTTAATTCCAATAACTTTTGGGCATTTCAATTCCCATGGAATATCAGCCATAACATCAACAGCATCAGCACCTCCAACTCCGATGCAAAGACCTCCGAGACCTCCTCCATTTGGTGTGTGTGAATCAGTTCCGATGAGCAAAAGTCCTGGGAAAGCGTAATTTTCGAGGATGATTTGATGGATAATTCCCGATCCCGGTTTCCAGAATCCGACTCCATATTTGCTTCCAGCTGATGACAAGAAGTTGTAAACTTCTTTGTTCAAATCTTTAGCACGAGCCAAATCTTGAGCTCCTCCTTTTTGAGCTTCGATCAAGTGATCACAGTGAATGGTGGATGGAACAGCTGTTTGTGGAAGTCCGGAGCTGATGAATTGAAGCATAGCCATTTGAGCGGTCGCATCTTGCATAGCAACACGATCTGGGCGAAGACGGAGGTATGAAGTTCCTCTTTCGATATCTTGAGTTTTTGGTTGATCCAAATGTCCATAGAGAATCTTTTCAGAGAGAGTCAATGGTCTCTTGAGTCTGGAAAAATATTATTCTTTTAATGCAAAAAGGAAAAAAAGTTCCTCCAATATTTTTTTATCAAGTAAATTATTTAGTAAACACGTTTCAATCCATCAAAATTATTATCTCAAGGTCAAATAGTATGAACAATCATTGAAAACTAAGATCATTCAAAAAATATCTCAACAAGTGCCGAAAAACTGATCAGCGAAGAAGTGCATAGAACACTCAATGCAAACAAAACGATTTCAAAGAACGAACAAAGTCGTTAGACTTCAAACTCGTGATATCATATTTTTAAAGATTCTTTTAAACAAAATTATTTGTATACACTGGTGAATTTTGATCAACAAAACAGTTTAGGCTACACGAGATAATTGAAACACTATGTTTACACAATGGAGGTGAAAAAGAAACAGGCGGCTCTCATGCGTTCGCTCAATTTTACACTGGATATTGAGAAAATTCAAAATATTTTCAATTCTAAAAAAACTTCCCAAAATGTTCACTTCTGTTTTTGTTTCTATTGATCAACAAAAATTAGATGGACTGATAAAAATACATGTTTTTTGACTACAGACGCACATGACATATCATACAACATTTTTTTGTTTTATATTTTTAAACACGAGTTACTTTGACCCGTACAAACTCACCTATCCCTGACAATTTTGACATTTTGGGAAAGTTTCTCATATGGCAAATACGATTTTGGTTCGAATTTGGAGATTGGAACCTTGCTCTGGAAAAATAAACAATTATGGGATTTCGCAAAATGATATCTACTTCTCTATTAAAAACATCGAAATGAGAAAAATTCCTCCATTATATTTTGAAAGATAGCGTGAAAGATACGAGTGAATATTTTAAATTTTAGATTTAATCTCATTCATAGATTCTTTTGAAAGAGGAATAATCTTCATTGTTTTGTTTACAAACGATTAAGTTTGCAACGAAAGACAGTTTTCAATAGATTTGATTTGATAATACAGAACAGGAACTTGTATTGATGCAAGTTTCAATTAATAAAAGAACGAACCCAGAAAGATTTTGATGTGTGAAGAGCTCGGAGATTTGATGGTCCAGCCAATTGACTTAACCGAAGAAGTGAATTCATGGTTCACCTGAAAAAAAACAATATGGCCTAAAATTTAAATAAACTGTGATTTAAAAAATAAAACGAAACGGTCGTAGTACAAAGATGATCGAGGAACAGAATGATAAGAAGAATAACTAGCCAACAACTGGCAGCAAAACAACACACATTCATGCAGTAGGCGAAAGGGGGGAAAAGAAGAGAAAAAAGTGGAAGGGAAACGAATTGAAAAGCGCGGTGCGACTGCAAACAAATGCGCCAGTCTTTTGTCACTGACGTGTTTGTTTGACTAAAGGGACACCGATTTATTTCGCAAGGTCTTTGAACGATTTTTACAGTATCCTTTAGATTTCGAAGTGTCCGAATTTTTCGGTGTTCAACTTCACTCTACGCGTGTCACTCTTCGGAATCATGGTCGCTGACGTCAAATCACCAGCAGGACTTGCTGCTTTCAACCAAACTCTTGCTGAGCAAGCTTTCGCCAACGGGTTAGTTTGATTTTCCCATTTTTGGGCCAACAGAAAATTTGAGATTCGTGGAAACTTCAATTTTTTGAAATATTTAGAGGTTTTCAGTGAATAAAGATATAAGTATGATGTCACTAGGAATGAATGCAGAGACCTCTCTAAAAATGAAAAAGGCAACAATTCTTGAAAAGTGCAGAAATAATTATTAGATGAGAGTTAAAAAAATGTCCAGCTTAAATTCAATTTATTTACAGCTTTGTCTACTCTGGAGAGGATGCCCAACTTTTCGCTGCTCTCGGATCAGCTCCAGCTGCTGCAACATACCCAAATGTTGCCCGTTGGTTCGCTAACATCGCTTCATACACTGAAGCCGAACGCAAAGCCTGGCCATCAGCAGGAGGATCAGCTGCCGCTGCTGCTCCAGCCGGAGATGACGACTTCGATTTGTTCGGATCTGACGATGAAGATGATGCCGAGAAGAAGAGAATCACCGAAGAAAGATTGAAGGCTTACAATGAGAAGAAATCCAAGAAACCAGGCCCGATCGCTAAATCATCAGTCATTTTGGATGTCAAACCATGGGACGATGAAACCGACTTGGGAGAATTGGAACAATTGGTCCGTGGAATCGAAATGGACGGACTTGTCTGGGGAGGTGGTAAACTCATCCCAATCGGATACGGAATCAAGAAATTCCAAATCATCTGCGTCATCGAAGATCTTAAGGTCTCAGTTGACGATCTTATCGAAAAGATCCAAGGTGATTTCGAAAACCACGTCCAATCAGTTGACATTGTCGCTTTCAACAAGATCTAATTCGTTGTTGTTTGTTTTTAATATGAATATTATATACAAAAAAACTTTATTGAGAAAATCATTTACGAACTCTCCCAGTAATAGGACACGCCTTCAATCCTCCAGTTCCACGACACTTCTTCAGGTAAACTACTGTAAGAATCCCAACCACAACAGCTCCACCAATGTAATATTTGTAGTCATCGAGAAAACCCATGACTTTGCAATAAGGTGATTCGCGTTCACAATCGCCAGTTTTAAGAAGATCATTCAACCATCTGCAGTGAGAAATTCTGATTTTTCGCAACTCTTCTATGTTAACTCACTCATTTTGCGGTTGTTCCTTCCCACTTTTCGCCGAACATTTATCCACTGAAACGCAAGATGGAACGTCTGATTTACTTTTACCAACTCGCTTATTACCTTTTGATCGTCTCTTTTTCAATTTCTTCATGTCGACTGCATTGTCTCCTCCAAGCTCGAGTTTTTCGCTCTTCGGCTCATCTCCCGAGTTCTCCAGTTTATCTCCTTCAGACATTTTTGTTTTACCACACGTTGCAAAATCTTATTTATCTCAAAATGATTATTTTCTCCAACAAAAAAAAACCACGTCTAAAATTCCACGTGACACAAAAACGTGGAATTTTGTAAAACGTCAGTTGGCATTTAATTTTTGCCATTTTTCAAAAATGTTTGACTGTAATATAAAAATATGTCTAATATTTTGTTTGATTCCATTTATCTTTGCAAATTTTACGACAGACTATGAATGCGAAATAGAAAAAGTTGAATTATTAAAATACATAGAGGTGATTATGATTTTTAATAATTCAATCAATAATCTTTGAAAATTTCAGGTAAAATCTATGATCGCATTAGAATTGCCAACACTTCGATTCAAACTTTCTATCGATTCAGAAATATTCGATATTGATTCGTTTTTCGAAGGATCGAAACTGAAGAATTTCACAAAGTATCCTGGTTTGAAATATCCAATAATAACAAAAAATGGAAGAAGAAATGACTTCGCAATCATGTACACGAACGTGGAATATCAATATTATTTTTTTCTGAGATCAAGTATTGACAGTGAAAAAAGTCCATTTGCATCACTTGAACTAAGAAAAGACGTTGATTTCTGTCATTTTAATTGGAAATATGTGAGTTAAATACAGAAAATATCGAGTATATCATCTTGTAGATATTGTTGAGATTATTGAGGATTTTTCTGAAATATTGACAACTGAAAAATCAGAATTAATAAATCAAAGGCGCACACATTTGGAAAGCGCTAAGGTCTCGTAGCGATATCTTTTTGCAGGCCTTTTCAGAGAAAGTTTCAGGAAACGCTGAATATACCGCCTGATTCGTCTCATCGAGATGAATAAGGAGATAGATATATTCAAATTACCATAAATTATGGTTTGAAGAAAGTTAGACGCGAAAACACAATATTTTTAAGCAAAAATTGTAAAAATTTCAGAAAAACAAAGTATGTTTCAAAAGCAAGAATAATGTGTTGAGTGTCTATGAATTTTCGGAAACAACGAGCTCAACCTCAAGGTATCCTCTATTCTTCTAATTTATCCCATTAAAATTCCAATCTTATTTCCAGCCCAATGCAACCAATTCTTTTGGAAAGATATACAAAGTTGAACATGAACAAGTCCATTTCTTATGAAAATGCACAAGGACATGATATTTTCTTGGTGAGTCGCTGGGTTTTCTAGTTATTGAATAAATGAATACTTTTTCAACTACAAAATTTACAGTTTCATCACGAATACAACTGGATTTATGTTCTGGACACTGATGAGCATAGTCGAGCAACTTATGCGTTGAGAACTTATCAACTTTTTGTGCCAAAAGAGTGGAATTTTGAGCGATTCCTTTTTGTGGATGATTTCGGAATTATCAGTGAATATTCACACTCGAAAAATTCATCACTTATTCGACAATATTACTCGATTAGATCTGAGGTATTTAAATCTAAATCCGAATTTCTCATTGAATTCTCGTGAAAAACCTTTTTTTTCAGAAATCTGGCCTCAAATCCTACTGTTTGCATAGTGGAAAAATTGATGGAACAATCGGAATTTTTGCACAAAAAGCCATGCCACCGCAAACTCCAAGTAAGTTGAAAAACTCTCCTTGAACAATTTTCAATAATATTTTCCAGCTGCTGAAAAATTGATACAATTGAAAAAAGATCTCGAAAGTGGTGGAATCACAACAAGTATTACAATTTTGTACATTTGCACGGTCATTTACTTGCTATTTTTCATTTGTTATACTTTTATTCCGCCCAAGAAACGATTTATCACAAATGAATTGGTGAGAACTTTTTTTTTAAATTTTGTTTTCAAAAAAAATGTTGCAGTTATCAATGGAGCGCGAAGTGACAAGATTATCACCAGTGATTGAGCCGGTTATTATTGGAGTTCATGAATTTATGAATGGGGAGGTTAGTCATGGGAACACGTAGAATTTAGGGTCGCGCCGCGATTTATAAGGTTGTCCCAAATCAAACTGTTTCCAGCTCGCGAAAGACGCTTTGAAGCAAAAGAAGGACAATTGACAGGTTTTTCTTTATGTAATCCTAAATTTTAAATAAAAATGTTCCACCAGAATTTAATTAAAAGAAGTAGTTGCAATCTGGAAAATAGACAAGTGCATTTGATTCAATTTACTTGTGCTCGTTGTTGTTTACTTCACTGAACATTTGAGCTTTTTCTAGTTAACTTGAGAAATTTTGGCGAATTTTTTCTCAAATAATGTGTATACAGGGTGCGCCATAAATACGTGGACAGCTATAATTCAGTATTATTTTCAAATTTAGAACAGTTTTTTGTATATCGTTTTTAAAATACTTAATTAGGTCCCTAACGAGTAAATTAAAACCAATATCTCTTAGTTTGGTCGATTCTGCGATCTGGGAAATCTTGTAGAACTTCGGGAAAAATTTCATCACGGCACGCAAAACTATGAAAAAGTGGTCTCGCTATTTTTGGATGGAATTATTTTTATTGCGAAGTCTTCATTTGAGTTGTAGAATGTTTGAGGGGTTGTCAGAGAGTCCCGAGAAGCCACGAAAAAATATATAATTGTCCACCATGTCTCACACCAAGTTTGGGTGGAGATTTTTGGAACAGTCTGCTTCATTGGGAGAAATCATTTTTCTCCATTGATTTTGGGGTCAAAATCGGGAGTAAAGTTGAAATAAATGTATTTCTGGACTAACATATGTACCTAAGAATAAAAATCAACCTCGATAACAAACATCAAGTGCTCCAGCCAATCACAGTACACAATAAAAGATAAAATCTCCCAAAATCGCTGTTGAGAAACAAGTTTTTCGATTTGAGCAACGTTTTTAAATTGATGTTATTTTTGTCAGAAACGAACCCATCGCATAATTCCTTTCAAATTAGTTATCGGAAAGGTTCTAGGTAAACCTCCAATCATGTATTTAGACTATACAGAACCTAGTTTTCAAGTATTGGGACAATATGTCCGACAAATGGCAGCGTGCCGAGATGAAATTTTCCCCGAAGTTCTACAAGATTTCCCAGGTCGCAGAATCGACCAAACTAAGAGAGATTGATTTTAATTTACTCGTTAGGGACCTAATTAAGTATTTTAAAAACGATATACAAAAAACTGCTCTAAATTTGAAAATAATACTGAATTATAGCTGTCCACGTATTTATGGCGCACCCTGTAAGAAGAACTCATTTCGGAATCTGCTGAAAAATTTACAAATCTCGGAAAAATAGGAAAATATCGATGGGAAATTCATTTTTTTTCCAGTTTTTTGATGCTAAATTGCACAACGTGCACGCTGATTTTATCTCAAAAATGTTTCCATATAAATTTTCTCAATCTTCCCCTCTCCTCTCATCTCAAAAAAAACAATACTAAAACCCTTGAATAAATATAATATTAATATAAATATATCCCAAAAACTTCTTCAAATCTTCCTTCTTTTTTTCTTGCTTTCTTTTTTTTCTTTTTTGACAAGGCCACTCTGGTTATTCTATTTCTCTGCGTCTCTTCAATCCTCGCAATCTCTCCTCTTTTTACCTGCTGGTGGTTTTTTTTTACACAAAATTGGTATATGTTATTATTATAATTTAGAACGCGCGCACTTTTTGACATTTTTCATTTTTTTTGGGAAAAAACTCTGAGTTATCGAAAATAAACAAATAAAACGAATTTTTCGAAATAAAATATTTACTTTTTGGTTGCCACGTATTTTTTTTGTCAAATTTTTCATTTTTTTCAAAAAAAAAATGATGTGAAAAACAAAACAAAGAAGACACGAGAATTTTTTGAGTGCTCGGGTTTTTCATTTTTTGCCGGCCGGAAAAAGTAAAAATTCTCTATTTTATATTTCACACGCCGCACAATTGTTCCTTTTTCCCAACATTTTTGCACTTTCTCCGAAGAAAATGAAAACCGAAACAAATTGAATAATGAGATTTCTTGTTGCTTCTCCGATTTCCTTGTTTTTTTGCCATTTGAGATTTTTTGAGCTTATTATTTTTTCCAGGCTTTTTGATGTCAAAAAAATCGAATATCAAAAAAGAAGATATCAAAAAAAGTGAAGGAACATCCAAAATATGGCTATTTGCGGTTTTTCTAATAGGTTAGTCATTTTTTTTTGGGGGGGGAGGGGGTTGAAAAAATGGGTGTTTATATTGCTCAATTAAAATATTTTTCCGCATTTCTCATCCTACGGTAAATCGAAAAGTACTAAATTTTAAAGGAGTATTTTTAAATTACTATGAGACCCTTTATGTTCCTTCAAATCATAAATTTTAAAATTTGAAATGCTCTTTTAAAACTATTCCTGATAAATTAAAGGAACATGGCTTTTTTCGAGCACGTTCTGCTTATAGGTTTCCAAATTTGTATTTTTGAAAAAAATTACTTTCTCATTTCTTAAAATTCATTGAGCAAAACATTTATACAAACAAAAAATAAATCATTCAATAAATTACCAGTAAATTAAAAATTGCTGAAAAATTGTTCTCGCAGCGGATCGAAACATCTTGCAAAAGTGTCATTCATTGAATCAACAAATTGTCGAATTTCCTCTTGATCCGCTAGATTTCGACTTTCGATAACTGCTTTATAATAATGTTTTAGTGAACTGAGAACACCGTTGTCGCGTAATCTTTGAAGAGCGCTAGAAAAAAATATTTTTGAAGGATTTAAAAGGATTTTCGGATGAGTTCGTAATTTTGGAAATTATTCCATCAAAAATTGAATTAGTTCAAATTAATGACCTAGATTCTAATCAATTTTGTTTCAAATATTCCTTACTCTTCTTCTACATCAGTTCGTTCTTCCAAAATAATTTCCAAAGATTTGGGCGGTCTATTATCATTTAACCAATCATCCAACTCTTGTGTCATATTATTTTCCTCTAATTTCTTTCTAATAATCTCATCAACTAATTCAAATTGATTTTCATCAGCCGCCAAATCCAAATCAATTCTTTGTTCCATTGTCAATTGTTCCATAGCCTCTCTAACACATTTCGGATGATTTGCATAACATTCCAAAACCGCTCGATTTTTTGTTCGCCCATACATCCACATACTCAAATTCTCCCATATTCGCGCCCAAATTGACATTCTTTCGTATTCCGCTGCTTTTCTGCAGAAATAGGGACTATAGTTTGAATAATTCATGAAAAAGAAAAAAAAACGAACCGCTGTGAAAAGTATTGCATAATTGCCAATTGATCAATGATCGGTAGAAATGGACGAAGTTGTTTTAGCCAAACTGATCGAATTGCATTGTAGATTGAGGCGTTCTGAAATTAGTTAAAAATTGTGTGCGCATCTTGCATTTTGGCCACGCCCTTTTGAGTTTGCAATCATATTTATTGTGAATTAAAAATATGTGGAATCACTATAGAAGTCTAGAAATCATAAAATAAAAACAAAATCAGGAATATAAATGATTCTCGATTACTGTAGGAGCTTAGGCAGTAGATTTGATGTACAATAATTTAGAATATTTTGTCTAACGTGAAAAATTCCGGAGTACTTTGACACGTCATAACTCATACATAGTCTTAAGCTCTTAGAAACAGTAAATTCTAAAATTAAGAACCCAAAACCCCTTACATGATATCCAGTTACAACTTTCGTCGTTTTCTCATCAATTTGATCAATCGTCTGAATATTATAAATTATCGAATTATTCAATTTGTTCAAAACCGTATTCGGATATTTTTTGACTTTCGCATCAATTTCATATTTCAATTTTTCATACGTTTTATCCTTCATATAATCCTCGAGTTTTTCTTTGTCTTTTTCCGGTAAATCGAGAATTAGCATAAATAATGGGAGATAGGTTTCGAAAAGACTGAAATCGCTCCGATTTTTTGAGTCGATTATGTAGGTGGTGGAATTTGAGGAGGTGAGAGTCTGAAATATTTGAATTTTTGGATGAACGTTTGGTGGAAGGATGACGTGGCTCTTTTTTTCCACGTCATAACTCATTCACATTTAAATTCGAATTCCCCAAAAAACTCACCAAACTCTCATCATCACTAACAATCATCGGAATATTCTCATAATCCTCTCCACTTTGACTTTCAACAAAAAATATACAAATTATCACGAAAAATTGAATTTTCGCCATTTGGCGGAAAATCCGCCGGAATTTTTAATCTGAAAAAAAATTATTCACAATTGTCGGAGGAAAAAAAAATAAAAAAGTTAGACTAAGTTGCCAGGCGACAAAAAAGTAGGGCAAAGTAATTATGAGTTACACCTGGTACTAAAAGTTACTCTGGAAGTTGAAAAGTGGAAAATTAATTAATTAGGATAAATAAAATCGATAAAAAAGAAAATAGATAAGATTGTTGCAAATCGACTATTCTTATTATATTTATGATAATATCAAATGATGATGATATTATTATTTTTTATCAATTTGGATAAACACATGAACAGCTGAAAAATGCAAATAAATAAACATGCAACTTTTTATTCGAACTGTCAAAATTTGCACGCGCAGAAAAAAGAGCCCAAGAGAAAAACCGGAATTTTCTTGCTCGTCGAACACTTTTTGAATTAGTTAGTATTTGTACTTCAACTCGCATAAAATGAGAAATGAAATGAAATGACACAAAAAATAGTTTTTTTTCTGTTCAAGAGTCAATATATAATTACTCTTTCAAACTGGATTTGTATGTTTATGCGTTTTGAAAAAATCGATTTTTTGTTAGAAAAATTGGAGGGTTATGACGTGGCATAAGGCTGAAAATATATGAGAAAAACTTTTTGAATAATGCTTTTTCTGAATCTACAGTACTTCAAAGCTTCAAGATAGCCTAGGATTACTGTACATTTTTTTGGCCACAAAACCCACCCTAAAACTCTCCCCAAACAAATAACTTTTTTTGCAGGAATTGGAGTCGGATTCATAAATTATCAACACATTTACACACTTTTTGAAAATGACAAACATTTTTCACATCTCGCTGATTTTGAAAGAGAAATGGCTTATCGAACTGAAATGGTAAGTATTTCTTTTTTTTCTTCACAAAAAGAAATTCCGATTGGTCTCTTCAGGGATTATATTACTCATATTATAAAACAATTATAAATGCTCCTTCATTTTTGGAAGGATTGGATTTGATAATTCGAGATGAAGTGACTGAATATGGACATCAGATAAATACGCTGAATCGATTCAATTTGTATCCGGAGGTCATTCTATCATTCCTTTATCGCCCATTCCGTTCAATCGCAAAATCTGCAAATTGGCGTGTCGAAACTTGTTGGCAAGTAAATCGAGGTGCAAATCTGAAACCAGTCGAAAGCTGCGAAGGAATCGGAAATCCTCATTATTTCTACAACACAGCTGTTTTTATAATTGCTGGAAGTGTTGCTTCTTCTATTTTTTGGCTTGGAGTTTTATTAAGTAATTCGATTTTTGGTGGATTATTGGCCGTTTTGTGCTTCTTTTTTAATCATGGAGAAGCAACACGAGTTCAATGGACTCCGCCACTTCGAGAAAGTTTCGCTTTTCCTTTCATCATTGCTCATATTTTAGCTGTTAGCTATGTTGTTAAGTGAGTTTACATTTTGGAAAAATCCTTTTGTTCAAAAAAAACATTATGGTTGTAGTTCGGAATACTGTATTTTGAAATTATCTTAAAATTCTAAAAGTTTTAAAGCTACAGTAATTCGAACTGCAATTTTCGTAGTTTGAAGTACGGTAGAACAACATTATTTAGAATTGTACGAAAACTCTTTCGATATATTTTCAATTCTGAAAAAATTAGCCACAGTAAAACTCGCAATTTCATCAAATTTTGAATTAATTTTTCTCATCTCAAGTTTTAATTTATTTTTTCAGATTCAAGAGTTCTGGTCCTCTTCCATCAATAATTCTACTATTTTTCTCAATTCCAGCAATGTTATTCTGGCAATTTTCTCAATTTGCCTTTTTCACTCAAATCTGCTCAATTTTCTCAATATTTTCAATCGGACTAATTCCTCAAAACACTCTTCAAACTCTAGTCAAATCACATCTCATATCATTTATTATTTCATTTTTCCTACTTTTTGGAAATGAAATGATGATAACTGCTTTATATTTTCCAAGTATTATTGCTCTTTTTGTTATTGCTCATATTCCGAATATTTCGAATCGATTCATCCGATTTTTTGTGCTTTCATTGGTTTTTGGAATTTTGACGATTGCTTTGAAGATTGTATTTGGAAAAACATTGCAAATTGAGGATGATGCACATATTTTTGATATTCTTCGATCGAAATTCACGAGTTTTGCTAACTTTCATACGAGGTTATATACTTGTTCAGCGGAATTTGATTTTATCAGCTTTTCAGTGAGTTTGGGGAAGATCGTTTTGAGAATTTTTGATCCAAAAAAATGTACGTTTCAAAAATTATATTTTAAAATATTTAATTTTTGAAAAAATAATAATTCGAATAGAAGTCTTAGGAAAAATGAGAATCCACGTGGAAATTTTTCTTCTCTTGCCTTTGAAATTTTTGCGTTATTTTTTTCCAAATTTCGAAATTTGCCACGTCAAAAAAGTTTTATCACTAAAAAGCTACAGTAACCCATCAATTTATTTTTCAGGTGTTCGAAAAACTGTGCATCAGTTTCCTAATTCCCTCAGCTCTTTTATCAATTGCTCTTTTCGCTTTCGTATTTTTGCGCAACAAATTGCAAGAAAATGGTGAAATTGTATATAATTTGGTGCAATTGGTGTTGTATACTTTGATGGCTGTGTTAATTATGAGATTGAAATTATTTATGACACCACATTTGTGTATAACAGTTGCTATTCTCGCAAATTATCAGGTAATATTTGATGAAGATTGTTTCAATAATATTTTCTTTTGCAGATAATCAATTCAATTTTTGGTGCAAGATATACAAAGTTAATTCATTGTTCATTTTTAATTGGATTAATTGCAATTCTAACTTATAAAGGTCTTCCAAATATTCAACAACAATTAAATATCAAAGGAGAATACAGTAATCCAGACCAAGAAATGTTATTTGATTGGATTGAAACAAATACAAAAAAAGATGCAGTATTTGCTGGAACAATGCCAGTTATGGCAAATGTCAAATTAACAACACTCCGACCAATTGTAAATCATCCACATTATGAACATGTTGGAATACGAGAAAGAACTTTGAAAATATATTCAATGTTTAGTAAAAAACCGATCAAAGAGGTTCATGGAATTTTGAAAAATATGGGAGTTAATTATTTTATTTTCCAATTGATGAATTGTTCGAATGATGAGAAAAGGTTGGTTTTTAAAGATTTTTTGAGATGTGGCAATTTCAGAAATACTCTGAGAAATTGGGAATACTACTGTAGATTGAACTTGGAACTAAATTTTCTGGATTACTGTAGATCAAATAGAGTAATCCAAAATTATGCCCAAAAAACTTTTTTAGAAAATTGTAGCCGAAAATCAACGTGACATTCTTTCCCTTTTGCGTATTTAGAAATTTCTTTCAAAACTTAAAAGGACAAAATGGTGCGCAGTTCCACGTGTCACTTTTTTCATAACCTGGCAAAATTTAGAAAAATGCTCAAGAGTCTGAAAGCACAGCTTTTCCCATGTTTTGTCATAATTCATCAGCATTTGTTGTTCATAGTTCCAATTAATTTTTGATATTTTCCAGGCCTGAATGTGTGTATCGTGGAATGTGGGATGAAGAAGATCCATTGAATCAAAATCGAACTTCACTTTGTGATTTATGGATTCTGGCGGCGAATTCTCAAAATTCGGAAAAAATAGCACCATTTAAAATTGTTTATAATAGGAACAGAAATTATATTGTTTTGAAAATTTGATTTATTTTTAGCATGGGTTCATAAATTATTTGGTAAAGCGGATTATTATGAAATAGCCATTGACGTAAAAAAGTTCGTTGTTTGTTTTTTTCTGGTGTTCATCAAACAGTTGGCCTTTAGCCCACTGATTTTTAAAAGTTTTTCTGTTTACTGATTTGTGATCATTTAGATAGACACAAATTGGTAAACATCTCTGCAAAAACTATAAAACTTATTGTTAACTATAAAATCATCAAAGTACAAATCGAATTTCAATCAGATGTTTTTCACATGTTTTTTAAACTTTTTTTTGAAAATTGATTTGAGACAAAAAATATTTCCGGTATGTGTAACATGTTTTGTTCATTTCTTTCATCAATTCTATTTTTAGAATAGAATTTGGTTTTTGAAGATCATTCGCTATCTTCATTCGTCATATAATTATAATTGATGGGGTTGTTATGGAAATCGGGAGACCAGGTTCGAATCGCAAAATAGATTTTTGATGCGACGTGATTTTTACAATTTTTAATAGAGTTTTAGAGAGAGAAAAGAAGCTAGAGACAGAGCTGAAATAGTCAGCCGGTTTCAAAGAACCCTAAAAAAAATAAAAAAGATTGCCCCGAACCAGGATCGAACTGGTGACCTTTAGATCTTCAGTCTAACGCTCTCCCAACTGAGCTATCGAGGCACACAGTTTTCGTCAAATAATTTGCCATTTTCTATTTGTTTGTTTTTTTCTTTTTTCAATGATGAAGTATTTTTTTTCAAAAAACAAATCGAAATTTCATGAAAAATTCAATCGCCTTATCAAATTTCAACTATCTATCATCTTGCATGCAGTTCCACCAACTTTTGCTTGTTTGATGAGTGTTTCCGATTTCCCGCCCAAATGGGCGGAACTCTTTCTCCTTCTTTTTCTGATGCATTTCCCAATATAAGAAAAAGAAATTGTATTTGGGATCAACTATTTTTTGTCTTTCTATGTATAGATTTACACGTGCTTATCTTTTTTCTTTCTCTATTGAATGGGCGGCGTTTTCTAGAATATTCTGCAAGCATTTGTATAAACAAAAACATGTGTGTTATTTGTTTTCTGATTCTTTTTTTTCTATTTTTTGTGCTGAAAGTGCATCAAAACAAGTCGTCAAAATAAACACTGAAAACACAATTTTTCTCGCAAACATGTGCGCATATTTTTGTTTTTTTTTTTTGAAAAAAAAAATCGAAATCTCTGGTCGTTTGTTGCGAAGATAAACCAGTTTTGATAAGATGACCTCTAAATTCTAACTAATGTAAGGAAATCAAATAGACCATTTGAACTTTGATTGTATTTTGGTGCATATTTGGTGTACCACAATTTCTTATCACAGGTCATCTTATCAGAACCGCGCAGCTATCTAGAAAAACTAATCATTTCATTTTATATATGTATGTATGTATGACATAGTTGTTCTGTGATCTTTTTGGCAATTGTCCAGTCTATCTGTTTGTTTTTAGTGCAAATCTTCCAACTATTTAAACTTCTCTCGTTTATCATTTTTTGATCATTTGGTGCTCTTTTAGAACACTTCAAAACAACATGGTTTTTATTGCTCCAACAATCGAATCTGTTGCTCCAGTAAATTGTGAACTTCAATTGGAAAGTGGTCGAAATATTCAATATATTGCTGCACGAAATGCAAATCCACGTGGACATGTTGGCGATCAATTGCCAATTATTCGCAAATCTTCATTTCATCCAATTATAAATGATTGGGAAAGTGTCAACACACTTTGTCACGCGATTGATAATATTGTTGAGATTGAGATGGAAACCGATTTTTTCTACAACAAATCAGTTCTTGAAATTGGTTTCTCAACCGGATTGCCATCTGTTTATGCATTTGAAAATGGTGCGAATGAGATTGCGATTTACACAAATGACAACACCAACACCGAATTATACTGTAAACCAACATTGCGTCGCAATAATATTCCAAACAACAAAACAAAAGTGTCAGCGGGAACTATTCAGGACTTGCGAAAATTCCTTGGTGGCAAAAAATTCGATGTTATTCTCGCACCAGATTTGTTGAATCGCTCACAAGCAGAATTCGATTTGGTTCACGATTTGATCGAAGAAGCAATGGCCAATGATGGAATTTGGTAAGTATCTTTGGAAGAATTTTCGGAAAAAAAATAGTTCAAAAAAAAAGTAAAATTGCCCCGAACCAGGATCGAACTGGTGACCTTTAGATCTTCAGTCTAACGCTCTCCCAACTGAGCTATCGAGGCACACGTTCTCGCAGCAAATAATTTATCATGTGAACAAACATATATTTTTTGCAGTCTTCTCTCTTCTCTCACATATTATCATCATGTTGATGGAAGTTTGGACGCATTTTTGGACCTCGTAAAACGTCGAAGACAATTCGACGCGTTGGAAAAATGGAGCTCATCAAAACACGATATTATTCAACAGAAAGTTGTTCAATTAACAAGGTCATTGTTCTAAAATTGACTTGATTTATATTGTATATTTATTTGATTTTTTTCTGAAATCAAAAAACAAGACATATAAATACCAATTCGGTATTTATTAATAATTCAACTTTATTATACGGTTATTTATCAAAGCGAAACAAATACTCAATAAAAGCAGAAAATAAATATTTCGAAGCAATTTTTGTTCATTTTTATTTTTCTTCTTCTTTTAGGATTAACAGCAAGCGTTTCATTACAAGCTTAACATTTAAAATTTAAAGTTAGCAGAACTCTTGTGAAAAACAGATAATTCACGGTTTGTTACAGTTGCACGGCGTTTCAATGGGATAATCTTCGAAGCGTCTTCCGAATCTCAGAAATTCCTGAAGGAATTATTTTTTGTTATAACAAAAATTAAAAATCAAACAGAAAGCGGTACATTTTTGCTAATTTTTTTGGGTTGTTCTGGAAGCTCAATTGAACAAATTTTATCAATTACACATTTTTTCGACGCAGAGAATTGGCAAGGAACAACTATTTGAATGTATTGGCACATATCATTCTGAACAATTAATATGTATATTTCAGATTAGATGGATGACTAATTATTCTAATTAGAGGCGTGATTATAATCACTTCCGACTGATTCTTTGTGTATATTAATAGAACAATTGTTACAAAAATAAAATAACAGCAGACGAATAAAACATGATTTATCAAATTCAAATCAAGGAGTGGGACACTAATTTCCGGTTGATTTATCACTTTTTGAAATGATGCAAATTCAAAATTGGAATTTTAGGGGGATAACAAAACATCTAAAGCTCTAACACAGCTGACACGTGTGCTACCGTATATTCTAGTGGTTCACCTACAGTACTTTAATGATCTCGCAGCATTGAACCACTTTTTGTTCAAAAATTCAGAATTCTAATTTTCAGCTTATTGTTTTTCATTCAAAACCTCACCTGTTGATTTCTTGGTTCCATCTCGAAAGATCTTCCAGTTCGAAAAAGTGCACCTCGAGTGGTTTCACACGGAGTAGTAAGAACTAAATTTGAAATTATATTTCTTCAGTTTCAATCTAATTCTTTGAAATTCCAGAAAAACTCACACAACAAGACAATGAAGAAGAAGAACAACATTTTCAAATGTGAAGATTTTCGAAAAATCTTCGAGCTTTTATACCCTTCAAACAGTCGGAAATTAAAATGTATAAATCAGTCAGGATTTTTAATTTTGCCACGGATTTGTGATTGATTTTTTGTAATTTCCTGCGAATTGTTTTCCGGGAATCGTTTGAGAATTTGAATTATTAGGATTTTGGAGAATGAAAATTCAAAAAAAAAATAGAATTTTGGAACACATCATTTGGAGATTCCAAAGCATCTGAAAACCAAAAACCGATGAATTCCCGAATTCGTAAATTGTTCAGTGGGTTACTGTGGTTTTCCTGGTGGTGTGTTTAATTTCAAAATTTGAAATTAAAAAAGCCTATTCATTAATTGCCACGTTATAGTTCACGTAACTAAACCTGGACCCCCCCCCCCCAAGTTTTTTCAAAATCATTCCCTCGCCCGAAATTTTCATCTCGTTCCAATTTGTTGTCAAACCAATATATTATTTGATATAAATCTGTTGGTTGTTGATGAATAATGTGCACAATATTCTCTACTCCTTCTTCTCCTTATGGAAATAAAACAATATGCAAATTTCTTCGAAAAGTACTTGAGATTTCTTGTTGAACCGAAGGAGCCAAAGAAGAAGAAAGAAGAAGAAAACACCGATTAGTCATTTTCATGAAATAAATACTTATATTTAATAATAATAATATAATCTCAAGGACAGAATATTTGGATGTGTGAAAAATATGATTACTTATTTATGATCAATGAGAAGAGCAGATGTCGTTTGAACCAATCGGACCAGGATAAAAAACTGGCAAATGTCATAATATAATTTTTAAACCGAACTTTATAAGTTTTGTAGTGTCAAAATTATCAGCACACCTACTGCTCAAGGCCCTAAGCCCAATCTTATTTTTTGCCGGCCTGAAAAAAAAACACATGCCTGAGCAGATGTTGAGTAGAAAACATCTGAACATCCCTTTTTTGTTCATTAATTTTAATTTCAATTCCAAATTCATTTTCATTTTTTTGTCGAGCCACTAAACATTTCATTATCCGCTTCTGAATATACAATTTTATTGAGGGAACATAATAAAAAAATTTGTCGACAGGAAAATTATGGGGCTAAAAATATTTATTATTGGTGTTTATCGGGTGCGTTTTTGAGAAAAAAAACATAAAAAGAAGAAAAGGTGCGAAAATGGAGAGAATATCATCTACGAACCGGATGTTTTGATTGTAAAATACAAATATATATGCAATTAATATTGGTTTATTTATAATAATCTATACTAATTTTTGATTTTGGTTTTGTCTTTCTATTGTTTCGATTGGATCATTCAAAAAATGTCATTAAATTGTATGACTAACTATGACTAACTTTTTATGTCAAAAGAGTGGTAAATAAATGGAAATTGTTTCGGTTTTTGATGAGTTTTTATTGGGTTAGAGAAACATTTTGATGAAAGATTTTTAAGAACTTCGGAATTTGAGAAAAATCTTTAATTAAAAAAATACTCCAGTTTTTCTACAATTTTCCTACAGTTTTCCTACAGAAATATTCCAGTTTTTGATATTTGTTCAGAAAAAATTCGAAAATTTTGGAAGGATCTCAATGAAAAACTTTTGGTCTGAATTTAATAAGCTACTACTCCGAGAGCTGAGTTTTCCAAATTTACGTCTGAAAACTTTGAGAATCTTTCATTTTTGTTAAAATCAGAGATGCCGGTCGACTTCAAATTTTGAAAAATTTGAATTCAATTGTGTATCCGGATCTGGACGACGTTGTCTAAGTTATGTGCTTTTGAAGTGTTTAAACTGGAATCTTCCGCACGACGTCATTATTTACCAAGAAACGGTAAGTCCAGTTCTAATACCAGAAGCCTAAATCCCAAGCTCTGAGCCAAGGTAAAGGTCAATTTTTTCTAGATTCCAGTTTCACCAATTTTTCCCCCAAACTTCTAATCCCAATTTATACTTCCTCCCTCTCAATCTTCTTGCACTCATTCATTTTTTGTCCCCTCGGTGATATGTCGATTGCGTAATCGGGTTTCTCTTTGTATGTTGCAGTCATTTTATTGTTTTATTAGATCTACACGGGTCTTCTTCTCGATATCTCTAAACTTTTTACAATATGTTTTGGGTGTTGTAAATGTCCCAAATCTTTTTGGTGTCGCGCCGACAAAAAACAACACGATTACCACCCAAAAAATAATAATAACAACTGTAAAAAATATAATAATATTGGGTGGAATGGCAAAGGGCTTGTAAATTCATTTTTGGAGCTACTTGGGGAAATTGGAGCATGGGAAACTTTTGATACATTTTTGGGAATCTTGGAATAAAAAAGAAATAATTATGGGTGAGCCAGAGGAATTCAGAGAAATAATTTGGAATTAACACATTTTTCTGAAAATGAAACTATTTTAGAAAATCAGGAAATCCAATTCAAAATTTGCATTCAGAAGTAGCTGAAGTTAATCTGAATTTTAGGCTTAGCTTTTATAAAATGTAAAATTTTCAACATGAAAGCATTTACAATAAATAAGGTTCCAAAAGTTTTGTTTCAATTTTTTCATAAATTTTCACGTCACTCTGAAAATTTCTCTGCGTCTCTCTCATTCTCTACTCTATCCCCTCTTCCCCCCTTTCCCAATAATCTCCAATTGGCTGCCAGCCAAATGATGAAGACGAAAAAGTGGGCGGAGCGTTTGGCCCCGCCCCAATTTTCGGACCTACCGTAGTCTTGTCGCCTCTTGACATCTACTCTATTATATTATTAAATTTGCGGTTTCCTTTTCATTTTTCTTGTTTTTTTTCTTGTTGTTTTCAATTCTAAAAGGGAGAAATGCAATCTTTTGATATTGATTCATTAATCGGAAATAAGGTAACTCCTAATTTTTGTTTTGGAAATAACTAATTTCAAATTTCAGAATTTGACACCAACGCTAGCTGAAATCGTTTCAAGAAACTCATCATTTTCTCCAAATTTCGAGGATAATTCGGCCAACTCATCAAGACATCATCCATACGGTAAGTAGGCAACATTTTTTGAGTGGGGAACTTTATTTTTTTTTCTATCGAATCTATTTTCTCCTAACTACAGTACCCATTGTTTAATAGTGTTAAATTGAAACGAGATAATTGGTGATAATAAAATAGAATACAATAAAATGAAAATGTTGCGTCGTTTTCCTTTTTTGTCCCAATTATTTCCATCTAATTGACACTATTTTGTTTATAATCATAAAAATACAGTAACCAACACTTTTATTGGTAACTTTTTGTTGAAAAATTGAAAGTTTATAAATTTTCAAAAATAACACAGAAATGTCTGTAATCCAAAAAATGCGATTTTTTTATAACTCAATTTTAAACCTCGAAAAAGGCACACACCTTTTAGTTCCCGTAACTCTTTCAAAAAATTAGAAAGTTTTTGCTTCAAAAAAATTTGCTAATGGGGTGATTCTGATAGGCACTGGCCCCTAGACAGTCAGGTTCTGTAGCTACTTGGCATAAGGCACCTTTTTAGTCACATTGACTCACAAGGTGTGGCTTCTTGCCAGAGTTGATCTCTAGACGTGGGTCCTAGACAATCAGATTCTCTAAGTTCAACAACTTGAATAATATATCTCAAACAATAAATTTTAAAAATAAAATTTTTGCAAATTTTTTTCATTTGGAAACTACAACCTTAAGTTAGATGTGGTATTTTTTGGAGGTCTCAACCAATTTTTAAGTGCCTTGGTCCTATTTCAAATGTGGTCCTAAACCTCTTTTGGAAAATCCGATTCCCATACCAAAAATTCAAAAAAGCTCCGAATTTCTCATCTCATCGCTTCTCATCTCATTTTCCCAAAAAAAAGAAGAAAAAGAAGCTCATACCTAATTTAGTGCTCATTTCAATCTCTCTCTCTTCATTTCTCTCATCAATCTGTATTTTGTCATTTGTCAAGAGTGACTTGTTGTTCGAGGCGTCTGCTGTCAATAAATGACTCCTCAAATTAGTAGAGAACACTAGTAGTGTATGTCTAATTAGCATATTGGGCAGAGGTTTTTTTGGCGGATTAAAATGAGCGATTATTGGTGGGGATTTGGGAAATGGGAGAGTTTCTAAAGTTAGTGGGAAACATTGAAAAACAAGGTTATTGATTAGAAAATTTTGTGGACAATAAATTATATGTTCTAGAAAAAAAATAGAAAAAAAAAATAGAAAAAAAATAGAAGTTCTGCTGAACTTGAGAACACGAAAAAATATTCCCAGAACTGAAAATATGAAATTTTAAGTAGAGTTTTTCACGAATTTTAGAAATGATTTCCAAATCTTGCGTGAAACTTTCACGCATTTAAATTTAAATTCAGATCAAAAACAATACTTTTCCAAATTCATGCCCGAACTTATTCCATCCTCTTCCTTTTCCCCCGGAAATTACCAAATTAGTTAATCGTATTAATTACCTTCCCTTTCACTCATTTGTGCCCCAATTAAATTGGTGTCATAAATGGGTGTATATGCGTGGAATATATTATATGTATGTGTGTATTTTTTTATTTGCGCTCATAAAATCGGTATTATTTTGTTACAACAATTTAGATAATTGAGCAATGTTTTATTTTTGATACATATTTGAAATTAATTTTTTACTTACTTCTTTTTTGACGCAAAGAAGGAAATAAGGAAAAAGGGAATTATTATAATAGAAAAATTATTATTATTTTTCAATTCAATCGAGTGGAAAATGAAAAAAGAATTATGTTTTGATGAGCACAATTTTTTATTCGAAACTAATTATTTTGCAGATCGAGATGACAGTCAAATGCGAAGATATCGAACTGCTTTTTCACGCGAACAAATTGGAAGACTTGAAAGAGAATTTGCCAAGGAGAATTATGTCAGTCGGAAAACGAGAGGAGAATTGGCTGCAGAGTTGAATTTACCTGAGGGGACTATTAAGGTATGCTTTAAAAAATAGTGTTGGACATTTATCACGTCATAAGTGATACTCAAAAAATTGAATTTCACCAAGGAAATATTTACTAGGAAGAAATATGAGTCTAAAAATTACAGTCCAACTCTTTATTTTTGTCAAATTCATGGGTGAATCGAAGAATTACGTGAAAACTTCAGAATTGCAGATTATTTCATGATAAAGATCTATACAAATTTCACTTGAACCATGACGTTGACAATTAGTTCTGCGGTCTTCATTTACTATTCTAAATTTCAATAAATCTCAAGGTAACTTGGCTCAAAACTGTAATTTTCAGATTAATTTGAAAATTTTCAACAATATATTGAGAAGGTTCCCTTGATAGATATTGTGTTCCAAGTTCATTTTCAAACACAAAAAATGCCATCGAAGATTTTCAGGTTTTTGTTTTGAAATCTTAATTATACACCCTGAAACCTTCATTTCTAATTGTCCCTATTTTCAAAACCACGTTTGCCAAAACTTTGTTTCTCACAGGCTACCGTAACCCGAGCTCTTTTCCGCCCGCCTCTTTCCTTCCACGTTTCTCTTTCTCTTCATGATTTCTACCGTAATCCATTTTTTTGGGGCGAACCTCTTCAATGCCAAATCATTTGTCGCGCATTTTTCGCCTCAAATCATTCTTTTTTGCTCGTCTTTCTCTTTACTCTACAAACTAATTCCCCTGAGATAATAAAAAGAGGCCGGCGTGGTTTGACATATGAGAAAAGACTAAGAAAAGGATGAAGCTGAGATACAACTAAAATATTCTTCTTATGAATTTGGAATTTGGAATCTCATTTGGGTTCCAGGATCTTACAGTAATCCGAATTGAATTATAAGAAAAATCTTGAAATTTATGAATCTTTGTGTGCTTTTTTTGATATCAAAGAGAAAGGTCGCAATAAATTATTTTTTGGAAAAGGGAAAGAAAATTGAAAGAAGCTAGAGCAAGATTTTTAATTGAAAAAAAAATATGGAAATTGAAAATTTATTACAATTTTTGCAGGTTTGGTTCCAAAATCGGAGAATGAAAGATAAAAGACAAAGAATTGGTGGAATTGGATGGCCATTTCCACCACAAATGGCTGCTTATATGTTGAACCCATTTGCATATGAAATGTGGATGAAAACTGCAGCTTCGCAGTTTTCACAATATCCGAATAACAATAATAGTAGTAGGTTAGTTGGAAAGTGAACTATGACGTGGCAAGCATTAAAAATCCATCATTTGATTTTGGATCTCTACATCTAACAATAAGCACCCAATTTTCCAGCTCGACATCTTCATCTTCTCCACCTCAACTCCTAAATCCTGGATCCGCCTCCCTGATCAATCAATTTTTATCATCTCCAACAACTCAAAGTTCACCGGAAGAAAAAGAGAAAAATAAAAACGAGGAAAATATTCCAGAAGTCAAAAACATAGAAAATGTGGATGAAAAACCTTTGAATTTCTCGAACATCAATCAATCAATAAGTCCAAAATCAGTCTAGTCTTCTTCTTCTTTTTTGAAACAAAAACAATATATTTGCATGCTTTTTCTCTTCGCTTTTCTTGTACAATCTCATAAAATGACGGTGATTTTTTGGCTTTTTTTTGGAAAAAATAAATATATAAATTTTAATTTTTTCGTGAACGTGGTCACCTTATTTTTTCTGGTTGGAAAATAAAAAAAACAATGAAATGGTTCGCGGAACTCGTCAGTTCTCATATTTCTATCACCAACTAAAAGGTGTTCTCATTTGTATCAAACTATAAGAATGGCTCGTGAAGAAGGAACAGGTAAATTTAGATGGGAAAACCTCAAAACAAGGAGAAGGAACATCCTTTCGTTGCGAGACCCACAGTGGTTTAATCAGTGTGCCTTTATTTACAGAACATTTGGGCTGCGAAATCCCAACCTTCAAAGAAAAAAAATGCCTTGAAAAAGTTCGCAAACACGCTAAAAAAAACTGAACGCACTAAACAGCAAACACTACGAAAATAATGAATAATGTTTTATTCCGCTGAGTTTTTGTGCTTTAAAAGCAAGCACTGCTTTTCCTCGGATTCTAGTTAATTTAAACCAGAAAATGTTCTCAATGACTAGATTTTTGGGCCTAGATTTTGATGATTTCGCCTAACTTTTTTCAATTGTTAAAGATTTTTCTCATAATTTACATATATTTTTAAATTTTACAGAATTTTTTATCGATTTTTTCTAATTTTTCCGAAATCCCTCCCCAAAAAACTCACCAATCGCTTCTATTTCTCAAATCACATCATCGAAAATTCGAAAATCCCAATTTCGTCAAAATCCCATCGAATGTCGCTTCAAATTCAACCAATAAATCGTTTCTGACCCTGAAAAATCGAAAATTTCAATTGAAACAATGTTTCTCTAGAAAAAACCCACTTTTCTTTGATAATCCTCGGATTTTCCGTTGGAAGCGATGATTCCAGCCTTATAGAACATCTAAAAATTCAATTTTTGACTGAAATTCACTGATTTTCCCTGGAAACCTGAAAACCCAGCGAAAAAAAAACGAAAAATGAAAATATTCTCGTGTTGCGTTAAACAGAGGGCAAGCGGAGTGTCGTTGTAAAAGTCAATCTCGGGATTTCCAACTGTTATCACTTTCCAACTGTTATTTTTTTTTAGAAGTTTCAAACGCGGAAGACGAACCAGAAGATGTCAGTGTATCAACCAAGCCATATATACAAAAACTTGAAACAGAACATAAATTGATAATTCAAAAAGTCTTGGGTTCGGGATCATATTCTCGAGTGGCTCGCGCATTATGGGGTGAAAAAAAGATGGAAGTGGCTGCCAAAATAATCAATATCACGCCGACAAAAGAAAAAGAAGATTATATTCGCAAATTTTTGCCGCGCGAAAAGGAAATTGTTCGGATGTTGAAACACGACAATATATGCCGTCTGTATGATATGATCACATTTCCGGATCATATTGTTTTTGTCACCGAATTTTGTGCGGGAGGAGATTTGTTGAAGAAGATGAAGGATGTTAAAGTGATGGGTGAAGATGATGCGAGATTTCTATTTCGTCAATTTATCGCCTCACTTATTTATCTACAAAATCACAATATTGTTCATCGCGATCTCAAATGCGAAAATATCTTTTTGGACAAACATGAAAATGTGAAATTGGGAGATTTTGGATTTGCAAGAGTTTTGAATCCCGGCGATAAATCATCTACATTTTGCGGATCGCGAGCATATGTTGCACCGGAAATTTTGAGAGGACGCGAATATTCAACTAATGCGGTTAGTTATTTGAATTTTTAGGGGGTTACTGTAGTTCTAAGGATGTTTAGGAGTTACTATAGATCTCTGAATCTATAAAGGTTACTGTAGCTTTCTGAATTTCGAAGGGTAAAAAACAAAAAAATTAAAAACATTTTTTGTTGCAGGTAGATGTTTGGAGCACAGGAGTAATTTTGTATATCATGCTAACCGGTTCAATGCCATTTGATGATCGACATCCAACAAAAATGATTGAACGTCAACTGGCTCACAAAATCAAATTTCCTCGAAATTGCACAGCATCGACCTCATCGAAAACGCTGATTCTCGAAATTTTGCAGCCACACGCACCAAATCGACCAACATTTAAAGCAATTTGTGAATCGGAATGGCTCAAAAATCAAGCATATTACATGAAACCAGATGCTCCACCAGGAACTGCTGTTGCTCCAAATTCAGCTAGTCCAGCGAAAAAACGCCCACCAAGTTCGAGAGCAAAAGGATAATTAAGCAATTGATTTTTTTTTTGAAACAATAAAGCTTTTTCTTTTTAAAAATTAAAAATTAACTATTGATTTTTTTGGTTTCAAACCAAAATTTTTATTTATCAGAAAAAATATAAATAAATTTAAGTGAGAAACGCAAGTATTGAAAGTACATAAATTTAAAAAAAAAACAAGAAAAACAAATGAAAATCGAGGATATGAAATCGAAACGTCTTCTGTTTGACAAGAATCTCAATTTATTCGAGTAAACAGAAGACCGTTAGAAAAAACATTGGAAAATGAAAATAAGATTTTGTCAGACTACAGGAAAGTTAGAATTGAAAAACACTCATAACTTTTCCGCTAGTGAGAATTTATTGAAGTGCTCGATTAATAGAATATCTCGAATGACAAAATCGGCAACTATGCGAATCGAGAATCGACGAAGATGTTGATAGATTTCCGCCGCCTTGAGCATCCGCATTTGAATCGATGTATTTGATGCATCGAATATCGGTTGGAATAAATGGTATTATGTGTTTGGAAACGTAGAGATTTTCGACGATAAATGCTTCGCGAGACATATTTCGGGCTCGTTTTTGCATTAGATTTGCATAGAGTTCGGAAACTAGCACGACCTGCAAAATCAAACAGAAAATGAGTATTTCAAACGAGGTCACGTTTTCAAATTAGAAGTTGGATAATTTTTCTTCAAACATTTCAAAATCCTACTTTTCCTCCAACCACAGCCAATGCAGATCTTGCATCTTGAATCTTCCTTCCGAAATAATGAATCTTTCGAATATACTGAACACCGACCAAGTCAATACACATTGTAGTTATTGCAAGTCCTAAAAAAATTGTCTGTTTTTTTTTTAATTTTTACAAAATTAATTTACCTAAAATAATATAAAGTAATATGATATACATGTATTCATCACGACGTGGCATCAAATCGCCAAACCCGACCTGAAATTTTTTTTATTTTCAAATTAACTTGGAAATTAATTAGCTTACAGTAGTCATAGTGATGAAAGACCAGTAAAATGATGTGAAAAATGACCAAGTTTCAATTTTCGACATGAGCAATCCGCCAAACGCTGTGTAGATTATTAGAATTGCAAGAACTAGCAACGCGGGAATCCTGAAATTATTTAATTAGTCCTATTTAATTAGGGATAAAATTATATACCGTTGCTCTTCAATAATATGCATATTATTTCCAATTCCATGTGATTGACAATGTTCACAAACATGTTCACGACGCTCTTTTCGATTTCGTGTGCAAATCAAATGTTTCAATTTCAAATAATTACCATACAGCCAAACCAAGTGTTCAGAGAGGAATTTACCTGGAAATTTCCGGGATTTTTGAAAGTTTGTGCATTTGGGCAACTTTTAAATCGAAAAATCACAAGACCAAAACTAATTTCGTTGATCTCGAGATCGCCTTGTACCGAATTCATAACTCATGTTCAGAAGTTCCCTTTCAACTCACCCAAATCTGCAATTGTGACCAAAGTAAGGGGAATTCCGAATAATGAGAAAAGAATACAAACAATTCGACCGATATCGGTTACTGGAACTGGGTTTCCGTATCCTGAAATTATATATTTTTGTGGTGATTATTCTTGAGTTGAGTTAACTAACCTATAGTGGTTACGACTGTGACTGCAAAGAAAATCGACGAAGAAAATGTCCAGATTTCATTGGTTGTGTTGAGTTTGACCTAGAAATTGGAAATTTTTGAAAATCGGAATTGTAGCCATAGTTTCAGCGATTTTCTTGAAAAACTTGATTTTTCAAAATTTAAAAATAAATAAAGACTGTAGACTATCATTGTACTAAAAATAATAATGCAAAAGCTTCTACATATGTAACAGACAGGAGTGTTGTTGTTATTCAACATGGAAAAAGAAACGAAAAATAAAAATGACCCTTGGGAATCATATGAACACATTGCTTTTATTTTATGTATGTTATATTTTTCCAATAAAAAAAGTGAAGAAAAATACCTCGGTGCTCGTCAAAAAATACTTCTCAAATGCCACAAACAATTGATCAGACATATTATGCATGTGGATTTGTGCCAATTTTTCCCATTCATCACGGCGTTCTGCAAAAAATATATATGTGATTAGAATTAAGAAGTTATTTAGATATTTAATTAATTAATTAATTAGAACTAACGTAATTGTGTGCCATTGTTTAATTGAGCCAATTGCAGTAGATTTTCGACGAATTGATTTTGCGTTGAGTAGATCTTTTTGAGCTGAAATTAAAGACCGCAAGAGAATTATTCCGGGTTCTCTTGAAATCAAATATTTTGGATGTTCTCAATCAAGTCGCAAATATAATTTTTTCTATAATTTTTGTTGGAGAAACTCCATACTACGATTTTCTTTTCATTTCTATAATTGTTATTGTCCTTTGAAGTGTTGTCAATTAAAGAAACTTTGACGTAAACATGCACTTTGCCTGTATAAAAACAGAATTTCGGCAATTTTTTTGAATAAGAAAAAAAAATGAATTTCATTTTGCGACTTTTCTTGGTATTCTGCATTCTTGCGACTCTCAGGTGAGTTCATTTATATTGATGATATTTTTAAAATAAAAATTGAAAAAATTTGCAGCGAGGCTCTTCGCTTCAAACGTCAATTTTACGCGCCTTACGGAAGTTCATACGGATACGGTGGAAATTATCCGGGCTACAACTATGGTTCTTATGGATCCTATGGCTATCCATCGTATTCTTATGGAAATTATTGGGGATAAATTATAATTTTTTTAATTGATTTTTTTTGGATTTTTGATTTTTGTAATAAATTTTCAATGAAATACTGTGATTTTTTATATTTAAAATTGAGTTTTGTGATTTCAAGGAAAGAAATTTAGAAAGGTACGGGTTACTGTACATTTTTGAGAGGTTTTGGATTTTGAAAAATGGAGAACTGTTTCAAGAGGATACTGTGGATTTTTGGAACTGCAAAACCTTCAAATTTTTCTGTTTCTTTCAGCAAAAAAAATTATGTACAGAAATCTAAGCAAAAAGTATTATACTAGATTTCTAAACATGCAATTTGGAGTCACAGTTTCTGCACGGATTACTGTAGGTTTTAAAAGTTTTAAAAAATTCTAGTACACAGTTTCGGAAGTCTTCTTAATTATCTGAAAGTGGATAACACCTTCCGATTACTGTAGTTCCAACTCAAAGAAGTACTGTAGTTTTTCCTCGGATATCCTGAATTAAAAAAATCGAGCATTTCTTAAATTTTGGCGGGCTCAATTTTCAAATAAAAATCTCACATTCAGATAAAAAAAATAACTAACGTGGCAAAATATTTGAAATTGTGAAATCTTTGGTGAAAACTTTGCCACGTCACAAAAGTATTGATAAACTTGAAATCATCAAAAATCAAAACACGATGTTTCAAATGTTTTTTTTTTCTGTTCTGTTTTGTTGTTTTGTTTTTTCCCATGCACGTCAACACAACACAACATTTTTCCTTTCATTTCATTGCCATCAAAAGTTCATCTGATGCAACCAACAAAAAAAATGAATGAATAAACATGTTTGACAAATTCAATCTTTGAGGTTCTTATTCATTTATTCATTTCATACTAACCTGTTCCAATTTCGATTTTTGTTCATACGGTCTTTCAACACTATAAAATATTGATGCTCCGAGAACTGTATAGGCACATGTTAGCAAAACCAAAGCCACGTGTGGCAAGATTAACTTCGCGTACTGGAAAAATAAATTGTCTAAAGTACAGTATTCAGGTGTATCGCTACAAGACCCAAAAGTACCCAATTTCTGGGTCTCGCAGCGAACTGTAGGTCATTTCTTACCTTTCGAATTCCAGTTTCTTCTTCTTCTTCATCTTCATCTTTGGTTTCTTCTTCACTTTCATCCATTTCTTCATGTCCACTCTAGAAAAATATCAAGTTTTGAACAATTTTGAAACCAAAACTTTTTTTGACAAAATGTGAGACTTCTGAAAGTTTTCTGGTTAACGTGAGTTATAACGTGGCAGAATTTAAATAAATTAAGCCTCAATGATTTTCGGCTTACTGTAGAGTTGATTTGCCACGTCATAACTCATTTCATCTCAGAATAGCCACATTTCGTCAAAAATCAATGTTGAAAGTTTGTTAGAAAAATAATTAAGGAAAAGTGCTATGAAAAAAATCAAGGGAAAGTGAAAGGTAAAAGGTACAATTCAAAATCATGCGGAGAAATTCGCAGAAATCTCAAACTCACGCCAAACGCTGAAATGAGACTAATCTCAAAATCAAAATCATCACCGATGATGATTTTTGGAGTTTTTTTCTGTTTCCGATGAGCATATGGACATTTTTCCACGCTTTTCTTTTCGGGCTTTATAGGATTTTTTAAAAATTACTCTCAATTAATTTGGTAAGTACAAACCTTCTCACAATTATGAATAAGTTGACTATCTTCATAATATTCAGCACGTCCTAAACCAGCTCGTGTAACTTCTTCGCCATAAAGAGCTTCCTGAAAATGAGCCAAGCAAAAATTCGGGAAAAAAAATAACAAAGGGATAGAAAAATACAAATCATGCTATTGAATATTATAAAAACTTGAGAATTTTGAACCTGAAAATCTGAAAAATTATGCTTCTAGCTTAAGATATCTGGGAAAAAAATGTGCCAGGAAATTCCAAAAAAATTATTTTTGATATTTTATAACAGGATTAATATTAGAATCCGCTAAAAATAAAGTTTAAATGTTCATGTTTTATGTGCTCAAATGAAAACTCTAAAAAAATATTTTCAAAATCTTTCAAAAAACCAACCCGTCTTCGTAATTTCGGTCGAAAATTGTCAAGAATCTCAAAATTATCATACAATTCTTCTTCATTTTCGTTTTCTTCATCAACATTTTCTTCTTCCTCATTTCTCTCATTTTTCATCAAATTTCGATGTTCGGAAGAAGTTGTGATAAAAAATTTGGAAATTCCAAAAAATTCCATCCATCAAACCCGTTTACTTACTCAGCCACCAAACAGACAAAAAATGAGGGGCCGTGCGAAGAAAAAAGTTGAAATTGAAAAAGTGGCGAATTTTTTTGGTTGGTGCCCAAAACTAACACTTTTTGATGGACAGCTATCACCATGAGAAAAGCAAAAAAATGGATTTTTTCGGGTTTTCCGAAAATTTTTCGGAATGTGGAACTTTGGAAATTCTTGACAATCTCGACCTTATTATTACAGACAATTTTGAAAATTTTAAATTGAAACAAATAGAAGTTAACCTGAGCAATATATATAATTTTTTAGAAATACAGAAACCTAACCTGAGCAATAAAGGATTTTTATTTTTCAAATTTCAAGCTCTTATTTGGTTTAAAGTTTAACTTCAAGTTACAGATTCCAGGTTTGAAAAATATAAATTTGTAAGCCAAACCATTCCATGCAAAAAATTCAAAGTTCATTGTTTTCAAAAATAAAAAGGTTCCCTGCTCCATGAAACACTCACTCGTCTTTGTCTTCGATGAAAACCTTCGGGAATTTCACCTAATCGATCTCGCAGTTCGTGTCTTTCCAATTCGTCATAACTTTCATCTTCATCATCGTCTTCTTCTTCTTCGCCAGTTCCACATTCATAATCAACTCCGTCGTGATGATAGGTGGAAGCTGAAAAAAAGTACAAATTTAGGAATTTTTTTCTATGAATTTGAATGTTTTTCAAAAAAATTGGGAGGAAAGCGTTAGTTTTGTGAACTTTCTGAATATTTTCGAACCATTATTTTTACAAAATCCTGAAGTTGTAGACTACTGTAGTTCACTTTCTAGAAAAAATATATTCTGAACAGCTTCCCAAAATATTTTTTGACCAAACAAGCTACAGTAATTTCATACATCTTATTTTGCAGTAAAATTCCTAGATTTCAAAGAAAATCTAAACTTTCTCTAGTTTTTTCCCTTCAAACTTTTCTCCCTTCTTCCCGTCTATTTTTCGATTCATAATAAATCGTATAAAACATGGGTGGAGAAACTCCCAAGGGATCGCATTTTTCTCCTCCCGAAAAAAAGAACGATTTATCAACACATTAAGAGGAAGATGCGCCTTTTTTGTTACAAGTGGTACTAAAAACCAAAAATTATCGGATCCGAAAGATCTTGTAGAAAATGAAGTGAAGTTTGAAAAACAAGTTTTTTTTCTAGAAAAATTGACTTTTGTATTTAATAATAATAACTTTGATTCACAATTAATTCGAAAATATTTGAAAATTGGTCAGAATTTGGGACTGGAAAAAAAGTACAGTTTTATAATTAATTTTGAAATAAAGCCAGCCTTGAACTTAATTTTAAAAATACAATTTTTTATAAAATAAATAAATTGACAGACCCATATTTCCCAACTCTAAAAAAATTTTGTAACTGCTCACCATAATCCCCATATTGATTTCGAATAAGAGCCTGTCTTGCTTGCTCATTTTCATCATAGTCAATATTATTATCATAATATACACCATCAAAACCTTCATTTTCTGCTGTCAATCCACTTCCTCCACCCACATCACGAACTCGTTGATATCCACGTGAAAATGAAGAAGTCATCGGAGAAGATGACGTGGCATCTGAGAGAAATTAGATAAATTAATTGAATAACTAAAAAAAAAGTTATAATTTTTAAAAATATTGAGATTTTCAGATTCAGAATGTTGCAGGACAATAAATTATAAACAACATGTCAAAAGGAAATCGATGAGAGCGAAAAAGACGACAAAATATTAGAACCGCGCGTGATCTACAGCGATTTACATTTGCGGGTCTAGGATTTGTTAAATCTATAAATAGGCTTCATCTTGATTTTTGAGAATTCATTTTTGAACTTTCACCAAGCGACTAAAAATCATCCTCAATTTTTTTAGGTTCCAAGTTAAAAGTGAGAAAACTTTTTGCAAAAATTGAAACAACACAAAAAATCTACAACTCAACCTGGGTGAAATTTGAAACTTTTTGTTTCCAAAAAAAAAAATTCCATACACAAATATATATGAGACCAGAAACAACAACAAAAAGAAACTGGCCGTGTGGTATAACCTGATTAGGAAGCGGCAAAAGTTTGCGTCTTTTATGTGCAACAAAAAAGCGAGAGCAGACCGAAACAAAGAAGACAAATTATTCAACATCATCATCACTTGGTTTTTTGCTTTTTTCTCTATTTTTTGAATAAAAAACGTCCCGCGAGAAACATTTTTCAAGCTTTGAGAAAGAAAAAAAACAAAAAACTGTTCGCAGTCTGCAGGATTCGAACCTACGCGGGCAAAGCCCAATTGATTTCTAGTCAATCTCCTTAACCACTCGGACAAGACTGCACGTTTTTCGGCTGGTCAGAATTGCAAAGATAACATTGGGGCGAGAAAAAGTGAGGGAAAACCAAAAAAAAATGTAGGCAAGATTAATTGCTTTTGGCTTTTCTTGGTTTTTTTTTGAAATCGAAATATAAACCAAGAACTACGGTATACAAAGAAACATCTGGATTTTTAAAATAAATAAACAAAAATTGTACTGCAGACATCTTCTAGGAAAAAATGTGAAGAAAAAAAAATGGAAAATACTGTAGTTGAAAGATGAGAAGTTTTTTTTTTTTGGGACTACATTATTTGTTTTAAATGTGCAAAGTGCATCAGAAAAAAAGAAAAAGTGAAAATGGGTCGAAAATGGCTTTTTTCATTATAATATATTTTGAAAGAGCCTGAAAATGACAGAAAATTTCCAGAAAAAAAAAACAAGAAAAAGATGGAACACTTTGATTTCTGAAAAAAGGAAACGCGAAAAAAAACACTATTTTTCAAAGATTGAAAAATAATCCGAAAAAAGATTGATTATGTGTCAGAAAAAGGATTACTGTATATTATTTAAAGGCGCATTACTATTACTTCCTAGTAGTAACACTAGACAAAAAAAAGTTTGTGAAAAAGGGCGAAAAGTCGATTTGTCCCATGGGGCGAATTTTTGACATGAGACAGAAGAGAGGAAATAGTGTGTGGGAGGAGAGGATTAGAGAAAAAATGAGAAGAGGGAAAAAGGAATCTAGATTGGAATGTTTATAGATACTTTTTTTGGAAAAAGGGGTTTAAAAAATAAAATAAAATGAAAACAACAAACCTTCATCAATATCAGGAATTATATCAATGACTGGTGGAGCAAAAGCCACACTTCCACGACCTACAAAAATGGATTTTCAAATTTATTTTTAATAATGATTCAAGTGTGCTCTACTGAACGCGAAAAATTACTTCGCCTAAACTGCAAAGATTACTGTAGTCCTATATTTATATCGAAAAATCACAAATTTTCTCACCTACAGTACTCCAAACTGCAAGTATTCTCGAATGTTTCACGTTTTATCTCAAAAATTTACTCTAGCATATAAAAGTACCCAATTATTTCCAAATTCAACCCAATTTTTCGCAAAAAACCCCAAAAAACTCACTTTTATCCTGCCAAAAACCAGCTGCCATTTTTGTCTTCCAACAACACTTCTCTCTTTTTTCTTGTGCTTCTTCCAAAAAATAGCCGGGAAATTAAAAAAGCAAAATTAATCGAATTCAATTAATTTCCATTCATTCAAAGCTCCTCCTTGTTTTCCCTGAACTGAACTTTTTAGGGACACGAAAAAAGAAGAGAAATTGGAAAATGAGAGCAGCAATTTTACAGCCAAAACCCATTAGTTGCCACATTCTTTTATTACTTGTTTTTGGTGCGTTTTTCTTTTTTTTTTTGACGAAAAATTTCAATTTTCTATTAGTCCAGAAGAGTCATAGATATATATTACTTCTTTACAGTACATTTTGAACAAGGACATTTTTTAAAAAAATATTTGAAAATTCTAGAAATGAAATATTTAAAAACATATGGATTTGCCACATGTGAAAACTAATAAAGTTCACGTTTTAATAGGATTTTTTAATTCAATTTAAATAATAATCATTTGCAATTCATTTTAATTGCCAACTCATCAAATTTTTGACTCTGGTGAGAAAGGCAAGAAAAGCTGAAATATCAGTTACCTGTATGTCCCTTTAAAAATTACTGTGAAAATTAGTTTTCAGCTAGATTTTATCATTTGGAAAAAACCCAAAAAACTACAAAAAAAAAAATAAAAAATTGAACTCCCTCCAGAAAACATGGCGAAAAACACGTTTTCTCAATAGAGCGCGTTTGCCTCGCTCACTTTTATTTCTTTTTTTTCCGCTGAAAAATCGAATTTTCCGATTTTGAAAATGGCCGCTTATCGAATTGAACATTGCAAAAAAGCAGCGGAATTTTTCATCAAATTCAGTAAGTTTCTTTCTAAAGGTTTGGGAGAATTAACCAGTTTATTGGATTTTTTTGAAAAATTTTACAAACTTTCTTCATATCAGCAAATTTCAAGATATTTTGAGCTTATTAAAATTAAGGAGAAGTTGAAATTTGTTTTTTATGATCTGAAAAATTGTGTTTTGAGTTTCAGAAGTTGTCCTATAAATATTAACTTATTATAAATTGACTAAACATTAATTTTTGAGACACTGGCAGCAAGGCATATCTCCAATACCACAATGACGATAAAAACCGAATTCTCGACTTCCAACATACCGTAACTCCACAAGATCAACAAGGAAAAGGAATTGCGAAACTTCTTGTTAAAGAAGGTTTGAAATACGCGGCGGAAAATGATTATTCAGTTAGGCCAAGTTGTTGGTATGTGGCAAAATATTTGGATAGTGAAGGAGCGACTGAAGAGGAGAAAAAAGTCGATATTAGACATAAAATTTAATTGGAAATACAGTGTGAATAGATATGTGTAAATAAATAAATACATAAGATAATTTAAATCGAAGTTAGTAATTTTTTCTATTTTCGAAAATCTCGATCGATCTATTCTTCATATGAAAATACAAAGCGAATCGATCACTTGCATTCGATCGTAAATCTATACCATTATCGATTTTTGCCTACGAAAGTTGAACTATTTCAACAGAAAAAAGAAGAAAAGTCTCACCGTATAATTTCGAAGTGACCAAATTCCGAAAAACATATTGCAAAGTGACCAGAAGAATTGACATTCTTCGATCAAATCTTCGACTGAATCACGGGTATTTTTGAGATATGAAGAGCAAACAATTCGAACATTTGGATTGTTTTCGTACATTGAAGCATCAAGCTGCAAATATGTACATTTTGGGAGTTATGACGTGGAAAAGCTTGGGAAACATCAAGAAATTGAATTTTTGTATCAAAATCGATTTTTTGGTTATCTTTTTATAATTATTTACCATATAAAAAGGTGGTACTGTAGTTCGATAATCGTATGCATGTTCCGATAAATGCATTCCCAAATCGAAACCTCTGAAATTAAGTGTATTAATTATTTTTCAAATTAATTAATTAATTAAAGGGTTGGTGCTTTCCTGGTGAAAAAATCGTCTGCAAAAAGGCGTCACCGTGTTATTTTAAAAGTTGTGTGCAAACACACACACAAAAATTCAAAAACAAGTTGTGCGCTAGAGCGCATTTACATGCTTTATTTCGTAGGTTTTAACTCGCTTGTGTTTTTGAGGAAAAACATGGGCTTAATTGATATTAGAATTTTTTCTAAAACTGGAACCTTCCAGGAGCACCTTATTCTTATCTAAACCAAGCAAGATTCCTTGGCGGAGGACCAACCCTTTAACTCACCGCCAATTATAAGAGGCATATTCGAAATCAATGAATATCAAATCATTCGAATCATTCAGTTCCAAAATATTCATCGCCTGAAAATTCATTTTTTTTTCAATTTTAAGTTCAAATTATTAAAATGTTAATTAATTACCGCCAAATCATTATGACTGAAAACCACAGTATCCTCAAAAATCCCGCACATTTTTTCAAATTCATCCAATTCATTTTGTAAATCATTGATTGTTAGAATCTTGGGAGCTTCAGGGAAATCGACTTGATTTTGAATAACTTCGTGATATTCGCCTCCAAGATTTTTGAAATCTTCAAGCCATTCTCGCATTTTTAAAATTGCTTGAGGTTTTTTTGAAATCGGGAGTTGAAGCGAATGAAATTTGCGATAAGTTTCACCAATTTTATGAGCATTTCTATAGATTTTTTTGTTTTTAATGAAAAAAAAAGAAAATAAAACGAACTCTTCAATTCTGACATCACTCTCATTAAAAGTCCGACTCTCCAAATATTCTTCCAATCTTCCTCCCTCAAAAAATCCATATATTTTTGGTCCGAGACCACGTTCAGCCAAAACTGCAAAAACTAGAACATCTTGTGCAATTTGTTGAGCTGTCAAAGGTTGGCAATGAATTCGAACAAGGAATTTCGCAGGTTCATCAGGTCGAAGTTTTTTCGGATTATTTGTGGAAACCAGATGTAGTAAATTTGATTGTCCGCCTCTGAAAATTAGATTTTAAAATTTTTATTTATAATTTCATACTTTTCGATCAATTTCACCTCGAAAAATCCCTGAAACTCACAATATTTTTCGAATTTCGATATCCTTTTCCTCCAAAAAATTCCAATTTCCACTCAAAAATTCTTGGCCCAATTCCAAACTTTTCCTAATTTTGGAAACATCATCTCCATTCTCGAAAATGTGTCGCATAATTCTGGAAGGTGATCTTCTTCAAAGTTTTTTCCAAATTGAGGAATTTAGAATGGCCATAATTTCCATTTCAAAAACAATAAAATTCTAGGAGAAAAAGTTCGAAAAAATTTATAACAAAGAAAAAGCTCAGAAATAAATAACATGACGAATACGAAAATATACAAAAAAAAATTGAAAAATGAAAACAATGAACAAAAATGTAATTAATTGACCAATTAAAAACAAAAAGAAAAGCTCCTATTATTTTTTACCCGTCGATAATACAGATTCGTTACTGTTACTGGTCGATGAACACGTTGAACCCTGAAAAAAATCTTCGTGTTAGAGTTTTGTTGAAGAAATAGCGAAAAACTTACCGGATTTATTAATTTTCCGTCATAATTCACTTTTCCACAATCGCCACAAATATAGAAAACTAAATTTGGCCGTTGGAACGTGTCATCTGGAACTTTGTTGATTCGAACATCAACGGCTTCTACGCAATCGTTGTGGATAATCACGTTCTTTCTGTAAATGCATGAAAATCAGGAATAATTTCAGGAGATTCAATTTTCATCCCTTTTAAAATTCAGATGTTCCCCAAAACTCACGTGATATGCAGATTAGCCTCTGAAGTTGTCGCGACAATCCAATCGCTAGTTTTCGATGGTCTCGACATTTTCACCTCGATTCCTTCATAATCTTCAGGTTTGATTCGCTTCATTTTTTGGTACCAATCTTTAAAAAAAATCACATTTTTGCAAAAATATATTTTAAAATATTTACCTTCCAATGGGAATTCCGACATATCAGCTCGATAAACATTTTGCAAATGAATGATGTTGTATTGGTGCAAAAACTGAACACATGGAGATGGAAATTTCGCCAAGTTATCCTGATTGCAATCCTGCAAATATTATTTCATTATTTAATGAAAGAAACATATTTGAAATGACTCACAGCACATCGCAAACAAACATCATCCGGATGAAGATCGATATTGAAATGATCGAAAAAATCGGAAACTTGATCAATTGGTGATTTCAAAGTCAAATCAGGAAATGCAATCACATTGTGAGGATATTCATTCTTGAGAACATCGTGTGATTTTGATGGAACTGTTAGAATATGTCGCATTTTGTCCGGTCCCAAACTTTTGATGGCTTTCAACTTTTTATTAAAATCTCGCAAATCGACTGGTATAATCACATCAATTCCACATCTTCTGAGATACTTTCCAAATCCCAATAACATTGTATCAACAATACATAGCATCTCGTTTGGTCGTTTCAGTGGTTTTCTTGGATCCCTTCGGTCTTTCAAAACATCATAAATTTCCTTCCACGTCAAGTTGTCCAATTTTCGATGATCTTTTCGAGAACTTTCCTTTTTCGGTGCCATTATGTTGCATTCTTTCACAAAATCTTCAAAATGCTCGATTTTTCCTGATTTTTGGGCAAAGTCTCTGATAACATTGAAAAGATCAACAACGACTACAGCATCCATTGCAGCATATTCGATTTGTTGTTTTCGCAGTGGACGACTTTGCCAATTACTGCATTGTTCAGCTTTGTTGAGCGATATATTCAAGAACTTCTCTGTTAAATCAGCCAATTTGAATGTTTTCCGAAGAAGACCCAAGATTTCCATGTCGACTTCGCAAATCTGAAAAAGTAAAAATTGTGAATAAGTAAGTTTTCATTGTTGAATTTAAAGTTTGACAAATTCCGAGATCGTAATCCCAAAGTAACTCACATTTTCAGTGAATCTTTTCAAATCCAGAATATTTTGTGATGTTTCCAATTTGAAATTATCTCTCAAGGCATTAATTGATAACAATGCATCAATATCATTCTTCAAATCGAATCCTATAACAATCAAATTCGGGTCCTTCAGAAGTCGTTGCGCAAATTTCAACCATGTGGCATTTCTCATCGTCGAATCAGTTTCAAGTTTCACACAATCAATTAAATATACCGTATCATCGATATAAACCTGCATTATCGCTATTTTGAAAACAGTTGATCCGATCAAATGTGATGGTTTCCATTCTGTATCAATTCCAACTAAACGCTCTTCATTTGGCTTCGCGAAAAACTTCAATCTTGTGCACAAATGTTCCATTGCAGCATCGTTTTCAACAAGACTGATTCGAATATTTCTCCCTTTCACATCTATACTCAATATTCTATCATCCGCAACATACAGTGACTTCCTTTTCACGATCAAATTTTCAGCTTCTCGAATCATGCTAGGATCTTCGTTTTTTCGATAAAAATCGAGCATATCTACAGGAACAAATTCAATAATCAGGTCGATGTTCAGATGTTTTACCCAACTCAATGCGTCGATTCTGAAAAATATAAAATTTGAGGCGAATTGTAGAATAGGGCATCACTCGATGAACGAGCGGAATTTTGAAATATGCCAACTACGTCTCTCCCTACATTTTTTTTTCAAAAACACACCTTTTTTCTCGTTCTCCCGAAGACCATAAATAATGCAGAAAACCTTCGCGTATTTTAGTTGTACAATGAGTTAGAGTAGTTCCTATGTGTTGGAAATAGACATCATCTGTCGATTGATGTTTCGCATCTTTATCGAATCGTGTGCTAACCAAGTGTTTCAAAGCTTTATCATTTCGTTTGCTATCAAAGTTCGGTGAATCTCTAGCTTGCTCCAAATCAAATTCATATTCCTTCGCAACTTTGTTGAATATAGAATTCATATACTTTTCTAGAGCCTTTCCAACAAATTTACTCGGATTCACAGTCATGATACTTCTTTTTCGCCAAATAGCTAGTTTTGCTTCAACACTTTCTTCAGGTTCACCAATAAATTGGTCGAGCCATTTGAGATATTGTTTTTGAAGACGAGGTTGATCTCTCATATACTCATATGCTATAACTGTCTTATCCTGCAAAACCAAAGGGATAACAATATCTTCGAGAGTGAATTTATCCTTGAATCCTTTCTTCGTTATGATATCCGCTGCTTCTTTGAATTCCAATTTCGCGATTTTCTCATTGATACTTTCCAGCAAAATGCTCGATAAATCTTCATTATGCAAATCAAAAATATCGGAGATCATCGGAAAATGATGCATAACATCAGTAGAACTTATCAATGCTGCAATTCGAACATCTCTTGTCAAATACTTTTCCTTTATCGCATCAAAATCTTCTCGATCAGATAGCCATTTTTGAAAAGTCCTCAAATAAGTTCCAGCAGCATTGCTTGGATTTTGTTTGGTTCGATCTGGCATTGCTTTGAAATGTTTGACAACCGAATCGAAAATATTGTCAGTTTCTCGAAAATCGGTTTCAAAATATTCTAAGAATGCTTTCTCATATAAACTGGTTCGCAGATCAACGTCATTATCGTTTAATCTCTGGAATAGGTTAATTTGATTTTGAGAATATTAAGAGGATATAATGGTTTCCTAGGATACCTACCGAGATATATTCTCTCCTTGATTTGATAGGTTCCGGAAAATCCGTTCGATATTTCGCTTTCTTTTCAGCTTTCGTCAGTTTGACTTTTGGTAATTCGGGAAGTGGTCCTTCGTCACTACTCATGTCTGAAAAAAAACAAAATTTGAAATTGCAAAAAATTAATTTTTGAAAAAAAGAATAACGATGCTCCGTTTTTACACATTGCGCGCATATAGGCATTCCACACAAAATTGTGAAAGTTGTCTTTCTCTAAATCTTTGAATTTTTAAAAATTCATTTTCATTCCAATAGATAAATTCAAAAATCTTATTGTTAGTAAGTGGCTCCTAAATTATCATTGCAAAAGTTGTCCGAAAAACATTCTTGATGTTTTTCAGCAGCTCAAACTAGTCCTACTCTAATAACGCGCAGCAAAATCTGAAATTTTAGGCCCAGCTGAATGAAAAAAAAATGAAATGTCGTCAATTTGTGGGCATGGTGTTTACGGTTTTTCTTTGCGCGGTTTGCAGACATACGAACCTACAGTAGTACACAACATTTTTATTTTATTTTTTTTTTCGAAAAATGACGATTTTCGAATAAATAATTTGCAGGCTGTCGTGAAACATGCCACGCAAAAATTGATTTTCTGTATATTTTGGAGCTGCATCTTTCATTTTGGCAAAAATTACATTTTCAGAATGGTTTCTGGCGACAGCAAAAACGTGCAAACTTTTCGAAAAAGTTTAGAAACCGATCCGAACAAATCAACCGGTTTGGCTGCAATCGAAACTCTTTATGATGTGCTGAAAAATACACGTGCTTCAACCGCTGGCGAATTTCAAGACGAATTGGGAAATGCTGTGAAAGAGATGTTGACCACTGATTATAGTTCAACATCAATTCGAAGTGCAACAAATTTATTCAGAAAATTCATTTCTTTGGCGCCTGTCGATATCACGGAGAAAACTGATTTTTCGGAGATTCTTGAATTTTATCGCAAACGTGGTGTTACATTTATCGAAAGAGTTAGCCGTTCAAGAAGTTTGATATCGAAATATGCAAAGCCGTTTTTCCGAAACAACATGGTCAGTTGTTTTTTTTTGTTCTATAAGAATCATCAAAACTTTAATATTTCAGAATATTCTCACACATTCGTATAGCAAAGTTGTTCTATCCGCTCTTCACGAAGCTCATGAATGTGGAATCGAATTTCACGTTTGGGTTACTGAATCACAACCCGATGCATCTGGAAAACGCATGCATGAAGCATTAAAATCTCTTGGAATCGAAACAACTCTTGTTTTGGATAGTTGTGTTGGTTATTTGATGGAAAGAATGCAAATGGTTGTAGTTGGAGCTGAAGGAGTTATGGAAACTGGTGGAATTATTAATAAGGTTTGTCTGAAATTTTCTTAAAAAACTTGAACATCTTTAATTGAAGATTGGCACCTTAAATGTCTCGATCATCGCCAAAACTTTAAATGTGCCAGTATTTGTCATGGCTGAAAGTATCAAATTCGTCGATGAATATCCATTGAATCAAGAAGATATTCCTGAAACATTCAAATATCGATCTTCTGTCATCGCCAAAAATAATCTTGCTTCCGAACATCCAGAAGTCGATTATACACCACCACAATATCTCAATCTTCTTATAACTGATCTTGGTATTCTTCCACCAGCTGCTGTTGGAGAGGAATTAATAAAATTGTATACGTAATTTATTGCGGGAGGGTTATCTTTTTGTTTATGTTTGGCTGTTGAATAAATTTTACTGCATTGCTAAATACTGAATGTTTTTTGAAAAATTAGAAGTAGCTCAAAACTCTTCGAAATTTATTTTTAACACTTTTTGACCTAGACGATTTAAAATATGACCAACAGAATGCGGAATTCAATGTTCATAGCCTAAAAAATCCAAATTCGTGGAAAATTTCTTTTCCAATTTCAATATTCCCTAATTAAAATTCAACCCACATTTCGTTTTTCTACCTAATTTATATTCAAAAATGTTGTCCATTCCTAATTTTCTCCTTCCTTCTTTTTCTTCCAATTTGCCTATTCTTCTCTGATTCTCGAAAAAAGAAAAGGAGAGGGAAAAGAAAAAGAGGGAAATATGTGGAGTATCGATTTGTAGAACGAAAGTGTGACATAGAAAATGGGAGGAAGAAAGAAGAGGGAGAAAAAGAAGGAGAAGTGGATGACTAAAATATCTACTACTACTCTTTTCATAAATACTACTTCATTTTCATTTTTATTCTGCTAATTTAATTAATAGCTTTTCTCAAAAAATTTTTATTTTTGTTTGGAAAAAGAAATAATCTTTTGTTACATTATTGTTGTAGAACTTTTCCTCAAATATTTACTTTCATTCTAGCTTTCACAAACTTTCGAAACTTTTATGCATTTTCTATTATTTTATTGCCTTCAATTTCACATCGATTTTTTCCGTTTAATGAAAAAAGTGTGTTTATTTTTCAAAACTGACAGCTTGATTTCTGTTTATATTTTGACAAAAAATCAATTTATAAATTTTTGTTGGAGAGTTTTAATTCAGGAAAACTATGTTTTTCCCATGGAAAAATCTTCGTGGATTTCGAGTTTTTCAATCTAATTTATTACGATCCCAAGCAAACATTAATGTTTTGTTTAAAATATTAAAGTTTATTCTGATTAGAAAATGTAAAATAGAGAGTAGAGAAAAATAAGGTCGTGTCTAGACTCTCAATTTCACATTCTCTATAATAAGAAATTTCAATATTGTTTCTGTTAAAAATAATATAAACGTGGCCCTGAATTAAAAATATTAAATATTTCAAATTTTCATTTTCCATCTATCATTTCTCATTTTTCTTTCAATACCTACACAAATACTAGTTTTTCATTATTCATGACTTATTTTTTTTTCTCTTGTCTGTATGTTTTTCCCTTCACTTTTCATCGATTTTCTTATTTGTTTTCCAGAAAAATAATCGTATTTATGTCAAATAATTGAATTAATTAATTCTGAATGGCTTGTAATTTATCGCCGGTCAATGAAATGGCCGATTCGGTGACAAGCAGTACGCCAAGTGAGGTGAGCTTGAATTTTTGATTTTCGGAGAGAAAAATAAACCTGACCTCTAAAAATAGAAAACTTTACTTTATCATTTTTGTCAATCAAAACATTTTTTCTTCTGTTTGCGTGTGTGTCGCATAAAAAACAGATAGAAAAATATCGATTTTTGTGCCCTAATGCAAAACAGTAAATTATGGCAGATTGTTTATGGCGGAAGTGGTTCACCAACTGAAGAACATCGAACAATGTCGGATAAAGTGCAAAATATGGCGTCTTCTATTTATCGAGAATTGGAAGTTATGATTAAAGAACATGGAGAAGATGGTGTGAAGGTTGGTTTGTTTTGAAAAATTCAGAATTTTTGGACAAGAAATTTTTCTGGTTTTAGATCTTATTCAAAATTTAAAGATTGGGATAAATTATTCCCGAAATTTTCAAGCTCATAAAAACCGACTCATTCAAAATCTCGGCTCACAAAATTTTGTGGGAAAATCAGGATGATCTTAAATTTTCAGTATAATTTAAAGTTTTTAAAAATTTAAAATTTCAAAATTATTTTTAAAAAAAACCCGGAACTTCAGAAAATACGCTCCACCGAAAATGTATTCAAAATTCCCTAGAAAAATAACTTTTCCATAGAGCGTATTTGCTATTTCTAATTCTCCCTCAATCTCCTACAAAATTCAATTTTACACAACACAAAATATCTATTTTGTGTAAATCAATTAATCATAAATAAATATTAAACTTTTTGTTTTGATAACAAAAGTTCATCATTTATGCAAATCTTCTCTTTTTAAAAATAAAAAACACCATTCATAAATATTTCTATTTTCATAGACTCTCATGCCGTTGGTTGTAAATGTATTGGAATCCTTGGATTTGGCGTATTTGGAAAGAGATGAACAAATTGCTGAACTCGAAATGTTGAAAGAGGATAATGAGCAATTGCAAACACAATATGAAAGAGAAAAACAGTTGAGGAAACAGATTGAGCAGGTAGTTTTTTTATAAATCGATAAATTTTCACTCATTTTAATTTATTTTTTTCAGAAATACATTGAGATTGAGGATACTTTAATTGGCCAAAACAAAGAATTGGACAAAAAGATTGAATCTTTGGAATCGATTATGAGAATGTTGGAATTGAAAGCCAAAAATGCGACAGATCATGCAACTCGGCTAGAAGAACGAGAAGCTGAACAAAAATTGGAATTTGATCGGTTGCATGAGAGGTCTGTTTTATTTTATTCAAAACATATTTTTCAAAAAAATCAATACACATCAATTCCAGATATAATACACTTCTCCGCACACATGTCGATCACATGGAAAGAACAAAATATTTGATGGGAAGCGAAAAATTCGAACTTATGCAAAATATGCCATTACCAAATGCACAACTAAGAAACAAGTGAGTTTCTTTTTTTACAGAATTTTCCAGAATTTCAGAAAACATTGTGTATTTAGTATTTTTATTGATTAATTAGTTGTGTTTGTTAATTGTTGTTTGTAGTTGGTTTCCAATCTCACATCGCTTACATAAAAGTGAAGATTATTCGTTGTGAGTTTTTTATTGATTGATTTTGGTTTTTTGACTAATTTTTAATGGAGCATGGCTTTTTAGTTTGAATATAGTTTTGATGTGTGGGTGTTCAGTTTAAAAGCACTTTTTCTTCAAAATCGACACGTGGCGAAGGATTTGGTTTTTTTTGTAAAATTTTGGAAATTTGAAAAGGAAAACTTTTTCTGGTTGAAAAATGAGAATTTTGAAAATTTTCGCTTTTTTCCAACCAAATCCAAACAAGTTCCCGTTTTCAATTTTCTAAAAATTAAAATTAATTGTGTTTAACCCACTTCTTTTTTCTATGGGGAATCACGGATTTTTCCACATTTCTTTCAGTTAAAATATTTTGATTTTTTTCAGAGTTGGTCTTGGAATGGCAACATCAGTAGATGCTTCAACAATTCGAGGAGTTTCTGATTTGATTTCAGCGCATATGTCACAATCTACAACTATGGATGTCAATTTGGCAAATCATATTAATAATGAAGGTAAGAATTTTAAATTTTGATGAATTTTTGAGTTTGGAAAATGACCTAGGAATTTCTCCCATTTTCCGAATTTCTAAAAAAAAATTGTTCAGATTGGCAAGACGAATTTTCATCGGACATCGAACCATCTCCACGTGATCCACCACCACAAAATGAATTGGCCAAATTGGCATCAACACCGATTTCATCTTCAACACCAAAACAAATTGCACAAAATAGTGAAATATCTTCACCAATCCGAAAAGAAATTGAAGAAGATGATGATGAAGAAGAAGAAACGACTGAACAACCAAAAGAATCTGGAGACATTTTGACAGCCGATTTGACAGGTATTATTTCAAGATATAAGATTTATGAGGCTCTGTGGAGGAACTTGGGCTTTTTGAGGAGATTGAAGTCCAAAAATTGGATTTTGGAAGGTTTCGAAAATTTTCTATGAAATACACACGTTGATCTATAATTTTTTGCCCCAAAAAATAATATTCTTGGCATTTTTTGAAAGATGACTATATTTCAATTTGAACGTTTTAATTTTTTTAACAATTTCAAATTGCCACGTCATTCAAAAAAAAAAAATAACGAACCAACTTCTACAAATGAATTCAGACTTTCATCCTCCCTTCAAAAATCCCTATTTTCTGTACAGAGCCAAAATGTTGTCTGTCCACACCTCCACAAAAATCCGAAAATTTGAAAACTAATTGGGTGGTGTTCTATTCTTCTTTTTCCTTCTAACATTTCGGGGATTTCTCCCTTTTTGCACCAATTTTCTTTCACGACACTTTTCACAACAACATGTTTAGGGAATTTGGTGGATCCGGCCGAATTTGCGTCAGCTGGTTAGTTTAGGTGTTGTAAATATGTATATCGAATGGATTTCTGCTTTTTCATCGTGTGTGGTCTGCTTTTTTGGCATGTTTTGTGTGCCTTTTTAGATTTAGAAACGTTGGGAATAATTTACTTTTGGAAAAAAAGTTCACGTATGAACTCGCTCAACGTTTCATAATGAAATTTTTGAATGAAAATCTTCTGGCTCCAGATGTCACTTGGAAAATTTCAAAATTTTTAAAAATCACTATTTCTTATTTTTGGTCCTAATTTTCCCGGGAACTTCTCATTATTAGTAAAACTGCATTTTTCCACTTTTTCTTTCACGCACAATCTTTTCCCCAGCACAAAATTTTATTTTTCAAATTTTCCCGAAAAAATTGTTCAGAAAATCTGTAGTGATTGTGTTTTGTGTTTTTGACAGATACAATACTAGATGATTCGGATGATTGGAACAGTTTGGGACTTCCGCCACCAAAATATCGACCGATTTCGAATTTCGACGAAGCTGATGACACTTCCGATGATGGTTCACTTGGTAGGAGATTTTTAGTTTTGAGTTAAATAATTTTTGGTTAATATATATGTAGTTAATTTTGGCTGGGTTATTTTTTCTTGGTTGCATGAAGCATGTGCACTTTTTTCTATCTCTATCTTTCTTATGATGAAAATTAAAAAAATTTAAGACTAACATTTCTTTTTTACAGTTAATGATACATTTATTGGTGAGTTTAATAAGTGTAGTTTTGTGATTTTATTTTATTTTTTAAAGAAACATACTGATTTTTGGGAGCATGGTTGGACCTGAATAGATCCATAAAATTTCAATTTCCAAGTGATTTTTTATTAAAAAAAAATTCAAACGTTTTTCTAGGAATGGGACGAGAAGTTGAAAACTTGATAAAAGAGAATTCGGAATTGTTGGACATGAAAAATGCATTAAATATAGTCAAAAATGATTTGATAAACCAAGTGGACGAATTGAGCAGTGAAAATATGATATTACGTGATGAAAGTCATAGTCGAGAAATGGTTTGTCAGAAAATGTCGGAACAAATTCAAAAATTGGAAGATGATAATCGACAATTGAAACAGCGAATTAGTGAAAAGGAAAATGAACAAGAAGAGGTCAGTAATTTGGGGATTTTTCAAAGAACATTTGGATTCGACACATGAAAATGTCCAAAAAAGGATTTTTCACGAAATTATTTTATACAAACTAAACGTTGTCCAAAAAATGGGTCGAAAAAATCCAGCAGACTTATTTTTCAAAACAATGTTTCTAAAACTAAAAAAAATATTTTATAATAATTTTTTCAATGACATTCCCTGTCGTCGGAAAACCACGTGGCATTCCTAAAATTTTAAACTTCGAAACTAAAAAATTCACGTGGAACTTTTTCCGAAATGAAATTTTCTTACTCCAACGAATCCACGTCTTTCAAAGCGAAATTTTTAGCCCCTAAAGTTTCACGTCTTTTCATTGTACAAAAGACTTTCTGAATTTGCCACGTCATAAGTATGACGATTCAGAAATGAAAAAAACTATATGATGTGATCAATTAATTTTTCTAATTACAGGAAGATGTCCCAATGGCAATGAGAAAGCGCTTCACAAGATCAGAAATGCAACGAGTTTTAATGGACAGAAATGCATACAAGGAAAAATTAATGGAACTCGAAGAATCTGTGAAATGGACCGAAATGCAAAGAATCAAGAAGTTGGCAAAAGAACAACAAAATGTGAATGCGAAAAAATCTGGAGGAATTTGGGATTTGTGAGTTTTCAATTGGAAAAAATCCGGAAAATTCTCTCGTTTTCAGCTTTTCTGGACTTTTCGGTGAATCAATCACACCTCCAACTTCAGCCAGAGGAACTAGAGGACAAACCAAAAAATCGATGACAAGATCTGCTGAATTCATCGATCCAGATATGTTAGTTCAATAGAAAAATTGGCGGGCATAATTAATTTCGAAAGTTTCTAGGAAAAATCAATTTTTTTGAAAAATTTTATGACGTGAAAAAGTTCCGAATTTTTTTTCCATATATAATCAAAATAACGGGAAAAACTGAGAAAATACCATTTGATAAATCAGATTTTTGAAATTTCCCAATTTTTGACGCATGAAATTTTAGGATACATCTGATGAAATGAAAAAGAATCAAAATATCGATTATTGTGGATATGCTTTTGTACTTCCTTAATCACATAATTATCTAATTAATTAGTCAATTATCTAGTTTTCACGGGTTTCTAAAGCACTTGCACGAATTAAATTTTAATATTTCAAAACTTCCCTCATCAATCGCATGTTTTAGTTTCACCCAATTATCGTCAACGCCTGTATAATTAATTATCTCTCATAATTTTCATCCAATTATTGCTTTATTTTTAGTTTTTTTTCTATTGCACGGGTTATTGTTTTTTCCGGCATCCGGTGTGTGTTGTTTTTTATTTTATTGTCAAATAGCAAATCATAAAAATGTTTGAATTTTACAAAAGATACTTTGGTTTGATTCACAAGGAAAATGCTTAAATTTTTATCAAAGTTTAAAAAAAAACTATGAAGCTCAACTTTTAATATGAGTAATGACATGGAAAAGTTGGAAAATCGTGACAATGGTGCAAAAATGAATGGAAAAATTTTATTGAAAATTATGGAAGCACTATTTTCGAACTTTACTACGTCATAACTAATATTTGGAATTGAGATAAGCAGTTTTTGACGATGAGATCATGATCAGCGAGTCAAAAACTACTGAAACCATTTAATTAAAAATTTCGACTGCAATCTAAAACAGTTTTCTTGTCAAGACTATTAAAATGTTCGGTTGTCACCTTTTCTTTTTTTCCGAAAATCAAAATTGTTTTTTAGGATTTCGGAAAGACGTGCAGCCGAAAGACGTGAACAATATAAACTTGTTCGAGAGCACGTGAAAAAAGAGGATGGTAGAGTTGAAGCCTATGGTTGGTCACTTCCAAATTTGGATAATGAGAATAATTCGGTACCGATTCCTGTTTGTTGTCGACCACTTCTTGATAATGAACCATCGTTGAAAGTTTGGTGTTCGACAGGAATTATTTTGAGAGGTGGAAAAGATGAAAAAGGACAATTTATTAGTGGAGAAACTGTTTATTTTTCGCCATCAATTAAAAAGGGAGGAAAAGCTGGAAATGAATTGGAGGACGAGATTCAGGTTTGAATTATTTTGAGGGTTAGAATAATTAATGATAAATTTTGAATCAGCGTAAAAATACAATTGGGAAAAATCTTATTATGAAAAAAATGTCGATATTTTAAGAGAGCTCGAAACTTGGATGATCGAGAAAGAGAATTGGATGAATGGCAATCATCTTCGCTAGTTTGGGTAGCAAGTTCGAATTTGGGAAAATCGCTTATCGCCGTTTTTGATGCCAATAATCCAAATATGATTATCGAAACTTTCACAGCTTGTGACAGTCATTTATTGTGTATTCAAGCAGTTCCAGGTTAGTGAAACTTACAATTAGAAAAACAACAAGAAACTCCGGAAGTTTCCTAAAATATAACAGAAACGTGCAGATCAATCACAAATTGATCGAAATTCTGAGCAAACTAGAAACTTGAGAAAAGAGCCAAAATAGTTTGGAAATCGAAAAAAATAGTACGAAAATTTTCCTGAAACAAATCGAAGACGACAGGATTTTGAAAAATATTTAAACGTGGCAATCCCTAAATCCTCTATTGAAACCGTAGGTTCTCTCAAGGAAGTTTTCAAAAACATCTAGCTCTCAAATTTTTGACCAGCATTTCTTAAATCTAAACTTTTTAGGTGTTCTCGAAGGCGACCCGGAAATGAATGACGAACAATCAAAGAAATTCGTATCGGGTGGTGGAAAAATCAAAGATTTGCCTGAAGGACTGGATGCGGCTGGAATGGGTGCTTGTGAATGGGTTGAACTTCGAAAAATGGATGATTCGGAAGATGGAACACCAACATATTGTTCGAATGATATGAAACCGAGTCCGAAAAGGACTAGAGATTGTGAGTTTTTTTCTTGAGGGAAAAAAAGGGGGGTGGGTGAAATTTGAAGTAAAAGAGAAGAAGAAAAGGAATACTCCGAAAAGACTGGATTTGAGAAATAGAATGTGAAATTTTGAGAAAAAAATTATAATCACATTCAGAATTTTTAAAGGAATTTCCGAAATTCAACAAACATGAGAGTTATACTAATTCGAAGTTTTTCTGGAATCTTCAAATATTTAGAAGAAATTTTACATGTTAGTTTCTCTGAAACTGAATTTTCAAAAATTGAGATTTATTTACAATTCTTATGCCGAAATTCAGTCATTTCAAAATTTAAATCCAAACTAAAATAAGATGTTTATCAAATATATATTTCGCTGAACAATGTTCAATCCCTTTTTCGGAGTATACTTTAAAGTTGTTGTGTCTCTACCCTGTTCCCTCTTCTCTTGTTTTTTCTCTCTCAAAGATCCTATCCTTTTTAGTTAGCATCAGCGAAGTCGCCGCCGTCGATCCGAAAGCAGTCAAAGGTACGTTTCATAAAAACAAACATCAATCTCAGAAAATCAAAATCGCTATTATCTTTAGCTAAAACTAAATTAAGTCGAGTGACCGAAGAAGGATCAGTTATTCCACTCGAAAAATTGAAAAATGAGAAAAAAGGTGATAAAATTGGTGTCGTCGTAACTCCCACTTTTTCAGTTAAATTTTTTTGCACATTTTGAGCTGGTAAAATGGTGGTGGTGATATTTATTTAGCTTATATGTGTTTTATTTTTCTTTAGTTATGAATCAATATTTTGAGAAAATGAAAAATCAATAATTGAAATGTTTTTAGATGAAGTTGCTCCACCTCCAAATCCAAATCGTCCAGCTGGAAGAGCTGCTCTTCCGCCACATATTAGAGATGCTATGAGTAAATATGATGGTGTTTCTGGACAAATGAGTAGCGCTTTGCCGACTGTTTGGATGGGTGGACAAAATCAATAGTGAGTTTCGAAATTTCTCGAAAAAGAGGAAATTAATTCTAGAGACGTTAAATCAAAAGTTAAACGAAATTATTTTCAGTTAAAATATTTTTTACATGTCTAATATAGTTATTAATTTAAATATAATTGTAGGAATTTGAGATGAACAAAAGTTTTACGACTGGTGCTGAAATTCGAAATTTGTAGACTGAAAAATTCTCCGAACTTTCTAGTATAAAAATTAGGAATTTTCCGGATTCTATACTTCCAACACAGTCATGTCCCCTAACCTCAAAAAAGATCAAAAATCAATTATTTTCAGTATTTATATTCACTCTGCTGTCACTGCTTGGAAACAATGTTTGAGAAGAATCAAAATGCCTGATGCTGTTTTAAGTATTGTGTAAGTTAGAACAACTTTTACCAAAATGTGATATCCTAAATCGCTCTAAATTTTGCAGACATTACAAAGGTCGCCTATTCGCTGCTCTTGCCAATGGCACAATTGCTATATTTCATAGAAATAAACATGGGGAATGGTCGGATGAAGGATATCATTCACTTCGAGTTGGAAGTGCCACGTCATCAGTTCGATCACTTTGTCTAGTTTCGTCAAACATTTGGGCGACATATAAAAACTGCGTGGTTGTGATCGATGCCGAAAGTTTGCAAATTGTGGTGAGTTTTTAAAAAGGGCTAAAATGTGGCTAAAGAATGACTAGAATTGGCACTTAACAGTCAAGAGAAAATTCACTCTAGCAGAAAAAGAAAATGCGCTCTAGCGATGAACTAGAAAATGTGCTCTAGCGAAAAAACGGAAATGTCTGATCTAGACAACGATCGACTTTTATCGCAGAGAAACGTGACCTGAGTTTCAGACGAAAAATAAACTTTTGGATGAACTTACAGATTATCAAAGCTCCTCCCACAGCTCTATGTGATAAATTTTGATCGGACACTTTTTTTCGAAAAAAACTTAGTTTTGGTTCAAAAACCTATAAGTGAAAGAAAGTGGAAATGGAGATACTTCAGATATATCGGAAATTTTTGAATTTTCAAATTGCACAAACTAATTTTACAGAAAGTCTTCTCTGCACACCCTCGAAAAGACAGCCAAATCAGAAATATGCAATGGGTTGGAGCTGGAGTTTGGCTCTCAATTCGACTAGATTCAACACTTCGACTTTATCACGCACACACTTTCGAACATCTTCAAGATGTTGATATTGAACCATACGTCACTAAAATGCTGGGAACTTCGAAACTTGATTTTTCGTATATGAGAACTACGGCCTTATTAGTTTCCAATCGAAGATTATGGATTGGAACTGGAACTGGTGTTGTTATTTCTGTGCCATTTACTGATAGTAAGTTTTACGACTTTGCTAGAAAAAATAAAAATAACTTGATTTTAGAATTAGAGACGAAAGTGGATACAAAAGATGCAAAAGGTCCTGGAGGACTTGTTCGAGTTTATGGAACACCGAAAACAAGTTCGGAGAAGAGTGAGGCATTTGTGCCGTATTGTAATTTGGCACATGCTCAATTATCATTCCATGGACACAAAGATAGTGTCAAATTTTTCCTTGGCGTACCAGGTGCCACTAAAAATGGAGATGATGAATCGGCTGAAGTCACATTGAGAAGAATGTTGATCATTTCGGGAGGAGATGGTTATATTGATTTCAGGATAGGTTAGCTTTTTGGGGATATTTTCTGGAAATCAATGTTAGGAAGATAGCTTATCGTAAAGAAATACTTGAGTTGAAAATGGCCAACAGTTTTCAATCACAAATCACCGTAAAAAACATTGGGAAGGACCTAAAGAAATTAACTAACATAAATATATCAAAATTAAGAAACTAAAATAAGTTTAACGACCAACTTAAATTTAAATCTTGAAGAAATTTTCCGATTTAAAAAATCCGGGAGTTTTTCGGTAGAGACCTTTTGAAATTTTTCGAATTGTGTTTTTTCACTGGAAATTACTTGAAATTGTTCAATCAGTGTGTTAAACTATAATCTGCTATATTTTTCAATCGAAAAAACCGAATGAACTTTTTGCAGGAGAAGAAAATGAACCGGAATCAAAAGGACAAACAATTCGACCGCGAGATATGTCACATTTGATTATTTGGGAAATCGATGCCGAACTACCAATTCTTTCCAAATAATTTTCAAAACTAATTTTACCCAACTGATGTTTAAATGATCTCATTATATATTGCTTTTCGCATTTCATTTCATTTTTAGTTGTTTTTTGATTGAGAAAAATGGGTCAAAAATTTCCCCCCTCTAACCTAGTCTAACTGTGTATATTGCTTTTTTTCAAAAATAAAATGAATAAAATGTACTTTATGAAGTAGATTTATTGATTGAAATTTCTTGACTTACTGATCTTCGTTTTTCTTCGAAATCAACAACTCAGTTTTTCATAGAAAATTTGGAAAATTGAACTTCTACCAAATTGGTCAGGTCACGCATCTCATCTTTCTATTTTCCCATTTAAAAAAGAAAACAAATCACTCATTTCTGATTCCTACCTTATTCTAATGAAGTCGATAAACATTGAGAAAGTGAGTTGGATTACTGTAGATAGTGATACGTAGTTCAAATTCAGATATTTTAATGATATGATTATTTATCTGATTTTCGTGAGCCTACCGTGAGTTTTTGTACTATTACTCGAGCTTGCTGTATTCAGTGGATAACATTTCAAAAATTAGGGAAAAAATAAATTTGTTTTGAAATTTGAGTTTTCTCATTATGAGCTGAAAATTTTCCGAATTTCTGAAATATGTAATACACGAGCAATATCAAGGAGGAGTTAACTTTTTTATCTCAAAGGTCATGAAACTAGTAATTATTGTATTTTGCCAGTCTAATAAGTAAAAACAATTGTTTGGAAAATAAGTATATCCACACATACCCGCCTCACGGCGGCAGAAAACTACATATTTTTCGCCTCACGGCAATAAATCATGTCTTCAAAGTACCTCACGGCGTTTGAATAATTTACCCGCCTCACGGCGGCCAAAATTGTAGTTTTCCCGCCTCACGGCAATATATGCTTCAAGGGTATTGAAGTATACCCGCCTCACGGCGGCTGAAAATTACAGTTTCCTTGCTTCACAGCAGAAAATGGTTCTTTAAAGTACCTCACGGCGTTTAAAGAATTACATTTAGCTCACCTCACGGCGAAAAGAAACTGCAATTATTCTCGCCTCACGGCAATATATTCAAAATGGCTTATTTCCAATTTTAGACAAAAACATTAGGCTGGCAAAAAAACAATTAAAAATTAGAAACTGGTGATTCTATAGGAAACTCACAATCAGCTTTAAGGTGACCGTTCTACATAAGCACTATATCAACAACTTATTCTATGTTCACTGCAAAAGAGTCATTCAGGTTTTTAATTTCAAAAAATGACCAGGTCAAGTTTCAATTTTCAGTTATTTTTGATTCCTACCTTATTCTAATGCAATCCGTAAATTTATTGAGAAAGTCAGTAGGATTACTGTAGATATTATGACACGTTGTTCAAAATTTCAGATTTTCCGACGATTTTTGATTATTTATCAAATTTGGCGAACCTATCGCGATGAAAATGTGTTTGGAAAATCCAGAAAATGATTTTTTAATATTATTAATTTCAATATATCCGAATTTGGGAGAATTTTCTTAGATTTTCAAATTCGGGAGAGAACTTTCTGAAGTTTTCGGCGTGAATGAACAAATTCAAGATAAACATTAGCTTTTTGGTGCGAAAATTGAAAACTTGGGTAAATCTTTTGATTTTTCCGTTTTTAGGTTTCATCTCTCCGTGACAGGATTGATTCCGAGCAGAAGTAAATTGATACTGAAATTTCAGTAAACCAGAGTGTAAAAAATTCAACTAGAAATAAAAACAGCTACATTTTTAGTTTTAAAAATAAACAGGAACATTGAAAAGTTGATATTAACAACAGCAACAGGCTTCAATTGTGATAGTGATCTTCGGAATTAGAAAAATCCCACATTTTTGATAATTCTTCAACTTTTTTCTGTTGGTCGAAATGCTTGAAATCAATAAATGTTGAGATTTTGTAGATAACAATCTCACAGCGGGATCTACGAAAAATTTATGATTAGTAAAATTTAAGATCAATCGTAGATTTGCAAATAAATACATTCGGGATACTGGAGATTTTTTCGAAGCGCTCGATATCAAAAGTGGGCGTTCGGAGGGGTTTTCCATCCCCGTAAGAAGTCAAGTCCGCAATGGTGCAGTGCTATTTTTGACGAAATATGAATAATCTTAAAGTTGTTCTCAGTTTATCGACGAATAATGTTCCAAGATTTGCTCAAGCGAACACGTGTCGAGAAAAAAACTACGTAGATTAAATGGGGAAGAAGTGGCCACGAGGCAAACAATGGTACAGGATTACTTGGGGCAATATTTTTTAGCCTGAGGTGATCTATTTACTAGCTTAATCTAATTTTACAAAACCTAAAGAGTTACTTCGAAAACTCTAAATCATTTCAAAATATATTAAAATCATCAAACTGTTCAATTACAAAAATATCGAATATCGATGATTTTCAAGTCTAACGTTACTTTCTGATGAAGAATTGTTCCAAATTCAATAGAAAGTATCAAATACTAATGTTTTTGTCAAAATCTCTTATCAATTCAGATTGTCAAACTGAACACTTTTAAAATCCAAATCAAACTGTTAAAATTGCCTAGCAACTGAGAAATAATATATATTTGAAGTGGAAGACCTCTCATAAATCAAGCAGCCAAAATTTTTTTTAATTTTTGGATTTCGAGAAAAAAAAATGGGTTTTTATTTGAATTATAAAAAAAGACTAATTAATGCAAATCTTGAAAATTCGATAAATTGAGAAAAGCTTTTTCTCAATCTATAACTTTCAAGATTTCAAATTAATCTATTTTTTAATCTAAGGAAACCCCATTTTTAGAACTAATTCCAAACTAGCCTAAATATGCGCAGACTAGAGACTGCGTCTAACTAAAGTTCAAATTTTCCAAATATTTTTTGAGCATTGTTGTTATACTAATTTTCAGTTTATTCAAACTGAGTTTAATTCTGACCTATTTCATCTAAAAAATGGTGTCAGAAGACTCTGAATTGCCATTCAGACTAACCATACCAGATATTCGTTTGTTTTTTCATCTTTCCCATTCCAATGTGCATATTCTGGTGAACAAAACCTATTTGTTGCACCCGAATCTTTGTTGTTTAATTGAGGGTGCTCAATCCTCGTTCATTGTGTTCTATTATTGTTGTTTGTTGCGTTGTGAGAAAAAAAAAGAAAAAATCAAAGCGGCCGCCGCTGCGAAAACCTATTTCAAATCTGCTCAAGATTTCATAAATGAAATCGAGCACGATTTGAGGGGAATTTTAACTTATTATCTTATCACCTACAACTCAGATCTAAGATAATCTGGTGACCCAAATTCTCCAACAGGTGCAAAAATGAAAATGAAAACTTTCTAAATGATCTCGATTTTATTTATGAAATCTTAAGTAGATTTGGTTTTCGCAGCGGCGGCCGCGTTGATTTTTTCTCACAACGCAACAAACAACAATAATAGAACACAATGAACGAGGATTGAGCACCCTCAATTAAACAACAAAGATTCCGGTGCAACAAATAGGTTTTGTTCACCAGAATATGCACATTGGAATGGGAAAGATGAAAAAACGAATATCTGGTATGGTTAGTTTGAATGGAAATTCAGACTCTTCTGACACCATTTTTTAGATGAAATGGGTCAGAATTAAACTTAGTTTAAACAAACTCAACATTTGTATAACAATGCTCAAAAAATATTTGGAAAATTTGAACTTTGGTTAGACGCAGTCTGAAGTCTGCGCATATTTAAGCTTAGGTTGATTTTTAGAAAAATTTTAAATTATGGTCCTGCAATTGAGAATATAGATATCTGACATTGTGAGGTGGATGATATTCATGTCTAGATAAATCGAACTCATATTAGAAGTCGAGATACAATTTCGTTGAGTTTTTGGGAGAAAGTTTAAAATATTTAATCTAATATCTACGGTTTATTTTAGCTGGAATCATTTTATTTGAGAGAAAACTCTCAAATTTACTAAAAACGCAAAGTCCGTGAAAACCCTCTAAGGGGGTCGGTATCGGCTCAGAATCCATCGCTCTATCAAGTTCGGAATCATAAACTTTATCGAATCGGAAACCAATACTTATCATCAGAATGATTGGTTACACTATCTCAAAGTTTGGATCCACTACTTTCAAAGCATAAAGGTAATTCTTTCGCTTACCCAGTTATTCCTAATCGAGAATTTCCACGGCTTCAGCGCAAATAAATTCAAAAAAGGATAAACAACCAGCTAAAATAAACTGTGGATATTAGGACAATGGTCGTTCACAAAAGAAGGTTTGTATTTTTATTCTCCCAGTCTCACCCGATTAAATATTTCAACCTTTCTCCCCAGAGTCCAAAAACTTAAATAAATTGTATCACAACTTCCAATATGAATCCGATTTGTCTAGACATGAATATCATCCACCTCCGATATCAATAATTTCTCAATTGCAGGCTTTAATTTAAAATTTTTCTAAAAATCAACCTAAGCTTACTAAAGTTCAAATTTTCCTAATATTTTTTGAGCATTGTTATACTAATTTTCAGTTCAGTCAAACTGAGGTTAATTCTGACCTATTTCATCTAAAAAATGGTGTCAGAAGACTCTGAATTGCCATTCAGACTAACCATACCAGATATTCGTTTGTTTTTTCATCTTTCCCATTCCAATGTGCATATTCTGGTGAACAAAACCTATTTGTTGCACCGGAATCTTTGTTGTTTAATTGAGGGTGCTCAATCCTCGTTCATTGTGTTCTATTTTTGTTGTTTGTTGCGTTGTGACAAAAAAAGAAAAAAATCAACGCGACCGCCGCTGCGAAAACCTAAATCAAATCTGCTCAAGATTTCATAAATGAAATCGAGCACGATTTGAGGGAACGTATGATTTTCAAACCCAACTTAGATCTAGAATAATCTGGTGGAAATTTCTACCCTTATTTCATACCCCGAATAAAATGGGGTAATAATAGCTCACAGAACTTGTAGCTCTTAATAAAAATTATTTAGAGATATCAGTTCTAAATATCAGATAGAAATTACAAACCCACTAAAAATCACTCAAATATCCCAATTCGGAATCTGGAAGCTACTTTAAGCCCAATCCCACGTTAAACGTTACTTAAGCTTATTCTATTTGCAATTCATCCCCTTCACACACAAGCGTATGCATCAGGAGAGCTCAAAAAAGCTCGATCCTGGCACAAAATTCAGACTATTTAGTCGAAAACGCGCGTTTAAAAGAAAAAATGAACCGATTGTGAAATGACGGCGTCCTTCGACCGAAAAAATCGATTTTTTCAATCAAAAATGTTGGATTTTCGCGGGTAGGTCAAAAACTAGAAAATAAATTAACAAATTTTTTTGCAAATTAATTTGCAAAAAAATTTGTTGGTGGCCAAAAATAAATTTTTGAAAAAAAATAATTCTTGGCGACTGCAAACACTTTGACGAACAAATGCACATGCACATCCATAGAGCGCGTTTGCAACATCACCCTTTTTTGCTTCCGTTTTTTCATTTCTCGTGTTTCTTCGGTTCGAGAAATGGTTACAATGGGTGGTCAAGCTTTACCAGTTGGTTCGATAGTCGCATTCAATACGATTAATAATGGTCAAGTTGAGGGACAGGTTGTTTGTTTTGATCCAGCGTTGAAAGTAAGTTGATTTTGCGAGATATTTGTAAAGAATAAACGAAAATTCTGCAGGTTCTAGTTATCCGCAACAAGGATTCGGTGTCGAAAAAACCAATTCTTCGAGTTTTCAATATGTCTTCCGTGTCAGAGGTCAGTTTTTCGGGAGAAAACTTAGATACACCAGAAACAAGAAACATTTTGCAGATACGATTGAAATCAGAGCCAACAAATGTTCAAGTGATTGAAGAACTTCTCTCATCTTGCAACTTCACTGGTAAAAAAGTTCACGAACGTATTTCTACATCAATCGCTCTTCGAAGTACTGAATTGATGCCATCTGACAAAATTTCGATACATGGTCAAAAAGCGTTTCTGCAACTGAAGAAAACTATCGCAGATACTCTTTGGGATGGTGAAAACATTCGAGTTGTTGGTTTAATTTTAGTCAAATCACCATACAACGGAGACAGTGTTGAGATTATCAAATCGGTGAGGAGATTTTTGAAGTTTCTCATGAAAAATCTATTTTGCAGGAAGTCCGCTCTGATTCTGATGATTCGAAAGCGCGTACAGCTTTAGCACAAGTCCGAAAGATTCTCTCCAAACCATTTTCATCCTACGAAGAACGTCAACGTCCCGAATTTCTTCAATCTACACAAATCCCGGTCTGAACGTGTTTTCTTTTCTTTTTCTTTATTAATTATCATTTCTTTCTCGTCGTCGATTATTTCCCCGTGGCTCTTTTTTTTGCAGAAATACTTTATTTATATAATGCATTCTTTTGGTTGAAAATTGAGAATGTTCTTTCTTTTTTATCTGAAATTACTTGGTTTCAAATACCATAATTATCTGAAAATGAGGAGAAGCTGGGTGTGAAAATAGGGATTTTTATAGAATGTCGGATGATGTTCCAGAATTATCAGCAGACACATTGGCTGCGTTGGCAGCATTTAGAGCTGAACAAGAAGCAAGTTTGACAAATGAGAATGCTTCTATCAGTGAAGATTGGCAGGTTTGTAATTATTCGAACATGAGCTATGACGTGGCAAGCGTTTTGAGTGGAGAAATCTGAATTGTTCCGGAGGAACTTTATAAAAAAAAATTAAAAACAAACTGCCACGTCATAACTGATCTTGAGCTAATACGATTTTCAACATTGTTTTCAGCTCTCTCAATTTTGGTACAACGATGACACATCTCGAAAACTAGTTCGCGAAGGCATAACAACAGCTCTGAAAAATGTGCAAAATTCCGAGATTCCCTATATCGGATGTGTTTCTTCTCCAACACTTGTTAGATTTTTCCACGAGACCGAGGTATATCCTAATCCTTTTTTCTTCAAAAAAAAAGAAATATATATAGAAAAACTGAATAAGCCGATTATTCTTTCTCTGTCTGCTCACTTCTCACATGATAATCCTTCTCTGCTCAAATTCTTAAAGTATAATGTTATTTTTTTGCAGGAATACAAATCTGGTAAATTTCATTTGCGATTATTCGAGTACGATGATCGATTTGGTTTGAAGTTTCCTGATGAATTTGTGCATTTCGATTATAAATCACCCACCGTTCTTCCTCCTGAATTGGTTGGAAAATTCGATGTGATTATTGCTGATCCACCATTTTTGGCTGCAGAATGTTTGATTAAAACCGCACATTCTGTTAGATTATTAGGAAAACCTGATGTGAAAATTGTTTTGTGTACTGGAGCTATAATGGAGGATTATGTAAGCATTTTATGGTTTCTTCATGAACTTTCAAATTTATATTTTTTAAATAGTTGTTCTTCTAGAAAATGAGGCTATGGTCGCTTCAAAATTTTTCTCAAACCTGATCTGCTCCGATTCCTACTTTTTAGAAAAATATATGTTTCCTAGTAGTTTCTAACCTGTCAATAACGATCCCGTCGTCAAACATTTCAGAATTCACCTCCTAATATAAGTTTTGACGTGGCAAACTTATTGTTAGAACAATTTGTAAAATCTAGAGTATACGAAGTTATGAAGTCTCGATTTCTCAAAATGCTCAACTTTTGCCACGTCATAACAACGAGATGAATTCTCCAATTTTTGACGAAATGATCGTGATCAGCTGGTCAAAGCTTACTAGGAAACTTGTATTTTATTAAAAATTTCGAGGGAAAGGTGAAACAGTTCCCTTGACAGGTTTTGGGAGAACAATTTTGAACAGAGCCAGATTCCTGGAATACGTTTCAAAAACTCAAGTATCCCCTTCATACATCATTTTTCCTTTCAAATCTTTCACAATATGAATTATTTCAGGCCGCCCGATTATTAGCAATGCATCGAACAGAATTCGAGCCCAAACACGCTAATAATTTAGCCAACGATTTTGCATGTTTCGCCAATTATCAAACTTTCACATTATAATCATAACCACTTCCTTTTTTTCTTGCTTATGTTAGTCTTGTTTTCTCATCGTTTTTGTTATTATCTTGATGTCCTTTCTTTTCCTTCCTTTTCTCTGTTCTGTTCTCCCGGTTTTTGTTGATTTTTCATCTGAAAATGTTGTTATCTTTTGCCGTTTCTTCGATATTTCTTTTTTTTCAAAATTGAAAAGTGTTGATTTTTCACTTTTATTATTTATTTTTAGACCTCAATGGAGGTTTTTTAGTTAGAAAAAACATGATTTTTGCAGGTTTCAACGATCTGATGTGACTTGTGTGAACACCTTCTTCAAAAATTTAATTTATTGTGAGTTTTTTTGATGATTCAAACTCACAATGAAACTTTACTGGATTTCATATCAGTAAAATTTCTAGTGACTCAAAAACGGCTTTTCCCTAAAAATCAATATTTCCAGTGTATACCGTGTATACTTGCTTGTTTTCACTTTGATTATTTTCATCACTACGTGATTTAACTTACCAACAACTTTCGCAAAAAAAAATGGCGCCAACTGGACAAGGAGGACAATGGCAAGATGTTTTGTGTTGTTCACTGTGTGGACAACATTTCGAACTATCTTTTCCGCCGATAAGTTTGATATGCGGACATGTTATATGTGGAAAATGTGCTGATCTACCGAATTCACAGGAAAAACCATGTCCAAATGATGATGTGAGTTTTTTGAAATTGAAAAAAACTTGCGTTATGATGTGACGAAATTTGAACATAGTTTAATAACTTTCGAACTTTTGCCACGTCATAAATCCTGTTCGTCGTTTGCTGAACCATTCCTCTCTTATCACTTAATATTTTTCAGTGGAAGCCAAGTTTTGCTGTGCGATCATACCCAATAAACATCGGCCTTCTTTCAATTATAATGCCTGATGAAAATTGCATGCGGTATTCGGATTCGAAAGACGTAAGATTCCATCAAGTTTACAGAAACATAACAATTCCAAGCTTTTTCAGAATATTCAAAAATCAATAGATGAATCAATGATAGAAATTGCAAAATTCTTCAAAAGAGCCGGAAGTGAAAGAGGTGGAAGTGTTTATTCTCAAAGATTATCTCGAACTCTCCAAAGAAAAGTAGTATCACTTTTATGTTATCAATGGATTGAAATGGATGGTCGAGTTAAATGTTTAAAAGCTTGTCGAGCAATAACAGAAAGAATAATGACAGAAGTATTATTGATGATACAAAGTAATACACATATAAGTAGCCAATTATGGTCAGCTGTAAGAGCAAGAGGTTGCCAATTCCTGGGACCAGCAATGCAGGAAGATGTTCTTCGATTGATATTAATCACTTTGGAAAATGGTGAAATGATTGCAAGAAAGAATTTGGTGATGTATGTGGTGACAACTTTGGAACAGGATTATCCGCAAGTTTCGAAAACTTGTGTTGGACACGTTGTTCAATTACTTTATCGCGCTTCTTGTTTTAATGTGATCAAACGGGATGGAGTTTCATCTTTGATGCAATTGAAAGAAGAATTTCGGACTTATGAATGTCTTCGACGAGAACATGATTCGCAAATTGTTCAGATTGCATTTGAGTCGGGTTTGAGAATTGGGCCAGATCAATGGTCCGCTCTTCTTTATGCTGATCAAGCACATCGTTCACATATGCAAAGTATTATTGGTAATTTTTTTTTTGAAATTGGGGCCGATCTAATATTAATCAAAAGTTTAGTGAAATAAAATGGAAATATATTGAAGTTTCAAACAGATTTTTCCCAAAGCATTTGGCATGTCATAACTCTTTTTCTAACTCTAAAATGTTTCAGATAAACTTCAATCGCCAAATTCGTACGCTCAATGCATCGAAGAACTAAATACAGCTCTATCCTCAAGCACATCAGTTCTTCTCCCAAAAATCCGACAATTGATAAAAGATATGATGCCATTGCTAACTATTTTCAACGAAATACCCAATGAAAATCCAACATTTCAACAATTAGAAGATTATCTGCAAAATTTGTTGACAGTTTTACGATTGCACACAGAACAATTGGATAAAGAATATCACAATTTATCAAATAATGAAGATCCGAGAAGATTTAAAGCAACGAATAGCGCTGATTTCAGATTCAAGACAAAAATGTGCACAAATATGGAGAAAAATGGGCATTGTGATAGAGGACAACAATGCTCTTTTGCTCATTCGAAAGATGAATTACGAGAAAATCCAGGACGGAGAGTTCCACAAAATCAACCTCAACAACAACAAATAACTCCTTCACATTCAAATTCTTCAACATCATCTTTTCCTCCACCAACACCTCTTCACAATTTCAATCATCAATTCGGAATAATTCGACGAGTTCCTCCCACACCTCCACCCCAAATGTTAGCTTATCGAAAACCATCTCCTCATTTCTATCATCCACATAATATGTCATCTCCACCGCCGCCAATTCAACACCAACAACAATCTTCACAACATCGTTCAACTCCACCAATTCAACAAGTTATTGTCGGTTTTCCTTCCGATGCTCCGCCAGCGCCACCAATTCAAACTGGAAACCCGCTGCCACCTCCGCCAAATGGACTAATGTTGATGTCGTCACCAACGGGACAGGTTATGATGGCTGCACCTGCACAACCCCCACCAAATGCAATGTGGGCAACTGCAGCGCAATCACCAACCGGGCCGCCTAATTTGATTTTCCCGCCTGGAGCATCGCCGCCAGGACAACATACTGTATGGATACAATCGTAAGTTAAAAAAAATATTTCAGTTTATAGTTTCAGATGTTTACCTGTTTCAAAATAGGATGATTCCAAAAAAATTGATTTTTTGGAAATCTCAAAATTTCTTGTTTTCTTCAGAAAAGTTCTATAAAAGTTTCTGAATTTGTTTTCTATGCTCTCAATTAATTTTTTCTATTTTTCAGATCACAAACTTCAATTTTCCCTATAGAATCCTATGAATATGGAGGTTTGATTTGGGGAAATACAATTCGCGAATCTGGAGCAGATGCCGAACAATTATTGGCGAAAAGAAATGAAATTATCAAGTAAGTTTTTCTTGTTAGATACGTGGATTTCACAAAAAATTTCAAAAATTAACCAAATTATTTTGCAGCCGTTTACAACCATCGAGCGCCGATGACGAAGATTGTGAAGATGGCATTATTGGACACGTTTCGTATACAGTTGCATCTTCGGTTCTCGATGATTCTCGAATTGATGGACATCATCCGATTTTATTGGGACTCACTCCAGGACAACCCATGGATCTTCCCGTCACATTTTCAGCGATTCAAAATGATGATAACACTGTGTAAGTTGGAAAAATAATGAGAAATAAATACATTTTTAAAAATCTAGGTCTAGGTGAAGCTCACTCAATAACCTATCAAAATGAAAGTGAAAATTAAAGTTTTAATAATTTTCCTCTGAATTTTAGGTTCACTGTTTGGGAAAAATGATATATTTTTATCTTGGAAAATTTGACAAAATTTAAATTAGACGAGATTAATATTTGATTTTTTGCAGAACAATGATAGGAGAAGTTGTTCGTCCACGTGCTCCATCGCTCACTCAACCACCACCTCTAATCGCTCCTCAAATAATCTCCCCACCAACCGGATATCATCCAGATGCTCCAAATGTCGATGTTCCCATCGCAACTGTTGTCACAACAATTCCTCCACCAATTGCACCTGGTGCTCCACCAATGATTGTCGATAGTGCAACTGGTCTTTTGACACCAATTATTGGTCCAATAATTGTGCCAACTTATCCACAAGATGTTGTGTCGAATTCAATCGATAAAATAGTGGATGTTATGGAAAGATTGAATGAGGCACAAGAAAATGGGAATGTTTCGGATGCCGAAAATGAGCATTTGAGAATGGAATTGAGAATTGCTGAAAATGAAATGGCCAATTTGGATCCGTACACGAAAAATAATTGCCTTTTGAGAGAATTGCAACAAGTTGATATGGAATTACAACAACTTCGAATTGAACCAACCAGAACTCAATAACACTTATTTTTTATTTTTCTTCTTTTTTTGTTGTTGTAATTTTGAAAGCTCGAAAATTTTCAGAATATCAAAATTATTCACACAACCCCAATTTCCCACTGTATTATTCGTTTAGTATTCAATATTTTATTCAAAGTTTATATATTTATTCACTGATAAATTTATTTGCATGTTCCAGAAAAAATGAAAATGGAAATTGAGAATATTCTATAGAAAAACCGGTTTTGAACCCGGAGTTTTGAAAAATTATTTATTTTTTAACAGATTTCATTGGTATGTTTTTTATAATTTGTACTTTTTTACTGATTTTGTCACCATAAAAAATTCGCGGACGACAATTAAAAAGTTGCGAAGTTTTTTTCTTGAAAAATGTTATTAATCTGAACCTTCAAGTTTCAAATCAAATCTAAAAAGTGAAAAAAATTGCAGTATTCAAAAAAAATAGCCACATTTAGGATAAATCGAATTTTCGAGAGTCGGAATAGGAACATTTCGAAACAGTAGTACGATTTTTGTAAAGAAATCTTTCTGTATTGAAAGAAATTAATTAATTTTTAGCAATTTTAAAACGTGCCCTAGAAAACAGTCTAATGTTATTTTTAATGTATTCAATCATTTCGCTAAAATGTAGTGTATAGAAATGCCCGAGATCTCATTTTTTGCCATCCGGAAAATCAGGCCAAAAATCCGCAATTTTTTGTCAATGATCAACAAATCAAATGATTCGTTTTTGAGAAATAGAAATGGAAGATGATATTTCATTACTTGATACAACAAATGCTTCAATGGATGCAAATCTTCTAACAAAAGCATCAAACGATGAAATTGTTGTGCTAAATGAATCGGGATTTGATGAAAATATCACTGAAAAAGACGGTGTTCCAAATATTTGTGAGACTGGTTATGATTGTATTCGATATATGGGAGCATGTTCAGCTGGTTTTGTATATTTGGGAAAAAGTAGGAAAGGATTGCGAGATTTTGTTGCGATTAAACGATTTAGAGTTGAGGAACCGGAGGAATATGCAATGATTGCGGTGAGATTTTGGAATTTAGAAAAAATATATCTAGGAAGTCTGATTGTTCGAAAAATCCAGAATTCCCTTTTTCTTTTGCAGAAAGAAGCATCAAATATGAGAATGTTATCACATCCAAATATTCAAGAACTAGAAAGTTGTTTTGTTTATGATCATTCAATTTATATGATAACTCCAGCAATGAATTTGGGATCTTTGAAAGATTTATTATCGAATTGGCATATGTTTGGAATCACTGAAAAAGCGGCTGTTTGTATATTTGGACAAGTTATTGATGCACTTTTTTATATTCATAAAAAACGATATGTTCATAGGTTAGTTTGGATTTTTGAAGAAATCTTGATTTTAAGAAGCCTAACTCTAGCCATAATCTAACTTTAAAAAAATATAATTTCTAAATTTGCAGAGATATTCGTCCACGTCACATTCTGATCGATTCAACAGGAAATGTAAAATTATCAGGATTTCGTCACATGATCGAATTAAATTATCGACTAGATTGTGTATTCGAATTCGACACTCATTTACACAATCAAATATATTATTTTGCACCCGAATTACTCGCTCAAAATATGCATGGATATGGCACAAAATCCGACATTTATATGCTTGGAATAAGTTTGTGCGAAAGTTTGAATGGATTGATTCCGTATGTCGAAACAGAACCATTGGAAATGTTGCATTTGAAAATGAGAGGAAGAGTTCCCCGACCAGTTGATTCGACGAGTTTGAGAGATGATCAAAAAATTGGAATTGATATTTGTAAGAGCTTTATTTTTGCTGTGAATAAATTGAATCACAAGTACTCTTTTGCAGCGGGAAGACCCAAAGAACACTTGGAACGAACTTTTTCACCGGAATTACATGATTTTGTTGGAAAAACACTGATTCAGGATGCCGAACATCGGCCATCTGCCAGAGAATTGAAAGAATCTGCGTGGATGAATTTTAAAACCTATAAACTTGCCAAAAAAGCGGATTTGATTGAAGAATTGAAGTTGAATGCGGCCGATTTTGATTTGAAACGATTTGAGCAGGGTGAGAGCATTTTTAGGGGAAATTTTGAAGGTTTTTCATTGAAAGATGTGAAAACTTGTTCAAAAATTTTAAAATGTTTGAAGTTATGTTTTTCCTGGAAAAATTACGTTTCACGTGATTTCGAAAATTTATTGGAAATTTCAATTTTCAAGGAATAGAGATTTCAAACCTGGACAGACATGTTCAAAAACTGTACATAATATTTTTTGGACACCAGATGTCCAGGTGTGAGAGATTTCATCTCTTGTCTTTCTTTTCTCTCTTTTTTTTAACCATAAAATTGTGTTGCGAAACACATAGCAAATAACCAGGGAAATGTCGGTCGCTCATTTTGACTAGGGTATATAACCACATTTTCATTTTATAATTTTCAATACAATCGGTCCGGAGTTGTTGGGTTATCTGAAACCCCCAGCAACGCTCACTTGACTGCTTGTGTTTTTGCAATTTATTGGGAGATATGACGTGTCAAATTTTAAATTTTTTGAAATAAGTTTGCTTTTTTATTCATTTTTAATTATTAAAAAAAACTGCTGACCCCCAAAATTAACAAATCGTGGGCGAAATTTTAGCGTGGTATTTATTTATCACTTTTTCGCCCCAAAATTATCATATAATTGTTATTTTTAACAAATAATTAATTAGTCAAGCGTTACTAATTAATTTTTTTCTTTTTTCTAGAATAATATGCACGGTCATCAATATGACGCGAATCATTTTTTTTCTTGATAATAATTTGATGTTTTCGATATGCTTTCAACTGTGGAAATTAGTCATTTCGTGAAGAATTTAGAGAACTTGAAGTTAATTTCGGTTGAATGGATTTGTCACGAGATGTTTTTCGAGAAGAAGTAATCATAGATTATTAAAATCCAATTTAGAAAACACTCTAAATAGAATTTTCATGGTAAAAAACTGGGAAAAACATAATAAAATTTGCCACCACATAACTCAATAAAATACAAAAAACACAAGCAGTCAAGTGAGCGTTGCTGGGGGGTTTCAGATAACCCAACAACTCCGGACCGATTGTATTGAAAATTATAAAATAAAAATGTGGTTATAAACCCTAGTCAAAATGAGCGGCCGACATTTCCCTGGCTATTTGCTATGTGTTTCGCAACACTTTTTTTGGTTTGAAAAAAGAAAGACAAGTTATGTAATCTCTTACACCTGTACATCTGGTGTCCAAAAATATTTTGTAAACTTTATGAAAATGTTTTTCAAGTGTGAAGTATCTATTTCTTTGAAAATTTGAAAAATGGGAATCCAAATAAAATTTGAAAACCTTGAAATTTTTATTTAATTTTTTCTTCGAAATCACGTGAAACGTAATTTTTCTAGGAATTTTTTATCAATACTCAGCACTTGACTCTGTAGACTGACTGTACAAATTGAAGAAGTGTGAATACAGCGAATGAACGCTGTACCTACACTTTTTTCCCGAAAATCGTAGGTTCATTTTATCTTCAGCGTAGCTACGAAAAAATCAAATTCGTAGCTACGCAGATGATAAATCGTTATTACGCACACCTGAAATTCTGACGAGAGCTGCCAAGCGTCACACAATCAGAGATGAAAACGTAGGTACAGCGTATCTACGCTGTAGCTACACAATTCGCGGACAGAAATTAAGTGAAGTGACCGCTCTATAAATATTATTTTTGAATCCGTAGCTACGCCGTTGCTGTTCTGTAGCTACTTTGTAGATAAACGGATGTTACTTATGTGCAATTCTCTCTTCCCCGTTTCCGTACAAAGTATCAACGAAATTTGTACAGTCAGTCTACAGAGTCAAGTGCTGAGTAATCTAATGGGATTAATAATTTTTTAAAATAAATCCAAATTTAAAATAAAATAAAATCATGTGAATTGGCCAAAGTTTGTCCGGGTGAATATTAGCGCTGAAAATCTTTAAAAAAATTTCTCTTCGAAATTCAGAAAAAGTTCAAAATTAATTTGGAAACAGTGTCTCATTTCCAGAACCAATAATGCCAATTCCTCCCGTACAAACATATCAAATAGCTTTTGATTATTCATCAATCAATTAGTCTTTCATTTAGTTTCAATTTGTATTTATTTTTTACTTATTTATTTATCAATCATTTCATTCGGCTGCTTTTTTCTTCTGATCTATACATTATTTTTTTGGTTTTGGCAACTATGAATGCTCTTCATTCATTCATTCAGCACACAAAAAAGGACAAGAAAAATCGGGAGAAAAAGAAAGAAAAAACAATAAATTAGGAGGTTTTCGACAACAGTTTTAGGGTTCCATGAAAAAAGCGAAGGCTTCCTCGTAAGCTGTTCCGAGTTGATTTGTTGCCGTGCATCTCAATGGTGCACCGACTTTTGTTTCATCAGCCACAGTTAGTAAATCTCCGTTTTGAAGTTGCTGTAAATGTGAGATGCATTATTTTGAAATTTAATTAGGATCATATTGTATTTTAATTTGAAATTTTTTGAATTACAAAATAATATCGAAAACATTCCATTTAAAGGTTCGATAGCTTCAGGCCACTTCAGAAACTGATTCCGAATTTTTTTCAATAAATAACAAAGATGGTCTGATCAGAATTAGTAACCAAGTTCCATTCCTTACCATATATTCCGGTAGGGTGAGATCGACTGGTGTCAACGAGTCATCTTCGTTGACAAAACTCCAATTGATTTTTGGTTTCGGATTTCCTTCAGCTCGACATGCTAATTGAACAACTCCTTCTGGAGTTTCGACTCGACTTGATGTGAAAAATGTGATGATTGGGGGAGAAAGAGAGTTTGACGCATTACGACGAAGTTTGCATGAATTTTCTATAAGTTCTTTCGTTGATAATGTACTTGTTCAAATCTTTTCAAACCTGTCGGTTTTGTTCTATCGATTGTTACCAATGCTGTCGAAACTACAGGTTCAGAACACGGTGAAGTCGCTTGACAGTAATATTCGCCAGCTGTTGATTCGTCTAAACAATCGATTCGATATTTCGAGAGGAGTACTGATGTTCCAATTTGATTTTTCATCAATAATGATTCGAGATTCGCCGCTCGATGCTTTTCGATCTTTTTTCCTCGGTGGAACCAGGTTATTGTAGCCTGAAATAGAGAAAATTGATAAAAAAAACAAGTAGGACAGATGGCTTCTTTTGTCTGAAAACTAGTCTTATGGAAAATGTTCAGAGGGAGTAATAATTTTTCTAGACTAGACAGAGAACTACTAAAACTAATTCTAATAAGAAAACTTTTATCAGCAGGCTTAGGATGACAAAATTTCTTCGAACCTTTTTCACGTTTTATCATTAGCTGCTTGTTCTTTGTTAAATCCACGATGATGTATTTCCACATGATACTTATAATTATTCCTTATCCCGATTATACTACTATTGAGCTTATCGGATTTGAACCAGTCACCCATGGACCAAAATTTCGAATATTCAAAAACCCCACATTATTTCAAGTTAATCTAATTCATTTCGTTTTTCTTTTCATAATTTTCTCCTCATTCATGCAAATTTTCCCACAACAAATCCCCTTTTTTGGATTACTCATTTCTGTTTATCCAAAAAATATGAAAAAATTTTCCTGGAAATAAAATATCTATTGAAAAGTGCAATCGCTTGTTGACAACAATCTTAAGTACAAACCTGTGGAGTTGCGCCGAACTCGCACTGCAAAATCACTGTCGAACCCTTCTCCGATGTTTTGCTTTCCATTGGATTCAAAATATTGAGACCTGGTTTTTCCAGCAAACCATCGCAAATTGCTGTTTTCTTGAAAAAAAATTTGTTTTCGGTAATATTTCGAGAAAATTGTTATTTACCTCAAAATCTGCCGCATAATTGAGACCCAAAATGCAAGAGGATAATAAGAAGAATTGTTGGAACATCCTGAATTTAGACAAAAATCAATGAATTCAGGGAAAAAATGAAAATTCAAAAATAATATTGGGAACTTTTTCAAGAGAAGAGTAAAACAGAACGGTTGGGCAGCTAAATTCTTAAGGCAAAAATTGCACTCTAAATTTTTAATTCTAAATTGTAGAGGTTAAGGCTGTCAATGAGCTCCTAGAAAGTTAAATTGTCTAGGATCAGCGCCTAGAAAACCTAGTTCTTAAGCAGCCGCGTCTAGAGAATCTAATTGTCAAGGGTCAGCGTCTAGAATATTAAAATACATACTGGCTCTAAAAGGTGTGCACTAGCTTTAATTTTTCACGGGGTGTTTTTAAAAATTCCGAAATGTATTTCTCAAATGTAAAAAGTCAGGGAAAAACTAAATTCAGAATAAAAGTTTGGGAAACTAAAAATCTACCATTTTCTACCTGAATCACCCCTAAAGAAAAAAGAAGAAAGAGAAAAAACGTGAACTTTGAAATGCTCCAAATTTTCCGGTCTGCTTGAATCTGAAAATGAAATGGGCGGAGCTTTTTCGAAGATCTCGTAGGCGGCGGAAAATAGATAATTCTAATCTAATCACCAAAAATAGAATTCGAATTCGAGATTGCTGGTCTGGTTCTCAATCTGATGTGAGATAGAATGACATTTTCAATCTCGTTTCCTTTGCTTTGCTCCCCCGAAAAATCACCTGTCACTCACTCAAAAATAAATTGGAGTTGAGTCGAGGAGAAATTGGGTTTTCTACAATTCTTCAAACAAAATTGCAAAAAATTTAAAATAATAATAGCGCTCAATTAATTGTCTGCCATTTAATTATGTTTCACTGAACTTTTGTCGGAGAGAAAAAGTCTAGTTGGTCTAGAAAAAGTCTATTCATTCATAAAAGTCAATAATAGTTAGGATATAATCCGATTTTTCCACATAATTGCAAGGTTTCCTGAGTGGGTGAGAAATCTAATAATCTTTTGGTAGAAGTTAGATGATCTAAAAATATCAAGAAAGTCGGCGGAAGAACTTTCCGAGGCAAAAAATTGTTCAGAATGAACCCCAAGAGATCAGCAAAATTTTCCGAACTTTCGATCTTCTAAAGGTCATTGTTTGAATCACTGTGATCGAATTTCCGATCTGATTACACTACGCATTCCAGTTCACCAGAAATTAGATTTGTGATACTTTCTGATCTCAAGATAGGGCCGTTTTAGAATTTGAAAAAAGGGAAAACAAAATAGATATTTGCTAGTTTATCCGGATTTGAATGAATGAAATGAATCATTGAAATACGAATAGAAATGACAACTTTTCAAAGATCAAGATAAAAAATAAGCACGTCAGAAGGCGGGCTCGAACCAAGCTCTTATAATGCAAAAGTTATGAACTACCCAGAAGCGCCAGATTTCAGAAGCTATACAATTGAAAAAAAAAACGAAAGTTTTGAAGGTAGATGTCAATTGTATATCATACGCCAAATTTAGATCTCCATCTAGATAGAAAAATCAAAGTAAATTGTGTCTTCCTGGGAAAATATACAGCTTCCTCCCTTTTCCAAGAACTAAACAAAAAGATTTGTGAACCTCACAAACTACAAAATATACATACTTATTTGAATTAAATGAATTAGCAAGGGAAGTGTTTATAAATAATTATATTTAGGCATGCACCAACAATTTTTTCCTTATTTTAGAGGATGAAAGTAGCATTTGAAAAAAAGAGGAACAAATATTAACTAAACTGAAAAAATTCTAATAATAAGAAAAAAACGACGAAATATTTGGCATCTGCAAAAAAAGAAAATGCTCAGACTCCGCCCCTTTTTTATTACGTATTTATCTAGAGTTAGAGAACATCTGCAACAAACGAAAGATTTAAGAAATCAAAACTTATGTTAGGTTTTCCAGGCAGCAAAGAAAAGCACGTCATTTTGTTTAGGGCTTGACTTTTCATCGTTTTTCAATTAATTGTGTAAAATGTTTAATGAAGAAATTTCTATTTATTTGTGGAAAAATCTCAGCTCGTTTGAAAATTCAATTAAAACTTTTTATGGTTTTTGGTGAACCGGAAAAATCCAGCTTTTGCTGAAATTTCGTTTTCGCAGGAAGTGGAACTCGAAAAACAGATGTTTTTTTTTCTGGGAAAAAAAGTTTTGTTGGAGCAGAGCAAAAACCTTTTGGAAAATATTAATAATTTATTTTTGAACCCGTAAAGTTTAGAAATAAAAAATAAAATAAAATTATACGCATATTCCATTTTCGTTTTTGTAGAACAACGGGCAGATGGAGGCTGAAAAATTTAAATTTTTTCTAGAGATTACTGTAATTTTGGTGTCACGGGGATAAAGTTGAACTAACTTCATAGGCCCATAAATTTTCGAAAAATCTCTAGAGAACCTTTTTAGAAACAACATTTTACTTTCGAAAAATGTTAACATCCGCCTAAAAAGGTCAAAAAAGCTCGGGATTGTTTCAATTTCCGTAATCTGATAGATATTAATGTCGTAGTTGGGCAAGGATTTATTAATAAAAAATGAATGTTAAAAGGATTTGGATTATCAAAAATTGTTTAGGCAAATACTTCCGTTTTTTTTGTTGTTGTTGAAAAATATTTACTTTTGATCAAGAAAAATTAGAACTAACCACACATTCTTCTGAAAAGCACAGTGTTTGGGGGACATTGACAAGATCCATCGAGACAAATTGATCCAACACATTGTCGATCGGATATGCATCCCGATTCACCAGCGTATAATTCTAGAAAAAAATTATTAAAGAAATCTCGGAGTCGAAATCTCTCTGCTTCAAGATCTGCTGAGATTTCATATCCGAATGTTTTTTTTTAGAAAATTTGAAATTTCACTCAGAACTGTGTGCTTTCAGTGTCTTTGTTTTAAAGCTCGAAATTCTCAGGAAATAATTTTCAACAAAAAATTCCTAGACGCAATTATAATATATATTTTGACTCGTGAGAAATAGCGAGTTATGACGTGGCAAAGTTCAAAATTTCATTATTCCAGAAGTACAACTAGATAAATGTTTTAAGAAACCTTCAAGAAAAGTTTCAACAAAAAATTCAATTTTGCCACGTCATAATTTTCCTTTTCCCAACCCAAAACCTACTTTTCAAACAATCCTTTTCATTTTCATCCTCACAAATTTTCTTGAGACCATCTGACAAAGGAGAGGATAAAATCATGCGACCAGCTGCAAAAAAACAAATCCCATAAGCATTAGGAAATTTCACAAGTTAGTTTCACAAAACTCAAACTCACTGCTCAATTTCGAATATTGACAACAAATACTGTGCTTCAGGACTGGACTTTTTCTGCATATTTTTGTAGTGCATTTTGCATTCGAAGAACATCGCACCGTATTTCCAGATTTGTCAAGAAATCTAGAAAGAAATTGATAAATTTTAGGGAGAAGAAGTGAAACTCAAAACTTACGGTAAAAAGTTGGGACCACATAAATTATGCATTATAATTTTGAAAGATTTCGGTCGTTTACAACAAACATAAGCGTCGCTGGCTGTTTTAATGCAAGCTTCGGTGTCTGAAAAAAAACATTTTTGGAAAAATTTTGATTCCGAAAAAAATGACACGTGGATTTTTGTAAGTCACTCAACATTTCAGCTTAAATTCGAGACTTCTAATATTGGGACCATAATTCACATACTTCGAATGGAAAATTCCAATTCCGAAATTTATTTGAAAAAACGGTGGATTTTTGGACGGAAAAAATTTTAAACGGCTCTAGATTGTTTTGACACATGGCTTTTGCGAGAAATTCAAAGAAGTTCAGATTGTCATTTTTTTTTTTTGATAAAAAGTTGCCACGTGGAATTTTGAAAAACTGTTCAGATTTTTTAAAGCCACGTGGATTTTTATTCGAAAATCCTTACCTGCACAAGATTTGCGATTAGGAACACATAATTGTGGATGATCAATTGGATTTGAATACGGTGCTGGACACATTGTTTCATCCTCAAAAGCCGATGAATAAACACACATTTCAATACACGATTCATGATCATAAAAATGATTTTGTGGTTGATCAGATCGAATTCCATTAGCAGGTAAATATTCAAAAGAATGACATGTATTAGTTTCAGAATCATAAAAATATCGAGAAACAGTTGGGATTTTCGGATTATTTTGAGAATCAATTTGTTGTGGCGGTGGACTAGAGCAAACTAGATCTTTTTGTGGACAACAATAATTGCGATGACATTCGTAACCAACTCCACAATGCGCACATTTTTGAACTCGAATTGTTGGAAAAACTCGAGTTGGACAAATATCTTGCATATCGAATCCACAACAAATTGCAACTCGACCATTTGATTGAGATGTACACTGCAAATATATTGAAAGGGGAGCTAATAGAAACTGATATGTATTATGGGACCAAAATGAGGCATTTCAAGGAAAACTACAGTAACCCTGACGTCAAAGCTTTAAACAGCTCCCATTTCTCAACAGCAAAAACCCCCTTACCTTATAAAACTCAGGACAATCATCATCCGATAGACAATCCTTAATATATCCATCAACTCGATAGATTTTCTCCGATCTCGGACATTTTCCTCGAATCGGTCTCGGTTTTCGAGTTGCCGTCGCAATTTTTCGAGTTATCAAAGTGGGGAGTCGTTTCAAATTCGGATGTCTACAACAAATTCCTGATCGATCACTCGATTTTTTCATACAAAAATGTGTTTTTGGGCACGGTATTTCGGGATCGCAATGTGTTCGAATTAATTCGGGAATTGAACCGGGAGGACATTTTGCAAGTGTTGTCAATTGTCGCGCTTCTCGTCGACAACAAACAAATCGACCTTTTGGTTCAGAATATAAACAAACTGATTGACTGCAAAAAAATTGTTTTATGGAAAATTTCAAGAGAGAAAAATCTGGCTTACCCATCATTCCCACAACTCAATCTATCCAACGGAGAACATTCCAAGCCAATTGATTTTTCAGGTTCATAGATAAATGTAGCTGGACATACTGTAAAACAGTGGTTGAAGTGGGCGTAGCCTAAACTTTAAAAAATTCTTACCATCGTCCACACTTGCACAACAAAGTCCAGAAGTGAATGGAATCGGTGTGTAGCAACCAGTTGATAAAGGACATTGCGAATCTTTTGAACAACTTCGTGGCTCAGCTGTCGATTGCCATATTTCAGGTCGACTTCCTTTCATACATTTGTCAAGTTTTTCAATATCTCGACAGCAGAAATACAAAGATCGAATTGATGAATATGTACATTGAAATCCGATCGGGCAAGATATCTGGAAATTAAAATAATTTCAGAATTTGATTTGATTTTATCTGATTTAGAATTCCTTGAATGTCTTACCGGTGAATTTGGTGTGCATGTCATTGGTTGTTGTGAACTATATTCAATCATTGGATGTTGGGTGCTTGAACAAACTCCTGAAAAAACATATTATTTCTCTTTGAATAAATTTAATTAGACTTTCCGAAGTTTGGACTGCCACAACAAACACTTTTTCTATCGTTCCAGACATGTTTTGCACATGAAAAATGCCTGGGGCAAGACTTTAGAGAGCAATCGAATGGCTCATCCAAGTTTGACGGTTGATACACAATTTCAGAAGATGAGCAGGCTTCAAAAAATATTTTGGGGGGTCTATAAATTTCAAAATGCGCTTACATGCTCCTTGACAAAATTGATAGCAAGCACTTCGTGTTGAAAAACTATTTGGATTCCCTGAACAGCCGAGATATGTGAATTGACGACAAGTTTCGGTTGATGGATCAAAGTAAAAACGTTTTGAAGTTGAACCACACGCAACACCTTCATCCGCGTCTTGTGAACAAATCCATTTTCGAGATGGACAGCAAGAAGTTGTGTTTTGATAAAGCTGGAATTTTTTTTGAATGTTTTTGTAAAAATGCACATTTTATTGTCATTTGAATTGCCGCGTGTGCAAACACGCACGGTTTTTGTTGTTTTACGGACAATGCATTTTGTTTGACGCGCATATTTTTTTGTTTTTCGCGATTTTTTGTTTGAAGTTTTTTTTGTTTGTTATTCGGTTTTATATACAGTTTTCGTTGATTTTAATTGGAAATGAGTATTCTGTATAGTTGTGACTGAATCTCGTATTATTTATACATTTGAATAATTAGGAATCCTTGAAAAAAAAGGTTTAGAAAGTTAGTGTAACATTTTGAAATGTTTTATCTGATGTGATCAACCGTTTTAAATTTACTACCCTATTAAAAAGTATAGTTAATCTTACCATTCTAGTACAATGATGCGTACTGGGACATTCATCGTTCTTTTTGCACATTATTATTTGACCATTTGTTGAATCAATCAATGCATCTCCTCCATCGGGACAATCCGATCTGTGACAATTTTCCATACAGTCAATTCGACTCAAGAAATTATTGTCATTTGCGTTACATCCTAAATAGTCGAATTGAAGACATCTATTCGTATTCTCGTCGTAATACCTGAATTCTTCATAATTATTTTTACTATTTTTCATGAAACAAACCATCGTTGAATTGAACTTATTCCACAGGAAGTTCCAATAAAAAGTGGCTGTCGACATGTATATTCTCGAGAAGGACAACACGTATGATAAGATCCTGTGTAAACGCATTCATAACTTGGTGGACAAGGTTTAGAAGATGAACATGTGTGAATTATATTGTCAGAACTTTTGTAAGCGCGACCTATTGGACATTTTGGCTCAGCTGAAATGTTTTGTTTATGTTCGTTCACAGCTCATAAAATACCTTGCACCGCGCTGCAAACAGTTTGGCATTGTTCCAATGTTTCAAATTGATTATCTCCACGAAGACAAGAACTTGCTAATATTGATTTACACATGGAATGTTCCATCGAATACGTCCATCTTGTAATTGTCTCTTTTGGATCACATTTGTCCATTACAACAAGATTATGTGAACAAATTGTGATATGCTTCGGGCAACATATTGTATGTTTGCACTCGTGTGTATCCGGACATAATTCGACCGCAGAACATCTTTGAATATTCCGACTAGGATCTTGTAGAGGTGTTCCAATTGGACAAAGTCCTAAATAAGTTATTTTTTTTCTCAGTTTATAAAAATTATGTACCGGTAGTGCAAAAACCCGAACATTCTTCTTTCGATACGAAATTATTAAAATTTCCTCCTTGACCATAATATTTGAACACTTTACATGAAAGTTCGCTGGAATCCCAATACCATCTGAAAATCGATAACTATTCTAAATACAAGTAATTTTCATTTCGACTAACCTATGAAAAATTTCTGAACCTTTTTTGGGAGATCCACTCGAAAACGGTTTGAGTGCAGATTTCTCCAAATTAACTCCTCCAATTGAACTACAAATGAAGGATGGTATCGGACAACATAATGTTTTTCCATGTTCATCTTCTATTCCACTTTTCTCTTCACATTTATAACTCTCCAACTCTTCCATTTTTGTAATCGGATCACCTCGTGGACATCGATTTTCACAGTATGATTCGCATTGATCTTGTGTAAGAAAATTATTAGAGTTTCCACCAGTTCCACGATAGTTGAAACTTTCACATTGACCTCGATTACTATTGTAAAACCACCGAGTTTCTTCTTTAAATGATTCTCCACGTGGATAATCACCTACTGACATTGGTTGGATACATGTCATTCCACGTGTTGGACAACATAGTCCGTTGATACAATCATAGATTTCCGGATATTCATCACATCCAATAAAGTTTTTCCGTTGGAAAGGGCCTGAAATTTGACAACATTATGAACTGAAAATATTTCACGAATAATTTACCGGCTGTGAAGCTGAAACAGTTCGCAACTCGATTTGTAGCTCTCTCATAAAGTGCACCATTAATACCATTAGTTGGACAAGAACCAGATGAAACACAAACATTTCCTTCAATAGTTTCAATAAGTTGCTCATTTTCTGGACATATACATTGACCTCTTTCACATCTTGTTGATGGCCAAACAGCTTCACATTGTTCAGAATGTGTACATCCAATCAAACCAGGCTGCACCTCTGAAAATCAGAAAATGAGAAACATAATTTGAAAAATATCCAACTTTTCCAACATTGTTCATCAATCGCTACATAATTATATTTACATCGACAGGTTACATGACAAACGGCTCCGATAACACATTGTGAAGTTCGAGAGCAAGATTCTCCCAATTTTCGGATCTCTGAAAATTCACTAGTTTATTCGGAAATTTAATCCTTCAGGATTTTTAAGAAATTTTCAGAAGTTCGTTTTCATGAATAACCCCAAAAATATTCCTTGAGTCTCACCAGCATTTCGAGAGAACAATGAATGAACACCTTCAGAAAACGGAATAATAGAATAACTAATATTTATAATAGAACCATATAAAATTAACAAAAAACATATCATGTTTTTTTTCGAGAAAAAAGAAAGTTGACCTGTCTATTTCGTCTCAAAGGGGTGGAGATATTCTTCTGTGTAAATATAGCCAGAGCCACCATAAGTGGATAGGAGGGAAATGTGAGAAACTTATTGTTTGTTATGTACTTGATTCGGACACGTTTAATACACGCAACACCAATTCGATTTGAAAAAAATACAAATCTAGGATGATGCTGTAATTCGCATATACTTTCAGTTTCCCCGTTATTCGAATTTTCGTTGGAGAATTATTGATCAGAAATTGCATTGTATCTGCAGTTCTTCATCATAAATTCTCACGTTCTGATGAATTCCCCAAGTATCTTATGAAAATGTTAGAGCATCCGAAATTCTATCATAGTATTTTCGATGTCCATTTTTTCACTCACTTCAAAATGAAAGGGATATACTTGGTTGTAAACAAACAAGAGTGAGAATTAGGTTCACAATATCCTATCGGTTCTCGAGTCGGTCAACGCCGAATGAACAAATAGTTCGGTTGAAAAATATTATGTAACAACACAAAAATGTTCATAGGCGTAGCAAGTCATGATCTGACAAGGGGTTTTGTCGCAACAATTCTCACGATGATACTTTTGTTTTTGAAAATGAATATATTTAGGATGATCTATTGTTTTTGAAAAGATTTGGAGAAGCGCCTAAGAATTTGAGGATTGAGGTTTGAATGGGTTAGTAGCTTCAAGATAATTGTTTAAAAAAATATGAGGCCCAGTGTGATTTATCAGAACACTGTGTATTTATAGAGATAATAATCAGAAACATCGCATCAAAATATATTCAATTGCGAAAAATCAATCTCTTGTGAATTAAAAAATATTTCGCGGTTCAAATTTACTTATTCAAAATAATTTCCTAAACCTCAACATATTTTTCCAAATTATACTTTTTTTCGAAAAAAAAACGCTTTAAAAGTACCTGAAACTCTTGAATGTAGTATTTCCAAAAATAATTATTCCAGAAATGATCAGCACTTTTTCCAAATGTACTTAGTTTTTAAATTAAAACCAGTTCACGTCAAAAATATGACGTGTTTTTGTTTATCCCATGTTCATTTCATATTTTTTAATCAATCAATTCTTTCAATTGCGTCACTCGTATTTTTTTGCCCTATATTTTCAAAAATTCGGCAAGAATTTATTGCGTGCGGCAGTTGCCAAACAAGCTCCGCCTACTTTCTCTTTCTTGATAAAAAAAGTGTGTGTTGTCCGCCCAAATATTTCGCAATCACTCCGTTCTTTTTTATCTTCTGGTACTTTCTATCATCACACGTGATCTTTGTTTTCATTTCATTTTTATTTTGTATAAAAGCTTTGAGTCAAAGCTGATTTTTCAAAACTCCAAATATATTTCAGAACAATGGTTCGTAGAAGTGCCTCACCAAAACCATCAGCCCCAGTTCGGTCAGCTCACAGACCTGCACCAGCTGCAGCTCCAACTCCAGCTTATTCAGCTGCACCATCCCGCCCAGCTTATTCTCCACCGCCAGCAAACCATGCAGCTCCACCACCAACTGCAGCTCCATCTCAAGGACCTGGTTTGATGGCTCAAATGGCTGCAACTGCTGGAGGAGTTGCTATCGGATCTGCTGTTGTAAGTTTATGATTTTGGGAACGGATGTGAAAATCAGTAAATTTGAAACGTTTTTATTTTAAAGGGGTTGTCCTGCTACAGGGAAACTTAGGCTTAATCGATAGAGCTAAGGTGCTCCTGAAACATTCCATATTTAATTTTGATTCTAGAGTGATTTTTCACCATTTTATTCATGTTTTTCTCAGGTTTTAAGGTTTTAGTGCATAAAAAACATGTGTGCTCTTCACACAGATAATTTATTTGTGTGTATTTCTCGCAAAATGCATTTCCTAACATTTTTAAACGATGGAAGGCGATTTTAATCAACTTCAGGATTGCTTATAGTTAGTCCAAAAATGTGACGCACAATTGCGGACTTGATTTTTCATTTAGAAAGACACCCCCTTTAAAAATTGAAAGGGTACCGGTTCGAAAAAAAATTTTTATCTTTTTTTTTCAATATTCCAAGTTTGTGTAACAAAAACCTTTTTTTTTAATTCATTAGCTTTAAGTTTTTCTTCGATAATTTCTCAATATTAGGTTGGATTCCTAATCAAAATAAGAACTTCTAACATAAGAGTTTATCTATGAATGTTTGCGATTGAGAATAATTTTGTTACCGAGTGAAAATTCCAAAGCTTCAAAAAATCAATCTTTAAAGAAATCCCATGATTCCAATTGTTGATTCAACCTCCTGCAAAATCCCAAGACAAAATCGTTTTTCCAGGGTCACGCTGTCGGAAACATGTTCACCGGTGGTTCATCTCACTCTGAACAAGCTCCAGCTCCAGTTCAACAACAAGCCGCTGCTCCACAATCTCAAGCCTATTCTCAACCATGCGAATTCGAATGGAAACAATTTGTTGATTGGTAAGCACTTCCATTTGCAAAATTAAAAAGAAATTCGATATTTTTCAAAAGTTGTTCATTTTGAAAAGTGTCAATGACATTCACAAACATACGTTTTTTCTATGAAACAAATCAAAAAATATTTGTTTTTGAAATTACTTTTTTGTTTTAAATTGTCCTCTCTTTTCCCCTATAATAAAACGACCTTCATTTCATTGTTTTTCTTTTTTCAGCGCTCAAAACCAATCTGATGTCTCATTGTGTAATGGATTCAACGAGATTTTCAAGCAATGCAAAGCCAGATATGCCTAAATTAATTTTCCCTTTTTCCATCACGTTTAGTTCTTTTTTCGGTTTTCTTTTCTTTTCTTAAAACTTTATTGATTTTTAGATGACAATAAACACAATCATGTTTCCATGGTTATTATTCTGTTCTTTTTTTTCTGCCTGGCTTGACACCTTAATTTTTTCTAACATTTCTTATAATATTTTTAACAAGTTCAACTCAGATTTCAAAGAAGATGTCAACTCGAAGTTTACACTATGTGTTCAAAATTGCGAATCGTCAAAAAACGATCGATTTTTATACGAAAACACTTGGAATGAAGATTTTGAGACATGAAGAATTTGAAAAAGGATGTGAAGCAACTTGTAATGGACCATTTGATGGTTGTTGGTCAAAAACAATGATTGGATATGGAAATGAAGATGATCATTTTGTTATTGAATTGACTTATAATTATCCAATTCATCAATATGATCAAGGAAATCATTTTAAGGTAAATTATCGATTCATGAAGTTTTTATGTAGTTTAGAAACTAGAATATGAACTAACTTTGTAAATGTAAAAGATGCTTCTCAACTTTAAACTCACAAATTCTTTATTCAAAATTTTTAAAGACTTGGAATTTTTTAAGAAACTTCTCAAAAATATTGAGCTCAACATTTTGTTTTGAAAATTACATTGTATACTTTTTTGCCAATTTAAAAAATAAATTTGTAATTTCTAAAAATCCAGAGATTTTCCTTCAGAAATGTGAAAATTATAAAATTTCAATCCTGAAAAATTCTAGAAAAACTACTAAAAAATGTGAAAATCGTCTTCAAATTGAAATTTCAGGCAATTATCATCGATTCGGATGAAATATACAACAAAGTGCTCGAAATTCCTCACGAAAAAACCAAAAATTGTGGAAGATTGAGAGTTTCGGATCCAGATGGACATTCTTTTAAAATTAGAAAAGGAGAAGGCACAAAAATATCGAATGTTCAAATTCATGTTTCAAATTTGGAAAAATCTACAGGTACTTTATTGTTAGAAAATTTTGAGAAAAATACATATTTCATTCAGAATACTATCGAGATATCCTTGGAATGTCAACAATATCCCAAACTTCAACATCAACAAAACTCACATTTTCCGCCGCCGAAAATCAATGTATTCTCGAATTATCAAAACTCGAAAAACCAATCAATCGAGGAAATGCTTTTGGAAGAATCGCATTCTCATATCCTGGGTCGAAGCTTCTCGAATTGCAAGGAAAAGTGAAATCAAGTGGATTTACGATAATTAATGAAATGATTACTTTGCAAACACCTGGAAAAGCTGATGTTCAAGTTGTTATTTTGGCTGATCCGGTAATAGTTCAGGGAATTTGGGGAAGGGGGATGAGTAGAAGTTCACGAAAATTAATCTGAATTTTGAAAAAAAAATCTGGAGCCAATTTTTCGTACAATTTTAACACCTAACAATATTAATTTAACGTAATTTTTTTTTGACAAAAAATGACGTGGCGAAAGGTTTTCTAAAAAATACATGAAGTCTAGAAATCTCAAAAATGATGTTTTCCCAATTCAAATAAATTTTGGGATTTTTCCTAAAACTACAAAAAATTCTGTAAACGTTTAGATCTGACAAATCAAGTTTTAAAATCAGAAATCTCTTCAAAAGTTCACAGTGTTCCTTTTTGATCTATACTGTTTTCTTATCAAAGTTTGATCGAAAAACCGTGATTTGAAACTATTCAAATATTAGTCATACAAAAAATTCGGAAACTTTGTTTCTCTTCCAGGACAATCACGAGATTTGTTTTGTTGGCGACGAAGGATTTCGAGATTTGAGTAAAGTCGATCCAAAAGCCACTGAATTATTGGAAAAACATATGAAAACGGATGACAGCGAAAAATGGTATTAATTTTTAATTGTCACAAATAAAGTTTTCCCTTTTTTTCTGTTCGCGCATTTTCTCCAAATGTCCTAGAAAACATTAATTGAATTGACCGAAAAAAATGGAGAGAAAGAACAAATATTTGAGTTCCCCCGAATTTTTTTGTGTAAAAAAAGTGATTTTTGTAGCCTACGGTATACCTGCGTGAATACTATCTATAATATTTTTCATCATAATTAATTTACTCATTATTAAAAGAAAAATATTTTTAACCTTGACCTGAATTTGATAGAGGTAGGTTTCTACATATTTTTTTCTTCCCAAGAAAAAAGAAAAAATGGGCGGAGCCAATTTTTTGGAATTGTTTGATTTTCGCAACAAATCACACTTTTTCGAAGTGAACAGCATTTAAATTGAATTTCATTTTGAAAATTTGAAATTCAATTGATTTTCTTCTTAAAATTCAAAAATGTCGATTAATATGAACGCTAATTTTTTGAAACTTATTACTCATTTTAGACGACATGATTTGGTGAGTTGTTTTGTGAATCATTTTAAAAAATAAATTCAAGTCGAACTGTAGGCTCTTCGTTCTCTGAAATCTTGAAATTATTTTTTGAGTTGGAAAATTCTGAAGAAAAAATATTTCTGCTGCCACGTGGCATTTTTCTTCCAAACTAATTTGAATAGAAAATGCTTTTTATCAAAATTTAAAGTTTTCCCAAAAATTCACTGTTTCAAAATTTTTGGTAGCTATGTCAGTTAAAATTTGAGTTATCCGAAAATTGTTTCTTCTGCGAAATTTCTTTTCAAAAAAAACTGAGGAAAACTTTCTATAATTCTTGCAGACAAACTTCAAATCAGATCACGATGAATTGTATTCGGAAGCGATAAAAACTGGAAATCATTTGAATGTAACATCTCATTATTATAGTGTTATGAGTACGGTAATTGATGAATATTTTGGCGGAAATTTCCATTTTGTTCCACCAAAATATGAAGGACAAACATTGGATGAAGCATTGAAATCATTACATCAGTATGTTATTTGAAAAAGTGACAATTTAAAAATTAAAAACAATCATGACACGATTTTTTCCCACGTGGCAGTTTCATTAAATTATTCTGAATTTTCACAAAAAATCTCTATTCCTAGTCCTTTGGTCAATATTCTAAATGGTTAAAAATTTAATATTTGCAGACACATCGGTGAAAAACTGGGTCTATCAGAAGGTGTAAAATGTTTAGATATTGGATGTGGAATTGGCGGAGTTATGTTGGATGTTGTTGAAAGTGGAGCTGAATTAGTTGGTGTTACAATTGCACCAAATGAAGCTGAAATTGGAAATGATAAATTTGAGAGTCTTGGAATTTCAGACAAATGTAAAATTGTGGCGGCTGATTGTCATAAAATGCCTTTTGAAGACAATTCTTTTGATGTTGCTTATGCTATTTATTCATTGAAATATATTCCAAAACTTGAAAATGTTATGAAAGAGGTAAGTATGATGTGTAGAAAAGTTATGACGTGGCAAACATTGAGACTCACAAAATTCATGGAGAAAAATCGAAATTCAGATCGAAAACCGCTACAGTACACTAAAAATCTTTAATTTCTTTCGAGTTTCACGTGGATCAATTATTTAACACTACAGTAACCCAAACTACTGAAAATTTTGTATTTTTGGGTTACTGTAACTCTTGCGTCTTTCTAAACTGCAAAGGCCACTGTAGATTTAATAACACGGTATAAAATTTAAATTTTTACTCGGAATCAATAAAAGTTACCGTACCTATTCAGTACAGTAATCCAAACTGCGAAAATTTTGAAACCAGAACTACGAGGATTACTGTAGATTTCTTTTTTTTTCTACAGTAACCCGAACTGCAAGAACGTACAGTAACCCACAGTAATCCAAACTGCGAAAATTTTTAAAGCCAAAACTGGGAGGATTACTGTAGATTTCTTTTTTCTGCTACAGTAACCCGAACTGCAAGAACTTACAGTAACCCACAGTAATAATGAGTAATAAACCCATTTTGCAGTTTGCAATACTGTATTTTTGTAAATCGAAATATTGTGGAACTATTTTCCAAAAAAAAAAATCCACGTTTTTTACTACAGTAATCTTAAAATTTCCCAATTTTCGACGTCATTTAATTTTTAAAATTTACTATTCGCCACGTCATAGCCAAACATCAATCCATCTAATAAAATATTTTTCAGATTTCGCGAGTTCTAAAACCCGGCGGTAAATTCATTGTATACGATTTGATAAAAACCAATAAATATGATGAAAATAACGAGGATCATAAACAGGTAATATTATCAGCTTCAAAATTTTGCAAAAAAAATTTCTCTGTAGACTTTGCATCACTTGGAATACGCTTGTGGAATGCCATCATTGCACACTCAAAAAGAAGTCGAAAAAAGTGCCGAAAGTTCGGGAATGATGAAAATTGAACAGGAGAATTTGGAAGAAACTTTTGGAAATCGGCCATTTCATTATTGTTTTTCGTCGAGTCCATTGTTTATGTGGTTGATTACAAGTCCGATGATCGGTGAGCATTTTTTATGAAATTGAGAGTTTTTTGAGTGACGGATTTATAGAATTATCGTAAATCGGAAAATATATTTTTTTAGTTCCTCATCTCGCCCAAAATATAATGGAAACTTAATCACGTCATAACTATACTTTGACAATCCTCAAATTCAATATTCATTGAATTTTTCAGACGCTTCAATTCGATTCGGCGAAACTCTACGAATTCTTCCATCCGGCTTCGAACAATTCAATCGAACATTTTTGAGTGGAACAGTTCAAAGTATTGTCGAAGGCGGTCAAAAGGGAATTCTCAGTGGAGCGGATATTCTCGTCTTTCAAAAACAAAACAATTCTTCATAATAATAATAATAATAATAATAATAATAATAATAATAATAACACTAAACCTAATGTAAATTTCGATTTAAGAAAAACAAAATAATAAACTTTACTTAACTACTGTAATATTTGATGTTGTATACACATTTTGCTCGAAAACACTTTTGAAACTGTGATATTTTTTGGTCAGGTCTCGTTGAAGATCTCGCGGGGTCAACTGCAAAATAATTATGTTTTTAATTACATTAATTTTTAATTAATTAACTAATTACCTGTTTAGTTTCGTCCAACAATTTGAGATCATTTTCATTCGAAATACTTCCAGTTTGCATAACTTCGCATTCGCCATTTGGATGAAGCTGCAAAATTTGGAAATTTTTAATGGAATTTTAAATTTAAATATTAAAAATGCTCACTTTTGTCGAAAAAACATCATCTTTAGTTGGCTCATGTCCATTTTTGAATACAACAGGTCTCAATTCAATCAAATGTTTCACTTTCCATAATTCCTCATTTACAAGCGGTGTATTTCGAAACACTTCCATTTGACCAACCTAGAAACAAATATTTGGTTGATTCTTGGGATTTTTAAGTGAAAGGTTTTTAGGAAAATTTTGGGGTCTTGTAAGAAAAATTGGAAAATTATAACTTGATAACAGGATTTTCTGGCAAAAATATTATTTTTCTGTTTTCAAAATCTCGTTATGTCTTCAATACAAAGTTTCCAAACCCAACAAAATTCAAAAAATCAAAATACCTTGAAATTGGCCCCAAAAAGCGATTCCACGTGTTTTTTGGTCCATTTTGGTTCCGAAGACAAATCTCGATACAACCAGGCCATCCATAATTTCGAAGCTTTTGCTGGCTTCTGAAAAACATGTTTGCCTCATATTCCAAAAAAAAAAAATTTCCAAAATAACCTGTTCATCTGCAAGTTCTCTCGAATAATTCGCCAACGCTGATTCATTTCGATCATAATCAAACTCTTTCACTGCGTCATTTCTTCGTGGCAAATATCGATTCCATTTGTTATCCGGTCGATAAACCCAACGATTTCTGATCACTTTCGCCATTTTCTAAATTATTTTTTGAAATCAAAAAATTCTGAATTATAGATATTCTGAAGAGGTGTGAAACCTTAAAGTTGCAAAATAAAAACATCAATGAATTATTAGCTTTATAGATAAATCTTTGGTGGTTCAATTGATTGTAGACTAGAAAAATCGATATTCTCGAAAAACGGGTGCACAATAATTTCAGAATATTTTAGCCGCTTTTCAGGATCGATGAATAGAATTTTGTCGATGAGATCTTTTGCGAGATCATTGAAACCTTCTGGATATTTGAAGAGGATATCTTGAACTCGACGGAAAATTAAATATTCAGATTCGTCGTGGAATGCATGATCACCTGAAATCTTTATTGATTAATTAACAATTTGTTTTTACATTAAATTTCGAGAAAATAAAAAAAGAACCTGTTAAAAATTGGAAAATAACAACAGCGAAACTCCAAATATCACTCGCAGTTCCTAACTTTCCACCAGTCAACATTTCTGGGCAAACAAATTGAGCGGTTCCGACAAAAGAAGCACGTCGACCATTTTGAGTATATTCTTTTTCGTGTTCTTCAATAAACATAGAACTTCCAAAATCTGTCAGCATAATTCTTCCATCATTTTTGACTAGAAGATTCTCTGGTTTCACATCTCTATGAACAACTCCTAATTTATGACAATGATTGAGAGCATCTAATAGCATTGCAGAATAATAAACGGAATCATTGAAGTTTAGATGTTTGTCAGGTTGTTGGAGAATTATATGAAGAAGATCGTGATCTGAAATTGAAAAGGAATTAATTGATGAAAATATGTAGTTCGAATTACTCACACTTTGCATATGAAAGAACAAAAAATAGATTTTCAGCATCTTGAAAAGTTGCATACAACGTAACAATCGATGGATGCCAATTATCTCCCGTCGATAACAAAGCAAGCGCCGATTTCTCTCTATGTACATATTTTACCCGTTTATCTCGAATTATTTGTTTCTTCAGGCACATTTTGATAGCAACATCTCGTTGTGCACCTTCTTTTTCGACGGCGTGATAAACTATCGAGAATGAGCCCTCGCCAATTTCTTTGAGAACCTAGAAAATTACTTTTTGATCGGGGAGACTTAATGTGATACTTTGATCATGTTTGGAAAATCCATTAAAAATTCGTATTTCGCAAAAAAAAACTCACTTTGTAATCTGCCATCGATTTCAGACCAGAATTTGATGGTGCAGAAGTTGCTGGTTGACTCAGACTTAGCGGAACTTCCATATTTGTTGCCTAATTGCCAATTTTTCCTGTTTTCTGCTTGAACCCGAAAAAAGAAATAATAAATTGTGCCAACACCGCGACGCACAGTTGCACACTTTCTTTCACGCGGTTATTCAAATATTTGTTTTTTTATTGACAAAAGACATAAATGAATAAATAGTTCAGCGTCATGAAGCTGATAAGAAGAATGAATTTCTCAATATTTACACAATGAAACACACTGCATTGATAAGCACAATTTTGATATTTCATGAAAAATGCCTCGCTTTCCATTGCCAGTAAGTTTATTTTATTAATTGAAATCAATACTAACAAAAACATTTTCAATTTTCAGACAATGCCTTTCAATAGAGAAATCTCTATTGGTGTTGGAACACAAATTCGACTTACAGCAAAACCTTATCCGGATTCAAAAAGGTACGTATTGATTTTCGGAAATCGAAAAATCGATAATTTTTTAGAATCGTCAACTTCAAACTTCTGAACAGCAATGAAGAAATTGGATTGAATATTCAACTGGATTTGGGACAAACTCAAAAACTATCGATAAATTGCAACATTGGCGGACAAATCTCAAGCTCTTTGGACTATAATTTACAAATTCCATTTGAGAGAAGCTTTTTGCTTTTGATCAACACTTTTCAACATTCTTTCCAGGTTTGGAATTATTGTCAATTGAATCAAAAATATTTGAAATATTTCAGATTTGCCTGAATGGTATCAAAATCGCTGATTTTATACATCGAATCGATCCGGCGAGTCTTAGGAAAATATCGATTACTGGACCATTGATTTGTGAAGAAGTTGATATAACTGATGGACCAAGAGAACCACTTCCAACTTATGAACAAGCAACAACAAATCTTATGAAAAATATGTCATTGAGTGAGTTATGACGTGGCAAATTTTGTTTACAGAAAATTTTCGAATCAAAAATATTTTTATTGATTTTTGTAAACTTTTCGCAACATAATTTCGAAATCTATTTCAAACTGAAAATGTATGATAAAAATTTGTCATGTGGTGAGTTGTAAATTATGATGTGACAAATTTCAAGAACGTTGAAATCGGCTACGGAAAAATTTGGAATTCAAGAATTTTTGAAAAATATGTTTGGAGATAAAATTTTAAAACAATTTTGTTTAGATTTGAAAATAATTTCTCACAATACCTTTTAGCGAATCAATGTTTTCGTCAAAAATCCTGCCACGTCATAACTCATTCCTTCATTTTTCAGACGATGCTGCTCCACTTCCATCAAAGATTCCATCAGCCCCAATATCCGATGATCTACCAGCTCCTCCTCCAAATATTCTCAATCCAACAATGGAATCTTCCTCCTCTTCTGCTTCTTCTGCTTTTCCAACAACAACCACGTCTTCCTCATTTTTCTACACTGGAAATTCTCAAGGATTCTCGAATCACCCATATCCTCTTCCAGGTCTAATTGACAATTCAACTCAATCATCTCAACCGTTTCCAACAAATCCATTACCCCAACCAAATCCAATTCCTCCAACAAATGTAACTCCAATCATTCCTACCGTACCAATTTCATCTCCACCATATCCAATCGAAAACAGTAGATCAACAACTACCGTACCACCAGCAGTTCCATATCCACCTGATAATTCGCGAACTCCTCAACCATATACAGTAACTTTTCCGCAAACACCAGCTTCTACACCTACAGTAATTCCGCAATATCAAAATACTCAACAAATCCAACCAATCCAATTACAACAACAACAACAACCACCACAATTTCAATATCCATCACACATATATCCTCCAACAGCTCAACAAATGATGCAACCATATCCAGTTGGAGTTGGAGTTCAACAGATTCCTCCAGTTACTGTAGCTGTTCCACCTGCTGTGCCACAACCATATTATTATCCACCGCAGGCTTATGTTCAAGGATATAATCCATATGGAGGTGTTTATTATACGCCAGAATATTATCCACATCATCATCATAGACATCACCATCATCACTGTGATTAATTGAATCTAACTTCTTCGCAATAAATTTTTAATTGGAACTTCTAGACACGTGGAAGCAAATACGCTCCAGCGAACTTTCTTCGAAAAAATTGTTTGTTCGCAGGAGCGTATTTGCTATTTTTAATTCAAACTTTTTTCGCTTTAGAAATTAATTCGCCTTTTGTGAAAATCTTGGTTCGATAAAGTGTATTTGAGGATTTTCAACACCCAAATATTTACGTTAGAAAAGTATTTAAAGCAGCAGAGATCTTATGACAAAATAAAAATAAATACAGAGTAAACTAGTCCGAATCATCATCATCATTATGATCTTGTTTCATATTTCGATTAACAATTGTTGGTTTTTTAGATGGTGGGCCAGAATGAAGAGTTGAAGCAAGCATTGCATTTTGACGACCATCACATGCAACGATTTTAAGCCTGGAATATGAGGAAATGTGAGATAAAGTTGCAAAAAAGGTGAAAACTTACTTGTCGATTGGATTTTCAATCGATCTTTGTGGATCTTTGAATGAAACATCACGAAGAATAAATGTCCAAACATTATCGCAAAAACGGTAGGCTAACAATTGTTCGGCCATGAAAATTGTCTGGAAAAATAGAAATACCAGAATATTTGAGAAAAGGAAGTGTATATCTTACTAATCACTAGAACTCCAATTTTTTCTGGTCAGGTCTCAAAAAATATGCTAAAGTTTTTGGGTAGTACCATGTGGATAGAGCTTTTGAAATATTAATTTCAGGTGGAAAAAATCTGGAAAAGCAACTGTTCTGCCATAATTATTTGAATGAAAAAATTGCAAAATAAGGTAGAAAACTTTTAAAATAATTTTCAATGAATTTTTCCCAGCTGAATCGTGTTTCAGAAGTTTCAAAAATTATGCCAATTCAAAAAATTTAGTATGAAATCTTCCGCCTTTCCCAACCCTTTTTTAAATCCCATGCTTCATTAAATTCTCTCACCTTTTCCTTGGCAATTCTCTCAAGTGCTCGATGCATTGATTTATCAAATTGCGACATGATTTTTCCACACAATTGTGTCGGAATCAAACCCTCTTCTTGCATATCGCTCAAAGTTTGCTCAAGTGCTGTTCCAAGTGTTGTTCGACGATATAATACATAGGCGGTCATGGTTATTCTGTTGATTTATTTTTGGGAGATTGACTGTAACATTTTTTGAAATTCATATAAAAGTCGGCATAATAACCGATAAATTTTCGAAAAAAAATCATAAAAAAAACAAAAATGTATTGAACGAAACAAAGTATACTTACAAATACAAAAAATTAATCTTGATGAACTGCCTGATCCCAACATGGATTTACTGTGATTTTATGATTTTTTGAATTTTCGACTGTACATAATTCCTCGATTTTTGTGATCACTTCTTTTCGATTATGACGGCAGGTTATTCCACATTTTCTCGCTGAAAAATAATTCAAAAATATTTCAGCAAATAAAGAAAATGCTTACATTTACAAGATTGACATGGCCATTGACAACCGGAACATTCCAAAATAAGACAATCACAAAGATCTGTCGCAAAATTGCAACTTTTGGCCACCAATTTCCCATTTCTATCATGATAAAGTGGATATTCATCATCAATAACTCCTTCTTCATATGTTGGTTTTGTTGTCGCAATTGTTCTACGCGATCTCTTTTTGCTGATGATATCTCCGGTTTCTGGAAGGAATCGCGACATTTCACCGCCAGGATTTGCAAATGATAAATTCTGAATTTCTCGAGTCAATTTTTTGGTTCGACGAGTTGGTTGTGGTTGTGGTGAAGGGTCCTAAATGATTATTGATCTCAAAAATAATATTGGTTATCAAAAAACTTACATTCATATAATAATCACTGCAAAGATCCATAACTTCTGTTGTGTCATCGATTGCAGTCACATATTGTGGAGCATCCGATGTTTGTGGTTCTTCAGATTCCATCATATTTTCAACAAGGCCGGCTAAGAAATCATTTGCACTCATGTCGTCTGAAACAATGATAAATGTTTTTTGATTTTTAATTGGACATCGACTAAATGATATTTTGATGTTTTCTAGCAAGTGAGTTGAAATATTGGGTTTTAATCGTATTCATAGGATAGTAAGGCCTAAGACAAACCGAATGATATAAATTTTCATGACATTACGTTATTCATAAGTGATTTAGCGACGTTTAGTCAATAAACCGAGTCGCTCGACTAAACGTCCCTAAATCACTTATTTATGGATAACGTAAAGTCATGAAAATTTATATCATTCTGTTTGTCTTAGACTTTTCTATCCTAAGAATACGAATAAAATCTAATATTTCAACTCACTTGCTAAAAAAAACATGAAAATGCCATTTAGTCGATGTTCAACTAAATTTTGATTAGAAGAATTCATCTTATCAAAAAAAGTCCAAAACATATGATTCGGCAAAAAATAGAACTATTTGAAAAAAACATGTACAATGGAGCAAACTTACCACGCTTATAATGAATCACTTTCTCTCGTTTCTCTTCATTTGCATTGTTTATAACATATTCTTCCTCGTCTTCGCTCTCCTCTGTTTCTGTTTCTGTTTCTTCTTCTTCCTTTTCAATGTTTTCCTTTGGCATCAAAAACAGCTTAGATTCTTCAGATCTTCTTCGTAAATTCAAATGGAACCTAAACTTTTCTTTTCTGATATATTTCTTTAATTTTATTGTACTTACGGTTGTGTTCTATAATCAGCTGGATTTGGTTCAACCGGATGCGTATGATAAAAACAATACTCAACGCTGACTTTGTAATTCTCAAGATTTCCATGAGCCCAAACAAAATTAACGCAATAATCACGATGTGCGCACAAATAATACGCTTTTTTGATCGTAGCCGTTGTTTGCGATGAATATTTATACCAAGTTTTGGTCTCTTTTTGATTTTCAGTCATCCAATCCTAAATAAGTAACTATTCAATATCACTTTCAAAAATAAAAACTTACTCGAAACTCATCTTCATTGTCAAATTCAATTCTCGAGATGGTACAACTTGTATCGTGATACATGTGAATGTGTTTCACAGCAATATCTCTTTTAGTCGATAACATCTCATCACATCCTTCAAAGGGACAACGGATATGACGTTTTTGTTTCTTATTATGCAGCAAACTATCATGGTCTTGTAGTTCTTTTTCAGTCTTGAAATAAACTCCACAATCGGTACAGTTGAAAATCTGATCATCGTAAACCACGATATCATCATCTTCTTCAAGATATTCCATTATTACCTATAAGAATAAAGGCGTTGGGTTTTGATATTTTCTGCTTTGCAAAGCTGACCCAAAAAATTAAAATTTTCGAAATGAATAATTTCAAAAACACACCGTACTACCGTAATATTGTTTGTCGCAACAGGATCCTTTTGAAGCAAACAGACGTCCCTTTAAAATCTTACTGTATTTTTATTTATTTATTTTTTCACTCACACACATCAACTTCCTCGCAAAATCCATCATTATTTTCCAGATGCTGATAACACAATCAGAAGGCGGAATGAGTATGCCAGATTTGCAAGCTCTGATTGATCAAAGAATACCCGAACATCGTGCAAGCCTTGAAACGAGTCACATAAATTTGCAGAATGTTGCTAATTATTGCGAGGAGAATTATATGAATCCACAGAACAATGAGACAAGAGAACAAGCTTTGAGTAAAACGAAAGAATTCGCGATTCAATCATTGGCGAGTGTTGCATATCAAATTAACACAATGGCAAGGTACGTTTTATTTTGAGTTTTAAAAGAAAAATAATTTTCAGAGATTTGTTGGATATGTTAGAACTACAAACGGAGAAAGTAAATTCACTTACAAATCAAGTTCAATTAGTGAACCAAGTTGTTGATATTCATAAGGAAAAATTGGCAAGAAGAGAAATTGGAGTGCTCACCACAAATAAATCAATATTGAAACAACCGAAAATAGTTGCACCCGCGGTTCAGGAGCCAAAATCTCGTTATATGCGAACACCAATTGATTATTCAGTTTTGGATGGAATTGGACATGGTGTTCGATCAATTGAGCCACCAAGAAATAATTCAAGTATGATTTCTCGTGCAGCTTCGACAATCTCATCAAATCCAAATTCTCATGATAATTATGGTATCTATCAAAGCGCCGAGCGAACTGCAACATTAGGAAGATCTGCACTTCGAAGTAATTATTCAGCAGCTTCAGATTATCGCGTTCCTCAAATCGCCAGTCAAATGTCTCGACAAATCAGTCATGGTTCAGATTTTGGTGAACATATGAGTAGTGGCCACAATTCATCAAATGATTATAATTCAATGTATAATACAAGTGATAGATATGGAACAATTCGTGCGCAAAATATGCAAAGTAGAACCTCTTTAATACCATCAATTGATGGGCGGAATATATCAGGAAGGGAATCACCAACACTTCCATTGCCACCGCCACAAATACAAACACAACATTATGGTGGATATATTGCACCAGGAAGTGTTATTCAACAACAACAGGATAAATATGGAACTATTCGAGCAACAAGAAATAATACTGGTAATACATTTACTGAAATATAACAATGAATTTCGCAACATTTCCTTTTCCAATTTCAATATTTCTCAAATTGCAGATCATCTTCCTCCACCTCCCCAATCACTTTTATCTCATTCAACACACGAAGATATTTGTGATGATTTGCCACCTCCACCAGAATCAGTTAGTGGAGCATCAGCTTATGGTGTTTTTGGAATCGGAAATGGAAATAGTCTTGGAAATGATACACCGACTTCAAATAATTTATTTGATGTTTCTTCTGAATGGGTTCCAAATGGCGAATATATTGAGAAAGGTGGGTTATTTGAATAAAAAAACAATCTATGACGTGGGAAATCTATGTCTAAATGAAATTCACTGAAATTATGTAATATTTGGGCCCGGGAACGATCTACAGTAAAAATATACTTATTTGGTATCTCAAAATTTCAGTAGATTACTGTATATCAATCACTTCGAGACCAAAAATAATATTTCGTAAATATTATATAAAATCGAAATATTTTGCAGCTCTTGTCCTCTACGATTATGAAGCCGAAAAAGCGGACGAATTAACACTTCGTGAAAATGCCATTGTTTATGTAGTTCGAAAAAATGAGGATGGTTGGTATGAAGGAGTTCTTGATGGTGTGACTGGTCTATTTCCGGGAAATTATGTGCAAAAAATACAATGATTTTGGCTTTTTTTCGGTTTTAAATAAATGAAAATATTAATTTATTGTTGGAAAAGTTGAAAATTGTCGTTTGCGAGGAAACAGTCATTCAGTTTAAATATTTTGTACGATTTTCAAAATCTGAATTTTTATTTATGTTCAACGAAAATTTCTCGAAAATATGTAGCTCTACAGTAAATCAGATTTTTTTGAGGAAGATACAGTAACTCAGAAACGTTTTTTTTTTCTGTTTTCCAAACTAGACAGTAGTTTGAGAGTTACAGTAACGCGAAAAAGTATTTGAAAAGGTTTAGAATTTCAGGCTTTTAAAGGAATATACAGTAATTCCTTATATAAATTGAGAAAAATGGGATTTTCAAAAAGACATACTGTATCCTGGTATTTTTTTTCAAAAAAAAATCACTCGAAATCTCTGAACTAATAAAAAATTGAAATGATTAATTTCTGTTGGATTTTTCACGTTCACGTGGCGAATATTGATTTTAAATTAAATTTCTAATGTAAATAATTCCTAATTTTCGGCCACGTCTAGCAAATTAAACTTTAAAAATTCATTTTTTTCCCAATTTGAATAAATTGCAAAACACTTTCCTTTTAAAAGCAGTTTTTTAAAAACACATCCTTTCCAAAAAATTCCCATTTTCTTCCAAGCTCAATGAATTTCACCACCGCAAAATCACAGTCATCGTTCTCTTTTTTTTGTCTGGCCCAATGAGTTCTTCTTCTTCTTTTTTGTTGCTCCTTTTCTATGACGTAAGCAATTGTCTGGCACTCTCTCATTTCTCAATTATCTCTCGCAATTTTCTCTACTTTCTCTTCGCCTATTTACATATATTTCGACACACACACCAAACTCTTCTTTTTCACACACTTACTTTTTCGCTGTTCTGCTCCTCTGTTGATAAAAATAACTCGTTTGCAGAAGAAGAAAAAACCGAGTTGTTGCACTTTTACTTAATTATTTGTTAATTTTCTGGTCAAATTTGGAAGATTTTATGAGAGATTAGGCGGTACTGTAGCTGAAAAATTGAATAAAATATCTTTTAAAAATAAGTGATTATTTTATTGTTAAATAGTGGAAATTGAAATCGAGTTTAAAATTCTTTACAAAATGAGCTACAGATATCCATGGCTACTGTAGATTTGGGAGTCTATAAAATTTATTCAAAAATTTTCATTACTGAAAAATTATATTCAGTTTATATTTAGCACCACAGTAACATGATTACTGTAGATTTTTACGTTCACAGTTTAGTTATCAAATTTAGCAGAATCTGTTCTCTCTGAATTTACTGTAGGTATTGATCCAATAATTTTGATCTATATTTTTTTCTTTTTTTGTAGATATTGTGACGGTGAAAATTTCCACGTGATTCCAAAATCCACGTGAAAATTTAAAACCCATTTCCAAAAAAAAACTTCACATTATTTATTTTCGCCTTGTTTTTCCTAAAACAAAAATTATTTTTCTTACTTTCCGGTTTCTTGTCATGAAAAAAAATGACTGATTTATTATTATTATTTTTTCTTTTTGAATAGCCTCATTATCAAAAAAATTTCCCTTTTCCCCTCCATATTTTTTTATTATTCCTATTTCATATTCTTTCTATTCACTGAATTTATGAACCTAAATATGTGTGATAATCGGATTTTCTGGCGATTTTTTTGCAATGCGTCAATACTTATTGTTAGTATTTTGTAGCCATCACGAACATGAAATTTGTCTGCCAAAAAAAGTCAGAAAATAAGGCAAAGAGGTTGTGTCCCACGTGGATTTTCAAGAGATTTCAAGAGACTTTTGAGAGCGAAAAACGAAATATTCTGAAGGACTTTGCTCTTTTTGTCGGATATTTGTTTTCCAAAAATTCCTTCTTTTTTTCATTATAAAAGTATCAATTACAACGATTTCCTTCTCAAAATTAAGTAAGCCTACAAAAAGTACCTAAAATATATATTTTTCGAGAATTTTCCAAAAATAGCCAGAATCTGAGCCGCATCCAATTAGTAGCCAAATTTATTTTCTCTGCGTCTCCTATTTCAAAATAAGAGATGCAGAGACAAATTCTATTTTTGTCGATTTTTTTTCAAAACTTGTTAAAGGAAACTAGTTATGACGTGGCAAAGTTTCTGGAGCTTGTTTTGTCACATTTTTCAAAATTTCCAAATGATCTTACGATTTCGAAAAATAATACTTATGACGTGGAAAATTCCAGCAAATTCGTCAAAAACTGACAATTTTCTCGTGTCAAAATTAATTGAAAACCTGAATTTTGAATTTTTCTGCAAAAAGGATCTTGTAGAATATAATTTTCTGTAGTTTTGATCTTAAAATTTATGACGTGGAAAAGTTGCTGTAACATTTTGATTTCGAATTCTCAAAGTTTTGCCACGTTATGAAAAACTTCAAAAAATTCCAAAACAATTTCGAAAAAAAAGTTGCATTAACTTCTTCTTTTCAATTTCTGATTTCACAAAGTTTTGCCACGTCATAACTATTTATTTTGGGGCGTTTTCTCTCTGTAAATAACTAAGTAAATAAATAAAGTTTTCCAGCTTCTTGCGTAATCTCTTAAAATATTCTAAATAATGATCATTCAACTTGTTTGGTCTTTCAAATGCATCAAACACCAATCTTCCCTCATTTTCCATTTTCTATTTCAAGAAAAGCTTTAAATTAACTAACTAATTACTCATTACTTATAAAAACATGTACCATACTATACTTTAATTTCTAATTAATTAATTAACTAACTAATTATTTTATTTCTATCCTAATTTCAATTAATTATGAGTCAGACTAGTCAGTCACGTGACTAGAAAAGTCCACTTTTTTGTAGTCAAATGTTTGAACAAATCATTAGCTTTTGACGTGTTGTTTGGCAAATAAATAAAATAAATTGAATAAAGGAATGGATGATGAATGAAGCGAAAGCTGAACAACACAAAATAAAACAACTAGATTTTTGATCACAACATTTTTTTTTGATTGTTCAACAGGTTTTGAGAGAATGAAGTGTCCTTTTGAATTTCATTTTTTAAAATTTTGAATCAAACCCGATTTTTACGAAGTTAAAATTTTTCCGAAGGCAAATTCCAATATTTGACTAATTTTTTGTAAAAAATTGAATATTTATCAAGGCTTATTTTTTGCTGAAATAACAGTTTACAGTAAATCGTAAAAATCCCAACAAAATGTATTATTCGAGAATTTCGAAAAATTTCAATTCACATCTTCAAGCTCCAGCCTCAGCCTTCTTGATTTCACAATTCCTCTTAACCGCAATTGATATTTCGAATGATCTGTCTGTATTTGAAAAATGACATCATTCAGCAAGCAGTTCAAACAAGTTTTCTCTCACTTTTTTGCTGTAGCATTTACGTGTTGTATGTATTCATGGATCAGTAGAAATGTACACAATTGGCTCTTTTTTTCTATTCTTCACTTATATATTCAACTCATTGAACCATTTTTCATTTCATTCTTTGTTACATTAATATCAATTTTAATTGTATCTTTTGCTAAACTTTGAAAATTATTCTCCAAATTACACGGCATTTTATTTTTCAATATTTTTGTGTGGCCTAGAAATACCTTTCTCCTAGTCCCCCTTATTTCCTCGTCCACTCTTCGCTCAATATTTTCCTTCTGTTTTTCTCTCAATCAATGAATTGTAGCTCACTCGAAATGGTCGCTGACAATTCGGAAAAATCGACAAAATCTGTGGCAAACGGAAGTTTGATCAGCACGGTGTCTTGTAAAGAGGATTTGCCAAATTCGATTATTGTTACACAAGTTCCTGAAGAGGTTTTCGTGAATCCGGATGACAAAGCCAATTTTTCGAAGCTGTTCACACAAATCGAAGAGCATATTCATTTTGATTTTTTGAAATCTTTTCGACGAGTTCGAGTTATATTCAGGTTGGTTTTTTGTGATATTTTTGGGAGATCGGAGATAATTAGAAATGTCTTGAAATCTTGGTGAAACCCAGATTTTTCGAGAACATGAAATTAATTTTCAAATTTCGAAAGAGAATAATCCTCCTTTTTCACATTTCTTCGAATGTTTCCATCACAAAATCCAAAATTTCCAGTTCTCCTGAAAACGCGACAGCCGCAAAATTGATTGTCCAAGGATTCTCATACAAAGGCCACGAATTGAAAGCGTTTTTCGCTCAACGTGTGTATTTGAGTGCAAGTCAATCATCGACTCTTTTATCACCACCTCCACTCGAAAAACAATTCTTGATTTCACCGCCATGTTCACCACCAGTTGGATGGGAACAAATGAAAGAAATGGCGCCGGTTGTATGCAATTTCGATTTAATGGCACGTTTGGCATCATTTGCTATTGATGAAAAGTTCGTTTTTGATTTAAATTTGCACAAAAAAAATCACTGGCGATTCAATTAGCTCCTAGAAAATTGATCCGAATTGATACTTCATAATTTTCTATTAAACTAAAAATCTTCCATCTTTCAAGAAACTAAAAAAATCTCGGTTCACTCCTGAACAAAATTAATTTTCCCTGAAACAAATCAACATTCCTATTGCAGATACGAAGTTCATAACGGCGATGAAAGCACCCCTACAATCGTTGTCCATCCATGTGAAACCGCTTTGGATCATCCATCAGCCATCGAAATGCCACGAACTCCAAGACCTGAGCCCATTTAAATCCATTCTTTGTCTTCCATCGAAAATTCCATCGGGTGTTAGGTACTTCCAAAAGTACTTCTCTGTTTTTTCCTTTTTCAAAAACCTACTATTTTTTTTCCTACAATCTGATGTATATATCACATATAATAACACTAATTATTTGGACTCGTTTTATGATGAAACAATGAATGATAAATTATTTTGCACTTAACTCAACTTGATTGTTTTTTGAAAACTGAAAAATCACCGTCTTTCTCTTCGACTTCTCGAACGCGATCTTGATCTCGATCTTCTCCGATGACTCGAATATCGTGATCTTCTTCGATCTTCGCTTGAAGAATCTCGAGAGCGACTTCGTTTCCTCTGGAAAAAATATATGTATTTTTTGAAACTGAAATTGATTCTTACATGTTTTTTCCGCTTCTTTTCACTTTCAGCAACTTCTTGCTTACTTTTCTCCTTTTCTTCTTCGAATCCAGATTCGGATAATAAACTGCTGATTCGGCTGAAAATATACGAATTGAATTTAATTTCTAGAAATGAAAAATTAAGCTTCACGCTGCCACCCATGCCGTTTTTTAATTCATAAAAATTACCTATTGATTATATCATCGATAGTCTTAACTTTCACAGCGCCAACAACAACATCATTTTTCGTCGAATTCATTTCGATTTTCTTTCTCTCCTCCTCTTCTTCTTTCAATTTTCTCAATCTTTTTTCTTGCAACAATTTTTCCATAAATATTCTCGCTTTTTCTTTTCGATCCAATTGCGTGTTATTTGGAATCGAAGGCGGTGCTGGAGGATCAAATTCATTTTTTGATTCGGTTTCTTTTTTAACAGGTGATACAATATCTCCAACATCCGGATCAAAAGCGACACTTGTTGAGGGTGCCACATCAATCTCCAAAATTCTGAAAAATTATAATTTTACAACAAAATTTGGTCCGGAAAATCTCAATTGAACTTACGAAGTCGGTAGTGATTTTTCCTCACTTTTAGCCACAGAAAATGGCTGTATTTTTCCAATAAGTTCTTCAGATTTCTGAACATCCTCAGTTTTGACAATATTCCGAATTGCAATTGGATCAATAACACCAGGTTCAGCTACTGTTCCAACTCGATTAACTTCTAATAATCTTCTTCGTTGTTTTCGATTCAATCCAACTTGTTCTTCCGGTTCAACTTTTATTTCTTTTTCCTTTTCTTGATTTTTATTATTAAAATTTGGAGGTGGAATTGAAAGATCAAGAAGTGATGGAGCTATTGTTTTTTGAGATTCAGGAGCTGGAGCCGTCGAACTTGTATTGTTTTTCTTGAAGTTATTGTATTCTTGTGTCATTTGCCATTGAAACATTCGAACCTTCAAAAAAAAAAATGAATAGCTTTTATTGAGAAAAACTTCAAGATTAAATAATCTCAAAAATGCTATATTATATTGAAAAACATACCCTGTGATGATAATAAGAATAATATGGACTTTTAGGATCCATAAAATGAAGTTGAAGATCGGGTCGAGCAGCCAGAGATTTTTCAAAATCCACGCCTTTTCTAGCCACATATTCTGCATAACTATTCACAACTGGTTCAACATCTGGGGTTGGTGGCAACATTGGTTTTGGACCGATCCAAGGACATGGATAATGATAGAATTTTTCGAACCATTCACGATATTCTGGATCGTCTTGTCGACCATCTCTGCAAAAATATTGGATTTTTTGAGGGAAAATTTTTGAGAAATATTTTTTCTCAAAATTGTCTCCCAACTTACGAATTATCCGATGTTTGTTTTTTCGACTCTCCTCCAGTTTTTATTTCCTGCACACCTTGAATTTCTCTTGTAACATGAGCAATATTTTTGAACAGCGATGCATAAACATCATTTCGTTGACTGATATCTTTTGTTATAACTGGTGGTTCAGGCTTCGGTTTTGGATTCGGTTTCAAATTCGGACCAATTTTTGGCTTTTCCGAGGTTGGTTGATTTTTGGAAAGAAGTGATGGATGAAGTTCAAAATCTGAATCCGAATCTGATTCTTCTGAGTCAGATGCATGATTCTTTGCAATCGCAGCCAATGCACTTGATTTCGGTTTTTCAGGAGACTTTTTCTTGATTTTCTTCACACCCGGAACATATTTTTTCTCCCGAATCAATTTCTGTATATATTTATAAAATGGATACAATTGATGATCGAAATCAAGAAATCCAAATTGTTCCAGATTATTTCTTTGCTTCGCTTTGATAACAATTTCCATTTGTGCGCCATTTGCAACAACAAAAGATGCAGTTCTTTCAATTATATGATGAAGTTTCATATTTGGAGGTAGAAACAGGCCAACTGGGAATTTCATACCTTCTGGAGGTTCGAATGGCTCATCTTCACTATCACTTTCTTCCTCATTTTCTTCTTTTACAGTGTTTGTTCCATAATCGAAACCAATTGATGCTTTTGAAGTGCTTTGTCGTCGTTTTTCTTCCTCTTCTTCACGTTCTTCTAGAAATGAAAAAAAATGGGTTTTGTTTTAAAAATTCACTTGGAACGTGGTCATTGTCTCATTTCTTTTTTAACACATTTCAGAAAAGCGTTTTCCCTGAGAAGAAGAAATTTGGAACAATAAAATGTAGTGAGTGATTTTTTTTTCGACGGGGTCTTCAGAATTTTTTTTTAAATCAAGACTTCTCCAAAGTTCCTAACAAATTCCAAAATGTTATAAAACTTACTCTGCTCTTTGATATCTTTATACATATCCATATATCTTTCCTCATCACACATATCTTCTTCCATTGCTTCAGTGGGACATATTTCTTCGTTATCCTCGTTTTTTCCGACTAAATTATCCACTGATGACAGAAGAAGTCGACAATCGTATCTGAAATTTAATTGGATTAAACTAGAAATCTTCATTTTATATTTTTTAAACTTCAATAATTTGAATGTAGATATATTCGTTTTGATGGGAACTTACTAACTCATATCGCATCCGTTGCTGCATTCGACCTAAAAAAAACTTCGTAATTTTTCAGATTGCTAATTAATTAGTTAAAAACAACGGTTGACCCCTCGAATTTGAAGCATTTGAATAATAATTCCACTAAAAATAAATTGTAATTCTGAAATGGTTTCGCTAAAAAATGTTCAAATCCCTTAAAAATAAACTCACCAGGCATTTATTTTCATCGAAGCCATTTCACTATCCGAAAATCGATCTGTTTTTCGTTTCATGGAATATTTGAACCAGTTTTTACAACCAATATTCTTACCTATCAACACGATTTGATGGATCTCCTAAACATTGAACCATGTGCCTCTCTTCGGAAATGAAATCTGATTGATTATCGACAGGAAAGATTCTAGACGAATAGCCAAAAACTAGAAGATCATCGTATTCCTGAATTTTAACTTTTGATGACTACATGAACTTCAATGAAAGCTCACGTTTTTGTCCGAGTTCGCTCTCCCGGATTTGTTGCGGCGATTCCAATTGTCCATACCTTTGGGAACAAAACTGTTGCATTCACCCCTAGATTTTTCTATCCAGGAAAATATTTTTTCAACGAAGCTAACATTTGATGGAAAACAATCGTTCAACTTTAGTAATATTCATTTTTAACAACAAAAATAACAAAATTAGGCGATCGAACCAGCGTTGGCGGCGATTCTTGGCCAGAGATCGGCACATTCTTTGGCGACTGGTCCGGTGATGGCTGATCCTTTCATTTCTCCCTTGTTGTTGACGATGACTCCTGCGTTGTCTTCGAAGTAGATGAAGGTACCGTCCTTTCGGCGGAATTGTTTGCGTTGTCTGATGACGACTCCTTGGAGAACTGAAACAGAAAATCTTTAATAGTTAGAAATATATTTTTGAAAACTGTGAATAGTATGAATACTTGTGTCAACTTTTCTATTCTTCACCGATTTTCGTAAAAATTAAGCACACTCATGAATGTTATCTATCGAACGAACTTTCACGAAGAATTAAATAGATTCCTAAATGATCCTACAAGCTTCTCTTGAATTTAGCATTTGGAACAATTTAAATATTGAAATAAGTCTGAAGTTTTTGCAGAGATCTTTCAAAAATAGGTGCTAAAAATAAAAACGATTTTTTATTCATCAATATTTACAGATGAAAAAATTTATTAAGATAAATAGCGAATATTTTTTGAAAGTTAAAAATTTAACGAGCCCCAATAGAATTAGAAAAACTCACCCTTCTTTCTAAGCTCTGGCTTTCCCTTCTTGACTGAGCAGACGAACATGTCTCCAACTCCAGCGCTTGGCAATCTGTTGAGACGACCACGAATTCCGTAGACGGAGATGACGAACAAGTTCTTGGCTCCGGTGTTGTCGGCACAGTTCATGACGGCTCCGACTGGGAGACCAAGGGAGATACGGAACTTGGCTCCTGAAGCTCCTCCGCGTCCTCTCTTCGACATTTTACCTTAAAAAATATTTTTTTTTTTTTTAAATAGCAATTTTTCGAATAAAAAACAATTTTACGATTAAAACAAGAAAGGCCAGTAAAATAAACGATTCCAAGCAATTTAAAAGTGTCAATTTTTATGTAAACCCATTTTTTTCAGTAAAAACATGGCGTGAAAAAAGAAAAATTCAAAAAAAGAGATTCAAGGGCTGAAGGGAGCTGCAGACACACATGTATTAACGTTTAATACTCAGCCAACGTTCAAAGGAACATCGCGGGCGTAACGAGACCCATGGCTGCTGTGTAGATTTACGGCGATCGATAAAGTCGTGGATTTTATTTTCAGGCTGCAGTTTTCTTGTTTTTTCTAGTTTTTTGACTCGATATAAGTTGGCGTTTATCTAAAAACTATTGCTCTTTATTTTGGGTATCGTTTCCTCTTATTTTCTATGTTCTGTAAATATTTATATCGTTGTTTTACATGCATATACGTACAGAAAAATATTTAAATATTGTTCGTTAATTTTCCCGTTCTATTTAACTTTGATTGTTGAGGTTGCGTTCTTATTTAGTTGTCAAAAATTTTAGTAAAAACGAGAGCACTTTCATAAAATATTTATTTTCAACATTTGAATATTCACAGTTCTTTTTTCATCAATTCCTCGACAGTTTCTTGTATTTTCACACTTTCTTTCATTTGAACTGTTAAAGATGAGATAGTCTCACGTAACATATTGTTGTCGGATCTGATTTGCAAAATATACATGAACTGGAAAATCAGAAATAAAAACAACACAAATATCATCATTGGCAGATTGATATTGACTCCTGATACTGTTGCCATTGATGGAATTGTTTGTTGTTTTTGTTGAAGTTGCTGCATGAGCAAAAAACTTGATCTTCTTTCTTCTGGATCGTCCAAAACAACGTTTTCAGCCAGTTTACATTTAAATTTGAATTCTGCTCGTTTCTCTGCGCTCTTGAAAAGTTCGGAAAACGAATCGAGATCTGTTGAAGATGATTCCATAGTTTGCATCAAAAATTTCTCTTTGTTCCAAGAATGACGATATTCTAAAATTTCAAATTTATTCTTGTTAGATATCCCCGATTCTCTTACCATATTGTAGATAAACACGAATTATTTCTGTTCCACCTGGTGCAACTATTCCTGAACTTGGTCGCACTCGGAATTTTTCTGGTGACGTTGTTTTGAATTTAAACATAACTGGTTGATCCAAAGATTGATTTTTCACTAGAACCACATCTACAAGATCTGACTCTCCCTCAAGTTTTTCCAGTTTCAAATCATCTCTCGGGCTGAAATGAATACTTGTATTTATTGTTGACGTAATTTTCGCTAGAAAAAACCCACGTTATTGACACAAAGTCGTTTGCTGACCAATCATCAACTGATGCGTTAACTCGTTTCTCAATAAGTGGTCGCAATCCAGGTGGAATTTGTGATTTTCGACCTTTTGGTCCACGACTCGAACGACGAGAAATTGAAGGAGCTCGTTTTGTAACAGATTCTTCATCGAATTTCACATTCTTAAAAAATATATTTAATTTTTTTTCTAAAAAAAGTTACTCACTGCCAATTCCATTCTCAAGTTTTAGAAACGCAGTAAAAATGTTATAAATAAAAACTACGACTTTTCTATCATGAGAACTATTGGCCAAACACCTGTTCTTTTCTGTTAGTGAAAAGGCAGATTTTTTCTTTTCAAATGTCGCGAAATCAAACTTTCAAAAATACTAACTCTTTTTTGGAATGATGAAAAATCGAATTCTGTAGCTGGTATGTTATTATTGTTTGTTGTGTCTTCGATTGAATTTATTTTTTGTTGGATAAGCTTTGAAGATGGTTTTGGTGGTGGTGGTGGAGGTAAACATTTAGCTAGTTCGTCCATTGTAAATTTGAAAGTATCCTGAAAATTAATGTAATTGTGAAAAATGTAGATAATTTGTCATTGCGTAGAAAAGTTTATAACTAATGATAAATGGATATGAAAATAGTATTTGCATAAACTCAACTTTCAAAAGAAGTTTTCAAGAATAACATATTTATTCAAACTTTGATTCATTTTTCTCATTACAATTTTATGAGAAGCTTTTTAAAAATCAATAAGCTTTCGAGTAATATAAGAGTTGAATTTTTGTTGAGTAGGATTAGTATTTTTCTTCTCAAAAACTGAAAGTATTATGGATAGATAAGTTACGTTTGAAACTATAAATACATTTCTCAAAGAATCGAAACTTGTAAATAGAAAAAAAAAATAGAGAAAAAATGTGCTGGTCAAAAGAGTTCTCGAGCTTATCTCCGAATATTACAACGAAAAAAAGAGTTCATTCTCGTAATGCAACGGAGAAAGCGAGTTCAGAGTAGTGTTAAGAAAGAAGAGCAGATGTTGGAATATAAAAGAAAAGATTCATGGAAACATTTTGATTGATTGTTTCTGTTTTTTCAATCTTTGGAATCAAATAACTTGTAGTAATTTTTGTATTTTGGGGAATTGTGATTAACTATTGATTTCCCGATAAACTACAATTGAAGAAAATTATAATAATTTTTAATAATCAAATAACTTACTGTACCACCGTGATGTTCTAATAAAAATGATTTGGGCACGTAATGTGTGACACTAGCTTTTGACACAAATGTCAATAAATCGTTTCTTTGAGTCGTCGAAGATGATGATTCAAACCAGGATCCAATTACCTAAAACAAAAAAGATGATACATTTTCTATTATCTTTTTTGTTCTTCAAACCTTCCAAGATGCGTTAAGAATAGCAGGACTATCGAAAATATAGATTGATTGAACCGATTGCGGATAATAATATTTTATTGAGTGCATCACAAACTTAAGTGCATCGAAGCTCTAAAATTTTTGTTTATTTTTGATGATTGACAAAGTTTTTTTTAAATATACTGATATTTACCATATTTTTGAGTCCAGTGCCAGTCATATCAATAAACAAGGAAAGTGGCTGGCAACCACTGTATTCCATATAATGTCGTTCCAGCCAAAAAATGAAAAGTTTTTCAAATCCATCATCACCATTTTTATACTTATTCATCATAATCCATACTAGAAAAAAAGGTGTTTGGAAAATATATTATTTGTTGTAACAACTCACAAATATGTCGATTCTGCATATCTTTTCCATGGAGATACATTAGCTGTTGATCCAAAAATGGTTTTAGTTCGAGAAGAGAGATTCCTTAAAAAATTATTTTCTGAAAAGAGATCTCGTCAAGCTCTTTTTTCAAGGCTTCATATTGAAATCCCCGTGTTCCAACCTAGTTCTGTATTTTCAGAATAAGTATCCCAGATTCCTTACCGTATATTCAAACCAGTTCCCACCATTCTGAAGTTCTTCCCTACTGTTTGAAAACTTACTATCAATATTGAAATTTTTCCTCCATTTCAAACATTCAAGCATAATAGCATAAGCAATATCTACATCATAATTTACTGATTCGAGAAATCTATCCAGCCACCAATCATCGTTTCGTATTCTTGTAATATCATCAATAACAAATTTTGAAGCAGCAGAAGAATCCTACAAATTTCGAGTCATGTTTGAAAAATGTTTGGCCTCATTTAATACCTGTAGAATTCGTGATCGTAATTCTTGAATCGATAAAATATTCGATGGATCAGTAAAAGTCGAACTTAGTCGTCGAACTAATCTAGTATTAATATTTTTATCCATATTTCTGTAAACAATTTGCTTTTGATTTAAGAAAACACCAAAAAATGAGAATTAAACAAGTGTTTTACATTTTGAAGAAAAAAAGAACAAACTATTGATTGCAAAAGACATTTGTGCTCTGTTCGGCTGGTCCATGAATAAAAAATGTTCGGGGAAAAACACAAAAAGAGAAAAGAAGGCAATTTCTAGTAATTGGACGGAAATTGTCTCGGTTTTCGGCTCAAGTGTAATGAAATAGTAAGGAAAAAATGACGATTTTGTGTTAGCCACTTGACATTTTTTCGATGTTTACTCGAACTTTTCATTTTATTAGAAGTGTTGAGAATAACATTATTATTTTTTTAATCGAAACGTGTAATCAAAAAAAAACAAATAGCACAAAGATTGTGTGCAGAAAAAAGTAAACACGAACGATTTGAGATGAATGAGTGATGTATCACAGCGGGTATTATGTGTGTTGTGCGATTTCGTGTGTGTTTAAAAATGAGTTTGAGTGAAAATTATATTGCATGTTGAAGAGACAAAAGATATTTTGTGCTTTTTTTCGAATTGATTCGAAATTAGTACTTGAAAATTGATATCTTCAAATTTCGGAAATTGTTGGTAGCTGTACTAGAAATGAAGTTTTTTCATGAAAATGAAAAAATAAAATTGGAAAAAGGTCACGTCAAAAAAATGTTTTCGATCTATTTCTCCAAGTTTCAGAGAAAAATTTCGAGAAATATTCTCTTGGGTATTCCATAAAGTTGGACTTCTTGGTAAATTATAGGCTAGCTGTTCCTCTGAATATTTACAAGTTCTAATCATCTGTCGCTCTGTATTTTCTTCCAATTGTGGTTTCTATGCAATTAGTTTTTGTTAGTAATTTCCAAGTTGCACAAAATGTTTTCTTCCAGTTTGCATTTTTTTGTCGAACTATTCATTTCTCGAATTTTATTCATGTGAAAAGTTTCTTATTTCATTATTGCCAAATAATTCACAATTTTTTTTTGTATAGTTTATTATGACTATTGTTTGTTCTTATTCTTCCATATACATTAAAATCGTCAATATGTTTAAAAATACACTCGTATACATTCCGAATAGTTTCCATGATATAGTAATAATCAAACATCGCCGTTTTTTCATCAAAGTTCAACCTAAGAAGTGATCTATTATTATTTTTCTGGCAAAAACTTCGAAAGCGACAGAGTGAAGTGGGAAGTAAGAGACGCAGAGTGTATGGATCAGAAATTGAAGAAAAGACTAGTTTGGGGGAAAAAGAAGGAGAGAATAGAAAAAAGACAAGCCCGGCCGAGGAGCGAATTGAATGTTTTGTGTGTGTATTTGTACGCGTCTCCCGTAGTTTTTTGCCTTTTTCACCACGATTTTCCCGTTTTTTTTTGTTGGAAGATTCATGTTATCATCTCTGTTTTTGCGGCTATCATATTAAGCTGGAAATTAATCGTTGAAAAATATTTGTCTAGAAATTTTTTCTCCTTTTCTTCATCTCTGATTATTTCTCTTTTTATTTTTTAAAAAAATCATCAAATTTTCTTGCAGACTCGGTGTAAAACCATTATAAATCCATCGAATGCAGATTGAAAATTTGGACGAATTCCAGAAATGGCTTATCAATGAGCTGACTCCAATGTAAGTTTATTTTATTTCATTTTTTTTTAAATAAATAAATATTTTTTTAGATGTGATGCTGAACCAGGTGCATTGGCGAAATATGTTTTAGCATTGCTCAGAAAACCAGATAAAACTGATGCGGAGATCAAAGAATTCAGCAGAGAACAACTCGATGTTTTTCTTGGTCAAAGCACTGCGAAATTCGTTGACAAGTTATTCAATGCGCTCTCCTCGAAATCGTATATTTCATCACCGCAAGCAACATCTTCTAGTGCTTTGAATGACGAAATTCCTCCAATTATCAAGGAAAAATCGAAAAGTCCACCAAGAGAAGCGACTCCAGTGAAAACGATTCGAAAACGAATTAGTCCACCGCCTTCGGATAAAAATGAAGATGAATCTAGAGAAAAAGTTGGAAATTCGGGTGAGAAACGAGTTGAAAGAAGAAGATCGAGATCGCCAAGAGATCGTCGGAATCGACAAACTTCGAATCGAACTAATAGAAATTCTTCAGGAGAACGAGATAGGCATAGATCTAGAAGATCAAGGTTTGTTATTTTTCTATAGTGTTGGATGAAAACTTACATCGTTTTTGAAGGTTTTCAAAAAGCCTTTGAGAAAACAAGTATTTTTACAAGACATTCGCAAGAAATTACATTTTTTAATGAAATTATCTTCGATTAAATCAAAATTGTTCATGAAAAATGTCTCAAAATTTTGGAATTGTAATGGGGTGATTCAGGTCGAAAAAAAATAATACAAAAACATTTTTTAACAAAAAAATTCGATTCAGCAAATGTCAAAAAACTATATTTTTTTCCTATTTTTTTCCACACAAAAATGAAAAATATCTCGCAGCGAAAATGTTGCAATGTAAAAAAATAGGAAAAAAATATAGTTTTTTGACATTTGCTGAATCGAATTTTTTTGTTAAAAAATGTTTTTTTATTATTTTTTTTTCGACCTGAATCACCCCATAAAAAAAAATAACTTATTTCATTATGGGGCCAAAACTTAACATAAACTTGAATTTGTTCAAGTTCAATTATTTGCAGATCAAAAAGTACATCTCGAAGTCCAAGTTATCGTCGAAATGATCGAAGCCGTCGTCGTTGTAAAGATTTTGAAGAACGTGGATATTGTATGCGTGGAGAACAATGTGTTTATTATCATGGAACTGATCCGGTTGTTGTTGATGAAAATGCACTTTGCACAATGGTTCCATCAATTCCAGCTCCAACCGCTGCCAATTTCTCGTTAGTTTTTAAATTAATTAATCACTTCTCATTCACACTAACGAGGGCAGCTCTATTTTTGTGAAAAAATGTCAAAATTAAGAAGTGGGAAAACGTGACCTATTTATCTCAAATCTCCCTTTTTCAAATGATTTTCCTCAATCTTAGTATTTTGAAAATGAGCAGCTCTGTGACTAATCCATTGTTTTGTGATTTCAGTTTGCCTCCTCCTGGCTATAACCCAATGAATCCACCTCCACCCGGTGTTGCTATTGTAAATGGGGAATATAATCCGGAGACTCCTGCTTTGACTGTCACTAACTACAGTGTTCCACCACCGCCGTTGGCAAATGCAGCAGTTGCGACAACTACACCCAATGCTGGTTCGTGGCAAAATGTTCAAACACAAGGATATCAGCCACAGGTAAGTACATTTCATTTTATGGGGACACTTTTTTCAAAACACGATGAAAAATGAGTTGATTTTGAATGTTCCGATTTTTCTCGATACCCTGATTTTTAAGACAATTCGGAAAAAGTTCCCTGTTTTCCTCCTCCCAGTGTTTACAAATAATTTTCATTTTTCAGGCACCGGGATATGTTCAACAAGTTGTTCCTCAACAATTCCAACAATCGTATCGTGGTTCAAATTCTCGTGGACGTGGTGGAATAATTCGAGGAACTGGAAGAGGTGGAATGAATACAGCACGTGGTGGATATAATAGTGGAAAAGATAGTGCTACTCTTCAAGTTGCCAAAATCCCACCAGAACTCAATAATATTACCAAATTGAATGAGCATTTTGCAACTTTTGGAAATATCGAAAATATTCAAGTTCGTTATAATAGTGACCCGGAATCTGCTTTGATCACTTATTCAAGTAGACACGAAGCAACTAATGCTTATAAATCTCCAGCACCTGTTTTGAATAATCGATTCATTAAAGTTTTTTGGCATAAACCTGAAAATGAAGAGAATTCGACTAATACGCAAGCAAATATCCCACCACCTGTCCCAGTTCAAATTGTTGAACCGCAAAAAATTGCGACGCATAAGGAAAGAAAGTTTGTTAGTGAAGCATCGAGAGAGCATTTCAAACTATTGGCAGAGGCGAAAGAATTTTTAGCCACGGAAAAAGATAATTTGGCGAAATTGGTATCATTCCAAGATAAGCAAAATGAACATTTGGAAAGTTTGATGACAAGGCAAAAGTTGTATATTACAAAAGCAAGAACAACAACTGATGAAGAAGAGAAGAAGAAAGCGACAAAGTTTGTCAAAATTGTTCATAAAAAGATAAAGACTGTGAAAGATGAGATCAATAATATTCTGTTGCAAATTTCGGAAAAATCTGAATCTGTTGATAAAGCGTATGCTCGTGTTGAAGAATTGAAAAAACAAGCGCCGGGAAAAAAGGAAAATGATGAGAATAATCGGAAAAGAAAAGCGGATGGTGATTTGGATGATGAGGTTAACACGAAATTAAGTAGTGTTATTATTGTCAAAAATGTTAAGGTTTGTGTGAAATCTGAAAAAAAGAAGAGGAGTTAAAAATATTACTGAATTTTGTTTAATAATTAAAATTTTTGATCTGAACATTTTCAAAAAAAAATTCTCAAAATTGTTTAGTTCTTTGAAAAATCAGGATTTTCTTCCGAATGTTCAATTTGTCGTACAAATAGCTTCAAGATTTGTTGAATTTCCAAAATTCTATTTTTTTTTTCATATAAAAAATGTAGTTTCATTTTCAGGAAACCGATGTCTCCGATCTCATGAATCATATGGAAAAGTTTGGTGAAACATTTGATACAAGTGTAAATGTTGAGAATGGCATTGCCACAGCTGTTTTTCCATTCAAAAATAGTTCAGATGCTAGAAAGGTAGGAGTTTTCTTCACCAACCAATTAATTATTCATTTAATTCAGGTTTTGAATACGGGTAAGACTTTAAATGGTGTTGTTCTCGATATGGAATTGACAAATGAACAATTAGATGAGATTCCTTCGACGGATGTTAATTTATCTGAAGATCGATTGATTGCCAATATTGCCAATGATGTGAGTTTTTGATTTATTGTGTCGAAGATTTTTTTTACAATTTTATTACTGGAAAAATTGAGTTTTTCTTATTGAAATTTTGAATTTACACAATTTTTAGTAAAACTACAAGAAGAGATGATCACTTCTTCAAACAAATATTCTCTCGGAAATATTTTTGAACATTTGAACTTTCGCACTAAACTTTTGTGTTAAATTTAGACATTTCAGACAAAAAACTCAGAAGTTCTGAGTTTTTCCAAACCTCATAGAATTCTGAAATTCAAATTTCGTAGTTTACAATTTTTCATCACATTTTTTTACCAAAAAATTACCTAGAACTTGTTGATTTTTTTTTCAAAAATTTAACACCAGCTTTGATATACTATCCCGATTCCACCTTGAAAAAAAAAATGAATTTTTCAGTCAGACGATGAAGAAGATTTAGTTAATGCCTAGTTATTATCTGATCTCTGCCAACTTCTCTTCACAATTCGCATTCTTCTCTCTTCATACTTGGTCAAAAGTGTCGTTTTTAATTGAAACGTGGGTTGAAATAATTTCGTTTTTTTTATCTTTCTCTATCAATTGTAAATTAATTACCTCATCCTGATTATTATTATCTATCTTTTAGCTGTTTAGATTTTAGCCATTGTTTTATTGTATTGTATTCTTTGTTTTTGAAAATTGGTGGAAAAAAAGAAAAAGAAGAAAAGAAAGAAAAAGAGAAAAATTAAACCTAAAATGATACAAATAAAAAAGTTAATTAATATTAAATGTTTACCTGAAAAAAAGAAAAAAACGGGTGCAAAAAATAAAATGATTACAGGTTCAATGAAGAAAGCCGGTTGTTTTTTGTATACGAGTAAATAAATGATTTCTTATTTTTGTTTGTGTTTTCTTTGATTTGTTTGATTAACTTGGAATTGTTTACGTTTTTAACGTTGAAATATTTAGATTTTTTAGAAATGAAAAATATATGTTTCGAGGGAAATTTCAAGTTTTTGTGAAACTGATTTTTAATTATGGTGAAGCTTTTTACAATTCTGACTCTGAACGTTAGAAAATTTAATCTTTTCAAATCTTTAAAATTTAAGAAAAATGTCTGTAAAGTTCCAGAAAGTTTTCATATTCCGGAATTTTCACAAAATTTCAATTGAGATTTGAAAAATAGACGAAAAATCAGAAAAAAAACCCGGAAAGAATTTTGAAGAAATATTTGCAAATAAATTCACACTTTGTTTTAAAAAAATATTTTTCAGAACTTCTCGAACATTTTCTGAATTTTTCGAAATTTCAAGAATTTGTCAGGAAAATGTTTTAATGTCTCAATAGATATTTTGTAGTTCGGAAAATTACCGAAAAATTATTTTTTCAAGTTTGTGAGATTATTTTTCTTGTTCAAGAAATTCAAATTTCCACAGAAGTCTACGATTTAAGTTTCATATTTCGAAATATCTGATGAATCATAATTTTCGAAAACTAAATCTATGTAATATTGAATTATATATATTCAATATTATTGTGATCTGATTCATAATGATTATAATATTTTTGTCATTTTGTACAGTCCATGTTATTTCTGTCTCGACTGTTTCCTTCTTCTTCTCCTTCTCCTTATTCCACAATCCGTTCTTTCTTCTTTTCTTTTTTTCCCGTTGTCCAGAGTGCACGACAAGAGTACGTTTTCTCTGCGTCTCTCCATCCTAACACTCACTAATTGACCGCTTCGCTGAAACCGCAACGCGTCCAGCAAAAACGGGGAAAAAGAACGCAGAGGAAACAACGACACTCGCTTTTCCATCTTCGACGACAACGCGATTTTCATCATTTCATTTTCATATAGATTTTGCGTTATTCCAAAAATCTTGCTGAAAGATTCATATCTTTTCCACGTCGTTTTATCTCTCGTCATCCCGGATGAAAGAAGCCATTTTCCATCCTTGATTCGTTGTTTCAAAATTTCCCTCTTTCTTCTCTCTATTTTATTTTCTGACTCAAAATCATGAAATTCCTATTTTTTCAGAATGGGAAACGTGTTCGGCAACTTATTTAAAGGCCTTTTCGGCAAAAAAGAGATGCGTATTTTGATGGTTGGATTGGATGCGGCCGGAAAAACAACAATTTTGTACAAATTGAAGTTGGGAGAAATTGTCACCACAATTCCAACTATTGGTTCGTTTTATTTGGGAAAAGATAGAGGGTTGAGAAATGCTCTATGGGATTTCATTAAAGAGGTTTTACACAGGGTTGAAATTGAAAAGATTCTGAGTTATGACGTGGCAAATTGAGAAAGGTACAAAGAAGGTGGATTTTTTAAAATGAAGTTTTTTATTAAGTCATGTCCAGGTCATATTAATCTGATTTGTGGATTTTAGTCCCTAATTCACAAATTAAGGATCTCAAAAACTTCCAGATCTCATTTTTGCCACGTCATAGCTCTCTAACTCGGAAACTGTAAAACTTTATCTTCCTAGATTTCATCATAAAATGAGTGACTATTTGCAGGATTCAACGTTGAGACAGTCGAATATAAGAACATCTCATTCACAGTTTGGGATGTTGGAGGTCAAGACAAAATTAGACCATTGTGGAGGCATTATTTCCAAAATACTCAGGGTAAGTCACAATTTTTCGCTGTGTTCCAATCTTATCACTCAATTTAAAACTTGTCCAATTTTTTTTTGAACGAAAATTGATAAGAAGAATAAAATTGATAGATTGAACAAAACATGGTTGATTTTCAGGATTAATCTTTGTTGTCGATTCAAATGATCGTGAACGTTTGGGTGAAGCACGCGAAGAATTGATGAGAATGTTGGCCGAAGACGAACTCCGTGATGCAGTTCTTCTCGTTTTTGCCAACAAACAAGATTTGCCACAAGCGATGAATGCGGCTGAATGTACGGATAAACTTGGATTGCACTCACTTAGAAATCGATCATGGTATATTCAGGTAAGAAAATTGGTGATAAAGAGAAATCGCTTTTGAGGAAACCTATAGATTAAATATTCTCATCACAAATTTTGGAATTTTTAATATTGATCTATATAAAAAATAAATATTGTTGATCTATATAAATTTAAAAGAAATGAAAATTTTAAAAAAACTTGAATTTTTAATGAATTAACTGATTTTTGACCTGAAATTAAAATTTACCAAAAATTGACCAGTGTTCAAAAATGTAAACTAAATATGTTATCAGCAAGTTTTTTCAAAACCCTTCCAACTTCCCCAAAAATCTATGAATCTCAAATTTTAATTAATTTCAGGCTACATGTGCAACATCTGGAGATGGTCTTTATGAAGGACTCGATTGGCTCAGCAATCAGCTCAAGAATCGATCATAGACCTTTGCAATTTTTGTTTTTTCTCCCTTTTCCTTTTCCGTTTTTTCCCACTTTTTTCTCCCAGACCCGATATTATTTATTATTCATTATTCATTTCTTCTCTTCCCCCACAAAAATCAGCCCCAAACGGGAATCTTTTTTTCTGTGTAATTTATTTTCTCTTCACCTTCCCCAAAAAAACACAAAAAATCCGAATTTCTGTGATTTTTTCTTGGTTTTGACACCTATCCGCCCCGCTTTTTTTGATTCATTGAATTTTTTTGGAGTAAACACATCTTTTTTCGAAATGGACATTTATTAGAGCAAAATATTGAGGAGAAAAAGTGAAATATTTAACTATGCGATGGATTGATTGGAGCTGTGAAGGCTTCAGCAGTCATTGGACGATTTCTGAAAAATTGGATTTTTGAGGGAATGTGAGGAGACAAGGAAAAAAGAAAATGGTTAGATGGTTTAGTCACATGCGCTGGTATGGAAACTTGCTGAAAACGAAAATTGCTCTTGGGAGCTTCTTAAAGAGGTTAGTTGATATTCTGGATGGAAGCTTTGGAAATTGCTGAAAATTTTGGATGGGTGTAAAATTTCCTCTGAAAGTCGAAGAATGTTATGAAATTCCAGTTTTCTGAGGATTTCAGATTTTCAGGATTTTTTCAAAAAAAATTCCAGCTTTCACAAACAATATGATTTTTTAACAAGATTTTCTCATGAAATTTTGAAAAAATATTTCGAAACTTTTTTGATTCTAGGAAATTTTGCCACGTGACATTTTTAAACAAAATTTTAACTTAAAAAAAACATTTTTGAATTTTCAGAATTGTTCAGAAAAACATTTGGAAAGTTCTGGAAATTCCCAATTTTGGCTCGAAAAATTAATTTTTCTGAAGATTATGTCGTGGAATTCAAAATAAAAATGAAAACTAAATAATTCACAAATTTCCAGCAAAGTTCCTTTGTTAGTTAATCTATCTCTAGTCACTCTAAAATCACACCAAACCACATCATCTCAACCTTTTTCTCTCTTCTCTCTTCATTTACACTTGTTTAGCTCCTCCGAATTTCTCTCCACTATCAGTTGTCAAACATCCAGCCCCAAGTCCAAATCCAACTCCTTTTGGTCCGTATTTTCGACCGTGACATTGTTTGCAATAAAGTTCAGCTTCGTGTGGAGCAACAGTACATGAATCCAATAATTTGTTGCACATGTCTGATTAATTTCAGAGTTTTAGAAGGGGAATTGAGAATTTTGTGGAATTTTTTAATGAGAGAAGTGGATCGACAATTTATTTTTTAAAATTTTCCCAATTTTAGTATAGCAAGCACGTGGACAAAGATATTAGTAACAAAAACATCTTGAAAATAAAAAAAACGAACGTCATATCAACTTCGGTATTTCCGAATTTCTCTCCAGTATCCATTGTCAATGAACCAGCTCCGATTCCAAATCCAACACCCTAATTAGATAATTAATTAACTCAAAATTAATTAAACAATTCGCGAACCTTTGGTCCATATCTTCTACAATGACATTGCCGACAAAATAATTGAGCCTGATGTTCACAGCAAGACATTGAATCCAATAATTTATTACACATACCTAGAATTTTGAAAGCGATGGACAAAATGGACAAAATATGGACAGAGGACAGGAAAAAAACGGAGGACAACAATTGGGTTACTGTAGTTTTTCTGGATTTTTGGAATTTGGAAAGATTCACTAGATTTCCTAGAAAATCTAGACATTTTTCGAAAATTTTAGAAATTTCAAGAGAGTTTTAGGGCAGTGAAAATCTAGAAATTTTTGTAAATGACTGAATTTTTTAAAGAAGAGATTCCCTGGAAATTTCTCACATATTTTTTGAAAGTTTCAAAAAATTTCTGGGAAAGCAATATTTTTTGAATTGAAAATTTAGACCTTTTCTGAAACTGAAATTTCAGATTTCTTCTTGAATTTTCAGCTTTCAAAACTTTGCTGTAACAAATTTCAGATTCAGAAATTTGACTTATTATTTTACACCTCAAAATTTTTAATTCACATTTTTTTTTCTAAAATTACAAAAATGGTTCTCAGATATTTTTTGAAAAGCCCAAGACTTTCCGCAGAAAAATCTACAGTAACCCATGAAAACAGCCTAAGCAAAAAGCCTCGATCCACCTCATTTTGAAAATTGAGAAGCTCTGGGTCCCGTCGCGAAGAGACAGACTACGGTAGAAAAACAACTCACTACACTTGAAGCAGAATTTATGCCATTTATATCCGCCGGCATTCATTTCTTCAGCCGCATACACGGATTTTCCACATTTTGGGCATTTTGGATGTTCGACAGCTTTGAAAGGCATAGTTTTGAGATGCTGAAATTCCACGTGTTACTTTTTTGTTATTCTTTTTTTCAGAAAAATAGAATAAGAGAGCAAAAAACAGAAAGAACAGTTGTTTTGAGCACTTTCTGTGAAAAAATGACAGAACAGAAAGAAAAAGTCGAGAAAAATAGGAAAAAAAAAGAATTTTTCGGTGGTTCAACAAGAATTGAACAAATAATAAATATTTGCGCTTCTTTTTCTTGTAAAATTATTGAAATGTGGGCGGAGCATTTGGAAAAAGCTGAACAAAATGATAAGGCATTTTTGTTTTCTTTTTTTCAGGAAAAGCAATGAGTCATCTGAAAATGTGGAAAACATAACAAAACATTGTTTTATTTTTAATATAAGAAATTATTTTTGATGATTCCGAAATAACGGAAACAGGCGGGCGGCTGGAAAAATAGAACATAATTTTGAAAAAATTTAGCAATGAGGAAAGAATATGGTTTTTATCCGGTTACTGCGCAATAAAAAAAGAAAAAAGTGCCGGCTCACGGAGGCGAACCATTGCGGAACTGAGAAATTTTAGTCAAATTATCAGATTTTGAAAACTCAATTTATAATAAAAGTAATTTTTTGAAACAGTGAACATTTGAAAATATATCCAGACACAAAAAAATAGATTTTCCCGGAGCAGTAGGCCAAAAAGAAGCCCTTGGAATTTCTGACAAAATTTTTTGAATCGAATTTTTCGGAGTCTGAATCTTCTTATACAGTTTCTAAAAAGTGATCCAATTTTTTCGATTCGGAAATTCCTTCAAAAAAAAATCTGACTTGGGCCGTTTCAGAAATCATAGCTCCCAATAATAATAAATATACTTATAGATCAAACGTGGTTGCAAATCCGCACACCGGCACTTTTTGCGCATATGGCCAATTTCTAGGGGGAAAGAGCAAAATATTGTGAAATTTCTCCGCGAAGAAAAATAAAAAGAGTCACAAAATATCTATGTATTACACTAAAATCGAACACATTAAATAGAAGAAAAAGAAGAATAGTTTAAAAATAACAGCTGCGCAGATCGAAAAAATGTGGTGGCGAAATTCGGAAAAACAATAAGTAGAAATGATCGATTGTGTGAGTCAGCCGAAAATTGTGAAATCCGAGAAAATGAAAACCAAAAATGAAAACGAACAGAGATGAAATCTGGTTTCAATTATTTATCATCTTTTTCCAATGAAAAAATAAATTCCGCAAATTTTTACGAGAAAATGGGGGGATTTTAGAAAAAGGAAACGCGAAATTGTCGTCTTCTTCTCCGAAATTTTGCGGTATATTTGTTGAGAAATTGGAAGAAAATAGTTTGCGAATTGAAGAGGGAAAAATAAATAGAAATATTGCGGGAGGAGGAAAAATCGAGGAGAACAACCGATTTTTGAGGAGGAAAAATCAGACAACATTTGAAGATTGACGCGAAAAAACGGAAAACTTGAAGTAAATTGGAAATCATGTCAGGGAATATGAGATTTTGAAGAAAAAATACGAAAGTTCACCGGAAAATCAAATTTTGAAATTTAGAGAAAAGTTGTCCGAACACAACAACACTTCAAATTTGAAAATTTCTTAGAAATATTGTAGCTTGAAGCTTTTATTTTCCAAATCTCCAGTATCCTCGATATCTTCACCATTCTATCCCAAGTGTGCGTGTTTTCACGTTAAAATTTAAAAAACAACACGTCATTATGTATTCCAAAAAATCCATATTTCAATATTTCCGTCATTTCTGATTTTCTACTTAACACCGTACTCCAAATTAGCCGATGAAATTTTGAAAAAAAATCGAAAAGTAAGTGACAGTAATCTTTTTAATCGCATCTTATTCAAAAATGTTATCCCCCATGGAGAGCATCTATAGTTTTTTTTCCAAAAAATTCCAATGTTACTGTATTCCATATGATCTACCTGTTAATTATTTTTCCTTTTTATTTCAATAAACTGTTTCATTTTCTAATGTTTTGGGTGGCGGTGCAGGTACCATATTTCCAGCCTGAACAAGATCAGCAACATGTGGTCGTGTTAGTCGAAGGAATTGTACATCAATCGGATTTTCAGCTGTTTTTGCGGGTTGAATAACACGATGATGATTAGCTCTCATAGTTTTCACAAGCTGTACACGAGGTGTCAGCTTGCACAGTGTTCCCATATATGATCGAACTGTCTCAGATCCTTCGGATATATCTGACATATCATTTTGATTTGCTACCTCTCCCTTGAAATTATCCCTAATTTCTTCACCGTCCTCTTTGGCCCTGTCTCGTATATCCATCAAATTCGGATAATAATTGACTTCTTTTCTTATAGCTTCCGAGTTGATCTATAGAGATAGTATAAATAAACTCTTCGATTAAAATGCACTTGTATGACTTACCACATTATCATCCTCATTCCTCATTTTGCTCCGCTTGCACTTCCATCACCTCAACATATTGTGGTGGTCGTCGGATGAATTGTACATTTATCTGATTGGCTGCCAATTCCACAACTTCTCTTTCATTCCCATAGCATGCATGCGCAAACATAAGATGTACAGGTACAGGCTGAATCATTTGAACAAATTCACCACGAGTATAATTTGATCTAACAATTTCAACCATCTGCACTCGAGGTGTCAATTGGCACATCGTTCCCATAAAGCAATGAACCGACTCGGATCTATCGGAGATTGCACTTAGATTATGTTCCTCATGCACCATTTCCTTGAATCTCTCTCTGACCTCTGCACCGCCTTCTATCGCCCTATCTCTTATATCTAGTAAATTCGGATAATAATCAATTTCTCGACGGATTGCTTCCGGATTCATCTATAAAGATAGTATATAAACGCTTCAATCAAAATGCACGGTGTCTGTTTATCCCCTTTTCTTGAAAACCCCGACAAATTTGATTTTTTTAACGAAAAATTGTGTTTCCTTTTCCTACAGTTCATGAAAATTCAGATTTCCGAAAACATTCAATTAAAAATACGGTAGTCTTTTTTAATTTCACATATTTTCAGGCAAAAGTAGTTCGCAAATTTGTTGTTTTTAATAAATCCGTCAATTCAGCTCATAATTCCAGTAACTTACCACATCATTATCTTCATTCGTCAAAATTTCGACATTGTGATCCGCTTGTACTCCCTGTTCTTCCTCATTTCCTCCTCTCACAGTCTCCAATCCCCTTCTGTTCCATCTGCTTGCTACATTTTTCAATCGTTTCACGTTGTCAATTATTCTGTCCTTAAGTTTTCTATAAAACTCCTTGATTTGTTCAAATTTTGGTAGGCATAATGTGAGGTCGGTTCCGTTGTATCGTTTTCGTTTCGAAGGCGATTCACAGTTAGCAGCACAATTTACGCGTTTCCGATTCATTTTCAATTACAAACTATAATTAATTAACTATTGTTTTTTTCCTAATTTGTACCGCCTACCTTATCCAGTATCTGAAGAAATGGTCAAATTTTCGAAATGTCTTTAATTTGTTGGCAAAAATGGGTCACGTTTTAAATCCTTTTTCTTTTTTGTAAAAAATGTCACGTGATTTCGTAACAAAAGTTGTATTTCTACTTAAATTTCGAAAAAAATACAGTAGTCAGATTTTTTTAAAAACAATTCCGAATCGGATCTTTTTTCAATAAGATATTTTTTACTGCTCTTCGAAGAAATTTTCAAAATGATTAAAAATTCTGAAATTACGGAAAAAATCTGGCGTGACCTTTGTTTTTCCACATTTTTTCGTGTTCATATTTATTTTTTGTCGAATCAGTTCTAAAAATTTTACGACTACAAAAATGTTTGCAAATTTTCAATCAATTATTCTGGCGTCAATTATAGCTCTCGCATCAACAGGTAAATCTGGAATTACAGCAAATTTTCATTGCATTTTTTGTTTCAGAAGTTTGTCGCCCAAATGAACTCAAAGAAAAAACCTTATTTTCGCCGTATTGCACAGAATTTGATGGAGATTTGTATTTGGATGATTTTTATGAAAAAGGTTCAAATTTCAGCAATTTGGTTAGTTTTCGAGAATTTTTGATTTTGATGGAGAAAACATTTATAAATTTTTTAGGAATCTATCACTGGATCTTTGATTTTGATTGGTTCAGATTTCCGAAAACTTCCAAAATTCTCAAATTTGAAGACGATTTCTTCAGATGGACCAGGTAACGAGATTTTGATTCTGCCCCGATAAAACAATGAAAAAATCAGTCAAATTTCCTGAAAAGTGGGCTGGTCTAAATGCAACCACCACGTAATATTTTCAAATCTTCAATTCAAATTGACGTATTTCAGCTGTCATAATCATAAACAATGAGAAACTTCTCGAAATAACTGGTTTATTCATCAATTCCGAATTGAAAAATCGCCTAAATTCACCAAATGATTATTTTATTCGAAACAATGAACAACTCGATTTATCGATTTATTCAAAACTAGTTTTCAAACCATTCAAACCAATTATTTCCGAAAACTTTTTGCCATCTGGAACTGATTTATATTTCGCTGAATCACTTACACTTGGAACTGCTATTATTTGTTTTCTAACTGTTGCCACACTATTTTTGTATAATGCAAGTATGGGAGCTACTGTAAGTTCATTTGTTTTTGATAAATAACAATTTTTAATCACAAATTCTTTTAGAATCTCTATTTCATTCCTGGATATCATCGCCGTTAGAAAATCGTATATTTTAGCAATAAAATGTTTTATGAAAAGTTATCAAGATGGTAATATTTACAGACAAATGAGACAATAATTAGTTTGCATCAAAAAGTAACCCGGGGTTGATTTGTTGAGCAAAATTAAAAACAAATATAGAAATGCAAATGGTACAAAATTTAAAATTCTAGAAATGTGGATAATCTTCGTCTAATAATTCTTGTTTAACTTCGGTTTTAATTCTCTTCATTGGAATTGTTGACGCTTCGGTCATTTCGAAAACCTCTTTTTTGACTTCCAAGTCGGATTTTTGAGATTCCATAGTTTTGTCGGCTACTGCAACAATATTCATAAAAGGATTTATTGAAAACATGTATTTTTGAATCTCAAATTATGAGAAGATCTTTTTTTGCACTAAACTTTTTGGAAAAAATTTAAAGGAAATTTTCAAATAGCTTTTTCTGATAAAATTATTCAGGAAAAAAATTGAAATTAAATTTCGCGCTATAATTTTTATTTTGACTTTCTTGAACTTTTTTTGGAAAATTTGAAAAAAAACGATGTGAAAAACGTTTCAAATAAAAATTAAAAATGATATTTTTTAAATCTAAATTTCTAAGTGAAACTTCACATCTGGAATTATTTTTAAAAATTCTTTAATTTCAACCACTTTCAAAGAAATCTCCACAATATTCAGAGAAGAGGAGTTATAAAAGTTAGTCCAATTTAAAAATATTTTAATTAGCGTATTTCCCAAAAGCAAAACTCACAAAGTGCTTTACAAGCATCATAATGCATATGGAGCAAATGTTTTCGAAATGCTTTCCGATTTGAAACCATCAATGATCGACAAAATGGACAATCCTCTTTTTCGACTGAAAAAAAACCATCGCCTTATTTATTATTACCATTTTCTATCAAAAAATACTCACTTCTCATTCTTCCTTGCAATTGACTAACTAATTCAAACAATAATTCCACCGAAAAATGTTCGTTATAATGTGATATTAGATTCTAAAAATTTAAAAATGTGTGGATTGGAAAAACTTCATCAAAAGTACCTCTCTATAAGTTGCTTCAAGGCCGCATTCTGGGCAAACCGCTTTTTTATAATTTCGAAATTTCCGATTATTTCCATGCTTCGCTTCTTCGTGTTCAATGACTTCAGTGACAGTCAAAAATTGTCGAGTACAGAATCGACATTCCATAACAGCTCGATGATTTGTGCTATCTCTATAGTGATTTGATAAATGATCCATCAAGTTCAGAGTGAATTCGTTGCAAATGCTGGAAAAATGAAATAAAGGTGGGAAATTTCAAAAGGTTTGGTTTTTCAAAGAAATTGGGTCGTATAGAAATCTAGAGGCTGAAAGTTATCGCTTTCCCTAATTTTATTAGTAAGCAATTTTGTAGCTACAATTTTTCACAGTTTTGAAGACCTTCAGTCATTAAAACTCTCTACTTTCCTTCAAAAAAACCAATTTTCCCATGTTTAAAAATGTTTTCTCCACAAATTCATTTAAAACTTACAAACAAACATTATTTTTATGAATTCGATCATAATTCATTCCACAATCAGAACATTGATAAAATGTTGAATTTGAGTGCTGGAAAAATGCCAATAAAATGTCAATTTTCATAAATAAATTGATAAACAAATAAACTTACATTATCAATAATATGTTTATGACATTCCAAATGATCTTCAAATTCATTTTTACACGAGCATACGAATCTAACAATTTCTACAATTTCTGGCTCCAAATTTTCCTCGGATTCTTGTCTTCTTATTACAATATTAGTATCTTCAATCGGATTCTCTTGTGAATTTCTTTTTTCTTCTTTCTCTAATTCTCTATCTAGTTGATTAATTAATCGTTCATATTCATCTTCTGAATTATTTTCCGATGAACTTTCGTCCAAAGAATCGATGTATTTTGCACTTTGAACAACTGATGAAAAAATATCGTCATATTTTTTATTTCGATCACTTTTTTTGATTTGTGAAATCAACTTCTTTTTCGGCAATTTCAATTTTTTAACCACGATCTGAAAAAAAGATTAACCTTAAAAACTCTTATATTTTGGATTTACCGCATTTTTGTCATAAAACTCTTTATAATCATAAACATATTTTGGAGCTGGTTTTTGTTTGCATCGAGAAGATCTTCTTATAGAAAATGAATCTGAGGAAGATTGCCCATCTTCACTCATTTTATCTGAAAAACATTACTCTATTTATTTTAATCGGTTGAATCAATCAAGCGAATGCAAAAAAAAACTATGGGAAAAGAAATAATGCACATCACAAAAACATTGGCGTTTTGCCCGCACAGGTGTTTGGGAGAAAGGAAAGGGAAGAGAAAAAGCAATGCGTTTGCGCTCTATTGAGAAATAGGGATGTGTTGGAAGACAGCCAAAATGACCAGTCGACTTTTGGAAGCAGGATTTATCACAAAAATCGGCCGATCTATAACTAGTTTCGCTTTTTGTCGATGAAAAATAATTTTTGGGCAAAAAGTGAAGAAAATAAAAGTAGAAATGCAAATGCGCTCAATAGAAAACGAGGAAAAAATATGTTCTGTTCCTTTGATTATACCGTAATCTTCCAATAAAAAAATTTCTTCAAAAAATCGAAATACAATTTCCGGGTGAAAAATCTAGTTTCCTGATTGGATATACTTTGTTTCGAAGAAAAATAATTGTGAGAATTCTTTTGTTGATCATTCAAAGTCAATTTTTGTTGATTTCGATGTTTGTGAACTACTATTATTATTTATTCACAACAATTTCGATTCCTGTCAATGTTTTATTAATTTATCTCATCATTTTCAAATCGCCAAGTTCTTTTCAATCTTATCGGTGTGTTAATTTTGAAAAAATATTTTGTTTGCAAAACTCCAAATTTTAAAAATATTATTATAAGTATTACGTAGAGTTTTCTCACATTTTTTCAACGAAAAAAAAGTGAATACAAAGTATATATTTTTACAGAATTCTTCTTCTGAACACTTCTATCAATGAAACAATTTTGATAATTTTATCATTCTCACTTCAAATGAGGTTTTCAACACACTTAAAACTTTTCGAATGTATTTTTTTTAGAGTTCTTGTAAGTTCTGGCGAATCAATTGCTCTTTTAGCCTACGGTCCTTTACGTGGTCTTCCAATCAATTTCATTTTCATTATTTATAATTTATACAATGTTTTTCTAACAACAACAAATCTCTCACTTAATATTTCAATGTTTTATCGATTTTGTCTAATTTGTTATGGAAAAGTTAACAACATAACAATGACTAATTTATTAATTTCCTCTTATATTTTACCACTTTTGATGTTTATAGCAATAACAATTTCAAAAAGAGATTTCGAAATTGTTATGAAAAATACTGAAAAATCATATCCATCTTATAATCTTCCAATTGTTTATGGCGAATATTGCGGATTTTATTCAACAAAAAATTTGATTTATCTTGTGAACACAACTATTTTAATGGGAATTCCATATTTGATGCCAATATTTATATTATATTGTAGAAGAAAGATTTTAAAACAAATTAATGAGGTTCAAACTCATTTGAGTTATAAAACCAAAAAAGCATCATTAGATCTTGTTCAAGCTTTAACTTTACAAGCAATGTTTCCAATGATTTGTATTATTCCAAATGTTTTATATTTTGCATTTGCACAGGTTTTGAGAAATTTGAATTTTATCAGAAATTCTTGATTTTTTGCAGACAAGTCATATGGAATTTGAATTCGCTGAATTTAGTGGTTTTCCTATGTGTTGTTTACCTTGTTTAATTGATCCAATTCTGATGATCAAATATGTCACACCTTTTAATAATTTTGTATTTCGAAAAAGGAAAAATGTTATCAAAGTTCCGACTGCTTCGATGGTACATTCTATTCATCGAACTGCGTGACAATTCTTACACGGGTTAATCAATAAATGTTTTTGTGACGCTTTGAAATTCAAAAATATAGTTTTGGATATATAATTCTACAGAAAAATTCTATCATAGAACTTGAGAAAAATTGAAACAGGTAATTTTTTGCCACGTGGCATTTCTGCGAAAAAAATTATGAAAAATCAAGAAAAAGGCTTCAATAGTTCCAGAATCCGATTTTTTCATTTTTTTTCAGCACATGGCAATTTTTTTTTGGAAAACTAATTTATTTTTAAAGAAAGTGGATTGAAAATTTCTGGAAAAAAGAGGGATCAGATTTTTCGAATTTGAAATATTAGTGCCACGTTAGACTATACTGTAGCTCGAAATGTAAAAATTAATGTGGACTGGAAAAAAAGTTTTGGTACATTCATATAAAAATTTAAAGTACTTGTTTTCAGTAAGCAATTTTGGAAAAAAAAACTTTCACATCAATTTCAAAAATTACAATTTTATAAAGAAACTTTCAAAACCGAATCCTATCGAATGAGACGTGAACTTCTACGTGGCACTTTAGACTTTTCTTTGAAAAAACTTGATTTTTCAAAATTTCCTATTTTTTACTATGAAAACAACTCCCCTCCCAAAATTTTTCAGACTTTCTGACATAATTCTAATTTTCATTATAAGTAGTATATAATCTTGTGACTGTCACTATCTTCTGTTTTTTAATCTTTTATTAAATTAGAAGAAAATCTTTTGAATTCGCCAATTCTAAGTAATTCCGAATTTGTTTTTTGAAACCAATTTTCGAAAAATTCCCAGACGATTACGTATTCATGTTCTGAATAATCGAAAAATCTCGAGAGAGTTCTATTTTTAATTTTATCATAAAAACAAGTGGCCACTTTTTTTTAAATACGTGTATTTTGAGCTGAAAAAAACACATTAAAAATAGATCCAAATTTTCCGCCTTCATAACCTCAAAATTTTAATCATTCTTCGAATTTTGTTGGCTATATTCTTTCTATATTTTTTCTGATTTATATAATGGGTGAGAACTTGAACCAAGAAATAATTCCAAATAATTGTTTTATTATTCGAAAATGCGAATAGAGCAAAATATATCAATGTTCATCAATTTCTACTACATTTTCTTTACAATTCTAGCGATTCCAGTCAATTTGTTGCTGATTTATTTGATATTATTCAAATCACCAACTTCTTTTCAGTCATATCGGTAAGTAAAATACAATGATAATGATAGATTTGTGGTCTAGAAAATTCATTTTTAATTTTTAGCTTTCTACTTCTCAACACGGCTGTCAATGAGACGTTTCTGATTGTTTTCTCATTTTTCCTACAAATCAGGTACTTGACTTCTGAACTTTTGTTTGGAATTTGGCCACGTGGATTTTTAAAATTATTGATAAAAAATGATTTAATTATTTTTGAAAATCTTCGGTCCAAAAAATAGAATCCGCTATTCTGAAACTTCAACTAAAATATTGCATTCCCTAATGTTCCAGAATAATCAGTGCTGGTGATTCAATCGCTCTTCTTTCATATGGCCCATCTCGTTTATTCTCAGTCGAATTCAATTTCATAATCTACAACATTTACAATGTTTTTCTTTGCACAACAAATCTTTCATTGATTATTTCAATGCATTATAGATATTGTGTTATTTGTTATGGTCGAATTGAAAACACAACAATTCTTCGAAATCTTTCCATAACAACTGCAATTCCTCTCGCAATGCTAATAGCCATTCTAATTCCACCATTCAATTTCTCAACAGTTGTCAAAAATACCGAAAAGGCTTATCCCTCATATAATTTATCGAATGTTTATGGGAATTATGGTGGTTTTTATTCAACGACAACAATTATTTATTCAATAAATACAGGGATTTTAATGGGGATTCCCTATTTGATGCCAATTTTTATTTTATATTGTAGAAGGAAGATTTTCAAACAAATTAATGAGGTTCAAACTCATTTGAGTGATCGGACTAAAAAAGCTTCATTAGATCTTGTTCGAGCATTGACAATGCAATCTTTATTTCCAATGATTTGTCTTATTCCAAATGTTGTTTATTTTTTGGTTTCACAGGTAATTTTAATTAATTAATAGGCAATTGCTCAGAATAAGGAGAAGATCAAAAAAAAATTTCTCAGAGAAATAAATTTAATTATATAATTTTCTAGAAACAACACATGGAAATTGAAATCGCCGAATATCTACCCTTTCCAACATGTTGTTTACCTTGTTTAATTGACCCTCTTCTGACTATCAAATACGTGGCGCCATATCGAAATTTTATTACTAGAAAGGATAAAAGAATTGTGAAAATTCCAACTATTTCAGTGGCCCCTTCATCGATTCGAACATTTTGATTTTTTTAAAAATATTTCCCATATACTTTATGACTATAAAAACATGAACATTTTGTGAATATTCTTCGAAAATCTTTGAGCGAAAAAAATCATAAATTTATTTACAAACCCGTATACACTTGATTTTCCTTTTATTTTTCTTTATTCCTCAATATTTCACTTGCAGCTACAGTAATCCTCACAATATCCGATGATCTCAAAACCGCTTTTTCAACTTTTCCAATTGGTGTTTCCAGATTTGATACAATAAAATGTTCGGAATTTGCTTGCGGTGCTGTGATTGTTGCTCGAACATTTGTATTTTCATACATTTCGATGTCAGTTTGACTTCCCGATAATTTCTGGAATGAACAATTCGAGTTTTTTTTTACAATAAACGTGAAACTCACTGATAAGAACATCAAATATTTAATTCTGGCATCAGCTCTTTTCCTTTGCTCTTCTTCTTCATTTTCTGTTTTCTCCATCTAAAAAACCTTAAACAAAGTTTTAAAAAAAATCACAAATACATTTTTCAGGGATTTCAAAGCCCAATTCTTCTCTCCAAAATAAACCAGAACTCATTTATGAATAAATATTTATGTACATATTAAGCAGTGGGCCTTGAACTTATTTGAGTTGTTGCGATTTCTGTCAATTTTTCTTGAACTTTTTGAAGGATTTCTGCCGCTTCTGCACTCTCTTTTTCCAATTCTTCAACAGCTTTTCGTTTTTCATCCGCTGTTTTTTTCATTGCTTCTTCAATATCATCGCAGCCCAAATTTTCCATTGGAAATGAATCAATGAGAATCTAAAAAAAATAATAACAGTGAATTGAATTAATTCCCCCAGTAATATCGAATTTTCAATGAAATTTACCTCAATATCTTTTGCACATCTCGAAATATTCACCGCAAAAATATCACAATTCGGCTCATCTTCCAAAGGACTATTATCATTAAAATCACAAGCTGGAGCTGATGCTTGTAAAACACCAACAGCATTTGTCATAAACGCAGCCAAATCATTTACCAAATCTTGTAATTGTGTGAGACGATCTGACATCTTGAGAAAAAAAACTATTTAAAATTTGGGAGAAATTAGAATAACATCAAATAAGTTGTTCCGGTAGAAAACCGCTTTACACAAACAAAACTTTTGAACTTTAAAAATCTAAATATTTATTCTATCTATTCAATATCATTTTTCTTTTGCCAAAACCAATGATCTGAGATCCAACCAAATCTATCTAATGGCCATATTCTAAATGTTAACCGGATTTGTACAAGACCTTCGGGAACTGGACCATAATGCCTGGAATCGGTTGAAAGACGACTATTATCACCGCGCAGAAAAACGTGGCCACGAGGAACACGGCCATTTGGCAAAAAATCACTTTCAACTGGATCGCCTTCCTATAAAAAAATGTATATTTCAATGAAAAATACCCGAAAAACAAGGTTACCTTTGCGACAATCCGTTTACATAACAATTCATCTGGTTTTTGTGGACTTAGACATCCCACAATATCACCTTTTTGCACATTTTTCGCTTTTATACTGAATCTCTCGGCTAGCACTAAATCACCATCTTGAATTGTTGGATACATTGATGGTCCACTACATATCACTAATTCTCCAACATATTGACTTATACAATGAGCAACGCAATAAAAAGCCGCAGCACCTTTTGTATATCTCCATAAGAGTTTTGATAGTGGTATATTTGAAATAGGCAACTTGTTTTTACTACTGTTGACCTCCATATGACATTTCTTCACTAAAAAACTCCGAAAAAACAAACAAAAAACAAAAATAAAAAAATTCGAACATTTTTTGGTGTGCAATTGTTCGTCGCCGTGTTTGCACAAATTTTTCTGGATCGTAGCCAAACAAATAATTCATTGCATTGAAATCTCTCGTGACGTGTCTTTCAATTTCCAATTTTCGAGATTTTATCGTTTTCCAACACGATTTCTTTCCTTTTTTCGTGTTTTTCAATCATTTTTCATATTTTCAGAGTAAATTTGGTGAATTTTGACCGCTTCTCATCTAACAATGGCCACAAATGGGGTCTATATTGTTATGGGAGAGGCGAATTGCGTCGTCGCACTTCTCAATAAAGCCAGAAGGTTAGTTTCAAGTTAAAATCATATCTGAAAATGAGAAATGAATAAGTGAATAATTTCAGACAATATCAATTGTCACATCAAGCACCAATGATGGAAGATACAGATCCTTTATTGAGAAATTTCACTGATTTGAAAGAAGTGTTGAATGAAGTTGCAGATTTGGCTGACATGAATCCATTCACATATTTATCACCATTTTTGGATGTAATTAAAGCACATAATACAAATGGTCCGATTACAGAAGCAGCTCTTGCAGCTGTTGCGAAATTCTTGAATTATGGATTAATCGATGCCAACAGGTTTGTTTTTTTTTAATTTGAATGGGAAATATGGAAAAAATGAGGAATTCGAATTTTTCTACAAATTAATAATATTTTCAAATACACGCGAAAGAAAGACGTTTTCAGAGCACGTTAAAAATTTCAAAAGAGCATTTCTAAATTTAAAAATAGTGGCAAAGTGTGTGATCCTATTTTTGGTAAATAATTTCTAATCTGCAATTGAATTTTCAGCCTGAAAGCTTCGAATGCAGTTGAATCGATTGCATATGCTGTTGTTCATACGAAATTCATTGGAGGAAAAAGTACTGGAAGTGATGAATGTGTTCTATTCAAAATCCTGCAGGTTCGTCGCTTCAAATCTAGATATGTTTCTAATAATTTTATTTTCAGGTTCTCCGCTCTCTGCTTTTATCTCCTCCAGGTATTTTATTATCAAATGAGGCGGTTTGTGATATGGTTCAATCATGTTTCCGAATAGTTTTTCGAGCAAAACTTATCACTTTTATTGAGAAAAGCTGCTGAATCAATTTTGGCTGATATGACACAATTGATATTTACAAGATTGCCAACATTTGTTGAAGATACAAGACATCCGTATATTCGACAATTAGTGAATACAAATGAGAAAAGACAAAAGAGAAAGAAGAAACGACATATTTCAATTCAAAAAGAAACTGCAGACACAACAGTTACGGAGAAAACAGAGTTATTGGGAACAGAACAATCAACTCCAACTGAAGCAGAATTGGGATATGATGTTGTTCTAACTACAGATCCAATTGTTGATTCTGTTACAGTTCCTGATCAAATTCCAAAATCAATTGTATCTGAAGGAGATGAAGCTGATAGTGAAAGTGATGGAGATGTAAAAGAAACAGCACCAAGAAGTGGAGGAATTCAAAGGGAAATATTATCAGAAGAGGATGAAGATGATGAGGGAAAAATATCAAATGAGGAAAAATTACCATATGGATTGCCTTGTTGTCGAGAACTTCTTCGATTTTTAATTGCAATGATTAATCCATTAGATCGACATAATACTGAATCAATGGTTGTAATTGGTCTCAATTTATTGATTGTTGCATTAGAAGCTGTTGCTGATCATCTTCCAAATTATGATTTTTTGATGCCATTAATCAAAGATAATCTTTGTCGATCACTTCTTCAATTATTAGACACTGAAAAATTGCCAGTTTTAGCAGCAACAAATCGATGTTGTTTTCTATTATTCGAATCAATGAGATTGCACTTAAAATTCCAATTAGAATCATATTTGAAGAAACTTCAAAGCATTGTTTTGGCTGAAAAACTTCCATCAAATTCTGGAACTGAACAAGAAGAAATGGCACTGGAATCACTTGTTCAACTATGGAGAATTCCTGGATTGGTGACTGAAATGTATTTGAATTTCGATTGTGATTTGTATTGTTCGAATATTTTCGAGGATTTGACAAAACTTCTTGTTGAGAATTCATTTCCAAGTTTGGGTGGACATACAGCTTCACTTTTATCGTTGGATGCACTTCTTGTTGTTATTGAAACTATTGAACATAATTGTGAAGATCGAGAAAATGGAAGAGATTTTGCAAATGCTGCAGAAATCAAAGAGTGAGTTAGGGATTTGAAAAAGAGGATTTTTAGAATTTGGGAAAATTTTGAAGAATTTTATAGAAAAAGTACAGAAATTTTTTTTGACAAAACTGAGATTTTCTGAATATATTTGTTATTAGGAAAATCAAGATTTTGAATAATTATCTGTTTTTCCTACTCGGACTGAATTCAGAAGTTTTAATTTCAAACATTTATGCCTTTTTCTAAAAAAAATATTTTCAGCTCGAAAAAGCTCGGTCTGCCAGTTTTGAGTGGATATGATATTGGAAAACGAATGACTTCAACATCAGAAGAATCATCAAATATTCTCGGAAAAGCTATAGAAAATACAGTACTTTTGCGATCAAATCGTCATATTCCTTCAAATAATCTTCCTTCGATGTCTGAAATTATCGATCAGAAAAAGAGAAAACGAATAATTGCAGAAGGAACTGAATTATTTAATCAAAGCCCGAAAAAAGGAATTGAATTTTTGCGTGAAAAAGGAATACTTGGACACGATGCTCAATCACTTGTTCAATGGCTTCGAACAAATCCACATTTGGATAAAAAATCAATTGCTGATTATATTTGTAGTCGAAAAAATGCGGAAGTTCTTGAAATGTTTGTAAAATCATTTCCATTCAGTGGAAATCGTTTGGATGTTTCGCTTCGAATGTTTTTGGAAACATTCCGATTGCCTGGAGAAGCTGCTGAAATTAGTATGGTTATGCAACATTTTTCGGATGAATGGTATCGAGCAAATGGTGAACCTTTTAATCATGTTGATGCTGCATTTACATTATCATATGCTATTATTATGCTCAATACTGATCAACATAATCCAACTGTAAGTGTTATTTTTGTCTGGGAAACTACGTTTTTCGAAAAATTATCATTATAATTTTCTTGCGGCTTTCAAAAAATCCCGCAAAAATATCTGCAACATTTTTTTCAGGCGAAACGTAGTCAACCTCCAATGACAGTCGATTGTTTCAAAAGAAACCTTTCCGGAACAAATGGTGGACAAGATTTTGATCCTGAAATGCTCAGTCAAATGTATAATGCAATCAAATCTGTCGAAATTGTAATGCCAGCTGAACAAAAAGGAGCTGTAAAAGAGGATTATATGTGGAAAGTATTATTGAGAAGAGGAGAAACTGATGAAGGAACATTTTATCATGCACCAAATGGTTGGAATGATCATGATTTATTTGCTGTTTGTTGGGGACCTGCAGTTGCTGCTTTGAGTTATGTATTTGACAAATCGGATAATGAACAAATTCTACAGGTTTGTGTTTTTTTTTATTTGAAATAATTCAAAGAATATTTAGTAGACATAATAATTCATATTTTCAATATTTCGCAAATTTTCAAAGCTAAATTCCACCTCTCCATTTAAAAGAAAATCTGGAATTTTTTCTATGTGACTTTTCAATAAAAAGTTTTAGATTTTTGAGTTTTTGGCGTTCCTAGCACATTGCTTGATTATTTCAGAAAGCTCTAACTGGTTATCGAAAATGTGCAAAAATAGCAGCATATTATGGAATGAAAGAAGTGTTCGATAATCTATGTATTCATCTTTGTAAATTCACAACTTTGACATCAATGAGAGAAGGAAATGGAGAAGATAATCTCGAAATATCAAGACAAAGAAGTATGGTTGATGTGAATAATGCTGGATTAATTGCATCGCCTGAAAGTATTGCACTTGGTTTTGGTGAAAATCACAAGGCTCAACTTGCTGTTCGAACTTTGTTCTATTTGGTTCATGAAAATGGAAATATTTTGAGAGAAGGATGGAGAAATTTGATTGAGGTTTTGTTGCAATTATTCCGTGCTCGATTATTGCCATCAGATTTGGTTGAAGTTGAAGATTATGTTGATGAAAAAGGATGGGTTTCGATTCAAAGAATTCATCAAAAGTGAGTAGAGGGGGTAGACCAGGGATGGGGAAAATGTCATGGCCTCATGTTGTCCTGTCCTTGAATATGGCCTAAACTTGTCCTGGCTCGAACATGGCTTGAACATGTCCTAAAGCCATATGCCCAACCTGTCCTCGCGTGAAGAAAAATTAACAGAGAAATTTTTTTTTCTGCATAAAAAAAAATAAAAATGCGATCCCCTTTTTTTCGGCGTGTTTTTTCTCGGCTAAAAAAAAGAACCTGTCCAGGACAGGACAGGTAACCAGGTTTACACGTGGACCTGTCATGGCTTATGTTCTTACCACCAAAGCCAACATGAGGCCAACGTGAGGCCAGTTTCCCCACCCCTGGGGTAGACAAAAATAGGGAATTATTTTTTGATGACGAACATCCAAATTATAAACCCCTTCTTCTTCTTTCTGTTTTTCAACAACAATTTTTCTGCAGAGAAATGCATACAACACGAAGTGATACGGGATTATTATCTTGGTTTGGACTTGGCGGTGGAACTGGTGAAACAGATCGTCGAAAACCAACACAAGAACAATTGAGTGCAATGAAATTGGCATCTACAGTAATTGCTGAATGTAAACCATCACAAATATTGATTGATTCGAAATATTTGACAAATACTGCATTGGCTGAATTATTATCAGCATTAGCTGCGAATAGTTTATTAATTGTTGATCAAGCTGAACAATCACAACAAAAGGTAGATATTTTTTCTTTCAAAATTACTAGAAATCAGAATTTCCCCCACTATTTTTTCCCAATTTTCAATCAATTTCAGAACGCAAGTTTGAGTGGAGAAGATGAAGATTCAATGGTATTTTATTTGGAATTAATGATATCGATTACATTAGAAAACAAAGATCGTCTATCTCTAGTTTGGCCACATGTTCGTCGACATCTTGAATGGCTTCTGTCATCTCGTTTTGGCAGATGTCCAGTTCTTGTTGAACGAGCTGTTGTTGGTCTTTTACGAGTTGCAAATCGTAATTTATTCCGAGATAATACAGTTGCTGATGATGTTCTTCATTCTCTTTCAATGTTATTACGACTTTCACCAAAAGCACTTTTTGTATTCAGTCGACAAATTGCATTTGGATTGTATGAATTGATTCGAGCAAATGCAGCAAATGTGCATAAAAAAGAGCATTGGGCTGTGCTTTTTGCACTTCTCGAAGCTGCTGGAGCTGCTGTTTTACCTGATGATTATACTCCGAATATTCAGACGAATGAGAGAAATGCTTTTTCGGATGTTGAACAATCGGAAAAAATTGGAGTTGAGAATCGAGGATATACTTCGGAAGGAGAGGAAAGAAAGAAACCAGCTTATGGTAAGTTCAGAATTTTGGTTTTGAGAGAATTTTTTGTTGATAAATTTGGGATCATTTTTGGTTAAAAGGTTAGAGGTTCGAAAGTTCTTTTTTTTTTAAATTTTCTATTGAAATTTAATCAAAAATTCGAACTTCTTCGGAAATCTTTCCAGCCAAAATCTTAAAACTTTCAGATTCGACATCCGATCTTGGAAGTCGCAACTCGTTATTAGGGGATCGAAAAACACAAGCAGACTGGATTCATTTGGATCATAAAGATGCTGCAAAAGCCACTGAAGAAGCATTGAGAGCACTTGGAGCAAAAACAAAAACATTCAATCGAGGAAGTCTTGTTTTGAGAACTGGATTAGGTCGACACGAACCAGCTGCATTTTTGAAAGTTTGTGAATGTTTGGCATTTTTATTGAGAGATGCTGTACACGTGACACCGGATAATTTTGAAAGTAGTTTGCAATGTGTTCGAACTATGGTTGAAGCAAGTTTGGATGGTGGATGTTATGCAGCGGGACCATTGAGTGGAGATGCACAGAATCGATTGAGAAGTTCAGTAACTGCTGAGAAAAGTGCGAAGAAACATCATCATCATACGAAAACTGTTGGAAAGAGGGATTTATCAACTGATGTGACAGCTGAAGTTGATGAAAGTCGAAATGAAGAACAACAATTATCTGCAAATTATCAACAAATGTCACTTCATCTTCTCGATTTATGCTCACAATTACATTCAAAAGCACCAGCTATTTTTGCACAATGGGCTCAAGAAAATCCATCATATTCTTCTGTCGCTTTTGTTTGGTCTGAAATTTGGCGACCACTTCTTCAAGCAATGGCTCGATTGAGCTGTGATTGTCGAAGGAATGTTCGAGCATCTGCTTTGACTAATTTGCAAAGAGCATTTTTGCCGGCAAATATGGCGAATCTTGGCGCAGCTGAATGGGAATCATGTTTTGGAGAGGTTTTATTCCCACTTTTGACGAAATTATTGGAACCATTCTCACAAATGGATCCAATTGGAATGGAAGATTCGAGAGTTCGAACAATTCAAATTGTTGCCAAAACACTTCTCAATCATTTATCTGCTCTTTCTGCTCTTCCTTCTTTCCCAACACTTTGGCTTCGACTTTTGGATTATATGGAACAATATTTGAGAGTTGATAGTTGCGGTAATTTGAATGAAGCTGTGCCAGAATCGCTCAAAAATATGTTGTTGGTTATGGATAACACTCAATTATTTGCAATGATTCCTGGTTTATATGAAATGACTGTGGAAAGATTGAAAGGAACTATGCCGCAATTGATAAGAGATACAATTCCGAATCCACCAACTGAAGTTGTTGAAACGAAATTGGCCAAAGTTCAAATTGCACCGCCTGTTCCTTCTGCTTCTGAAACTGAAGTCACAACTGCTGTTAGTGACACACAAGTATCGTCAGTTCCATCTACAGTTCCAGTTCCAATTCCAATTGTTCCATTGACTGAAGTTGTTGTACATTCTGGACCGACATCTCCGATTGGATCGCCGCCAACAACAAGTCCACAACATCAATATCAACAGCAAAATCAATATCAGCAACCATCACAACAGCAGCAACATCAACAGGTTTATGTGAGTTTTTTTTTAATTGAAAATTTTGAGTGGTCAGAAAAAACACCAACATTTTCGTTTCATTGCTTTTTTTCAGCTCCTGAATTTTCAGATCAAATAAAAACTTTCGTAAATTTTTGGAAAAGTGATTATGAGTTTAGTAGTTTTCCTTGAAAATTGAAATTCCGTTGAATTATTTGAAAATAAGCCACATTTTGAAGTCTCTGAATCAGAAAAAAATCTGCATTTTTTCTCGTCAAAATACAAAATCCTTATTTTTCAGTCTCCGGAATATTATCAGCATTACAACATTGATCCAAATCAGCAACAATATCATCAGCCGCAGCAACAGTATGCTTATTCGCCTGAATCTCAAGCATATTATCAGCAGCAGCAACAACAATACGCTCAACATTATGCTGCAGCTGCTCCGGAACATTATGGTAGGTTTTTTGAGAATAAAAAAATGGGAAAAGGAAGATTTTGCATTTTTCCACTGAACGTTTGATAACACTGAGAGGAACATTGGATTTGAAGAGACAGTATAACAATTTAATCCCAACGTTTATATTTTCAAGAAAAAAATTCGACATAAATTTGGAATTGAAAAAAATATTCGGATTTTTTCAGAAAGGGTTTTATTCATTTATATTTCCAGCGCAATATCAACAATATCAAGCACATCTTGCGCAACAACAACATCAGCAACAAATTGGTCCATCAGTTCATGGTCAATATTCGGTCGCAAATCCATTGCCACTTCCAACAAATCCAATTGTAACACCATCAGTAAATAGTGCATTTACACAGGTTTATTCAACGGGAAGTCAGAATGTGAGTTTTTTTTTTTAATTTTGGAAATGTGGTTTTCGTTGTTAAGATGAAATTTTTAATCTTGAAATATGTAGTGGAAAAATTGGAAGTATCTCCTTTCATTCGGCTCAAAAAGGTAACAAAAATGACTATTTTTCAATTATGAGAAATTTGGTCGAAATTTCAATTAGAACTTCGACTGCAAATGAAAAAGTGACAATTCTCTGATTTTTCAGGAATTTGAGGAAAATTCCGTAAATATTATTTTTAAAATGATTTTCTTTTTTTTTTTGAAACAAATTTCAGTTCTTTTTCAAAAAATGAATGTTTTTTAATTATGAATTATTTTCAAATAAGAGGAAATTCGAAAGTGACATACTTCGCCTAATTTGATTTATTATTCCAAAGTTACCTTCTCAAATCCAAATTCTTCTATTGTTCAGATTCCTGCTCCTCCACCAACAACATCACAAGAATCACCCTATTTCACACCAATTCCTTATAATCCGTCGAGCCCATCTTCTTCATCACAACAGTGAATGTATTAAATTAAATGTAATTAAAACGTGTTGTGATAACAATGACCATTTTTCGGTCATATTTAGCGTGAGAAAGAGTAGTCAAAAAATATTTCTATCATTTTTTCCTAATAACTTTTTTTTCTAAACACCTTTTTGTCTCCATTATAATTTATTGTTCATGTAACGTATTTATTGGGTTTTTCATAAAACTTTTGAAAATTAATTAATGATCCTCGTCGGGAACTGTCTGAAAGATAGGTGGTTTGAGATTAGGATAACAAATAGAAGTACTTACGAGGAATTCAAGATAACTGCAATTTTCACCATGTGTAATTGTGAATTGAGAACAAAGGACACCGCGATCATCGACTCGAAAAACGACTTTTTCAGCAATTGCGAACACGGGATTCATTCTTTGGATAAAAGATAATCGATATGTGAACTCGACTTTGTCTTCTTCGCATTTCATTGTTTCCATTTGGAGACTTTTTGTTGGAATGTGAACCTGTGAAATAATAAGTTTCGAGATTTTTATGAATGAGATTTGGAAATATTTTAGGGGATAATTGGAGTCTAATTGAAACATTAGATTACACACTGTGTGCATGAGAAAATATTAACTTAAAATTTTAGAAAATGCAAATTTTAACTCTAAAATTATTTTTTTCAAGATTTCCGTACCGGAAATTCCGGGTTCTATGAAAACTCAGAGACAATTTTAATTGTTGTGAATTTTAAAAAAAAATTTTCAACCCGGAAAAAATTGGTTTCAAGATTATTGTTTATAGATTTTGAAATTTTTAGGAAATGTTGAGAATGGTACATTCAGATTCCTTTAAAAAACGCACCACAATTCGGCCAATATCGCCTTTCGTAATAAAATCAACACCCTTCGAATTAAACTTCATAATCAAAATTTTACTCGAACCATCAAAATCCTTGAAAATATCCTTAATAAGTTGAGTTTTCAACATACACGTAACAATAACATCTTTGTCTTTGAATTCAAAATCCAATTCTTGTTCCGGAACCATTGTATGAATTTTCGCTCGCAAAATCAATCCCTCATTTTCCTCGAGAAGTACACCAAGTGGTTCATAAAAACCCGAATATGTCATTTTGACTGAATTCTCTGTTCCTTCAGACATATTTAGACATTCTGTTAGGGTTTTGAGAGGAAATTTGATTCGAATTCCTTCATCTCGTGAGACAAATGTTGAAAATATTGCAGAATCCAAATATGCATTTGCTTGTTGACAACTTCCATCATCGACTGTTATTTTGAGACCGCGATCATATAAATATATCACTCCATACTAAAATTTGTAGATTTTTCAAATTTCAGATTTTGAAAAAAAAAACTTACATCTCTGAAATTCAAGCATTTCAACATTTGTGTCAATTCTTTCACATTTTCTTTTTTGAATTCTAGAAGATTTGATTGGCCTTCTTCTAATTCCATTTTTCAAAAATTTTGTCTGAAATTTTTATTAAAATGCAAAAATCTCTATTCTCATATAAATTGACACGAAATTCAACGCGGAATTCATTTAAAACTAAATATTAACAACCGATTTATTCAGGAAAGGAATGGAATGTCTAATTTGGGTGCACAACTTTTGAAAAAAACAAAAAGTGAATGTGATTTTGAAATGACTAGATAAAAGAAAATGATTATATAGATTTGTCTTATGTGGAAGATTTTCTGGCTGTATTCACAAGTTCTTTGACTGAACCATCTGGATATGCAAAGAAAACAGCATCGGTTACACCAATGAATAAACCGGTTTCAACAATTCCAGGTGTATTCGCCAGTTTGATTTGAACATCTTGCCAATTCCGATTTTCGACATTTTTCTCAAAACTCCAATCAATTATAAAATTGCCGTTGTCAGTTACAATTGGTCCGCATTTCTTGACAGCATCTCGTAATTGTGCGGTTCCTCCGAATTTGGCTGGAATTGAGCGAAGAAGTGGTTGAGCGGCGAATGGAAGAACTTCGATTGGAATGAAATTGTAGCGATCACCAAGTTTTTGCGAATCTTTCAAATGATCGGCTATCACATAAAAGTGTTTGGAAGCGTTTTGAACGATTTTTTCTTGAGCCAAGCATCCGCCACCGCCTTTGATACAAGTGTATTGTGCATCGACCTGAATGAATGATAACATTGATTTTTTTCTATTCGAACATGTGATAGAAAAATAGGAAAATACCTCATCCGCACCATCAATACAAACATCGAGTTCTGGATAAGAATCGAGATCAGAAGTTGGCAAACCTGCATTAATTAGCCATTGCTTTGTCTATAAAAATTCAAAATTTCGAAAAAAAATTTAAAATGAACAAAAAAACTTACCAAGAAACTTGTTGGTATGCATACAATATTTGTCAATTTTCCGCTTGTATATGCATTCTTCAAATATTCAACAAGATATTTGACAGTACTTCCAGATCCAACTCCCAAACGACACCCATTATGAACATGTTTTTCGGCGCATGCAAAAGCCGCCTGAAACATCAAATAATTAGGGTTTCAAAACTTTATTCTCACTAGCTTTTTTGCTTGTTCGATTGGTGTCAAATTCGAGTCATGGGATGTTGTTGTAACCATGTTTCGAAGACCCGAAAACCGGCGGAGAAGTGAAATTTTTGAAGAGGAGAAAAATGTGAAAATGAAATGTGCAGTATTGCGTTGCGGTGTTTGATAAACACTTTGACGCACAAATGCAGAGAACTTTTTTATTTTTTTTTCCAAAAGTTTTTCACGTTTCTCGAGGAGAAAAACCTTTCATAAAAGGTTCATTTTTCATTTTATTGTTTGAATGTGAATCTTGTTATCCTTCTCAGTAAACCATTTTCATGTGATATCAAATTTCTTCAGGAAAATGCCAGTGAAACGAAAACAAAAGAAAGAGGCTGTAAAACCTTTATGGGAAGATGAAGACGATGAGCAATTGGAAGTTTCGATACCAACCAAAGTCAAGAAAACGTTCCAAGTTGATTTGAAAAGAACAAACGATGTTGATGAAGAAACATTGCAAACGAAAGAATATATTGGACGACTTCAGGAGGCTTTCAAGAGAAGACATGGTGGAAAACCAAAATGGGCTGAAACTGAAGAAACTGCTGAAGATGATGATTCGTTATTAAGAACTGCTAGCGGATATATTGAAAAAGATACAAAGTTGTCGAAAACCACTATTCATACAACATTACTCAAAGATTTTAACACTGGACACAGAAGCTCGGTAAGTTTTTTGAGGATATCTCGAAAATTTTCAATTTTTGAAATACATTTCAGAAAGCTATTACCGTCGTAAAATTCCACAAAACCCGCCCAGTTCTAATAACTGGAGATAGTGGAGGAAATGTGAAATTATACAAAGTCAGCTCTGAAGTTCGCCAAGACAATTTTCTGCAATCTGTGCATTTTCAAAAATTTCCAATCGAAAGAATGGAAATCGCTCAACAAGGACATGCTGTAATTTGTTCGTCAACTTCTCAAGAATATTTGATGCAATATGATATGGAAAAAGGGAATGTAACACAATTGAGAATGCCTAAAAGTAGGTTTTCATCACGATGGAGATTCATTTTTTTCAAACACGTTTTATAGCTGTTCCAAAACAAGGAATCTCATTATTCGCAATTTCGCACGATTCTGAATATTTGGCAGTTGCTGGAGTTAATTCACATGTTTATATTCTTCAAACATCTTCAATGGAACACATCAAAACAATTTCTTTGCCAGCAAATGCAACAGATATCAGATTCTTTCCCGGAGTTTCTAGAGAAATTTGGATAATGTGTGAAAACGGGCAATGTATTATGAGTGATGTTGAAGGAAATTCACAACATAATTTTGTTGATGATGGAGCTGTTCATGGAACTTGTTTGGCTATTAGCCAACATGGAGAATATTTTGCTACTGGGTGAGATTAAAATACATATAATTTTATATTTTGTTCGTGTTTTTGTTCAGAAGTGACACTGGAATTGTGAATGTTTATGATGGAAGTTCGTGCCGACAAAAAGCCGAACCAAAACCACTTTTCAATATCGATAACTTGGTGACCAAAGTTTCAGCAGCCGCTTTCAATAGCGATGCACAGCTTCTCGCGATTTGCAGTAATGTCAAGGTGAGAAGCTGGAAATATATACTTTAGAGAGGTTAAAAATCAGAATTTTTCATTATAAATTTACTCTTTCAAAGAAATCAATTTTTTAGCTCTGAAAAGACATCTCAAAAATCTCTCTCATTCAATCTGAAAATCAACTTACTGAGGCTTTTCTTGTCGATAAAATGATAAAGAATCAAAATTTTTGGTGAAACTAAAAAAAATCACAAGTTTATATTTTCTCAATTTTCCCCTACCTGCTGAATTCTGAATGAAAAGTTCTCCGAAAATTTCTGAAAACCCTTCTCTATATCATACTCTATGAGAAACATTTTAAAAATATCAAGTCCGAATTGAAAAAAAAAAATCAATTTTACAGGACAATCAAATTCGTTTGATTCACACTCAAAGCCAAACAGTTTTCAAAAACTTTCCCGATCGACACGGCCATGTTTCAAAAGCCAATTGTCTAGATATTTCGCCAAAGGGTGGTTATCTTGCTGTCGGAAATAATGATGGAAAATTGCACGTTTTTCATATTCACCACTTTTCTCAATATTAGAAGACAGTTTTCCGAGGTTTATTGATTGTTATTTTTGTTTTGTTTTTGTCTTGAATTAAATTGTTATGAATTTTTTTGTTTTTGTTTTTGTTTTATTTTTAAAATTCCAAATGAATGAATGAAATTCGATATTTGCGGGATTTCAAACATCGATTTTTTCTCCGAGTGCATGTGAATTTCCCACATTTTTTGGAGCTTTCTTTCATTTTTTTTGAAAAACAAAACTACTTATAATTTATTCTTGTAAAATCGATAGAACAAAGTTGGTAAATAAACATTTATGTTCTTTTTTATGCAAATAACGTAAGTTATTCAAAAAAAATTGTATCAAGTTTCAGGGAAAAAATGATTTACAATTAGATATTCTGAAATTTTTGAAAGTACTGTGTAAATTTTTCTCTTAAAAAAACTTGGTGTAGTTTCTAATAGCTTCCAGCTTTCGTAAATTCAAGTGTTTTTTAAAATTCATAATTTTAATTTTTATAATGATTTTCATAACTTCAAAAAAATGTTTTCAACAAAAAATTTGATTCAGAAAATCTCAAAAATGTTTTCCCAAAATGTTTTTTAATTCCAAAAAAAATTCCCAAAGTTCATTCATTTTTGTTTTCCAAATGTACTATAATAATTTCTCAATTCCTCATAATCGGACTAAAAAATCTCTAGTCAACGACATTTTGCGAAACTAAAAATAAAATACAATATTTCACCTGACGTCTGCGTCTCTCATCAACCCATACTCTTTTTTCCCCAATTTTTCTCGTTCTTTCGTGTACTTTTTTTCGCCGATCTATTTTCTCACCTGCGTCTATCAACCAACCCTTTCCATAGTAACATATCTAACACAGCCTTCTCTTTTCTTCTTTCTCTTTTTTTCTCGTTGGATTGGTTGAGGCGAAAGAAACACACTATTTTTTTGCGTCGACATTTCGTTTTAATTTTTTTGTCATTATTGTAGTGATCATAAATTGTCTGATTTTTAAGTTTATTTTGATCAAAGACTAGAGTTTGCTGAAAATTTGAAAAATTGGAAGTTTCAGAAACTTCTTTCCTCTTTTTATCCATGATAAAAAAGTGGTTTTTGACTGATTACGAGTTCTACTTGGCCGAAGTAATGACGTGGCAAAGTTTGAAAATCTGAACTTCAAAAAATTTCGAATGACGAGATTTTTCAAATTTGTAATGTCATGCTCAAAGATGAGTCAAGCTAGTCAGAACCTGACATCAATTAGGTTTATAAAACGTTATTTTTTAAGAAGTTTAGAAACGACGAACTTTTGAAAATGTGTAAAAATGTTCCTTTATATCTCATATGAAATTTGTACCAAAAATTTTACCTTGAAAATTGACTCGTGACCACGTCATAACTCATTACCAAATTTAGAAAATCAAAAACTATCCAAATTAAAAAATATTTTTTTGAAAACCTTAGATCTCTCAATCTCATTAATCAAAATTTCTTTTCTGTGTAAAATGATTGTTTTCATGAACAGGGAAAAAATCAATTTCAATTTCAATATCAAAAAAAATGTCCAAGAAAAAGTTTCTCGATTTTTGATCTTTCCAAAACTAATTATAAATATTGTTCTGACGGATTCTCTGTCTTATTCTGGGAATATCATTCTTTTAAGAATTTAAAAATATTTATTGAGAGATCAATCCGGATTATTTTTGTGCCAACGCACTTTCCTCTATCCTCTCAACTTCATACTAGATATGATTTTCCCAAAAAACATTATGATTTTTGTTTTTTTTCTGCCGTTTTCCATTTTTCTTATCATAAATAATTGATTTTTCTTATCTACCTAAATATAACTAAATAATTTCTATCATCCAAACCAAAAAAACCCTTATATTTATTTATTTTCTAGGAGATGTCGGGACCCTCTTCGACATTTCAAAACAATTCACAACCTGAAGAATTGTGTCTAGTTTGCCTGGATATTTCAACTGGTTATCATTATGGAGTTCCCTCTTGTAATGGATGGTTTGTCCAATTTTTTCTCTAGGAAATTTTTCATAATTCAAATTTTTCAGTAAAACATTTTTTCGAAGAACAATCATGAAAAATCAATCATTTGTGTGTCAATTCGAAGGAAAATGTCCAGTTGATAAAAGTTTGTTAATTAATTAATTATTTAATTACACAAAAATCTTCTGAAAATTTCAGGTATTCGATGTGCTTGTCGACATTGTAGATTTGAAAAATGTTTGAGTGTTGGAATGGATAGAAATGGTTCGTTTTTTTTTGATTTTTGTTCTGAAAGTTTTCCAAACTCGTTGGAATTCTGCATAGCCCCATAAGGGACTGGTTATTTTTCGGAATTATGAATTTTTTATTTCCCCTATTCTCTCAGTACCGTAGGATTACTGTGGATGTTCCTTGCGTCAAAATGTTTATTTTGAAAATTCAAAATGCAATGAAGCAATCTGAACCAGATTACTGTAGATTTTTGGTGACATTCAAGAAAATCTAGGTTTTTTTCCAGCAATCCAGCAGAACCGCGATCCAATTGGTTATACAAAACGAACTCGAAGATATCCCCCAATTAAAAAAGTCGAATCAAGTGAAGAATGTTCACCGATTCAGGTAACTGAACTTGATCGAACTGAAGACACATTTTTGACAAGTTTGGCATCCACTGAACAAAAGTAAGTTCATAGCTCAAGAAAACCTTGTTAGCATATTTATTTTCTAACTCCTTTTTTCTCTAGATGTTGCGCCCTTCGACTCGCTGAATATATGCCAACTCGAAACCTGTTAGATGCCGTTGTTGCGCCGTGTTTATTGGTTGATGAAGCATTTATGGCTGAACATGCGATTTTATCACCGAGGCATCGGATTGGCGAATTGCGATTTGCGACACAAACTGATTATCATTATTGGCATGAAAGAGATTGGTTTGTGATGATTGAATGGGCAAAAACATTGCCGGTTTTTGAAAGTCTTCCATTTGCAGATAAAGTAAGTTGTGAAAATTTGGGAGGGATTAAAAGAGATGAAATGAGAAATCGAACTTTTTTTTGAAAAATTTACAGTAACCCTGAATTTCTAGTCAGATAATTTTAGAATTCTTCCGAAGCTTAGCCACGGATACTTGATTCTATGATCTCTAGACTTCGCAAACAATTAGATTCTTTAGGCGCAGATACTTGACATATAGGACTTCAAGGCGTACCTTTATCAACATTTCGATTTTCAGCTGTCACTTCTACGACACTCCGCAATAACATATCCATCACTTGTTCATGTTTTCAATTCTCCTGATCATGGACCAGATACAATTGTATTTCCAGATGGATCATATTTCGATCGAACAAATGAACCAACAAGACCATTAGGATTCAATAAAAAGAAATATCAAATGTTGGATCAATTATTGAAACCAATGAGAAAAATGCAAATTGATTTGACCGAATTTGCTGCATTCAAAGCCATCTTCTTCTTAAATCCAGGTTTTGATGGGGGAACTGGGAGCAAGATTTGCATTTTGAAAAAAAAATTAGAAAAAATTATCACCTTTCTGAACGGCAACGTAATTTTCTCGTAGATATTTTAGATGCCGATGATGTCGATGCAGCAAGCAAAAAATTATTGGGAGATGGACGAAGTTCAATTACAAATGCGCTCTATCGATATATGGTGAAAAAGAAGGGACCAGATGAAGCTGGTGATAGGTTAGTTTAAACTAGCAGTGATCGAATTAATCGGACCTGGCTATTCTAGCCCGATTTAGAAACTCCTCATTCTCTTTGCCTAACCCTTTCTCATTCAGATTTGGTGGACTTTTACTCCTTGGCACAGTTTTAGCAACAATGGCTGTTGAAATGAAAGAAGCTGTTTTGGTCGCTGATTTCTTTGATCAAATTCAATTTTCGACATTCGCCAAACAATTGTTATTTGGTATCAAAAGAGAGCACGGAGAAATAGTTTAGAAAAACGTAGTGATAATTGTAAAAAGCAGAAAACTAACATTTCAAAAAAGTCAAAGTCTACATATTGCCTCTTTCAATGAGTGCCTCAATTTCTTGTGTTAACAACAATCATATTTTGCGGGTTTCAATTTTTGTCAGTTATATTTTTTATTACCAAATAAAACGTTTATTATAAAAAAAACAACAAAAATATTTACAGAAATAAGATATTTAATCTAATTGTGTTGGCTCAATTTTCTCCGTACTCGGCTCTTTTTTAACTTTTCTTCTCGAACTGTTCTTTTTATCGGAATTTTGTCTCGAACTGATTTTGGGCTCGACTTTTGACATTGTACTTGTTTGTTTTGGAGTATGTTTAGTTGGGACTTTTTCTCGCTGAAAATAAATTGGAACTTTTTTGAAAAAAAGAAGGAGTGAAATTAAGGATGAAAAATCAAAAAAAAAAATGTAGTAAATGGAAGAAGCCCAAATTAAAAAAATTGTAAAAGATCTTAAAGAAACTACAGTGAATAACAGTTCATTTAATAAATTTGGATCTACAGTAATCTGTTCAAGTTATCATAACTCATCCACATCTACAAAGGTCTTTCTAAATTTCTGACAGTAATCCTTCTATTTCAATTTTTAAGAAAAACTAGAGTAAGCTACAGTAACTTAAAGATGCTTTTTTAATTTCAAAACTTTTCACATAACTACAGTAAGCCCCCGTATATCAAAAGCTATGATCACCTCCCCCTTCCTAAAACTCCCCAATCAAAGATCTCAATATTATTTTTCAACCCTACCGATATTTTATCGCCTCCTTTTTTATCCGCTCCTCCTCCTCCTGTTCCCGGTTTTGTAATCGGATTTGACAATGGAATTGTTTCATCTTGTGTTGGTTCTTCCAATGATAATGATTGTGTTCTTTGACTTATCAATTTGTCCTCCACTTTATCATCGCCCAACTTTTTTTCAAGTAACTTCAAAACCACTTTTTCCAAATCTTCCTTTTTGAAAATATGACTTTCTTTCGCGTCAATTTCTTTTTTCGATATATCAGGTCCACGTGGAATCCTCTCAACATTTGGATCTGTCAATTAATTGTGTAATTGATTTTTGAGAATGTGGATAATATCCATTTCTTACCTTCCATCGCATCAAATTTAACCTTTGGCATAAGATTGGTAGTAGAAGCTCGTGGAGCCATCATTTTAGTCATCATATTTGTCTGTTTCATATTCAACAATTTTTGTTGTTGTTTTGGAACTTTAACAGGAACTGCTGAACCATGCATTGGGTTGGCTTTTGACAGAATTGCAGCTGATTGCTGGAAAAGGAAAATAAAACAACTCTCAATAATTTTTGGTGTTTAAACTTTCAGGGGTAAATAAATAACTACGGAAAATCACAAAAAATGTCGACGCGTTTTTTTTTCATTAAAATTGCAGACAAAAAACTCACAATAGTATGCGGAAGTTTAACAGTCATATTAATCAATCTCGGTGGTTTATCAAAGAAATCATTAACATAACATAGCGAAATCATCAAATTTCGTTCAATCAATATATCCATCTCAAAATCATCATCATCCAAACCAAATGGATTCAACATAACAAATGCAGTTTTGAGCCAACCATTGAAAACAACAAATTCAACAACAGCATGAATTGGTATAATACTATGATACAATTTTTCAGTTGCATCTGCATTAATTCCTTGCGACGAGAAACATAGAATTAGAAAATAGCAGATTGTGCAGATATTTACAGCTTGAACATAAACTAATGGAACACTTATCCAATCATATGATAAAATATCGTGAAGTCGTTGGCGATATTGCAGAATCGACTGGAATTTTTTCAAAATAATTATTCCATAAAATTTTTACAGTAACCTCTTCAAAAGTTTTTTTTTAAAATAAAAATATCCAACCTTTGGAGCTATCTTTCAATTTCTAAAACACTAACCGTTGTAACTTCAGCCAAATGATATGAATCAATACATCCTCTTTTTTCTGCATCTTTCAAAATAAGTAAAGCCCATTCAATTGGAACCCAATGTCTACTTTCTTTTGTTTTCTCCAATTTCTGTCGTTCTTCTAATGTCATTAATGTTGGTGTCAAATGATCATAAGTTGGAAATCTTTTCTTGATTCGAATACTAACATCACGAAAAACCAAAACATATGATAAAATCAAATATCTCATGATAGTTTGTCTTTCAGTTCGATCTTCTTGTTCAAACTTTTTTCCACGACTTCGAAGAAATGCAGTTAATTGAAGAGCTGTTGTATCTGGCCATGGAATTGTCATAAAAACATTCCACCATCGATTTGTCACAAAACTCACATAAAATCCAAGGGCAAATGTGATTACAGTACGACTTTGTGAAGTTATCTGAAATTGTCATACAGTAATCCTTGAGAATTTTGGGTGAGGCTGAATCTACATTTCCCACAGTACCCCAGAACAATTTTAATAATACTCATAGTTTTTTTGAAAAATGTTTAAGCCCCTTATGGGGTGATTCAGGTTGAAAAAAAAATAATAAAAAAACATTTTTTGACAAAAAATTTCGATTCAGCAAATGTCAAAAAATTGTATTTTTTTCCTATTTTTTGACATTTTTTTCCACACAAAAATGAAAAATATCTCGCAGCGAAAATGTTTCAATGAAAAAAAATGTCAAAAAATAGGAAAAAAATATAGTTTTTTGACATTTGCTGAATCGAATTTTTTTGTCAAAAAATGTTTTTTTATTATTTTTTTTCAACCTGAATCACCCCATTACTTTTTAGGTAAAACTTACAGATCTACATCTCATCACAATTTGCTCGAATATTTTTCCATTTTCGGTATTAAATAAAAGAAACTCATAAATTGTTCGAATATTGACAAAAAGAAATAACCATAGAAAGAGCTCCCAATAAATCGCTTTCCAAACACTTCCACGCCATCGGAATAAAAGTCGAAGAAATGTGAATGAAGTTGCAGTTGCAACATCTTTCATGTATCCAACTGTCATTTTCTCTCGATTTCAAAATTGAATAATGTGGGAAAATGATTCGAATTTCATTTTGATACGTTTCACGTCACGTAATCTTTTTTATTGAATTATTATTTCATTTATTTATTTTTTTATTATACGGCTATTCAAGTCATTTTCTCAATGCTGAAAAGGTTGAGAAAATAGGGAAACGGCTGAGAAAATGTATTTTCTCAGCATTTTTCCCGTTCCCTCAGCGCACGCGCGTGTTGAGAAAATACTTGAATAGCTCCATAAAAAAATATTTTCCAAACTCCCCCTTTTTGTTTGCATACTGTGGCGAGGAATGTGTGCAAACACTTTGACCGCGACGCTTTACAGCTGAGGCGTCGCGTGTTCTGGCATTCTTCCATTGATTTTTTCATCAGTTTTTTTCGAAAAGTTTTGTTGCTGAAACCATGGCTTACACAATGCTGAATACAGTTGACTTCTCCTCAACACCATCAACTTCGACGGACGATCTTCATAACGTGCAGTTTTTTTTGTTTACCTCAAAAATTGTAGTAATTAAACCTAAAATAAAAAATATATTTGTTTTGAAGAAAAACAATTTTGAATTGAGAAAATCTTGCTTTACTATTTCTGACAAAAATTGTACTGCGAGACTTTTTTTCGAAAATTTGAGCCAGAAGCTCATGCTGTTTTCGAAAATATCAATTCGATTTTGTTTGGGGGAAGTTGCGATGTTTATCGCAAACTGTGTAATTAAACCAAAAACTATCAAACTTGGGATAATTAAACCTACTCAGATAACTTATGCTGAGGTCTTCTAAATTCATCTTCATTTTAATAACTTTCATTATTTTCAGAACTCGTCAAATTTCCATTTGCTTCTTGAGGATTTGGAGTTTTCTCCAGAAAAATCAAAGAAAAACCCAAGCAATGAACACGTCGCGGAAGATGAGTATGAAGAAGAGAACACTGAAGTTCAATACCCATACCAAAGAAAGAACAAATATGAAGACTTAATGAGTCGCATTGAAACACGTCTGAATGACGGAAGTATGCAAACTTCAGAAGAGTTGAATTTAAAAGTGAAGGTAAATACTTATTGAATTTTCATTACTTGAAATACGGTTTTATTTTTTTTAGAAAGCTCTTGATGTGATCAACAAGACACCTGAAATTACAAATGGCAAGAAATTTGGCGAAACAAAATTCTATACTTGTCTTTTCTGCTCCAAATATTTCGGTTGCACTGTTTCATTGAATGAACATATTGCAGATGAACATGATTTTACCGTAAGTTGTTATTCAGTTTGAGAAATAACAATAACTAATTAGCTTGTTTCAGAAAAATCCCCACCGTTGTCAAAAATGCGGGAATTCCTATAAGTACAAGAAAAATCTTGAACTTCATTTGGAAAAACATGAATTGAAATTGGAATATGATTGCAAGTTATGCTCTATGGTATTTAGAAGTTCAGTGTCTTTAGATGCTCATTCTGCCAGAGTTCATCAGAAAAATGCGGACGGAACAGATTTGGACGATGCAGATGTAACACGATGCCCAGTTTGTAAGAAGGAATTTGCCGAATCAGCTCTCAAAAGACACATGTATTATTGTGAAAATAGAAATGAGATTCTTACAAAACGAGCTGAAAAGAAATCTATAAGTGTTCCACCAAGTCCCGCTTTATCAATGGCAAGTGTATCATCATTCACAAGTCTCGGATCATTGACACCAAAAGCATCATACGTTGATAAAAGTTGTAAAGTTTGTGGACAATCTTTTGCAAGCCGACAATCAATGCTTCGACATATTACAAGAAAACATCCAGAACTTAAAGATGATCAAACAGTAACTGCTGTGACTTATGTTTCTGTGGATTCAGTGAGTTAAATAGCCACAGAAAATGAAATGAATAAATTTACTTTCAGCCAAACCATCAATATGCATGCGAAGAATGTGGAAAACGATTGACAACTCGTGCTGCTCTCAGCCTTCATAAAGAACGAATTCACAAGAAAAGCTGTCGTTACGAATGTGAAATTTGCAACAAATCGTAAGTTTTCAAATAAATTTGGATTTTATTCAAAATTTCTGATTTTTGCAGATACCCAATCCCATCAGAACTGCGAAAACACATGCAACGTTCTCACCAAAAGAATAGTAATATCCCAGCTGAGATCTCTGAAGAAATTGATTTGACAACTTTCTAGTTTGTATATACTTATATTTTAGGATCTATATAGTTTGTTATACGTGTAATTTTTCGGGTTCATGTATTTCTTTACCTCGTGAAAAATCATAAAATATTAAAATTCAAATTGCGTTTAATTAGTTTCAGATTTGCTTTTCTGTTGTTATACTTTTCTGAAAGTTTAGGAATTTCAAAAATGTGCAAAATTTCAGATCAAATGGATATCAATTTTAAATTTTCCAATCTTATTGGATCAGTTTATCGACAAGGTCAAGTTATATTTTCACCAGATGGAAATTCAGTAATCAGTCCAATTGGTAACAAATTATCAGTTTTCGATTTGAAAAAGTGAGAAAACATTCTTCTTCGGCTTGAAATTCAATTTCACAATTTTAAAATGTTCATTTTGCAGCAACTTATCTCGTACTTTATCACCTGGCGCAAATTTCAGTTTTTATTCGGTTGCTATAAATCCAGCTGGAACACATTTAGCTGTTTCTGATGAGCGAGGAGATGTTCATTATATCAATTTGATAACTGAAACTGTTTTGTATAAATTTCGAGCTGCAAAACCTGTCAAATCTTTGAATTTTTCACCGGATGGAAAGTGAGTTAACAAAATAAATATTGATTTAAAAAATAAAAAGAAACGTGACCTGACTTTCCATGTTTTTGTATTCATTTTCAGAAAAATTGCAATTTGCCGTGAAAACGATCTACAATTACATGATTTGGGAGTTTCTGAAAATCAATCATTTCACCCATTTTCTCTAAATCGAACATATAAATTGAGTTCGGAACAATTGAGATGTGTTAATTGGTCTTTTGATTCGAAATTACTTGTGGCTGGTGGAGAAGATAAAGTTATTCGTGTTGTTGGTTCAAAAGATTATCGAAATTTGTTCATTCATCCACTTGCTTCACATAAAGGTTCAATTGTTCATTGTCAATTTTTGGAAAAATCGTATGATGTGAGTTTTGGAGCTATGGCGTGGCAAGTTTCTGTTCTGAATTTTGAGCTGATTTTGAATTCTCTGAACAAATCGGAACCGTCCGAACATGTTTCCAACTCAAAAATTGTATCAATCCTATTCCCATTTTTTCAGATGATAACAGTTTGTAAAAGAGGAGTTGCAAATGTTTGGACATGTTCACTTCAACCAGGAGATTTGAAAGAAGGAACTTGGAAAAAGGATAAACCAGAAAATGAAGAAGAAGAAGACGAAGAAATAATGGAAGTTGACGATGAAGAAGAAATCGATAAAATATTCTACGAAAAAACCAAAAAGTATTCGCTCTCTGAATCATCTGGAAGCGGAAAATCAGTTGATGTAACAGCGTGTCAATTTCACACAAAAAGTAATATTCTTGTGACTGCATTTAATAATGGTGTCTTTGTTCTTCATGAAATTCCATCTTTTGCCTTGATTCATAATTTGCGTGTTTCGGAGATGAAAATTCAAACAGTTTCATTCAATTTGAGCGGTGATTGGATTGCAATTGGATGTGGAAAAGGATCAGCTGCACAATTAGTTGTTTGGGAATGGCAATCAGAGACATATGTTATGAAACAACAAGCACATTCACTAAGAATTACATCATGCGAATATTCTCCCGATGGATCACAAGTTGCAACTGGAGCTGAAGATGGAAAAGTGAAGATTTGGAATGGAAGAACATCATTCTGTACAGTTACATTTGATGAGCATACATCTGCTGTTACAGCTGTCAAATGGACACAAAATGGAAGAGCTATTCTAAGTGCTTCTTTGGATGGAACAGTTCGAGCACATGATTTAAAAAGATATCGTAATTTCCGCACATTGGTTTGTCCAGAACCTACTCAACTTGGAAGTTTGGCTGTTGATAAAGCTGGTGATCTTGTTGTTGCTGGAGCTAAAGAAGTTTTTAATGTGAGTTGAATTGAAAGTGAAAATTTGGTAATAATTTTTTTCTCGGAATAATTTTTTTTATATTTCAAAACTATAGTAATTTTTGCAGACGGAAGTTATTTTTGGTAGCGAAATTCTTGAAAACATTTTTCCGAATACAGTAATCTTTGCAGTTTTACAATAAGTCTGAAAAGTCCCAACCAAACTTATACTGAACATTCACAATTTTTGGATCTTACCTCTTCTGATTTTGTCATTTTCAGATCTATATTTGGTCGTTTGAAACTGGAAATCTTTTGGATATTCTTTCTGGACATGGATCTGTTATTAGTGCGATTGATGTTTCTGGTAATCAAATTGTTAGTTCATCTTGGGATCGAACTATCAAGTAAGTTTTCTTTCTCTCTAAAAATTAAAAACATCAAAAATGTGTTTAGGGTTTGGAATATTGTTGATTCGCAAGCTGAAACAACTGAAGTATCACATGAAGCTGTAAATGTTCGATATTCTCCAGGAGGTGATATTATTGCTGTTCTAACTTCTGATTCAGTTGTCACTTTTTACGAATCGAAAATGATGACATTTTTGGGAACAATTGAAGCGCATTTGGATTTGGATCCATCGAGAGGAAGAAATGATACGATTACTCGACAAAATGCTACGAAAAGTAAAACTTTTACATGTTTCCAGTTTTCGCCAGATGGAAATTTATTGTTGATTGGTGGAGAATCGAATAATTTCGGTATTTATTCGGTTCCTGATCGATTGTTGTTGAAAAAATTCCAAATTACTGAGAATCGAAGTTTGGATGGAGTTGTTGTAAGTTCAAAACAAAATTTTTAAAAACACTCTCAAAAATCATACATTTTCAGCTCGATTTCAATCGCCGAAATTTCACCGAATTTGGAAATATGAACCTGGTTGATACATCGGATGAAGAGGAAGAAGATAACAATAAAATGACCATCAAATTGCCGGGAACCAAGAATTTCGATTTGGGAGAACGAAGAGCGAGACCAGAAGTGAATATATATGCATTGGCTTATTGTCCAACTGGAAGACGATTTGCGATTTGTTCGACTGAAGGAGTTGGAGTTTATTCATTGGATACTGTTACATTGTTTGATCCGTTTCAATTGGATTCACAAACTAATCCAGCAATGGTTAAAAGGTTGGAATTTGGGGAGTTTTGGAGAAAAGCAATCGTGGCCCAGATGGTTTTAGAAGTCGATTTTTTTCAATCGAACATTCGAGGGTTTGAATAAACCACAATCTTCACCAAAAACGAATTTTCGAGTTTTTTCTCTTTTTTTTGAAATCTCTGTTTCCCTTCAGAGGTTTCCTCAAAAACGCTCCCCTCGTTTTTCCAGAGCTTTATCAATGAATGATTATTCAACTGCTCTTATGGCCTCACTTCGATTAAATGATGGAAAATTGATTACTGAAAGTTTGGAAGTCACAAGTGTTACACAAAGTCAGTTTTTATCCACTTTCCCTCGCCTCAACTCTTTTCTCAAAATAATCCTCATTTTCAGTCCCAATGGTTGTCCAAGTTCTTCCGATTCATTATGCTGAAAGACTTTTGAAATGGATGTCTGAGGGAAATGTTGTATCATCAACAAAACATGTTCATTTTTATATGGTAAGCTATTATTTTTTTAGTTAATTAGCTAATTGCCTAATAAAAAAAATCAACTTTAGATCTGGCTTCGATCGATTTTACAATATCATGGAATGCGACTGAAGGGACGAACTGATGTTGCAACTTTGACAGGAGTTCAGCAAATTTTGGCGCATCATTCACAACTTATTTCGAATATGTGAGGAAATTTTTAAAAGTTACCTCAACTCGAAAAAAAAAATATTTTTCAGGGCAAACCAAAACAAGTATTCATTGGTTTATTTGATGTCAGCTCGTCGATTGCGTCGAAAAATCAAAAAAGAAGAGGAGGATGAAAAAGTTTAGGATTTTTGTTGATTTGTTGAAATTGTTTTATTTGTTGTTATTGTTTTTCTTTTTCTTGTTCTTACAAATATAAATATCAGTTTGGTTTTCGTTTTATTTTGAACTTTTGTTATGATAGAGTTTCAGACTCTGAAATATTGTTTTTTGTTTGAGTGTTTTTCAGGAACTTGAAAAATTTGTAAGGAAAAAGTTTGAATTTTTCGAATTTTTTTGCCAAAGAATTTTGCCATTTTTTTAAATTGTTCGAAAAAAAATTGAGAGAGCTTGTAAATTTTTCAGAAACCCGAGAAAAATTGTCTCGATCTGAATGTTTTACTAGAAATTCCAATTTTTACCTCGAATCTGTTCCTCTATAAATTCGTTTTCCACGCGAAAAATCGAAATTTTTCAGATCAAATGTTTGAAAATGCGAATTGGAGTAATGCCGAAATGGCGAATGGCGATTTTTCCGATGAGATTTTTCAGTTTCTCGGATCATTCGAAGAAGTTTTGCCAGAAGGAATTGAAGCGGTGAAAACCGAAGTTGTGAGTTTCGTTTTTCTTATCAATTCTATTCTATTTTAAATTTCTGCTTTTCAGAAACCGAAAGGTAAAAAGAAGAAAAACTTGGCCAAAAATGAAGAGAAAACAGATAATGAAGAGAATGAAGAGGAAGTTTCGAAAGACGAGAAAATTTCGGCTAAAAAGCTGAAAAGAAAAGAGCAAATGGCGATGAATCGAAAATTGAAAAAGGAACGATTGGCGAAAAGAAAATTGAAGGTTTGTAAAATTCATTGCGGTTTTATACAAAAAATAAGAGAAATCATTGTCTGGCTCCTTGTCTCGCAAGTTGATCGGCTCTTTCATTACCAGCATGTCCAGAATGTCCTGGAACATGTTGGAAGACAACCTGGAAAAATGTCATGAAAAAAGTTATAGTTAGTTTTCGAATTCACATACCTCTTTGAAATCGTTTTTCAATCCATTGATTTGACGAATAACATCTTGATTAGCAACTGGAGTTCCTTGCGAAGTTGTATATCCATTTCGATCCCATTTATGAACATAGTCATTCATTGTTCGGCAAGCAAGATCCGAATCAGTTCGAACAACAACACGATCATAATTGCGAGAATGTGATGATTCGAGAGCATTTCGAATTGCGACTAATTCGGCTCGATTATTTGTTTGACGACCTTCAACAGGACCGTGCGATTCACGGTTGATTCTTCCTGAAATTTGAATGTTTCAAATATGTTTTCGTTGAAGAAAAAAAACTAACCGTTGCTGTCAGACCAACAATAACCCCATCCAGCTGAAGCATCGGATCTTCCATTTCTCGAACAAGCACCATCAGTATAGACAACTCCAGTTCTATCGCTGCGACCACTGAAAAACTATAAGTTTTATGTATTCGTCAACTATGTTTCCTGACCTGTTGCCACTTTGATTGCGATTATCATAATAATAATAATCATTCGAAGAACGACGATAAGACATCTTCCTAAATAGAAGGATTCCCTGAATTGTAGTATTTGAATAAATAGATAGATATTTCGATTGGAAAAAATTACAGAGTAAAATAGAAATTAGATCTAAAATTATAATATGAGCTTCATGAAAAGATAGTGAACAGGTATACATGAGAATTGGAATAAGGTTAGCTTAATATGAATCATCAGAATCCGAAAAATCTGACATTCTGGCTCCTTGTTTTGCCAAAAAATCGGCTCGTTCATTTCCGTGTACTCCATTGTGAGCAGGAACATGTTCATAGACAACCTGAAGCATTTAAAATATTTTGTTTGATAACAGAAAAATACCTCTTGGAAGTTGCTTTCCAACGAATCGATTAATTCAACAACATCTCGATTTTTGACTGGTTTTCCATCGTATCTCTTCCAATTGTTGTTTTTCCATTTGTTGATGTAGATTGTCATGGTTTTGACGAGAAGATCAGAATCGGTTCGAATAATCACTTTATCCAATCGATGCTCCTGGTCGTGAGCCTGTAACACGAATATTGTCACAAGCGCGGAGTTTAAAGGGAGATGTGATCTGGTTCTGATATATCTTGCAACGAAAAGTTCACTGGAGCGCGTTTCCAACATCTTATTTTTGCGAAAAAAATAATAGCAACTTACCGATTGAAGAGCTTTATAAACTGCAAACAATTCGGCTCGATTATTGGTTTGTTGAATTCCCGGAAGATGACCATGATCTTCGATTCCACTTTTCGGCCAAAAATAGCCCCAACCAGCTGAAGCTCCAGGTTGTCCATTTCGAATGCAAGCACCATCTGTGTAGACAACACCAATTCTCAATCTGTAAACGTCTTTTGTCAATCAGGATATTCTATTTTTCCTCCAACTCACCGGTTGTTAAAGTTTCCGCGATACATTTGAAATGAATCTGAACATTATGATTTCCTGAATAATTGATTTTTAAGGTATTTCAATTGAAAAATGACAAATTTGAAAACAATTTTGAAAAACATTAAATTATCAGTGAGCCTTCATTTTACAAGAAAATGGTTAGTAGAACTGTATTTGAAGCGGTTTAATATTGAATATTTTCACAATTATATGGCATTCTTGCTCCATCTCTTGCCAAAGAATCCGCTACCTCATTTGGAACAATCCCCGAATGCGCAGGAACATACTCATAGATCACCTGAATTCAATTCTTTTAAACTTCAATTCGCTTCACAAAACACCAATAAATACCTCGTTGAATTCATTTTGCAAATCATCAATCCATTCAACAACATCTCGATTTTTGACTGGAGTTCGATTTGTTGTTTGCCAATTGTTTCGTTGCCATCTGTAGATGTAATCTGTCATTGTTTTGATGAGAAGATCCGAATCGGTTTTAACGATAACAACGTCTGGAGGGTGATCTTGATCGAGAGCCTGAAAATTAGGATTCCTTCGCTTAGTGTTGCAAGAAAGAACAACTCAAATTGGGTACGCATTTGTGCGTCGCCGTGTATGCACACAAATTATAGGTACCGTACTCCGTTATCGAAAAAATAAAAACTAACCACTTGAAGAGCTCGATAAACTGCATACAACTCGGCTCGATTATTCGATTGTTGACCTGGAACTCGACCACATCCCTCGACTCCACTCTTTGGCCAAAAAAAGCCCCATCCAGCGGAAGCTCCACGTTGTCCATTTCCTGGACAAGCACCATCTGTGAAGACAATATCAACTGTCAATCTGAAAATATTTCATGTATTATGTTTTTTCAAACTCCTTTTATTTATTTTAACTCACCGATTTCTTCTGTAGCCTTGATTCATTTCTTTTCTGCAAAAAATAAGTTGGTTTATTGGAAAATGAAAACAATCATAAATAAAAGGCCCCTCGTCGCGTGGCATCGTAAACATTTTAATTTTGAAGAACAAAAAAATCAATACGAAAAAAGATAAACGTGAGCAATGGGAGGAGACGGAGAGGGAGAAACAGATGACCAGGCAACATTTTATAAGTCCATTTTTCAGCAGCAAGAAGAAAAGGCGACAGAAGAACCAGTGACAAAAAAGAAAAAAGAGGCGAAAAAAGTGGAAATTGTTGAGAAGAAAAAAGTGAAGAAAGAGGTGGATATTGAAGAATGGAAACAGTTTTACTTTCTACCTCAAGAAATTTTGAGTGCACTTTCAGATTTGGGGTAAGTTAAATAACACGAGAAGAGATGAAAAACAATCAACATTTTCCTATTTTTAGATTCAACAAGCCGACAGATATTCAATCATCTGTTCTTCCCGCAGCTGTTCGAGATAGACAAGATATTTTGGGTGCTGCTGAAACTGGAAGTGGAAAAACACTTGCATTCGGAATTCCAGTTGTATGCCGATTATTGGAAAAAGAGGAAATATTGAATGAAGTTGAAATTGAGAAAAAAGGACCAAAAGCTTTGATTATTGCGCCAACTCGTGAATTGGTTATTCAAATTATGAAACATATTACTGCTTTGATTAAACATACAAAATTGAAAGTAGGCTAATTAGATAATCTAGGTTTTTTTTCAAATGCTATCTATTTCATTTTACAGGCTACAAGTATTGTCGGTGGATTGGCACAAGTTAAACAAGAACGTATTATCAGTCAGCAATCTCCTGATATTATTGTTGCAACACCTGGTAGACTTTGGGCTATGATGGAAGAGGTTTCTAAATTTAAAAATTTGAAAACAGTTTTCCTAATAAACAATATTTCTAGGCTGAACCCTCATCATATTTGGCGAATCTCTCAACTTTGAAATGTTTGGTTGTTGATGAAACTGATCGAATGGTTGAAGAAGGATATTTCAATGAATTGACTTATATTTTGAATAAAGTTCATAACGAGGCAAATAAGGAGAAGCTGCAAACTTTGGTGTTTTCGGCTACTTTGACTTTTGCTAAAGCGCAAGATGTTAGTGAAGAAGAGAAAAAGAAGAATAGAATACTCTCATCAGAACAGAAGATCCGTAAGTTTCTTCAATTCGCAACTAATTAGTAACTAGTTTTTATTTTCAGAAAGATTGGTGAAATTAACTGGATTGCGAGAGAATAAGCATAAAATCATTGATTTGACACGACAAATGGGAACTGCTGGATGTTTAGTGGAAGCGCGTATAAATTGTGCGGATCTTCTTGAAAAAGACACTGCTTTGGTGTATCTTCTCAATCGATATCCAGGTCGCACAATTGTTTTTGTGAATTCGGTGGATGCGGCGAGAAGATTGCATTCGATTTTGTCAAGTGTTGCGTTGAAACCAATGATTTTACACGCGAAAATGATTCAGAAACAAAGACTGAAGAATTTGGAGAAGTTTACAGGTTAGTTTTAAGTAGTTAGTGTTTTCAGATAGTTTTTTTCTGAAAGCGAAGTTAAACTATTCGTTAAGGAGTTAAGCAATTTCAAAGTCAGAATTTTTAGTATTTCGGAGCAGTGCTCACAAACACAGAGTTTCCACAATCGGAATAGTTTAGTCTTCACCGTCATTTTCATGAAAATGACTCGGACATTATATATCTGATAATTATAGCTATTAATTACTATTCAAGTTTGATTTTGTAATTAATAGAATTATCAGCAAGTAAAGCCCGTAGGCTCTCAGTATTTATCACTAAATACAGTTTCCGCAGTCGGAAAAGTTCAGTCTTCATCGTCATCTTCTCAGTTGAAAATGACTCGGATCTATCTAACCTTCTGATAACTAGAGTTATGTTGATAACTCGCAAAGTTGTACTAAGTAATAGTATAATTATCAGAAGGAATATTGTCTGATGAGACAATTTTGCAAAGATTTGTAGTTCTTTAACCTTTGCGGGATTACCGCCAGGAGGAGATTTTTTTCTCTGCATTTCTGGCCAATGAAGTTGTTGTTGTTGTTGTTATCGCCAAAGTTGCCGCCAAACTCACTTTCTTCTTCTCCGAGTTCACCGAACCAACGAAATTGCGCGAAAAGTGAAGAAAAAACACAAATTTTAGGAATCACTTTTTTGTTCAGCAAATGCGTGCGCCTTGAAAACGGTGCGAGACCATTTTGTGTGCTACAGTAAGACTGGCGGCTTTTTGAATATTTTTGAACAAACAAACAAAATATTTTTGTTTATTTATTTTTCGCGTGAACTGTTTGTCAATAATTTCATTTTCAGAATCGAAAAACGCAGTTTTGTTGGCAACTGATGTGGCTGCACGTGGTTTGGATATCAAAGGAATCGATCATGTTATTCACTACCAAGTGCCGAAAAAAGCAGAAATCTATATTCATCGTTCTGGTCGTACAGCTCGTGCTAGTCAAAGAGGTTTAACTGTTCTTTTGGTTGACTCGCAATCGAAACAGTTTTATATTAAATTGTGCAAAGGATTGAATCGAAGTTGGTTTTTTTTTAATTTCTCATTCTGTGATAAGATTATAAAAATTATAAAAATGTTATAAAAAAATGTTATAAAAATGAATATAATATATTTCAGTGCAAGACTTGGATGTTTTCCCGATTGATTTCGAACCTTTAATGGATGCTTGCCGAGAACGTGTTCGTTTAGCTTCTGAAATTGATTCGATGAATTTCCGATGCAAGAAAATCAAAACATCTGAATCGTGGTTCGAAAAAACAGCAAGAGAAGCTGATTTGGAATATGATGGAATGAGAAATCGAGAAATGAATGGATTAAATTCGGAAGTTGATGATATGATTAATAAGAGTCGAAAATTGCAAGCTGAACTTCGAGATGAACTTCAAATTCCGTTGCCGAAGGCTGATGGAACCGATTCATTGGTAAGATTGCGATAAGAATAACACCTGGACTAGTGGTGTCCAAAAATATTTTGAACAATGTTGTTTTTTGCTTGAAAAAAATGCCTTTTTTATGGTGGACCCATTTTCTCGCCCCACAAATTTGTGTTTTCTTCAAAAAATCCCAGATGTACAACATTATTTTTTGACAGCCGGTCCAGGTGTCCTGTTTTTTCTCGTAAATTTCACATTCACTTTTGTTTTAGTCGATAAACGCATATTTTCCTTCCATATACCCCTTTCCAAACTATATTATTTTCAGAAAACCCGCTACATCACCCCAGATGTTTTGAGTCAAATCAAGGCGGTTGGCGAATCGGCGATTGATGTTTTGCACCAAAAAATGGAAGAAACCAAAGAATGGAAGAAGAAAAGTCGAAAAGCGGCGAAATTGGACGAGGTTGTATCTGAAGCTCGAAAAATAAAAAATAAGCAAAAAAGCCAAAAAAGATTTGAGGAGAAGAAAAAAGTTGAAAAAAAGCAATCGAAAAGTTTTGGCAGATAATTGATATTTGTTTTTGTTATTGTTCTTTTTTTTATTTTTGTTGAGAATTTATTGTTGACTGAATTATTGTTTTTTTTGTTGAATTTGACTAATTTTTTGATTTCAAAATACGTTAACTTCGTATTGAAATATTTAATTTTTCGAAAAAATTAATTAAATTATTGATTTTAAGATGGGCGACGATGGGGAACCGGAAAGTTTTGAGGTTAGTTTTTGTTTCAATCCTATAAAAACCGTTATATTAGACATTTTTAGGATTTGATTGGAGAGCGGACAAAAACGGTTAGAACTTTGTTATCAGAAGCATTTGAAGAAGAAATTGCGGAGAAAAAGAAAGAGAATAAAAAAGTGGAAGAGATTGATGTGCCAATTGTTCCGATTAGATTTCGAGGAAGAGCTTCGATTGGAGCACCAACACATGATTTATTGGGCGATGTATTTTTGCAAGCTTTTCAGACGATGATGGCAAAGTTAGTTTTTGCGAATATCAAAAATTTTCTCCGAAACGCTTTTTATCGAAAAACCCTCCGAAAAGAACTCCCCGATTTTAACGTTTCGAAAAATTGATTTTTTTTCAAAAAAAAAAGTTAACTTACTAGCTAAAAATTGATTTTTCAAAACACCTCGGCCAGTCTGTGGCCAGAGTACAATATTGAAAAAAATCTGAATTCCATCAAAATAAAATAAATTTTATCGTTTTTTATCGAAAAATAATCTGATGTAAAATTAGAAACGATCGATAAATAAACGTTTTTTTTCCAGAGGATCTCCTCCTGAATTCTCTCATCTATTTGCTCATTACTTTGTCAGCGAATTCGACAAGAAAAATGGTGGATTATGGAGTGCAAAAGCTTTCAATCCTGAAATTTATGAAACCGAAGGAACGATTGAAGCCAAAAAACAATTCACCGAAGGACTTTGGCCATTTGTGGATGAATTATTGACAGATTCAACGATTCCTGAAATATTGAAACAAAAATGGGGTGAAGGAGGAATACATATTGCTGCTGATCAATTGAAAGGAAGAAGGCAGAAACAAGAAGATCGATTTGTATCATATCCAAATCGAAGTTATATGGATAACAAAAATGTTGGTCTTTAAACAAAATTTATGCCACAGGGAATTTTGAACACGTGGATTTGTATGGGCTTATTTTCTATAAAAATGTACTCTTTCAGGATAACACCGCCTTGTTAGCTGTTTTTGATGGACATGGAGGAAATGAGTGTTCGCACTATGCATCTGCACATTTTTGGGAAGAATGGGTTAAATCGCAGGATTTGTTTGATGGATATTTGGAGCAAAGTCTGACGTCAGCATTGTCATCTCTAGGTTTGTAAATAGCAAGAAAAATACTAAAAATTAAAACAATTTCAAAAAAAAATTAATTTTTTTAAATTTCAGATGAGCGAATGACGAAACGTAGTAAAATCGAGCAATGGAAAGGTGGAACGACGGCTGTTTGTTGTGCTATTGATTGTGAGAAAAAAGAAATGGCATTTGCATGGCTTGGTGATTCACCAGGGTGATTTTTTTTAGAATTGCTTGTTTCTTCGTCTTGTGAAGCACATATTTTTTGGATAAAAAAGAGTTTTGACGTGGCAAAAAATGGAACAAAAATTCAGAAGCTGAAATTACAAAGCGAAATATTTCATCATACGTCGCATACCCCTGTTTCAAAATAATTTCATTGTGTTTTTTGGACGATTTCTGAACGAGGTCTTATTCAATTTACAATAAAATCATAAATATTCATGATTTTAATATTAATAAGTCCATCTCTGCCACGTCATAACCATAGTTCAATAATGAGCTGAAATTTTCTTTGTGCAAAAATTTTATACTACAGGGCTCAGCTTTTTTCACCGTAGCTATTTATTCAAGTTTTAAATGTCTTAATTTTCAACAGATATGTGATGAATTCGCTCGAAATTCGAAAAGTGACAAGAGATCATTCACCAAATGATGCCGAAGAAGCACGACGAGTTGAAGAAGCTGGTGGACAATTATTTGTAATTGGTGGAGAACTTCGTGTAAATGGTGTGCTGAATTTAACAAGAGCACTTGGTGATGTAATGGGGCGACCAATGATATCAAATGAACCCGAATCCAAAAAACTGCCAATTGCTGATGATGATTATTTGGTTATATTGGTTTGCGACGGAATATCGGATGTTTTTGGACCTTCGGATTTGTACAATTTGGTTGAGGCTTTTGTTCAGGAAAACGATTCGGATGGTTAGTTTATTTTTTTAATTTATTTGCATGCAAGTATGATTCTTTTTTCTTTTCTTTATTTGCTTTTTTTTTTTGGGTTTTTCATGACTTCTGTTAATCTTTGTTTTTGCGCAATATTTTAAAAATTCAAAATTGATGCAAAAATTTGTCCATTATGTGGCATGTCCTGTCTGTTTTTTATGACCAAAATATATACTTTTTATTTCTCTCTATTTTCCAGATTACGCTGATCTTGCTAATTATATTTGCAATGAAGCCATTGAAGCTGGAACTGGTGATAATGTTACTGTAGTCATTGGATTTCTACGTCATCCTCATGAGGTAAATTAATATATTTTCCAAACTATCAATTTTTCCTAATTCCATATTTTCAGCTTTGGAATTTATTGCGATGTGTTGATACTTCATCAGAAGAAGAAGGAGAAACGGATTAGGATCTGAAATATTTTCTTCATTTATTTATTTATTTATTCATTCATTCATATTTTTGTTAGTTTGTCATTTTACTTACCCCCAAAATCATTGTTGTTCTCGATTTTTTTGTTTTTCTTTGACATATCACAATTATCGGTGATTTTCTTTAGTGCCTGCCTGTCCTGTCGAATGTGTTTGTGTATCATGTTTTCGTGTACAATTATGAATATTTTTATTATCAAAAACAAATGCAATATTATACAGTCATGAAGTTAAGTGAAAACGAAAAGGCAGTGAAAGAAAGAATTAAATATTGATGAGCTGAAAATTAAAAGGCACAGTAAACTTTATAGCAAATTATTTATACTTTATTCGATGTGATAGCCTTTCTTTGTCGAGAAAGACCTTCTGATTGAACTGTTGGGATCCATGAAACCCAATTTCCACCCTTGTCACGTTTTGTTGATTCGGAGGCTAGAGGATATTTCCAATGTCCACCTGTCACATCAGTTTCTACTCGGAAATTTCGCCATTCTGGAACATATAATCGGAAACAATTCAATCGTCGCACACCCAATGTTGATTCATCCTCATATTTCTCTTTTCGCACAACAGCCCAATCTGGCAGACAGAAATCGTAACAATCACTGCATGAGACATCTGAAATTGAATTGGTTGAGATTAGGGTTTTCAGAAGAGAAGAACAAACCTCTCGCATGAACAGTTTGCCGCAATAAATACCATTTAGCATCACGGCAATCGTCAACTCTGTCGGTGAATTTTGAATTAGCCATGACTGGTTCGATGGGTTCGGGGTCGAATTGCCAGAACTCTTGCCAACCGTAGGTTGATTGAATCTGAAGTGAGGGAAACTAGAAAAATATTTAGATAGCTTGTGAGGGTAATTCTAACTTGAACTTAAAGGGATTTTGTGGAATTGTCTTTACTCTAGAAAAATAACTGGAAATTAACTCATTATTGTTCTAAAATTGTTAGCCAATTTTCTACTTTCTACAGTACACTTCCTCTCCGTAGATCTCATTAGCCCTGAAGTCCCGAAATCAATACCTCATATTCGGAATCTGAAATAGCTTCTGATAATTGATCAATACTTTCAATTGCACTTCTATCTAATGGCATCAAGAAACAAGTTGTATGTTTTCCTTGAGCATCAGTTAGTGCATGATCAGCGATTGCCACATATCCCTGAAATTTTTTTCATTTTTATGTCTACAAACCAAAATTTCCTCTTACCGTTGTAAAATCAACAGCTGTAAAACTATTCGATTTGAATGGAGCATTTCCACGTAATTCGAAATGAGCTTGATGTTTGGAGTAGAAATGGACAAATACTGAAAGGCAGTTTTAATTTATACTTTCAAAAAAAGAAGAGAAATTCAAGTACCTGAAGATGGTAAGGCGGCTGAAATAAGTGCTGGATTTTTCCTTCGACATTCTTCACAAACTGGCGGGTAAACAAGAAATTCGGAAACTGAATATGGATTGAATATTGCAGTGAAAACAATGTATAACAATATGAGTAATAATAAAAGAAGGAGAAGAATACAACATAAACTTCGCATAAGAGCTGGAGACCATTCGGCATTTCTGAAATTGAAAACGGAATTTGAGAAATGAGGTAATCAGATTTTTTTGGAAACTATTTTTGAAAATGTAAATAATATGAGATAAATTTGAGACAAGTAAAGGAATAAATAATTCTTCAAGGTCTAATTTATGTCAGTAAAATACCGTGTTTTCAAGGTTGAACGGACCTTTTTGTTTATTTTGAAAATTATTTGTTTTGAACCTTTTGAATTATCATCAAGATATTACGATTTTTAGCTTTGCCACTTTAGAAATGCGAAAAAATAAATTGAAATTTGGTTTATTAAAGGTGATAATATTTTATCATCTGAAAAGCTAGGATAACATTTGATTAGTAAAACGCCAGATGTTTTTTTCGAAAGGCCTTAAAATTTCGGAATAAATATTTATTGAACTTTTTTTCCAAGTGTGGTCAAAAATTTTTTTCGGGAACTTTTTTCCAGACTTTTCGAGAAAAAATCCCTGTGTGGTTTTAGTTTTTAATTTTTATTTATCTAGGGAGTACTTTTAATTTCACCGTAAACATTTTTTTTAAATAATACTGTTTTCTGAAACAATTTTTGGATCTCTGTACACCGTGAAATTTCGTTTTTTTTAAACTAAAATTTTTCTTGACACTGACAAGTTTTGTGCAGTTAAAATTCCGATGCTCAAATTCACGTAATATTATTCCCCAATCAATTTTCTACCGTACCTGAATGCATAAATAAGATCATCGAAAAATATTCTCGTTTTCTCCCAACATCCAATATTTTTCTCATCATAAGCCGCTGTTTCACGTGACACCAAAGATGTTTGAGAAACTGGCTGGAATTATAAACTATAAATAATCTAGCTAAAAAATTTTCTTACCGGAAATCGTTGAACTTTTGCATCACCATCCCAACTTGATTGCATTGCTCGGTAGCTGTCTTTTCTTGCCAGGGATCTGGAATTTTTCAGCTTTAGACTTGAATTTAAAAAATCAAAATTTTTGAATTAAACCTCATCTCTTCTTCTTCTAAAATAGGTTCCATAGTTTTTTCTTTCAAAATTCTAAATTCAAAAAGAAAATCGATGAAAGTAGTACAAGAAGTAGTCGTCAGAATGAAGAATATTTGTTCAAGTTTGCCGCATCAATCGGTTTTGTTTACAATAACTTACTCTGCATCACTTGTGAATTCTTGTCGATATGACGTGTTCAAATTAGGCGTCGGAACTGTGAAGATATTTGAAGAACTTCTTTGATTATTCACATTTCTCATAGCAGATGGTCGAATTATTGTTTCTTCAATGTGTTCAACTCGACTTGTTTCACGTAATGGTCCATTTCCGTGAGTTTCGACGATTCGAGCACCTCCTTCTATAATTAAATGTGGATTAGGTTCTTTAGGTTGATTTTTTGTAGTTTGATTTGTCCTTTAAACAAATCTAGAAAGAGAAAAACCTCCCTAGATCTCACCAATTTTTCCAGCGTAAACTGTTTATGAGCATTGTAAAAATGAAATCGAAATTCTAATCAAAAAACTTTGAACTGAAGTTTATTGATTTGTGATTTTTCAATCATTTTTTCCGTTTCAAAATTCACATAAAATGTAACAAAATGTAATTTGTTCAATATTTTCTCAATATTCTGTTTTTTACCTGTTGTATTTATCTCATGAACATCATAACCATAATTATTAATAACAGTCGAATCTCCTCCACTTCTATCCATTCCAAATCTGCTTTCATCAGATGTATTCAAAAAGCTACTGCTGTTGTTATGAATTGTTGCACCACTCACATTATATCTATGACTGGGTGGTGATAATTCAATATGTTGACCGTAATCTAGAAATTATTTTTTGATGTGAGAATCCAAGAGAAAAAACATACTTGAAGAAGTGTGCAAAAATGATGGTTCTCTACTAACATCTCGTTCTCCAGTCACTTCAAATCTTCTATCATGAATTGTTCCATCAGCTCGTTGCTCATATGATTCTCTGCTTTCTCTGATTGTACTGTATGGTGGAAGGAGAGCACCTGACAATTTAAATAAATAACCATTTTTGAAATGTTTTTTTCAAAAATTAAAAATATCGAACATGAAAAAATATGGAAACTATTTTCTTGAGTTCTAGAATTTTCAAAAAACATTTAGAAAGGTAAAATTTTAGAGAACCTACCTCCAGATGGTCGTCTTCCTTCTTCTATTATCCGATGTTCTATAACTTCGATTTGTTCAACTACCATTCTACAAAAAAAAAATAAAATAAAATTTCAACTTTTTTGTGGTCAGCGATCAGTGGAGAAAAAAGCTAGCGGGGGTCGGTTGAATGGACAACAAAACTATAAAAAACCGGTTTGTGAGTAGCAGAAAAGGCAAGTTTGTAGAAAACACGACACAAATACCCTAATTTTTTGGTGGTAAAATTAAATATTAATATGGATATTCTTGTAAAATGACGATTTTTAGAGACATTTTTTTTTCTTTTTGAAATAAAAAACTTCTGAAATTTTTTATAGAAAACAATAGAACAGGTTTTTCTAATACTTAACTTTTTCGATGACTCATATTAAGATTGATTTAAACCGATTTATTATTTTTTTCGAAAAAAAAGTTCAAAATTAACTATTCAATATTTATTAAAATAAAATTTTCCGAAACAAACAAGAAATTTCGGAAAACAAATTAAAATATTTGTGATCCGTGAGAAAAAGAATCAAGATTTCAAAAATCGATAAAATTGAGGAATGAAAGGTTAAATTGGGCGTTTTGTGAAGAAAACGGTAGAAAAATGAGATTTTTTGAGAAAATAAAACGAAGGAAAGAAAAGAGATGAAATTCTTCTCAAGGACGTCAATTACATTTTTGGAAATGAAATGGATATATGAAATCAAAACAAAAGGAAAAAAGGTGGTAAACAAAAAAATTTGAAAGATTATTTTGAATAATTAAATTATGAATTAAAAAGGCTTTTTGATAAGAAAAATCACAGCTGGAGATATTTTGAGATAAAACTTGATTTTAAAAATATTTGGAAAAATTTGAAAGCTCAAAAATCCACGTGGCAATTTGGAAAATATAAGTTTTTTTCAAATTTCAGAACAAAACTTTCTGAACCTTGAAACTCGACATGTTCAAAAAATCATAATTTTACCCAATTTTTTCTGCTTGCTATGAAAAATCCAGCGTTTTCGCCAAAATTTCCGGTTTTTCAAGGGGGAATTGAGAACGAAAGAAAGAATGAACTAATTTGCATGTTTCAAATAATAATTCAACATGGAAAAAGGTGATGTGAGAGAGTGTGGTAGAATAGGAGACGCAAAGAAAAATATAGGAAAATGGGGGGAAAGGAAAGGTGAAAATGGGTAGAAGAATTGGTGAAAGTTTGATTAAAAATATTTTTTTTGGTGGGTGGAACAAGTTGGTTTGGGTTTTGTTTAATGAATAGAATTTTAAAAAAGGAATTTAAAATATTCAGAAAGTATTCAATTTTTACTTTTTGATAAGATTTCAAATTTTTAGTGACAAAAATCCACGTGTAAGTTCTCACTCTGAAAAAAAACGTTTGAAAAATCCACGTGGCAATTTAGATCCGAAATTTTATATATTTTTTACTCAAATTGAATTCTCAAAAATTGGGGAAATGTTACTTTCAGGCTGAACTTTATACAAAACAAAATCCAAAAACAATTTTTGAAAATTCAAACTCTGTGAACATTTTTGATCATCAAGACATGAAATTTGCCACTGGATGGCGGAAAAGTGACATATTACTTTTACTTTATTAAAGTATGAATAAACTGGATCTGTAATTTGCTGTCTGTCACACATCGACAGCTACCAATATTTCTATTATTATTATTACATTATATTATAATAATACGTGGTCATTTGAGCGGACATTTTGAAGAGTGACATGAAAATATACTTGAAACTATTGTTGTACATTTATTGGTTTTGAATATAGTTGTGTTCTCTTTTTGATACTACAAATATTTGGACACTTTTAAAGTAGATATAATTAGGTAGTAAATACTTAATTAGAATACAAGAAGGGTGACTATAAATTTATTATAGATTTTTTTCTGAATGCTCTCAATCAAATTGAACAATGGATTCGAAATTGAAATTAAATCACCTAATTGTTTTCAAGTTCCGGAAAATTACAATTTTCAAAAATTCAAATAATCAGGGCTCGAACGGAATTTTCTGAAGCTTTCAAGTTTTTACCAAATTTGCAAACATCAAAAACTCATGTAAAACCAAATATGAAAATAAAATATAAATATAATCGTAAAATGAATATCTTCTTGTTCATCATTTTCATTTTGTTTCCTCTTTTCAAAAGAGAATTCAGGTCAAAAAAGAATGGTGGTCAGCCACTTCCAATTCTAAACTAGCAAGCATCAGCATGAGATTAAAAACCCTGCGGAAAAACTAAAATAGTATTGAAAATTCGGAGGAACAGGGTGTATAATTATAATAATACGCCATAAATCTGTTTGGCAGAGGAACGGATTGGGCAAAAGGAAGGAAGTTGGGAAGTAGGCTTTTATTTTTATTAAAAAATGGAGCTGAACTATGGGAAAAAATGAATGAATGAATTTAAACGTGACCTAGAAAAATTGAAAAAAAATGAAAATGGGGCAGGGGGATTTTTGAAATTTGGCATTTTATATTTTTGAACTGTTAGAATAACGGGAAATAATGAAAACAAATAATTTGGTGAGGAATTGGGAAGGTTTTGAGTTCAAAGCTAAAAATGAGAACAATTAGTTTTCCAAGATTGGTTTCAGAAAGTTATCCTGAATCTTTTAAATAAAAATTTGGCGACTTAAACTTGGGAAAAAAATTAGGGGAATATTTTTGTGGCCGAAAAATGTCCTGGAGTTCAAAATGAATGAAAAACCACGGAAAAATTACCATAAGGCTTTAACCTCTCAATATGACCTAGACTCTCATAATTCAAAAACTCGTCCCCGTCCCCGACATCAAAATCCTTTTTTAGTCTTTCCCGATTTCAGCAGAAAAGTAAAACAAGAAGTACACCAGTGAAAATCGAGAAAGAGCCAAACACTCCGATTTCACCGGAAACCAACGCAACAAAAGTCACAAACTCAAAAAATTCCACCAAAAAAATTCTCAAAACCGGCGTTAAAATTCTGAGTGCCAAACAATATTTGTGGAAAGTGCTGGGACATTTGGGGTCCGGTGGATTTGGCGATGTCTTTAAAGTGGAAGAATGCCAAAAACCTGGACAATTTTATGCGATGAAGACAGAAGTGCATGCGGCAAAAATGGCGAGATTGAGAATTGAATTGCAGATTTTGAGTGAGATTAATGATTATATTGATGAAAATAAAGAAGAGAGACATTTTTGTGATTTATTGGATAATGGAAGTACTAAAGAGTTTTCGGTGGGTTTAATTGGGAATTTTTTTGGAATCTGGTAAGCTGAATGTGCTGAATGAAGATTTCCAACAGAAAAATGCAACCCAAGTCCCACTAACTAAAATAAATTTTTGTAGTGGATTGTGATGACATTAATCGGTCCAGCATTGGACAGTGTTCGTCGAATGCTTCGACGACAATTCTCAAAAACCTCAGTCATAAATATGTCTCTTCAAATTCTCGACGCAATTCGTCTTATGCATGCTGTCGGCTTTATTCACCGCGATTTGAAACCATCAAATATTTGTGTTGGTGTTCCGCCGCAAAATGAAAATGTTTTATTTTTGCTGGATTTTGGGATAAGTCGAAGGATTTTCAAAGGACCAAAAAGCACGGAGTTGAGGGTAAATATTGGGAAAGGGATGGTGGGGGGATATTTTGAGATTTGAAGCTTCTAAAAATTAGGAAAGTATTTTTAAGATTGTTCTTTTCCGAATTTTTAGTTTTCTGAAAAAATTCCAGGAAAATCATCTAGATTTGTTCTGAAATTTTAGTGGGCTTCAAAAGACCAGCCGCCAATTTAAATTTCTAAAACCTAACGCGGTCCAATTTTTTTCTTGATGGTCAGGTTCAGAAACTGAAGTTCCAAAATTCCAAGATAATTTTTCAGGCGAATTTTGAAAACAGGAAATTAATAATTTCAGTTTTCTGAAACCCGAGATTCCAAGTTCAGACATAATTTTTTTGACATGAAGTTTTTAATATTCTAGAAATTCTTTAAAATTAATCATCAAAAATATCAATAAAATAGCTCAAACCAACTAATTTTAACAAAAGTTTTTCACAGAAAGAACGAAAAAAGGTGATGTTTTTTGGAACACGAAAATTCTGCAGCCGCGCATGTCATTTGGAAATGGATCAAGGACGAAAAGACGACATCGAAACGTATATTTATACAATTCTAGATCTTATGCACAATGAAAAAGGATTACCGTGGAGCACTTCACTTTTGGAGCCACAAAAAATCATTGAGAAGAAAACTTTGTTGTTCAAAAATCCGCAAAAAGAATTGCACAGTTCGATTCCCAAACAATTTTATGATATAATTGAATATGTTGGAGATTTGAAATTTGCCGATTCGGTTGATTATAAATTGATTGAAAACAAATTGAGACAATTGGCAAAAGAGCAAAATGTGAAAGTGGGAAATGTTTTTGATTGGAGTGGAAAATTGGAAATTTTGATTCGAGAAAAGGAAAAGAAGACGAATAATCACAAGAAAACGTAGGATTTTTAGGGGGGAATTGTGGGGATACTGTAGGTTTTATGGAAATATTTTTGATCTACAGTACCGTGCAATGAGATATACAATTTTTGTTTTTGGCCAATTTTGGCGCCAAAATGGTGAAAATGGTTAGAAAACATTTTCAGGGTTATTTTTCATGCTGATTCTGACCTTATTAATTTTTTCATTTGATCTCATCTTGATTCCTGATGTTTTCTAGATCGATGATCAAAAATCCATTTTTGGATATTTTGACAAATTTCAGAAAACCGTTGAGAAAAAATATTTTTAGCTTCAATTATCATTGGATTGAGTTTTCCAAGCTTACAGGAGCATGTTAGCTGTCGATTCCGACCTCAAACTAAGGATTTCATTGTCTACAAGGCTCATATTGAAAGCTCCAGTAAGACCATCCAGAAAATCTGAAAATACAGAAATCTGGAATTTTCATGAAATTTTATCGTTGAATATTGTTCAACACACTCTAATTAGATCATTTGAACCATTCAACACAAAATTCCAATCAAATTTCGAAGTTTTAACTCAATTCGTACATTACTGGATTTTCGATGTTTCTCTAGATCTTTGATTCTACAACATCAAGAACATCAAAACTGCCCTTTCATTGTTCTAACTTATTGTTTAGATGTATTTTCATGTATATCAAGTGTCATGAATGTGCTAGCAGTCGTAAATTGAGATTGCTAGGAGCTCAAAGTTGACCTCTATGAAAATCCTTCATTTTCCATTGGTTTTCTTTATAAAATTACCCTATTCTGGTAGTTCGATGTTTATTGATCTGATGTAGAGCCGGTGCATGGTTTGAGCTCGGATAATTAATAGTCGGTGTTCACAATTGTTATGAGAATGAAATCCAACAATGAAAAGTCAATTTTGATGTTCTTGATGTTGTCGAATCAAAGATCTAGAGAAACATCGAAAATCCACTAATGTTCGAACTGAGTAAAAACTTCGAAATTCGATAGGAATTTTGTATAGAATTGTCCAAATGATTTAGTTAGAGTGTTTTGAACACATTTCAACAATGAAATATCATGAAAATTCCAGATTTCTGTATTTTCAGATTTTCTGGATGGTCTTACTGGAACCTTCAGAATGACCCTTGTAGGCAATGAAATCATTTGGTTGAGGTCGGAATCGTGAGCTAACATGCTCCTGTAAGCTTGGAAAACTCAATCCAATGATAATTGAAGCTAAAAATATTTTTTCTCAACGGTTTTCTGAAATTTGTGAAAATATCCAAAAATCGAATTTTGATCATCGATTCAGAAAACTTCAGGAATCGAGATGAGATCAAATGAAAAAATTAATTAGGTCAGAATCAGCATGAGAAATAACCCTGAAAATGTTTTCTAACCATTTTCACCATTTTGGCGCCAAAATTGGCTAAAAACAAAAATTGTATATCTCATTGCACGGTACTGTAACTCTAGTTACTCTGGTATATTTTCAATCTTTCAAAGTTCTAAAAATGTTGATAAAGAATTTTCTGATACTGTAGTGTTTGAAATTATTAGTGATACAGTACACCTGGATCCACAAAATTTTTTCCACGGTTACAGTAACTCCACAGTATCTAAAGTAATCACTGTAGTTTGAATTGTTTCTCAAAAAAATTAAATTCATTTTTTTTGAGATAAATTGGTGCATTTGAGTTTCGGTTCTGAAAATATAACTTTAAAAATGTTGAAGAAGGATTACAACCTGTCCCATCTTCAACATATCATATTATTTTTCCAGAAGTTGGCAAAATGAACAAGATGGTGAAATAATTCGAGACGCAAATGTCAGTGAATTACGAGATGTAACACATCAAAAAACGGATAGAACTGTGAATCAAACACGAAGACAAAGTGATATACAAAATGCATTGATGACTGTTAAACAAGGTCAATCGAAAAAGAGACAAGCGACACCTGATTCGAAAATCCAGCAGAGTACACCGGCAAAAAGTAAAGTGAGTTTGGGCAAGTTGGAAAATGGTAGTAGCTTGAAATGTCTTCATGGGACAAAGCAAATTTTGAGAAAAAAACATCTCGATGTACTTTTCCTAACTTTTTTTTCAGTCGAGGACAACTCGCAAAGATGTGGCAGCCAAAAAACCTGGAGAAAAATCGAAAACTGCAGTCACTACTGAAACTGTTGAAAAGAAAAAGGAGAAAAAAAAGGAGAAAAGAGAGAAAAAACAAAAAGAAAAAGAAAAGGAGGAAAAAAAGAAGGAAAATGAGAAGGAAAAGAAGAAAGTTGTGAAAAAAATGGAAGAAAAAGATGAAGAAATGAAAGAAGAACCAACACAAAAACCATCGACTCTAACAAATATTTCATCGATTGTTGGAACGAAGCCAGTCACAATTTCGAAAATTTTGAAATGAATGTTTTTTGGGAGTTTTTCTTTGAAATGGATTTAATTTGAGAAAAAAAGGTGCGCATCTGATTTTGGTTCAAGTTCAGAAATATTTCTATTCTCATGAGACATTTCAAATTTTTTATATCTGATTTTTTCACGAAGATATGGAAGCTATAGATTTTTGAAGAACAAGATTTTACTAAAAATCTTATTAGAAAAAATATAGAGAACCTTTTTTGCTTTGGATAGATATTGAGTTTGACAAGCATATATGTTTTCCCAAATTTTCCACGAATATTTTTGAGATTTTGAATTTGAAAAACGCAGAAAACTGCTGGAACACATACACCGCGACGCACAATTACACAAAAGACCAACTACAGTATTTATTCCAATTTTATAAAATTTGTTTGAATGAATATTCGGTTTTTTGGTCAACACTAACATTTCCTAATAAAATCGGAATTTTCGGAAAACCCAGTCGTTCCAGCTGTTCAAAATCTGATTTTTCTTTTTTTTTTTTTCACGTGACCTTTTTCTCTATTCATTTCTGTAAAAATGTCGATTTTTTCTCACAAACTTTTAAATCTAAATTTCATTTTTTTTTACATAAACCCAAATACTTCACTTTTGCAAAAATTGTGATCTACTCCGCCTTTTTTCGCCCGCCATTTGCAAGCAAAAACCTATACAAATAATAAATGTTTCATTATCAATCAAAAATGTTGTCTGCTCGTTTCGTAATCACAATTTTCTCACTTTTTCATAATTTATTATCATCGCACAGTCTGCTGGTTTCTTTTAGGTTTTTCTCAAGGACTTTTTCCTGACAATATATAAATAGTTGAGTCAATTTGTTTTTTCTCTCTTGTGTTCTCTACGTCTCTTCTCTCTCGCTCTCAACCTTGTTTATTTTTTTGTGTTCGCCTGTCGGTCATTCGTTTTTTTTTTGAATATAAATATAAAAGGTTTTATTGATTTCAGATCAAAACAGGAAAACATGGGACATCTTGAACATCTTAACGAAGTTTTCAAGTCAGTTTATTTCCCCAAATTAATTTTAATTAATAATTAAAATTCAGAGCGATTGATGAAAATCAAGAGGAATTTGTTGAATTGTTGCGTGAAGCCGTCGAAATTCGATCGGTTTCTGCGGATCCAGCTCGACGACCGGATTGTATTAAAATGTGCGAATGGGCCAGAGATGTGAGTTATTCACAGTAATTTATCACTTCGATGCGAGACCCAAATGCGCCTTTAATTTGCATCGTTGTTGCATTTTTCGTTCCAGAAACTCACAAAAACGAAAAATTCAAAATAAACCAAAGGCGCAAGCATTGGGTCTCGTGGCGACACAAAAAAAAGTACTGTAAAAATGATTTTGAATTTTTTTCCGAGAACCTCAAAAAAATCACCCAATTTCATGCCCCTTATCAGCATTTGCACTTTATTTTCCCATAAATCTGTCACATTCTTTCTTTTTTTACAGCAATTAAAATCGGTTGGCGCCGACACGTCATTGTGGGATTTGGGATTCGAAAAACCCGATTTACCGTTGCCACCAGCTGTATTTGGAGTTTACGGTATCAATTTTTGATTTTTTGATTTCACACTTATGTTTTATCAGGGATCATTTTTGAAGGGAGAATGAAAAAGCAAATTTATCAGTGGGAAATTTTGATAAGCTGCTTTTTTTACAGGAAAAATATAATCCTTGTTTTAGGGCGAGACAAAGCAAAGAAGACACTTCTGATTTATGGACATTTAGATGTTCAACCAGCAGAAAAAGAGGTGAGAATTTGAAAGGAATCGTTGATCTTCGAAAAATGAAACTTTGAAGATTACCAAAATTTTGTTTGTTAGAATTCGCGTGAATTTTCAGGAACAATTGTTTTAATGCACTAGTCTGATTTTCTGAATCGTTTTTAGGACTTCTGAATAGAATTTTCTGATATTTTCCATTTCTCAGGTACAACAACTCTGAACATTTTCCCTCCGGAACCCAAAAATTGACAATTTCTAGCTATTTTCTTTAAACTTTTCTAAGAAAACCGTGTTTTTTTTTATCAAAAAAAAGTTGTGATAAAATAATTTTTTAATTCTTGGGGTTTTAAAAATGTTTTACTGATAATTTTCTGAATAAACTTTGAACCCTGACTCATAATATTTCTTCTAGGATGGCTGGAATACGGATCCTTTCAAACTCATCGAAATCGATGGAAAATTATTTGGTCGCGGTTCGACTGATGATAAAGGACCTGTTATTGCATGGATTGCTGTTTTGAAAATTTTAAAACGACTCGGAATTGAGCTGCCCGTTAATTTGAAGTTTGTCCTCGAAGGAATGGAAGAATCTGGATCGGAAGGTCTTGAAGAAGGCCTCAAAAATAATTTGGATAAAATTTCGGATGTTAATTTTTCGTGCATCTCTGATAATTATTGGCTGGGCAAAAATAAACCGTGTTTGACATATGGATTGAGGTGAGAATTCGATTTATTCGAACTTTTTTTTTCATTGAAAAGCATTTTAATTCCAGAGGAATTTGCTATTATTTTGTTGAAATCTCATGTGCCAGACAGGATTTGCATTCAGGAATCAATGGAGGATCTGTGTAAGTTTTCTCCATAATAAATTTCACCTCAAACAAGACATTTTTCAGACCAGAAGCGATGAACGATTTAGTTTGGATCATGTCTCAATTGGTCAGTGTTCAAGGCGAAATTTTGATCCCAGGAATCGCTGAATTGGTTGCTCCATTGACAAAAGAAGAGGAGACATTGTATGATAATATTGATTTTTGTATGGAGACATTTAAAGGAGAAATGGGATCACATGGATTGTTGGCGGATAATAAACAAAGATTATTGATGAATAGATGGAGATATCCATCATTGTCGTTGCATGGAATTGAAGGAGCATTTAGTCAACCGGGTGCGAAGACTGTTATTCCAGCTAAGGTATGGGTTTTTAGGGATTTAGGATTGAGAAGGAAAATAAAACTAAAATAAGATCTTATTCGTTTTGGTGTCAATTTTTAATTCAATTGAAATTTTGACTTTTTAATTAAATTTTTCATTTGGTTTAAATTCACCTTGGGTTTTCATCAAAAACATTTTGAAAATTGAAAAAAAAAATTTTACACGACATATTTAAGTTCCAGAAAATTTCAAATTTCTAGCCGTGGCTAAAAATTCACATTATTTTCAGGTGACTGGAAAGTTCTCTCTCCGAATTGTTCCCGATTTGACACCTGAAGCAACCGATAAATTGGTTGTCAATTATTTGAATGCACTTTGGGCGAAACGCGGATCACCAAATCAAATCAAGTTAGTTTTTTCTTCTTTTTATAAAATTCCTGATTTCTCTCCATTCAGAATCACACCGTGTCATGGTGGAAAACCGTGGTTGGCCGATTTCCGCGATGCCAATTTTTCAGCCGGAGCAAGAGCTATTGAAAGAGGTATTTTTTTTAATGCTCAAAAATTTGAAATGATCATCTGAATTGTTTTTCAGTTTTTGGAACAACTCCCGATTTTACACGAGAAGGTGGAAGTATTCCAATAACTTTGACAATTCAAGAATTGACTGGAAGCCCTGTTATGTTGTTGCCAATTGGAGCATCCGATGATATGGCTCATTCGCAAAATGAAAAATTGAATCGAGAGAATTTTGTCAAGGTTTGTGAGGTTTTTTGGGGCCAATTAAAAATATCATTTTTTAAGGGAATGAAAGTTTTGGCTGCGTATTTATTCGAATTGGGAGCCTAATTGATTGAAAATGTATTTTTATGTGATTTTATAAATTTTATTGGAAGTAAGATTACATATACAGTAATCCATGCGATACAGGCACAAATCCAAAAAATCTACAGTATCCCAGACTGGAAAATATCCGATTTCAAAAATGAGATGTTTTCTGTTCGAAAGAAGTTTTTATTTTTCAACTATGCGAACATTTATTACTTGAAAAGAGATAGAAAAGCGTCGTAAACATTTTTTGTTGAAGTTTAATTAGCATTCGAAAATATGTCGAATTAGCTTCGTTCTTTCTCATTTTGCTAGTTACAAAAACCTTCTGATCAGAAAGAAGAAAATGATTTTCTGAACAATCCAGACTCATAAAATGTGTCTTTCCTTTAAATGATTCCTGGGAAGTTGTTCAGTTTCATTTCGATAATGTTCATCTTCCTCATTTTTCTATTTTTTGCTTCTTCTAAAATCATCCTCGCTGATGACGTGGCAATTCGAATTGCTGACGAAATTATGAACAATATTAGATTATCCCAAATGAATTCAAGATTCACCAAAGAACTTGTGCATTCTTTTGCAAGTGAATCTATTTCGGTTAAAGATTGTGGAAAAACTATGACAACATTAAGTCGTGACGAGATTGTCGAACTTTTCCAGAAAAAAGCGGAGAAAAACGAAAAAGTTTCTGTTGGTATTGTATTTCGAGCAATGTTTATGTTGAATGAAAAAGAAATTGTATGGTATACGATTGCTGATGAATTGAAAACAATTAAAATGAATATGTACATTGGGAGAAAAAATGAGGAAGGGGTTTATTTATTGAAATATCGGGAATCGATATGTTTTAATTAGATATGAAGATACTGAATAATTTGAAAGAAGAATAAACACATTTATTTGAACTTGAAAAAAAGGTTTTCTGGAAATTGTGGTTTTAACAATAAAAAGAAAGAACTGTTTTTTTCGAGAAAACTCTGCTTCTGGAGCTTTAGTAAAATTTCAACAACTACAGTAATCTTGACTATATTCGAATTCAGGGTTATTCAATTTTTTTTGTCAGAAAAAGCTACACCGATATTTTTAACTTCTCATTACGCCCATTTTTTTCCGCGGACCTTTTTTTCGAATCATGGACCCTGAACAGTTAACGCATTTCTATATTCCAGTTTTTTTCAAAGTGATTTTTCGCCTCCAAATTTCTTATAAATCATTCTCCGACTGGAAATCATTAATTTAATAAAAATTTCCCAGGCCACAGAATTCCACATCAATTTTCCTTCTCTTTTTCAATTAACTGTGATTGTTTACCCAAGTCTAAAATATCTATATTTTTCTCACCCCTTTCATATTTTTGTTTTTGTAAGTTAGTATTTTTCCCTTTCGTTTTTCTTCCGTTTCGTTCTAATATAGCTAACAACAAGTTCATTTGTCCACTCTTCGTTCTCTTTTTTTTCTGCATTTTCTTCTTCTTTCAAAGCTTCTGATCCATCCATATTTGAGTGACTGACTGACTACTTGTTGTTTGTCCATTTTATTTTTTCTTGTGCCATCTTCTCTTTTTTCTTCTTCTTCCTTTTTTATTTCACAGCTTTTCCTCTGCTCTTTTGCCCTCCCGAAAAAGTATCGATCTGACCGCTCTGCGTCTCTCAATCTCTCGCGCACTGAAAAATAAGTATTTTTTTAGCAAAAGCAGAAGAAGCGGAAAAAAAGACGACGGATTATATAATCACTTGTTTTTTTTTGGAACGGAATGTGATTTTTTAATGTGATTTTCATTTATTTCCTTATTTTTTCTCTTCTTGGTTTTGGTCTTATCATAATGTGGAATATTATTATGATGCTCAATATTTTGGTGCTATTTTTTGGTGAGTTTTGAACTTGACCAGGATCAGAATGATCACATTTTTGTAGAAAAATTCTAGACTTAAACACAGATATAAAATGACCCTGGATTACTGTAGGATTGGCACCAAACATCAAAATACTGTAGATGTGGCAAATCTAGGGGTTTCAATAGTTTTTAGGGTTTTCTTTAAAATCTCTGGATACAAATTTAGATATTCAATACTTTGCCACGTCATAACTTATTTGTAAAGTTTAAAATAATTTTAAAACCCTATAAAATTTAAGCTTTTAAAATTTCAGAATATATTTTCTCCTCATATTCCCATTTTTCTAGTTTTTTTTCATTCGAAAAAGTATAAGTGCCCTTATTTTCCTTCTCGAAAAAAAAGCAAAAATTCAATTTCCAAGTTTTATTTTTCTCCCCAAATTTTTTTCGTTGACTTCTTCTGAGAAAAAAAACATCATGAAAAATTGATGAGATTTTTTCTCACACACATTGCATTCCTGAAGAAAAACTAACTAACTAAGAGGATACAATTTGAGAGGGGGAAAATGAATGAAATTTGAGATTCGTTTTTTTGCAGTTTCGGATATAAATGCGTCTTTTCAAAGTATAACATTTTCGCCGGCAGATGAGGCTTTTCTTCTATATCATGGACAACAAAACACAAATTTTACATCGGTTTTTGTTCAGGTAGGAAGGAAGGAAATGAAACTAATTTCCGGGAAAAGTGCATTCAAGTATATGAGTTGGGATCAAAATATCGAGTTGAAATGGCTGGAAGGAGGTTACTGAAAGGTTTAGGGAGGACATAGTAATGAAATCTGACAGGGTTGATAATTCCGACATCAGCGGAATGATCTTCCAGTAAAAGCCTTCAACCAACCCTCCCCAATTCTCAAACCCATAATTTTTCCTAGGATGGCTGTCCGAATAGTCGAAATTTGCGAGCAACAGTACATTCATCAGATCAACAAGACTCTGCCCGGATATTCGAACAGATTCCACTCCACTGCGCTGCAAAAATACGAATTGTCACAGATAAAATCGATATGGAAAGACCATATGTTGATGTATTGGCAGTTTTAGATGAATCATTTTCAAGTCATTTATCAGCAATCTGCATTCATGTTCAAATCACATCACAAACATCTGCAAATGAACTCGGAAGTTGTGTTTTGAATTCGAAAGATGATCCAAAATCAAGTTGTATTGCGAGAGTTCCGGTTCCATTTTCATGGTTTCCTCAGGAATCGAATAAATCCGAACATTTATCAGTTTCATATACGATTTCGGAAAAATGCGATCAAAGATTTAATGATATTCCACAGAATGTCATCGAAATTTCATCAAGGATTCCGAAACAAAAAGTAGAGATGTTAGCAAATGAAACAGATGTGTAAGTAAATATAAACCAAATAAATATATTTTATTTACAAAATCAAGAAGAATTTGCTAATTTCAGACAAGTAACACTTCGAACAACAGCAAATCAATCATTTTCTCAAAACTCGATGCAATCCATGTTTCTGAATTTGAACACAACAAAATCGATATCAATGGAAATTCGAGTTTGGATTGATTCGCGAGTTTCGATTGAAACTATTTGGCCAAGTTCGCCGAATTGGACAATTCGAGTTTCGTCGGCGAATCGACCATTATTTTATACGTCATTGATTTGTACACCGAAAGAAAATATCACAGAGTTAGTTCAATTTGGGTTTATGAGAGAGGGGGGAATCGATAAGTTTTTAAAATTATCTTAATTTTCTCTTCAAATCTATTTTTTAATTCTTAATTTTTTCCAATGATGATTTTTTGTATATACATATATTCACGAAAAGAGGGAAATTAATGCGAAAAACCTATAATCATGGTTTTTTGGTGTTTGATGAAAAGTTTTTGCAGTTTTTCTTTTTGGAATCTCTATTCTCGAGAATTTGCTATCGTTTGTTGCAAAAATTGTCAAATTTGGTTGAGTATGAGCGATTTTAGCATTTTTTGTCAAAAAACGAAAAATGGTTTTGAGGTTGGGAAAAATTCACAAAAGTCGTGTTGTCTGGCGTTCTCTCTAACACTTTTCTATCTCTTATTTTCTCTCCTTTTCTCCTCGTCTCTTCTAGACGCAACACTCTCTCGTTTATTTTTTCAATTCGGTTTTTTTCGTGGAATCAGGAAATTTCACGATTTTCATCGAGAACATCATATATGAGAAGATAGAGAATAACAAGGAAAAAACAGAACAAAAAAATGGGATTGTAAAATTTAACATCAGAAGTTATTTTTCTCCAAAGAACTGAAAATATATAAATATAGATTTAAATCTTTCAAAATTAAAATTTCACATGAAAATTGGAAGAATTAGGATTGTTTTCGAGGTTTTTCGTTTTTCATCTCTATTTTCGAGAGGAAAACATTTTTGCAACAAAAAATTTTCACAATTTTCTGGGAGTTTGTGGTTGGAAATGATTAGAGAGGCTATTTTAGGTTGAATTTTGTCAGAGTTATGAAAATACATAGCTTCTAGGAATTTTTCAAACACTTTCAGGAAAAGCGGAAATTTTGAATTAAATATAAATATTCTCTCCAGACAATTTCAATGAAAATTTGGAAAACTGAATAGTCATTTTCTAACATTTCCCTTCGCCAAGCTTCTCCAACAAAATTTAATTTCAGATTTTCTGGAAACATCATCGCATTATTGATCAAAATGACGTCATCGAGCGAAATTCTAAAAGATGATGTGATTCTTCATTGGCATGTAATTTTTGATCCCAAAAACAAATCAGATCAAAATCACAAAGTTGCTACCAAATTCAACGTGGTTTCGGATGAAGTTGCTGCAGTTGTAGTTGTCCCAAAAAGATATGAAATCATGAATTTAGCAGTTATCTCAGGACAACAAATAACAAGTTCAATGAGAATTTTCACTGTTTCAATTGGCTCAAAAATCGAGGATGTTACAGCGTTGTCACATTGTATTTCAGCAGATGCAAAGATTTTGAAAACATCTCCAACTTGCACATCGGTAAGGATAAATAACTTTGATATGATTCAGAAAATGAAAGGAATTTTAAAGGTTTACGTGGATGGATCTGAATCATCTGGAAGTTCGAATGTTCAAATTTATGCGCATTATTTGAGATATACTACATTTTTCTCATTTCGAGTTTGGTATCCAAAATTACCGCTAACGGTTTGTTTTTTTTATTTTAGAGAAGATTGGCTTAGAGAAGAAGATTAGAGAAGATTGGAGAAAAAGACAATTTTTTATATAGATTTTTTATTGGGAAAAATACGTTTCAAAATTCCAATAAGTCTATTAATACAGTTTCAATCTGATTTGAAAACGATCAGCAACTGAATTTTCAGATTTGGACAAGTAGTTCTACACTTTACGCGATCAAAGATTGGAAAGTGGGTGTTTGGCGTGATTTACTTGTTCCAACTCAGAAAACTCGACGAGCTGCCAGACAATTCTCGTGCGCAAATCGTTTTCAGCAATCTGAAATTCGAGTTTTGGCATCGTTATTTATGGAAGGAGATTCGAAAAATCAAGAAGAATTATTTTTATCATCGCATCGAAATATTCTTTTCGATGTTACAAATATAGTTCATAACACGTGAGTTCATAGTACTTCTATGTATTGATATTACTGTAGCCATGAATCTGAATAATATTCCAGATTGCAAATCGCAAATCGAACAGTTGTCTCACTTCGATTCATCGATGGAAAAGCTATAATAACAGGAGAAAATTTGGGAAGCACAAAAATCCTAATCCGAAATATCAAAAACACAAAAGATCTAGCTTCTGAACCAATCCTTGTTCATCCACAAGAAGTTCAAATAACCGGTCTAACAGCTCGTCCAATTTGTCAATTACACATTCGAATTCTTCCAATTCTTTTCGATCCAGCTTTCTTCAAAATCGAAGTGAATATTCAATCAAAAATCGAAAGATTATATCAACAATGTTCAATTGATTCAATTGTCAGTTATTCCGATTCCACGTGGCAACCACTGAATTATGCGCAAAATTCGAATTTCGAACTGAAAGCTCATTCAACAGATGATAGAAGTTTGGCAGTTTCTCATCATTCATCAAATATTCATATAATTGCGATAAATGATATAAATCCACAAAAAACAACAAATCTAGAAATCGAACTTTTGCCAAGTAATCAATGCTCAATTTCTTCTAATTATCCATTATCAGCAACTGTTTTAACAATTCCAATCAATATTCCTCAACAAATTATTGAAACAGCAACAACATCTATGAATATATCAACTACAGAATCGAGTGATTTAAATCAAAGTTTATCCAATCTTCCAGATGTTCCAATGCATATATTTTTGCTCACCATATTTGTGCTCATTATTCTTTTCATTCTTATTTCTTTTGTAAGAAGATCAGCCGCATTTAAAGGGTAAGGTAGTTTTACGAAAAACCTTTAAAAAACTAAAGTTTTAAGTTATGAGCAACTAGTTGCTCCACTTCTTTCTCGATTATCATCTTCAAGTGGTTCAACAAGACATGAAGATACAAATGAATGGGTTTGGCTAAGTCAACCACAACCACCTACCTCAACTTTAGGTAATTTTGGGTAAAATTTGGAAAGATAGAGAATGGTGTAGGGTTAGAAAAGAAGGTTTTTTTAATTCTAGATTTTTTGACGGAAAATTTTGAATCGCACCATTTTTAAAATGTCTTAGATCACATTTTTAGTAAGAAATCAGACCACAAAAATCTTGAAAATCTAGAAAATAGAGCTCTTTTTCCAAAAATATGAATCCTCAAATTTCTTCTGTAACGAATTCTTCCTGAACTTTCAAACTTTCCTTTTTTTTAGGTTCCGATTATTCTGACAAATCTCGAAATTACAAACGTGCATCAGATGATCCAAATCGAACAAGTATTTCATATCATGGTTCAGAAATATCAGTTTTTATTGCACCTTCGCAGGCAAATGTAATGGTTAATTCATCGAGAGGCGGTTCGACGAGACATACAATTGTTGATTCAAATTCTGATCATAATTTGGCACGGATTATTCAGAAAGGTTAGGATTACTGTAGTTTTAGAACATTTTTCATCGAAAAAAGTAAATATTTAGAAAAATTAAAAACTTTCATTCCAAAATTTATCAATTTTTCAAGAAATTAAAATTTTCATTTCAATTTTTGTAAAATTCCAGCTCTTCCTCATAATTGAACATTTTTCCCTGAAAAAATATTTTCCACGTCATAACTATCATTTTTCAGACGATAAATGGAATAATGATCAATTCCACACTTGGACCTGGAAACAGCGAGATCGAATGGGTTCAGCGCCGATTCGAGAAAGTGTTGCCTAACTAATTATTCTATTTGTATAATTAATAAAATTGCGGGTAGCTTTGAAAATTTGACAACATTTATATAGACTATTCACAAGGTGAGATCGAATAACGGGAAGAACAATAAGTAATTGATATTTGGCAATAGGGTTTAAAAAAAACAAAAAACAATAAAATATAAATGCGGCAATTATTTCCTAGCTTTTCTTTTTGGTTTGGTTTTGATTGGTTCATCATCATCTTGTGGAATATCGAAAACGTCATTTGATTGTTTTTTTGAATTTCCTCGTTTGGGTTTTGGAGATGTTATTGGTTCGGGGGCAGATCCACGTGAGCGAGAACTTCGGGTCTGCAAAATTTTGATATTTTGGGGTTCATGAAGAAATTCTCTGAGTCTATGAACAGAAAATGAGAAATTCAAAATTTTTTTCTCAAAAAAAACCCCTACCGTAGTGACAACTGGTTGTTTCTGTTTTCCATTCTGATTCTTTTTTTTCGGTGATTTTTCAACTTCTTCCTCTTCTTCTTCTACATTTTCCTCATCTTCTTCTTCTTCTTCTTCTTCAACTTTCGCCGCCGATCTTTTTCCTCTTCTTTTCACCTGACTTTGTTCAACTCTAAACGGCGTCGATGCAGTCAATTTCGCAGATTTTCGTGTATTTCTACTAGTTCCAGCACCTTCAGTCACAATTGGTGAGATCAACGTGTCTTCAAGATCATGGTTTGATTTTCTCTGGAAAAAAAGTTATGGTTGGGAATATCTAGGGTTTCATGTAGTTTAGGATGACTGGATTGAGGAGGTAAATAAAAAACTTTTGAAAATTTTCTACCAAATTGAATTTCACGCGAAAAATAAGGAAAGGTTTATTTTTTAAATAAAAATTTTAACTTAAAATATTTTTGGGATTCATAAAAAATTTCAGGAATTTTTTCCAGTAAAATTCAAATTTACAGTTCAAAAAACTGCATGAAATTTTATGTTTTCAATAAAAATTTTAATGGTGAAATTTCTAGTTTCTAATATTTTCAACTAGCTGAAATTTTGAATTTTATACACATTTATCACAAAAAATTCCAACAAAAAAACTCACACTTTTCTTTTTCTCAGGTGATGTGCCATTTTCAGCAGAAATTCGTTTCTTTCTTCCCATTTTCACTTTTTCCAATTCCTCTTCTTCTTTTTCATTTTCCTCTTCACTCAATGGAATATCATATACACTTTTGTCAGCAATATCTGATATATTATCCTCAATCATAATTTCCTCATTTTCATCCTCTTCAAAAAGTGTAAATGAAGAATTCGGTGCTTTTTTCGATCTCGGCGATTTTCGTTTTGTTGCATGACTTTTTGAAACATTTGTTTTATGTTGAAAATAGGCTTTTCCTTTTTTCGGCAATTTTCCATTTCGTTGTTTTTCATCATCAATCAATTCATCCGGAATATAAACTTCAGTTAAATCAGTTTTCTGTGGACAATTATAAAAATATTGTCGATTAACAGCTGGCGGCGCATTAACTCCCGCATTTTTCTGTTCAATTTTAGCGCGATAAAGCATCAAATAAGTTGCCAAATCAGTCATCGCCCATAATTTCTTATTATGTTCCATAGTTTCATCGATTTTCTTTTTTGCTCCACCATTTTCATCTCGAATCATTCGATCGCCATATTTTCGCAATAATTCAATAGTTTGCCACACAATTTGCATATCACATTTGGCTTTTCTTTGTGCTTCAATCATTGTCCAAATACTTTCACGAACTTCGCATAAAGCGGAAATATCTTCGACTTCTGAGAATTTCGGCCAATGTGTGAGTAGCCAGAATAGATAAGCAATTACTGGTTCGCTAACAAATTTTACACGCGAAGCTGCAAAACAGGAAAATGAATTTTTAAAAGAAAAACGTTTAGAATTGGTGTTTATTAGTGTTATTTTGAGGAATTTCTTATACATTTCTTTGATTGCGAAAAAAAATAACTTTCTAAGAAAACCATTCAGAATTTGAAAAGTCAGAATTTTGAGCTTTACACAAGGCGTCCCAGTTTCATACATGGCACTGCTCCCAAAACTGTGAGGGGGAGATCATGACATTTGGAAAAATTTTTCGAGGGGGGGGGTCATTATGGAAATTTTGAATTCACGCCGGAATGAAAATTTTGATTTGGGCGGGTAGCTAATGAGAATTCACGGCCGAACAACATTTTCTGTTTTTCTGATTTTTCCGAACAACATTGCAGGGTCTGTTGGGCGAATATGCCATGTATGCCTTTTTTAAATCAAAAACTTACATCCTTGTAAATTTGAATTATCGGCAATTTCAGTCGTTTGCGAGCTATAAATCGTGACGGATAAATCAAAACAGAGTCTTTTGAATGCTTTTGTTTCTTCACTTTCATCATCCAATAAAGAAGACAATGCAAAACAAGCCGCAAAATCGATGGGAAGACTGCAAAAAAATTTATTTTGGGAAAACTCCAAGGCTCTTTCTCAACAAAAAAAACCCGGTCCGGATTCATAAAAGTGGTGAACCAAAAAAAACTTGATTCACTATTTTTCACCAGTTTTATGAACCATGGGTTTCTGTTTAAATATTCTCACCATTTCTTGATCTGCTTCTTTAAACTCATAACAAAATGAATTCGAACAACTAATTGCTCATCTAAAACCATATAAGACATTGCTAATATAGTTCTAGCTTCAACTTTTTCCCGAAAATTCGGATAAATACACAATTTCATTAAACAAGTCGCCGCACTTCCGCGTAATCTCCCTCGTTGAACTTCCAAATTCGAAATTATGCTTTTGTTATCAATAGTTCCTTTGTTTTCGATGATTTTCGATAAAATTCTAATAAAATTATCTGATGCTGATTTATACAAATTTTTGAGGAATAAATCATTCATATCTTCTCGCATAACCTGAGTTGTCTCAATAAGAACTTTTGTTGCCAATTTCATCGCATAAATCTTTGCTAAAGTACTTGCTGGAATTGCATGATCTCTTAAGGAAACAGCACTTTGAAACTGTGAAATATCCTCTTCATTTTCTTTCGCTTCACATATTTTCTCAATAATTCCATTTTTTTCAATCATTTCCAAGAATTGTATTGCATATTTCGAGGGTTTTACAGAAAACATTTCAGCGAGGGCTTGGAATGAATTAGCACATGACAAGTTTTTCGATTCTAATCGAGATAATAATATCTGGAAAAAATATAAGAGGAATTAGGGTAACTTGTGAGAATTAAAAAGGCCCATAAGAATTGTTGAAAGAATTTCCCAAAATCTCAAAAATGTTAATTTTATCATAGAAATTTCATTGCTTTTCAAGAAATTTATTTCTCACGAATTCCCAACAATTTTATGTTTCAAAAAATAGATAAATTTCGTTGGATTTTGATTGGAATGATAGGTCTATTTCTTTTTCCATAAAAATATCAATAAACTCGTGAGATTCTGGTAATATTTGCAAAAAAGTGATATTAAAATTTCAGGATAATTTTTATTAAACATATTTTTTCATACATTTTTATAAAACACATTTTTATAAAATATTTCAAAAAATCATAGATCTTTCCACTCTTTCCAATTTTTTAAATTAGTTTTTCTTTTCTGTTTTTTCGTCCCATAAAAATCTCAAACTCACATCCAAATTTTCATCGCAAAATTCAACAGCTTTCTCTATTCCTAATACTTTCAATAATCTAACAGCTAATTTCGAACTTCTTCTGAATTCCGGCTCTTCTCGCAATATTATTTCTGAAAAACACAGAATTTTTAATTTCTCATAATCTTAAACACCAACCATTCAAATCCGCAAACAATCCATTGATAAATCGATCTGACCATTTTCTCTTTCCTTCATCCGAATTCAATCGATTTCTGAATCCAGAAATCGAAAAAATCGAGTTGATTGCAGACAATCCAGTTTCAACAGCTTGATGATCATCAGATCTCAAAATATCTTTTCGAATTTTCTCTACATTTTCGCCGCTCGTGAAAATGTGAGCGAAATGATCAGTCCAAATTTCGAGAAGAATTAAATCCGATTTATAATTCTCTTCACATTGTTTCTTTTTTTGTTCTCTTCCAATTACTGTAGATGCAACAAGATCAATCAAACACTGAAAGAAGAAAATAGGATCAATTAGAATGGAAATGTTACAATAAAATGTAGTGGGCAGCTAATTTTTTGAAAGAAAATGCATAAAATTTGATCATAAAGTTATCATTTAAAGATAAAAAGTCAAGCCCAACTGTTTCCAAGAAAATCACATACTTTTGCCGCTTCTGAATCCATAATTAAAGGCGAACATCGATCCATAAATCTTCTGAATGCAATAAAACTATTATCCTGTTTTGCGCTTATTGTTTTTCTTTCAATTGTTCTTTGAATTAGTTGCTGCGCATTTGTTTGAACTCCTTCAGTTGTATAATCATCCGAAATCAAGTATTTGACATGTTCGAAAGTTTGCTCGTCTTCCGACATTTGATTCACAAATCGCATTAAAATTCGTTCAATCTGGAAAATTATTCGAATTGTTTGTCGATTTCAAATTTAAGTTTAACTTTTCAACCAAAAAACTCACAACTGCAGAATCCGAAAAGATTTTCGACAATTTACTAATTCTCAATTTCAACATAACCATTTTCGAATTATTATCATCAGTTTGTTTCGAAACTTCTTGACAAATTCCAATCAATGCTCTTCTAATAGCGGATGATGTTTGAACAATATCCCGAAAAACACTAATACTTTGACTATCCAATTTTCTCATCAATTTGGCCATTATTTCAACACGTTGTTTTGGTTCGCATTTATAAGGTACAAAATATAATTGGAAATATCGAGAGATCAAAGCACTTGAATCAATTAGATCAGGCATTGTATAAGCCAATCGATATACATTGAAAACAGCTTTTGGAATAAATGCAACAGAATCACGATCTGAATCGGTATATGTTGATTCGTTTTCAATTTCTTGATTATCAGTTGACATTCCTGGACGAAGCAAATATTCGGTTTGAGGTTGAGAAGTCATTACATGATGATATAAAGACATTATATTTTTAACAGCTGCCAATCTCACAGATACCTTAATATGAATCAATGATTGATTGTTAATTTTAAAAGATCTTACCTTTTTATCCAACATTTTCTGTGCACATGCATTTAATAATTGCTCACTGACAGATTCCAGTTTGATTTTAGCAACTTGAATAATTGTGGAAATCGTGGTCTCCCGAACATTTTCATCAGTATCTTTCAACATTCGAAGAAGACTGTTTGAAACAGGACCGCGTAAATGAGAATGAATCGAAGTTAGAACATATATTGATTGATGGACAAATTCTTTTCGAACATCGGCTGATTCATCAATTGCGCACTTCATATAAGCCTTCCACGTTGGATCATCAGAGGATAGTCCGAATTGACACGATCTTTCGCGAGTTAAAGAACCGACAAGGCGAACTGCATGTTGACGATCAGCTGGTTGTTCCGACTGAAAAAATGAGAATTGTTTCTTCAAAAACTACACAAATTCTTACCTCCAACCATCTACAAAGAAACGAAATAGCTTGTGAAACCATGGTATGATCAATTTGATATAAAGATTTTATAACATCAAATAATTTTGCTCGACTTGCAGATCCAGTCATATCAAAACCATTTGGCAATTCTCCAAACATCATTGATTGTCTCAAAATATCCTGAAGTGATGGTTCGATCTGATTTCGTGCTTTTTGTAAAATCTCTCGACTCATTCGATTCGCATCCAAAAAATTGGATTTCTGCGGTTCAACGATGTAGAAAAATAGAACATCGAGAATCGAAACAGGAACATGATCAAGCTCATGTAAAGCACTAACAGCTATTGATGTTAACATTGATATAATCTTAAATGAAAATATAATTAAGTATGATAATTAATAGAGAATAATAATTACCTTCAAAGTAATTTGTTCATCATCAGTTTCCTCATCATTTTCTTCACTATCTTCGTCTTGTTCTTCTTCAATAATCTTTTGTTTTCCCTTCAATCTACTTTTATCCCATCCTTTTCCACATGGAACACTCAAAACTGCTTTGATCAATGATCGATAAACTGGAAGTGCTTCTTCATCATCAAGATCTTTCATTTCAGACATTGGTTGAAGGATAACTTCGATAACCTAGAAGATATTTATATTTTATTGAAAAACCCAGAAGATACAACTTACCTCAACCAAATAATGATATCTTTTGAACATTGGGCTGTTAATTGTAACTTCTCCAAAATTATTTAAAACTCGAAAAATGAAAAGATATTGTTCTTTTAGTTGAAGTGCTTCAGTTACTGGCATTTCAGGAGAAAATAATCGTAGAATACTTGCGAGACAAATTGCAAGATAAATTTGGACATCGCGATTCGAATTATCCATAAATTTCGCATTCGAAAGATGCTTGAATAATTTTAAAAATCGATTTTGTTCTCCATATTCTCGATTTGGTGGACAATCATGCAATGCATCAGCAATAGCCTGTAACATTTCCAGGTTTTGAGTACAAAAGTTATGAAATAAACTCACTCTCAATCTTTTGATCAATTCGTTGTTGTTTGAAGATGCTGTAACAGGTTGACATCCCGGAGGATAATCAATTTCCGACATTCTTTCTGAAATTGCAAAAATATTCTTGTTTGAAAAAAATCAACAATAATACGACACTCCGAATGACGGAAGAATAAAACAAGGGCAAGTTGAAAGATGTGTGCATGTCAGTTGCACGACGAAATTGAGTGGGAATATTCGAGCAGCATATTAATTAAATTGCTTTTTTAAAAAAAAGTTCAGGCTCGCGAGTTTGTAGAAATAAAAGACAATAAAATGAAAGTCGACAGATGAGACGTGAAATTTATGAATTTCATTCATGTCAAGGTTTTCATTATACCGTTTTCAACAAACAAAGCCGAGCGAGTCCTATTTCTCAATTTGAAAGCAACGAAAAAAACAAAAAAAATATTTTAGGCGGTGAGTCATACGGTATATTCTAATGTGTGCATTTGTGCGTCCCGGTGTTTACACACTAGATGGTGATTTCAGCTCAATTTCAGCATTTAGAGGAACTAGCAGAAGAGGCGGGGCTTGCAAAGTCACAACATGGGAAATTTGGTTTTGAAGACTTATTTTCAATGAAAAAACATAGTTTTTCCACGTTTCCCGGGTCAAATTTTTCGGTAAACACGGTGTTTCACATGATTTCTCATTTTTTCAACCATAAAATTTACTAAATCCCCAGGAAAACCCAAAAAAACGTTGTTTTTCAAACAAACAACAAAAAAACGGAAAGACCTGATTTTCAACAAAGAGAATGGTAGATCAGTTACTGTAGATCAAATTTGGGATCACACAACTCATTCGATTCAAGCTCATAAAAATACCACTGAATCGTTCCCAAAATCATCAAATGCACAATAAGTCCCTGGAAAAGATAGGCAAATTGCAGGCAATATTTGATAATTTCCAGCGAGTTATCATAACTCAAATCACACTCAATTTCAATTGGACTATCTTGGGTAATGTTATAGGAAGACGGGTGAGACATTCAGAAGTATCTAATGATTTGAAAAAAGGTGAATTCCTAGAATAAAAGAGAAGAGTGCAATATGAATAAATAATTAGAAAAGGAAAAAAAAGGTGAAAATGAAAATGGTGGGAAAATATGATAATTTTTGTGCATACGTGAAACCTGTATTCGTGGCAGAATACGTGGCCAGCAGAAAAAATGTCCGAAAATGATGCCTGTGGCCATTTTTGAAATATTTCACTCGAGAAATGGCTGATGAAAGAGAAGAAATCGAAAACGAACAAGAGATTCGAAGACTTTTATTAGTTGTCGCTAATGGAACTCTTCGAGAAAATGTAAGTAACGATGTGAAATATATGGAAAAAAAGAGATTTTTCCAGGATGATTTGATAATGAGGGCCAGAAATCGTGTTGAAATCCCACAATATAACCGTGGAAAACCAACCAGCCAGGAGCAACTCACTCATCTGTTCCCCGTGTATCATGAAGTGGGTTTTTTCTCCCAATAACTCAACTCATATCATATTAATTTCAGTCGATCAAACTGGATCTATATCAAATCATCGAGAATGAACACTTGTATCATTATATGAATCAGATTGCAGTTATAATAACAATTCCGTGGCAGAAATGTTCCACGGAATTGTTATTCATTGTGGCTCGTCAAATTGGGAAAAAAATCCAGAGTATGTATTAGAGATTTTGAAAGACTTGCTCCAAAATCCGAGAAGTATCTACACAGATATAACAAATGTAAGTTATTCTACTCTACAATAATAAAAAAATAATAATTTATTTTCTAATTCAGAGTTTACTAAATACTCCCGAGAGCAATGATGTGAAAATTTTGACTGCTCGAAATTTTCCCAAAATTGAACGGGTTCGATTTATAGCAACTTATTACAATCACCCATGCTTTGCGGAATTATTGAAGTAAGTTGATTTTCTAATGAAAAATCGAATCAATTAAAATTTATTTTCAGCCATGTCACTACTTGCAAAATAAATCACAGTCGCAGACTTTGAATGGCTGGGAGAACTGCTCCAAGAATTGGAAGAGAGGAGCTTCAATTAAAATTCAAATTATTTTGCAGTGTTATCAATTATTTTACTGTTTTTTTGTTATAATGTACAATAAATCATGTTTCTATGCAGTTCCTTCAAAAAATTCAGAAAACGGCACATTCAACATGCAATATTGATAGTAAACCTAGAATTCAATTCCAATCAATTTCCGAGCAAGCAAATGAGAAAAAAATTTGAATTGAAAATAAAAATGAGCGTAGCTAAGATTTACACCTCAGCGTAGTCTAAAGTGTACAAGCGAGCGTAGCTAAGGCGGTGTATGACGCTACAAACGCTCGATTGTACGCTTAGACTACGCCAGCGGATGTTGAGGAAATCACTGAAAATATAGCGTCACATCAGGTGTTTCGTTGTGTGCAAACACCGTTCCGTTTTGTTTTTCAAAAAATCAAGGCGCGCCGAGACACGAGAGAAAAATTGTGTGCGCCTTTGATGAGGGGTACGGTGGTATTCGTGATTTTTTTCATTTTTTCCTTTTTATATATTTGCACACAACGAAACACCTGATGTGGCGCTAAATTTTCAGTGATTTCGCTTTTTATATGGGAGAGATTTTCAGAAAAAGCTGAATATATCATCTGATTCGTCTTGTCGAGATGAACCGGGAACACTTTTTTTCCTGATTCTGAAACGCACTCTCAAAAAAGTTACAGGCTGAAATCAGATTCTGAATAAATCAAGGGCGCACACATTTTTCGAAAGGGTGAGGTCTCGCAGCGATTTCAATTTTTCACATTTTTCTACGTGAAAATCGAACATTTGAGATTTCTAATGTTTATTCTAAAAGAAGAGATGAAATTACGGTTGTATGAATATCTTCAAATTCATCTAGGCTTCCCAGAGAAAAATGCGGCGCCGCCAATTTCAGACCAATTTTTATAAATATCAATTTTTATATTTCAGACCAATTTTTATAAAAAAATTTTACAAAACAAAGATTCCAGCGCGGTGTTAGTTCTTGTTCTTGTTTTGTTATTTTTATCATTAGATCATTCGAATATTTTTGAAAATGTTCATAAAGCTTGAAATCTATAAATAAATTACACATAGAATTTAAAAATTAATTATGCAATTGAACAATAACATTTGCTTTCAAAACTTTCGATGATGCTTCTTCAGTATTTTGTGATTTGTCCGCAAGCAAACCAAATGATCCATTTTGAGTATATTCAAGTGAAAGTGCCAAGAAATGTTCATTAGATTGATTTGGAATGAAATCAAAGTTCAATCCAATTCGATTATGTTGTCGAAAAACGATAACATCGCTGGAAAAATACAAATTTTTTGGAGAAGATTTCAATTTCCAAAAATACCTTTTCTCAGCTGGAACTCCAGCTGTATCAGTATCAATTGAACATGGAATTGAAATATTAACAGGAGGCGTGGAACATTCAACCAAATCGTCTCTTGATTTTTCCTGAGGCGAGATTTTCAATTGAATAGGCGACGATGATAAATTGGTGATAGTTAGAAGTACATGCGATGTTTTATCATTTTCAAATTGCACTGGTCGGGAAATTCGAATATCTGGCACATATTCGCGGGCAAATGCCTGGAAGAACAACATTTAAAGACTTTAAAGATATTTCGAAAGTTTGCTCACCGAAATCTTGAATTTATACGCGACAACTCCATAATCTCGTTTAACCAATGTTCTTTCACACTCATCACATCTAATCGATGTTCTTCCTTGAAGTGGAACTCGAACTGGAAAAAGTGGTTGATCTGAAGAAGCGAGAGGTTGTCTAATTATTTGATCAGCAGTTCGTAAATTCTTTGATTTGTAGCGATTCTCAAGTTCTTCCTCTAGTGAAAGGGGCTGAAATTTTTTGTTTTGAAAAAAAATTTATTTATTGAAAGCTACCTCTTCTGGTTCATGCACACTTAATGGTGTCAAATCGGGAAACATCATTTGTCTTTTTTTCTCGACCATTGATTGTAAACCAAATTTATTTGGTAAATGATGAGCTGACCATCCTTTGGATATTTTTCGATTTTTAGAATCTTTCGGTGCATTTTGTATCATTTCTAACTTTTTCATATGATTCATCACATCATTCATCTCATTTGTTATTTCATTTTCATAAACTGGCCATTTTTTCGCACTATCTCGGTCTTCAATTCCAGCTTCTCTAGTTTGCCAAGAACACGCTTGACATATCAAAAAGAATTTGTCATTTTCAGTTCGCCCACTTAAAATATTCATACACATTGGGCATTCAACGCAATTGAAACATTGATTCTTCTTCAATCGTGCTTCTGGAACTGTGGACGCTTCCAAGCATCGAGCACAATATAGCATATCAATTTCAACACATGCACATTCTTCACATCTGAAAATCGATATTTCGTAAAAAGAACCTACTTGAGAAAAAAACCCACTTTATTTTGAAGCATTGTCTACAAAAATGAAGATCAGAAAGATTTCGAAATTTCCCGCAACTACACTCATATTTGACACGAAAACTTTGCAAAAGTGCTGACATTTTTTGAAGATCAGCAATACGTTTAAACCCTGTAATTTGACTTTTTGATTAGAATTTGTAAGAGCGAGAAAACTTCGAATTTTGAAGATACTTTTTTGAACAAAACATTTTTGAACAAAAATTCCAATTGTCCGAGAGAAATACGACACAACTATTTCAATAGAGCGCGTTTGCATTCTGTATTTTATTATTTTTGTTTGCAAACTTTTGTCTCTGTAAAACCATTATTTTCGGCGTCGTTTTTGCATGGAAAAACACGAAATAAACAAAAATGATGAGATGAATTCATTGTCTTCTGATTCAAGTATATCCGATGATGGAAGAGCAACAATTGAGTATGTTCTAGACCATGGATCACCTCCAGAAGCATTAACGCCATCCGAGGATCGATTAGTTGTTATAAATGCAGATTCTCAAATACCATCATCCAGTAGTAGTGTGCCAAATTCATGGATTTCACGCATAAAATCGTGAGTTTTCATTGATGAGTTTTATTAATAAATAATGGATAAATTCAGAGCCGGAGCAAATATGATGGAATCAATGTCTCAGAAAAAGGAGAAAAAGCACAATTGGAAAACAAAATTCTGGTCGACATGGAACAATATAAAATATTCAAGTACTTGGATGTCTGATCGAACAGACGAATATGGCGGAAAAAATGAAGTATGGTTACTTGGCCGAATATATTATACTGATGATAATTTTGGTTTCAATGAATTCTGCTCGGATTATTATTCTAGAATATGGATAACATATCGAACCAATTTCTTACCGCTGCTGGACAGCGAAACAACATCTGATTGTGGATGGGGTTGTATGATTAGAACAACACAAATGATGATTGCTCAATGTATTATTGTAAATCGTCTTGGGAGAGATTGGAGATTTACTAGACGGAAAAAATCTGTTGCTCTAATAACACCACCAGATTCTACTATTGAAGAAGAAGAACCAATTGATCGATTGAAAATGTTTGAATTAATGATTCTTAAATTATTCGAAGATAAACCATCCTCTCCACTTGGAATTCATCAAATGGTTAAAATAGCATCGGAACAAAAAGGAAAACAAGCAGTTGGTTGTTGGTATACTCCAAGTGAAGCTGTACATATTATGAAAACTGCATTATCTATTTCAACAAGCCCTTTAACTGGTGATATTTCGATGTTTTTATCAATGGATGGAAAAGTTCATATTGGAGATATTGAAAGGGAAACCAAAAATTGGACGAAAACGTTGATTCTTGTGATTGTATTGAGATTGGGAGCTTCGGAATTGAATCCGATTTATGTGGCGCATCTTCGAAGATTGTTTAGTTTGTCGAGTTTTTTGGGAATTACTGGTGGAAAACCGGATCATTCTTGTTGGTTTATTGGATATTATGGAGATGTGAGTTGGTACTTCTTAGTTGACAAATACACTGCTCCACAAAAGTATAGCCTCACCCACAAAATTTTCAAAAAATCGAAAAAAATAAAGTTTTCAGAAAATGTTGTTTTTGAAAAATATGGGAAAATGGGACACTAATTTATCCCAGAAATCAAATTTTGGGTTGATAAGTCACGGAAAGAATGTTTTTGAATTTTTCAAAAAATTGAAAATTTCCAATCCACAAAAGTATAGCCTCACTTTAGAAAATCGCTCTGGAAATCGGTTTTTGGGTTAGATAACTTCAGTTATTGTTGAGAAATAGGTAGAATAACTCATTTTAAGTTGATTCTAATATATTCAAAATTATTGGAATCAAGTTGAATCAAGTTATTTTTTTCGATTTTTTGAAAATTTTAAGGGTGAGGCTATACTTCTGTGGAGCAGTGTATGTTAATATTTTAAGCTAGACGAATTTTTAATTTTTTTTTCAAATTTAATCAGTCTTTTTATTTTCACGAAATTCTTTCTCAATCTCACCTAAAAATGCTAATAAATGCAACAAAACACTGAAAAAACTTCTATGATTTTATTAAATCTTGAAAAAATATAAATTCAAATTGTGATGATAAACCTATTTTCAAATTGAAACTTGAACAATCCTTCTCTCAACTTTCACACAATGAGAATCTTTTTCAAAATTCACCCGAAAATTCCAGAAAAATCGTAACTGAAAAATCGTAAAAGTTCTCAGCATAATTAGAAAATCCAAAAAAAAAATATTTCAATTTTTGTAGCAAGTAATCTATTTGGATCCTCACGTTGCTCACAATTATGTTCCATTCGAAAACGATTTTCAACAACAAGTTCCCCAAAAACCCGTCGAAAAATCGTATCATTGTAAACTTTTGTCAAAAATGCATTTTCTTGATATGGATCCAAGTTGTGCTGTTTGTTTTCGATTTGAAGATGCAAAACAATTTCAGTCGGATATGAAAATTCTCAATATGGTGAGCACCTATTTTTCCTCATTTTTAAAAATTTTCAATCAATTTTTTGCAGGAGCAATTTATTGATATTGATTTGGGCGAAAATGAGGGAATGAAACGAGTTAGAGATCCAATGTTTAGTGTGGTTTATGGCGAGAGACGCAGAGAAGAACTGAATTATGATTGTGATGATTTCGTCAGTGAACAAGAAAGAGAACAGGCAAAAGAGCAAGGTTTCGAGATTTTGTAAATATTACTGTATCCTATGTAAGAACAACTCACTTAATACTTTAGAGCATAAATGTTTATACATTATTTAAAGGCACATAAATAATATCAACTTATTTTGGGGAGATTTGGGTACAAAAATATTTTTCCCATCCAAATCATTAATTAAAGCAATTATGACTTCAAGCGATTAAACGAGATTTCTCAAGAACTTCGCAATGCACTCTTGCCAATTGTAAAATATGAATTTCAGCAGTTTTGAGTCGGGCAGCATCACCATCTTCTCCAATTTGTGACAAAAGACTTCGATCGATTCCCTTTCCGTACGATTTTTCCAACAGAATTATGCGATTTTTGAGAAATTCGATAGCTTTTTGACGGGATTCGGGGGTTTCGACGTTTTCTTTGGTTGGTGAAGAAGTGACGAAAATTGCGGAGAAAATGAGCAATTCTTCGGCAAATGGTTGTTTTGGGAACTGAAATATTTAGAGAATTTTGGAGAAAATCTGAATTTTCGAAATTTCAAAGCCTTGAAAATAATAATTTTCTTAGAAAGTAAAAAAAGAATTTCTCAAAAATTTGAAAAAAAGTCTGAATTTGGATTTTACAAAGTTTGAAACGTATTTGTTCTCCAAAATTTTTTTAAAATATTAAATTTATAAAATCAAAGTGGCAAGATTTTTTATAATTTTTGAGCAAAAAATCCACGTGGCGAACATATTTTACTTTCCACTTTTCAAAGATATTCCCAACTTACATTAACTAAATCAAACTGAAAAACATTAGTTGGCGAATAAGCTTCAGGTATCAATTGTTTGACCAACTTCCGTTTCGCCTCCAAATCTTTGTCAGTTTTCGGAATTCCAATCTTCAATTTAAAAATATCGAAACCATTCTCATGAGTTGGCACAAATCCATTATGCAATAAATGTTCTCCGCCACTTCGTCGACCATAAAAAATTGTGGCCGAATCGCCAGAATGCAATTCACTATGTGAAGTTATCAGAGCAACATTTTCTTCCGACGAAAAACACACCAAATCTTCAATATTTTCATCATCTTGATCAGTTACATTTTCATGATTTGCCATGTCCAAAACTGGTATTAAAGCGGGCATCTGCAAAATATTTCATTTTGAAATAATTTTTAAATACCCACCATTAAAACTTGTCCATCTCTAGTTTGTTCAATTTCACTTGGCACCATGTTCACACGAGTTGTTACAACTCCAACAGACCACATGTATAAATTTGGTGTGAAATTAGTGATTGTGAATGGTGTATTATATAATACTGGCGGTTCGACCGGTCGATCTCCTTTTTTCGCGTTTTTCTGTGAGTGTTCGTAAACTCGATTTTGAGTGATCGAAATGAAAAAATATGCAAATTGTCTAGCAATTGTTCGATAAAATAGAAGAGATTCTTCGAAAATCGGTGATGGTTTCAAATTCAAAAGTTGTTGTTCAGAATAGAAAATTGGAGTCGTGAAATGTGTTGGGAGAACTGAAATATATGGATGCCATTTCGATTTTTCTTGATTGATCCATTGTGCGGCGACGAAAAGAGCAAGACCAACATTTCCCATGTTTCCTACAATTGGATCACGCTCGAATGCTTTTCTGAAAAAAAATATTTAAATTATATATGAAACTGTAGATTTTTTTAGCTCAAAAAATAATTTCTGAATTTTTTTTAAACTTGTCAAATGAATTCGATTTTCCCTCCCTGACAATCTTCCACATTTCCCAACTCACTTCAAAATCGATGATTTTCTCGCCAAATCCAAACTAATCATCGCATGTCTCGGAACTTTTGCAATAATATGTCCTTTTGGAATTGTTCCAGTCGCTTTTAATTCCAAACCAGTCTTAAAACTATCAACAACTTCCACATTATTTCTAGCAATTCCAATTTGATCAGCCCATTTCAAAAATTCCAGAATCTTATCTGCATTTCTCGAACCATCTTTCAATTTCTGATTTGTATCGCTTAATTTCGATAATTCTTCATTAATTGAGTCAAGGACCCTTCGGATTTCTACATGTTCTTTCCATAATTCAACAATATTTGAAGGCGGTGCTTTTGTCAAAATTTGAGAAAACAGGCCATCGACCACTGAAGAAAGAAAAACAATTCATTTAGCTAGTTTAAATTAAACTCACATCTTATCACAATTTCTTCCGTTTTCTGCTGATCTGCCGTCATTTTCTAAAAAAATTGCACTTTTGAGAATCAATCGATAACTAAATATCTATTTGAATAACGAATGAACGGTGAGCAGATATGAGAGATGAGGAGAAACAAAGGCACAATATTATTACACTAAATGAAATAAGTGTATGGGGACAGAAAAATACGCCCACTTTTGAATTCAACAAATCTTTTGATAATAAATTATGGAATTGTTGGATTTTACTAGGGGGAAAATGGGGGATTTGAAACCATTCTTTGAAAAAACAATGGGAATTTTTGGGAGCGTAACCCCTATTTTATACACGTGGCAATCAAAATTACTATTAAAATATTCATTATAAGGTTTTCTTACTGGAATAACGCTGAAAAAAGTTTTAAAACTGAAAAAAAAACAGGAAAAAACTGAAAAAACCATGTGGCCTAGAAATCCGTATCACTCCTAGTCCACACGTCTTCCACTATAAATTCACTTTTTTTTCGATTTTTTTGGAGTTGTGAAAATTCAAATTCTATTTAGAACTTCATTTTTGCAATTTCAAAGCTACAAAAATAGCGAACAAGAAAAAAAACAATTGTTTTATCATCTCTCGTCTATCTCTTTCATTTTTCTAGCGTCGATCGAACGATTTTTTGTGTTTGTGTGATTGTTTGTTTCGTGAAATAAAAAAGTTTACTTTTTTCATTTCCCAAAATGTTGCCAGTTATATTTAGCACAGGTGAGTAAACTTTCTTTATTGAAAATTGCAGCTACAAAAAAAAACAAATTTCAGTAGTAAGACGAAAATGTTTCACATCAACTACAACTACAATTCGATTATTTGGCGGGGCTGCCGACGAATCAAATGATTCATCATTTTCAAAAAGAAAATTGAAAAAATTATTCAAAGTTGCACAATTGGCGAAGAAATCGAGATCCTATGAAAATGATAAAATTGATAAATTGAGTGCGATGGCAGAATTTGGCTTAAAGTAGGTTTTGAAATGAATAAATAATCAATTAATGAAATTCTTTCAGAGAATCAGATTTAGCAGATTTGCCAAGTCATAGCAGACCAGTTCTCAGTCACGCACATAAAGAAATGAACAAAAATGCAAATCTTCAATTATACGCGCTTACTGATGTTTATCATAAAGCTCTCAAAGTTCACGGAAGTTCAGAAGCTCTTGAAGCACATCGTCGTCCATTAGTTGCAATGAGAAAAGAGATAACTGATGCTGAAAGAATGCGAATGAGAATGAGAATTGAGACAACAAATCAACATGGTGGTGCAGATCGAGTTGTTGCAATTGCTTTTACTTTAAATTTATGTGATATGGCTATGAAATTCACGGCAGCTTATTTAACAGGATCAAAATCATTATTTGCTGAAGCTATTCATAGTGCAATGGATACTTGTAATCAATTGATTTTATTGCTTGGAATACGGTATTCGGCTAAAAATCCTGATTTATTATTTCCCTATGGTTATGGAAATATGCGATATGTGACATCTTTAATTTCGGGTTGTGGAATAATGGCATTCGGGTGTGGTTTATCAATGTATCATGGAATATCGGGACTATTACATCCTGAACCATTAGAACCTTTGACATATGTAAGCATTTTTGTTGTGGGGAAAAAATGGTGTGAAAAAATCTGGAATTTTTAGGCATATTACGCACTTTTTATGTCACTTTGTTTCCAAGGAACATCAGCAATCACAGCATATCGAGAAGTTTATTCGAAATCGCAAAAGGCTAAAGTTAGCATGTGGAATTATGGTGAGATTTTGAAAGATTTTTGAAAATTTCCTATCCTGAAAAATCTCCGAAATTAAAACTCTGAAAGTTTTGGATTTAAAATTGTTATCATTCCCTTGAAAACTGTGTCCCACCTTCCTTTTTCGAGCACCAAAATTAATTTTTCAGATGCCCAAGCTCTCAAGTTATCCATAAAACATATTTTTTCCAGTCCGAACATCAGCAGATCCTTCATTGAATGTAGTTCTTCTCGAAGACACAGCCGCAGTTTCTGGAGTCGGAATTGCTCTTTGTGCAATCTCACTTTCGTCATACTTGAATTCTCCAATTCCTGATTGTTGTGGTTCAATTCTCATTGGTGGATTATTAGGTTTGTAACTGTTTTTATTCAATTCCCGGAGCCGACGTTCAACAAAACAAAACTTGCAGGAACTGTTGCCTCATTTATTATTCGCTCAAATGCAGCTCATTTAGTTGGTCGAAGTTTGCCGCAAAGAATTACTGATGATATTGTTGCACGGTTGAATAATGATCCAATGATTAGGTGAGATACATTTTTGATGGGAAAAAATATAGGCATTTTTTATTTGTAAATAAAAATTCTGATTGTGAGAAAAAAAATGAACAGATCCTGAAAGTCTGTAATGATTTTTGCAAACGCTCCCGAAATATTTTATCAAAATGATTTATTCATTTCATTTATCTATCAATATATACCCATAATTTCTAGACCCTGATGTTTTTCTTTTTATTTTTCTAGATCAGTTCATGATGTGAAGGCGACTTGTTTGGGAGTTGAACAAAGTCGATTTAAAGCCGAACTCGATTTTGATGGAAGAATGATAACAAGAGCATATTTACAAGATGGTGTACATGTTCCAGCATTGTTGAATGTGAGTTTCTGCAAAAAATTGTTTTTGAAGAAAAATATTCAACAAATTATTTGCGGTGAATGTTTTTTCATCTGGCATTTTTTTTAATTCAAGTCAAATTTTCGAAAAATCATTTACAAAATTAATTAACTTATGGAATTCCGGAAAAATTATACCTGTTCAAAATTCATTCAAAAGTTGTTTACTGTCCGTTCGCCAGCGAAGGAAACGCGGCCAAACGCGCCCCATTGATAAACAATGCATTTTTGTGCGGCGATTCAAACAATAATTTTTATTCTTTTACTGTTTTTCATGCGAAAAAAGGCATTTCTACTAATTAAAAAATGAGGAAATTGGTTATTGTGGAAACTACTGAGTTGAAAAGGTTTTACCTGACCATTTTCACTTAAAATTGGTGCATTTGGACAGAAATGAGCATAGAAAAAGTGAAATTTTCCTGAAATTTTCTGATTTCGGTTGGAAATGATATATAACTAGTTGGAAATCAAGAACTAAACAGTTTATCAACAAAATTAATCAAGAAAATAGATTAAATTAGTGAAAAATCACAATTTTCGACCCAAAACACGACTTCCTCATCGTTTCTATCAAAACTCCGAGCGAACCGATGACTTTTTCGCATGAATCTTGATGAGAAGTAGTTTTCTTCGTCACTAATGTGCACTTGCATCATTTGAATAGCAAATTGATTGTCTTGAGGCATTTTTGAGCAAATTATCCATCACATATCGCCATTCATTTCAAAATTGCGATGAAAACCGCAAAAATCACCAATTTTCAATCAACAACCTGAAAATTGCATCATTGTCATAGAAAATACATAACTAAACAACTCACCTTCGATTTGAATTGAACTGCGACTTCAAATCACTCCAAAAATCGATTTTATAACATCTTTTCGATCAAAACATCGAATTTCATCGAAAAAATCCATAAATCGCTACCAAAAACCATTTTGTTCGGGCAAACTTGGAAGATAAGTATAATTTGAGTTTTGCCATCCTCTGAAAGCAGAAAAATTACAAAATTGCTTCTTTTTTTGTGAAAAACGGAGGAAAAACAAGAAAAAACGGAAAAAAAAATGAAAAAAATTGGGTCGGCAAAAAAAGCAAACTACGGTATGTAGTTGGAGCGCGTTTCCTTCGCTGAAAAACAAACAGTATAGCGTCACCCAAAAAGCTAACTTATTTTTTCACGTAGAATTTTTCAAAATCCAAATTTTTTAATAAGAATTCCGAATATTTCATCTTTGAAATTCCTAGAAAACTTAATTTTCTGTGGAAAAATTCAGATAAAATATTTCCAAAAACTTCTAATTGGCTTTCAAATGTTCATTTTTGATCAATTATTTGCTGAAAATTTCATAAATTATCGAAGTTCCCAATTTTTCTAATCATTATCCCAATCATTGAATAATTTTGTTTTTCTAGGAAGTAAAAAAGATTGACACAGAAGAACAATTGGAAGTTTTCATGGAACATCACGGTGAAAAAATAATTGATAGACTTGGTGATGAAATCGATAGAATTGAAGGTGAAATTACGAAAAAACATCCAGATATTCGTCATGTCGATTTAGAAGCATTGTAAATATTATTATTATTATTTATGCGCATTCAATGTATTCATTTTCATTTTTCACAGTTTTCTTTCTTCCGGTTTTTCTGAACCCGGTGCCCCTCCAAAAATTCTTCGTTTTCTATTTTTTCTACCACTAGAAAATATGTATTATCCCTAGGTTCATTCACTTTTTTCTGCCTCCTTTTTATTTGCTAAATATTTAGAAACAACATACAAATTTTACCTTTTATACAATTTCTGATGATTTTGTCGCACTGATTTCAGCATCTTTCTCTTTTCTCTGCGATTTTTCGAGTTTTTTGTAGAATTTGTGCATTTTCCATTTTCGAATCGCGCATCGGATGAAACTTTTAAGAGTTACAACCATGAAAAAAAGGACAAGGATTGCAGCTGTTCCTATTCCAATTGTTGGATCATAATCGCGGAAGAAATCTTCGGCTTTTCGAGGTGGATTGTGCTGTAATTTCAGAAGGAGAAAGGTTGGTATTTTATTTGTGGGATATTTGGGATCAAAGTTTGGATGTGAATTTTTGTTTGAATAATATAATCAACTTAAAAATTTTGATTAAAAGGTTCATAATTCAATACTCAAAATATTATTCAAATCTAACACTCAAAAAATATATTTCGGAAAAAAAAATTTTCAGGAAAACTTCCATTTTTTTCTCAGATTTCGAAATCAAAACTAACATTTCGACTAAAAAATAGCAAAAGCTTCTAGATCTTAAAAATGTGTTTCAAGATTGTCAAACAATATTTTTTGAAAATAAATCTCAAATTTTTCTCGAAACATTTTCTATGTTTTCCTTTTCAGTCTCAAAAAACTCAACTACAGTACCCCTCTCCAAATGCACTTTACATAAAAACAAAACTTGAAAAATCAAATAACATTTTTTGTCTAAAAGTTCACTTCCCTTTTCTTTCTTTCTTTCATCAAAAATGTATAAAACATTTCAAATCTGCAATTTTTTATAAACAATTTGCTCTTTTTCAAATTGAAAAACATAAGAAATTCTTTCCTTTTTGTTGAAAGCTGTAAAAGAGCTAATAAAATTTTAGTTCAATAATATTTTGTTATCAAAAAAAAGAATGTCAAACATTTTCCGTTTTGATAAGACCACAAAATAATTCGATTAATACGTGGTTGCTCTTGATTTCTATTGATTTTTGATTTCATTTTATTATTCATCATTTTTCTTCGTTTCAAAAATTGTTTACCAAAAAACATATTTTCTGCCTTTTTTTTTTCTGAAAAAACTGGATTAATATCCGATTTTTTTTCGTTTTTTTTTATTTTCAAAAAACATTTTTTCTTGTGACTTACCTCCATGAAATCTCGTTTCTCAGCGCACAATGGAAAACAGTTTTTTGGCATCTTCAAATCTCTGAAAGATTTGGAAAAAATCCTTTTCAGAATAAGAATAAGGAAAAAGAGGGCGGAAATCTAATAATCCGACACAAACCTTTCCTTTTTTGCTTGCTTCTTGAGAGCGGATAAAAATTCAGAATTTCAAATTTCAGATGGGGCAAACAACTTCACGAATTCCAGAACACGAGTTGGAGCAATTGAGCATTGAATCCGGATGTGAGTTTATTTGATTATTTTTCTAGAAAAATATATAATATTTCTGTTTACAATTAAATATCTAACTGAATAAGATGTGACGTGGCAAAATTTTAGAAGATTTTTAAAAGATTGTTTGAATTCATAACAAAAAAAGTGAATTATAGGGTGTAATTAATTGGTTTCTAAACTTTTAACATGAATTATGACGTGGCATTTTTAGAGTTCTCACATCTTGGCCGCGTTTACCTTTTTAATCAACACAGAAATTTTAATCCGAAATAAACTTCAAGTAAATACAAACATCTTTCTTTTAGTCACATGTACACATTCCAAAAAATTTACGAATTCAGCGAAAAAAAGCAAGAAGGTAAGTGAGAAAAATCGGTTGATGAATGATTATATATTATATATTCATGAGAATTTTTCCTCAGCCCACATGCAAAAATTTCAAAGATTGGTTTTTTGGGGCAGAAAGTAATAATCTGGAAACCATTTTCAGAATTACTGTAGGTAGAGAATTGAAAACTACAAAAACATAAATTATTGTAGATAATAATTTGGGACTTTTTGCAGTATCTCGAAGCGGAATTTTAACTCTCTACAATCGTTTCATGTCTTTGGCTACTCATCGCGACAAAACCACCAACGAATATTTTTTGGTCAAAGCTGATTTTGAGGTTTGTTAGAAACTTTGAAAGAGGAATATCAGATAATTTGAGAAAATATTGAAAAATAATATTGCTCGTTGGAGCTTATTTTCGAAAAACATTTAGAAATTCGTTGAAAACTCTACGAAAATTAAAGTTCAGATTCTTGGGGCTCAACAACAATAAGGCGCTTAGGAACTACAGTAACTCCGGCTTTTTGAGATACTGTACTGAACTATAAGCTAGTGTAGACTACAGTAACCCAGGGATCGGAGATTACAACAGTTATTTCTCAAGCGGATTTATTGAGCTACAGTAACCGAGGGCTACGGTATTTCAGAAGACCTGAGGGTCGAAAAATGGAGCGCCTTTGCTCTTTCCAGACTCCAAATTCCACGTCATGTTTTCCTATTCTAAATAATAAAAATTCAAAAAATTTATTTGCCGTGAAACGTCGTGAGACTTTCAAAAATAGCAAAATACTTTTTTTTTTCTTCAATCCTCCTATTTTTCCTAATCTGTTTCCCATTCCACACTAAACCTGTTAATAATTCAAAGATTTTGTGCCGAAAATATCTAATCTGTGTATTCTTTTTCAGTCGATTCAAGAACTCAAGCAAAATCCGCTCGGAGATCGAATCATTGACGCATTTTTCGCGGACGCCGAGTAAGTTTTTCACTTGGTTTTGAGAAAAAAATATATGGATCTATAGCCATATAAATTGCGAGAAAGAAAAAAAAAACAAAATAAAAGGAGAGGAAATTGGATAACTTATGAATATCCCAAACAAAAAAAATAACAAAAGAACGACGACGGAAAATACGAAGATTGAGAAAAATAAAAAAATATATTATATGTGGGAGAAAGACATCTTTTAATTATAGAGGGAACTTTAGAGGGGGTTTGTGTTTCTTCAGGGGGAAATGTGCTTAATCGAGTTTCCTACAAGATTCCACCTTTAAAAAGTTTTAAATCAAGATAACACAGCGTTTTCCTCAAAAACAAACAGCAAAGTCAAGTTTACTCTATCGCACATATAATTAATTTGTGTGTACTTCTCGCGGAATTTATGTTATTGAAAGAAAAAATTTGACAAGGCTTTCAAACTTTTTCTAAATAGTCATAGTAACCAAACAAATTCGAATTCAAATTCAACTACAAAACTTTTTTTCCTTCTTCCAAAAAAACAAAGAAAAAATCGAAAAATAGATAAAAGTCGAAAAATGTTTGTCCCTTGAGAATATTCTTTCTACATATTTTCTAGCTAGAAAAATATGAGAAGTCTTTTATGAATGATTCTTTTGTTCTTTCAAAGTTAAGTCAACCTGAAAAAATTGGAAACACGCACGAAAAAAAATTGATGAAAAGTTTGAGAGAAAAGGAAAAGGGGGATTTCGAACAATCGAAATATTGAAAACTGACACCAATTACAACATTTTTGCGAACAGCTGCTCTTTTTCTTTTTTCTCTGCTCTAACCACTTATCACTTTTAAATCTCGTGGGAAAATGAAGAGGCGTTTTTTGAAAAGCTGGAATGTTTTAGAAATTGAAAATAAGTAAACTGGGAAGGAGGAAAACGAGTTCTACAGTAGCTTAATTTCTCGTGGCGAGACCTTCTCACTGTTCCTTTAAAAATGGGTTACAAAATTTAAGCTGAACAAATTGATAAATTCAAACTACACGCCAGGCCTGTGCCGGAAAATCAAAACCCGGAAAACGGAAAGTCGGAAAATTTCCGGATTTTTTGAACCGGAAATCCGGAAAATTCGGAAAATTTTTCAAAGTCTGAAATTTCGATTTCCAGCCTTAAGTTGGCACTAAAACTTATTTTTATCTACAATTCTTCTATTCACAGGTAATTCAGTACCTATTTGAGACGTCTTACGTTCAAAAAAATAGTAAAATTTGAAAAATTGAAAAAAAATTTCCAAAAATTTCATTTTTTTCTATCATAAACTGAGAAAATTTTCCAAAATTTAGGCAATTTTGAAAATATTACTACTAGTGATCGTTTCCGGATTTTCCGAGCACATTTTCCGGAAAACCGGAAAATTGATTTTTCCGTGAAAAAACCGGAAAATCCGGAAATTCGGAAAATTCGGAAAATTTCCGGCACAGGCCTGCTACACGCGCTGTCGTCAACGCGGAGTCTCGTTGTTTTCGTTCAATTTTTTTGATAACTTCTTCCTTTTGAAATATTGAACAAGACAAAAAAAAGTGAAAAACACATCTTCTTATATGTAAAGAAGGAAGCTTTCTGCATTTTTTCGAGTACAACAGCAAACGAAAATTTTTAATCAAATTCATTTCATTTTCTCTGAATCTCTTCTACTTTTCATAGATTCTAGAATATTTTCTCTAGAAGCAGAGGAAAGAAGAAAAGACGTGAAAAATTGCTGATGACAGCTATAAAAGTTTGGAAAACACGTAATGGGTTTGAGTTTTGGGACACAAAAAATTCCGGTCTTTCCTATAACAAGATTTTTTCTGGAAAAAGAATTCCAAAAAAAACTTCCTAAAAACCTTCCATTTCAGAGTTTTGGAGCGCAAAAAAGTCTACTTCAAGGATTTCGTCAAAGTTTTGAGCCATTTCCGACCAATCAACAAAAATAAACCGCATCCATGGAATAGTCGAGAAGCTAAATTGAGATGTAAGTTTTGGAAAAGAAGAAAAAGAGAAGGTCAAAGTTTAATTTTCAGTTGCTTTCACGATGTATGATTTGAACAAAAGTGGAACTATTACAAAGGATGAGTTTCAGGATATTTTGGAGGTGAGATTTGAAAGATTTTTTTTTTCAAAATGAAACTCTAAATGTTCTTAATTTTAAAAATGAAGTTCACGTTTCTAATTTTTTTTTCAAGAAAAACTTATATTTTTTGGAATTTCAGAATTTGTTAAACCAACTAACCCTCATTAAAAAATCCCAATTTTTTCAATCATTAAAACCCTAATACCAAATCTCAAAATGTTCAGATGATGATTGGAAAAAATGTGCCAATTGAGCAAGTCAAATCAATCGCTGATCGAACAATGCGCGAAGCTGACAAAGATTATGATGGTTTCATCACTTTCCAAGAATTCTGTCATGTAAGCTCAACCTTAATTACCCTAATTAATCAAGTCCATTTAATTTTTTTAGGCGATGGACAAAACCGATATCGAGCAAAAAATGTCGTTCAGATTCTTGACCTAATTAAGTATTCTTTTCAGTCAATTTTTGTTTCTTACATTTAAATATACATATATTTTTTCTATTTTCATTAAAAATAAACACAATGTTAACAATGAACCTAGAAAGAAAACACGTGAAAATCATATAGCAACCTGTTTGATTTGAGTTTCGTCGGAATCGATCGGGGAACTTGAACTTGTTGACAAATATCCAATTCGACGATGACATTTCGAGGAAATTTGAATTTATATTCTTTCATTGGATAGATGTTTTTCTGATTCCAGCCATATTTTGAGATTTGATTGTCGAGCATTTCGAATTTGTAGACAGCGCCGAAGATCAATTTGTATCTGGAAAAATTAGTAGAACTTGAGATTGTGATACTGTAATTCAGCAAATTATGATCGTCGGATTACTAAAAGCAAGAAATTAAAAAATGAAATTTTCACGTAAATTTTCCAGAAAAACAAAGAAAACAAATATTTTTCGATTTTCACGGAACATCTCAAAATTAAAAACAACATGTTTTCCAGAATTCCGAATTTTTGTCGAGTAATTATCGAGAAAGCGCCTTTAACCCCTTTTAAAAATATGTTCAACTTACAAGCAATAAATAACTGGTTCACCATTTTCACCATAAGTCGCTTCACCATTCGCATCCAAATGAACATACGAAATTTCATTGATAAAACTGCCCAATTCTCCTTCAAAATATGGATATGTTACAATATGACCATTTTTTCCCATCAAATCAGCTTCGGTTATCTGGAAAAAAAATGATGAAAATTTTCGAATTTTGAGATTTCTATTTCAAATTTTGCAGGAAAAAAATAACATAAGATTTTAAAATGATTATTTTTCAAATTCGGCACAATTTTAGAAAACGTCTAATTTTTCAAATATTCAAAAAACTCACATCAAACGCAGTTTTCTGCAAAGAATTCAATCGATTTATTTCCTGTCGATGAAATTGAAAAGTTTTACTTCCTCCTAATGTATAAGGCGATAGACTCGAAAAATCATTTTCTCTAATTGCTCTCAAAACTTCGAAAAATACACTTTGACCATTTTCAAGAATATCTTCACTGTTTTTCTGTAATCCAACGCCGTGCACAAACATATTTTTCTGAAACAAAAATTATTTGAATTTCAAAAGTCACACTCTTCAGATAAATTTTCAGATGTTTCTGAAAATATTGATCCCAAAACTCACCACATGCGTTTTTCCTTTCGTTTTCAAATTCTTCCACCAATTTGATTTTTCACCCGGCCGATCAAAAATAATATAAGGACTTTTCGAATTATAACTAAGATTCAAATATCTTCCTGCTGATCTATTTGTTCTAGTTATTTCAACTGCTTTTTGATTCGATGGCAATAAATCCGGTGGAACAATTCGAAATCTATCCCTTTAAATGAACAATTTTATTTATTGAAATACTTATTTGAAAAAAAAAGAACTTACCAAAAACCGCTTAATCTAACAGCTCTGAAAGGTGCATGTGATCGTGATTGTTGGAAAAATATTCTACTATGAGGTGATTTCAACATGATTAAAAATCTGGAAAACGAAAAGTTACAGTAATCTTGTCATCAATTATGTATTATTGACATAAGTTAGTTAAAATAACAAGTTATACCAATCCAAGTGTCAGATTTCTAAGTTAACCGAGTCACCCGACACCTAACATGTCGATTAATTATTCCGATCCGCAAAAGGGGAAGAAATATAAAAGAAAAAGAAGCGGAATAGTAAAGGTTCGGATTATTTTAGTTTCAATGTCGAGAAATGGGTAAGTCAATTTTTTCTGAAATTTTTTAGAACGTTTGTATTATAACATCACAGTAATTTTGAACTATTGTAGTTGGGTTTGTAGTTAATTTTAAGGACTTGGAAACTATTCTGTTGTTCAGTCAATAGAAAACTTTAGGTCACAATTTTAGAAATAACAACATCACAGTAAACTTATGATTTCTGACATTTGTGAAAAAAATATTTATAAACTAACAAGAATTCTGAAAGTTATCAACTTTTACCAATTTCTAAACTTCAATTCCAGTTCGAAGTGAAATTGCAACAGTTGACTGCGAAGTTTGTGGTGATAAATCATATGGTAGACACTACGGTATTTGGGCTTGTGATGGCTGTAGTTGTTTTTTCAAACGAAGTGTTCGAAATAGAATAACCTACAAGTGTATTGGTAAGATTTCCTTTATTAACTTCTCCAAAATTTGTTTCCCCAAATATTTATTTATTTAGGAACTGGTGATTGTATAATCGATAAAACCCGGCGAAATTGGTGTCCAGCTTGTCGTTTGTCAAAATGCACAAAACTGAATATGAATCGACAAGCGGTTCAAAATGAAAGAGGACCGCGGAAGAATTTGCGATTCAAAAGAGAACATCGGAAAATATCGCCATCAACGAGTTGTAGTGAAAATGAAGATATACCGAATTGTGAGTTTGAGAAAACCTAAGTAAATTAAAATTAAGAAATTATTTCAGATGAGATTCTATTCACCGCAACACTTTTGATACTTTCTCAATCAAATCTGCTATGTTTTTCATCGAAAAAACAGCGTAAAGAGATTATGGAAAAACATGTGCACGAGGTTTTTGCATTTATGATTGCAATTAGTGATGAGACAGTGCTACGTGGACTTATCGTAAGTAGAATATCGAAAATCGAGAAATCATGACAGGGTAGAAAAAGCTATGCCGTGTCATAAAAATTTTGATTTCAAATAGTGCAACTTTTAGATAATGGGAGATGGAAAAAAAAAACTAAACTCAGAGTCTCGAAATTCAAAAATCGGTGTTCAGAAATTTGGAAAACATTTTGAATCAAAAATATACTCCAAACAAATCTTGAACTTTCCAGCCCGAACTAAACTTATTAAAAATCGACGATCGAATCGATGCGGAACAATTGAGAATATCAGTCTGCATACTTTTATCAAGTTCAGGTAACTTTTCTGAAATTTTGAATTATGGCACTAATAAGATTCAAATTCTCAAAGATTCCGCCCATCTTCAATTCGCATCACCTCTGATAAAAATCTACGAATTCTGGCTACTCCGACATTGCATTTTAAACAATTCCATAGAAATCGGTCAAAAATTAATCGCAATGATAAATACAATTAGAAGGCATAATAATTGGAATCTATCAAGTGTTATTCGAAAATCTCCGAAACTTTTGATCGATACTTTTTGTGATATGATTTTTAATGAGCAAGATAATGAATAAAAATTTGATGAATTTGAAAAATACACATCACAACAGATAATAAATCAAGCGGTTCGAAAAACCAAGAAATCCACACATAGCAAAATAATTCTGATAATTTTAAAACATGAATTCATTAAAATCTGTCTATAAAAAGTATATAAGCATAATGATAATATTTACGTTGTCTATGAAAAAAAAGAAAATAAATTAGTGTCGTTTTAATGATATGATGAGAACATTCTAATCGGGGGACCAAATACGGGGGAACAAAATCTCACAACCGGAGAAAAATTCGGGTGTTGAAAAAATTAGATAGTATGTACTTGTAACAAAATAGCGGCATTTAAAATAAAGGGAAAGGGGAACCGGGAAAAAAGAGCCGAAAACTAGAAAGAAATGCGCTAAAATAGAAGTTTCTTTGGTATTTTATGAAGATTTTTTTGGCATTTTGTCTAACCATTCATTCCGCGGACCTGGAAAATTTGAAAATGACGTTTTTTAAGAAAAAAAAAAGATAAAAATTACTGACTTGTCCGCTTTTCCTTTGCTCTTCCAATTCTTTTTGAGCTTTTTCTTCGATTGCTCGAATATCAACCATTGTTAATCCATACCAATTATCGAGCCAGCAGAAAACTTCCCGATGGAATTTTGAGAATAATCGAGGGTATTGCTGTAAAAATTCAGAATTGTGGATTCAGAAGTCGAAATTCTGCATTTTGAATCTGTTAAAAACGAGTTGATATAATTAAAGTTATTGTAATTATGAATTCTTTATTTTAAAAAACCATTTACCAAAAAACTTCTAGTCAAGTGAAACCACTTCAAAGAAAATTTTTGGAGTGTTTCAATAACTAAATTTTTGAAACCTAGCTTGATTTGTAGCCCAAAGTAAACTGTTGTCTCCAGAAATCAAAAAAAAATTGAATTTGAATTTTCAAAAAAAGAATTGGCTTCTTATAAATTTAAGGCTTTCTGCAGAATTGGACTTTAAAACCTGTAAAAATTTCACAAAACTTTTTTTAACAACGTAGACCACGTGTTTTTAATATAAATTTGGCCGATCTCCTCATTTTCATTTTTTTATCCCTTCTCAAAAATAACTCACAGCATGAGCATATCCCTCCACCAACTTCTGAAAACCGAACCATTTGAAATAAACAGTGACTAATTTATAAGCACACATGACCGGTTGACAAGTTTCCCGCCAATTATCCGTCAATGGTCCGCGACCCGTTTTGCTACTTTTGAATTTCGACGGTGTTGTTTCCGCTTTAATATCTCCACTATTCAAATGCTCGTGATCATTGGCAATGTTGATTTGAACAACTTCGCGTTTCGCCAATTCTTCGCCAGCCAAACCATGAGCCTAAAATTGATTGTTTTATATTTAAAATAAAACATAGCAAGACAGTTTTGAAAAAAATCTTACATTTTCAGTGGTTCCTCTGTCTGGCAAATGAATCGTCTCAATTTTTACATAGAAATTCTCTTTCATATAATCGGGATTTGTGATTACGGTTTTACAATAAGGATAAGCGTTCCATGCTTCTTCGTGAATTGCCAATGATCCTTTTGGGGCAATCTTTCGAATGAGAGCGGGTACTTTTCTGGAAAAAAAACCCTCATTTTGAGTTTTTAAAGACAAAAAAATGCTCTGAATCATGAAACATCGAACCATGAATTTAAAAACTTTCAACATCTATCATATGAAGCTTCCTAACACCAAACTAACGTGAGACATCATAACTCAGGTCCAAAATCACTCCCAAAAGAACTAAAAACTTACGACTGAAGATGATAAATTTTGTGTGTATATTGTCCTTTGGTGAATTGTCCATTTAGTAGAGGAACATTATCAAATGGCTCATTTTTAAGCACTTCAACACCTTCTCCACCTCCAGTTTCAGCTTTTGACGCTTCCGCGACTGACCATAATTGTCCAACTTGATATTCTTCGACGGAAAGCGGAAGAACCACTCGGCTAGAAATTTTTGATTTTGAAAGATATTTTTGTTGAAATTCTATTCAAAAAATCTCAAAGTTTCTTTCACGTCAAAATTCAAAAGAACAAAAACAAGATTGATTTTCTATTTTTAGCTTCTAAAATTTCGTAATATTTTAAGATCAATAACCTTTTTAAAAAAAACTCACTATTCTTTGATAATCATCCTAAATATTGACTTTCGTCGTCACCGGAAAACTGAAAAAAATCAGAATAAAAAGGCGAAGAAGTGGAGCATGAAATAAATTATAAAAAGTGGTAACCAAGGAAACAGCGACGGAAATCGATAAATGACAAACATGCTAACATTCTTTCAGTCATTTTTTGGGGCCCAAAAAACAAATGGAAACGCCGCAGAAGGAGGGAAAAACGAAGAAGAAGAAGATGAAGCTGCATGTGGAAAAAAACGAAAAAAAGACAAAAAATTCTCAATTTTTGTGTTGGTCGTGACGAGTCTGCGCAAAATAGCGAACAAAATGTGGAGAGTGGAAAAGAAAAAGGGGGAAGAACAACGCATTTTTGCTGCTTTTTCGGGTGCATAAGAGGAATTTTTGCGGTTCTGTTGTTTTTACTGGAAGACCGAGGAAATTTGGAGATGATTTATGGAAACATGCGTTTTTTTGCGAATAAGAAAATGCTGCACTTTTATGACTTACTGATTTTCGGTGGAGAATGCACTATGAGACAAAAAAAGATAGAAATGGGGGGAAAAGAAACATTGCCACGTTAGCTGATAATATCTTCACGTGGATTTTTTTCATTTTTGTCGAAAAATGAGAAAAATGTGAGTTCATATATTTTAAAAATCATTTCATATTTATTTATGTGTTAAATTTATTTGATGACGCAACACATTTAATTCAAACAGTTAAGTAAGTATCAAAAATAGTTTTGAACGAGAAAAGGGCATGATAAAATCGATAACAATTTGTTTGTTTAAACATGACTAGCAAAAAATTATATATTTCTTTTTTTTTGAAAGTCACATTTCGGACTCGCGAGAGGAGACGAATTCGTTAAACAAATTGAACCTGGCATGGCGAAAAAGCAACTAGTTTATTTATAAATGTTTGCACATTTTTTGGAGAGTTTTCATTAGTTTGTGTCGTTTCGAAATTCATTCAAGATGTCATCAAAAATCGATAAATTCTTAGAAAGTGTAACATTGAATGATGATGACGATGACAAATTCGTTTATAGAGAAAACAACATTTTTTTCAAAATTTTGGCTGGAATCTCTTCAAAAAATGAAAATAAATGTGCTAAACTTGCTTGTTGAGCAGAAATAAACGAATTGTTTATCTGCGAAAACAGCAATTGAATAATCTAATATTACAACTTCTATTTACTTTTCACATGGAAATAAATATACAAAGAACAAGAATAGAAAATTGATGACAAAATGAAAAAAAATGAAATTTAAACTCACCTACGCAAAACGCAGCTGCCAAGAACATTGAAACCAAACATTTAAAAGATGTTTCGAGATTTTATCTCGAAATATGAATATCTCAGGTTTCTCGTTTCATTAACAATAATTAGGTTTTTCTTGACTAAACAAGTTTTTCTCGCAAAAAAGAAAAATGAATTTTCAAACGCGGAAATTGTTCGCCGCGAGACCCGTTTCTTACAGTAGTTTGAACCATCCCGCAAAAATAAGTTTTTTGAAAAAAGGTTTTTTTTTGCTTTTTTTCCGACTAGTATACTCTTCGTGAAGTGTAGTTGGAGAGAATTCTCAGGGTTCCCAACTGTTATACTTTTGATGTGATCTATTCTCAAAGTCAGAGTTAGAGTGGGGTTCCCGTTTTGAAGAAAAAATCCCCTGAAGTTACAATAAGCGTGTTAGATGTTCCAAAAATTGCAGCGCTCAAACCCTCAAAAAAAGAAATAAATAAATAAAAATTCACAAATACTTCTACCGTACCCCTCATCAAAGGCGTACACAATTTTTCTCCCGTGTCTCGCAACGCGCGTTGATTTTTCAAAAACGAAGCGGTGTTTGCACATTATTGATGGAAACATTTAATGTGACGCCAAATTTTCAGTGATTTCGTTTTTTATAAGGGGTAGACAAGCTTTTTCGATTGAAAACATTCATTTTGCAAGAAGTTTAAGAATATACTGTAATCCAACGACTTTGGTTGATTGAAATGCAGCCCGTAGATCTTTCCCGTCTCCAATAAACTGAAAATTATCATTTTTTAAAAGATTAAAACTTTATAATCTGAAAAATATATTACCTCTGCATTAACAATCACAAGTTTAGCCTCTTTCGTTTGACTTGCACAATGCGTCACAACAATTTCGCATGTTTTTCCTGGATCAATTGTTCCAAACACCGGATTTACTCTGAAAACAAAAAGTTTTTCGGGTTGTTTTTAAAAATTGTTTCTAAAAACTCACGAATAAGTTTTGTTATCCGATGATTTAATTTTGAACATGATTTTCTTGTTGAAATTATTGGTCACAATAATTGCGTTCTGTTCCAATGCAGCCAATTTGAATTCAAGACTTTCCTTATCAACTGTGATATAATTCTTTGGTTTTTCCACAACATCTTCTTTGTCAATTTGTTGTGTTTCTTGAGTTTTGAATGCTCGTTCTTCTACTTTTTCGTCAGGTTTCAGTTTTTCCTCGAATTTAATTTCTTTTTTCAAATTTTCTACAACTGATTTAGCTTTCTTTATTTCATCCTCCTCATCTTTTTTCGTTGGTTCAACTTCTTTTTCTTTTTCCTTTTCTTTTTCAGTTTCTTTTTTCTCTTCTCTTTCTGTTTTCTTTCCCTTCTCCTCTTCTATTTTTCTTTCTGTCTTTTCCTTTTCTTCATTTTCTCTTTTTGTCTTATTTTTCTCATCCTCTTCCACTTTTTCTTTTTTATTCTTTCCAGGTTTCTTCTGTTTAATAGCCCTCTCCGAATTCTGAGTTTTAGCTGGTTTTTCAGAATCTTCCAAAGTTGTGTATGCACTTATTGGACACGGTATGATCGCAACTTCTTCTTTTTTCTTTTTCGAACATACCAAAAATAAACTTGTTGCAAAAATTAGGATTGAAATATAGAAGATCATTCGGACTTAATAAAAAGCTTGGTTTTACAAATATTAAATGTTTCTTTCGGATGAAAAGTAGATTTTTATAGTAATTATACGTGGATTTTCAAATTCTAAATTTAGGCCACGCATAAATTCATTTCGACGTTTTTGTAAAATTAGAAATGATCTTTTGGCAAGCACATGACTAACTCCCACGTATTTGTCGACCAAAATAAGTTGGTCTAAATTTGATATCGAAAGAGTAGAGTAAGTTCAAAAACAATTTTTGATGTAGCGGGCGAAAAATACAAATACATAAAATCAAATCCGATTAAAAAACAAAACAATGTTGACATTTGGATTACGGTACTCTCCTCTTTTGACTTCATTCCGTTAAATACATCTTCCTCATTCATTCTATTTAAACTAAATGAATTCAAACATACCGAATCGACCAAAAAGACTAGTATTTCCTCAAAATGATCAAAAACTTGATCGTTTGAAAAGTAAAAGCTTAGAAGATCTAAATTCACCAACTGAGTGTGGATTTTATACACCAAGAGCAACTATCAAAGGTATATATTTTTATTGTACTTCGCTTTTGCTCTGTTGTTTTTGTCGATTTTCAATATTTTTGCCTGATTTTTTTCCAGACAAAGATGCTACTCGTGTTCCGAAAATCACATTTACGAGCAACGATTCGATCGATAATGCACCACCAACTTACAATCTCGGAGACATTCAAGATATTCTGAAAAGAAAAATCGAGAGTGAGTTTTGGATTTCAAAAATTTATTTTCGCGCGTGCATGAGTTTGCATTAGAGCGCGTTTACAATCACCAAAATAATTGAATTTATTTTTCTTCTTCACACCAAAAACTCCAATTTCCCACTTTGTTTGTATTATAATTTCGGCTTTTTTGTATAATAACGTTCCGATTTAACACATTTTCCTCATTTTCCTTTTCACCCTCTTAAAATTTTCGCATATTTCGCTCATCTGTCGTGTTGTCTCGTCCTTTCGAGTGTTGTGTTTGTCCGAGGAAAAAAAACAACAGAAAAACATTCATATTTTTTGGCATAATACGATACGATTATGGATACATTTAGCTTGTTGTCATCTGATGATCAACGCCGACTTTCGTCTGATGAAAAGGCGGTGAGGAGTTCCGGTAGGTTTGAGTTTTTTGTTGTTGAAAGTTCACTAATAAAATTAACTTTGAAGAAGAAAAGACGCTGAGACAGTAGAATATTCGCAAAATGAGGTCAAAAATACACATTTTTCTCAATTGTTGGACATTTCCCAAAAATCCCAGTAAACGTGGAAATCCTCTATTTTCTCTGCGTCTCCTTCTCTCTTTCTCGATTCGCACTTAAAATCCCGTATTTTCTGATCGTAGTTTTTCAAAGAACATAATTGATGTCTCAAAATGTTTCTAACATAAAATTATTTTTCTAATTTTTCAGAACCATTCTCAAAGGTGCGAGAAGCCAGTTCGTTTGGATCTCTCAATGAAGCAAGGTTGGTTTTTTTGTTTTTCAAAAAAAAATCTCAAATTTGCCAATAAAAATCGTTGTCTCAACCAAGAAAAAATCAATGAAAATATTAAAACCATCTTTCTTTTTTCAAAGCGGTTTATTTTCAAGCAACTCCTCGAGGAAAAAAACAATTGTTCTTTTTTTGCTACTATACATTTTTTATTATTAGTAACTTCTGAGAAAAATGGTATCGAAAAAAGAGTTGGCCAAAATTCAAAATTACCGGCGACAAAGTGAATTTTCGTATTTTTCGATGATGAATTCAAGGTTTTGTTTTCTCTTTTGTTGACAAAAAATGACGAATATGTATTTTATTTTATTTGAATTTATTCCAGAAAAAAACCACATTTTTGTGATGCTTTTTTTTTCAAAAACAAATTTTTTCAGAGTTCAATTTGCTCTTTCACAAACACCACCAATGAGTACAACTGGTCGTCAACCGAATTCCGAACCGAAAAAAGAGAATTTGCTATCATCTGGAGGACATAACAATCATACGCTTTCACCGGTTATTCATTGTTTCACAAAAGAGTGAGTTTTTCTGAAAACAAAGTTCTTATGAATTTTGAAAGTGCAAAAGTGTTTTTGAAAAACAACAAAAAATAAATGAAAAGAGATTACAAACTTAAATACATGTATTTATTTATGTTGTCGAGTGAGGTTGTTTCAATTTTATATAGAAGGTTTTGTTTTTTTTTTCTTTTTTTATGACAGTTTTGGGCTTTGGAGAAAAATATGTTTCTGTTTTGGGAATGTTCGCCAAACGTGGTTGATTTCTAATCAGGTTTTTGAACTTTGCCAATTATTTTTGAACATTTGGTTCAAATTATTTTTTGTTTGTAGTTTGATGAGTCAGAGGAAAAAAATTATTGAATTGTTCGAGATAGAAACGAACTATGTTTAGAGGAATGACTCGTTCGAATTCAACCAAAATTATGAAATATAAATTCTGTAATTGCTCTGAAAATCAGTAATTTCAAAAATTGTTCTCAAATTCGGTTTTGTGACTTTGGTAAATTTCAGTATGAAAATTGGCTTGAAAACAGTTCCCCTATGGAATTTTAGGTTGTGAATACAGTATGAATTTGATATGATCTAATATTTCTCTCAAATTCGGTCTTCCTCTTCTATTTTTGGCTTTTTTCCAAAAGTTTAATATTGTTCGATTTATCAAAAACAATATTTATTTCCGTCTTTTCTCATACAAAAAACAATCAAAGCACCCACATTTGATTTGTTGATTCTTCATCTTCTCCTAATGAACCTATTTGATCTATCCAGCCATATGAATCAATCAATCAATCAACTCAAGCGTGCAAAATATATAATCCATGATTTAATGATTAATCGATGATTAGTTCTTCGACAAATTCAATTTGTATGGTTCTTTCCCACCTCTTTTTCTTCCCTTTTTCTTTTTGTTTTTCTTCTTCATCTTCATTTTTGTCAATCTATCTATCTTTTGTATTCTTTTAACTGCTTCATCTTCTGACTTGTTTGAAATTACTATGATTGGACCATATTTTATGAGTCACAATGATAAGTCATCATCGGACAGTTTGCAGCAATTACTAGAAGAGTAAGTGGGACAAAGAAATAATTAAATGATAAACAAACAAAACTTTGTTTTTACGTTAGACGGGTTTGCATACTTCCGCGTTTTGATCTGTTTGGGCTTGGTGTCATCAGATCAGAGAACAGCCGAACTTGCAAAATTTGATCTCCACAATGATAAAAGTTCAGAAAGTTTATTTGACTACGATAGGGGTTTTAATACAGCCAGTTTCTGCAAATTATTCCCGGAAAATTCAAATTCCTTTTTTCGCAAGATGCTTCTCTTTTCCATGAAGAACATTGAGCGAATCAAGATGTTTGTCTACTGACTGTGTTGGTTTTTGAATCCTCCTAATCTGATTTCAACCTTGTCTCAATGAACATTTGAGCTTGACCTATCAATTAACCACCGAAACAAAGAACCATGTTTTCTTGAAGTTAGAAGATCTTCTCGTTTTCAACACTTTGCTTTCAAAAATTCTATCATTCTTCGGTTGTCAATATCCGTCATCGTTCTTTGATTTCAACTTGCAAATACACATTTTGTAGTTGTTTTCCTATTAAAACAATGAAATTTTCAACAAAACAAATTAGGTTTTGACCTATCAAATCATCGCCAAAAGTCATGTGAACTTCACAGTTTTTTCTTTGTCTAAATTTTTTGATGAAAGCGATAGTTTTGATTTTTGAACTTACAATTAACGAAAACGGAAAAAGGGTGCTAAGTAATTTCTGATATCCATTGGAAAAATATGAGAAAATGTGATAAAAGCAATACATTTGACAAACACTTTGTGTCAATCGACACATTTTCCATTTCTTTTTTTCTGTCAAAAGGCGAAAATAAGACAGATCATTATCATAGTAACATCATTTCATTACATTTCGTCCTTATTATTTTTCTCAAATTTATTTAATTCATTGAGGTCATTGTTTTGAACTATTCTTTTCTTTGACGTAGTTTTGTTAAAGATAAGAGAGCAGAAATGAAATACTTTATTGATATGTTAATTTTTGTTTGTCAAGACTTTTGCATTCTCGACAAAAACTATTTGAAATAGAGAAATAATAAAATAAAAATCGATAGTTGCTTTTTTGTAACCCCTTTTCCTTTCTGAATCATATTTTTGCGGCTCTTATCGCCAATATTTTTTCCATTTCGCTTTGCTCAATAAAAAATTCAATCTTGATCCTATTAAACGCATTTTTGATAAAAATCGTTTTGCTTCAAATTTTTCTCTCTTGAAGAATGAATTGAAAAAATTCATCGCAATGATTCATTTTTTGTACGATTTTTTCTGTAGTTTTTTTTTTGGAAAATCAGTTCCGCTTGAAATTTTAGTATTGAAATGTGGTCTGAACTTTGGTATCCCTCACCAGGTAACTTTTGAGTTTTAAATTTGATAAGTTAAATGAAATGACACTTTTTAGTCTAGACTTGGCTATCTTTTCAAACTAACTTTTTCCTTCTTGAGCCACGTCATAACTCATGATTAGTTTTGTCAAATCTAAATTACTTCTGCTTTTTCTCTCTTCGAAACACTTTTGTGTAATTTCGTCTTTCTCTTCAGAAAATATGCCAAAATCATATGATCCATCTCGGGTAAATCTATTAAAACAAGAGGCAGACAAACGTGTTTCTGCGTCGGTCGAAGATATTCGCGGCGCAATAAGTAATTGGCAAAATCTTCCACTTCAACAACAAACACACCCAAAAAATGGTTCAAATTGGCCAGTTCCACAATTCTATCTTCAACCACCTTCAACCATCCAAGGCGGATCGGTGAATGGTGAAAAGATTGGTGGAAGTTCGGCGGGTAGTTTGAATTCTGTGAGGATAACTGGAAAAATTGAGCATAAAAATGAGAGTGATGGACATGATTTAGGGTGAGAGTTGGTGGGGGATTTATAGGGAAAAACTATATTATTAGGGAAAAATAATTGGATGATTATAGATATGTTTAATTTCAGACATCGTGGCGAGTTGAATCTTTCCGAAAAATACAATTATGATTTGAGTAAAGCTCAATTGAAGGCAAGCAGTCGAACATCTGCACTTCTTTCTGGATTCGCAATGGTTAGTTTTTTTGTTGGAAATGAAAAATTAGTTTTTGGAACTTCCACGTCATAGCTCAAATGAAAATAATTGTAAATTTCGGCAAAAATATGACGTGGTATTAGGAGAAAATATTAAATTTCTCGACTTTTCTAAACTCATTTTACTGTTAGAATTACTTTTTGAAATTTCTTTGAAAATTTACTTTTATACCAAAAAAATTTGAATAAAATTTTTGAACAAAAACTTTAGAAATGAATGAATTATATATTCTGAAAAAAATGAATTTCAGCTGTATATTTACGAAAAAATATTTTTTTTAGGTATGCCTTGTTGAATTACAATATGCACCTGGAACTCCACCATATCTTCTGATCACATTAGGAGTTGTGACAAGTTTATTGGTGAGTTCAAAACCTTTCAACCCAAACGAAGATTTTCAAAAATCCCTACATTTTCCAGGTTTCTGTTCATTTATTAGCTCTTATGATGTCGACTTGTATTTTGCCTTATATGGAAGCAACTGGATGCACTCAAGACTCTCCACATATCAAACTGAAATTCTACATTGATTTATCGTGGCTTTTCTCAACTTGCATTGGTCTTCTTCTTTTCCTCGTTGAAATTGCGCTGATTTTTTGGATGAAGTTCAGAGATACGAAAAATGAATATATTACGATTGTGACGACTGCGATTCTTGTTCCGGTTGGAGTTGTTTTTGTGGTTTTCAGTTATTTGATTCACAAAAGTCGAGTTTCGCATTCATTGGGAAGATTTAAAGATAAGGTGCGTTATTTTTGTGAAATATGATAATGTGTTATGACGTGGATTTTATAAACAAAATTTTTTTGACCAGAAAAAGTTCCTGCATTTTGGAACTAAATTTTGAATTTGGTTTCTCAAAATTTAATTTTCAGAAAATAAAAAAAAATCACGAAAAATTCCTAAAACTGTTGGAAAATATTTTCTCTTCTAAAAAAATTATCTATATATTCTCAGAGTTATGCTAATATTGATATTTTTCCAGGTCGATACAATGAAACAATTTCTTGATGTTGAAGCAAGTTTACCAAAAAGTGTTATCGCTTCTACAATTCATGATGTTTAAATCCCCATCTAGTTTTTCTTTTTCTTCTTCACTTATCCTTCCGGGTAACAAAACAGTTTCGAATTTCTTGACAATTTTTAAAACAACTTTTGAAAACGGGTTCATTATTTTTTTTTGCTTCATACATATATATTTATATTATATTTACACAACCAGTTGAAAATGGAATGATTTTACAATTTTTAATAAATAAATTAATTGAATATTATCACGAACTATGGACTTAGTTCATTTCTGTCTGGCGACTTCAAAAGCAATAATTTTCCAGTTTCTTGAATACTCATTCTTTGTCGACATTCAGCACCAAGAGCGCGTTTTTCGCGACGCGAATTCCAATATTTTTCGCAACATTCGAGAACACTTCGATTTGTATAGCAAACTATTAAAGCAACAAAAAGACCCTGAAAAATTAGAATTCATGAAAATCTCAGCTCAAAATTAACAAATACCTGTAACCCATTCAATGAAACATCAATTGTTTGATAAACAACATTTCTCAATCGATAAATTGTCAACAATTGTTGAACTCCGAAAACTGGAATGAGCAAAAGAGCACCGCGAACTGCTTTTCTGCAAAAAAATGTGTTTTTTTTTGGAGAGTTTTGAATTCGGCCAATAATCTGGGCATCACCTGATTCTTTTTTTTTACTTTCAAAAGTAAAAAAAAAGAACCAGAAAACTTGTAATTTAATATTCAACAGGAGTAAAAAGATATCGAGGTCCGGAAAACATGACAATTTTTTGACCGCGGATTTTTGATATTTTGGTTTGTTGACTTGAGAAAACTAGAGACTTTTTCAGATCGAAAATGATAATAATTCCATAGTAATTAAACTATCGCAAAAATCTGATTGTGAGATACCTACAGTAATCCCAACCCAGCTCAATCCATTTTTCCACTTACCTATACTGCATTCTCTCCAAATGTGGATCACATCTCAATTTTTTCACAAGAATATACATAACCAGTGTCAGAAGAAGCACATTTACCTAACAATAAATTTTTATAACTCAAAAGTGATTTCAAACCCACCAGCATAGCCAAAAGTGATGGCAGAATAATCATCCACTCAATCCATAAAACGGATGAGTTTTCGATCCAACAAAGTGATTGATCATCATTCAATCCTCGAACCATCATATAAATTGCTGTGATTGTTGCCGGAACACCTGGAACTTTAGAAGTTTGTCATACTCTTGAGGATCTAAATCCTACCCCAACAGATTAATTTATAAATAAGAAGATTATCTCCATCAGATTGTGCTGTATGCAATAATCGATAAAGATAAACACCTTCAGCAAGCATCCAGGAAAAATTCGAGATTCGAAGGAATCTAAGTTGAAGTGAGAATATGAAACGGCAAAGGATCTACAAAAATGTGTTAATTTGGTGTGAAAAAATGGTTATTCAGTAACCAAGAAGGAATTGAAAAGAATATGAATTAACTAACATTGTCTGTAGTATGGTCACTATTCAAGTTCAAATAAACTACAGCTGTGAATACATTAATAGCACCATAAGCCAGGAATGAAATCAGGAGATGACGATGTAAAATGAACATTGGTTGAGTGCGAATTGGTCTGAAAGACTTATTTTGAATTTGAATCTTCAAATTCTTGCTGACCTCATCAAAGTTAAAAGCAGAACCGCTGGCAAAACAACCACAACACTGATTGTATAAGTGATAACTCCGGCGGAAAATACAATCTCGATTGCACTCTGTAAAAATTGATTTTTCAGAAGTTTTAGAAAGTTTTTAAAGACAAAAAGTATCAGAATTTTCTAAAAATATTTTAGGTCCTTCCAAAACTAATCCACTCACCGTTTCAGTACAATCCTGATAATCTGTCCAATTTCCTCTCCATCCATCTTCTAGACATATTCTTTGTGATTTATGATATCCATCATTCAAATCTGGTCGAAGACCACCGTAAATGTAAGATGGACATGTTTTTTGATGAACTTCTCCTGGTTGACTTGCCGCAAAACAGTCATAACCATCCCATGTTGAACCACATCGCTCTTTTGATGCTGCAAGAATTAAAAAGAATACAATTGTTGAAATTAGAATTGAGTTATGACGTGGAAACAGTACTTCTGGGTTTGAAAAAAAAATGAAATATGGATTTATAATTTATTTTAAAAAATGTGCTCTTATATAGTTTGGAAAACTTGTGTTCACTTTTGCTCAATTACTCGAGCTCAAAGGAGTTCAGCAAAATGTGAGTACAAGGTTTTGCCATAAACTCACGATTCTCAATTTGATATTCACAACAACTTTTTGCCGCACTACAACATTCTTGTGTATGAATCTCGAATCCAGGTGGCAATGATGGATTTTCCATGTGCAAATATTTGATGGGTGTAATCGCATCCCTGCAAATTTATATTTTTTCATTTTGATTCCCATTCTCCTTTCCTTTCCTTTCCTTTATTTTCCAATTTTAAATCCCCGTTTCCTTTTGAAAAAAATTGAAATAAAAATATTTCGTTCGTTCTCAAACATTTTTCTTTTTCCGTTCGTTCGCACAAAAAATGTGCGAAACGACCGACGAACGGAAGCTGTCGGCTTCAAATAGGTTTTTTTGCTCATTTTGTGCTGAATGGGTGTCTTCTTCTGATTTTATTGTGAGATACAGGAAGAAGGATGGGAGGCCGTGAAAAAAATGAGAGAGAGAGTTCAAAGAATTATTCAAGAAGATGCTACACGTCATGGGACTTCAGACTATTTGAAGATTCAAGATTTCCAAACCAGGATTATTGTGGTCCCGTTTGAGATAGACTAGAGTACCAAACGAGTTTCATTTTCTGGGTGGTCCTATTCAAAAATTTATGAGGTCTTCTGAAAACACTTCACTTTGATTTTTTTTCTGAAAACTTTACAATTATTTTCTCGAATTCCCCTGTGAAATTCAAATGTTGCGAGTGATTTTTTGAACTTTCCAGCTCTTCGATTTTTTTTCTCAGGTCAGCTGAAAAGTCTTCCGAAATCTCAATCATTTTGCAAGAAAAATCCATTTGTCATATGCCAAAAAATCCCCTCTGGAAAAAAACCCGTCGGAAAGTTTTTAGTTTCATCCTCTCTTGTTTCAACGCGAGCAAAAAAAAAAGAGCATCATGTGTTGCCAAATCGTTGAAATAGTGTTGAATTCGAGGAGAGTGCAGACAAATAAGTGAACCTTTTTTTGCGGTTATGAAATGAAACATTTTTCGAGGAGCAGAAATAGCTTTGCTTTTTGCTTTTGACAAGTTCCGGTTACATCTGGAGACTTAGCAAGAAAATGTGATTTATGAAGAAAAAAATTCAGAATTTTTATTGCTTCAAGATGTCTTTGAAACTTTCTGAAATATTTTTGAAACATCAATCAAAAAAAGAAAAGCGGAGGTCTTTCTGAAACATTTTTTTCTCGAAAAACCGCCGCTGAAAATGCGTAATCCTCTGGGAATTTGATGTCAGACAAAAAGAAAAAAGGGGAATTTAGATAGATGAATTTGAAAAGTCGAACTAAACTAATTCGATTGCAGAAAAAGAAAGAACATCTCAAAAATCAACTTGTCAAGTTGTTCTAACTAACTTGTACATAAATAACATAAATTCAATTTTCTGAAAGCCCTCCATGATTTTTTTTGCTGCTCTCAGGCTGGAAACAAATCTAATTATCCTTTTTATTTCATGTCTAATGCAAAGCCAAAAAGTTCTTCAGATTCATTTTTTGTTTCAAGAAAAAAAAATGTTTTTGCAGAAAATGTGAAGTGTTCATAAAAATAACCACTTTGACCTGCCTGCTTGACCAAAATTGCTTCTTTTTTATTTTGGACGAGAGAAAATGTTGCGCCTTTTTATTATTAAATATGGCTGAGCGACAAAGGAAATTTTGGAGAAAAAAAGGAAAACGGAAATATATTTTTTGTGTGTGTACTTTTTACACGTCTCCTTTTAAATAGACAATTTTACAGCGAGGTCAAAGTTTATACGGATTGCTCATATTAGAAGAAAACTTTAGACTAGTTGGCGTGAATATGGTTACTGTTGACCAGTCAAGTGATATGGGTTGCTCATGCTAACAGGGTACGAACGTAGATAAAAAATCTGGGTAAATCCAGATTGCTCATTTTATAATTTAAAACGAGAGGGTTACTGTAGATCATAGTCGTCTACTTAAATGGATTGCTCAAGCTAAACTCAGAATACTCCACGTCATAACTACTAGAGAACTATACAGCCAAGTTATACCAAGACAATTAAACCTAGATTGTTGCTATAGATCAGAAAGATTGCTCATATCAAACTCAGAATACTCAAAAACAAAATGACGTGAAAATTATTATGTATATCAAGTGTCCTGTGAAATCCCCGTGTCAAAACTAACCTGTTAAGTGAATATTCTGGAACATTATAAACATATTTCCGATTTCCACAATGACATTCTCCAGTTGTCCGATATATGTGATCCGGGCAAATCATCAAACCATTCGGACACATTCGAATCTTATATCTGCAAGCAGAAAAAAACACGTAGATCAAAAAATAGTGTGTGAAAAAAATTGGCTCAATCAAAATGTAGGCACTTTTCGGCTAATTGTACAATTTTGTACCAAGGTTCAAAAAATCACGTAAAATAAAATAAAAATAAATGTTGCGAGGGTAATTTGGTCGAGCAAACTACACGGCAATTTACATACATTTCCACGATTTTTTCAAGTTCGATCTTTTTTTTTCCAAAATAGAAAAAAGTTTTCGCCACATGCTTATTTCCGGCTGCTCTTTGAACCGAAAATATTTTCACTTTTCACTAGAAAACAAGTATTTTCATATTTTTAAATTTTTTTTTCAGAAAATGAGAATACATTTGGGCTCTTTATTTTTAACTTTTCAAAAAGTTTCCAAACCCCAGCTCCAAATTCTTAACTTTAACTACTTTAGAATTGAAATTCAATAATCAAAAAAGAATCAGAACCCAAAAACTCTAGACTTACGAATGTTGATATGTGTTGACATTGAATAGGAATATGAAAAATAGACAAGCCGAGCAGGAAAATGATTCGAATTGGTTTGGCAGAGCTTCGCCATGTTTACTGAATTGACACATTGTGGAAGAATTCAATCCTACCGTATCCGGATAAAGTATACTCAAGTGCTGCATCTTTTTTAGAACTCTGAAAAAATCTATTTTTATTTGAAATAATATTTTTGAACTATTCCAAAAACAAACAAGAGAACAACGAAATAATCTACAAATATATCTAAACCCATAATTTATCTCTGACTGAATTCAACTGAAAATAGAAAAAAACACGAGGAGGGAAAGAAGAAAAAAGAAGAAAGAATAAGTGGCACAAAAAAGTGGGCGGCGCTTATTTTGGGAGGAACAAAATGAGATGGGAAAAAATGAGAGAGAGAGACAGAAAGATCAGCTATTTTTGTCGAGGAAATTCGAGAGTACGGTAAGATACTGTATCTGATATTGCTCAGGTTAAGCTCAAGCAATATAAAAAACTATCGAGTTTCAAAGGTCGTAGATTTCAAAAGTGAAAATTTCGTAATTTCAAAATGGTCGACTCTGTACTTCATTGGAGTTTTGGAAACTTTCAGAGCCGAGTAAGTAGCCTCTGGCAAGGAGCCGTGACTTGAGAACTTGTATACCAAGTAGCCAAGCCTATGAACCCTAGTTCTCAGCTTTCCAAGTTGCATTTCCCTCCGAGAACTGCAACTTATTGAGTCAAATGAAAAAATAGTTGAAAAATTGTTTACAAACATAGACTTGAAAATGAACATAGATATAAAAAATTCAGCAATTTCTTCCAAGAAGCTTTCTGAAAACCAAAAAAGAATCTGTTGTGAATCTTTTATCTTGTGATCTCGCGTCAAACTCCAGGGAGACAAGCACTTCAAAAATATGATGTTAGATTTGTCTATTTTCGAAAATAAAAAACTCGAAAACAGTGCATGTCATAAGTCCAACAAAATCTATTTTCATCATTTTTGTCTCGCCTAATTGATCCCACGTGGAATTGATAGATACCGTAATTATTTCGAAATTCTCAGTATTTTTATTGTTATCATAATATCATAGATATTTCTATTATTAACATTTTTCTTGGCTAAAATCAAAACAGATAGTACATTTTTGAGAGAGGAAATTAGATTTTTTGTATATTTTGGTACAAAAAAAGAGAGCACTTTATGTTAAAGATTCTTCCAATTGCAGCCAATTCGTTTTTGGTTTAAAAATGAGAATATTTTTCAATCTCGAGACTTTCCTGTTTTTTTTTGTCTGGGAACAATAATATATTTTTTTGGATAATTGAAAGAAAAATTGGTTTTTTTGAGAAATATAATACGTGGCTTCCGGATTCAAAAAAAAAACAAATTCGATGATAAATTTGGACCGTAATTTGGAGAATTTTCGAATTATCTGTATTTTATAAAATAATTTGGAAAAATTGATAAAAAACTTTTTTCAAATATTGATTTTTACACGTCATCTCATAATTTCGCGTCAAAAATGATCTACAGTATCCCTAGTCAAATTTGGTATTGAAGCACTCGAATTTTGATGTCAAAGGTTCCTACAGTACTCTAGAGCATGGAAAATTGAGAGGAAAAAAAATGAGACGAACTATTCCCGAAAAATTCATTATGTTCCCTATATCGCTCAAAATTTACAATGTTTTCTCATTTCCTTTTTTATTTTATTTATCCTTGTTTTTGTGCCCTTTCAACGAAAGTTCAATTAATTTTCAAAGCCATCCTATTTTTCCGCGTTAAAAATAAATATCTAAACTTTTTTTGTTCAAAAATTCAGAGGCCAGATGGGGCGAAAATTCAATTTACACGTCTAACAAATTTGTTTCGAACTTTTGCTCGGTTTCTTTTTTTGTGAGTTGAGTTCAGGTCAAAAATACATCGGTTGAAATTTGTCGAAAAGTATCGGGTATCTATTTGTGTGTGCGCGAGAAAAAATTGGAAAAAAAAAAGGGGGGGGGGAATATTTGGAGACGAACAAAAACTAATTTTTTTGAAACACAAGAGGAGGAAAAAATGGAAAAGTAAATATCTAACCAGAAATAGAAATAAAAAAAGAGAAAAAGAAAAGAGGAAAAAACAGGCTAAAATTGATTTGATCGGGAAATTGTTGAATATTTTATTGAGGAATTTCGACTGCAAGAAATACCGTAACCTAGATTCTTTGTCGCAAAAATCACATAAAGCCTAGATGGATTAAATTTAAAAAAAAATACAAAAAGGGTACTGTGAAAACGGAATAAATCTTTAAACTAGAAAATATTTTTGAACGACAGAAAAAAATAAAAAATGGAGGGAAAAGGTAGATCAAAAAATGAATACTCCTCCAAAATGTTCCCTGTCGTTCAAAAATATTTTCTAGCTGAGAGATTCATTCCATTTTCACAATACTAAATTACAGTTTGTGAAAACCGGGTCACATTCAAAACTCCCTATTTTTATTTGATAAAAAAATACAATTTTCCCAAATTTGCAAAAAACGGGATATCCATCTGTTTTTTTTTGGCAAAAAAAGCAATTTCACATTTTTCGGGAACAAAAACCAATATTTATCTGGATATCGAAAAAAAGTTGGAAAAATTTTTAAGCAAAAAGTCATCATAGACGTAATTATATATGTAGTGGTAAACAAAATGTTTTTTCTTCAAGACAAGAAAAATCAAAGAAAAAATTGGCAGATATCAATGTGATTATTATATATTTTATGCTACTTATTTTTACAGGATTTTTGGTGATTTATTTATTTTTTGAGTTGGCGGAAAGACAAAAAGCACATTGCAATAAGCCGACTTTGTTACTAGGCAAAAATTCTATGAACTTTTTTCACACAAAAAGAAGAGCCGCAAAATTTTTGATACGAAAAGCAAATGTGTGTGGAACCACGCACAACAAAAAACAAAAAAGGATTAGAATTTCAGAGATCCCCCCATTTTCTTAAAAAAAAATTGGGCACAACTTTTATCCCTTCCTTAAAAAAAGACAAAAAGTTAATTAAAATTCACACAAAAAATATTTATGAATGAGAAATATATTTATTCTGGACTTGGACTTTTTTCAGAGAATACAAAGAGCAAACAGATAAAATGATTCAAAATGCATGGTTTTCTCACAGATACGAATTGAATATTAATTGAAAACTATTATCATTCAAAACGATGTGATTCGATTAAATGTTTAAATAAAAATCGAAGAAATGAAAAGAAAAATAAAAATGTGTGAAAGTCTAGGTGGTCAATACTCCACATGGAGAAATCAACTGTTTTAAACAACACTTTAATTTCCGCTCTTTGTAACGCCACACTGACTTTTTCTACGTCTAGCATGGAGCTGGAGAGCGAACTCGAACTGGCAACACTCGACACGAAAATTCAACACACTACCACTGCGCTAGTCATACACTCCTCACCCATAGGCTGCCATCGCTGTTTTGTTTGTTCGGTCGGTTTTTTGAGATGGAAAAAAATGAGAGATAGAAAAAGGAATTTTTGGTTTGTTTTTGCAAGTGTTTTGAAAACAGCAATTCTACCTCAAGTTATTCTGAGACATTATGTTTTCGAAAAAAACTCACATATAAATCCAGAAACAAATATTTTTGATCAAAAATTGTTGTCTATTGAAGTTTCTATTTTTACCGAAAAAAAACTCAAAATGAAATTGAAATTTTGTTCTATGAAAATTATGATAAATAAAAAGTTAAAATATTTGAGACGTGACTTTATTGAATTCCAAGGAGTGTTGTTTTATTTTCTACTTATTTCTATTTTTAGTCATTTTTCAGTTCATAAATTATTGGAGAATCTAAAATCCAAACTTAATAGGCCATGAAATCTTTCTTTATATAAGTGAGCAGTGTATTGATCTCAGAATTTAGAAACTTGGTGAAAAAAAAGAAAAAAAAATCGAATCTGAATACGGTAGAGAGAAAAATGTGCAAACACACTACACTTTGACGATATTCTGCAGACTGTTTTTTTGTTTCGCGCGCGGGCGGAATTCCGGAAAGTTTGTTCTAGGCTGTGGAACACGACGTTCTTTCTTGTCAAATTGTTCATTTTGATTCTAAAATCGGCCGAACTACTCGAAAATATCGCGACTATTCTTATTTTTTCTATGTTTTCCGTAAGGCGTGTTAGTTTTTCAGAAAAATTCGAACAAGTCAAGTTTTCTATTTTAAACCGAGAGCCTATCAATAATTACTTAGCCTCTATCCAGAAAAGGTCAGGGACTCACCGAATGGACTTTTCTATAACTTTGACAGTTTAAAAAAACCACGTCATAACTTTTTTTCGAGTTCTCCATTCTATTTAGGATCTTTCAAATGATCATCTAGTAGGTTTTTATAAACTTACCAAATGTATATTTTCCCCAAACCTTCCACTTAAGTACTTTGCGCGCGCATCTTTTTTGTATATGGCCTAGAAAACCTAAAGTTGGCCGAAGTTGTGTGAGCGACGCGCAGTAAAATTCAAAACTTGTTTGTTTGTTTGCACCTTGCTTATCACTGTATTTTTCAGCATGTCTAACACAAAGAAAAGGAAATCGGATGTTAATGTAAGTTCATTTATTTATTGATTTCTTATCTCAATATTTATCAATATATATTTAAGATTGACACATGTGGAACATCATCTTCGGATCCAAAAAAGGATAGACCATGGTTTCACGACGATCCATTCAATATTCAACCATCGAACGATGCAAAAAGTTCTCGACGGAAATCTTTTCTAGGAAATATGCTTCACAAATTGAAACCATCGAAAGATTCTCACAAATCGATGTCGAAACTTGAATCACTCAATCATAGTGATGCACATTCATCTATCAATAGTGAATCGGTAAGGTTTCTCTATTTTTATAATTATTGACCGAGATTGTTTCTTTCAGAGTATCACATCAACGGAAAGTAGCAAGATTCCGAACATCGAGAAGAATGCGGGTCTTCGAACATTTGTAAATCGAGACTCATTCACTCCAGTTCCTCCAATTGATGATAAAAATGAAGATGCACTTTCGACATCTTCAAAAATGAGCGTTGAAACTGCCGATTCATTTAATCTGAATGACGCAATGTGTCATAATGCAACAACAAGTGTATTTTGCACCCCATCTCGAACATTGAACCGAAATTCGAATTCAAGAATATCAACTCGAAGTGTTCCCGATCATCACGTTTTTCAAGATTCTGATGAGAGTTCGGCAAATATGTTTAATAGTTTATGTAATAGTGTTCGACGAGCTCCATCGACAAAATCAGAAGGCGGCGGAGTAAATTCGATGTTTGGATCACAAGCGATGAGAAGATCGGGAAGATTACAATTCAATAGGAGACACATGAATGCATCAAATATGGAAGATGTTCCTGAAGAAGAACCATTAGCATCTGTTACGCCAGCACAAACTCTGTGTAATGAGGATGGGGATGAAGAAGTTTTTGTAAATGGCAAGGAATTTTTCGCCGATAATACTACTGAATCAAATGACACAAATCAGAGAACATCCATCGATTCGAGTCGTTTATCAATCGCATCGGAACATCGAAAAACACCTGGAAGTGTTGTGAGTTATTCGATATTTAATATCTAATTAATACATATTTTCAAGTAATAATTGAAATAATAATATTTTAGGGTCGCAACAATTCGATTCTCCGCAAAATTCTTCCTTCAAAATGGAACCAAAAAGAGCGCAGAACAAGTGAATTGGGCGATGAAGCCGTTCGTGAAGCAAATGATCGAAGATTGTCGATCATCTCATTTGGCGCGGAAGAAAATAATGGAATTGATATGACGAATAATTCGGAAAAAAATTGTGAAAATGAGAAAGAAAACAACATCTTCTTCAAATTTAACACAACGTCTTTCATCGGTTTTTAGAAGAGGTTCCAATAACTCAGCTGTTATGAAAGATGGTAATTTTTCCCCATTTATATATCTACATATAACTAACAAAATATTTGTTATAGATGATATGAGTTGCATCAATAAAAGTTCGAATCGTCGAAGTACATTGACTGGTTATTCATCAATTTCGTCTGGAATTGGGAGCATTGCGAGTGAAGTTTCGGAATTTGGAAGTTTTGGAGGAACTATTGGAAGAAGTGCAAGTGTATCGAGAAATGGATCGAAACGAGAAACTGATAAAGGTATGTTCAAAAAGCATATAAATTGTAAATTTTACAAAATTACCAACATCTAAATGTTTTCCAGAACGAACCCGACGATTCCTGAAGAATGTGGTGATATCTGATATTCCAGCTGAAGAATTGCTGAAAATGAAAGTTGAACAATTGAAAAGAAGAAAAGATCGATCGATTGATGAAGAATTTGAAACACAATTAGATGAAACTGGATCATCGACTTCTTCAACAATTCAAGAATTATTGAATTTTGATGTGGTTGCATTAGATATCAATGTTGATGGAACACCTTGTAAGTTTTTTATCTTGATAAAATTCTGATCGCTTCAACTTTTATATCTCAACATATAAAAACCTCTTTTTTCCAGATTCCAAAGTTGGAGAAGTGATGATCAATGCTGAAATCTCGAAAAAAATAAAAGATGAAATGAGATCTGGATATCGATCAGATAAATGTGGAACAATTGTTGAATGCGATCCAGATATTGTATTTGTGTGCTCATCAACTGCTCAAAATAAGGTCAATACATCATTTGCAGTTCGAGATCTGGATGAATCTGTCGTATCGAGAGGTAAATTTTGAATTTTTGTAGTTTTATAAAGTTCTGATCATTTGCAGCAAGTGTGACACAATCAGTTTTGGTTAATGTGAGAAATTCAATCTCGAAATCCATTGAATTGTGGAATTCACAAGCATTGAGCAGAACTTCATCAACTTTGGTTAGTTTTTCTTGGCTTAAATATCTGATGATTAAAAAAGTTTGTTTTCAGTTACTTTTCCCAATGTTTTGCTCGTCGGAAGAAGAATGGGATGCAAAAGATACAATTGAGGCTATTTATTGTATGCTCGACGCAATGTTAAATACCAAACGGTGGAAAACGGTGAGTTATAAGAAGTTATAAAAATAGATGATTTTGGAAAATTGATACTTTTAGAATATCATAATTCCAAAGTTGGAAACGTTAAAAATTTTGTTTCTAATTATTAGATAATTTTCCACTGGAATGGAAATTACAATGTGATTACGATTAATTTTTACTACCCAATTTGTTCCTGGCCAATTTTAACAATTTTCAAAAAATCTCTTCTTTCGTTTTAATTTTTTTCCAATATTTTCATCAGAAAAATAATTTTCAGAACGGACGAGTTATTTTGGCTGGTTTGACATCAAACAATGTTCGACTTCTTCGTGAAAAATATAATGAAATGAAATTATCGATCATTGATGATTGCGAATTGCCAGAAAATGAATCCTCAATAAGTAACACATCTGTTTTAGTAACAAAGGTTTGATTTTTCTTTGTTTGACCCCACCATTTTCTCTCCAAATATCAGAAATTTCGCCCCAATTATTTATTCTTCTCCCCGCCGACCACCTTTTTTCCTCTTTCTCTCTGAATTTTTATCCTTTTTTGTTTCTTCTTTAAAAATGTCTTGTCTGTAAATAAATTTTGATGATTTTAAAAAATTCGCGGGATTCTCAAAAACAACAGATGTGCAATGAAAAACACATTGAACTTTTTTTCCATGATTTTTTTAGCTGCTCATTCTCTTTTTTCATTTTTCGGCTCGTTTATTACACTCATTTCATCTTTTTCACTTGTTTGTTTCACAAGGAAATCCCTTTTGTTTGAAATTGGCTGAAAATTATGAGAAATTAATTTTAGGTTATTTTGCAGTTCCAAAAAGTTCAATTTTCAATTTTTCTCAGAACAAATCATGAATGATGAAAAATTGCGAAGTCTTTTTGCATCTTTGGCAACTTTGACACAACAAGGACCAATTCCAGGTTAGCAGTTTTTGGGGGAATTTTTAGTGACATGGAGTTTTTTAAAATTTTGGAAATCGAAGAGACATTTTCCCAATGTTTTTTTCTGAATAATAACATATGTGGAAAAACATCTTCGGAATCAAATACTTCAAAAAATTATCAGAAGTTTATATCCCAAATGACTTGAAATTTGAAAATCGACGAGACAAATGTTCATTTATTTTCACAGTTTTCACAAGAAGTGTCCCGATGTTTTTCGAATTAAAAATTTGAATTTCAAAATTTTTTGAAACCCATCTTTTTGATAACTAATGTTTCTAAAATCTATCTTTTTTTGCAGTTCAAGCCTACAGTATGCTAGCTGGTCAACATTCAACAGAAGTATTAGCTGAACATATGAGATTAAGATGGTTATCAGATGGAAGATTTGGACCATTGGCTGCAAATATTTTGACACATATTCATAAAGGAGATACAAAGGATATATCATTATCATCGAATGTTTTGGCACTTTTGTTAAATGATTATCGAAATCGACTTTCTGTTCGAAATGATTCAAGATTGATGTTTAGAAATAGTGTTAAAACATTGTTTGCGTAAGTTTATTTTTGAGTTTTGGAACGGAATATTTTGCGGGGAAAATCCACGTTGAAATTTATGAAAATTCAATTTTTCAAATACAAAATTCTGGTAAAATTTCACGTGTTAGAATTTTTGTTCCTCAAAAGTGAACAAATTTTTCGAATCATGAATCCAAATTATATTTTTTTAAAAATCAAAAGTTTACAGAATGTATCCGATTTACGTGAAAATGGATGAATGTGTCTCAAAAAGTTTTATCAAACCAATGTTTTCATCTTTGGATGCTTTGATTGATGATGGACCAGATACTGAAGATCTTGAGGTTTCATTTATTTTTTGGATCTATTGTTTTATCAACAAATAATTTCAGACAGCTGGAGTTTTGTTAAGCGAAAATGGTGGTGTTTTACATGAATTGAATTCATATTTAGTCGATCGATTGATTGTGAAAATTCGACACAAATTAATGTCTGAAGAGGAAGTTGTTACAAAACATGTTCGACAATTGTTTTTGCATGTAAGATTAACATTGTTGATCTTTGGAAAAAAAATTTATTAAATTCCAGGTTTATGATTTATGGGCATTTGGGTGGAGCGAATTGAATATTCCGGAATGTTTATTGACTTTGGAAGCAAGTGGAAAATTATCGATTGATGGAGGACCACAAAGAAAAAATGATATAAATAAACAAGAATTTGGTAGTAAAGAAAGTATTATTTGATGTAAATATATTTTTTTTTGAAAAAAAAATATTTGGAAATTTTTCAAAACTTTGGGTTCAAAAAGACTGATTAGAAATCAGAAGGTTGAAAAAATTAGAAGAAACTACAGGAGATTTGAATAGATTCAGGGTTACTGTAGTTTTCTTGAAAGCTGAGAAAGCTTTGCTGAATCCTGAAATACCTTCAGAAACGGTGACATCAACTTGAAGAGGTCCCTATTTTCCGGAAACATAAAAACTTTCAAGATTCTGAATAACAAAACAGTTTTTTTTGTTGTCATTTTTCAAGAGAACCAAACTCTCTGATCCAAATCAATGTTTAGTTCAAAATATCATGTAGATAAAACAACAAATCAATTTCTCAAATTTCATGTCCTTTTCGATGTTGTTTGATACAACTGCTCTCATCTTCTTGCTCTTTTCTTCTTTTCTTCAATTTTTTACAACTATTTTGTCAGCTCATTTTCTTCCTCCCACCATTATTTCACTAGTCAATACATTTTCATCGACATTCGTTTCGATTTCTTTTTAAATTGATTTGCTTTTTTATTTCTTTGTGTATGTTAGAAAAATAGCTAATCAGAATTAGCTCCAATGACTTTTTTTTATTAGAAATGCCGGAATGCAAGAATACAACATTTTTTATTCAGCAAAAATTTCAACGATTTTGTATAGAAAATGAATAACATTAAAAGTGTTCATACCAAGCGAGTTGAATATTATAAAAATCAAGGGAAATCAAGGCGAAAAACCTATAATCATAGTTTTTTGGTTCTTGGTGAAAAGTTTTGAAGTTTGTCTTTTTGACATCTTTATTCTCGAGGATTCTCTACTTTTTGCAGCAGAAATTGTGAAATTTGGTTAAGAATGAACGATTTTAGCATTTTTTGTGAAAAAACGAAAAATGGTTTTGGGGTTGGGAAAAATTCACAAAAGTCGTGTTGTCTGGCGTTCTCTCTAACACTTTTCTATCTCTCATTTTCTCTCCTTTTCTCCCGTCTCTTCTAAAAGCAACACTCTCTCGTTTATTTTTTCAATTCGGTTTTTTTTTCGTGAAATCAGGAAATTTCACGATTTTCATCGAGAAGATCATATATGAGAAGATAGAGAATAACAAATAAAAGACAGAAAATATTAAAATTGTAAAATTTAAAATTAGAATTTATTTTTCTCGAAAAACTCAAACTAAAAATTGCCAATCTTTCAAACTAAAAATTTCACATGAAAACTGGAAGAAGATATTGTTTTTGTGGTTTTTCTTTTTTGTATCTCTATTATCCAGAATTTTCCGAAATCATCTATTTTTACAACTTCTTATAGGAATTTTATATAATCCCAGAGTGCATTTCATCAATTTCCAAATATTTTTAGGCTTGAACTTTTGGGATTGGGACTACATTCGAAGACAATTGAGAGATCTAGAGAGGAAATATTTTTTATTTTCTGAAACAATAGTTTTGAGCTTTCACATAACCCTGCTCTTTCCAAAATTATATCAAAAATCTTTTTAAAATCAGATAAGAAATATAATGCGACCTAACAAATTATCACATCAAATCCTCTCGTTTTTTTCACGACTAAAACCTAATGCTCTTTCAATCAATCATTCTGTCTGCTCTTTTTTCCATATGTTTTTTCTTGTTTTTTTCAAAACCAAAAACTCGGTCCGCTCCAATTTAAAAATAATAAAATATTGAAAACACCATGTGTTTCTCCTCGTAAAAATCTGTTTTAAATTTCCAAAATTTTTCAGATTCGTAGAATTTATGAAAAAATAACAAAATGTTGATATCATGAAGAAACATACTCATCATAAGGTTTGCATATTCATTTTTGGAAAAGTTCTGAATTATATATTTTTAGGCATATGGTGATTCAACAGGAAGAGAACCATTGATAGATTTAGAAATTATTCGAGAATGGCTGGTTTCATTTGGAAAAGAAGGTCATTCTTCTGAAGCTATTTTGAATATTGTTGTTGGATTTGGGGTAAGTTATCTATTCTAAGGTTTTTTTTTGCTTTTATTTCAATAGAGATAGTTTTTAAAAAGTTCCATAATTTCAGGTCGTTGCTTTTGTTGTTTATCAATGCGGTTCTTTGTTGTATCGAATAAATAAACGAGAAGAAAAACAATTAGAAAGTAAATCCAGACAAATCAATCAGAAAATCGATATTACTGATAAAATTTGCGGAGATGAAAATGTTTTTAGCGATTTGCATGAGATGGTTATTCGAGAGAAAATGGTGGGTTTTGGAAGTAGCCTTGAATGTGATCTCTTATTTTTAACGTGGTAGTTAGAATTTTTATTTTAATATTTTAATGAAATTCATTGTGAACTAGATTTTTCTAATTTTTTCTGACAAACCCCAAATGATATATTCAAAAAATAAGATGTACATAACTATTTCTATAAGTTTCTAGAAACAATATATTTATTTTATTCCAGATCCTCTACCGTACTCCACACCTCGCTGAAGAAACAACCGTAAAAAATTCGCAAATATTCTACGAAGAAATGAAAATGCGTCGAAGTTGTCGTCAATTCAGTGCAAGAGATGTTCCTCTAAAAGTTGTTCAAAATCTTCTAAAAACCGCCGGAACTTCTCCAAGTGTTGGAAATTTACAACCATGGACTTTTTGTGTTGTTGTTAATGAGAATATCAAAATGATGATTCGAAAAATGTTGGAAGCTGATGAACGCGATAATTATGTTTCGAGAAAGTAAGTTGAAATATTATTCTAATTTTATCTTAAAAGTTAAAGCGACTTTTTCAATATCCATAACTTTCGTGTAATTATTCCAACAGTTTCTCAAATTTAAATAATTGTTTTCAGAAAAGGTGCAGCTTGGGTGGTAGATGTTTCGCAACTTCAAGACACTTGGAAAAGGCCGTATATCACAGATGCACCATATTTATTAGTAGTTTGTCATGAGGTAAAACTTTCTTTCCCTTTTCCAAATATTTTATTTTCTTCAGATTTTTAAAAATGTCAACAACACGACAGAACGGGTATTCCATTATAATCAAATTAGCACATCAATAGCTGTTGGAATTCTTTTAGCCGCAATTCAAGTGAGTACTTGAACTTTTTGTTTATTGCGAAGCAAGTTTAATTTCAGAGTGCTGGTTTGAGCACTGTTGTTACATCACCACTAAATGCTGGACCAGATATTTCTAGGATTTTGAGAAGGCCTGAAAATGAAAGCGTAAGTTTTTAAATATTTTTTTCTGGATTTTTCCATCTTCACAAATGTTCTTCATTATTCTAACACTTTCGATTCAGGTATTATTACTTCTACCCCTTGGTTATGCAGCAGAAGATGTAACTGTTCCTGATCTCAAACGGAAACCGGTCGAACATATCACTAAACTCTATTAAAGTGTGATTTTTATGTTTTTGAAATTGTTTATTCATTCAATATAAAATATGAAACGATTTTGTACATTAACCCGAATGGCATGCGGCAGACAATACAAATAAGACCAAAAAAATAATAAAGAAATTAGACACGTATACACAGGAAACCTCCGAGATGTTCTTCAAATAATATCTCAGTCAATGGTGAATTCTAACGACCATAATCAAGCATGAATTCATCGACATCATCAATTGGTTCATCATTTTGTTGTTCCCAGAATCGAGAATTGTCTCGTCGAATTCGACGAGACATTCGAGCAACATGTTGACAGAGTTGAGCTTCATTCAGATTACACCAACCACAAGAAGCTTGACAATTTTCAGCCATCCATTGACGACGGCGAGTACAGAAGTTTTGAGAACGCCAAAAACCACATGAGAGATGACGATCGTGACATCCTAAATTGAAAAGGTGTTTTTATCTCTTTAAAGGAAGTTAATTGGGAGACCAAGATGTTAGAACTTTGAACCTTTGTTGTTTATGAGGAAAGGTCATTGTAAAAAACAGTACCACATTCCATGACTCACCTCTTTGATTATCAGATGGATTTGTGCAAAAACCACACGATTTTCTACAGTATCTATTCATATATGCTGTATTTGTTCGACACTCATTTTGTCTTGACCATTGTGCACAACATGGATCTTCGTTGTAACAGTTCTGCAAAAAAATAGGGATGAGATACAACAGGTTTTTTGAAATGTAGGAATTCCGAATTCCGATATCATCACTGGGGAGGTGGAATCTAAGTGCGAACCTTCCGACAGACCGATCAAGCTCTGGTTATTGTCGAAAGGTTCAAAAGGAGGTTCCGAGTTTAGTGATTAGATAATTTTAAATTCGACAACTTCTCAATTGCTGTCAAAATCTTCCGAATATTTTTTTAAAAAATATTTTCGAACTTATTCCAAAATTAACCCCAACGATTTTCAAAAATTCAAAAAGTCTTCTGATGTTTGTCTTGTCCCAGAAAACTTACCGATTGTGGTGTTGCAGCTGGTCTTGGAGTTGCAGCTGGTGGTCGCGGAGTTGCCGCAGCTACAGCAGGTCTCGCTGTCGTCGCTGCTTGCGCCGCAGGTTGTTGCGGCTGAATCGCAGGTTGTTGAGGAATGAGGGCTGTTGTTTGAGCGGGTTGTTGAAACTGTTCGCCACCCCGGCACCAGCCTGCTACACAGCTTCCCATGTAGCAGGCATCAAGACCTTCGAAACCACGACATAAACCACCTGGTTTGATTTTGGCGACACAATGTGGGTTTCCACGAGTGTCACAGAATAGATATGGAGAACCACATTGGGCATTGTTACGATTGCATGTTGGACGAGGTGCGTAATGATAAAGATTATCTGTGTAGGCATTTGATAATCCATCACGATTTATTTTATCCCAAGGACGCATTTGAGCATAACTGAAATGTTGAGCATTTGCACATTGAGCAATATCTGGAGGGTATTGCTGAAACAACAATATTTTATTGTTAGATTTTTCAAAAAAAAATATAGAAAACTCACACTTTCTCTTGTAAATCGATTCTGATGATTTTGTCTCCACATTTCCCAAATGAAATCGACAAAAGTGTGATGAAGGAAAAATATGGGATCATTTGCAGAAGTTGAAGGTGGTTTCATATCACCGCCCATCCATAAATGAATAGAGGCATGGGTGTATTCAAGTGCACCAAAATATGGGCGGAATGGGCAACCTGAAATTGAAAACAGGTTGATGGTGGAGGGCTGGTTGAAGTTGCATTTATTTGGGATCTACAGTACCCCCATTTTTTACAGTATCCCAGAAAATCCCAACTCAAGAAGCTGCAAAGTTCCAAGTTCCAAATTTAAAAGATTCACAGTAATATTTTCCACAGTACCCCAAAAATTCAAACCTTTGATTTAGTATTTTAAAAATTCAGAATAAAAAATGCCTACAGTAATCCTGATCCCAAAAACTGTTCATAACAGGACAATAGTTCTGGTCTACAGTATATACAAAAGTTCTGACCTACAGTACTTTTGATTTATATTTGGAAGTACAGTTTTTAAATTTTTTCGAGAGTTCTAAATTTTGTGAGAAGTTTCCGATTTTCATCAGATCCAAAGAAGGAACAAAAAAGGTCAAAGGTACTTTGTGTTTTTTAGTTATTTTAATAAATGTAGTTCTTACCTCCTTGTGGGGCTGTGAATGCCATTACACTAACAATATCATTTTGTGTCATCAGATTATTTATATTTTGTTCGGTGAACATTTTTCCTTCAGTTGCCATTCGTCTAAAAAATTCATAACATTTTCAAAATTGTCTCCCCAAAAATCTTTCAAACCTGATAATATTTGGTCGTCCTTCTAATGTTCTAAATCCAGCAAATGGTCCACTAACTAATTGTCCAGAAGCATCAGTCATTCCCATAAATTGTGGACTAAACATAATTGAATCTCTCGGATCTGGTAAATATGATTCAAGAACACTATCCCAATATGGCATCGATATTCCGGGATCAATTAAACGAAGTGCAATTTCCATTCGTTTCATATATTCTCTATGCCATGGAAGAAAACCAGGACCTGAATGAGCACCAGAAGCTGATCCAACTTGTCGATGCATAACTGATAATCTATCATATTCACCACTTCGTTTTAATTGCATCATCGCATTATGCCAACGCATTCTCTCATTATCTGACATCATTCTGAAATCAAATTTTGATTGCGATTTTTCATTTTCCTATCAAATCTAACCTATATTCTTTTCGATATGACATAAGATACGGTTGTCCATTTGGTAGAATACATCCATTTGCCATTCTTCCACCCATATATGGACAAATACAAGCAATATTCATACATCCTTGTGCAGATGGTGCAAATCGAGGTGGATTTGCTGGTTGAAAACCGGCTACTCCCGGTGCTCCTATAATTACTCCTGGTTGGCCTGTGAAAGTGAAGTGATTCATGTATTAGAGTGAATAATGAAGAAGAAGAAAAACTGGGTGGGATTAGAGTGATTTGTGATGTGAAACAAAATTCGGAATAACGCGAGGTGCCGTTGAGAAAAAAAAGTTTGCGCATTTTTTGAGGCCTGACACGATGTGGGATTAAAAATCGACGAAATCAACGCAAAAAATGAGAGATTTAGAGAAAAAATATTTTTGATCTACCACAAAAATTATTGAAAAATTTGAGGTCTAGTGATTTGGGGTGGTAAATTACGAGCCGTGCATCAAACCCTCTGAAGCCTCAACTCACCAACATTTCCCCGAAAAACTTGTCTTTTCCTAATCGCTTTTCTTGCCGCACTATCCCATTCTTGTAACATATGACACGTTTGCTCCATATCTGAAAATTCTCAATTGATTCAGAAGCTTCGTTCGATGTTACCTGAATCTGGAGCTTGTGTACAATTGAAATCGGCATCTATGAAATATGAAAAAGAAGCACAAATGAATATGCCTATTGAAAGCCAACCCATCTGAAATCAAAGTGATTTTTGAAGACGAAAAATAAATAAAAAGTGTGAAAAATTAAAGGGAAACATTGTTTGCGTCATTTGGCCTTGTTAGCCACGCAAAAAACAATTCGGCGAACTTTTTTTGAAAAAAAAAGAAATTAGAATCAAAAAGTCAATGGTTTGATAAGAAGAATAAGAAGTGACCTGCAAAAAATTTCAACAAGGTCATTTTTTGGGGTATTTCCTTTTTTATAATAATAATAATAATAGAATTTTGTTCAGGTTTGTTGTGGAAAATATTTATTCCCGAAAAAGAAACCGTTTAGAAAAACCTGACCGGTTTACAGATAATTGAGAATCGAAAGTTATATTTTTTGTTGGAAAAAAGTTAGTGAATGGCTGAAAAGGACAGAGATATAGATCTTTTAAGTACTGAAAACATTCGACTGTTTTTTGAAAAAAATACTTTGGAAAAAAGAGGGATGATGATTTTTGGCAGAAAAACAATGGGAAAAATTTTGGATCGCACTGGAGAGGAGAGGTAAATACGGAATGAGACCACAGTAAGATGGGACCATTTTACTTAAAAGCTTGATGGGACCACATCAACAGGAAATATCGATAATCAATTTGAAAATTTCATGAAAAATTATCATATTTTTCTGAAACGTATTATTTTGGGGTTTCTGAAACTGAGTTCTTGACGCGAAAACTTGATCCATAATTTTTTGCAGTCTTCACATGTTCTCAAAATTTTTAACCCAGAAAAAACATAAATTACGGTAGTTAACTAAAAAGCCCATAATATTTTGGAGTTTTTTCAAAAGTCAAATTTTTCAAATAAAAAAACGAAGTACTAGTTACCGCAACTATCTGGTGTAACATAAACAATGCGAAACGAGACAAGAAAAAACGAGGAAACTCCGCCCCCATTTTTAGACAAAATTTTTGTGTGGTCAAATGACAAAAGCTTGCTTGCTTGCTTGATTGACCTTTTGAAAAAAAAGAACAAAATCACGTTTTGCTTAAAATGATTGATAGAAGTTTTGTTTCAAAGAATTTATGAATGGCAACAAAAGTTTCTTTTTTATTATGATAACATCGAAAATTATTTTTTTTTTTGGGTTTTCAGAAACCTTAAAATAAATCTGAATTCTAATAGATACTTCACTGGTTTTCTCTAGAAGATTTAACAGAAATGGAACTACAGTAATCTTAAAATGTCAAAGTTTTTCGAGCTTAAAAATATTTTGATTGAAGAAAGCGCTGAAACGTGGAATTTTTTCAAATTCAAAATTAGACTACAGTAACCTAAAAACATACATTTTGAACAGCCTTTTGATCTACCGTAACTTCCGTGTCTCCAATTCTAAACAAAAAATAAAAATGAAAAACAAAACAAAAATTGGTGATTATATACAAGTGTTCAAAATTGGCTTAAATAAAAATGTGTATTTTTGTATGTTTTGCTTTTTTGTGTAAAAAAAGCCGCATCGGTCAACGTTTTTTTAATAGTGTTGAAAAAGTTGTACAATTACACACCACAACTTGAAAAAAGAATAATAAGAGAAAAAACGAAGAAGAAGAAGAAGTTACTGTTTTGATTGATTGTTGTTTCATTTTTATTTCGAATAAAAAATACACAAAAACGGTAAAAACTACTATTTTTTTCGAAAAAAAATACTTTTAATTGTTGTTGTTGTTGTTGCTGTTTGAAGAAGAAGAAGAAATAAATATGTCGAAACTTTTATTACTTTTTTTGGAGTTTCAAATGTCTGAGAACTTTGAGAAAATTTAAAAATTATACTACATTTTTGGTTTAAAAAATCATATCGTAAAAAATGTCTGCAGTTTTCTAGATTAAAAGCACGGCATGTAACTTACTACCCAGAAAATTTCCCATATCACATTTTTTGAAACGTACAAGTTCGGGTTTCCAAAATTTATGAGTTTTCGGCTCAAAATTTTCATACACGTGGAATTTTTTATTTCATTACTACAGTAAACTTCTAATATGAGAAATATACGTTTTCAGAACTTGATCTTTGCAAAACTTTCTCATTGTTTTAAAAACGTTCCGTGACTTTTCTCACATTTTTCAAAAGTTCCCTGAATTTCCATTTAGTTGTTTGATTATAAAAATTCCAATATCAATTATGTCTTCTCAAAAACCCAAATATGATCAAACCATTCAAACCAAACCAGTTTCGATTTTTTTCCCAAAAAATAAAAACTTGTAGCATGTGTCACCAAAATGACCGTTGTAATAAGTAACAAAAATGAAAGAACATGAACGAGATTTCAGATTTGTTTATTTTGTTCTGAAAAATAAATACTTACATGCAATTAAATATATCTATGAAACATTATCCAGAAAATATCGAGTAATTGTTGAAAATAGCCAAGGAAACACGAAAATCACAAATAAATATTTAATAAATAATTGAAGTTTTGGCAATATTTGGGATGATAATGATAAGCTGTAAAATATAACAATCAGAAGTATTAGAGAAAAAATAAATAAATAAAACCAACCTATCCTGATTTTCATCATCTTCTCTATAATTTTGATAATTGTCTTCATATTGATTTTTTTCGGATAATTCTTTCAAAACTTGTGATGCAATATTTTGATTGGCTTGATGATTTTGGAACTTCTGAAGATGAAAAATTGAAGCTTTTGGGAGTGATTCAGGTAGAAAAATGTTTAAAAATCGATTAAATCAAAATTTCTTGTGATGAAATTTTTGAATGCTAAAAATTGCGAAATTTTTTGTTTTTTTTCGAAAAAAATATTTTTCTATAAAAAAGTTTTCTCACCTTCGAAATTTTTCTCTGGAGATCCATCAATTTCAGCATTTCTGCCTCGCTATTTTCATCACTGGTTTCCGAAAAATCCTGATCTACATCATATTTCCGAGATTTGCGCATTTTCTGAACATCCGAATAAATTATGGCACGAGTTTTCTGAAAAACAATTAAAAATTATCCGAAGATCAAAAAAATCCCAAAACAACCTCATCAAAAGCCGCTAATCTATGCATTTCCAATAGATTCTGTAAAAAACCAAAAATCATTTTATTTTATTTTTTTAGAACAAAAAATGTATGACCGGGGAAACACGACCCTTCACAAAATAAAATTGAACTTTCGAAATAAATATTCAATAAATATGTATGTGGAAAAACAGAGAAAAAGCAAAACCGGGAGAAAATGAAACAAAAATCCCGTTGGAAATATTTAAAAGTTTCAAACGAACAAAAAAAAAGAAGGAACATGAATAGAAAAATATGAATTGTTTTGGGGGAAAAGAGAATAAAATAATTGACTTGTTCGGATTTTGGAAAGATCAGATCATGAAATCTAGAGAGAATAATCTACTTTTTGGTTGAATCATTACTATTTGTTGGTTTGTTGTTATCATCTTCAGTTCCATCATAATCTTCCATAACTTCTTCTCCAACATCAACTTCCATTTCTTCGTCACATTTTCGTCTTTTTGCTGATGATTCTCCAGCTTCTTCAACATCTCCACATCTTTCGCGAGTTGAAGGAGAAGAAGATGGCGAATTGGAATTGGATTTATTTGAACAAGAAGTTCGAAGATTTGAAAGAGTTGATTGATTTTGAAGTCTTTCGAAAAATTGAGCAACTTCATTTGTTGATTCTTCTGCAAAAACTAGTATTCTCCATGTGAAAAGTGACATTGAAGAGATTCTCAGGGTTCCCATATGTTATACTTCAAATGTGTCTATTTCTCAAACCTGGGGGGGGGGGGAGAGTTTCCATTTTTTAAAATCCCAAACCTAAAGAAAGAACAGAAAAAAAAGATTGTGTTGAAGAAATATAATTTTGATATGCCACAAAAAACATTCAGCGTATCTCGTTCATTTTCTTTCTCCTATTTACCAATCTTTTTTCTGTCAGCAAAAAAAAACACAAAAAAGCAGAGAGAAAAAATTATATATTTTTGCGTGAACGTGAAATTTTCGTGGCAAATGCTATTTCAACGATAATTTTTCAGTTCTTTCAAATTTTCGGCGAGCAACAAAACGACAGCAAATAAAGATGAGTTTTTTCTTTGGGGTGCCCGAATTCCTAAGCCTACCGCCCTTTGCGAATATTTTCGCGTGTCTCTCCTGGAGTAAAGTACAGCTCAACTTAGCCTAACTCTGGATAGTAAAGCTTCTTAAGTTGAGCATTAGCCATTGCAATTGTCAGGAACCTCGACATGAGTTACCTTAATTTTTTGGTTATACTCTCGACTTTGTCGACTTGATTTGGTTGGAAAAACTGTGAAGGGAGATATCGAGGTTCGCTTTTCAAGTTTTTTGAAAGAAAAATTGGAAAGAAAACGTGGAATTATTCAAGGAGGAGAGAAATTTTGACTATTATCAGGGAAAACACGTTATTTCCAAGAAAAATAATTACTTTTTCAGAAACAAATTCGAAAACCATGGAAAACCCGCTTGCACAAAACAACAAAAATCAAAGCCTTTGAAGTTTTCGGTGAGTTTTTCTAACCAAACAAGAAGAAGTTCTGGAATTTTAATTGAAAATTGATGGAATTCAAATTTTATCAATTTTCAAATGGAATTTCAGATGGAATGCGGAAGCTATGCTCAAAATTGCATTTTTTTTTCTTCACCATAAACTTGGAATTTTCAGAAATTCTGGTAGTTCGACTTTTTTTCAGAGGAAAAGCCGTCATCGAACATCACAAAAACGCCGAAGATTTCTAATTTTTCAATTATTTTTTGTTGCCAACTTCTTGCGGAAAAGCCAAGAAGCTGGTTTCTACTTTAGTTTTGTTCTAAACTCCACGTGGATGTTTATCATGTTTGTGTGGAATCGAAAAATCCACATGGAAACCGTTGTTTTTTAAACCCCAGATTCTTGCATAAAAGCCGAGAAACTGGAGTTTTGTTCTGAATTGTTGAGTCAAAAAATCCTCTATGAGAACCGTTGTTTGTCTCGATTAAAATGCCACGTGTACTTAAATTCGGTGATTTTTCCACTAAATTGCGAGTTGAAATATTTTGGCTCAAAATGCCACGTGGCAATTCCGTATTTCTCGTATCGTACACAACAATTTCTGAGTACACGTTGAAAGTGTAACATATTGAGACGCTGAGAATCTTCTCTCCAACATCCCTTTTCCCATAGAGAATCACAAGGGTTTTTCCGATCGGCGAGTCTAATTTCTAAAATTGTCTCTGAAACTCATACTTAAATTTTGAATTTCTATAGATGCTCCCCAGAAAACACACGGCGCGTATTTTGCGTCAAGGTTGCGCGTAGGATTGCGGGCAGTCGGTGTTGGCACACACTCTTATTTTTTCGTTCTTTATTTAGGTTTGGGATGAATGATGGTGATTTTGGGTTGGGAACAATTTTCCCCGTGAAAATTTAGGAAATTTTGATATTCTCTTTTTTGAGCTACAACACTTCTAATCTAGAAAAATGTATCAGGAAAAAATTACTGTCATCTAAAAATGGTAGAGATTTCGGAACTTTGTAAAATACAATGTTGTGGATAAATATTTACAAACTTATGACGTGGCAGTTTTTTCATTGAACTCCCACAAAACAATCTGAATATCCTTTCTAACTTTTCCACCTCATAGGAATTTTCCCAGTCATATTTTTTTCAAACTTCTACTAACCGCTAAACAAATCAAACCACGTTTGTACTATTCGATTACTCGCTGCAACCATTTGAACTGTTTCCGGATCATCTCTTGTTGATCGCAAAGTTCTCTGAAAATAAACTTCGAAACTTCAAAAAAAAAAACCTCGAAACTCACAATCCAAACAGGAAAACTATGAATAATGGATTGTCGCATATTCTCATAATTTCCTTCATAAAACCAATAAAATACTGACAACATTCGTTGAAGATGTTGTCGAATAATATCAATGACACTTTTAACAAACTCATCCTTTTCTGAAGAAAAAAATAAAATGAAAAACAAAAATTCAACAAATAGGCACCTGTCTTTTTGAGAACTAATTCCAATAATCTGCGAATTGTATCAATTTCAAGCTGTCTAAATGTCCAACCAAATGAATATATTCTTCCTCGAATATTAATTGGCAATCCATTTCCATTTGTACTTGATAAGTTATAACAATTGAAAAATGATTCTTCCGCGGCCAAACGTTCAGCAACTGATTGAATATCTAAAAAAAACAGGATTTCTAATCAGCAAAAAAAAGAAAACAAAAACAAACCATCTCTTGAAGGTCTGGTATTTCCATTCATTTGATTATCAATCAAATGTTGTCTGAACACATTTTGCATACTTCCAATAACTCGAGTTGCAATTTCTTGATTAATAAGTCCACCAAGATCATTTCGTCCAATACGATTTCTCAACAATTCACAAAGTAATCCAAATAATCCACGTGGAAAACTTCCAACATGAGATTGAAGGAAAGTATGAAGACCACTTAATGCATCAGATGCTACTTCGGTTGCAGTGGGAATTGGATAACTGATGTCAAATTCGGCCTGAAAATACAGAAATTGGCGTGACCTATGACGTGGCAATTTGATTTTTTTAATTACCAAATTTTCAGGAGAGAACTAAACATCATGTAAGATTAGCTATCAAAAAACGTGAATTTTTCACAGAATCCTCAGATTTCAATCATAATCTAAAATTCAAAACCAACCGGTGCTCTCATATTTCTTGGCGCTAATCCACCAGCTTGAAAAACGACATCGGATAAATTCGAAATATTCGGAAGAGACGATGAAATTGCGGCAGTTGGATCAAAGAACTGACGTGGCAATCTTCTGCTAGCATCATTTTCAGAATTTTGAACACTAGAAAAAATAAGTATTTTTGCCGTGAATCATGTTACAATAACTCACTTTCCTCCAGCAGATCTTGGTCTTTGCAAAATTTCGGGTGCGATCAAATTATCCGAAGCTGATTGTGCTGCTGCTGCGACCATAAAGGGCTGAAAATATAAGCTTTTAAAATAAACTTCTTTTCGAAAAAACTCACATGTCTTTCGAGCATTTCTTGAACAACTTCGTTTCTCGGCGCTGGAAATCCGTTCAAGTTCACCGAATCTGAAAATATGTTATTTTTAAACTGCTAAAAATAAAATCAAATACAAAATAAAATTCCACAGAGAATATCCAATTAATTTTCAAAATATAAATATTTTGAAGACAACTCAATTTGGAAAATAAACTAACTCAAAGCCATAATAGCATCGCTTTCGACCAATTGTCCAAATAAACTTCTGAATGCAGTTTGCATAATTCGCTGGAATTGTAGTCTTCCGTCTTCGGTGTTTTGAATTTGTAATTCACCACTCGCATTTCTAGTGATCTGAAAAAAAAACTATGAAATTTTGGAGGGACTTAAATCAATAATTTTGAGAATCATATTTTCTAAAAAAAAATTCAACCGAGAAAAATTTCCAATTTTTATCAAAAATCCCAAAAAATACCTCATAAGTGAAATCTTCATCATCAACAACACTATCCGTATCTCTTTGTGGAATATCGAGTCTTGAAACATAATGATTATAATTGGGATTGGGTTCATTTGATTGATTTGTCATTCGATCTCCTTCTGATCCAGTTGAACCCAAATTATGTGCTCGATTGAAATCGCTATGTCGATTATGACACGATAAAAATGGATCAATTGAAACTGTCTGCAGAAAAAAAGAATAAATATATGAGATGAAATTGAAAATAAAACGAACCTGTCGATGAACTCTAGTCATTGCTCCAATATTATTTGTTCCAGAAGTTGAAGGATTTTGATCCGAATTATTAGATTGTGCACTGAATAATCGACTTGCAATTCTTTGTTGTGTTTGAGCAAGTTGTTCTTGCATTCTGGCAACTGAAAAAAAAGAACAATCAAGTTATATAAACATTTTGTGATGTCTAAAGAGTTTCTCCCATTTTTGCTTCGAAAATTGTCTGAATTTTAAGAATTTTCAAAAGTAATTTATTAGCTCTACTTTTTTACCAACAATCCCAAATCTTTATCAAAAACTTACAATCATCTCGGAACATTTCATCGGTATCCTCAAGCATTGCCCGAAGTTGTGCAACACGAACAGAAGCTCGATCAGTTGAAGAAGAAGAAGAAGCCGAAGGTTGACGAATCGGACCAGTTGGAAGAAATCCAGCCTCAACTTGTGCTTGATCAAATGCTCGAAGTGATGGACCAACTGGAAGAGCAGAAGCAGAAAATGCTTGTCTTGCTGGATCAACACTTGTATTTCGACGACTTTCAACAATTTGTCGACGACGAGCTCGTGCATTTGCAATATCTCGTAATGAACCAGATCTTGGTTGAGAAACATCTGAAGGCATTCGAACTACCATATCATCTGTATCATCACTCTGCAAAAATATGATGTTTTGATAGTTTTCGAAAATGAAAATGTTAACTTACATCACTTCCATCTCTTGATTCATAATCAACTCTTTGTCCAACCGTACTATGTTGTTGGAGAATAATTCTGCCAACATGAGTTGGAAATTCACCCAATAAAAATAGTGATTTCATTGACTCAATAATTGCTCGAATCAAAATACTTTCATCTCGAACCAATGCCAACATCATTTCACGTGATTCTTCCAAGTTTCTAGCTGACATTGTCAATAATTCCAAAACGAGAGCCAACATAAATCTTTGAGTTCGAAGTGGAATACTTGTTAGACGAGTATCCCATGCTGGTGCTTCTGCAAAAATTGAGAATTTCAGGTAAATATTAAAAACTAGAAGATGACCGTTTGTTCAAAGAAAACGTTTAGGGAACAATAATCGAAAGGCTGAAAGTTCTTTGAATGAAATTGTTTTTAAAGAATCTTTAAATAAAAACTCATCAAATATAGAAACTTGACAACTGAAAAAATAGGCAATTTTTTTTTCAAAAAGCAAAGAGCTGAAAATAATGTTTTCAAAATCTTCGATGCCCCTCAAGCTTCGAAGTTAAACTCTCAAAACTTACGTTCTTGAAAAGCTGCAGTAAGATTAGTTGCAATTCTAGTAATCGCGTCATCTCTATACCGTGAAGCAATATTTTGAGCAATATTATGAAGTTCTGTTGGTGAAACAGTTTGCGGAAATGGTGCAAGTGATTCTGGAATTTATCAAAATTCATAAATATATTTGTCAAAATTTCAAAACTAACCAGTTTCTGGCCCTCTTGATGTTCTCATATCTTGTTGTCTCCGTGGTTCAGCAAGCAAACGAGAAATCAATTGAGATTCTCTCAAAAGTGTTGCCGCATCTCCTCGCATTTCTCTTGGCAAAGATGGTTGAACAGGTGATGATGATGGATTCGAATCAGTTGAGGATGGTGTTGCACTTCCAGCAGTGGCAGCTGTACTATCACTACTTCTTGGAATATCTTGTTCACGTTGTGATTGTTGTCGAAAATATGGAATTATATTCCCAATTCTTTCCCGAATTCCTCTTCTTGATTGTGGTGGTGGAATAACTGTTGGTTCAGGTTGTGTAGATGTTGTAGTATGTGAAGTAGATTGTGAATCACCAGAAGATGAAGACGATGAAGGCGGACGAATTTGTGGATTTGACATTATTTGACTAAGAACATTCATAATTTCGTGTGGTCTTCCAGCTCGAACTTCAATTGTTGTTGGTTCATTAGATGTTGATGGTTGTTGATTTGCAGTTGTTTCATCCATTGGTTCATCAACTTGTTCCATAGTCATTTCCATAGTCATTACAGGGAAAGCCATTTCATGTTGTTCTTGAAGCATTCCAGTTGGATAGAATGTTAAATATGGCCATTGTCCGGGTTCCATTCGACCAACATCAGCTCCTGGAAATAAAACCACATTTGTTAGTTGTATTGAACACACAGGGATTAGTTAACAAGGACTTGGGAAAAATATATTTATAAGCAAAATATTGTTTTTAACTTCAAATTCAATCGAAATTTATGTATGTTAAATAGAAAATTTTAAGAAAACCTTAAAATCTGGGAAATAACATTGATGTTCAAATTTTTGAAAAATTCCAAAATCCACGTTTTTCTAGTATGCTTAATTCTCTTTTTCATACTTACTAATTTTTGGAGGCGAAAAAACATTGGAAACTCTTTCATGAACTTGTTCTGTTCTTTGTGGTCTTCTAAACGCAACAATAAGTGTTCCAATATGTGCTCTTGGAACATTAAATCGAGACAATTCATAATTTGGCAACAATCTTTGAGGTCCTCCATGTGTATTGTTACTAGTAAACGCAACTTCGATTTCTGATGAAATATGAAGAGTATGTGAAATATGATGACGCATTCGTTGAATATGAGTATAAAATGCAGATATTGCTATATAATTATTATCCATCTGAAATTCGAGATGATTTCATTATTTTTTGAGAAAAATAATAAAATAGACTTTGACTTACACTACTGTTCACTTGCGCTCGAATTCTTGGAATTGCTGATGTTTCAATAGTTTCATCTAAAAAGGCTTTCAATTTCGAAAAATCGTGATTGTTGTCTTCGAAATTCTCGTAAAACTTGAGCTAAATCGCAATCAATAGCATGTCTGAAAAATTAAAGATAGAAAGTTCCAAAATATATGAATTCTACCTCATAACAAAACTTGGGTTCGATCGATCTGCAGGAATTCGTTCATATCTTGATTGCCTTTGAACTTCAGTCGAGTTTCGAATTCGTGTGTCATCTGAAAGTTTTTCGTTGACAAACATTTTTAAACCAGGAAAAAACTAACCAATACTTCTATTCGAAGGCAAAACTGAATTTATTGATTCTAATCTCACAATTATATCTTCTAATCTCTGACCAAATTCATGTCTTTCTATTGCTGTCATACGTTCAACATTTTCTGGATCTTGAAGTCTATCCAAAATTCGTCGAACAATTGTTACAAGTCCATCAGGTTCCTATAAATATTTACAACATTATATTCAAACAGAAAAACAATATTCACCTGGCAAATATCGTTGAAAACTCTGAGATAATTCGCATTTAATTCAACAAACGCCAAACGTTCAAAAGCTGGAGAAGCCACGTGAGGATCTCTGAAAACATAAAATAATGAGGAAAATGAATTCGAAATAAACTAACATTCTTGGTAGATCAATTCTCAATTCATTGTTTACCCAATTCAATGTAAATCTATTTCGATCTTCTGCAGTCAAAAATGGAAGATTTTCAATAGAATTTCGAACATATAATTCAATTCGTTCACGATTTAATGAGAATTCATTATCCTCTAAAAACAATCTCCACGTAAATCTTCCCGCTTGTCGATTTATTGTTTCATCAGCACCGTCAGCTTGTTCAATTGTCAAATTATTCAATCTTGGCATAATTTGACCAATTGATTGTCTCATTAATAAACTATCTGCTGCTGTTGGATCATTTTGTTGTAAATGAACTCGAGCTCTTGGTCGACGAATTGAATGTTCTCCATTTGCAGCTCTTTCACCTGTACGAGTATTCAAAAATGATTCCGAACTTTCTGGTGGTCGATCTATCATATGAACTGTATAACCATCTTGAAGACTATAGGATTGAAGTGTTCGATCTGTTACTAGAACTCGTCCTTGAAATATAATTCGCTGTTCGGATGGTTCAATTCCAAGATGTTCATGAATTCTTTCACGAAGCACCGAAACCGTTTCCTGGAAAATGAAAACATGAAAATGTTTTAATTTGCGAAATTATAATATGACGTGTCTTTGTTGGTCACGTTAATTTCTAAGTTTTCAAAATTTCAAGAAAAAATTACCAATATTTGGAATTTAAAAAAAAGAATTCTAAATTTATTCAGAATTTTCACGTGAAACGTGACGCAATTCCTAATAGCTCAAAATCCGATTATTTTTCCTTTGGGCGACAACAAAAAATGGACGGAAATGTTTGTGAGTTTCTTCATTTCATTGGGCGCTACCCTCGATTGGAATTTGGTAGGACAGCGCCCCATGGACTTTGGTAAAAATATATTGTGCGGCGGTTGCATTTTGGGCCACGCCCACTTCGAAAAACGTGTTCACATTTTTATTTTTATACTGCAACTCACATGTAACCCGATTGGAATAATACATTCTTGATCAGAAAGAGTCTTGACACGAATATTCACAGTTGTATTATTTTGTGTAGATCCTTCTTCATCTGGTTCAATCTGACTACTACTACTAGTTCCTCCTCCTTCTGAATCACCCATGTTTTATTATCGAAACAAAATTTCGAACTATATATCTGAAAAAAAATCAATATTTGTTTATTTACAAGACACATTTTTTATGCGATAAAAAATATATTTCCAAATAATTCGATTATTCAATTGCAATGACAATCGATAGAATGAGACAAAAAAACGATAACGAGGTGAAGTGTATAGTTGGATATTTCCAGAAAAAATAATCGAAATAATGCGTGTCTGCATGTGCACTTTGAGCAGAAAACGACAAAATGTATATATTTTTTGACTACAAATTAATTCTCAGAAAAAGTCGGGAGTTTTTTATCAGAAAAGTCGATTTCATGAATAATCATCAAAATTATTCAATTCAGCCTTTTTTCCCAGGCTTTTAAGTTTTCAGTTCAAAAAGATCATCAAAATTTACACCAAAGTTCACATTTTGATAAGAAGACCTTGATAAACAACTTTTTTGTTAAATCTTAGAAAACGAATCATTCTTATTAAAGTTATGGCAGGTAGGCTAGTCCTTTTTATTTCAATAGTATTTTTTTATTCGAGATTTTTAGGTACATTTTCAAAAAATATATTTAAAAGTTGATGACGAAAAACGATGACGTATTTCTAAACAAAATGTCATATAACTAAAATAACTTTGGAGAAATAGAAAAGTTCTTTTGAAAACTGAACTCCAAATTGAAATTTGTATATTAGAATTTAAAAAACTTCAAAAAACATTCAAAACCAAAAATGAAAAAAAAAATCCCGGGAAGACACTCGAAAACGAGCAAGTGCGCTCTAATAAAACCCCTTTTATGTCTGTGTCTCTCCAAAAAATAATGATGAATGCGAATCTCTTGAACACATTTTATTTTTCTTTTCTCCAATTAATTTTCGGGTTTTTTCAGCAGCAGACAACATGTCTCTAAGCGCTTTTCGACAATTGGCAACAAAAATTGTATGTGTTGGTAGAAACTACAAAGATCATGCATTGGAATTAGGAAATGCTATTCCAAAGAAACCAATGTTGTTTATGAAAGCTCCAAATGCTTTTTTGACTGAAGGAGAACCAATTGTTGCACCACCAGGATGTCAAAATCTTCACCAAGAAGTTGAATTAGCTGTTATTATTTCAAAAACAGCCAAGGTAAAATTATATAATGATTGTAAATATGTTAAATTATTGAATCTTTCAGAATGTCTCAAAAAGTGATGCGATGTCATATGTTGGAGGATATACTGTAGCATTGGATATGACAGCTCGAGATTTCCAAGACGAGGCTAAAAAGACTGGAGGTCCATGGTTGCTCGCAAAAGCTTTCGATGGTTCATGCCCAGTCGGAAACTTCATTCCAAAATCAGAAATAAGCGATCCACACAACGAAGAAATTTTCTGTATTATTAATGGTAAAGATCAACAAAGATGTCGAACAGATGTTATGATTTTTGACATTCCAACAATCATCGAATACGCCACAAAATTTGTTACTCTTCAACCTGGAGATTTGATTTTGACCGGAACACCAGCTGGAGTCACAAAGGTTTGTCGAAAAAAATTTTTTGAAGATTGGAAAATTATTTAAATTTTTTAGGTAGTCCCTGGAGATGTAATCGAATTCGGTTTAACTGGTAAACTCAATGCCAAATTCACAGTTCAATAGAAAGAAATAGAGGTTTGAGTTATGTATATTTTTATTTTTATAAATACAAATAAATTAGGTTTCGATTTGAATATCGTTTCTCTAACCATAAGTTGCGTTAGGTGGTAATTCTGAAAAAATATATTTTTGAAAGGGAGCTAGGAGTTTCGAAAAAAGATACCGTAAGCTTCACTTCCATATAAAGGTTCTTTATTAGTTCTTTGAAGCGTTTGCCTTTTATCAAGTTGAATTGTTGATTGTCGATTTGTTGAGGCTGTATGATAATGTTGAACATGTTGTAACCAGTTTTCGTTTTTCTGAATGTGAATTATAAATTGAGACTTGAAATCTATTCTCAAACCTGAATACTTCCCACTTCATCGTTCGATTTTCCTCGATTCAAATGACTAACCAAAAGAGTCACAAATGAAAATATTAAAATAGCTGAAAATTATCAAAATTTTGCATGAAATCCCAACTAAAAACTTACTTGTTGCCATAACAAGATCTCTCGTTTTGTACTTTAATAATGGTAATGAAACATATAATGAAGTTTCGAAAAGAATTGCAATTATTGAAATTATCAAATGTTGAAGACTTTGACTTTTTTTCAATGAAGCTAACGAAAAAATGACAGATATTAGGGACATGAAAGCAGATAATGCGCAGGATATTAGAATTGTTGATTCAGACTGAAATGAAATTTGGTGAATTCAGAAGAAAATTATGAGACTAACCGAATCACCATTCGAACATCTCCACATTGTTCCATGAATTGTTGAAACAAATTCAGTTGAAGATTCAGAGGTTGAAAGAAGAACCCATTCAGTTGATATTACTGTAATTTATATAGATTTTTATGTAACAAATATTTGGGGGGAAAATACCGATTTGAATGACAATGAATGCAATACTTGATAAAATAGCTGAAGTTGCTGAAATTTCAGTTTTTTCGAATTTCCATAGTAAAATAGTTTTGATAAAAACTGGGGCAATTGTAATACAAATCGAGATCGGGAATAATAATTGTCTTAATTGACATGAAATTGTGTTTGGTGGAATAATAAAAGCCGTTGAACTCATTGATAATAATGCCAAACCCAAAAAACACAAAGCTGTGCAATGTCGATAATCACAATTTGATATAAACTTCAGATACATACACATCAAACATGTCAGACTGGATAAAACTGCGAAAATTGTGAAAATCAGGATTTCGATGTCGGTTAGTGCTTTGAATATCGATGGAATTTTTTGTTTCACAGTTCGTTTTGCCATTTCTTGAGAACATTTTGATTTTTGACAAGAAGAAGACATTAGAAGATAACTGCCACGTGATGTATTTTTGGTATTTGTTGAGATTTCAGAAAAACCTTGCACACTGTTCCAAACACCAATCTCGGAAAGTTGAAGTCGATCATCTTCAAATTGAACTCGACTGATTTGCAATGGAACATCTCGATATTTTGTTGTACTATTGAATTTCACAGCTGGAAGCAAAAATTAAGTAAAAGATAAGTCGTTATTCATGACGTGGCATGTTCAAAAACAAGGAAAAAGTTACTTTCTCCCAAAGATCGTGTTTTTGAAAAAAGAATTCCACGAAAAAAAAAATTAAAAATGAATTGAAACCGGAAATTAAAAATAAATTAAAATCTGACGTGAATTTTTTTTTTAAAAATTCATTTCCTATCTCCTTTCTTCTAGCCTTCCTAAACTCACGATTTGCACTCAAATGATGTAAAAAGTTGGAATCCAAAATTGATTGATAAAACGCATCAAATGGATCATTAATACAATCATTTAATGAAATAACCAAAGCTCCCGGACAATTTTTATCAACAAATCCACGGAAAGCAATTGATAAAGAATGTGTTGCAATTGAAATTGAACTAATATCAACATACGGTGCAATTTGTGATATATTTAATTTTTGCGATTTTTCGCATTCTTTCGAAAATTTATGATTCGATGTTGTTTCATCAAATGAATCTAAATGACACTGAAATGCTGATGACCAAAATTGTTTGAGCCAAATATTTGGAAGTGTTAAGTTCGGGATACTCTTTGTTAATTTCATCAATTCCTCCTTCTCATTTTCCTGAACATCGTTTTTTGGTCCAATCGAGATCAAATTTTGCTCAAAAGTCGGCCAATTTTCAATAAATTTTCTTGAAGTGCTCCATCTTTGATCGACCAATGATAAAAATACAAATCTTGCTGATATAACCATTTCAGTTCGAAGTGCTTTTGTTATTTCAATCCAATTATCTTCGGTTAAAAATGAAATAACAATTCGGGCTTCAGAAAGAAGAAGTCGTCGGATTATTTTTTCAGCCTCAAAACTTGTCTCGTTTTTCATTTCTAAAAAAGTTTCGACACAAATTCCAGAATCTTGTGACATTGTTTGGAAATCATATGCAGCTCTGAAAAAGTTCTTTTTGAATAATTCAAAATCTCTCCGATTCCAACCAACCTCTCAAACTTTTTATCAAAAATCAAATTAACACAATTACTTTGATAATATTTCAATGTTTCAATAATAGCTCGAATTGGTGATTGAATATTTGGTAAAACACCAGTTGTTTGTACCAAATCATTTGCACTCAAATATGTATTTATAACTGGAACTCGTAATTGTTTCATTATTTCTTCAGTATTTGGCATAAATGAATGATCATCTCGAATTATTGATATTATATCACTTTTTTGGATATTTGTACCAGATAAAAGTTCATATAAATCAGCGACAGAACGAAGATCAGTTGAACATGAATCAACTACGATTGCACCAATTTCTGCTCCAATTTCTTTTAACATTTTTGATTGATTTATCTGGAAAAAAGGATTACTCTAAATAAGTTATGACGTGGCAAAGTAGGATCTACGGGGAACCCCCTCTATTCCTATCTTCGTTTTTTTACCTCTTTCAGCGATTCCAAAAAAGCAGCTAATCTAATAATTGAATTAACATCAATTTCTCCACATTCAAAACTTTGATGATTTGTTGATGATTGATGAATTGGTAAAATTGCCAAAATATATAATTTTCTAGATGATGGAATTATCAAAATATCATTCAATAATCGATGACTCAAAACTGAAAGCTGAGCTTGAGAAGATGTTGAATTATTTTTCGATGAGATTTTCGGATTTCGTGATAATTTTAATGGTGTTGATTTTGAAGTTGTCCAAATTGTTGGAGTCGTTTTTGGGATATTTGGTGTTGTTGTTTCGATCTTTGAAGTTGGTTTTGAGGTAGTTGTTGATTGTGGTTTATATGGTGGAAATGTGGAAAATGTCTGGGTAAAAATCAATAATCAATAACTTTTTTCCAATTACTTACAGTAGTTTGTGTTTGTGTTGTTTTCCATAATTCAACAATTGGAAAAGCATTTTCAGCTGAATTCAAGTTTCCACCAAAAAGTTCAGAATATGGATTATTTTCGTTCTCAATTTGTCGATTCAAAATTCCTGGATCAATTGTTGGAGCAATTTGATTATTCAAATTATTGAAAATTGCGCGATAATTATTTGATCGAAAATCGATGGAAAAACAAATAAATGGAAAAAATACCAGTAATAATAATATCATTTTAGATCAAATAAATCACATTCAAATAAAAAAGAAGGCAAAAGTGATGGAAAAAAGGAGGAGTTTCGGTAGAAAATACGGATTATTTCGATGGAAGAAAAAGAAAAAGAAGAAGAAGAAGACAAAAACAAAAAATAACAAAAGAAGTTTGAAAGCGGCAAAGCAATAAACATTAACAATGAAACATTTGTTTTTCGAGACAAATAGAACAACTTAATCTCTGTAAAAGATTTCTTGAGAACAAAAAATTGAATATTTTTTTATTTGAGGATTCGAGTTGACAACAAAACTGGAAATCCCTGAATTTTTTGTGTCTGGAAAACCTGAAGTCCAATTTTGGTCAACTTAGAGTTCAAGACACCTTTTTTTTTGTTTTTTTCAAATCGCACGATTTTGTTTTCTGGCTTACCTCTTCGAAAGTTTGAAAATTTTTCTGAAACTTTTTCACTGAAAAAAAAATTAGAAACAGTAAATTTCTTGGCAAAACTTTTTCTGGTGATTCATGTAAGTTTTTTCAATCACAATATTTATATTTAACTTTGAAATAATTTCGAAAATATTTTCAAAAATTTCCATGATGATTATTTTCTTGTAAATTTGATGCCAAAAAAGCATCCTGTTCAATTTCATTCATTATTTTCTTCTTCTCCGTTTTCCTTATTCTTTTTTCATACAATCGTTTCACTTGTTCGACATTCTCGTCTTCTTCTTCTTCCAAGGCTTAACAGACCGAAAACAATTGAGCAAATATTCAAAGAAAAGAAGAGAGCAACGACAAGGAAAAGCTGTGATGGTCAACCCAATTTAATTAACCAGAGGCAACCAACCAAGCCACCTTTGCGCACACAAAAAAAAAACATCGCAAAAATAATGTATGTGAAAAATGAACAAATAAACAAACAACACGAATATTCATGTTGGGTTTTGGCAAAAAAACGAAATTTGAGAGGTAACCGGGAAAAAGTTGGAAATATGTAGTTGCATGGTGAAATGAGAAATTGGAAATAATTCTAAATTGCAGTTTGGGTTACTGTCGATGATACAGTAGTTATGCAGTTCTAATTGACAATTTAAAAAAAAATGCGAAGATCGGAAAATTTGTGTTCCAAGTTCTATACAGTAAAACTGCACAATTTTCTGTGAATCAACAATATTAAATTTTTTTAAAACTATTTTCAAAACATTACAGCTGTAAATTTTTGATCTAGAAATGTCTTAAAACTACAGTATCCCAAGCTACAGTAAACATTGAACTACTAAAAGTACCGTGCGTTTGACAGTAACCCTGATTACACAGTTTTCGCAAAATTTTGGAACTCTACAAATAAAAATAATCTGCACATTTTTACGAGCCATCAAAAACTTTTGATATTTCTTTGAGCTTTCAACCTCCCCTCCTTCATCTTTTTTAATTTTCACTAACTAATTTATTTCCCCAAAAACCTTTGGCCAAATTATTTGTTTGTTTTCTGAAAGGCACTTTGCAAAAGAAATTGTGGTAGATTTACTTTTTTCTGAGTGGATGGCTTTTTTCGAGAGGACCCCCATTATTTATTTATTTTTATCATTTCTCTATTTTTTCTTATTGTTAGGTTAGTAAGAAATATAAACTAGTATGTTTTACAATTTTTTATTCCAAAAATATTGTTTCAAATTTTGCACCCAGAACAAATTGGGAGAGAAAATATAATAACTTCTCTGCATCTCTTCATATTTTATACTATTTTTTGAAAAGCAGTCAATTTTTCAGTTTCTCTCTTTTCTTCTTAGCTTAAGCAAAACCAGGAGAGAAACCAGGATCAATAAAAAGCAGAGGGTTCGAGACGAGAAGTGAGAAATAGTGTTAGAATAAAGGAGAAATTAGACATTGAGCAAAAAAGAAGAAGAAGAGCTTCTTCTTTTCTTTTTCTTTTTCAATATGAATACAACTAGCATTCATTGTTTTAAGTTTTTCGGTGACTTTTTCAGTTTTGCCAGATGTTTTGAATCAATTTCTTTGTTTACGCTTGGAAAAGGCTTCTTAATTTTATTTTTTCAGAAAATTATTATATTAATCAACATCATGAACTGAAAGCTCTGAGAAAATGTTGATATTTTCACTATTTTTTGTGTTTCTATTTGAAATTTCAAATATAAATTCAAAAACCAATTGTGGAGAAATCGAAAAATGTGCACATCTTCTTGGTGAACTATTAACCACAGATTACAAACGAATAACAAAAGTCGAGGAAATTAGGCAAAGTTATGATAAATTGGTGAAAGAGGAGAGTTATGATCCTAGAACTGAATTAAGAGACAGCAAAGCGAGAATTGAGAAATATGTGAATGTGAGGGAGGAATTTTTGAAGGTATGGTTGGAACTAACTTTGGGGATGGAGGAGGGGTGGGTGAAACGGGTCTCTAGAAAAAATTGTGCAATTTTGAGCCACCAGAAAAATTTTCAAAATAAAAAATTTAGGATAGAAATCTGGATATGATTAATTAATTTACGAAAATGGAAACTATTTTATTTTCAATCAATTTTTTTAACATCCGAAAAATTGAAAAGAACTTTTAACTTTTAGAAAATATAGATTTTTGATTGGTAAAAATCTGGAATTTCAAATTAGACGCAAAACTTCAGAGTTTTGCTAGGATTTTTCTAAAAAAAATCGGGTTCCTGGGGTCCAATTCAAAAGCTCCCCTGAAAATTTAATGTATTTCCCCAGCCTTATTTTTAATTTGTTGCAGTCCGCCAAACAATCATTGGAAAAAAAGACATATTACCCAGTCAAAGATGAAAAAGACTTTGAAGAAATCAATGATATTCGATCTCCAAAATTCATCCGATATATGTCAGCAAAACAAGGAAATGATGCAACAATTGTATATAAAAGCAATCATTTGGGAGAAAGTGAAGTGATTAATGAGACAAGTCATTTTACTCACACACCAAATGCTAATTTTTATTTATTGAATACATCTTATGATTGGTCTGCTGTTCATGTTCCAACTCCAATTTATGATCGAAGTTTGTATCTTTTTTGTTTTGAAAAAATACATCAATCGTTTTTTTTTCAGACCCCGAAATTCTTCGAAAAATTGATTGGTCAAACATCGATCAACTTTACCAGAAAAATCGAGACAGCACAAAAGATTTAGCGTTTCAATTATTTTGTTCAGAATCCGGATTTATGCGATATTATCCAGCTGCTCCTTGGTATTGGAGTAATGAAAAAGACAATTTAGATTTATTTGATTGTCGAAATACTGAATGGTATATTAATTCAGCAACTAATTCGAAAAATGTGATGATTATGTTGGATTTATCTGGAAGTATGTTAGGACAAAGGTTTGAAGTTGCAAAACAGGCAACTGAAGCTATTCTTGGAACTTTGTCACATAATGATTATTTTAATATTATGTCGGTGAGTTTGAACATTTTTTGGGATTTCAGTAAAAGTCCAGACTTGAAAAATCTGAAATTATTACAACCCGAAAATTTATAGCACAAATATACATAGAGGAAAAATACATTCTAAGGCTCCTAGGCTAACTTCATAATTATTTGAAATTCAATGAAATTCAAAATAGTAACCCAACAATCCCAATTTTAAACAACAGAACTCAAAATTCATTTTACAATACCTAAACCTAATTTTCTCCAGTTCACAAAATCCCCAAAACTACTTGATGATTGTAATGGAACACGAGGACTTCTTCAAGCAACAATGAAAAATAAAAAAGCTCTTCGAATGCGAATGAATGATATTGCAAGCGAAGGAAAAGCTGATTATGATCTTGCATTGACTCTTGCATTTGACAAACTTCTAAATGTAAGTTTTTTTCAGTATTTCTCGCCAAAATTAACTCAACAGCTTTTTGATGCTAAATAATTAGAAATTCCGCTTTTATTAATCATGCGGTAAGTTTTTTGGATAAATAAATATTGTTTTGTGGCAGCTGCAAAAAAAAAAGAAAAAAGGCATGGCTTAAAATATTCACGCTTAATAAAAAATTGCTTTTGTTTTGGTTTTATCATCCAGAATTTTAGCTGAAAGGAGAACATCATTTATATACGAAAGAAGAAGTTGCTATGATGAATATCACGGAAGGTTTGAAGTCATTCGAACTCAATGAACATGTTCTTCTTGCATCGGAGGAATATTTGAAAAGTGTAAGATTATGCTTTAAATATTGTTTCTTTTTTTGATTCCTGATTATTTAGTTGGTTTAGTTTATTGTTGGTGTTTGGAAATATTGGAAATATTGGAAAACATCAGTTTTTATTAATAGATTTCAAAAGAATTTCAGATTTAAAAAAAATATAAATCAAATTAAAGGTTAACCGAGGTTTAATCAAATTAATTAGGTTCATAAGAACTACAGTAACCCTCACAAAAATTAAAATAGTGACCCGTAACCAAATTAAAAAAATAGTTTTTATTCCAGAAATTCAACTTTTCAAAAAAAAAGTACCAATAAAATCTGATGTTTGCTAATTGTATTTCCTATTTCCCAAAACATCCAACTCTTTGCACTATCTATTTCGGTGGCTTTTGTGAGCTAGAAAAAAACCCATAGAATCTCAACATTCCCAAACGCATTTCTAAATCTAATCGAGTTGCAGGTTAGCACAGGTGGAGAACAAAATGGAGCAGCTTGTGAGAATATAATCATGTTGATTACCGATGGATCTCCAACTAATAATAAAAAACTTTTGGATACATTGAATCCTAATAAAGATGTAGGTTTTAAGGAAGAATATTCGCGAATTCAAAAAAATTCTAGGTTCGTGTGTTCACATTTTTGATAGGTGAAGAAGCGATTGATTTTAATGAGGTTCGTGAAATGGCATGTGATAATCGAGGTTATATGGTTCATGTGGCGAATATGGCGGATGTTGATGAAAAAATTCAGTATTATATCAAAAGAATGTCTAGAGTTGTTGGAACTGAATCACAGGATAAACAATTAAAATGGTGGACTGGAGTATATCGAGAAAAATTGGTAGGCATTTTTTGAATAGGACCGGTGGAAAATAGTCCAATTCAAAATTAACCCCTGAATAATCTTATTTTTCAGTATCTTCCAAGAGCAGCTGTTTATTCGAAGCCAGAACCAATGCCAAGTCGAAAACATGCAGTTATGAGAAAAGAAGCAGCCAAAAGAGTTAGTTTGTCCCGAGAATCTCAAATATACGTTTTCTCTTTCAGAAAATTCGAATAATCGCTGCAGAAGCTCGTAGTCGAATGTTTGTAACAACAGTTTCATATCCAGTTATTTATAATAATACATTTATGGGAGTTGCGGCTGTTACAATTCCGTTGACTGAAATCGCACAAAAAGCACATCCTTCTCATATTGGAGCCAAATCATATTTCTTTATGTTAGATCAAAATGGTTTTATAATGGTTCATCCACAATTAAGACCAATTGATCAGTCAACAAAATCTCAGAAAATTAATTATAATAGTATGGATTTATTAGAAGTTGAGATTGCACAAACTAGAGAAGTAAGTTCAATAATTAATAAGGAAGAAATAAAAAAATATATTTCAAAATTTTGTAGTTTCGAAATACGCAAAAGATCAAATCTTTTAATGACAAATGTAAAGATGATTATGAAAAATGCAGTGTACGAATTCGAAAAGAGGTAAGCATTTCAAAAATGTTTCGAAAAAATCAATAAAATTTAGGTTCGAAGAAATATGATAGAATGTAACAATCCAGAAACTCCCCTCGAATTGGATGTTTTATATGCAACTGATAATCTCGAAAGAGTTTATCCACAAGTTAATGTTTATTATGCTGAATGTATTAATAATACTGATTTTGTGTAAGTTTGCAACAACTAAAATCATTATCCAAAAAATGTTATTTTGATTTAGAATTGGATTAGCTGTTGCGAAAGATGAAACAGTTCGAATTTCTAGCAAAACTGCAGTTTATGATTTCTCAAAAGTTCGACTAAGTTGGGTTAAAAATGAGACAAGTGATTTAACATTTAAAATACATCCTTATTGGTAAGTCGAATTTCAGAATTGAAAAGAAAAGAAAAAAAAAACTTTTATTTGCAGGAGATATTGTTTCCTGAATGATTCGGATACAGATATATCAAAAGAACAAGCATTTGTTGTATATCTTGAACAAATGGTTGCCACTAAAAGAGTTCCATATCTTTGCACAAAACGACAATATTTAGTCGAACGACTTTTGATTGATTTGGAAGCCACTGAAAATTTGATTCCAGCTTGGGAATCAAACAAGGATTATGCTAAATCGTTTGTTATTTTCATTGATTCAAGATAATTATTCTAAATTCTTTCAGACAGCTGATTCATTTGACCTTCTTTGCCGCTGCTTCTGGAATGATTAGATCAGCAAATTGGACTTTAGAAAAGTCAGAAACGGAAGGGTATGCATATGAACAGCCAAGAACTATTTACGAAAAGTTTAAAAACATAACGAATTGGATCGAGGACCTAGATCAACTCTCTTATCTCACATTAGAACAAGTACCGGAGACATATAATCATTTCATAAATACCATAAATTCAAAAAGTTCTGATGATCCCTATTATAAAAGAGCTGTTCGAATGAAAGATACACTTGTTCTGGAAGTAAACAATAAAAGTAAGTTTGAAGGCAGTTAGACAATTATTATTCCGATTTTCCTCAAAGCTTAGAGTCAAAAATAGTTCAATACGAAAGGAACCGGTGAATAAATTTCAAAATCAAGAAATTTAATTCGAACTGAGAAAATCTTGTGCTTTTAAAATTTCAAATTGCCTCCAGCGGTATCGTGTGTGCAAACACTGCTGCGCGTTTTGTGTACAGTAATATTTGAACTTTTTTCAATATTTGATTTCTATCTTTTTTTGGTAAAACAGAATAGATGTCTAACCGTCTTTAAAGGAAGTGTTTGCACACACGATACCGCTGGATGCAATTTGAAATTTTGAAGATTTACTCAGCTCGTATTAACTTTCACGATTTCGGAATTTTTTACTGAATTTTTTTATTTTGAACTATTTTTTACACTACGCTTCGATGAAAACCAAAATAATTGTCTAACTGTCTTTTAATTGATGAAAAAATATGTACAAAAAATAATATCTGAATTCAGCAAAACTATGGTATTTGGGAGCAACTGAACTAACATCTTATAAATTGAATGAAAATTTCACAATTGTTGGACAAGCATATCAAGCTGTTTATAAGGATAAAGCAGTTCTTGGTGTTGCTGGATTCGAATTTGCATATGAATATATTGTTACACATCTGATTGAACATGGATGTAAAACAAACCATTCACAAAGATGGTGTTTATTACTTGATGAACATGCTTATGTGTTCTTTTCATCTGAAACACAATCTTATGAAGGATATTTCCGAGGAGAAGGACATGTCGGAAAATTCTTTGGATCTATAAACAGAATTGCACAAAGAGCCATGGAACTGTTGGTTGAAGCAAAATATTATAACAAGCTGGTTTTTACTGATCATCAAACATCTTGTGAATTCAATAAAACAAATAATGCGACACAATCAGGAAATCGTTCAAACAATCCCATTTATGCTTTTATTCGATTCCTTATTCACACATTTAATTATCTTGTTAGATTAGCATCAACTGTTTCTGGTGGATATTTAATATGGTTCCCAAATATTCCGATTACAACTGCATATACATCATCATTCCACGAGGGAATGAATACATATCCATGTTCGAAACACTCCAATTTTTATTTTACAAATAAGGATGGAGTTGTGAAACCAAATCGAATTTTGGAGGAAAATTCAAGAGATCGGCCTTGTAGCACAAAACAATGTGGAGTGTGAGTTTTTAAAGATAAGCTTAGTTGAGCGATTTGAGTTTTAGAGTAAAGTTATAAAGAAATTTCCATATGATAAAACTGCTAAAAATGATAAATTATTTATCCTAGAAAACTTTGAGAATCATTTTTGGACATTTGAATGGAAAACTATATTTTATCTCACTGAGATGAAACTTGACCCAAAAAATATATCTAAAATATAAAACACCTTAAAAAATATATTTTCGAAATTGAAAACCATCAATCATGAATAAAATCACTCAACAAGCTTTTTTTCAGAAAAATAGAAGCTTCGTATGTGACGGGAACAAATCTACTAATGGTTTGGATAGTAGCAGATGAAGAAAAAGAAAAATGTTATTCTGAAACTGAATGTGCAATGAATCCAAACTCTCCAATTAAATTTGAATTTATAGCACCTAAATTGAAAAATCCAAGAGACGAAAAAAACCTTGATAAACCAGACACCGAAACAGTCGAAGAAATGATGGAAAGATGTCTAAATATTGAATTCAGAAAATCAAAAGCAAATGATGTTTGTTATCCGATTGATGAAGATAAAAATGAGAAGGTAAACTTCTAGCTAAAATTTTCAAATCTCAAAAAATGTTGTGATTCATCAAATTTTCAGGTAACTCCACAATTATGCTCTATGTCTACATCGACTTCAACTTTAATTATTTTTATAATTTTATTTGTCAAAAATTTATTGATTATCTAAAATTTTCGCATGCTCGAAACCCCGTGTAAAAGTGACCTTTTTACTGAAGTTATGTGATTTTCATTATTTTCGAAATTTTCCATTGTATCTCATTTTTCATCTTTCTTGAATTGTGTGTATTCAATCCAATTTCTCAATACGGGAACATTTTTATGTTTTTTTCTAAATTTAATAAATAATTTTTAATAAAGTGATATTCTATGAAAATTATTTCTCAACAACTTCTAGGGATAAATTTATGAAAAAAAAAACTCATCTTTAAGTGTGAAAACCATCAAATCCAAAATGCATCACCAATTTTTCAACGCCGACGAGAATTTCGGATTGTCCACGATGCATTTTACCTGAAATTGAACATTTTGTGTTGAACTCTATTCAAAAAATCAAACAAAAAGCGGTTTTCTTAATTTTATTTGATAAAAAATTATGTTTCAAAATCTATGTAAACATTTTCGGAATTTCTGAAACAGATTGGGAAATAATTCCTATGTTCCATCTTAGAATCATTTGTAACGTAAGAAAGGTATATGGTACTTTGGATCATAATCCGATGTTTCAATTGTGAAAAAAAAACTAATTGTAAAACCAATAAAATTTATTTGACAAGCTTGAAAAATATATATTTACATGAATCGAGTTATTGGAGATCTCCATTTGTTAGTTTGTTGTTGGTCTGTTTGCGCCATAAATCATTTTTTGGATCTCCTTCGGCTTCTGAAATCAATGTTTTTTCTTGGAAAGAGTAATTTTCGCCAACATTTATATGTGAAGAGAGAAAGCGAAATGTTGAGAAATTTTCTACCCAATTTTGAAAAAAACGCTTACTTTCGATTTGGCAAGCCATGCAATTGTGGGTCTTGCACATCGGGGAGTTCTCGGCATAGTCGGGTGGAACCTCGGTTCCATGGGTCTCGGCGGCAAATTAGTCATCCTTGGCGCCAAAACTCTTGCTGGTGTCTTCGGCGATTTGGGGATGACGGGAATCTCCAAAATTGAATCGTCAGAGCTCACATTGAATACTTGAAATTTGGCACGTGTTTTCTGGAAAATCGGAATGCTTTTATTCGAAAATCATTCATTTAGTTATGAAAACTCACGGTGACCGGTGTGCTCGTGAAAAAATGTCTTGGGGTGGCAGATGGTGTCGACGGTCCTTGGTTGTTATTCATCATCGGGAATTGGCACAAGCTTCCAAGAATGGGGAAAATGGAGATGAATGACAAAAATGTCGAACGCAAAAAATGTTAAATGCAAAAAATTCAAAATTTCGCGCTAGCGCAAAACAAATCGCGTCGAGACCATTGTGTGAAACAGCAGTGTGCGCCTTGAAGCACGGTAGTTTTCGAAACATTTGATTGTTTTTTTTTCATTTTTGTTTCAAATGTACGCTATTTTAATGAAGAGGAATAGCATGCTAGATATTTTAACATAAAAATTCTAATAATTCATTATCGAAACCAAAAAAATAATTACATTCGATTCTCTGAAGAAAAATAAATTCACAGAAACCACCCAAAAAAACATGTGTCACAGGAAGTATTTTCAATAAACAAGTAGGCAAAAGCTATACAATTGATAGGAATGATTTTTAGGCCGAAGTAAAGGGAAAAAACGAGGAGCGAAAAAAAGAAAAGAAATTAGAAGTTTCAAACAAATAATAGCCAAATAAGCATAAAGATTCCAATATATTTGAAAATATTCGCCAAATATTCTTCTTCTTGATATTGATGTGATCCTGGAGCTGCAGATGTTCCTGGTTGATTTTGTTGCTGTTGTTGATTCTCATTTCCACCGCCAAAATTCGCACCAAATCCAGCGATTGGTGTATTGAACCACGAGGCAACAAATGATAATGGGAAAATTCCGATGCCAAATGAAAAATGGACATTTCCACCACCAACACCATCGCCGCCGCCCCATTGGAAACCAGGAAAAGATTGCTGGAAAAATCAATTTATTGAGGGATAGGGGTTGGGGAGAAAAAATGGGAAAGTAATGAAAACTTACTGGTGGAGCTTCAGTTCTTTGTCCTTTTGGGCGCGGTGGAATCTTCTTGCGTGGATCTGTTGAATCGCCTCCTCGACCATAAATAGGGACCACCTGCAAAAATTTATGTTGAAAAAAAGGTATGACGTGGTAAATGATTTATAGAATTTTCGAAAAAAAAGAGATCAGATTTTTAACAGGTTTAGAACATCAAAAATTGGTATGGAAATTTTTTTGTTCGAATTTTTTGAATAGTCAGAATCCAAAAATTCTACTGAAAAGTTTTTCGATAAGAATATTTTTCCGATTTTGATAAAACTGTTCAAGATAATTTCAATTTTAAAGTTATTTTCATCAGAAAAATATTCTAGTTTTTCAAAAAAATTCACTTTTCATTTATCTTCTTGAATCAAAACATTTTTATTTAAAAAATTCATTCATTTTCCCTACTTACCTTCGAACTATCAATGGCACTTTTACAAACGGGACAAAGTTGTCGTTCTGGTCTCGTTTCTAACCATTGACTTAAACACGGCCAACAAAATAAATGTCCACACATCGAAACAACCGCATCTTTTGCTGTATCCAAACAAATATTACATTCAAATCTTGCCGAATCTTCTTCTTTTTTATTTTCGTTACTCGAACTGCTTGGCTCCTCGCTTTTCTGTTCCATTTTCAATGTTGAATCTGAAAAACCTGAATAATTAGGAAAAATATTCTTGAGTAAATAGATATTCTGATAGGTTTCAAGTTACCTTTCTTTAAAATTTGAACAATAATTAAAACAGAAAGAATTTTCGAAGAACAATTTAATCAAAACAAAAACAAATAAGTTAAAAATTATAAAGGCGGAACAACCAAACCAGAATCCCTTCGTTCGAAATACCGTTGTCTGAAAATATTTGAAATAAAAACTTATGAAAATATCAAATTTCAAAAACAAACTACCTCATTTCCTCGATTTGTTCTGGTGTATTCCTTTGTTTCAGAATTTCTTTCAAACCCGCCAATCTAGCTTCTTTATCGATTTTTTTCGGTTTCAGTTTTTCTTTCAGCGACATCTAGAAATATGGTTGTTATTGTGGTTTTTGTGGGGAATTTGAGGATTTAGAAAAAAATTGCAAAATTAGTTGGATAACAAATTGAAGTTTTTCAAAAAATTTACCTTAAAAATTGTTAAATTCTGCTTAAAAATGTTTATTCCTAATTTTTTTTTTGATAAAATTTTCTTTCAAACCTTAATCAACCCAAAAAACTTTCAAATTTCTTCTCTACAAAAAACTTACTTTTGGTTTAACAACTTCATGTTTAATATCCACATTTTCCTCTTCTTCTTTTTTATTTGATTTCCCTCTTCTTTCTCTTGAATCTGATTTACTTCTTCCTCTTCTCCCTCTTCTTTCATCCTCATCATCACTATTTTCAGCTTCCGAAGAAGATGGAGTTGGTGTAAAATTTCCTCGAACTTGTTCTGCGCGAGTTTTCGCTTTTTTCGTGACCGTATTCAATCCCGGCTTCAAATCTCCTTCAAAATTTTTTTTCGGTGGTTTGTCTTCCACCTTTTCCTCTTCTTCATCATCTGAATAAATTGATTTTTTCTTGATTTCTTCAGTCGGTTTTTCTCTTGTTGGTGAAGGCGAAGAGTCTAATCGAGCTCGTGTATTTTTCTGCTCTTTTTTTCGTTTCATAATAACTGTTGGATCTCGAGAAATATCATTTAGAAGAGTTTGGCCAAATCCAACTTGCCAAAGTTTTTGCTTTTGAACACTTGTCATATCTGCAAAAAATCAATATAAATTGTAAAAAAATTTAAAAAGAAAACCTACCATTAAATCTAGCTTCTTCGGCTTCTTCTTCTCGATATTTTTTCACATCTTCTTGTTGTTTTCTATATGCTCCAGTTACAAAAACCTCTTTATCCGCAAATTCATCGCCTTCTTGAACTCGTTCTTTCGCTTGTTGTCTTTCTTCTCGACTAAATTGTTCTAATTGTCTTCTCGCGTGGGCTTTTATAATATTTTCAGCATATTTCGATTCTCGATTTTTATCCGCCTTTCTCGATTCTTCTTTCTTCTCATTTTTTATTGATTGAATTTCATCATAGTTTGAATCATAATCAAAAATCGATGGATCTTCAGCTTGTGCTTTTTGATGTTCACGTTCAGCTGCTTTTTGAATTCGAATAACAGATGCTGATGACATATTTGTCGATGTAACAGGCTGAAATAATAAATTTTAACTAGTGAATTTAAAAAAATTACTGACAATATTCCGATCATCTTCTTCATCATCGTCTCCAAAAACTGCAGTTTTTTTCAAAACTTTTTCTGTTGTCTCCTTATTTTTCAAAATCAATCCATATTTCCTGGAAAAAAAAGAACTTTTTGTCTCAAAACTTTGTAATTTTATTTTGAAAAACTCACTTTTTCATTTGATCCATTGTGATTCCTGGAAAAATAAAAATTCAATTTTAGTTTTACTTTTCATGATGAATCAGATAAACAATGGTTCAAAACCAATGAAATTCCACAAAACCAACTATAAAAACAATATAAATCTGTCTTATTAATAAATAGAAATGCGATACATATTAGAAATTTGATACACCCGAAACCCGACAAAAAAATGGAAATGTGTTGATTAGTTGACCAATTGATTATTCTAATCCGAGGAAATGATTGAGACCTTGAACAAAAGTAACAATAAGTGGTTGCCAGCAAACAAGATACCGAATCCAGTCGAGAAGTTTGCCATAGAATAGATGTGGTTTCTCCCATCTGAAAAATGTTTGGAATTGAATTGAGCAAAATGAATTGAGTTTATTTTTTGAAAAATATAAGTTTTTAAATACATTTTAGAAAGAAATTCTAAAAATGTGCTCATTTCAAAATGTTCAATTTATATCGATTTCAAGGCAGTTTCAAAGAAATCTATCCCCTCTCTAAAATAAAAATAAAAAAACTCACGGATTTTTGAATAATCTTTGCAAATCAACTTTTTCTTTACAATATGGACATGTTTGCAATTTTCCAACAACAACCCAACCACGAATACAGAACTCGTGAAAAACGTGACCACAAGCAAGCTTATATGTTTTCTCATTTTCTTCATTTGTTTCATCTGAATCATCAAAATCAGATCCTTTTAACAATGCACTTGATGATTCGTGAGTATGGTGAGCAGCATCTAATCCTAAATGATTGCCACAAACTGCACATACTCCATCTTCAAGATGCTTTTTCGGCAAACCTTCATCGGTGTAATACTGAAAATTGTTTAAATACTTAAAATTATACTACAATTTGTATAAAAACTTACCCCGATTTTAGCAGCCATTCTATCTGTACAAATATGTGCAAAATCTCGACCAAGAACACCATAATATAATCCATAAAACATCAGAAGAATTCCTATAAAAAATATGCTCAAAAACAATTTCAATATATATATAAATTCTCACCGAAATCCATACAATTGTTTTGTTTCAAACCAAAAACAAAGTTCAATCCCAATAAGGCAAACATCATGACTAAATATCCAGCGATTCCAAGAACATATGATAATTTATGAAGAAATAGAAACCATTTATAAACAAATCGAGGAGTTGAACCGGATACTTGTGGAGCTGATGCTTTCATCCAAATAAATGTGGATGCAATTGTAAATATCACCCAAGTTATTAAAAATCTATACCATGATCGAGTTGTACAAACATATACAGGTATTGACCACATTCCAAGTAATGTACAAAACTACAAAAAAAGCGTTTTCCATTAAATTAGTACTTTCGAAGTTCTATGAAAAACTTACTTGATAAGATTTAAAATGTCTTCGTTTCCACTGAACTAGAAAGATCTGACCAACAACAAGTGTTATAATTAAAATCAACATCATTTCCATATGCATAGCTTCGTGCCCTCGATGTTTTTCGTGCATTTTTTGATGTTCCAATTGCCATTCTTCTTCTTCGGTTAGTGGACGAGCCTGAAATAAATCAGAAAATTAATTTCTAATCATAAAAAAAATAATTTATAAAAAATAAATACCTCGATATGACCACCCTCGTTTTGTAGAACAACTGCACCATGTTGACCCATCTGCAAGAATTAATTTGAAATCAATTTATTCCACAGAAATGACTTTTTTCATCAATAAAAGATTTTCGATTAAAATTCCCGAATAATTTTTGCAAATCAATAAATTGAACAGAAATCAGACAAGTGTGCGGCACTATTGCAAATAATGCACGCCGCTGTGTAATTACGCTGGCCACGCCCATTTTTTGTTTTTAAATTCGAATTTTATTTTTTTCCGCGTTTTTTACGCTTTTCACTTGAACTTTGCATATAAAAAATAAAAATAATAGCTATTTCAGTTCAAAGAAAAGATGAGCAACGGCTATGTTAGTTCACAAGTATTGGCAAATCAAGACAAGCCACTTGACCGCGAAAAACTTTGTCCAATGTTGCTCCGAGTTTTCTGTGCGAATGGAAGACATCATCCTCTAAGCGAATACAACAATCGAAATGGTGGAAGCGTTCCACCAAATGAACTTCAAATGTACACATGGTAAGTTCACGTTTATTTATTTTTCTTTGAAAAATGAAAAAAAACTTTTTTCAGGTTCGATTGCTCACTTCGAGAATTGACAAGTTTAATCAAAGAGGTAAATCCTGAAGCAAGAAGAAAAGGAACAACTTTCGACTTTGCGATAAGTAAGTTTTCTGGATAATTTTTGAAAAACAGTAATGTTTTGATTTTTGCAGTAACTCCAGACAGATCGTCTCCAAGATTTCTTTCTCGAGACATTGGAAACACCATGAATGGGCAAAAAGGAATTGATGACAATAAAACTGTGAGTTTTGAAAAAAAAAACTTACGTTAAATTAAATTATTTTAACAACTAATTTTCTAGTTGCAACAATGCAAATTCGAAGCTGGCGACTACATTGATGTCGCAATAACAATGCCAGGTTCACAACGTCATTTCGGCGGAAGCCGCGGTGGACGCGATTTCGATCGTCGTCCTCGCAGCCCAGTTCGTTAATTAATTGAAAATTCTACGTTGATCTCATTTTGTATTTATTTATTTATCGAAATATCGCGATCTGTTGTTTTTATAAAGACTATTAATATTCCACGTGAATTTCGTTTTTTTTAAATCCACGTTGAAATGTGCTCATTTCTCAAATAATATTTCGCTCAAAATGGTTCACTTTATAACGTTCATTCTGCTGATTACTATTTTAAATATAATTGAAAAGATAAATGGATCAAATGTACCGAGATATATTATGTCAGCTGATTATGAAAAAGGAAATCAACACATTTTTCTAGGAGAACAACAGGAAAATGATTATTGGAGGGTATGTTGAGAAGGAATTTGTGCTCTGAATGGGAAGAGGTGGTTTTGAAAACTTTGTGCTCTCAGAACATGTTTACTTTTCGTAAAACCGAAGCCTGAAATTCTGAATCTTGAATTGAATTGTACAGAAGCTTCTCAAAACCTTCATATTTTGAAAAACCCTCTACTTAATAAGTGTGCGGGGGTTGCATTTAGACCACGCCCACTTCTTAATTTTTCAGGGTAGACCAAAAGTATCTGAACTAATCACAATATGCACTGGAAATCAAAATGTTCCCCATAAATTTCCGAAATTCATCTGCGGATTACTGTATTTTTATCGTGATCCAGTTCATTCACGCAAGAATTTCTATTGGGCAAAATTGTTCAAAAATGTGCCGGAAAGTGTGAAATTTTTGAAGAATGTTACTGTATGTTTGTTTTTTCGAATATTAAAAATATCCAAAATTTCGATTAATTTCAGAATTATCCATGTCCTCCTCATCAATCATCAATCATTGGTTTCACCGAAAAACGAATTCACGTTGCATGTTCAACATATTTAAATGTCAAAGAAACATCAAGAGCACCCAGATTTCATATAAGTTATGTTATTGATCATGGTTTCCCAACAGTTCCATATTGTTCAGAATTTGCTGATGAAAAACCTTGCGATTTTCGATCATATTTCTATATTCGATATATTATTGCGCAGGATCAAATATGTTGTTGTCCGACTGGAAAAATATGCCCAATTTTGGTTTATTCACAGGTTCGGTTTTGAAGTTTTTCTCCCAGAAACACCCCATCATTTTTTTTATTCCAGCCTGATGTTCGTCTTCCATTACTCATCCTTAATTCGGAAATTGACGCAGTTCAGAAATCATGAAGATTTGTAAATTTATTTTCAAAAAACAACAAGTAACATTATAACAATAATAATATTCAATATTTGATCTTATTTCTTTCTTTCATATGTCCATTTATAAACCGCTGCTTTCATTGCTTTTCCTCTTTTCACTTTTTTCGGTCTCAATTCCGATTTTGCAGATGCCGCAAGATTCTTTTTCAATTCCAATTTATTCACAACAACTTCGAGTTCTTTTGCTCGATTCATTCTTTTCAACAATTCGTTGTAACGAGTTCGTCGAATTCTATCGGCTTTCTAAAAAATCGGAATTCTATTGAAAACGGGTGAAATGATGCCTTACCTTGACTCGCTCTTTCGTTTCCGCTCCAACAATTGTTTTCTCTTGTAAATCTTCAGTTTTGAGGCGATTATATTTTCGGGATAACATCGATGTTGTTGTGTCGAAATATTTTGCAGGATTGAACGATTTGGCTGAAAAGGAAATTATTAGAGGTTGGAGTTGAAGTTGAAATTTTGAATTCGTAACATAAAAATTTTATTTTTCGAGGAAGAAAACATTGTTCAGAGTCTTGCGATTGAAAATTATCCCAGATTTTTGAGGTGTTTTTTTTAATTTTTGACATGAAAAATTTGTCTGAAAAAACGAGACATTTACTTTGAAATTTAATTTCAAAAATTAACTTTTTATTTTCAAATTCCAAAGGATGCCTTTTTTCAAAATTTATTAAAAAACCGAACCTTCATGTTCATCATCCACAAAAATCGTATGCTTGTTAGCTTGTTTTGGAATACACGAACTATCAGCAAAATGCAATTCTCCTTTCATTTCATCAATCTTCTTCTTTTTCCTCATTCAATTTAAATTTGACATATTCCAAATCTTTCAAACTTCCCAATTTCTTCTGAACTTTTGTAGTTTCTTCCTGTTCTTCGGTGAGTTTGTCAAAATGACGACCATCAGACTGTAAAATGATTTTTTTCTTATTAGAATATCTCAAACTCAAACTCACTCTAGTCTCACTGTTAACCATATGATGATGATATTCATCCTGATTTTTGTCTTGCGCATGTTTCTTCAACTTTTTGATCGTATCTCTTTTGTGCTGATAATCAGCAGCTCGCAATTTATAATCTTTTTTCTTTTCCAATTCTCCAAATTTTCTTCTTCCTTCCGGTTGAGCTCTTTCTCGATGTTGTCGTTGACCCGACAACTTTTTCGAAATTGAAACCAGTGAAGACATCTAAAATCTATTGTTTATCAAGAAAAAAATCAAATTAAAAATAAATAGCTATCGGTATATGAAACCGCTTGAAAACAACAATTCTCTACAAAAATTGATTAAATATTATACCCGTCAAGCAATATTTTCTGAGCACTGGGATGAATTTAACAAAAAAAAAAGAAATAAAAAGAGGAAGAGAGACTAGAGAGAAAATCTATGAAATGTTATTTTTTTGGAATAAGTATTTGAAATATTCGTAGAAACTGATCATAATTGCACACGATGGAGCCACTTTGAGAAGACGAGGAGTGAGACCTGAAATGAGAAATGAATGGAGAAATTTTGAAGAGAGGACTAACCTGCAGTAAAAGCTGATAACCCATTTTTGAGATACATGTCACGAGCAACAATTTTGAGCGATTGATTCATATTTTCGACACTTTCACCTAATCGAATTTGACTATTTGTTTTGATCTGCAAAAAATTTAGGATTTATGAGGGATGTGGTGGGAAAAGGCAAGAATTAGAGTATTTTTTGTGAACCTCGGAACTTCAGGTTTGATAAGATTTTCAAAAAGTCGTGGCAAGGCTTGAACATTTTGAATTATCGGAACTTTACAAAAGCTTTAAAATTCCACAAAAATTTTAAGGCATTTGGGCCGCTAATGTTTCGAGCTGAAACTGCCGACGACATCTAAACTTTGAATCAAAAGTAGCTCTTCACGGGACATATTTTGAGTGAAAAATAGTTTGGTTTGATAGAGTTTGAATAACTGTGTGCGGTAATTGCATTTAGGCCACGCCCACTTTCAAAAAAGTAAAAAGATTTCACCAAAAAAATCTTACCACATCAAATGGATGTGTAAAAATCGATGCAACACAACCAGCAGTCGCACCACTAATAAATGAAGAAACGAACGGAGTCTCTCCTGGTTTTTGATTTTTCACCAATCGCGTTTTCATGAAATCATATCCAGCCCAATAAATTCCAGAAAACGGAATATCTCTGAACAAAGTCGGCCACCATCCCAAATAAAAACTCGATATTCCTTTCGTTTTTAGTGATTTTTTAATGAGCTCACCAACTTCTGAAAATTTTGATAAATAAAAATATTTCTGATGAAGATGAAAAAATAAAGCTAACCTTTATGTGTCAATTTCTGACTCTGCATTTTAGTTCGAATCAATTCAATTGGACTAACTACACTAACCGAAATAGATCTAGCTGTTGTTCCAGCCAATGCAGCTGCAACCCAATCCGGTGGTGTATATTTTTCTGTTTGAAACACGCGGCGACAACAAAACTTCTTCTTTAAATATTCGGATAAATTGTCGAAAATTGTGAAATAGAATACGGTAGCTGGTAATGCCATAACTCTGAAAAAATACGGTGTGTGAGGTGAGGGAGAAAATAGAGAACTTATTACAATGTGGGTGATAATCCACTCCATAATGATTTAATTCCTTCATATTTTGCAATTTTATAAAATGCATCAGCTGATCCGTGAAAATTACCAGGTCTTTGATACCATTCACATGGTTTTTGAATTTCACATGCCGTGCAAACATGTTCCATTAATCCGTTATGATAATAGAAACATTCACCCTGAAAAATATACCTGAAGAAGCTGGAACTGAGCTGATGGGTCCAAAGTAACATTTTGACATTTTTTTATTGACTATCAGAAAAAATTAGGATTTCTTTGTAAAATTTCTGAATTCAGAATCAAAACCTAACTTTTCCGGTCAAAATTCATCAGAATTTCGAAGAGCATTTTGTGTAAAGCATAACCTCATATTTAAAAAATAACCAAAATTCCTACCTTTGGAAACGGTCTGACATGTTGTTGCATTCGAATTTTAACCACATCGAGGGGTGTCACTGCAATTTAAAATTCCAAAATTTCAAATTAATCAATCCAATCTAATTCAACTCACTGAGAAGTGATGTAACAACAGCTCCGCTCATACTTGAAATAATTTGTTGTGCAATATTCACCGGTGTTTTCTTTTCGCAACAAACTACGCCAACTGAAAAAAAAATAATTTTCAATTTAAATTTTGAAATAAAAAAAACTTACCACAACTCTGACATTCCTCACTCGCCATCTGATTTCTATCTCATTAATCTTCAGTTTTCAAGGATATTATATTGAATAAAAAGGTAGCTTGTGGTTTTCGAACCAAAAATAAATTACAGAAACAGAATTTACCAACAAAATCTGTTATTAACCAGGAACAAGCAATAATAATAATAATAAATATAAAGAGGAAAAGATATGAAGATAACAAAACAGAAGTTTTTCTGTAAACCTATTGATAATTTATGGAAGAGCAGCCACGTACACAATTGTTGCTCCAATTGGATGAGTTCCAGATGAATTTTGAACAGTTATTCCATTTTCAGTGAGTGAAAAAGTGTCTAAAATTTGGAGATTGGTGGAAAAAAAAGAAGAAGATGGTGATAAAACTAACCATTCTCGGATAATTTCACATTATTTTCCAATGGATTTGCAACAGAGATTGTTTGACGATCACCCCAGACTGAGTTAGAATATCTCCACAATGAAACTTCGAAACGAGCTGAACAAAGAGGGTTTTTGAACCAGAAAAATTGGAAACAGTTTAATGTCCCAAAATTTTTAGTTTTTGTAGAAAATGAATTTGAAAACATTTTTTTCAATTCTGGAAATCGAACTGGTGATTCATACTTTTCACATTATTTCAAAATTTCAAGTTTTCAATTCCAAAAAAATCTGAACGGAAGCTTGATTATTCAAAAATTCCTTTAACTCATAAACTCCAAGAAAATCTGGAACTTACGTTTGATTGCTTTGCTCGCTCTTCTCAATTTTCGGATAACCATTGACACCGAATCTCCATCAACAATTGGAAGAACAACATCGAAAAGACCATTGCAAACATCGACGTTTCGAGCAACCAAATTTACACTCACCTGAAAAATTCTTCTCTCTTATCATTCAAAATTTAAATAAAAACATACCCTATTTGGTTGGAATTGCATCAATGGAACTAATGGAACAGTTGTTTCAGTGATATTCACATCAACATTTTCTTCATCAGTATGTCGAATTTGAACACGATCCAAATCCAGCGAATTCAAAATATAATCCAAATTTTCATTCAAAATACTTGTTTGATCAATTGGACTTGTTGAAATCAACGCAGATATTCCTTTTTGTTCATAATTTTCTTTGACCATTTGAACGAAAGGCATCGCTTTTTTCATGAACTTTTTGATAGTTTCTTCTTTTCCAATCAAACCACTAATTATTTTATTATCGGGAAGTTGTCCATTATTTTCTTTTGCTTGATTTTCGAGAATCTTCAAAATGGTTTGTTGCCATGGTGGATATTGTTTCGCAACATAAATAATAGCTTCAGTTGGAATTTCGACAGTTTCTTTGCTCTTCTTTTTTGGTTGAAGATATGTTTTCAATCTTTGTCTGAATTCAACAATCGCATCTGAGATAAACTTCGAAGCAATCGTCAAATTCTCATCAACTTGTTCAGTTTTTGGCCAAGACGCATTCACAATCAATCCAGGTTTTTGGAGCAATTGCCAAATATATTCAGTGATATGTGGACAAATTGGAGAAAGAATTATCATTTGAGTTTCGATAAATCGGAATACAAGTGATTCACTCATTGCAACATCAATTCCAGTACAAAGTTCACGATATGAATCACGGATTGCCTGAAAACAATAAAATTTTTGATTATGTTTTGAGTTCGAAAATTTAAAAAAAAAAACCTGATATTCGAAGAATCCAGTCTTCAAAGCATCTTTGTAGTTTGTTTCGTTGTAATGTTTTTCAGTTGCTTGGATTAAAGCATTCATTTCATTTGCGAAAACGCGATCAGCAAAAATCGATGAATCTGGAATAGATTACTGATATTTTTCTAATCGACTTTTCTTAACCATACCTTTTCTCAATGAGTTTGAATCTCTCAATTCAATCATTTCTTTGATCCATTCAATCATTGTGAATAATCTCAAAATTGCAGCATCAGCCATACTAAATACAAAATTAGCATCTTCAAGTCCATCTCCAGCATCAGCCAAAGATAATCTCATTCCATCAGCTGAAAATGTTTCAATCGCATCTTCCAATGTCATGAAATTTCCAGTCGATTTCGACATTTTCTCATTATTCAATAATAAATGTCCATTTGCACGAATTCCTCTCGGCCATTTTGTTTCATCTTCTGGCCAAATAGCAACATGATTATAAAGCAAATATGTCAAATGATTTTGGACGAGATCTTTTCCAGATGCTCTCATATCAATTGGATACCAATATAAGAACTCTTTTCGGAGAGATTTGAGTTTGTCTTCGGAGATTTTGATATTTTTTGAATTGTATGGTGTTCCAAGGAAAATATAACTCCAAGCAGCATCATTCAAATCTTCAGCTCTGAAAAATCGAGCTTAGTTGAAATTTATATTTTTTATAACTTGAAAAATTGAGAGATTTTTAGGAAAAATTATGATTTTTGTAAAGATCCGAATTCCCTCCCAAAACAACAAACTTGATTCCAGCAGGTCCAACAACACTTCCATCCAATGAACCTTGTTGCAAAAGATGAGCAATTGTATAATAAGCATTATAAATTGTTGAATCGGACAAAGATTCGATCAAATATTGTGGATCCCATGGCAATTTAGTTCCCAATCCATAACTTCTTGAACAAGCATGTTCATGCAACCAATTAATTGTTGTTTCAAAAGCGCGACGAGTTTCATCATTGAATGTATTTGTTTGTGCCAATACTTTTTTCACTTCTTCTTTCCATGATGGATCTCCGTAATTCAAATACCTAGAATATATTTAATTAAGTAATAACACAATTAATTTCAAATTCAAACAACAAACCATTGATCACATAATGCAACAACACATTCATCTCCACTTCGACTAACTACTTTCTTTTCTGGTTCAACATATTTTGTAGCAAGTCCATCTTTAATCAAATCTTCTTGAATAACTTTCTTAACATCCGCTGTTTTTTGTCCAGAATATTTTCCAACTTGCATCACTCCATCATAAAATCCTTTCAAATAAACTTCTTTTTTCGCTTCTTCCAACTTGTCTTTTTCATTTTGTGATTCAATTTTCAATCTCGAACACATTTCAACAGCTGCCAAATTCCCGAGTCCTTCGATTTCGATAATTGGAACTGGTTCAAATGGCAAAACCATATCATCAGTCAACCCATATTTTTCACGAAGTGGTTTCTTCTTCTTCAAATCTGATAATGCAGCAAAATCATCTGGTGAATCAGAAGGCACTGAAGTCACAACTCCTGTTCCTTTGTCGTCTTTGATTGTTAACATTGGAAGTGCATACACTTTTTCGTATTTTGCAAGTGGTGCAGATAAAGCGGCTCCAATAATTTTGCTTCCCAAAACTTTTTCTAATCCTTCAATAAATCGAATTTTTCCATTTTCTTTTGTTAATCCTTGATATGCCATAATTCTAGCAGATCGAGAAGTTGCAACAAAAACTTGATCTTCATTTTCAGTTGCATAAAACACAGAATATTCAATATCAGGATGAAGATAACAATTAGTTTGTCCATACATTGTTTCAGGTCTCAAAGTAGCAGCAACCAAAAATATTGGAAGATTAATCTTGGCCAAAACAGCTGGTTTTGGATCCAAAACTCTTAATTTGATAAGAGTATATTCTTGTGGTCCAACACCTTCTCCACTTGAACGATCATGATCCATACATGGTTGACCATCTTTTGGAGAATAAATTGTGTATCTTTTTCCGAAATCAATTTTCTTTGCAGCTCTCAATTGATTGAATTGCCATCGAACAAATGAATCATAATATGGATTGACATCAGTTGTGATAAATGATCTTCTCCAATCTACTTTGATTCCCATTTTCTTCAAATCAGAAATACAATGTGGTGGGAAATAATAAAGCCAATGATTTGGATCAGCAAATTGACGAATTTCTTCATCTGAAAGACCTAACGATTGCATAATTTGCCATTGATATTTCGCATTTCCAGATTTTGCCACAAGTTTACTCTGAAAATATAATTTCCTAGCTTTATTTTATATCCAAACAGTAAATACCTTCTTTCCCTTGCTTTTGTCTTTTGTTATTTCATCCAAAATTGATACTTCAACTTTCTTTTCCTCTTCAACATCTTCTGGAAAATTTGGTGGGAATCCAAAATCCTCCATTTCTCGTTTCAGTTTATCTGCACATGCTTTGATTGGCATTCCAGTACAATGAAAACCGAATGGGAAAAGGACTTGACGACCTTGCAAACGTTGATATCCAGCAGCAAATTCACATTTTGAAGCTGTGAAAGTGTGACCAAGATGAAGACGGCCATTCATATAAGGGTATGGGAAAGTTACAAGATATTTTGGCTTGTTTCTGAAATAAATTTTCAATTTGGTCTTTAGATAACCAAGTAAGAAAATTATTTTCCAATCCGGCATCAGAAAAATTGAACTCACAGATCATCAGCATTTGATTCGAATGCATTTTGACTATCCCATAATTTCTGAATATTTTCCTCAATATCCAGAAGTTGTCCAACCTTCTTTCTTTCTTTAATTCCCTTCGACATGTTCTATTGCTTATTATAGCAAAGTTACCCTGAAAAATCAATTAACTTTAGAAAATAATGGCAGGAAAATGAACATTGTTTCTAAAAGTAATAATTTAAGTCGATTTCATCAAATAGTTCCATAAGAGTAATGAGAATGAATCAAAAATAGGCCAATTTCAAGTTTTTTGAGCAAAAAATTAGAAATTGTGTGAACTCGTCCCTTGACCTAGGAACCGACTCGGCCACGTTCATCGAAAAGTGTTCGTGCAACCGTTCGTCTCGCAAGACGCGTCATTTTGTGCGTTTCTCAGAACTCTAAAATACCTTATAACTATATCATAGTAGATCTCGAGAACTGGACATCGAAATCATTCTCCGCACTGCTTTCTTCTTACAATTAAAGCAAGAAATGAAGAGAGACAAATAAATTAGAAAAATCTTTTTTTTATTTGGAACGTGACCGATATTGGAATTTCATTCCCGAAAAATACTCCAAAAAAATTCGAGGAAATATCGGTTTTTTTTTTCGATATTTCAATTGTCTTCAACATCTTCAATTTTTTCTGAAAAAACTTCCAAAAAATTAATACTTGGCCGGTTACTGTGGAATTATTTTTTAAAAATTCTGTAGCTTGGTGTCTTCAAAAAAGTTCGAAGCGAAATAAAAACAGATTAATTTTCCAACAAAATAATAACAAATTATCAATTATCCAAAACAATACTTTCGATTCCCTCGACTAATTTATCATCCAACCCAATGTTTCCTTTTTCCTCCTGCGATTTTTCTTGCCTTTCAGCTCCTTCCTTTGCAACAGCCAATTTATGCTGAAAAATTCAGGGTATGTTTTTCTCGGTGGATTTCAAGAATCTTACCGCTTTTTCCAAATCATGTTCAAGTTTTGAGAAAATTCCCATTTTCTTCATAGCCAATGCTTCTTTATATGCTGGTTCAGTTGGAGGTTGAACTACATCTTTGAATTCGTATTGGCTAGAACGAAAATCATATTGAAATCATTAAGAAAAAACCAAAAAATCATACTTTGATGCATCTTTCTCTGAACCTTTCGGATAAGATGTTTCAATATCCAAAGAATATGATTGTTCAGAATCCCAGCCACTCAAATCACCACAAGTCACAAATCCATCAATAACATCAGCAGAAAGTTCAGCCGGATCAGTAACATCTAATAAATCAGATTTATTTTGTAATTTCAAAAAAAAACTTCGAAACACCTACCCAATTGTGTTCTTTTCATAGTTGGAACAAATCCAGCAGGTGGATCATAGTTTTTACAAAGAACAAATGCTTCACAACTCGATTGTCGGCTGCTTCTTGGTTTTGCCAAATAAACGTGTTTGAAAAACTTTTTCAGTTGAGCATATAACAAACTCGAATTTCTCGATCGGAAAACCTGAAGTATTTTTTTTCGTTTCAAAAAATCTGTGTTCATTTCTACCTTTGCCAAGAATGTTCCATCATTTTTCAGAACATGTGAGGTGATATTGAAAGCGGCCAAAATCAATTCAGCTTGCATGAATTCATCGAGTGAATGAATCCCAGTAACTGAATTTTTAAAAATTTGATTTAAAATAAAACAAAAAAAAACTTGTTACTATACCCCTCCAGCCGCTCGCTTAGCCGCTCAAAACGAGGCGCTCGCTCGAGCCAACGAGCGGCTTGGATGGCTTGAGGCGCTGAGCGGCTAGAGCCATTCGAGCCGCTCGCTCGCTAAGCCGCTCGAGCGCCTCAGCGGCTTAGGCGCTCGAGCCACCAAGCCGCTCAAGCCGCTGAGGCGCTCGAGCGGCTCGCTCCATTTTCAAAAAAAATTTTTTTTTCTATACGAAAATTGTGAAACAGTGGTTTTTTTCATAATTTTTGGGTACTTCGAAAATGAAATATTTGTATTGGGACATGGTCCTTGGGTCATGAAAAAATTTTTTTAATTTGAAAAAAAGTGGGCGGGGCTTATTTTTCAGTTTAAAGCTGAAAACACTAAAAAATCAAAAAATTTAAATTTTACCAAAAACTTTCTGGTTTTTTTTCAGATGACTTCTAGTTTATTTTTGAATGTTTTTGACGATAAAAATACACAAAATTCTCGGATAACTGACGATTTTCAGCTATTTTTTATCGAAAATCTGCAATTATGTCTTTATTTTTTGATATTTCAAGCCGGAAAAAAGCTGAAATTTGTCAGCTATCTGAAAATTTGAAGTGTTTTTCATCATCAAAAGCATTAAAAAATCATCTAGAAAAAAACCAGAAAGTTTTTTGGTAAATTTTGAATTTTTGAATTTTTTAGTGTTTTCAGCTCTAAACTGAAAAATAAGCCCCGCCCACTTTTTTCAAATTAAAAAAATTTTTTCATGACCCAAGGACCATGTCCCAATACAAATATTTCATTTTCGAAGTACCCAAAAATTATGAAAAAACCACTGTTTCACAATTTTCGTATAGAAAAAAATTTTTTGAAAATGGAGCGAGCCGCTCGAGCGCCTCAGCGGCTTGAGCGGCTTGGTGGCTCGAGCGCCTAAGCCGCTGAGGCGCTCGAGCGGCTCCATGCTCGAGCGGCTCCAATGGCTCTAGCCGCTCAGCGGCTCAAGCCATTCAAGCCGCTCGTTGGCTCGAGCGGCTTAGGCGCTCGAGCGAGCGGCTCGCTCGGCTCGGGAGCCGCTTCAAGCCGCTCAATGACGAGCGGCTGGAGGGGTATACTTGTTACCATCTGGAGCTCCATCACAAATGACAATATCAGCTTTTTCACCAGAAAAATGTTCAATAACCCGGTTGGCGGTTTCTTCCTGAAAATTTCAGATGTCTTTTTTTATTGTATAAAATTAGTTACCGAAGTGATATCTCCTTGCATTTGAATAACTCCAGGAATCGGAGCCATTGGTTGAAGATCTATCGCCACGATTTTTGCGTTTTCATCAACTTCATATAATCTTTTTGATAGTACTTGAGACCAACTTCCAGGAGCAGCGCAAAGATCGACAGCTTTGGTTACACCTTTAAATGATTCGAATATTAACTAAATTGACAGATATCTTACAATAAAAACAAAAATATGATAGATTTCAAATATCGAAAAAACTGACCTTTTAAAATATGAAATTCATCGTCGATTTGCATGAGCTTAAAAGCACTTCTTGCTCTCCATTTGTATTCTTTCGCAAGTCTATAATAAATATCCCGTTTGTCTCGCGACGTTTTCCCCATTTTTCAAAGTCGTGGTTTTCAAAATCCTGAAAAGAACACGTTTAAAAAGTAATTCTCAAGCTTATTTTAATAAACGGCCAAATATTTGCCTTTCTGGGTATTTAGGAATGCTGAAAATCTACGCGAAGTTTCCCAAAAATTGCTGTCCAAAGTTTTCCTCGAGAAATACACAAAAGTCTCAAATGTGTGCAAACACTATTGCGGACTAGCGCGCATCGTACTTTTTTCATCAGAATTTTTTATTTCTTCATCGCACCTCAATATTACGAGTCTTCTATAAAACGCGTTCTAGTTATATATATTTGCTGAATTCTAATCAATATGAAGCAATTCAAACGACAAATCGAAAAAGATGGTCCAGGGTATGTTTTTATAAAATTGTTTTGATGAATAAAAGTTGTAAAATTCAGGTTTGTCACTTTGATGGCTGAAGAAGCTGAAGATATGTGGCATATTTACAATTTAATACGAGTTGGCGATATTGTGAAAGCTCCAACAATTCGTAAAGTTGTCACAGAAACATCAACAGGTACAACTTCTTCGCAAAGGGTTCATACAATGCTGACAATCTCGATTGAATCAATCGACTTCGATCCCGGTGAACAAGAATTACATTTGAAAGGTCGAAATATTGTAGAGAATGATATTGTGAAAATGGGAGCATATCATACAATCGATTTGGAACCCAACAGAAAATTCACAATCGAAAAAACTGAATGGGATTGTATTGATCTGGAACGTTTGAATCTTGCATTAGATCCTGCTCAATCTGCGGATGTTGCTGCTGTTGTTTTACATGAAGGATTAGCTAATGTCTGCCTTCTAACACCAGCAATGACTTTAACAAGAGCAAAAATTGATATGACAGTAAGAATGTCTAAATTTAACTATTGATAAATTCTTATGATTTTTTAAAGATCCCACGCAAACGAAAAGGATTCACATCTCAACACGAAAAAGGATTAGAAAAGTTTTACGAAGCAGTGAGTGCTGCATTTATACGGCATGTTGATTTAAATGTACGTTTTCAAAATCTCTTACTGTCTTTTTTGCAAACATTGTTTTCAGATAATAAAATGTGTCATAATTGCTAGTCGTGGATTTGTCAAGGAAAACTTTATGAATTATCTTATTACTTATGCGGATGCAAACGGGAAAAAGTTCACAACTGATCAAAAAGCGAAATTTCTTTTAGTTCATTCGAGTAGTGGATTCAAACATGCATTGAAAGAAGTTCTTGAAACTCCACAAGTTGCTGCAAGATTGGCAGATACGAAAGCGCAAGCTGAAGTGAAAGCTTTGAATCAATTTTTGGAATTAATGTCAACGGAACCTGAGAGAGCTTTTTATGGTTACAAGTGAGTTATTCATAATTTTATTTTTTCTAAAATGTATTTTTTTCAGTCACGTTTCTCGAGCAAACAATGATTTGGCAATTGAAACTCTTATGATCGCTGATTCATTATTTCGTTCTCAGAATATCGAAACACGAAAAAAATTTGTTAAATTAGTCGAAAGTGTTCGAGAACAAGTTAGTTTTAGAATACATTTTTTCGAAAAATCAAAGATCAATTTTTGCAGAATGGAAAAGTTCACATTTTTTCATCGATGCATGTTTCTGGTGAACAACTGGCTCAATTAACAGGATGTGCAGCAATTCTTCGATTTCCAATGCCTGATTTAGACGATGAGCCAATGTCCGATGATGAAGAACAACAACAAAATGAACAAGAGTAAAATTAATAAATTTATTAAATCTTCAAAGAAAAACCAGCTTGTACCGTACTAGGAGAGAATTTGGTTGCAATATAGATTATATTTACAATTTCATAGAAATCATTAACATACAAAGGTAGAAGAATCAATATAATTTCTCATTAAACAATTCAAGATCTGTTGATTCTCGAGTCCAATATTCGAAATCGTTTGGATCAACAAAAGATGAATTTGAAGAAAGTGGAGAAGAAATATCAGGTTTGGTTTCGGGTTTGGTTAAAAATGGATCAGTTGTCATTTGATTTTTGGTTGAGTAGCCGAAATCAGGATCGCCAAGTAATACTTCAGTTGTTGGAGTGGGAGAATCCCAATAGCAAGTGTCGCTTAAGGGATCCGCAAATTGTTGCGAGATTTGACTGTTTTGAGATGGAGAAGGTTCGTAAGATGACGACGATGATGATGTGGAAGGGTCTTCTTCATAATACGACGGCAAATCATTGCACAATCTGTCGAGGTCGATGTCAGAACTCTGCAAAATAATTTGAATATTGATTCAGTCAAATTCTTGAGATATAATTTAATTACCTTAAGATCTTCAATGATTTTTTCAATTTCAAATTCATCTCCGATGTCAAAGTTGTCTCCTCCTCCGAGTCCAAACTCTTGTTTTTGGACACACTGTGAAGAATGAAGAGAACGAGTTGAATTGTCAATTTGATATGGCTCATAATACTCTTCTTGTTTCGGTTGTTCTGATTGATATTGTCTTTTTCCAAACGACGAGCCTGTACCCTCAGCAGGGGTGCATTAATGAATGCGGCAGATTCAAGGGACTCATCAAGTTTGGAAATTGAACGATTCTCAACATTTCCAACCGAATACATTCGGAGATTTTGTGACCGTCTCATTTCTTCAATTTCTTGTCGGAGACGCAAATTTTCAGTTCGAAGTTTACGGTTCTCATCAACAATCGATTTCATAACATCTTCCATCTTTTGGGATCTTTCCTGAAAAAAAACATTGCTCAAAAGATGCTCTAAATTTTAAAGGAGAATTATTTACCTTCTTTTTATCTCTAGCAGTTTGAGCAGCCATTCGATTTTTCATTTTTCTTCGATCCATTTTCTCTTCAGCCGTCAAATGTGTCAATCTTTCTCGTTTTCTTGGACCCGAAGGTTCCATTGATTCACCAAGTAAAGCACTGATCACATCATCATTCGGCCGTTTCAAAATAGGTTTCTGTTCGACTTTTGGCACTAATTTAGGTTGTTGTGGAGCAACCGGTGGAAGTGTATAATTTGGTCGAATCAATCGATAAGTTGTTGTTGGCTTCGCATGAAATTGCCCATTTGTTGGAGCAATTGGAGTCGATGATAATATTTTCCTTGGAGGAAGCACATAAATAGTGCGCGGTTGTTTAGTTTGATAGCTCATGCCCAAAGGCTAGGCAGTGAGTAAAGTAAAAACGAGAATATTCCAAACACACTCGATTTGTTTTGAAACGAAAAATTGAGAATAAGGCAACGTCAGCATAAAACGGGGCAAGTGCCAGCAGGGAAGATGGCGATTGGTTGGCTCCGCCCACTTCTGTGAAAATAGTGTGTGGTTTTGAGAGAAATGGTAGAGAAATTATACTAGTCAGACGAAATACTTTTCCTCTTTTTTTTTGTTGTTGAGGGAAACAGAGGAAAGTTGCGAAATATCAAAAAGAAGAAAAATGTGGAAGGAAAATTAAAAAAGAAGTTTTTTTTGGAGACAATAATATTGATGATGTAAAAAAACTGATAAGAATTATGAAATGATAAAAGGCAATAAAATTAATTGTAAACTTCGAAGGTACTTCAGAGAGGAGGAAAATTATATATGGGGCATTCCGGAATTGGCTAAAATCGATAAAACCGACACAAAAGTGAGAGATTTAGAGAAAAACATATTTGATCTACCTCAAAATTTCGAAAATTTTGAGGTCTAAGGATTTGGAGAAGTAAAATACAGTGAAAAATCAGATTTTTTGATATTTGAATATTGTGGTTCAAAACTTTTGGAAATAATTCAGTTTTTTAAATTGTTGCTCGGAAAAAATCTGAAATTTGGGGAGAAAAAGAAATATTTATAATAATTTTTTGAGAAAAAAATTTCTTCTAAATTTTTACGAGAAAAAGTTGGTTCAAACATCTGTTTTCTCTAAAAATAAGAATAATTCCGAAATTTTTCGCTAAAAATTCTAGAATTATCGAAAATTAAACAATCTTCTGAATAATTTGCAAAATAAAACCAAAATACATAAATAAGTATGACAACTGGATTGACAAAACTAGTTCTTCAAAAATTCCAAAAATATAAAAATTATTCATTAGTTGATCAAATAATACAGAAAGAAAAGCCTAACTTCAACACTATTCACAACCGACCAAAAATAAAATAAAATTCGAAAAAAAGAGATCAAGATTTCCCTAAAAATTTAGAATAATAAAACAGTGATTTAATATATGGTCCTGTAAGGGGAAAACCCATAAAGAATTGAAAAGATAGAAGGGAAATAAATTATTTGAACCATCCACCAAGAAATCCTTTCGAAGATTTCGATGGCGAAATTTGATTTTGGAACGGAGCTCGGCTTTTCGAAATGACATCGTCGTATAATTCTTCGCGTTTTTTGAGCGATTCAGTTATGAATTTATCTTCAAGTTTTATTCGTTCACAAGCAGCTTCGAATCTGGAATGAAACATGTCTAAAAGGGAAAAGGTTCAGATTTATTTCGAGACTTTTTATTATGGCTTTAGCCCAGCCAAATCTCCTTAAACTCAAACTGTTCCCATTTCAAACTCACACTCTCTTTGCCTCTGCAAATTCTCTTTGAAACTTCAACATATCAGTTTTCTTATCCCCGAGAACTTTTTCCAATTCAGTAATTTCCATCAATTTTTCCTTCGAATCTTTTGAAACTGGTGTGAATGAAACATTATATCTGAAATTAGGAAACTAAAATTGTGAAAACAACTTTAGAAAAAGAACTAACTTGACATCATTGATCCAATTGTCTCCATAAACAGCGAAATAATGTTTTCTAGAATCCAAAAGTTGAGCAGTTTGAGTTTCAAAAGTGTCCAAATAATGAAATGGAAGTGGAGTTTCTCTGCAAAAATTATTGATTTTCATACTTTCTTTCTTCTCTGAAACTAACTTGTCTTCTAAATGATATTTCATTGCATTGAATTCACCAATATTAGCAATTGTATAAGGAACAAAAAACATATCAGCTTGAGTTCCGGATTTTCCGCGTTTTTGACTTTCTTGAATAAGTCTTACACCTCCTTCTCTATCAAAAAGTACCAATTTGAATTTGCTTGATGACGCACTGTTACAAACAATAGTTACACCATTTTCTCGATAAGAATCCAAGACATCAATTTCGTAGAAATGTGCGTGTTGTTTTCCGACACTTGCTCCAATAACTTCTCCTGGTTGCAATGGTTTTGCACTAACTTCACATTCTTCTCCCATACAAATATGTCTTGCTTGTGCTAATACTTTTGGTACAATTTGAGTTGGAATTGGAACACCGAGTTTGGTGAAAAGAGCACCGAAAACTCGGCCAACTCCACCCATTTCAGAAACATCGAATCCTTCGAAATCTAATTGATTTTCTGATGGTCCGCTTACATCATATTGACGACGTTTGTTTGGATCAGAGAGAACAGAATAAGCAATCGATACTTTTTTGAATTGTTCTTGAGCTAAAAACAAGTATTTTTCAATTAATACAAACTTTGGAAAAAATATTGATTAACAAATAAAAAATAACTCACCATGAACATCTCCTGGATTTCTATCTGGATGATATTTTAGAGCCAATTTTCTATATGCACTTTTGATTTCAGCTTCGGAAGCCAATTTCTCAACACCTAACAACTCGTAGAAATCTTCCTCTTGTTTTTCTTTTTCACTAACTGGCGAAGTTGCTTTCGACATTCCGGCTGAAAATATTCTACGTTGAGAATTTTCTAGAAAATGAAGGAAATATTGGAAAAAATAAAATTGTTTCGCAATGGCCTAGCTAGAAAAAACATCTCTCTGCTTCTCTAATTCCTCTTTTATTTGCCTTTGCACTTCTCTCAAGGTTTTTTTTTGAATAATTCGTGAGGGGGAAACAGAAAGAAAAGATGTGATATTTAACAGAAAAATAAGCTCAATTATATCTTCGGGAAAAAATTGAAAAATACATTTACAGAATAAAAATTGATGAGTATGACAGGACAAGTTGAGAGAATTCTCTAAATAAATTGTTTTTTTCAATAAATGACGATTTGTTTGAACAATGATGACTCACGTGAATTTCTCAATTTCTTCAACAAACCCATAACCAAAATGAACGAAAACGAAAAAATGAAAATATTTTTTGAGGCTCAAAAAACTGAAGAAAGTGCGCTCGAATGATAATGCGCGAAATGTGATTATTCAAAAGTTGTGTTTAAAAAAGTTTTGTTTCTTTTTTTTGTGAAAAAGGTAAAAACAACTGATATCAATGCACTATTATCATTTTGAATGTAAACAGGAAACTGAGTGAATACTTACGTTTTGGTGCAGCTCTTTGACACATTCTAAAAATATTGTTCATTTTTGATTTTGATATTTATCGATAGCGAAATATTCTTATGTTAGAAATGAATGCAAATTTTTATGTGTCTGACTGAATTTAATCGATTACACGTCGATATTTTTTATTTCCAAATATTTTCTTTTATTTTCAAATAAAAAATTTTGATCTGCTCGGGTTTTCATATTGTTTCAGGAGAAAAAATGAGAAAAAATAATTTTCACAAAATTTTCAGATTTGAATATGATGAAAATAATCAACCAATTAATTTTTCAGGATATCCTGCGCCTCCAACTAGAACAGTCTGTCTCGTCTTCCATTTCTTCATCTTCCTGTTGCTGTACTATTATTTCCTAACAATTGTTTTTCATTTCTGCATAATCATGATCATCTCAATTTCAAATAAAAAAATTAAATTATATTTATCATTCTTCAAAAATTGTATACATTAAAGTAAGGCACGACTAGCAAAATCCAAAAAAAAAATAAAAAAACAAACAACAAAACAAAACTATTCAGCAATTGTATTCAAATTTGTAGCACGTTCATACATTTCTCTTTCGGTTGCTCTAATCAAACCGAATTTTTCCGCAGCTTCGAGTCCTCTTTTAGCTTGTTCAGTAGCTCCAGTTCGATCCTGATTTATAGCTCCCAATTTGGTAACAGCCACCAAAACTCGGAAAACTTCGGACTAAAAAACGAGATTTATTTTTTGAAAAATATTTGAAGAGAAAAAACTTACAGCAACAATTTCGGAGCATAGTTTTTCGCTGCTATGCATAACATTCGCAATTCCCATCAAACCTCTTTTCTGTGTTTCTGGATCTTCGTGCATTGCGATATCTTTGAAAACTTCAGGCCATGATTTGATTTCGTCGAGTATCCGAACGCAAGCGGCTGAAATTCGGATATTTTTTTTGAGAAAACTTTTTTTGCAATTTTTTTTTGGTCTCAAAACTAATATTTTAAATGGATAAATTTTTCTATCATGAAGGTTTTGAATCAAATGCTTCCGATAAACTTTGAAAATATAGGTTCTCGATTATCAAATTTCACATGTGACTTTTTTTGGAAAAACAATTTTGAGCCAATTTTTTGAACTTTAGAAACTCGAGATAAAGGCATTTTAATTTTGGTAGAAAATTATTTTTGAAATAGAAATCTGATAATTTTGGAAGAAGCTCCAAATTTGAAAATAAATCACAATTTTTCAGATTTTATTGTGGCTAAAATGTTACCTCGAATCAAAAATAATTTTGAACTTTCTAGGAACTTCGTATCAAAAATCAAATTAAATTAATCTCAATATTTTTTCCACATTTCTACCCATAAAACTATCTCAAAACCCACTTTCATCTTGCGATAAAATAGCAAAAGCCGCTGAAGCAGCTCTCGATAATCGTTCATCTTCTGCTTCAGCTGAATATAATACCCATAATTTCAATCGATCAGTTCCTTTTTCAACTGTTTCATCATAAAATTTATCCAAAAACAATAAATTCAACAATAATTCGGATGCAGCAGCGCGTAAATGTTCATGATCTGTCATAAACCTGGAATCAGATTTTATTTGAAAAAAAATAGTTTGGACAGTGTTTACCAAAACTCCTCAATTTTCGGAATCGCTTTCTCTTTGATGATTTTTGCTCGAATTGAATCACTAACACTTGCCTAAAAATGGAACACTTATTTTTGAGGAGAAACTTTTAAAATTTGTCTTACCAAATTAGTTAGCGTTAACAATGCGTCATAATTTGCTTTTCCATCAACTTCTGGATGTAATAAATCACAAAGTGGTTTAACAACTTCATAGGATCTTTGACCTGGGAATGAAATTGTTGGATCAGCTTTTGTTCCAATTCTAGCAATAGCATGAGCAGCCTGGAAAATAAATATGGATTTTTTTGTTAATAAAATGAGGGCAAATAAGGAATAGGTTTCTGAAATGGGTGTCTGATGATTTATAATCATTGATGTTTTGGAATTTCTATGAAAAGCAGATTTTTCAATAATTTTCCAAAGTTTGTGCATGTGAGAAGAAACTAAAAATTAGATTTTCATATGAAAATGCCCCTATTGTTTCCCAAAAACAAAATGATTTCAAAATTCCTCACATAAATTTTTCCTTCAGGTGTCGCCTCTTTAACAAGTCTCAAACACAAAACAGTTCCACCTTCGCTAATAATTCGTCCTCTCAAATCTTCATTATTCGCAAATGCCAAAATCGCTCTCGCAATCAATTCTAACGCATTTTTACTTTCTGTTTTACTAACAGCAACACAAGCTGGAACAGCTCCTTCTTCAACCAAAGCACGAATTCGTTTCTCAACAAATTCATCCATATCTTTTGGATGTGTTTCAGGAACATGATGTTTTGCGAATTGTGCCAATTTCACCATTTCCTCATCGACTTTTGGTTTTTCATAAGCATTTGATAAATTGACATAGATTGTTGCCAATGTATAAACACAAAGTGCACCAGCTTTTTTGGCTAATAAAACGAGAGCTTGTAAAAGAAGCGAATCATCTACAATCCATTCTTTGACATCAGCATCCAATGATAAATAAGATAAACCTTCACAAGCATATCTGCAAAAAATGAGATGGAAATTAAGGGCAAAAATCTTTTGATAAAAAAGACACAAAATCCAAAAATGGGTTTTGGAACAAAAATCCATAGAATATTTGCTTTCATCCAAAAATAGCGCGAAAATTTTACAAAAATTAAATAAACATGAGTTTAGGTCAAATTTTCCACCCGGAAGTACTTCAGAACATTTTCCTGAAAGCCAAGTTTTCCTCCCCTACTGTAGGCTCCAAAGAAGTTCCAACTTTACAAACCTTCGAATATCGACAGAATATTTGTTCGTATCAAGCAAGAATTTTTTGCAAGTTCTCGCCAAATTCAAAACAGCTTCTTCTCGCATCGTCGCCTTCGAAATATCATCTCCACCAGCTGCTCCAATTTTACATAATCCAACCAGTGCACGAACTTTTACATTTGGATCAGGTGATTCATAAAGTGCGCGAAGAATTGGAATACCAACTTTGAGCATTGTTGTTGCTCTTTCGTGTTTACTTACAGTTGCAACAATTAATTCAGCCGCAACACTTTGCATTAAAAGATTTTCCGATGACGCCATTTGAAGCATAACTGCTGTTACTTGATCATTTGTAACAAGATTTAAACCAATATCAACTGGTCCTTGAAGCATTGTAATTAATAAACAAGCTAATCTGATTCGATATTTATGACCATTTTCATCATCTGATGCATTTGCCATCAATGTACTGCAAAATTATAATTATTTTCATTGTAAACAAAATAAAAACCTGATAACTCACTTAAAATAATAATCAACTCTCTCTTTGTAAATTGTCCGTTTTGTATCAAAAACCATATCCTCATCTAATCTTTGCAAACAAATCGCAACATGTTGACGTGTTTCAGGTGAGACTGGATATTCACATTGTTCTGGGATTTGACTGGCCACATCGAGAAGAATCAATAATCCACGATCTTCGACAAATCGCCACGACCATCCACGTGGAATTCCGCCATCCATGTGCATCAAGTTTTTGAGAAGAAGATCAATGACAGTTTCACGTTGCTAAACAAATATTTTTTTTCGAAATTGAAAATTATGAATTAAAAACATTCCACGTTCATTTTTTGAAGCAAAATTTGAAATTCAATTATAAATTCCACGTGGCATTCTATGGCTTCAAGAGCCCAAAACTTCGAATACTCACCAAAAATCCAACAGACGAATCTTGAAGCATTTCCTGCATCTCCAAAAGTACGCGAATAATCCAAAGTTTATTGGCTTCCGCAACTTCTGGATCTGGTTTCATTTCTTTTTGTCTATCCATTTTTGCCATCGCATTGAAGACTCGTTGAACAATTAAACCAGCAGCATCAACAAATTCCTGTAAGAAAAAAAGAATTGGAATATTTTTTCCCCGGAAAAATGTTACCTTCTGATTTCTTCTACACATCAATCGACAAACAATTCTAACCGATCTTGCTCCATCTTCATCATGCATTGCCAAGAATTTCAGAGCTCTTGCATTATTTTTCAGCGTTTCATCGAGAACTCGTGTCGCAGTTACAACAACTTCCTCATTTTCAGCACTATCATTTATCAAACTGAATACAAATGTCACAATTGACCCCTAAAATGTCTTTTTCTTTTTGTGTTGATTGAAAAAACCTCAACTCACATTATTCCAAACTCCAGTTGCTCCAGTTTCAGATTCTCTTGACAAAACCAATAAATTATTCAAAGCTGTCAATTTTTGTTCAGTGCTTTTCGATTCTCCTTTGAATGCCAATTTTTGCATTTCATCTACTTTATTTGTCATTGATGTTGCTTCTTTGATTCGATCATTGTTAGCTTTGACTAATCTTTGGAGAGCTTCAACGATGGCTCTGAAATATTCAATTTTGTGAATTAAAAAAAGTTATGATGTGGCAAAAATTTATATCTTGGGAATTTCAGAGTTTTCGAGAAGCTCTTGGAGAATTTTTCTTCAGAAAATTTTTTTTCTGAAAATTCTAAAAACCCCTCAGTTTCAAAATTTGAAATTATCCCAAAATAACAAAAAACAAACTTGTCTTTCGGTGATAATCTCAAAGCTTCTTTCGCATCATTAAAAGCAGGTCCAACAAGTCCGAGTTGCTCTCGAGCCAAAGCTCGACGAAACAATGCTTTAACATCAGCTCCATCGATTTCAAGAGCTGCAAATCTTGCTGATTAATATAAAAAAATAAAATTAGGCTTCAAACTGCTCCCACTCCGGCTTGGTATATATTTTAAAGTATACCTTTAGTAGAATCAGCCTGTGCTCCTTCAAAATCATCCCGTTTCAACCGAGCCAACGCTCGATTTCTATATAAAACCTGTCTCAATTCTTTCTCGTCTTCCGTTGTCATTTGAAGCGCTTCTGTGTATCTAAAAAGATTTTTTGAATACAGAATTTTTCTCCAAAACAAATAAGAACTCACAACTCATCAGCTTTAACATAATCCTGATCTCTGACTGCCGCATTTCCTTCATCTCGAATATTTTCAGCACTTTGGATGGTCATTCTGGAAGAGGACAATTTTGGAAACAAATTTGAAATTTTCAACAAAAAATAAATAAAATTGATGGGTTAACCCCAGAAACGTCTAGAAAAAAAAACTATTCTAGAAGGCAAATAAAATAAAAATTTGTTCTGGAGAGTTCTATATCCTCCTCCCTCCCATCGGGAAGAAAGTGTAATAATAGTAGAGAGAGAAGCAGGGCAAAAAGAGCCGTTGTTTGAATAATCTTTACGGGGGGAATATCTGAGCAGCAGGCAGGCATATATCTACGAGACGAGAATATTTGCATTTGAACAACGACGGAAAAAAATCTTGAGATATTTGCGTGCGCTTTGTGTTAATTTCATGGAAATTCAGATTGTCAATTTCGAAAAATGGCGGGAAAAAACTAAGTGTACAATTTTATTTGTGTGGAAACATTTTCTAGTGACTCATTAAAAAACAAAAAACTTTGACATTGAAGAAAATGAATTGTGTGTAGAAAAACTGCAGGAAAAAATATATGAACATAGAAAAAATTTCGTAAAATATAGCGCATGGATGATGATTGCACATAAATTCTGAACCTACAGTACCCGTAAAATTAAAAATGTTTCATTAAAAAAATTGTTTTTTTTCGGCTTCACGAAAATTTTCAAAAATTGACTTTGGATGAAAATTATTTCAATGTATTTATTTTTCTCACAATTTTTTCCGAAATCTTACCGATTTTTGCGCGGTTTCATTCTGAAAAGTCGCAATTTCCAAAACTTGAAAAAAATTCAAAATGATTTTTTTCCAAATAAAAACTCACGTCACGTCTCAAATTAATTTTTTTTCATTTCATTTTTTTTTAAATTTTTGGATCCAATATGATTTTTAATTAATGTACAGTAACCACTAAAACTGTCTGCGTCTCTTTTCTTTTTCAAAGAAACAATCAATATCTCAACTTTCTATTTTTTCCGACCTGATAAATAACAAAAAGTATTTATCGACCTTGTACGGAAAAATGCTTTTTTTGCAAAACAAATTCGTTGTTAATATAATTCGTCTTTATTATACATTATATTGCATTTTTCTGCTGATTTTGGGTTTCTCATTTAAAGGGTGGAAAAGTTTTCAAAGATTTATCAGGAAAAAACCAAAATGTTTAGAAGGATGGAATAGCGGATATTTGAAATTGAAGGTGAGTTATTTTCAAAAAAAGAGAAAAATTGCGAATTTTTTGAAGGAAGTACGATTACATTATGTTCAAACTGGATCAGATGATAAACCTCTTCTTTTATTTATTCACGGATTTCCAGAATTCTGGTATTCTTGGCGATTTCAATTGGAAGAATTTAAAAATGAATACAGGTATTTTCAGAATAGAAAAAAGGGTTACAATTTTTTGAAAATCTGAATCAGAATTCTCAAATGGTCCTCTTGGAACATGTAAAATTTTTAAGCACAAATTTGGAATTTATCTTGAAAAATCGAATTTTCAGATGTGTTGCGATTGATCAAAGAGGATATAATTTATCAGATAAACCAGAAGGAAAAGAGTTTTATACAATTGATCATTTGGTAAATGATGTGAAAGAATCGATTGAATTATTAGGTTAGCCTAATTCTAATTCTAAATCGAATTGTAAAACCAAATTTCTAGGATATTCATCTGCTATAATAGTTTCACATGATTGGGGTGGTTGTGTTGGTTGGAAATTCGCCGAAAAATACCCGGAAATGTGCGAGAAACTTGTTTTTATGAATATCCCGAGACCAAATGTTTTGTTGAATTATATTCAATCAAATTGGATTCAATTCAGAAAAAGTTGGTATATGTTTTTCTATCAAACGGAAAAGTTTCCCGAAATGGCTTGGACTTTTGATGATATGAATAATTTGAAATTGTGTTTTCGATCGAATCAAATGGGTTTGAGAAATAAGAAGAATTTTACGGATGAAGATTTGGAAGCTTGGAAATATGTATTCTCTTCAAATGGAGGTAATTTTAGTAGCTAGCTTGTGAATAGAAAATCAAAGTGACAAGTTTCAGCAAGTTTCAAATATCCAATAAATTACTACCGTAATCTTTTCTCCGATGTCAAAGCATTCGATAAAGAAATATCACTTGAAATGCCAATCTTAATTATTTGGGGAGACAATGATGGAGCACTTGAATCAAATATGGCTAAAATCAGTTTGAAGGTAATTTTAAAATGTTACAGTAAGACTATATGAATTTCAGAATTTGAAAAATGGTCGCCTGGAATTCATCGCTGGTGCTTCACATTGGGTTCAACAAGATGAACCAGAAAAATGTAACAATTTGATGAGAGAATTTTTCGCTGAGAAATAATCTAGATTTTATTTAATGAAGTTGAAGTTGTTATAAATAAATTTTATTTTTTACCAAAAATAATGGAATTTGATCCAAATTATTTTTAAAAAATCGAAATATTTTGTTAAATTTTAGAGTGATATCAATTTTTTGAAAATAAACTAGAATTGGCAACGCTATGAATTTCTGAAGTTAACCTAAATCTTCTGAGAATTCAAAAATTTAGATTTTTTGGAATATTGAAATTAAAAAACCTGAAACTTTAAAATATTCCGAACCACTGCATAATTGCATTACAGTAATCAAACCAAATTCAACCAAAAAACATTTGTGTGATAATATTTATTTATTTTTACATAATTCAATATATACAATCTTCTTGCTTTTCTGTTTTATCATTTCAAAATTCAGGATGAAAAATTCATATAAAGGTACACTTCAACAACTGTCAAAGATCAGAAAAATTGGGACATGTTCCTTTAAACGACAAAAACTCTGCCACTATTAGAAATATATACAATTATATAGGATATATATTCATAGGGGCTTGGGGAAAGAAAAAAATAAGAAGACTTATGGTATATACAACAAGAAAAAAATGGGGGAAACGGGAAGAAAAAAGAAAATGGTAGAGTTCAAACGCAAACAATAATCTGTTTGAAATTTTAAAAAATTAGGCGCAGAACCACACAAAAAACGAAATGAGCAAAAAGAACCAGTGAAACAAATAGAAAAAGGTGAAATAGTGTATTTTTTTGATAGAAGACACCGGAGCGAAAGTGTGGTGGTTGTTTGTATGTTTTTTTGGTGCACAAATTGGGGGTGGCTTTGAGAAGAGAGATTTTCGTTGCCTAACAAAACAGTTCAAAAGAAAAAAGTAACAATAAAATTATAAAGTTGGGAAGAATATACGCCAAACACATTTTTAAATGAATAATATGAACTTGGGTATTTTTTGATGTGTGAAGAAAATGTATTTTAGGCTTTTTTCTATTAAGAGCCAGGGGAAAATTGGAAGAAGGAAGGTGGAAGAGATCCGAAAATTGAAGAGAAGATTCTTTTGGAGAGCAATTTATTGTTGGATTGGCTGAAAATATTGAGAATTAAAATATGAATGAACGAGGACTTTTTTTTCAAACTTCTGGCCTACAAATTAGCCGAGGTAACATCCTAGATATTTAATTTCTTTGAAAATAGCTAACCTTTCCCTTCCGCAATCCACCATTCAATTGTGCACTTCCTCCACCAGCTGCCGCTCCATAATAATTTTGTTGATTCGCACCAGCGCCTTGTGGTGGTCCACCTTGTGTTCCGGCTCCGCCGCCTTGAGCATTATACATGTGGTATAAATCGTTTCCACCGTTTGTGGATGGATTTCCACCAGTCATTTGCATTCCACTCATTTGATTAGCTAATGAGTTCACGTCATATTCTGAAGAAAAAACATTTGAATTTGTAAAACAAACAAACAAAATAACGAAGCTAATTAGAAAAAACTAACGAGGTTGATATACTTGTGGATGATATCCATAATATTGTTGATATACTTGAGGATATTGCATTCTTGGTACCATATCTGGAGATCCCATCATTCTTTGATCGAATCCAAAGTTGGAAGGATCAAAGATTTCGCCATTGATTCCACCTTTTTTCAATCCTCCAACTTTATTTTTTCTTCCAGTATCAGCTTGTTTTATCAAAAGTGCTGGTGCATCTTTCGACATTGTTTCAAATCGTCCACCATTTAATGCCGAAATAATCACTTCACATTTTTCTTTCGAATCCATTCGTGCAAATCCAACACCTCTCGATTGTTGATCTGGTGTTCTCAAGATTCTTGTGCTGATAACCATTCCATATTTGTTCAATTCAGTTTCCAACATTTGTTCGGTAAATTCGAAAGGCAAATTAGCAATATATAAATTAGTTGGATCTTGTTCTTGTTGTTGTAATTTGGCCATTTGTGCTTGTATTCCATCATTGTTTAATCCATCAACTGCAGCTTGAGCAGCTTGTGGACTTTCGAAATCAACAAAACCATAACCTTTACAATGATTTGTGGCTTTATCCATTATCGCTTTTGTCGATGCAATATTTCCATATTTTGAGCACAAATCACGAAGTGTGTCATCAGTTGTGCTCGGCGTCAAACCGCGAATATACAAATTTGTGGAACTGAGTGGTGCATTATCTTGTTGTGGTGTTCCATCTCGTTGTTGAGCAGTATAACGCCCATATCCATTATTATTCCCAAATGGACCTTGACGATTTTGATTTGAAGGCTGAAAATAATTTTTTTTCCTGATGAACATTTTTTTTCTAAATTTTATATATTAACTTGCGAATCTGTTACAGATAAGTTTGTCTAAAAATACGAATTTTTTTTGATTTCAGGTTATAAATTTAGTACGTTTGTCAACAGACAGAAATATAGTAAGGTCAATAATGTGATAGAAATAAATATGCACTTGTCGATTAGTCACTAAAGATCAAAAAGATTCCGACAAACTATACAATTAATGACGTCATGTAAGTAAGAAAAATGTTTGGGAAGAAAGTGCAACGAGAAACAAAAACAAGTTCATACAGCTGAAATATTGCGACCGTACTTTTTCAAAAAAGGTCCTGGAGCGATCAGCTATGTTTTATTTATAGCGCGGTTCGCTTTTCATAAAAGACTTCAAAACTATCTAGAAATATTAGAAATTCACGGAAAATTTTCAAATTTCGAAGAGTTATTCCTTTTTTTCCCGGTTTTTTTAAAACCAAATTTTAAGTGGCGTGTAACTTAGCTTCAAAAAAACAACAAAACTGGCGCCAAACCCGTACAATTTTGGACAGAGATAAGAAGAGAACTCAACCTAATTGCATCATACTATTCTCTAGTATGACATCATTTTAATATATTTGCATAACCTATGTCAAATCAACCCCCCAACTAACCTGTCCACCGTTACTACCTCCTCCTCCTCCTCCTGTTCCACTATTACCACCATTTCCATAATATTGACCTCTTTGTTGATGTTGATTATGATGATATTGGTGTGGAATATGATGTGGTTGTGGTCCATTTGGTGGAAGAGCAGTTCCTCCTGCAACTGCTGTTGAATTCATTTCTGATCCTGAACTATTATATGGATTGCTGTTGTTGTTGTTGTTGATTGTTGTCGTGGTTTGTTGTTGTAAGGGAGTGTACTGTACTGGTCGTTTTTGACTGGCTGCCGGTGGCATCAAGAAGCACACTATGCTAAAAATACAATTTTTAATTTTCTTGGTTTGAGAGAAAATGTTTGTTTCCTCGTTTGAAAATATCACATACCTTCAAAAACTAAGGCGAATAATGAGAAGAGTAAAATCAACAAGAATAATTAATAACAAAATATATTTGAACTGTTTTCAACAAGGTTATAAATGAGATGATTTGCTGCCTGCAAAATGGAGAAAAAGTTTGTTAGAGATTTGTTTTGGCGGAAGAGAAGATCGGAAGAAGTTTTGCGGGTCGAAAAAGAAGAAAAAAAACAGGCCAAGGCTGCGCGGAAACAAAAAATTACAAAACAACAAGCTTACATATGATTTTATATTGGGGATGGGATAAATGAACTATTTTTTTCAAAAGTAAAAACTTTTCAAAAAAGTGTATAGACAGGAAATTGAACTTTAATAAAATTGGGAAACTTTGGAAACTTTGAAAATTTTGGAAAAAAAAACATGGGAAGTTCAAATCGAATCAAATAATGATTCAAGTCAAGATGTTTGATCATTCCGAAAAATACTTCAATAAATAAAGAAACAAAGAGGGAATCACCTGCATTTGCGCTAGAAAAAAGTCTAGTGAAAACACAAATTCCCGGATAGAAAGAAAATGAGCAAAGATTGAACATAAGAATATATCTAGGATTAGGAAACGATTAATCTGTGAACTAAAACAAGATTCAATTTTTGAAAAAAAAAAGTTTCAGAAGACCAAAGGATTAAGGACAAATATGTGTGTTTTTTTTGAGAAAAATACGGAACTATAAACGGAATGAATGAATAGTTAAGAACAATAATAGAATATAGTAGAATCAAAAACTAAACAAGCACAAGGAAAAGAGAGTGAATGAGAGAGAGAAAATCACATGACTCAAAAGTCTTCGCTCAACAAATAGAAAACGCAAAAAAATCAATCAATCGTGTCCTTATTGAATCTCGCGAAAAAAAAGGACCAATAGAAAAAAAGAGAGAAAAAGTTAGGAGGACGACACAACAAGAACACCCAAAGCCGCCCACCCAACCAACCACGGGAAGGGAGTGCGATCGACGAGAGAGTAGCGAGAGAGATGCAATCGACGACACAAACAACACAAAATGGAGGACGGGGCGTGGTTTGGCAGTTGGCCAGCATATGGCACGAGGCCAACATTTTCGGTGTCTGCTTCTCTGATCAATCACGAGTTTCGGACGATAGTGTAGGGAACAGAGAGGGAAAAAAAGAGATGTGAGATAGAAATAAAAACGTTGTATTGGGATGAATGAATGAATGAATGAATGCTCTATAGTGGAACCAATAGAAAAAAAGCAAAGAGGAGTGTGATGTGATGTGTGTGTGGACCGATTTAAATTAAAATGATGAAATATTTTAAATTGTTGTTGACAAAGAAATCTTGCGGTTTTAACGGAATATTGATGAGTTTTTATAATACAAAACAACTTTTGGAGAAACTACTCACACCGAGAACAATAATTATAATTAATAAAAAGTGAGATATATCACATTGACAGCACCGAACAGTGCGCACACAAAAATGCAAATAACACTATGCAACAGCAAGGTCATTGTGTGTGTGTAGTTTGATCGGACGCTAGTATAGTTAGCTCATAATCAAGAAAAAAACATATGAAGGGAAAGAAAGAAAGGATAATAAAAAGTATTTAGAAAGGGTTGACAAAATGAGTGGACACTAGACAATATTAGCATAATTTCTGATTTGTTCTTTCTTTTTTCGAGAGAGAGAGGCAAAACGAAAAGAGTTGTTTGTCGGTGAACGAAAAAACGGCAGGGCGGTTGATAGATAGATTGATATTTGCATACAACACATACCGATCGACAAAAATGTTTCATTTCGAAAAAGAAATTATCAATGTTGCAAATGAAAAATGGAGAAAATTAGGAGTGACCAAACTACACTTTATTTGCGAAACGAAACTACGCAATTTGTTGAAACTACGTGGAGATCAAAACAAAACTACAGTTTTCTGACAAGAGAAAACTACAGTATCACAGAAAAAACGCATTTATTTACAAAGCGCCTCACTACAAATCTGAAAATTCGTGTTCATAGCGCTTCTCCATATTCGGATCGATCGCATAGCAGATTTTGACAAAACAAAACTAGACTATAGTTATTTGCAAACGCAAAAACTGACCGACGGTTTTCATCTTGTCTAAACAAAACTATTTCTCTCTTTTCTTTTGAAAATCCCACTGCCTGTACATACATTAAAATATATCAAATGAGGAAGAAGAAGAAAAAAAGAAGAAAGGAATTCAAAGCGACACACGACGATGACTACGTCGCATTTGGCTAGCAGCCAAGTAAAATGGTCATGTTTGTTATTATTTTTGCATCGATGAAATAGTTGAATGGAATGTGGAGACGCAGTGCAAAAGGCGCCCATCGCTCGCGCGGGACGCCGCCCGGCGCAATAATAGTAGTAGCATCAACGATCGACCGATGCGACGACCGACCCCCACCATCCCAACCGAACGTTATTTGTTTGCTTGCTTGGTTATGTATGTGAAAATGAAAATAGATAGAAAAAATTGATGGAAAAGGGATTGACTGACTGATATTTTCAATGGATACTGTAGAAAGTAACAACGGACAAAATATGCGGAATAAGATAAGCGAAAGCGCGTGATTAAGAGAAAGCCGAAAAAATCGAAAGAAAGAAAAACAAACAGTTTTCTGATGAATTATTCTCGATTTCATGAAGAAACAAACAACTGAACGAAATAATAAGGAACAATCTATTAAGGAATTGCTTTTAGGAAACAAGGAAAATAAGGACTTAAAAGATCATAAATCGATTTTCGTTTAAAATTTGTCAAAAAAATTACCGAATCCCTACAAAGCGGATCTATTAAACCTGTCTATTACTAAACCCAAAAAGATAAGTCGGATAGGTTTTTGGGGAAATTTTGAAACGATTCTACTGTGCTGTGAGGTGGAATTGGGCCTGGAGAAGCTGGAGTTTTAGAGATCTTGGTATGGAAAATCAGTCATAGTTAGAAGGTTGGAAGACCAGAAGAGCAGTTTTCTTCCGAAAAGATGCCTCTGATATTATTTGACCAAACTCTACTTATTGACAAAGAATTGGTGAACAAACGGCCCAAGCTTTTACCACCTGTGGATTCATGTATATTCATAGTTTTTGATCAACAAAACAATGGTGAACCATTGAAACAAAACCATGTTTGTTATGTCATCCACCAAACAATAAGCACCAGGTATGTTTTCCCCTCCCATAAACCATTCTCATCGGATTATGAAGTGTTCTAAGAACTGTCAACTTTTCTCACCATTAATCATCATTTTTTCACCATCTTATTGTCTCATAACCGATCAATGATCAAAAACTGATGAATAATTAGTAGAAGTTATGGAATATAAGAAGGAGAAGAAGAATGAAGGGAGTTGTTTGAAAAAACATAAACGAGGTAGAATATCGATCAAGCTTGAAACGATTCACAATCAGAAATAACCTGGATTTTTTGTGAAAAGGTCATTTGGAATTCTTCAACTGAAAAATTCAGTTCTGAAATTTTCTGAAAAAACGGAAAGCAGGCACAAAAAATAATCGTGGAAAAAATTTCGCCCTACAATCTCAGGTTCCGAATGTGGTATGATTATGATGTGGAAAAAATTAGTTTTGGTGAATTCTAGGATAACACTTTCAACCTGGATTCACTGAGTGTAAATTGTGAATATGGTGATATACCCCGTTTTTTTTCGAAAGTCTTTACAAATGTTTCATGTTGACCTTTGAATATTACTATAGTTTATCATAACTATACATAAATCTCTCTATATTTATATTTTCGACCAATGATTAAAGATGAAAGAACACCATCGTCATTCTTCTTCTTCTTCTCTTTTCTGTTCACTTCCCATACACCCAACCAAATATCAAAAGAAAAAAGACGCCATAGTATACATTCTGTCAACGAAAATCACCACCAAAACGATATGCGCAAAAAAAGAGAGAAAAAGATGGCGGGAGAGGAAGGGAAGGGATGGCGAAGTGTACACAGGTCAATAGATTATCGAGGAAGAGTACTACAATACTACTTGGATAATGATTCACGTGAATAACACACCAAAATGGATGAATGGTGAAGGTATGACGAATATTATTAAGTATAATGATGTATAGGACATCATTTATTAGCGCACACAAGTTATAATAGTTTGTAGGAGAGAGAGAAAAGAAACAACATGCGGGTAATGGAGCAGAGTTCCTAGGAATCTGAATTTAGGAATTACCAAAATGGACATTTTTTTAAAATAACATTTTCGGAATTCGAGCAGATTTTTTGAAAGATTACAATTTTAGAACATGTTTTTAACAAATTTAGCTTCGAACCCGAACCCGGAGACTAGTTAACGTATGATTTCAATATTTTATTATCTAAAACTGTAACATTCTAATCAATAATCTATCTATCTAGACAGTAAAACAGTAAGAAAGCCTGCAATAATTCCAGCAACAATCATTCCACCAAAATATTGCCTCTGTTGTTGAGATTCTTTTAATCGTTTATCTCTCATCATTTGTTCGAAAGTTGGAATAGGATAACGAGACTGTTGTTCAGCCGAAAATCACAAAAAACTATTAAAAACGAGGCGAACATTTTAAAATTGACTCACCTGTTCTCTGGCAACTTGTCGTCTCAATTCTTCCATTTCTCGTTGAGCAGCTCGACTATCTTTATACATTGAACCATGCTGGAAAAGGAATAGGAGACTGAGAATAAAATAGAGGTTTTGTTGGATAATTTTCAGTTCGAAATGAGCTCTAATATTAATTTTGGGTGAAAATTTCACGTTCAGAAAATTAATCTATTTTTTTTAAATTAATAAATATTTACATTTCTTGTTTTTTTAAACAAAATCAGTCAATTTCAATCATAAGGTAACATATTTTGATTTATTGAATTCTTTTTTCTCGTGCGTATTTTGAATGACATTTTGAATATCCTATCTGAAATTATCAGAAAATTTCAGATAGGATATTCAGAATGTCTAAAAACTAGTCTTAAAAAATGGACCCCAAAATTCACGAAAAATTTCGAAGGTGTTTCAAAACGTCTCCCATATTTTTTTCAAAAAACATCTAATCATCAGGAAAAAAACTGACTCTTTCTTGCGCTTCATCATATTCACTTTTGAACGTCCGTTTTTTGAATCCCCCAAATTCCGCATAAAATTCATTTGGCATTTCAAAATGTGAATGATATTGAGGCCTTCGTCTAAATGTCACACTTTATTGGAGTAATTATTTTTGAAAATCTTACCGATTACTTCTTTGAAAATGTTCAAAATCTTTGTAATCAATATCAATATCCGTATATTGTTTTGTTGTTGTTGATCTTCGCCGATATCTATTACTCATATTTGTTTGATCTGCCATTGGATTTTGTCGAATTCGTGTCATATCGTATAATTTGCGTTTTTCTTCAGATCCCAAGATTTCATAAGCCATTGCTACCTGAAATCAACATTTTCGAAATATACAATGTTCTTCGGGAGGTTTTGAAATTAGAGATGCTAATTGAGGAATTTTTTAAATCAAAAACTAATAAAAGCTGTTTTCATTTTAAAGTTCTAATAAAATTTATGAAATTAAAAAATAATTTAGACCTCTCAACCAGGTTTTCTGTGAAACTTATAAATTAAAAATCTAATTTCTAATTTTTCCAAAATCAAATTACCTGATGAAATTTCTTGGCAGCTTCCTCTTTATTATCCGGATTTGTATCTGGATGATGTTGTTTCGATAATTTATAATAGGCTGATTTGATATCTTTCTGACTTGCTGATTGAGCCAATCCTAATATTTTATAATGATCTTGACTAGAACTACAACTCGCGGTTGTTCCTATTCTTCGTAATATTCGAAATCGAATCATCTGGAAATCTATCATAGCTGAAATAATAGTTTGAACAAGGTATAAAAGGACATAATTTCAACAATCCATATTTTTCTGAATCCTTTCCCATAAAATATATATTTATCTATGTATGCAATATATAATAAAATCTGGTGAGGTAATATAAATAAATCTATGCAATATATGAGACTAACACAAAAAATGGCACCGGAGGAAGAAAAACTAGAAAAAGGCAAGAAATATAGTACCGGTTAAATACAACAAAAATACATATTATAGCTTTTCGAGAACAATTGCAGTTCTGCAAGGAATATAAACTTGAGCACGATGACGGCGACCAGCATATCCATCTTCGAAAGTATGATATTGTGATGATGGATCGATACGAGAATGTCCACCAAATTGAGCATCATCTGAATTGAGAGCAAGGCCATATCTAGAAAAAAAGGAATTATTTGAAAATAATGAATAAAAATGTTGAAACTACATACTTTCCAGGTTGATCAATTCCAATTGAATAATCGGCAAAACTTTGAGTTGGATGGAAATTGAAAATGAAAACGAGACCAGCTCTTTCGAATACAACAACTTTGTCAGAATCATGTTTCCAGGATGTATAAGCCTGAAAAAGAGAAAGAAATAAATAGAATCTTCTTTCATTTTGAAAATTGCACAAAAAATTTTCTTTCTTCAGAATTACGAAAAAAAATTCAAATAGCTCTAATTTGTATTTTCAAAGAAACTTTTTCTGTAAGATTGAGCTTTTTTCAAAATGTTCCAAACTTAGTGAACTTCATGGTTTTTCTGAGCACTAAAGTTTTTTCCAGAAATTTTTAAAACAGTTTTTTTTTCTGAATAATCAAAAAAATGTCCAAAAATAACTAGATTTTCAATAACTCACATATCCTTTGTGAAGAAATCCGGTTCTTTCCTCCAACAAATTCATTTCTCTATCCCAATTATTCAAGAATTTATATCTCAAATATTCAGCATCAACCAAATTGAATTGTCTCCTCGCATAATGGAATGACTCATTATTTCCAATTCTTGGAAAATCCAACCATTCCGGATGTCCGAATTCATTTCCAATAAAATTCAACCAAGCTTCTCCACCAAGTGACATTGTTAACAAACGAATCAATTTATGCAAAGACAATCCTCGATCAATAATTGGTGTCAAAGGTGAATCAACCGACATAAAATCATACATTTCTTTATCCATCAACCAAAATGCGATGGTTTTATCTCCAACCAAAGCTTGATCATGAGATTCAGCATATGCAACATGTTTTTCAGCATATCTTCGATTTTCCAAATTGAAAACAACTTCTCCAACTTTCAAATCTTCATCTGATGTATGTTTCAATATCTTAATCCACATATCTGGCAAAGCCATCGCAAGTCGATAATCGAATCCTTGTCCACCTTCTTCAACAGGTCTACACATTGCAGGCATTCCAGATACTTCTTCAGCAATTGTGATAACTTGCGGATATTTTTTGTGAAGAAAATCATTAGCAAGCATAAGATAGACGATGGAATCAGTGTCAGCATTTAGACCAAAATACATCGGATATCCGCCAGCGAATGAATCATCTAAAATTCAAAAGTTGATTGGACTTATAATATATTTATCGATTAACTTACTCATTCCATGAGAATGATAAATCATTGAAGTAACACCATCGAATCGGAAACCATCAAAACCGTATTCTTCGATCCACCAACGTAAGTTCGATAAAAGTAAGCGCAAAGTTTCAATCCTTCAAACATTTTCTCTATTAAAATTATTAATTTCTCAACTTATAACTCACTTTGTATAATCGAATAATCTCGAATCCCACAAATTATGATAACCTCTTGCATTTTCATGAAAATATCCACCTTTCGATCCATCCCATTCATTTAATCCATCATCAACATTTTTGGAGGCATGTGAGTGAACAACATCTAACAACATATAAATACCTAATGAATGAGCTTTATCAACAAGATATTTCAAATCATCTGGTAAACCGCAACGACTTGAAACAGCGAAAAATGATGTGACTTGATAACCAAAAGATGCATAATAAACGTGTTCCATAACAGCCATCAATTGAATTGCATTATATCCTTGCTTATGAATTCGAGGCAAAACATCATCAGCAAATTCACGATACGAATTGATTTTTCCTTCTGAACTACTTATTCCAACATGTGCTTCATAGATTCTCAAAGATTCTGGTTTTGTTGGTCGCGGTGATTGCAATTCATATTTTTGTGGTGGATTATAAAAGTTTTGATGATAAATGACAGTTTCTTTTGGACGAGGACAAGTCACATATTTTGCCCATGGGCTGAGTTTGAAATGAACTTGTCCATTATGTGTTACTGCAATTTTGATAACAGACAAATGTGGAATTGCGCAAGATCCATCTGGATTTGGCGGAATAATTATGCTCCATTTACCATGTTGTTCTTGTTTATAAACATTTGCGTTTTGATCCCAGTTATCTAAAGAAAGATTTTAAATAGAGAATGACGTATGAGCACAAAGTTTGTGTCATAAACTAACTAAAATCTCCAACAAGAGCAAGTCTTTGAGCAGCCGGAGCCCATTCAAGTCCACGAATTGAATTATCTGGTTGGACATTTAGACCAAATTCACGATATGAAGAAGTGAACTTATCGATTCCTCCACACTGGAAAAACACAGTATTTAGAAGATTGGAACCAAAATTTTTCTGGATATTTACCTCAACAATTCTTTGTTGATAATCAAGAAAAACTCCATATCTTCTCGAAATTTCACCTTGAAAATCTTTCAAATATGGATCGACTTTGAACAGTTCTTCAATATGTGGCGGAGTGCTCATCTGAAATTGTTTGTTAGAACTTGGAAAATATTGTAAAAAAAAAGATAATCAGATTTGTTTTCAAACAAAAAAGCAAATCATTAAAAAATTAGAAAAACAAGGAAGGTTTATTTCGGGGGTCAAACATTTGATAAAAAAGGAAGGGAACATTTAGCCGTAAAAAGCGAAGGCAAGAAAAAAATGAGGTGATTTTACAAAAAAAAAATATAGGAGATCGGGTAATTGTGAAAGATAGAAGTGAGATTAATAAACATCGATACAATCGCCATTTTCGATACCGATTTGATCGCAGGTTTGAGAACCATCAGTCAAAATATCGTCGTCAAACATCAGTCGCATCTTTAAATAAAATAATTTTGCAAATCGTTAAACACTAAAAGAATAATCTTTGGTTCCTAGATAAACTAATGAAAATTGTAGAAAAATAAAAAAAATAAACAACTGCGTCTTATCAATTCGAGTGAACTTTTGATAAGCGACAGATAGAATTTGCTTACAACAATCTCTGAACAACTTTGTGTTTCATTTTGCAAAAACACACGGACCTAACAATTGTTAGTCCGTTTTTTAAGCAATTATAAAAAGTTAAAGTTTTAAACGAAACTTGTATGATAAAAAAGATAAATAAACATTATTACAACGACTAACCTTTTGTTTATCTACACTGTCTCCCAAATCAGCGCATAACAAATCCTTGAGTTCATCAATTGTTGTTTCAATTTTAACCCGAATTTCAACAGGTTTTTTACGAGAAGCCAATTGAAACTTGATTCCAATGAGACCATCCGACACGTCTTTATTTGATTTTCGAGTCGGTTCATTATAATCATCAAGATCTATAATGCCATTTGAATTTGGTTGAACAATTGGGGCTAGTTTTTTCGAAGCTTGGAAAACTGGGTGAGGATGTTGAAGTGCAATGAATCCTAGGTTATTTGGAGTATGCTCTGGCATAATTTCTTGTCCGTTGTAATGAAGAAGAACGTCTTCTATTGGAATACCCCATTTTTCTGCAAGAATTTCACGAATATTCTCAAAGTTATCTGACAGAAAAATATCAATTCCAAATATTCCATTTCGTATAATTTCCAAATCCATCACATCAATAGTACAAGGTAGAGAAGATGACGATTGTTCAGGTTCATCATTGCTCAATATTGAGATATCAGGAGTTTTTGATTTCCAAGCTTCACCAATCTCATCAATGATCCTTTTTGCTCTAGTAAATTGTCCTGATTCAACTTGAACTTTTGGGCGAAGTTGGTCAAGAAAGACATCATTTTTACTTTCCTCTTCAGTCTTCTTTTTAATTGTTCGATAATATTCTGGAAAATTAGAGCGTTGAAAAATGAAAATGTGTATTTAAATATTACCACTGGCAGTCTTTTCGCATAATTCTTCGATGTATTCATCGTGAGTTTGAAGCTTTGCCTGAATGGTTAATGTTTTGAACAAATCTCAAAAATAGGAAATGCCAAACTAACTCTATTCAAAATTGCAACACTTTCATCATCGGTATCCTCATCGGACGATTCGATAAGTCTTTGTCGTTTAATAGAATTTCTGATTGGTTCCACCTCTGAAATGTTCAATTATGTTCTCTAAATTATACATTATCGCCTTACCTTGTACATCATCATCTTCGTCTGAATCTGAACTATCTGGTTCTAAACCATTAGCACCACTGGGTTTTGTAAAATGAGAATTATAACGTCTTGAAGTATAATTAGAGTAGAGATCGTCCGAATCGCTATCGGACATTTTCTGCAAACATAATTATATAATTTCTTTAAAGATGGAATTACAACACTTTTTCTAAAAGATTATCAAAATGTCGAAATAATTCGATAAGGCAAATACCCTACATTTTGAAACGATTCAAACTAAACTATAAAGCAATTATCACTGAATAAATGGAGACTTCTAAAAAGATTCAATCAAAATCATGAGCTTTTTCAAGTTGGAAAATTCGAACAGTTCAAACTTTCAAAAAACTAAAAAAGTTGCGTCAGCACTCGAAAAGCGCACAAACAAACGCGCCAGTGTTGTTCGAGGTTTTTTATTTTCTGTTTTTCTTTCGTTTTTCGCGCCGTTTCCTCGCTTTTAATCAGTTGAGTTAGAGTTTGATGGAGTAAAATTAACCTTAAAAATTATAAAACAACTTGTCTTATAAAGCCTTCTTAACTTGTTTCATATGTCCTTCTAATCATTAAAAAATTGATTTTTATAGGCTAAATGGTTGCAAATTCAGCGAAAGTGACACCAAGCAAAAAGTCACCGATTAAAACAATCAGTGCTGCCAAAACTCAATCGAAGCCTCAAACCAAAAAACGATATCTTTGGGTGATTAAATTGCAATGTCTTCCATTCGGATTTTTCGAAAATGAGCTTCTTGGATATTTCCGTCAATTTGGATCAGTTATTCGAGTCAGAGTTGCGAGATCTACTAAGGTAATCAAATAGCTTATTAATTTCTTATTAGTCATTCAATAATTACAGACTGGAAACCATAAAGGCTGGGCTTATGTCGGTTTCGATAACAAAGAAGTGGCTGAAATTGCCGCAGAAACAATGAATGGTTATTTGATGTTTGAACACCGGTTAATTGTTAAACTTATGAAGCCAGAACAAATCCCAAAATGTATGTTGAAAGGGTCCACACTTCTTCCTCGACCAACATACAAAGGACAAGCTAAACGTGATGCAATCAAAAGAAACAAGTCAGATGGAAAAAATGACGCTCGGGATTTGAAAAGACGAAATAAAAATCTTCATAAAACTTTGACTAAGTTGAAGAATATGGGAATTGACTATGACTTCTCATCGTCACCAAGTAGTGCTTCAAAAGACAAGGATATTCAAGTTATCCCGAAAACCCCGAAAGTTGTTAAGGTTGTAACACCAGTTGTCACTCCAAAACAAGTTGCTACTCCAACAGTGAAAACTCCACAAATCCAAAAAATCCAAGAGCAAGAAAAGACACCAAAGTTCTCACCAAAAACTAGAGCAGCCAAGAAAGCCGCAGCAACTCCAGCTCCAGCGCCACAACAATCCTCGATCCAGAAGGTGAGTCTATTCTATTCTGACAGTCACATTTCAACGTATTAAATATCAGAAATGACTTGATTTCAAATAAAATAGTTTTGGAATGACACGTGATTTAGTTCACGTCTGTTCAAAATAAAATTCCAATTTTTTATTTCAGGCAATTCAAAAATCAGTAGCAGCGAGTGCTCGTCCAGCTCCTTTGGAAAAACGAACTTTGCGCGGAAAGAAGAAGAGTTTGTGATGAGTTTATTTTTTATTTCAAATCTTTTGTTGTTCTGTTATTTTTATTCAAATTTGTTATTCGTTTTATTCGTTTGTTGTTTTCTTTTTTAATGAACAAAAAAGGGTCTTCATATTTCAATTGTCGTTGGATAATTGCCTGTCAAACACGCTGTGCAATGACCAACTGCAAATGTTGTCGATTTTTCGATTCCTTTTTGGACAGACTGAAAATATTGGCAATTTATAAATTGTTGGGAAAAGGGAGGAGAAAATTATTATGTTAATGAAACCATGGAAACCAAATGGGCTGATTTTTCATATTAGTCATATTTCCTATTCAATTTCCAGTTGCGTTCTCTTAGAATATTGAAATCTGTTCTTTTTCCTTGAAATTTCCAACTTATTGCAAATTTGAAATTTCCAACTTATTGCAAATTTGAAATTTCCAAATTACATAAGGTGTCTTCTCCCTCTTTCAAACATTTTCTCCACTCACATTCAACAATCCTTCGACTGACAAATATCTCACTGAATCTGCTCCAACATATTCACAAATTTCCTCAATTGTTTTATTTGAGGCAATCAATTCGGCTCTCGTTGGAATATTGATTCCCATAAAACATGGAAATTTGACAGGTGGAGATGCGATTCGCAAATGGACCTCAAAAATAGCTCGATTTTGTTCCTACGGTACACATGTGTCCGCAATGGTGTTTGCACATTTTTCTCAAGCGTTTGACAACACTTTTATTTGTGCATGTTTATGTTTTGTTTCGAGTATAAAATAAATAAATGGTTTCTAGACGAAATTGTTATTTTTCATCGATTCTTTTCAATGGTTTGACACCATTTTTGTATACTTTTGATATTTATTTTCATTTTTCAATATAAAAACTTTTTAATATTACAGAAGTGCGAAGGAAAAACTTCCATTCGAACTTTGGGAAAGGTAAGATATTATTTTCTCATTTTTTGAACTCACCTCTTTAGCTCCAGCTTCTCTCAAAAGTTTTACCAAAGTTTTCATAGTATTTCCTCGAACAATTGAATCATCAACAAGAACAACTCGTTGATCATTCACTTTCTTTTTCAAGACTCCTAAAAATAGACAAGACTTGTAAGCTGAATCTAGAACTTTTTCTTACCAAATTTCATTTTTATCGCATTTTGTCGCATTTCATTGTTTGGTTGAATAAAAGACCGACCAACATAGGAATTCCGATGAAAAACGGGCTCGAATGGAATTCCAGATTGAGATGCATAACCAATTGCAGCACTCAATGAACTTTCGGGAACATTTCCAATTAGATCTGCCTCAACAGTATCTTCTAATGCCATAGTTCGCCCGCATTCCTCGCTTTAAATTAATTTATATTAGAATTATGAATATAGCTTCTTATTTAAAACTTACCGTACACTTTGAACCTGTTGGCCTTCAATCTCAGAATCATTTCTTGCAAAATAAACATATTCAAAAATGCACATTGCAAGAGGCGATTGTGGTTTCATCTGCCAAACCGAACGAATTCCATTTTCTGATAATTCTACGATTTCTCCTGGTCTCACTTCGAAATTTATTTTCGAATTCATAGGAAAAGCGCAAGATTCTGAAGCGGCACAATACGCGATTTCCCCTCCAGTTTCTGAACAAAAATATTAGATTTAACTAAATTAATTAGATTAGAATAATGAAGATTACCTCGATCGAAAACAGTTCCCACACAAAGTGGCCGATTTCCAAATGGATCTCGAATTGCATATATTCTATCATAGGTCATGACTAATAATGAATATGACATATTCAGTGCTGACATTGTTGCAGCAAGTTCCTAAGTTTAGAAAATCTATGTTCTAGTCCTTTTTCAAGGTTATCTTACTCTAGTAATTTCTCCATAATCTGCATCAGTATGACATTTCACATTCAAAGCAATCGATTTTGCAACCATTTGTGCAATTAATTCAGAATCTGTATCAGTAGATAATCCAACTCCTTCATGTAAAACTTCTTTTCTTTTCTTTTTTGCATCAACAAGTTCTCCATTATGAGCAATTGAAACAGTTCCTCTTGCTGTATAAACAACAAAAGGTTGAACACAATTTATACCGGATTTCTTCTTTCCAGCTGTGGAATATCTGTTATGTCCAATCAAAAGACGATTATCTTTCATTTTATAAATAGAATCTTCAGTGAAAACATCTCTAACAAGTCCCTGTCCTTTAATAATCTCCACTTGATTTTTTGTTATTCCATCAGATCCAACCAAACCAGCAGATTCAGTTCCTCTAAAAATGTCGTATAATAGTAATAATGCTATATTTTCTCACTTCATTAATTATTTTGCACAATCGGAAATAAGAATTTCCAAATTTCATGAAAGCAAAATGATGTGATTTGAACTTTTCAAATTTTTAATCTCAAAATAAGTCTAGAGATTATGGAAATGACAATGAATATTAAAAATTAGAGATTTTCCCACATATTTCACGAAAAAGTGTAGTTCTCAGCGAAGTTCGATGAGTAATTCCAGACAAAATCGAAGTTTTACACATCAAAAAACTACACGCTACAATAGAATTTCGGACATCACTTGTCCAGATGAACTACAAAATAGTTACCTATGCTGTAAAGCGGATAATCCATTCAATGCCAAAATTGGCAATTCTTCGACACTCTCCGAGTTTTTCGCAGCAACAATTCCGAAAATTCCACACATTTCAAAAATGTATGAAATGAATATTATATTTATTTTTAGCTAGCGGCAAAAGTAGGTCGCGTGAAAAAATTCTTTCATTTTTTTATCATTTTCAATTTTGAATGACACGGTCATAAACTCTGTTTTTTTCATTGAAAAATTGGTCGATAAAAGTACAGTTTTGTCAAAATTGCACAACTGTTCTTCTCTCTTTTTATAGTCTTTCTTAATTAAAAAAATTGAGAAACAATAAAAAATTCATTTATCGATGAAATTAAAACGAATTATTATTTGATTAGTTATCCGGAGAATCTCGAGCAATATGCCTGAAAATAAGAGAATTCGAATAATTTCAAAGAAAATTATGCTAACTTACTTGTAAAGTCCGTAAAATTGATTGCGTTTTCCTACTCGAAATGGCGAGAAAAACACTGATGACATATCACCACGAACACTCTGAAAATACATTCCGTTGTTATCAATTTAGTTTGATAATTTTGGTTTACAAATAAGTTTTGTACTTTTTCGTTTTATAAAACTTATTTGTAGTAATTTTTATACCGAATTTTTGTTTACGGGAAATTTAATTTTTGATGAAAACGAGTTGTTCTAAAACTAAGACATCAAGGAGTTCCAGAGCTCCGAATTTGTTCTATTTTCGTGACGTGGTGATAATTTTCAGCGTGAAGTTTCAGTAAATCTCGAATGGCTCGGAAATTCAGAAATAATAATAACCTCAAATGAAGGTTTATTGTCTGCATATACCAGTTTTGACTTTCAGATGTCAGATCTGGTATATTTACAAACCTTAATTTGAAGTCATGATTACTTCTGGGTTCCCAGGACAAACAACTTTGTGATGATATTTTTTTTGAAATGATCAAAATAGAAAAGTTACGAATTTCACTATTAGGGTTTCGTTTTTAATTCAAATATTTGATGAATTCAATCCAATTTACTAAAACTCACGCGATATCCTCCAAAATCTTCCGCTTCCACGAAATTCGTGTAAACGACAATCAAAATAACGAGAAACGCCAGAAAACGCATCATTTTTTACTTTTTTTTTCCTGGAAAAAATGAATAAGAAAAAAGTAAAGGAACGGATTAGGAAATGTCTCATAATTCTTTTCTGACATTTGTTCTTTTTCTTTATTCAACAAACAAAAAAAGAGAAGAATGAAAATTTCGGAATCTAGTCACAAAAAATAGGCATCCAACTAATTAGTCAGTGCTCGAAAAATTTTGAACAAAAGATTTGTTCTGTGTGTTGGCAGCGCATACAATTTGTAGTAGAATAATGAGACACTTGTGCTCCGCCCGCAAAAAATTCCAATGAAATTTTTTGGCGAGACGACGAAATTAAATTGAATACTTAATATTATATTGTTTTCAGTACAAATTGAAAGACGACCCACTTCTATATGGAAATTGTTATAGAATGGAAGGTTTTTGTCAGGACAAAAATAGTATAAATATTATTGATATGTGACGTATCGTACATGTAAAATATTATAACTCATATTATGATGATGTCATCTTATTATGTTGGGGTAAAATATTGTGAACATTATGAATATGACAAATACATGTGTCGTTGGAAAAATCGGTGGAAATATTCATTCAAGAATCAGATATTAAATGGAAAATGGTATTAAAAAAAGCTGAATTATTATAAATATAAAAATTATGTAGGAAGAGATTTCCAAAGTAAGTTATAATACTAACCTTCAACTTTTTCTTCTAAACAGTTTGTTGATCATTTTTTTTACTCCTTGCTCAAAAATTTGTTTTTAAAAAATTTCCAGTTTTTCGCGTGTCCTCACGTTTTGACACGTTGATTAATTCCACATTTCACAAATTGAAATCGTCATCATAATTCATTGTTTTTTCTAGCGTTCAATCAATCGTGACATTAAAATGGGAAGATCAAGATCTCGTTCGCCAGTTTATAATAGAAGAAGGTCAGTTAAGAGATTGAATCGAATCGATTCAAAATAAGAAGTATTTAAAAATGGTTGTTTGTAGATCGCCAGATGTTCGTCAATCTTCTTTCCGTGACAGAAAAGAGAGGAGCCGTTCGCCAATTCGGAAAAGAAGTCGTTCGCCATTAAGAAGAAGACATTCACCGGAACCAGCCAAAAAGTATGCTTGAAATTATTGATTATTTTATGAAGTTTGGATTATTTTAGGATCAGCTGTGCTGAATGTCGTCACAGTTATACAACTGTTCGAGAACTTGTTGATCATGAAGTTCGTCAACACGATATGAGAATTCGATGTGCTCATTGTTCAACAGTGAGTTTTTCTGGTTCTGCTGTGCTGAATTTTAGCTATGACGTGGCGAAAATTCCAAAAAACTATATCAGAAATGTTTCAACATGTTAATTTCAATCCTGAAAACGATGAAATCAGGAATTCGAAATTTTTATTCTGAAAATGGAGCAGATTCTGAAAGAACAATGAAAATAAGCTTTTTTTTCTGATCCTAAGTTTTCTGATTGATCATCAAATTTTGTAAGTAGGTCATAATTTTTTGTTAGCAAATTGACTAGAAATAATTTTTGAAATTTCTCTATTATATATTGTTTGTTTCAGAAATGTCCATCTGTCGCTGAATTGGCTGATCATATTATGGATGAGCACAAACACAAACGAATCATTTGCTATTATTGTAGCCGTGATTTCGGTGTCACATCAGACAGAGCATCGAAAACCGAGTGGAGCGATTTTCGTGCGCATGTTTATAAGGAGGTTGTCACCAAACAAGTCAACAAATACAGTGAAAAAGTGATGGGCGAAGAAGTGACACATCGTGGAAAAGGAAATTGTCCACATGGACCACCAGTCAAGTGCAAGTATGTTAACTGCTTTTTGTTGAAATGAGTATATTTCAAAAAACAATTGTTTTGCAGGAACTTTCCAAACTGCCCGGGACGTTATTGCTACTTCTCGCATCCACTTTGTCGTTTCAACACTTCTTGCGATAAACAATCGTGTGTTTATGATCACTCGGATGTTCCAAGAGTTTGTCATGATTGTCAAAACAGAGTGAGTTGGGATTTTTTAGAACATTTTTTTCCAAAAGTTCATAAGATAATTTTTTTCAAGTAAAATCCGTACAAAAACTCAAGATTTTATTTTTCATTAATTCCGGTGTCTTCATTGAAAATATTAAATGCAAAATTTTTAATGAGAAAACATTTAGTCCACTCCACTGAAGATCTTTTTGAAACTTTGTTCAAAATTTTAAAGAACCCGTGAAAATTAAAACAATAACCATTTTTCAACCCCGTCTTCTAATAATAGTTCTTTGTTTTTCCTACTTTGAAAAATTATATTTTTTCCAGAAAAGACAAAGAAGATATTAAATTGGTTCGTCTAACTTTTCTTTCCGCGTGATCTTCTTCATCTCCACTTTTCTCTCCTTTTTACAATTCTTCTCTGTCTGTTATTTATTTTTATCCAAAACAATGTCCCTCTTTTCATTTCATTTCATTCATTCCCTGTCCCATTTCCTTTTCCCTACTATTTTTAAAGAAGCAAAAAATCCAATATCAATTAAGTTGTTCTTTTAATTATCATCATGATTTTATATGTTAAATTGGACATAAAATGCGTCAAATTAAGAGAAATCAAGCAAAGTAATTATATATTTTTTATAAAGAAGGAGTGTCATCGGAATGAGCATCTGCATCTGCAGATTTGCGACGACAAATAAAATATTCAGGAACAATGATAGACATTTCACGACGCCGCAAAACCTGCAAAATTCCACTTTGTTTGAGAAAAATTGAAAAAAATATATAATTATTCATGATTTTCGAAAGCGAAACTCACATTTCAATCGGGACCGTACCCGTACTTTTCGATGCAGAAAATCTATGCAAAACATTCTAAAATATTTATTTAACACGTAAAAAATCATCAATTTCAATTCAAACATGCGAATTTGAAGATGAAGAATGAAGAATATCCTGGAAGTTTTCAGAAATCTGCTATTAAAGTTGCTATCAAGATTTCGAAAATTATAAAAGGCAAAAAAAACAAATTAAAATCCTAAGGGTAAAAAATCGTGCGGGTAAAAAATTAACTAGGGATTTAAAAGCAGCTGGACTGATAATTTGATCTTTTGAAAAACTGTGCGGCAGTTGCATCGCGGAAATTTGAAAAAAAAACATTTTAAAAATTGATTAGAGCAGAATTAACAGCTTACTTCTCAAAATTGCTAGGCTTCACAATTTTTAAGTTTTGTGGGTAGATAAAAAATCAGTTGAATTTCTTGGAATTTTGAGGCCACAAAAATTCTGATGAAAAATTACCCCTATGAAGCTTTCACATAGAAAAATCAAATTAACCTCCAACCGCCTTTAAATTCAACATTTTTCATCAACAATATATTTTTTTCCTCAAAATTCAATCATGCATATTAACATTATCCATCGAAAATCTACGGCGAACACATTTTGGTGAAAGTGCAGCTAATGATTTGAAAAGTCCACAATTTGTCGTCGTTGAATTTTGTTGATCATCTAATGTCGTATGTGTTGTTCCAAGTGTTTTTACAATTCCAACGGAATGTCGAGCCATGCGATGTTTTTGAATAAGGGAAGTAGAAGAAGGGGGAAATGGGAGTAAATGCGAGGAATGAGGAGGTGGACAGGAAGAAGAAGAATGAGAGGGAGAAGAGGAACAAGATACCTGAGTCAAATCTTGTTTTGTTTCCACTGATAAATTATGCGAATTTGATGTTGGATGATCCGAAGAATGACTGCCATTTATTGCCTGAAAACATTTAAATGATATATTCTCGTGGAATTTTTCGGGTAGTAAATCACACTATGTGAAGATATTGCTCATATTAATTTTCATTTTTTTCTGTTTGCTAAATTTATATTTTTGTGAACTTGTAAATTCAAATTTAACTCATCTGATGAAAACCCTACAGTAAGAAAAAAGTCCAAAAGAAATTTTAACATTCATAAAATTCAAAAAAAATCTAAACTTTTGAGGGAATTTTTTCCTAGGGAAAACCTAAGCACCTAAAAAAAATTAATGAAATCCCGAAAAAAATCACTTTTTTCAATCTCCAATTGCAGACATTTTTCTCCCCCGATTTTAAATATATAATTCATTCCGAAACTTTTTTGGCGTTTTAAAAATATGTATATCTCATGTGTAAATTGATGAATTATTCATAACTCAAGAAAGAAGTACATTTTTATTTCTATTTCCAGTTTTTATTTTTTATTTTATTTTTATACAGGAAGATGAGAAAAGTCATTTAAAATGAAAATGAAATGAATAAAATTTTAGAGATCATAAAAATATCAATTTTACCTGTTTATTGGCTTTTCGAATAGCACCAGTCGCACAATATCCGACTTTCATTCGATCGATAATAAATCGCAAAACTTCTCGCCAAAGAATGATGGCTGAGTCGATTTCGGCAAATGTCATGTCGGATTTTTTGGAAAATCTGAAAATTGATCGTCGACGCATCGAAGTATCATACTCGAATAACAACTTTTTGTCAGCTTTCATTGCGCGACGAAAATGGAACAAAACACATTCTTTGAACACCGACCAATAATGAGCACTGAAAACATTCATAATTTTAGATATGTTGCGAGAATTTTGATGGGGGAAATTACATTTTAAAAAAAATTCTCGGGAAAATTAGCTGAATGTGAGGATGATTTTTAAAAAAAATATTTAAAAAAAGGTACATTTTTTTAATTTCCACGTAAAAACCTACAGTACTCCACAGGATAAAGTGATAACACGGGGTTTCACAATAAATATTACTTATCCTAGTAATTTAAATCCCAGAAACTTTGAGAGTCTTATAGAAATTTTTTGTAAATATAATAGAAATTTCTTAAAAATATTAAAAAGTAAACTGTTCTACGTTATATATTTTTCTGGAAATAATGAAGCTGTGCTGAAACTACAGTATAAGTTTTCTTCGCGTTGTTCTTTTTTCTCTAAAAATCTCTGAATCCAAAAAAGTTCTTTCAATCAATAGTTACTTACCTGAATCCTAATTGTTCTTCATGTCTTGCATGAATTTTTCCCAAATTCAAAAACACTGCATCCAATTGTGAAGGATCATCCAAATGTGTCATCGTTGATTCGATTACCTTTTTTGTTAGAAAATAGTATTACAATTTAAAAAAAAAGAGAAAATCCTCAAATACCTGTATAAACCGGACGGCATGAAAAATGAACTCGTTGCTCTTTTTGTCTTCCCTGAAAAAATTATTTTTAGGAGAGATAAAATAATTGGAAGAAAAAATAATAAAAATTGTGAACTTGTAGTCTTTCATCATAAATGAGAACATGAGTTTGGCATCTGGAGCTTGTTCGAAAATCATTTGGAAAATATTCACAGCAACTTGTTGCATGTCTCTGGAAAAAAACGATTAGAAATTGCCGAGGAGCTTTTTTTTGGAAGTTCAGGGTTTTTATCAACATACGCCTAGAAATTCTAGTTATCAACAAGTCATGTCTAAAAATTTCAACTATCAAGGATCAACGCTTGATTGTCTAGGACCCACATCCAGATTTTCAATTTGGAAAGGAGCAACGCTTTTAGAGCTTCCATTCCAATATACGATTCAAAACTTACTTGGAAACAATAGCCCACGATTTATTCAAAATCTCTCGATCGGTATCCGTTAAATGCGACAAAGATTCCATTTCAGTCTCAGATCTCAAAGATTCAAAAAAAATATCAGAAAACCTTTTCCAAGAATTCCAAGAAAAAAAGTAAGCTCAAAAATTATAATTGCAAATCTATTCATTCAACAAAAAAATTAGCATCGATTTTTCATAGATTCCTTCTTCCTTCTTCCAGCAAAAAGAAAAACTAATCCAAAAAAGGGAATTTTTGTTTGTTTACACAAAAAAGCTCATTGTAGAGATAGATTGCAGAAGAAATAAGATTTTTCTTGAGAGCTTTTTTTCAGAAAAAAGTTCAAAAAATGAGCGGGTTGGGTTGAAAAAAAAGAGAGGAAAAAATGGAGAACAAGAAAATTTAGGATTAGAAGAAGAAGAAGAGGTGCAAGAAATTCATATTGCAATAGAACAAAAAGACGAAAAACTATGAATGATTGATTTTCAGAGGTCCGTGAGACATTCTCGCAATAAGGTGTCACGGAAGCTCGCGGAAAAAGTTTGAAATTATTCTTTGTTGTTTTATTTTTCTGAAAAAGTGCACTCATTTCGTTCTAATCAATTTTTGGTTCTCTTGGGAATTCAACAACAAAATTCCACCTTTTTTCAATGGTTCGTTTTTTGCTCTGGAAAAAAGAAGACAAATGTATTCTTGAACGACTTTTGGTTTTAGGGCTTGGTAATTTTCTAATATAAAATACTAATATGATTTGAGCAGCGAAAAAAAATTATATAAAATATTGTGCATTGGACATATAGAAACTAATGGCAAAAAAAGAACAAAAAATGTTTCAAAATGAATTTTTGGACTCTGTTTCGAGATGAAGGGGTTTGGAAAAAGGAGAAGGTTTCGAGAGTCCAAAAAGGTTTGAAACAGTCAAATTTGTCATCGAAACATTTCCCAGAAAATGTGAAAGCTACACGACCTCGATTAAATCTGAGCAATCTTTTTTTACATTATGAGAGTTCTGAGCCCTTTTTTGCTCCTCGAAAATTATTTAAATTTTCAACAAAACAGCTCTTTCTTTTCCGGAAACGCAAAAAAAATAATTTGAAAAATAAATGGAATTTCTCTCGTTTTTTCCCATTTACCGGTTGTTTTTTCTTGAAGAATGAAAGGATTATGGGTTTGAGGAACAAAGAGAGAAAGAATAGAGTGAAAAGCTTAAAAAATAAAAAGAAACACAATTAATTTGTTGAATTCGAGAAGAAGAAGAAAATTAGACGAGAATCTCAACTAAACATGTGTTTTATTTTATTCTTATTTTTTTTTTGAAAAAATCTGAGTTTTTGCTTGAATGGGAATCTAGAAACTTGAAAAATGCAATAATGTTGGAACATCAAAAACCTTTCAAAAAAGGGGTAAAGTGCAAAAACTTGAAAAAAAGTGCGAAAAAGACGAAAAACAAATGTGTCGGATGAAAAAACGCTAAAAATGTTCCATAAATTTTTGTCAAGCCAAATGTGATATAGAATGTGGCTTAAAAATTATGGAAGTTAAAATTTTCACGCAAAGTCCGAAAAACCACGTGAAAAATTCTAAACTTCCACGTGGCATTTAGCATTTCAATTTTCAAAACTCAGTTTAATTTGAAACTGACTTATTTACACGAATAAAAAACTATTTAAAAAATGAAATTAAAATCAATAATAAGAGAAAATAGTGTGGGATACCGTGTAATCCGAGTCCGATTTGACTGGAATTTTTCGCGCCTCTTCCGAATTTTCACCAGCAACTGCAGCGAGTTCGCGAATCGCAGGTCGTTGCGAATTCACAATCTCATTCGCCTCCTCGAGCGGCATTTCCAAATTGAGGCATGTCATGAGTCGCGCGACTTGTCTTTTTCCTTGTGATTTTCGTGTTTCGCATCTCCAAACTGCAGGTCGACGCGATTGGAAAATGGTTGAGGAGAGTGAGGAGATTTCGAGACGTTGTTCGAATTTGAAATTGAATTTTGGTTGGCCGAGTTGAGCGATTGTTGAGGCGACGTGTTCGGCGATGATTTTTCTGAAGGAAAAACTTTTAGTGGAGAAATTAGGGTTTAAAAAAATTGTCTATCTTTTTAGGCTAAATATTGCTAAATAATTTATCAGACTTTCAGTTTTTTTGTTATAAATGAATTTCGCAAGCTCCGAATTGAATAATTTTCCGCCCCAAATCTAACCTCGCAATCTCGGGAATTCGTCTCTCAGAATTCTTATTAATCATCGTCACAAACTCTTCAATTGTCGCCAAACTCATTGCAATCGGCAAAATGGCAATCGCTCTTGATTCAGCCTCCTCAAATTTCTTGCGAATTTCGCGTTCGCAATTCGCCATCGTCATTTCCAACTCTTCTTGACTCAATTGAATCTTGGTCGAAAAATCCTGAATTAATTTTCTTCTCAAATATTCCGTTCCGATCTCCATTATCATTTCGACCGTATTCAATTTTTCCAAGCGCGGAATTCGAAAATTGCCCGATTTTGAAGAATGAATCAATTGAGCCAATCGACTTCGATTATTATAATGAACACGCGAAGAAATTGAGCCGAAATTGAGAGCGGTGAAAAAAATGCGAAGCAAATCAGCGGCTTGTTCGATGTTCGCCGATTTGTAGAGAATTTTCCAGAGTTTCTCGGTAATTTCGAGCTCGCCGGCAGTTACTCCAAAAACTTCGTCTTTTCGAGAACCTTCTTGAATAAGTTCGTCCAATTCTGCGCGAAGAGTTTCCGGGTTTTTGGTGATGAATTTGATGTCTTCTTGAGGATTGGCTGAAAAATGAACGGAGATGATTTTCCGAAGGATAATTGAGGTGAAATTTGTAATTTGAGATTTATCAAAATTTTAAGAAAACATTTTCCCATAAAAGCTCGATTTTTCAATCCAAACTCACCCAAAACATCAGCCAAACTCAAAATGAACATAACTTCTCCATACATCTCAACATCTCTAAAAAATCGGGTGTCCGCCCATCCCAAATCCACTTTCACCGTGCAAACTGCCGAATTCGGTGGTTGCGCCAAGAATTCGCTTGCCGATCCCTGACACCACTTTATATCCACCACAACCTCTCCCGGATCCCTCCTTTTTTGACTGCAAATGGCGCGCTTAATTTGATAAGTCGCCCGGAATTCTTGAGTCTCGTTGGGATAATTTTGAGCGGGAAATGCGCCGTTCAATTTGACGACTTGATTTCGCGTTTCGTCGCAAGCGATTCCTAGAATTCTCGTGATTCCTGTGAGTTTTTGTGATGGGTCGATGATTTTCCAGACGATTGATGGCAACAATTTTTTGGAGGATTTTGTTGAGATGATTATTGGCATCGGTTTTTCATTATCAAATGGTGGAGTTTTGCGAATTCTGGAAAAATAGATTTTTAGTGGGGTTTAAGCTTTTTTGGACCTAAAGATGAAAAATAATTATTTTTTTTAATTCCGCGGAAAACGTGACATTTCAAATTTACTATTTATTTGTTTCAAAATCAGTATTTCTGAAAATTATGTTTCTAAACGACATAACTGAAAATGGCTTGTAAGTTCTATCATTTCTATGGGCGGTAGGTTGAGATTTTGTAGAAGTGATGGTTCTGTTTTTTAACCCACAAACGCTCACTTTGCCTCCAAACTCATAGCTTCACTGATATCAATCGGATTACAGTCGAAAAATTCGACACATTCGAAACCAGCCAAATCCTCTTCCGTTTCGTGACCATTTCGAGCTTTCAATTTTGACAGGCTCACAAATGAAGTGTGCAATGGCCCATTTTCGATGTTTTCAGATGTGTCCATCGAAAATTCATCGTGATATACATCTTCCTCGATTTTTGGATGTTTTTTGAACGTTTTTGCGATTTTCGAATCGATAACTATGGCTTCAGTGGAGGAAAGAGCGATTGACTCGATGTTGGGGTGATTTTGAAGGATTGGAAGTGCAGAGATTGGTAGAAGACGAGCACGGTATTTTTCGAACTGAAATTATTTTTTGTTGGGGATTTCTATGCATTTTTGAGACACTTACGATAACCACCGGTTCTGGAAGTGGCGCATTTTCGTCTTCTGCATCTTTCCAACTCTTCATTTCATCATTGTACACTTGCAAAGCGTACATTTTTCCTGAAAAGCTTTCGAAAGTGCTTAAGAGACGATGAAAATTTTAGTAGAAAAATTCAAAGGGACGTTTTCAATTTGACCCCGCGAGCTCAACGGAAATGGGCGGAGCGAAACGTAATCATTGTGGATACGGAGCACAAATTGTGTTGCTGCGCAGCGAACAAAGTTTTCGAAATTTTTTGAAAATTATTCTTCCCGCGGTGCAAAACACTGACGCGTTTGTCATTTTTGTTGGCGCATTTCGCGATTTTTCTTATTTTTTTTGTGTTTTTATTTTTCTTGTTTTTTGTGTTGCTTTGTTTTAAAAAACGTTTTGCTATTTTTTATGACTTGCTTTTTTTATAAGGTAGGGATATTCTGAATGATCTTGTAATCAACGAAAATTGTCGTATTTATGACTGATTTATTTTTGAAACACGTAAAATTAAAATAAGATAACCCGTAGAACTAAAAATGGAATATTTCAATAAAGGCAAGAATGTGAATAAACTAAAATGACAGGAAAAATTGATAGAACAATTATTTAATCTAAAAACCGGAGAATAGTTTCGATTCCTAAAAGTGATCCATCATCTGGTCCTTCGTAGAAATTATCAGTCAAAAAACCATTGAAAGTTGAGTTTGCATAATCAACTATTTTGATTTGAACTAATTCATCGATTGTTTGAGAAGAGATTGGATCTCCTTCTAAAACAATCAGAAGACTTGCTCCAAATAATCGAAGACCATATGATTTTTTGATTATTGAATGGATTGCTTCAAGTTTTCTCTTGACAATTTCCAAAATCTCAGAGTTAATTGAACAAAATTGAATGATATTTTCATAAAGTGTCAATTCACTCATAGATCTTCCTGTAAAATGAGTAAATTGGTTTGATAGGCTATATTTAGTTTAGAAATATTCAAATACCTTCATATTTTCCATATACAATTTGTTGTTGAGTGTTCGGACACTGATATTTCATTCCACATAATCTTATTCCTAATGTTGCTGATGTGGTAGATCGACATTTCGCTGTCATACAAGCCGCTTTTTCCAAAGATGCTTGATCTCCATGTTGTCGAGTTCCTAATTTCAAATCCAAAACTCGAGGACTTCTCATTCGATAAGTTAAATCCGATAAAACTATGAAGAATCTAAAATATAGATTTTAAATATATGTAGAAGAAATATAGAAACTCACTTTGATAATTTTCGTTTGTTCAAAATGGGCGAACCTTCGATGCTTTCTGGTATTATAACATTTTCAAGTTGGCGTGTTTTGCAGTGAATACAACTATGAGGCAGAATATTTACTGATCCACTCTAAAATTAGAATTTTTTGTGAGCGAAAATTCCGTGCAGCGGTAAAGTATAACGTGGCAAATCGTAGTGATATTTTCCAAAACACTTACTTGTATTGTTGTGCAACACAATGGAGCAATCCATTTTAAATGATCAGGCATTTGTTGATAAAAATGCAATTCTCTCACATCACAAGGTTTCAATAAATGTCCATTCGGAAGCGAGGTAAAAGGTGTATGTCCACCAACCTGAATGCATTAGTTCCTAATTCAAATTCGAAATTTAATAAGTTACCTGATGCACAAAAGGTTTCAAAATATCATCATGAATTTCCACAGAAGTTTCCTCTAGAGATGAAGCTCGTTTTATGTTTAGAACCATGCTGAAAGAAACTAATTGAAAATGAAACTGAATCTTAATCTGGATCAAGGACACGTTTTTCACGAAAATAAATAAAATGAGTCATTTATTTCGGAAATGAAAATGAAGATGGAAATAAAAATGAAAATGAATCAACAAATTTGATAAAAAGAGAACATTATTTTTGTTTGGCAAATCAGAATGAAGAAAAAAATCAGACAGACAGATAGAAGCCATAATACAATTATCCGTCAAGAGTTACGAAAAATGACGAAATTTTTTATGATGTTCGAAATTTCAAAACATCTGTAATATTTTTTTAATATTTCGAAATATTCTCCTTTTATTTACTTTCTAGTGTTTTTTCCAAATTCCATTCATAAATTTCCCATTCATTTCATTTCTCATTTCTTCCTGTACAAAACGTGCATTTTTGGGAAAGAGCAAAAGGTAAATAGTGTGAAAAGGATGAAAATGAAATGAGAGGAAGAAAAGAGGAGGAAAGAATGGTGAACAACTGTTTTTTCGTGATGATTGAGCCTCTATTAGAGAGAGGAACAACCCGAAATAACTTATGAAAAGCGATCTTTAGATTAATTGGAAAAATAAAGATTGGATTCAACTTTTTGTACTTGGATTGAACTTGAATCACATAGGCTTAAGAGATCAGAATTAAGCCTTAATTCCGTGATGAATTCAACATTAGGGCCAACGAGAATTAGGCTGGTCCGAATAAGGATCGGAAAAGAAAACAAGTATATTTTTTTGGAAAATCGATAAAAATGTTCTAGCGAAAAGTAATCGATCAGAAACTTCCCAATAAGAAACAGAGAACTCAAAAAAATCTATGAAACCGGTTATACCAAAATTAAGGTGGACTTTCCATTAAATTTCAACTAGTTCCCAGAAAAAATCCCTTGTCTGGAAAACGGAGTCTGAGAATCACGATTCTGAAAACCATTAATAAAAGCTTACCGAAAAATAATTATCTTCAATTATTATTTTATCAACAAAAAACTCAATATGAGAAATATTTGATAATGATCGATCTAACCCTAAAAAACGCCCAGAAAACGGAATAAAAACAACAATAAAAGTAGATATGCTCGGAATTTTTATGATTCCATGGAAAAAGATGAGCAAAAAGAAACGAGTGTCGGTCAGTTGTGCTATGATTACAACATAGAAAATGGGGGTGGAAGGAGGAGAAAATGATGGTTTCAGAAAGGGTTTTAAATACTTGAAATATTTAATTGAAATTTGAAAAGGTCTGGAATTGTTTGTCAACATTGACTTGTTTTTTCCGGTCATTTTTCAATTAAAAAAGGCGAGAAACAAATCAAAATACAATATCACCTGATCTTTATTTGTTTTTTATTTTGATTTTTGAAATAAAAAACTTATCAATCACAAAAATTCAAACGGAAATTCTAAATTCTCTCACAAAAATACAACCAAAAGAGAAGAAATAATAATATTCAATGAATAAGAAATGTGTAAGAAGAAAAATCGATAAAATATTGATAAGAAAAGAAAAAAGACACCACCTGCTAATTCGAATCAAAACACCTTAGGCGGAAACGAAATTGATTTTTGGACAGCAAAAAAGAACTTGTTATTTAATGAGAATGGGAATAGGAAATTGGAACATATGAATATCACATGGCAAAATGAACGGAAAAAAGAAAAAATGAAGATGGAGGAGAAGAAAGTGATTGTGTTTTGATAGAAACATCCAGAAAAGGTTTGATAAAATTGAAAACCCCACCCAAAAATAGGAGGTAGCAATTGTGGGCAACTTGGACAAGATAATGAATTAAAAAAAGATATTCCAGTTGGATTTTTTTGGAACTTTTGAGCACAGTTGTTTTTTAAAAATCACAGAATTTCTCATTTTAAAGGAGACTTCTATGCTATGTATTACTATCTGGGAGTCATTGCTCATATTAGGTGAATCATTTTAAGTCTGCAATTAAAACCCAATATTGGTAAAAGAAAAAATCTAATGTAGGTTGGGCGCCTAAAACAACGTGTTCGGTATTTTTCTCCGTTTTATCCGAAAAGGTTTGATAACACTTTTTCAAAACTTGCAAAAGTTTCTTAATATTTACTCAAGTTATTGTCAAACACACAAATTTTTCTCTTTCAAAGATCATTAAAATCATTTTCTATTTGATCTGAAAACAATCTATCAAAAGAAGTTATGTCAAATAGCCCCCACGTGTTTTCTTCTCACAACTCAGGCGGCGCCAGCTGATCTACTCCTCCATCCATCGGTCACATTTTTTCTTCAACAACTCGTCATTTTTTTTGTCTGCGTCTATTTGAATTGAGTATGTTCCCGCACAGCGTTTTTGTTAGCTTAGAACTTGGAAAAGTGCCAACATCAAGGAGGGTTTTTTGAAATGTGAAATGTAAACTGACTCGAAAAGAATGATCAGGTTACGTTCAAAGAAATTGAGGCTTTGCTAGTTGAACTGTATTCTTCCTATGGAGCACTTGAAAAAATATGCGTGGAGGATTTTTAATGATAGAACTTTTAGAGACGAGACATCGAGACATTTTCAAACTTCTAGAAAAAAAAAAAGAAATTTTAATTGACAATAATTTTGCGAAACGAAAAACTTTAATAATATTTTTTTGGAAAAATATTTATTTAACATAAAACAACAGAGAAACAGCAACATTACAAAATTTTTGAAAAATGGAAAAATGTCAATGACAAGAATCATTAAATCATTGAAACTTGATAGTTTTGTGACGCATTTTTATCAACAAAAAACACACAATGAAGTTTGCGTGAATAAAGCTTTATCAAGTAATTTATATTTGATATATGAGCATGGAAATTTGGACAAAAAAGTTTCTATAAATACAATGATGAGCAATATTTTCTGTTTCTCTTGGTTTCAAGTTTTTCTTTGTAGCAATTCATCATTGTCCATCAAATATATATTTTTCAATTTTTTCTTCTTTCAGTTGTCTTCTTTGTTCGAAAAAAAACAACAAAATATTTGGATTCGGAAAATCAGGGAGACCTGGAGAAAAGAAATTGGGGTCACTCATTATTTTGCTCTAAAACAGTCTACACAAACCTCAACCCAGAAATTGAATTCCCAAGACACGACAATCTAACAACTTATTCAAAGTTCCCAAATGTTTCCCTTATTCGAAAATTGTTTTGTGGTAGAGGTTCATAAATAATATAATAATATATGATAAATGTGTCAGTAAACTGACAGCCAATTGTAACATATCTCCTCTTTTTGCGCCAAAATGTCCGAAACATCAAAAGAGCCGACAAAAGAAAGAACCGACTGACTTGTAACCCTTCTACTACTCTTATATTATTATTACTATTAAATTATGGGTTATTAGTGAGTGAGAAGAAAAATGAGGAAAATGAAAGAAAAAAAGAGGATCATCATTATATTGAACATGTGAGATATTTGAATATTTATGAAATGAAAGTTGAAGGTTAAAATATGAAATTCTGGTTTTAAATTCAGATATAAAATGATCCCACAACTCTTTGCTGGAATTCCAGAATGCCAAAGCATTCAAACTTTCGAGAAAGTTCGAAATGTTAGTTTTCTGAATTTTTTTTGGGCATAGCCTAAAGTTTACCAATTTTCCAAAATATATTCTTACATTGGTTAGACAATTTCAGAGTTAAACTTATCTATGCCAGATTTATGGAAGAGGTTTGGGAGTTTGAGTACATTATGATAAATTTATTTTGGAAAAATCTGGAGCATCATAATTGTTTTATTTTTGTTAAGAAGTTAAACAATTATTCATTTTTTTTTAAGAACCTAACTCTCTTCTTTTCTCAACCACAAGTTTAAGTTTCTTATTTACCCTAACTCTTATTATACCAACTTTCCCCATCTTTCTACAGTATCCTCTATGCCCTTTTTGAACTCCCGACTTGTTGTAATCCTTTCTTTATTTGAGTACATAAATCTGAGATATTTGAAAGTGTGTTAAATGTTTATTTGTATAAGAACATTTATATTGCGCAATGTCGGCTCATCTTTTTCTTTTCTTTTCTTTTTGTGCTTTTCTATTGTAATATAGTACTTGTACATAAATATCCCTTTCTACAGTAATCGGAAGTCGAGGCAAATGTAATCCGATCCATCCTATAAACTTTGTCAACACATCATCTATGTACAGTAATCTGTTATTCGACTATCTTTTTGTCTTTTTCCGCCCAAAAAAGTCGCGAATTCCATCGATTTGAACCGGTTTTTTGTCAACGGCCCGAAGAGTGTCCGATTCTGAAGGCCACAGTAACTTCTTCTTCTTATTCTTTCGCGCACATTTTTTGATTGTTATTCAAAGTGACAGATAGTCTGAGGAGGTACTGTAGATTCATGAGACTACTGTCGCTAACATCAGAACTATTCAATTAAAACCGGAAGCATCATATAAATTCCAAATGGTTCAGAAGTTCAATGTATTTCGATATTTTTATTATTCCGGAAGATAATTTGGTTTTTAGAGAAGTTTGGAAAACAAAAAAAGAGTAAAGATAAGTAAAGGAACAAATTGGTGTCGGACAAAAAACCCGTGCAATGAGCTAGCTATAAAAAAAATGGAAAAAGACAAAGTGAAATTAGGGAAGATTAGTGTTTGTTTTAGGATATCAATTAATTAATTAATTACTTAAAGTGTTCATTTCTCGCAGGAAGAGGAAGATGTTGGTGAATTGGAATCCCATGAATTTCGAGCCAAAAATGCTTTTTCTTTTTCTCGCTTCTTTTCCTTCATTCGGCGGTTTTGAAACCAGATTTTTACCTGAAAAAATTTAAAATTGTTATTCGAGAGGTTTATTGATTTTTTGAAACAGTGATATCTAATTTAAAAAAATCTGTTTCAAAAAATATATATATGAGTTCCTAATTCTTACCTGTGCTTCTTGCAATTTGAGATTGTTAGCAATTTCAGTTCTTCTTGTCCGATTCACATATTTTGCTGTATGAAATTCTTTTTCCAATTCTGTCAATTGATGTGTTGTGAAGTTTGTTCGATTAGTTCCATTTTCATCGATTACTTTCTTTTTTGGAACTGCAAAAAAAATAACCGTTTTCTCATGTAAATCAATCATGTTTTCCTCAAAAGGAAGAAGAATACTAATAAGTTGACATGTGGTGTGAAACATGAAAATGGAAATGAACAAAAAGAACATAATGTGAGTTATCAATCACATTTTACTTTATTTCAATTTTTGTTTGAATTAGTTTCCCTTTATATAAAATTTGAAATAAAGAATCAGAAATATTGGGATTGTTCCGTAGTAATCAATCGATCATTCAATGTCACTTTGAAAGACACACACACATCTCGAGATTTATCTTTTCAACCAACAAAAATATAGAAAATAAAGAATTTTTTTGGAAAAAGAAAACAGAACTGGAAAAGTTCTGAAAATATTTCCCGCTGTTTGGGCGCAGGTTTCAGAATGCTTTTTGGGTTTTGCGACTGTTTTCGATAATTTTGTTTTGTTGATTTCTAGTTCAAGCTTAACAACGATGCTCTTAGAACATTTAAAAAGTTCTAAATGTTCTAGAAGTCAAGATTTTATTTCTGAAAACAAAATTTCATATGATATTTTGAAAACTACAGTAGTAAGACCCGTTCAGTTTTCTAGGTCATATTGATTTTCTTCTAAATTGGAAGGGTAAAAACAATTTTGAAACGAAATTTTGAAAAAAAGATATTTCAGTTCTAAAAAACATTGCTCATCTTAAATTGTTAGATCCAAAATCCAGAACAAAAAAATTAGCTGAGAGTTTTGCGATACCATCGAATCGATAATTTTAACCTTTCATATGATTTTCGAACTAAACTACAGTAATCATTTAAAAAACCTGATATTATGAAATATTTTTGATTGAGCTAACCATACCTACTTTTATAATTTAGCTGTGAAGCGTATTTTTAAAAAGTTCGAAATTTTTTTTTTCTGAATTCAACCCCGTAAATCAATAACCTATAAACTTTATCTCAAAAAGTGGTTTACCTGCAGGTCTTTGTGTTCTTTTTGTATGCATCCATTTATATGTGGATGGAGCTGGTGCACCATTTGATTGTGGTGCAACACTGCTTGGCGGTGAAATACTATAAATATGTTGATGTTGAGTTGGTTGATTTGATGTTGAAGTTGGAGGTGGAGGAGATGACCAAATATCGACTGTGGAAGAAGATGAAGAAGAATGTGGAGGTGCTAATGGAGAATATGATTGAGGATGATGCATTATATCTCTGGAAAAAAACAATTATAAAAATTGGGTTATGATTTTTGATTTTCAGATTTTTTGTTGAAGGTAGGAAAAGGAAATGAACAATGAGAAGGGCGTATCATGAAAGAAAATCTGGAACTAGAGAAAAACATTTTTTCGAACCCATGATGAGACATCAAACTTTTTCTGATGCCTTCTGAAGCCTCCTAAAGTTTATATACCTGGGTTGGAACTTTTTTCCAAGACTTCTCTAAAAAAATCCAATTGGATTTGAGGATGAGCTGTAACTAATTTCATAGAAGCTTACCTTGAATAGACATATGCTGTTGTCGGATTCCAATCTGGATAATAAGCCGGTGGACCGCCATAACATTCAGCTGAACTCATCTGAAAATTAATCATTAATTATGTAATTTCAATAATTTATTCGTCAAACAAAAAACTACAGTAATCCTTATGCGCAAGGACACTGATTAAAGAGAAAAAAGAAAGAAAACACATTTTCATGATGATACGGTATTATTTTAGGGAAGGAAGGAAGGAAGGAATGTATATAAAACAAACATGTTTTTGTTTTTTGGTGGAACCAAAAAAGTGATAATTGAAGTGAATGTTGAGAATTAATATGAGGAATCTTGAAGATTTTTTGTTGGCTGGAAAATTGCTTGTAGATTACCTTAACTAATCATGTCAATAAAATGTTTTGAGTAGAAATTTTAGAACTTTTTTGGACTTTTTGATTAGGTTAATTGTAAGACTATTTTAGAGTAAGACTTAATTTTAGTTATTTACATTAGAAGTTCTATTGAAATTGATAACAATAATTTATTTCAAGAATAATTAATTTTTTTTGAGCCAATGATTTTTGGAACAAACGTCAAACCTTAACTAGTCAGAAAAAATATACTGCACTAACTTCTAAAGTTCTGAAAAATTGATTTTATTAAGGATATGAGTTACGACAAATGGGTATTTGAATGAATTATTTTTCAAGACAAATCTCACGCTTGAACTATGCAACATCACAAATAAACCCGAAACCAATTAATTAATGATAATTAAAAAGTAATAAATCTCAAAAAATGTCGATATAAATCAGAGAGGCAAAAAAGTCTCTCATATCTTCAGACGGGGCCTCTTCGACTCCGCAAAATACTAATAAATCATGTTGGAGTGTGGAGAAAAATAGGAGATGAAAAAGAATGGGCGGAGACAATAAACCAATAAGAGACACATCAAAGACACGCCCTCTTGAAATATGTTTTTTTTTTGAGAAGAATGAAAAGGGGTACTGTAGGGAAAAGGAAAAAAAGCAAAAAAAAAAAGAAGGAGAAGAAGAATGAAAAGGCGGTGAGATCAGAAAGAAAAAAGATATGGGGAGAAAAAAGGAAAGGTTGCGAAAATTTTGAATTGTGTACTTTTATATCAAACATTTTTCGAATTGATTAAATTGTTGTGGGACCTTTTTCATGTTCCTTTGAATTTGTGTGCTGTGATGGTTTAAAGGAACATGGAATTTAAAAAATGTGGATCTTGAAATGTATTTTTTGCTATTAAAAATTGTTGTACTGTAATCTAGTTACTTTTCAAAAAAGGAAGTAATAAAGTTCAGAGAAAACTGAAGTTTCTAGAAAAAAGTACGGTATCTCCCTTTAAAAGTGCCTTCCACGATTGAGGGAATTATTGTACGCGCCTTTGAATTTTGGAATTTTAGCGTCCAAAATTTGTTTTCATTTCATTTCGTTTTTCATAATAATAATAATAATTTTAGTAATATTATTATTCCAAAAAAGACCAGTTCAGTTTAAATTACACACCTGCTTCTGCTTTTTTCGTGTTTTTCACCCAGCCGCCTGTCGGTTTCGTCTAATTGACAGAATTAGAACAAGAAAGAAAACAATAATAAGAATAATAATAAGCACATTTTTTGATTTGACCAATTATTGTCAACAAGTAAACAAGAGAACATTTTGGATTTAAAATTTGAAGAAAAAGGAAAAGACAATAAATTACGACACTCTCATAAACTAACAAATGACTTCAGATGACATTTACGATGGCATATCAATGGGTCAACCCAAAGATTTATGACTTTTCAGTGAGGCGAATGGTGTGAGATATTATATATAGATTTGTAGTAATAATCATTAATAACCTCAGAGACCTTTGGTGGTGGACAAATGATTGCGAAATGAGTCTGGAAATTTCAAAGGAACATGGGAGAGGGGTTAAAACAATTTTAGATGTTTTGAAAATACAAAAACAATGTTTCGCAAAACCTAGAATTTCACAATGATCATGCATTTTTCAAGTTGAAGTTGAACTGTTTTCAAAAATATTCACCAGAGGCTCAAAGCATGGAAATTTTCGGACTAAAATTTAAAGGGACACGGCTTTTCAAACATAGTGGGTTTCGTAACGATTCTGAATGGGGATTTTTGAAAACAATTTTTTTTTGGCTTACGTTAGGTATTTGCTATTAAAAATTAAAGGAAAATTTATTTTACAAAAAATAATTTTTGAAGGATAATGGGGTTTTCAAGCTGTGGGTCTCGTACCGCTACGATTTCACAATTGCGTTTTTGTTCCTCGCCTAAATGAAACTGGCGCCGCCAAAAAATAAAATGATTCTTAATTTCCATAGAAATAGTATAGACTTATTGGCGTCGTCGCCATTTTTGTGCCCAATTCGAATTCCAATTTTGAACAATTTCATAGTTAGTTTAGGATGCGCGTGTGCGCGGAAATGATCGATGAATACGATGAATATCAAGGGAAAACGAGAAAAAAGAGGGAGAGAAGAAGAAGAAGAAGGAAAAAGCTTTTGAATAAAATAAAATGATACTATTTTGAAAAGCTTCTGGAATATTTGATGGGAACCAATTTGCGAGGAAAATGTCTACGTTTTTTGTGAAAATTTCAGTTTTTTTGGAAATCTAACACATTTTATATAAAAAGTGCGAACAAGATGTTTACATGATTTACAGAAATGTGTGATTTTTAAGATGAAAAACATTCCGAATTTGGCACCTGTCAAATAGTTTCTTTGTTTATTTGTTTGTTTACATGTTATATATAAACAAGAACAACAAAATGATACTTTGACAATTTTCTTTGATCTACCGCAAAAAAGATACTTGTTGATAAAAAGTGGAACTTTGAGCTGAGATTCTGGAAAAAGGTTTTGAAATTAATTTTCTCAGAATATGAGATCGTTTTCTGTGTCAGAATTTGATAATTTTTGACCAAAAAGATCAAGATATTCCTAAAAAGGCTCTAAAATCCCGGTAAAACTTATGGTAAGAAAAACGAGCTGCCAAACTTTTTTGAAAAATTGAAAGTTTCCAACTCTGCTCCTAACAAGTATGTTTTTACATATTTCAAAAATTCTCACATTTAGTGATAGATATTTACACTTCCTGCGGGTGCTCGTGAAATAATTTTCACCAAGGTGAGAACTTTTTCTCTTCAAATTTTTTTTGTATCCAATACGGCAAACTTCAATACCCAAATAAACCGAGCATAATTGCTGATCCTTTCCAGATTTCCTAATCCACCATTTCTCTTTTGGTGTTATCTAATCCACCAAAAACAAAAACAAAGCATTTGTCACCTCATCCATTTCATTATTCTCTTTTTTCTTTTACCGACTATTCGCCATTTTTTTGTTGATATAAAAAAATGAAGAGCAAATAAAAATGTTCTGTTCTCACAATCAGATGTTGAATTTTTTCCATCGAAATAATCAATTATTTTTGTGATGAAGATTGATGTTCAAACTTTTTATTGAAACTTCGGATGTTCCTTTTGGATTACGGTATGAATTTCCTATCGAAACAATCTGAAGATACGATAAAGAATCTACATTAGATTTTTATCTTCTGAATAAACACACTTTGCATGTCTACGTTTTTCTTTTTGGAATTTATAATTTTGTTTTTATATAATTTTTTTTGAAACTTGTTGTATTTAGTTTTGGAATCACTTAAAATTTTCATGAAACAAATTACAGTTAATTTTTTGTAGAAATATTTGTAAAGTTAAAAAAAGTGAAAACTTCAAAATTCGGAATTTCGAATTAAAATTAGGCAAGAGACTTCAATAAGTTCTGTGAAGCATTTTTAGCCCAAAAATATTTATTGAAGCTCGAGATAGCATTTGAATTCTAACGATTTTCACATTTTTATGAACTGACCGCTTAATTTTTCAGCCTTAAAAAAAGCCTGAAACGCCTAATTTTGGGCTTCATTTTCAACCTAATATTGCTCATTTCACAATCAGGTTTTGTTTTGAACCTAAAATTGCTCAATCTAGGCTAAGTTTAGGGTCTAAGACAGCTTAAGCTCAATTTTTAGGCAGAAGGAAAGGTTGAACAAGTTTAATTTTTAATTTTGAGGTCGCTTGGGCTTTTGAATGTCAGCTCCGAAAAGAATCCGAATCATCGGTAAATGTTGAACCAATATTAATGGAACTCTCATAATTTTCAGTTTGAAATATTTATTTTCCAAAAAATGTGACCCTAAACTTTCAGAAAGTTTTTGGAAGATAGAGGGATTATCCAGAATTTTTGATCTCAAAAACCCTATTCTTTCATCACAAAGAAAAAATACTAATTTCTAACATGAAATTCAAAAACACAACAATGCTGTCAGAAGCGCGAAACAAAAAACAATGAAAGACTTTCTTGTGCTCCTCCTATTTTCCCTACCCAATCATAAATTCTTCAATAATAACTACAGTAATCTATTCTCTGTTGGTGTGCGCCTATCATTTTCTCATCAGTCACTCAATCAAATATAACATAACTCTTCTTTCAAAAAAAGACAAAAAAGAACAGTTGGTAGTAGAAATATGTTGGCAAACTCGAAATGATTGATGATTGACTAAGCCCCGTCCTTTCTTTTCTAACAACGAATACCGCCCGCCGTATGTAAGCTGTGCCAAGAAAGAAAATAGTATTATAATCAGGGAGGAATAGAAGATATATGAACTATTTATTATTTAATAATAATATTTTTGTGATTGTTTCTTATATAAGATTGATGAGCCGAATAGAATAGACAACAAAAAAGAAAGCGGTAAAATATCAAAAAGAGAACAATTGGGGCAACTTCTGATAACTAAGATACATTTTAGTGGAATCAATCTGTAACAAAAACAGAGCAAGTTCCAAAATCAGAAATACTACGTTTTTGCTCGAATACTTACTTGTCTTCGAAAAATTATGGTTCACAACGCAGTTTCAAAATTTCAGAATTCAAACAGTATTTTCTGAATACTGTTGTTGTTCTGTAACCCGATTTTCAGTTTAGTTTACTTTTGTACACCAGTAGTACACAGAAGGTGAGAATTTTTGAAACATGTAACAACATACTGTGAAAAATTACCTTGTTAGGAAGGAGCAGAGTTGGAAACTTTCAATTTTTCAAAAAAGTTTGGCAGCTTGTTTTTCTTACCATTAGTTTTACCGGGATTTTAGTCTAAAAAATTTTTAGAGCCTTTTTAGGCATCTCTTGATTCTTTTGGTTAAAAATTATCAAATTCTGACACAGAATACGAAGCCATATTCTTAGAAAATTGAATCCTTAAACTTTTTCTAGAATTCCAGCTCAAAGTTCCACTTTTTATCAACAAGTATCTTTTTGCGGTATATCAAAGAAAATTGTCAAAGTATCATTTTGTTGTTCTTGTTTACATATAACATGTAAACAAATAAATAAACAAAGAAAATATTTGACAGGTGCCAAATTCGGAATGTTTTTCATCTTAAAAATCACACTTTTCTGTGAACCATGTAAACATCTTGTTTACACATTTTGTGTTGGAAATTTTTTGAAAAGGGAATAGGGTCCGGAAATGTTATGTGCGTTATTCTAGAGAGGCTTCAATTATTCTAGAAATTAGGATGTGTTTATTTCTTCAAATAATTAAAGTTTCAGACAATTCAATTACAAATCTGATATGCCATAACCCAAAAACCTAGAAAACAATATTTTTTTTCTAAAAAAATCCGTTCAAACATTTATGATCCAATTAGGTTTCTACCTAACGACTATTGTCTCCCAAAAATCCTTTTTCTTCTTGTTTGCTTGTGTTATTTTTGAGATATAGATCAATTTGTTTTTATATCCACACATAATCCGTCATTTTATAATTAGGGGGGATTGATGTCAGCCAAAAAAGACTAACAAGACTAATCGGTCATTTCGCACCTTTTTATCTAGATAACGAACATGGCTAACCCGTGTTTTTTTCCACAATTAATGGAAGAATGAATAAGTATGTAGATGAAATATATATTTGAGGGAAAAGAGATTTGGTTTTGCAGATGCAGATGGAAAATATTTTGTGGTGTTGATGTTTTACTCAATTTTCACACGTTCAGTTCAAAGTTTTTGCTTTCACTTATGATATTTTAGGTGAATAATAAAGAGAACGAAAAATTAGAAATATTGATATTTCAAGTCAGCTTAGTCTCGTCACGCCAATTACTTTAGTGAAGTTAGAAAAATAATTTGGAAAACAAATATTGCCAATCCAAAATTTTTTGACCCTTGGAAGATAATAACCATAAGCACTTAATTTTGCAGATGGAAAATGTTGTGGTGTTGATGTTTTACTCAATTTTCACACGATTAGTTCAAATTTTCTTGAATTTTATTTTTATTATAATTTCGGAAATAAACGAAATATATTTTTTTAGTTCTCGATTTCTGAAATTTGAATCTCAATTTTTTGGCACCAAAATTCCACGTTTTCAGAAAATTGCTCGAAAGATTTGTAATTCAAACTTCAAAGTTTTCAAAAACATTTTCAGTGCTCATATTTGCTTCATCCAACATAATCAATAATTAATAAATACTAGAAAAATTCATTCTCCCAAAAAATCTACACACAAAAACCCAGAAAAAGTCGTAAAATAGGCCATGCACCTGATGGTTGTTGAGAAATAGTATGGCAAAAATGAGAGACGGCATACATTTTACGACTTTTTTGGTTTCTTTTTTTGTTGTTGCTATATAGATTTTTTGTATCATAATGATTTTGGTGTTTTTGTTGTTTCATTTTTTTGGTGGTTGTGAAATTAATTTGAAATTTATGGCAGGGTTATTTTAAGCCGAAAATTATTTCTAACGATTTTTCGATTTATTTATTTTTTTGAATTCGGAAACTTTAAATTTAGAAAAAGCTCTGAAAACTTCACAAAACATGTAATTATTCAGCAGTGGACCTTAGAACTCTCAGAAAAATTTCAGGTTCATTGTTTTTTCTCAAAAACGTGGACGAAATTTTGAAAATTGAAAACTTTTATGATTTTCTGAAATTTTTAGATCCGCGCTTCAAAGTTTCTATGAGAAATATTACTTCTCAAAATTCGATATTCTAGTTAAAACAAGTTTTTTTTCTAAATTCCTGTTTCTCTAAAAATTTGACTTCAGTTTTTATAGAAGCACCTTATTCGTTTCGATTTAGCCCAAGTTCTTTAAGAAAGGTAAACACTATAAGAATTCCCCTTTAAACCTCGATACTTTTCATTTTGCAAAAAAATCCTAGTTTCTCTCTCTCTACCACTAGAAGTATCGTTGTTGTGTATCAATAAATATTCAGTTATCCACCAGATTTTCGTCACCGAAACAATCCATAAATCACTATTTTCCTTCTTCTTTTTTCTCTTTTTTTTCCTTTCCAACAGTAGTGTCTTTTCGGTCCGCGGACACAACACAAAAAATAAAAGGGCGTGGTCTAGCACCTGTTAGATATTTCTTTTCTGTTTCTTCTTCTCCTCCTAGATATTTATTTATTCTCTAACTAATCAAATAATATTACTATTGGCAAAACAATATATTCTCGGTAAGTTCTAAAATCTTTTTCAATTATTTCATTCTACCTGTTTCTAATGCTTATAGCTTTTGTCTTCTATTTTGCTTATAAGCTCGGATTAACAGGCAGGATGAAGTTTTTGATATTATTTTTTACACTAAAAAACTCTACAATCGATATCTACAGTACTTTCAGATAAAATCTATTCGAACCTCATTTTCCTTTTTTCTTCACCTCTCTTCGTTTTGCGAAACAAAGTTTTTTGTTGCGAAAAACGAAAAAGAAGAGAGGAAAAAAAAGATTTATTGGTGCCATTAACAGTTTCTCTTATTTTCACACACTATTTTCATTTTTGTTGAAATGAAATGAAGAAAAAGTTTTGAGAGATGACCTGCAGAAATAAACGGAAGAGGAACAACATGGAAAATTATTGTAAACTTGTCAAACAGGTCCGATTTTCAGGATGAATTTATTGTACTAGAATTTGAATACGTTGAAAAATTGGTTCAACGTTTTGAATTTTCAGGTTTCGATTGAGAACTTCTTTCAAACAATTCCTAATGTCTACAAGAAAAACTAAAACCTAAACTGGGTTAAAAGACACAACATCGAATTTTTAGAAACCTAAAGGAAAATGAATCAAGACTGCACTGCATCTCCACAAGTTTAAAAAAAATATGAATTTTGAAGCTTAAAACCAAAAGCGACTTTTAAGAATTTTCCAAACTCCCTATGTTCCCATTTTCCAACAAAATTACCTCATTTGCTTTCCATTTTCTTTTTGCCCTTGTCTACAATAACAAAATATTCAAATCAAAATCTTCATTTCTCAAAATCCATCTATTTTGCTTTCTGAAAAAAATCAAAAATTGATCAAAAAGTCTTTCAAAAATAAGATACCTTCATATTGGATTCCTCGACACTTTTGAGTGCATCCGCATTTCCACGATCAGAAACAGCATTCGATTCTGGTGGGCCATTGATTCCTGTTGGATCAGCTTTGAAGAATGGGCCATCTGGTTTTTCCCAGTCGCATTCTTTGAACTTTTTCTGGAAAAAATAATTGGACTGTAAAGCCTTCGAAAAATAAAAACTCACAGCAGCTTCTTCTTGCTCATGTGATTCCCAATCATATTTACTATTCGGCAATATTTTCTCATTCAACATAACTTGCCACAATGATTTAAAGAATAAATGATAATCAGGTCGTTGATAATAATCCAAACTCTTCAAATGTGGCAAAATATTACCCATACAAAGTGGCATATTCATCATAACAGCTCGATTGTCCATATTCATTTTCATTTGTTCCACTTTTTCTCTTTCTTTTTCAGTTTGCCATGGAAGACCGCCATTCAATTCAATCAAAACATACAAAAGTGACCAAACATCGTCGACTCGTCCTTGTTCTTTTCGATTATGAACATTTGGTGAAGTATAGCGAAGAGTTCCACGAAATTCGGCTGTTCCGCGAGCTTTTCTTGGAACCCACTTCTTCTTGGCTTCGTTCTGGAATTGGATTTTTTACTTCAAAGCTTTTGGAAAAAATTGAATGTCGAGGGGCTTTTGAAAAAAATATTAAATTAATTGTCCATTGAGCGCGTTTGCTCTTCTCGCCTCGATTTTGAATTTTTTTCATTCGTTTTCCTCATGAGAATGAAGCTCAACCTTGGAAATTCAGCCCATCCAGGTTTTTTTATTGATTTTTTTAAGATATAAATTGAATCACATAAGAAAGCTAACCACCAAGTTTAAAAAAATTACGAAAAAAGGGGTAAATCAAGGCGAAAAACCTATAATCATAGTTTCTTGGTGTTTGGTGAAAAGTTTTTGAGGTTTTTCTTTTTGCCATCTCTATTCTCGAGGATTTGCTATTGTTTCCAGCAAAGATCTTGGAATTTGGTTGAGTATGAACGATTTTAGCATTTTTGTTCAAAAAACGAAAAATGGTTTTGAGGTTGCAAAAAATTTACAAACGTCGTGTTGTCTCTCCTTTTCTCCCGTCTCTTCTAGGTGCAACACTCTCTCGTTTCAATTCGGTTTTTTTCGTAAAATCAGGAAATTTCACGATTTTCACCGAGAACATCATATATGAGAAGATGGAGTAAGACAAGGCGAAGGCAGAAAAATAACAATCGAATTGTAAAATTTAACATTAGAAGTTATTTTTCGCGAAAGAACTGAAAATCTTTCAAAATTAAAATTTCACATGAAAATTGGGAGAATCAGGATTGTTTTCGAGGTTTTTCTTTTTCCATCTCTATTCTCGAGAATTTTGGAAGGATATTTTAGGTTGGAAAAGCGGGAAATCAAGGCGAAAAACCTATATTCATAGTTTCTTGGTGTTTGGCGAAAAGTTTTTGATGTTTTTCTTTTTGCAATCTCTATTCTCGAGGATTTGCTACTTTTTGCTGTAAAGATTGTCAAATTTAGTTGAGTTTGAAGGATTTTAGCATTTTTGTTCAAAAAACGAAAAATGGTTTTGGGGTTGCAAAAAATTCACAAAAGTCGTGTTGTCTGGCGTTCTCTCTAACGCATTTCTATCTCTCATTTTTCGCTCCTTCTCTCCCGTCTCTTCTAAAAGCAACACTCTCTCGTTTGTTTTTTCAATTCGGTTTTTTTGTGAAATGAAATCAAGAAATTTAAAATATTTCACGATTTTCTCCGAGAACATCGTATTTGAGAAGATAGAGAAAGACAAGGAAAAGGCAGAAAAATACAAAGCGGATTGTAAAATTTAACATTAGAAGTTTTTCCTCGAAAGAAAACTAAAAGTTTAATCATTTTGGGATCCCGCATAACCAAGTTAACTTACATAGCTGGCAAATGGTCTTGCTAATCCAAAATCCAAAATATGAACCATTCTGGCACGTACTCCATCTTCGGGATGTCCCATCACAAAATTTTGCGGTTTTATATCGCGATGAATAAATCCACAATCATGCAAATATTTCAACGAATACAAACATTGAATTCCAATTCTCGACCAAGTTCCTCTCGTAAACCGCTCTTTTGGTTGATCTGTTTTGAGATGTTTCAAGTTTTCCCCAAGTAATGTCATAACCATATAACAATATTTATTCCTTTTTGCTGCATGAAATACAACAGGAATATGTGGTTGTTGTCCATTTTTATTCAACTGTTTCAATATCATTGTCTCTAATTTTATAGCTGATCCACCTTCAACTTCATTCGATTCAGCTTTAAGTGCAGCTTTCACATTTTTCGCATTTTCAACCAAATAAACCTGACCAAAACCACCTTCATCAAGTCGCTTTTTGATAACCCATTCTCCAAATTTCTTTCCAGGTGGAAATTTGACATTTGCCATTTGATCATCTTCTGCCATTTTTTGTGAATTTTTTGTTGAATCAGTAAACTTTTTTTATAATTCTACAAAAAATATTGGAGCTAGATAAATAAGTACAGTACCCCGGGAACTTACCTTTATTTGGAGGTAAATTCGAAGACAGAGTGTTCCGAAATTTTTTGCGTATTGAAATAAAGGGGATCGACAAAACACGGGGCTTTTATGTTGTCCAAAAATCAGATAAAAATTTGATGTCGAACACGTCACGTTTTTTTTAATTTAATTATTTTTAAATATTTTTTTCTAGGGTCTCTTCAGAAATTAGGCTGGCAAAAAAATACCCGAATACACTATTTTTAGAAATGCTCAAAAATGGCTTACCCATTTACACTACACGTTTTTAGAAATGATGCCCGTTTACACTATTTTTATTTTTTTTTTTATCTAATTCTACCTTTACCTTTTTTTTTTTACACCTTTACACTTTTACACTATTTTTCTGGAAAAAAGTTGTTGAAAGTGCCAAAAAAGACTGAAAAATAGTGAAAAACAGTCATTATCTGAGAATTAGCAGAGCCAAAGCATAAACATCGTAGAGAAGTTGATGATTCTATGTTTTTTGTTGTGTTCAAGTCTGAAAATCAGAGTTATTTCAAGCCAAAAGCCAAGGAAGGTTAATTATTCATTTTCTGAACAGGTTTTTATATTCCTTTTTCATTTTCTGAAACTATTTATTACCCGAAAAACACCCCTTTTCTTACTCTAAAATCCTTTTTTTTCGAACAGAAACCTTTTATTCACTTTGTGAAACCATACTTTTGTTTCGACATTGAGATTTTGACATTTATTTTCTTTTTTCCAAGCCGGAGCAAAAATAGTGTATTCGTGTATTATTGTAGAAATGTATATAGTGTAAAAGTGTAAGTGTATTCGGGCATTTCTGCAAACGTGTAAAAATAAAATTAGTGTATAGAAATACCCGAATGCCTCATTTTTGTCAGCCTATCAGAAATAAAAGGTAAAAATAAATTTAAAAAATATTCTTAGATAATAAAAAGTGGAATAAGGTTCAAAATAATGAGGATCCTTTGAAAAATGGTACAAAAAACGCAAAATGTTCTGCATTAATATAAAAATATATCGAATCCACAACATGTCAAAGAGCAATCGGTGAGAGTGAAAGAGACAAAAAGATATTGGAATCCCGCGTGATCTACAGCGAATTTCATTTGCGGGTCTAGGATTTGTGAAACCTTGAATTAGTCATCAATTTGATTTTTGAGAACAAATTGTTTACTGTGAAAAGCGAATAATAGTCATCCTCAATTTTTTTTCGAAAGAAAATATGTTTAGCAACCGCAATTTCAAAAATTATAAATTTTCAGACCCACAACTAGTCGCTCCCAAAACAAAAAAAGGAAAAAATGATAATTTTATTGGAGTGAAAAGGGTAGAATGGATGGGATATTGCTCGAGATTTGTGAAAATTATAATTTATTGATCAGAAAAACAAATGGTTTTTTTGACCAACCCGCGAAGGGGAAGAAAATATTAACAGTTTATCGACAAGAATCATTTTCGGAAAAAAAAAGTCATTCGGATTTTTGTAATTCTACAATAAATCCATCCTATCCAGAACGTAAATAAAATTGCCTTTTCCCCGAAGAAAAACGAAGGGAAAAATAAAAGTAAAACAGCGACACTCGGCTTGCCTGTTGTTTAATTTTCTCACACTGTTTGAGCGGAGTGTCGTTATTTTATTTTTACAAAATTGCGCGTAGGATTTTGTGTTTGCGGGCATTCGGTGTTGACACACACTCTTATTTTGTCGTTCTTTCTTTAGGTTTTGGATTTTTAATGTATCACAATTTTTAATGTATCAAATAGTTATTTTAGTCTCCTTCTCTCTCATCCAATTTTCAAAGTTTTGACACGTTGTGGTGGATACATATTTCTTAATTTTTAAACCTTTTTTTAATCATTTTTTTTTGTTTTTGGGGTTTTCTTATCAAAATCATACCTTTGCGATCGTGCGAATGAATCCTGTCCAGAATTGTTTGAACGAAATACATGGGCTCTAACCACTTGACCATTTTTGATACAAGAAATGACCATTGCTAAAAATTATTCCAATAAATTTTTTTGACGTGATTCGCCAAAAATTCACAAAACCTTTTCTTCCGAAAAATCTAACCATTTGAAAATAATCAGGAAAAACAGTATTATTATCAAAAAATCATACTACAGATTTATTTTTATCTGAAACCCTTGAGAATAAAAAGTAAATCAATAGGACGAGAAAAAGGAGTCAGAGTCTCATCTCAAACCCACTTCAAAAAAGCTGACAAAATAAAAATAGTGACAAAACAAAGAAAAATAAGGGGAAATCTTCTCTTTTGATATGCTAATTTCAACATAATTTTGTATTATTTTATTTTTGGGTTTATTTCATTTACTCCGGGATTTTATTTCGAATTGATTTTTTGGTTAAATTTGTTGTTATATTGAAGAAAAAAAATTGAATTTCAGATATCAGCGATTGCGAAATATTCTGACTCGTTTCGACTGCAAAAACTACAGGTAAGCTTTTTTCGGTGAATTATTAAGATTTAATCTATAGTTTTAACTTTGAAAATATTTGTAATCTTTCATAATTTTGGAAATTCTAAATAATTAAGGGAGAGTGTATTAACTGCGAAAAATTTGTTTGAAAATTAATCTCTCGAATTTTTACAAGTTTATTTTAAGGCAGATTTCGAAATTTGTAGCAACTTAAATATTTTTTATTTTCTGAATAGGAATTTCTATCATTTTCATCATTTTTAAAAAAATTTTAGAAAGAAAAAAATTCTCCTTCTCTTGTATTTTTCTCAATGTTCAAAAGTTTGTGTTATTCCAAGATAGATATAAATATTTGTCACTGCATGATACTTTTCATCTTACCGCCTTTTTCATCTACAGTATTCTTTTTGATAAATTACGCCTAATTGTTTTTAGATATTTATCACATCTCTAAACAGTTTTATTTTATTCATCTTGTTTGATTTTCCTCATAAATATTTGAATTCATTTCATTTCTTCTTTTTCCTCCATCTGCTTATGTATTTTTGTATCTTTTTTCAAAAATGGGCGGAGTTTATTGAGGGTTACGGTATTTCCCTCACAAGCAATTTCAACATTTTTCCTGAAACACTCCATTTCATTTCTTTCTTTTTTCCGTTCTTTTTTTGCTGCTCCACAAACTTAACCTCCCATAAATTAAAAACCAGCACTTGTCTTTCTCTGCGTCTCTTATTTTCCAATACGTTTTTCTGATTTCCGTTGGAAAATGCAACACGGAAATCATTAAAATCAGAGTTGTCGTTTTTTATTGGATTTTTAACAACTTTATTTGAAATATTATTAGCTGAAGTTTGTGATAGTAAATTTAGTTCGATGGCTGAGATTTGAAGGCGTTATGCTTTCAAGAACGCTGACAACATTTTTAGCCTGAGATTTTAATCGTGTTTCTTGAAATCAGAATGTTGTTTCTATAAATTTTGATTGCAAAGTCTATTGATTTAATTTGAAGAAGAAATTTGAATTTTGAATTTTGTGCGAAAAAATAAGAAAATGAATGAATTCTTTCAAAGATCTTCGAATAAAGAATAAGAACAAGCTCCATCTTATTTTCAGATTTCTAATTTCTTAAAGCAGCATTCTTAATTTTCGTCAATTCTCAGTTTTATTTTTTGTTGATCGTATTGCGGTAGATATCAGACTGAATTTAGTTCAAAAATTTCCTCCAGATATTAAAAACTTTGAAAACACTTTTTTGAAGATCTTTAAAAGTATTCATTCATTTTCTTAATTTTTTCAAATTCAAACTCGCTCTGAACTATTCTTACATTTGATCTGAGGAAAATTAGTTATACCCAAGCTGATCCTGTTAAAAGGATTTGAAAACTAATTTCCCATCTCGATGAAAATCAAAAAAAAAAGTTCAATAGCTCAACCGAATTTTTAGTTTGAAAACAACATCAATAAATTAGTTTTTGAAGAATTTCGAGGAACTTTCTAAATCTTGATCGGGCAGTTTGAATATGACATTCTGACATTTGCTTTCAAATTCAAAAAGGCAGAAAATTACGTTCTATTCAATGAGAAAGGTTTTGTCTCTCTCTCTCTCTCTCTCTCTCTCTCTCTCTCTCTCTCTCTCTCTCTCTCTCTCTCTCTCTCTCTCTCTCTCTCTCTCTCTCTTTCTCTCTCTCTCTCTCTCTCTCTCTCTCTCTCTCTCTGGGCTCAAAAATTTCAAATTTTCATCCCAAATTTTCCAGCTGAATATCAATATTTTCATATCAAATTTAGGCTCCAAATTGAGCTAAAAAGAATCTTCAGATTACTTAAAAGAGTAGTTCAGATGAAGTGTTGAGTTTTTTGATTTTGGAATCTCAAGTTTACCCAATTCCTTTCACCTCTTTCAATGAACATTTGTATAGGTAATTTTCTATTAATAATTCTTCCTGTTATCTTTTTTGTGATTTCGTTCTTTGGCTGAGTGTTAACTTTTATCTGAAACCCTACCCAAATTCTCATGAAATCCCTCAAAAACTCTCAAATTCCTCATTCTTTTCTCACATTTTCAATTCATTCAACCAATCGTTTTATTTCCTTTCTACCGTAATCCATTTTCTCATTTCCGCCCATTCTTTTTCTTTGTTTGGATTACTGTAGATTTTAAACTCATTTATCACGTTTCGTGCCTCTTTTCTTCTTTTTTACGATACATTTATCAAAAAAGGAAAAAAAAAGAAGAGGATCGGACACACGACTGACTGAATTATTATGAATTTGAATAAGAAAAACAAAAATTAAATTAATCCGAGGGTTACTGTAGGTGAGATGAGATCTGGGGGGAAAACAAATGAACCTGACATACTTAACTCGAAAACGATGGCTTCATGCCAACAAGTATTCTGATATTGAGAAATTGAAATGAATTTAAAATATTCTCTAAAAGTTCACGTCAAAAATAATAATTCACTATCGGAAACACTTCACGTGTTCATTTCGATTTTTCTCATCTTTCACAGCTTTTCATGATACATTTATTGAAATTGTGACGCTTAAGATCAAATTCAGAACAAAAATCAACTAACAATTGTGAGGAACATATTTTTGAAAAATCAATAAAAACTATTGTAGACAAAAATATATTCCCATACGTTTTAATAGCTTTGAATTTTCTCATATTTTTCTGGAGGTATCTTTGTGAAATATTCGTTTCAGAGTTTTTCAAATTTAATTTCTATAATTAGACTGACACTATCAGACACAAATATGTGGATCTGAAATTATATTGCGATATGAACAATCAGAGATCGAGTTTTGTTATTCAATCCGCATTCAAAATGTTTGGTGTAATGATTTTGATTAGCTACAAAAATCACAAAATAATTCCAAAATTAAATTTTCAAAGCTTCTAAGTTTTGAATCTATTTTCATATTATTGAACTAGGAGTTACCAGATCTCAGACGGAGTCAAAACTTAATTAGAATTCGATTTGACCATCTTTGAGTTTCGAAAAATGTTCTCAAAACAATCAATAGTTTGTTTGTATGACTATTGGACCATTTCAAAAAATTCAGGTTTTTCAAAAGTGTTTTCCAATCCATTTTCAGCGATCCTAGGAATAAAAAGATTAAGAGTTCTGATCCGTTTCGGCTTTTCGGAAAATTTATTCTGATCTCTTGGACCTTACCAGAAAATTCTTTATCAACATATGAAATCTCGAACTGATTCTGAAAATTGAAAAAAATTTTATTGATTTGGTGATAAATATCTGAAATTTTTATGTAATCATGGTTTTCCTCCTAACTTCTATAAACTATGTTAACTTAAACTTATTCCCTTCTACGAATTCGAATCCAAATCCAAATCCCTCGTTCCTTCTCTTTTCCCAATTTTTTCTTTCTCGATTACAGTAATCCAAGACCTCACAAAAAATGAATGAACTAAACAGAGAAAAAACATAAATAAATAAAAAATGAAAAATTACCCAAACCCGATTTATCATTCATTCATTCATTTATTCTTTGTTTTTTTTCTGTTCAGCCTTACAACCGGAAAATGTTAGTTTCATATTGTTTTGACAAGAAGGTCATTTATAATAAATCAAAAAGTTTATCTTTGTCTTCTTCTTTTTTATTAATTATACTAATTTATTATGTCGCGAGAAAGTGTGCACAAGTTATTATGTAATAGGAATAGGATATGTGACTGATTTTATCAGATGAATACAAAGTTTTGAAGATTTTGAAGTTTTTGATCTAGAAAAAAATTCGTAGTTCGTGATTTCCGATTGGGAAAACGTGAACTGTTTCAAAAATTATCATGCATAAATCTTTGAGAATTTTCAAACCAAAACCAAAGTATCTTGTTTGAACCGGAAATTTCAAAAATTTTAAAAATTCTGTAATTTGTTGGATGATATGACTCTGACTAAAATTGTGATCCCGTGTGTCAGGATTCATTAATCGTACCTGGAGCAATTCAACAACTCTCTTGATACGATCAGAATTTATTAGGCGAATGAACCAAAGTTGAAAGCTTAAGCGAAAAAGTAATTCTCATTTTATCCAGAATATTCCAAATTTACCTGTGCAGTCTACAGTATTCCTTCCCTAGTTTCTTTAATTCTCTTAAATATTCCTTTGTTTTTTTTTGTTACTAGCTCACTAGTGATGAATTGATGTGTTGAGCCTATCTTCCTTCTCCTACTCCTTCTTTTTTCTTTTCTTTTCCATCTTCTTCTTCTCGACACTTTCCTCTTTCATCTTTGCCGACAATTCTGTCTGCGTCTATAAAATCTCGGAATATTTCCAAAAAGTTGCCATAGATGGTTGAAGAGAAGAGAAAGTTTTAGAAGTTCGAATTGAGTTAAGATGAATTAATTATTTGAGAAATGCATATGTTTATAAATATGATAAATAGACATCAAAGTGGAATGAAAAAAGCCGACGAATTGAAGATTTTGGTGAAATCAAAGCATTTTTATTGAAAACTGACGAAAATAATAGTTTTTATTTTATTTTATTTTTGAAGATCATTATTGATTTACTTCATGCTCCCAGAAAACAAACTCTGATAATTTCAAAGATTTTGAATCACACCTAGATGAATAAAAATTAATGATGAAACTATGCCTGAAACTTTCGAAAATTGAAATCCAGAATATTTTTTTCAACCAATTTTCCCCTTGATTTTTCAATTTAAAGAGTTTAAGTTTTCAATTTCAGAGTTCAAAATTCTAAAATTTTGTACAAATCTTGAGAATAAACAGTAGAATCATATTGAAACCGTATTTTCATTTATAGTTTCAAAAACATCAGAATGTCAGAACATCAGAACATCAGAACCAACGATTAGGCATTTTCCAATATTTATGAAATTTGGTTTGTCCAGTCAGATATGATCAATTTGTTTGAAGAAAAAAAAGTCAGAACTGTCATTTCAGAATTGATTTATAAAAACTAGGTTTCTTTTATTTGCAAAAACTTGTTTTCATTAGAAATGAATTTCAAAATTCCACGTGAAAGTTCACGTTTTGAAATATAAAATTATATCTCACAACAAATTAAAATTACTTTTTACTTTGAACCAGGTACTTTTTTTCGGACATGGTCTTCTAAATTTTTTTGCAAAAAACACGTTGTGAATTCTCTGAACTCCACTATGACTAACACATATATTTTTTCCTGAAATTAAGCTTTACAAATTCCAAGAATATCACAGTTTTCATGAGTCATTGTTATACATATTTATTTCAAGGTAAAAGTTTACTCACGCAATGCTTTTTCTATTCAAAATGTCTGCAAATAGTAATTCTGAAAATCGTGACAATATTGAATTCCAGAGAAAAATTGCACATTTTCAAAGAAAACTTATATAGTTTGCGTGTTGTAGGAAAATATTTGAGTATAAAAATTGTGAGAAAATTCATTGAAAATCATTCTAGTTTTATTTCTGAAATCGTTTCTGATATTTTTCTTCGATATATTTGTTGGATCAGTTTGAAGCATCAAGCTTGAGTCAAAGTTTTTGAAGACTTTAAACTTCCTCCTTCAATTAAAGCCAATTGAAAAGCAGTATTCCGTGATCTGCAATTCTATCAAAAGCTTTGAAAACATTCTGATTTTCAAAATCTCAAGATTTTTCACTTTGTCTGTAAGGAAAGCCGAAAAAATTCGAATTTTTTGAAACGTGACCCACTTTTCTTTAAATTTCTTTTTCCAAAAAAAATAATACCTGCCATTTTTGAATTTCGAAATACCGGAAGCCATCATTTGATGATGATAACCTTTGATGTTTTTGTAAGTTTTTCCGGTAACTTTGTGAAAAAATGAACTATTTATTTTTGAAAATCTAAATTTTGAAGCTTTCTAAATAAATCTTAAACCACTATTATTTTGAATTAGTATTTTCAGGTTTTGTTGAAATTAGAATAACTGAGCTCTGAATTTTGAAAAAATATAGTTGTGGATTTTATTTTAAAAAAATACTCGATTTTTTGATATTCCAAACGAAGATCTGAGATTTAGGCTTCGTGACTATTACACTTAAGAATTTTTCAAACTTTTTCTAACTGACAAATTATTATAAACTTTTCAGAAACAGCTAATTTCTCAAATCTTCGAACTTCATCAGATTCTAGGCAAAAATTGACAATTTAGAAAAATTTGATGCTATTTTTTGCCAGATGGTTCAACATTTTTTTCACAAAACCCTTCCTCATCGCTCAAAACTTTTCGCGCAACACCTTTTCTTTTTCACACCAATTCTTTTTCCATCTCCCTCTTTTCTTCTTATTTTTTTTCAACTAACTACTAACTATATCAAAATAAAAATAAAAAGAAGAAACATCATCATTCGTAGCTCCTCCCATCAACCAATCAAAACATTTTGTGGGCGGAGTCAAATACACAGAATTTGCCTCGTCCCGTGGCTGCTTCTTTTCGTTGTTGACTTTTCTTTTCGTCTTCTTCATCTTTTTGTTTTTATTCGCTGAAAATCAAATTAATTATAATAGTTTTTAAAATCACTTAATATTTATTTCGATAAGGTTTTAGAATATTATTCTTGAATAAAGTCCACAAATCTTAAGATTCATAGAAATTCAAAAAATTGTGAACAATGATGAAATTTTATATGCTAATTGTAAACCAATTATTTTTTTTTTAAATCTTCACCTAAATCTTCTCAAATATAATTTTCATCTTAGATATCTGAAAAATGACAACATCTGAAGGCGGAACAGTAACAATACCACCAAGTGTAACACCTTCAACAAATGATTATAATAATTCACAATTTCAATTATCATCTGGTGGAACAAGTGGTGGATCATCTTCAAATAATTATTATGATAATCATAGTCCAAGTCAGATAGCTTCATATTTTGCATCTCAAGGTTTAGCTGGTTCAGCTGCAGGATATCATGCTGCAAGTTTAAATGATCAGGTGAGGAAAAAATATAAAAATGGGAAATGAATTCGGTATCTGCTTGGAATAAAAAATATCGAAAGATCAAGCGATTCATCTTCTTTTCTATCACTTTCTCAAGAACAAATCTCTGACTTTTCGAAAAGTTGTCGGATTTTTTAGAAAAGAAAAAAAGCTCATGACTGAAAAATTCTCGTTCAAAACCGCTTTTGGCATAACTTTATTAAAGTTTTATAACATTTTTTGAAATGTTGATTCAAACTTTAGAAAAAGTTCAGTTTTTGGCACTCACATTTTGGGTGAATTTTCCGAAATGCTGACTCTAACTTTAACACCACTAGTCATCGTATTTGACACTAAATTGAAGATTTTCCAAAAATCTGAACCTTGTTCAGAAAATCGTCATTTTTTGACACCAAACATGATATATTTTTATATTATCATTCTTCTCTGAAAATGTTGATTTTTCACGTTTTGGAAAATGTTTCTAGCCAAATTCCAGCTCTCAAAAATTTTCAAGAATAGTTTTCACTCAACACAAAATTTATCTCAATTCAATTTCATTTCTATTTTTCATCTTTTTCTCTCTCAAAAATATTTCTCTGCCGACACTCATTAATCTATGGCAACAAGATGAGAAAATGAAAAATCGACCGAATTGAAAATAGAAAATCGATAAAACATCGTGGGGTTCCAAAGAAAATGGAGAAAATGGAGAAAATCAATGTGTTTGAAAATGAAAATAAAACAAAAGAAAGAAAAACGAAAAAGGAAAGATAGAAATAGAGAAAGTGGGCTCAGTTTCAAGATTAATTGTTGTTTTTGGTGCATTTGAGCATATTTTGTGTGTTTTTGCAGAATATGGGATATGCTGATTGGAAAGATGAAAAAGATGATGATAAAGACAAAGATGATGATTTGGATAAGAATTCAAATGCAGCCGTTTATCCATGGATGACAAGAGTGCATTCAACTACAGGTTAGTTGAATTTTTATGACTTTGCGGGTTGGGGAGAGATTGAAAATCATTTTTTCAAACATTTGATTTGGACTTCGGATTGCAAACGTTGCGAGACCAAACGTGGGAATTTTTTTATTTGAAAAATATTTCCAACGCAACCATAAGTCCACAGTTTGAATTTTACAAAACATTTTCTGGTAGATCAAAATTATTTTTCTCTAATTCTCTCCATTTTCCGTTGTTTTTCAAATCTTTAGCAATTTCAAGCTGATTCATGATACAATTAGTTTCAACACAATCCATTCAGTCTATTTTTTTTATCCCAAAATTTTTTCCCAACAATATTTCATTAACTCGTTGTTGTTGTTGTTGTTGTTATTTTGCAATCTACTAAAGAATGAGAAAGAAGAAGAAAAAAGAGACAAAACTAGTGTTGGTCATATTTCATCAAATGCCGGCTTCTCGCACTTTCATAAATCACTTCATTCGAAAACAGTTGGGAAGAACAAAAACAGCCCAAAAAATGAAGGAAAGAAAAAATGTTGCCTTTTTTCGAGATTTTTTTCGAGGCTTTGAGAGAAACAGAAGGAGCGACAAAATATTGTGAGATGTTTATCTGGGGGAAAATTATCGATTTGAGATTTTTATAGCATGAGTCATGAAATGTTTTATGAATCTAGCTTTTCAAAAGAAAATTGAAATTGTTTTCTAAAACGATTAATTTAAACTATTTTTAACAAAAATGTTCCACTCACAAAAAATTGAGAATTTCACGCTCCTTTAAATTGTGCATATAAATTCAAACAGAAAATCTGTTTCCTACGCTTTCTTTTCTACAAATGTTTTATCCAATATTTGGAGCTGAAAATAAGTTTAATTATTTAGACGCGCAAACAGTTTTACTTTTGGCGGATTCATAGAAACATTACCAAAAATTGATGAAAACCATTAAAAAACTATCAGAATTTTCTTGTCCAAGTTTAGCTTCAACTTCAGAATTTCAAGGAATAATGATTTGTTCTGGATCCTTTTCCCCTTCCCATCTGATCTCCCATTTTCAGTATTCATTTCCCTGTTTTCCTCCCACATCTACAGTAATATTCAATCTCCCTCTTTTCCCATTTCATCAACATATTTTTTTTGCTATAAACAAAATACATAGAAAATGTGCGGAGGCCCCGCGCTGTCCGCCAAAAAAGAATAGTAGTAGTGGAAAGAAGAGAGATGGCATGTCGCGAACCGATTTGTCTTTTTAGAGTCGTGTCAAGACTCGCCGACGGAAAAAAAGCAGACAAAAAACAGACGGACTGACGAACCAAAAATAGTTATGTGCATGAATAAAAATAGATGGAAATCCATGATTTTTAAATCAAAAATGTAATTATAACTTCCGTAATCTTGATAATAAGAAGAACTATAAAGAAGCCTAAAGTTGACTAGAAAAATATCTTCTGAAAAATACAATTTAGAATTTTTTTTTGAAAAAATAGAATTTTCCAGCATATTTCTATCGATTTATCCTGATACCCACATCCTTCTCAATTAAAATCTGAAAATCTTACACCAGAAAAGCTTCCCAAACAAAAATGCATCAATCATTTGATACAGTAAGACAGGCAACCAGCCAAAAATAGATAGTCGTCGCGCGTCTCTTTGATGTCCTTCCTTATCTCTCGACAAATTTTCGCAACATTTTTTGGCTACCAACCAGACAGATTACTGTAGATAATAATAATAATAATTATTATTATTATTGTTACACTTTTTTGGACGAGAAAAATTGGGAAGAAAAGGAGAAGCTGTCAAAGTATTTTGGCAGGTGTCGGATAAAGATGAAAGAGAATCAAATCGCAAAAAAGAAAAAGAAAAAGTTTGCCACAAGATCGATTAGGCGAAGATTTGTTGTTAAACATGTTCCCGGCGGTTATTTTGAAAATAATAAGGGTCACTTTTTTGAGTAATGATGTTAGTATGTGGCAAATCAAAAAAAAGAGACAAGTGCCTCCTTTCCAGGTGCTTTTTGTTCATTTTCATTTTCCCATCGAAAACATAGAGACCATATGGCGGATGAGAAGAGCGCCCAGCGACTTGTCAAAAATCCATTATGAGAAAAACGAATCGAAATTACATAAATCGCTTTTTCAACACCCGAAACATTTTGATTTATGTAGAAGGAGAGAAGTGGAGAGGGGTCGAGAAAAACAGACATTTTTGAACTATGAGGCCCTGATCATTTTTACATCATTTTAAAGAGAAATTCTGGTTTGAACCTAGGAAGTTGAGAAATTTCTTTGAAATGTAGTTGAAATCAAAAGATCTGAAGCAGATAAATTTCTGAACTTTTTTTCAAAAAAGTGTTTAATATTGACCACAAAATCCGAATTTCTGGTTTTCTGAATCATTTTTGATATATTTCAGAAATTTAGATTTCTGTCCAAATTCTGAAACGGTCCTGAGAAACCTGACAAATTCATGTCCCTAAAATTAAAAATTTCCCTCAATTTTAATTTTTCAAAAGCTCAAAAAAGTTTCATAGCTCACTAAATCTTACCTTCTATCTAAACAAATCAATATTCATATTTTTACAACCTCAAAAATTGTCAAAACACTTCTCAATCTATATTTATTTATTGTAAATCTATCTATCCAAATCCGATTACAGTCAGCTGTTTCTTCTGTCTGCTTTTTCTGTGTGCGACGACTTTTTTGATTATTTACGGGGTTGTAAATAATAATAAGAGGGAGAAAGAGGAGAAGATGGCAATCTTTTCTCGAATTGTTTTTGACAAGTGTGAAAATATGAGCGGCCCGCGCATGTTGAGATTTATGATAGAGGAGAAGAAGAGTGGGATTGGGTAGATTGAGTTAGAGGTGTCCTCCGGGAGACAATATTCGACAAAAGTAGGATTAAAAAATGAGGGGGAATTGTTTTTTGAGAAGGGGATTTTTCGGAAAAATAGTGATTTTTTGATTGTTCGTTTCTTTTAAAATTTTGAGTTTTATAACAAAATTTTGAATCTAAATCGCATAACCACATTTTTCAATAGTCTATTTTGGGAAGATCAAAATATTCTGAACCATTTTGGCACCAAACTATCCAATTCTGATCTGATTCCAAAAATTCTTTGAACTTCACATCACTCAAGTACATTCGCTGCGAGACCTGACCCATACAGCACCTCTTCCCTTCTACAAATTCAACTCCCAATATTTTCCAATTATTTTTCCAGGTGGACATCGTGGCGAAAAACGACAAAGAACTGCATATACTAGGAATCAAGTGTTAGAATTAGAAAAAGAATTTCATACTCACAAATATTTGACGAGAAAACGACGAATTGAAGTTGCTCATTCATTAATGCTAACAGAAAGACAGGTATTTGCTCGCTTTGTTTTTTGAACTGAATTCTGTTCAAATTATCGATTTTCAGGTGAAGATTTGGTTTCAAAATCGAAGAATGAAGCATAAAAAAGAGAATAAGGTAAGCGATTTTGTTCGATTTTTTTTTGAAAATTGCGCACATATGTTCCCATTTATCACGAATTGAAAAGTGTGTAAATGGACAGAGAAACTAGAGAGAGAAAGAAAAAGAAAGGGCATGATTAATTGTAATTGTGGTCGATGAAAAGTCGCAAAATATTTAGACAGACAACAAAATTGAGCCGGCCATTCAAATGATTAATGTAACAGGTGCAATAATTTATGCGAGCGCGGAAGGACCGAGGAAAAGAGAACGATGTATTTAGATAGAAATTTAGGAGAAAAACAAATGAAGAAAGAAAATTCAGATGTTTAACAATAAAAATTTTGAAGTTCTTAAAAATCTGCAAAAAAAATTGAGTGAAAACAGGTTACAGTAACCCCTATTTTTTTATACTCAAAGGTTTCTGATTGCATTTTCTTCATAGTTTGAAAAAAGTTTAGAAAATTATATTTTAATACATTTTATAGCTGTCAAAATGTTACTGGTACAAATTTTGTAGGATTTCTAGTAGCTCTAGATCTCACAATTTTTGTAAGCTGTCCGTTTTTTGACGCGTTTCCAGCAGATCTAAATTTTACTGACGCATTTTCAGAAGGTTTGCATAGGAATTCAAGGCCACATTTTCAAATTAAGTCAAATTTTGATTTGTAGATTCTGAATTTCACTTTAAAAAAATTTTCTTTGAGAAATTTGAGCTCACTCTGAAAATTCAATTTTTTAATATTTCGAATTTTCTATTGAGCTCAAATTCCATATTTTTATAGATCAACTAACTTTAAAAATATTTTTTGAAACTGAAAATTTTAGATCGCGCTGAACATTCATTCATTTTTCATTTCCAACGTCAAATCCTATATTTTTTCAGGATAAACCAATGACTCCTCCAATAATGCCATTTGGTGCAAATCTTCAATTTACCCCATTCCGTTTTCCACTTTTCAATCAATTCTAGTTTCTTTTCTTTCCTTTTCCATGTGTTTTCAATCATTTTTTGGTCTCCTTTTCCTCCCGCTTTATCTCTTGATATTTTCCCGATTTTTTTTGTTTACAAAGCTTTAAGTATTCTATATATTTTTTCTGAAACAGGGTCTTTTTTGTCTCTCGCAGAGTACTTTTTGAATTTCCTCCTCACAAGGTAGAATTGACTCAATGAGCTATTTTCTTTTATTTTTTCCATTTTTTGTCTTCCCCAAATCAATCATTTGAATTGTGATCATTTTTCGCTTTTTTTCACTGTTTTTTTTTCATTTTGTATTGACAAATTGTTTTTCAATCATACAACATATTCATGTATAGAAACAATGAATTTATTGATTTTTTTTGTGATTGTTTAAAAAAAATTTATTTTCAGGAAATTTTAGAATAATGTTCAGTTTTTGGATTGAGCTGAAAGATGCTGGATTCTAAAACTTTAGAATGCAACTTCCTGGAGTCGCTTTTGAATAAATTTCATGAATGCTAAAAAATGTTTCCCTGTTGCAGAAAAATACTTTATTTGTCCTTTTTTATCAATTTAACTTTTCATTTGTAATTTGAAGCTAATTTCTTGAAATCAGAACTTACAGGAATGTTTCAAGCCATCTACATCTTCATTCGAAAAATATTACCAGTTCTAAATATGCTCCATAATGTCCCCAGTTGTCTCAATTCCAGAATATTTTTGATAGTAGAAAGATTTTTTTAAATTTATTCAAACAGTTCTCAGAACATAGATATAGAAAAAAAGTATGTAAAAAATAGGAAAAACACAACTAACATTAACATTTTAGAAACTTTCAAGCTCAGATTTGTCAAATCAATTTTTTAAATCGATATTGACTTCAGAATGATCTTATTAGTATCAAAATATCATTTTGGAACTCAAAGCAGTCATTCAGTTTATAATGAGGAAATTATTTTTCGATATAAAGTTGAGTTTTTCAAAAATGATTCAGAAGTTTTTTTCAAAAATTCGAAATATCTGAAATCAGCTAATCCACAGAAGTAACCTTGTCGGTACTATATAAAAAATTTATACTCAAAATCAACTTATTTTTAGAACTCTTTGGTATCTCTAGGATTAATTAAATATTTCAGCAAAAACCTAACTTGTTCCCTAAAATTCAGAATTAAAAAACTGAATTAACATGGACTGATTAGTAATCAATAATAATGTTAAATAAAATGTTGGCTGAAAGTCTTCTAGATCTTCCAAAAATTGCCGCATATTCCAAACCCCACTCCAAATACTCAAAAGCTCTTTTATTTCTGCTCCACTCAAAAACATTCATTCGTTCAACGAAAGCAATAACTAATTGCTATTTTGTACAACTAAACAACTGTAAAATCATTAATACATGCCAACAAATCCTCTTTTAATCCTCCCGACTCGACCTCCCATATTATTTACGACAAGAAATGAAAGAAAAATAGTGCGATTTGGCACATTGCCAGCTGCTAAAACAAGAAAGAAGAACTACGGTAGTTGAAGAAAAAAGAAAAGATGAACGAATGAAAACAAAGAAAGGGCGGAGTTTTGAAATTGACTATCGGTTTGTTTCATGAACAAGGTTTTTCTAATTTATTTGTTGAATATTTAATTTTCATTTTGAAACTTGAATAATGAATACTAGTTCTTTATTTAGGTAAACCTTAAAATTTCTCTTTCATTTATTCTTTTCGGCCCAAAATCTAGGACTTTCAAACTATTCTCCGTGTTTTTTCAAAAATATATTTTCATGCACTTGAAAACATTCTTTTCCGCTGTCAAAAGTTATAGTTCAACTCAGCTTCGCAGAAAACCTCAATCTTTTACTGTTTCATTTCTTCGTTTCATAATTTTTTTGAAACCCAGTTTTATAAATATTGAGCAATTTTCAAACTGCGCATGAGAAGTTTAGATGTTGAAAGCAAAAAAAAATGTGATTTTCGAAAAAGGTATTTTCAACTTACATAAAATTAGTTGTTGAGCGGGATAGAATTATTTTTGAATTTTCAGGAAGGTCTTATCAGTTTTCACTAATTTCTAAAAAAAAATGCTTTCCAATTTCACATCAGCCATTTACTTCAAATTTCAATTTTTCCAAATTAAAAATCAATCTATAAAATATTCAATCATGATTTTTGAAAGATTCAAAAGCATTGTCAAATGATCAAATTCGCTACCGTTTTATTGGAGCTCATTTTATTTAGAATTTCGAAATTTACTAGAAAATGAGACCCAAATTTAAAAATCTAGGTTCAAGTTGAAAAAATCTTCAAGATGTCTCATTCCTCATGCAAAATCTATGGTCCATCCAAAAAATTAAAGCATTAAAACTTTCAAACTTCTAAATGTACAGTAAAAAAGGTATTCCTTCTTCAGAACTCTTTAAGCTGAATGTCTTACAATTAACTGTACTTTCAATGAACCAGTTAAAAGACAGAACTCAAAATTTGTGAAAATTCTTTGGAACTCCATTTCAATTGAACATAATTTTAATCTTAAATTTTTCACATCACATCAAGTTTCATGATCTCTTTCAAAATAACTTTTATCTACCCTGCGGTAAAAATTTTCAAAAATTCAAAAATTAGATCAATAAATTCGAAACTGTGGTACGTAAAATTTCAAAAACTGCAACTAATAATTGAAAATTTAAAAAATCAGGATTTTGAAAATTAACTAGCCTAATTCAGTTATCCTGAAAACCCACAAAAAAATCAACACATAAATATTTATGAAAAAAAGAAAAGAGACACCTTTTTGTGATTTATGACAACTTCTTGTTGACTTTTCCTTCTTACATTACAATCTTTGTAAGCAATAATTCAAATATGTGTACAAACCTGTCAACATTTATCTTCTCAAAAAAGTTTTCATGTCAAGTGTCTTTTGCAAGACCACAAAAAATAAGGATAGGATTTACTAGGAAAACAATTTGAGAGGTTTTTAAAGAATTTAAAATTGGACTTATGCTAAGTTATTAAAACATTTCAAGTGCCCATAAAAGCTTGGGAAAAAAAGACAACTGGAATTCTACTGAAAAACTCATCTAATTTTTAGGAAAACCTAGGAAATTCCGAATTAGATAAATTCAAACGCAGATTCAAATTCAAAATTCGAATAAAACCTGCAGACTCCGCCCTTTCGTTCAAAAACCTACAGTAATCTTTTGTGTTGGGTGTCAGTTGTGTATATGAATGAAAAATTGATCGGTGTCGCCCCTTCGTTGTCCCAAAAGAGAGAAATATTGGGAAAAATGAAAGAGGGTTTAGAGAAGAAATGGAGAAAGACACAACCAACACACTTCGAAATATACATTCACATACCGGCCCTCACTATTTTAGGGATCTTGGATACTGGGAGTCGGAAAATGGAAGGGAAATTGAATGGGACAAGGAAAAAATAGGTTGGAATTAATTGAAGAAGTTAGGCGAAAGCTTAAAAATGATGTTAGAGAACAATTCTGCAGCAAACTGAAAAAGTCGGTTACCTGGGAGAAAATCGAAGCATGGTGGTTCCAGTTTTTGGCGGAATCTATATCATTCAAATTCTGCATAACTTATGAAAAGATCCCGTGAAAGCAACTTCAAGGATCAATAAAATCTGCATCGATATCCAACCACAAAATCAGAATTCGTAACAAAAAAATCCGGAGTATTTCGATTCTGGAAAAGTTCAAATGAAAACCAAACAAAAAGTAAATAATCGAATGTCTGTCAAAATACAGTAATTCTTATCAATATCATATCAGAAACCAACCAATTTGCCACCTCATAAGTTTATCTCAACTTTCAATCAAATTGAATCTTTACAATCGATCGAGAAAAAGAAGAAGACAATATTTAATTTATGAGTTGATATTATACAAAAAACAGTAATAAATCATAACAATACAAATTATCTATTTATTTATCACATAAGTGTTAGATTATATCACATTTCGATTATATTATTTACAGAATTGTGAAGAATTTCATCAGAATTCCAGGGGAATAATTCATCTTCTGAATCGCATCTTTCAATCCATTTTGAGCTTATAATTGAACATTGATCTTGTTTGATTGCTTGAGCTGTTTTTGGATATGTTGGTTTTGGAGCAGTTGCAATTATTAATTTGGTATTCGGAGCTGGAAAAAGGAATAGGATCAGGACTTTGAGAAAAAACGCTATGACGTGGAATACATTTTAAAAAAACCACGTGGTTTTTGTGTTCAATTTAAAATTTCGTATGAAAATTCTCAAAGTTTTCAAATATTGTGAAATGTCCTATTTCAAAAAAACTTTTTCAGCCCACACTTAATCGAAACAATTAGGTGAACTAGGAATTTTTTAATCACAGAAATCTCAGCCCAGAACTTTTGCCACGTCATTAACCAGAAAAATTATTTTTTATCTCTTGATGTTTATCAATCAATAAAAAATCCCTCAGAGATATTCCCCAAAAAAACTCACTAATATTTTTGACAACTTTCGCATCAAAATGCAACAAAATCTCTTCACACTTTTTCCTCAATTTTTCCGAAGTTCCTTGTAAAACAGCAACTTCAATTCCCGACAATTTCGATTCCTTTTTCATTCTTTTCGATTTCACAGGCAAACAAGCTGATTGTTGCATCGTTTTTCGAGTCAATCTTTTATCAATTATCGGTTTCTCGTCAATTTCTTCCAAATCTTCGAATTGCTCGTCAGATAATTTACAATCCAATACTTTCTGGAAAAAAAAATCATGGAAAAATAAAAAAAATGAGCGCAGAAGAGGAAAAACGAACACTGGAATAATCAACAAAATCTTCAAAAGTGTCACATTCTTCAATCGATTTATCCATTCTTAATTCTCTCATGACGGGATCCACCAATTTTCCATTTCGAACTCCGTTTGAATTGATTTTCACAACCTGAAGGAAAATAACATAATTAAAAGTGGAGTCTGACATAAAAATCGATATATTTGAATTAGTTTCAATTCAAAAGTTCGTCTCCTGGTTTGAAAAATCCCTTAAGAAATTTCCGGAATTGACAAAGAAACATAGCTCCAAACTACTGTACATCTCGACTTTCAAGCCATTTTACACGGTGACAATTTGAACTAATGTTTGAGAAGCTTCCAGAAAAATCCTTCAAGGACTATTTAGAAAATGCTCTTTCAAATGAACATGGTTTGCTCAGAATTCTGAATATGTTGGGAGTGGGCTAGACCTGTTATCGGGCCTGAAAACCAAGCCTAGAAGATTTCCGAAATTTGTGTATCGGATTTCCGATTTGCTCTAGATTTTTTCTCCAATTCCTCTTTTAATTCTGAAAACCCCAATACATTTACCTGCCATCTTTCAAAATCAACATATCCCCCATTTTCTGGTGCAATTTTATACGGAGTTCTTCCAAATCGATCTAATAATTCAGCCGGTGCTTCTCTCAATAATTGTCCACATGATAATCGAATTTCTTCTCGAATCGCATCTGATAATCCATAAGATATTCCAATACACATTCGATATTTGTCAGAACCTGAAAAGGTTTATGGGTTTTGAACTTCGGCAGTAAAAATCTCCAAATATGTCACAGGTTGCTAGGCAAGTTCTTTTTCACCTACCATTTTCTTTCGCCGCAAATCGATAAAGCGTTTTCTCATATCTTCCACCTCTCGGATAAATTGCCACCAATGCCAAATCCAAATCACAATCTTTCGATGCCGATGGTTTCAATTTAAACCATCCATTCGATATATTTCTTTGCCCTTTGAAATATTGACTATCAAATCGTTTAACAACAATTCCTTCCTCATTATTTTTCATCGCATTCTCAAAATATTCCATGATTTCTGGTCTGAAATTAATTTTGATATTATTTTTTGTAAACAAGACTCACTTTGTTGATGCTAATTGATGTTCAGCAACAAAAATATTCTCTTCAGTCGATTTTCGGAGGGTCGCGAGTTTCAATAACTCCAATCTTTGATGCAAAGGTGCTCCGAATAATGGGTTTCCATTCAAATAAAGAATATCGAAAAGAACCACAGCTGAAAATATTAGATTTTTTAAGTTTTTTGAAAAAAATTAAATTGGAACTAACTAAGTTGTTGATTATCATCTGGTTTTATATGTCGAAATGATAGAACATTCGAATCACTTGTTGAACTTGCGTCATTATGCCGACCTAAAAAAACATTTTTAGGAGTTGGTTGGAAACTTTGGAGCATATATCAGAGTTGGTTCAAAAATTGAGTTACAAAAGCTAAATTTTGTATTAATTTTCAAACCCCCCTTCCTCCAAACTTACATAATTTTTTAGTTTTCTTATCCCACAACATCAATTCACAATTGAAAATCGCCGATTCACAATCTTTTTTAAAATACGAATGAATTCTACTTGATAATTTTCCAATTTCAGTCGAACAATCTCCATATTCTTTCGAAAAATCATTGTTGTTTCGAGAAAACCAACGATATTTGTTGCCTTTTTTGTGAAGAAGCACATTTTCGCCGTCGAATTTGATTTGGAGGAAGAATTTTGAACCACCATATTTTTTGATCTGAAAAGAAGACAACTATGGTTAATTGGATCCATAGCTTTCTTTATTTCTTACATTTGAATACCAATCTCCTCTTTTCTGTTTCGATAACAACATCGGAGTCCAGATTTTAAATAAATGTTCATCCTCAATTTCATCTTCATCTTGATCTTCATTTTCGAATTGTTTCATACTTTCTTTCTCATTTTTTCCACTTATTTTTCCAGCCAAAACATCATTAAAATCATGTGATTGTTGCCAAATTGTATGAGCATTTGATGAAATCCAATCCAATAGTTTATTCGAAAATGTTCCCAAGGATGTTTCAACATTTTTGAGAATTATGTTGAATATCCATTCGAGTTCGTCTTCCGAACATTTCTTAATCAATTCTTCCATCATATCACGTTCTGAACAAAATACTCTTTTTACATAAGTTACTCAAAAAAAACCATCAAAAACTAACTTTTTTGATCATCCATAGAATTGCCGGTTGCTAAAAAATCGAGAGATTTGTTGATTTCCTCCACAGATAATACTGCAGATTCATCAATTTCAGATCGATATTCTTCTGCCATTTTTTCAGCCAATTGTCGAGCCACTAAACTTACATCACTTGGAATGGATTTGAGATATTCTGCTCGATTATCATGAAATGTTTTTGCAAGAAATGATGCCAGTTTTGTTGGGCCCATTTCAAATTTTCGGTCACGTTCCAAATCCGATAAAAATATACGTGTAATTCCTAATTTTTCATTTTCCTCTACATTTTTGAAGAAATTTTGAAAAATTGATTGTTTATTTTTGGGGTTTGATGTTCTTTTTATTTTGTTGAAGACATTTACAACATCATCAAATAACATCTGAAAGTTTTCTATATAAAAACAAAGAGTTATCATCAAAATATTCAGATGTGTTAGTCTACACAGAATCATGCAAAATTCAAAGTTCTTGAAAAGTGATTCATTGCAAAGTATTTACAGTCAAAGCTTATGTATTCTTCTCTTTTTTCTTTTCAACATGTCCTCGACAATGTCCAGTTTCACAATCGGAATCCGAATCCGAGCTCGAATCCTGCCAATTTTTCGGTTTTTTGTAGATACAACAACATTTGCTATTCTTTTTTCCCATTCCTTCATTATCCACGGTTTCAGTCGACCAAACAACATGTTTCTTGTCTGCTGTTGATGGTTGAGCTCCAAGTCGAAGAACGAGGTGATTTGGAGAAGAAGATGAAGATGGTTCTTCGCTGGTTTTTGTTTCAGTGATTGTTGTCGTATTTGACATTCTGAAAATATTGAAAAACCTTTAAAAATATGTAAATTTCGCAACTTATATAAGTTCCTCGAAAAAAAATAAAATCGTCTTCTCCTCGTGAACTACACAAATTTGCAAAACTTCGGCCAGCAATCGTTGAAAACTCGTCCCCCATTATTTGTTCCAAGAAAACTACAGTAATCCTCGAAGAAATTGATGAGTTTCGAGCAATATTCATTTTCAAGTATATTATTAGCTTCATCAACTTCTTTTCAACAATCATAGTTATGCTAATTTCAGTTTTTCCCTTTTGAAAACACATTTTGTTACCTCAAAGTGTCAACAATTTGAGTTTTTTATTTTTCAAATTCGTGTTTTTGCTTTTTGACAAATGTTATTACCGAGAAAAAAAAACTTTATTCACCCATAAATATTATTTTTCCTTTTTCCACATTTTTCAGACACACGCTATTTAGAAGGCTCCAACAAAAGGTGGCTGGAAGAAAATAGAGGAGATTCCATAGAAAAAGACGAAAAAAAGAAGAAGAGAAGAAGATATTTTAGTTCTTTTTTTTTGAGTTGATATTTTTTCGCAAAAGAGTTCATGTTCAGATGAGCACATGACATTTTGATAGATTGGAAGAATTTAGAAGAAACCTCCAAAGTGTTTCAAGACTATAGATTATTATACTTCTTTTTTGATATTTTTATTTCTTCGTTTTGAAAAATAATAATGTGTAAGAAATCGAGACATCAGAAGAATCAGGAAAGGTTCAATCAGGTAAGCAATTCAAAATTATAGGCGTATTGTGCGGTCAAAAAGTTTCTCTGTCCAAAATTGATATTTTGTCTTTCTGAACTTTTCGAGTATGTTTTTCGGAAAAAGTTGTGACGTAGATCGAAGATCTCTTCGTGGAACTTAATTAAATTCTACTCTGGAAAATATTTTTTGTTGGATGAAAAAATTGAAAATAGTTTTCTAATTTCTGAATTTTTCCCATGACTCATGTTAGTTTCGAAGTTCGAGAGAAGTACACGATTTCTTGAAGAAGAATCTGTGTTCTTCCTTCGTACGACACTTATTTTTGAAATTGTGCTTTTTTAGTGTCAAAAATCCACGTGTAGTATTTTTGTGACTCCAAAAAATAGTTGCAAGAATAAAATGAAATTTTTGAACATTGCTCAGATTACTGAATTGCTCAAAATTTGTTCTAAACTCCAAAATCCATAACTTCAAGAAAAAAAGAAACTTTAAAAGATTCACAATTGTGAGATAATTTTTTTCTAAATTTCATAATAATTTTAATAAAACTTCCAAAATGGTTTCATAATTAAACTGTTCTCATTTTTCTTCAATAATTAGGTTCAAATTGAGAATCCGGAAGTGTTTCTCTTCTCCCAATTTCTTTCTTTTTGTCCAACAAAATTAATCATCCAACATATGTGCCCACAAAGTCTTTTTTCCCGACCAAAAAACAAACATTTGCAGCTTTTGGATTCGACAACCGAAACAACTATTTCAAGAGCTGATTTATTCACAAAACTTGATAATCAAGGAAATACATTCAGTGATGTGGAAAAATATGCATTCAAAAAATCAAATGAAGAATTTATTGATTTCACATGTTTTGAAAGAGTTGTATGTTTGAATTACAAAAAGTGATGGGGGAAAACCTATAATTTCAGATAACTTCAAAAGATGCACAACCTTCAAAATTCAAGCGAATTCTTTATAGTATTGCAGATTTAGTTATCAGTCGAAAACAGCGAATTAAAATTCATTCAAAAATAAACGAACAATTATGGAAACCTCCCCCTGTTTTTATGACTCTTCTAACTGCTTTTCAGGTTTTTATTTTAATTTTTGAGACTTCAATAACAAATTGATTTTTAGATTGGGGTATTTTTCTATTTCTACGCGACAGTCGAAAAATCAACACTTTTTAATTTTTGCGGTGGATGCGGTGACAATGAGACCCCATTTATTTTTCAACCAAAACATAAACACCAATTATGGCGATTCTTTACACATTGTTTTGTCCACGCTGGAATCGACCATCTTTCGAAAAACATGATTTGTCAAATAATAATCGGAATTCCTTTAGAAGTTGCGCATCGAATTACAAAAATTGGTCCACTTTTTATATTAGGAGTGACTTGTTCAGCGATAACAATGTTTGCAAGAAATCCAAATGGCCCTTTTTTAGGAGCTTCTGGTGGAGATTATGCTCTTTTATTCGCCCATGTTTCAAATTTAATTTTAGTAAGTGGTTGAAAACTGTTCACAAAACTATGTTAAAATTCTCAGAACTGGAAAGATATGCCATATCGAAGAGTTCAAGCATTCCTGGTAACATCCTATGTTTTATCAGATTTTGTTGAAGATAGCTATTCAATTGTTAAATATAAGGTTTCGAGAATTGCTCACGGAGCACATTTGAATTCTGCAATCACTGGTCTTATTTATGGGTTTTTCGTGTTGTATTATGTTGAGGTAAGTTTTTTGAAAGCGGGAAAGGAATTAATTTTGAAAAAAAAACATTTTATTTTTCAAATTTTTCCCAAAGATTGATCTTCAAGTTTTTCGGTACAGTAAGATATGAAATAAATTATTCTGAGTACAGTAAGATTGGGTTGACACGTTAGGGCATATAACTTATAGATCGTCTAGGTTCTAAATCCCCCATTTCTATTGAGGGATAGTGGTTTCTTTCTTCTAAAATCCTAATCCTCATTTCGATCTGGTGGTTCCTTTTTAGTTTTTTTGTGGTCCCTCCGAGCCCAATTTAAAGTACAATGGTTTCATTTGATAAATTGACGTCCGTTTTGTACATAATCCCATTGGATTACTCTTACTTTCTCCACTGAAATACGTGTCTTCCTTCCCGCCTTCAAAAAATGTGTATTTTTTGTATTTCAATTCCTCAAAAAAAAAATTTTCCAATTTCAATTTCAATTTTCTGTTTTTTTTCCAGAAAAGTTGGTCATGGAAACTGGTTCGATATACAATTCTAACCGCCTATTTAGTTTATGTAATTATTGTTTGTTTTATTGCATATTTCAGAACATGATTGCAATTGACGTGTATTTATTTTTTATAGCTTCTTCTTCTTCTTACTTTTATTTTTATTCTCCATGTTGGTTTTTTGCCGGGTATTTTCTCAAATAAACCACACCACACCACATTTGTTTATTTTTTCATTTCTTCGTTTTTTTTGCCTTGAGCTGTAATGTGTAAGCTCAAAAGTCATATATTTATTTTTGTTTGAAAAAAAAACACAACACATTTGAAATTCAATCAGATTCCTTTGGAAAAAGTTAATCAAAAAAGGAAAATGAAAACTTCGGGCTGTCATTTTCATTATTTTTCCTTCTTTTGTTTAGTTTTCCTGATGTTTTTTTTCAAAATAAAAAGAAAGGAAGATATTTAATCAGAAACGTTATCTCAACACTTTTTTTCTAGCAGACATTTTCGAATCGAATCGAATCGATTGATTTATTCATATTGAGGAATATGTGTAGTCAAACGAGCAAAACTACGAATCGAGAGAAATTTGAACAGGTTTGTTTCTAGTTTGGACTTGGGAAAAATTTGGCGAGAGAAAGAGACTCAGAGAAAACTTCAAGTCTACAGTAGTATCAAAAAAAATTAGCACAACAATCTTTTTTTATTAAATTTTTCAAAAACTTTGAATTTCTATTAGAAACCCTAAAAATAACTTTTCTACAGTACTCTTTCTCTATTTTTTGCACCAAGACCCAATTTACTAGTTTTCAAAATTCCTGAAAACAATCTACAGTACCTCTCCAAACTTTTGCAGCTTCTTCAAAACCAAGATGAAACAACAATTCCATTATCTCAAATTCCAAAAAGAATCGAAGATCGTGGCAATTTTCTGACCGAAAAACAGAAAACAGCATTGAAAAGTGCAAAATATGAACATGTGGATTTCGTGTGCTTCGAAACTATTGTTGGTTTATTTTTTAGTTTTGAAAGCCTGAAAATCAAGAATATTTTCAGATAACTTCAAAAAAAGCGCAATCTTCAAGGTTCAAAAGAATTCTGTATAATATTGCAGATTTAGTGATAAGTCGGAATGAAAGATCGAAAATACATTCAGAAATTGATAATAATTTATGGAGATTTCCACCGATTTTTATGTTATTGATAACTGTTATTCAGGTTGGTTTGGGAGACTTTTTTTTTCATTGACAAGATAATTGTTCGCTTTAAAAAATTGTAGAACTCCCATGACGTGGCAAAAGTCTAGAATTTTCAAATTATCGTGACTTTACAACAATTGATTTCAAAAGTAATTTTCTGAAAAATCCTGTGCTATCCGATTTTCATTGAAATCATTTTTGATTGTTTTTTCGAAATGTTCGATTTTGCCACATCATAACTCATATGAGTAGTTTTTGACAGCGGCTTGAGAATTCCCATAAAATTTCTATTTTATCAAAAATCTGTTCGTTTTCAGATAGTGATACATTTTTATTATCAATTCAACAATGACAATTCAACAATTCTTGATCAATGCGCATTCGATCCAGAAAAACGAAAAGAAATCTGGCGATTTTTGACGCATAGTTTATTGCATCATGGAATTGATCATCTCGCAAAAAATATGGTAGCTCAAATATTCATCGGAATTCCCTTGGAAATCGCGCATCGAATAACAAAAATTGGGCCTATTTATGTATTGGGCATTATTTGTACGGCAATTATGAATCATGCAATTTATCCCGAAGTTCATTCAGTTGGCGCAAGTTGTGGAGATTATGCTTTGGTATTTGTTCATGTTTCGAATTTGATTCTGGTGAGTTTGCTCTGAGAGAACCTTCGAAAAAACTGGATTTTTCTAGCATTGGTCCCAAATTCCCTATCATAAAACACAAGCTTTGATACTTTTCATTTATGTTGGCTCTGATTTCACTGATTTATTTTATCGATTTGCATCAACTGAAGAAGTTGAAATCGCTCACTTTGCGCATTTTGCAGCTGCCATTATTGGACTTTTGTATGGTTTCTTCATTTTGTATTATGTTAAGGTAGCAAAAACATTTTTCTCTTTGAAAATTGAAAATTTCTATTTTTGCAGAAAGGAATTCTATGGAGTATACTTCGTGTTGTTTCACTGCTTTCGTATATTCTGGCTGTTTTATATGCTTGTGTTTATGCGTATAATACGAATATTGAAGAGATATTTGCGAAAGAGCACAGAGATCAACTTTAAATTTCAATTGCCATAATTTTTTTAATAAATAAATAAATTTTTTACGTGGACTATGACGTGGCAATTAAAAATTTCCATTTTTCGAAAAAAAATCCAAGATACCACGTGGATTTGTAATAATTATTTTTGAAAAAAAACATACTTTTTGTCGAGAATGTATTTATGGATTGTGAGATTTTCTATATCAATAATTATCAGAACAATCGTATTCTGGATCTATGCATCTTCGATTTCTCCAGCAATCGCAACAGCTTCAATTTCAACGAGTCCACCTTTTGGAAGTGCGGCAACCTAATTAATTTTAATTATTTTGTTCTTCAAAGAAATAAATACCTGATAAGCAGCTCTTGCTGGATATGGAGCCTTGAAATATTGTCCATAAATTTCATTGAAAGTTGCGAAATCTCCGATGTCTTGAAGGAGTACGGTAGTTTTGACGACTGAAAAATATCATATTTTCAAAATAAGTCAGCTTACATTTCCAAAAAGTACCATTTTTATAATCGGCTCCGGCGGCTTTCAAAACTTCTCCAATATTTTTGAGTGATTGATGTGTTTGCTCTGAAATTCCTTCCTTCAAATTTCCAGATTTTGGATCTAATCCAAGTGATCCGCTCAAATAAATTGTATTTCCAGCTCGAACTGCTTGGCTGTATGGTCCGATTGCAGCTGGAGCATTTGAAGAGCTGATGATTTGGCGAGTGACTTTTTGAGCCATGTCAACTACTTTGAGTCTCCTGAAAAATTAGACAGAAATATATAAAAATCAAAGTTATGTCTCGAAAGAGGGCCGAAGAATTTTGAAATACTAGAATTTTCCTTTTTGGTAGGGAATACATTACCACCAACTAACTTTGCCTCTTCTGTATGAGCTTGATCGCTTTCTGATCTTTTTTGGGCGTTGATAGTTGGTGGGAGGAGAGGCATTATTATGAATAGAAGGAAGAAACTGCAAACGTACATTTTGCTTAATTTTTTCGAATGAGAAATGATCAAATGAAAACAAAACAAGAAAAGGTAAGGTCACGGTCGTCTTATCTAAAAAATAAAATAAAATCGCAACGCAGCGGAATAATAAAATTGTGGGCGGAGTTATTTGGTGTTTGATAACATTTCGACGATTTCATAAGATGTAAGTTTGAACAACAATTTATTGAGTACATAACAACATTTATTGGACTGGAGCAACTGGTTGTGCTGGTGGGATTTGGATGTCCTTCTTTTCTTCTTTGTGTTGTGAGTGTGGCTCTGTTGGCAAAACCTCGTCGACTGGGTCTTCAATTTGGACGTGATCTGGGAGGGCGTTTCTTGGTCCGTTTTGTCCTCTTGGGTCATATGGAAGCATGATCTTGACCTTGATTCCGATGACTCCTGTAATATTTTAAATTGAAAATTATAATTTTCTTGGGCCAATTTATTAAAATAGAGAAAATTCAAACTCCAAGTCTTTCTTGATAAGAATGTTTTTTGAACAAAAAATCGATATTCTTTTGAAAAGATTGTTTTGTGTCATACGGATAACTCAAAAAGGATGCAAACTTCAAAACTAGGTGTCAATTGTATTTAATAATAAAAACCTTCAACATAAATGAGTTCGCAAGTATGTAGGGCCACGCTGATTATTTCGTGACATTTGGCCGTCAATGGAAAAAGTTCGGCCCCGTGTTCGCTAGAGCGCACATTCATTTTTTCAACACGGCATTTTATGTTTTTTTTCTAAATATTGCAATTTAACACCCTAAACAACGCCGAATGTAGATAATATTGATGGGAATAGGAAAATAAACCCAAATACTCTAATTTGCAAAGTTGAAATTTTCAAAAACCTTGTAGAATGAGAAGTTTTACTTAGGGCTTAATAAGTACATGGTTTCGGTGACTTAAAGCTCATTCTTAGTCATGAAAGAATCACAATTTAATTCTCTACGTTTCCATCGTTCGTTTTTTCGGTGAAACGGCCTGAGAGCTGAGAAAATTGTGTGTTTCAAAAAAATTCTGAACAAAAAAAACGAAAAAAATTTAGAAAAAAAGTGGGCGGAGCCTGCCCGGTTTGGTTTCCTCGGCCAAAAGTGACGAAATAATCAGCGTGGGGCTTAAACTCCCAAAATCGATACGTCATAAGACGATCGAGAGAAAGTTGAAAAAAACAAACCTTGACGAAGTTGGACGTGTCTGACGGCTTGTTGGATGTAGTCATTGACTGGGTGTCCAGAGTGGATCATGAGTCCGTCAACAAATTTCATGGCCTTGGCACGTTGACCTCTGAGCTTTCCAGAGACGATAACCTGAATAATTTTTTTTAATTCACAGAAGTATTTTAATAATAACTCACTTCAACTCCTTGAGCTCCAGATTCCATGATGAATCGAAGAACTCCGTAGCAAGCACGACGGACGGCAAGTCCTCCGACGAGTTTGTATCTGAGGGATTCGCATTGAGCAACAGCGCAGAGTCCTCTGTTTGAGACTTTCTCGGCGAAAAGCTAAATTTTTAGATCAGAAACCATAAAATAAAAAATAATAATTACCTCGACTGATCCTTCTTCGAATCCGAATCTCTTTTGGACGACTGATGTCAATTCCTTAATTCTGCGTCCACGTTCTCCGAGAACGTTTTGGGTGCGAGTGGCCATGATGATGACTTCGGCTCTAGCTGGGGTGCTACGAACCTAAAAATAATTTTTGAAAAATCGAATCTCATTTCTCTAAAATAAAAAACTAACCTCGACACCAGAGTAACCATCTTCAGCAAGCTCCTTCATCAAGAAGTTGTTAAGCTCAGCTTTGAAGATACCATTTTGCACGGCCTTCTTCTTCTTGGTCAAGTTTTGATTGGCAGCCATTGTTGCCCAACGTTCGATAGCTGAAAAGATTTAATTCTCGTTTTAGTCGAAATAACGAGAACTTCGGGTTATTATGTACACAAAATCGATAATAAGAATGCAAAAAATATAAATTTACACGTTTTTACACGTAAAACGTACGAAAAAGCTGAAAAAGTCGAAAAAACCAGAAAAAATATAATGCAGACGAGGGAGACAATGGTTAAACGTTGAATACTCAGCCAAGCAAACGGCCCAAATTCGCTGCCCGCTGTGAGATATTTTGAAAACATACACTAATGCGCCTTTATTTCTCTGCTACTCTCGTCACATTGTCTCTCGGCGTCTATTATTTTCACCCGCATTTTTTGAATTTTCATTCATTTTGGATCAATTTTTGGAGTTTAGAGAAGGATTCTTTTCTATTTTGCTTTTCTATTTTTCTCTTCCGATACTTATCAATTTGAAAATCCAGATTTACATAGAGAATTTTCAATTTGACCGAGGTCAGGCAACTTTTTTCTTTGAGTTCCATTTTTAGAAATAAAAAAAGAGTTTCCAGAATCCAGAAAAATATTTCTGCGTGATATTTATTAACGCGAAAAGCTGCATATTTTGTCATTTCTCAGTTTCGCTCTCTTAATGAAAAATACTTGTGCCAATTTTTGTATAACATTTTTACAGAGAATTAGATGGACGAAGGGAAAATTGTTTTAATTGGCAATGAAACAGATCTTCTTCATTGTGGATATAGCCATGCTATCAAGGATTCTGGTAAACGGTTAGTTTTTTCTTTAGGAAAAATTGAATAATCAAAAATGAAATTATCTATCGCTTCTTTAAAAATTTAAAAATAAGTTACAGATATCCGAGTGCTGTTCATTACACACATTGCATGATATTAACTCAATTGAATGTTGATGAATCCGCTGTTGATGAATTACTTTGCACCCAAAGTCAAGATGTTCCTCGAAGAGCTCAACAATTATTACTCGAAAATATGCCACATGGTCACGATATGAATTCTTTAGCTTCATATTTGCAAGGAAGTCGACAGTCTTATACAATGCAAGGATTGCGGCTAAGAGTTGAACAAGATCAAGATTTTGAGAAGACTTTGATGGATACAAATGAAGCACTTTTAATTGTTTGCGATTCACGAGATCGAGAATTGGGAATTGGAATGGATGAGAAAATATTCATGGATTGGATGGCAAAAGAAAAAGCGGATGCGAGACAACTTGGTTTTTGGATGAAAAATGAAGCAAGTCGACCAGCAGATCTCGGGCAAAATCAGTTAGGGTAAGTTGATTTTTAAAATAGGATCACATATTTAAAGTAAAAAATTTCAGATTCTTCTTAATGTGGATTCGTTATGAGGTAAAAGAACGAAGGAAGGCTTCATTATTGACTCGCGAAGTTCAACATATAAATGGATTATCGACTGATAAAGATGACAAGCCTGTTAAAATCAGTGTTAATGATTTAATAATTTCTTTACAAGGCATTTTCCGCCCGTTAAGTAACTATTATCCATTTCCTTTTGAGATGAAAGGTGAAAGATATCGATCAGTTGAACATTATGCATATGAGAAATTATTCAATGCTCTGAAATTGGATGATAAAATGATTGAAAAAATTCAAACAACTCCATTGCCAGTCGATGTTCCAGTTGTTGCTGATAGAATATTCAGAAATCTCGAAATTTCATCTGAAACTATATCGGAAAAAATATCGAAGATGGATCGATGGCGTCAATCTGCAATGAAACATAAAATTGTGCACAATGAATATCTTCAACAACTTCTTCTTTCAACTGGTGATTCAATTATAATTGATACTGCGCTCGGAGATTCTCTCTGGACATGTGGTGCATCTGAAACTGAACTGCAACGATTGCTAACAAAAGCATATGTTAATCCAGAGAGAATTATTGATTGGATGAGAGGAGATAAAGATGGACATGTGCCAAAATCAGTTTCGAATTTATATGGAAATAAAACGGGTCTTTTATTGATGGAATTACGTGGAAAACTTGCGGCTGCAACACAATCCAGAATACCATTAATTAGTCCAATTAATACATCAACATTGAGTGCAATTGTAAGCCCTCATGTTATTTGTTTTACTGCTGAATCAGTTTGGCATCCACTTTATCCAGCTGAAATTCGAGTCGCAGGAGATCAAGCTTTATTGCCTTCACCATCTCATTATGTAGCTTTACAAGCAACAAAGTAGGTTGAACTTCTTTTTTTTTCAAAAAAAAAAAAATGAGAAAAAAAGTTCAAAGAGACAAGTTTTCTGAATTTTTTTCAATTTTCCTGGCTTCATAAACTAAACAATAAATTTTCAGAATTTTGGGAATGAACAAAGAAGACAGTGATTATATAATGGAATGTCAAAGTTCATTGGATTGTTGGACTCGTTTACACGAAGTGATTGAATCAAAAGGACGAAATCTTGAAAGAGAACAAAATTGGTGGATGGAAAAAAGGCAGCAAACAATTAAAGAATCACTTCAATTGTTATTAGAACAACATCCACCATTATTAAGAGCATTGTTAGATACTGGAGATTCTCTTTTGGTATGTTTTTTTTAATTTTTCAAATATTTTATGATAATGAAAATTTTGCAGGTCTTCTGTTCAAGATTCTCTTCAATTGACGCTGAACTTAGTATTGGAATGAGAGAATCTGATTTTCGAGTTTGGATGCATGAAGTTGATATAACAACTAAGCAGGTACACTCTTATTTCCCCCATGATTTCCTATTTTTTGTTTTTCCAGCTAATTGAATTATGTTGTCGACCAATGGCATTTCGCCCTCCTTATTTGGGTGGAAATCGACTTGGATTAATTTTGATGGAACTTCGAAGGGAATTTGTGCTCAAAGGAATATTCCCTCAGAATCTACCTGAATTACTTATAGGTTAGTGTTTTTCTCCGAAATAACTTGAAAAGGTTTTTTTAGGTGTTGACACGATTTTGGGATCTGATTCACCAGCTGAAAATATGATTACATTGGAATATTTTGATATTTTACAACCTTTCAATTATAGTTCTCTATGGATAAGTGAGTTACTTTTTTTGCTCGTTTTGAATCCAAACCTTTAATTTTTATTTTCAGACCCACTTTTCCTTCTGGCAAAAACTGGAAATTCGGAAGCGATGTTGGCTTGTTGTCGAGTTAAACAATCTCCAAGATTAGTAACTGTTGATGATGAAAAAATATCAGAAATTGTTGAAAAATTGGGAAAAGAAAATGAAGCGAATACTGAAGAGGATGTTGAATATTTGAATAAAATTGCACCGGAAGATTTGCGAGCTGTTTTCATGAAATATTGTGTGAAAATGAGGAATCGAATGAATGAATTGGATAGACAAAATGGAGAAATGCAAATGATGGCTATGGAAGTGAGTGTTTTCAAAGAAATGTTTTCAAAGCTTGTTCAGAAAAACATTTATAAGATATGTTGTCCCAAAAATTGTCTGAAATTACGAAAAACCATTATTTTCAAAAAAAAAATCCACCAAGAAATATAGTTTTTTCAATGAGAAATATTTTATTTTTCAACTTCTAGAATTCTCAATTTTTAAACTGGTTAAATCATCCACGTGGATTTTTTCAAGGACTTTTGAAATTTCTCAATTTTATTTTTCACAAACTATAATCTTGCAGACTCATCGATTACAAACAATACGACGAAGTCTCGCTGATACAAAAGAAAAAGAAGTTGGTCCAACTCCAGGTTCTTCAACATCTGCTCCACCACTTCCACCATCTCTTGTTGTTTCTGCTCAACCAGCAAATATGCACCGAATAGCGGCTGGAAGAGAAAATACAACACAATTTGACATGTCTTATGATTATAGCGAAATGGAAGAAGATAAAAGTAGACATGTCAAAAAAGAAAAACAAGAATATAAAATTCCAACAATTAAAAGAAGTTTTGGAAAAGATCGAGGAAATGATGAGAGAAGGAATAATCAATATAATAGTGGACGGAAAAATAATGATCAAGAATCATCGAGAAAACGACAATTATCACCGAGAAAGCCAGAAGTAATTAAGAAACCACCTCCAGAAGTCGTTGCTCCACCAATTGTTCCTCCAAAACCAAAACGAAATCCAGACGAAGAATTATCGGATGGTGAAATATTATCAACAGATGAAGAAGATAATAGCTAGATAAACCGAAAACGAGTATTTATTTTTTACGTTGAATAATTTTTTTGATTCTATTTTTGTTGCTCTTGTAAGATCTCTATAGTAAATTATTTCAAATTTTCGAAATACGGTCATTTTTCGACCATACATGTTTTTCTCCCTGGAAGGACCATAATGTTAGCGAGACCTCAAATAGAAAATTTTCAAAGTTAGCAAGACCTTTGGTAAACACAAACAGTGAGTTACATTTTTGTATTTTACAGATATTATTGAAAAAAAATATAGGAAAGAATCATCGATTGAATATTGAAATACGAATACTGTAGACCTTATGCAACAATATGGAAGCGTATGTTCAATGAATAAGTACGAGGAATACTTTTTTCATTCAAAAATGTTGAAAATTGGTTATAGCCAAAAAAAATTCAAAACCAAGAAAAGTAATATGTCAAAATTAATATGTCCACTTGAAAAATTTGTAGTGTGCCTAGAGGTCCTATCAAGCAAGGAATGTTGAAATGTGAAATTGAATAACACTGTACGGAGAAAATAGTTGAGACCACTGAATTTTACCAGGGCTACCCTGGATAAAATCCAGAATTTTATATATGTGACCTGCAATCTCATTAGCCCTCTCAGAAAGGGCTTTTATTTTGAATGATGACTAACAAGGAAAGGTTTTCAATGTTCCCCCAAGGAAAACATCGAGAGTATGTGGAATGTTGAGGGTTCCCATGGGTAAGAAAACCCTAACGGGAATAAGGAGAAAAATGCCTTGTTTTAGAAAATTTTGGTGTTATTGATTTTTGCGATGAAATTTTTTAGAAAAATCGAAACTTTTTTCAAAATTGATGAAAAATGTCGGTCTAAAAATCCATTTGTAGCGCAAACGGCGTACTTTAGTATTACTTCAACTAAAATTAGGAATAAAATAATTTTGGTCCCAAAGGCCCACTAAATCAAAAATCCAGTTTGAAAAATTCATAGAAAATCAACGTTTTCGTTGTGAAGGAGAAATTTGTGTGAATCGAGATTATGATTTTTGGATTCTACGGACCAAATTACGTCTGTTGACCGTCATAAATTTTTCAAGTTCCGTTCATTTGAAAATGGAAAAATTATTTTTTGTGTTTTTTGGTGACCATTTGATCAGAAAAACCCCGACTAAAAAAACCAAATTTAAAAAAATGTCTAATTTTTTGATAAAAAGTTTCACAAACACGTAATCGACCATTCTGAACAACTTCCACGACTCAAACGTTCATGAAATAGATTCAAAATCGAGTTACAGATGCTCTAAAAATCAAAAAATGGTGTAAAAATCCACCTAAAATACATTTTTTCTCGAGAATAAGGCATTTTTCTCCTTATTCCCGTTAGGGTTTTTCTTACCCACGGGAACCCTCAACATTCCACATACTCTCGATTTTTTCCTTGGGGGAACATTGAAAACCATTCCTTGTAAGCGTGGACCATGTGCCATTATCTAGAACAATTTTCAGATCGAAAAATACGTATTTTTAAAAGCATTTTATGAGTGTGTCAAAAATTTCCACACACGAAAAACACGACACATGAAAAATGAATAAATTAATGGTAAAAATATCTTTGTAGAGTGGGGGACAAATAAATAAATCAAAAATCAATTTGGATTATCAATAATCATTTATGTTGATTTCGAATGTTGAGTGTGGTTTCGGATCGGGATTTGATGGTGTAGTTTGTTGAGTCTTCGAAACGACCTGGAAACAAAATATGGTATGAGTGAAAAGGGTCCCTTTTAAAGGGAGCAGATGTCTGAGATTTATTTCCAGAAAAATAAAAAATAAGTAATGCTCATTTGAAAGGCCATGATCTAATTAGTACAATCCTCGAAGGAATCTGAGATTTATTTCCAGAAAAATAAAAAATAAGTAATGCTCATTTGAAAGGCCATGATCTAATTAGTACAATCCTCGAAGGAATTTTTCTGGAAGCTTCTCAAACATTAAATCCAAACTGACAGCCAAAAAAAATGAGAATTCAGGAGCAGCTTCGATGAATTTAATTTTTAAGATGTTTGAATCAGACTATAAAAAAAACAAACTCTGGATCAAATTGGGAATATTTGAACCTATTTTGTCTGAAAAAAAGTGAAAATACGAATTTCTCTTTTGAAATTCTCGAATTCGAAAAAAGCCTTCATCATCCATTATTAGATGGAAAAACTATCACACTCGAAGTCGAAGCTTCCGACACAATTGAAAATGTCAAAGCAAAAATTCAAGATAACGAAGGAATCCCACCACATCAACAAAGATTGATTTTTGCCGGAAAACAATTGGAAGATGGAAGAACTCTTTCTGATTACAACATCCAAAAGGAATCAACACTCCATTTGGTTCTTCGTCTCAGAGGAGGAATTCAAATCTTCGTCAAAACACTTACCGGAAAAACCATCACCCTCGAAGTCGAAGCTTCCGACACCATTGAAAATGTCAAAGCCAAGATCCAGGACAAGGAAGGAATCCCACCAGATCAACAAAGATTGATTTTCGCTGGTGAGTTGTCTTTGATTATTTTTAATCTTCAAAAATTAATAAACTATTTTCAGGAAAGCAACTGGAGGATGGTCGTACTCTCTCCGATTACAACATCCAGAAGGAGTCCGCCCTTCACTTGATCCCTCGTCTCAGAGGAGGAATGCAAATCTTTGTCAAAACTTTGACTGGAAAAACCATCACATTGGAAGTTGAAGCTTCTGATACCATCGAAAACGTCAAAGCCAAGATCCAAGACAAGGAAGGAATTCCACCAGATCAACAACGTCTTATCTTCGCCGGAAAACAATTGGAAGATGGACGCACATTGTCTGACTACAATATCCAAAAGGAATCTACCCTTCATTTGGTTCTTCGTCTTCGTGGTGGTATGCAAATCGTCGTCAAAACATTGACTGGAAAAACTATCACACTCGAAGTCGAAGCTTCCGACACAATTGAAAATGTCAAAGCAAAAATTCAAGATAACGAAGGAATCCCACCACATCAACAAAGATTGATTTTTGCCGGAAAACAATTGGAAGATGGAAGAACTCTTTCTGATTACAACATCCAAAAGGAATCAACACTCCATTTGGTTCTTCGTCTCAGAGGAGGAATTCAAATCTTCGTCAAAACACTTACCGGAAAAACCATCACCCTCGAAGTCGAAGCTTCCGACACCATTGAAAATGTCAAAGCCAAGATCCAGGACAAGGAAGGAATCCCACCAGATCAACAAAGATTGATTTTCGCTGGTGAGTTGTCTTTGATTATTTTTAATCTTCAAAAATTAATAAACTATTTTCAGGAAAGCAACTGGAGGATGGTCGTACTCTCTCCGATTACAACATCCAGAAGGAGTCCGCCCTTCACTTGATCCCTCGTCTCAGAGGAGGAATGCAAATCTTTGTCAAAACTTTGACTGGAAAAACCATCACATTGGAAGTTGAAGCTTCTGATACCATTGAGAATGTCAAAGCCAAGATTCAAGACAAAGAAGGAATCCCACCAGATCAACAACGTCTTATCTTCGCTGGAAAACAATTGGAAGATGGACGCAAATTGTCTGACTACAATATCCAAAAGGAATCTACCCTTCATTTGGTTCTTCGTCTTCGTGGTGGTATGCAAATCTTCGTCAAAACTATCGCAGGCGAATTGGTTGTTTTTGAAGCAGAGGATACAGATACCCTTGAAACTTTGAAGACCAAAATTCAGGAAAGGGAAGGAGTTCCACTGGAAGATCTTCGATTTATTGCTACCAGTATGTTTAACTAAAATTGACAATTTTTGCAACTTTCCTAGGGGGTAACATTGAAAACGGCGGGAAGGGGGGCACTGAAAATTTGAGAGACTCATTTTCATCCGTATATCAATGTACTGTAAAAATTTCATCATGATTTGAAGTGTTGAGTAAAAAGGTTCCCTTGTCAGAAAAATAGACATTGTTAAATAGATTTTGATTAAAACGAAAATTTTCAGACTTTTCCATTTGAAAAATCTAAATTCCAAGAAAAATTCCGACATTTTTTTCTAATTTTCATCAAAGTTTATGAAAATAACAAATACAATAAAAACTACAACACTCCGCTTACCTGTTGTTTATCCCACACTTCTTTTCCCCCTCCTTCTCTCATACACTTTCAAAATTGTTCATTTTTTGGCGTGCTCTAACACGCCGGAATATTTTTATTCCTTTCAATTTTAGTTTTACTCATTCCTCTCATATTGTGGAATTGAAAAAATGTGGCAGAGGATAACAGCGGCAGCTAATTCCTCGTAAATATCTTGAAAATTAATGAATGTCTGTGTATGCGCGTGGTCGCGATGTGGTTGAAATAAAATCGATATCGGCAATTTTTTCCTCGAAAATGTTGTTTTTTCACAAAAACGGTTATTTTTTGCATAATTAAGTTTAAGTTAATCATTTTTAGGGTTTTAATGTTGTTATTTATTTTTTTTCAGCAAAAATGGTGAAAATATTCACATTTTCAAACAAAATTGAATGTTATAGGTTTTTCAGACTAAAAAGCTGACAATTTGTGAAATTAATGTTACAACAACATTAGGAAAGCATTGAAAATGATTCACTTCAATTTATTTAGACAAAAAATGACATTTTCGAGGAAACAAAAATTGGCGATATCGACCCCACAGCCTTTTTTTCCCGAGGGAAAATGTTGGTGGTATAATGAGACATGAGTGAGTTTTCAAATGATTTGGGCGAAATCTCATATTTTGAGTTCGCTCACTTGTTTGGTTTTGGGTTCGCTCATTTGAAAATTTGGTTTGGTTTTGAGTTTTGAGTTCGCTCACTCATTTCAAACCCGTTTTTGCTCAAATATCGCTCATTTCTGATTTGATTAGAATAGCTTGATTTTTGGGTTTTCGGATATGGGAAATCGATTGGTGATAATATTTCGGCTCAAAAGTGACTTTTAAAGGAACAGGACATGAAAATCGATTTTTCTGAAATTTGAAATTTAAGGGTTTTTTGATACGGGGAACATCGTGGTGAGACCCATTCGGTCTCAAAATGATTCTTAAAGGCATGGTCCCACCAAAATTTTTTTTGTGAGAATGAAGTATTTGGGCACGGGGAACATTTTGGTGAGGTTTGCGCTACGAAACAGACTTTTAAAGGCATATGCCAGGCTATTATCCATTTTCGAGACACAAACACTAAAACGATAATAACTCGGTCATTTTTTAAGCTTTTTAAAAATTTCGACAGTCATTTTGACGTGAACGTCGTTAGCTAAATTTTTGTCTTGACACCAAAATCCAATATTTGCTCCTAAGGGATGAAAAATGTTGTTTTACAGAAAATTTGCGTAAAAATTGACATTTTCGAGAAAAAAAAGTATATTTGAGCGATATTACTGGCCACTATGTTTTTCTAGGCGAGCAATCAATTTCCACACTGCACATGGAGTTCCAATTAGATGAAAGACTATCTAGAAACAATATTCATCATAAAAATGAACATTTATTGAAGGATAAACTTGTTTTTTATAGTGTGAAAAATTGAAAAAAAAAATAAAAAATTGCTTCGTTGAGCAAAACCGAACCCGTTACCTTGTGACTGCGGGCGCATCGAGTTAACCACTCGGACAAAGGTGTGCTCTTCTTCGACAGGAGAAATGTTGGTGAAAAGGAAACAAATGATTTTTTTTCGATAAAAAACACAGTGTGACTTTTGGAAAAAATGTAGTGTCCTTTTTGGACACGTCTCTCCGGTGTGCCTCTGCCACATTTTTTAAATTCCACAATACCAAAATTACTTTCGTGCCTAGGTTACCAAAGATTGAATTATTTATCAGGATATTTTGGGCGATGAATTCAAAATTTTTTTCGTAAAACTAACTACATTTTTGATTTCAGATTGGTTGTCAATGCCGATGGAATTCGCTGTAAATGGATTGCAAATGATATGCAAAGATATCAAGGAATATGAAGAGATTCTTAAATATTTCAAATCGGATGTGAAAATCAATTCAAACCCCGGCTGGAATTCTACGGTAAGATTTATTATCATCATTCATCGTGCAAACATGATATTTTGCTAATAATGCTAACAAGGGAAGTGCATGAGGTCAAGTTCAGAAATTTTGATGAAACATATCGAAATATACCAAATCGACCATGCTGATCACGAATCCGAAGTCAAAAATTGCCACAAATGCCTGTGAGCACTTTTCTGGAGCTCCAAAGTTTGAATTTGAGTTTTGGTTTGTTCCTGGGTGAAAAATCAACTTTTATAACTTGGATAAGATTGTTCACCACATTCGAAAACCTATAAGGATTTTAGTTTTTGAAAAAAATATCAAAAACCAGCTGAGAACTGCGATTTTCAAAAAAGTCCTGAAAATACACACAAAAACACGTAAATACACACGTTTTTTAAAGTTTTTTGTGCATTTTTGAAAATTACAGTTTTCAGCTGGTTTTTGATATTTTTTGAAAAATTAAAAAGCGAATACGTTTTCGAATGTGGTGAACAATCTTTTTCGATTTATAAACGTTGATTTTCCACCCAGGAACATGGTGAAAATTGGCAAAAACCAAAAAAACTCGATTTCAACTTTTTGAGCTCCAGAAAAGTGCTCACAGGCATTTGTGGCAATTTTTGACTTCGGATTCGTGATCAGCATGGTCGATTTGGTATATCTCGATATGTTTCATCAAAATTTCAGAACTTGACCCTATGCACTTCCCTTGTAAAATTTCAAAACATATATCGTGCAAAAAGAAACTTTCGCAGATTTCATTCATTCTCAGAAAAAAACCATAGAAATTGCGTTAGTACATTTCCCAAACGTGGGGAGAAGGGAATTTCACCTCCGAAATATATGTTTATCATATAATATTCCGCAAGAAAATATGTATGTCTGCTTGCGCGACAATTTCTTTTAGTTGTTTTTTCCATGATTAAGACACTCGGATTGCGCCTATTAGAATTTTCAATGCAAAAAAATGAACAATTTTCGCTTATTTGTTCAAAAATAGTTTTTACTGCCGTTAAGGTCATTTTCATTTTCCAAAAACTACTAACCATACACCGCAGTTTTCAAAATTAATTTGCACAAATCTGGGGCCGAATTTACTAAAGTGGCATACCAAAAATTAATGAAGAAAAATTTGATGTAGCAAAAAAATTTGTTCAGCAATTTTTGGTACGCCCAATTTTTTCATCTGTAATTTTTGTTATACCACATTAGTAAATTCGGCCCCTGGACGGGTATGGTTATGAGCATTCTCGAGCCAAACTACAAGTAAACAATACTTTATATTTTCAGAGCGCAATACAACAGTATTCACCAGAGCAAATTGTATCATGCGCTGAAACGCATATTTTTGCGAAACCCTCGGACATTTTGCAATGTGGAGAAATGTGTTGGATTGGAGCAGCGCATGCAGTAAAACTTCTATACGTGAAGACGCTGAAATTGAATGGTGTCTCTCACCGAACCCTCAACAGCTTCGTCATAATTGCTCTCGAGATATTTGTAGATGCGGAATATCGGAATTATATCGAAACTTGTTGGAGAGACGCTGAGCAGTAAGTTGTTTTTTTTTGTATTTTAATTTCGCTTCGTAAATTAAACAAATTCAGTTTACATAAATGCTCATATGGGACTACCAATCACATCGATGTGTCCAAGGGGAGGTTTTTGGCTGCTCTCAAAAATGTGAGAGTTTTTATTCAAGCGATGCAATCATTAGAAAACGCCGACCTTGGTACCGTCTTTTCGAAATACGCATCGAGCTTTGAATTCGGAATGGATCAAGGAATGCTGAGAATTGGAGGATGTGATTTCCCAGTTGAAAGAACTGCCCGTTACGTTAGTAACAAATATCCTCAATCTGCGTTTTCGAATTAGTTCAAAAAATTTATATTCTTTGATTGCAGTTATTGAACCACATAAAACTTATGGATCGTTATTGATTTTTGTGCATTTTAAGTGGCATTTTCCACTTATGATTCCTATATTTCTTTGGAGCCTTATCGAGACTTCGCAGGGTGTAAAAAACAGTTTTTGCAAGTGCGGCACACATTCGTCTGTCTTTTAGGAAGAAATTGCAACATATTTTCCCTCGCCGCTTAGCGCGATTTCGAAACATGTCGAGCAGGCCTGTGCCGGAAAATCGAAACCCGGAAAACGGAAAGTTCGGAAAATTTTTCAAGGTCTGAAATTTGGAATTTCAGCGTTAAGTTGGTCCTAAATTGTATTTTTAGATACAATTCTTCTATTCACAGGTGATTTAGAACGTTTCACGTTCAAAAAATCGAAAAATTCAAAAAAAAATTGGAAAAAAATGTTTAATAATCTTTTTTTTTTTGTATCACAAACTGAGAAAATTTCTTAAAATTTAGGCAATATTGAAGATATTACTATTAAAATGATTTTCCGGAATTTCCGAGCAAATTTTCCAAAAAACCGGAAATTTGATTTTTCCGTGAAAAAACCGGAAAATACGGAAAATTTCCGGCACAGGCCTGTTTCACAACCTGTTTTTCACAATATGTTGTTTTTCTCTCATTGTTTTATAATTTCTTGCTACCCAACCATACCACGGCCAGCTTCGTGCAAATTAACTTTACGAATTGGCGGTGTGGGTTTTGAATTTTTTGGTGAGGTGAAAATTTTGACATTTTCAAGAGTTTTACCGCGGAGTCATTTAGAATTCACGGAGGCATTTTGATTTGATAGCGCGAAGTTATTTTGAAGCCCCGGAGGCATTTCGACATTTTTGAACTATCGGGGGCGGAGTCATTTGGAATTCGCGGAGGCTTTTTGATTCGGCAGCGCGAAGTCATTTTGCGAACCCCCGGTATTTGCCAAAAAACACGACACAGATGAGAAATGAATAAATTAATGGTAAAAATATCTTTGTAGAGTGGGGGACAATCAATCAACAATTATTTTGAATTTTCAATAGTCATTGATGTTGATTTCGAAAGTTGAGTGTGGTTTTGGATCAGGATTTGACTTAAATTTTATGAAAAGTGAAAATATTCCCACATTTGAGAGAATAAACTTTGCAAACCCCCTCTTTTCCGTCAAAACCCCTTTCTTTCGAAACCCCCTCTTTTTTTCTAAAGCCTTCTTTTTTCCTAAAACCCTCTTTTTCCGTTTAGAGCCAAAATTTCTCTTTGAAAATGTTCGGTTTCACAAAAACCCTCAAATCTGTGATTTGAAAAAATCGAAAACCAACCTCAGCAACAAATTGTTCTTCTTTGGCAGCATCCAAATGATCAGCAACAACGATTCCACCTTTGCTGAATGGTTTCATTGGCTTATAACCGTTATGATCAGATAAAATAATATATTCACGTTGTGCCGGAAGAACTCGAGCCGGATTCAACAATTTATGCGTTGGTTTCGTGTCTTTTCTGAAAAAAAAAACTATTAATATGTATTTTAAATGATTTCTTACTTCACAATAACTGGTTTTGTATCAACTTCCATTTTTTCATCTTCTCCATTTGGTGCCGATGAAGATGGTGCTGAAGCAATATTCGGTGTTCCCAATAATGCTTTCTTCTTTTCTTCAGCCGCAGCTCGTCTTGCAGCAGTTTTCTTTCCGGTAATTGACAAAACAACTGTTTCGATCTTTTTGACATCCTTGTCTTTTTTCGATTCGGCTCTTGGAGGATAAGCAAATCTTTGGCTGTTGGCCAAACAAGTATATTCAACAATTGGAGTCTGGAATTAAAACTATTAATGAGATTCGGAAAATCCTGAACATTACCTTCAAATTCTCATTGATCAAAACCAAACAACTTGGCTTAGCAGCAAGAGCAATAAAGAAATGCATCGAATGCCAGAACCATCCATGCAAAAAGCACATCATTCCAACCATACTTGCCATATCAGCTTGTCCATCGCTGTTATGCATCAAAACTGACGCATTTTGACCACCAATATCAAGAAGTCCCTAAATACACAAAATTTGTCCAATTACTCTTGATAAAATTATCAAACCTGGGCAATAATAGCTCCAAATTTCACCAAACTGTCTTCATTCTTTTCTCCAATCTTTTTGACCAATTGCTTACGGAAACCATTGACTTTTGGGCAAGAATAATCAGATTGTTGGCACATAATAAGAGAAAGTGCCAAAAGTGCACCATTTCGAACAAATCCTTCTTTATCAGAAATCATTGGTTCCAAAAGTGAAATTGCTTCCATATTTCCAGATGCAGCACATGCAATTCCCAATGCCATTGCAGCTCCATATCTGACGTGTCCATTGAAATGTTCAGTCAACATTCCAATGTACAAAAGACATGTTGATGGATCACTGGAAATTTCAGATATTGGGAAATAATAACAAAAATGAAAACTAACTTGCTGAGAACGAATCCAATACCAATTGTAGCATATCTTTTCACATCCAAATTTGGATCAGTCGCAACTTTCTCCAACAATCTTCTCACAACATCAGCATTCCCAGTTCCAGCATAAGCCATTGCCAACATACAAACTCCAGTTGATCTCAACATTGGATTACTTTTTGCCTTCAATGCTTCGTCAATATAAATTTCAGCATCTTGTTGGAGTCCAAATGCAGCACAAGCTAAACCGGTTCGAATTCCTCGTTGTGTTTTGTCGTGTTGTGTATCAATTGTGTATTGTTTCAATTCCGAAAAAACTTCGCTGTTCAAATTTCCAGCCATAATCAAACCCATTGCAATTCCAGCAGATTCTCCAGACACAGCTTCGTCGCGTTGCAAAACTTCACGAACTTTTTCGTAAGCCTGAAATTTACCAGAAGTTTTGAAAGTCTTCCCCTATTTTTCTTCAAAAACTTACTGAAGCCGAAGAAGATCCCAATCCAGCAACACCATAACCAAGACAAGATCCATGTCGAACTGGTTCATTTTCAGCACTTTTGAGCCATTGAGCCAAAGTGCTCATAACTGTAGCATCACCGTGTTTTGCATGAATCAAACCGTAAGCAAACATAGCTCCTCCTTCTTTGAATCCAAATCCATCAATGCTTCCATCTCTTGGCAAATATGGATCCAAAACTTTGAGTGCTGATGATTCTTGTCCATGATGAATCAATCCCAACGAGGCGACCGCATTGAATTTGTTCCAGTTAGTAGCTTTTCCAACCCAAGCCAAATTATTTCGAAGGAAATCATCGCAAGTTGTTCCGTATTGCATTAAACCATTTGCAATCAATAATGCGTTGTGTCCAGAAGCAGTTCGAATATTTTCACGAATTTCTTCCATCAAAATTGGATCTGTGTGATTGTGACGAACAAAGAAATCGAGATATGCTTTGACAGTTTCGTGTCCATTGAGAATCGAAATAACACGTTCGATTGGAATTGGATCGGCTGTTTTTTCAAGAGCCGCAAATCTACGAAGAACTTTGTCGACGAATCCTTGACTGGCATTTTCATACAAATCGAATGCAATTTGATAACCAACACTTGGTTTTCCAGTAGTAATCAAGTTGATAATTGTGTCAGCTGCATCATCTGAATTTCCAGTGAAAACATAACATTCACAAATCTTGGACATATCTGGCGATGGGCATTTCAAGTATGTTTTAATGACGAGATCGATAACTTTGAGTCTGAAGTTCTTTTCGAATCCTCCACTCATAACACGATTCAAGGTCTCAACCAATGTGACTGAAATATAATTTTTTTTAATATGTAACTTCGCATTCTATTTTACATACCTTGATTTCTGTTGTTGAGTTCACTTGGCAATGCACTAATGGCTTTTTCGATCAAATGAAGGTTTTTCAATTCAAAGCCAAGCGAAATCACATACCAAACTTCGTGCTTTTCAAGATTTCTTGTGACGATTTTGTTGACCAATTCCTCGAGAATCGCTGGAACAGCAGCTTCAGAATTTTGTTGTTTGATTGATTTGTAGGTGTCGATAGCAGTTTCAATGATTTTGTTGACATACTGGAAGAAAATCTGATTTTCATTTTTATTTCGTTAATTTTTTACCTCTGCATCGTTTCCAAGACCAGTTTGAACGGCTGGAACAACATTGAAATCTCCCATAAGAGCGAATTGCAAAGCTTTGTCATATTGTTCCAAACAGTAATAAACTTTTGAGACGAGCAATGAAGCTGCATTTTTCTCTGGGAAATTTGGTGAATCCAAAACTTTTTCGATCGCTGGTAAAATATCAGCGACTTCAAACCATGTGTTCACCAAAATATTCCAATCGTTGAAGGCGCGAAGAATGGCAATTTTATCATTGGTCGAACTTTTTGGCGATTCCAATACACGCATGAAAGCGCCTTAACAAAAATGGTTTTCAGAATAAAATGAGGATATTTCATGACTTACCAGCATTAGTTGGTCCTCCTGGGGCACTTTTCCATCTGTTAAGAAGAGTGAGCATCTGAAAAACTTGTATTTTTGAGAATTACTCAGAGCAAAGAGAATTACTCAGAGCAAACTTTAAAGTGAGAAAAACAAGTGTTCGCGAACAAAATGGAATTGTCATCGTTTTGAATTTCAAAAATTGCGCCAGCAAACCACAAACGCGTCAGTGTCGCACATGTGATGACGCAATATTTTCTTTTTTTTTTCGTTTTTTTCGCTTGAAAACTTTCTAAAACTGAAAATTGTGTTCTTGTTGAAGAGGAAAACCGTTTTACCTATCATAGAAAGATCGAATAGTTTATGAACTTCAGTCTAATGAAAAACTTTCCTATTTTCACCAATTCTGAGTGAATCTAGAGCCTACTGTATTTTATAGCTACTAAAAACTGAAATTTTTGGATTTGAAAGACAACAATTTTTGAACTAACCTTTTTTTAGAGCGAAATAGTCTAGAAATAAATCGAAAATTTTTTTCCAGGGGGTAATGTCACGGAATATCACGTGGAAATTTATTGCCGAACACATTGTTGAATATGAAGAAGAAATTGATGGAAAAGCATATTTTGACAAGGTTATTTCACTTTGGAAAGAATATCCAAATGCAATCAGCCATCGAATTCAAACATCTGTGAAAATTGACGCTGAATCTGATATTGAGAAAGAAGTTATGGGACATTTGGGATATTCAATCGATCCAAATTGCAATGAATTGGAGATTTATAAATTTGTAACAAAATACCGTGTCAATCGATTGAGTCCATATTCGAAATCAGCCTACGAAATATCATTTTATGAAGAAGAATTTCTTGTCCGATTTTTTCCTGTGGTTCTAGATGGAGAACCTCATCCACAATTTCAAAATCCTTATTCCTTTGGTTTAAAAATTATCAACGACAAAGTTTTAAATCTTCAACTTTTTCAATCATCCGATGCTCCAGAAGATATATTTTTAAAAGGAGAAGCATTTGATCATATGGCAAAATGGCTCAAAAATGTTGATATTTCGAAAACAACTCGAAAAACAAATGCTTTGATGGATAAAGAAAGTTATCTCGAAACATATCATCGAATGAGAGAATTATATGGAAAAAGAATATGTGAATCATGGACTGAAAATTCGAATCCAGAAAAAGCAGTTTTTGAAGACTGTGCAATTGCTTCATATATTAGTGAATGTGTATCACATGATTTAATACCAAAACCGAGAAAAGCTGTTGATTTAGGATGTGGAAATGGTTTATTAGTTCATTTATTGAATAAAATCAATATTTCAACTTATGGAGTTGATGTTAGACATCGAAAAATCTGGAAAAATCAATTCAAAGATGACGATTTACGCGAATCAGTTGTTGATCCACAATTAGTTTTATCAAATCAACCACATTATGATAATGATGTCGATTTTTTGATTGGAAATCACAGTGATGAATTAACTCCATGGATTCCAGTTATGGCTGCAAAGTAAGCAATAAACTACATTTTAAAAATGTATTTTCAACTTTTTTCAGAGTTAAAGCAAATTTCTTCTTGATTCCATGTTGCCCTTTCAATTTTTCGGGAAAATACTGTAATAATGGAAGTCATTTGGGAGTAAAAAGAATGACAAGTCAATATGAATCATTTTTTGAATGGACTGTTATTATTGCACAAAGACTTGGTTTTGATGTGAAAATTGATCGATTAGCAATTCCGAGTACAAAACGAGTAAGTTTTCATGTTAAAAATTGATGTGCAAATTTGAAATTGATATTTTTGCAGCTTTGTATCATTGGACGAATTCCTGATCATGGACTTGAACCAGAAGTTGAAAAAATTATAGAATTGTTAACTGAGGGATCGAAATTTGTTGCGCGACCACATGAAATCAAAGTGAATAATTGTAGAAATATTCCAATTGAAGAACGAGATCGAATAAGTAAATATATCTTCAATCACTTATTGAACTTGGACAAGGAAAAACCCTCAGAAGAGTTAGTTTCAACATCAAAAAGTAAATAGATTAGAATTTGATTTTTTCAGTGCGTGGAATACTGGAGGAGTGATTGGATTGGGTGAACTTGCTGGAATTTTGAGTGAAGATGATAAGAAATTGATGAAGTCTCAAGATGGTGGTTTACAAACTTTTTTGAAAAATCAACATCAAGTTTTTCATGTGAGTTTGAAAATATTTATAGAGGTTCGGAAATTCTCCCTACTTCTCCAAAACAATTCTAATTCAAAAATAATCCCTAATTTTTTCCAAGGTATTTGGTGGAACTTGTCGAATACGAGATCAACGCGTTGCTTTACCCGAGAAGAAAACCGAAAAATGGCGGAAAAAGTCAAAAGGAAAACCGGCACCAATTCGAGCTCCTTGTTGGATGGCAGCAAATCATCCAAATGGTTGTCCTGTTTCTGCCGAATTATGTCGTTTTGCTCATTGATTGAAGATAATTGTGAGGAAATGGGTTTTCGGGGCGTTTTTTTTGAAATAAGGAAACAAAATTTCACTTCCTCGACTATTTTTAATGAAAATTCTACTCGCAAAAATTGTAGACTCATAATTTTTCTTTTTGAAAATTTTCAAAAAATTTGGAAAACCCAATTCCTCTGTTCATTTTTTTTCAAATTGTTTTTTGTCACCAATTGCACCACATTTTTTGTTCTGTTTCTGTTCATATTTAGCTCCGTGTCATATTGTTAATTGTTGAATTTAATTGTGTCTGTTGTTGTTTTTTAATCTGAATAAAAATTCCCAAAAAATATATCTCAATTTTCTGATCAACAATGCGATAAAATCTCACCTGGCCTCCTAAAGCATTCGCGAAAATCTTTGGGGAAAAAATGCGAAAATTTCGCAATTTTTACGTTTATTTTCTATTTTTCTGCATTTTCTTTCGAATTTGGATTATATTTTTAACATCTAATGAAACACCTGATATTTCATTTATGTTGAGCTACAATCCAAGGTTAAGGTTTTTCGAGAATTTTTTTTGAATATCAATTTTTCAGAAAATTTAACCAAACTCATAAAACTTCATTATTCGTTTCTCTGCAATCAACAGATTATGATAAGGTTTTTTGAATCAATTAAAAAAATACAGGCTGAATAATTTGAAAATTCCAGACTGAAGCATGTGAGAACAGCTGGTTACAAAAGGCTGACGATTATTTCATTTTTCCAAAATCTTTCATGAAACGATTGAATTTGAACGAAATGTGGTCTCTCAGTCATTACAGGTAACTTTACTACAGTGATAATTACTCGATAATTAATAAACATAATTTTAGTCAATTAATGAGCCAAACATATTTGAATCTTCCTCATCAATCCAGATGGATTCTTTTCACTTTTGATGACAATTTTTATTTTATTGAAAAATTGATTGATGAGTTGGCAAACTATGATTCACATCGAGATTATTATTTTATCATTCGGGATTATTCATCAAAGGTTTTCTCGTTTATCTATAATAACTAGGTATTTAAATTCAAATAAAATTTTAGGATTTTCATTTTCCCTCAATAATTATGTCACGAAATGCGCTGGATACATTTTATGAAAATCGAGAAAAATGTACTTCACAATTGCACAGCATTGAAGGTTGGAACTTTTTCCTCAAAATTAACTCAAGAAATAGTTTTTCTAGATTGGTTGACAACATGTTTCCAAGGTGTGAAACCATTCATAATTTCTCGAGATTTCTCAGGAAAATCTCGATGTTTCGCACTGAATCGACACTTTGAGATTGAGGAAATGAAGAAATATAAGAAAAACGATTATGATGATGGGTATTCGGTTAGATTTTCCCAAAACTGAGGGTTATTTTTCATATTTCTTAAATTTTTAGGTTATAAATGAGCATAGTTCGTCGCTGATTTCATTTTCGAATCTAACAGTTGATGATCTTCGATTACTTCCGATATTAATTGATCGAATTGTGAAATAAATGTAGAATTTTATTAATAATAAACATTTTGAAATACTATACGACTGTATGTTCGAACGTTCCTGCATTTTTGTGAAAATTTTCTTAAAAAAGAGTGAAACCAAAATTTTTTTTCAAAAAAAAATAGAAAAAAAATTAACGACACTCCGCGTGCGCGTTGTTTAGCAATCATTTTCGGAATTTTTCATTTCTTGCTTTTTTTCTCGTTCACGTGGATTATAAAATTTGTAGGCTTTATCAGTTTGTATTATCATAAAATTTTAAAGGTATTTCTGAAAATGCCACGAGATGATCCGATCACTGAAGAAGAAAGAAGAGCTAATTCGGCAACAGATTTGATGAGAATGAGATTAGAACGATTGCAACAAAATATTGTAAGTTCGCATATTTTCTCAATTTCAATGAACTTTTTGTTTTTTCAGCATAAACCAGCACCAATTCCTACTAAAAAGGAGACTTTACGAGCTCCAAAAGCTCCTTTAGAATTTGTCAGAAATGTAGTTGGTTCGTCAGCAGCTGCAGGAAGTGCAGAATTTCACATTTATCGAAACAATCGGCGAAAAGAGCAGAATCGATTGGATTATATTGAAGAAGTTGCAAGAAGAGAAGAAATGGATGAACAATTCAAGAATAAAATAAATGGAATTCAAAAGCAGGAAGAAGAAAAAACAGCGAAGAAAAGAGCGAAAAGATTAAGACAAAAAGAAGCAAAAAGAAGAAAGAAGATGAATAAAAATGAGGAAAGTGATAGTGATGAAGAAGACAGTGATGAAAGTAAGTTTTTTTCAAAAGTGTAGTTTATAAATAATAATGAAAATTATTGTAGGTGAAGAAAGTGAAGAAGAATCTGAAAAAGCGGAAGAGGAAGAAGCCAAGAAGGAATAATAATTATAAACATTTGTTATTTTTGTTTGTAAATAATTGTTTTTTTTTCTCAGAAATGTGTTTTTGAAAATTGGTCAGTGACCCAAATCCAATATTTAATTTTCAATGATTTTTAGAGCATTTTAACGAAACATTATTCAGAAAATCAAAGATGCCATCATTTTTGGCATTTCTCAGTGGCCCTCGTTTATACGGCCTTTTTCACGGACCAGATCGAGTTGAAACAACGCTGGAAAATGCCGGAAATTCTGCACTCAGTTTTTCATCAGGAATATATTATGTCGTAACATCGCTTGCGTTTTCACCAATGATTCTGTTTTACATGTATACTCGAGGAATGGTGAATCCATCAAGTTTTATGACAATTTTAAAGTATGCTGGATATTTGGCGGTTTTCAGTTATGGATCAAGGTAAACATTATCATAGAGGATTTTTGAAATCTCTGTTTTTTTTTGCAGAATGGTTGGTCGAATGATGGATGATCAATATAAACAATTTCTGATAATTTGGACAAAAGCAAATGAAGGATCTAAAGATGATCAAAAGGAATTGAAAAAATATGATTTCGAATTAACAACAGTTCTACCAGATTATGAAGCAACTGAAGGAAAAACTCTTTGGTTTTTAAAACCTGATGTTGAAGAAGCTGGACCAATTACTAAAGCTTTAGCTTCATTTGCAATCAATGCATTTGGAAGACATATGATGTATCCTGGTAGTTTGGCATTGTTAAATTATATGATGCGACAAAACTTGAATCAAGCAAGAAAATTGATGGTTCGAAATAAGGGTGGAGAACGAATTTGGATTAAGAATATTGAAGGAGATCTTGTTGATGCGATTTTTATTCGTGGAGAAAATCCGCAATATCGCGATTTATTGGTTATTACTTGTGAAGGAAATGCTGGATATTATGAGATTGGAGTGGCAAATACACCTGCACAAGCTGGATTGTCAGTGAGTTTTATTGATATATTCTTTGGAAAAACTTGAAGCATATTCAATTCTTTTCAGGTTCTTGCATGGAATCAACCAGGGTTCGGTGAAAGCTCTGGTCTTCCATTTCCAAAAAATACCTTATCCTCAGCTGATGCTGTTATGCAATATGCAACAAAAGTTTTGAAATATCCAGTTGAAAAAATCGTGCTTTTTGGCTGGTCAATTGGTGGTTTCCCGGTTTCCTGGCTCGCTGCCAATTATCCAAATGTTCGTGCAGTTATTCTGGATGCTACTTTTGATGATATTTTACCATTGGCTGAGTCGAGAATGCCAAGAGTATGTTCACTCGAAACAATTCATTCAAAAATTCATTTTTTTTTCAGTTCGTTTCCCCAATTGTCGAATACGCCATTCGAAAACATGCCAATCTTCAAATCGACAAAATTGTTCGTTCGAATAAATAACTCAAATCAATCAATAAATTTCTATGTTTTTCAGATCACAAAATATGATGGCCCTTTGCGACTCATTCGAAGACTTCAGGAAGAAATTCTTACAACAACTGAAGATGTTCCAGAAAATGTTAGAAGAGCAAGCAATCGAATCAATTTTCTTTTGAAAGCTGTTTTGAAGGAAAGACATCCGGATTTGATTAAAGGAATGGAACCACAGGTTGGATTTTTTTTCTAAATATTGATTTTGATTTGGAAATTGCCAGGTCACAAATGTTGTAACAGAAAATAAGTTTAACATTTGAAATTGTTGAATTTTAAAATTTTTTAAAACACAGTTTTGTGCTTTCACATATAATGGGTTTTCAGTACTATGGAACCTTACTTTCCAGATTTTTAAAAAATCGTTTGTATGAACTTAGATCATCTTAGATCTTTGAAATCGGAAGCGGAAAAATCAGGCTAAAAAACCAATTTTTGAATCCTATCAACATTTATTCAATTAATTCTTTAAAAGGCTCAATTTTTGGACCTGGCTCCGAAATTTTTAGTAGCAAAGTCCATGTTTGACTACAATCCCAATTTTCAAAATTATATTTCTAGGTTGATCGTTGGTTGGATATGTCTGAAACTGAACGTTTGATGAATACTGGAGTCACATTACGTGAAGAAACTCAACAAAGAAAACGATTATTCGAAGCTTGCTCTCATTATTTGGTCGATTTCGATTCGAATCATGTTACACCACTTGATCCATTGTAAGTTTTTCTTTCAAAAAACATTTGCATCGAAAAAAAAACGTTTTTTCTTGCAGATATTTCAACATTCCCGATGCTCGTAAAAATTTCTGAACATAAAATTTAATAATAATTTATTGCCTGCTGAATCTATGAATAATATTATTATGAATTTTTCTTTGTTTCTTATTTTTTGGTGGATTTTGCCATTTTTATTTATTTGGAAGTTGTTTTTAACTAAAAATTTTAGCTATTCACAGATGTCTTTCGTGAAATCCTTCGAGAATTTGACATACATTGCTTCTGGTCCAATTTTGTCGGTTTTGGATGTCAGCCAAGATAATGCAATTCCAGAAACATTGTTTGAATGGGAAAATATCAAGGAGGAAAATATAATCAAACCGGAAAATAATGAATCGAATGAAAATGAAGAAGGAAAGCAACAAATCAAGAAAGTTGATGAAATTGTGGTAAGGGTTTTTTCTGTTTTGGAAAATTAATTCAAATGAAAATGAACTTCAAAATTATACATCTCAAAGAATTGTGGTATTTTTGATATGTGAAATCTCCCACCTGAAAATATGTGTTCAATTTTTTTTTGAAAATTCCCACATTTCTTTCCAGCCAAATCTCCCACATTCATATGTGATATATATTTTCTTGACAACTTCACAAATAATTTGTTTTAAAAATCTTAATTCAGAAGACTCCCGAAAAATCGACCAATGATAATTTTTCTGTAATTTTTGAAAAACAATGTTTCCCTTTATGTATTTTTCAAACTGAATTTCTTTACAAATTTATCTGAAAATTTTCATCCCACTTTTTAAAATCCCACCATTCTCAAAATTCCTCATTTTTCCAGACAATTTGTTTTGCACATTCAAATGGACCGAGACGTCTTTTGGCAGTTGGAACAAATCAAAAATTGGTGCACGTTCTCGAAATGTCAGAGGTTGGCAAAAATGCGACGCATTTGATTTCAGCAGTCATTCCAAAAGCACCGACTTCTTGCTCATTTGACAAGGTTTCTCTCTTTTTCTTAATTTAAAAAATGCCATTATCAAAATATTTTTTAGGAAGATGCATATGTAATTGTTGGTGATCGATCTGGCGATGTTCATCGATTTTCAATTGAAACTGGAGTAGTTTCTGAATTGGCTGGCGCGATTTCAATGGTTTTATCAGTTGGTTTGACACAAGATGGGAAGAGATTATTAATGGCAGATCGAGATGAGAAATTGAGAATTGTTAGATATCCAAATACTTTTGTTATTGAAGCGTTTTGTTTGGGACATACGGAATATGTTAGAAGTGTTGCATCAGCTGGAAATGATGTCGCTTATACTGCAGGTAATTTTATTCTGAAATTTTTAAATTGTGAGGTTTCAAATGGCTTCTGAATTTGAAAATCTTGGGGCACAAACATTTTGAAAAAAGAAAACTTCATATCGGAAGTTTTCTTTTTATCAAAATTAAAAGTTCCGCTGAGATTTTTGAAGTCCAACTGAAAAAAGGTTGTTTAATTTTGAACTATTTTCACTGACAAAAGCCTTAAATTTTGCCAATTTTTATATCCATGTTTACTTTTTTCTAGGAGGAGATGGATTTGTTCGAGAATGGCAAATTGATAATGGAAAATCAATTAGTTCAACTCTCATTTCATCCGAAAAATCACCTATTCGAAAAATTGTTCTAAATTCCGATAACTCGAAACTAGCAGTTATTCTTGAAAAAAGTTCCAAATTGTATTTGCTGAAAATTGGATCGAATACAGTAACCGAAGTATTATTGGAAAATGAAAATGAAATAATCGATTTGGAAGCAATAAATGATGGACGTTTTGTTGTTTTGAGTCGGTAAGCTTTTAAAAAGCTATAATTTATATTTATATCTATATCTATCCCCACTCTTTCACTCATTATTTAATTATATAGTGTGCTCTTTTGTTGTTCCTCCCTCCACTTTCATTTCTTATTTAATTTGACATGTGTTCTTTCTTTAGTGGAACACAACAGACAAATATCAAACAACTTTTGATTAATTTATATATTTGTTTTTTGTTTCTCTGAGAAAAAGTTCATGTTTTTTTTCCAGAAACCAAATATTATTGATCGATAGCGATTCGTCTACAGTAATCCGGAAAATCCAAATCGACGGAAAATTGTTAGAAAATCTTGGGAAACACAATGATGCAGTTGAGAATCTCTTCAAAAATGTGACTTTCAATAATCAACAAGAATATGAAAAACGAAAGGTTGGTAATTTTAATGGAATTTTGAGAAAACTAGAATAAATATTTGTTTCAGACCGAAAAATTCGCGAAAGTTGAAGAGAAGAAGGCTTTGAAACGAAAAGCCACCTAAAGAAGTTAATTTATAGAGGAAATTCTTGTTTTTGTTGTTGTTTTTGAATTTTGTTGATTTTTTTATTTTTATATACAATTTTTACACGTATTTTTGATAGAAAGCACATGGGAGGAAAAAAACATAAATTCCTATAAATTTAAAATAATCAGGAAAAGTGCTGTTGATAATTGGGGTAGTGTAAATGAGGAACTTCGAAGTTGAAGAGCAAAATGTGGAGATGTTGAATGACAGCAAAAACGGGAATGTCCATTTATCAATTGCATATGTCTGGAAATTGTGGTTATATCAAGATGAAAAGGTGAATTTTTTACGTTTCAAAATTTTTTGAAATGTGTTGTGTTTTTTGAGAATGTTGATTTCGAAAATATTTGTCATTAAAATCACCCAATTTTTATGGAAAATTCGACTTATTTATGTTCAAAAATTTTGAAAAGAAAGTTTTTTCACTGTTTCAATCAATTTCGAATTTTCAGTCCAATTTTTTCTACAAAAAATCCCATTTTGACTGAAACTTCAAATTTCAAGGGAAATTGAGCATCTAAAATTATATTTCAGAGCACACATTTTTGAGCTCAAAATAATGTTTTTCCACTGTTTACCTAAGTTTATCAGAATATCTGAATCTTGCATCATTTGAATGACGATTTTGTCGGTCTCTTGAATCCATGCTCCAATGTCTAATATATCTTTGAACAGCTGAATTGAGCAATGAATATGATCTACATCCATTGATTGCAGATAATCCAGAAATTGAGCAGAATCTTTCCTGGAATTTGTTACTTGCAAGAGAAACTTGTGGAAATCAGAATTTAATTTTAAAAATGTAGAACTTATCTCAAAAAAAGCTCACTATGTTAGATAACTAACAAGGAACTTCGGCAATACCCAAGGGAAAATTATTCAAAAAAATCTTCTGGTGGCCAGAAATAAAATCATGTTGCGATTTTGGCCAAACTTTGCTGTAACTCATTTCACACACAATATTTTCGAATTCTTATTTTACAATATTGTTCTTGAAACTTGACTTCGCCACGTCATAACTACATTAATTTTTCGTTAGAGTATTTTTTCAACTACTAAAGTTACATAATAGTTCCAGAATATGTTAATACCTGTTGACACATGCAATTCTTAATCGTTCGATCGCTATGATGTACATTATCATAAAATCGAACATATTTTGCTGAACATTGTCCACCACAAGCAATCGGATCACATTCGCCGCCAATTGAACCACGACAAAAGTTTTCGCTGAAACAAATTGATATATTTTTGCTTTTTTTGTATTCTTTTTTATGTTGAAACATCTGGAAACATTTATTTTTTACGGCGGCGGCGGCCATCAATTATCAAGAAATTCCTAGGAATTTATTGGAAATATTTACGAAACAATTTAAGCTAGATTTGAGCCTTGGGAAAAATGTTAATTTTTCATTTTTCTTATTAATTTTTACAGTAATCTGGGAACTCTCGATCTTACAGGTTACTGTAGTTGCAACTTGAAAATAATTCTGAATATAGGTGACGTGGAACATTTCGGAAAAATTAAATTTTTAAAATTTATTTCAAAAATTCTGAATTTCCACGTCATAACTAATTTTCAGCTAACTCAAAGCTCACCTTTTTGAGTTTCCAAATTCGACTAGAAAAATGAGAAAAACTAGAATTGAACTAGAAACTAGAACTTTCATATTTTCTCCAATAAATATCAATTTTTGCACTTCAAAATGACCACCCGAATCAAAAATAAATATAAAAATCGTCTTGTGCTTTTTTCCCCTTCGTCTTCTTCTTTTTCCAAGTTCATTTCTCTCCGCCCAAATGACAACTGACGATAAGAAAAATGAGAAAAAAAAGAGAATCCTATCAAATGTTTCAACTACTTTTTTCTTTCAAATTACAACACAAATTATTTAGCAAAGAGATTTTTTAGCAAAACATATTTTATTTTTTGAAATATTAATATTAGAAATAAGTTATTATTGAGCAACTATAAATAATTATTGAGTTTTGAAAAAGATAACAATTTAATCCATTTTGACTGTGAAGACAATATGAAGATGTTGAAGTAACAAATGAAAATGAGCCAGAGGAGCAGATAACTGTGAATTTTCCTCCAATTTTGTCTTCGGCTGCTTCAACCAAATTGATTTTGATTTCCGAAGAATTTTTTGGATTTCATTTCGGTTTTCATGATTGAAAGAAGTTCGTCAGAGTTGCAAGCAGAGTTTTCGATTGCAGTTGTTTTTTCGTCGATTTCAGAAGCGTCTGGAAATATTTGAATAGAATAGAAATTGGTAAAAACTTTTTGAAGCGTACATTTCCAGAGTTTTGCTTTTTAAAATTATACAAGTAATAGTGTTAATACTAAATAAAGACTACAGTAATCCTGATAATTTTAGAACATTCATCACCAAAATTTCTCTACAGTAATCCAATAATCTTCAAGCTTATATTAGGATTACTGTAGCTTCGGTGAACGACAGTATTTATTTCAAAAATTCACAAAATCTTTAATTTTCAAAAACTACAGTACTCACCTCTCTTCTTTCTTCCTCCACATGCACAAGTTGGACAACAAGGTTGTGGTAATTCAATACGTGGCAATTGAATTGTTGGAATTTGAATTGGTGGTAATTGAATTGTTGTGAAACATATTGGTGGAGGTGGTGGAAGACAAAGTGGTGGAAGAGTTACAGGAGCACATCCACATGCTTAATTATAATTAATTATTAAATATTTCTTAATTCTTAATTACCTCCATTGAAAAGAGTTGCATCAACTGCTAAAAAACACGAAAAAATAAGAAAACAAATATAATGTTTCATTTTTGATGAAAAGAATCTCGAAAAACCTGTCAATATTGTTCTTATATAATGAAATCTGTTGAAAAACAAGCTTCCGAAAAAAGGTGTTTTCCAGTTTTTCTTATCTTTTCTCGCAAGAAACGGGATATCGGATTGAATAAAAAAAAGAGAATTATAAAAAATTATAGTTTATGTATGTTACAAATAAAATAAAAATTTCAAAAATATTCAATTTAATCATCGTCTTCATCGTCATCCATAACAATTCTTCGTTTATATTTGATTGTGGCTAAAAATGGATCTTCTTCTGGTGATGTTTCGCGAACTTCGAGAGCAGATGCAACAGTTCCATTTGTTATATTTGGATCAAGATAAGATCTCTGCAAAAATATAATGATTTTTGGACAAAAGTTTAAAGAACTCAGATGTTTGATGGTTATAATTACGTAGAAGTTCACGATCTTTTCGAATCAACATTGATAAGATTGAAATATGTTTTTAAAACTTGATATCACTTTAATCTTTGAATATTGTTTTTTAATGAAATATCCACCAGATTTCTATCAGACAGCAAAAATATTCAATTAAAATTTCGATGTTACCCGGGTTTTTCTGATCAGAAACAGATTTTGTGAATAAAAAAGAATGAAATTGTAAGATTTGAATTTTGTCAACATCAAACTATTTTTTAGCTTCCCTTAGGGCATCATTAAAATTCCGAAAAATGAAAGAAAAGCTTTAACAGTAAAAATTTAGCTGGAGTTGATTCAAGGATTACACGTATCCAAGAAATTTTCTTGCCATAACGTCTTCCCATTCTCCCAAATGAAAATATTCACCTTATAACTTACAAAATCCTCTTCCTCCTCCTCTTCATCTTCATTTTGTTTCTTCTTTTTTTCATCCTCTTCATTATCGTCATCTTCATCACTGCTATCAACTAATTGTGCAAATTGTCGTTTTCTATTCAAAATTCTATCCTTCAATGAGAGTTTCGTCGGTTCAGGTTTTTCTTTTTCTTTCTCATTTTCATTTTCTTTTTCCTCCTCTTTCTTCTCTTTTTCCTCTTCTCCTTCATCGTCCGAATCCATAACAATTCTCTTCGTTTTCTTTTTGATTTGCGGACTTTTATTCATTTCAATATCCATATTTTGCTCCTCTTCTTCTTCCTCACTTTCCTCTTTTTTCTCCTCTTCATCTTCACTACTATCATTCAAAAAATCAACAATTTTCTCGCGTTTTTTCGATTCACCCGATTTCTTCTCTCTTTGCGCAACTTTAGCTCCTGAAAAATATCAAACTTTTTCAGATTAATGGGATCAAAACCAACCCATAGATATCAAATATCGTTCAACTTGTCGAATCGGCTTCTTCTCGCTCAATCTTTTCATAACATATCTCACAATATCAACGCCCACTGGAAAAAGAAATTGTTTTGTGCCTAAGCCCTAGGTCCTGAGGATAAGGAAACTTACAAATATTTTCAGCATCTTCAATTTCCTCATATTGTTCTTTTAATCCTTCCAATTCTTTGATCAATCCATCATCCCATTTCGGCAAACTTCTTTCTTTTTTCGGTTTTTCATAATTCAAATCAATATAATTCATTTGTTTGATGACTTTTTTACGCGAAAATGGTCCGAATTCATCATTCAAACGTTCTCGAATCAATTCAACAACATCAACTGAAAAAATGGTTGCGAAGTGAAATCAAAATGAGGGATGGGGAAGATAAAACCCGGAAAACGGTTGAAAAAATGCACAACCATTCAAATACCTTTGTCTTTGTTGTCCATCTCTTTCCATTCTTCATAAACCACTTTCATCTCATCGATTGGAAAGTTCAAATCAAGTTTGTCTTGGCTAAAAAAATTATGATACATTTTAATGTAACCCTCCTCCCTCTCCCCATCAAAAACCAACTCTTTGCCCATTTTTGCGCTCATCAAATCCAATCCCAAATTTTTCAAACATCTATAAACTTGTTTTCGACTTCTATCCTTTGACAAATTGTGCATGATAAAATCGATAATATCAATTCCTTCCGGTTTTTCCTCTTGTGACATATATTCTTCGTGCAAATTTCGAACTTCTGATTCTAAATCATCGCTCCAAACTTTGCCATCAGAAGTTTTGATTTGGCTGGAAATCAATAATGAATCTCAAACCTACAATTGTTTGAAAAAAACTTACTCATAAGATCCATATCCATTATCAATATCATAACTTTCTTTTCCATTTTTCCAAAACAATGCTTCGACAGCCAAAGTTGAACCAAGTTCTTTGAATTTTTCAAAGAATCGTTTCAAAACATGATATCCAAATTCATAAATTTCATAATACTCCGATGCTTTTTTGGCTTCTTTTGTTGGAAGAGTACTCAAATGTTTATCGACTTGCATGAAAACATGGAATAGGGATAGCTGAAAATTACAGACTTTCTTGAAGAACATTTTTTTGCAATATTTTCTGGAGATGAACAAAGAAATTTTAAGTGATATCCGCCAAGAAATTTTAAGTGATATTTTTGAATATTTTCCAAAAACCTCCCAAATCTCACTTGATAAATTCTCGAAACCATTTTCAAATCAAACGCGACACGATGAAACATTTTAATAATCGCTCGATTCAATTCTCGGCTATTTTTCGTATATTCATTGAGGAGAAACCCGTACCATTTCAAAATTTCCATTTTCGCATATCTCCCAAAATATTGATCCAATTCAAAATCACACTGAAAGAAACATAATATAAATTAGATATGCACTATTAAAATTTTCAATCTTACTTCTTCAGTTTTCCAAACAGCAACATTTTCTTCATCCTCCGAATCTCCTTCACCGTCTCCTTCTTCTCCTTCAATTTCAATTTCTTCTTCCTGCTGTTGTTTCTCTTCAGTTTCTCTCAATAATTTAGCAACTTCTAATAAATTAGTCATATAAATTTGTTTCAATTCTTCAATTTCCTCATCCGCAGTCATATCATCTTTTCCAAATACTTCTTGTGTTATCCAGATTTTTCGAGCCGCGTGATATAAACCAATTGCAGCTGGAATTCCATTTGAACGCAAGGATCGTTGAATTGATAACATTGCGAATTTTCTGGAATTTTCAGGAAAATTGAGGAGAAAGAGTGGGGAGAATAACAAAACATGTGAGGATGAAATTGAAAACTCATGAAATTACATGGGATTTCAATTTTTTGTTATAGCTGAACCAATATATTCCAGCCTATATTTGAAAATTTCAAAATTTTCATAAATTTTGAGAACCAAAATTAGAATTCCAAACAAAATCTTACTGTTGAACATCATCTTCAACTTCAATATGCAAATTCAGTGGATTCATATCTTCCAATTCATCTACTTCTTTTCTCACAACTTTTTCAATAAGTTCTCTCGATTTTTCCCAATGTTCTTCCAACCATTTCTCATCTTTTTTATCGAATTGACATCTCTCATCTTTATCATAAAGCGGTTTTCGAACTGCAAATTTAAAACATTAATTATTTGAATAATTATAAAACTATGAACTTACCCTTCTTCATTTTCTTAACTCGAACTTTTTTCGTAACTTTTCTCATTTCCCCAGATTTCGCCATTTTTTCAATTACTTTGTGATAATTATGAGTTGCTAATACGATTTCTCTTAAAAATGTGTTGGATAAAACAGCAGGGTTGAACTTTTTGATTAAAGTGATTGCCAAATCTCGATATTCTTCTACTTTTACAATATGTTGAAGAGCTCGTTTTGCAACATCTCGATCGATTTCATTTTTTGAATCAAGCATGAAACGATGTCTATAAAACAGAATTGAATGTTTTTTGGCATTTTCAGGCTCTATTCAAAATTTGCGTTTTTTCCCTCCCAATATTTTCATTAAGACTTACAATAAAACCATTTCATTATATGCCATAACTGCATACTGTGCTTTCAATCCAAATGATTTTGCTTCAATTCCTTTAAGAGTTGTTGCTTGATCAACATATTCCAATAATTGCACATTATTTTCATGAAATGCTTCAACTCCAACTAATTGAGATATCAAACTAATTGGCATATTTGTGATTCTTGTAAATCGAAGAATAAATTTGACAAGGAAGAAATAATTGATTTGTGAGGTTTTTTGAAGCACATTTTTCTGCTCGAAAACAATTTGCTTTGAAGATTTCATAAGACGATTGAAACATGTTTCAATGAGACATTCGACCATTTTTCGCAATTTTTGACGAACTTCGGGAGATGATAAATGAGTTCGATGTTCGAAATCAAAAGGTCGACGATTTCGTGCAATTCGTTTTTTGAGTTTTCGATCATCGCCAAAGTTTAGAGATTGAACATCGTTGATTGGTCTGGAAGATATTTTTTTGAATTCTAGAAATGAACAAAAATTATCCATCTCATGTCAATTCAAAAAAAAATAAAATTAGTTCACGTTTCTAATCAGAAAATTATGTTTTTCTCATTTTCCAAAAAACATCTCACTTGAATACAACTTGATCTCTTTCAGAACATAATGCTTTCATTCCTTTTACAACATATGATCCACCAAATCTTTTGAAACTTCTTCGTTTTTCAATTTCTCGAGCATTATGCGCTTCATTGATTCGTTTAAAATCTTCCTCCGTTTTCTTTCTCTCTGATGAAGAAATTTCTTCAGATGTTGATTTTGCGAGATCTTCTGCTGTCTGAAATTCGAAAATATCAACTAGAAAATCTAATTTCCTTTACTAACATGTTCTTTGAGAAGAAGAGCGAAAATGTCAAGAATTGTGACATGAAATTCTTTCTCTTTTGGTTGATTTGAGATGTGCATAAGTGTTTTATCGAGTCCTGAATCTAGAAATGCAACAATAACACGATCATGACAATTGTCTTCAGAAGCTGTTCTCTGAAAAATCCATCAAATATATATTAAATGTCCATATCATCAAAAAGCTACCTTTTGTTCTACTCCATCTTGCGAAATCGAGAAAATATATCGAATGAGTAATACAATTCGTTCCATTAAAAGTCGTGTATTCTCATCTCTTTCATCAAAATCAGTTTCCAGAAAATAATTATCTAATTTAATTTTCAGAATTCGAAAGAATTCCGAATCTGCAAACGCTTTTTTGGCGCGTCTCGAAATATCTTCCAAATCCCAAAACAATTTCCATTCTTCTCGATCTTTCGGCGCTTTTCCTTTCATACTTGAAATTGGAGGTTGACATAAATTGACTAATAATCGAATTGCAACATCAAACATAGTCTCATCAAGATCGGGACATTTCAAAAGTGGAATCAGATCATGCTCAATCATATTATGTTTTCCACATTCAATTCTGGCAATCATATCTGGTGTATCCATTCGAAGATATCGAATTATATCTCGAATAGTTTCTGAAAACGAACATTCTTTATAATTTAAATTTCCATCGAAAACCAACCAAAACAATCAGGTTCTCTGTGATATACGCCATTTTCGAGAAATCCTAATGAATGAACAGCTGACTGAACTAACGCATTCATTCTGAAATTTGAATTATTGTTGTTTCAGATCTAAAAACCAACAAAAAAATGAAAAATCTCAAGCAAACAAAAACAAATATTCAAAATGAATAGTTCGCGCCGCACAAAAACCATGCGGCATGTTTGCAAAACATGCGTTGGTGTAGTTCTCTCGGAAAATCATTTCTTTTTTTTCTGTGTTCTACTGAAAACCACGAAAAAAAACTGTAAAAACATAAATAATTTATTTATCTACATACATTTTCTAATAAGGAATCTCATTCTGAATATATTGCAATTGGTCATACATTTTAGATCGAATATTAAGAAAGCAATTTGTGATTACGGAATGCATATATTTCGCAGCATCTTTTTCGCCCATTTCTGGTGCAAAACGAGCTCGCAATTGTTGTATTGTTTTTCCACGGAAACATGGTAGGCCAGTGTCAAGCATTAGAGAAACAAGTGATACGAAAGCCTGGAGTATATTAGATTAGAGGAAAATTATAAGAAGAAGAAAACTCACTTTTTGATAAGGTCTAACAGCTAAATAAGCATGAACACATAAACTAGCAAATTGTCTAAATGGTATCGCTTCCATTTTTCCTCCCATGATCGCAACCATTTCTTCACTCAATTTAAAATCCGGTTCAAATCCCAAATTTCCGCCAGGACTACTTTCAAACATAAATCCAAAATCAATGTGAATAATATGTCCATCCAAATCAATCATTATATTTCCATTGTGTCGATCTTTTATTTGAAGTAGGAAACTGAATACTGAATATGCAGCCATACTTCGAACAAAATTACGGCGAGCTTCCTAAACATTTTGAACTTTAGTATTAAAAATATAGAAAAAGAGAAATTGTTAACCTGGAAGCTCTCACTGGATTCATCGCCATATTGAGTTTTAAAATACTCATACAGTCCAAAATCAGTTTGCCGTCCAAGTTGATCTCGACTTTTCGAATTCGGAACACATTCAATAACTCCACAACCAGGTGAAGTTGCAACAACTCGATAAGGAAATACTCGAACTGGAAGACCGAGGCCTGTCCAAACATTTTTCATGAGTTGCATCAATTGTAATGCGAGCATATCTTGACGAACATCATCTCCAACCTAATAAAAAAAAGATTTTAAACAAATCTAGAAAAATAGACAAACCTTGAAAATGGCAGCTTGCCAACAAACTCGACTATCTTGAACTTTTTTCAATTCTTCCAAATCACAATCCTGATTCTTCTTTCCATCAGATTGTGCAGCTAATCCACTTCGTTCCAATTCTCGAACACCACATCTTTTCACTCGGAATCTCGCCAAAAATGGGGCTTTTGCAGCACTTTGCATTGGTGTTCCACTAGAATAATCTAAATCAAGAAGAATAGCTTCAGGATTTGATGGGAGATAAGTTATTGTTTCGATTTTAATATCAGCCAATGCTTTGAGACATGCTTTTTTCCTCGCTTCTCCTTTTGGATATGGTTTTATAGTTCCAGAAATAGCAGTCAATTTGTGGAATAAATTGAATTCAGCTTCATGGAATCGTCTCGCAGCTCCTTCTAATTGTGATATTATTCTTTGCATAATATCATTCAATGCTTCAAATAAAACTGGATCTTTATTTTTGCTATCCTCATCTGTATACATATTTGTCTGCATATTCCAAATCAATTGATGAGCCAATAATTGTGAATGTCCAGCTAACCAAATCATCAATTCCGAAATATAACCCATTGTATCATGTCGAACTGCTTGAACAATTTGTGGAATATACATTAGAAGAGCATCAGCTGGATAAGATCGAAGAACTCGCACCGAATATTGAACTGTTATTGGATGTTGTGGATATTGTCGAGGGGTTAATAATGAAAGTGCCATTACAGGAGAACAACGACTCCATGTTAACACATGTGACATCTGAAAATATTTCGATTAATCTTAAAAATTAGAATTCTTCTTACATCAGCAGTTTCAAAAACCGAAACATCTCCCAAAAACAATGGAAGTGCATCCGGGATATGGGTAACCAGTTCAGGTTGTTGTCGAATTAGTTGTTGAACAGCGATTCGAAGCGATTCACAACTTCTGAATCTTGTTGGAAGATAAACCGCGAGTTCCGGTGATATTTCCCAAGCAAGACGAGCTTGTTCGCGGAGAATTTTACTTTCCGTTCGAGCGTCTGAATTTTTTTTTAGCTATGACAAATTGATCGTTTTAAATGGAAAAGAAGATAGGAGGATTCCGTTAAATTTTTTTAGGAAAAAAAATCAAAAATCTTTTTCGATAAAAATATCTTTCTAGAATTTCAAAAAAAAAATTCGAACATTTTTTTTGGACTTTTTGAAATTGTTCAAATTTTAAGTTAGACTTCTCAACCATTTTTAGGGCTTTTTATTGAGTTTTGATTTTAATTCAATGAAAGACTTCAGATACAAACAAATTCAAGTTATCATAAAATTTGAATCTCTTAACAATTGGAAAACAATCGTTTTTCTTTCGAGTAATTTTCAATTTTTTCGAAGCGTGAACTGTGAGTTGGCAATTTGAACAAAATATTTTTAAATTATAAAAAATCTGCCACATCCCCCTCCTCTCGGAATTTCCCCACGAACCTGTCAGCGTACTCTTAATCCATTGTTCAACAATCGCTGCTCCTTCTTCTTGTGCCAATGCAAGTGGATGCAACCAAGCACAAAGTCGTTCAATTTCATTTCCAATCAATAACAACATCAAATTGCGTTGTTTCAAAAATCGTCGAACTCGTTTTTCTCCCTCTTCAGTCAATTTTCCATCGGCCGGTTTAACTCCTCTCAAAGTCGATGCAGCTATCGATTTTTGTGATAAAGTCAGAGTGTTGGCGTAAGTTGTAGATTGTGGTAGCATTAAATTCGTCGAGTTATTTGTCCAGGTTTGATTTGAAGATTTTCTAAAGAGAACATTTTGAATTATATATAAAACTGAAAAAGCTTACATATTATTGAAACTATCACTTTTATCATAAGATGATTGTGCTAAAGTATGTGAAAGAATAGCTTCTTTATCTGTAACTGCACACATTTCTTTTCGAATATATTTCCCGTCTGAATATACATTTTGCCAAAATGCAATTAGAAGTCGAATATCTTCTCGAAGTTCATCTTCTGATTGAATTGGTCCTTGAGGTGGAAGTCTGCAAAAATTAGAATTGTTTTTGATTATGAAAATTTTGCTGATTGATTTTGATCTTTTGGTCAGGTCGGATATTATTTTGATATTTCGGAAAAAAGTATGAAAATTTTAATTTTTGAATTTTATTTTAAAAAATTCTTATCGAAAATCTGCGGGCACATTCAAAAAAATGGTAAACCAGAATTTTCTGATTTTTTTCAGTTATTTGTGGTGTAACACTTTATGAATCCGGCCTTCAAAAAACTTCAACATTTTTGGTTTTTGGTGCCAAAATTTGAAAATTCAAAATTCCCCAAGAAATATTACTGTATCAGGGTTCAAAATATTCAAAAATTAAAATTGTCATTTCAGATTTCAGCCGCTGAATTCTTAAAACCAAAAAGTGCTGAAAATTTTTTGGTATCACCAAATTGTTCTTCAGTTTTTCAGCCAGAAAAAAAAAACATTTTGTGGCCAAAATTTGAAAATTCAAGAATCTTTGACTGAAAAACTCTGATTTCAAATATACAAAAAAATATACTCTTTAAATAATTAAATTTCTTAACTCACGTGAAATAATGAAAAGCCGATGCATAAACCCTTTGTCTAATCAAAACATTCGAAGCTCTCGATAAACAACTTTCTCCTTGAATCATTCCAAGTGCACACGATAAAAATCGAAACCTCACACCAATTGCTTGAATACATCTCGTCATCTGAATCTGGCTCTCTTTTTTAATCGCACTAATTGGTCCCGCCAAGTTCGCAATTCCAGAAAATGTTGATGAAGCAGCGATTGGATCATTTCCAACAATACAAGACAATGATTGTGCAAACATCATTTCTAGAACATCAAGTTGTTCTCTTGAAGAATAAGATGCAACATCACATCTTTCACCAATGAATTGAATCCATGCTCGATGTGGTTTATAATTGGGTGGATTTGGTGGTCTTTCGAGTTGTTTTGATAGCGGTGAAACCCGAAATTCTTCCGATTCCTTTTCGAATATTCCCAATCCAAATCTTGCCGAATCAGCAAATGCTCTTGCTAATTCATGAAGAAATGAATTATGCACTTCCGGTCTCGCTGATAACAACCAATTCCAACTCATCGTGCATAATTCAACTGTCGATTCGGTGAAATTGCACAAAGGTGTTCGAACAAGTAATGAAAGTATCCGATCATTTTGCGATTTCAATGTCACAAACATCGAGGTCAATAACAAAACAGCCTGTTCCATTTCATCATCATTTCCACTTCGACAAGCCCGCAAAAAATCCGTTTCAATTCTATCAATCAATAATGTTTCAGCGGTTTTTTCATCAATTTCTCCACTCAATTTTGCCGCCAACATTCCTTTAATTTGTCCAAGATAAAGACTTCGTTTATATAATGACGTCATATATGCTCCCGAATTATTTTGTCCCTCATTTGCCGCGTCAAGTGCTAATTGCATTGATGCATCACAAGTCGACCCATGTTTCGAAACATATTCCAATAAATTACTATGTGTACTTGCTGGCGCCCATTTCAATGCTTCTTTCAATATTTGTTTTACTCTCATTGAATAATCTTTCACAACTTGTTTTCTTCCATCTAAAGAATCTTGTAATTGAATCGTCCATTCAAATCCTTTCAATACAAATTGTGGTTCTTTACACGTTGGATCAGTTTGCAAATTACTTTGTAGCCCTTGTAATAATCGGAGCATCGTTGTCAAAACAGTTGAATTCCATAAAAGATATGGGAATCTTTCAACAAGTTGAGATAAACAAACATCCGCGCATTTTCGAACTTCTCTCAAATGATGATTGAATTTGAAATGCAAAAATTGTGCATTATAAACCAATGTATTTTCAGTTGATTCATCTGAATCTCTCCTTTTCTTCTGTTCACTTATATATTCATTAAATATATTTGGTGCAGCTGCAAGAAGACATGTCCATATTCCAGATTTATCTTTTCGAATTGTTTTATCTTCCAAATATCGAAAATAAAAATGGAAAACATCTAATTGTTGCGAATGAACAACTCGCATTGTTTCCATTCTCAAAACTGATAAAAGATATGTGCAATTTGCAAAATCCCATCGATTAACAAGTGGAACAACTTCAGGTGGATGTTTGAGTTCGGAGAGTACGGTATTTCGCATTTCTTGCAATTCTTGTGGACTTATTGAATCACTTCGAATTGCTGCATTATCAATAAGTTCGGAACGAAGATTTTCAGAAGCGATGAGAACTGGTGTTTTTGTAGATGTTTCACAAACAGCATTATACCATTCTTCCGGCCACAAACCTGCAAAAAACGAATTTGGAGTATGAAAATCCCATCTTGAAATTTTATATTTTGAATAAAAATCTTCTGAATTTTCTGATTTCATAACATTTTTGGAACAAAAAGTTATATTTAAAATTTTATTTCCATGCGAAATTTCTTTTTTTTTCAGTAGTTTTTCCTATATCTAAATTGGGGCACATTCTTTATGACAAAAAATTGATATGTAAACATTTTCTAATATTTTCTGAAAATGATATAACTCACTTGAAGATTCCACATCAAATCCCAAAACTGTGCAATAAAACCAAAAATCTCTAAAAAGCGATTTCAATCTTGTTGATGGCTGAACAATTGGTTGCATTCGATGAAGCAATGATGCGATTTTCGGCATAAGAACTCCCAAATTTCCAGCACTTGTTGACATCTAAAAAATAATTATTTCCAACATGCGAAACTCTACAAAATGATTAACAAAAGCTTTCCAAAAATATAACAAATCACAAAAAAACCACTTCTAAATAAATATATCATTTTATACCTTAACTGAATTAACAGATGTGGTTAAAGCCACTATTGTTAGCTGAAATGACATTTGAAACAGCGAAATTTTAGATATATTTTAAAATAACTCACTTTCACAGTGCTTTTCGACACTTTTTCACCAACTCTTCGACCTTCGATTCCAAGTTGAACAAATAATTCGAGAAGTCGCACTAAAAGTGTCATCTTATCTTCCTCATTTTTCACTTTTTCAGCCATTCGACTTAGCGCAACATCGACTGCCAAAGAAACGTGGCTGAAAAAAGTTAAAGATAATAAATAAGAATATATTAAATATCTACTAACGTATATCTTTGATCATGAGAATCAGTTGCATCTTGCGAATAAACTCGATTGGATGATTCAATGCAAATTTGAGTGAAAAGTTTCCAAACCATATCATTGATACTTCTCTGAAATAATTGTTTTTGGGGAAAAAATGAAAAGAAGAGAGAACTTACAGCTCCAGCAACCCACATTTCAGCAAGACATCTGATCATAGCAATATCGAGTTGGGAGGGAGGATTTGCAAATCTGAAAAATTGAAAGGGCCTTTGAAAAAAATTGATAAATGAAATTTGAATTTTTCTAAAATGTTAATTAAAAAACCATGAATTTCTGCATTTATCGAGGAACGATTTCATGCCACAAAAAATTTTACAACTGAAATTAAAATCCCCATTTTCCCACCTTTGTAAATAGATCTGCAAAACCATGTCGGAAACATCGACAGCTTTTGAATCGACCAATCCAACTCCAATTCCACCCAATGTTTGAATCGCATTCTCACAAACCAATGATACAACGCTGAAAAAACACGATTCCCAGATTTTTTGGAGTTAATCTAAGTTGTTTCTCTTCAACACCTTTGGAACCTAGGAAAACTCACAAATTATTTGCATTCGAACAAATAAAAAGTTTCGAAGATAAACTGGCAAGACATGCTTCAACACAACTAACATCTACCCGAATTGATGATTTCAGTGCTCTACACATTGCTCGAATCGCGCCATTTCGAAGCGAATCCATTGTATTTCGCCGTTTTGCAGTTCCATCAACATCTCTCCTATCATTTTTCAAATCCATTGCCGATTTTCCACGTTCAAGAGTCTGCAAAAATCTCGTCTTTTATTTAAAAAAAGTTTTCCTCTTATAAAAGATCTTACAGAATCTGAAGCTAATTTTGTGAGCATTGCAGCAGGTTCAAGAAGAAATCTTGACAAAATAGGAATAACTGTAGCTGTCGCAACTGCTGGAAATTTTTCAGCCAATTCTGCCAAACATGATAATGATTGAAGAGTTAGAGAAAGTTGGGAAACAATTAAGCGTTGGGTTGAATTTACAAAAAGTCGAGGTGATAAGCGAGAACAAATTGTGTCAGCATCTGGAAAATTATAAAAATATAAATACTTCGAATTATCATAAATAGCTTACCAATGTCATCAACAGCCGCCCATGTTATTAATTGTAATGCTGTTATTGTTGCTTGTAAATTCATCTTTGTTCTTGATAAACTACCAATTTCCTCAGAATTTATAGCAATTTGCATTTCACTTTTTGGATTATCCAAACGATGAAGAGCATTTGTTGCAAATGCATTAACTTCTTTAGCAAATCCATCAGAAATCGGTGAATTTTCGGATCTTTTCGTGACGTCATAAGGCGATAAAACATCTCGAAGTAAACAAAGACATGTTAATTGAATTGTTTCAGAAATTGTTCGATATGGGTTCCTTTTTACATCAGTTGTTTGACTTGAAATTCGATCAATTGATGTTAAAAATGTTGGTTCCATTAATCTTTGAACTGTGTCGAATAACTTTTCCAAATCATGTGATGTTATTGGTAATTTCAAACCGCCTGTGAAAGTTTGAACATTGAAACTTGCTCCATGTTTATTATATAATTTAACAAATCGAGAATTATCCGCATTTTCAACATCCAAATCATCAATTGTTTCATCTGTATTTATTCGGAATTCTGACACATTTTCTTTTTCGGATACAACGTCAGTTGGTAGAGGGAATATCAAATTTATCAATGATTTTTCATATTCGGCCGAAAATCTACCAATTGATCTGACAAGTCCAATTACATAACAAAGCAGTTTGAGAATATGTGAATTTTGTTGATGTTCAACACTTTCTTCGATCAAATCATGGATTTTCGAAACAGCACAGGCGAGAGTATCAACTTGTGCATTTATAATTTGTTCACGAAAAAATGGATTTCGAGCAGCGACATCAGATAAAACCGTATTGAAACAAAATGAAAACTGTTCTTGAATTGGAACTTCTGAAATCACATTTTATGTATTTCCAGACAAGCATTTTTACAGATATAAACTTACTATCTTGTTTATTAATAAGTCCATCATCAATCCATTTCATATTTGGAAGAGCATTCAATGCTTTCAATAACATCGGAATCAAATCATCCGCAAATTTTCCATGACTTCTCAACAAGAAAACACCAGTAGCTATCAAAGATGCTCTCACATTATGGCTCAATTGTTGATTATCAAATTCGGTTTCCGAGTTTCCAAGACTGAGCAATTGTCGAATTTGAGATAGTGTTGTTTTTTCGGATTTCGCTAAGCAGACAGCAATACATTGCTTATTTGTAAAAACAAAATCGTCGATTTCTCTCATTTCATTTCTCTGAAAAATAAAAATATTGAGTTGTTGCATGCAAAAAATCAGGAATTTTCATGGAAAAAATATGTGGTAAACGGAAAATCGATAATGCAAACCTAGTCCACGACCGCCTTGCGGAAAAAAAAGCTTTTAAAGTTGTGTACTCCATAGAGACAAATCTTCAAATGGAAAACTAATGACATACTTACTTTATCGAGAAGAGGTTCATTATTGTTTCAGAAATACATTTTCCTGTGTTTTCAAATTTTTCAAATGTATTTGGAAGTGGAAAACTGCGAGAAATGTTGGAATCTCATCGCGAAATCTATATTATCTAGAGTTCACGTTCGAAAATGGTTTCTGTGTGATTTCACTGACTGTGAAATGTTGACAAAAAATCTTGAACAAGATAATCTCACTGTTTTTTTTCAAAAAAAAAAGAAAAGAAAAGAAAACAACGACACTCCGTTGTTGACGACGCGCGCACTCTCCCGCGAAATCAAAATTTACGAAAAACAGTAAAAAATTTATTTTATTTTTCAGGTCTAGTCATAATTTACAAGAAATGTTGGAACAAATTGTTGTAATCTTTAGGTGTACATATTTCGATCATTGAATACATTGAAAGGTGCACACAGCAATTGTCCATCGATTGTTTCACACAAAACGTCATTTTCTGGAAAAAAAAAACAAACATCAACATGTTGCAGCATGGGATTTGCAAATATCCACAAAACATTTGAAATTTGATACTTGACTTGGCATTTTTAAAGTCATAAAAGTTCAAAAAACTAACCTGGTTCAATAGGTCCAGATCTTTTTCCATATCTTGGTAGACTTGCTCGACCGTATCTTGACAATAAAGCCGGCCTTTTGTCTGGTTTTTCTTGTGCAATTACCAAACAGAAAACAATGGCGAGAAGCAAAAATATTTGAACCCTTGTGAGCATATCTGAAAAAATAGAATTATGAGAAAACAGATGGAAGAAACATGCAAAGTTAATCAGGAGTTAAAGGAAGTTAGACAATTATTTCAGTTTTCCTCGAGGCTTACTGTCAAAAATAGTCCAATATGAAAGAAACCAGTAAAAATTCTGAAATCATGAAAGTTGATACGAGCTGAGAAAATCTTAAAAATTTTAAATTGTAAAAATTTGAAATTTGAGTTCAAAAAATGGATCAGAAAAATTTAAATACAAGTTTTTGCTGACGCAAATAAGAGAAAATTTCCAGAGCTTCATCTCAGCAAAAATGTGAAATGACCCGGAGATTTTAAATGTGATTTTATCTAATTGTGGGCGGAATTTTCCCAGCTTCTTCTCAGAAAAAAAATCCACTAAATAGTATTAAAACATCATCACGCAAAAAACGAAGTGAAACAGGGTAAATGTGGGAAAAATCTCGAATTTCATCGAAATTCGAGAAATTTGCCATTTTGTTGCTTTTTTGCACTGGATTCAATTTTGGTTGAATTGGACTTTTTTGCGTTTGACTGCAATATTTGTAAGGAAAAAATAATTGGAAAAACTACAGTAATCTATCTAGAAAAATTTTCTTTTCAGAAAAAAACCATCATCGAAAATATAAAAATAAAAATAAATTTGAGCAAAATTGAAGCCGCACGCAATTTTACGGTAAATATGTGAATGATTAAAATTTGTCGTGAGTAAAAAAAAATAATAATTGGATTGAAAAAAGTAAAAAACAAGAAAATATTGAGAATTTGTATATATTTTCTGGTGGGAAAACAAGGACAAAAAATATATTGGTCAGAATTCTACATAGAAATCAAGAAACAAATTTAAAGGTTTGGAAGACAACTGAAATAAAAGGTTGACAAGTTTGGTCACTTCTCCAGGTGTAAGTTGGTAATTTTTGATTTCATAATTATGACACTTACTTCAAAAATTATGAAAAAAAAGTCTAGAAAATTTTTCTCAGAACTTCAAGGGGATTTCGAAAATGCCAACTAATTTAAAATCCGTGTCTAGAAAGTGCATTTGTCAAGGATAGCTGCATGTAGAAAGGTGCTAGGAAAAATTGAGATTGTCTTATTAATAAAAAAAACAATAAAAACGGATTTTTGTAACATTCAAAGCTGAAACATTTTTCTGAAAACTAACATTGAAAAAATATTCGAAACTCTAAATTTCCCGGCTCTCAGATTTCAAATTATTTTTTCATTTTTTAAAATCATTAATTATCCTATTAGCTAAAAATTATGAGTTGAATTATTTTTCCAAAAATTTTATTTGTAAAAAATTACAAAAAAATTAGATAAAAATTTAAAAATTTTCTCGATTTTCTAGACTCCAAATTTGTTTTTTGTCTATTTTCTCATTTTTTTTCAATTTTAATTAATAACCAAATTTTATTACTTTTCTTCCAGGCTTCCTATTAGCTATAAAACTTTAATCCCCCTTCTTTCCTACTCAAAATCTTTTTCAGATTACTGTATTTTATTGAACCCATTATCTCACTTTTTCTTCCATCTTGTCCCTATATTTGTTCACAAATTCCAATTTCCTCTTAAAAATATATTACTTTTTCCTCTTTTCTGTTTTTTTCTTCAAAAAAGGCCCGAAGCATCAAATAATCCTTTTTTCTTTTTTTTGGTGCTTCAAAAGCACCCTCTAAAACCCTTTTCCTCATTATGAATCACACTCATCTATGTTTTTACTTCACTTTTCATTTTTTTTTTTGAAATGATGATTCTATCCCAATATTTTTAGGAAATGTCAAGTCGTCTACAAAATTTGCAAAATTGGACAAATAAAAATGTGTTCAGTAATTCGTTAGATTATTGGAATCAAGATTCTCATGAGGTTCCTTCATATCAAAATGCTCCGCCGGCTCAAGAATCTTATGGATCAACAATTGCACTTCAACCAATTCAAGAGTCGCCTGATTCACCAAAAGATCCAGCAAGAGAATCGGGAGGAAATGAAGAAGTTGATCCAGAAGCATCGGATTCTGAACCGATTTCTGGTAGGGGATTTTGAATTTTTAGAGGGAAAAAGAAAGACTTGGAATATTTAAAATTGAATTTTGAAGAAAGAACTACAGTAGTACTTTAGGTGTTCGGAACTATTTTATTTCTAATTTCAAAAAAATTTGGAAGTTCAAATAATTCTCAAAAACTTGTTCTAATCTGAACTTTCCTGTTTTCTGGTTCACAAACAATTCTGGAATTTTTTTATAATCAGACCACAGCTAAAGCCACCAGAATATCACATAAACTTCAGTTTTCCATTTTCAAGCTCTAATTTCAATATGAAAATAATTTAGAATTTTTCGATCATTTTTTGAGTCTTGAACAATTCTGGAATCTCTATATTTTGAAGCTCAACTTTCTTAATTTTTAGAATTTTGGATTTCCCCAAAACAATTAAAATTTCCAATGAAAATTTCAGCTCTCCAAGCCGCTTGGAATGTGACAAATGCAATTCAAGGAATGTTTATTGTTGGTCTTCCAATTGCAGTCAAAGTTGGTGGTTGGTGGTCGATTGGTGCAATGATTGGTGTCGCTTATATTTGTTATTGGACTGGTGTTTTATTAATCGAATGTCTTTATGAAACTACAGATGATTCGAAAATCGTAAAAGTTCGAAAAACTTATCGAGAAATTGCTGATTTTTATAAACCTGGATTTGGTAAATGGGTTTTAGCAGCACAATTGACTGAATTATTGTCAACTTGTATTATTTACCTAGTTCTGGCTGCTGATTTATTGCAGGTATTTTTAGGTTTTTTTCTGATTATTTTCTGAAATATCAAATTCCAGAGTTGTTTTCCATCAATGGATAAAGCTGGTTGGATGATGATTGTCTCTGCTTTTTTGCTTTCTTGCTCATTTTTAGATGATCTACAAATTGTCTCACGTCTCTCATTTTTCAATGCTATTTCGCATTTGATTGTCAATCTCATCATGATGATTTATTGCATCTCTTATATACCGTAGGTCATTTTGTTGAGAATGGGGAAATCATTGTGTTTCAGATCTTGGTCATTTTCTTCTGTCACTTTTTCATTGAATATAAATACGCTTCCAACAATTATTGGAATGGTTGTTTTTGGGTATACTTCACATATTTTTTTGCCGAATTTGGAAGGAAATATGAAGGTTTGTGGAAAAACAAGGGTTACTGTAGATAAAAAAGTTTGAAAAGAGATTGGGATACTGTAGTCTCAATGGAATTAAACAAGTTTGAGTTTGAATAGAATATTTTTGGAATTTTTTTGAAAAGCTGTGGAATAATTTTTTACAAAGTGATAATTAACGAAAATCAAGGAAAAATTTTTGAGAAAAAATTTAAGAATGAAAATTCTACCATACATGAAAATTCTAATTTTTAGGAAAAATAAATTCTGAATAAAAATTTCCCTCGGCTTTTCCAACAAAAAAAAATCATTGAAATGTTCGAATCCTAATTTCCTAAACAAATTTCCCACTATTTTCAGTCCCCCTCCGAATTCAATTGGATGTTAAAATGGTCGCACATCGCAGCTGCAATTTTCAAAGTTTCCTTCGGTCTTTTCGGATTCCTAACATTCGGCGAATTAACCCAACAAGAAATATCAAATTCTCTTCCAAATCAAGCTTTCAAAATTCTCGTAAACCTGATTTTAGTCGTCAAAGCTCTTTTGAGTTATCCCCTTCCATTTTATGCAGCTGTTCAACTCTTCAAAAATAATCTCTTTCTCGGATATCCAAAGACACCATTCACAAGTTGTTATTCTCCTGATAAATCACTTCGAGAATGGGCTTTGACTCTTCGAATCATTTTGGTTTTATTCACTCTTTTCATTGCGTTATCAGTCCCATATTTGATCGAATTAATGGGTTTAATTGGAAATATTACAGGTACATTTGAAGGTTTCTTTATCATAATTTAAATAAACATATTCAGGAACAATGTTATCATTCATTTGGCCAGCTTTATTCCATCTTCATATAAAAGGAGCAAAATTGGTCAACATTGATAAACGGTTCGATCAATTTATAATTGGAATGGGATGCACTGTGTGTATATCTGGTGTTTATTTCTCAACAATGGAATTAGTTCGTGCAATCAATGCTGCTGAGAGCTAATTAGTTAATTATATAATTACTAAATTAATTTATTATAATTTATAGATAAATTGTAGCGAACTGCTTATTTTCTCTAAATAAAACCCTATTTTTAGGCGTTTCCGCCTTTTCAAAAATTCAAGAAAACTAAAAGTTCCTGCATGATTCGATCAAGCGGGTACACTTTTTAGTTATCCTTATCATGACATACATACAAAAGGACCCAAATGTAATGACCCCCTCAATGTTTCTTTAAAAATTCTGAATATAAACAAAATACCTCACCGACAAATTACAAGATTCGCCAATCGCTATCTTCTGTGTGTGCCTTGAGGCGTTTTCTTTGAACGTGAAAGAAGCTCCTCCAATAATAGAAGTTGAACCAGTCCTGATCATAGTAAATTAATTACTCAAGTGTTCAATTAATTTATTATGATGTATGTATAGACAAATTGTAGTGTACAAGGAATGAATAAAATGAAATGAAGTGCTTGTTTTATTTTGTCCACGAAACTTTTGGAATATCATTGAATTCTGTCATTTCTTCCATTTGTTTGTTGAATTTTTCGACTTTTTCGCGATGTGATTCGGCGGCTCTTTTCAGCATTTTTTCTGCCTGTAATTGCAAAAAAAAATAAGTCCGGGGTTGAAAAATCTAAATACTGAATGGGAATATTTTAAAATTTTGTTAAGATTTACAAATTCATAACTAAAACATCGCAAAACCTGATATTTTTAGGTCAAAATCAAGGGTTCAAGAGTCTTTCTAAAAAAACTCTGGAAAAATCATCATACTGAAATCAGGATCTCTAAATATTTGACTAAAAATAATTTCAGACAAAATCTTTAATTTAATTGGAAGAAATGCGTGACATCGACGTGGCAATTGAAAAAAATTCATTTTTCAAATGTACACGTTTTGAAAATCATTTCCAATTTATTTAAATTCAAAAAACTCACCATATTTGCTTGCCTTCTCTCTTCAAATCGTTTTTCAGCATCGGTTTTTTTCGAAGTTGAAGTCGATGCAGTTTCACTTCTAGAAAAAAAATCAGGCATATTTTCCAAGATATTCCAATAAATAACCAACCTTTTAATAGTGATATCAATTTGTTTTGGATCGACGCTCTTCTTTTTCTTCTTGAAAACATCTCCGCCTTTTTTCAGCTTCAATCCTCCTTTAATCACGGTTTCTTTCGCCATTTTCGACCTCAAATAAACGACGAAAAAATGCGAAAATAAAACGCTGTTCGCTGGAGCGCATTTTTTCGTTTGAGATATTCAAGATGAGGTTTTCAGACCTTTTAATAAACAAAAATGTGGAAAACAACATAACAAATATTAAAACTTTATTCGATTTAATCATCAATTTTCAATGTATTAACAGGAGCAAATTTCGGTTTTTTCTGAAAAATTAGCAGTTTTTTGTTTAAAAATTGAAAAAAACTTACCCAAAATTCTATGAAATTGTCGCCAACTTTTCTGCGATGTTCAAACCAATTAATAATCAAACTATCATCGCAATGATAATGATAACAAAGCTGAAAATATTTTATTTATTTTTATATTTTTCAAATGGGGTGATTCAAGTCGAAAAAAAAACTAAAAAAAAATTTTTTTTACAAAAAAATTCGATTCAGCAAATGTCAAAAAACTCTATTTTTTCCACACAAAAATGAGAGATATCTCGCAGCGAAAATGTTTCAATGAAAAAAATGTCAAAAAATGTCGAGAAATAGTAAAAAAATATAGTTTTTTGACATTTGCTGAATCGAATTTTTTTGTAAAAAAAAACGTTTTTTTTTTAGTTTTTTTTCGACCTGAATCACCCCAAAAATTAAGAATACCTCTCGAATTTTTTCGGCGCTGAGATTCGGACATTTTTTATATTCTTCATTCAATCGAACCAACATGGTTTTGGTGATTTTTGTATTTCTTCCAAGATCCGAATATCTTCTATGATCCATAAATCCAATACTTGGTGGCAAAATCGGAATATCGAAATTGAATCGAACAGTATTTCGAACAAATCGTGGATGTGTATTTGTTTTATCACTAATCTAACAAAAAGTTCAACTATACACTAATTATTTAGAATTTTCCTTACCAAATGCACATATGCTCTACTAATTTCAGTGCCTTCAATTTCGTTTTTATATGTTTTCAGAAACGCTCTCACACCGGCAATTTTCTTCAATCCTTCAATCACAGATATTTGCTGCATTTTCGCTTGTTCACGCCGTTTCAAATTAATAATTCGATTACAAATATCATCGGGATAACATAAGACTTGATCTGTTCTTCGACGTTTTTGCAAATATCTCACAACTGCTGAATATTTTCGACCAACTGTATTCGATATCTGCGAAAAATAGGTGAATTGGGGGAAAATTGAATGGAGTTCTAGATACCTTGATAATATCCTCAATTGTTGGATGGTTGTTTTCAAGATAAAAATCATTGAGAAATTGAGTTGTCTCTTGATATTCGCTCTATAAAAAAGCATTTTTTTTTAATTCTAAAAAAAATTAAAACTTACAAAATTTTTATAGAGATCACAACTGAAGGATTCGATGTTTTGCTCATCTCGCTCAAAATCTTCAAAAAAATAACATTTAATTTTTTCTCGGGAATCTAAAAAACTCACATTTCTCATTTTCCTCAAAAGTATAAGAAGATAATAACATATTCCTAACATAAACTGATAATTTGCTCTCATTAGTTTCAGAAGTACTTGGCTCATCAGGCAAATCTTCTGAATCCAGATCAATTTCCTGTTCCTCGTCTGAATTCGATTCATATCCTGGTGAATCGGTTCTCGATCGTTTTGCTTGATTTTCATATTCGCTCATTTCTCGGAATCTTTTGGCGGCTTCGATCAGTGCTTCTTCATAAGTTTCTGGCGTTGAATTCCACCTCTATAAATTTATATGATTATTTTGAACACTATTTTTAATACTTACCAATGCACGATCATTCAAATATTTACTTTGTTGTTTTGTAGTCAACGTCACTTTGTAATCTTCCTTGTTCAGAACTACTTTCAGATCCTGGAAAAATCCAAATTAAATTAGTTTGAGAATAAACAAGAAAAACTCACACATTCATATAATGGGAAACATCGTCCCACAAGATAAACTATACGATTTTTTGCTTCTCTGTCATCACTTACACGACAATTTGAACATTTCATAGATTTCTGAAAATTCTTCTTTAATAAAGTTGTTCTCTTCATTAAAAAAAAATACTCACGTTGAAAGTTGTTGATTGAGAATGTTCGCAGGATTTTGTGTCAAAACATTCAAAAAATGACATATCGTGAGATTGAGCATGTTTTATGACTGAAACTTTGTACATTTTCTGTCCGCATAAATGGCAAATCAATTGGACAGAGTTCAGATTAGACGTCGGGCCGAAATTTGGAGTTGCAGTTTGTTTCCAATACATATGATCGTTGAAATAATTATTATATACTTGATTTGTTTCCTGAAATTAAAATGTTGTATTTCTGAGCAGGATCTTTGAAACTTCAAAAAACACTCACCTCATCAACTTTCAGCGGCACACTATCATCTTTCAAAGACCAGTCATCTTTGAAACATTCAAGTTCAAAATGTTTCATACAAATCAAAGGATTCGTCATATTCCTAGCTCGTTCGTAAAATTCTTCACTGAGTGAATGAGCCCAAAATTCGGGGAATTCTTTGAACGTATCACAATTTTTGAATGGCACCATATTCACATCCGATTCACAACTTCCACAATACGAACATGTGCTGATCGCAAGCATTTTCGCAACAAAACTGTCTTACAGTAAAAAACGCAGAAAAAAAGCGCCCATCATTCCGCATTTTCTCGTGTATTTGTGTGTTTGCTGTGCAAACACAATTGACAATCGAGCACATTTTCTCGTTTTTGTGCAACAACACTCCGATCAATGCCGCTGGCGCGAAACATTCAATTCAAAATGTTCTGTTTTTTTGTTTCCCACCGCACCGCCAGTCCTCCCTCATTTTGTGTCGTCACACATATTTCTGCCTACAAATGTAATGTGTGTGAGTGTGTCTGTGCTTCGTTTTGGCGGGCAAAGTGAGGCGGAGCGATAAGTGACCGATACGAGACGGCGCGAACAGTGTACATTTGAAAATGATGGCTTTTGGCGCCAAATTTAGACGAGCGATATGAAACGAAAAGTCTTTTCATTTTTTCTTCAGTGTTTCTTTCAGTTTTTTGAAGGGTTTGTGAAACTGAGTGTTGAGGAGCATGTTCTAATAAGTCGCTGTAGTTTCAAAGTTTAGAAAATGAAATTTAAATAGCATCTAATGCATGATTGTGAACTCTAGGTCTTAGAATTGTGTGCTCGAAATAGATCTCTTTTTTTAACGAAGTGTAGAACCTTCAGTAGTTTTCGACAAATCGAGTAAGATTAGGATGTCAGAAACTACTTATCCTGAATCTCAACATACAAGAACTAGTCGCTCTGGGGATCTTCTTTGCTAATCAAAATTTCAAAAATGTAAGATTCTCACCTTAAGAAGCAAAACCTAAACGTTAACTATTTGAAAAGCCAGATCACGTATGAATCTGAACGTAAGTTTCACCATGGAAAAGTATGGAATGATCGTGACTATAATTATTTCGATCTTGAAAACTCACCTTTCGAAATTTTCTGAAAATTAGAAATGACCGTTTTTCAAAATAAATATTTTTTTCACGCCAAATTGCTATTTTTTATTTTCGAATTAGATTTGAAAATTGTTCTTCATGAACTTTTTCATCATCTCATTTATTCTATATACGTTCTCTTATCGTCTTTTTTGTTGTATTTAGCACATGACCTTCTGGTCATTTGAATAAGACATTCATAACAAAATAAATTTGTGACGTCACAGCTGGTCACCAGTTGTGACGTCGACAAATCACCATTAACACCATAGCTCCGCCCAATCATTAATGACGAAATGCCCACTATAAAAGCTCTATTAGTTTTCATTTCTATATACATATTCGCTCTCTCTGCTAACTGTTATTATTTTCAGAAACAATGACCCTTTCCGAGATTCAAAACCTTCCACAGCAAAATCAGGTAAGTAGTGAGCACACAACGATGCTCCAACAATGACATGGCTCTTTTGAGCTCAAGTCATATGTTTTTGACCAAATTGAATGAATTTTATTCAGCTTGCGGCAAAGGAATTGTTGAATGGTAAATCGGAGCACGAAACAAATGAGACAAATGTTGTTCAAGAGGTAAATAAAAAACAAAACAGAAAATCTAAACGAATATCTTCTAGGAAAACAAAATTCATCCAATGGATGCCAATGAACCACTTCTCCAAGATTTGGACAATCGATTCGTTATTTTCCCACTCAAACATCATACAATTTGGGAGTTTTACAAGAAGGCTGTTGCATCATTCTGGACTGTTGAAGAAGTTGATTTGGGAAAAGATATGAAAGATTGGGAAAAAATGAACGGAGATGAACAATTCTTTGTTTCTCGTGTTTTGGCATTTTTCGCTGCTTCTGATGGAATTGTCAATGAAAACTTGGTGAGTTTCTGAAAGATCTTAATCAAATAAACCAACAACTCATGTTTTTAGTGCGAAAGATTCTCGAATGAAGTCAAAGTCTCAGAAGCTCGATTCTTTTATGGATTCCAAATTGCAATTGAAAACATTCATTCAGAAATGTATTCAAAATTGATTGAAACTTATATTCGCGATGAACAAGAAAGACATTCACTTTTCAATGCAATTTTCGAATTCGAATTCATCAAAAAGAAGGCTGATTGGGCATTGAAATGGATTTCTGATAAAAATGCATCATTTGCTGAAAGATTAATTGCATTTGCTGCCGTCGAAGGAATATTCTTTTCCGGCTCATTTGCCTCAATTTTCTGGTTGAAAAAGAGAGGATTGATGCCAGGATTGACTCATTCAAATGAGCTCATTTCAAGAGACGAAGGACTTCACCGTGATTTCGCTTGTCTTTTGTATTCGATGCTTCAAAATAAGTTGAGCCAAGAACGAATCTATGAAATTATCAAAGATGCCGTCTCAATCGAACAAGAATTCTTGACTGAGGCTTTGCCTGTTGATATGATTGGTATGAATTGTCGACTTATGTCACAATATATCGAATTTGTTGCTGATCATTTGTTGGTGGAATTGGGATGTGACAGAGTGAGTTTTGAAACAACTTTTTATTTTTATTCGTAAAAAACTACTGAATGAATAAAAAACATTGAAATTTTTCAGCTCTACAACAAGAAGAATCCATTCGATTTCATGGAAAATATATCAATCGACGGAAAAACAAATTTCTTCGAGAAACGTGTTTCCGAATATCAAAGACCTGGTGTTATGACAAAAGAATCTGAACGTCAATTTGATCTCGAAGCTGACTTCTAAACAATATCGATTTAGGAATCGTTAATCCTTATTTTACTCACTTTCTAACTTCCTGCGGGTTGTTTTCTGTTTTTCATTTTTTTTTATATGAACTGATTGCTTTTCTTCATGATATTTTGTATTTATTTATTTATTTATTCACTTTTGTTTTAAATATGAATCATCATTTTTCTCGATGGTGTAGATTTATGAACTGATGTGATGTGAAACCAAGCTGAACAAACAAATAATATGGGGTCCCTTTTTTTGAATCTTTTTTTGATTGATTGAGAATTTACCACAATGATATTACTATTTTTGCTACCTTTCATCCAAATGTGTATTTCACAATTACTTTGTCCAAATTCTGGAATTCCGTTTGATTATCAAAGTTGTGATCCAAATGTGAGATCAGAATGTCCAGCTGGATTTACTTGTCGAAAATCGACGGATACTTCATCGAATTCATCGAAAAATCTTTGTTGTGAATCTGGTTCAATGACTATTCAAGATTGTAAGTTAGCTGAACTAGAACTTGTCGTAAAATTTCAATTTTTAGAAAATTGATTTTCTATTTAAAATTGAATTATTTTTTCAAAAAAAAATCAAACGTGACCAGTTTCTATTCTATTCAAAACCGAAAATTGTATAAAATCTCAGATCTTCCATAAAAACTAAAGTAATTTTTCAAACTATACTTTCAGATATCTGTAACCAAAATCCTCATTTTTCCAGGGCTGACAAAAGAAAATTTGTATCCGAATATTTTCCCACAAATTCCTTACAACATAATCGACGAACTTCAACTAACTCCAATCACAACAAATTTCAATTTTCCATCAATTCACATTGGCGACGAAATTGTTACATTGAGTTTTCCAAATTATGTGACAGCAACTATCGAATATTTAGCATTGAATAGTTCAGTTGATGTTGGATATGTTCATGTGGTTACAATTATTGGTGAGAACATTTTAATGGGGGTTTCGAACCAAAACATTTTCTGTGTATAGGAGGAATAAACATGTTAATTTCAAATGTAGGAACATCTTCGAGATAGCAAAGAAAAATTTCATAAAATACCCGGAAATTGAGAAAAAAGTCTCAAATTTTCAGACCAGTAAGTTTCCCAAAATATTTGATCCAAAAAATTTGGATCTTTTTCCCTATGCATTTCTAAAAGAAACTCTCGATCATCCTTGATGATGTTTTTCTTCAGATGGATCTTATAAACCATTCGCAGTTCTTGTCAATTACAATGTTCCAATAACTCAATCAACTCAATATATAAATGTCTCAAATTCACAAAAGTTCGTGGCATATTTGGATAATTCGACATTTTTGAACGCCCAAGATTCATGTTTGTTGTTTTTCAACTGAATTTATAAAAAATCCACTAACTTTTTTCCAGATCGCTCACAATACACAGTATTTCTTTATTACACACCGGCTCAAATTACGTTCTCGGGAAACACGCCACGTAAGAAACAATTTTAGAAGTTCTTTTTTATTTTAAAAAAATTGCAGAAGAAATGTTGTTGGGAAACTGTGCCGATGCGAAATGTATGTTTTCGAATTCGCCATTTTCAGCGAAATTGAATCAGCCAACTTCTGGAACTATTTTTTATGTGAGTTTTGGAGAGGTCTTTATGAGAATTGAAAAATAGGGGATTCAGACTTGAATGGGATCATGAATTGTTTCAAATATTCTTTTCTGAAGTCAAAATCCAAATTTTTTTAGAGACAATCGAAATTCATGTGATACAGAATTAAATTTTGAAAAAAATTGATCAAATTTTCGTCAATCTGAAAAAGCAAACCTATTTTCAATTTCACTTTGGAAATGTTTCATATTTTCCAACTAGTTTTCTATTTTCTTCCAGCTTACAACAAAAAACACAATTTTCGGAACCGAAGGATCAATTCAACGTGATTCAACAAATCAATCTATTCTTCCTAATCTTTTTGTTGTATTTTTCATTTTTATTTGTCAAACATTTTCATTGTTCTAACACAATTTTTTAACATTTCATTTCATTTTAATAAACATTGTTTGATCAACTGCCTTTTTTCAAGTTTAAAATCTCTGAATTTGTTTCAAAAAACTCTTTGTGAAATGTTTCACAGAATTATTTTTCTCTCCCTATTTTTAATTGTAAACATACAGTCTGAAGTTATTTCTGGAGATGTTGGACATGAGTTAGATTATGATGTTAATTCGATTCCAGAATATTCCCAACCAAGTTTTGATTTAGCACAAATTTTGGTATGTTCATGTTCTTACGAAAAAAACATTTCGGATTTTTGCAGGCAAATATTCCAACACTTCCACCTTTCGAATTTCCAACCATCGATCCGAATTTCTGGGTAAGTTGAAGGAAAACTATCTAGAAAATATTGCAAATTTAATTTTCAGCAAAATTTACCAACACTTCCCCCATTACAATTTCCAACACTGGACCCTGATTTTTGGGTATGTAAAATATGACCAAAAAAATAAAGAACGGTTTTCTGAATTTCAGAAAAATCTACCAACATTGGCTCCCATCGAAATTCCAACAATTGATCCTGATTTTTGGGTAAGTTTAGGGGAAAAATGGAAACTGTTTTCGAAAATGAATCCAGATTCGCATGTTCGAGATGCCTTATTTGAAAAAAGAAATCTCGCCACGCCAACCTGATTTGTTTTCAGAAAAATCTTCCAACTTTAGCCCCTATCGAAATTCCAACAATTGATCCCGATTTTTGGAAAAATCTAGTAACTCTCGCCCCAATTCCAACACTTGATCCAAACTTTTGGAATAATTTGATAAGCGCAATCCCAACTATTGATTGGCAAAACCTTCCAACAATTGCACCAATAACGTTTCCGACTCTGCCACCATTTGTAAGTTTATATTTTTTATCAAATCAATATATTTTTCCTCAGACTATACCAAGTAAAGCGGATACTTGTACATATAAACTTGCTGAAAAAATACGAAATGATTCAAGTTTTGCAAATTCTCTCAATTATACAGATGTTCAACAGACTGTTAACACTTTGAAAACTCAGGTATTTTTATTTAAAATAAAATCATTGTTTTTATGAAAACTATAGGAATATTTCAGGCCTCAACTCTTTGTACATCAACCCAATCCACAAAATTGAATGCACTTATTGTGAGATATTCCTCCCTTATAACATCAACTCAACAAATTGTGCCATATTTGACAACTTCCCAATTACAAACTTTTCTTTTAAATATTCTTGATGGCGATTCAAATGCTGTCAATACATTTTTATTTGGAAAAGTTATTAAAAATATTGGAAATATGACAATAAGTTCGAAATTTTCTACAGTATCTGGACAAATTGGTCTTCTTCAACTTGATTTAGCATTTAATCCTGTGTGAAATCTTTTTTTTTTGGTTCTTTACATTTGAATAAAAAGTTACCACGGTAGATGCGGTAATGAAAAACTTGTTATAGTGCATTTTGAATTTTGATTTTCAATTCTTGTGTTCTACTCTCACAACATTTATCAAAAAAAAACAAATTGAAAGAGGAAAAATTATTTTTCCAACAGAATAAGGAAATCCGGAAATAATCAGGATTAATGAAAGACTCGGATGTTTCAGACTAGAATTTTTTCATTGAAATCTTATTCCAACCATGAGGCTTGAAAGAAATCTAGGCTTAAAATCTAAGGCTCGAAGTCTAGGCTTGGAAGAAAAAAATTGAAAAAAATTCAAAGGTAACACCGTCGAATATTTTCGAAAAAAAAATGGAAGTTGATCATTTTCTGAAGTTTTCCCTCGCGCATTTGATAAAAATTCCTAAACTCTGAAGCAACACCTAATAAAAATCCTTTGCCACCTCTTCTCTGGTGAATTGAGATTTTTGCAAAATTTTTCAGAAAACCTGTCCTTTTCTCATGAAACTAAATGAGACACGGAGATTGGTTGTGTTCAATTTTGGGTGCAAGAAAGAGAAGTCATTTCTCAATTTCTGCATAAATTAATGAATATGTTCTTTTTTCTCCCGAGTTGTCAATATATGCTCACGCTTCAATATATATATATATATTCTATATGAATATATATTCTCATACGAGCAGCATTAATATATTGACCACACCGAAAAAAGGCAAAAAAGGAAGAAATGAAAAAGAAGGCGACACAGCACACCTGCTCTTTTTCTCTTTTTTTTTTGTTCGTCCCCCCGTTGAAAGAGGACCCTTTTCTACCTGCTTTTGCCTACTCTCTGCCAACCAAAATTTTTGAAATATTTGTAGCCAGAAGAAGAAGAAGCAAACTACCACTTTCGTTTCTCTCCTATTCATTCATTCATGTCTACCTAGAAAAAAGTTTGTGAAATTTTTTTGAAAAACATTTTGTTTCAGATTTTATCTGGTACAGTAGTCAGTACGGTTAGGAAAACTATTATTTGAGAATTTTTGAAGTAAAAATTTGAACTGAAAATTATGATAAAAAATTTTCCGAACGTTTCAAAATTAAAAACATGTCTCAATTTCAGGTGAAAAAATTTAGAATTCTAAATTTAGAAGATCAGACTTTCTTTGGAAAATTTTTATTGTCAGATCAAAACTTCTTTACTGTTCTGAAACGAGCAAATCAGAATTTCATTGTGAGATCGATATCACCAGTTTAATAGAAAACTTCAAGTTTAGAAACTTTTCACAGGATGACTCATAAACCTATTTATATCACCTTGTAAATGTTAAACTGCTTTATCAGACTGTTTCAATCATAACATGAGTCATTTTTACATCCTATTTTCCTATTTTCGCTTTTCGAAATCCAGAAATTATTTTTTTATATTATTTCATGACAAAATGTCACACTTTTTGGTTTTTTCAAACATTTTGAGTCCAGATGTTTGCAAGTTTTTTTCTCATTTCTCTTTTTTTTGGACACTTCTGTTCCTAAATATTTTCTTATTTTTTCGAGATTCAATTCAAATCAAGAAATCATAAATCTCTCATTTCCTTTTCTAAAAACACACGATCATTTCCTATTTTCCCGCCATTCTCCAATTTTTCCATGAATTTGGCTTGTTTTTTTATTTTTTCATTTTTTCTAACTGACTAAACATCAAAAGTGCACAGGTAACCAGAAACCAAAAGTGTCAACTTTTTCCCTATTTTTTTGGCGTCAAGATATTTTTGGAATTATTCTATGCGAAACATGATTAAGTTTCTTTTTATTGGTTTATGACATAATTTTTAGAACAAAAAATGAGAATGAGAATCGATTGTTTGCTTGTTTTTTTGTGGGGGATTTTCGAGAATTTTTATGGGAAACATAAAAATATTCAAAAAAGGGAAAAAGAAAAACAATAAACTTTTGGCAAAAAGGTTCCTCGAATTTATGAACTTTTTTCTTCTAAATTTTTTTCAAGAGCAATCCTGGACCGTTTGTATTTGACTTCTTCCAAATAGCTAAATATCAAACTTTTTCTGGTAGATCGAAAATATGTTTCTAAAAATATCTCACTTTTGAGTTGACTTCAATTTTCGGGTAGTAAACTACACCTAGACATCCTTCATCAATTCCTATTCATAAAGTTTATAAATGAAGGTGTTGGAAAAAAAAATATAATTCTGTTTTTTTTTAGAAATATATTCGATTACTGTAGATTTTAAAGTGCGTGGGAATTTTTTTCTAGTATTTTTTTCTGGAAAACTTTGCACATTTTTATGAGCCTGATGTTTGATAATTTTTTAAGACGTTGATCACAACTTCGTAGTCAAATTCAAATTAGATCAACTCGGAACATTACATTAGGAAGGAAGTAGCTCAGTTTAGAAAAGCACTCTGACTACCTTTTCGAAATAATGAAAATTTTTCGATTCATGTGAACTTCTCAACCCAGATTTCAAATAGAGACGAATTTAAAAATGACAATCAACTACTGAAGTTTTCTGTTTCAGAATTCAAAAGATTTCAAAACCTTGCGGTCACATTTTTCTATAAAGTTCGAATTTATCTGCTTCTCCCAATCTCATTTTGAATCAAATCATTTTTTGTTGAAACCCCTCCACTTTCACATCATAATCTATCCATGTTAATATGAAAAATATTTGTCAATAGTTGCTAGCAGCTCACAGCGATTATTATCCGAAAGTATCCCCGCCGAAAAAAAAAAGAATAAGATGACGAATGGATTTTTTCTCCATAATCTTCCTATTTTTCCGTGTGTTGGTTTTTTGTGTTGCTTTGTTATTTTTTCTTGTTTTTGTTCAGCATTCGAACGAACAAATCGCTTCGTCAAAATAATCATTTACAATTCAGTCAGACACACTTTTTATTCCAAAAAATAAAAACCAAAACCTCGAGAGCTAAGCAAAAACCCATTCCAAAAAAGGCGCAAAAAGCTTGAACTAATTAAATTTTATGATTTCGATAGATAATTATATATACGAAAGAAAACTGTTATTTTCTCTATTTTCTCACAATTTTCTATTTTATTTCCATTCATCTAATCCGTTCGTTTTCGTGTCTTTTTCAATAGGTTACCATGGTTTCTGAAGAAGTGAGCAAACGAGGAGCCCGCCTACCTTTTTCGCCTTTTTCCCTCTTTCTTTCCCCATATTTTTCATCTGATCAATATAAAATATTTTTATTTTATTTTCATAAAATATATTTTTGAGGGCTCTTCGAAAATGACGGATGATGTAGATGGACATATTCATGATAAATTCGAATTGCAGGTTTGTTTTTTTTTTTTGAGAAATTTTTATTTGTAAGAAAAAACAATTGAGAATTGTTATCATTTTTATTGGAACAATTGTTTTCCGAAAAAAACGGAAATGAATTTTTTTTTTTGGAAAACTTCCGAAAAATATTGTAAACACATTTTGAAATGAAGAGAGGGAGGTGTATTTGAAAAAGGGATACATGAATTCGCAAAATAATGAATCGGACCAGGTTGATCAATTTATTGTAGAAATCTCGGACCTGAATCATACAAGAACTAAATTTTCTTCTGAACTTTTGAACCGGACTAATGTTTCGAAAAAGTGGATTTCTCTCAAAAAAGAGCATCAAAATTTCCACCAGGTTTCTCCCATTCATAATTTTGATCGGAAAAAATACGGTATCCCCCCCCCCCTTCATTTTTCCAAAGTGTTTTGTTCTCACGATTCAAAAAAAAGCAAAAAAAAAAATTATGAATCATTCTGGATAATAACTTTAATCCCCTCCAAGCCCACGCAAACTAACAAATAATATTTTTTTTTCATCTAGAAGCGACTTGGAAAAGGTGCCTATGGAATAGTGTGGAAAGCGGTTGATAAAAGAACAAAAGAGGTTGTGGCGTTGAAGAAAATCTTCGATGCATTTCGAAATCCCACAGATTCGCAGAGAACTTTTCGAGAGGTTATGTTTTTACAAGAATTTGGCAAACATCCAAATGTCATCAAATTGTATAATATTTTTCGAGCGGATAATGATAGGTGAGTTAGAGCGCACATGCTCTTTTTGTCATTTGAAAAACATTGCGGGAAATATGTATATTTAAAATTTGAAAACATTTTCCAGGGATATTTATCTAATTTTCGAATATATGGAAGCCGATCTACACAATGTTATCAAAAAAGGAACAATCTTGAAAGATGTCCATAAACAATATATAATGTGTCAATTGTTTCGGGCTATACGATTTCTTCATTCCGGAAATGTTTTACATCGGTAAGAATATAGTTATTTCCTGTTGTTTTTATGTCCTTTTCTTTTCTTCTTTCTTTTTTCTTCTAATAATAGCAAACTTTAGTCGATAATTATATATGTGTGAAGGTTTGCAACAAATGTAAATATGAATGCATGAATTTTTAAATGCCAGGTGACACCTTATGGTTGGTTGAATGAGGAAGCAGGCATAAAGTAGAACCAGAATTTTATATACGTGCTCAAAAAAAGATGATGATGATATACATAAATCTATTACTTATTCCAGAGATCTGAAACCCTCGAATGTTTTGCTGGATGCAGATTGTCGTGTAAAGTTGGCAGATTTTGGACTTGCTCGCTCTTTGAGTTCACTCGAAGATTATCCGGAAGGTCAAAAAATGCCCGAATTAACTGAATATGTGGCAACAAGATGGTATCGAAGTCCAGAAATTTTGCTGGCAGCAAAAAGATATACGAAAGGTGTTGATATGTGGAGTTTAGGATGTATATTAGCGGAAATGCTGATTGGAAGAGCATTATTTCCTGGTTCATCAACAATTAATCAGATTGAGCGGATTATGAATACGATAAGTAAGCCAACGAGGAATGATATTACTAGTATTGGGAGTTATTATGCGGCATCGGTTTTGGAAAAAATGCCGCAAAGACCGAGGAAACCATTGGATCTTATAATACCACAAGCATCTGGATCAGCAGTTGATATGATTCAAAGGTATGACAGATTGAATGGTCTTTGAGAAAAGCGTGATTTTTCGTGTCAAAATCTCAATGATGCTCTAATTCGGAAATTTGGGAAAAAAATGATTTTTTTTCGTTTATTCCAGAATTTGAAAATTTTTTTAAAACAAATTTAAAAGAAATTTTCGGCGAGAAAACTGCCGAATGTTCATAAACAACCTCACTTCACAAATTTCTAACTAACTTCCTTCCACCTTTTATTTGTCTTACAGATTGCTGTTATTTGCCCCACAACGAAGATTAACTGTAGATCAATGTTTAGTACATCCCTATGTTGTACAATTCCATAATCCATCTGAAGAACCAATTTTACAATACGAGGTTAATTTACCATTGCCTGATCATATTCAATTAACAATTGATGATTATCGAAATCGTCTTTATGAAATGATTGATGAAAAGAAAACAAGACGAATTCAACACGACAGAATTAAAATGGTAAAGTTTTTGAAGAGAAGAAAAAGGTTGGGGCAAGTGGTAAAAAATCACGTAGAATTTAGGGTATTTCGAAATATGTACACAGTAAAGAAATATTTCTCAAAAAAAAATTCAGAAAAAAAAATCCATTCACTTCAAGGGAAACTTGACAGTCAACTTTTTCTTTTAAAAATTGAATTCTTTCCCACTCAAAATATACATTTTAATTTCCAGGAAAATGATCGGAGCCGTGCTCCAATTGCTCAAGCAGAATGTAGTGATACCGATTATGATACGGCTAGAAGTTTAGCAAGAGCAACTAGTGTTGATAAAAATAGTAGTTCGCTAGAAAGTTCGAGTGGCACTTTGAGAGGTAAGCTTGTATTATTCATTTGAAGGGAATCAATCAATAATTCTAGAACGTGCACAATCAGCAGATAGTCGAGCATCTTCAAAAGATTCGAATGCAAATTCATCTTATACAAAACAAAATGGAACATTTTCAAATAATTCGAGCACAAAACAAAGACGTCGTTCGATTGAAAGATCTCGTCTTTTTGCCAATATGAAGTCTTCAAAAATTCTTCATCCACACAAATTAATATCAAATTATTAATTAGTAATCTAATTAGTCATAATTCCAATAATTAGTCATTTTGTGATGTCAAAACGAATACTTCTAGTTGTTTTTGTACTTGTCTTGTCTTTCTTTTTTCTCTGATAGTATCATCTAATAATCATTCCCCATTAAATTACATAGTTATTCATGTTTTGTGTTTTTTGTGAAAAAACGGGATAAACAGTGTTATTCTATGACATATTGTGAATTTGTGAGAATGAAAAAGAAAAAAAAGAGAATATGACCGGAAATAAGAAACGTTCGAGTTCTTTAAAATTGTTTCATTTTTTGCAAGGTTGAAGATTATTGAGGCGAAAAAAGGGGAAGTCTCAAGAAAAAAGTTGGGTTCAAAAGTTCTCGGAAAAAATATTAGTTCATGAGTTGCGGTAAAAAAATCCACGTAGATTTTCTCAATAAAAAAATTCACTGGCAAAAATAATGCAAGAATTCAAAATTTTCAGAAATGCCAAAAGATGGGCTCAAAAAGATTGGGGAAAGGGAAAATTGGATGGATGTAACAATTTTTGAGAATTCAGAAATCTTTGATCCGTGTTTTTCTCGTACGCGGAATCTGAATGTCTAAATTCGAAGAATTGAAAAACATTTCATTTCCAAGTCTGTCCGAAAACGCCAGACACGCGCCTATGTTTTTTTGTGTTTTGTGCAACTAAATAGATTTTGACGAGTTAGCCTAACTTTTTTCAATTTTTAAAGATTTTTTTCATAATTTTCATATATTTTTTAAATTTTACAGAATTTTTTATGGATTTTTTAATTTTTCCGAAATCCTTCCCCAAAAAACTCACCAATCGCTTCTATTTTTCAATTCATACAAAAATCATCTAAAATTCGAAAATCACAATCAAATCCTTGATATATCCGAAATCCTCCAAGTTTTCCACGTCATTGACATTGAAATCGAATTGTCCATGAACATTTCGAGCTGAAAATCAGAAAATTTGAGTTTGTTATGTACCATTGAGTTCTGTTAACTGCATTTGTGTTTCTATAGATTTCTGGGGTCTTTCTGGGTCTCACAACAATTTTCCAGTAATTTTTCAGAGGTTCACAGCAAAATCTTACCCAAACCCACTTTCCATCGATTATTGAGTAAAAAATCCAATAATATCCCAACAGTTTTCAAGAAATCCGATGTTTTTCATTGAAAAAGTCGCTTCAAAGTCAACCAATAATCGTTGCTCTCACATTTAAAATCATTTTTGACTCTGAAAATTCAAAAATTTCAATCGAAACAGTGTTTCTCAAGAAAAAACCCCTGATTTCGAAATTTTCGTGAAATTTCACGAAAAAAAAACCGAATTGAAAAAAAACGAGAGAGTGTTGCGTCTAGAAGAGACGAGGAGAAAAAGAGAGAAAATGAGAGATAGAAAAGTGTAAGAGAGAATGCCAGACAACACGACTTTTGTGAATTTTTCGCAACCCCAAAACCATTTTTCGTTTTTTGATAAAAAATGCTAAAATCGTTCATACTCAACTAAATTTGACAATCTTTGCATCAAAAAGTAGCAAATCCTCGAGAATAGAGATTGCAAAAAGAAAAACCTCAAAAACTTTTCAACAAGCACCAAAAAACTATGAATATAGATTTTCGTCTTGATTTCCCGCTTTTCCAATCTAAAATATCCTTTTTAAATCCTCGAGAATAGAGATGGAAAAAGAAAAACCTCGAAAACAATCCTAATTCTTCCAGTTTTCATGTGAAATTTTAATTTTGAAAGATTTTCAGTTCTTTCGCGAAAAATAACTTCTAATGTTAAATTTTACAATTCGATTGTTATTTTTCTGTCTTCGCCTTGGTTTACTCCATCTTCTCATATATGATGTTCTCGGTGAAAATCGTGAAATTTCCTGATTTCACGGAAAAAAAAACACCGAATTGAAAAAAAAAACGAGAGAGTGTTGCGTCTAGAAGAGACGGGACAAAAGGAGAGACAACACGATGTTTGTAGATTTTTTGCAACCTCAAAACCATTTTTCGTTTTTTCAACAAAAATGCTAAAATCGTTCATACTCAATCAAATTCCAAGATCTTTGCTGGAAACAATAGAAAATCCTCGAGAATAGAGATGGCAAGAAGAAAAACCTCGAAAAGTTTTCAACAAGCACCAAAAAACTATGAATATAGATTTTTCGCCTTGATTTTCGGATGAGAGTGTAGATTTCACTGTTCCAAAACATTATTTAGTGTTATAAAGTTCAAAACTACGAACAATAACACTTCTGGTTGCGGAATCCGAAAAAATCACAAGTTTCAAAAAAAAAATTCGACTAAAAATCCACGTGGATTTACAATAACATTTTGGTGTCAAAAATTTTCCAACCTTCTAACTCCAACATTTCTCAAATTCCCACTTTTCCCAAGTCTCAAACTCACATTTCATAAAAAAAATTCTGAAATTGAAATTTTTCTTCAAAGTTCAGCTCTCTCCAAATACAAAGATTCCCCCCAGCCACTTTAGAAAATACAAAAATCTAGAAATGATCCTATCCAGATCCAATTTGAGAACGCAAAAAATAAAAAATAAAACGTGAAAACCTTTTTTAATTTTCAAAAAAAACAATTCATATAGCAATTTTTTTACATAATGTAAGTATAATCAAAAATTAACCGTATTTTAAATCAGAGATCAATGGAAGATGATCAGATGGTGAAATTTTCGAAGGAATCGCACCATATTGTCGGACTTTTGAATGTTCTGGCATTGGACACATTGAATCACATGATATATCTGAATACTTAGGTTATAATGAGTTTCAGACAAAACCAAAAAAAAAACATTTACCTTCACCCCAAACATAATCCAAACAACCAATAAATCCAGGAGTTTTATTTGTATGCGTATAATTTGTATATTCTGGTGTTCCAGTCAAACAAGTCAATTTGAGATTTTCGGGAAACTCGAAACTTGTGCCTTCAATAGCTGGATCAAGTTCCCAACAAACATGATCAGCTGATATTTTTCCAGTTGACATAAATTCGAAAACTGGGCCACTTGGAATACTATTGAAATCTCCGCCGAATAAAACATGAATATTTTTCGGGGAATTTGGATCGTTTTTGATATCATTTTTCACTCTGAAAAATTATATAATTGTGAAGTTTCAAGTTAATCTTTCAAGAAAATGCTCAAAAATTCCAAAATAGTACAAATCCCAGGTCTGGATCATTTCCAAAACAAAAAAAATCAACAAACTTTGCAATAATTCGAGTAGCCATCACAGATTGCAATAATTTAATATGTTCATCTTTTGGATTATGATGTAAATGTGTATTTGCGCAAATAATCCATTTATCCGCCACTTTCAAATCCTCAAGAATAACAATTTGCACAACAGTTGGCCGTGTTGTCAGAATCTTCTTCGAACTTTCAGATGTATCTAATGTTCTCAAAACATCTTCATTTTCTTTTTCATTTACAAGTTGATGCAGACCGTATTCCATTGATTTTATTAATCTGGAAAAATTTTAATAATAGAAAATATTAGAGAAAAACCATCCAACCTGAATCTGCTGTCATCAAATGCAATTCCAACTCCTTCATTCACCAAAAATTGTTTTTTGGCGAAAACGAAATGGTAGTTGAAATATTGGAAAAATGGAATATAGTATTTGTGAACTTTTGAACAATCAACTTCTTGAATGAAAAATAATTCAACACCGGATTGAAGAAATTCTGAAAAAAAAAATGTTTTTGGATATTTTTGGAGAATAAAAATGTGAGTTATGACGGCTTCGAAGCTTTGAAATTCAATATAAAAATCGGATTTTCAAGGCCCAGTGCCTGAAAAATCAGTTTTTTAAAGGCCCAGGGCCAAAGAATCAGATTTTCAATGTCCAGCGACGAAAAATCAGATTTTGGGGACCCAAGGCTGAAAAAATCGGGTTATGAAAGCCCAGGGCCGAAAAATAAGATTTTCAAAACCCAAGTCCCAGATTTTGCCACGTCATAACTCATTCTAACATTTTTCAACCCTCACCTTTAAATTGTCGCATAATAAGTGGAACACGATAAAGAGCTCTTTGATAGTTTTTATCACAATATTTGAAAAATAGATCTTTTTGATCAACATTCAATTTTAAATACAAATCCGCCAATATATTATACGTCATCACTCGAATCCTAAAAAAACAGACATTTTGAGTTATTTACGATTAAAAAACTCACCCATGATCAATTCTTTTGTTATTTTTACACCATTCAATTTGTGAATCAGTTATCAATTCGATTGGACCAATTTCAACAACTTGAGTAGATATCGAACAACTGAAAATAACTTTTAATATATGTTTTGATAGTTCGAAACTTACTGCACAGGTAAATCATTTCCCGAATCAAAAACCACAGCAACCAATTTATCAACATCTTTTGGATCAGCTTCGTAAAATCGTCCACTACTTCGATATTCATATCCTTCTATATGAAAAGTTCGTTTTTCTTCTGGAAAAAGAAAACATTTAAATCCAGCCAAAATAATACACTTTTCTAAATCTCACCATTTAGAAACTTGAATTCGATATCATTTTTCGCATTTTTCCTCTTCCAAAACTCTCGATATTTTTTATTGCTAACAAACCAATGATATTTTGGAGATAATTCAGAAGATGCAAATTTTGCGATCACAATTGAATTTGTTAATGGTGTCATTGTTAAACCGAAATCATAACTTGGTGGATTCTTCCTCACAATTTCATATTTCCTATTCAAAAACGATAATTCGATAGCATCTTTATTCTCATAAAATTCCCGCATCGTACATTTATCACTAACTTCAATATTCAATGCCATTTTGAATTTTGTTCCAATTTCTTGACATTCTTTTTCTGACAAATCTTTTGCTAATTTTTTAATTACAATTGATCGTAATTTTTGCATTGAATCCAAAACTTTTTGATCAAAATGTCGTTTCATTGTAATTGGTATTCTTTTTCCGGCATATTGAAATTCGAATAATAAACTGATTCCATCGTTGCATTTTTTCTTTTCGTTTTCAGTTTTCCATACTATTGCTTTATCAGTTGGCAAAAGCATTATACGGATTTCTTTTCTGGAAAACAATTAGGTAATTATGAGTTAGGAATGAGTTCAGGTTGAAAAATATTGAAGAAAAATTCAAATTTAGAAATAAATAAATAATTTTCGCAAAAAATAATTGTTAAAGTTTTCGAAAAATCAAAGTACCAAGATTTTTTCCATGAAAAAATGTTTCAAAGTTCATTTCATAACAGTAAAATGTCTTTCCTCATTTTGAAAATTTTCTTAAATAATTTTCAATTAGCCAAAGTAGACCTCAACAAAAAAGACTCACATATTATTCTCTCCTGGCAGAATTTCACTCCACGATAAATTATTGATTGGAGGAGGAGAAGGTCGTTTTTTTCGGAAGAAACTGAGCAAAAAATTCAACATTATATCCGCAAGAAAGAGAAACTGTGAGAAGAAGAACATTTTGACAAAAAAGGAAACTGATTGAAATGGAGAAAAAAGGAAAAAGGAAAAAGTAATAAATAATGATATCAATATTATTTCGAAAATTTGGAGACAATGACAGTTACCCGGGTAACGCAGGATTTTTTTGAATTGAATTGAGGAAAAAAAAAGAGATTATTTGAAAATTTCGGCGATAAAAATACGAAAAGAGAGTCAGTGAAAAAAATTCTGGCGTCTTTTTGAAAAAAAGGGGAGAGAAATTGGAAAAATTTTGAAAATGTTGGTGAATTATAATTTGAAAAACAGGAAACATGAAATACAATCAAAATATTCAAAACAATTTCCACAAACTCAATTACCTGAAATTTTACACTGCTAAAATAAGCTTAAAACTTGAGAAATGAATTTTGAAAAAATGTTAAAATTCTTGAAAAATCTTCTTAACTCTCAATACTATGTATTTTTCCCAAGTTAAGAAACATTTTGAAATAAGAAAACTTTATAATTTTAAAATTCAAACTTTTCTGGTTCATTGAATTCAAAAATGAAAATTCAATTTTTTCCTGGAAATCTTATGTTTTCCAGAACCAAAATAAATATTTACAATTTTCTATAATCGATTTTAGGAAAAATTAAAACTTCTCTGGAATTTTTTAACAAATTATTTTAAAAAGTTCACAATTTTTCTATTTTCCGAAACTTTTTACATCAAATTTTTTTAGCTTCATGTTTTCCAAAAAACCTGCAAAATATCCAATTCATTCCATTATCTAATATATTTTTCAGGGCTGTCAAACCTGCCAATTTTCAGGAAAAAAACACAAAAATTTATCATAATTCAATAATTAATCAAACAAATTTATTACACAAATTGTATAAATTGGAAAAGAGCACGGAAATGTTTCTTGCCCATTTTAATGAAATGTGTTTTTGGGGGGATAAACCTATTCTAAACGTGTATGGGGGCGAAAAATTACGAGAAATAAAGAAAAAGAAAAAAAAACAAGGGGGAATCGAGTATGAAAAAAATGGGGGGGGGGGGGGGAAGAACAAAGGGAGAGAGAATAAGGAGAAAATCCTGATTTCGGGATAAATACAGTATGTACACCCGTTTCAACAGAAAAATAACCACGAAAGTTGGGGGCTGGTGGTGGTGGGATGGGATATGTTCCTTTAAATAAATGGGAAACCCGAAATCGTCAAACAAAAAATGAAGAAAGAAAGAAGAACAAGACGATGATAACAAGGACAGTTCAAAAAAAACTGATTCACACACAAATCAAGGTGATGAAGATTGTTGTGTTGGTGAATGAGCTGGTGGTGGAGATGTTGAACTTGTGTTTGATCCATTGTTATCTGAAAATGCGTTCATGATTAATTTAAATTTTTGGAGCTGGAAAATCGGTAGAAGTTCCAAATACAAAATAAAAATTAACGTTTTTAATTGTTCGAAACATTAGATTTTTGTAGCATTTCGAAAGTTAGCCTAATGAAACTATATGAAAAATGAAAATTTCAAACAGTTCATCTATTTAATTTTCAGATATTGTGAAAATAGTTTTATTTTCTGTTTTTTAATTTGAAACTTCGCAAATCCGGAGATACAGCAGCTGAATTCCCGTATGAAATTTAGAAATTAATTGAAAAACTTAAGTTCGAGACTGAACTTTTGTATGAAAGTTCGAAAGTTCTTAATCTTTCTGGCCCTAGACTTCATTAAAAAGTTGAACCCTCTCTTTTTTTTGAGCCAAACTTTTCCCTTCCCCTTTCTCCGAAATTCCTAAATTAGTTCCATTTACAAAATGAACTTTTAGGTTACTGTAGACTTTTTTATTAACTTCATTTTTTTCAGTGACTAACCGGTTTGCTCTTTTTTCTTCTCACTTCTCATATAATCAGCAACTAATTGAGACAAACGGAATTGCACATTATGTGAAGCTGGAACATTTCCAATAATTCGAACAACAGTTGTACCATCTTCTGAAACAATTCAAAGATAATTATTAGACTATCAAGAATAAATCCCAACCTCCTTTATCCTTATAAACCGGTTCTTGTGATCCATTTCTCTCCTCTTCAGGAATCTTAACAATTGCTCCAGTGATTCTTTGAAGTTCTCGAACATTCTGTCCTCCTTTTCCAATAATTCGACCAACAATTTTCGATGGAACCGACAATTCAGTGCGAAGTTTGAGATCAGTGAAATTCTGTGGCGTTTGTTCGGCCATTTTTTCATAAATCAATTGTTGTGCTCTCAATAATTGAAGATCTGTGCCAGTTATTGTCACCATTCTTTCCTCAATCTTTTTCTCTTTGTTTTGTGGTTTTTCATCATCCTCTTTCTCTTCTTTCTCTTCTTTTTCATCATTTTCTTCTTCTTTGTCATCCTTTTTCTTTTCAGCATTTTCTTCTTTTTCCTCGTTTTCCTTCTTTTCCTCCTTCTTATCTTCATTTTCATTTTCATTCTCATTCTCTTTTTCATTTTCAACATTTCCACTTGTTTCAGCAACTTCTTCATTCGATTCAGTATTTGATCCATTCATCTCTTCCTGTCTTTTAACTTTCTCTTCAGCCGAATCAATTTTAACATTCGCTTGCGAATCCCGAATAATTTGTTTGATATGTTTTCCTTTTGCACCAATCAATGCACCAACCATATTATCAGGAACCCAAATTCGGAGACATTTCATTGTGTTATTTGGGAATGGAAGTGGCGGAATTCCAGCGGCGGCGGCGGCTGCAGAATTGGCACGTTGAATTGAACCAAATGCATCAGTTGCAGAAGATGGTGATGTCAATGAAGTTATTGATGAATTATTTTGTTGGAAATTGGTTTGAATTGCTTGCAACTGAAAAGAAATATTGATAATTGGATAGGTGGTTTTCTAGGTACTTTTAGAACTTTATGTTGAGCCTTGTCCTCAATTTTTGCAAAATTTTGGGACAAGTTCATACGTCGCATACCCCTGTTTCAAATCCGCCAGTGCATACCCCTATTTTTGAAAATTTTCGACGAAAGGGATAACCCCCCCCCCCCCTTTTTTTTTCATTTTTTTTTTCTTCATTTTCAGCTATAGAATACTGAAAATTACAATTTTATTGAGCTTAAGCTCAGAATTTGCATCAATGAGGCTAATAGTGAATTTTGCACTTGAGTTAGGGGTAGCAGGCCTTTATTAGACCCTTATCAACTATGCACCACAATAAAATCCGAAGAATTAAGCCTGGTATCAAAATGGGACCACTATGTCATTTTTCACCTCTGTTATCAAAGAACACAGGGGTAAAAAGTCACTAGGGGTATCTAATGAATACCAATGAATATTAGACTTAAGTTAGGGGTGATTTACCTTAAAGGGTTGGTGCTCCGCCAGGGAATCTTGCTTGGTTTAGATAGGATTAAGGTGCTCCTGGAAGATTCCAGTTTTAGAAAAAATTCTAGTATCAATTCAGCCCATGTTTTTCCTCAAAAACACGAGCGAGTTAAAACCTACGAAATAAAACAAGTAAAGGCGCTCTAGTGCACAACTTGTTTTTGAATTTTCGTGCGTGTGTTTGCACACAACTTTGAAAACAACACTGTGACGCAATTTTGCAGACGATTTTTTCACCAGGAAAACACCAACCCTTTAATTAGGTTCTTATCAACTATTTCCAAGAAGGGAAAATGTATTAATTTCAAAAATATTAGTTTGACCCTAAATCAAACCACCAACTCTGAGAAAAAAGTATGATCGTAATTGTAGATTACATTACTATTCTGTAGATCGCTGACTTTTAATGATATTAAAATATAGATAGCGGATTCGATGAAGTAAAAAACAGATTTGAAATCGAGAATTTTTAATTTTGAGAAATATGAAATTTTGTTCATCCAAGAGTTTAAAAAATCATATCAAATTTAGCTAGTTAAACGAGACACTAAATAAATCAAATTGTGCAACCACGTTGATCCATATTAATTTTGAATAACTCTACATTGTCGCTTAATCATAATTTTTGCAAATATTACAAATACTAACTGTCAGTTGATATGTGAAAAAATGACATAGTGGTCCCATATTGATACCAGGCTTAATTCTTTGGATTTTATTGTGGAGCATAGTTGATAAGGGTCTAATAAAGGCATGCTACCCCTAACTCAAGTCTAATATTCATTGGTATTCATTAGATACCCCTAGTGACTTTTTACCCCTGTGTTCTTTGATAACAGAGGTGAAAAATGACATAGTGGTCCCATTTTGATACCAGGCTTAATTCTTTGAATTTTATTGTGGAGCATAGTTGATAAGGGTCTATTGAAGACCTGCTACCGCTAATTTAATTAGATATTTATGTGGAAACTTTTTTGAGGCTTAAATTGGTATCCCTATGGCAGAATATGTAGAGAAAATTATCATCAAAACTGAGAAAATTTCATAAATTTTTTTATCTCAAGTGACAACCCCCTCCAAAATTTAGTGTGAGGGATAACCCCTCCACGGGTCGATTACCCCTGGCATGCGACGTATGGACAAGTTTAAATGAGTTTCTATTACTTCGGACATTGGTTCGAAAACCATTTCAGACCCATACTTCTTGGCTTCTAAAAACCTTCCTAGAACTTCCAACTCACTCTATGATGCAAATCAACTTCATAACATTTCTTCAATTTCGCCGAAATCTTCGCTTCGGCTTGCACAACACAATCGATCGTTTGCCCACGAACAGTGATTGTTCTTTCCAACAACGGAATCGAATTTTCAGCATGCTTTTGAGTTTCACTCGAGAATCTGAAGAACATTTTTATGAAGATTTTTTTTTTGAATATATAAACTCACTTTGATACTAAAATCTGTGTACCAGTTTCGTGCATAATTTGTTTGATAGTAGCTCCTTGTTTACCAATTAATCTGCCTACCAAAGGATCATGAGCTCGAATTTTCAATTCAATATCAGCTCCTCTATAAAACGAAAATGTATTTATTTTGAAAATTCTAGTAAAACTTACAAATCACCATCCTCTTTAATAGTTTCTCTTTGAACAACTTCCAAAATCTTGTATACAGCTTTTGTACAATTTTCATTACTTCCAATAATATTAATAACTTTCTCTTCAGATTGTCGATGTCCTCCATTATTATTCTTATTTGGTGATGTTTTTTCGGTTTCAACAACAACTTTTGCATGCGATTCTTTTGTGATAATTCGAATCTGATTTCCACCTTGTCCGATAATTGCTCCAACATGTTTTGATTCGATCGCGATTCGAACTGGAAGTTCGGAAAGTGGCGGAGGTGGAACACCGAATGGATGTTGATGCTGAGATTGTTGTTGTTGTTGAGATTGTCCAGATCCAGAACCACTTTGTTGATGTGATTGACTTTGGTGTGGCTGTTGATGATGATTATTACTGTTATGAGATCTTTGTTGATACTGAGAATGTTGTTGTTGTTGTTGTTGTGGCTGACGACGAGGATGATGTTGATTGTGTTGAGATGTTTGCTGCTGATGTGATTGATGTTGCAACGATTGTTGATTATGTCCATGAAGATTTTGATTATGATGTTGATTCATATTGTTTCCACCGCGGCGGTGCTGAAAATTTATTGATTTTAGAAGGATAGAGTTTCAGAAGATGTATACTCTATAAAGTCAGGATTTTCTAACACCTCAGAGCTCAAGCTCAAACTGCAAGCTAGGATTAAATCGATTTATAAATCCACATAGTTACAAAATCGGAAAATTTACGAAGTGGTGACGTGAACTATTTACGTGGCAATTAAGAAATAACATTCTTGTTTCAATAAAAATCCATATGTTACCCACACAACGGTAAAAAAAATCCGTGGGTGGCCAGAGTACAGTTTTGAAAAAAAACCTTGATTTCAGTTTTTAGAGGTCCAAAACTGACGAATTCACAGTTTTCCTACTGTAAAAAGTTAGCGTACAATTCAATTTCTCATTTTGAAAACCACGATTTTGGCCGAGGTGTGATATTACCTGATGTCCTCCACTTGATTGTACTCCCCCATTTCCACTATTATTTCCATACATTCCTCCGCTTTGTTGATGATGTCCATTATTATGGGAATTTTGACGTGTTTGGGTTTGTGATTGTTGTTGCGGTGGTTGATGATATGATTGTTGAGCATCAAGCGGAGCACTTGCTGGTTGAATTTGGAAATATCCACTTTGTTGCGTATTGTGCTGTTGTTGTTGTGAAGATTGTTGATAGAACATATTTGTATTTTGGTTGTTCTGAAACTTCTTTAAAATTAAATTAATTAGCATTTCTATTCAATTCTAGCTAATTTACCTGTTGGGAAATACCATTATATGGAAGATATTGTTGTTGTGCAGAAGTTGAACTATTTTGTTGTTGCGAATTTCGCTGTTGAGTTGTTTGGAAATAGTCCATTGTTTAGCGAAATGATAGTGATAAATTATAAAACTAGACAATTTTCACAATGTTTCGTGTGCGATAAACTATTATACCTTGAAAAAAACCATATGTTTAGAAGAACAGCGAAAAAAAAGAGAAATAAAAAGTGAACGAACGGAAAGTAAACAAAAAGGGCGGAAAGAATAAAGGGGAGAAAAAAAGAAAACGAGGAGAAACTGCAAAAAAAATTATTTATTTTCGATTTCTGTCAGTTGTAAATAATATCCATCAACTGAAGGTTATAAAGTTCAGATAAATAAATCAAAGTTTTATGATTTGGTTGAAATCATGAAAATACATCTAGAGGGTGATAAATTAAAGAAAAAACTGAGAATGACCAAAAACTGGCTGAAAAATAACGGAGTAAGCGCCTTTGGGGTTTTCAAACCTCCGAAGCACATTATTACATGACCATATTTTATTTATAAAATGCGAATTCTGCAACAAAATAGGAATTTTGCCAGAATAAAATTGCTCGGAAAGTTCAAAAGATTACGAATGATAGTAGTTATTTTGTGGTCAATGCGGAATGCGATAAGAAAAAAGAGCAGTAAAGGAATGAAGGAAGGAGATATGCACTATAATTAAGACGCTTTCAGATGAAGAAAAAAGGACAGACGAAAAAAACGAGCCGGGCAAAAAGGCAGAGTTGCTTGCTTGTGCAGACGAGGAGAAAAGATGTAGAAAAATTAAAGAAGGCGAGAAGAAATGAATGGCTGAAATGGATTGGCGACTATGAAAAAACCCCATATGTATGTGTTTTTCCGGAAAAGGAATGACTTTGATTGGAACGAAGATGATTATCAAAGAAAGAGTTCACAAAAATTGCCCTAGAACAACTAGTAATTAAAATAAGCATGTTTCAATCCCAAGAGTTATAATATATAATCATCAAATTATGGACGTGATGACTATATAGTTAGCTAGCTAATCATGAATTTTGATCAACGCAAAAAAGAGTGAAGTTGGAAGAAGAAAAGGAGAAAGGGGGGGGGCAAAGCCGAACACTCGGTGGCAACATATAACTGATACACTCTTCATATTATGAATGCAACAGGCAACCGATTCGCACATACACACATACACATACACAGAAGAAAAAAACAGATAGAGACAAAAAACACACACACACATTGAAAAAGAAACTGAAATCAATAATTCGAAGCAAGCAGCAGCCGCACGGCCGGCCGTTCAATTGAGAGACTTAGAGAAACTTGTAGGTTGGTTGGGCATAGCGGACGGAGGAAAAAATAACAACGAAGAAAAATGCAAAAAGAGAGAAAGAACACAAGAGTCGGCAAGGGTCAACATTACCCAAGGGCAGCGCACACAGAGAGCCTTTTTGCGTGTGTTGATGCACTTGTGACCATACTTTTTTGGCAACTAATAGAATTCCGATGAAAGCTTTACCTTTTCAAAAATCTTTTTCTATGAAACCTAGGAATGTTATTTCTTCGTTAGTTATCAAAAAAAAACATTGAGCAATATATAATAAATAATTCGCTCATATAATCTATTATTCGAAAGAAATAGGATACATTTTCCTGATATAATCCGAGAATTACCTGAATTTTTCATGAAAATTCCTGAATATTAATTGTTCAGTTTTTCTTCACATTTTCAAACATTAGACGCATCAAAAACAATGAGAATACGAATTAGAACAAACATTTTTTGCGAAAAAAATTTCTGGAAATAAAAATAAAAAACACGTGTGCATTTTTTCGTCGCCGTGTTTTGTGCGAAACAACACAGGTCACGCAAAAATACATACTTTATAGACAAAATAAATACAGTATCCGAATAATTATTCAAAAGTCGAGTTTTATGCTGCTCGATCGTCTCATTTTCTGCTTCCAAAATCCTTCCAAAGTGTTTGTTCGCTCATATGAATTATGGCCGAAAGGATCTGCAACATAATCAGATCGAGGAAAACGTCGAGGAGGTGATGGAGGACCAAGTGCACTTCCACGTATATTTCTGAAAATTGAGAAGTTTTGATGGTATATAACATATTTTGAAAATAACTAACGTTGAAACCATCGGATCAGCCAAATCATCTAAACTTCTTGATTTTGATTTCGAATCACGTAACATTGTATCACCAAACATTCGATATCTACTCGAATCATTTTCAATTGGCAATTCCGACATCGATGATCTTTTCTCTGATTCATATCGAGTTATTGAACTTTCCCTTCTCGCATCACTTCCTCCTCCAATCAACCGATTTTTCAATTCATCAACAACTCTTCGAGATATTGTTGGAGGATTTCTACGTGGTGCACTATAATGAATATTTAACAATTATGGAATTTCTAACTTACGCCATCATTTCCTTCACATCGCTGAAATCACCGATTGTTGATCTACTCGCAGATCTTGATTGCGATGATGATCTTTGTGGGCGAGATGATGATAAATTGGTATTTGAACTTGAATTATTGTTATTGTTTCTGGAAAAAAAATAATTAGGTATTTGATTGTATTTAATTGATGAGGTATGATAAGAGGAACTTACATTCGTGGAACCAATAACCCTGATAAAAACAGTCGATGTTCCAAATCACTTATTGATCGTTGAACATCCGGACGTGAAAGAAGAAGCTGGAAACATTATTGAATTAGAGAGGAAGGAACATGAAAATTGAGAGAGTTCTTCCATTTGAGACTTATAACTGAAAAAATCTTTGAAAAAATCCCCAATTCTATAACTCACTTGTAAATTAGCCAACATAATTTGTGCAGTTTCAGCACTATCACATCTATAACAATGAACATGCATTGGTGATTGCATTTCTGGATTCAAAACCAACATCACAACACCAATCACATCATCAAAAGGCGCTTTTCCACAAATACTGTATGTTATGCAATTTGCAGCGATTTGAAATTTGACTAGTTGCATTTTCACTTTTCCACTTCTCGACATTGCAGGAACTGATTGAATTAGTTTCAAACCTTTTGATGAAATCTAGAATGTTAATTGGTTTTTTTTTAAATTCTGATTCAACTTGAGAATAATTCTAAGTTACCTGAACTGTAGCCTTGCTTGGTGTCTTCTTAAAACTTTCTTTCAACAATTGTCTCATTACTGGTAAAACAACCTGAATGTTTTTTTTGAGATTTATTTTTTCTTTTAAAGTTTCATTCAGACTCACCGCACTTCCTCTAACTCCATCAGCCTCTTTTGATCCCAAATACCAAACATAAAAATGTGATTTCGCTATTTTTGATTGAAAAAACCACGACATATTTTGTTGTTGCAAACTTTTAGGTTACTTCCATAGCCAATTATCTAAAAACTCTGAAGAAAAAAGTGTTACGGTTACCTACAGTAATCCAAGAATTCTCGGGAAAAATGAGTGTAAATAGAAGATGTGTCAAAATGTCAAAAACCGGAAATATCCGGATTTTTTTGATGATGAAAAATATGAAGAAGAGAAAAATGGAAAATGAGCCTGGATACTGTTTTTGAAAAAATAGCACAGGCTTTTTTCAATTCAAAAATTCACGTGACAACTTTTTTGGCGCGAGCATTTTTTGAGTCATTTTGGGTCGGCTGCGACTTTTTGCTACGTGGCAGTGGATTTTTCAATTTCCACGTGGCAGCGAATTTGATTTTTCAGATGGGTTACTGTAGAACCTTACGGAAAAATTCCGAAATGTCTACAGTAGTTTTCTGAATATGAATTATTTTTGAATATGTGTTGATAATGTAAGTAGCTGCTTAAAAAATGCTCAAAGAATAAGTTTCAAAAAATATTTCGAGCCAAAAATTGACTTAAATTCAGGTAAATTTAGTTTTTTGAAATTATAGATTCAAGTCGGTTGTAGATTTTATCAGAAAATAATTAAGCGAAACTTGAAAAAGAAATAAAAAATTTGAAACCAAAAAACAATCCCAGAAACATTGGAAAAATTGACATTAAAAGATCAAATCGAAATTATCTGACGTTGAATTCGAAACACGTGGAAAAGGCGGGAATCAACAAAAAAATTAGTGGGCGGAAATGATCATGAAATGCATAATAAACCGGATTATTAGGTGGTGTCAGTTAATTTGCCGAGCTGGGCTGGCGGCAGTCATTCAAATAATATAATAAAATAATAATTTCACACAATATTATATAAATATTGGCCGGTTGAGCAAGAATAAAATTGAATGAACGAGGATCGAATGAGTGAGTGATTGAGCAAATAAGACATATAAAACTATCAATGCACCGTCGACTAAAAAAACACAAATCCACACGCAATTACCCAAGTTCTTCTGACGAAAATGAAACTAGATAGATACAAACCATACACTAATTATATGTTCTTAAGTTTTCTCCTCTTCAATTGCAGTTTATTAATTTTCAAACCTGTACATTGAACAACAATAAATAACAAGTTTTCCTAAAAAAAACATAAGATAACTCAATAAAATCCTAAAAATTACTAACACTGTTTTTAGATTAATCGAAAAGTCCCGCCTTTTTGTCTTCATCGGTTACTGATTTATGTGAACCGTCACAGAATGGCCTAAAAAATAACTTTGAGAATTAATTTATCCATGAAATGTTTTAAACTCACCGATTCTTGGTTTGTTTACAATTGCATAACCAAACAGTCATATCCTTTTCTGGAATAAATCTGACTGGTTTCAATTTCAAATCTGGGATACGAATAGAATTATGAGATCCATCACAAAGCGGTTGGCTTCCACTATAACCACAACTGCACCACGAATATACTTTATCTTTTTTCATATGTACTTTGGTGGGAAGTTTACTATGAACTTTTCCTGTTCCTGGCAATTGATGATTCACGCCTTGCAATCCATAAGAATCAGTCGGTTTCTTATCTTGCAGCTGAAATGAACTACAAATACTTTTTTGAATAGAAAAATTAACTTACCAGATGATATTTCAATGCTGGTGGTTCGGTTCCAACAAAATGTGTGCCTTTTCTGAATAACCTATTAGGTCCAAATCCCGTTTTGGAGCTGAATCGAACAAATTGCAAGCTATTCATCCGAGAAACTTTTCTTTGAAATGAAAATTTTGGCAAAAAATAAATAAAAGGGGCGGAGCGAGCAACTGCCGCACACAGTTTTTGCAATCTCCGCATGCGTTTGTTTTTACTTTTTATTTTTTCTCGTTTTTCCACAAGTTGCTTCTGCAGGAAATGGCGGCGAATACAATTCGTTTTGTTGGAAACCATGACATTGCGTCAGAAGGAAAGTTTCTCTGGGAAATTCTCGCTCAACTTCGATCGGTAGGTTCTGATTTTAAAAGCTTCAATTTATTCCGAAATGTACAACAATATTTTTAGTTTGGTGTTGGTCGATTGGTGACCAAAAATGAATGGACAAGAAAATGGCCAGAACAACCATCATATATGAAAATTGTGAGAGCTGAACCAGGAATGGATCGATGGCTTTTTGAAGGAAAATTATATGCCGAATGGGTTTTTCGCGGACAAAATTTGGGAGTTTATGAATTTTCAAAAGATTTGAATCGAAGTGATTGGCAACTCATTCACAAGTAAGAACTTTTTCATCATTACCACTAATTTTGTATAATAATTCTAGACATCAAGAGCAATCCTTCACAAAATGCACAAAATCAATGGAACCAATAAATCTCCCAGATTCATTTCCACTTCCACCACTTCAAGTTCATTTCCAACAAAAGTATGCGTTGAAAAACGGAATCGATGAAAAACTTGTGCAAAAACGAGCACCTCTTAATTTATGCATTGATTCGGAATTCAGTCACATGAAACCATTCATCAAACAATCCACTCCAGAAAATAAGGGAACATCGATTTATGAAGAAGTTGACAAAAATATATTATTAGATTTATATGGCAATGAATTACCAATTAAGGTAAGCGGTTTTTGAAATATGAACAGTTTTGCCTTATCTGTCTGATGGGACAAAACTAAAACATAAAACCATACAATAATGAAACTTTGTGAGAGGGAAAGCTTTACGAGCTCAATTTTATCATTTTTGCTGAGATGTGATTTCAAAAAAATACGAGAGTTGCAATTATTACTCTAATGAATACCCTCCTTTTAGTCGACTTACATTTTTCGCTACACTCCGAAAAATAGTTGCAAAAATGAACGCGTCAATTCGATCTGTTTTTGAAATTGAGAAATGAGAAAAAATAATGGGGTGATTCAGGTCGAAAAAAAACTAAAAAAAAAACGTTTTTTTACAAAAAAATTCGATTCAGCAAATGTCAAAAAACCCTAATTTTTTCCACACAAAAATGAGAGATATCTCGCAGCGAAAACGTTTCAATGAAAAAAAATGTCAAACAATGTCGAAAAATAGGAAAAAATATAGTTTTTTGACATTTGCTGAATCGAATTTTTTTTTAAAAAAACGTTTTTTTTTTTTGGTTTTTTTTCGACCTGAATCACCCCATAATAAAAATTCTCAAAATTTGATATTTTTACAAGTTCACGTTCCAAAATAAAATTAATAAAACAAAAGCTTTTCATTTCATTTTTTTTAAACTGCCACGTCATAGTTCACGTTATTACTAATGGTTTTTTCTAGGTTGAAGCCTGGAATCTTGGACCAGCCGCTTTCAAACCACGTTTCAGTGCAACAACAATGCGAGTCGAAGAACAATCTTCCAAATAATTTTTAATCCACTTTTTCAATAGTTTTGTTTTTTAGAGTTGAGTTCTAGATAATTGTTATTCTTGTTTTCTTTTCCCGCAAAAAAATTAATGAAAAAATTGATAAAATATGTAGTTTTCCGTGAGCGTTTCCAACATATCTGGAACACAGTTTTTCCATCTAATCTGATCATCATAACCTCTTTTTCCTCTTCTTTTCTCTTTCTTTCTATTTCTCTCGATTTCTTGACAGTCTTCTCGATTTTGAATGTATTGTAATGTCCTTGAGTTCCTCCTGGTATAACCTTATATTCATCCCCTCTCCCTACCACACATTTTCTCTCGTCTTATCCTAATTTTTGATTTTTTTTTGTCGGGTTGTATACAAAACTGGTTTTTTCTTCATTTTGGATGTCTCGAAACATGCGAAAATCAAGTTTTTTATGGTTAACAGATTTATCTTTTTAGTGTTATTTTGTACTTTTTTGGGGTGTTTGAGATGTTGCGGTTTTTATTTTTTTTTTAATTTCTAACATACATGAACTAGTCGCCTTGAAGACCCAGTTAACCCCCTTTCCGAACTTATTTTTGGGATTTCATTGTTTCTTGATTTTTTATGGAACTTTTGAGCTCTTTAACTTGGCACAATAATAATAATTATTTCAGCCTTTTTCAAAAAATAGAGGGTCCTTTGTTAGAAAATGAAATAATCCTTCTCTTTTTAAATTTTTCAGATATCTTTTAAAACCTCTGAAAAAGCCTTTATGTTATTTTCCAAAACCTCTTTAGGTCACTTGGGATTACTGTAGAGTCCAAATTCCTTTTCGCACCACTTGACTCATGTAACAAAATACATATTTATTTGTAGACTTTTTTTCAAAAAAAAAAACAGATGAATTTCTATTTGCCCATCCAATAGTTTTTTTTTCGTGTTTTATTCCCATTGGATTCCAATAGGAATATAAAAATAATTGTTTCAAGACAAGTCAATGACCCACTTTTTCAACAATTATTTATTTTTTATTTATCCAATTTTTTCCTCATTTTTATTCCCTCTTTTCTTCCAAGAAAAAAAGAAAAGAAGTTCCACACTTTTGTGACCTTTTTTTGTTGATTGATTGATCAGATTAGATTTTTCATAATGTTTTGTGATGGATAAATGTTTTAGAAGGGGGTGAAGAAAGGAGTGGAAAGAAGACATGACAGCAGCAGCAAAACTCGAAGATCGATCCGGTCAACCGATTACTGAAGCCGAGAGAAAAACGATTGAAGAAGTTCGGAAAAGGTTCGATAATTCACAAAAAACGGGAGAGAGGGAGGGGCTCTAAATACTTTTTTTGACATAAAAAGTTCCCTACATTCCTCTCCCATTTGATATCAATCAATATTTTCTTCCAGAATAACCGATTCTCTCCCTGAAGGAATTCCATCAGACATCGACACTGATATCAATTTATGTCGATGGATTCGTGGATACAAAGGAGATCAAATAAAACTTGTTGACAACTTCAAACATTATATTGCATCAAGAAAAGCGGCTGGATTTGTAGGAGAAGATTTTGCGGAAAAGTTTTTCGAGATGGATGAAATCGAGCCATTTTTGAAATGGATCGCATCTTCGAGACTGCAAGATCGACAATGGTCGGAAGAATTGAATGCGTATTTGTTTGTGGAAAGAGCATGGTCTCAACCGAGAGAGGTTAATTTCAATTCACGAAAAAACCACTCTAAAGCTTTTAAAATTTCTATAACAATTAAAATCTTTATTTTCAGTTCATCAAAACATTCAAAACTAGTGATTATTTATTACATTGTTTCGGATATTCTGAAATGCTCCAACAATTGATTCTAAGGTAATTTTTCCCCAAAAATAACATCCAATTCTAATTTATCCATCTCCTAGGCGCGAGAAAAATCAATCACCAGAAAAAGGGCCAGTTCAAACAATAGTCATATTTGATCTGAGCACAGTAAACATCACAGATTATGTGAATCCAATGTCTGGTTATATGAAACTTTGGCAAATTCGAAGTGAACTTTGGCAAAATTGGTATCCGGAAATGGTGCAACGAATTTATTTGGTGAATCCGCCGAGACTTATTAATCTTTTATGGAAAGTTGCAAGAGTGTTTTTATCCGAGGAGAATTTGAAGCGAATTGAAATTGTTGGAAATATGCCAGATTTGGCGAATAAACATTTACCGAGATGGTTTGTTCCCAAAGAATATGGAGGTTAGATTTTTGGCTTTTGAGAAAATTGACGGCTCGAAAAATTGTTGATTTGAAGAAATTTTTGGAATTCAGAATTACTGTTCAAAAAATGAATTTTAGAAATAAAAATAAACGCTCAAAAATAAGTCCCCAATTTTTTAATTGAAATTTTAAATTACTGTTTTGGAAAAAGTTTAAAAGCTCGACAAGACAAATATTATGACGTGGCAAAGTTTTAGTTATTAGGGTTGAAGAATGTCAATGCTTATTTTGAATAAAAAAATCAAAGAATATACAGTAATACATGTTTATGAACTTGGTTCATGAAATAATGATTCTGATTGAAATATTTCAAAAAAAAGACAAAGTTTTTCGAAATCTTTCAAATCAGCTTTAAAAATTTTCAAAATCAACCAAAACATTTTTGCAGGTGATTTTGTGAATACAACTCCACCAGGCGATGAAACCGGCGTATCAATTCGTCAAAAAATCACTAATAAAGATCATTATATTCCACATTTGCATTATAAAGCGAACGGTTTACTCGATCGACCAAAATCTAGTCACAAAGATATTTCCCCAAACACACCATTTGTTGTCAATATTCAAGTTGGTGAAGGAAAAAGTCTGCTGTGGGATTTTACAGTAAGCGGAGAGGTCGAATTTTGTATCTCTAGGAATAAGGTGAGGTTTTTACTTGTTTATTTTTGATTATGGGGGTCAACATCTTCAGAATCATACCATGAGAGACGTGTCTAAAGTGAGCAATTGTCCGAGTACGCCCGCGTTCACAAGGTCACGGGTTCAGGTTTTCTTAACTAAGAATTTAAATTTTGGAACACTCTCTACAGATGTGTTTCTGTCATTCAGAAACTTCCAATGATCTCAAATTTCTTTCAAAAAATCCAATTTCCAGAACCCAAATGATCTTGTGTATCCTCGTCTGCATTTGGTCACAAATAAATTGAATGAAGAAGGAGTTTTGAAGAAATTGAGAGAAGGCGAATATTCGCTCGAATTTTTCAATACTTCCGGATATTTTACATTGAAATTGGAATATACAATTGCTGTTGTTTAATCATTTTTGTCGAGACTCTTTGATTTATTCATTTATTTATACAGATGTATCATGCATGTTGTTATTTATTTATTTATTTATTGAATTTGAACATTGAAAATGAAAATTAGAACACTACAAATGGATATTCTTGTATTCATTTGCAACTTCTTGTACGAAGTCTCTTGAAAGTGTTTCCGAACAAAATCCAAGTTCTTTACATATTCGTGAACTTCTGGAAATGTAAAATAATTACAAATAATACATAATTGTGACAAATTAAACTTACTGGAACAATAAGCCTTTTTATTTGGGTCGCCACTACTGTCCACTAATTTGGTCATTAACTCGTCTCCTTCTGTAGGGAAATGATTGAAATACAGCTAAAGATAAGTTTACTCACGGTTCAACAGTGCTCCCGAATATTTGGCCCACTTATGTTGTTTTTCGATTGCTTCTAATTTTCTTTCAAAATTTTTCATGATTTCCAACGATTTTTCTTTTTTTCTTCAAGTTGAAGTGTGATTGTAACTCGAGCTTCTTTTTTCCCATATGTGAAAATTTAATTTGTCAGTGTTGGGAATGATTTTTGGTCTGTAATATTGTATTTTAAAAAAAGCATAGGGCCCAATCATTTTAAAAAGTTCCCAAAACTTCATCAGATGATGAAAATAAGAATACGTTGTTATGTACTCTGAAAAAATACGGTGCCGAGGCGTCATTCTGAGGCCATGAAGGTTACATAATTTGATACTTGAAAAATGTCGCCACCGTATTTTCCCCGAGTTGATAAAATTATATTACGAAAAACTTACGAGTAGACTCCAGCTGTTGTTGTATTGAATTGCAATTCTTTTGAAACAAATGCTTCACATACCGTTGGAAGTTCATGATTCCTGAAAAATTATTTATGAATTCGGAAAAAAAACAAATAAAACTCACCCCAATAAAAATACGACATTGTTAGTGAACACTTTCATGCAGTTTCGCGCCTCGTCTTCCGTGGAAAATTCAACGAGTGCAAAATCGTCGTTCTTGTATTTGGTGCACGAAATAATATTTCCATAGGTTTTAAGATTTTCAACTAACATGTCGACTCCAACCGTGCGCGGTAAATTGCTGAACTTTAAGACAGCCTCGCTCAAGAGCATTTTGAATTTTTTGTTGAGTTTCAGAAAATCCAGTTGATCTTGTTCATATTTCTGAAAAAATTGCTTTTCAAATTGAAAAAAACTTCGTAGATGAATAAAAATTTTGGAATGAATTTCGGAAGTCTTGAAAAATTGATTATGTTTTATCAAAGAAAGTCATATTAACGTGGCACCAAAATAAACTATTTTTGTGTGACTACCTTAATCTCATAACACTCAGTATTACAAGGATTACTGTAGACACAAAACACTGTTTTCATAGATATAAAAAGCACAATTTGGAAAAGTTGTTCACACTTTCGAAGTAGATTCTCTGCGATATCCTCAAGTGAAAACTCGAGAGGATGTTCTGGAAAACTTACGAAGTTGATAATGCACATATCTTCTACGTCTGATATTTTATGTGCATAGTCGCCTAGTAGATCTGTACATTTTCCCATTGATATTATTTTTGAGTCAATAGTCACACGGAAGCTGTAAAAAAATTTGGTAATTCAAAAAACATGCGAAGAAAAATTATTTCGAAAATTTTTTAAAACTTTTCCAAAGATTTGTTGGTCCTTTTGCGAAAAAACTTACTTGTTCGACCAATTTTTTTAAATGTTATGATTGGGTTGCGTGGACTGAAAAATACTATATTGAAACTATAATAGTCAGAGGTTGTTGCAACAATTAACTTACTCTGATTCTATCATAAAACAGTCACTGAATTCCAAATTATAATTTATAAGAACTGACCAGATTGTTTTTCCACGACTGAGATATTAAAATCAGATAAGAGACGTGAACTGTTCAATTATTTAAAAATTAATTACGTGAATTTTTTTAATAGAACCGATTTAATATTTTTGTCGAGATTACTTTATTTATTTATTTATACAGATGCATGTTGTTATTATTTATTAAATTTGAACATTGAAAATGAAAATAAAAATAAAAATGAAAATTAGAACATTACAAATGGGTATTGAATTAAAGAAAGATGATGATGAATTTCTTGAGGAAATTGAAGTTGTGTTTGATAGTTTTACAACTCCACAATCGATTATATTGTTAGTGGATTTTTCAACAACCATAATGGCCTGGAATTAATTAATTTAAGGGTAAGGTATATCTGAATTAGTAGGTTTAGATTTTTCAGCCCAATTTATTTTTTGAAATTCACAAAAAAATCATATCCCATATTCCTTTTTCAGGAAAACCAACCCTATCAATAATAGATTGTTCATCCATTCCTTCAGCTTTTTTCCATGGTTGCACAGCCATTCCAGTATGATCCGTATCCACAATCATTATCAATTTTCCCTCTTTCATAATCCTCATTTTCGGACAAGTATTACTTTCCATATATCGAATCTCATAAATCGAATTCTCTTTCAAACCAGATAAAACAACCATAACTTGTGGTAATTCACCGGGTCGATGGGCAAATTCAATAATACCTTCTCCTCCTTTATAACCTTGTAAACGAGCTTCGAATCTGTATGCGCCTATAAAATTACTGTGTGATATGTACTTCAGACTTAAGTTCTAAAAAAACACCTTCACTATCTGGTGGATCAATACAAACATTTCTGAAAAAATTGACAGTGAAACTAGTTGAAGCGTCATTTTCGATGAATAAATCAGGTTTTGTTAACTGGTTTTGATCTGATATAACACATTCATCATCATTTGGAATATGCATTGCTGATAAACATTTTGCTCGTCGAATTGCACTTGTTAAACACATTCGTAAACATTCATCTTTGAACTGCAGAAAAAAAGTTTGTTGAAAAAAGATTTATTAAGTTTTGGATCGAATTAAGCTTGCAATTTTCAACTTGACTTGAAGCTTATCAAATCATTGATAAAAATGCTGATTTCCGGATATCGGGTTACGTCACAGATAACTGGATTTTGCAACATAATGATGGTTTGAGAAAATAATTTTTTTCAAGAACTAAGAAGAACTAAGATTTTTCAAGAACTAGAATTCAATAATACCTTTTTTGTTTGTAAAACTTAGCCACATTCAAAAATCGAATGCATTGTTTCGAAAAATATTTCCTGCCAAGTTCAGGATGTTGTGGAACGTTCCAACCCTTTTTAAATTTTCTCCAAAATTCATAATAAATCGGATATTCATGTGAATGATAAATAAAATAAGTTTTATTTTATTACACACTTCTTTTTCTTCTTCATTTTTCATCACAGACAGAATGGTGTCATTGAACTATTCAAAGTTCCTCAAATTCCTCAAACTTTCTCTTCTCTTTTATGATGATTTGATAACCGGAAAAAATCTATAATTCTTTGGTTTTTTGTTGTTTGGTAGAAAAAACTGGCGGATAGGATGAATTGGTAGAAACATTGATTGAAATGAAATAAAAAACAATTGACCAATGTTCAGAAAATCTATTTCGAGAATTTTGATTGATTGTTGAGTAGGGAGAAATACATTAGAATTTGGAACGTTTTTTGAAGAAAAACAGGTAAGAGAGTTTTTGAATATTAGAGTAAAATTAAACTTTAAAAAATATAAAAGTTTGGAATACTCATAAATATCAAAAATTCCCGAAAAACCACAATCCTGAAATTGCTAAATTAATTCTCACAAAACTTTTTTTGGGAAAATTTTTCAGATGAAATTCAGAAAAAAAACATGTCATACAGTATCCAAGAAGTATTGCATTTTTTCCACAAAAATGTTGGAACAATTTTGAGAAAGGGCTTTTTTCTAATTCACTATGAGTTATTTATTCTATCAGGTTTTTCTCTGAAATATTTTCTGGGTCTGAAAAATTCAACTGTGAACACTTTGAGATTCTTTGAAGGCCAGTGGGTTACTGTAGTTAGATTTTTCAAGGTTTTAAATATTGTGAAATCTTTATAATGAGAAGAAAAAATTGGAGAATCGTTTTTTAACGATTTCTTGAGTCAAATTTTTTTTCTGAATCACCCCATTCCAAAATCTCCCAAAAATTTCGTCTCAATCCAACTTACCTGAACTGATGACGTGTGAAAAGCATGTCCAACAATCCAATAATTTTTTTTGAACTCAAAACATTCCAACAATTTCAAATTGGGTTTTCCAACAACCAGTTCAGATTGTGTCAATAAATAAAAATAAGATGAAACAAGTAGTATTAAAATCATAGTATATTAGCCAAAAATAAAGACAACGACGCTTTTGACTGATTGATGATACGAATGAAAATGAAGACTGTTTGACCAAAAAAAAGCGAAAGAAATGTTATGTTATGTTAGGTAGTCAAAAAAAAAAGAATACTTTAGATTTCTGATCATCAATAGCTATTCTAAGTAGCTATTTTTCTGATTTACTTATTTATTGCCGCCGTTCATTTCGTTTGGTTTGTGTTTTGACCTCGAAATTCTTGCCTGATAAATCACACGGCAACATTTTGTATCTATTTACGAACTAAAGATAAAATGAACACTTTATAAATAAATATGTATTATACATGAAGAACCGTTGTTAGACAGATAAAGAGACTGTATTTGGGAATGTTGTATCGAGAAGTGCCGCATTTTGTGGTTTGCATGGGAGAACAAGAATTTCGGTGGACCAGGAGAATGATTCCACAGGAACTTCTGAACAAAGAAATGTATTTGGTTCAGAAATTGGAGAGAAAATCTAGTTTTGAATTGAAGAAGTTGAAGGGAAAAATTGTATTTTTAGGAACTTTTAGGCTAGAAAACGATATTAGTAAAGTTCGATAATTTCGACAATTTTTTATTTTATTAAAAAAAGACAGTTTTGGACTAAAATTTAATTTATGCTTAAAAAGTTTAGAGCTATAACTTAGAACAGTTTCAGAATGATTAAAACTAGGATCATTTAAAATTAATATGAAAATGTGTAATAAAATGGATATAAAAATCATAGATTAATACAATTTTCAGAGTTCTCTGTTTTTTGGTTCTCACTGAATTCCTGAACTTTTCTAGAAATTTAAAACAAAAGTTTTTCGAACCCATTTCGCGCTATAAAATTATTTTAAATCCATTTTTTGTCTTAAAGATTAAAAAAAACCCCAGTTCAAACTTTTTCAAACAAAATTAAATTATTCTTAAAACTCTCACCCGTTGGAGCATTTGAATGCACAATATTATCCTTCACATGAACCGCATATTCCTGTGATGAAACAACGAATACAAATCGAATTTTCCATTTTAATTGCACCGAATCAGTCGAAAATGTAGGCGCAGCTCCAAGTGGAATATTCAAGCGAAATGTCGAATCTTCAGTGAATACAGTAATCGGAGATATCAGTGAATGGGTTTTTGTGATTTTCTGGAGGGGAAAAATTTCAATAAAAATTAATTTTTTTAGAAGAACTTACTCGTTTATGTTCAGTTTCCTCATTTTCTTCAACATCCGGATCAATCATTTTTTCTTCAGTTTCAATTGATGCTGAATATTGAACACATGGTGTTTTGGAGTCTTTGAAATCCAAATAACCACAAACATCATCTCCTAATTTATATGCTTTTTTAGGTAAAGTAAGAAGAGCAACACGAGATGAAGAATGAACAAGTGAATAGGCAAGCGATTTACGAGACATTGTTAAATCATCCACAGTAGCCATCACTGTCTGGAAATATATTGTATTATTTTTGAAAATCATTCAGATCAAAACCAACCTCAATAACCGTTGGTTTCGTCATAGTTGATGCCAAAAAAGGGTTTTCAGGGATCGATAATTTGGCTTCAAGTCCAACTGATGGAATAATTCGAACAGGTAAATTTGCAATTCGAATATGTGCCTGAACGTGTGAAACAGCTACAGTAACACGATTTGAATATTTGACAAGAGTTCCTCGAAAAGTTGGAGGGATGGAATTACGAGAAAGTGGAATATCACATGTAAATTGTTTTGATTGATTCGGAGCAAGTTTGAGTTCGCAGAAAATGATATTTGGTTGAGAAGAATAAACTGTTGAAGCGGGTCGAACCATTGAAGTTGTTGGTGGACGAGGTCGATTTGATGGCCATTTTGTCGAGGCACCGATTGTTCTTTCTAGAAATTGAAAAAGTGGGATTCAGTTTGTAAGGCAGTTTTGAAACCCTAATTTTTATGTTTCAGATTCTGTAGCGATTTAATTTGTTGTTTTAAAAACTGATAAAAATTTAGAAATGACATTTGAAAACAAGAATACCACGTTTTTATTTAAAATTAATGGGCCAAGAAAGTTCACGCTTCTTATTTGCTTTTTTATTGATTATTAATTTTGCGGTCATTTTGCATTTCTACCCAGTCCCAACTAGTCAGAACTTATTATTTTTAGAAAAGAGTTGGAGAATCAGGCCAGGGTAACCACTTTAAAAAGATCAATTTAGAATTTCAAAATTAAATTTAGCATTATAATTTCTGTGTTTATTTTTCGAAACTTCCTCACAAAAAGCTCACCACATATAAATTGGACACTTCCCCATGCTAATTGCTCGGTTTGACTAATTTTTCCTCGATTTGTCACATTTTGAATCGTGACTGTTACTCGCAATGTTTCGCCAGCCAAATAAATTGCAACATCTCGGTCCAAACTAGCAGTTACTTCAAGTGGCATTCGACTAAAATTCCTTTTTTTCATTTTTTATTGGTTTCGAAATATTCAATTGGATTTTATTACCATTTCAGGAACTTCAAGACAATAAAATATCATGGGTTTATGAAAGAAAAGAACATGGAATTTGATTAAAGCGGCACATGGGATTATTCAACCGTAAATAGATAACCATAATAGTAAGAAAGATGAAAAGTGTACAAGAGGTGAAAATTTTCAGATTTAATATGCTTATGAAGATGTTGCAGCGCGAATGATTGACATTTGTTCTTCGACATGATTCAAATATTGAAGTTGGAGAAGACCTTCGAGTTGTGGTTTTGCGAGAATTGAATTTGGATTGTTGGCGCGGAATTCTTCAGCTGTAAGTATTAATTTTATTCAAGTTGTAATTGTATGATCGAAAACTAACCAAATGCTTTGAATCTTGCTTGACATGCTTCAAGTGAACAATCATAAAAATCATATCCTCCAACATTTGGTGGTTTTTCGAACATAACTTGATTTGATGTTGAAGAATTATATTGAACTGTAGATGCGGAAGATGATGATGAACTTGGTCCACTTTCTGCACTTCCTCGTTTTTTTGCGGTATTTTCGTTTCTCAATTTTTTCATTTCCGATTTCTTGATCGCATGATAATATGTGCGACCAGCCATGTCTTCAGTCTAAAAGAAATTAGTACATTTACGGAGAATTACACAAAATAGAATACTTACAATCAAATCATGTTCCATATCAGCAACAATTTGAGCTTTCCAACATACACCATGTTTACTTGGTGCCTGTTCTTTTGCATAATATTGAACACGTTGTCCAACTTTGAAAACTTCGTTGAGATTTTCTGTTTTTGGTTTGCATCTCATTTTTGGGCATAGAATATTGGTGCTGGTTTTGATGTTTTCAATCTGAATACACAACAATTCGAATTCATAAAGAAGAATATGAATATACCTTAACTAATGCGGGGGGAGCTGCACTGAATTTCCAATCAACAAACATAAATTGCCCTTTTGGATCGATTTTGAGAACAACACCTCCTCCTCTGATGGTTCTTGCTAATTTGATGAATTTGATTTCAGATCCTTTCCATTTCACATCATATCTCGCAGATTTTGCAATCTCATCTCCAACTTCAATGTCCACCTGCAAATTACAAATACCATATACAGCTTCATTAATGTTGTTTACCGCAGTTGCTGAAACAGCCGAAAACTGAACGATCTCATCGATTTTGTAAGCACGAGTCAAAACATTTTTGAGGAATAGAACACCTTCACCGTCATAATTCACAAGAACTTGATCATGAATAACACCGACGACAGTTCCTTGACAATTATCCAGACGCATTCTGCCGATTCAATTATTTACCAGTAAACTTATCGGAATCAGAGTAAAATATACAAACTGAGGGGGTATGACAAGATACTAAACAATTAACAAATTTTTAAATATCAACAATTTATGAATTGCAGAGAATAACAAAACAATGTGCAAACGAATTAGTTGTATCCGAAGCTCTCAATGATCTTTTGGTATTGTGCGATCTTGGAAGCAGCATTGATTTTGGCTTGAACTTGCAATTTGTCCAACTTCTTCTTTTGCTCGTAATAAGCGGCTCCTTTAACCTTTCTCTTGGCTTCAAGCTTGGCAACAACATCTTGGTATTGCCATCCGACTTCGTGAGACAAACGTCCAACTGGAAATAAAAATGTAATCAGGGATATCAAAAGAACTGACTAACCTTTGCAGAATTTTCTTCTTGGTTGAAGGGAGAGGAATCTGCTGGCTGATGGAACGAGAAGAGCTTTAGTCTTTTGGTATTTGGCTGGAACTCCTTCGTATGTTCTGAGGTTCTTGAGGGCTTCGTTTCCTCTGATGGTCTTGTGTGGGAGCATACCTAAAAATAAACCATCAGTGTTATTTCACATTCAATTTTAGTCTTACCTCTGACTGTGCGCCAGAAGATCTTTGATGGAGCACGGTAATGGAAAGCTCCTCGAGCTGGGTTGATGTTACAACGTTTGCGGAGGAAGCTCATGTACTTCAGTTTTGATCGGTGGAAGTTTCCAGAGATGTTGATTTCTTCAGTTCTGGTGATGACAACTTTCTCGCCTTGAAGGAGTTTCTTGGCCACAATCGAGGCCAAACGACCAAGAAGGTGGTTTTTTCCGTCGATGATGATAGCTCTGTTGGACAGACCCATCTTTTACCCTGAAGAAATAAATTATTGAACGTAAATGAAGACAACGAGATATAATAGCGCGAAGAAACGCAAAAAGAGAAAAAGAAACGAAACAAAGAGAGAATGGCAATTTATTTCTAAGAATCGAGCTAGAAGAGAATGTCAAATGCTGCATATTTACACTTTGATTTACACGACTACTTTTTTCTGTTTTTCAAAACATTTTTGAGATAAAATTCTCCCGCTTTGTAAGAAGATCGTACAAGCGGACCCGAGGCTACATATAAGAATCCCAACTTTTTGGCATACTCCGCCCATTCATCAAATCTGAAAAAACACCAAACGTCATCTCCAGACTGAAGTTAACAACTCACTTCTCTGGTGTAACCCATTCTTTGACGACTAAATGGCGTTTCGTGGGTTGCATGTATTGACCGAAAGTTACAACATCGACGTTGTTTTTTCGAAGATCAGCAAGACAATCCTTGATTTCCTGCTCTTCTTCACCAAGTCCAAGCATAATCGAAGTTTTAGTTATAAGTCCTGGATTTACTTCTTTGGCGTATCGTAAAGCATCTAGTGACTGTCTATATTTTGCTCTTGGGTCGCGAACCCATGGGGTTAATCTCTCTACGGTTTCAACATTATGCGCATAAACATCTAAACCACTAGTGGCTAGTTTTTCGATACTCAATTTGTCGCCAGCGAAATCCGGTAAAAGACATTCTATCAGCAATCCTGGTTTCTTAAGCTTCATAAGCTGCACGGTCTTTCGAAGATGATCAGCCCCGCCATCAGGAATATCATCTCTATAAAGGTACACTATTCGAAATTTCTGAATTCCCAAATTCAAACCTGTCAACTGAAGTCATTACAATATACTCAACACCCCAAGATGCCACTGCTTCGGCGGTATTTTCTGGTTCCATAGGATCAAGTGGAGGTGGTGCTCTGGCAGTTTTGACTGAGCAAAAACGGCATCCTCGTGTACACGTATCACCCATCAACATAATTGTCGCTGTGGCTATACTGTCATCGGAGCCACCCCAACATTCACCCAAATTTGGACATCGAGCTTCTTGACAAACAGTCGAAAGTTTCAAATTTTTCAACTGCTTTTTGAGACGAGCTACATTTCGATTTTCAGAAGGTAAAACCTCAAAGCAAGCTAATTAAAGAACTGTTACTACAAACTAAAGTTACCTGGTCTTTTTTCAACCATGGCGGTAATCGCAATCTCTTATCGCCTTTTTCTAGCTTTAATTTTCCCTCATATTTCTGAACAGCTTCTGCCACCGATCCTAAGAAACCGAAGTCAGGAAACCTTCTAAATGAAAAATCTTACCGGACGTCACAAAATCCTGCAAAGATGGTCCATCTTTGATATTAGGTCTAGCCTTTTTTGGAACATCTGCAAACCCGCGAACCCATATTCGAGCAAGCATGCTGAATTTAGATTTCTATCGTCTAATTCTACAGATAAATTTTCAGAAATGACGGGAACTTTCTAGAAAAAAACAGCCTACGAGGTGTTTTGCCAACTACACAGAAATCAGAACAAGATAAGTAATTAATTAACTAAAATTAAAGACAAAAAAACGCGTGAAAAATCAGAAAAAAAACAGTGTAAAAGAGGTAAAATTCAGTAAAATTTTTTAGGACGACGAAAACGAAAAGAAAAAATGAGAGAAGGTTCTTGGGTCTCGCCACGATTGTGCAGTCGGTGTTTGCACACATTTCTTCTCATCGTAGTTGACGATCAAAATTAATTGTTTTCTCTGCGCTCTCCAAGAAACACACACTGACTTTTCAATATTTTTTTGATTTTATTTTTTCGAGAAAAAAATTATTTGATAAAGAGGAATTCAAGGAGAATTAGATTAGGGAAGTAAACAAAATAAACAAGGCACAGACAAAGATAATGATGTTTTCATCAAATGAATAATTTGTCTCCAAAATTTGAAAATAAATGAAAAGAAAGCGTGTTAATTTTGACGTGACCTCAACGATTACCACGTCGTTTTCTATCATGTTATTTTATTTCGAAAAATTTTCAAATCAGAAATGGCATCTCAAGTAAGTCAATTTGAAAAATCGAGGATAACCTCAATAATTTTGAATTTAGGAACTTTTCGAAGAGCTTGATAAAATTGCGGGGAATTTAGATTTGGAAGATATTGCAAATGCGTTGAAAAGAGCTGACGAAATTGATTTGAAAGAATTGGAAAAGTCTGAGATTTGCGGAATACTTCGAAGAAAAGGAGAATGGGTGTATGCATTGAGCAATTATCAAGAAGATAAGCAACAACGATATAAACATCTTGAAGAAGGTAAATTGTGAATTGAGATTTTATGAACCTTTGAAGTCGTTTTCTCAGCTTATGAATTTGCTTTGGAAGGGCATAAAGTTGATGAAAATGACTTTGAATGTCTTAAAGTATTATGTTCAACAGCTGGAAGATTGGCGGAAGAAAGTGGAATTCAAAAAAAGATCCATTATGGTTTTCTTTTCAAAAGTTATTTAGATAAAGCAATTGCTCTGAATAATAATGATTTTGAAACTTTACACATGCGCGGAAGATTTTCTTATACGGTGAGGAATATTTAGATTTACAAACTAATGAGATATAATATTTCAGGTCTGTCAACTTTCCATGATCGAAAGACTTGCAGCCAAAGTTATTGGAAAAATACCCGAAACCAGTAACAAAGAAGCACTTGAGGATCTTCTTCGAGCTGATCAACTTGTTCCTGGCGTTGCTGAAAATCAATTGTTTATTGGAAAAACTTATATGGCGATGAGTGATTGGAAAAATGCGAAAAAATGGTTGAAAATCGCATCGGAAAACAAAACATATGTTGCTGTTGAGACGGAATATGTCGAAGAAGCTATCGATTTGTTGCAGGATAAAAAATTGGCAAAATTTTGAATTTTCTCCTAGGAGCTCCAAAATCTGATGGTCAAAACTTGTTTTTTGTATTAATAAAAATGTTCCAAGATTCTTTATACTTTTGTTTTTTGTTTGACCAACAGTTGTTGTTTTTTTATATCTTTGTGAATTCATTTTTTCTTCAGAATGAATGATATAAAAAATTACAACGCGAGAAGAAAAACTTCTCTTTTGTTGCCTTTTTGATCAAAATTGATGTGACTTTTTCAATTTATTTGATAACAACCTTTTTTGTTTACTTTTTCGTAAGATCACTCTCAAACCTAAATAATAAAAACAACTTTTAATTTTTTTACTGAAAAAATGTTTCTATTTAGAAAGTTTCTAATAGAAACTCACATATTCAGTAGATCTCAAAAGAATTTTTTTTTTCAAATTCTTCTAAAAAAACCTTGAGAAAAACAACACAGTTTTTCTCTGTAGTCTCTTGAGTTTTTCTCTCGTCTCTCAATTTCACACACTTTTTCGCTTTATTTCTTTTTTGTTCGTTTCTTTTTTTGTTGGTTGTTTGTCTTTTTTGCCGCCCAAAGGTTTTTACCTGATTTTTTGAAAATTGTTGATTTTTTCATTTTGAGGAAAATACTTTTCAGGCGAATTTAGGAACAGAATCACAGTAGGCAAACTAAAAAAGTTAGTTGTTTTCAATTTCAAATTGTTCGTTTGAATTTAAAAAAACAATTCAAAATAATTGGAATTCATAACAGGTTATTTTTTGGAAAAAGTTTTGATGAACCCTAAACAAAAATAAAATCTCTCGTCGCATTTTTCTATCCAAAAAAGTCGTGTCTCGCAATGCCCCCAACCAAAAACCTTCTAAAATCAATTATCATGGTCCGTCTCACTTCGAGTCTCTATCTATTTTTTCTCATTTTGTCTATCTCTTTCATTTCTTCATACTTTTTCCACCGTTTTCCTGTCTGTGTCTCTTTGAAAAGAGCAAAACGAAACGAAGGCTTCGTTCGCTTCCAGCAAAATAACCTCTCATTTTTCGAACGAGAGAAAATTGGCGTGTCAGCCCCTTATTTAGTATTGTTTTTAGAGCATTCTCTGAAATTCTATTCATTATTTAGTTGAAGAAAAACGTATTATGAGTAATATTTTCAATTGTTGTATGATCGGTAAGTCAAGAATTCAGATCTTTGGTGTTATTGCAAAGCTTCTTATTCCTATTTTGGTTTTCTTTCCAGTTTGACACTAGCCTAATTCCATTGGGAATATTTTTCATCTCAAAAACATTTTTCAAAAAAAAAACAAAAATAATATTTTTCAAATTGCCACACACACTGCGTAAACAGCGGAGCATTGTTGTTTTCTTTTTTTTTCTCTGAAAAAACCACATGTTGTTTACAGCTAGTAAAAAAGCAATCGATTTAAAATGCAGTGTTTTTTCTGGCAATTTCTGAATGGGATTCCCTGAATGGGGCTAATTTTCAAAAACAGGGCTAAAAAGTAAAACTGAATGGGGTCCAAAAAATGTGTCTGAATGGGACCCGCCTGAATGGGGCTAATTCTCGAAAGTAATAAGATAATCTGAATGGGACCCGACTGAAAGGGGCTAATTTTTAAAAATAAATAGTTTTCTGAATGGGACCCGACTGAATGGGGCTAAAAATCAAATAAATATTAGAAAAACTGAATGGGACCCCGTTTAGTCAGTCGATTTCCGGATTTCCGGACTCTTCAAAATTTTGAATTGCGTTTGATATTCAGTTTTCAAGTTTGATTACTACTTTCGTTTGTTTATCAATAGATATAGATTGAAAGCCTAATTTTTTTTTTAATTCTGAAGAACCCTTAAATTTCATCTTAAAACCGGAGAACACGATTTTTAAAAATAGCTAATTTTTCATAAATATTAGGATATAAATAAATCTGGAAATGTATTTTTTCCAGTTTCTAACGTAAAAAATTTAATGTTTCCTTTCGAACCTGCTTACGATACTTCTAGTTTGCCGTTTGTCCTAGTAAAATTCAAATTTTTCGCACCTATGTGTCAAAATGTGGTGTTTTTGGGAAGCCACCTTGCCAAAATACAACTTTTTTCCTAAATTGTGTTGAGAGACACATCTTTTAAGGGCTGAATGAGTGAGATACAGAAAAAATGTCGGAATTTAGATCTTAATTGGAAATTCGGACTATTTTTTTTTAGTTCCAAGCTCCATATTTCCAAGCTCCATACTTCATATGAAGCTGCAAGTTTTATAATTCTGAAATTCTAATTGGGCTAATGAGAACCAAAAACCTATTGATAATGCAAAAACATCGCACCAGAAGCTCAAACCCACGTACCGAATACTACATGTCGAAATCGAGAAAATTAAATTTCGCATAAAAATATATTCCCAATGTATACATTGGGAATATATTTTACGTAGGTTACCTGTAGGTTAGCTCCTTTCAAAGTTCTTCCGGAATTTTATTCTTCAAAATCAAACATTTTGGGAATACCCTAAGGAATAAAATTGTGATAAACACATGAAAAAACAAACTACTATTTCAGAAAAGTAGTAATCAAACTTGAAAACTGAATATCAAACGCAATTCAAAATTTTGAAGAGTCCGGAAATCCGGAAATCGACTGACTAAACGGGGTCCCATTCAGTTTTTCTAATATTTATTTGATTTTTAGCCCCATTCAGTCGGGTCCCATTCAGAAAACTATTTATTTTTAAAAATTAGCCCCTTTCAGTCGGGTCCCATTCAGATTATCTTATTACTTTCGAGAATTAGCCCCATTCAGGCGGGTCCCATTCAGACACATTTTTTGGACCCCATTCAGTTTTACTTTTTTAGCCCTGTTTTTGAAAATTAGCCCCATTCAGGGAATCCCATTCAGAAATTGCCGTTTTTTCTGCAATGAGAACAGAATATGAGTCACTTTTATGTTATTATTCGATGATAGAGAAACAATATTTTTTGTTTTGTTTTGTTCTGTTGAAAAAATACTCAAGTGAATGAAAAAATAAAATAAATATAGTTATATATCAATCTAGTTTTTTTAGTTGTTGTTTTTTGATAAGTTGTTATTGTTGGGGGGTTTTCTAACTAGGCATTCTCTTTCCTCTTTTTTTGACATTTTTTTTTCTGGTCGGCTCTTTTTCTAATATTTTTTATGCACAAACAAAGTTCTTTTTCTTCGAAATCTAAATAGTATTTGTTCTGAATCTGATGTTGCCTTTTCTAGTTACAATGGGACCATTAGGTTCGTATTGATTATGCGCATTTATCAATTATAATTAATCAATATTATCAATTTATCGAAAATTTTCAGATCCCGATCGTCCGATCAGTGGCTCAAACGAGGAAGGTTATCAGAAGAGGCAAATAAGTGAAGGTTTTGCCACTTCAAATCCACATACCGACGGAATAACAATGGCTGATGATGAAGAAGAAGTTATTCAAAAAGTGCACGTGCAACCTGATGAATTTAATGGTTTGATTGGAAGCATTGCTGGAAATCTTATTCGAGATAAGGTAACTTTTCGCACTTTTATTTAGTGATCTACATAGATTTTATACATATTTGTTTCAGGTCGGTGGTGCTGGAGGTGATATCCTCGGCGGTCTCGCTAGTAATTTCTTGGGTAACCTTGGAGGAGGCGGCGGCGGAGGAGGAGGCGGTGGTGGCTTCCAAGGTGGAAATGGTGGATTCGGAGGTGGCGGCGGTGGAAACTTTGGTGGAGGTTTGTTTGTACAAGATCTAATTGTGTTTTTTAAATCACACAGCTTTTTCGTTGTTGTTCCTTTATCTGCTGTTGTTTTTTCCTAAATGTGTAGTCGTATAGAATCATCAAATAATCGAGGCGGCGGTGGATCATGGGAACCGAAAAGAAAACGAGATGTTGCGATGGATGTTATTGGTGGATTGATTAGTTCGGGAGCTGCTGGTAATTTGATTGATGGAATTGTGAATCGAAAAAATAAGCAGACCGGGGGAATTGGAAATGGAAGTGGAGGGAATAATAATCGACAAGGAAATGATGTTCATATAGATAGTAATAATGGTGTGGTTTTATTTTTGAAGAACTGTTTTGTGTTTGTTAACAAAGTTTTGTATTTTTTTGAACTCCCACCTCAAGTACGCGTGGCTAATTACAACTCTAGGCGACATTTTTGATTGAAATTGAATCATCATTTTCATAAAGAAATTGAGACACTTCGTCCCTAAAAATTTTCCTAACCTTTTTGCTTTCTACCGTACCTCTTGCGAGCACCTCACTTTTTATTTTTATTTTGAGTTTGCATGTTTTGTAGGTGGTTCAAAACAACAGGATCCATTGGCTGGTTTGATTGGTGGATTAATTGGTGGTGGTGGCTCAACTAACACTGGTCCCAGATCTATCAAATTCTAAATCAAAATACTCATATTTTCCAGGCGGCGGCGGGGGCGGCGGTGGTTTCAACTTGAATGATCTTGGCGGAATTATCAATTCACTACAAGGCGGTGGCGGCGGACAAGGACAAGGCGGAAATCGATCAGGTGGAACTGATTTCGGAAGTATTTTGGGTGGAATTGGAAGTTTGATTGGCGGCGGGGGAGGTGGACAATATAATGGTGGAGGAGGAAATGTGAATCCAAATCGATTGAATGGTGGAATGGTGAATATTATTGGAAATCTTATCGGTGAAGCTGCTCATCGATTTTTGGGAGTTGATCCAGGAACAGGAAGAATTATTGGAGCTGTTGCTGGAAATGTTATCATGGGTTTGGGTGGAAAAGACAATTCACTTGGAAACATCGGAAAAGTCATTCTCGACAATATTATTTCCGGTAAATTCCGCAGAGATGTTGATCCATTCGTCCGTCCCGGTCCTAATCCAAGTGGCGGCGGCGGTGGTGGAGGACCATCTCCAATTGCTCCACGGCCAACCACAGAACCACAAGATTTCTATGCGTTGCGTGACGAATGTTTGGCGAGTAAATCGTTGTTCGAAGATCCGCAATTCCTTGCAAACGATTCTTCGTTGTTCTTCAGTAAAAGACCACCAAAACGTGTTGAGTGGTTGAGACCTGGACAAATTACACGTGAACCTCAATTGATTACTGAGGGACATTCACGTTTTGATGTTATTCAAGGAGAATTGGGAGATTGTTGGCTTTTGGCTGCAGCTGCTAATTTGACTTTGAAAGATGAATTGTTCTATCGTGTTGTTCCACCAGATCAATCTTTCACTGAAAATTATGCTGGTTAGTTTTTTGTTGGGAAAGGGAGGGGCGGTTGCGAACAATTCTAAACATTCAGAAAACTATTCCAAAAAGTTTGCTGAAAGTTTAGAAAAATCAAGTTTTGTGTACTATAGATTTTAGAGATTCAATAAATTTATATTCGAATTTCAATTCAGAAGTTGACAAAACGTCCGAAGATTTTTAAAATTACTTTTTTATTTAAAAAAATTGGAAAATAAAAATCTTTTGGAAAAATGTGACGTCATAACACATTCAATTTTACACCACGATTTTCAAATCGCTCCCTTCACCCATAAAAACTCGTAACCCTTTTCCTTCCAGGAATTTTCCATTTCCAATTCTGGCAATATGGAAAATGGGTCGATGTCGTCATCGATGATCGTCTTCCAACATCAAATGGCGAATTATTGTATATGCATTCAGCATCAAACAATGAATTCTGGAGTGCTTTGCTCGAAAAAGCTTATGCTAAACTTTTCGGTTCTTATGAAGCATTGAAAGGTGGAACTACATCGGAAGCATTGGAAGATATGACTGGAGGTCTTACCGAATTTATTGATCTCAAAAATCCACCAAAAAATCTGATGCAAATGATGATGAGAGGATTCGAAATGGGATCTTTGTTTGGTTGTTCGATTGAAGCTGATCCAAATGTTTGGGAAGCTAAGATGAGCAATGGATTGGTTAAAGGCTAGTGAATAGATATTTTGAAACTCAATTCATAATAATTCTTCAGGTCACGCATATTCCATTACCGGAATGAGAATTGTTGATGGACCAAATGGTCAAGTTTGCATTCTTCGAATTAGAAATCCATGGGGAAATGAACAAGAATGGAATGGACCATGGTCTGATAATTCGAGAGAATGGAGAAGTGTTCCAGATTCGGTTAAACAAGATATGGGTTTGAAGTTCGATCATGATGGAGAATTCTGGATGTCATTTGAAGATTATATGAGAAACTTCGAGAAAATGGAGATTTGTAATCTTGGTCCTGATGTTATGGACGAAGTTTATGAAATGACTGGAGTTAAGGCGGCTGCTTTGACATGGGCTGCAAATACACACGATGGAGCTTGGATTAGAAATCAAACTGCCGGTGGATGCAGAAATTATATTAGTTAGTTTTGGGGAAATTAAGGGAAGGGTATGGAGCAAAACCAAAAACTTTCGAAAATTGTTTCGAACAAATCTTTAAAATCAAGAATCGGAAAGAATTTTCTGTGAATTTTATTTTATTTTTTGTATAAATTACGTGTCTCTCAAATTTTTCTCACCGGAATTCGTTTTATTCAGATACATTCGCCAATAATCCACAATTCCGTGTTCAATTAACCGATTCGGATCCAGACGATGATGATGAACTGTGTACTGTCATTTTCGCTGTTATGCAAAAATACAGACGTAATTTGAAACAAGACGGACTCGATAATGTTCCAATTGGTTTCGCTGTTTATGATGTAAGTCTTTTTCGCTCTGAAATTTCAGATTCTTGATCTTAAATCATTATTTTCAGATGGCCAATGTAAGTACTTTAAAAAGTGGTAAAACATTCCTGTGTTTTTTTTTGTGTTCGAGTATTTAGAAATTGTTTTTGTGTGCCTTTTAGTGCATAAGTTATTAATCCTAATGCTAAAAGTGATTAAAATTAACCCGTTTAACAGAAAGTTTGATGAAAGAAATAAATGAAATTTTTTAGGCCGGAGGTTATCGCGGAAGATTGACCAAACAATTCTTCGCTGCTAATAAATCGTCAATGAGAAGTGCTGCATTCATCAATTTGAGAGAGGTAAGTAGTTTTTATAAGTATAGAGATTGAATGTCAGAATATTTGCAAAAATCAAATCCACTTCAAAAGTGAGAGTACATTTTGATCAGTAAATGAAGGAATATTTCGAAATTTATCATTTCTTTATAATGTGACCAGATTTTAGTCACTAAAAATTGAGAATTTAGAGGTTTTGCAGAAAACGTTCTTTTCCTACTTTCCGAAATACATAATTTCTCGCAAAAATAGACCTACTGGTTTTTTTTTCGATAGTAAAAAGCTTACGCTTTTTCTTTTCAATCAATTTCTCCCAAAACTTAAAATTTTTCAGATGACTGGTCGTTTCCGTGTTCCACCAGGTAATTATGTAATTGTTCCATCAACATTCGAACCAAATGAAGAAGCTGAATTCATGCTTCGAACATATACAAATGGATTTATCGAATCATCTGAACTCTAAATTTGTCTTCTCTTTCTTTTTCTTTCGCTTCTCATATTAGTGTTGCCTGTTATTTCTATGTAATTTCCCCAAAATGTAATTAAACGACTTTTATATAATACTTCTTCTAATAAATTAAAATCTCTGCATAACATTGAATAGTCATAGAATAAGCCAAGTAAGCAAGGGAAGAATTATATTATCCATTTTTTGTTATAAAAGCTTCGGAAAATCCAACAATTACCGAAGAGATAAAAATGGGGAAAATTGAGAAATTCGAATCGTCGACTAGAAATATATTGGCAAAAATCAGGAAAATAAACATCGAAATTATCATTGAAATTGTACCCTCCAATGATTTGTTACTGCTGAAACATTGATTGTTTTTTGAATTATCTATGAATTAAAAACCAAACTAACTTTCTCCATTTAGTTTTTCCAATTTTTGATCCAATAATTGCTGCAAAACTATCACCAACACCGACTGAAGCAATTCCCGCAAAATGATATAATTTTGGATGGAAATTGTTTGAATTTGGTGCTTGAAAAATGAGAAGAAGTGGGAGAAATATTCCAGTTAGCAGATAAATTGGAGTCATTAAAAGATCCGAATCTTGAATATCACGGAAAATTAGAAGATATTCGTTTAGATAAGGAGACCATGGAGGAACATCGAAATATCGAAGATTCTGGAAAAAACAAGTTTTGATTTCGAAAAATTGAAATTTTCGTCAAAAATATCTGAAATTTCGAATTTTTTGAAAAATGTGAAGCTCGAACTTTTGATCCAGAATGTTTGAAAATCCAAATTAATAACACATTTTTCAACAAAACTCTGCATTTTTCAAATTTCAATTTCCAAAAATACTTTTGGGAACTTCAATTTAAAAAAAAAACTTTGATAACATATTCTTTTAATAAGGAAAAATCGGAAAACAGTTTTTCTTTAAATTTTGTTTGGTCGAAAAAATTTTAATTTTTTGTTTTAACATTCTCAAAAAATCCCCACCTCCACCAAAATAAAAATTGCCAGCCAAAGCCACGCACAAATCCACGTAAATTGAGCATCATATAATATTCCAGATATATAAATCAAAGAAACCGTAAGATGGAAAAACTTTCTGAAAAAAAAGGTTTCAAAAAGTTTTGTTATTTATTTTTACCTATGAATTGTAGTTGAAATTCCAGTCGCTTTTACATAAGTGCAAAAAACAACAGAAATTGCAACATTAAATAACCAAAATGATATTAGAAGTAACCTGGAATTGATATTTTTGAACCTGAATGATCCTATTACAAAAAATACTTACCTGTCTCTATTCCCAGTCACAATTTCCAGCAAAATTTCAAAAACTTGCAAAAAATGATCAGTTTCAATCAATAATCCATAAATATAAATTGCCAATGAAAGAGCAATTAAATAAATGACATTTATAAAAACTGGCCAATTTTTAATTAAAATTGAAGTTGACACAATAAAAATCGTAGTGATTGTTGAAACAATTGCAAGATTACTGTAATATTCCGGTGGCATTTGGAGAAAAAATTTTGCTTGAAAAGAAAAACATCCCAAGGTTTTTATGGAAAAAACTTGCTGTTTTAAAAAGATAAAATATTTTGAAATTGACATTTCAACAAAGCACAATATATCGTTTTCCGCTGAATTGGAATGGAAAGAAAATTTTATTCATTAAAGGCACATGTTAAAACTACAAAATATCACAAATAAATTTGAAAGCATCACAACCAGAAAAAAATAAGTAATGAAATTAATAATTTGAATTTGTATTTGTCATTGAAGAATTAAATTAAGTAGATCAGATGATCATTTGCTGGCTTTCTGAAATTTTTTGGATTGAAAAATAGAAACTTTGAAAAAAAAAATATTAATTGCATGGTGTGCTGCGTTGCAAACTGATAAGAAACTTTACAAATGAATGATGAATTGAAAAACTCAAATATTTCAATTTTTTAAAGTAGCGTATGGATTTTGAATTCTGAAATTGAATTTTGTTCAACCATAAATCATTATTTTTCTGAAAAACACTTGAAATAATTTTGGAAAGCGACGTGTATATTCCAAGTTTTTCCAGGAAAAGTAATAATTCAAATGAGTTTCTGGTTTTCGTTAGATCTTTTTCTGAACTACCACAATCTAGAACTTTTTTCCCTTTATTTACAGTATTTCCAGAATATTTTTTCCTTGATCTACCAAAATGTGGACCTTTTTTTGTATTCAGGATGTTTCCAGCGAGTTTCAAATATTTCCAGATTACTTTTTTGAACCATAATTTTTCAAATCTAAATTCAACTGGATTTCCCCATCCAACTTCATTTTCAACCACATTATTTATACATTTATTCATATCTCGTCTCATTTTCAATATGTATGCATAAATATATATATATAAATATATATCCACGGATTAAACAGCCTTCTTTCCTTCTTCTTCGTTTTCCATATGCGGTTTCCTTGGTGATTTCATTTGATAAACATAATTATATATGTGCTTTTGCTAGCTAGGCAAAGCCAAAAACAAATCGATTCGAGGAGAGAACCCTCGATTTTTACAACAAGAAAATATGGATTCTTCATTTTTTTTTACTACAACACAACCGAAAGAAACAACTGTTTCGGTCGGGTCACAAACTTTTCTCTGAATGAATGAAGCGATGAAAAAAAGAAAGTTGTGGTAAAAAAGACGAAAAGAAATTCGAGAAGACCAACTGTTTTTGCTGCATCTTCTTCTTCTTCTTTTAGTGACTAACAACAAAACGGATGATTGACAAAAAGAAAAAATGTAAGAAGGAATCTCAAATTTTTCTCGAGTTGTTTTGTGGGAGAAAAAAAAGTTTTGGCAGAATCTGCATAGGGTTGCACTGTGTTATATTAAAGTTGATACCTTTCTAGCTCCTCTTGATCTTTCATAGCATTACTCATGTTGGAATACATTTAAAAACATTGCTCATAATAGAAAAGACCGTTGCAAACCAACTGGAAACCAGAACCTGAAGTGCCTATTAGTACTGTACAGGAAATATATGGGTTTCTGGATTCCTGGTTTTCCAAGTTGGCTGGTTTCCAACCTGTTCAAAAAGTCGTTCCATCTGGGAGATTCTTTTGTGCCCCAAAAACTGTGTCCCCTTCCCTACTCTATATATTTTCTATGACAAAACCACCCCAAAAAATTCCATTAATTCCTAATTTCTGCTCTCATTCCTTCTTTTTTTCCTCCCATTTCTCATCACTTTTTTTTGTTGTGTTTCGAAAAACACTTAGCAACACCATGCAAAGACAGAGCCAGTCAGTGGGTGAAAAAAGAGCTTTCTGTTGCATTTTTTGTGGGCGACACACAAAAAACTAGTAAAACATGAGAGAGAGAGAGAGAGAGAGTGAATGAAGAGAAAATGGGAATCGATTCAACTTGGGAGAAATTGGTGGAAATTGAGAATTATTGGGAGAAGACGTTGAACTATTTATAGAAGGTTCTAGAATTTTTGAAGCAAGCATCTAGAAATCTCGCAAACATTTTCAGAGGGTTCTGAAGTAGTTTTTCAAAAGATTGTTAGAAATTTTAGGAGTAGCTAAGGTGTTGAGAAGGTCTTTGGAATCTTGGAAATATTTCTAGATTTTTTCAAAAGAAATACTGAACGTTTTGGAAATGCTTCAGTATTTTTGTTGGAATCTCACATTGTCAGAATTTTTTGGGAAGGTTTTAGATTTTTCCGTAAAATGAAATCCTATTCTTTTTAAAGGTCTAGGAGTTCATCAAAAATTGTTTTTAGAATCTCAATTTTGGATTTCTAATTTTTTTCAAAAAAAAAAAATCCTCAAATTATTTTTCTAGGTTTTTGAAACAACAATCCACCAAAACACCAACAAAAACCACAAAAAAACACAACACATATAAAATTGGCGAACCTATTTTTCTTACAAAAAATACGCCGGCCTAAGCGAATCTTAGCCCAGCTTCCATTTCAGACATTTTCGAAGACTGTGGCAAAGCATTCACTTATACGGCATTGGTTCATAACGAGAAAAACTCACGAAAAGTTGCGGTTAAAAAATCAATAGAACTTGAAAGAGTAAAATGTGAGAAGAGTGTGTTGTGTGGCCATTTCCGTTTTTTTCTTCGCCTCGGCGAGCAGAAAAAAACCGAAAAAATATTTTGAAACAAAATTTGTCACATATACATTTAGAAATAAATAATATTGAAGTCGAGAAAAACATACCAAAAAATATGAATATTTTATAATAACAAATCATTCAAAATACTATGAATATTATCAGTAATAATTAGTTGTTCCTCCTCTTTTTTCTGCTCTTCTTTTTCTTTCAAATCAGCCAATTGAATTAATAGTTGACCAAGTTGTCGTAAGTCTTGAGATGTCGAGAAACGACAGAACTAAAAACTTACAGATTCAGGTGATTTCTTAGTTAGGGCAGGTGTATTTTTCATACGGTAAATTGAAATTTTTCACTATTATTCATCGTAGAGAAAAATTAAAATTTTTCAAAATAAAATTCATGAATTTTTTCCAATTGCAACATCCTAAATGTCTTTTTTAATCGAAAAAAGTCAAGAGCATCTAATTAAAGACCACGCCTTGGGGCAATTTTATGTGCATGTGTGTTTTTTTTGTTCGACCTAGAGAAGAAGTGAGCAGAAAAAAGGAGGAGACGAGTCGGACAGCGGCCAACAGCAAAATGATCAATTCTGAAGGAAGGAGGACGACGACGAAAAGAAGACGACAAAATATAGGCGGAGCTTGGGAAGAAGAAAAAAATAGCAGAAGAGTGAGAGACAGAGCCAATTCCTTCAATATTACAACAAGTGAGTGAGTGAGCAAAAGAGAAGAAGAAGAAGAAGAAGAGCCGGCGACCAAAATTTAATGAATCTGCATTGAGATGGATGGAAGAAGAAGAAGAAAAAGCAGGATGAGAGCGAAATTATGGTGGACATTGAGAATAAAAATGAAGAAAAAGATGAGCATAAACATAAACTAAAATTGAAATCGAATAAAAACAACAATGAACATACATACATATGGGATCTGGAAAAAGAAAACTAAGAAAAATATTCTGCCTAATTACTATGGGAAAAAACTATATGATTTGTTTGTGGGAAAAAATCATGAACAAGTAAAAATGAAATAAACCTTGTAGAACGATTCGAATCTACACACAGAGAGAGAGCGTAGAAACCAAAACGGAATTTGAAGTGTCGTTCCAAGAAGTGAGGTCCGAGCATTAGTGCTTGAAAGAGAAGGATGAAACCATCGGAAAATTTTGAATATTCGTAACTTCTTGAGAGACCTCTTTAAGGACCGATTGATATTGTTTTGATGAGTTAATATTCTACAAGTGTTCGAAAAAATCAAGTCTCCAAGAACTTTCCACTTTCCCACCTTGTTCGTCATAAAAACGTAGTACAGCAGTCGTTTTGATTGTCATATTCAAGGAGATGCTAATTTTTATACGACACCATTTGCTCCTTTTTACAGCCCCACCACCTTTTTCTCTCTTTTCACTTCGAATTTATTAAAAATGGGGGGAGGAATGAGTGTAAATATGAATATCAAGGTGCTATTTTTCACCTGCTCTCATAGTAAATCCGATTATTATTAGAGGACCGACCGACAAATTGAGCAACCAGATAATTAAAAATTGGAAAATTAATGATGTGTTTGGAGGAAAGGATGAAGGAAAATATTTGGAAGCAGTAAACAATATTGGTCAACAAATTGCGGATTGAACCAGGGTGGGATCTAAGAAATTTGTCAAAGGTAATTGGTGAAGTTTTAACTCATTTTTGTTGTTCTGTAGTTAAACTGAAGAATTCAGAAGCTTAGCAAAAAATGTCAAAATTAGGGCGCAAATAAGCTCGCAAATGAAATTCCAAAGATGAAATAAGGGAAATACCGTTTTTCCGATTCATAAACCGTCAGATTTTAAAAACTCACTCTCTCAATTTTCTTCTGTCTCGAATATTTTTCTTGTTCCATCAACATTCTTCGATTATCCATCATAGTCACTTCAATCGACGCCAATCTTGCCTCAATCCCAACATTCTTTGTCTTATCATCTTTCGGCTTCTCATTTTCCAATAGTTTTTCTTGGAAAGACTCCCGAACAACGTCTTCAATCTGAATCAGATAATGAAAAAAAAATAAAAAGAAAAGTCCAGAATCAAACAGGCATAAAAAACACACTCAATCAAATATGCAATGAATTTGATAGCAATCATAAATATTTGAAAGTTTGGAGAAAAACATCAAAAAATTATTAAAGAAAAATAAGAAAACGCGTCACACCATGCAATCATTTCAGAAATCAAAATCTAATAAATACTTACATCAACAACTTGTTCCAAACTTTGAAGCATAAGAAGATCATCTTCACTCATATCAGTTCCACCAGTTGATTGAATATGTTCAAGTCGTTCTCGCATTGCAGTCAAATTACTGAAAAAATGAGAAATAGGAACAGAAAGCCTTTACTGAACTTTTCAAAAAGTCGCTGCCCTTCACAATTTGAACTTACCTCAAATTAGCTTTTGCATTATTCAAAATCTCATCAATCGATGTTTCAACATTTCCATTTTGCTCTTCTCCATTTTCTTCACTTTGTTTCTCATTATTTTCCTGTTCTTCTGTTGGTGGAGGTGAAGTTGGAAGTGGCGGTGGAACATCTTCAATTTCGCCATTTTCTGGTGATGCAATTGGAGCGGCTTCTTCGGTGGCAGCGGAAGCAGTTTCAGCTAAAAATAAACAGAATAAAAATGTAAATGAAATCAGAAGTATAAAACCACGTGACAGTTCACGTTGATATTTTTCAAAAGATTTGTTTTTTCACTCACTTTCCGTCATTTGAAACAGTGGGAATATTTTTCAAAAAGTCTCCAAAAAATCAATATATTTTAAATAAACAGATATCTGGTGGGATTTGTGTGTGTGACAAACCTTTGTGCTCTTCCTGTTTCTTTTGTTCCTCCAACATTTGTCTAATTTGCTGCAATCTCTTTTTTCTCGCATCCATCGCTGCCAACTTTTCTCGAATAAGTGTGTTCACTTTCTCTTTTCTGAAAAAACAAGAAATATCTATCCGATGATTAATCAGGAAGGAAATGAAATAAAATATTTGTTAATCGGTTAAATTTTAATTTTTGTATACAAACTTCGATATACATATTTCCAGGGACTTCCTTTGACTCTCTACTATACTATTATCCTTTTTTATAGTATGCAAAAAAACACACAATTTGAATGCATTTTCTCATCATATTTTATTTGTTTTACAATGTAATGTGTAATAATTTTATGCACTGACTGACTCTGCACAAAAAGATGAAAATTGAGAGGATGGAGCAAAACTCGCCAAAAAACCCTCGTTGTAAGAATTTTTGGGTGAAATTTAATAGTTGATTTGGGACGATAAACTTTTGACCAATGAGTGTAATAGAAATATAAATTTACGAACAGAATGTGATTTAGATTGGGGGGAAGTCAATTGGAGAAGTATGGATGATCCAAAAATTTCAAGAAAAAAGTAAAAAAATATATCCGAAGGCATTTCTGATTCGAGCTATGACGTGGCAAATGTCATATTTAATGAATATAGATTCAGTGAACAAATGAACCAAACACGAAAATCCGAACGTTCAGAAATTCTGAATTTCAGTTCTGGATATATTTTTAGAAAAGCCAAAGTTTTATATTATATTAGGTGAGTTATTTTTGGCTTAGAAACTAATTTAAAAATTGAGAAAAAATCAGTTGTCAATCTTGAGAGTTATTTTAGCCTCTGAATCTAAGTTTCTTTCTTTGCCACGTCATAAGTGTTTCAAAAAAATTAAGATTTTTAAATGAAGAAACGAAATTAGTCTAGCACTTTCCAATTTTATACTAACCCCAGTACTGTAGGTTCGAAAACATCTTTATCAGCAATGTTTTTATCATGATATCAGATCTTTACTCTCTCTCCTTTCCCGATTCATAACTTACTCTTCCATTTCCCTCGCAATACTTTCACGAATCTCTTTTCTTCTTCTTTCCTTCGCCTCTTCATCATTTTCAACACTTCCCGCCATTTTTTGAATTGTCGGAACTCTCATCGAATTATCAGCCACAGCATTTCGCGCATCTTCTCCAACTTCTTCAGTATGATCAAGTGCCAAACCAAGTTCAAGACATTGTTTTTGTAAAGATGCCAATTCTTTTTCCTGTTCGGCTGTTGATTTTTTGATGGAAGACACTGGAAATGTGTAGATGATTGGAAATTAATTGGAAAAGAATGTGAAAAACAAACTTTTGTTAATTTTTTCGATAACTTCTGCACGAACTCTCATCGCTTCTTCATCCAATTCTTTCGCCTTTTTCGTTCGAATCTCCATCATCGCATTTTTCTGGAAAAAAAATGAATCAGCTAGGTTTTTATTATCTTGTCTTTTATGATGAGAACTAGGACTATAACATCATTAGGGATTCAGACAGTCAAAAAATTGGATAACTATAAAAAAAAGTCCAAGCCAGAATTGACTACAACTGTCTGAAAGATTTCGTAGAGAGCACACTTTTTTTTTTTGATTTTCTGGAATTTCAGAGAAAAATCTATCTAATCTGGTTGCTGAAAAATCTTGAACAGTGTATTATTTTGGACACCATTGTCTAGGTGAGTCCAACAAAGCCCAGGTTCGTCTCAAAATTTTCCAAAAACCCATACCTTCTTTTTCTGCATTTGTAATCGTTCAACAAGTTTTTCATTGAGATCAGAAGCAGCGATTGCAGCTTCAGATACAGTTTTCAATTCCAACAATGCTTGTTGAAGTTCAGCAATATCTGAAAAAGATTTAGATTGTTTTTCAAACCCGAAAATCTTCATACCATCCGAAACTTCACTATTTTCATTGTCCTTATTATTTTCTTCCTTATTTTCCTCAGATGTCTTTTTTGTCTCATTATTTGTCTTGACTTCTCTCAATTTCTTCTCTTCTTCATCAATTTTTTTCGCAAAATCATTTGCAATGTCCAAAGTTGCTTGCTCGTGAATATTCTGTTTTTTAAACATAGTGCAATTAGGATTACATTCAAAAAGACTTACAACAATAGTTTTCAGAATATCCAAATATTGTGTTTCCTGACTTGAAAGTGTGTCAAAAGCATCGATCAATTGTTTGATGAACACTTTGTTTTGCTGGAAATTTTTGAATTAAAAATTCAAGAGAGAATTAACTAATTAACTAAAATTACCTGTGTATTATCATCCTGTTGACTAACTCCCAATTCTCTCAAAGCTTTCGCAATTTCAGCTTTCTTTTCGCGAATTTCCTCAATACCTTTCGTAATATTCTTTCGCCGTGTAACCAAATTATCATCAGAAGTTTGCGACATCTGAAATTCGTTTTAGAAATTCGAAAGAAAAAAACAAAAAAAAACTAATGACAAAAAGTAAAACCATAAAATGAAATAAAAATGTGCGTATTTTCATAATACATTCATTCATTCATTCAAATAAATGAAAAAATAGTACAGGTATTCAAGAGAGACCAAGACAATCAAACAGAACTTGTGTTGTCTGCGTCTCTTCGTACAGTTTTCTTTCAAAAAAGGTAACTAAACGATAGGTGGGTGGAGGAGGAAAAACGGAGAAGGTGATTCATTTCTTCCAAGATAATGGGAGTGACCGTTTTGGTCCTAAAGATAATAAATGACTCCTCAATTTATGCCTTAATCTTGAGGTTTTCTCGCAGAATTCGCGAAAAAATGAAAAAATTTAGTACATCTTTTGAAAGAAAGAGTATGCAATATTTATACAAGTGATTATTCAGTTTGTATACTAAAAAACAGGTCTTTTTTCTAAAAGATAAGAAAATTTGTTGAAAACAATGAAAAATGTGCTATAAATTCGAAAAATATTAAGAAAAGAATAATAGTTTTGAGATATAAAAAAAACTCCCAAAAGGTTACTTGATCAAATAAAAAAAACTACAATTTCATTTTTATAGTTTAAAAGGGTTTCTAGGCGCACTTTTTTGACAATTATAATCTCATACGCGCGGCTCCTTTCTAGATTTTCTAGCTTTGATAAAATAAAATAAAAATTTATTGAAAACAATGCTATAAATTCGAAATATATTACAAGAGAAATACAAGTGTTTTTGAGATCTAAAAACTCATTTCCTATTTCCAACAAAAAAACTTCCCAATATTATTCAACCCATTTAAAAAAGTTACACTTATCTGAACTCGAAAAAGGCAACGAACATGTGTAGAATTTCTTTCCCTTATTTGGTCCCTCTTTTTGCACAGTCTTCATGACAGCTGGCAATGGTTCTCGACACGAACATAATACTTCTTCTGTGGTTGATGTTGGTGGTGGGATATTCGAACTTTTTCGTGTTCCTCTAGTTTTCGGAGCTCCTCTCGATCTTCTTCCATTTGTTAAACTTCCAAATTCTTCACTCAATGTTACCATTTCACCTTCATCTACATCTTCAACAATATTCGATGTATTTATTGATTTTCTCTTTCCACGTGTATTTGTGTTTCCACCGCCTCTTCCTCCACCACCTCCACGTGGAGGTCCCCCACCACGTGGCGGTCCCCCTCCATCTCCTCCTGATCCTCCCGCTTCTCCATTATCTCGATCATCCAAATAACGCTGTAAAGATTGTGCCAAAACATTCACCTTCCTTTCAGATTCGATGAAAATTTGCTTATATTTATTGATCTGAAATTTCTCCTCTTTTTTGTTAGCTGAACAAATCAAAATTACCTGTTCATTAAGAACATCCATTTTCTGTCGTTTTCCATCGCAAATATCTTTGAGTCCAACTTCGAGATTTGCTCGAAGATCCGGTTTACTCATCGCAAATCCCATATCATCGTATCCGTCAACTAAAGCGAGGCCAAGGAACGAGGGCATCAACTTTCCATCGTTTTTTACTCCAATATATTCGCGTGTCTGAAAATTTTGAGATTTGGGGTAAAAGAGATCAGAAGAACTAGGTAGAACATCTCGGCAAAGATCGTAGTCCTCCCGCTTGCCAATTTTCAGAGTGAATTTTTTCTGTATCAGATATCTGAACCTTGTCAATTTAAAATTCAGGTTCTAGAATTTTTTCGAGCAAATTTCCAACCCCCCCCCCTTAATAATCCACCAACCTTAATTTTCTCAATATGTTCCGCATGTGTCGCATCAGTTCCAATTCCATATTTATCCATCAATGCAATCAAATCAGCTTCAGTCAATAATTCGGGTGCTTGTGTTCTTCCATCACCAATTCTCAATGTGAAATCAGTGATTTTCTCATTTTCCTCATAAGCTGGCAATTGTTTATTTCCCCATTTTTCATACACATACACTTTCAAATATCCTAGAAAAATATTTAATTTTATTTTCCAGAATAAAATTCAGGAAAAAACCAACCCATATCTCGAATTCTCAATCCATTCGCATGAAATTTCTCAGTTCCAATTCTCATCTAAATTTGTTGACTATATACCTTAAAAAGCCTCTTGAAAACTTACATGAACAATAGTTTCCTCTCCTTGCGCATCCTGTGAAACACAAGCCAAAAAATGTCTGACAACCAGTTCATAAACTCGCCAATCATTTCCTTCCAATTGATTTTTGTCGGCAAAAATCAGCGGATGAATTGGGGGATGGGCTTCGTCGGATTTTTTGCCATTTCGTGGATTCACACCTTTTTCAAGTACCTGGGGAAAAATATGATGGGGAATGAGGAATGAGGAAAAAGTACCTGATTAGCAAAATCTCCCCAAATAGTTGAAGCGGTTTGCATTGTGACAAGTGGTCGAAGATCTAATCCATTTGGAAATTTATTTGTTTCAGTTCTGAAAAATATTTAGATTTTGAATTTGAATCAAATCTGTTAAATTTTAATTCTTTAAAAAAATTGACTGAAACCGCCTTAGAAAATCATCAATTTTGACTAAAATAACTTGCCACATCCAAAAATTTCCAAATTTCCAAGCACATAACTTTTCTCTATGATACAAAAATCACTAGAATATTCAGAAATGAATCGTTTTTTTCATAAAATTAAAAAAAAACAAAATTTCCTAGAACACGCTCACGTTCACCAACTTTCCAAACCTTTTTTTTTCAAAACTATTTTTTCAAATCTTTTTAAAAACCAAACCTTGGATACGAAATAAATCCTTTGCTATACAATTTCTCGGCAATTTGCATAGTTTGTTTTGCCGACAGCTTCAATTTCGAAATTCCCAATTTTTCCAATTCTACCGTATCCAAACCTTGTGGTCTCCATTTTGATTTTGGTTTTCGAATCACTTTTTCAATTACAGCTTCTTTCACTTCTTGACAACCATCATAAAGTACCTTTAAAAAATACATTTTTGCCTAGATCTTTTGATAATCCTTACATCAATAACATCTCTATCAAATAATCGATTCCTATCCCATAAAAAGTCGACTTTAATCGCTTCTCTCATATGCATTACCATTAGTTTCCAAAATGGTTCCGGTATGAAATTCTGAATCAATTTATATCGATCTGTCACAAATCCAAGAGTTGGAAATTGACAACTTCCATAACTGATAACTTTATTATTGTCTGAAAAAAATTATTGTGAGATTTTTTTCGTAGAAAATTTTTACCATTTTGACCAAGAACATTTCGAAAACTTGATCTCAAATGAATAGTTTGTAATCTGGTAAATGCAGAACCAATTCGTAGATCTAATTCACTTCTACAATCAACAGCTGCAATTGTTTTATCATCTAATCGAATAAGACTTCGAGCAGCTCGACTAATTGCAGCTTTTGTGATTTCAGAGAACCTATAAACTTAATTAATTATGGTAAAAAAACACATTATGAAGTATTTATCACCTTGCTCGATAAACATCTAATCTTCGATTGCTATCTCGACAAACTTTCACAATTTCAGCTCCAATCGCTTCACCTTCTCTATCACAATCTGTCCAAATTACCAAAACATCATTTTTCGGTGCTTCCTCTCTTCAATAAATTAATTTTAATTAGTCTAATTGCAAAAACCATTTACCTCAATGTTTTTTCAATCAATTTCATTTCGGGAGTTACGATATGTCTGACTGGAGCATCGAATAATTGAACCATTGGAACTTCTTGCCAATTCGCCATATTTTCATAAAATTGCCAATTCATTAAATGTCCAGAAACACTGGTTACTGAAACTTGCGCTCGCTGAAAATTGCAAAAAAAATTTGGTGAATTTTGGAAGACTTCTAGAAACTATTTATCACGTGGAAAACTACGGTTAAAAATCTTATGAGGTTAAAATTTTGAAAAATTTCAGAATTTTGGAAAACTTTCCAAAACAATTCAGACCTTACGATCCGGTTGTTAAAAATTCCAAAACTCAACTTCTAATATGAATTATGACGTGGCAAAATTTTGAACAATCGGGAATTTAAAACTTCGGAAATGAATTTTCTTAAAATCTGAACTACCTATGTAATCTACCCTCCCGAACAATTTTATAGCCTCGTGAAGTCCCAATTTTTGAAATTTTCCAACTGTGCCACGTCATAGCTAATATTAAAATGGGAAGTCTGCGATTTTTGACGACGTGACCGTAATCAGGATCTAAACTTTCCATGTGAAACTATATTTTTCAACTTTTTCGGATTATATCAAGATTTTCTTCCCCCCCCTCAAAAAACAAACCTGTCCCAAAATATCCGTCTGCAACTGATAAATTTTATTGAACTTTGATCTTCCCTCTTTTCTCACAGCAGTTCCTATAAATACAAAATTTAGAGTTACAAGAAAATTGAGCTCTTCAACCAACCATTCGATAAAATAGCCGCAACTCCTTTTGCCACGTCATTTTTTTCGGCCACAAAAAGGGCTCGCATTCTGAATTAATATTAATTTTCCTGAACAGAAAACATATTTGGAAATATTTGGGATCAACAGAAACCCAAATCTAGAATATTGAAAAAAGATATATAATTATATTTATTAAAAATGTAGAAAAAATTATTTTACAAGAAATTTACTGAATGTCTTGTTCGATGATTATATCGCCATCCTGGATCTATAAAAAACAAATAATTTAACAGATAAATAAATTACAAGTTCAAAAATCAACTCACAACTTCGGTATAAATTTCAGTGCCCTCTTGAATATTATCAACTTCCTCTTCCTCCACAACAACTTCTTGATATTCAACTTCTTCTTCATCTCCAACTTCTTGTGGTGTCATCATTATATACGAATCTTGTTGGATATTATTCATCTCTCCATCTTCTTCTTCTTCTTCCTCTTCAACTTCAAGACGATTTCGTTTTGGTCGATGAATTCCAGGCCCGAGTCTGAAATGTTTATTTGAATTTATGTTTTTGAGTTCTCAAATCGCCCTATTCCAAAAATTTCAAAATGTCCCCTGAATTACCTAGATTTCCTCATAAGTGGTCCTTTCAAACAATCCTTTCTGATATGATGATTAACAATATGACGATCCAAATTTCTTTTTGTAATTGTTGCATATTCACAGGATGGACAATTATAGGGTTTTTCGCCAGTATGCGCTCGAACGTGGACTTTTAACGATGATGTTGTTCTGAAAATATAATTTTTTGAGATTTTTTCGAAACTTCATTTCAAACCTGAATCTTCTTCCACAATAATCACAGCCATACGGCAATTCTCCCGTATGAATCCTAAAATGAGCTGAGAAATTATGCCGATATAACACTAATCCACAAGTTGGGCATTCCATTTTAGGTTTCCATGGATCATCATGCCCATTTCCAAGTGCACCAATAACTTTTGCTGCCGGAATATATCCACCTAAATATCTCTCTCCAATTTCTCCTTCAAATTCAACTTCTCCTTCTTCCAACACATTTTCTTCAATCGGCACAACTTGTGATTCATTTGGCATTTTCAATAATTCCGGTGGTCTTTCATCGTGTTCAATTATCTCTTCATCTTCTCCCTCGCCAATATTTTGAATGCCTTGCTCAGAATTTGATTCGAGTTGCCCTTCAACTGATACAATTATTTTTGAACCTCGTGGACCAGCTATCACTTCCTCTGCTTTTCTGTAATAAATGTTGGGTGAGAAGGGAAAAATAATTTAAATACATACCTTGTAGAATCTGTCCTGACCTTTTCTTCTTTTGGAACAACATTCGATGACGAAGGCTGAAAAAAGCTCGAATTTTTATTTTAAAAATTAAGCAAAAAATATCGAACCTCAGCCCAATCATCGATTTCTTCTTCCTCTTCATCTTCAATTATTTCATCTTCTTCAAATTGTCTCGAAGTTGATGCTTTTATAACTTCAACTTCATGTGCAAATGCTTCCAATAAACAATCTTCGGCGTGCCAATAATATTCTCTCTGTAATGGAAAAAATTTCAAATGTTTTTCAAGTTAAAAAAAAACCTACCTTGTTTCTGAAATATTTATGACATTCTGCACACAGAAAATGATGTTCAATTGAAATCCATTCTGAATCTTCTTTCGATATTCGATGCATCTAAAATAATTTTAAAACTTGCTATTAATTGTGACAAATATTTAGCTAACTGTGATTTCGACAGTTTGAAAACACTTAAAAATAGAGAAAAGTGAGATTTATTCAAATTAGCCCGTAAATAAGTTAAATGAGTTTAGGGACACCGCAAATTTTTACAAATTATTCCAATCGATTGGATTTCTTCCATTGTTTTCGAGTTCTTCGTTGCATTTTGAGAAACATTTACAGCCATGCCATTTTCTAGCACTTAAAGGCGATGGATGAGCAGTCTGAAATTAATTTTATAAATTTTGTATAACAAACTATGTCTCCACCTTTATAATGATATGCTTCTTTTTGTCGATAAGTTCTTCCTTTTTATGTGCAAATCCTCCCCAAAGTAAGAAAACAATTGGTTTTTCTGATTGTTTGGAGATTATTGAAATCACAGTGTCGGTGAATTTTTGCCAACCAATTTTGGCGTGCGAATTTGCTTCATGTGCTCGAACAGTCAGTGTTGCATTCAACATAAATACTCCTTGTTTTGCCCAGCCAACAAGATTACCATGATCGGGTTTTTTGAAACCTTCAATATCACTTTCCAATTCCTTATAAATATTTTTCAAAGATGGCGGAGGTTTGACTCCTTTTTTGACAGAAAATGATAATCCGTGGGCTTGATTATCATCGTGATATGGATCTTGTCCAATTACTACAACGCTGATTTCTTCGAATGGAATTAGATTGAAAGCAGTGAATATTTCATTTTGCGGTGGAAATACTTGCTTCTTTTTCGTGACTTCAGAATTCAAAAAGTCTTCAATTTTTGCAATATACGGCTTCTGAAATTCGTCATAAAGTAATTTCGACCAAGATTCACAATGAACAAGATTCTTCAAACAGTAAGGTTCATCGTTTTTTGCCTTTTTCACAATAACTTCGTCTTTTACATGCGATGCTTCGCCATTCGGATTCATATTTTCATTTCCGGTCGATTTTCTGAATTAAATAAATAAAATCCCCTCTCATAACCGATATAAAATTAACTCACCTTTTAATAGCTGCAGCTTTCACAAACATATCAGGTATTTTAACGACCTTTGACATTTTTCTCGCGCAAAATCCTCCCCTTATAAAAAACGAAATCACTGAAAATTTGGCGTCACATTAAATGTTTCCATCAATAATGTGCAAACACCGCTTCGTTTTTTGAAAAATCAACGCGCGTTGCGAGACACGGGAGAAAAATTGTGTGCGCCTTTGATGAGGGGTACGGTAGAAGTATTTGTGAATTTTTATTTATTTATTTCTTTTTTTGAGGGTTTGAGCGCTGCAATTTTTGGAACATCTAACACGCTTATTGTAACTTCACGGGATTTTTTTCTTCAAAACGGGAACTCCACTCTAACTCTGACTTTGAGAATAGATCACTTCAAAAGTATAACAGTTGGGAACCCTGAGAATTCTCTCCAACTACACTTCACGAAGAGTATACTAGTAGCACAAAAACAAAAATAAAAAGCCGCCTCCCGCCGACAAAATCATACGGTAATCACGGGATGTGTGCAAACACCGACCAGTTTTTGCACTTGATTTGACGACTTTATTTTGAAAATATTTTTTTTGACTTTCAGAGAATTCCGCTAAAATTCAGCGAGAACGTGCGATTTTTTCCAGTTTTTATCTGATAAATGAGTTGTTTATTTGGTCGTGTAGTTTGAGAACTCAATAAGAACTCGATTCATTCTCTTTTTTGAGTTTTATCGAAAGATAACACCTTGAGTTGCATCATTGTTGTTTTTTCTTCGACTTTGGAGATTTAATAAATAAGAAATGAAATTCAATTTATCGGGCGCTCACGTCAGGTTTTTATTTCTGTACTTACGTGGGATTCTTATCACTTTATTGTTACCCTTTTACCGTTTTTCTTCAGTTATACTAATTTTTCCAGATATGGCTCGTGTTGCAAGCCAAGTTCAATTAGCTCCTCCAAATTCCCAACAAAGTCCGGCCTATTACGAACAATCGGCAAAATCAGCACTAATACAATTAATCAAAATATCACGAGTTGCTCATCGTGGAAGAGCAACAAGTTTGGCCAAAAATCCAGAAGTTCAAACACTTCTTGACAATGATATATTTTTGATTCAACCTGATCGTCGATCAAAACTCACTCCAATTCAACAATATCGCCTCGTTCATGTTTTGGCACAATTTTTCTTAGAAAGAGTTGAAGATGGCAATAGATATTCATATTTTGAAGCTATATTTCTTGGTCGAGAAGGCGATTCAACTCTTCATGATTTTCGAATTGATGTGTTATTACAACTTGCTTCGTTTTCTCTTCAATTTCCTGTTTTACAAGTTTTCAATCATGTTTCAAACTGGTTGAGTAAAGTGAGTCGAACATTTTAGAGAAACTATCGAAATTTTGATTAAGATTCCAGATGAAAGTCAAGCAGTGTTTTATTCGAATCTTGTTGTAGAAATGTTAGTTGATCATTATATCAAGTCATCGGATTCAAAAACAAAAATGGTTTGTTTTACAAATATTTCAGCTTTTTACTAATGAATATATGAATTTTAATAATTATTCCAGCACGAATATCTGAAACCATTGGAAACTTCTTGTGGTGAATTCACTGCAACATTTGTCGCCTTAGCACCATTGCATTGTCAAATGAATTCTGCACTTTGCTCGATAATTTCAAGTTTCATGAATAAACACCTACAATTTTTATTGAGACATCTACGAGATACTCCATATCTAGGTGATCAATTTGCCAAAAATGTTAGTTTATTATTCTCTCCATCATCCACATTTTATTGTTTTTTCAGACCTTCCCGATTTTCGTGAGATATATATTATCGCAAAAACAAACTTCATCATTGATGAAATTCCAATTTTCAGTCGCTTATATTTTACGAAAATGGGATGAAAAGGTGATTGGAGCTGGAAGAGCAACAACAACAAAAACGCCAATCAATGTTTTGGATATTTTATTAAGCGATGAATATAATTGGAATGATTCTAGATGTAGTCTTTTGGCATCTTCTAGTTATAAAATTGAATTTTTAATCAAGGTTTGTGTTTATTACGGATTTTTAACAATTATTGAAGTATTTACAGAAACTGGAAGAAGCAGAAGTTGACCAAAAATATATTGATTTAATTAAAATTCAAAAACGGGAAATCGAAGAAATTGCAAAATCTGAATAAATATTTTATCTATTTTTTATTCTTTGATTATTTTAAAACCCAGATGTTTTCAACATTTTTCTCAATATCTCTATTTCTCTTCTCTCTCTCGATTTTTATCAGAGCATATTTACACTTTTCGGTCAACCGCCCGTAGCAACAGTTTTTATTCTTTTTTTCTTTTTCATCTCTTTTGTGTTTTTGCTGTTTTTCATTATTGTTGTCACATAGGATTTAATCAAAGTTGTTTAGGGTCACACATTAGTCGAAGAATGTTATTGAGAGCGATTGGAAGAAGTGCCAAAAATTTAGTATCTGTTAGAAATATTGCATTAAGTAGAGCGAGTTTAGGCGGAGGAGGACATCATCATGGTATGTTTAAATTGGGGGAATATTGTATATTTCATTTTATTATTGCAGAGCCAACTCCTGTATATACTCCAAAACCTGGTTCGCTAGATTGGTATCTTTGTGGAAATAATAAAAAATCTGCTCATGAACCGGAACCTTATATTCCAAAAGGAGATGATTATGGATCATTTGTTGGAGCTGCTGTTTTTGTTGGATTAACTATTGCAGCTGTTGTGAGTTATTTTAAGGGGAGTTATCTCAAAATTTGAAGTGAAATTTTTAAAGCTGAAATATTTGGAGCCTATTTCAAAAATCAAAGAATCTATTTTTAGTGCAGTGTTTTTTTCCGCAAAATCTAGAAAAGACTACCAAGCAATTTAAGTTTTGAATTTTACAACTAATATACTTAAAAGACCCCAATTTTTGAGATAAGCGGGAAAAATGCGAAATTGTCTATTTCGAATTGTAAGTTATAAATTTTGAATTATCGTTAGTAGAAACATTTTATAAATTTCTGCAGAAAATTATCTTTAATACCGCTTTCTCTCTAAATCAAAACAAAGTCATCACATTTCCAGCTTTTCAAAACTGACGCATTCAAAAAAGATACACACGTCCATCACCATGTGCAAAAACACGAAACATCTCATGAATCTTCTTCACACGCCGAACCCGCCCATGAACCGGAACCAGAAGAAGTTGAAGCTGTTGCTCCTGAACCAGTTGCATCAACATCAAGCCCATCTTCAGAACCAACTCCAGTTGCAGCTCAAACTTCCGAAGAATCAGCTCAACCATCAACTTCTTCACAATCCGAACCAGCTCCAGTTCAACAAGAAACACCTGAAGTTTCAACTCCAACACCAGAGGTTACTAGATTTTCAAGTAACTAATTAATATTTTGATAATTTAAGCCAGTTTCTCAATCATCTGAATCATCAGCATCGTCTTCTTCTCCAAGTTCTTCTTCACCTTCAACCGAATCGACTCCTCAAAAATCAGAAGAAGCTTCAAACGAGGTACAGTAATTCAAAGTTGTCTTATATGATACTGTAGTATTGTTGCTCATTATCAATCCGGTCTTCTTCGTTTTCTTTTCGAGTGCCTTCTTTTTCTTGTTTGCCTGCCTTTTTAGAAAATAAAGAGTTTATATTTTCAAGAAAAATTTAATTTTTTGTAGAGCGACGAGAAGAAAAAGGGATTATATTGTGAATATGTTATTATTGGAAGTGGAACTGCTGCTTATTATGCATCATTAGCAATTCGAGCAAAACAAGCTGAAGCAAAAGTTTTGATGGTAGGCATTTTTTGAAAGTTTAGGTGGAAAATATTTGAGAAGTGAAAAATAATCGAAAAATTTGGATTTTATCTTAAAAAATTGTAGCGACCTCTTCTTTAGCTTCAAAATTTGATCTGAAAAATATTGGTTGCAATAAATTTGCTCTAGAAAACCGTTACTTACTGAATTTTTAAAATTTGGCCTCAAAAAACTTCATTTCATTTCTTCGAAATTCCCAATACGCATCCACATTCTTCAAAAAAATCGAAAATATCTTAATTTCAGATTGGTGAGGAAAACGAGCTTCCATACAATCGTCCACCATTATCCAAAGAATTATGGTGGTATGGCGATGAAAATTCGAGCAAAAAACTTGATTATACTGCGCTCTCCGGTAAAAAACGTGATATTTTCTATGAAGTTGAGGTAAGTTCTCTTTATTTTTCATCCCAAGCTATTTTTTCTGACAAAAATAAGTTTGAAAAAAAAATTTAATCTCAAATTATCCCTTGGGATAACAAACTTACCATTTTTTAAACTTCACTCCATAAATCCCTACCTCTTTTAGGGATTCTTTGTGAAACCTGAAGATTTGCCAAGTGCCACGCATGGCGGAGTTTCGTTGATTCGTGGAAGCAAAGTTGTGAAAATTTGTGAAGAAGATAAAACTGTTATTTTGGAAGATGGAACAACAATTGGATTTGGTAAAGTATTGATTGCCACTGGAACTCGACCCAAAAAAATGGATTTATTCGAAAAATCGAGTAATGAAGTGCAAAATAAGATAACTTATTATCATTATGTGAGTTGTTTCATTAAATTTTTTCCAAAACTGAATAAGACAATATTGTTGCAGCCAGCGGATTTCAAAAAAGTGGAGAATAGTTTGGCAGATTCAACAGTTAAAACAATCACAATAATTGGAAATAGTCTAATCGCATCTGAGCTCGCATATTCGATCAAACGAAAATATGAAAATGTGAATGTTCATCAGATTTTCGAAGAGAAATATAATGCATCAGATATTCTACCAGAACATTTGGCGAAAAAATCGACTGAAGCTATTCAGAAAATGGGTGTGAATGTGCATTCTGAAGAAAAGATTGGAGGAGTTAGGAAATGTTGCAAAAATGTTGTTTTGACCGTGAGTTTTGGGAGAGAAGTTCAAAAAAAATGTTTTTAATCAAAAAATAGTTAAAAATGTGATTTCTGAATTCATGTTACATAACTTTTTTTGAGCTGTGAAACTCGTATTCAAATTTTGAAAAAATTCGAATCACAGACTAAAGATTTGGGAAGGAATTTGCGATTGAAAGGGATATTGTAGCTCCCAGATTACAAGTTACTGTAACTCTTGGTTTGCAAATATAAATGTAGCTCCCAGTCTACAAGGATTACTGTAACTCTAACAATTCCAAAAAACTTACTCCAGAAATTTTTCTTTTTTTTCTAATCTATTTTTTTATTTGAAAAAAGACAAATTCGAAATTTTGAATTTTTCAGTTTCAAACTTTAATTAAAATTTTCAAATTTGCCCCGTGAATGTTCTTTTAATTCAAAAATTCTGCAGATGAAAGATGGAAGTGAACATCGAACTGATTTGATTGTAATTGCTGATGGAGAAGATGTTAATAGTGAATTAGCTGAAGCATCTGGTCTCAAGGTATTTTCCTCATTTTTATCAAATTTTTTGCAAGCCATAACCCCATTTTTTCTTCAGATAAATTCGGTGAATGGTGGTGTAACAACTGATAAATATTTGAAAGTATCTCCAAATATTTATGCAGCTGGTTCAGTTGCCTCATTTGATGATTCAGTTCTTGGAACACGTCGTTTATCATCCTGGGAAAATGCACAAATCAGCGGAAGATTGGCTGGCGAAAATATGGTTTTGAATAAAAATGAGAAAGATGAAAAAGCATTTTGGTATCAACCGTCGTTTTTCACCAAATTCGCACCGCATTTACATTTGAATGCGATCGGACAAATTGATTCGAAATTGGAAACTGTTGCGGTTTATGCGGAACCCGAAAAGGATAGTCAAATTGAGAGAGCTGTTGTTTTTTATAAATCGAAAAATGGAGGACATGTGAGTTTTTTTTTGACGATGAAATATAAATAATTTGAAAAATCTGAAAAATTTAGAGAAAACATATTTTTCAAACAAAAAATGGATTATTATCCGAAAAATTCTTGAAATCAAGAAACTTTTGAAAATTTCAAAAGTTTTTCGGATAGAATTTTTTGTTTGCATCTTTTTTTTTGAAAAATATTTTTCTTTAATTTTTAAAATTATTTTAAAGGGTTGGTGCTCCGCCAGGGAATCTTGCTTGATTTAGATAGGAATAAGGTGCTCCTGGATGGTTCCAGTTTTAGAAAAAATTCTAGTATCAATTCAGCCCATGTTTTTCCTCAAAAACACAAGCGAGTTAAAACCTACGAAATAAAACATGTAAATGCGCTCTAGCACACAACTCGTTTTTGAATTTTCGTGCGTGTGTTTGCACACAACTTTGAAAATAACACGGTGACGCCTTTTTGCAGACGATTTTTTCACCAGGAAAACACCAACCCTTTAACATGAAAATTTGAATTTTTAAATTTTCGGCCTTGAAAAAATCAACCTGAAATTTTGAATTTTTACATTTCTGAAAATGTTTATTTTCTAAAGTTCCAAGTTTTCTATATTCTCAAATATTTTCAGATTGTGGGAGTTTTGCTCGTAAATGTCTTCGGTCCTTCTCTCGATGTTGCTAGAAGAATAATTGATGATCGAAAAAATATCGAAGACTTGAAAGAGTTGGCAAAACTCTTTCCACTTTATGAAGCTCCAAAAGCTGATGAATAACTTTTGTTTTTTTTTGTCCGCATTCGGGTAAGGGTTTTTAGAACCCGTTTGTTTTTTCAATAGTTTAATTTCATGTGAGTTTTGTTTTCTTTCTGTTATTTTTTAGTAAAGTATTTATTCATGAGATCTCGAAACAATTTTGTACAGATTAGCAAAACAATACCCGTCAAATAATTATCAAGCTACCAAATTCTCGGCTGTTAATTGTGCAATTATGTGCTCATTTAGAATGAAGTTGGTTTCGAGGAGCAATGATCGAGAGGAAAGAGTTAGCTGCAAAAAATATATTGGAGGTTTCTGGGAGAAAAAAAGAGAGGGTACCTTTGGTTTCACTAATTTGAACAATGGATGAATTGGAATTGGAATTCCTTGCTTCAAAATGTCATTGACCATTCTTTGAAGAATTTCACGAGATAAGAAACCGGCATCATCCAATTCGTCTTGAAGTAAAATATGGGGAGTTCGGGATCTCTGTAAAATATGATTTTGAGAATTTTACTCGGGAAATTTCGAAATTTCTTAAGATATTACTCATGTTTATCTGATTACTGTCTGAAATTCCAAAAAATCCCCATCCAACTTACAAATTGAATTTCCTCAATAGTAACTTTTCCTTTCACACTTTTCGGTGTCAATTTCATTTTCATCAACGCTTCAATTCGAATTTCCATCTCTCCAATCGGCTCATTTCGATCCGAAACAACTCGAATCAAACCGAGAAGATTGAAATGTATTCCACCTTTTTGTTCTGGTTGTACTATAACAGCTGGAGCGCGAAGAGTTGTGAATAGAAATGCGACATTTCGATCGGGCAGCTGGAAAATGAGTTAGTGAAAGTTGATGATTTGAACGTGTCATCAAATTTTGTTTCAAAATCTCACCATTTCTCTTAAAGCTGGAAACAAATCACCAATACAGAAAAGTGAACCAGTTGATAAATCACAAGTTGTTCTCATAACTGGCCCAAATTGTGGAGTATTCCAATCAACTCTTGTGTCAAATAATTTGATTCGATGTCCATGAAACATCAAAGAATTTGGAACAAAATCAGAAATCATAATTTGAAGCATTGAATTGGAAATTTGACGAGGAAGGAAAATAGCACCAGCTCCGAATGGTGTTGTTTGCCCAGTTTGATAAACTTCGCCCGATGTTTGAAGTTCAATTCCACGTGTGGAAATTGATGGTGGAGAAATCATTGAATAGTCTAACATTAAATTATCAGCACGACTCTGAAAATACGAAAAGAAGTTAGAAAAAAAGTTCCAAAAAACTAACGAAGTTGAAAGAATTGAGAAGAACATGGAATCTTTCATCTGCTTGTCTTTTTGGTCGCTGGAGATGGATTCTTTGATTCAAAACTGATGGTTGATTTCGTCGGGAAATTGGAGCAGTGTGAGCAACGATGTTTCGACGAATTGGAACTGTTTTTCTACTGTAAGAAATAAATCCCGTTTTCTTGGAAAAAAATCAGAACGGAAAACTTGAAGAATATTTTGATTTTGAAAAAAACCTGCTATGACAAAAGTTCATCTGAGACTTTTAATTCAGAAATAGAAATCTTATGTTAGTGTAACCTTTTTTAAGTTGTGGCATTTGGAGCATTTAGAACTTTTCAAAAAAAAACTCCACCTGGTAAAAATAGGGTTCTAAACTCAACATTTTTCTAGGTGGGTCAGTTGTGACCTACAGTAATCCTATTTCAATAAATTTCTAGACTGACAGCCGTTAGTTATTTTCATCTCACTACCTGGAAAATATTGAAGTAAAATGTTCAAACTACAGTAATCCACTGACAGGAAAAATGTTACTCTTGACTTGAAGTTACAATTACTCAGAATGTTGCTCAAAAGTACAGTAATCCGATTCTAGAAAATTTGAACTAAAAAAACTGAACTATTTTTCTCGAAATTTCTAAACCTTCTTTACTCTCAAATTTTTCGTCAAAATTTTTCAACGTGTTTTTGAACTCACTTTTGACTGGCTAATCTTTTCATTCGTTCTTCAGCTTGCATTATAACCTTTACAATATCGAAATTTTTGGTGTCTTCCAATGAGATTTTCGAAGGCAAAAGTGCAAATCGTTGATTTACTCGAGTATTCAAAATATTCTCAACTTTCGGACAAATCATATCAAAAAATATTTGATTCGCATCATTTGCAATCGCATCTGCTATCGATTTTCCGTTTCTTGGATCCATTGGTTTTGTTATAAGTCGAATTCCTTGAGTTCGAATTGAGCATTTTTCAAGCTGAAAAATTTTTCTTGGAATTTTACCCTTCAAAAATTACAGTAATCCTCACCTTCAACAATGGGTTTCCATTTGAATTTCGTAAAATTTTAATTGCTGCGTTCAAATTCAAGAATGGAGTTCGGAAATTGATTTGATCGTTCAAATCAACACCTCGAAGTTGACCGCTCAAAATTGCGGAGGAGCTAAAAATTTAAAAATTTCTGGAATAAGAAAAAACAGGGAACTTTTTCCAGTTTGGTCCAAATGAGTTTCGAAAATAGAAAAATTCTTCTAAACAGATTTTTGAATACCTCAATGAGACATTTGTGACTTGAATTCTGAGAACATCATCAGAAGTCGATGTTGTGACAAATTGTCGATCTAATTTCAAAGTCTCTAGCATCAAATTTTTCAGCGAAACAGTCGGAATATTCGCCAGTTGTTTTTCTCGTTTCTGCTGATTCGGTTTGATATCCGAAAAATGAGCTGAAAATGCTTGAGCAACAATTCCAGCTACATATTGAGTGCCAGATGGTGTAACTCGAGCAATCACTCCAGCGCCACGCTAAAAATAAATTTCAGAATAAATAATAAAAAAAATTCTCCCCGGCCGGGAATTGAACCCGGGTCTCGCATGTGACAGACGCGGATACTCACCACTATACTACCGAGGACACATTTGCCCATGGCGTTTTTTGCAAACACTATTTCTCTAGTTTTTCTCCAAAATGACTCTAGTTTAATTTTTTTCCTCAAAATTTCAAAGCAGAAACTTACCAGATTTCTTTCATTAAAAAGTAGTGGATTCATATCTTGAACATCTTGTGTTAAAATAAATGAGACAAAGAATAGCAAGAATAGTATAATAACATCTCTCATTTAGCACTCTGTAAAATCTCGAATAAAAAAACTGATGGCAATAAAAAAAGAGGCACTTGATTTTCACTTTCTTATTCAGATATTGTTAAACTATAATTTATTCGAATAGAAATTATTATAACACTAATAAAATGAATAAATAAATACATATCTGTGGTTTTCTTATATTTTTGTACTTATTGAACTTCAATAGAAACTCGAGAAAATTTCGAGCTCAAAAAAAGGAATCAAAAACAGAAATCAAAAAGTTGCAAAAATTTTAAGTGAATGACCATCAGAATGTCAAATTAAATACTATTTTCAGTGTCGATTAACAAAGAAATGACCGAATAGATAGTAACAAATTAGGAGACCCAGAAATGTCCATTGTTCGAGAAAAAGTTGTTACACCAATGAAACCGCTTCACTGAAATGGACATGTGTTTTTTTAAGAAGAAAAAAAGAGAGAGAGAGGGAGAAAATAATGATCATATCGCCAGCTTATTTGTTCTTCTTTGTCAGGTTTTTGTCCATTTTTGAAAAAAAAATAAAGACAAGGAAAAAGGGAATAAAAAATAAATGAATGATAGTTGATGTTTGAGGAACGGAACTGCTGTAAAATGTTCATTCAGAGGTTTCTAGTTTTTGTAAATGATGAGCGCAGATTGTCCTTGATTTTGTTGGAAAATCGCCAATTGTTTTCCTGATGCTAATTCGTATCTGATTCCGCCTTCTTTCAATTTACTCACTTTTAAGTTTCCATCATTTCCAATATTTTGGGTGGTCTCACTTTCGACTTCTCCCTGAAATTAGATAGGAAAAATAATTTTGAACTATGAAAAAAAGAATGTTTTTCTTCGAGTTCAGAGGACTAAAATGGAGCTATAAACCAGGAAAAAATCTAGTCAGAAATATTTTTCATCAACTTACCCCCAAATAAGAAACTGTTGTCATCGGAGTGATTGATTTATTATCTTCGGAATCTGTGGTTGATTGTGAAGTGACAGATTGAGATGAATCAGAAGTTGTTGAAGAATCCGAAGATTGTGGATGACCAGAATAACGATTATACGGATGTTTTGGAGCGTCGCGATCAATTTGACCACGTTTCAAAAGAGCAATCTCATCGAGAAATCTGCTGAATAATATTGGATTTATTAATTGGATATTCTGAAATTATAATCAAAAACCTACAATTCTTTTGGATTAGACAAAAGTGACAAGCGAGTATCGACTGGACTTTGTTGAGCATTTGCTGGAATATCGATTGATTGATAGCCATCGAACTTTACATTTGGATAATCTGAAGCTGTTGAATCTTTTTGACTTCCACGACGACGGCGGCGACGATGGCGACTAGGAATATTGCCATCATTACGAGAAGAAGACATCTGAAAAATGTTATTTAATTAGGAAGGCAGTCTGAAAAAACTCACCGTTCTGTTCGTTTTAATCTCGAAAAAATAACAGCTTCTCCTCTCGATTGACGTCAAGGTCGATTAAATGGAACACGTTTCACTTTATTTAATTTTTCGATCTTGTATTTTTTCATTTCAGATTTCATGAAACATTTTTATTACATGCAAAAGCGGAATGTGCAAATATAATGATAAAATATATAAAATCGAAACCAAACCTTGTTTACTTATTATTCTCTGTTCGTTTTTTGATACGTCTCCAGATATATTTTCTCAACTCTCCAAAGCGATTTTCGGCTTCAACTTGTTCGTTTTCTGATTGCCATTTGTGAGTTTTTGCAAACTTCTTGCGCAATTTCATCAAAACAACACCGCCAAGATTTTGTCCGTCCCAATGAAGTGGTCGAACTGATTCTTCTCGCTGTTTACGCCATCCAGTTCCAAAATACTGTAATTAACATTTAGATCAAGCAATAATTCAATTTGAACGTGATTACCCTGTCTGATTCACACGAAGCGAGATACATATTATCTGACAAAATGAGGAGATTTTGAACACTTCTCAACTCGCTGATTTTTCGTTCTTGAGCTTTTGTATAACATTGCAATTTGACTTGATTCCATTGTTGTTCATCAAACGCAACAATCGAATTCTTGGCTTGTTCTGCTTTTGAATATTCAGCAGTTTGAATGATTTCTTGATTTTCTTTGTCATTGAAATATCCTGCCATCAAAAACCAATAATATCTTTCAGCACTTTGATGTTGAATACCATTTTCATCACTGAATTTGATGTTGTAATTGAAAGCCAATGGGTCTTGTCTACCTTAAAAATATATTGGAAATGATTTCAATTTATCATTGGCAAACCTCCAATCATTAAAAAATTGCGACCAATTTCGTCAAATTCAATCAGCTCAAAATCATCATCTGATTCATCCTCGTTTTTAATTCGATCCTAAAATTAATTTTAAAATACTTTTTAACAATCAATTTTCCACGATACCTTGAGTTTCTGAATTTTTCGGGACATAATAGCATTTCGCATTTTCAAATTATGAACTGCAACTCTCAGATTCGTTTTCTCCTCTTGCAACAAGAAAACAGCATTATGAACTTCAGCGTTCGCCTTTTTCTGCTGTTCCAATTCTTTCTTCAACTTGTTTACATTTTCCGCGTTCACCTTTGATGCCACTTTCAAATCGGTGATTTCGTGGCATAACGTTTTCAACAAAGCTGTCTGTGAAGGATCAACAGCCATATTCCAAGCTGAAATGTTTGAAAACAATTTATTATTTCGGGATAATGGGATAAATACGTGGGAACTAAATCAGTTCAAGTTAATTAAAATTAATTGGACGAGAGTTTAATACACGAGAGACAAGCTAAACTCGCTTTTTTGGGAAGCTGAGAAGGATGATTGGAAAACACAAAAAAGGTGTCGTAAAATTAAATGTGTTTGTTTGGTGTTTGCAGAAATTACACACTATCTGCAGGGCTACAGTAACGCTACCAGAAAATTAATTAAATTCCGTCTGGTATTCTCAAAAAAATGTCTATGAACAGAAAAACATTTGATATGCATGCCATATCATCTGCACTTTGGCAACCCTTAAGCCTTGTCCAAATGTTCATTTCATGTGTTTTTAAACTTTTTCTACAGTAATCCTCTTGTTTCATGGATATTGTATTTTTTCCCAAACCAGAAATCCAATCAACACAATGGCAAAAGTATTTTCTAATTTTCCAATTTCCATCGCAGTCAAGTTTAAATAAACATTCAACACTCATTTTCAATATTTTCGAACCGGAAAACGAGTTGAAAGTTTTTAGATTAAAATAAAAGGAACAATGAGACTAAGAAGCAGCCAAGTATTTCTTTTTCGATTATCTTGTTCTTTTCCGATATACAAAAGTAGTTGACCTGTTTTGTGTATTTATAATTGGGTGGATCAAACGGAAAGAAAAAAGAAGAAGAAGTGGGAGGAGGAAAAACTATTCGAAACATAAACTTCTCATTTTGGCATGACTTCAGCTAAACTATGTTTTGTTTTTCTATTCTCAATTTATTTTAAAATTGGTCAGTTTTCAATTAATTCTTCAGTTGTTTTGAATTGAAAATCAAAAAAAAAAGGAAAAAAATATTTCGGAATTTTTATTGCTACAATTTTTGCTACGGTCAAGGTTAATTGGAAGTTTATTGAAAATAGAAACAAATATTTTTGAAAACAAAAATTGCAGGTTCAAGCCAACTGGCTGCTATATATTCAGATGCTTCTCGAGTTGATCAATGTAGTAATTGGAGCAGTTGGGGAAAATGTATTTGGCCGGATAAAATCAAATCAACTCCATATCTTGAACAAGTTTCAAATCTTTGTCAACATCACTGGTTTTATTCATTTATCAAAAAATATGAGAAGGTGAGAGTTGAGAAAGCATAGCCAGGAGGGTTTGCGGATTTTCCGGATAATCCGTTTTCTCTCACGGATTTATTTTTGGAATATTTGGTTATTTTTCGGTCTGATTCACGTTTCCATAAAACTCAGAACTTTGAAAATTCAAAACACTCTTGGGTCGAATTAGAATCTAAGTTTTATTCAGCTTTTCAGAATTTTTTGATGAGCTATCGATATAAAAACAACTGAACACTGGAATTTAAAAAAATACAGTAGTAAAACATTGCAACTTCTAAATTCCCAAATTGTACTGCAACTCATAAAAATTACTGTAACACAATTTTATTATTTTTCAGTCACTCAATAGTTTCTATAATTATATGGGAAGTGTTTTGAAATCGAAAAAACCCTGCGGACTTTGCTCTTATAAACAATCGTGTGGATTTGGTGGAACAGTCAAATGTAATCAAAATCCTTTTGCGTGAGTTACAATCTTAGATGTTCACTTACTCAAAAAATCTTTTTCAGCATACCGGGTGGTCGACCAATAATTCCATTTTATGTTGCTGAAAGAGTTTGTAGTGAAAAGGATCTTGGACAATCACAAGTTGATTCATGTGTTGTTGATTACGACAAACTTATGGTAACTTGAAACGGTCATTTTATTTTTTTACTCAAAAATTTTCAGGAAAATGGTAGTGAATGTCAATTGTGGCCATCTCCCAAAGTTGATTTATCCGAAGTCGAAGAGCAATTCCGGACACATGTTGCTAATTTGAGTTGGTATACTTGTATTCCACAAAATCGGTGAGATTCTATCTATTATTTTTTTTTCTCTCGATTGCGATTCATAAAAAAAATGTATCTAATTCCAGAAAACTTCGACGTGGTCGTGGAAAACTTGCAAAATATCGTGTCGAAAAAGTGTGCCGTTGTTGTTGTTTCCCATTTCGACCAAATCCACGAACTTTTAAATGTGAACATGTTGCCGGAAATCCAATTGCTCCAGGAATGTCAATGTTGTCCGATGAATTTAATAGGAAAAGGTCAAGACGAGTTTGAAAATACTGTATTCTGAAAAAATGAATATTTTGTATTTGAATCTGAAATTATGTATAAATATTTATTGTGAATTTTTTTACAAAACCAGTTCTAAAAACCATGAAAACGTTGTGTGTTTAAACAACAAAAAAGGGGTTTTCAAAAAAAAAATTGAAAATAAAATTTAAAAAATGAAACGTCGCCCTGTTGATAAATTTCCCACGTTTCTAAATTTTCGAGATGTTCGTCTCATTCCCAGAAATTTTTCAATTCCCGACATCCGAGATTCAAATTTCAGCGCTGGTTCGCACACGCATGCTTATCTAAACACTGTGACTGCTCCCTCTTTTTTCCGTGGCCTAGAAAATGCGGTCGTTCGGCCAACTGGGAATTGTTTATTTATTTTGAAACTTTTCAGAGGAAAAATCAGTTTTTCTCACATTTTGATAACAGAAGCCAATGGATGAACATACACAGTTTGTAGAAGGAACGGTGAGTTTTGCTTCAAAATTCAAGATTCAATGAAATGTATTTTCAGGTTGAGGTCAAGAGTGCTTTGGAATATGGCCGATCAATTTTATTTTCCGTTTTAGATTCATTAGATGGCGACAAAACAATTGTTTGGGACAGAGACAGAAGTTTGATGCATCGAGTTAACTTGGTTAGTCATTTTTTTTTTTCATATTTTATTGATCCGGAGATCTAGAAACTTGCATTTTTTTAGTTTGCCGGTGCATCTCTATTAGCAACTCACGGTGTAGTTGCAAATCATGGAATCGAAACTCGTAAAAGAGCAGAAACTCCACATGTTGTGTTTTTCCTTTCACCTACAATAATTTCTCTCGATTTGTTATGTGATTATATCGATAATGTTCAAAATGATCCGGTTCGTTTGAATTTATCAAACTTCAAAGACATGAAAGTTGTTTCAGAAAACTTTGTATCAAGTGTTTTTCATTCCGGAAGCATGGTATGTTGTGAGAGAAAAATTGAAACTTCGAGAAAATGGTAAATATTGGGAACGTCTCGAATCAGTTAAAGAAATCCCTTTATGTTGGTTGCCACGAGATGGAGAATGTTTATCATTGTCACAACCACAAATTGCATCGAAACTTCTTTTGAATGGAGATTGGACACCTTTACATAAATGTGCAACTGCTTTGAATCAACTTATTGATATGTCTCGAGGTGATATTACAATAAATCCTAATCAAAGAGTTATGACGATTTATTCAAGAGGAAAATGGTCTCAAGATGTTGCGAAAATGGTTCAAAGAATTAGAACATCAACAGAAGTTACTAATAACAATATATTCATTCCTGGTGTCACTGATTCTAGCTTGAAAATTAATAGAATTGTAGGTTGTAGAGGGTTATTCAAAAATTAAATAATTTTCTCGGGTTTCAGGTCATAATTGATCGCTGGATTGATCCATTAACACCAATGTTAACTCAATTGACATATAGTGGATTATTAGATGAAATGTTCAAAACTGGAATGGTTAATTCAATAAAAGTGCCACTTGGAGAATTTGAAGAGAAAGATGATGCAGATCCATTTGATTCGAAGGAAATTTATTTGACAGACGAAGTGCGGTTTCTCTCATTCTCCAAATTTTAATTTTAAAAAACATTTTTTTTCAGATTTATCATCGTCTCAAGCACTCTCATATTAATTGTTTTGGTCAAGAAGCTGCGAAAATTCTGACCGAATTGAAAGAAGACGAACAATTTGACAGAGAAAAAATGTCGGTTGCCGAATATGCAGTGTTGGTGAAAAAAATGCCGAGAATTTTGAAACGAAAACAATTCACATCAACTCATATGAGATTAGCTGAAATGACTCGAATGCATTTATATTGCAAATTATCGGATACTGTTAAAAATGAAAAAGGTTTTGAAAAAATATTTGTTTTCCTCAAATCTAATATTTTTCAGAACTTCTCGAAGTTTCGGATGGCGACAAAATTCTACCGTTCCTTGAAGATCAAATATTTGATGCTGCACCCCTTTATCGTATTCTTCGCCTCATTTCTGTACATTCTTTGACATCTGGCGGTTTAAAACCTTCAGTTTTACAACAATATCGGAGAGCTGTAAATCAGGTATTTTGAAACTAAATTTCAAACGAAATAGATATAAATATTTTCAGAGTTATGGTTCTTCTGCATTGAATAAAATATTGAAAATGCAAAAAATGGGTTTGATTCGAGAAAAAGGAGGAAGTGGAAAAATGTCTTGTGAATATGCTCCGATTTTGTTTCAACAAATGAAAAAACAATATGATATGCTTCCCCAAAATGTTAATGAAATGAAATTGGATGACCCTTCATACGCTTATAGTGGATTCACTCCTTTGTTAGTGAAAATAATCGAAGAAGGAGATAAAGTAAGATGGACTGGATGGCAGAAAACAATTGTTGGAGCTGAAAATTCAACGACTAAAAATGATGTTATTGCAGGTAACATATTCAATTTATCCACTTTTTATCTACTTCAGAAATTTCAGATTCTGATAGCAGTGGAACTTGTATTTTCGTACTTGGCGGCATAACTCGCGCAGAAACTGCAATCATCAAAGAATCTTTACCGAATGTGTCTTTAATTACAACAAGTGCAATGCTTACTGGTGATAAAATTCTGGAAAATATTACTAATATTTAAAATTTTTAATTCACTTTTTTTCAATTTGTGCCAAACTGTGATACTTTTTACTTATTTTCTAGTTTAGTGTGATTTGAATAAATATTTCTATTTATGTTTATTCAGACTTAAATGTGTATGCTTATGCTGATAGTTTCCAATCTATCCAGAATATTCTAGAATTTTCTATCTAAAAAATGAATGAACAGAAAACAACGACACTCCGTTTTTTCCGCTGTAATTGTGCATTTTGTCGTCGTCGTGTTAACACTTATCTTTTTTACTTTTGTTTTTTCAACCTGAAACAATTAGGTTTTCAGACTTTTCTAGAACTATTTTACAATGTTTGCAATTCGAACTACTTCGGTAGCAAGAGGAGCACTTGTTCAAATTGGAAATCCAACAACTAGCAAAAAAAGTAAGGCGATTGCATCATTTTTGAAAGAAATTCATTTTTTCAGCCCAGTTTCATAGTTCTTCGGTGTTAAATAAGGAGGATTATTATAAAACTTTGGGTGTTGAAAAGAAAGCCGATGCAAAAACGATTAAAAAGGCTTATTTTCAGGTGAGAATTTGAAAAACTCTTATAAAATTGAAATACTTATAATGATATTTTGCAGCTTGCGAAAAAATACCATCCAGATGTGAATAAAACGAAAGAAGCTCAATCAAAATTCCAAGAGATTTCTGAAGCCTACGATGTACTTTCGGACGCAACAAAACGGCAAGAATATGACACATTTGGAAGTGGAGGAGGTCCGAGAGCTGGTGGAGCAGCTGGTGGACATCCTGGAGGTGGATTTCACTATTCGGGAAATGTTGATGTTAATGAGATATTCAGGCGAACATTTGGAGGAGGAATGGTGAGTATTCAAACATTTTTGCTTGGAATAATATAGTGGCAATTTTTAGGGAGGATTTAATTGGGATAATTTTGCTGATAGTCAATTTGGTCATTCTGCTGCTCAAGAAATGGTGATGGATTTGTCATTTGAAGAGGCGGTTAGAGGAGCGACAAAAACTGTGAATGTGAATGTTGTTGAAGATTGTTTGAAATGTCATGGAACACAAGTTGAACCAGGATATAAAAAGGTAAGGCGAAGAACCTTGAAATTGGTCAGGATTTTGAAAAAGATAGGGAGATCAACTTCGGCACGAGGATCCTTGAGTTAACCCAATTTCACATTTTTTAAACAAGATTTCCGATTCATGTCGAAACTTAGCGCTAAAATCTGAACCCTATATTTTTGCAGACAACTTGCCCATATTGTAATGGAACAGGCGCTGTTTCACAACGTCTTCAAGGTGGATTCTTCTATCAAACATCTTGCCAACGATGTCGTGGAACTGGACATTATAATAAAAATCCATGTCAAGAATGTGAAGGACAAGGACAAACTGTGCAACGAAGAAAAGTATCATTCAATGTGCCAGCAGGAACAAATGATGGAGATAGTTTGAAGTTCCAAGTTGGTAAAAATCAAGTATATTGTCGTTTTAATGTTGCACAATCTCTAAAATTCCGACGCGAGAAAGATGATATACATTCGGATGTTGAAATATCGGTTGCGCAAGCTGTTTTGGGTGGAACTGTTAAAGTTCATGGTATTAATGCTGATACTTATGTACATATTCCAGCTGGAACAACAAGTCATACAAAAATGAGGTGAGTTATTGTTTTTTTTTTTGAAATGAAAATTAGAGAGTTTTGAACTTTTTTTCAGATTAACTGGAAAAGGAGTGAAAAAGATTACATGCTTCTGGTTATGGCGATCATTATATGCATATAAAAATCGCGGTTCCGAAATATTTGACAGCTGAACAAAAAGCGATAATGTTAGCATGGGCTGCAACTGAAAGTATAAAAGATGGTACAATTAAAGGATTAGAAGAAGCACAAAAAACTCAGAAAAGTAGGTTTTTTGTTGATTGACTGTTTTTAACCATTTTTTCTGGGCCCGAATTGCGCTCCTGGAACTTTACAAACTTCTGAAAATCAAAATCCAAAAATCCAACAAAAAAATTCCAGGAGCGCAATCATCGGAAAGTAAACCAGAGGAAGAAGCTGAAAAAGCTGAAACAGTCGATGAAAAAAATAATGAAGAAGGATTTTTCGGAAAATTGAAACGAACAATTTTTGGAAATTAGTCGTTTTTTCAGTTGAAGAATCGAAAGAAAAAAATAAAGAAGATCCAAAACCAAAATCAGAAGAAGAAAAACCAGAAGAACCGAAAAAGCAAGCATCATCGTCTTGAAAGGTACTTTTATTTTTTTCCGTCAGATTTTTTAGTCATTTTTTATTTAGTTAGGTATTTTTGTTTTTCTGTTAACTTGTTTTTCATTAAATAAAAATTTACGGTTTTTGCAATTAGGTAAATAATCATGAACAAATGAAATTTATATTTATTTATTTTGAAAAATACAAATATTTACAATCCAAAATCGTAATTTGGGGAGCCATTAACATAATCTTTGAAAAATCCAACTCCTGTTTCAGTTGGTTGACTTGCTTCAATAACTTCAGGAAGAGCAGCAATTCTTGAGAACCACGAGGTTAATTTTGGGAATTTCGCATTTCCTGGGAAAGCAGCAACATCTAATGGGAGACCTGGCAAAGCATTTGATAACCAGAAAACACGTTGAATATTTGGATAGAACAAATAATCAGCATATCCTGGTTTATTGGTTCCCGAATAATATTCTCCGGTCAGAAGTTGTTCAGCCGCTTCCAAACTTTTCAACAAATTCGCAACTTTTTCCTCTCGAACAGATGGATCTTGAACCGATTGAACGACTCCGTAAAAAGCGGGAGCAATTTCGGATAAACGAGCCAAAAGTAGTTTTTGTTGCACTTTTTGATATGGATCAGTTGGAAGAATGCGAGTTTCTGGGAAAATATCATCGAGATATTCTGGAATAACCGCTGATTCGATAACATGTTTTCCGTCGTATTCGAGAGCTGGAACTTGTCCTTTGAAGTGTTTTGAGAAATACCAATCTGGCTTGTTTTTCAAATCAATGTTGACGATTTCAGTTCTGCAAGATTAATGAATGAATAGTATTATTGAATTAAAACACGTGAGACAGAAAAAAAGGCCAAGTGACATGGATTTAGAAACAGTAAAGGTATTCATGTCGTTAATTACGATACGGTTCTGCGTTGCGTGTTTACTTCGATATTTTAAAACGTGTCGCACACACGCATCGCGACTGAGAACATTAGTGCCTATACTGTTTTCAAATCCACGTCACTTGATCTACCTTTTTTATTCACACGTGAAAGTGAGAATTCAAAAAAACTCACGGAATTTTCTTGGCAGCCGCATAAATCAATGATCTTTGAGCCCATGGACAGAATCTCATACTATAAATTCGGAATTTCCCGGCTGCCAAAATCGGTTCAGCATCTCCATTCTTAACAATTTTGGTATTCACTCCAACCAAAGACATGGTTCTTTTTGAAACAATTCGCGAAATGATTCTGAAATATTAAAAATTGTTTCTTTTAAATGTGTTCTTTGAAAGAAGAAATGATGACAAAACGAGGTTTGGCCAGCGAAGGAATGAAACAGAAATTATATTTGTTTTTTCTGTGCATCTCTATTCTCTATTAATTTATCACACTCTCTCATCTTGACAACAAAGATCGTTTTGGATGATGTTATTTTGAGGTCAGATTGCATAGTATATTTTAGTGAATTGAAAAAGGGGGAAACTGATAAAAATGAAAATGTACGGAAAAATTTGACATGAGAGGAAAATGTATTTGATCGTGAGACCAAATTACAAAAAAATCAAGTTGTAGTCGTAAATAAAAAAAATAATAAATTCAAAGTAAATTCCTTTCCGAATTTTGGAGCCCTGAACTCGAACAAATGGGATTTTTGGCCAAAAATTATTCCAAAAAATGAAAATTAACAGAATGGTGTGAAACTCAAAATCTAAGTCAAACCTAATATGCTTGAAAAATTCATAGTTATTATAAAATCCACCTCCAATTTTTTTTCTCAAAAAACCTCAGTTAGTTTTTGAACTTTTTTACGATTTTTCGGAAATCCTCGTTCTCTTTTATTTTCTCAATTTATATTGTCATATAAATATTTTTCTCATATTTTTATTCGAACGAAATAAAACAACCTACAATTTTCCGCCGTTTCCCATATGTTCCTTTTTTTTCGAAATGAGAAATGAACACGTCTCAATTTTTTCGCGTGGGATTTTTCAAAATTCTCTTTGAAAATTAGCCCCCTAGGAAAATTCCCATATATTCCAAAAGTGTCATTTCTAGCACTTTTTGCATCACGCAAGCCGCTGAAAAATAATCAAAAGTGTCGGATTTCAGTGGGAAAAACGGAACAATTTCAATTTGAGTTTCAGTTTCGTTTTATTGGCTAGAGGATCAAAGAAAATAGTAGTCCTCTGGGGAATTTTTCGAATATTTTTTTCAAGTTTTTTTTCTAGCCAAAGAAAGAGTTTTTATAGCCAAGTTTGAAAACGCTTAGAATGATGAACAGCTATTTGTTTTTTTGTCATTTTTCAAAAAATTGAGAACAAAAAATTTTGGAGCGACAGGAGGTCTTTTTCTTGTCTGTTTCAAAATAAGAACAATTTTCAAATACCAAGTAATCCAACTCAAATCTAACAAAAATTCTTGCTTGTTAGTATGTTTTTCTGTCAACTCTCAGCTTAAAAATATTCATGCATTTCAAATCACTGTTTTTTTGTCAGAAAAAAAACTTTTCTTCAAAAATAGTATCATTTTCCTTCATCTAAACTATCCATCTACCTTTTTATTCGTTAGAACAAGAAAGCTTTGTTATTTAGGAAACGTAAAAAAAGACAATCAGAGCAAAATAAGCGAATTAAAATAATCAAATTTAGGATCTTCGGGCAGTCCGAAACGCCATGTAATATGATTTCGTCAAACAATTCGTATCAGTATCTAGACACCGAGACGTGAGTTTTGATGCTTTTTTGTTTTTTACCGAAATTTTGGTGGGGGAAAATGTGAGAAAATGAGAACGAAAAAGAAAAAATGAATTCAAAATATTTTCCACTGTAGTTTTTCGCTCGCAATTGGTTTGCTTCGTGATGAGACCTTGTGTGTTTTATTGTTGCGCCTTCTATTTATTTCAAAAGTACGGTTGTTTCTGTTTTTTTTAAATGAAAGAGAAAAATCTTTGAAACTAAAAAAGACAGGACAAAAATCGAAGAATTTCAAAATTCAGAAAATTTTCAAAAAAATGTGTGTTTACTTAAATTTTTACTCTGAGTATACTTGAAATGTTTATTATTCATGTAACCGAGAAGAATTTTCCAGATTTGACAATAAAAAATAATTCAATTTTTATTTATTCATTCAGACAATGAAATTCGTAAAAATAAGTTCAAAAAACGTCGATTTTTATTCTTAAGAAATTTCTGATTTTCACAAAATCCCATCCAAAAAAGTTCATTTTCTCTTGAATTCTTTGTGCCTAAAAAGGCGTGGCTTCTCAGAAATCTCATATATCTCTCGGGATATTTTGGGAAAATCCCAAGTTTTTTATTTATTTTCAGAATATTTGTTTTTTTCTTCAATTTCCCTATTTCCCCTTATTTTAGAGTGGAATTCTTTCTTCTTCCGAATTTCCCAAAATATATAGTTTTTCGATCATGAAACATGTAAAAGTTCCTCCCGAAAAATAAAACATCCAATTTTATTCGTCCAATTTTTTTCGCCCAATAAAATCTTTCTTTTCTTCCGTTTTTTCTTTCTCTGAATAAAAAAAAGTCCCATCGGACCATAAAATGTCACTATTTTTCCCAATGTTTTTTCTTGTCTGTGACTAGTTTTTTACACACGAAAAAACACAAAACACGATTACCGCTTTTCGATTGACAAAAAAAATACTTGGCTGAATGAATGAAGAAAAAAGGGAAAAAGGAAAATGATGAAGGAAGACGCTGCAGATATTGCCTGAGGCACAAAATCTATCGAAAAATAGAGAAAATCCCGACCATTTCTTTTTTGTCTGGATTTTTTGAGTGGATCATTGAAAATTCACTTTTTTTTAAATTATAGTGTATTTAGAATTAGAAAAGAATTAAGAACTCAATTTTCATGAAATTTGTGGGTCTGAAAATCCATAATTTTTTAAATTTCTGTTGGTAAACATATTTTGTTTCGAAAAAAATTGAGAATGTCTTTTATTCGCTTCTCACAAGGAACGTTCAAGAATGTGTTCTCAAAAATCAAACTGATGGCTATTTCTAGATTTAACAAATCCTAGACCCGCAAATTCAACTCGCTGTAGATCACGCGGGAATACTTTCACTCTCCCCGATTGCTTTTTGGCATTTTGTGATACTTTCTCATTTTTCGATGATGCAAATTTGAAAAATACTCATTTTTTTAGTTGAAAATTTCAAAGATAGATTTGATTTCAAAATCTTCTTCACATCTGATTGTGAATTTCAAACTATACCTTTATATCTTCTTCATCATTGTATTTTCTTTCTCATTTTCAAAAGTTCCAAAAAATTATCCCCAGCTTTCAGGTAGAAATGGAAGGAATGGAAGATGGTGTCCGGTAAGACATTTTTTTTTCAAATCTCAAAAATCACGTCCAAATAAAAAAAAAATGCAAATTTCTATGTCATAAAAAGTTTTTTTCGTCGCGAGTTGTTTCTTAACGTGTTCAAGTTCCTTATACGAAAGCAGAGAAATGTTGGGGTTTCAAGTATTTGAGATGACTCGACAAGACAAGATAAAAAAGGCGGCAAATTCAATTTTGTCAAGATTTATTGTTCGAAACCTTTGCCCCCCTTCTCAGGAGGATTTTTTCGTATTTTTCTTTCAATTCTACTTTTTTGTGCTCCTTAAGAATAATATGAATTGTGATTTTTGATTTGAGAGGAGAGGACTATTTTTCCTATTATAAAACTGGGAATTTCTAGAAAGAATCGGACCACCGGAAAAAATCTGGAAGTCTCTTTTTGAATAGTCAGGGGTACTTCTCGGAAATTTGGAAGTCTCATTAACCTGTGAAGAGAAAATTACAAACCACTTTTAGAGCTCTTTGTTATTTATTTCTTTATTTCCGGTCAGAAAAATTTCTTTGGAAGCAAAACATTTTCTTTTATCCAGTAGCTAAGCAAATTTTATTTTTGAATACTAGAAAATAATGGTGGGTTTAAAACGGTTGCAAAAATAAATCCTCTCAGAAAAAAGTTTCACATCCCATTTTCAAAAATAATTTGCAGAATGTTATCAGCAGCTGGTCGTCGTTTTTCTCGTTGTTCAGCTTCACCTCGTCCACGTGCACGTAATTATGCACTTGCAAATATTCCACCACCAGCTGCTGTAAATATTCGAACTAATGATATGATAAGTCCAGAGGAAAGGCGGTTTTTGGAAGCGGCTGAGAGAGGAGATAAACCGACGTTGTTAGAATGTTTGAATTATGTGAGTTTTGGGAAGTTTTGGGAATTTATAGGAAGAAGTGGGGGAGGGTAGAGGAATAAAATTAAAAAAAAGGTTTGTCTGAAAATGTATTGTTAGATAACACCTGAAACCAGAGGCTGACAATTTTCGAATAGGAATTCTAGCGTAATTCAGAAAATTGAAAAAAAATGTTTTTATCTCAGCTTAATCCTGAAAAAAAGTCTGATCCATAAAAGTGGCACAAACATTTGGTCTAACTTGTGGTTCACAAAAATCCAGTTTCTGATAGGTTTCCAAATTTTTGTTTATGAATGGCCAAAAAATTTGAAACTGTTTGATTGATATCTCTCACAATCAGTTTGAAAAATAATTTAAAATTACATTTTTTATAAATACACAAATTCTAGGTTATTAGAGAAATTATTTCTCTACTTCATAATTTTTTAGCATGATGGAATCAAATTATTGAATGTAAACTGTCTTGATTCAATGGGCAGAACTGCACTCGAAATAGCTGTTGATAATGAAAATATGGAAGTTGTGGAATTATTATTACAACAACCAACAATTCGAATCGGAAATGCTTTATTATGTGCAATTCGAGAAGGTGTTTATCGATTAGTGGAAATGCAAGTGAATCATCCGAGTATAACTCGAGAAATGTTAGGAGATGGTTGGAGTCAACATTTAGATCCAGCTGAAGCAGCAAGTGCTGAATATTCGAGTGATATTTCTCCTGTTATTCTAGCTGCACAATTAAATCAATTTGAGATTTTACAAATGTTATTGAGAAAAGATGCGTCGATTGAAAAACCACACAGGTTTGTTCTGGAAGAATATTTTAATATCAAATTTCTATTTTTCATTTTCAAAATCTATTGCCGTATTGTCCGTTTGGAAATGAGAGTCACCCCGCGAAAAAATAAATTTGAATTTGCTGCAGGAGACGCAGACAGCGAGAGAGTGAACTGGCAAACAGCCAACGGGGGTTTTGTATGGGAAAGCGACCGCAACGCACACGCGTCGCGGGGGTAGGGGAAATTAGAGATTTTCTCAAATTCAAATTTATTTTTTCGCGGGGTGAATCTCATCTCCAAACGGACAATAGCAAACACGAAAAAAAAAACTCAAAGGACAAGCCCCGCCCCTTTTGTGTGTATCGCATAGCAGGCAGCCCTTTCCCGTCTAGCGTCTGCTGCTAGGTGTGGTGTGTATATATATAGAAAAGGGAAACATATGTTTTCGTTCTTCCGAGAACATATACTAAAATTGGAACAATACAGAGAAGATTAGCATGGCCCCTGCGCAAGGATGACACGCAAATTCGTGAAGCGTTCCAAATTTTTCGACAAATTTTTGATATTTTTATCTTCAAAATTAAATTTTTTTGCAGACACACTTGTAACTGCGAAACTTGTGATCGTGAAAGATTGAATGATTCACTTCAATATTCTCTAAAGCGTATAAACACATTTCGTGCTCTTGCAAGTCCAGCTTGGATGAGTTTAACAAGTCCCGATCCAATATTATCTGCATTCAAATTATCTTGGGATTTACAAAGACTTGCATTCGAAGAACATGAATTCAAAGAAACATATTTACAATTATCCGAACAATGTAAACAATTTGCTTGTGATCTTTTGAGTCAATGTAGAAGTTCAGAAGAAGTTATTGCAATTTTGAATAAAGATGGAAATGCAAATGATGATAATATTGATGTATGGGCTTCAAAATTATCATTATCAAGGCTAAAATTGGCGATTAAATATGAACAAAAAGCGGTAATTCTTAGATATAAAACTTTCTCAATAAAATTATATTTTAGTTTGTATCTCATCCACATTGTCAACAATTGCTCACATCAATTTGGTATGAAGGTATTCCTTATCGTCAAAGAAGTGGAACTTGGAAGAGCTCATTTCTTTATGCTTTTCTTCTAGTATTTTGGCCTATCTTTTGTCTCATTTATATTCTAGTGAGTTCTAGAGAATTGAATCTCTTTCTTTAAAAAAACAAAAAATGTTCCAGATGCCGAAAAGTCGATTGGGTCGACTTGTTCGTTCTCCTTTCATGAAATTTTTCTATTACTCAATTTCTTTCGCAACATTTCTTGGATTATTAACATGGGCAACTTTTGAGGATTATCGATATGAAAAAGGAGAAACTTTCAGCAAAGAAGTGAGGGATTACTGTATTTTTTCTGTGTTTTTCAAAATTATTTTAAGAGAGCAAATCAAACACGTGCTTCTGATCGTGGTCCACCTCCAACTGTAATTGAAATACTGGTATTTACATGGGTAATTGGAATGTTATGGTCAGAAATCAAACAATTATGGGAAGAAGGATTTAAAAGATATACAAGACAATGGTGGAATTGGCTCGATTTTCTTATGATTTGTCTTTATTTGTGCACTATTTCTATAAGGTTTGTGATGATTTTATGATTTAACATGAGCAATTGGTTAGTCAGGTTTCAAAATAGAAGAACACCAGATAACAAAAATTCGGTCCTCAAAAATTAGACTCCTTCCCCGATTAACATGAGCAATGCTTTGATTAAGCTTTGATTAAATACCCTAACCTGAGCAATGTCTGTTTTGCAATGGAAAAATATAGGAACCGAGTAATATTGCTCATGCTTCTTAACTAGTCTATAATCTTAACTAGTCTATAATTGAAAGAACACCAGAACAATTCTTTTTGCGCCAATTTTTGGACTACTGTATATTAATATGAGTAATTCCGACCCAATTATGCAATTTTGTTTTGAAATTTCGGAAAAATCCAGGGTTACTGTAGATTATTTTGAAATCTTGTGATCCTTTTTTTCCAGAATTTTTCATTTACTAATTTAAAAATTACTGTAGTCAGAAATATGCGATCTTATTCCCCCTCAATCCCTTTTCCCTTTCCAATTTTGATAATTTCAGAGTAAGCGCCTATTATCTCTTCACATATTCTCCAAATCCTCATAGATATGAACTCCGAACAGATTGGAAATCAGGCGAACCGATGCTTGTCGCCGAAGCTCTGTTCGCTGTTGGCAATGTGTTTTCATTTGCTAGAATTATTTATCTGTTTCAAACAAATCCATATTTGGGGCCTCTTCAGGTATTTTCCCTATTTACAAAAATAGCACATCTATTTTTATATTTTGCAGATATCATTAGGTTGTATGCTGGTCGATGTTGCTAAATTCTGCTTCATCTTTGTTCTAATTATTAGCAGTTTTAGTATTGGATTAGCTCAATTATATTGGTATTATGATCCGGATGAAAAATCGCAATGTTTGAAAGGAGCTGAAGATTGTAAACATTATTCAAATGTATTTTCATCGTAAGTTTTTCGCTGACATGAATTTATTCCTAATGAAAATCAATTCAGAATCGCTGATTCGTATTTGACACTTTTATGGTCATTATTTTCAATAACAAAACCTGAAGACACAGATGTGAAAGAAGATCATAAAATAACTCAATGGGTTGGACAAGGAATGTTTATTATGTATCATTGTACATCAATTATTGTTTTATTGAATATGTTGATTGCTATGATGTCACATTCATTTCAAATTATTAATGTGGGTTATTTTTGGAGAAAACTTTTTATAAATATAATTTTTAAAGGATCATGCTGATCTCGAATGGAAATTTCATCGAACAAAACTTTGGATGGCACATTTTGACGAAGGATCTAGTTTACCTCCACCGTTTAATATTATTATCACACCGAAATCATTTTTATATTTTATCAATTGTTTAATTAATACTGTTAGATGGTTACTTGGAAAATATACGTATCAGAAGAATAGAAATCGAGCGACTATTAGGGTAAGTTATTCTTTATTCTCTACTTATTCAAAAGTTCATTTCATTTTTTTTAGAGACCAGGATATTCTCGAAAAAAGAATGAATTGGAAAAATCTGGAAATCATGACGATGAATCATTGAAACCCTTGACATATGCTGATATAATTCAAAGATTAGTGGCTAGATTTATTCATCAAACAAAGAAAAATATGAAAATGGATGGAGTTAATGAAGATGATTTACTTGAAATTAAACAGGATATTAGTAGTTTGAGGTAATAATACTGTAGTTTTTCTTTCAAAAAAATTAACAATTTTTTTCAGATATGAACTTCGAGATGATCGACGTCGAGAAATAGTTCGATCTTCATCACACATTGATGCTGTTAAAAGAGATATAATGAGAACAATGAGCACAACAAGTAGAAGAGTATTAACTGGTTCAATGAGATTACAACAAAGACCATCAGTTGCTGAAGAAGAAAGTGAAAGTGAAACAGAAGATGATGATAATAATACAGATGAAGATGATGAAGGAAGATCAAGAAAATCATCTGTGTTATATGTTCCACCTGCGAATTCCGCATTGCCTGAAATTATTAGTGAAGAACCGAAGAAACGAAGAAGGCAGAGTGATGCGAACAAAGAAGTGCCAGATCGACCAACTCCGAAGTTATCACCAGTTTTTGCTCAGCCACCTCATTGTTCACTTCGGAAAACTGACACTTCTTTTAGTTTTCCGATGAATAATATAAATGATACATCAAATGATCATTCGGTTATTAAACCACCAAGAGGAGTTTTGAGGTGAGCATTTCAAAAATTTGATGTTGAGGGAATTGTTGTTTGAACTACAATAATCACAGTTTCGCTAACAATTTTCATCTACAAATTCCGAACTTTTTTCGCGCCAAACATTGAATGTAACCTACTTTTTCATTCCTGAAAATATTCAAGGTCTAACAGTAATCCATAATTGGCGCGAAAATTTAATTTTAAAATAATAGTTAATTTTTAAAACGCCTGAAGTTTTGTGCAGTGTAGATATATTTTCATTTTCAATTCGAAAAAAAAATGGCGATAGCTTCGCCACCGCCCGAGAGCGATAAACACACAGAGCACGCGAATATATAAAGTTCTGGTGTGGGCGACGGTTTACGGGTTGTGTGTGCCGCCATTGCTTGCGTGTGAAAGGGGCGGGGCTTAATTAAAGGAGTGCGTTTTTTGTTCTTCAAAATCAAGTTTTCAAGGTTTATAAGTGAATTTTGATGGAAAGTCTGATCCCATTTTTAATAACCCCTATCTGAATCCAAATTTACCTTTTAAACAAGCCCCTGAAAATTTCGAATTGAACTACAGTATTTCGAGGCCTTCTGGATGTTCTGAGTTCATATAACCTAACACCTTCAATCTGGAAAATTTCAGACAAGATCATCCAGATACAATTAAAATAATGGAAGAACTTCGAAAAGAAATGAATGACAAACTCGATCGACTCATTCAAGGATTTTCAACTGATAATAAACATGGTAAATTTTTTATTTATGTCAAAAAAAAGTGAATTTTTTTCAGCTCATGTTGGATTTGTCGAAAAATGATAAAAAGAAAATCAACGGGTATTCATTCAAAAAAATGATAAATAAATAATAGCTAAACAATTTTCATCTACTTAATAAATGTTCATAAAAATTCTCGTTTTACATGTGCCATTGGAATCATATTACTCGTTGTTGAAACTTTGTGAGTTGAAATCTGCGAAAAATTGGAAAATTAAAAACATAGGATATTTTGGGAAAAAATTGTATGCTAACTTGGAAGGAAAGGGCATGCAAAATAATTAGATCAACTACAATGAAACAGCTGACATGCGACAGAAATAATGAGATGGACGAACCTCCAAAGGATGACGTGTCTGAAAAATGGTTTTGATGAATTTTTCTTTTGGGAAAAAATATAGCAGGCTTTTCTAAATTTTTCAGAAAAAATTTAATTCCAAATTTGAAAAAAAAGTGTTTTGCAAAAACCTTAATTTTGGACCTAAAATAATTTTCTTTTGATCAACATCTTTGGTTTTTGTCAAATATGTTCCCCTGGAATTTTTTTGATTTTTGGATGAAACCTTGATTTTCCCGGGATCTATAACCCCGGGAACCCTCACAAACTTACATCGGCAGTTGTGACAGTGAAATTTGATTGAACCGGTCGAAATGCTTGGAAGAATGATTGTCTCAAAACTCCATCAACGTACTGAAATCCTTTTCCTCCTCTCTATTTCATCTCAGTCATTCAACTTACAGTATCAATAAATCCATCAACAGTCATTCTTGCAAACCATCCAATAACAGCAGCTGCCGTATACATTGTATAACTAACAACTGGACCCATACATAAATATCTTTCTTCATCCTTCGAATTCGGATCACAAAAATTGCTGATCGGAATACTTCCATAATAAGCAGTTGCAGTTAGAAAACATGCAACTGAAAATAATAACAAATGAGTTCCTAATCTCCAAACAGCTGAACGATGTCTTTTATAAATATTTGTTGTTCTTCGATAAAACAATTCTTGAGAAATCAAACAATAACAACCAATTGATATTATATAAAATATCAAAGGGGGAATCATTGTTACCATTGCACTTTTATATGATGAATGATTTTCGATTTGAACACATAAATCGACAAGCCAAATTCCGATATGATCATTTTTTGAGAAATCATCGAAAAATAAATGAATAACACTATTTCCATTATAGTTTAGTTTTCCATCTTGGAATAGAAAAACTGATGTGAATAATAAAAATATCATTGATAACCAGGAGAACAAAATTATTCGAATTACTTTTGAAGATGTTAATCGAACCTGGAATAAGGAGAGAAATGTAGCTGTATTATGAACGTCTATTCCGAACTGCCTCGCCCATGATTTTGAAACTTGGGTTCAATTCACAATTCTTTAATCTCTACTTCTACTATTTACTTGTTCAAAAATCTTGTTTTTTATTGGTTCATCTCAGATTTTTCTCCCTACTTTTAGTTCTTTCGTTCCCCGTTCTTCTACTAATTGAAAATGCACTTTCTTCTTCGTTTTTTTCCGAATCTCACTCAGATTATCTCTTTTTTCAGTTGTTGTTTCTTTTTTTGTAGACACTCTAATTAGAGAAGACAGCAAAAAGACAAAGTACGATTGAAAATGAAACGAACAAAATTGCGAATAAATAAAAGGTCACAAACAATGCTATAATTTTTTGTAGCCCCCTATTAAGTTGCATATTTTTACTTAACTAATTAATTATTTTTACCTTATATTGTAATGGTGATCGAACAGCATAATATGTCAAAAATGCAATTCCAGTATATGACAAAGACACACTCCAATAATTCAGAATAAATGTGGTTTGCATTAAATTGCTGAACCATGTATTATCGATTGGTGCACAATAATGAGCATTGTTACATCTTGTGCTGGAAAAAAATGGTTTGAGATGGACAAAGTTGATTTAATTTTGAAACTCACAAATATTCGGTGATATATCGAGTTCCAGCAATACAAATCGTCATCATATCAGCTAAGCTGAAAACGGAAACCGAAAATTAAAAAATAAGTTTTGAAAAACTTTGCTTATTTTAAAGATCTGAAAATCTTTAGAAAATTGGGTCAAGTCACCAATCAGTTCAAACTTCTTACAATTTCCGCAATTTTTTGAGCCAGCCTGATTTTTCAAATTCTCCGGTGAACTTTTTTGAATTTCAGACCTCCCACTCTTTTTTCACAAACTCTAAGCCTACCTGCGATTAATAGTCATTACATATCGTTTCAACGGAAGTCTCCCTCTTCTAACTCCATAAATAACAGCAACAAGAAAATTGAGATTTATAATAAGTGCAAGAATTGCCATAATCGGCATAACCGCATTTATAAATCCAAAAATTTGTTCGACCATTTCAATTGATTCTATTTCATTGTCATCACATTTATCAACCACATAAAAAGAATCCGTTGAATTGTTCCTCATCTGTGATTCAAAAAATGAGAATGATAGAGAAAAAGCAAATAAAAAAGGAAAAAGAAGAAGAAGCTTAGGCTAAATTGAGATGTTTTTTGTTGTTTTGTGAGCTATCAATAATTCAAAGTATCACACGGTTTTTGGGGCTCAATTTGTTTGAATAGGTTTTATGAACACTGACAATTTCAACATGTTCCTGAAAAAAAGTTTTCATTTTTTCTGAAATCCTGTATCTTCCAAATATTCCCAAAAATTCTTCTTTTCCCTTCGAATTTCCAAAAAAGTACAATTGTTGTTGCATTTTTTCTCTAACCATGCATAAATTTATGATAGTTGTTTTCAGAGAAATTATATGAAAAATTCAATTATATGTAGATATTCAGAATGAAAACAAACAAAACAAAACATAGATGGAAATGTGAAAGAAATGAAATATTAGACTATGTTATTTGTCGTGTGTTCCAGTTCTAAAGAAATTCTGGATTAAAAGAAAAATAAAGAGAAAATGGAATGAAATCAAAATTATTCAATTTATCATAAAAGAAATTCTATAGATCACTAACTAACTCAAATAATAAAAAAACTGAAATTCAAAAGCTAATATTCTGATGTCAAGACTGAAAAGGCGAGAAAAGAGAGGGTAAAATGAAGAATTATTTATGAATAAAATCTTTTTTTGTCATATACTGAAAAAAGGAGAAATGCGGGCGTGGCTTATGAAAAAACACCGAAAATACGAAAAATTCTCTAGAGCAAGAAAACTTTGAGAACAAGAGAAATATTATAGCTCTTTGAACTTTTCATGAAGAAAAGAAAAAAAAAGTATGTAACACATAGATGTAGATATTTTTTGGTTGGATTGGCATTTCTCATTTTTTGGTAGGAAAAATTGGATTTGAAGTTTTTTTTTTGAAAAAAAGGAAGTGAGAAAGGTCACCGTTTCAAGTTTTTTTCAGAAGCAAGCTGGTAATTTTCTGGGATCTTCTGGAATATTTTTCCGCATGATATTTTGAAGTTTCAAAAAGTTTGAAATTCCGAACAACCTTCAAATTAAAAACAGTTTTACAAATTCTGAATATATTATGTGTTCTTTAAATTGAGAACATCAAAAAATTCCCAATTCAAAATACTTCATGGGCTCATTTCTCGAGCTCCAGAAATCTTTAAAAAATATTTCCTCATAAGAAAGGAAAAGTTCTTTTTTTTTTCGCTGAAAAACGAGATAAATTAAGAGGACAAGAAGAAGAAGGGGAACGAAGAAAAAACGAGAACAAATCTGATTTTCCACAGAAAAAAGGAGAAAAGGAGTTTTGTTGTACTTCTTTTGAAAATGTTCGCTTTTTCGACAAAAAATCAAAAAATGTATTCTGGAATTGCAAAAATGAATTAATTTGAGTGACCTCTGGAAATTCTCAATTTATTGAAAGTCACAAGTCAAGAATTTACTACTGTATAATTTTTTATCCGCACAAGGCTCTCTAAAAAAATAATATTAAATTTTTGAAATTAATTTGCGTGACCACTGGAAATTTTTGGTTTTCATTTTCAAGAATTTTTATGCTAGCTTCTATTTTTTTTGATTTTTGACATGCAGGAAAACGACAAATATTGGTTTTTAGTAAATCAGGAAATCCGAAATATTCTGATTCTTGTGTTTTTCCTTCTCATAAGAAAAAAATCAAATGAAATTAGTCTGCATAAAAGAAAAATACATATTTACTAAACTCAAAAAACAAAAGTTATTCATGGTAAACAAAATAGTAGCTCTTAAGCTCATTTTGTGTGCGAATGAAAAGAACAAAAAAGAGTCCAGAATGAAAAAAGGAACGCGGAACATGTTATAGTTTTTTGTTGGTTTGAGTTGAGTTGAGTTAAAATTGGATTATTCGTCTCCTCATTTTTCCCACCCACAAACAAAATAATTAATTTTTTTTCCTTTTTTTCCAACAAATAAAAAACATTGTTTTCCGCGAAACTTTGATCACATCATGTTGTTTCAGAAACAAACTACTCTAATTCATATACAAAAATAAATTGGCTTCGTTTTTCTTGGATCATTTTTTAAAAGGAAATCTCGACTTTTATTCAGATGTTTCATTAAAAACTGATGAAGCCAATAAATTACTGTAATGAAATTTTTCAGAAATCGCAAATTGATTTTTCATCTAACTACAAGGATTACTGTATTTGTGGGATACTGTTGATCGTGGATCTCGAAGTATACTGTACTCCACGTCAATTCCGAACTGCAAGGATTACTGAAACTAGCAACAATTCAAATTACAAGAAGTACTTTAACCCAATTATTCCAAACTGCAAAAAGTACTGTAGATCAAAAAATCAAAGTTTCAGAATTGTTCAAAACTTCAAGAAAATTCCCTTTAAAAATTTGTTTTGTACTAGATTACAGTTGATTTTGAAGAACATCTCGAGATCTCGAAAATCAAAATTTTTCTTCAAATAAATATTTTGTCATAATTTCAGATTCTTAAACTTTTTCTAGTATTTTCTAGTAACAAATGTTCATTACCAATGTCAAAAAAACTATTGTAATTTATCAAAAATCAATTTTTCCCGGACTCTGCATCTCTTCTTCTCGGGATATTCTCTTCTTCCTCATGCTCATCTTTTTATTGTTGTAATGCTCGAAGAAGAAAGAAGATTGAACTTTTCCCGTGTTTTTTTTGCTGTTGTTGTGTGTTTCTCTAACCGCCTACCCAATAAATAGTATTTTTATTTTTGATTTTCTTGTTAGGAGAACTGTTTTAATGGTTCAAAGTTTTCAGAATGTCTAAATCTGTTCAGAGTGACCGAACATATCTCAAGTTTGTTTAAAATTCTGAATCGGACAACGTGTACAGAAAAATCAGGGTTTACGGTGTCAGAATTGGAGCGGAAAAATATTGATCTGGGTTTTCTGGTTCAATAATTTTTTTTAATTTCCCCATTTTTCTTTTAATTCATTATTAGCGATTATAAAATCCTTCCACTTCTTCAAAAATCTAATTTCCTTAGGTGAATAAATGGGTGACGAGGAAGATGACATTGTTTGGATTCGAGATGATCCAATTCCACCTCAAACTCCAACAACTCCAGCCACAATAATCGAAGTTCTCTCACCAACTCCTACAGTAACAATATCTGCACCACCAGAACAGAAATTGGATGAAAATATAAATGAAATAAATAGATCGACGAGTAAACCACCAGATACACCAACAGAAAATAGTGCATCTTTTGATATAAGTTAGTTTTTTTTTTGAATATTTTTTGAGGGCCCATAAAATAAGGCAGATATCTGCTGATCCGAAAAACTTACCACATAAATAATCCCCAACTTCAATTTCGAACAATAATAAAAATAAAAAAGTGCCATAATATTTATGAAATTTATTTTAGACTGCAAGTTTTCTTAACTTCTTTCCTGCTTTAAGGCCACGCCCACTTTACAGATTAGCTTTTTTAGGTAAAGGCCTAGAATAAATATTTTCAAAAGTTCAAAAATCAAATTTAAAACGTGTTTTCAGGCGAATACGAGAAAAATTTAAACAAAACAACAAGAGAAGCGAATGCTTTGCTAGAGGAATTGGACAGAAAATCACGACAAGTTGCTGAAAATAATCAACAAGTCGCAAAAGAGTATGTCTTTCTGTGAGGAGTTTTGGATCAAATTAATAGAAAAATATTTACAGCTTGTATGAAGCACGTGATTTATTGAATTCTGGAAATCAAGAAAAAGAAAAAACAATCAACGATGTTTCACAACTTCCACCGCCTCCAGAATTGCCATCAGGAGGGTAGGTTTTTTGGGATTTTTTTTGGATACCGCAATCTTCCGCTTCAGTTTCTCTGCACCTCGATCTAATTAATCTAAAATGGATTTTTTTTAATTTCTAGACTTCCATCAAACGTTGAATCAGTTTTAATCGGCGATGGAATTCTCGAAAATATCACCGGAACTCTAGTTCTACCAAATGGTCTCGTTCTTGTCACCGATGAAAATGCCGGAATCATCTTATTCGATTTGAGCGGAAACATTCAACGAAAAATCAATGCGGCTGACAATGAATTCAAGAGACTTTGGAGTCCGGTTTATCACAAAGAGCATATTTTAATATTGGCTGATGCGAAGAATTCGGAAAATCATTGGGTTCGACACGTCATCAAGTATACTGTAGATTTGAATTATGTGGCCAAAATTGAATGTCCGAAATGGTTGTCTGATTCGCAGATTTTAAGAGAAAGATTGAGTATTGCACATAATGATCATTTATATTTGTGTGTTTGTGGAGAGGTATTTTTTAATTATAGACACATTGTTCTTCTGAAACTCAAAAATTAAATTTCAGACATTTTCGGGGCTTTATGAATTGACTCCAATCGGACAATGGACCGAATTAGAATATAAATTATCGGAAGCATGGTGTGATATGCTAGCATTTTCCACAATTGGACCAATCACTCAATTATTAGTCGTCGAAGCGCGAAAAAACTATGTTCTTTTGGTTTCAGTGAGAGAATCGAAAATTGTGGGCAAGAAAAGAATTGCGATTTGTGAACATCCGGGAGCATTGGCAAAAGATGAAGCAGGTATTTGACAAAAGGGAAATCTAGGGAAAAATAAAATTTGATTCAACAAACAGGTCGATTGTTTGTCGCAAATCGTCATTCGGCGAGTATTCAACTAGTTGATACAATTAAATGGGTCAGTCAGAAGAATATCGCAATCACTGATGGTTATGTGAGTTATTTTCAGGAAATTTGGGAGGTCTATAGATTTTTTCCTTTTCCTCTCGAGGAAATTTTTAAAAGTTATGACATGGTTTAGAATTTCAAAAATTGATCAAAATTTGAAGATTTATAAATTAAACAAACTCTTTAGTTTTTTCTTTGAAAATAAATGTATAAATTTATTTTCATATTTTTTTTGTTATATTTTTGATTTACGCCCCACGTCATAGCCAAAAAATTCCCAAAACCAAAACCTCCACTAACCAATCAATAATCTTTTCCAGGTTCGTCATTTCACAGCATGTTGGGGTCTTTTAGCAGTTCCACTCAAAAACGCGATTCGCCTTCAAAAATATTCGTTCCGCTCTTTGCGATAAATCAATTTATAAATAAATACAACATTTTCAAATTTTCCGGTAAATAAAAATGTCTCTAATCATCTTTCTTGGTCCATTTTGTTTTCTCGGGTCTCTTCAAATGTGCCGGATTCGATACATCAATTTGCCATCCTAATGATTTGAGTTCGTTTGATAATTCCATGATTTTTGCTCTGCGAGAAGAAAAAATTTATATTAAGAATTAGAGGAAATGAATAACATACTTGTTTTCTTCAAAAGTCTGATATTTTTTCCAAAGTGATTCAGGAATCCATCTTCCTTCATACCAAATCATTCCATCTTGGGGTGCATTTTCTCGATCTTTGATTCGTATCCCTGGAAAATTGATAGATGATTTAGGTGAAAGTATTTGTTAAGGACATTCTTAAAATGTCTATTAAGGTAGAAAAATTGGATATCATTTTTAGAGAAAATCCAATTCAGAATATCATTTTGAAAAAGAATTTCCACGAAATTTTTGAAACCGAATTTTATAAACACAAAATTAAAAACATTTTTTTTGAAAAACGGAAAAAAGCTGAATTTAAAATAAAAACTCGTGATATCAAAACGGAGTCTGTGAAAATAATTTATGATATAAAAATGGCCCAGTATTCTCTTTCTGAATGAAATCCCCCTTTCCTACTTCCAAATTCCAACAAAAAAAAAAAAACACTAACTTTCTTTCAAATCATCCGTAATCTTATATTCATTTGTCTCATCTTTTTCACTATCATCCATAACCATTGCAATATATTCCTCTCCACTCATTCGTTTCCAATCTTTTTGCCGATTCTTTTCAATCATCAATCGAATCTCAACCAATTTCTCCAAATGTTCTTTGCATTGTTCAGCCAAAAATTGCGGATTTTCTCCAGTCACCAATGGTTTTCTTTCCATAACTTTCTTCAAAATCGACGTGAGATGTGATGTTCGATAAGTGATATCAGCAACAATTTCCCTTCCTAATAAACACAATTCACCAATCGATAAATTTTCTTCAGCAAGATTTACAGAGAATATTTTAGGTTGTGGAACAATTGCAGCTGAACTGCTTGAAGCATCTCGATTATCTTGTTGATTCGCAACTTTTAATGATGAAAATGAATGAGTTGAAGAAACAGAATGTGGAAAATGTCCATATTTCATTTGCTGTTGAAGATCAGATGGATCAAGTGATTGTTGCTGAACTGGTTGTTGTGGTTGTGATTGTTGCTGTGCTGGTTGCTGATGCATTTGCTGATGTTGTTGCTGAGCCATTTGTTGCTGCATTTGCTGTTGCTGTTGAATTTGATGTTGTTGCTGAATATAAGCCTCATTTGATGCAATCTGTTGATGATATTGCATTTGTTGCTGCTGTTGCAAATAATGTCTTTGTTGAGCTGCTTGATGCATTTGTTGCTGTGATTGTTGCTGGCCACCTTCAACTCCCCAATGAGGTTCTTGCTTGACTGTAAAAACATTTTCAATACTTTGATCTCATCATTTTTTAATTAACATACTTATTTATTTTGTTTCAGACAAATCATAAATTGGCTTCATTGTTCTAGGATTACGGTAAGAAGAACTTTGGATGTTTCATTAAGAAATTGACAAGGCTAATTTGATGTATTTGGATTACTGTATTTTTAATGATGTTCAAATTATAAAGTCGAGGAAATTTGGGAAAAAATATAGGGATTTAAAATTTTCAAGGTAACTTTTTGGCGAAAAAAATAGTGCAATCATGAACTTTTCTGATTTTGGAATATTATAAACTGATAAAAATGATAGACTTTAGAAAATATTTTCAAGAGGAACCCTTCCTAAACCCCTCCCTTTTTCCCTTTTCTCCATCTACTACCAAATCTAAATTTTTTTCCCAAAACTAACTATGAATTTGTGGATATCCTCCTCCTGCTGGCCCACTTCCAGTTGGTCCTGGTCCAGGCATTCCTGGATAACCTGGCATTTGTTGTGGTGGCTGATCTCCTTGTGGATATGCAACTGGTGGATATCTTCCAACCGGATAACCATGATTATATCCTTGTGGTTGCTGTGATTGTTGATAATATTGCGGAGGTGGATGCTGTCCTTGTGGATATTGATTCGGATTCATTCTGAATAATCTGAAGTTGTATTTTAATTTAAAAATAAAAAAATGATCAGGATATCAATGAAGCTCGATGACTTTTCAGCAAAAAAATTAAGAAAAAAAAATAGAAAAATACCAGTTTTATTTTTACGGAGATACTTATAATACCGGATAAATGAGGTTAGAATTGTTTTTAAGACATTAATTCAAGCTTTTAGGCTATTTGCGCAAATTCGCTTGGCTTCGAAAAATGAAGCGACGACTGAAGCCAATTGCATTTCATTGCTACATCCAGATGCGAGATTTTCTTCGACTTCTCCTAATCCACTAACAATACAACAAAGCGCTTCATCTGGAATATCTAGAGAATAGGCGAGATCATGTAAATGTGTGATAACATCTTGTAAAGCATATCCATTGTTGAAGAATTGAGTTTTGATTTCTGACAAAAAATGTGTTTTATTTTATGAATTCAAACATATTTCCTACTTTTGATACTTGTTTTTGCTGAATCATTCAAAAGTGCATTAACCGCTTGTTTCATTTCAGCAGGAGTTGGTTGTCCAATACATTGATAAACTGTTGTTTCTGTGATTTCATTAAAACTCATCGCAGTACTTTGTAAAGTATTTATAACAGTTCTCATATCTCCTTTCGAAACTGTCAAAAGTGCCTGTTTTCCATCTTCGCTCATTTTCAAATTCTCTTGTTCCACCTAAAAATCTTCTATTTTTCCTTGATTATTCAAAACAAAATATCAAACATACCACATAATCTAGCCTTGGTGCGATTAATTTCATCTCGAGGGGAGCAAATCGAAAACGAGTGCATCTCGATTGAATCGCCGGAATAATTGAGGATAAATAATTGCAAATAATACAAAATCGAACATTATCCGTGTATTTTTCAATAATTCTTCTCAATGCGTTTTGTGCATCTTTCGTCATTGCATCCGCTTCATCAAGAATCACAAGTTTGAAAGGAACCGCAGTGTCACCGGCTTTTGAAAATAATGATTTTGTTTGAGCAAAATTGACAATTGTATTTCTGACAACATCAATTCCTCTATCATCAGAAGCGTTTAGTTCCAATACCATTGAAGACATTTTCGAACCAGTATACATTTTTCGAGCAGCCGCCAGAACTGTCGTTGTTTTTCCAGTTCCTGGTGGACCATAAAACAACAAATGTGGCATTGTTTTATTCTCGATAAACTTCGAAACTAAAAATATTTATTTTGTTTTTTTCGCATTTTTCGAATCGATTCAACTCACGAGTTTTCACAATTTCTTCGTGTGCAACAATATCAGTCAATGATTCTGGACGATATTTCGCAACCCATGGTAGATTTGTTTTCGCTTCCATTCTCTGGAATTCTCTGGAAAAACAAAAAAAATAAGTACATTTTAAAGCTTTTGAGCGGAGAAAACAAAAAAATTTAGCGGCAATATTCAAAAAGGAGTGAGGAAAGCGCGCTCCAAAGATAACATTGTGCCTGCGCTCTCTCATTCTTGTGTACTCTCTCATTATCTATTTTTCTTGTGCGCTCTCACAAGCGAAAAGAACTCGTTTTTATTCGGGAAAGAATAGTTTCAATAATCTGGATTTTTGTCAGTGAAATATCGAATTTGATCAAGGAATTCTGATGAATAATTCAAACATTTCCAAGGTCCCGGAAATTTTCTGAGGTTTCGCGGAACTCGAATTTTCCGTTCTTCAGAAAACCGAAATTCGATCGTCAAAATAAAGTTCCCCATTTCTTATAACTTCAACCCCTCAATAAATCTTCATTCCTCTTTTTCTTTTCAGATTATTTTTCACAATCACTCAATTAAAAATAGTCAAAAAAAACCACCTGATAAAAAGTGATCAAAAAATTGTATCAAAGAAGAAGAGAACATATGAGACTGCGCAAGGTGTAAAATATTGATATCATTATTGTTGTGAAAAAAACGAGAAGACAGGAAATGACTCGTGTTTTTGTTTATTTGATCAAACGGTTCTTTCGTCGAACAAACTGTTAAAATTCATGTGTCATAAAACTTTTACTCATATGATCTTTTTTTCTAGCCAAAACAGAACCAAAAATAAAATATTTGTACCTTTCACCTTACAGTATCCCCCATTTTATTCTTGATTCCACCTTGAGAAATTTGAGAAGAAAAAATAAGTGTTTGATTTTTCGACTGAATGCAAAAAAAAAGAACGAAGTGATACACCGTGTGTTGTGTTTTTTTGCTATTAAATGCAAAATCTTACTGTATCTTCTAGATTTTGTTTCTTTGGACAATGATATCATGGTGTTCTAATTAAGTATTTGGATTTTGAAGGTTCAAAGAACACTACAGTAACCAACTACGTAGAAGAAAAAAGATCATGAACCGTTTACATCGCAAGGTGTTAATATCGTGGTTTCTCGCCGTTTTTATGATCAAAATCCAAAAAGTTGAGCCATGTCTTTCATTTTTTGTAGTTCTAGTTCTTAAGTATTCCTTGTTCTTTAGTTCAAGAAAAAAATATATCAATCAAAAGATTACTACCAAGTTGTACTAACTTATAAGTGCAATTAAATCATGTTAGAATTTTCAGACGATCCCTGGAAAAGTACAAAAAGAAAAACTTGTTTCAACAATGAAACACTATATAAATATTATTTGATAAAACTTTTGTTCTTCACAAAATGTTTTGTTCTCAAATTAATTAACTTTAAGGCTTTTCTCAAAAGTTTAATTAATTTTTTCAAACATTAATTGATTTCGGAGCGGTTTTTTTCGCGCCAAAAAATTACAGTACCCCAAAATCTTCAAATGAACACCCTCCATTGGCAAAACTACAGTAATCAACGAATTTGCGAAATGTTCAAAAACTAGGTTTTGATTGAAACTTCAAGTATCTGGAACATTTTTAGGAATTTTCTAGAAGTTTCGAGAAATTATACCTGGTGGTTTTCACTATTCAAAAAATACCCAAAAGTTTTAAGACACAGTTTTCTTGAGATCTCACCCCAATTTCAAAACACCTCTTGCTCTCAAAATTAATTCCGCCCTTGGACTCAAATTAATCTGTTTTTGCTACCTCTCGTCTACAAATCACGCTCACTCAAAGACGATTGGAGTGGCTGGTCATCGCGCTCTCTTCAAAGTTCAAACTCCTTCTTGTGTTTTTTTTTGCCTGCTGCGCAACTTAACCCCTCCTCCAATCTCCATATAAAGCGGCTAGTTGAGTTCATAATCTATTTACTTTTCATTTTCATTCGCCAGTCAGTCACACTATTCTATTCTATTTCGTGCAGATTGTTGTTCACAATCTTTTTATTGCTTCTTTTTCTTCCTTCAATTTCTGAACTTATAAACATCCAAAATCTGACCAGTCAATCGACCTATCATTGATATTTTTCTATCTAGGGAATGCCTGTGTTTTTTATGATTCGGAAGTGTTATCATCCGCGCGCTAAAGTCCCGCCTCTTGAAAAATATAAAAAAAACCAAAACTTTGATATAAATATATGTTTTTGCTGCTAGTTCGTGCTATTTTCTGTCTTTTGTTCTAAAATTGTTACATTCTTCATCATCATTATTTTGTTCAATTTCTATTTTTCAGCAAACAATGCTCATCTTAATCATCGGAATCTTGGCAATTGCCAACGCCGAAATTATTCCAAGAGAACTTTTATTTGAAGATCCAAAATATTCGTCAGTTTCGCTAAGTCCAGATGGAAGGTAAGAAAATTTGTTTTCGGGAAACTGTGTGATTCCAAAATCTTTTTTTTCAGACAAGTAGCTTATATTGCTCCAGATGATAATGGAATTAAAAACGTATTTGTGAGATGTTCTAGCTGTTCCTCAACAAAACAAGTAACATTCGAAGGAAAACATGCTGTGTTAGGTAAGTTATTATAACTCGATCTATTTGAACACGAAAAAACAACACAAAGAACATTTGTTTGTTTTTTAGGCTACTCTTGGACAGCTTTACCCGATATTATTCTTTATTCTCAAGATGACCATGGCGATGAAAACACACGTTTATACAAAAAGAATATTTCAGAGGTTTGTGTAAATAAAAGGAGCAAGAACTAAAAATAAATAGTGTGTTTTATAGAATGCCGACAAAAATAATCGGTATACAGTGAGTGACAAAGCACATGTAAAAGCTATTATTATGGCAAATAATGTGATTTCGGAGAATGTTTTGATTGGTTTGAATGACGAGAATCCAGCACTTCATAATATTTATTCATTCAATTTGCGAACAAATGAACTTATTATGGTGCTTCGCAACAAAAGATTCCCAATGTTTATTTTTGATACTGATATGAATATTCGATTAGCAAGTGAGGAAGGACCTGATGGACAGATGATTTATTATAAACCATTGTCACGCGCAAAACCTATGAATACTGAAAAAGACAATTGGGTTGAATATATGAGAGTTGATCATGATGATAAACCAATCACTATGTAAGTGAAGAAAAATACATTTTCTAGAAAAACTTTCCTTTTTCAGGCCAATTTCTTTTGATAAAACCAACAATTTCATGTATTGGATTCTTGGAGAAAATAGCGATTTGGGAAATCTTGTTGTTCTTCCATTCGAAACTCCAAATCAACGTGAAACTCTTTACACTGCTCAAAAAGCACAAATCGGAAATGTTCTTATTCATCCAATCGACAAAACATTGATTGCTGTCACTGAAGTTTATCACAAACCGGAATTATTTGTTGCCAATGAGACATATATGGATGATCTACAGTATTTGGTGAATTTGAAACCATCAGGATCTATGCAGATTTTATCAATGAGCAATGATATGAATACATGGCTTATCACTTATGCTTCAGCTGATCATCCATTTGAAATTTATATTTATAGAAAATGGGTTAAGAAGGCTGAATTATTTATGAGTACTCGACCAGAATTGAAAAATTATCAATTGAACAAACAAGTTGGATTTGATTTCCCAACTCGCGATGATTTCACACTTCAAGCCTATCTTTCACTTCCACCAACAGCTCCACTTTTGAAATCATCCCAAGTACCAGATGCTGATAAAGTATACGCAAATATGGGAATGATTCCAGCTGTTCCACAAAAACTTGTTGTTTTGGTTCACGGAGGACCAAAAGCAAGAGATTCTTATGGATTCAGTCCAACAAATGCTTGGTTAACAAATCGAGGATACGCTGTTCTTCAAGTCAATTTCCGTGGAAGTGTTGGATTTGGAAAACGATTGACAAATGCGGGAAATGGAGAATGGGGACGAAAAATGCATTTCGATATTTTGGATGCTGTTGAATTCGCGATCGCTAAAGGAATTGCAAACAGAAATGAGATTGCAATTATGGGTGGAAGTTATGGAGGATATGAAACATTGGTTGCTCTTACATTCACACCAAATGTTTTTGCATGTGGAGTTGATATTGTTGGACCATCAAATTTGATCTCACTTATGCAAGCTGTTCCACCATATTGGCTCGGATTTTATAAAGATCTTGTCAAAATGCTTGGAGCTGATATCACTTCGTAAGTTTCTTTTGACATAAAATGTGACGGGCATATCAATAATTATCATCATTTACAGAGAAGAAGGTCGAGAATCATTAACTGCTAGATCTCCACTTTTCTTCGCCGATAAAGTCAGCAAACCACTAATGATTCTTCAAGGAGCAAATGATCCACGTGTTCGACAACATGAATCGGATCAATTTGTTGCCGCTCTTGAGAAAAAGAATATTCCAGTCACTTATATTCTTTATCCAGATGAGGGACATGGATTCAGAAAGGCGAATAATCGATTGGAACAACACGGACATATTGAATCATTCCTTCATTCTTGCTTGGGTGGAAAAACTCAACCATTCCAACCTGGACAATACAAATCATCTGCTATTGTCAAAAGTGTTGGAATCGAAGAAATTCCAGTTACCACGACAACAGTGTCTACAACTGAAAATCCAACAACAACACAAGAAATCACAACAACCCGATCATCCGGAACTTTGGCTCCAACAATTTTCTATCGCCCCGCAATTCGAGCCAACCGTGTTCATTATCCACCATCACAAAATGTCATGAACAGAATTTTCCCAGTTCAAGGTTAATTAAATCCAGTTAGGATTAGGCCTATATGCCCCCAAGTTTCAACAACGTGTAAAATATTTATTTATACATATATATTTAGCCTTAAAAGGTGCAACATAACAGCCCCGAACGATTATTTGAGCTTTATTGATTTTATACCAAAGTTTTATGTATATTTTGAAATATTTGTGAAAAAAGAAAAGATGCTTTAAAAAATAGAAAAAAATAATAATGAATATTTGTATTATTATTGTCTTCGTTTATTTTATTTATTATTTTAAAAAATTAGAGAATGGAGAAAATTTGACTCGAGCCCAAACTTTTGTTTTCAGAAAAAAAAAAAATTTGGCGTCCTAATTGTTTTTGGGTATTCGTCTAGAAAAAAGTTGTGTTCCTCACTATTTATAGGAAATCTTGCCCAACTTTTCTTTGCTTCCCCGAATAAAAGTTCAAAAGTATGCTGATTTGTAATTCAAATTCAAATTCTCATCCGCCGTCAAATGGACCAGAAAAAAGTCTATCAAAAATTCATTGTTCAAAAAAAGATTATATAGCAGCTTTCAACTTTTTGCTCGTTTTTTTTCTCTATTTCTCTTTTTATTATTCTTATTATTACAATTTTATGATGACATCAAAGCTCTTTTCTTTTCTTTTTTCTCTCTAAACACTGTGCTAATCTAATTTGACCAAAACAAAAAAGAAAGAAATTGAGTACCTCCAAAACTTGATTGCTTTTTTCTTGGCTTTTTTTTTGTTTTCCCGACAGGGCTTCTTATATTTTTATTTTTCAGAGAGAAAAATAACTAGGAATCATGTTTATCGCGAATAACTGTATTTTTCGATGGGAAGATGTGAGTTCAAATTTCATAATTTTGAAAATATAGAAAACTTAGAACATGTTGACAAGTAGATTTGGTTCATTTTTGAATCTAGAGTATATTTGATCTAGTCTAAAATCGAAATGAAATATTCAAATCTACTCTACGCAAGAGTTAAAGTGTTTGCACACATCAATCTAATTGACGTGGAGGCAACACGAAATTTGAAAAATTAAATACATTAAACTATTTAAGTTCGTATTAATTTTAATTTTTGATAATAATTTTACTAGTCCCTTTCATATTAATTTTTTTTTACAAAAATCTTCGGAGGTAACCGGAATAATTGTCTAACCTCGTTTAAAATTTGAATTTAGTGAGCTTTTCCCCCCAATTTGTTCAAATTGAAAAAATCTTTAGAATATCCGTTTCCTTTATCTAAATACCTAATTTCGGTTAGACAAATTTCTTCCCGTTTTTTTTTTCAAAAAGATGACATTTGATGAGAGATGTCTCAAATTTCTCTATCTTCACAATAATTTTGGAAAACTCAACATTTTCATTTTTCAAAATATTACTATAAAATGAATTTATTACATCGTTTAACGAAATCTGAATCAATTCAACAAGCATTTCGAGATTATCCAACAGCACATTTTGTGAGTTTCAGAAAATTCTTTAATTTTCCCTGCGAGTTTTTTAAAGTTATAGGAATCCAAAAGCCCAAAAATATGATACATATTTTCGTATTCCATCCATTATGACCAAAAATCCACCCTCACTTTCCTTGGCTCTTCAAGAAAAAAATAAAAACAATAAATACTTACCAGATGAGACCTTTTTTGCTCAAAATGAGTTTCTTCTATTTTTGAACACAAAAATTTCATTAATTTTTCTCGCTCTCGCGCAAAAAAGTAACCTTTCTTCCGTTTATTGGATATTTTTTTGGGGCAGCTGAAAACTTTTGCTCGCCCCGAATTTTTTATTCATTGATTTTCTGACTGCTTTCGACTAGTATTTTTCACTGATTTTTGACGGGCGACAAAAAATAAGTGCTTGAAAAAATAAATACAAAATGTCAGACTCACCGAGAAGACATTCGGTTGGTCATTTTTTACGACAATTTGCTTCTACTATTATTCCATTGGCACAAGTTCCAGTTAAGAAAATCGTGAGTGAAAAAATAGGAAATTAATTTGGATGTGACAAGGGAATTGTTCAACTTGAGATTTTTAATAAAATTTTACAAGATTTTCCCCAAACTGTTTTTCTTCAAAAAAGTTATTCTCATTAATCCAAAGTCTAATAAAAAACTTAAAATTCAAAAAATCTGGTTAAAAGTTAACTTCGAAAATAAAAATTCAAAAATATTACTCATTGCCTACATTTTCCAAACTAATAAAAATCTAATCAACTTAAGTGTTTTTCGAAAGAAAAAAGTTTCGAATTTCTTCTAGCTAACATAAATTCACAACTCATTTCTTCACTTATCTGAAACGTCTTTTCACATTTTTTTTCTTTTTTCTCATCCCTTCTAATTATCTTTTTTCTTGCTCGCTAGAAAGAAGTAAGGAATAAAAAAACAAAACTTTTTCTTGAATTTTTTGATGAGTTGTGTATATGACAAGCCTCATTTTCCTTCGTTTTTTTCCCGATAATTTATTACTTTTTATGAAAAAGTATGAGCTTTTTGTTGAAAATTTATTGGTTTTTAAAGTTTATATAAAAAGGAACCAAGAAGAGGAAATAAAAAGTTTGAAATTGAATCCACCAAAAAAACACAACATTAGGAGCTATTGTGTTTGACTTTTTAGTTTTGGCAAAAAACATTTCTAAGTTTCTGATACTTTTAAATATCTAATAATGATTCAAGAAATTAGAAGACGTAGTAGAGCTAATCTACGAAGGGCCACTTTATTTCTTGGAATCGGTTTAGAACCAAAAGTTCATCAGGTTCAAAAATAACTATATTAATTCATCGACGAATTACATTTGCAGATGCCAACCACTCAAATAAATATTGTTTTGAGTGAATCAAGAACTATGGCTGGAGAATATTTCAATGCAAAAATATTGCTTGATTCATCTGATCCAGATACTATAATTCACTCATTTACTGCTGAAATCAAAGGAATTGGGAGAACTGGTTGGGTTAACATTCATACTGACAAAATTTTCGAAACTGAGAAAGTGAGTTTTTTCGTGAAGGCTATGCACAAAAATGTATTTCAGTCATATATTGACACTCAAATTCAATTATGTGAGCCTGGAACTTGTCTTCCTGTTGGCAAACATCAATTTCCGATTCAAATTCAAATTCCTGCAAATGCCCCAAGCAGTTATGAAAGTCAATTCGGAAGTGTTCGATATCAAATGAAAGTTGATTTATCAGCGAGTACTGAACAAGCTTCATCATCCGAAGTTTTTCCATTAGTTGTGTTAAATCGTTCATTTTTCGATGAAGTTCCATTGAATGTTATGTCTCCAATTGATTTTAAGGACGAGGTTTACTATACTTTTAAAGTAAAAACAAGACAATACAAATATTTACAGGTCGATTTTACATGTTGCACTCTTCCATTTGGATGTGTTTCTTTAGTAATGTCATTGCCAAGAACAGCTTATAGAATAGGCGAATCAATTGAATGTATTGTTACAATAAATAATCGAACAAGAAAAGGATTGAAAGAAGTTGCACTACAACTTGTTATGAAAACACAATTTGAAGCAAGAAGTCGATATGAACATGTTAATGAGAAAAAGTTAGCTGAACAACTTATTGAGATGGTTTCATTGGGAGCAGTTCGAAGTAGATGTCGAATGGAATTCGAAAAATGTTATCTCAAAATTCCTGATGCAGCTCCCCCAACTCAAAATTATAATCGAGGTGGAGGCGAGAGTTCAATTATTGCAATTCATTATGTTCTCAAATTAACAGCATTGCCTGGTAAGATTTTGAATAGAAAATCTAAAGATTTCGAATATTTTCATAGGAATTGAATGCGAAGTTCCACTTGTTGTAACAAGTTGTGGTTATATGGATTCACATAAACAAGATGCATTTCAACATCATTTGGATAGAGCACGTGCCAAAACATCAAAATGTGAACAAAGAAAAACGAGAAGTATTGTTGAAGAAAATCCATATTTTAGATAATTATTCGTATATATCAACAATGAATACATTATTTTAATTTGTGAGAAAGAACCAGAAGTTTACTTCTTAAGGTTAAGAATGTTCTATGTATGTCTGCTGCTGTAAATATAGTCATCCCAAAGTTCTAACCCCTTATCCTATTTTTGTTGGTGATTGACTCCTAACACCATAAAATCCCTCAACACTTCCAAAAAAAGTTCACTGACGATTAAAAGCCACTAACAACCGTTAGAACCAGCAAACTATATTTCCTTATCTGCATTTCCAATAACTGGTAATAATATAAATAAGTATTTAGTTCAACTCACTTATATTTAAGTATAAATGTTTTCAGAATGTTTAGAAGTGATGTATAATCGAGAAATGGCCGAAATAATCTCAAAATTTATGAAAGATAAAAAATCAGATAAGGAACGTGAACTTGGTAATTTATTTGAAAAAGATTGTCATATTCTTTTGTTTTAATTCATTTCTCAAAAAAAACTACATGAAAAGTGAACATTTTGCTCTTGGATAATTTGCGATAATTGCGGTAAATTGAAAATTCTTTTAAACTCACGTCTCCGTCGATTTTTCCTCGGGTTTCCAAATCCAATGATGTCGCGACTTCCTAGGTTTAAAAATTGAATTTTTTATTTTAGACAGAGTGAAAAAAATAAATTCTGAAGGCAAGTACTGTATGCGCGAAAGTGTGCATTAGCTGAGGTGTATACACATTTCACATTTAAATTGCCGCGATTTCATTAGTTTTTTCGATTTTTTCCGCACCGTTTTCCTCGAAGCGCATTGAAGTTGTTTCCTCGACTATTACTAGAAGTTGTAGATGAATTATCTCATAATTGCTCTTGGTTTTGCTATGACATGCTCTTTGATATAATTCTATTCTCAGATTGCAGTTTTTCCTTTCCTTTTTCATAAAACAAAACTTTTCCCAGAAGTCCAAATCGAAGTTTTTTTCTGTATTCAGAAAAACACTTAGCTTTTTCAGATAAACACATAGCTTTCTTTAATACTGCAAAAAACGAACAGACAAGTAGAGTTTTCCCTTTTCTTTTTTTCGTCCACTTGGTAGGGAACACAGAGTCACTACACAGCGTGTTGTTTATTGATCGACACCGTTCCGTTTTTCTTCATTTTTTGAACAATAAAAGTATTCATTCTAGTTTCACATATGTCCGGTCGGAAAGAAAACAATCGAGACAATAATCGCAAATCCAATGGTGGCGGAAATCGAGATGATCACAATAAAAGAAGAGATGGAGGTGATAATAGAAGAGAGGGTGGAGATAATCGAAAAAGTGGAGGTGGAAATCGAGGAGGAGGAGGAAGTAATAACAATGGTGGACCTCGGCAAGAAAGAAATGGAAGAAATAAGAATCAAGATGGAGGGTTTATAAATCATAATAATGATGGAGGTTTTGGTGGTGGCCGAGGAGCTCGAAATGCACAAAATCAACCATTTAGCGGCGCACCTTTAAGTGATTCACAATTGATGGATGAAATGCCAAAAAAGAAATTCACTGGAAGGTAATATTTTTTTTTGGAATGCTGATGAAATTGATTGTTTTCAGATGTCGTTTATTCGTCGGAAATCTTCCAAATGAAACGAAAGAAGCAGAGCTCAAAGAACTTTTCCAACCACATGGAGATATTGCTGAATGTTATTTGTCTGGAAAAGGTTTCGCATTCTTGAGATTGGTTAGTTTTTTACAGATTAAGGGGGGAATGGACAAAAGGGTTTGGACTTGGGTTACAGATCGATTTTACATCATAAAGGAGCAATATACGTCGTTATTTCCCCACAGTATATTAGTTCTACTGTGTTTGAGCCCATGAGGCATGTGGCGAATTTATTTAAAAATAACTTCGGAAGTGGAAATTGTGACACATTTATTTAATACAAAAAATTCGGATTTTAATCTATTGTTTTAAACATGATTTTGACATGGCAAAGTTGTAATTTTTGATTATAATTTTTTCTACTCGTCGTCATAACTGTATCTTCTAGTTTAAAATTTATTGCAGTGAAAAACCTTGTCACGTCATAACTGCTGTTAAGAGTTAGGCTAATTAAAATTATTCAATTCGCTAGTAACAAATCTATCTCACAAAAATATCGAATTCTGTTATAAAATCAGACTTCACTTTGAGAAAGATTCTTTGTGAAATATTTTAATATTTCACAAAGAATCTTTAAAAGTCGTTGAATCTGCATATCAAAAAACATTAATTCTGATAACTTGTTATTTTTTTGAACATAACTATTATTTTGATTTCAAAATTTCAATCAATAACCTCGGAACTGGAGTCGCTGCCCTGTAGCTTTGTTTTACGTCTTCCTAGTTCCAGTTTTCTCGAAATTCATCTCGCTCTCAGCACAGATTTCCCATTAGTTTTGCAGTAGAGTTTGCAAATTTTAGTTCGAGTTGACATCTTATTGTCAAAAATTTGTCTCATTTTTTCAGCGACCCCAGTTCCGAGAGTAAACCATTTTTTATTATTTAGTTTATTTTCTTTATTTTTAACACGTTCAGGATACAAGAGCTCATGCAGAAAGCGCAAAGGAAGCAATTGACGGTCGAGTAATCGGCGGTCGCCAAATTCGTGTTCGTTTTGCTGTTCACGGGGCAGCGATTCGCGTAAAAGAACTTTCCCCAACTGTTTCGAACGAAATGCTTTATCACGCATTTTCACATTTTGGAGAAGTTGAAAGAGCAGTTCATATTGTTGATGAAAAAGGACGACCAACTGGAGAAGGAATCATTGAATTCGAAAGAAAACCAAATTGTAATGAAGCAATGGCTGCAATTCGCGAAAAAGTGTTTTTGTTAACTGCGTGAGTATTGAAAATATACCAAACTTCTTTCCGTCAGTTTTTAACTTGGACTTTTTGTTGTAAAATTTTAACGGACTTTTGACGGAAAGATTTTTACTCGCGGCGCGCTATTTGTAAAGAATATTGTTTTTTGTTATATAGAAGTCCAAAACCTCTTGTGTGTGAAGTATTGGATCCAAAGGATGAAGATGACGGATTGGCAGAAAGAATGATACCAAGAACTATGACTTTGGCAAAGTAAGTTTGATCGCCTTTTTCTACAACTTCTATCTGAAATTTCAAATTGACCTGACCAGTTTTATAAGTTGTTATACGGTATTCTAGTTTGAGAATTTCATTACAAATCTCATAGTTTTTTTTGTATTTTCTTTATTGATGTATTGCTGGCTGTACTATGGGAGAGTTATTCGAGTTCAAGTGGTAGAAATTGGTCGATGCCTACCAAACCTCACCCAAGAACCTGGAGAAGTGGGTAAAAGTTGCCCACCGGGGTTATTTTTTTTAAAAAAAAATTGCCCACCTGAGGCTCGCCTTAAAGACCCTAAAAATTTTTGCTCACCCAGGTTTCTCGAAAAAAAAGTTGACCACCCACTTGGAATTCCAGGTATTGGGTGAGGTTTGATGCCTACGAGTCTTCATTTTTTTTGTCTAACAAGTAATCTTTATTACCAACATCTCAACTTTGATGGGAAATCTTTGTTTTGTGTCTTCTCACAGAATTTGAGATCGCTTTGTTCAATTTTGGAAAACATCTTGATGTTTTTTCTTCTGCCAAAACTTTTGATATATTATTCTACCCGTTTTGAATTGGATCTCGGCGTGACTGATCCTCAGAAATAATTATTCGAAAGGTAGAAATCCGAGAATTTCTACGTATTTCAAGGTGTTGATTTCACAAATGTTTTCAAATTTGCTAAAACCAGAATATCTCATCAAATTTGTTTTCTGTGTTTTCCCTATTTATTTTTATATGTTATTGTTATTCCTAGGGGTTATACCTTTTTTGTATATTGCGATGCTTCTCATTCTGTTTTCAAACTTCACTATTTTTAATTTGTAACTCTTATCATATTTATTTCTTACTGGTCAGGTCAATCCTTTTTCTTAAATTTCAATGATTTTTTCACTCAACAGAATTTATTCTATCGTACCTATCTCAATACGTTTTTTGTCTCTAGGGAACGTGAATTGGGGCCTCGTTTCCCAGCTGCAAACAGTTTTGAATTCGTATATGGAATGAAATGGAAAGAATTGTATGAAATTGAAAAAAAGAGAAGAGAACAACTCGAAGAAGACTTAAAGGAATCAAGAAGACGACTCGAATCTGATATGGAATTAGCCTATCAAGATTATCAGGCACAAATGCTAAGAGAAGGTTCCTTTTTTATTATTAGCGGGAAAATTTTTGGGTGTATTGTGGAATGGGTTGTTTTATGAAAAACCCGTAATTTTTTTAAATCTGGTGATTCAGAAATCGTAGTGTTGTGTATCTGATTGATTTCGGTTCATGAGTCAAAATATGCCACCCTCATTTTTTTTACCGTTGGGGAGGTGTGGAATGGGCCAGTAAGGTTGATGTTCTCATTTGATACATGTCAAAATATTTTTAACAGTCTCTAGATGCCTTGTTCCAAATAAAAGATCGGAAAGCTTAAAACACAACCCTGTTTAGGTCCAAATATTGAAGAATATTTCCTCATTAATCTTTTTCTCGGATCTAAACTCTAGAGAAGTTTTTTAACTGGACGAAATATTTTTCATTTTGTCAGAAAAAGTCTGATTGTGAGTTTTGTATTTTATTATATCAGTTCTTACAGAAAATGTTCAAATTGAACCAAAACTCAAAATTTTTAATATATAATTCTATGTATTGTTAGTTTCCTAAAATGGTTTTTTATGAAATTTAGATTCATAATTTTTATGTGGAAATTCTGCAAGTGCCTTCAATTTTTTCCGAAAATTCAATCGGTTTTTCACGAGTGATGGTTGAATTGTTTAACATTATATATCAAATTTTAAAAATCTACTACATTCTGGTTTAAAGGTTTCATCAAAATTATAAATAATTTGTAGACTTATAATTATTCAGGTATTTCGTAATTGGACTGCTCTTCTTTATTTTATTGAATTTAATTTTTCCATTTTTTCATAAACTTCAAAATTAATCAATTATTTTCAGATCTCCAACGTCGTCAACAAGAATTAGATCGTCTCGAAGCAGCTCGTCGTGATCGTATGCGTGGCCTTGGCGGTCCACCAATGGGACCAGGAGGTCCACAAGCATTCGGAAACAATGGCCCATTTATGAATGGTCCCCCACTTCACGGTGTACCTCCACCATCAATGGGTGGTCCACCCCCTTTCGGACAAGCATTCGGAGGTCCGCCACAAGGAATGTTTGGTGGAAATGGAGGAGGAGGGCCGCCTCCACAAATGCATCAACCACCTCCTTTGATTCAACAATCAATTCCGCCACAACAACAACAATCACAAGGAAATGGTGGAGGACCATCGCAAAATGGGCCAAATTCGGGTGTTGGAAATGGAGGAGGACCAGGAGGCAGAACTAATATGATTGAAGGAGTTCAACGATTATTGCAAATATTTAAAAGTGAACCAGGAGCACAAAACTCATTATGTAAGTTAATTTGATTATGGGCTGATTTGATTCTGAAAATTATTATATTTAAACATTTTTTGAAAAAAATTGTGTTCCTTATTTTTTAAAATGTTTGAATTCAGTTGACATTTAAAATCTGAAATTCTCGATTTTCAGTATCTCGAGATTTCAACATGCCTCCACCATCAAATTCATTCAACCAACGTGGACCAGGTGATTTCCCACCGGAAAAGAAGATTCGCCGTTAACTTTTCTTAATTTTTATAATTATTTTGATTTTTATATATAATCGTAATCGTGAAATACTTTTTTGAAATCTGTAGTGTTTTTATTTGGATCTCATAAGTTGAAATGGCAGTAAAACAATATTTTCATTACATATTTATGACAATGCATTTTGGCATCAAACATGTTCAATAAACAAAAATGTTCTAGATGTTCTAAAAGAAAAATTTTCGCCAAAACATAAACTTCTGGAAAACAAAATAAGCCAGAAACAAAAAAGAATTCAAAGAAGCTAGGAAAAGAGATTATTCAACGAAAAATAGCTAATTCAACGAGTAGATATAATTGAAGATGAAAAACAGCTATGCGAATATGAAAAGATTCGACAATCCTTAATAGCTATATTGCCATTGAATTAATTGAATTTCAGTTCTGATTTCTTCCGGAATCGTAACATAGTCGACATGTCCTACTATGCTGCTGATTTGGTGCATAGTCAGACTACAAACCATCTTTCTCTGTAATAAAATAATGATGATGCAAAAATATAATTAGGATAACTTACTAAGCCTTCGATGAATCCGAATTTCGTTCCTCTCACAAATTTGGTAGCAACTGGTAGTGGAGAATAAATGAGCATTTCTTCGATCTTTTCGACGAGTCCATTAAATCCATAACCTCTTGCCAATCGAATTATTTCTTCAAGCAGCGGCGTCTCAACTGAAAAAAAAAGTAATTTATACCGAAAAAATTAACAATTAATTTCAATATTGAACAAAATTAACCAAGAAAATATATTCTTTGTAATTTTTTCTATTGAAACATTTTCTTGGCGAGATATGTTCAATTTTTCTGTAGAAAAAATGTAACTTTGCTAAATCACATGTTTTTGTCCAAAAAAAAGTTTTGAAATTAATTTTTTTTTAAATTGACCCCGTAAGAATTCAAAACACTTACTATCTATATGAGTTGATGTTTCGGCCATCTTAATACAACTCTTCACAACTTCTAGTGACAATTGGCCCAAGTCTTTTCTGAATGGTTGATGTTGTTCCAATTCGTCTCGCCAACGATCACTGTGAAGAGCCAAAGCCTGAATTATGTAAAGAGAAAGAGAGAGAGAGAGAGAGAAAAAATATTTTAAAAACTTACAGCTCTATTCAGGTCAATCGTTGTGTTATCAATTACGAGAGCAGCTTGATCAACATTTTGAACCATTTTAACTCCATATTTGACTGCGTATAAACTTCCTGATACAATAAGGGTCCCCCTTTTGATGAGAACTGGTGCACATTCTTGATTATCTTGAAGTTCGGTATGCGTCCATGTGGATGGGTTGAAACATCGGTTCGGCTCACAACCACCGTGTCGTTTTCACCACCTGTTTTCGCATTTACTAACCGTAAAGCTATTTTCCCCGATGAATCCAGCAGGAACAAATCGCATATGATCATTCAAAGTGCTTAAATTTCCAAAAACTGCGGCAAAATCGATTCTTTCTATAACAACTCGTGTAGCCATTCTTGCATGAACAAGTTCGAGCTGATTGAAAGGCTGAAAAACTTGGGCTGGTGATGAAAAGACTGAGAAAAGACGGGAAATTCGAGGTGTTGGAAATGGAGGAGGACCAGGAGGCAGAACTAATATGATTGAAGAAGTTCAACGATTATTGCAAATATTTAAAAGTGAACCAGGAGCACAAAACTCATTATGTAAGTTAATTTGATTATGGGCTGATTTAATTCTGAAAAAATGTTGTTCCTTATTTTTTGAAATTTGTGAATTCAGTTAATTTTTGTAATTTCAATATATCGATTTTCAGTATCTCGAGATTTCAACATGCCTCCACCATCAAATTCATTCAACCAACGAGGACCAGGTGATTTCCCGCCGGAAAAGAAGATTCGCCGTTAACTTTTCTTAATTTTTGATAATTATTTTGATTTTTATACATAATCGTAATCGTGAAATACTTTTTTGAAATCTGTAGTGTTTTTATTTGGATCTCATAAACAAAACCATATAATACACATATAACCTTTTAAAGGTCATTTTTCACTATTTAAAACCGGGGAAAGTTAGAAGGTGGGTAAAAAAGATGCAATTAAAAATGAAGTGAGTATTTACAATAGTACATGTTTCATATTTATCATATCTATTACTTTTTGTGCAATATTCATTGTTGGATCGTGGACAAGAACAATATCATATACTTCAACATAATGATCGAGCGCTTTTTGATCGGATAACTGAAAGAATATCAAATTATTGGTGTGATTTGGTGGAAGAAAATGAGAAGAAAAACTTACATCTCCGTTATAAAATCCAATTTTGAGAGTTGGTCCATTCTTCTCGACACCAACATCCATATGAATATCACCCATTGAATCACCGAGTAAAATTACATTTGTTCTGAAAAAAAATGGATTTCAGAAGAGCTGGCTAAAAACTATGAAAATGTTCGAATTTTTAGGAAAAACTGAACTTCCGGCTAAAAATAACGATTTTTAAGCCAAAAACTCCTTTTCCGGAGTATTTATTATTCGAGCCTCAAGGATATTTCAGACTACAAGGATTACTGTACCTAAAAACAGAAGACCTCAAGGATTACTGTACCTCAAACTGCAATGATACTGTAGCCTGAAGGGATTTTCAGAACTAAAAGGTTTACTGTATCTCAAACTGCAAGGCATACTGTAACCGCCTTAGGGTTGCTGTAGTTTCCAGACTGTAAGGAATATTGTATCTCCCAGGCTACAAGGAATACGGTAGGTCAAACTGCAAAGGATACTGTATATCAAAAAATTTTCAAACTTCATGAAAAATATACCAAAAAAATCAGAAATTTTCTGAATTTTTCAACAATTTCATAGAAAATTCAAACTTTTTTCAAAAATAAAAAAAAGCCAACAAACCTTCCAGAAATCTCGTGGAAAAAGCTGGTTTCCTTCTGAATAACACTCGAATTTTTGCAGAATGTATGAATTAATGGCTCAGAAAAGGCTCTTGCTTGCTCATTTTCATCAAACAAAATCATATTCGAAATGAAATGTGTGTTCCTTGGAATCGCACCCAATTTCTGTTGCAAAAATATCTCAATAATATTTCCAATTCCAGCCGAAAAAATGACGAGTGGAACTGAATGTGCATCGAGTGATTGAATCAATTCCTCGGCTCCATCTTTGAAAACAATTCGAGATTGACGAACGAAATCTTCGATTGTGGATTTCGAGAATTTTTCGTTGACAATCAATTGATGCGAAGATCCCCACCATTTTTCCATGTGTGGAATTTTTTCTTCGACTGTCAGATTTGGCGAAAATTCGATTGGATAGTATTTTTCGCGCAAATCGACAAACTGCAAAAAAATAGATTTGAAATAGTTAATTTTTATTCAGAATGCTTTTCACAAATTTAGAGTTTTTGGGAAAAACTGAAACATTTGGAATGATTTTTGTCAATTTTTTTCAAAATCACAAATTGTAGTTCCAAGAAAATTTTTCTGAAACATCTAAAATTTGGGAAAAATTATTTTCAAAAATTCCGTGGGCAAACCAAGTTTGGAAAACTTAAAATAAACTTGTAGGTTGAAAAATTTAAGAAAATCTGCTGGAAAACGTACCTTTTGTCCGAGTGCTGGATTCAATCTCATAACATTGTCATCAAAAACTCCATGAGTTGTCGAAAGTCTTTCACCTTTCTCATTTTGAAATCTTGAAAGTGTAAAATCGAAATCCGAAATAACCAATAATTTGTGCTCTCCTCCCAATGCCATTTTCTTCAATTTCTCTTTAACATCAGTCGGATTTCCAATTCGAACATTTTCGATTTTTCCAAATTCTTCCATAAGATCAGTAACATGTTCTAATTTCTTTAATTGATCAGTTTCTATAACTTGTGATTTTGCTTGAGCGGCAGCATTTGCAACTATTTCAGACGGGGCAAACATTTGTTGTTTATCGACGAGTACACTGTCAGTTAGTGTTTCCGCTGAAAAAAAAGATTTTTTAGTTGGGAAAATTTGGACACTTCAGTACACTTTACAATAATTGTTTCCTCAGGTCCTATTTTTCCAGATAATCACTTACGCTTCTTAAAATTCCCAAAACAAAAAATCCGTCCTAACAGAGATTTACAATATTCCATAATTCTAAAAATGACAAAAAACTCACGTTGGCTCATTTTTTTCTTTTTTTTTTCTTCTAATGACCGACAAAAAAACGTCTCAAGAGTTTTCAATGATTCACTACTACCACTTACAATTTAAAATTACTATTTTAATTCAAGGTCAAGTGGGGCCAAGTTCAATTAAAAACTGAGAAGAAATTTGTAAGTAAGAAAAAATGTCTGGAAAATAATATAGAACTTTTTGGGGAAAAGTTGAAGATAGAACAAATATTTGTTTTTCAAAGTTGAGATGGAAAATCTGGTCTTACTGGAACAGAAAAAAGTTAGTCTTATAGCAAAAATCATATCATATTGTAACTAAAAACCAAAAAGTATAACAATAAAACGAGAAAACTGTAACCGAGAAAATCAAATAAATTGTCTAAAAAGTGAAGATAATCAATCACTTTTATACATCCATAAATTCAATCGTTTATCATCAAAACGTTGTAAAACAAAAAAAGATAACCTCAAAAAGTACTTTCTTTTTTTGGTTTTGTCTGCTTTCAAAAATTCTCCTCTTATCTTCTTCTTTTATACTTTTTATTTTATTCAGTAGCACTACGATTTCAATGAAAATAACAAGATAAAAACTTTGAGATTCTTTGTTTTTTTCTGACAGGAGGGGGAATTTATGATTGCTGATATAGATAATTGATAACATTTATGGTGTGCAGTTCCAATTATTTTTATTGTTTCTTCGCAGGTTTTGAAAGATAAAAAGTTCTTTCAAAAATTTTTGGCATAGGGGAATTTTCTTAAGCTCACAGCAAAATTTCTGCATTGTAAGTGATCTAGCAATTTGGGATAAATTACACACTGTGTATGTTACTACGAAAAATCTCCAGAACTCAAATTTTTTTGGTAGATTAAAAATATGTTTCTCTAAACCTTTCCTGTTTCCGTTGAATTTCGTCGGATCTAGTGCCACCTCTAAGATTCTGCCAGGTCTCAAAAAATGCGGGAAATTTTGTTTTTAATAATATTTAATTTCCCCCTTTCAAAGTGCAAAAAATCAAATTGGCTATCAAATTTCAATTTTAAAATTTTCACCGATAAGAAGCCCACCTTGTTCAAAATACGAACCCATTTTTGCTGTTTTTTCCTAGACAGAAAACAAATATGTGTAGAATAAAAAATACTAGCAACGAGTCAACAAAAACAACTACAAAGCGAGAAGAAATGTGTTTCACAGCTCGAAAAAATTGGGCAAAACCAGAAGAGAGTGAAGAGAAATAGAGAAGAAGCTCGAAAACTCTTCTCTCACATCGAATAAGCTCGAATGAGGAAAATAATGGAGAAAATATGTATGTCGAGGAAAAATATTATCAGATCATTAAATAAACCTTTTATGATCTAAGAACCTGGCAATAACGAAGAAAAGTTGGACAAAGATCTTTGGAAGAACAAAACTTGAACTTACAAAAACTGTTTTATATCGGGACTTTTTGGATTAATTTCTGCATATATTCAAGGTTCTCTAAAGAATAGAGCTGTCCCTAGTTTTTGTTGACTAATTTGAATTGCCCCACAAGAAATTTTTTTTTAATCTTTAGATCCCAACAACTAACCGATAGCTCGTCTTGGAGGCCCCGAGCAAAATGCTCTTCGCGAATTTTTCCCGATTTGCTTACTTATATGTTGTACAACTCGGTTCATACCCGTCTGAAAAATGAAAAATATGTACAACTGAAAAAAAGAGCTCCAGAGAACAAAAAGAAAGAAGATAGAAGTTACAAATCCAAATGTTTTTTCTCTTAAAAGATGTCTTAGAATTCTATGGAATAAAAATATTAGAATGACTAACAAGAAGCAAAGAACACAGCGTGATCAGATTAAATTATTCGCTTATCATATCAAGAAAACTTCCCATATCTTTCAATTGTTATTTGTTTACGTTCACATAGCAACCATTGAATATTTGAAAAGGTGAGTTTTCTCTTTATTTTTCCTAATTATAATAAACTTTGTGACTTAAAATTTCTTCCTAGATAGACACATTTAAGCCGGAAATTCGTCGACCAAAGTTCAGAAAAAATCGAAAAAAAACAAAACATTTTATTTTACGCACGTTGTGTGCAAACACGCTCACGTCTAATTGCACCTTTTATTTTTTATTTTTTTCGGATGAAAATGATAAAAGCCTAAATTTAGAACTTCCATGATAAATTTGACATCTACTGCTTCCTAGAATCACTTACGAGATGTTTCGTCAATCATTTTTATCTAACAGGAGTCTTCTCGTTCCATCGACTTCATCAAACTGTGTGATTAAACCGAAGAAAATGAGTTCGAAATATGAAGAAGCTGTGCGTTTGTTAAACGGGTTACAATCAAATGCAGCTACAATCAAGAAAATGCGGGAACAACGGGATTTTCTTCAAACTACAAATCTTCCAATTTGCCGAAAATATTTGGAAACTTTGAATATTTCAAGAAATCAAATTGACAATCTCAATATTATTCATGTTAGTGGAACAAAAGGAAAAGGAAGTACTTGTGCATTTGTTGAAAGAATTTTGAGAGACGCTGGTTTCAAAACTGGACTTTATACTTCTCCACATTTAGTTCATGTGAGAGAACGTATTCGGCTGAATGGAGAACCTGTGAATGAAGAATTATTTTCTACCGAATTTTTCAAAGTCTATAGCGAACTCAAACAATATCACGAAACAAATATGCCGGCTTATTTCAAGTTTTTGACTCTTATGGCTTTCCAAATATTCACTTCACAAAAAGTCGATGTCGCTATTTTCGAAGTTGGAATTGGGGGAGAATATGATTGCACAAATGTCATTGATAATCCAATTGTTTGTGGAATAACAACATTAGATTATGATCATATAAGTATTCTTGGATCAAAATTATCAGAAATTGCGTGGCATAAATCTGGGATTTTCAAAAATAATGTTCCTGCTTTTTATACACCAACAACTGTGGAAGCTGAAGAGGTAAATTTGAAACAAACTAGGTTTGCAGAAGTGCAGAATTTTTAACTGTAATTCACGTATACAATGTTTTCTAGAGCACTTTATAAAATTGTTTAAAAATCCAAATTTCGGTCATTTTTAAAAATAGAGCACTGTCAAAATTAATCGATATTATTTCAGGTTATAAAATCTCGCGCTGTCGAGAAAAACGTTCCATTGTATTCAATTCCACCAATTTCTTCATACACATTTCCTCGAGAAATATCAACAGGAATCTCCGGACGACATCAACTTCTCAATGTTTCTCTAGCTCTTCAACTCGTAAACGCTTGGTTTCGTCAAAAAGGCCATTCTGATTCTACAGCGATTTTTGGAAAACCTTTCGAAGTTCCAACAAAATTCTGCGATTCAATTGAAAAATGTCAATGGCCTGGAAGAAGTCAGATAATTGAGACAAATCGAGGAATCACTTATTTATTGGATGGGGCACATACACCAAAAAGTATGGAAGCATGTGCAGAATGGGCAGATATGGAGATGAAAAAAATTGAGGAAGGAAATAAAAAATTGAGAAGAATCTTATTATTTCAATGTACCGCTGATAGATGTCCAACTACTCTGATTCCGTTTCTGAAAGTAAGTGATTTTTCTTTCGTAAATGATTCTCAATAAAAAACTGTTTTTTTTTCCAGAATCTCAAAATGTCTCAAATAATATCATGTCCAACACAATTATATCCAAGCCTTAATCAATCTTCTGATTCAACAAATCTCAATACTTCGAGAAATGAGCAACTTGAAAAATCAAAAATGTGCCTCGAATCATGGAAAATATCACAAGAAGAAAATGTAGTGGATGATCAAATGCGTGTTTTTGATTGTATTTCAAATTCGATTGATTTCATTGAAAATTCCAAGAATCCTGATGAAAATGTTATTGTTTTAGTTACCGGAAGTTTACATTTAGTTGGAGGAGTTATTGGATTATTAGAAAAAATCGGAAAATAGTTGTTTTTAGTTAGCAAAAATGTATATTTATTGTTATTTTATCATCTTGCCATTTCCATTTCACTAATATATTCTCGGGAATCTTTCTTGTTGTGCCTTTTTGAAAATAAAGTGATAGATTTTTTTTGGTTGAAAAACAAAAATTACGGTCAAGCTACCAATTATATTTTTTCGCACTTTTTTTATTTATAATATAAAAAAAGAGGATTCGAAGTTCAGAAAAATGTTGAGACAACTTGTAAAACTTACGAGATCGCGGAATTTTTGTGCTGCTGCGGCGAAAACAGAAAAAGTCAGAAGATCAATTCCAGAAGGTCGGTTCAGATCTCGGCGTTAATTGACACGAGTAAAAAACAGATTATTTTTAGATGGTCCCACGCTCTCAGATTTTATTCAAAAAAGTTCGAGAAAACCAAGACAGGCTGCAATTATTCCGTCAATTGAGAAAACAAGCGAATATTTGAGGCCTGAAGATTTGGATGGAAATAAGAAAACAGGTTTGATTTTCAGATTTTTTTCTCAAAAAAACAAATGAAAAATTGGTTTCAGTCTGTTATGTAACTTATGGTTGCCAAATGAATGTTTCGGATATGGAAATTGTTCGATCAATAATGTCTTCTCATAATTATATCGAAACAACAGATCGAGAATCAGCTGATATTGTTCTTTTAATGACATGTTCGATTAGAGAAGGAGCTGAAGTCAAAGTCTGGAATAAATTGAAATTCATCCAACGAAATTCGAAAAACAAAAAACATATTGTGGGAGTATTAGGTTGTATGGCAGAAAGAGTTCGACACGAATTATTGGAGAAGAAAAATTTGGTGAATATTGTTGCTGGTCCGGATTCTTATCGAGATCTTCCACGGTTAATAGCAATTGCGAATGGTGGTTCAAATGCAATTAATGTGCAATTATCATTAGATGAAACATATGCTGATGTTCAACCAGTTCGAGTTGATACACATACTAAAACTGCTTTTGTGTAAGTTCAAGTTTTGAAGGTCCTCTGAAAGCTGAATAGGAAAAGGTGTTTTTTTAAAAATATATGAAATTAGCAAAAAAAAATTAAACAAGTATTTTTTTTTGAATTACAATCCGAGAATCAGAACAAATAGTTTCGGAAGAATTTATTTTCAAAAAAATTCACACAAAGTTTTGTTATCACCATTTTTACATCGGACACCGCTATCAAACTTTAATTTCAGCTCAATAATGCGAGGATGTGATAATATGTGTACATATTGTGTAGTACCATTTACCCGCGGAAAAGAACGAAGTCGACCATTTGATTCGATTGTTGAAGAAGTCAAAAAACTTCGTGATGAAGGATTCAAACAAATCACTTTATTGGGTCAAAATGTGAATAGTTATCGAGATTTATCGAGTTTTGATTTTTCAACACAACCAACAACTTCAGATCGTGTTCCTGGTTTTAAAACTGTTTATAAGTGAGTTGTTTTAATAGAGAATTTTTGAAATGAAATTTGTAGACCAAAAATTGGTGGTAGAACCTTCGCAACTCTTCTTGATAAAGTGTCTGAAGTTGCTCCAGATGTTCGATTTCGATTTACTTCTCCACATCCAAAAGATTTTCCAATGCAGGTAAATTTGAAAAGAAGAGAGAAACCCATCTGAAATTGTATGAAAATTCAAATTTTCAGCTGATCGAATTAATTGCTTCTCGCACAAATCTCTGCAAACAACTTCATCTTCCAGCTCAGAGTGGAAATAATGAAACACTTGAAAGAATGGGAAGAGGATATACAAGAGAATTATATTTGAAATTGGTTGATGATATTAGAACTATTCTACCAGGTAAATAAGTTTGTTGTGAAATCTTTCAACGATTTTTTCATAGATGTTTCATTATCTTCCGATTTTATTGCTGGATTTTGTGGTGAAACAGAAGAAGCACATCAACAAACATTGGATTTGATGAGAACTGTCAAATATTCATTTTGCTTTGTTTTTCCATACAGTATGAGAGGGGTGAGTTTGGAATTTTTAGCAAAACTTTCAAAATGCTCTTTTCGAAATTCGAATTTTTAGAAAAAAAGGAACACAATTGTTCTTGCAAAAATTCGGATTCAGGCTGAATAAAATTTTAAAAAAATTCAACGTGGTTTCAAAGTTTTCTAAAAAAAATTTCATAAATAAATTGAATCATTTCATAAAATTGTAAAAAAAATTCCGTGGAAATTTTTGAGAATGAGCTTGGAATTCTAGAATTCGATCCGGTAAAATCGGATTTTTGAACTTAAAATTTTCAAACAAGAAAACTATTTACGTGAACTCGTGAAATTTTTGCCGGATTCATTTCCAAAAATTGTTCAAATTTTATTTTCAAAATAAAAAATTGGCATTTCAATACCCATGAAAATAATTGAACCAAAATGTTTAATTTTTCAGAAAACTCGTGCACATCATCGACTCGAAGACAATGTTCCTGAAGAAATAAAACATCGTCGACATTCAGAATTGACACAAGTTTTCAGAGAAGAATCACTTGAATTGAATAAGAAATTGATTGGAACACAACAAATTGTTCTTGTTGAAGGAGTTTCGAAAAGAAATGAACAACATTTGCAAGGAAGAATTGACGGAGGAGTCAAAACTGTTTTCGATGGTTCGAATGAGAAGATCGAGACTGGTCAATATGTGAATGTTCGAATCACTGATGCAACATCTCAAACACTTCGAGCACAATTTTTAGGAATTTGTTAATTGTTTCATTGTTTTTTGTTGTTGTTATAGGATAGATAGTTACAGATGAAAGATTTATTTCTTCAAAGCGGCTCGTTCAATAAAATACAAGGGAAATTTACAATACAAAAAATAAAAAGAATAATTAATTATTTAGTGAATTGATGATTGAACAGAGATCGAAATTGGATGACGGCCAGGAAGATAATAATTGTTTGTTTAATTTACAAGTTTGAACCACCACGAAGGCGAAGAACCAAATGAAGAGTCGATTCCTTTTGGATGTTGTAGTCGGAAAGAGTGCGACCATCTTCCAATTGTTTTCCGGCGAAGATGAGACGTTGTTGATCTGGTGGGATTCCTTCCTTGTCTTGGATCTTGGCCTTGACGTTTTCGATGGTGTCAGAGGCTTCGACTTCCAAGGTGATGGTTTTGCCGGTGAGAGTCTTGACGAAGATTTGCATTCCTCCTCTGAGACGAAGAACCAAGTGGAGTGTTGATTCTTTTTGAATGTTGTAGTCGGAGAGGGTTCTTCCGTCTTCCAATTGTTTTCCGGCAAAGATCAATCTTTGTTGGTCTGGTGGGATTCCTTCTTTGTCTTGAATTTTAGCTTTGACATTTTCGATGGTGTCAGAAGCCTCAACTTCAAGGGTGATGGTCTTTCCGGTCAAAGTCTTGACAAAGATTTGCATACCACCACGAAGACGGAGAACCAAGTGAAGAGTGGATTCCTTTTGGATGTTGTAGTCCGACAAAGTTCTGCCATCTTCCAATTGTTTTCCTGAAAAAAAGAAAAAATATTGATTGAATACATTGCGATATTTAATTAAACATACCGGCAAAGATCAATCTTTGTTGGTCTGGTGGAATTCCTTCCTTGTCTTGGATCTTGGCCTTGACATTTTCAATGGTGTCAGAAGCTTCAACTTCCAAAGTGATGGTTTTTCCGGTGAGAGTCTTGACGAAGATTTGCATTCCTCCTCTCAATCTCAAAACCAAATGAAGAGTCGACTCTTTTTGGATGTTGTAATCAGACAATGTGCGTCCATCCTCCAATTGTTTACCGGCGAAAATGAGACGTTGTTGATCTGGTGGAATTCCTTCTTTGTCTTGAATTTTAGCCTTGACGTTTTCGATGGTGTCGGAAGCTTCGACTTCGAGTGTGATAGTTTTTCCGGTCAAAGTTTTGACAAAGATTTGCATTCCTCCTCTGAGACGAAGGACCAAGTGGAGTGTTGATTCCTTTTGGATGTTGTAATCGGAAAGAGTACGACCATCTTCCAATTGTTTTCCGGCGAAGATCAATCTTTGTTGATCTGGTGGAATTCCTTCTTTGTCCTGGATCTTGGCCTTGACATTTTCAATGGTGTCAGAAGCTTCGACTTCCAAGGTGATGGTTTTGCCGGTGAGGGTCTTGACGAAAATTTGCATACCACCACGAAGACGGAGAACCAAGTGAAGGGTGGATTCCTTCTGGATGTTGTAATCGGAGAGAGTACGACCATCCTCCAGTTGCTTTCCTGAAAATAATTTATTGATTTTTGAAGATTAATAATAATGGAAGACAACTCACCAGCGAAGATCAATCTTTGTTGGTCTGGTGGGATTCCTTCCTTGTCTTGGATCTTGGCTTTGACATTTTCGATGGTGTCGGAAGCTTCGACTTCCAAAGTGATGGTTTTTCCGGTAAGTGTTTTGACGAAGATTTGCATTCCTCCTCTGAGACGAAGAACCAAGTGGAGGGTGGACTCTTTTTGGATGTTGTAATCAGAAAGAGTTCTTCCATCTTCCAATTGTTTTCCGGCAAAAATCAATCTTTGTTGGTCTGGTGGAATTCCTTCTTTATCTTGAATTTTTGCTTTGACATTTTCAATTGTGTCCGAAGCCTCAACTTCCAATGTGATGGTTTTTCCAGTCAATGTTTTGACAAAGATTTGCATACCACCACGAAGACGGAGAACCAAGTGAAGGGTGGATTCCTTTTGGATGTTGTAGTCAGACAATGTGCGTCCATCTTCCAATTGTTTTCCGGCGAAGATAAGACGTTGTTGATCTGGTGGGATTCCTTCCTTGTCTTGGATCTTAGCTTTGACGTTTTCGATGGTGTCAGAAGCTTCAACTTCAAGTGTGATTGTTTTTCCAGTGAGTGTCTTGACGAAGATTTGCATTCCTCCTCTCAATCTCAAAACCAAGTGAAGTGTTGATTCTTTTTGGATGTTGTAGTCGGAGAGGGTTCTTCCATCTTCTAATTGTTTTCCGGCGAAGATCAATCTTTGTTGGTCTGGTGGAATTCCTTCCTTGTCTTGGATCTTGGCCTTGACATTCTCAATGGTATCAGAAGCTTCGACTTCCAAAGTGATGGTTTTTCCAGTCAAAGTTTTGACAAAGATTTGCATTCCTCCTCTGAGACGAAGAACCAAGTGAAGGGTGGATTCCTTTTGGATGTTGTAGTCCGACAAAGTTCTACCATCTTCCAATTGTTTTCCTGAAAACATTATTATGAAATATTGCAAATCACAAGACTGAAAAATGGTACAAACCTGCGAAGATGAGACGTTGTTGGTCTGGTGGAATTCCTTCTTTGTCTTGAATCTTGGCTTTCACATTTTCGATGGTATCAGAAGCTTCGACTTCAAGTGTGATGGTCTTTCCGGTAAGTGTTTTGACAAAAATTTGCATGATTTCTGAAAAATATTGACTTGTGAAATTTATTATTCGAAAAGGAAAAGTGTCTCGAAAACGAAAAAATGAATGACAAAAGTGGCGTTCAGATGGGCGGAGGCAGCACACAGACAGAAATATACATGTCCCCTTTTTCTCTGTTCACAATCAATACGAGGCACGCCCCTCAGAGACGGAGAGGAGTGCGCACGTCCAGCTGATGTTCTTTCGAAATCTGCCGTTTTTTAGAGAAGGGAAGAGAAAAAGAGGGGAAGAGTGAGGAAAGAGAAATATGCGTCGAAGTAAAGAGGCTTATATTATGAGGAAAGCAGGCAGAAACCGGTAGCTGACACTACATCATGAGGTATTGGGGTACGTATTAGGAGTGTGCTGTTTTTGTCTTTCTTACGCAAATAGGAGCGCGAAGCTTGGAAGTTTTGAGGGAAAAACTGAGAGAGGAACAGGTGTTATCGTTGGACATTGAAGAAATTGACAGATGGGTTTGAAAAGTAGAACTAAACTATTCTCACATATTTAGAAATATTTCGCAACACATGTGAGTCACGAGATCTCCAGAAAGTTCTAAATGTTTTGATAGAAAATGATAACTCTATATCATGTGAGAAAGACTGTCGACAAACTTGCCACACAAGCGTTTTTTGTGTTTGTTTCTCATATATACAAACAAACAAACAAACAAACAAACAAACAAAAAAAAAACTAAAAAAAATCGATCAGAAAAATGAAAATGTTCATGAACTGAAAAGAGAAATGAATACATACAGAAATTATTACTACACCTACTTATTAATGGTTGTCAAGGAGATTTCACTACTCACTATTGTAGTTTAAACAATTCTCTAGTTTTCCATACAAGGGGAAAGTACTGAAAGTAAAAAACCAGAACAAGAAAGACCAAAATGGTTTGGATATTCAAAGGTTTTCCTCGAGTACAGACGCACTACGTTTTTTTTTAGAAAAACAATTTCGAGCGGGAAAAACAACAACACCAGCTTAGGAGAATGGAGAGGAAATGAATTATTTTTGAGCAAGCTAGCTCACAGAAAATGATAACAACTATATAAATAAGTGTTTTGCTTCCGCTGCAGAACGATGATGAAAAAGAGAAATCGAAAACAAAGTGAATGACAACACTCTGTCCAGAATTTTCGAGAAACATAAAAAAACGAAACGAATGATTGCGAAATTTCCCACGCGCGCGGCACACAGCAGAGTACGGTTTCGAAATCGTGATAGGACGCACACACAAATTTTATTTTATGCGCCTAGTCTACAGTATAATTTTTTGAAGATTTCGAAAACACTAACCTTTTTGCTCTTGTTATTGAACGCAAAATGAGCAAAAACAACAACTGCATGGGGAAAAAAAAAGAGAAAAGGGGACACGTTGATATTCATATATTTGTTTATTTATTTTTATGTTGGACAGGTCACAAGAGGTCAATGACGTTATCGATTTTTTTTCTTTCCAAAAAAAAACGGATAATTGGAACTAGCGAATGTGAAAAAAAAAGAAGAATGACTCAAAAGTGCAACTGAACTATCTCAACTGAAAGTGCTTTACATTTAGTATGAATTTTTCGTCTATAGTTCAATTTTCTGTTAGCTTTCTTTTTTGAGACAGGGGGACGTGTTTTGTACTATTCATCATTAAAAAACATGTTTATAAAAATCTTATCAATCACAAGGTTTATTATATTTGATAACATTGTGTTTTTCTTGGGAAAATTGCAAGAATTTTATATGATTTGAGAATGGGGGGGGGGATATAAAATTCAAAAATATGTATTTTTTCATGGCGGATGCTCATTAAATACACCAGAAGAGTCGAATTTTCCGAAAAATATTTCAAAATAATTTTTCTTGAGTGATAGTTCAAACAAATAGAAAAATTTCATAAGATTGCAACAAACTAGGGAAAAATCAAGTTTACATCATTCTGATTGTTTCACTTTCCTAACATTTCACAATGAATATTAAAAACTTTATTATCTATTCAAAAAATCATAAAATTTCACCGATGATTTGTTTTCATTTTTGGCAATGTCAGGGTGTTTTTGTATTACAATAAAACATAGAAATATATTCAAAAGTAAGTACAATTATGCAAGTATTGGCAGGTTAAAAAGGGGTTAGTGAAAGTTGTTGGAAAAAAAGATATCTGCCCGTGAGATGAGAAAGGGTAATTAGATGCTATAAAAATTGAGATAAAACCGGAACCTAAAGGCAATTTGGTTACTATTATTAAACAAGCAAAAATGGATAAGTATTTGGGTAGTTGAATTGACAATGACAATTTTCTGTTCGATTTATTCGTTTCCATATTCCATTACAAGATTTTGGCCCGATTAATTTCCAAAATCCTTCTTCATTATCTTCTAAATCTGAAGCACATCGCCCATTTTTTCGATGTTTTGTTGCTTCTGGTTGACATTCTGCACATATTATACTACTTTCCATTAATCCTTTTTTCGTTAATCTTGAAACACAATTTCGATTCACCCAATCAATTTGATAATGAACACAGTAACTGAAATTTGTTTAAAAATTGAAACATTTCGGTGAATTATTATCTCAAAAAAATTTTCAAAACCCACTACTTATCATTTTTCCTGTCCATTTCAAATGTCAATGGAATATCCCAAAACTTCGAATTTTGTGTAAAATTCTGTCGACGTGTCTCATTATATCGATAATCAAGAATTAGTGCAACTGTTGTAATATCTAAAGCAAAAATTAAATTATCAATTAAAATTTTCTAATTCTCAAGAAAATCTCTACCTTCTTCAGATTTCGAACAATCTACAAAACACGTTTTCATTTCTTTTTTCGGTTCACATTGTCCTCCTCCTCTTTCTGGATGTTGTAAAATATGGCGAATTCTGGAATTTTTTATTCATGATTTATGAATTAATTTTTATTGAGTGAATTACCTTTTTTGAGTTCCAATTCCACATTTTCCTTTATCCGGCTTACAAGAATGCCAAGGTTCCCAAGCACTCAAAATACAGTCTCGAGCTGAAAAATATTTCTTATATGAAGTTTTGATTCCCTGAAAATAAACCCACGTGGACAAGTGAAAGTATAATCTGAGCAACAATCTCCTAATTGAACACAATGTTCATCACAATAACATTCAGATGCTCCGCTTTCCAAATATCCATACATATGTTGGAATTTTGGTTGAGTTACTCGATTTTCCTCATAAACAAGGGGAGAATTGAAGACTCGGAGAGTCATTATTTTTGCCAAGGTTGAAAATCTGAAAAAATTTATATATTTTTTATATAAAGAAGAGGTTCTTTTTTTGTAGAATTCAAGAAAAAACTGTTGCAAGATCTACACATCTCAAATTTACGATACCCTTGGAAAAACTGGACTGCAAATTTTGACCGAAACCCGATTTTCATTTTCAGTAAACATTTCTCACCTAATTAACACATGCTTATTTTTTCCTTCAGAATATCGTGTCACTTCAGTCACTGGTTCTTTTTGATCTTGTTTTGGTCCGACAATAAAATGATGAATTGATGGGGCCGTTGTTGTTGTTGGATCTTCAAGATTTATTCCTGGAAAAAATTGTCTTTGAAAAAAGGCAGGAAGAATTAGATGATAAAGGTTTCAGAGAAAACTTTCTAAATAATTTTTTTTAGTAAAATAAACAATTCATTGAAAAATGACGTCCCAAAATGTTTCGACACCTAACATAAAAAATTACCAGTTTTCCTGTAAACATAATCGGCTCCCGAACCATCCAATTCAATAATATCGGGCAATATTAATTTCCCAATTTTCTCATCATTTTCATCTTCAAAAACTCCCGGAAATATCATATCATCACTATCTGCAGATTCATAATGCGGAATTGGATATTCTTTTTCGCCTCGCGGATGTAATGTGAGAGTCTCTTCATTATGAATTGTTGAAACTGTTGGCAAATGATTTATTCCATCATCGAGTCCCTGCAAAATTGGAACATTATTGATTGGAATTTGAGCAAAGTGAAGATGAAAATCATAGTTTCTAAAGAAAACTAAAAGAAAACTCGAATTCTGAAGAAATAAATTATAATTGTTAAAGAACTAAAAAGAATCAGCAACATATTTTAATTTGAAAACAAACCAGGTTTTTGATCCGTTCGCTTTTTTCCTGAATAATACTTTTTATTATCATTTTAATACTCTTAAAAATTTCGAATTACTTTCTTGTGCCAGGTACTCTTAGAAGATTTGTTGAAGATTCAATTTTTAGCATTAAAAAATCCACGTGGATTTTTACAAAATTACAGTACCCCGAAGTTTTGCTCCAAGACCATAAAAATCCACATGGACTTTCAAAACCTACAGTACTCTTGTTCGACCCCAAGCTTCTAGTTATTGTAATTAAAAATCCACGTGGTTTTGTGATTTGCAGAAGCTCAAAAAGTACCAAAAGAGTCAGGTACTAACAAATTTTGTGGACGCCACAAAATCCACGTGACTTATTTTTTAATTACAGTATCCCGAATATTTGCTCCAAGACCCAAATGTATGCCAAAAATCCACAAAAATCCAGAACCAAAATTTTTGAACTATCGCTTTAAGGTCCGAATTTAACGCAAAAAATTCTTACCTTACAAGTATTATTTCTCCCAGAACAACATAATCTTTTCTGATAACAACCAGCTGACACCAAATTCACCAAACAGAATAACAAAAATATAATCCGCATATCAGCAGAGCATCTGAAAATTAACAGAAATTAAAAAATTCCAGAACCAAAATTTAGAAAAGGGTGTGGAGTAAAAATAATAAAATTGCAACGGTGTTCATTTTTTATCAACAAAAAAATTGGAAAATCCGATTATTAATTATTAAAATTTAGTTGGCTTTCAACATCTGTTATTTCGAAAAAAGTTTGTATATAAAATTAATTAAATTAAACTTACTGTTTCAATTTTTTCTATTTAAATAAACATTTCAATTATATTCAAATGTTATATTTTTTTCTGTTCTTGAGATGAAAAAAACCGCAGAAAATGTCGAGGAAATAAAAAATAGGAAATAAAACTGATAAAAAAGGTTATATGGAGTCAGAAATTCCAATACCACCCACTATTCAACAATAAAATAACTCACCGAAAAAAATTTAGTTTTTGGTTTTTTAGGTCAACAGAAGCTGAGACAAATTTTGGTGTGAATGAGGAAGATTAAATGGTGTGATTTGCATTAATTGACAAATGTTGCGGAATATTTTGTGGGGTTTTTGTGTTTTTTGTGACGACGAAGAAAAATTGGATTTGGAATGAAATTAATCACTGACTGAATCTGTAGATACAGTAGTCCAAAGAGGTCAAATTTTATTCGGAAAATATGGAAATTCGAAGTATTTGCCACGCGGCAACTAATTGAAAACAATTTTTATGTTTTGAAAAATTCTTGAAAACTTTCAAATATATAATCTCTTATAAATTTTTCTACAAGTTTTTCAGAATCTCGAAAACTGCATTTTTTGAGAAACTTAAAAATATTTTCCCTGAAACTGACCCGAAGTTTTTCTACTCAAAGTTTTTTCAAAAAAAAAAATAACACAACAACTTGAAAAAATCAACTCTTTCACAAATCGCAAAAAAACACCCCCATTTCTTGACCGGAAAAAACAGCCAAACAAAAAATATGGTAATTTATTTTACTTTTTTTCTTTTTTTTCTCACTGAAAATTTATAACCCAGAAAAGAAAAATTCAGGTTTTCAAAAATGAAAAACTTTTCAAAAAATAAATAAACAAGCTATCGAATTTCAAAAAAAAATACAGTTTTTGTATGTGAAGGGAAACAAGTTGGCTCGGCAAAAAACATCGGCTCATAAAGGTCATAGATTTTATCGGAATTTTGCGCAATAAGGAAGGAATAAGGATATGTTAGGAAGAAAAACAACAATGGAAATAGATCAAAAGGGCGGCTATATAAATTATTCAAATTTGATTTTTATTAAATATTTATATTGAGTTGTTAGAGAGAAATAGAGAATAGAAAATAGAGTAACAAGTAATAAGGTTAAAATTAATTTAATTCAATTTCAATTACAAATATTTGGGTTCAGTTTAATTTTGAAAATTACTCAAGTCCAAATCCGAAAAAAAATCGCAAAACAAACACAGTAAATATAATAGATACTTATCATTTTATTGTATCAAGATATATGTACTTGTAAAACACATATTTGTTCGATAAAATCCTATTCCAAACAGAACATTTTACTGACCAACCATAAAAGAATTATATACAGCTGGTTCAATCAAATGACGACACTTAGATATTTCGATATGATTTTTTGTGTGTAGAAAGTTCAAATCGTGTTACTCTTAATCGTATGAAGTGAGCGCTAATACGGTGTGACTAATTCTGAATAAGATATCGACTAGACTGATTGGGACCACAGAAAAAGGATTGAATTTTTTTTAATTCATTATTTTGGTGGTTCTGAATTGGACCACACTAGCTTTAAGCGGGGTTGGAGAAAGATCACAGAATTTCAATATTTCTGGAGTTAGGGCAACTTTCTTATAGTAAAACCTCTAGAAGATGTTTTCCATGAGGTCTAATTGTAAAACTAAAAAAAATTTGTCCAAATTTTTTCAAAACGATAGTTTCTGGAATATTTTTTCTGTGTGTTCCGAGAGATTTTTGGATTTAATTTTTTTGAATTTGAAATTGAACCTTCTCTTTCTTCAAAGTATTTTGGTCCCTGGTCCCATTGAAAAAAAAATCAGACTTGGTCGGAAATGCTTCAGAAAAATTAAGAAACAAAATTCACAGTTAAATGTTTTTTGGGGCTATTCATGTTATTTTTCAACGCTGAGAAAACGGGAGAAAAGCGGAGAAAACCTATTCAAGTAGGCTGAGAAAATACGAAAAAAGCGGAGAAAATGTATTTCCTCCGCATTTCTCCTGTTTTCTCAACATGCTGAGAAAATACATGAATAGCCCCATTTGTCTGAAACCGACCAAAAATGTTTCTACCCCGCGAGGACCAAAAACAGGTTCAATAAAACGATAACAGTTTCTTTTTCTGTAAAAAGTTCAAATGGTTTTTTATTTCTCCCTGTTACTTAATCGTATTTAAAGTATGAGTACAATGCGTGTCTAATACGGTGTGACTAAAAATATATGGATTTCAGTTGATCAAGGTCATACTGGAATCTAAAAGGTCAAATCATCAAATCGAAAAAGAAACTCTTCTTGAGAACCCACCAAAAAATGTTGAAAAAATCAGGAAAGATAACATGTTTATCATTTATTTCACCGAGTAATAATAATAGAAAGTTGAATAAAATAAAGATAATAATTTTTTATGATGCCGACAGTAAACTACCGTGTCTAATTATATGTTTCGGAAAGAAAATTGAAATTGATACAACCAAATTCAGAATTCGTCAAAATGAAGAAATAATGGAAGAATGAAAAAGGGTTTCGAATTTTTATGGGCAGAAAAATGGAAAAATATTGGGGAGAATCGAGAGGCGCAGAGATATATTATTGGTTTTCACGGAAAAAAAATCGAAATACAATTCGTTTTTACAATTATGTGACAAGTAGGAAGAAAACTTGAAGAAAAAATGAATAAATTATAGATCTTCATCTAAATTTGTCTTTGTTTGGAAAAAATTACCTTGGTTTTTGCTGGGAGGAAAGTTTTAAAAAGGAATGATGAATTACGAAGGTTCTGAAAAACTCTGAGTTTTACTACTGAGTTTCAAAAAGTAATTATCCTGATTATGAATTTCAACACTTTTTTTGAAATACAAATCTACACAAAAATTCAAGAGTACTGTATTTCAAAACAAATGATAATTTCAAAATTGAAAAATGAGAATTGAAAGAAAGTGAGAGCTGTCAGATAATACTTTTATGCTAGTTTCAATGAATACAAATAAAATATTCTTCTGTTGTCCATATTTTGCACCGCAAAAATGTCAAACAAAAATAAATAAAAAGATATTGTTGGCTGGCTACCTGGCTGACTGTTTATGGTATTTACCACCATCTACCGCCAAAACAACACAAAATATCAAATTACAAAATAAATGCTACTAAATGTTTTTGGAAAAAAAAACATAATCTTGTGGCAAAAAATTGGGTGCCAACAATATTCTGATTTTAAATAAACTTTCGAAATCAATAGAAGCTCCAGATTCATTTTTGTTTCAAAAAAAAACAAAAAAATTTCAGAAAACATATTCTGTTTTTTATGTAATCCTAGTTTTATGAGTATTTCTTTTTCAACAAAAAAAACGACTAAACAAAAACATACAGCTCTACATATATATATTTTTTAGTCAAAAAAATGCACCAGAAATATCTAAAATCAAATCAAGAGTTAGAAATTTTCGGTATTTTCTCACAATGATAATAAAATACAACAATGATAGGATGAGAAAAAGTCATAAATAAAGTAAATATCTATCATATTTTTACATAACATAATAAATAATGTTGGTTGCCGCCAAAATGCTTTCTTTTCTTCTTCTCGAGAACTACACAAACCACTTGAAATTAACATTTTCGCGCTCTTCTTTATCAGTCAGTCGACTTTTTGTAACTAGAGTTTTTCACCAACGAAAAAACAAAACAAAACTGGATAATTTAATTTTAAAATTCTGGAACAAATGTATACAAAAAACGAAAAGACAAGGAAAAATCAGATTTAGAAAAGAACAGAAGAATAGAGGAAAAACTAGAACGGAACAATGTAAATATCATAAATAAACTCTTGTCACTTTCAAACAAAAAATGGTACTTGAGAAAAAAGATTCAAGAGAAAAAGTATCTATTTTAAGCGCTCAAAACATTGCTCAAAGTTAGTGAAATATTTTTGATATTTTTGGACATTTTCTTGAATTGGTGTGGCGGATGGTGTCAATTTATTGCAATTTTTGAAATATTGGTGATAAGGGAGAGGTGAATTTGAAGATACTGAAAATAAATTTTGTATTTATCTTTTTCTCAGGTGGTCTTAAAACTTTTAACGATTTAGAGAAGTTGTTTGAAACAAGATGTTGAATTTCAAAAAAATTAGGATATTCGAATTGGGGTCAAAAACTAGGCCGAGTCCAAATTAATCAGCCTGAAATTCTGATTGGCACAGTTTTTGACCCAATTCAAATATCTTGAATTCTTTGAATTCAAAGTTGAACTTTTTTCTGAAGCTTTCTGAAAAATTACGATATCTTCCGAAATCTTGAAATCGGCAGACTCAGATTTTTTTCGATTGTCTCTTGATATTCAGATTCTGAAACCCCCAATACTCACTGTATTTTGCTCTCATTGCGCCTCCCAAAGCTGCTGAATTTTCCACATGAATTGTATATATTTCACAATTGAAAACATCGGATAAGATTTGAAGAAGTGCAATGTTTTTTGAAGCACCGCCAGTTAAAATAAGACGATTTTCTGAAACAAATCCGATATTTTTGATTTTAGGAATCAAACGTACCTTTATTTAAAACCAATCCCATTTTCTTGGTGTACAGTAATTTGAGATAACACTGACTTTCGAAAATTGCTCGGCAAGTTGTCTGAATACAGTACGTAATTTTATTCTGTATTTTTAAAATCTTACCAAATCGTCAAACCCTTCAACCGTTTCTCCATTTTCATTGAATAAATAATCACCTTTTCTAACATTCGGTGCAATTTCATCCGAATCGAAGAAAAATCCAATTTTTCCCTGATTTCCGGGAGGAGTTTGAGAGAGAATTTGATAGAAATTTGACCAATCTTGACATTTTGCGAGTTTTAGTGCTCTTTCACGAGTTAATGAACCATTTTTGAAACTGGAAAATTAGGTTGAAGCTAAGTAATTTGATAAAATCTTGCTAAAAATTGTGAACCTTGAATTATTCAGAAACCAATTTTTTAGCCCTACAAACTCACCAAACTAATGGCATATATTCATTATTATAAGCAAAAACATGAGCATCGATTGAATATTTATATGAATTTGTATGAAAAAATACAGTATCACTTGTTCCCAAAGATATTCCAATATCATTTTGATTCAAAGAAAGACCAGCCAATGATGCTGGAACGAAATTTTTTCAAAAACTTGCCCCCTTGTCTCTATAACTTACAAGGATTATCCCCAAGAAACGGGAAAATTTGACAAGTTGAAGGAATACTGTATCGATTATTCCAGAATTTATCAATCCCACCCTATAAACAGTATTCTCAAAATTATTATTTTATAGATAAAAGCATACTATATTTGTGTTTGGATTTACAGGTTTTCCCAATTTTTCCGATAAACCAGGACTTATAAACTCCAATATTTTTTTATTCCATATTTTCGTTTCGATTTCCATCAAATTAGTTCCACTTGCATCTGTCCAATCAATTCCACAATATTTTCCAATTAAAACACTTGTTAAAAACGACGAAATCAATGATATTCTTTCAGTATTTTCATATATTTCTGGATATAAATCATTGACTTTTTTGATTTGAACTCCGCTAAAACGATGATGAGCTCGTGAACCAGTCAATTTCGTTAATTTCTAGAAAATTGAAAACATATGTTTGCAGGAAATTTTAAAGCAAATTAGAAATACCTCAGGTCCACCAATGAACTTTTCCAATTCATCACATTGTTTTTGAGTGCTTGAATCCATCCAAATTGGTGAATTCGGCAATGAAAATGCTGACTGAAATTTTGGTAGTTTAAAGTGTTTTTTCAAAAAATTCTGTTTCTGGCAAAATAATTCTCAATATTTTCCGAATTTTTTTCCGTAGACTCCTCATTTCTCAAAAATAATAGTACCTCAAATTGTTCTTCCAAACTTTTCGTATCATCCAAATTTTCCAAAATACTCTTCGCTCCATTCTTCCAATAAACAGTTCCATGTTGTTGAGCACATCCAGAAATTCCTTGAATTCTCTCCGAAATTTCATTTCTCTTCAAATTTCCAAATAAAATATCAATCGATTTCAACCACATTTTCACAGGTGATGTGACAGTTTGACCAGTCTCTTCATTTTTTATATGAACACCTTCTTTGGTTCTGTAAAAGAGATTCATGACGGGTTTTGAAAATCGGTAACTACTGTCTAAGGTTGCTGAAAAGCTGCTGAGATCCAGTTCGTGCCGCGCAAATGATCTCCGAAGCAAATTTTAATACCCCCGCCCCTCCTCTTATAAAATGTCTCCCCAATAAAACTAACTTGAATTCTTTCAATTTTTCATGATTCGAAAAACTAATATCATCTCGATAAACAACTTCATTATTCATATTTATCGCAACACATTTTATCTGAATAAATAATTTTATGTACTTATTTTAAATTTAATTTTTTCAACAAAAAAACCTGTTGTGTACTTAAATCAATCCCTAAAAACAACCAATCATCCATTTTCATGTGTCTGAAAAAACATTCGAAATAAAAAATAAAATCACATCAAAAGTCTAAATCAACAAAAGTTCATCAAAACAACAAACAAAGAAGAAGAAGAAGACACTTTCCCACAGAACAAAACAAAAAATGAAAATCTTTTTCACGTGGTCATTTCCTTCTCACATGAATAAATAATAGATAAACAAACAAAAAATGCTCGAATTTCATTTTCAGTTTTCTTTTTTTTCAGATCATTTCTTGTTTTGTTCTGAGAAAATAAAGAAAAAAAACAATATGAGAACTGAGAAAATGTGGGTTATATTATTTTTTTTATTATTATATTGTTTGATTGATACGTAGACATTGATACAAAATGATATTATTGATTATTTGGGAATTTTTTATTTAGTTGTTACACGTGTATTTCTGGTTTTTGTCCATTCAAACTTTGAGATAATCGATTTTTTTAGTGTGAAGATTCAAATGAAAAACACTTTTTTCGTATTCGCAATAAAATTCCGTCTCTAGTTCCATCCCAGTTCCAAAAAAAAACTAATAAATTCCCGAATATTCCAAAATCCTCATATATTTATATTTTTCCCCTAATCGTTTCGTTTTTTCGCTCACTTCTCACATATATAATATTTTTCGAGAAGCAAGCAAAAACAAGCCACGCTCTGTTTTTTCTCATTTATTTCCGGTTCATCCATTTTCTCGTCTCAAGATAAAATTAATCATTTTTTCTTGGTCACAGCAAAAAAAACAGAATTTTCAAAATATTTTTGATAGTTTTTAGCTGTGAACGAATTTATATGGAAAATGAAAATAAATAATTTCACGTTTTAATTTTTCACGTAACTCAAAATTAAACTTTTTACATCGTTAAAGTTTTTGGTGACTTGGTAAACAAATTTATTTTTGGATTTAAAAAAATTTAAAAATTTTATTTTCACTTTTTCAAATACATTACTCAAAAAATCAATCATTCCTCAATTTTTTTTTCGTTTTTTCGTTTCTTTTTTTCTCTATATTTTGTCTGTCAGCTGGCACGAAGCCAGCCTTTTCCCCGCCTACTCTCTGCCTATTTCTCTGTGTTTTGTCGTTTCTCTCGTCTCTCTTCTCCCTCTTTCCCTCTTCTCGTTCAATAAAACCTTTTTCTTCTTTTACTGAAATAAATTATGTATTATTCTATTCTGAAATATATATGTATGCTTTCTTTTTTAGATTATTTTTATTGTTGTTTTTATTATTATTATGTCTAACTTCTCTCGAAAATTAGGTAAAAGAATGCTATTGAGAAAACTCGCGCAGTTGTGTTTTGTGACGTCACTAGTTTATGTTCACACAGCGAAAAGTTGTCGTTTTTTGAAAAACGAACATTTTCGAAAATACACCTTTTCTCTAGTGGTTTTTAGAAATTATTCGATTTCGCAATAATAAATTTCGCAATTGATTTTTTTCTGAGATAGAGTCTGGCCAAAGAAATTGGGCTCGGTCCGATTCTAAAGATTTTTCGGGTTCAATTCAGGATTTTTCACAACATCGAATTTGTTCCCATTCGAAAACTTCCATCTTTTCTTCAAATTATTGTTGATCTACAGTATCTCTATGTCCACGTGTCTTTAACTACAGTACCCCAATTATTATAATTTTAATCGAATCTTCCTATTTTTTCAATAGAATAAAAATAATTTTTATGGGATTTTCAATAAAATTTACGAGGCATACTGTAATAATTGATTTCTGAGGTCTGATTTCTAAAGAAGAAAAAATGTTATCAGAGAAAATTTGACACAAAAATTTCTAATCCCATTTTTTTCGTTATTTCTTTCCGATAACAAACAGCTTAATCATCATAAAAATATTGTTTTCTGTCCATTTTTTTCTCGTTGTCTCAATCAGGTGAATTTAATGCGTCACAAAAACACATCGGAAACATACATACAAATTCAGGCACAATTTTCGTCATTTTTTTGTTAGGTGGGAGGAGGGAAAAATGTGTACTTCCTCTTTTTTTCTGGTATCTAGGCAGGCAAAAATGCGACAGATTAGATTATTTATGATTTGAGGAGGGAAATATTTGTTGTTTTTGTTTTTTACTGCATCTATTCATTTGCGAAAAAAACCGAAAAAAATGTATTTTTTTACAATATTTTTCTATTCACCAGAATGCACGGAATAAATGTCAATCGTGACGAGACCCACACACATTTCAAGGAGAAAAACATGCGAGAAAAAAAAAAACAAGAAATGAAATTTTCGAAAGCATGCATTTTTCACACTCGTTGCCTTGAAATGAGTGTGGGTCTCGTCACGATTGCATATATTTCGCGACAATTTGTGATTTTGATGAATAGAAAAATATTGTAAAAAAATACATTTTTTTCGTGTTTTTTTGCAAATGAATAGATGCATACGGAAACTTTTGGGCAGGAATTTTTTTCTGAGAATTTAGTCCGAGTTTTTGAAGATGTTTTGAGAGTAAAACTAATTCGCAAATCAAGAATTCCAGTCCAAACACATTCCTGCTTCTCCCTACTCAAATTCAATTTTCTGAACGACAACTCGACTTCACTTTTTCTTTGTTGCTTCTAATTGCTTGATTAAACATTCAGGAACTAAATTCTCCTCTCTCTTTTTTTTCTTTTTCTATAAAACATCTTCTTGTTTTTTGAAAAAATCATATAATCTTTGTGTTTTGATTCTCTAACCCGATTTCTTTTATCTTTTTTCTTGAAAAAACCGAAACAGAATTTCATTTCCTGTTGTGTTTTTCCTCGATCTCAACTTCTTTTTTTTTTGCCTGCCATGTGTAGTTCTCAAGAACTTTGCATTAATGTTTTATTGAAATTCGGGTTCATCAAATATGAATTGAAATGATTCGTGGTTGGTCTTCAGACATCAGAATATTTTTACGACTTTTGGTCACATTTTTGTTTCTTTGATTTTGTGGTTGTTTCGAATTTCAATGAAATCTTTGTGTGAAATCAAAAAAACATCTTTTAGTTAAAAAGAATTTATTTTTTTATCCAAGTTTCTCTAGAAAATTCGTTGAATACATAAATACATGTTTTCGACGAAGAAATAATCGGATTTATTTTTTCAGACCTCAAAGATTATAATCTATTTTTTGTACTCGAAAAAACACGTACTTTTAGTTGACTGACTGACTGAAAATATAAATTTTGATAGGAAATAATTTTTGGCAACCACTTGAATTTTTGAATCAACTAAAAAGGATTTGGAAAAGGTCCGAGGTATCTTTGAAAATTTTCGTTCTGAAATTTGACTTTTGAAAGACCTTTTACTGTAATTTTCAGGTTCTAAATTGGGACTTTTTTTTTTTGAAAATTTTCATTTTTTGAGTGTCCGAATTGGAATATTTCAGAAAATTGAACCAACTCAGAACTTAATTTAAAATCTGCCCTAAGCTTTTCGGTGATACGATTCCAGGTCCAATTCAACCATACCAACCCAAACTTTTTTCGGTTCCAAAAAATCCAAATTTTCTCTACAAGCGGATCCAAAAAGGTTATCTTATCAGAAAACGTAGTGTGTCCGAACTGACGTGAGAATTGACTTTAAATATTTCGGGGTTCACTCAATTCTGTTATCTTTTTTGATTTTTTCGTCCAACGATGCATGTGATAGATATATTTTCCCCATTTTTTTCTTCGTTTTCTTTTTCCTCTCTTCATATTTTCTCACACAATACGGTGCTTCTTTTTATTATTTATTTATTATTACGCAGAACAACTTTGCTTCTTCTTTTTTGTGTTCAGAATTATTCAGGAAGGAAAAGCGAGGGAGGAATAAATGCCTTAAGGCAAATGCGCTCGCTTTTTTCTCTGAGGCATTAAAATTATGTCATTTATTGTTCAAGTGTTTAACTTGGGCGTCTACATGATATTTATTTAACATGGTCAAAGTTCAACACATGTTTTCTCTGCGTCTCTTTTATCTCTTCATTCACGTGAATGATTTTTTCAAGGTTTTCCCACACTCAAATTTCTAACTAATTTATTTTTCACTGTTCAACAACCGCTAGAAATTTTTGATGAAATTATTTCCTTCTTCTTCTCTGTACATATTTATATTCTCATGTCAGTCAATTTTTGTTTATCTCTCTGCGTTCTTCTCTATCTCGCTATCTTTTTTTCTTCTTCACAAATGATGAAATCCGCTTCTTCTCATCTCATCAATTCGTTCAGTTCAGTTCAATAATACGTTTAATATCAATTTTTTCTGTTTTCAGGCATAAATTAAATTGTATTGACAACAAAACGTATGTTCTATGGTATCATCACGCCGAAATTCAACCACAAATATATCGAGTTCAACTCCAAGTATGTCAACTGCACAACAAGGTGAGTAAGAAAAATGGGAATTCTTTTTCTGGGAAAACTTGAAATCGGACCAGGATAGAATTGATTTTATGAGACAAATTCAGAATCGTATTTGAATAATTGAGCCACTTTTTTTTTTGCCTAAGTCGAACCACTTTCGAATCAGAATTTTCAAAAACTCCCTTATGTTTCTGGTCACAAAAATTCGGAACGCACAAAATTTGGTCGCACATAAATAAACATTTTTTTGCCCCGTTCTCTCCGATTTTTTCGCATTCGACCATTATTGGAATTGCTCGATTTGAATCGAAAAAAAACAATTTTTTAGTTTATGATGAATTTTTGGCTTCGATTTGTTAAAATTTTAAAAATGCATTTTTTTTTCTTTTGAAAATTTAGTTTGGCAAATATCCAATTCTGAAAAACAGAAAATTTCGCAAAAAAATCCATGTGGCAATAAACATTTTCTGAATTTCAAAGGAAAATTAATTAATTTCTACGTTAATCTACAGTATATTTTCCAAAATTGTACACTCTAAAGGTACAAAAAATGTCTATAAAAAAATCCACATTTTCCCATTTCTCTCTTTTTTTTTCTTTTTCTACATTAGTCATAAATGATCAAAGAAAATCCATGGCTTCTTTGGTGTCCCGAATAAAATCGGATTACAAAAAAAATGTTCTCTTTCACTCTCTTTTTGGTTCCCTGGCTATTTCTAGCTCGCCTCGTAAAACTAGAAAAAACTTCTTCCAGAATCCGGTGACGATAAGCCATCAACTTCGAAAATGTCATCAGAAGAAAAAGTAGATTCTCCGCCAATTTGGAGAAAATTCAGTCATCCGCCATTCAACAATAATCGAAATATGCAGTTGCAATTGGCAAATAATCGAGGAACAAAAGATGATTGGGGAGCATCGCTGAGATATGCGATTAATGAGGAACAGGTTGGTTTTGGAGGTGGGATGAGGTCATTTTGGGGTAGAAAAATTAGGATAAAGATTTTTTTCAAATCGAAAAGCCTGTTGAAAATTTGCAGAACCTAGCCCTAACCCAATCGGATTTTTTTTAGAAAACCCTAAAACTATCAGAAAAAAATTAGACGATGAATTTTTTAAATTATTGATTTCAAAATTTAATAGACCTTTTTCTAGAAGTTTCGAAAAAAACCATAGGTTTTTTAATACTCATTTTTATGATCAACCCCTCTCCATCCTTCAAAAATCTTAGAAAGACTATTTTCTTTCCAGTCAACAAGTCTTGGGCCAACTGTAGATTCAGCCGAAACAAGTTCGATATCAAGTGATACAACAGTCGCAACTCCAGTTATTTCTCCATCAGTTTATGAAAGATTTATCGTATTATCTGATAATTTAACCGATCTTGTCAAAGCTGTTATGGAAGAAGCGAAAAAGAATACAGATGCTGAATCGTGAGTTTTTAAACTTTTCAAATATGAAAAAAACAATGTTTTGTTTAGATGTTCGCTATTTCTCATTGATGAAGAGAATAATGAACTTGTGGCAAATGTTTTCGACAATGCGAATGAAGAGATCAAAGAATTACGAGTCCCAGTTGGTGATGGTGTTGTTGGTTGTGTCGCCAAAACACGAACAATGATGAATGTTAAAGACGCCAAAAAGTATGTTGTTCCTTCTTCGTTTTGTTGTTTTTTTCTCGAAATTTTTGAATATGATATTTCCCCGGGGCCGTCTGTCTGCTCTCTTTCTTTATTTTCAAGAAAAAAAATGAAAACGAGAACACAGACATCGAAATATTTGGTAGATAGATATGAGTCGTTTTTTTTGTTTGGTGAAATGAAAACTCACTTTTTTGCAAATGCTGTTTTAAAATTCATGAAAAACCACGATTTCATTTGTTTTCCAAACTCGATCTGAGTTGATTTCTAACAAATTTCTTCCCAAAACAGAATCTGAACTTTTGATCTTTTTTTTAAAACACAAATGGGAGATGGGTTTTAGAAAATTAAAAAACAACTTCAATTAGATTTTTCAGGTGTCCATTTTTCTATGCTCAAGTCGACGAACTCACTGGATATCACACAAAAAACATTTTATGTTTTCCAATAATTGATAATTCAGGTCAGTTAGTAGTATCATCTTTCAAAGCTCCGCCCATTTTTCAATTCGTTTAAATTTTGTTCGAAAAAGAGAGAGCGAGAGAGTATTCTGAATCGAGAGAGCGTGGAAGAGAAATAGAGAAACGAGTCTTAACTTGTCAACAATTCTGTGTTTTTTGGTTTTTCCGATGTTATTTTTTCTGATTTCCGCCCTTCTTGATTGTCTTTGAAATAGATTTGGGCTGGGTTCTATTCATATCTTCTGAATATTTTTTTTGGAAAAAAGAAAAATCAGAACTCACATTTTTTGCGAGTTTTTTGTCTTTCGAAGTGTTTTTCTCCTTTTTTCCTTTCTTACAATTGTTTTTTGTTTTTCCGATTTTCTGTTCTCTGCTAGAAAAAGAAGAAGGTTTTCTGAAATTCTTTGGGTCGAAGGTCAAAATTTCTTTTAACTAGAAACAGTATTAAAAAATCTTGATTCTTAAAAATTCCCTAAAAAATGATCCAGATTTTTTACCATGAAAACTACACTTGCTCTGACGCCAAAAATTTCGCAGGTGAAAAAATTTGTTTATTTTTTTCTGAAAATTAGAACCTCATTTTCCATTTTTTTTTTCTCCTACTTACTAGTAAGTATGCGAAAAAAGACAAAAAACCCGGAGAGAAAAAAACGACGAAAAATTCAATTAAAAGACCTCTTTTTTCTTTTTTTTTCTGCTCTTCTTCTTTCCTTCTTCTTTTTTCGGAACATTATTCTATTTTTCTTCTGTCCACGAATGGTGTCTACTTATTAGTTCGAAAATTATCTCAATAATGAATGATTTCAGGCGCTTTGGTTGGTGTTGGAGAGCTGTGCAATAAACAATCAGAGAATTCGAAAGGATTTACGAGAACTGACGAAAAATACGCCAAGAATTTTGCTAGTTATTGTGCCAATAGTATTGCACACGTGAGTTTTTAAAGGAGTGTTTCACATTGTGTAATTTACTATATCGAATCGCTAGACCTCAAATTTTTCATTACATTTTCTGGTAGATTTAAAATATTTTCTCTATTAATTTTTCACAATCTGTGGGTTTTGAAGGTCTTGTCTGAATTCTAAATTTCAATTCTAAGCAAAATAGTTAAAATTAGAATTTCAAGAAGTTGAATCATGTATTTTTTAGTTCAAAACAATATTTTGAATTTGTTCTTTTCTTCTTTCTCCCCAAAAAAAACAAAATCTTTAATTAATAAAAATGCGTGACACACACGTCTCCAATTTGACACACACGTCTCCAAACATCTCCAATTTTAATTTCTTGTTCCCCTCTCATTTCAAAAAAAAAGAAGAAACAAAAAAGTTCCTGTTTTCACAATTATTAAAGAATCACGTGACGTGACACGTATCTTTCTGTCATTTCAAAATTTCACAATCACTTTTTTCACTTTCGAAATGCTCTCGATTGTTTTCGTCACTTTGAAATGGGTGTGAAAAACAAATAAAGTGCAATTCTTGTTTTTCTGGTCAAAAATTATTATTTTTTAGATAGTTGTCTATGTTTTTTATTATTACAGTATCTCACATCTCAGTGACAAAAAAACCAAACCGAAAAAATCGAAATCTCTCTAGGGACGTACTTTTTGCCACCACATGTTCATTTTTTCCTCGTTTTTTTTCGGCTGTCACGATGATCTAGCTCAAATAGAAGAGTGTTGTTTTTTGAACTTGTTATTTCTAGGGATTTAGATAAGGATAAAAATGAATACTCTTGTCAAATATAAATAGTATCCTTCGTTTTTATCCGAACTTCCGTTCCGCCACCGCAATTTTATTTGCTCACCTGACTCCTATTCTCCCTCATTTTATTCAATTATAACAAATCAATTAAACAGTCCATTTTTCAGTGTTTGTTCTACAAAAAAATCCAAGAAGCATCGACGAGGAGCCATATGGCTACCGAAATGATGGTTCAAGGATCACATTTAAAGGTTAGTTATTTTATTTTTATTTACACTTTGATCATCATAAACAACGTGATATTTGTCAAGTTTTCTATCTAATGATATCATACGAGAATGGAATTCTGACACCCATGTGTACTCAAAAAAAAACATGATTGATTAATTCCGGTTTTTGATAAATTACTAGATACCTACGCACATTTGTTGTCTGGTGTACTTTACAATGATTGAGCTGTGAGAAGAAAAGTTCAGAAATAAAAGAAAAACACAGATAAAAATAGTGACTGATTTCAGATCGCCGAAGATGATATTCAAAGATTACTCAAAGATCCACTAAGAGATTGGCGATATTTCAATCAGAATTTCAACGATTTCTCTTTTGCTCCTCGAAATATCGGAGAAAATCATTTCCACAAAGCATCTATGATGTTTTTCGAGGATCTTGGATTTACAACTCGATATAGGATAAATAAAAGAAAGTTATCATATTTGGTATTACGAATATCAGCCGGATATCGAACTGTTCCATATCATAATTGGTCACATGCTTTTGCTGTTGCTCATTTTTGTTGGCTTATGATGAGAACTGAAGCATGTACAAATGCTTTGACGGATTTAGAACGATTATCTTTGATAATTGCTTGTCTTTGTCATGATATTGATCATCGTGGAACAACAAATTCGTTTCAATTACAATCGGTGAGTGAGACATTAAGTGTTGCAATCTTTCGGTAAATATTGACTTTCGCATTTTTTTGAAAATCATTGACGTCAACGAGTTCAGTTTATTTTGTGTTTTGACCACAACACAACAAAATACAAAGATAAAAATAAATTAATATAATTATAGAAAACACCACTGGCTCAACTATATAGTAGTGAAGGAAGTGTTTTGGAACGACATCATTATGCTCAAACGGTTTCAATACTTCACGTAAGTTAACAATTTTTTTGAAAAAAAAATAGTTTTTTTTTGATTTTTAGATGCCTGAATGTGATATTCTTGAACAATTGACAACTCTACAATATCGAACAGTTTTATCGAATATTCGAGAAATAATATTGGCCACTGATATTGCAGCTCATCTCAAAAAAGCATCTAGAATTCATGATATGGTTGAAATAGGTTATAATCCAATGTCGAATGATCATCATTATCTTTTGACGTGTCTTATTATGACAGCTTCTGATCTTTCTGATCAATCGAAGAATTTCAATAATGCGAAATTGATTGCTGAAAACATCTACAAGGAATTTTTTGCACAGGGAGATTTAGAAGCAGAAATCGGAGTTACACCATTAGAAATGATGGATCGAGAAAAGGCATTTGTTCCTCAAGTTCAACTCGAATTTTTAGATTCAATTGGTCTCCCAGTTTTCAAGTAAGTTCTTATTTCTAGAAAAAATAGATAAAATTTAATCAAGTTTTGTTTTTCAGAATGCTAGCTGAAATTATTCCCGATGGAAAATCAACATATGACGCAATTCGTGCAAATCAATTGTGTTGGAATGCGTTGAAAGAAGAAATACAATCTTCCGATTCTGGTGTTCGACAATGTTTAACTTATTTGAAAGACGAAGATATCGAAAGAAAAGTAAGACATTTTTTAAAATTAAAAATTCGGGTACACAAAGTGATTGTTTTAGGTGATCGAAAAAGTTCGAGAAACAGATCCAAGAGCAGCAGAAATTGCATCAAAACGATTCAATACAATAACATCAAATGGACATGTTCCAAGCACTTCTACTGATATTTTTGAAGGATATTTGGAAGAATATCAAAATCCGATTGATCAAATTTGTATGCCAAATCATAATAATAATCATGAAGAACAACCAGTCATGAGACTTTTGCCAAAAAAGAATTCCACCAAAAAGGTGAGCTTTTGTTTGTTTCGCTTTCTGGTAGATCAAAAATATTTCCTCTATGGTTGCGTTGAATTTTTTTGTCGCACCAATAAATTGTGTCAAGTTTCAAAAAATGTAGAAAATCTCCGATACGATGTATTAAGCTTTTTAAAAATTCTGGCGTTGCCTAGAAAACCAAGAATTTTCAAAAAGCCACCAAGGTTACTGTATCTAGATGATATTATCTTCCACGTTCCTATCACAAAAACTTGGCCCATTTCCAATAACCGATCACTTTACACATTTTTCAGACAGGCAACGGAGGAAGCTGCGCTTTTGAAGCAACCCGACTGTGATGGTTTATTATTAAACCGTCGTGCACGTCCTCGTCGACTTTGGAGAAGAGCTTGTCAATTGGCTCGTTCGGTATCTGAATCTTGTGCCTCATGTTCACCAATGCCAAATAGGCGCCAAATTAGCAGTGAAGATGATTCTGAATCGGCTTAGCCATAGTGTATTGTATTTATAAATCTCCTCTATATATCCTCTACCATCCCCATATCAGTAGAATCTAATTCCAACATTCTTTTTTCATTTTTATTATTATTATTTTTAACGGGTATTTTACATGAACAAACCAAGAACAAAAACACTCTATTATTTTGAGAAGCGGTTAACTATTTCCTGTACATTTGTTTTTCGTATATTATGTTTTTTTTTAACACACACAGCAACACATTCCTACCCTTGACCTGTCCTATCCTGAAAGAAACATCGAACGATCTAGTCTTATTTGTATTTTTTTTTGACATAAAAATATTTATGAATAATGATAAAAATGAAATTATTTTTGTGTAATCGAGATCGAAAATATGCGTGAGAATCTTGTGATATGATAAATATTTTGCTTGACAAATAAATACAGCGGGGATTTCAATACAAACATGTTTTCTTCATGATTTCAAAAAATTGTTGCTCATTAACTCCAGTTTTTCCATCTCCTCCAGCTTCTCTGATCATTTCTTCCAATTCCACGTCACCCATATTTTCACCAAGTTCTTTAGCAACCTAGAAATTTCTCATTTTTATGATGATTTGCAAAAAAATTATCTTCAGTTTCAAAATTACCATTTTCAAATTGTCTAAAGTGATGAATCCCTTCTCTTCGGGATCAAAAAGTTTGAACGCAGAACGCATTTCAGTTGTTACTTTGTCTTCAGTTTCTTTCACATCTTTTGTTTGTAATGCATTCCACAATTCTTCAACATCCATGTATTCATTTTCTAGAAAAAAAGAGGAAAATACAAAACAAAAAGAAAAAACAAACACAACATAAAGAAACAAAAAGCAATTCCCATGGGACCAATAAATCCGCATTCAAAATGATCTTTGGTTTTTTTAGAGATAATAGATTTTTAATTAACATTAGTTATAGAATTAAAACTCATGCTCAAACTAACCTCCGTGCCATCCAATCAATTTCGATCTTCCATCCTTGATTTTTTTCGTCATTTCTTGAACTGTTGCATTTCTTGGATCATATCCGAGTGCACGCATAACGAGCTGCAAAATTGAATCAACTTTTAAGTAAAAAAAATTTTTTTTTAATTTTCAGGATCTATCAAAAGATTTTTGATATTTTTAAGAGAAAAAATTCGAAGGGAACACATTTTTATGTTGAAACAAAAAATTTCGATTCCGGGTGTCAAAATACTATCTAGTAATGACGTGGAAAAGTTGACAGAGAATCGGACCTTGTTGAAAATTGTAACTAGTTTATTTTTGAACTCCGATTTTTTAAAAAATCTGAACTTTGCCACGTCCTAACTATATTTTTGACGAATTGTAATCTCTAGAATTTTTGTAATAATTATCTCTAGTGATGTGCTTTCAATTGTCAAATTTACACAATGAATTTATTCACTGATTGTAAGTCCGTGACATCTCAGAAATCTTGAAAATTGGCTTTACTTTAATTGTCCCAAATACCCCATCTAAAAATTAAAACTAACCTTCAATTGATCGATTTTCACCAAATTTGGTTTTTCTTCGGTGCACATTGCAGCAAAAGCTGTTTCGATTTCCGATTTGGTAACTGGAGTCGATGGAGTTGGAGCCATTTTTCACCTGAAAAATCATTTTTTTTTCTGAAAAAAATCACAAAAAAATGAGATATGAACATTGGGAATGAAACCAACAAAGCCAAAATTTGAAAAAAAAATACACATAAAATGCATAAACTTTTATAACAAGTAACAATAAAATTCTATCTAACTAATCCTAAACTATAAAAAATAGTAGGCGTCTGAATTGTGGAAGAAAATGGGAATGTTGTCAAAACTTCAATTCCATCCCCAATATCAAAAATCGAATTTTCAAACGAAATTTTTTCAACAATTTCCATGTTGAATTTCAGAATATTTTTCTCAAAACACTTCAAACTTTCGGGATTTCTCAAAGTGCACGCAATAAGAGCACAAGATTTTGGAAATGTTTCAAGAAACCACGAAATAGTTCGGCAAAGTGATGGAAGAAGTTCAGTGTCATAAACAACATCAGCAGCAATTAATAGATCTGGATTTGAATTGAGCCATTCTTTCGAATCAAAATTGCACCAATCAATACTTCGACATTCACAATTTTTCTACAAAAATAAAAATGCATCTCTGAAAAACACCGAGTGAAATAAATAAAAACTAACTAGATTATTCTTCTTCACATTTTTCTCTAATATTTGTAAAACATCATCATTATAATCTGTCAAATAAACTGTAGAACTTGGAAAATTGGCTGAAATTGATATTCCTGATAAACCACAACCTGCGCCAAGTTCAATAATTGTTTTATTTTCCAATGGAAGATATTGACATAAATTAGCCAAATCACAAGAAGCCTGCCAAATAGATAAACCAGTTGTTCCTTTAGAAAGTTGATTAACTGATTCTTCAATTGAAAATAATACTTGATCACCATTTTTATTGAAATACACTCTTTCCACATATTCTTCATCTTTTTCACCCATCAAACTACCCAATTTATCATAAATCTCGTCAGGAACAAATTCGCCACATTTTTCAAACTGAAACATCAATTTTCTTAATTATTGTATAATAACTTTCACAAAAAAATTACCTTCGTAATAATTCTCTTCAAAATGGACGCTTGAAATTGCTTTCGAATTTTATATTGATCCAAAAGTGGACTAGAAACTATAACATCACTAAAAACTTGAGCATCTAATACTTGATCAATAGGAATTTTTGTTGCAGAAAAATAAAGTCGTTTAAGGTTTAGGATTGAAGGTTGAACGTTTTCTTGACATTCGTTGGAAGTTTTGTTTGACGCTATGGACAGCTGAAAATTCTTAAATATTGAAAAGAAATCTGGATTTTCAAAAACTTACAATATGCGGTGTCAGGTGGGAGATATTCTGGTCTTTCGTATGGAATTCCATAATGATCAGCTTGTACAATTCGTTGTTCCGCTTTATAAATCAATTTTCCAATTTCAATTGGATCAGAAATATCACGATTTTCGCGGAATTTCAGACGTGCTTCGGCAAGAATTTCAGATTTTTCGATCTCTGTTCGACCTTCTTCTTTCGATTTCCAATTTCTACCCAATTTCAAAATTTGTCTATATAATTGGATGACCCGCACACGTTGAGAAACCGTATTCATACGAAATTCTGAATTAATTCTTTTTTCTCTCAAAAAAGTCAGAAAATTAAATCAATAAGACAAGCAAGTGCGCTCCAATGCAAATGATGTCAACCTCACATAATTGACGCATTTTGTGTGCACGAGAATTCAAAATTCTTTTTTTTTGTTGAAAAAAATATTTTGAAACTGGAACTTTTTAAACAGTTGAGAAAACAGAGTTGAATAAATAACATGTTTCATATTACAATTAGCTAAATATATGCAAACCTATTAAAAAAAAATAAAATTAGACGAAAGTGAAAAACTCATTGGTATAAAGTAAAGTAAAGCTCATAAAAACAGTAAACAGATTGCGTTTTTTAAAGATCATTAAGATATGTTTGGATAAAAATTAGCGGTTGATTATTTTATGCAACTTCAACTTTTTCGCCTGGTCGAAGTGGAGCCATTTCATGTCCTTCTTCAGCTGTCAATCTAGCCCATGGTTGAACTTCTCCAGAAGCGAATATTGTGAAGATCAAGGCTCCAGTGGTAAGAATTCCAGCGGTGAGCCAAAGAACAATTTGCCATTCTTCTTGAGTTCCCTGAACAAGATGCTCTATTTTTAAGACAGAAATCGAAAAAAAAAACTCACATTAGGTGTCAAAATACTTGTGACTGATGGTGAAATAATTCCAGCCAACGCGGACAATGTGTTTCCAGTTCCCATAACTGTTCCGGAAAATGGTGGAGCGATTTCCAAATAATTGACAACGAATCCAGAATATTGAAGACCAGAGATTGCCATTCCACAAGTGATAAAGAAAATAACCAAGATCTGAAAATACAAAATAATAAAAGTTTTTAGTATTTCAAAAAAAAACCAACATCTTGTCCACATCCACAATATCCAGCAGCAACAAGGAAAAGACCTTGTCCAATCAAAGCAACAAGCATTGCAGCTCTTCGAGTGTTCAAAGTAGAAAGAACACCTTTCGCGCGAAGTGTGTCAGCCAAAATACCGCCAATGTTGATTGCGATGAAATATGCGATATATGGTATTGAGGCAATAACACCAAGCTGAAAAAATATCGGAATGAAAAATAAACCTGGGCAGGGAGAGTCGCAATGAAATTTGATTTTATTTTCGGAATTTCGAGATTGCAAAACATTTTTTTTGAGTTAGCAATTCTGATTTTTTGGGATTTCTGAAATATTGGTATGGTTTTATGAACGGAAAAATCACACATAAAATTGGTCCGTCCAAGTTCAGAAAGTGCAAGTTTTGAGAGGTTTTTTTTTTGAATTGTTGCTGTTTTGAATTTTAATTGAACTTTTGGGATATTTTTCCCAAAATACATCATGATCGCAAAAAATCATCTAATAAAATTTATGAAAATATGTTTTCTAATACAAATAAGCCCCGCCCCAATCATTTTAAGATCACAAAAAACAAACCGAAGATAAATCCAATCCAAGAACATCTTTCAAAAACGATGGCAATGAGACGAGCATTGTATATGCTCCCCAATCTCCAGCAAAATGTCCAGCCCAACAAGCCCAAACGGCAGGTGATGTCAGAATTTTGACCCATGGAGTTGGTGGTGCTTTTCCAGTATCTTTTCCCATACTCTCTTCAACTGCTTTCACAATATATTCTTTTTCGGCAGCTGAGATACGTGGATGAGTTGCTGGTTTATCAGAAGATAAATACCACCATGTTGCACACCAAACAACACCAAATACTCCAATCAAATAGAAGATTGATGGCCATCCACCATCAAAACCATATTGACAAAGAAGACCGGAAAGTGGGAGAACAATTACATTTCCAATTTGAGCACCGGCATATGTGACACCAGTCAAAACTGATAATTCTAATGGTGGTCCCCAAACAGACCACATTGTATGCATTGCTGGGAAAGTTGCACCCTAGAAAAACATATTTTGATAAAAAATCAAATTTTTCCGATTCAAACCTGTAAAAATCCAATAGCAGCTCTCACAAAAGCCAATGCATATTCAGAAGTTCTCGCAGCAACTGGATTCGCCAAAGTCAAAAGTGAACTTCCGAGAATTGTCACAAAAACGACACGTTTTCCACCGTATTTTGAGGCGAGATATCCGCCAAGAATTTGACTGCCAAGATAACCATAGAAAAATGAGGAGAGAATCATTCCAGATGTCTTTTTGTCCCAATCGAATTCACCGACTATCTAGAAAACATACTTTTGAATTGAGAAAGAATGAGTCATTTTTGAGTAATTTCAATTATCCTAACTCACTCCCAAAACCTATGACGTGGCAGATTTCGAGTACTGTAACTATAGCATTCCGATAAGCTGGTGAAACTGTGGAATTCTTGTTACGGGATGCAAAATTACAAAAATTCAGAAATAAATTTTTCAATATTGAAATACACGTATATTTGAGTACAATATTTTTAGGTCACGCTATAAAATTTTTTGTTCGCCAAAAATTAAAAATGAAATTCGGGCATTTCTAATTTGAAAAAATATTGAAACCGGCGAACATTTTTGATATGAACACATGAGTTGCAATCGGGGTAAAATTTCTAAAAAAAAATTTCCACGCCAAAAATTTTCCAGTGTGGAAAACAAACTTTTCTAGACTAAATTTTATCGCGTAGAATCATAATTTAAATTTTAGCTTTGTTTTTCATTTTGAAATATTCTCTTTCGATTCCCAAAAACACAAAACATCCTTTTCCCAGTAAATAAATAGTTTTACCTCTGATTTTTTGTTGGCCACAACTTCTTTTCCACATTTCATTATCTTGTCTTCACCAATAAGCAAACTCGTATTATCAATCGAAATTATTGGCTTAGTTTCGTTAACCATACAAACAATAGCAAACGACATATTAGTTCTCATCATATAAGTAACAAGACATCCGAAAAACATTGCCAAAGACAATGTAAATCTTGTTGATGGAACTAAACGTGGTTTAGAACCCTCCATGTTTAACCTGAAAACAGAATAATATAAAATGAAACGAAAAAGAAACGATCAGAAAGAACACTTGAAAATAATTGAAAAAAGTCAAAGGGGAGGAGATTTTTCGAAGTGAAAAGCATGACGTAACCTGAGGGAAAAGTAGAAAGCAAAAGGAAGTTAGGGGAGAAAAAATGAATAAATATTTTTTGTCAGAGAATAGATTTTCTGAAAACGACAAGTTTGAATTATGTGTTTGAAGGGTATAATTTAATTTTTGATTATTAATTTTTTGAGAAAAATATGAATTTACAACTTCTTAACTTGTCTGTCAAGAAAACTGATAAAACGAAACATTTGGATTAACACTATAATAATCGAATGCTGTGTTATCAAATCGAAAACAAGAAAAAAACGAAGAATGGTATGATATTGTAGGGTATGGTACACACTTTGATATAGAATAATAAATGAAAACACTTGCACACATTTTATTCGTGTGATTTGACTGGTTTATAACCTTGAAGCGAAATAGAATGATGTGAAATATGATATTGGAATAGAATGTGTAAAAAGGATCGAAATGTTCGCAGTGTCTCAAAAAAGAAAAAAAAAAGAAAGAAAATTGGGATAACCAGCCAAAAACAACGAAAAATAGCCGACTTCCTCTATTTCTCTCATTCTCTAGATGTTCTTTTTCAGTGAAAGGAGAAGAACTCTGCAAGAATAGGTCAACAAGTGTGGGTTGAGATGAGAGGATAATGCAAAAAATTCGATAATTTATGTTCTATATTTATGAAAAACATTGCAAAGATTCAATTAATCACGCTCTTTTTCTGCTGAAGACTGAAAATCAAGTGACAGAGTGTTTTTCCTACTCAAAAACATTACCACGCACTTTTCAGAAAATCTTGAGAAGCGACTAAATTGAAAGGGAGAGAGAGAAACCTGGAGAAAACTGTTCCGAAATCCGAGAAAGTTCGAAAACTTCGAGGGTTTCCTAAAATGAGGAATAATCTTTCCTGATCTAATTCAGTCAAGAAAAGCCTAAAGTTGCTATAAGTTCCATTCCCCTGTGAACAATAAAATATCTGATAGAACTGTAATACAACGCTTTTAATTGAAAAATCCCGAACTTCAAAGGTTCCCCCCAAAATTTGACGCTCGAACGCGCTCCAAACTACACATTTCAAAAAATTGGTTGGCTAGTCCCTTGGCCGAAGTTTTCATCGGCCACGGAATTATTTTTTGTTTTTTTCGTTTTGCACTGCTTTCTCGCTGTAAAATTCAGTCTTTCTTGTTTAGTTTCCTGCCGTTTTTTAGAGCTTAAATAAATATATTGAAATTCCAGTTACTTTTAATCTGATTTCCTCTTTTCGAAAGAATTTAATTAATGTTTTTAGGATGGACGAAGACAATGGAAATGAAATATTCAAAGCGTTCACCAAACAAAACGTCGAATATAATTTGTCTGGAAAAGCACAGGTCACATATAAAGCAAAAACTTATTGGGCACAGGTATTGTTACATGGAAATGTATTATGTATCGAAGAGAGTGATGAATCAGTGACCGCAAGTGTTCCTTTGATTTTTGTTCTTGAACAAGTCACAGTCAAGAAAATCGACAAGGACCATGAATTCGAATTGCATTTCTCAGATCCAGAAGAGAATCTTGGGATATGTGTCGAAAATGATGAAATAAGAGAAGAATGGATGATTAAGGTTTTTTGTTATTGCAAACATTCATGACTCATTTCATTTCATTTAAATTTTTCAGCTAGCGACTTGTTCACATCAAATGGCTCGTGCAGAACTTGACGAAGTTGCATATAAATTTTATACAATGTCACCACTTGGAAATGAAGATGGTAACAAAGATGTGAAAAGTTCATCATTTCAAAACTTTTATCTAACTTCTCCATTAAGAATTTCGCACAACTTTGCTATATCACAGGTATTTCTAAAAATCGGAAATCTTAAATCATAATCAATTTATAGCAAAATAATCTTCCCGCTCGACGAGTTGTTGTCGATGAAACACTTTGGGAAACGAAATTATCATTAGTATTGCCAAAAGAAATTATTAAAATGAATCGAAAGAAAATTCAAGAATTTTCGGCTCTTCTTGAAAGTCGCCTCAAAACTTGGCCTTCTTTTTCTATAAGTGGTTTACATGAAATATTAAGAGAACTTCGAGAAATGACAGAAGTTTATGATAATTGTTTTGAGTTTGTTGATAGATTCACGGGTCCATCATTTCGAAAATCTGTAGAAAAGCATCGAGTCGCATTTGGTATGGTTCCAACTAATCTTCATATACATTCGTAAGTTTTTAAGATTTGATTTGGAAATAAAATCTCAAAATTGTTTCAGATATGATATAAATTCGACTGATAAACGTGATTTTATTACTGCTGGAACTGCATCTGCAATTCCCTTCCGATACACGGTAAGTTTAATTTGGAAAAAAAACAATTATTTTTCTGTATTTATTTAGAATGGTGGATTGTCTCGAATGTATTCACAAATCGAACTCGAACCCTATAATTTCGATTACACATTCTGGAAAAAGCGACAAAATATTCTGGATCTCAAAAAAACCATCGGAGAAGCAAGTTTCAAAGTGGAACGCGAATGGAAAATTGCAAAATTCGGAAAACCTGACAAAATGTGTTTGCAATTATTTGCAGCGATCAAACAGGTTTATGAGGGATTGAAGGATGTTCTGAGCAGTTTACCGAATATTGAACCAATTTCGGAAATTTTGTTGGAAGAAGAACGAAAAAGAGAGCAAAATGGGCAAAAGGTAGAGCATATTTATCATTTGAAAATCTCGTTAAAAATCAATATTTATTCCAGCTCAATGAAAATCACGTTTATGACAATATTCAAAATCAAATTGATCGAATTGATGCAATGATTGTTAGTTTACACACAAAAGTAGCTGTGATTGATACTTTGAATGAAGAACCGCAAGAAAGAGAGACTTTCGAGAAAAATACTCGACAATCAATTTCTACGTGTTTAGATATTCTTATTGTTCTTGCTGATTCAATTTTGGAATCACAATTATTTTCACTTGGTCAGTTTTTTCTTCTAAAATGCTACTAAATTAAATTATTTTCCAGTGAATTCATTACAAAAATCATCTCTAACTCATACATATTTTCAACTAATGTTGAGAACGGATTTTGTGGTTTCACAGGCGATAACAATTGGAACAACAGCAATATTAAATCGAATTCAAAAGGCAACAACAACAAATTTAACCAAAGACTTTTTATTAGTTGTCTTCTCTTTTCTTTCTGCTTATGGAGATGAAAAAGGAATGATTGAAGACGCTGTTGAAGCATGGAAATGTCTCGAACATCGTGTTCGTTTTCGACTTGTTCGTGCTCCATCAACTGTTTGTCGAACTTGTATTCCAATTATTCAAGGATCTCGTGCATATCTAAATGTTTCAATTCCTTTACCTCATGATATTTATGATTCATTACCGGAAAATATCAAATGGACCAATAATTTTGTGATAAAAGTAGCGTATTTCAATTTGGGTGTTAATCATGAGGCAACTTTTGGGCAAAGTTTTGGCGGAGTTTCGTTTGAAAGTGCTATAAATCAAGAAGCGGCTGAAAGATTGAATTTATTTGCGAATTTGAATGATGTTAGTACACAAGCAAGAGAAGCTGTTATGGAAGTTGTTAATGAGGTAAAACTAAAAATTTTATCAATTTTTTACCCAAAAAAATATGTAAAATTTTTAGAGTTAGAAAATTCTTGAAAACGAAATATCTTGCTACAAAAAAGCAAAATTCAACATTTTTTCAGGTAACCACTGAACCTTCTCGAAAAAATCTTTCAATCTTTGACTGGGCAATGACTGCTTGTGAACAACTTGGTGGAGAAGCTGTTATATCTTGCAAAAGTGGAAAAGATCGAACTGGAATGGCCGCTTCTTTAGAACAAGGCAGAGTTCTTCGAGAAACTTGTGGATTCAATACAACTCAAATCGCTGAAGTCATTAGTTCGTTGAGAAAAGATGGAGTTCGACGAGAAAATTGCCGAAAAAATGTTGGAAAACCAATTTATTCATTCAGCCCGTTCCAAATGCACTTTTTGCCTAAGGTAAATTTATCATATTTTATTTTAGAATCGAGAAAATACGCCCTAAATTTTGCAGAATTTTCGGCCGCCTTCTGGCACATATTCTCAAGGAGTTGCGAGTTAATTATGTATAATAATAATATCAATTTCGAATTTTCGAAAATCTAAAACTGGTTGTATTTTTTGATGACCAAAATTTCCGTATCTAAACCAAATGGGTAATTCATTTTCTAATAATTGTGATGATTTTGTGCATGCAAACATTTTTTTTCTGAATAATTTGTCATAAAATAGTTGCTATGGTAACATATTGAACGAGAGAAATTTCCAATATTTTTGTTTGCTGACAAGAAAAAAGAAAGAAAATGGAAAAAAGTAATGGCGAAGATATTTGGCAGGATCGGGAGATTCGATTTGATGTCGATCATAAGTGAGTTCAATTTTTAAAAGATTCGTGAGGTTATTAGGACTTATCGAAAGTAGAGGGATTTCTAGGCTCGCGCTCTTCCTTTACATTTGAATTTTCTAAGTGCGGCTTGTTCACAACACACATTTATAGGATTGCCTACTTGACATAGAATCTCTCAAGGGGCGGTTCCTTGGCAGCTTGGATTCCTAGATTCGGGTCCTAGAGAATTAGATTCTCTAGGCGCTGATCCTTGAAAATTGAAATTTTTACTTAGCAGAAAAGTTCCTACGATCTTTAAAGTTTAAAATCACAACCTATTTTTCAGGCTATTGAAGTTGATAAATGGAGAAGTTCAAATCGCAAAAATGGATCATGTCGAAGACACAAAAGGAAACAATGGAGATCGAGGTTTTTCCTTTTTTTTTTCCCCCTTAATAAAATTTTCCCCAATCAATAATTATGTTAAGGAACAATGAGAGTCACAAATTTGCGAGTTATTTGGCATGCTTCTTCAATGCCAAGAATCAATATCACAATTGGATGGAATTGTATAACTGGAGTTCAAACGAGACAAGCAACTTCTGTGAGTGAATTTGAGGATTTAGAATTTGAAAAAAAAAGTTTTTCAGAGCAGTCAAAGACGCGGAGGACCGTGTGAAGCGATTTATGTTTTGGCGAAAGTTTCGACGGCTGCAACAAAGTTTGAGTTCATTTTTACGACGACTAGTCCAGCGGTGGGTGAATTTGGATTTTTTGGGAGGGAATATTGGGAGCTCTTTCGGGGTTTACGATCAAGATAGGAAATTTCCAAAAATCTGGCGAAAGTTCTTGTTTTTGGTGGTTTATCTAGATTTTTGGTCACATTTTAAGTGAAAAATTACTGTAATAAACTGAATTGAAAAGTTTAGAATTTCACAGACTCAGGAAAAGTTGCGTGAAATTTATGAAAGAAACTATGTTCAGAAATAGTGTTTCAGAATTTTCGAACCAACTTTTTCTAAAATTTCAAGATCACTTTTTCAACCCTCTCAAACCTTTCAAAAAATTTTCAGGCGCATTCAAAACTATTCACAACAATATTATCCCTCAATCGCGCCTATGAAACCACAAAATTATACCGCGAACTGAAAATGCGTGGATCATTCATCAAAGAAGACGGAACACTTCGTCTTTTACCCCAAGAATTTTTGTGTGAACGAGTAACTGGAGTTTGGAATTTATCAACAGATCAAGGCAATTTGGGAGTGTTTATTATCACAAATTGTCGTGTTGTTTGGTATGCTGAATTGAATCCACTTTATAATGTTTCAGTTCCTTATTTGACGTTATATTCGTGTCGAGTTAGAGAATCGAAATTTGGAATGGCTCTGGTTTTGGAAACCACTTCAAATGTAAGATTTCCTCTTTGAAAAAACAAAACGAAAAATATTTTTATTCAAAAAATAATATTATAATCTAGTTCTTTCTTCATCAGTTACTGTTCTTGTTGTTGATGTAATTCCACACGATATTTGAGTTTTACTCATTCGTTTCGTTGGTTCAATCATTTTTTCTGATTTTTCCATTACAGTACTTTCTGGTTCTATAACTTTTCCATGTGTATCTTTCTTTTTTCTCAAACTTGTTGCAACCATATTGAAACTGGAATTTGTGAGTTCTGAAAAAGTTTGAAATTATTTAGAGAATAACTTAGGATAACTTACTTTTCTTCTTTTTATATTTTTTATTCAATTTACAGATGACAAAAACCAAATAAGATACTGAAAATATAATTGTTGAAAATAAAATGATGAAAACAGTTAGCCAAAGTGTCAATGAAAAACCGAAAGATGGTCCCGTATATTCTGAAAAATATTATATTCATATTACGATCTAAATAATTTTAACTTACTTTCACATTGAATAGTTTGGAAAAGAATGATGAATAAAACAAAACATATTTGACTTAACTTGGACATTTTTCAAATTTTGTAAACGTTAGGAATGAATCATAGGAAATAAATGTTCAAAATCGGAAAAAATGGGTCACGTTAAAAAATGTTTGCAGAGTGGTGAATATGTTCTTGGTTTTCGAGTGGATCCAATGGAAAAATTACAAAAAACATCGAAGACCATACAATCACTTCACAAAGCACATCTACTCAAACCGATTTTTGGTGTCACTTTTGTGAAAGAGAGAGCAGAGGTTGGTTCAGACATAAGTTAAAGGGGGAGGGGGGGGGGAAGAATTTTCTGAATCCAATTTTTCTTGTAAAATCAGTTTTCCCCACAAAAATCCTATTTTCAGAAAGAAGAAAAACCATCAGATGAAGTAATCGACAACGTATTCAATGATGCTGAAGATGATGTTGAAATTGATACAAAAGGTGTTCGACCAGATCCATTTGCTGCATATTATAATGGCGGTGCTCCTCAAAAAGAAGGCAATACAGTAACTTCACCAGTTTTGAGTGCAGAACTTGGATTAGGAATTGAACCACTTCCAACTGGTTTTACTGTAAATGATTTGTGGTCAGTACATTTTGAATGAATGAATGATTTTTTGGTTGATGAGTTAGTTTTTTTTTTTTGAATGTTGATCTTCATTTTTTATCTAATTGTAAATTTTCTTCTGGATCCACGAATCAAAAAAAAAAATATATAGAAAATGTCGGAACACCTGACAGTTATATATTCAGAAGGACATGATTTGGATTCGTATATTTTTCAAAAAGCAATTCGATGGGCTGAACAAAATATGGATGATTTTGTATTTTGGATGAGAAAACAGCCAATGGATAAGTTTGTTTTTTTTCAAATTGAAAGTGGACTTTCAAAATTCAAACTCGCTCAAAAAATATTTCAGAATCCCCGAAATTGATATCGATTGGTCACAGAAAATTGAAGCTCTCAAACGTCTCAAATTTCTGTATAATTCGAAACATTTATCTGCTGCGTAAGGTTTATTTTCTACATATAATTTTCCCAATTATTCATGTTTCAGATGTATGAACACGATTTTATCGGATATTGAAGATGTTGCGGCAATTATTATTCAAACAGATATTTATCAAAAACCACCGGAATTTGGAACTCTTCTGGCAACTTTGGCACATTTTTGTAATCAGAAAAATTCGAAAGCTGTTGTTTGCATCGATACAATGAGAAATGAATTTTATCGACCGGTGCGTTTTTATTTTTTGGGCTAAATTTTCTGGAAATCGAGGAAGAATAGTTCCAAATTTTTGGAGCACAAATGGCTAGACTTCAAACTTTTCAAAACTTTTTTTTCTTAAAATCTCTGTAAAATTCGGAACTATTTACATGTACCTTTATTGTTTTAGGGTGTCACTTCTTGAAAATATCAAAATCTTGGGTGTTTAAAAATTAGATACTTTAAGGCATTCCAATTTAGACATTCTGTTCTTGATTACCCTCATTCGCCTCCATAAACATCAAAATTTTCTCCAGCCATCTCCCACTTATGATCAATGGGAAAGTGGTCCATTTGTTCCAATTGAAGTCGATGAACATGAACAAGATGATTTTATATTCGATTCTCCTGAAAATCTTAATCAATTCCATCTGATTTCAACAATTTATTCGAAAGATATTTATTTTTTCGATGGAACAAATTTCAACAAAAAATAAATCATGATTTCTTTTTTCTATCTTCACTTTGTTGTTCTTCTTGTTTTGCCAACCATTTTCGACGAAGAATCTGACAAGATAAAATATCAATCAATCAAAAATATATTCTATTTTGTACCTTTATTTGTGTTTTCGAAAATGATTGTCGTCGACTACAAGGATGAAGTGTACATTGAGCATCGCATGGATTTGGTGTGTAAGGAGAGCAACAACAATAACATTTTCCATTTATACTGGAAACGTGAGAATTTTTGTGGGAAGAATTAGGGTAACTCCAAACTAGATAAATATTTGAAAAACTTTGAATTTTCAAAAATAACTTTTTCATTGAAAAATTTTGGAATTTTCGATGTTTTCCAAATTGAAAAATATTCAGGGTTACTGTAGCTCTCTCTCTCTCTCTCATTTTCCCCCCAAAAATATTCACCTTATACAATTCAATGGTTTCAATTGCCAAACTTGATCTCGAATATTTGGAGGAACCAAAGCTCCCAAAAAATCAATGGCAGTTGAATGCCTTGGTGGCCAAACTTTACAAAGTCCAGTGCTATCATCATATGCTTGTGGAGTCATTGCACACGCTTGTTTTTCTGTTGGTAGATCGCAAATTCGATCAACAACTCCAAATGAGTTACCACTGAAAACATCATTTATTCATTCTATATTCGTATTGATCTGAAATTCTCACCCAGCTACATAATCACATCTTGGCGAGCATGCAACTTGCACATTACACATTCCACAAGCATCAGCTGATTTGTTGAAGAGTTCCGCATAATCCATTACTTTTTGAACAATCGGGTTTCCGATTCCAGTGATCAACTGGAAATAATTGAAATTTTTTTGGAAAAAAATTCAAAAAAAAATTAGCAGCGAGTGGTTTCGATCCACCGACCTCTGGGTTATGGGCCCAGCACGCTTCCACTGCGCCACGCTGCTGAACATTTCACACGGCGAAATTTGTGTTTTTCTAGATGATTCAAACACTCACAGACATGTATCGATTTCGATAGCATTGTTGAGGGAGGCGATGCCAGAAGGAGCGATCAGAAGTGCTGGAAAATTCAAGACTGGAATCAGATTTTCAGAGAAAGAAATTTACCTAAAACATGGACCATATTCACTCCAATCATGACAATTCGATGTTTTTCCAGCTTGACTGACAGAAGAAAATGCAGAAGCTAAAAATGCATCAGCCAAAGGTGGAGCAACTATTGTTGTGAAAATGAGACATAAGAAAATTGAGCGCATTTTCTGAAAGTTTTGATTATTTTTGTTATTTAGATAAACAAAAAGTTGAAAATCCATCAAAAAAGTAATAGGTCATGCATGCAATTGATATATAAATAGAGTAGAAAGAAAATAGGGAGACAAATAGGAGCGAGAGACAATCGAAAGTTCTCTCGTCTCAATGATTGTTTCTCGCGTGGATTTGATTCGATACGCTTACTTTAACACAAGCAAAATTGAGGATTTTCAGGGGTGGTGTTTCATTGTGAAGAAAAAACGAGTCCGCAATTGTGCGTCAAGAGAAGTACACATATATGCGATAGAGCAAGCTTGAGTGCTTACGTGTGTTTTGGAGGAAAACGTAAATTTTTTCAACAAAAAACATGGAAAACTCATATTTCTATGGGTTACTGTAATAAAAACATGTTTGTTTCAAAAAAAAAAAATTCAGGAATTTTTTTAAAAACACTTTTCTCTCTGGGTTACTGTAGAAACATGTTTTTTTTTGAATTTTTGTTATGGAAATCTCTATTCTTCTCCAAAATCCTCGAAAAAACACCTTTTTCTCTCAATTACTGTAAAAAACATGTTTTTCCTTTTTTGTCTGCGTCTCTTCCAAAGAAACATGTTTTTTTAAGCCAACTCAAATCACATTCTTTCATTATTCAAAAATTCTTCAGAATCCTCGAAAAAACACCTTTTTCTCTCAATTACTGTAGAAACATGTTTTTTCCTGTTTGTCTGCGGCTCTTCCCCTCGCACACACTCTCTCCCTCCCTCTCCCAAAAAACATGTTTTTTCTTTTTCTTTTTTTTTCGAACATGTTTTTTTCTGATCTCCAACTCAAAATATTATTCATTCATTTATTTATTTTTGGTAGTCAAAAAAACTTTTTTGTTTTTAATAAACTTGAATACTTGGTGGTCTATAATTAACTTTAACATATTTTGCAGATGACTTTCTATTTGCCATCAACTACTTATTATTCTTCAACTTATCATAAATTCGAAGATGGATATAATGAAGAAGAAGCTGAAGATTCGGGATATTTCGAAGAGGAAATTGAGATTCCATCGGGTGAAAAACAACAAGAAGGAAAAGAAAATGATGAGGAAGATCTGGAAAAACTCGAAAATGGGCGAGAATTCGGGAGAAGACTTCGGGAGTATTGCGATCTTTTTGATTATGAATTTGAAAATTGTGGATTTCAGAAGGTATGTTTGTCGGGAAAAGGAGGATTGTGGAAACTAATATTTCTCAAAGTATTTAGCGCTGGCTTAAAACTTTTCGAGTATCAGTAGTTTAGGCTGAAAATAGGATTTTTGAGGTTCATAGATTATAGATATTCAAAAATCTGAAAACAAATAAAACGCCATTTTTGGAAATTGAACCTTAATTTAATTTAAGTTAATTATGAAACAGTAAGAAATGCGCATGCAAAGTATTTTGAGGTAGATCTCGCACTGCGAAACATTTTTAAATTTTAAAAAGGTCACAGTAATCTTCATTTTATACTTATTTAGAGTTTTGTTTTTCCAGAAAGAGAAAATGCCTTCGACTTCATGGATTTGCCAAATCTTCAAATGGTTCACCACAATTGTTATGTAAATATTCAACTTCACCACTCAATCAGTTAATCAATTAATTATTCACTTTTATAATACGTGTGTCATTTTGAACTCTAAACTTTAAATAAATAAATAGCAAAAACTTTAGTTTTGTATCCATAACACAACATTTTTATGCGTTTTTCCGTTTCCAAATCGATTCTTCTTTTTTTTTTGTCCTCCGCCAAAAAGTATCTTTTTTTGTTTGCTTTTATCGGCTCACACCAAATTTGTTGAAAGAAAAAAAGAAAAGGATAACTTTTTCTTCCCTTTTTCTTGATTTTCGCCTCGTTCCTTATTTTTTGTGGTTGGAGAAAAACGAAAACTTTCAGATGATGTTTTTCTCACAGACATCCAAACTGAATTTACATATTTTTGAAGCTTCATGTTTGGGTTGGAAAAATAAGAATGTTTTCTTTTAGTTCAAAAAATTTACATAATTTTTGAAATTCTGTTCATTTTTGGGAAGCGTCATGTTTGTTTCGTGAAGTTTTTTTTTGTTTTCAGAAATTTTTTATGAATAGTTTTTGTGGACCGTAAATATTTTTATTTTTAATTCGAAGAAAAATCGGCTAGAGCTTCGCCACCGCCCGAAAGCGATAAACACACAGAGCACGTGAATATATCAATTTCCGGTGTGGCCGACGGTTTACGGGTTGTGTGTGCCGCGGTTGTTTGTATGCAAAAGGGGCGGGGCTTAACTAAATGAGCGCGTTTTTTATTCTTCAAAATCAAGGTTTGAAGGATTTTTAAACTTTCGCTCGATATAATTTCCCTAATCGTACTTCGGAGCTTCAAATTCAGACTAGAAGTTCAAAACTCCTTCAGTTTCAACCCGAAATCACAACTTTCTGAAAAGATAGACTTTGGAAAAAATTGAGAGAAAAAATTCCCATGAAAAATGGTTGGATAAAAACTTGGTTAAAAATTTATTGTTTCGAAATTTTTTGGGTATGTTTTTAGAAACCTTTTGAAATTTCCTACCTAAATATTTTAAAATTCTCATTTCAAAACCCATCCATAAACAAATAAAAATTATCATGGCGACCACAAAAAATAGATAAAAATCTGTCTGGTCATTTTTGGAACCTCGCCCTTTTCTTGCCTTTTTTCCTGTTTATTTTTGTATTAGTCATCCATTCAGCAATTTTTTCTTCATAAATTTTCCCGCATTCATTTTCTTCATAGTGAAAAAAAAACAATAACAAACTGATTTGTCATTTGTCCTACGAGAGAGTATGAATAAATGAGAGACGCAGAGAAGCAGCGCACTGTATTTTTTATTATGCAATAATAATAATGCAAAAAAACGAATGTGTGCATATTATTGACTAGCTTGTATTATCGATTTTTTTGGTTTTTTATTTTTAGGAAACTTTTTTCTTTCTTTTGATATTCCAGTCAATTTAACTTCGCATATATATTTTCTTTCATATAAAAAACTGGCGTTCCAAGGTCATTTTGAACATGATTCATATTTAACGTATTATTATTTTTTCGAAATATATTTTTTTGGTTTTTGAAAATTAAAATGTGAATGTGAATTTTTCAGGATCTCGGAGACGACTAATGGCATCAGCTGTAGATCGGTTAGGTGAGTTCAAGAAATTTTTGGGGGAAGGTTTTGAGTAGCTAGAATTTGAGAAGGGTAAAAAAAGGTAAAAGACTGTTTTGGGAAGAATGTTTCTCTGAATCTCTCACTTTCACGTTAATTTCGTAGATTTTAGTTCAGCCCCTAAAATTGTGCCAGGTCTCAAAAAGTGTGGGAAAATTTTAAAGTACTCTGGGCTTTTTGAATTTCCAGAAAGCATATTCCAAATTTTCGAAATTTTTTTCAAATTTCAATATAAGAAATATTTTAAAACGATAAAATATACCAATTTTAGTCTCTTCTGAATTTTTCAAAATTCCTCAGTTCACATTCAAATTTTCATTCAATTTTTTGAAAATCAAATTTCAAAAATTGTTGCTACCTAAAAAATTTTCAAAACAAATATCCGTTGCGGTTCGGTTTTTTCCGCCTACCTTTCAGCTATCTTTCCCAGAAAATAGTGGATGAAATTGAGAGAATATCAGATATTGATAGAGGAGATTTTGACAACAGCTGTGAAACAGCAAAAAATACATTAGAGATGAGGCATGAAAAGATGCTTTTCTGTTTCTGTTTTGTATGTTTTTTATTGATTGATCTGCTTATTGAAACTATATGAGTTTTTGTACGAATTTCTGTAGGAAAAATTGTTCTAGAAGGAGAGAGGGGCAGAAAAAAGTTTCAAAACATATCTCTTTTTTTTGCACATAAAATTTCATTTTATTTTGTTGTATTGTGTTTGATTTGCTCTATTTCTTCTTTCTTTTTTTTTGAAAAAAAAGTTTTTATGAGCTTTTTCAAATAGTAGTTTATTTGGAACCGATTTTGAAGATTTTTGAATCTGAATCGGACCACCAAAAAAGGATGGGGACAGGTTTTGAGAAAAATTCTGAATTGGTCAGCGGAAAAATTGACTCTGGGGCTCAAATTTTAAATTAAATCTCTAAATTTTTCAAATATTTATTTTATTTTTTTTATTTTTCTGAAATATGATACTCAAAAAAAACATTTCGTTTTGTTTCCTTTCCAGAACCAGACCTCAAAAAAAATCTGAAATGTCATGTTTCTTTTTTTTCTCCCTTGAGAATTTCGAGTAAATCCAAACAATTTCTTTTCGTCTCTCAATTTCACACACACACTCTCTCTCTCTTTCCAACGAATTTTGTTTTTTTTTTTTGAAAGGAAGCAAGCACGACACTTTTTTGTGTTAGTTCGTTTTTCTTTCTTTTCTTTGGTGAATTTTTTCCAAACAAAAAATTTCCATATGATTTTTTTTTTCGGTTTGCTCTCAAAAAAAATCTCGAGCACCTTCTTTACTTGAAACAAAAAAAAAACTTCTTTTTGAATATTTGCACTTCGCGCCGATATCTTATCCCTAAAACCTTTTTTCTTCTTTTTTTTCTGATATTAAATTTTCAAAATTTCTAGTAATAAATGCCTGGCGACGATCGGTTTGCGGATGCTGTCAAACCAGCTTTGGGTAATTAACAATAAGGGCCAAATTGATCTCATTGTGTGAGAAAATTAATTTTGAATTTTTTTCAGAAGCGCTTCTTTCCGATCTTCAGCATACGACTGAAGTTTTGAGAAGAGCACATGTTGGAGACAGAAATTCGGAAGTTCGAGAAAATGAATCAACATTTCGTCAAGAGAATCGACGAGTAGAACAAAGGTAAGTTTTTTTGAATGTTTTTTAGAATGACGTAGGGAATTGATGAAAGATATTAGTAGAGAAATAGGGATCTGGAATTTCAAAAACTATTTTTTTTTGGTATTTTTTATATTCAATTCACATTTCTGAAAAATGTCTAAAATGAAAACTCTGGATTTAATTATAATAATTTATCTTGAAGTTTTTCTTGAACTTCAGGTGTGCGTACATTTTTTTGCTTACAAAACTAACTAATTTTAAAATTTCAAAAATTCATTCATCAATTTCCTTCGTGCTTTTTGTTTTTTCGAATATTGAGTTTTCATGTTTTTTTCCTTTAACAATTTTTATTTGTCTTCAGATTTTCTCAGCCACAACAAAGATCAAAAAGCCGTGAACACTTATATGGTATAACATTTTTCATGTGTTTTTTTTCAACTAACATTTCGTGTTTTTTTAGAAAATGGAAATTTCCATTCGTCTTCTTATAATGGTCCAAGTGTTCAAAGTCTTTTGTCTCAAGCTGAAGTGATTCCAACAAGGTTTGGTTTGAAGTTTCATTTTTCAAATTTTTTTCCAAAAAATAAAAAAGAAATCTTCGCGCACCGCTAAAATGTTTTGTTTGTCCAGTCCTTGTGTTACTACTACTTACTTTCTTTTTTCTCTTTTTCCTTCCAAACACAAAATGTCAAACATTCAAGCTTCTGCTGCGCGTGCGCGAAAAGACAGGTCTCTCGCATCCTCTCATTTTCCTATACCCTCTTATCACATACCAAAGAGTTTTTGGGGGCGAGGAAAACGAGAGGGAGAAGCTGAAGAAGAAGAAGAATAAACTATTTTTGCGCGGTGCTCAAAAATTGAATTGTGTGAGGAGGAGAAAAAATGATGCGTGAACTTCAACAACGATTTGATAATTATTCTGTTTATAGTTCGAGAAAGAGTTTGGGACCACCGAGCAATGCACAATCCTATTCCGATTTGGTGAGTTTTTTTTGGGGGGAGGGGGAGTTACTGTAATTCTAGATGATTATGATAGTTTAGAGAAAGCTTTTAAAAAATACAGAAATAAAAACTTAGTTATGATCAAAGTATACGGTAAGATTTTTGATCTACAGTTTTCCAAATCTGTTTTCATTTACAGTACTTTTGTTTTAATTCTGGTGATCAAGATCTCAATTTCACCTTAGGTTTCTGCAAATCACAATTTAACCTTGGGGTTCTATAGAGCACAGTTTAACCCTAGATTACTGTAGCTCGGAGTTTAATCTTAAGTTACTGTAGATCACAACATTAGGTTACTGTACATCCCAGTTTTTCCCATTTTCTCAAATAAATAAATAAATAAGTATGTTTAGTTTCTAAATTCTCTCAATTCAGATTCACATTCAGAATTCTAAATTCCCATAAAAACAAGCCATTTCATTTCATTTCGCGCATCTGGTTCCTTTTTTCTTATTCTTGTTCTCTAGTTCTGTTTTCAACTCGAAAAACATAACAGAGAGAAGATAATTAAAAATGCATGTGCATAGAATATTTTTGTGCCTTCTTTCTTGTATTTCTTCCAGATACTATACAAGTTTTTTGTTGGTAGTTAGTTGAATTTTGAATTCAATTATTTAGATGATATTTATTATTTTTTGTTAGTTTGGGATTAAAGTGAGCAAATATTTGATTTGAAGAGAGAAAAAGAAAAACGTGGGTGGGTGGATTTTTGGGTTTTTTGAAACGAAAAAAAAGAGGTTAGGAAATATTGAAGATTGTGGGAATATTTTTGAAGGAGCCTAGATTTACAAGGAGAAACGTGGCAGAACTTTTAGCATAGTAGTCCGAGCGCCTTAGGCGCGAGTGTAGATCAAAATTCCGCGGAAGGTCCCAAGAATCATTTTTTTATTTTGGGACCAGTTTTCCAAAGCTTTTCCAAGTCAAACCCTCTCTGAAAATGTGGCCCAATTATTTCTTGAACACTCTGCACACCTTACTCTGGTATAACTTTCCAATGTTTTTCCCAATCTCAAATTTTCAGCGATCTGGTGGCCGATCCCCTCTTCACAATCATGATTCGATGATCGGAACAATGAACAGCGAAGTCAGTTCGAAACATGGAATCAACACAATTCCAAAAGGAGATTGTGCGGATTGCGGAAAACCAATCATTGGACAAGTTGTGATTGCTCTCGGAAAAATGTGGCATCCAGAACATTATACGTGTTGTGAATGTGGAACTGAACTTGGACATCGACCATTTTTCGAGAGAAATGGAAGAGCTTTTTGTGAGGATGATTATCATAATCATTTCAGTCCAAAATGTCAAAGCTGTAATGGAGCTATCAAGGAGGTAAGGAGAGTTATTGAATTTGAAACTAATCTAAATCGTAAACTTTTTATTTTGGGGAAATGGAATTTTATATTGAATTTGAGTTGTTTAACAAGGAGAGGATATAATCACAAAATTTTTATCTCGAAAATTGAAGTAGTCTCTGAACTATTTCTTTCTAAATCTTTCCAACCCCTCAAAATCAAACTATTTTTCAGAGATGTGTAACTGCATTGAACAAAAACTATCATTTGGAATGTTTTGTTTGTTGCGAATGCGGAAAAGAATTCGGAGAAGACGGTTTCCACGAGAAAAACGGACAAACCTTCTGCAAACGTGATTTCTTCCGTCTTTTCGCTCCAAAATGTAATGGATGTACTCAACCAATCACTGCTAACTTTATCACTGCTCTTGGAACTCATTGGCATCCGGATTGTTTTATTTGTCAGGTAAGCAAATTGAAATTTGAGAAAAAGCCCAGAAGTCATCAATTTTAAAATGGCCCAAATAATAATATAAGTTTGTCGATTTGAAGAAACCGTCAAGTTCAGAATGTGCGGTATGTTATATAAATTGTCCGTTGTTTCGGTTTGGTTTTCCGCTTTTGGTTTTTCTGATTTGATGTTTTGTAGTGTGGTGGTTTGGTTTGATATTTGACTTCTTTTAGATCATAGATTTTTCTGGAGGATTTTTGGGTAGCATTTATCCGAAGTTAAAATTTATTATTATCATTATGAGCTTTAGATAGCTATTTAAAAATACGTTTTGAAAAATTATATTCAAAATAAAAACTGGAACATTTCTTAGCCTTCGATCTACATTTTGCTATCCAAACTTTGATATTTCCGAGTTTTTCAAAGGTTTTAGCGAAACTGTTTTGAGCATCATAAAATTTTCTCAATTTTTTTAGAAAACTTTTGAAATTTGAAAAACATTGATATGTTTTTTCTAAGAAATCTTGAATTCTGAATTTTTGTTCAATAATTTCCTAAATCAAAAAAGAAGTTTTTTTTTGATGATGTGATAAATATTTATTTTTCTAGCTCTAGCTTTATGGTTTTCTCTATTCATAATCCAAATTAGTTTTCCCCCAAAATGTGTGTGGTTTTTCTTTCAGTCTTGCGGTGTTTCATTTGACGGCGGTGCATTTTTCGAGCACAACGGACATGCTCTTTGCGAACGTCATTATCACGAATCTCGCGGTTCACTTTGCTCACAATGCCGTGCTCCAATCAATGGTCGATGTGTTGCTGCGATGGGCAAAAAATTCCATCCAGAACACTTCAGATGTTCTTACTGCAATCATCAATTGACAAAAGGAACTTTCAAAGAAGTCGATCGTCGTCCATTTTGTCATAAATGTTATAATAATACATTTGCGCTAACTCCATCCTAATTTGATGTTTTGTCCAATTTTTTGTATACTTCTTCAAAAAAAAACAATACGCCATATCTTTTTTCATTTTCATTTTTTTCCAAATTGCATTTTTTAAATCCTGTAGGGAAACGATCATTTTGCTGCGAAATGTCCATTGGATGTCACATATTTCGAAGAAGAGGAAGGAGTCTATTGATCTTTCCCTTTTCCAACTTTTCCTACTAATAATTTTTTCTTTTTTTTCTTTTATTGATCAAATAAATGAAGATTTTATTTTTTTTTATTCATAATAACCCGTTCAAGAATTTTTCTTCAAATTCCTATAATTTAGGGATACATTTTCTTATAAATCACTGCTGTATGTTCCATAAGCCTTCGAGTTACTGTAGTTGTCATCAATAATCTGGCTTCCAATCTTTTCTCATCCAACATTGTCCATTCACGAAACATCAAACGAACTGCTGAATCATGTGAAAAGCTTATTCGACCAATTCTTTGAAGTTTGAATTTGACTTGATTTGGGCCAGATTCACCTTCCTCAATTGTCATGAATCCTGAAAAAAAGTATTTTTAACTGAAAATGATTTTAGAAAACGTACCATTGCTCATAGCTGTATTCAAAGAGACATATTCAATTTCTTGATCTTTATCGTAGTCAACAGCAATATAGCCGTTTTCAGAATGAAGTTCGGTTGGATCACCTTCTGGCATATTCAAGTCCCAGGCAAATGCTCTAAAAAAAAGTTGGATCAGGGGTCTCGATTTTTAGAACTTCTGAATCAACAACAGTTGAATCATCTTCGAGATTTTCAGAATTTTAAAATCTGTCTTTTTTTTGTTAGTTCTCAAAAACTAAAAATTCCTCGTTCAAATTCGCACAGATCTGAGGCACCCTGGTCTTCTTCGAAAATTCCCCATAATCATACGTGTAATTCAACAACGGTGTTCCCATTTTCACATCTCCAATTGAAATATCAACTTGTTCGCCATACGTAAATTTTGGGATCGTTGGGAAAAATGCTTTTCCACCAAATTCTGATCTCCATTTTCCAACCATCCATGCGATTGATTTCAGTTTTGCGGGAAGAAGTTTCACATCATATTCTGCAATTTTTTTTCGATTTTCAATCTAGGTTTAGGCCCCAATTGTTTCTCACTAGGATCAATTGGTTCGCCACAGCTTCCACATGTTCTTGGACAATGACTTGATACCAATTCAACATTTTCACAATCTGATTGATTTGTTGCAACCTCGAAAGTTTTAGGAATTTAGTTTCATATTTTTTCGAAAAATTTAATTTCAGTATTTTCTCACCCAAACAGCACAGTTCATATCGATATCTTCACATTTTCGAGCCTGTTTTGAATTGATAAATGACGTTTGAAAGATGAGTATAATGATGATAAACCTGTCAATCATCTGAAACGAGAAAAAAATGGATGCGGGAGAAAAGGGGGATAAAAATAGAAATGAAAAGGATGAAAATAGAAATAAAAGAATTTGGAGTGTGGAAAAAGGGCAACATTGTGGAAGTTTTTGAATCCTACTAGGTTTTGGAACTAAAAAAAAATAGTGAACTTGAATATCCATAGTTTCACAGAAAGATACCTTTTGTATTCAAAAGAAACTTTTCAGTTCAAGAAACATCGTAAAAATTATTCCAAAAATCCCAGGATTCACAGTTCCCAGAACAACTTTGTTAAATCAGAAGTTAAAAATATTGCCTCTGAAAGTAATTACAGCACTTATCTTCCTTATGAGTAATTTATTGGAAAAAACTTTTCCGAAAGGACTACAGTACTCCACATGATCTCTATTTTAGATTAGATTAATTTGGTTCTGACAGGATCTCTTTATTACAAATACCACATTCTGAATCAAAAACATCTGGAATTACAAAAAAACCAAACCTCGAAAAAGGGGGCGATGTCTCAATACTATACTAATAACAATAAAAAAGTGACCAAATGCGGGCGGATAAGTGACAACAAAACTGGATATCTTTATCTTTTTTTCATCCATGAAAAACCATAACATTATCTGCGTTTCTTATTTGTCCAAACTCTTTCGTTTTTGATTTATTATGTTGCGTAACAAATATGGCGCCTGCTTCGATGAATGGATGGACTTTTTTCGACGCGGCGCCGTTTTATGAGGAGGAATCCGATGTTTCACTTTTTTCCGAGGATGGGAAAATGAAAGGAAAGGTGGATGGATGATAAAGGAACTATTACAACAAATTTACTTTTCCAAAAAAAATATCAACAAAAAATTATAATTTATTCCTAACACATTTATTTTCATAATGTGGACAAAATGTGTATAAAACAGTCTGAAGTCTTGGCGATCGATCAGTCCAAAAACCATTACAATAAACATCATATTGTTGTTTATAATCTGAACAATATCCACTATTTGACCGCTTTTTTATTTGCGGTGGAATAGTTGCATCAAGTATACCAATTGCTACAAAATCTCCATCTTCTTCACTTCCACCTTTGATTCCAATCAGATCTTCAGATTGATTTGAAAGTTCGAGGAAGATAATTGCTGGAAAATTTTTATGTTTGATCTAAAAAATTTAAGGCTTCTGGAGAACTTACACAAAACAATGATAATAAAAAAGTTTGCCATTTGATAAAAACTTTTAACAATTTCGAAAAAATGTTTGATCCATTTTTATAGTCATTTTTTTTAGATTGGTACTTTTCGTTCTTCGATTTATTAATCCGGTTTTCATCTGAAAAAAATTGTGATAAATTGTTTTGTTTATTTATCATGTTGAAATTTATCGCTTACGTCATTTGGGTAAAATACAAAAAAATAGAGAAAATATGAGAAAATATAACCGTGCTCTAATTATTTTGCGCAGAAAAATAAGGAGAAAAAAAATGAAAATTTTTTAGTTTGATTTCCGAATTTCATCAGGAAAAGGTGAGTGAAAATGGAACACTGGGATCTTTCTGAAATGAGGCCAAAATTTTGAATCGGACCTAAAGAATCATATCAGGAGAACTCAGGAATTGGGCGATTAGACAACGTGGTCCAATTTATTTCTGGTGGTCCGGTTCACGCTTACTAAAAAGAGGTTCCTACCAGATTCCAAAGATTTCCAGAAAAATTTTGAATCGGATCTGATTTTAAGGAAATCTGAAATTGTGGATGTTTCCGTAATTCCCCATAAAATTTCTAATCATTCAAAAACATCAAAATCATTTTCCAGATGAAATTCGACGAATTTTTACGCAACAGTCTTGGCGAGATCGGAAAATTTCAATTAATTCAATTATGCATCACAAATTTCCCCATTTTCATTCTTTCAATCGATGCTTATAGTTGGAGTTTTGCCTCAATTGAACCAACATTTCGCTGCAAATTTCCGAATGACACTGGAAAATATCAGACTGATTTGTTAACTTTTTCAAAGTGTTATGATCGAAAAACCGAGGAGAGGAAGAATATAAGTGAATGGGGAAAACAAGATATTCTTGTGAGTTTTCCATGGATTGATTCCAAATTTTGATCGGAAAAATTTACAGTGCGATTATTCGGAAAAATGTGAGATGGCAAATTCAGTTTGTTCTGAACATGTATTCGATCATTCATTTCGAGATTATACAGCAACTGAAAAATGGGATTTTGTATGCGATTATTCATGGATGGCATCAACAATTCAATCAGTTTATTATTTAGGAATGATGATTGGCTCATTTGCTTTTGGTGTAATTGGTGATAGATGTGGAAGAAAAATAGCATTTTATACCACACTAGTTCTTCAAATTCCATTCGGTTTTATACTCGCATTTTCACCGTATTGGTGGCTTTACATGTTTGCTCGTTTTATGTTTGGTATTTCACATGCTGGAACATTTTTATTGTCATCTGTTCTTGGAATGGAATCTTTTGGCCCAAAATATCGAAAATCTGCGTCGACGGCGATTGGAATTTTTTCATGTTTTGGTATGATTTGCTTAGGTGTTATTGAAATGTATGTCACAAATTTTACCTATGTTCATTTGATTTGTGCAATTCCAACTGTGCTATATTTGAGCTATTGGTGGTAAGTGAGATTTTTTGAAAATTGAATTTTTCGATCAGGTTTTTATCAAAAAACTTTCGTTGAATTCCCATATAAATTGATGTTTTTTTTGAGATCAAATTGGTAAAAAAATATAACAAATTCCCCAAAAACGTTTTCTGAAGTTCAGATTCAAAAAAATCCCTAATTTTCAGGTTGGTTCCTGAATCGATTCGCTGGCTTGTTTCCAAACAAAAATTCGAAAATGCCGATCGAGTTATCCGAAAAGCCGCAAAACTAAACGGAAGAGAAATCAAAGATGGATGGTGGGAAGAATTATCAAATAGTTCAAGCGGCAAAGAAGGAGCTAAAACTCTAACAGTTTTGGATTTGTTTAGAACACCGAAAATTCGAAGAAGAACTTTAGTTCTAATGTTTGTTTGGTGAGCTTTTCCTTAATTTGTGAAAACACCTAGAAAAATGGCGATAGCTTCGCTACCGCCCGAAAGCGATAAACACACAGCGCACGCGAATATATAAATTTCTAGTGTGGGCGACGGTATACGGGTTGTGCGTACCGCTATTGTTTGAGTGCAAAAGGGCGGGGCTTATTTAAACGAGCGCGTTTTTTATTCTTCAAAATCAAATTTTCAAATGAATTTTGATGGAAAGTCTGATTTTTTACATGTCAACTTGGAAATTTCTGAAATTTTTTCATCAAAGTAAGCTGAGAATAAACGAAAGTTCACTTTTTCGATAACAAATATGCTGCGTAAATTTTGAAAAAAGTTTGTACGGTGTCCTTTTTCGCATCACGTCTGTCCAGGTGTAAATAAACACTGATATTTTTTGAATTTCAGGCCAGTCACAAGTTGTGTTTACTACGGTTTTTCTTTGAAGTCCAATGTTTTGGGAGGTGATTTGTATCTGACATTTTTGGTAGCTACATGCTGTGAAATCCCCGGAATATTGCTCTCTCATTTTCTAATCGATTTGATTGGTCGAAAAATTCTTCTTGCTGGTTGTCATGCGATTGCAACTGCTGCTTTAGCTGCTAGTTTGATAATGGGCGATAATTTGGGATTCACTTATACTGTTATTCAAATGGCGATTGCAAAAGGTTCGATAACAGCTGCGTTTTGTGTTGCTTACACCTATTCTCCAGAACTTTATCCAACTGTGAGTGATTTTTGAAAAGAGGGTTTTGTGCTACGAAAATCCACGTGGCACTTATTTCCCAGTTCGAAAATATGAGTTTTTTTGTAAACATCAAAAATTTCAGAGAGCTTTTCTCTTCTCAATAGAAAATCCGTTTGACTATTTTCAGCCGATTCGCAATAGAGCAATGGGTGTTTTATTGTTTCTCACCAGATTTGGTGGAATTATGGCTAGTTACATTTCAATGTATATTTCGGAACGATATGGAAAAATTTACATGGTCTTACCATTTGCAATTTGTTCTGCAATTGTAGCCGCTTTGACTTTAATATTTTTACCAGAAACCAAAGGAGAACCAATGCCTGATTATTTGGAGGACATTGAAAATCCAGAGAATCAAGAGAATAATAATGAAACTGATGATGAGCGTTCTGATAAAGGAGGAGAAAGTGTCAAATCAACTGACAATGAGAACAATACAAATACTGTATAAATTAGGATATTTTATTTATTGTGAGGATAAATGTAGTTCATAGAGTTTTGTTTTCAATATCAATCAATCAATATGCAGCATTTTCGAGACAGAAATTCAAATCTTCAATTTCGAAAAAAAATATGAAGAGTTTTTTTTTGCGAACCCAAGTCTCAAAACTTCTATGGTTTTTTTTTCCGAAAGCATTGAAAAAAATAAAAACACGAGTGTCACCGATTATTACGGCGAAGGAATTTTACGGGAAAAATACGTTTCAAAATATTTTTTCCAATAATATGCGACCACCTAGTTTTTGATGATATTCTTCCACTTGTTTAGACTACACACGAAATTTTTGTTTAAAATAACTACTGTACCATAATAATCGCTGCGTGACCCTAAGACCACCCACGATGTTTGTGTTTTCATTTCCTCTTTTTCGTTTTTTTCTGAGAGTTTTCGGTCACCTATGCAAGAAAGTGTATTTTAGTGGTTTTCTCAAAGATGTAATTGGTCATTTGTATTTTTTCCAATAATATGCGACCACCTACCAGTTTTTGTTATTATTCTTCCATTTGGTTAGACTACACACGAAATTTTTGTTTCGTCGAAGGACTTCAAAGACAAGTATTTGTCGAACGCCATTCAACAATTGAATAAAATCACCGTCTAATAAGTATGAAAAGGTATAAGATATTTTCCCGTTTATTCGCCCTTCGATTTTCTATCTTCCATTTGTATTTATTACCGATTATCTTTCAGTAAAATTGTTCATTTTAAAAAGTGAAATATATAAGAGCGCCTTTATTTAAAAAGTTTGCGTTGGTATAGAAAATACTGGGAAAATGATAAAAAGTGTTACATTTACACAAGAAATCGAGTAGGCAAAGTGAATAATTTTTGCTTTGATAAATAATACATTCTTTCCTGAAATTATTGTAACAACTTGCACTTTGTTAAAAATTATACATTTTGAAGCTGCATGTTTGTGAGTTTTTGTGTTCATCATAATTTTCATTGAATTCCATACTTAACACTTGCAATTTTTAAAAGGGTTCATCTATTAAGTTTGATAGTTTATATTTATTATTCTCTAATTTTTGTTTTATCTCTTTGTTAATTTTCGTTTTTCTAAAAAATGTAACAAAATTTGTTTTTCGATTTTTCTTACATTTACAAAAAATGAAGGCGTGAAATTTTGTAACAAAATTATTTTTTTCAAATTTGTTACATTTTCGAAAAAATAAGAAAACTTATTTTTTTTTTGAAAAGTGATTCATTTTTTGAAGTCCCTATAATACTGAACCCTCATTTTCATAGATTTTTAACTTCTTTGATGTTTTTCATCGAAAAATATGAGATTTTGCAGAACTGGATTCTCAAATCTGCATTTGAAAAAATCGCATTTTTGCGAAATGGATGAAAAAAATTAGTTCACGTGAAAAAGAATTTCTGAATTTCTTTCTTTTTTTACTTGCTTTTTGGGACAAATTCTACGTGTCCTTAAAATTGATGACGTCTCATTCATTTCAAATTTTTGTTCTCTTCGAAATTAGAAGATAATTTGAAATAGACCTTTTCTGATTATTTGAGAAAGTACTATAACTAATGACATTATAATGTACAGTTCTAGAACGAACTGTTGATTGAAAAAAAAATCTGTTTTTTTCTTTGAAAATGACATAAATGTCACAAAAAACGTCAAATGAAAAAATGTAACAAAAAATATTTTTCAAAATTTGTTACATTTTGAAAAGGTTGAAAATGGGAAAAATATTTCACGTGAATTCAAAGAAGGGAAAAATGTAACAAATAAATAAAAGACAGATTTGTTACATTTAAATTATAGACTTTTCTGTGAAATTCAAAAAGCGAATTAACTATAAAACTATGATTTGAAAGAAAGCAAGATTATACTTGGTTCCAATTGCTCAACTACTGATAGGACAGAAAAGCATTTTAAACAACAACTATGAATTTCTATAAATTCTGCACAAAAAAATGTTTCCTCTATTTTTTCTTTACAAATTGATGATTTTTTTTGTATTCGAGAAATCGACCTTACAGTCTGTGTGGATTTGTAACAAATAATTCTCAATTTCTGGTTTTGGAAAATGAACGCGAACTTTTTAAATAAGGCCGCTCTTATATATTTTTTTAATTTTTTTGACCAAAAATTGACCAATTTTTGGTCAAACTCCCAGGACCAGTGATCAAACGAAAAAATAAATGCAAATGAATTCTTGAGATTCTTGTATATAAAAAGATCAGGTATAAGGAGAGATTAAAGTGAAAAAAGAAACTCGTAAGTTTAATATCCCGCAATCAATTTTTCTCCAGCTTCTGGGTGACGACATTTACTTTTGAACATTTCGAACAATTGTTGTTTGATCCAAGAACGATTGCGTGGAACATATTGGGCAGTTTCCTGAAAATAATAAGGATTTCAAAAAATAGGCCGTGGTTGTTGGCACTTACAGCATTGAAAATCATCATCGAAATATCGGTGAGTTTGTCAAGAAATTCAAAAACTTGATTGATATCAAAAGTGAATTCAGCATTCTCTGGCAGTTTATTTCTAGCAAAAGTTTCGAAAATTTTGCAAATCGCTGGAAAGACATAGTTTCGGTTTGAAGTCTTTGAATTGAAAAAAACTGACCATCCAAACTTGCAGCTTGTGTTTCATAATCTGACCAAGTTCTTGAATTTGATTGAGTTGTTGGTTGAATCAACAAAATGGTATGTGGCATTCTGAAAACAGTTTGACTGAAACTCAAAATCAATCAAAAAGTGAAAGCACACAAGGAAAAGTTAAGATAAATAATAGGATAATCAAACCAAAGCTCATGCAAAACCAAAACCAAACAATAACTGATAAAAACACAACATTCATGTTAAAGCTTGATAAAACTTACAGAAAAATAATTTGGAAGAAAAAAAAAGAATAATAGTAAATACAAAAACCAATAGAGGAAGAATAAATCAAAACGAAAGATGATGGCGAAGAAGACACTGTAAACAGATACAAAATTAGTAATCAAATTATTAAACACGTTGATTCTCATCAATTTCTTGATTTACAATTGCGTCGTTTCCATTTGTTACAGATACTGCGGTTAAAGTTCCGTTAGATCGTGATTCTTCAATTTCCATATCTTCAACAGCAGCTTCTTCGGTTGCTCGATGTTTTTGAGATTCCGATGTTTCCTGAAAATCGAATAAGGGCTAAACAAAATAGAAAAACGTTTTAAAGTGTTTCCGGTTTTAGAGAAAAACTCGCAACTTTCTGAAAAACCACTTAAAGAAAAGTTTTTCTGCTAAAATTCAGATTTTTTTGAGAAATTGAAACATTTCCTAATTTTGAAACAACTTACCGGAACTGTTTCATCAACTTCGTTCAATTGTTCTGTTGGAACTGGTAATGGCGGTGTTGTAGTTGCAACTAGTCGAACATTTGGTATTTTCAACTCTAAAAAATTAATTCATTCTTGTCAGATTTCAACTTTGCAAAATATTCAACCCACGTTCCAAAATCCTTGATTCAGGTCTAGTCGATGCTTGCGAAATTGGTCGATTTGTTGTCGAAGTCGATGTTTGTGGCCGATTCGAATCTAATCCAGCATCATTTCGATCTTGTTGTCGACTAATAACACTTCCCAATCTATTCTGCATATGCAATATTTGTTCAGCTCTATCGATATCTTTGCTTGATGGAAATGCATCATATTGTTTTTCTTGGGCTGTTTGCGCCTTTTTTATAGCCAGCAAAGAAAACGCGCCCTATCGCACTTTTTTTCTGCTGCCTCGATTTTAAATATTTTGGTTGTTTTTGAAACTAGTATACTCTTCGTGAAGTGTAGTTGGAGAGAATTCTCAGGGTTCCCAACTGTTATACTTTTGATTTGATCTATTCTCAAAGTCAGAGTTAGAGTGGGGTTCCCGTTTTGAAGAAAAAAATCCCCTGAAGTTACAATAAGCGTGGTAGATGTTCCAAAAATAGCGCTCAAACCCTCAAAAAAAGAAATAAATAAATAATATATAAAAATTCACAAATACTTCTACCGTACGCCTCATCAAAGGCGCACACAATTTTTCTCCCGTGTCTCGCAACGCGCGTTGATTTTTCAAAAAACGAAGCGGTGTTTGCACATTATTGATGGAAACATTTAATGTGACGCCAAATTTTCAGTGATTTCGTTTTTTATAAGGGGAGGAAAACGGAGATATTGATTGTGTTTTCAAGTTGTTTTCGAAACTTTTTCATGTTTTTTATGGTAGATTGTTCATTTCAACTATGATTTGTCTCGTTTATGAGTTTTTAGTTGTAAAAAACGCTATTTTTCAATTTCCAGGATTTTCCAAGACCGAAAAAAGTCGAAAAGTTCATCTTGTCGACTATGATTGTGTACTTATTGTCGTTTCTAGGTAAGTTAGTGATATTTACATTAGAGTGTTTAAAATGTAAATTCTTTAGTTTTACGGATGTTCGAAAGTTGCACGATTTTGGCTCAAGATTGCACTGAAAGTCGATTCTGGGTGTGAATTTATGATACTTAAAAAGGCGAAGAATAACAGATGAAGAGGCTTGGACAATTTTCGACAAAAATCGACAGCCGGAAGGAAAAAAACGATTATGTGGTATTAACAGGGACTGCTGAATATGATCATCGATGTGAGAAGTGAGGTACGTGCTATTGTTCATTCATTATTTTTATCAAATTTTTGAAATAATGTGCGAAAAAACATTTTCATTTCTGCAAAATCTTCGAAAAATCTGTATCGATTTATTCGAAATAGAACTTTTTCATTTTTTAATATGTTAACAAGAATTAATTTATCTATCGATTCATGTATTTATTATGAATTTTGAACAAATATGAGACTCGGAAGTTTGGAGCATAATTGAGCTTCTGCCTACATTAACTCAGCATTTTCTCAGTTTTTTCGAAATAGAATTTTTTCATTTTTTAATATGTTAACAAGAATTAATTTATCTATTGATTCATGTATTTATTATGAATTTTGAACAAACATGAGACTCGGAAGTTTGGAGCATAATTGAGCTTCTGCCTACATTAACTCAGCATTTTCTCAGTTTTTTCGAAATAGAATTTTTTCATTTTTTAATATGTTAACAAGAATTAATTTATCTATTGATTCATGTATTTATTATGAATTTTGAACAAATATGAGACTCGGAAGTTTGGAGCATAATTGAGCTTCTGCCAAGAATACATTAACTCATCATTTTCTCAGTTTTTTCGAAATAGAATTTTTTCATTTTTTAATACGTTAACAAGAATTAATTTATCTATCGATTCATGTATTTATTATGAATTTTGAACAAATATGAGACTCGGAAGTTTGGAGCATAGTTGAGCTTCTACCAAGAATACATTAACTCAGCATTTTCTCAGTTTTTTCGAAATAGAATTTTTTCATTTTTTAATACGTTAACAAGAATTAATTTATCTATCGATTCATGTATTTATTATGAATTTTGAACAAATATGAGACTCGGAAGTTTGGAGCATAATTGAGCTTCTACCAAGAATACATTAACTCAGCATTTTCTCAGTTTTTTCGAAATAGAATTTTTTCATTTTTTAATACGTTAACAAGAATTAATTTATCTATCGATTCATGTATTTATTATGAATTTTGAACAAATATGAGACTCGGAAGTTTGGAGCATAGTTGAGCTTCTACCAAGAATACATTAACTCAGCATTTTCTCAGTTTTTTCGAAATAGAATTTTTTCATTTTTTAATACGTTAACAAGAATTAATTTATCTATTGATTCATGTATTTATTATGAATTTTGAACAAATATGAGACTCGGAAGTTTGGAGCATAATTGAGCTTCTGCCAAGAATACATTAACTCATCATTTTCTCAGTTTTTTCGAAATAGAATTTTTTCATTTTTTAATACGTTAACAAGAATTAATTTATCTATCGATTCATGTATTTATTATGAATTTTGAACAAATATGAGACTCGGAAGTTTGGAGCATAGTTGAGCTTCTACCAAGAATACATTAACTCAGCATTTTCTCAGTTTTTTCGAAATAGAATTTTTTCATTTTTTAATACGTTAACAAGAATTAATTTATCTATTGATTCATGTATTTATTATGAATTTTGAACAAATATGAGACTCGGAAGTTTGGAGCATAATTGAGCTTCTGCCAAGAATACATTAACTCATCATTTTCTCAGTTTTTTCGAAATAGAATTTTTTCATTTTTTAATACGTTAACAAGAATTAATTTATCTATCGATTCATGTATTTATTATGAATTTTGAACAAATATGAGACTCGGAAGTTTGGAGCATAGTTGAGCTTCTACCAAGAATACATTAACTCAGCATTTTCTCAGTTTTTTCGAAATAGAATTTTTTCATTTTTTAATACGTTAACAAGAATTAATTTATCTATCGATTCATGTATTTATTATGAATTTTGAACAAATATGAGACTCGGAAGTTTGGAGCATAATTGAGCTTCTACCAAGAATACATTAACTCAGCATTTTCTCAGTTTTTTCGAAATAGAATTTTTTCATTTTTTAATACGTTAACAAGAATTAATTTATCTATCGATTCATGTATTTATTATGAATTTTGAACAAATATGAGACTCGGAAGTTTGGAGCATAATTGAGCTTCTGCCTACATTAACTCAGCATTTTCTCAGTTTTTTCGAAATAGAATTTTTTCATTTTTTAATATGTTAACAAGAATTAATTTATCTATTGATTCATGTATTTATTATGAATTTTGAACAAATATGAGACTCGGAAGTTTGGAGCATAATTGAGCTTCTGCCAAGAATACATTAACTCATCATTTTCTCAGTTTTTTCGAAATAGAATTTTTTCATTTTTTAATACGTTAACAAGAATTAATTTATCTATCGATTCATGTATTTATTATGAATTTTGAACAAATATGAGACTCGGAAGTTTGGAGCATAGTTGAGCTTCTACCAAGAATACATTAACTCAGCATTTTCTCAGTTTTTTCGAAATAGAATTTTTTCATTTTTTAATACGTTAACAAGAATTAATTTATCTATCGATTCATGTATTTATTATGAATTTTGAACAAATATGAGACTCGGAAGTTTGGAGCATAATTGAGCTTCTACCAAGAATACATTAACTCAGCATTTTCTCAGTTTTTTCGAAATAGAATTTTTTCATTTTTTAATACGTTAACAAGAATTAATTTATCTATCGATTCATGTATTTATTATGAATTTTGAACAAATATGAGACTCGGAAGTTTGGAGCATAATTGAGCTTCTGCCTACATTAACTCAGCATTTTCTCAGTTTTTTCGAAATAGAATTTTTTTCATTTTTTAATATGTTAACAAGAATTAATTTATCTATTGATTCATGTATTTATTATGAATTTTGAACAAATATGAGACTCGGAAGTTTGGAGCATAATTGAGCTTCTGCCAAGAATACATTAACTCATCATTTTCTCAGTTTTTTCGAAATAGAATTTTTTCATTTTTTAATACGTTAACAAGAATTAATTTATCTATCGATTCATGTATTTATTATGAATTTTGAACAAATATGAGACTCGGAAGTTTGGAGCATAGTTGAGCTTCTACCAAGAATACATTAACTCAGCATTTTCTCAGTTTTTTCGAAATAGAATTTTTTCATTTTTTAATACGTTAACAAGAATTAATTTATCTATCGATTCATGTATTTATTATGAATTTTGAACAAATATGAGACTCGGAAGTTTGGAGCATAATTGAGCTTCTACCAAGAATACATTAACTCAGCATTTTCTCAGTTTTTTCGAAATAGAATTTTTTCATTTTTTAATACGTTAACAAGAATTAATTTATCTATCGATTCATGTATTTATTATGAATTTTGAACAAATATGAGACTCGGAAGTTTGGAGCATAATTGAGCTTCTGCCAAGAATACATTATCTCAGCATTTTCTCAGTTTTTTCGAAATAGAATTTTTTCATTTTTTAATACGTTAACAAGAATTAATTTATCTATCGATTCATGTATTTATTATGAATTTTGAACAAATATGAGACTCGGAAGTTTGGAGCATAGTTGAGCTTCTACCAAGAATACATTAACTCAGCATTTTCTCAGTTTTTTCGAAATAGAATTTTTTCATTTTTTAATACGTTAACAAGAATTAATTTATCTATCGATTCATGTATTTATTATGAATTTTGAACAAATATGAGACTCGGAAGTTTGGAGCATAGTTGAGCTTCTGCCAAGAATACATTAACTCATCATTTTCTCAGTTTTTTCGAAATAGAATTTTTTCATTTTTTAATACGTTAACAAGAATTAATTTATCTATTGATTCATGTATTTATTATGAATTTTGAACAAATATGAGACTCGGAAGTTTGGAGCATAGTTGAGCTTCTGCCAAGAATACATTAACTCATCATTTTCTCAGTTTTTTCGAAATAGAATTTTTTCATTTTTTAATACGTTAACAAGAATTAATTTATCTATCGATTCATGTATTTATTATGAATTTTGAACAAATATGAGACTCGGAAGTTTGGAGCATAGTTGAGCTTCTACCAAGAATACATTAACTCAGCATTTTCTCAGTTTTTTCGAAATAGAATTTTTTCATTTTTTAATACGTTAACAAG